GCTGAAAGCCCTCCTCTTAATGCATATTAGTGCAAAGCTACTAATCTGATGAGAACTCAAATTCATCAATTTGCAGATATACATTTCATGTTGTCTATTTGATCAAACCCAATGGAACTATTAACTAGTAATGCCGCTCCTGAACTAGACAAGGGCTCTGCATTTGCTGCAGTAAGTGGTGGCTTTAAGAATCTTAAGTATGTACTATTTTTAATTCACAAATTCATGATGGACTCACCAGGAAACAGAGTTACAACTGTCTGATCATGAATTGCAGCAAATCTTGACTCTTAGGTAACCTGTGATTTTTACAGCTGACTGAAATATTTTCTTATCCTCTGTGCAAGAATGATTAGCAAATAAAGAGAAGCTTTTTTGCTGAATGTATAAGAGCTGTATCATCATTGGTGCAATCTTAAAAAATGGAATTCCATCAAAAGGAAAATTATAAGCCCTATTCATCATGCTTAGCTACTGTGACTAATCCATATCAGCTACACCTATGGAGAGCAAGAAGAAGACCAGTATGCATCATTTATTGATGCATATAATTATGCCCTAAAGTAGCTTAGATGTCTTAACTTGCTGCTATGACCTCCCTTCTGAGATGAAAATCATACTTCATCACTGATCCTGAGATTATCCAAAAGCATCAATGCTATTATCCAATGAGATAATATAGCTTATCGCAAAGCATTTACAATATATGATGGCAACTTTGATTAGTCAAATTGCCTTTCAATCTATGAGTTTAAATACATCAAAAAATAGCTGGATCTATCTGTTAAAACTTACAGCATTAAGTATCATTTACTTTCTAATCTCGCACTAGACTAAAATACATTGCAATATGCAATATCAACAGCAGAGCTTGCAGCATCTATTTCACAATCACCCTTGAAAACTACAGGCAATTATATTGCAGGGCAAATTAAAAATGTTACTCAAGCTGATGCATTCAGCAGTATATGTTAAGTTGGTACCTGTGCTAACCAATATGTTTAGTAAAGTAGAAGACTCTTGACAGGAACACTAGTGCCCTTAGCAAGCAAAGGGTATTAGTGATCTCAAATACAAGCACCACCTCAAAGAAAATCAAGCAGGATATGAATTTAGAGGACCTAGGCTTAGATAACTCGGCCATCAAAATGCCTCCTATGATTTGATGCATCCTTGATGAGGACAGAAATGCTATGGTCGAGGTTGTTATGTAACACGTGTCATCAATATTATCTGGTTATTAGTAATGTTTTTACTGCTTTTACTGCTGGCTGAGGTGATTTACAAAGCACATATGTCAGATGATGTTGTTTTCCTTGGTGGTATGACAAACAGGATAGTAAATCCAGTTATTAGAAGTAAACTTCATACAGGACCTGCCTTCTTCTTGATCCTTCTAGCTGCATTTTCAGCACTTTACACTGAGTGACTGGTGAATTAATGATCTATTGTTTCCTAATTGTGAAACAGCAATCATAGCTATCATCAAAACAACTAGAACAATTTCAGTTCATTCAAAATATGCAACTATTTGCATTTGCATTTCTAGATTAAAAAAATTCTGTTATTATTATTTCATCCACATCTTTGCACTACAGCCTTCTGGGGTCGTGATATTATCATGCTGCATGCTACATGTACCACAGACATGAATGTTTCCCATCTAATATTTGAGTACTGTCTGATTAAGGTGTTCAGAAGGATTAAAGCAAAATCATGACTCTAGCTGAAAGTATGAACAAAATAATAATAAAATTGCCAATTATATCCCTTCTATCTATGTTGTGAAGGATATTAATTATTTATTGCTCAGACTTAAGAGATGCGTTAGTGTGGTGAACAATCTGCATAGCTGATCTAGTGATCCTCATGTCTTGTGTGTGCTGTTGCTGCATACACTTGAACTAATTACAAACCTGAAAGGCAACACCTTTATACAAGCATAAATTAATTGTGTTTACATGTAAGTGTGCTATTTGCTGTCAAATATAAGCAGTAATTATCATCTATGACTAGGTCACTATAAAACTCTGATACAGAACATTCAACATGATAATATCAGCATTTCAAACTTGGTGATTAATCCTTTGTAATGGGTCAGTTCTGATGACTGTTACTCATTATGAACTGCTTACTACTTACTTAAGCAAGTTGCTTTTAATCCTTTACACTTATTATCTAGCTGTACTTACTCAGTCTCAGCTTACTCTGGCCATATATTGAGTCCACTGCAGCCCTGGTAAGCCTAAGGATCTAGGCTCCTTACACCCGTTAACAAAGTTCAGAGTCTTAAACAAATTTGATCTCACTACCATCTGCAATAAATTGCCCTATTCTATTATTTTCTCCTTACTTTCCCTACTCTCACCTTGACACTCATCTGATCTAGTCAAAATGCAGGTCTAATGTAAGACACCTGCTGAGGTGATCAAAGTAGAGAAATTAGAAAGAAACAGATTTAAATAGGGCAAATCTCCACAACTATCAAAACTCTTAAGTTCAGAATGCACTGCAACCCTTCCTTTCTTAGCTCTTGATCTGCTCAAAAAAGAATACTATGATGGCCTATATGCTTCTGTGATAAACCAGCTACTATAAACAGCACCAGATATTGAATGCATAGAATACTGTAACTGGAGACTATAACAGCTATTGCAATACAAAGTGGCAGTTTCTACAACATTTCAAGAGGCCCAAGGCATAGTGGGCAATACAACCAAAATATAGAGTTGCATGACCCCAGCTTTGTAAACTGCTCATCTGACTAAATAACACATATCATGATATTGAGAAGCTTTTCCTGTAGCAAACCAGCTATTGAGGAACAAGGTCGCTTGATAGAGAAGAGTTGCATGAGTGGAGCAATTGAAAAAGTGTGAGACTTGGAGCAGCAGGTTATTACTTTCAGATCTTTCAAAATGTAGTAGGCCACTTTAATCCTGCAGTAACTTCCCTTTGTTGGCATCCTCTTATCTTGCAATATATTTGTAACTCCCTTGCTAATTGCTTTCTTGCACATAATAAATGTCTCTATGATGGCATGTGTAATGCCATGTGTCATTGATTACTATGAATAACTACTATGATGCATAACATCTTTCTTAGAGAAATGTGTAAAAATCAATAAAGTTATACTGTGAGAAAAACATGAAGAAAAAAATGTAAAAGAACAAAGCATTTTCGCAAATTTTTCACTGAGAATAAGTTAGTCATCAAATATGGTAATTTTGATTTTGACTAGTCTCTGTTGCTAACTATATACAGCTATGGATGACAGTCAATCTATATCTAATATATAGTCTGCATCAAGTCACATTGATTTACAGGCCTCTCCTCTTACACCCAAAAAGGAAATGATAACTGCAGCTAAGCATGCGAATTTAAAAGCCAGAAGAACAACGACAGTCTGAGTGGCTGATATTTAACCTAAAAACTCAAAATATATCCTTCAGAATCCTTGTCTGTTATTTCAGGAATGTTCTCTGAAGGCACTGATAAGAAAAAGAGGTGTAGATGTCCATTTCACTACAAGACTATGCAGCATGGCCTATTCTCAGCCTTCCTTGCTACAAACTGTACTAGAAATATTTTTATAGTAACTCAGGTCCTAAAAACACAGTATCATCCTAGCTACTTGTTTTTTCCTGCAGGAAGAGGAGAATGCATTGGACAATGCGACATGTACATACAGAATCACAGTTGCACATGATGTGAAAACTTCTGTAAGGTGGAAGCCCGCCAAAAATGTGCTAGTTGGCCAAGACTAGGTTTTGGCATGTCCTGTCCTGTCATGTTCAGTTGTCTGATATGGTAAGCAACTTATTTCCAAGGCAAAAAACCATGAGAATGTTTTGTTCTTTTCTCACTTTTTTCTTGAGGTTTTTCCTCTGAAAATATATTATTGATTTCCTTATTTTCTTGTTCCAGGTTGTTTCATATGGATAAAAGTGGTAATGCTTCCTGTGCTATAGACAATCCATGCATAATGTGCACTTCCAAATATTTATCTTGTTCCTTGCTTATGGTGAAAGTATGTTGATTATACGTAAGACTTGTACACGATGATAGTTTGAGAGCCAGAGTCACTTAGAGATACCGAGAGGTACCGAGATGTACATATGGCTGGCTTTAGCGTGCTGTGAAAAGTTCTATCCACCGCGGAGCTACGTTCCTACATCCCATCCCGAAAGCTCAAAACCTCAGACATGCCATTGTGACACACTAGTACAGACTAACAAATGTCCTCACTCGGGTGCCCAGGAAAATCCAACTTTTACTTAAAGGTGTTCTTATGTGACTTAAATGCACTTATGGGCTTTAAATAAGGTAAAAAAGTACAAAAAGTCCATAAGTCATATTTCCTTAAAGACTTAAAAGTCAACTTTTGGGAACTTATGGACCTTAAATAAGGCAAAAAAGGACAAAAAGTCGGAATAAGTCCCGTAAGTAAAAGTTGGGTTTTCCTGATGTGGTACACGTCCGTATGTGTATTGCCGAGTGCACAAGCTCGTTAACCTTTGTTGTCCCTTCTCTTATGGTACAAATGTGACAGGCGTTCGAAATATAGAAGGCACAGGACTCGCACATATTTCGAGCTCAAAAAGTAACAGTCTCCCACCTTTCGACCCTTCTCTTGCGCTATCGCTTTTCGCTTTCGTCATAAATGAATTAAGTAGAGCTCCCGATCCGAGTTAAAGTCAGATGTCGAAACATTGCAGATTAGAGTGCGTCGGGAGCTCGTCGGCTATCGACCGGCGTCGCGATAATAGCATTGTTCCATCACAGGCGGACGTGAGCAAAGAAAAGGAAACTGAAGTAATATATCGAGGTAAGGAGCGTAAACGCACAAAGGCAACCAGTAACAACAGACCAACATCCAGTGTAAGCAAAAGAGAGGTTCGATGGCAGAAACCACAGGGGTATCATAATTTTCACCCAGCCACAACTCGTCCGAGCGAAGACAGAACAAGAACAGGATCACAACAGGACATCTGCGTCCTCTAAGCAGCAGTAGCGGCAGGCCGGGGGTTGGTCTGCTCCTTGAGGGCCAGCAGCTGTTTTGAGCGGAAAGCCTCGTAGTGGATCTGGGCAGTCGTCTCGATGAGGTCCTGCAAATGTGTCCTATATTTCATAAGTTGATGAGCCTTCTGCTGCATTCCAATCAGCTCCGGTGCACAAACCTTGTAAGGAAGTTGCGGAGATACACAAATTCGCAGTGCTTCTCATCTTCAACATTGACAACACCCCAGCGGTTCTTGCGTCCCCGGACAGACTTGCCATCAATGATGACGTTTCGCTCTGAGCCGACGACAGCGAAGGGGATCATGTTCTGTTTACTAGTTGAGCAATGCTCAGAACCGGTACGGAGAACTTGGACTTACCCTGATACTCTCATTCAGTTGAATTTCCTCTTCATCGTTCTCATCAGTGTCGAAGGGATAAAGACGAATGTTGTTGAAAATCAACTCGGCCCGAATCTGCAGACGACCGAGGCACATTTAAGATATGTGAAATACACGGAACGCTAATCACCTTCTGCTTGAACGCCTCGCGCTCCTCCAGAGTCAAGCTGTCTGCCTTGGCGATGATGGGCACAACGTTGACAACCTCGCTGAGCTTCTTCATGACGATGATATCGATGGCACGGAGGGAATGACCAGTCGGATTGATGAAGAACACACAGCAATGGATGCGCGTGTCCTGAATATGGCGGTCACGCATGGCAGTGAGCTCCTTACGGAGGTAGGAGCTGTGCTGGTCTTTGATGTATTTCACGATGGGATCCCAGCTAGAAGGTAATCATTGGTTCATTGACACGTCAAACGAAGGGGCGGCGACGTACCAATTCTCGTTGTTGACCTGGTCGCCATATCCGGGTGTGTCAACAATGTTAAGGCGTAGCCTCACACCATTTTCCGTGATAACTGAGTAGAATGCATAGTCAGTACCACAAGAAAATGCGTTTCTGAATACGAGCGATGTACCATGAGAGACTGGGTGAATCTCTGTCGTCTGTCTCACTGGCTCATCTGCCTCCAGGCGACCCTTCGAGTCAATCAAGTGCGAAGCAAAGATTGTATTGATCAACGTCGACTTTCCAAGGCCGGTCTGACCTGTTCGGGCCATCAGCCCGTCAAATTTCAGGAGTCTACAGGGATGGAGACAACGCGACCCACCGACAACGATGACATTAAATTGAAAACCACGCTTCAAGAGCTTGTGCTCAATCTGCTGCGTGATGGTGTCGAAACCGACGTACGCGTTGGCACGGATCTCTTCGGTCGCGACGGCAGCCATGATGAGGATGAAGGGTCAAACAGCTGAATGAAGTTGTGACTGGGCGAAGGCACAGCGAACTCTCCCAATTTTCCACGCAACACTCTGGTGCTTTTCCGCCACGCGGTTCTCGCACCACAATTTCAATGTCCGATGACAGCCCATTACACTTTACTCTAGGCAACTCTCAATGAAAGTTGTAGTCGGCTTTTCTATCCAGGTGGCGTCGCCTTCTCACTCCATCATGATCATATGCATGCGTATTTCAAGTTCACGAGAGGTCCCGAGTCATGAAGGTTTCTGAAAGCACGATTTCTGATTTCCGTATGCCAGTGGGACTGGCTCATGCCATCTGAAATTGCGCAGGGACTGACTGACCAGCTGATGGTCGATGATGGACCAGCTGTGGGACGTATCGCTCGGGGCATGCAACCTGTCGTTTACAGTAACAGACTTACCCAACGGTTACTTTGCTGCATCGCGCCATGAGCATATGAGTCAAATCGTCCGACCGCTATCCTAACAGACACAGATATCCTGAGGCACGAACATTGAAGCAGTATATCGTGTTCACTTCCTTTTTGCGCACTTTTTGCACTTTCCTAACGCGCTATTCTTTTCACTGACATTATGATGTATCTTTGGAAGGTCGCGGACACATCTGTACATGTACACGAAGTCCGTGCCGAGAGTCCAAGATACAAAGCAATCCTGTCGATTAAACAAACTTACGGTAACTAACTCCAGCAATACCTCTCCAAGCAGCTAACGCACACCCCGCTCCGCTCCACCCCCGCGCGTGCGCGTGCGCGATCCACGATCCCACATGCGAGGCACGCTGGCCACTCCGGATCCTTCTCCGCCACGCCGCCATGCTCGGTGGGTATCCCCTGTGTCGCGACGTCGAACACCTGCTGCAGCATCCCATCGATCTGCGCTGCGGAGTACGATAGCTGCTCCGTCGAGGTGTTCGTGAGCGCCGCCTGGCCGAGCGGCGCGCCGCCGTTCGCGAGGTAGATTACGAAGGGCTCTGCGGATGATGACGCGTTGCATCCGAAAAATGTGGGCTGCTTAGTTAGGTTATGTGAGAGGAAGGTGGACTGGAGAGGTGGAACGGGCGGGAAGGAGTAGGCGTTGGGGAAGAGCGCTACACGATCTTGTGTGGCCTGGAGCGATCGTTAGCGTCTTATTCGGTGAGATAGCATTTTAACAAGACATACGATGATCGAGCTGCCGTCGGAGAAGTTGTCCTCCGTATCCGAGGCCTGTGCAGCGATGATGAGAAACACAGAAGATCATGAAGAAGTAAGAAGCGTACTGCGTCGATCGCGAAGATGACCTCTACCCCACGCGCCTTGACGAGGAGCGGTTGGAAGGGAATCACCTCTCCATCTTCGCCGCCGTCACCAAGCATGAGCAATGTGGTATTAGTATCAGTGTACGTTTGCGGTGCGAGCCCATGGAACGGATTTGGCAGCTGCGCGAGAGCAAGCTCTAGTCCTTGCTCCGGGATGATCTTCTCGAGGAGCTGGATGATCGGATATATGGAAGAGTTCTGTAAGCTAGATGTCTGAACACGGGAGACGATTATCAGTTCGCATGATGGTACGACTCAATGTAGCTGGGCACTCACGGAGGTATTGGCTGCATTGAACAGATTGGAAGAGACGCCCTGCACGAAAGGTAACTGGTCAAAGCCAGTAGTGCATAGACTACCGTTTGAGGAGCCCAGGAACTTCGTAGGTGTGAACGCTCCTAGTACAGGATCGAACGACCCCATTTCGTCTGTGGAAACAACATTCAGGGTGCGACGAAGAATCAACAGATAATCAGACTACACTCACAGACATTAAATTCGTAAATTGGATCCGTGAGGGGCACAGTATTACCAGGAACAATGTTTGATGTGTTCTCTCTCTGAGCTATTGAATCTGCGGTGATGATGGGGAATGGTTGCACGTATGATTGAAAAGACGGTCTAGAGCCTCTGTCAATTCGAGGGAGAAACACCTCTAACGCGAACTCACAAATTTGCGAGAGAAGACAAGGTGATACCTGCGCCGTGAGGAAGAGTGCTGTTTGCAAAGTTCTGCACGCTCGTCCCGTTTACGAAATGGCGTGAGAGAGCGCGCGCCCAGACGTCCGTGATCGTCACCGGAAATCCTTCGAGCGCCTTGCCCGAGGCCTCTTCGATCAGCTCGACAAGATAATCTTCCACAGAGGTGTTCGTGCTCGGCGTCAATAAGTCGAGTTGCACGTTCCACCCTCCAAAGGTCTGAGCGCTCGCGTTAGGTGCTCCAAAAATCAGCTTCGGGAGCGTCGGGAAGTTTGCCTGAACAAGAGAGCTGACAAGCCATCCACCACCCGAAAGACCTGAGAGGTAAGACGCGGCCTGAAGGAGACCACCGGTTCCCGCTCGTATCGACGTCACGTTGCGTGCATCCAGAGTGTTCAGAACGCCGGCGCCAAAAATGGCAGCTCTGTACCCACCGCCGCTGGTCGCAATTCCAAGCTTGGGGTAGTACTCGCTGCCATTCGCACCCTCGAGAATGGCGGAGACGTATCCAGGCAAAATAACTTCATCGTGCGTACTGATTTGCACAGATGCAAGATAAGTTCGCCATGCCTCGGGCAGGACCTTCGATGTTCTGTTAGAGATGTACGCAGACTCGCCGAAGCTTAGATTCTGTGCGGTTGTCCCAGCTTCACGAATTAGAGACGTTCCGGGAGGGCACAGCGAGAAGCTCGGGGCATATGCCTCGGCCGCTGCAGTCTGACCTGCGACCAGGTAGGGGGCTGCCCAGAGAACGGTGGACACGATTAGCAGCAGCATAATGTGCAGAGCAGAGCCTAGAGAAGTGGGCTACTATGGGCGCGCAGCTGGCCACTCGCAGGATATTTATGACATCTACATTCCGCTCATGTCCAGTCATCAACGCATCACACCGTATGACGACAGTCTTCTGGATCCACGTGGATCGTGATCGACTCGGACATCGCTTACCGTAGACGGATGAGTCTGCAACGTCGCGCGGAAGTAATCCCACATTTGACAAGACATGCGACAGTAAGCACCACTCTGTCCATTGCGCGCAGGGACAGAGCTAAACTGGAGTGTTTGCGACGAAGTGCCTTCAGGATCGTCGAGGAACCAGTGGCGATCAGCGTGTGGACGGACCTCTGCATTCCGATTTTGACCAGCGCTCGCTGGCTGCACTCACAATAATAGAATATACGTGTGCCGGGCGGCTCGAACAACTGTGCAGGCACACGACCATGCGTTAGAGAAGACAGAGAAGGCCTGTGCCTGGAAGTATTATTAGAGAAATGATTAATTCCTCTGGCACGTCGGAAGTGAACGATGGCTCGAATCACACGATGTCAGTGTATGTACCATTTTTTTCAAGCTCATGATGGTTTGCGGCTTCCATGCGACATGGGTAATGAAACTTTGCACTCCAGCATCTCTTTCCATTGAAGGAGATATTGGAGCGTAAGGTATCCACCATGTGAACCGAATGTCGTGATCTGTAGAAAGTGCCTCTCAGAGAGATGTTTGGTCTAGCACGAACAGCGTCCTTGGGAAATGCACCATGTCCGACAGAACAGACGCCGAAACATTAGCTAGCACGAGGAGTCGAATCGGAATCGGAAAGCACGTGAACAAGAAACGCTCCTGGCGTCGATGCCATGCCATGTCGACACCGCATCGAGAAGTTGCAAAATGACGTGACCACTCACCACACTACCCTCAGGCTAACCAATAAATCTTGAGAGTGCAAGTGGTTGTGGATAAAGATCCTAAGTGATCACGATCGGGCGTTTCGTAGATCGCTTCCGTGATCATGATGGCAGCCACAACGAGATATTCAACCTAGTCGCGGGAGATCTCGTGAAGGTTTCACTCAACTTGCTCAAACAATGTGACGAAAACTCCGCGGAACCGGCGCACTGCGTTCAAGGATCGCTTCACTGGCGTCCATATTTTTGATCCTATCTGCTGTGGCTTCCACTTGCTAGCCTGCGGGTACGCTGGGTGACACAGAGCGAAACATGGTGACGACGACGCTCTTGATATAACTTGCATATTCCTGACCCGAGCTGAGGCGTTGCGGCGGATCGTAACGTACTAGTCAGATCGCTGTAGTCAGTCATCAAACATGCGGACGGAGGGATGCTTGCCACAGAGTCAGAGCACGGCAATCTAATCGTGCAAGGTGGGACAGCCGGAAGTAACGCATATCACCGCACTGCTGCAAAGGCATCGCATCAGCATAGCCGCTCCGACTACGGCCGGGGCATACCGCTACTTGGCCATGACGCTCTCAAATTTGGCGAGATACAACGTTGTTTGTTCCCAGTGCCCCTAGAAATTTATTCTCGTAAACACCCACGTGATTACGAATACCGCATATAATAACAGGAGCATATCGAATTTCGAAAGGCAAGGACAAAACATCAGCTGTCGCGAAAACATAGGACTAGCGTCAAAAACACACCACAATTCCAACCAGAAAGTAGAGCGCAGGATGAAGACGAGTTGCAACGTCCTAAAGTTATCACATTCTGGTAGAGACATGCCAGGCAAAAACACTCAGGATGACGCCACATGGGGAAGAAGCAGTAGAGCCAGCACTCGAGGGAGATACAGGATTGCAACACATATAGGAAGTCGGCAGACAATCTGCAGGTTTGTCAAAAATCAACGCCAGCCGCTCCGAATATAGACAGTGCCGGTATGCAGCATTGCACGGACAATCTGAGTGGTCCTGGCAGTCCCAAAAGATGTACTGACTGACCACAAGACTTGATTGTAAAACTGGCGGCGTCTAGTGCTCACTGATTAAGTTTGCTGGGGATGGGAGCCTTGTGACCAACAAGCACGATCAGAGTTCTGACGTAGACTCGTCGCTTGGAACGGTGGTCAGAATTCCGACCTTCACATAATATGAGCTTTCACGCTTGTTGGACGGTCATCAGACCTCTTACCAGCGCCAGCTAGGACAGGGTCAGAAAGGAAGCTAGAACACCGCAACAAGTTGACAGAATGAACTCGTGCTCAGAGGACAGAACGCACCTCTTGCGGCCTATATGCCAGACAATGTGGGCCGCGATCGTCGAGCATATATCTGCAGCCTTCAACGTCATGTGGTACTAATCAGAAACCTGTGATAACTCGCGATGTGTACACTTCGCCTCCGCGCAAGAACTCACCTGCCAGTCACGAAGTTGTTTGGGATCACAATTTAGTCCTAGTGCCGTCTGTTCCTCAGGCTGCTTTGGTGTAATCTCCGCAGTGTGGCATTGAGGGGCAGATGGGATTGTACCGCTGCTGTCTGAGAGTTTGTGTACGCATACGTACTTGCGCCATATACAACGTCGCAGAGCCAGCACTTGGGCGAACCGGGGACTCACCTGCTGGACAATAATTTAGAATGTGTCAGGTTGGTGCACCTTTGCATGCACCGTACGTGGTCCGCCCCGTCCTGCCGGAACTGCAACCTTGTCCTGCAACGGCCAAAAATACATCTACGGTACAATCCTGTTTGTCCTGCTTCGAAAATGCCAGGGTTCTTCCGATAAACCTCGGGCACAACCGATATGAAACCAAATCCACATTGAACAATCTGTCAAATTGTACAGCACCTCTGTGTATGGATGCAGTGCCTAGGCTCATGGTACGCACCTCCAAAGATGTCCACGGGATCCGTCCGGTGCTCTTCGACTTCGACTTCCCATGACATGATCGTTTATAGCCGCAGCCCAGGAGACGCGGGCAGAGTTCCCCAAATCTGTGTCCGCCAGTCGCCGAAGCTCTGCAAGGTGTAGAGCTCTAGGAACGTCTCGCGCGCCCCGCTCTCGACGCGCAACAAGAAACTTTCCTGGTGCACACAGTTCAGCACTAGTACGATTCGAGAAAGACTCATTCCGATTGATCAGACTCACCAAATCAGAACTGCACCGAGACGCTCTCCCATATACGAGCCAGTTGCTCTAGTCTCCCAAAGGCATTTGTAGATACTCTGCTCAACCTTCGTGACTCAGAATATCCGTATCTGAGTTGCTCACCCTATGTGACGGTTTACCTCTCAGGTGCTCAAGGAACGGTACCGAAGGCCGACGTTGCAACGAACGCCCCGTCGGGCGACTCTTTCGTGTGCATGCAGAACCCACGCTGCCGATCTCCGTCTGTACGACTCTCACCGTGCAGGTTCCTCGCCCCGTCTCCCGAGCCCTTGACACCATCTGCAAGGCCTGTGATAAGTATATCCAATCCGCATCTCCCACAACGCACGCACCGCACCCTGAATCACATAAAATCACGCGCCAACCTCGCACACGAGGCTCGCAACTACTCCGAACGAGAGAAATCGGGCGAGGCAAGGCAAGCTAGCGAGCGGGACGTGGTCTCGTCAAACTTCGGGTCCGTGAACACAGTTCGACGAGACTCGAGACTCGAATGATAAATTACACTGGCAGCTAATTACTGACGACCCGTCGTGCGGACGGCGGACGTTAGTGCGAACTCGAAGGGAGCGGGTGATGGCCATATGCAAAGCATCAGAGGAACCTCGAGCACCGCTCTGGCACACGCGGTCCTCGACTTATCTCTCATCCTCCCTTCGGCGTTCTCGGGGAACCAATGTGGCTGTAATGCATCGTCGCGCGTTGTACACACTACTGACCGCACGATGCACATTCAACGCCGACTCGGATTCGTCCAAATCTATCCACTCGAAAGGCCGCCAGGCGGCGGCGGAACTTGCTCGGAGACGAGGGCGGACAGTGCCACAAAACAAATAGCGCACAACAACTGTGTAAAAAGGACACTTTCACTTATGGGTCGGGAGAGCTTGCTCTCCGAGCAAGAATACACATAAAAAATAATCTAGCGCCTACAGCTAGCCTGGCGTGCCGAAAGTATAACCACACCCGTATAATATAGCGTGGTCTACCCCTCCGTCCAAAGAAAACGTCCGAGGAACGACCGAGCTCGGATCAGCGTTTAACCTGAGCCCGAAGTAACCAATAAGTACTGTAACCACAGGGAACCACATAACAAAAAAGAGCCCGTCCGTCGTCCAGGGCGATTACAGATGGCCCGCGCCACCCAGCGGAATTTCCCGATGAAGGGAAAGAAAGAAGCCCACATCTACCAGCATTGCGAAGCGCAAAAAAAAGGCATCCCGTCCGCGCACCGCCACAACCCAGTGCTCTGCCAGGAAACCCCTAAGTTGCCAGATTTGTCCTGGCCGCGTTGTTGGAACTTGGCAGATTGGACAGGCAACTTCGAATTCCGTCTGCGACTTTGCCGATGCATCGTGCGACTTTCGCGCATCACACGTACCGGGGGTTGGACTCCTGCCGGTGGGCAGGAGCTAAGATAACGAGCGGAGTACAGGTACCTACGACAAGCGTGGGCGGCGTAGGTACGCGTAGCTACCGATACGGGACAGGCGGATGCGGGCGGTGCGGCAGCGGAGGCTGAACGAGCGAGCGGGAGTTGGGGGGTGAGGGGAGGAGCCGGGTGGCGGTGGTACAAGGTATAATCGGCAACGACGGACTACAGACAGACGTGGGACAACACAAGAAAGAACGAGCAAATAAAGACGAGCGCAGCGCGTGTGCGGGCAGATAGGGTTAAAACACAGACCGGGAAGGTGGGTACCATGAGAGACAGGCGGGCCAAAGACAAAGAAAGAGGCGGAAGACGAGACGGAGACGGCGGGCCCACGAATAGAATATGGTTGGCAAGGAAGAGCGAGGACGATGGAGCACGAACAGATTAGTTGACCTAGCGTAGAGGGGAATCTATAGCGAGAAACGGACGGGGCACACAACGATCAGAGCATCATCGCCGCGTACCCGTGCCCGTTCCCGCCACCTCCAACGCTGATCGCCGTGTTCTTCATCAGCCCCATGCCCATCCCGCCCATGCCCATACCGGTCCCCATGCCCATCATGCCCACGTTCAAGCCGTCGTCCCAGCTGGGTCGCTCGTGCCGCGGGCGCGGGCTCATAGCCCACAGAGCTCCCACTAGCATACCCGCTCCCAACGCTATTCATGCTCCCACTGCTTGTCTGCGGCCGACGCCGGCACCCGCCGCAGATCCGGCAGAAGAAGCCGTCGTTCGTGCTGTTGCTGTTGCTGTTGCTGCTGCTGCTGCAGGAGCGCCTGCTGACGTTGCAGGCTCATAAGAAACGCGGCCTGCTGCTGAGGGTGCACCTGCGCTTGGCCATGGGACGTTGCCGGAGGAGTAAACAGCGGTATGCCCTGCTGCATCGCGAACATCTGCGCCTGCGACCACACCTTGTCGTCGCCCAACTGCTGGGGTCCAAAGGGCGCCGGACCCTGTCCGAGTTGATGGCCAGGCCCATGGTCGTACAGCGCAGCCATTGCGGGGTTCTCGAACGCGACGCCAGTCGGGGCTCTGCACGATCATCGGCGTGGGGTGGGCTGCTCGAGCGCGGCAGCATCGTCTGGAGGTGCAGAGAGGGCCCGCCGCCGGTAGCCGTATGCGGCGAACGGATTTTCCGGTCCATTCTTGAGAAGCGAGGCGGCGGCAGCCTGCGCCATCGGGGCGCGCATCTGAACGTCATCTTGCTCGTCGCCGGCACCGAGGGGCCCCGGCGGGGAACCGCGTCCCACCAACGTAGTCGTTCATCCCCGTAGTCGTCGTTACCATATTCGCCCGCAGCGTCCTCCTCCTCGATCGGGATGCCTGAGAGCCACCTCCACCTCGCCAGAGAGCACGAGCTGGAATCCATCACCGCGGACGGGCTCCTCGACGCGCGGGAGGCCGGAGCAGGTCACGCCATTCGTTGAGCTCGCGGCGAAGAGCATCTGCTTCGAGCTTCAGCAGGCGTAGCTCTCGCGCGGCAACAGACGGTGCCGGCGCGAAGAGTGGACGTGCGCAATACTGGAGTTGACGATCGAAGACTTGGAAGGGCGACGGATCTGCGACAAATTCGGCAGCAGAGCGGCGAGATCCTGTAGTAACAAGGTCAATAATCGGATAATCGCGGCAAGAAGGTGGCTCACCAAGAAGCGGCCGTTGAGAGTCTCGCGGCGCTGGCGCTCAACAGCGTTGTGAGTAGCCCTGCGCTCCGCGGTGTTGGCACGCCTGCTTGGCTTGCGCTTGGCGTTAACGCCCGTAGCGTTTGGCGTTAGTCAGCGCAGGTGCACTGGCTGCGGCGGGGGCAGGTGCCGCCGTCAACGGGTGGCGGCAAAGCTAGAGTCTGTACAGATGTCGTAGGAGAGACGGGGGTCTGCGGACCGTTCGAGCCGTCGGTGGAAGTGGGGGAGTTAACCGCAGAGGGAGAAGATGGGATGGTGAGTGGGACAGCCATATGTGAACTGGGACGGGATGTCAGCGTTGGTGTGATATGAGTGCCGTGAGGGCGAAGGATATGTATAAATCTACACGCGGGTTGAGATCCAGAGAGTCGAGGGCGATGTGCGGAGGATTGAGGATCTGGATTTTGGTGAAGTCGGAGACAAATTGGCACGCGATTGCTCAGCGAAAACCGAAGTTGTCAGGTAAGGTGAATGTCGTAGATGCGGAGTGGTGTAGCAGACAGTCGCGAGCGGCGCTCAGCGTACGTACTTGCTGCAGGAGGATGATGGGGAATGAAACCGACAATGGTCGCGATCTCTACGTGCCGGGCTTGTCAGTACAATGTATTATTAGTAAACAAAAGAAGTTTTCAAGAATACGATAGGCGCTGCGAGGCTATGTGCTATGAAAAATGGAGGAAGAAAGCGAAGCGCTGAGGTCAAAAGCCTGTCTCGACAGACGGATACAACTGTTGCAAGACGAGCGACATACGAAGAGACGAGCAAGAGTCGACCGCAGTGCTTGCAGCCGACGATCAGACCATCGCTAGCTTCCACCGGAAATCCCAATATCGGTAACAAGACGAGATGCAGAATGAGACTCACCACACACAAAAGCTACTATGAGTGTCGGCAAGGGAAATCCTCAGCACGGATATGCGATCTGTGGACAGTCGATGAGCACAGCGCGCGGTTATAATCACGACGATAGTGAAAGTGAAAGTGATGAGTGAGCGGGCTAGAACCGCCACACGAGGTCTCCATAAAAGGACTATGATGTTAGTAGGGAAGCAATGGCTTGCAGCATCACCCAACGGGAACAAGACACCACACGCCCTGCACTGCACCCAAGGGCCCAAGCGGCGTCCGCGAGTGTTGTCATGGGGAAAGAAAAGCGTCCGAGGATATGCTGGAGGATGACGCGAAAAAGGAATGGAAACTCACTGCTGAGTGTGCTGAAGGAGTCGACGATCGAAGGGGTCCTTAGCGGTGGTACGCAGTCTGCATGGGAGCTGATAAGCGCGGGAACATGTCGGAGACGACAAGCACAATAAAGAGGACGAAGGGAAGGCGGAGAGATGTGCGGAGACGACGAGGAGAAAAAATGAGAGAGAGTGGATAGAACGGAGCGGGACAGAAGGGGCGAGACCGGCGTGATTACGGAGGCATGGCGATTCGCAGTGCTAGACGTTTCGCGGCTCAAAAGCGACAATAAACCACGACAAAGGACAATAAGGGCGCGGGAAGAGAAGGGGACACGCACTGCAAGCTGTAATAATTGGCTGCTTGTGTCGTCTGATGGCTACTTGCTTGGGGAATAGGCGGATTGGGAGAAGCCGGCAAGGGTCGCGAGATCTGCAAAGATTGGGAGCGAAAAGTGAGAAGAGAACATGGTGGAGAGGGGGCAAGACGCACTCCAGGCGGTATCCTTGGGACGGCGGGGGTTGGCGGAGAGGAGGGCGCAAGGGGGAAGCTGGGGTGAGGTGGAGGATCAGACGAAAACCATGTACGACGAGGGTGAGAAGCTGCAGGCCGAGTCTGCCCTCTGCATATATCCCCACCGGCACATGCCGGTACACCCCAAATAAGGCTAACCATCAGCCCGCTGATTCCGACGCCTTCTATCTTTCTCAACTCCACTCACTGCTGCTGCCCAACGCCTTCCATTCTCCGACGCCCCTTCCGCCGTCCATCTCCCTTCCAATGCCCGACGTCCCCACCCCCTTGCCTCACCTCGTCTCCCAGCCCTGCGACCGACCGACCGACCGCCCTTCCCCGGCCCTCCGGCGCCGCCCCTCCGAACCGCGTAGTGCCGCCGTAGCCCGATCGGTGTGCGCCCCCATCAAAAACATATTCGTCTGCCTCCGTTGCACATTCACGGCGATCTCCTTCCCACTCTCTGCAACTCGTTCCCTCGATGTACGATCCCCTGAGCTCGTCGACTTCCACCCTGCGGACGGCGGCGGCGGCGACAGCGTGGCAGTGCACCCAAATTTTCTGCTGTCGGTGTCGTTCACCGCCCCTGCCCTTCCGCGGAGATCGACTTCGGCGCCCGTTTTCTCACCGCAATTCACCGCGGTTCACGTCCTCCTCCTCGGGGCCGGGACTCTCCGTCTCACCGCTGTGAATTGATGACTCAGCCCCGAACCGGCCATCACCGCGCCCGTCTCTGGGCTCAGCTCGAATCGCCGCTGCGTCCAATCTCGCAAATTCCTGCAGGCGGTTACATATAGGTTTATCAGACAGATATTCGCCTACCCACGGTGGGGAAGGGGGGGGATTCAATCTCTCTTGGCCGTGCAGCCAGTCGCGTCCGATCTCAATTCGCGTCTACTTACCACCGCCCTGTTGCCTCCGTCGACGTTCTCATCTTGACTCCTCGAGTTTTCACTTGTGCTTTCAGCAATAAAGTTTTCCCCTCGTCAGCTCCAGCCCTAGCACGCTTGGGGGCATCTACCCGGAATAGTGACCCACCTCATTGGTGTACCTTTAGTCGACTCCGATGCATTCGGGCGGAACACCGGGGGACTTTTGCCACATTTTTGTGTCATGTGTTTGGTTGGTACTCGCTGGAGAATTAACAAGAGTACATATGAGGCCTGTCAGAGCCAGCGTTCGGCTGCGGTTCCCGTTCGTTCTCGCTTTGCATCTGCATTTCTGTCTAACATTTCACAGCGTTTTCAGTGTGCGCGAGAATATTGATCTCGGGCACTTTCTCGTACATCCGCACATGGCGTTGTGCCAGTGCCCCAGATAATCTTTGTTTACTCTGAAGGAACCTGCCAGTCTCCCTCTGTTGCGTTGGTGTGCTTGCGAGCGTCAGTGCATATATTTTTGATCCCCAGGGTCCGTCGCGACAGACCATGGCAGCGCTCCTGGGCATGCGGGCGGCGCAAGGGCATACCTCGATGTGAATCGGTCCATGAATTCATCGAATTTTTGTCCCGACTCACACCGAACTTGTCCGTCGCCTCGCGAGCTCCTGGGGGCGTTGACGTGCCTCTCCCACTCCACAGATTTTTCTTTCCTTCTCTCTCTTTTTTTTGCATAGCGCTATTATTTGTATCTTTGATTTGCTCATCTGAGGTGTGCGCCCGGCGGAAAGGTAAACTATATTAAACCATCGCTCCATGCATACCGCTCACTCGGAATGCACAAATTTCAGGTCCCTTGTTCGCGCAGTGCTTCCTGTTCCCCGCGGGGGTGGCACCTGTCCCGTCGACGCTCAGCAGTTCCAAACATATGCACCCGACGATCACCCCGATATAGGGCATACCTCCAAGGGGTGCCCTTCGCCCGCTTGCCTGATGCGGGGGAGCTCACTCTCTCCGCGATGGGCGTGCAGTTCGTTCATCGGCGCATGTGAACGGTCGTGTGATCTTTCATGCGCTCCTGATATGAGCATTTGAACGCCAGCCTGACCGAGTTGCGTTCGCTGGGCGACGCGGGGACGGCTCCAGCGAGGAGTGTGCTGGGTGCATGACCAGTGTTTGGTGGTCACAAGGCCTCGCCCTTCCCAATTGGAACGCCAACTACCGATGGCCAATTTGCGGGCATTAATATGTCGGATATTGCGAGTACTCCCTGCCTGCTCTCAGATCCAATCCCCCCCCCCTCTGGATTTTCTGCCAGACCGGGTTGTCCTTGCAAATTAGCAATCACCGTACGTGTATTCCACAGGCCTCGCATCTCCGACCGTCGTTACTCTCGCTCGCCTCGCACCCCGGCATTGATCGTCTCGCCCGACTATCGCTGTCTGTTCTCACTCGCCTGTGCTATGAACGACCTACGTCGTAAGATCTCGGAGAGGCCGGCGGGACGGCTCGCGACAAACTATCTCCGTGCTGTGCTCCGGCGTTTGATCACGGATCGTGATGTACTATCCTTGGGTCACCTTGTCCACTGCATAAACTCGCGGGTTGCAAGGAGCGACTCGCTAGTCCTTGGCGGGAAATATTGAGCTCGGACCATCATCATGGCGCGTCGCCATCATTCTCCGGACCCGTTGTATCCACGGCTGGGTGTAGAGAGAACATTGTGTACGTACTGATTTGGATATTGTGAGCGGTAGAATAATACGAACATCCTTGTGCAAGCAGACCGTCCGGCGTGGAACTCCGCTGCGGGGATGTGTGAGCACGATGCTTTCAGTCCCATCCAACCTCGAGCGAGTCAAATTTGGACGAAGCCGCGGAATATCCCCTTAGACGCCGTCGCGAAAAGTCCCGGATTTTCGACTTTTTGGGCCGTTTTCTGTCCGGATGCGACGGTTAAGGTCGGCTTACTTCCTAATTTGGTATTTTTGAGATATTTTCAGCGATTTTCGGCATATTCCGTCATATTTCCGTCCATTACCGGCCCCACAAGCACACCTTCCTGTCCGGACGGCGCGACGGCCTTATCGCAGCGGAGGGCCCATTTGTCCGGATGCTGCGACATCGTTCGGTCGATTTTTTCGAAAATTTGTCCGGATTCCGCAATGACGTCTGAGGGAATATTCAGGCGTCCTAGCCGCGGGTGCCATCATGATGGGAGTTTGCACGATCTACGATCAGCTGAGCTTGATCACTTTGCTCACTAGCTTGCATGCGCAGGCTGCAGGTCGCACTCATCATGCTGTGCTTCCGTCGTGATCCGGCAGGAATCCACGGGGAAGTAAGCTGTGATCGCTGCTGTATCTCTCATGCCCAGCTGGGATATTCGAAAGATTGCTCTCCACCCGGTGTCAACACCGGTCCAGGGTACACGGTAAGCAAATCGACAGAGGATAACGAAGGTAGCGTCCTCTCTCAGTACATCCACGTTCAACCATCTCATGATCATATGCGCTGGCAGGTGTGAAGCAACTCCCCGTACCGGAGTAATTCCTTTTGTCGGCTCGGTACTTGCAAATACGACGGACTTTGAGTCAGCTAATTTGTCCCTACCCTTCTGCATTCCCACCGCACTTAACCCATAGTAGGGACACGTACGTTCAGGCTCCTCTCGCTTGGCCGCTTCAGCAGCACGGCCGCCTTTAATTGCCCTCGCTCTGGGAAAATCAGCCGTATAACCAACCACAGGACGCTTTTGCTACTTCCCCAGGCTTCGCGTTGCAGCTCTACGTCTGTCTACCTCTGCTTCTTGTGTCCGCATCTCGGCATTCGCTGTAGCACTTGTCCCACAGCTTGCACTGCGCATACACGCAACCGATAAGTATGTAGCTCCTCGGATCACCGCCGTACGAATACCGTCGTGCCGGATCAATTGCTCTCGGCACCTCCGACGCGTATCTGCCGACGTCCAGAGAGCCCGCCGCAGCAACGTCTCGCCGGTAGCTGACTGCGCCCGGAGCGCACTTGACGCGCCCCGTATCCTTTCGACGTCGACACGACGGCGTGATGCTGATGCCACGATCAAGCATCTCATCATCTGCGCATTTCTGTGTGTTTCTGCAGTTGGCGTCTTGTTTTCTGTGGAGATACCAACTCTCAGTTCTGACCGGTGGCACTCACGTGTGGTCTTTGGTTTATGGACTGACTCAGGCATGCTGGTTCCGCTTGAGTCCGAAGGCGACTCTGAATCTCAGGCTGTTCGGTTGTATTTCGAGTTGGACGTTCGCTATCATTAATCTGACGACTGACACCTGCGACACCAGCTCAACGTGCAACAGCTGTGCCCAAACGTACATCAGCGACGTGCCCAACGCCGATCCCGCACGACGGGGCTGTTTGTCGGCAAGTTGCGCACGATCATCGGTCCGTGTTCAGGCTGTACGACGCTTAAAGATAACTGCGAACACGGAGGGGTGTGTGTGCACGCCTCGCCGGAGAAGACTTATCATGGCAAGCTCGGTCTATCTGCCACGCTTCCCTACCCGGGCGAGTACTACCTCAAAGGTGGAAGCATCGCGAACCTTCGACTGTGACGCGACGAGACTGCGAGGCGAAAGCTTTCGCCGAGAGATTGTTCGTGCCAACGTAAACGATTATCGATCTGCCCAGCGGTCTGAACCATGTATAACGTTATGGTCTGTACATTGTCTCATCCCTGGTAGTTTAGGCGATATCGATGCGCGGCAGCTTCAAATTTGTTATCGATTCGAGGAATGTCGTTCCTGCAGGAGATGCATATCGTTCCTGCAGATCCTGAGAGATCGCCCTCTACTTCAGAGTAGCAGTCTTTGCGGTGAGATGCTGGACTTCCTTCATTGATCACCTCCGAGAACATAGCATACACGTATGTAGAACCGTGACCAAATGATAGCGCCAATGCACGTTATGTACTGTATGTAGGGTTTGAATCAGCAGGATGAACACGGCAGAGGTAACAGCCACAACGGTGCTAAGATTATAACGAAATACAGACGACTGAGTCCAGACCGCAAGTGTCGCACACCAACATCTCGTAGAATATCACGGGGAAAACGATGCTGTAGGAAAGAAACAATTAGAAACGGATAAAGAAAGCTCATCGCTCAAGCTTGCCAGCTACGCCCGCCGCCTCGTCCCTCGCCTGCCCCAGCTGCGGGTCAATGCCCACCACGCCGTTCCGTTGGTCTGATTGCGCAGAGCCTGCTGATAAATGTGGGTCCAGGGACTCCGCGGATGGGCCTGGAGGACCGACGGACGCGGAGACGGACGCAGACGAAGACGGCGCCGTCCCAGGCTGCTGCTGTTGCTGTGCGTCGGGGTCGACTATGGCAGAGCGGAAAGGGGAGGGCGCGACGAGCGGGCGATGAAAGCGTGCGCGGAAGTCGTTCGGCGGTGCCTGCGAGGGGTCGTGCACGTACGGGTGCGTCACGCCATGGTCGTTCATCTGGTACGGCGCGTTCGGGTCGTGCATGGCAGACCCGTCTGGCGCTTTCTGAGCGTTCCCGGGATGGTGCGCGAAGGCATGCATCCGACGCTGGGTACAGGGTCAGCGGTTAGCGTATGGGGGTGCAGCGGGTGCTAACCTGTTGGTCCCAGTGGTCCCAAGCCTGCGCGATGATGGGCTCCAATGAGGCCAACTCCTCGTTGGTCATATTGAGTGTCCGCAGGAGATGCTGCTTGAGCAGCGGTGCGCAGGAAAAGGAGAGGAGGAGAGTCGAGGCGAAGGTCTGGCCACCGAGGGGCTGGCCCTGGGGAAAGGGTGGTTCGTGCATGGGATGCGTATGTGGCGGTTGGTGAGGTGGCATTTCGTGAGGCATGACAGGCTGATATTGTCCGTCCGCGTTCATGCGGTACTGCACCTCCTCCATGCCCGGCAGAATTTCGTTCCCCATATCCAGCCCCAACTCCCGCAACTTCCGCGCCTTCACCAAAGCGCGGTGCTTCCTTTGCCGCTCTCGCGCTGCAGCACGAACCCTATCCCGCTTGGCAAGTTCTTCCATGCTGAATTCGTCGCCCTTGTAGACATCCGAGATGGACTGAGGGTCGGGTATCGGCTGCTCGACCTGGGGCGCACCGGCCTGGACCTGAGACAAAGCAAGAATATTATTTAGCCCCGCCTGGCGGTCGCGCTCGCGCTTCCGACGCTGTCGCTCCGCTGCTTTCTCGCGCTTGTGTCTCTGGCTGGGAGTCTCGTTCTCGCGGGAACGCTTGCGGGACGAGGAGGCGGTGGGGGGGATATTGTTAGGGTCGTGATGGTGGACGTTCATGTCCATGGTGGAAAAAATTTGATTGTATATATTGCGAGGATGTATATCCCGAGAGTGCTCGCCGGATCGCGTTACACTTGTAGCCGTTTCTGTGCTGGGTGCGGGTAGGCCAGTGACAATTCGTGACGAGAGAGTGACAAACAGCAGCCAAACCCCCTGTCACGGCCTCTTATATACCCTCGGTGGCGTGGGAATATCGCTAACTCTCCAACAGTCTCCGACTTCCTCTCCGCCACACCGTGACCCATCCTTCCTTCGACAGCATCCAGGTAATCCGCAGGTAAATCATGTCCTCGTATTCTTCAGGGCATTACAGAAGTTCAGAATGTGCTCCTCAAGCTAGCAATCGGTCAAATGGCGTCTCACATAGGCCGGATCGCCAGGTTGACTCTTTTCTCCGGCCCAAATTGTTCCCTTTGCGACGTGTGTTCCTATTTTCGTAACACAATAACCTCATGCTGACTGCGGCCTTTCGACAGGTAGCGAAGGCGGAGCTCGCCAAGGTCAGACAACAGCGCCCGTTCGAGCTCGAGACGATCAATATCCAGGACAAAGGGCAGGAGCGCTGGAAGCGCAAATACGTATACTGGATTCCCGCATTGCACCTCGACGGCAAGGAAGTCGCGAAAGGTCGCTGGGACGCACAGACCGTTATCCAAGCGCTCGATGCGTGGAAGCAGTCCCAATGCGGGGAAGAAGACACGAAGAACGGCTGAGCCCGGACGTTCCTCGGGCTCCTCTCTACGTGGATACACAGATTTCCCAGGATATAGGCCCCCCAAATACTATTCCCTTATATTATCGCTATTCTGAGAAAATCCTCGGTCTGGACGAAGACGCGGATTTGCCATCTGTTGGCGAATTGCGCTACTGCTTCAACTGTGGATCTCCCGAACATACGGTCTCAGCGTGTCACGAACCATCTGAACTAGCCCTGATATCTCTCAGCCGGCAGATGTTTTTCTTCTACAAAGGAGGGCGTCCCGAGCCCTTCCGTCGCATCCACGAAGTCGCCGAATGGAAACGCCAACGGATAGATTGGTTAGCAACATTTCATCCTGGATATGTTAGTGGTACTCTTTTACGGGATGCTCTGGGGCTACAGGATGGCGATTTCGGAGAGAACGTCGAGTGGCTGTGGAACATGGCTTACTGGGGTTATCCCAAGGGCTGGGTCAGCGACGTCGATCCGCGGGAGCGAGTCTGGAAACGCATCTCAGAGCAGGTGACGGATACTCTGGAGAACACTGAAGACGAGCATCTCTCATTGATCATTCACGGTGACGGCGAGGAAGAGCATGTCTTGCTTCCTCAACAGAACTCTTTTGTCAAAGGTCTTTCTCCGGAAGAAGGCGACAATGACTGTGACCTGGAAGACTGTGACCTGGAAAACCGTGATCTGGAAATATCTGTCTCAGACCCTCCTAGGGCAACAATAGTGCGGCGCTGGGCCATGTACCCGGACACTTACTTTCAATCATCGCTGCTACCTGTTTACAATGGTCACAAGCTTTCTCGAAGAGAACATGTCTTCCTTGGACCTACGCCGACTTACTTTGCAAGTAGTCGAGGCAGCATCGCGCAGCAAGCTCAGAGTGCATCCTGCAGTCTTCCCGCTGCATCTAATCTCTCTCCTTTTGTGCATATACTGCCGCCTCCTTCCCCGAGCTCTACGCAATCCCTTCAGAATACCGTGCAGACTGATTACGGAGGAGAGGCTGACATGGACCTATCTGACTAATCTAAGTACTGACACTCTGTAATTCGCTCACTGTGCTCGTTCTCCAAATTGATATATATTCTCCAGCCTCAGGCGATAAAAGAATGTATTAATGTTCTAGCAGTGCGTCTTCCCGCTCGTTTCTAAATTACATTAACCGTCGTGTAATGCAGATAATACAGGCGACTGGGCCGCGTCGAGTTAGTGCTACATCGAGAAACAGGCGTAGGCGAGCAGCGTGAGGTCCAAGACCGGCATAAGCGAACGTTGGCGGGGGTCATATATCGTACACGAGTGGCGCGCGCTCTCAAAGCGCGGTATTACTCGACTTGAAGATCGACTTTGTTAGGACAGGGTAATGCGGAGCATCGTACGTCGTCTGTGGTGTGTTCGGGTAATGCGAAGATTCGTCCTCCGATGCTTCGGAGCGTGCGTCGTCTGACTGTACGGAGTGGTGGGATGGCGGGTGTTGGTTGCGGGGAGCAGGGGCATAGCGGGACATGCTCTCGAGGGGCCTGCTGATCACGTAGCCTATACGACACGTAGGTCAATCACCTCACTTCTCATCTTTCAGAAGGAAAACTCACCGTTATGAGCCGCCGCCTTCTCGCCTTGCCTCCCGAAGCCATACCCTCTCTTCTCTGGGTCCTCCGTCGTCTCTGTGGTCCTACCTGTCTTGCCGAACAAGTTTGACACGAACGTCGACGAGGGTCGCGTGAACTTCGGAGCGAGTTCAAGGGTCCTCGGGAGGACGCCCTTACGCTCATTGCGCCACTCGGTGATAGAGCGCTTCCACTTGGCCTTCTCGCGGAAGATGAGGCCTGCGAGGATGTTAACGCATCCAAGCGCAAAGAGGAAGAACGCGGCGACAAGGGTGAAGTCGTCGACGTGATGAGAGAGGATCGCCGCGCCGAGGAGGCACTGGAAGGTACCAATGGACCCGAGCCCAAAGGAGCGCCCGAGCACGGGGAAGAACCTTTCGAAGAACGCTGCGGGCCACCCGATCTCGGACATTATAAGCACGATCACCTCGAATATGATGAGGAGCCGGTTGAGGATCGCCCAAAAGATGCCCGCGGGCTGGTTTGGCACGTCGCTACCTCTGTGGCCATGGCTATGTCAGCGCGTTTCTCATACGTGGTGGCCAGGATACGCACGGTACGTAGTCACAATCCGGTACTTGGTCTGCGGGGAGCGCCATGAAGCGGTTCACGGCCTCCACGTCGATGACGATGACGAAGATGCTGCTGGCAAATACCAGTAACAAGGAGACAATACTGAGGATGCGGACTACATTGAGGCCAATAAAGATATCTGACTCGCAAACGCTGTCAGTGGCGATCGCAACCAAGCTGCAACATTACTCACATCCACGAGGAGGCAACATTCTTGAACTGGACCTTGAATATAAAAGAGAAAGAAAGTATGGGTTGTTTCGACGATCTAGCGGTGTCGAGAAACTGGAAGCAAGAGAGAGATGCAACTGGCTTGAAGCAAAGAGGGTGTCCCAGCACCGAATGTGAACGTGGAGGGGAGGGCCTAACCAGGAGGATGTAATCAGTCACAAACCTCGGCCTCAAGGATTTATAGTAAGTGCTGCGGGAAACGGGCATTGTACTGCTGTCACACATCCTTTTGTAGTCAAAATATAGCGAAGCGCAACGCATGCCGCTCTCATTGTTTAGACAATAGGGAGTGTGTGTCAAACGACAATGGCTTCCTGTTTAGGACAGTCGCTTCTCTTACGTAATACAAACAGATCGGTGGCGGTAACCGTGACGAACAAACTGGCAGTTTTCGCATTGCAATTGGCAAGCGGATTGCTATGTGAGTAGCGTCCGCCATAACTACCTTCTGCAAGTGTACCAAGTCGTTGGCCCGGGTGAGCATACCGAGTTTTGTCTGGTGCATGTTGACATCTCGCTTCGCGCTTGTCCGTCATCGATGATTTGTACACGTACAGTCGCTATCGCGAAGTATATGTACACTCCCATGCTTTTGTTACCGACACGATTCCCCGGATACCTATTCACGAGGTCCTCTTCCTGACGACTGTCAGAAAATTGGGCGGTAAATCTCATCAAGTTCCGCTTTGAAGGCAATCTCCACCGCCTGCCGGCGAATATTCCCCTTCGTCGATGTACGCGGAAGGGAATTCGGCGGAACGACGAAGACAAACTTTGTGGAAACAATCTGCTCATGGAGATACCGCTCTGCTTGTGAGTGCTGCGTCCGGCGGAGAATTTCTTCTTTCAGCGCTTCCGCATCAACCGTCCCCCTTCCTTCGACGAAAAGCGCAGGAGAAGGCCGCCCTGTGCCCACCACCACGCAGTCGAAGACGAGCTCCTTGCATGTTGAACGGACTTCGTCTTCGATCGCTTTAGTGTCGCATCTAAGCCCGTTCTCGCTCTTGATCCAGTCGTCTTCCCGTCCACGGAATACATAGCATCCGGGCGACACCTCCTGGAATAAGTCGCGAGTGTGGAAATGACCATCGACATCCCGTAGTGAATAGTGTGGGCAGTCACCAGAATCGGAGAGGACAACGAGTTCCAGAAGAGGCGAGGCATCGAGGGCGTTGGAGGCCCTTATATCACTGACAGGACAGAACCTGTAGGATACGCCTTCCAGTGGTCGCAGGAGGTGAGCGTTGGAATCTCGTCCTCCGATGGACAGTAACATGGATCCCCCGCACTCCGTGGTGCCATACAGATTGCGCAGCACAATGCCATTGCTCAATGCCCACTCTTTATCTTCTTGTGAAAGTGGCAGTCCAGAATAAAGGACCTCGTCCAAACTCTGCAACCTGGCGAGGAACGCTACGTCCTGTCTCGCCCTCCGGAGGTGTATCCCCAGGAAGGTGGAAAACTGCATGAGGCGATTGAGCCCGCAGCGTGTAATCATGTCCACCAACTCGTCGGACGAGAATGCGATCGTCGTTGGCTGAACAAGGCATGCACCATGCTGCATGGCGCCTAGTACCATAAAAGTCTGTCCAATGTGACACATGCTTCCCCTGGTGAGCTGAACATGAGCTTGTATTCACCGGCATATTATAGATACATAGCTCACATCCAGGCGGTAACATCCTGCTTCCTCGGGTCGTATGTTATGCCACCTTGTTTCGTTTTCGCGATGAGTGCATCCAGCCACCGATAGCTGCATGGGACGAGTTTCGGTCTTCTCGAGCTCGACCCAGATGTATGGAAGATCATGGCAATATCCTCGGCTGCCGAAGCCTTGTGTACGGGAGGTAATGCGATATCATCCACGTCCATGACCATGGCGTGTATATCTCGAACGGCGATATGCACTGGTATTGGGCAATTGGTTGACATAGACGCGAACGAGGGATCAATAATGAGCGCATGCGCATTGGTCTGGGACAGCAGCTCGTATGCGGCTCCAGGATTGGGTAACAGAAGGGATAAAGCCTGCGGAACAAAACCGGCCCTGGCAACTCCAAAAATGTGAAGGACATCGGTGTATTCTGTACCACCAACCCTACCACAGGCACCGCTTCAGTAAGTGGTCGTTCAATGCGCGAGGATACATTTGACGTACCATAGTCCAACAACAGAACGCAGGGGGGTGGCACTTTCATTCAGAGTGCGAAGCCAGTATCGAGCAGCGAGCTCAACGTCTTGCAGAAACTGCGGGAACGTGATGGTGTACCAATCTCTTTTGCCGATTCCCTCAGCGTGTACGGGCTGCCGTGGCACCATGAAGATTGGGCGGGAGGCATACCGAGCTGAGCTCTCTTCAAGCAAGGTGAGATGGGTGTGCAGGGGGCCCATCGTGGAATATCTGGACGAGCCTACAAGCTATGTGCATGTCCTTTATGTGCACTACGGCGGGGAACTTTCGGGGAATTCGATCGCCACGTTCATAGCCAGGAGCGGCGTTTATTTTTTGTTGACTGCTGGATGGTACCTCGGCTGCGACGGGGCGCCTTGCCAATCTGTCAATCCAAACCACATGGGCTGAGAACTTGCTAAGAACTGAAGTTCAGGTCGTGATAGGGTGAGAACCTGGTCATCTGGTTTGAGTCTATCCAACTGCCAGCGTGGCGCTGCGACGCACGGAGATCTAAAACATGACCGAGACATACGGTCTCATTGGGTGCCACCATGCTAGCAAGACAGACAGACCGGAATATCGAGGGAGGTACGTAGAAGGCCCTCACCCCTGTCCCTTAAAAACTCGGGCGGTGAACGTGCCGTGGGCACTGTCGACGTTCTCGTAGTGTGAGCGACGGACGCCTGAGGCTATCCAAAGTCCCAGAAAAAATACTCTATTGTCAGAACATCAAACAATCGTGGATGCTTGCATTAAGGACGAACTACTGCTACTGATACTTCTAACGACGTGCGTATCCGGTCGGGCGTGAACAAATAATTTACATGCGGCGACCTCTATAGATGATGTGCGTGGAGCAGAGCGATTAAATGCGATGGGATGTGGCAAAATTGGTATGAAGGGTCCAGGGGTAATAAATTCCTGAAAGGACAGCAGTTGCGAGGATGTCTACGCTGCACGACTTGAGCGCGCCCGGATGGCTTTGCCGTATCGGTAGAAGAGGAAGGGGATCGGAATCATTGCTAGTGAGATGAAGCCCCAGACGGAGGCTGCCCAGCCGTTGCCGAGGTTGTGGTACATCGCCGTGATAAACAACGGCATGGCAGCGCCAGAGCCTGAACGAATGACGGTCTTGGCCGCGAGCGCGGACGCGACGTAGCCCGGGAAGGCGTCGATAAGATATGCGTTTGCGGAGAAGTAGATGATAACCACTACAAAGAAACCATGAGAATTGACAAGGGCATCGCTGAAAGACGAGATACGCACTGCCAAAGCCAAAGGGAATACCCGAGATACATGGCCCGACCCAGTTACCACCTCCGGGCATCACAACTGGGGGAGCCGTCCATCCAAAGATGAACAGAGATACGGGCACGAACCAACAACCAATGAGCATGCCAACCAGTCGATCCTCTGGATCAGCGTGTCCCCCTTTCGCTTCAGCACGCACGCGATAGTTTGCCTCAACGAACGGCATGGCGACGAGCGCCAGTAAGAGGCCGATAATCACAGATAAGAAGGTGAGACCAGTTAGTCCGTTGTCGAAGTTGTATCCGCCCCGTCCAAATACAACAGGGAAACTGAAGAAGAACGCATACTATAAAATACACGGGAGTGAGATGATGATATCACTCAGCCAAAGATAGCCAGTGCCGCTTACAAGGAGACCGTAAATGAGGGCTATGTAAAGGGACATTAGCAGAAGAATGGGCTCCGTCACGAGCATCTCTAAAACATAGTCGTCAACACGCGATGGACCAGCAAGGCGATATATATAACTTACGGAATGGGCGCAAAAGCGTCTCAGTGAGCATTTCCGAGAACGAGGCCCTGAACAGTTCTTGCTCAGTGGTGATGTTGGGATCTCCTGTCTCTTCACGCAGACGTATGGCACGCTTGTGCAGAATAGCAGGGGCAAACGTCTCAGGTATCGTCGCAATGAAGATTGCAGTAACACCACAGAAGATCATGTTCACCTTCGATATTGATCAGTCAAAGGAGGACACGAGAAATTACGCAGCATACCCAGAATAACCACCGCCAACCAATAGTCTCACCCACAAAGCCACCGACGACTGGACCAAGAACGGGTCCACCGTACGGGGCTGCAGCGAACAGAGCAATCGCAAAACCACGCTCATTGTTGTCCCAGATGTCCGAGATTGTACCACCTGCCAGTGTGAGAGGTGAGGAGGCAAAGATGCCGCAGAGGAAACGACAGATGAGCAAGGTTTGGATATTCTTTGCGACAGCACATGGAATGTTGAAGACTACGCGTCGCGCGATTAGGTCATCCAGATAAATAGGAGACGTAGATACTCACTGACGTAAAGAATACTCGGGATCACCCAGATTGGTCTACGCCCCAGCATTTCGCTCTAAGGGCGCGTCAGTTATCACATAGCCGAATGCGAGAGAACAAGTGACTCACAAGAGGCGACCATGCCAGAGGACCAAGACCAAAGCCGCAGACCATAAGAGAAACGCTCAATGCGATGACGACTTCTCCTACATGGAACTCTTTCTCGAGTCCATCAAAATCGCCTGTAACGACAGCACTCCCGAACGCAGCAGCAACGACAGACATTGCACAGACGGCAGTAAGGTCTATACACGAGCGTTCAGTACGACAAAGAACAATCGACAACCGGAAGGAGACGTACACCAACGATAGGCTTTCGACCAGTTCCGTGGATCCTCAGGATCGTTCTTCAACCACGTCACCAATCTCACGTCGCGAAGAGTTGCAGCTTTCTCCGGATCGCGCAGCGCATCAGGGATAACAGATAGGTGGGTAGGAATGGGACGTAGAGCAAGATCAGCCTGGACATAACCCGTTCGCGAAGTAGTACGATATTCGTCAGTGAATCCACCCCGAGTGAGATTAGTGGTCTCGTATGGAAAACTCAGATCCGCACGACGGGCATCATGCGAAGCCGGGATGAAATTTGGGAGATCAATAGTGTCTTCGGAATGTACGGAAACGCTGTCGCGAGGGTGTTCACCCGACTTGACCGACTGAGCGTCGGACTCGGGCACAGCGATGGTGGCGGTCTCGCTCTGTGGAGGTTGTGTCATGATGCGCCGCGTTGAGAACCAGAGAAACTAGGAAAATGAGAAAGGAAAAGAAGAAACTGAGAAAGGAAACGATTCTGCATTTTTCAGGCTCTGGTCCTATTATATAGGAGCGGAGAAAGCGGGATGTGCAGTCGGGAGTGGTGGCGCAGCAATTACAGATGTCGGGATAACGGATGGGCTGGCCATGGCGTGTAAAAGGTTAACATACCAAATGGAGACAGAAAACAGCGTTGGACACCGATGTAATCCGAGGTCAACAAGGGTAACGAACGGCTTGCTACGCTTGTTGAGCTCGGAGTGCTCGATGCGAGCCTCGGAGCAGCTTAAGCGCCCATCGGAGCGCCCACAAGGGCCCTCGGAGCGGAACAAGACTCCGGGACTTTGCGATCACTGCACGTTCATCCAAAAGCGGTCATCGTGGTTCGCCTATCGTTTCCGATGCCCTCCGAAAGTCTCGGACTCCATCAATAACTGACGAACCAGAACGTTCCTCATCCACCAGAAGACGTATTTCCGGCCACAGATATCGAGAGATAGTTGCACGGTCGTCGCAATATCGGGAGAAGACGGCAATTGAGCTAGTTCGAGTCATGCTGGAGCGTCCGTTCGCAATACGAGTAATCGTACCGCGATAACGTCGATGATTCTGAAAGATAGTGGAGCCAGGGAAGTAGTCTTTTAGATCGCAAAAATGTCGCGGTACAGTAGAGGATGTAGCAGCAGAACTATCGCACTGTGCGCAGTTACAGAGATTTCCGAGTGATAAGCAACTTCCAAATCCAAGCTGATGTCCAAATCCAGACGATGAGCTATCGATACCGGCAATGAATGGGATATTCGAGGTGCACGACACAGACACGCTCCAAATCAAATTGCAAGAAGCCACAAAATTCTCATGCATACAGCAGCGGGAGGGACAGAGGAATGCGTTCTCCCGAGACGTAACGGAAGATAACCATCACAGGTTTAGACCGTTTGGGATCGGGACGAAGCCTACGGTTGGTCGAAGCTTTCCAAAAAGGATAATCGCTAAGCAGGAGGTTCTAGATGCGCGAATGAAAGCTGGCGCATCACTTCCTTCCAACCGTCCCAAGCTGCCTGTGATGTCTGTGTGGCTCAACAAAGTATACAGCTCATATGGCACAGTACCGAAGGATAAACCGTTCCCTCACCTCTGCTTTCCTCTTGCTACTGCATCACAGCCTCAGCCTTCCGATTGAAAGAGATTGGTCCTCAGGCTGGTGGCCGAACAACAGTGGATGGCCCAAGTCGCGCAATGACCACGTGAACTGTCTTCTCGCAAGCCGAGTGCACTTCGTTACCTAATACGCTATTCCCAGGATGCCTGAATGTTCAGAGGCATCTGCCAGTGCAGTTCTTGCTCCACTCTCACGGGCATGGGAGGTCAAAACAAGCCCTGTATCATCACTGTGTTTGTTGGCCGTTCTCGTTCTTGTATGGTAAGTATGTTCCCGGTGTCCACAAAGATGGACACATCTATGTGACTCTCGTCTGATACATTTGAACTCTGTCGAATGATCTGTGATTGTTGTATGAGCATCACACTTGGTTTGATAAATAGCCTGCTGTGCGGTGCAGGCGCAACGTCTTCGGTATGTTTGCGTTTGTCTCCACTCTCTCATACTCCCCAGCAGAAATCGTGTGAGGACGAAGTATACCAGTCATCGGCCCTTCCACGATGCTTTGTTCCGCTGTCGTTTGTTCTGTTCCGATAACCGTAAATTCTGGTTATAATTTTTGAGGTGGAACATTCGCGACTTGATATATCGCCGCGAAAGTGGGATCACGACTGATTGTTGTCATGTTAGAACGCTTTGGTTACTGCACAATCCCGAGCCTGAGACGGGAAACATTTACTCTGTGGGCATATGTGAGTTGCTATCTTCTGCTCTAGTGGTCTTGTGCAAGGCCTGTACCCCAGCATTCCACTTCCGAACAGAAATTAACAGTGGAACAGCTTATGCCGCTATCTGTCCAGTCACAGCCAGTCTTCTCAGGCGCTGTGCAGCCCAGCCTTTGAGAGCTTGTGCCGTAGGCTCAGAAAATCCAAGTCTCGCTCGTGTCACTCACCTTCCACTCTACGCACAACTCACCAAACCTCGCGCGCCGCATCTTAGCCACGTCGACTCCTGCCATTCTGTACAATATACTCCTCGGCCTCTCTCGGCCTCGTCAAGGGCAATGACAGGTTTGTCAACCGCGTCATCCCCTTCTTCAAGGCAAGCCCTCTCGTGATCGATATGATAACAAGTTCGGCAGATGTCTCGTGCATATGCGCTGCCAAGTACACGAGAGAGAGATGATACTCGCCACCGGCAACGTCTCCAGGCCTGTCAATGACGCTTTCTGCTATCCCGAGCATTGGCTCGCCTTTGGAGAGTAATACGAAATTAACAACGAGCCAGTTCCTTCTGCCACTGCTTCATTCCGTCGTCGGCCACATTCTCGGAAACGTGACCCTGATACTATGCTCCTTGAGCATACGGAAGGGACGACTGCCGAGGTCGTGGACTCACACAGCCTCTCGGAGATGGTTGTGTTCACTGTGGAGACGAGTTCGCTTCTCGATCCAAAAGCTTCCTGTCGTCGCATCTGCGGCATCTTGAATGTGAGCTAGATGTCACCAGCAAGCACAAATATTGGAATGCAGGCTTCCTTACCAGTATGTTATCCGATCTTTGTTTGAACTTTGCAGTAACTCTCTCTGGCTACTATATTTGCATTGTAAGCAAATAGTTATCTCGGAAATTCGCCCACAAACGGACGATTGATTGTCGACCGACTCACGCGACTCGCTGAAGATTCTTGTATACATGACAAAACTTGCACAGCGGTGTCGTATGCCTTCTTCATCTTACGACCATTTCCATGGCGTGGATTCGCCGATGCAATCAGGTTATGTTTTTCCTACACAAATGTGTTTCCTTGGTGTTATGACAACGAGATATTGCGATACAGGAACAAATTTCATCAGCAGAACAAACGGTGCCATTATTTGATTCGGGTTGAGCCTAAGGGGAAAATTGACGATTACGAGCCAGTGTTTCAAGCTTGACCGGATAATTGGATTTCGTATACCCATGTACCGATTGAGACTTCCCTGGAAGATTCTACAGCTCCTGCAGCCAAGCCTTGAGCTGCACCAACGAAAGTTGTCTACAGGCATTGTCTGCGTGCCTCGTGGATCTTGTCAAAAGGAGTCAGCACAGGCCAATGCAAATACTTGGACTTGCGAGGTTTATTCGCATAACATAATAGGTGCGGGAGGCTGCCTAACCCGGATATCTCAGTTGCGAGAGTGAACGAGGGATGCCAGCGGCACTCGAGGTCGCAGATGTGACGACGGGATCTCAGTCACGGTATAGGAAGTTCCGCGACGCAGAATCGCGATATGTCATACCTCGCGTGTGAAGGACACGCTCTTGACGATGTTACCGTCTACTTGTGCATAGGGTCGATGGATTTGTCGCCAACCACGAGAAAAGGTGGCTACATCTGTTTTCCTCTTTGCCTATTCTTCAAAGATCAGCATATCGCGGTTACAGCCTAGCCTTAATGCACCTCACACGACTGTCAGGTGGTCCACCATAAGAGGTAGCGAGCTCCATAGAGTATCACCAGAAATCAGACGGTGGAACTTCCCGGAGGACATTAAGAGCTGCAGATAGTTGATGATATATAGGGACAGTGGAGCCGATCATATCGATCAAGCTTTCAAATTTCAAGCTTTCATCCTCGGCCGCTTTTTCTGACTCATCTCGAAACTCTCGATGACCTGATGCAGCGCACCTTCAGAAGCTGGGACGACTGACACCTAATTTAAATTAGGCAGAAGGGAGGCTACAGTCTATTCCGGCACGCGCCAATCAGTACTACAATGCTGACTCAGCATGATTTCGTACATATAACACCACAGTTGCATCCAACCATCCACATCTCGACTGCAAAGCGTTGTCGGTCGCGTCAGAGTTCATCCTGACTACGGCGGGAAAATTCACACCCAGATCACTGCCCTCGACATGTCGGAGACACCAACTTCGCAGAGTCGCACCGGGCAAGTTTCAGGCGCCGAGAGCTGTGGCGTAGAGAATAGTGAGAAATCATCCGTGCTGCTCATATTTCCTCGTCACTGATATGCCCATTCGAGATGACACCGCTGTATCCCGCAAAGCCTGGAACGACGAGGAGTTTTTTGCGAAGATCGCATACTTCCGCGAAGAAGCGTTGGAAACCCACTTGAATAAGTTTCGTGTTTGGAAGACCCTCAACCGAGACTATCTCCCACTTTTCCGGCAGGACGTGCACGTATGGTATGGTGATGCGCCTTACTACGTCCGCATTGTCGACGTCCCGGGGGCACTCTCCGGAGACATACTCCGTTATAAGGCCGACCTGCCGCTGTACGATTGCCATCTCGAGATCGTCGGCGACACCGTTCGAGAGATCGACTTCAAGCCGTATCCTCCAGAGGAGCTTGAGGAGGAGGAGAGTTCCAACGTTCTCGAGGGCGACGCGCAGGAGCTCTTCGCGACCCTCCCGCTTGTCACCTTTGACGTTGACAAGCATTTCGCTAAGCCGGCGAGGACGCGGCGCGAGATCGAGGTTCTACAAATGTGCAAGGGTGCGCCGCACTTTGTGCAGCTTCTGGGACGGCTGGAAGATAACAAGCTTGTATTTCCCAAATACCCATATGACCTCCTCCTTGCCGCGATGGGCCATAAATCTATCGACGCGATACGCAAGTGGATGCTCGACATCATCGATGGTATCGCATTCCTCCACGCGAGGGGCGTGACATATCGGGACTTCATGCCGCGTAACTTCCTGTACGGAGATCCCGTCGTCATCTGCGACCTGGAGTGCCAGCTCGCATCCCGTATATGCAAGGCGCCAGAGGTGTTGGCCTGGGACGATCCTCCGGATACCGTGTTCGCTCCCGCGAGTGACATATATGGGTTAGGCATCCTCCTCCAGCTGTTGTGCTACGCGAATAATCCTCGCAGCCCGTATGTCCATTGGCCTGTGCTACCGCCTTTTGACAAGATCTACGAGGCTTGCACGCAGACGAGGCCTGAGGACCGGCCTTCGTTGGTGCAGGTAAAGACTTGGCTGCACGAGGTTTAGGTGACAATCGATGCTCCTTTTGTTTTAGGCTAAAGATGTGCAGAGCTCCTACCGTTCCGAATTTTGTATCCCTCCTCGAGTCTTGACGCGTGTATGTACAAATCGTTACCTTGATGGTGCCGGCAGATCTAGTATGCTCGTTCTACGCACATACGCGTTTTGCTGCATTGGTTGCCACCGAACGGAAGGCGGCTGGTGACTGTAACGCGGAGGTATTACCTATGGTGGCTACAATATATGCAAGAGATGTGCTGGCGCGCATCGAGTGCAAAATCAGAGTGTCACGCATATAAGCGGGGAACGACATTCGCAGACGCTACTATTGACCACATTCAAACGTACTGCGGCGACAAATCTACAACACACAACTTGAACTTTGTATCGACTTCAAACACACTAACAAGTACAAGACAGACGTATTCACGAAGCAACGAAGATATTGCATACCTCTATACTCATGGGAACTGCAGCTAGGTGTGCGAGATCACGAACACCGCTACGAAACCACAGCGGTCAGATCCTAGGCTGCCGTGAGCAAGACATGTCAGGCTTACCATTTTATTACAGAGGGCGATGAGACCTCGTATCCTTGTGTGCGGAACCAGTTCGAGTAATGCGAGTATCACACTCGATCACGCATGCCATGGTGACAGGATCCTTTGCATCCGGAAGCCACGCAGTCGGGACAGCGTCCTTCGTGTTGCCTATGCCAACATCAATGGCCTCGACGATGTTCTTCCTCCCTTCAGTGTGCTCCAGGAGCATCATACCAGGCGTGACGTTGCCGGCGTAGTAGAGCCCGAGGACAGCGGTCATGTCGCCAACGAGCGACCTGAACTCGACAAACAGAGCCGCAGGAGGAACCTCGGTGTGCTCCGTGTTAAACTCGTATGCCTCTCCCGTGGCGAGCCAGCGCTCAGGATAGCACGAGGCATCCTTGACGGGCTCGGATACATTTCCCGATGCAACCATCTTCTCTCCATCCTCAAGAGAGCAGTGGGCATGCACGAGGTAGAGGCCGAACTTGTTGTCGTATTTGGCCAAAAGAGGCCCAACTTTGGCGAAGATGTTAGCACGGTCAACGAACTTGTCATCGGCCTCGCCGAGGGTGGGGAGATTGTTGTACAATGTAGCGAGTGTCGACATCGGAAGGGTACGTGCAGCAAGAAAAACTTCAAGTGTGTTTGAGCGATGCAGTGAACTGGGGCCTCCTAGCACGCCTGGAACAGCATTTTATATCTTTCATCGTGGTACGTATACGGCATCATGGCCGGGATTGAAGATCCACTGTCCTGGAACTTCGGATGCTGAGGCGTAGCCCTCGCGAAAAATGCTGACAACCACCACAGACGCCCACAAATACGAGTCAGACAGATCGCGCTAGTGTGCAACAAAGAATTTGATATATTGCGACCGTAGACCGATAACAATCAGCCACACTCTCTTCCGAGCGGCGATGGGTCGATAGAACCCTGATGGGAATTATTTTTTGATTGGCCTACTTCTGCTGAGGTGGTGCAACATTCGGCAACATGATTTAGAGGCTCCCGACTGAGAGTAGATGACTCGGGCTGGGAGAACTAGTTGCGGTTCTTGCGGGAATCATCTGATAGAATAGTTCAGGACGCAATATGACTGACGATGGCTTTGTCAAATACCTGCCTGCTTACGATGCTTTGCACGTTCTGCAAGAGATCAGTTGCAGGATCACCGGCGGACGAATGGACACAGCATAGTCAGTGTCAGGGGACAACATCCGAATAAATTCCCTTCTGTCAGAAGGAAACACAATGGCCAAGCATGTCCTTCGTCAGCGGTGAGTCGAAATAATGGGACTGGGCTGCGAATATCCCACCGAAATGGTTGCGACAAGATAGTCTGCTAGCAGTCATGACAAGAGATGTAACTGAAGACTCGCTTAGCCGAGAGGTCTGTTCGATGCAGCTGTAGCGCCAAAGTCCAGATCTACTCCGTCTTCCGCAGAGTGACCTGAAGACCAACAGAAGTTCTAGAAATTAGGCAGATGCGCCAGTTGGTTCTCTACCCGGAGGAATGGAACAACCGCAAGACCAGCCCGTTCACGGACGTTCGATATTGCGCACAGATTAAAAAAGCGCATCCTGACAGCGGACAAGGCCCATCATGATGATCAGTACACAGTGTCTCTCAGAAGAGAAATGTGTGTCTTGGAGAACCGGAGCCGCGTGGATGCACGGGGGTTGGATATCTTACTACAAATTTTGTGATTCGACGATCTGGGTTTCACGCGAAAACGGCGCCAGTGGCTGCAAACAGCCTGCGCCCATAGCCCTGAGTCGCAAGTTCTGAGCACAGCACGGTGGGCGGTGCAAGCGCTGAGATCTGAGAGAAGTAGCCTATAGCTAGAGGTTCCAGAAGTGCTGAAATTCAAACGACACTCGGACGTCAGACACGGATATCCGAGGCACGAAGGTTGAAGCAGAGTGGCTACAACTGCCTTTGGGAGACTAACTCGGACTGAGAACAGAGAGAGTCGTCGGTTCGAATTCATCGGATGAATTCGAACCGACGACTCGCTATTTCGCCTCGTGACGCGTGACTACGAAACGGAGAATACGCGTGACCGGTGACCCGAGTGGCAAACCATTTCACCGTCAGTTGGATAATCGAAGGCCAGTTCACGTCTCTACTGCCCAAGGATGCACTTGGCCATTGTGTTTTCTTATGGCGAAGGGGAATCGATTCCGAAATTTCTCTTGATGGCTGACTATGGCCATTCATCCACCGGTGACTGCAACTGATCTGTTATCATAAGTGAGCAGGTATTTGACAAAGTCGTCATCTGTCATATTATGTCCTGAACGAATCCCGTATCCTCCCAGCTCGAGTCATCCATTCTCAGTCAAGAGTGTGATCATGATGCCTCTGAATCACTGTGCCAAATATTCTCGATATGCACCTATTTGCGCCACCTCAGCTGGCTAGTCGAGTCTTCAGTTACATCTCTTGTCATGACTGCTAGCAGACTATCTTGTCGCAACCATTTCGGTGGGATATTCGCAGACCAGTCCCGTTATTTCGACTCACCGCTGACGAAGGACATGCTTGGCCATTGTGTTTCCTTCTGACAGAAGGGAATTTATTCGGATGTTGTCTCCTGACACTGACTATGCTATGTCCATTCATCCGCCGGTGATCCTGCAACTGATCTCTTGCAGAATGTGCTAAGCATCGTAAGCAGGCAGGTATTTGACAAAGCCATCGTCAGTCATATTGCGTCCTGAACTATTCTATCAGATGATTCCCGCAAGAACCGCAACTAGTTCTCCCAGCCCGAGTCATCTACTCTCAGTCGGGAGCCTCTAAATCATGTTGCCGAATGTTGCGCCACTTCAGCGGAAGTTGGCCAATCAAAAAATAACTTCCATCAGGGCTCTATCGACCCATCGCCGCTCGGAAGAGAGTGTGGCTGATTGTTATCGGTCTACGGTCGCAATATATCAAATTCTTTGTTGCACACTAGCGCGATCTGTCTGACTCGTATTTGTGGGCGTCTGTGGTGGTTGTCAGCATTTTTCGCGAGGGCTACGCCTCAGCATCCGAAGTTCCAGGACAGTGAATATTCACCTGGGCGGCACGAGGGACGTTGTCCCGACTGGGCGGCCTCCGGATGCAAAGTATCCTGCCACCATGTCATGCATATGCACAATTGTGTGTGATAGTCATGCTATGCGAAACAATGCGAAACACAAGGGAACGAGGTCTCATAGCGTTCGGAAGTAATATGGTAAGCTTCACTTTTCTTGCTCACGGCAGCGTATGATCTGACCGTTGTGGTTTCAAAATTCTGCTTGTGCTCTCGCACATGCACGCTATCTCCCAGTTCCCATATGCAGCGATTTGCGGTGTCTTCGTTTTGTCTTCGTTGCTTCGTGATTACGTCTCTATCTCCTACTTGCTTGTGTATTTGCCAACTGAAGAGTCGATACAAACTTCAAATTGTACGTTGTAGATTTGTCTCCGCGTTACGTTTGAATGTGATCGATAGCGTTTGCGAATGTCCCGCCCCCTGCTTATAAGTACGCGTGCATGAACCTGACAGTCTGACTTTGTACTCGATGCTTGCCAGCATTTACCATCAACGTGAATCACGCTTTGTACATACAATTGTCGAGACTCGAGGAGCAATACAAAATTTGGAACGGTGAGAGAACTGCTACGTATGCACATCTTTAAGTTATAAAACAAATAGAGGCATCGATTGTCGGCCGCATCACCTAAAGCTCCTGCAACCAAGCCTTAAGCTGCAACAACGAAGGCCGGTCCTCAGGCCTCGTCTGCGTGCAAGCCTCGAAGATCTTGTCAAAAGGCGGTAGCACAGGCCAATGGAAATACGGGCTGCGAGGATTATTCGCGTAGCACAACAACTGGAGGAGGATGCCCAACCCGTAAATATCTGTCGCCGGAGTGAACGCATTATCCGGAGGATCGTCCCAAGCAAACAATTCCGGCGCCCTGCACGATGCGAGCTGGCACTCGAGGTCGCAGGTGATCACGGGATCCCCGTACAGGAAGTTGCGCGGCGCGAAGTCGCGGTATGTCACGCCCCTCGCGTGGAGGAATGCGATACCATCGATGATGTCGAGCATCCACTTGCGTATCGCATCGATAGATTTATTACTGACTGCTGCAAAGACGAGGTCGTAAGGGTGTTTGGGAAATACGAGTCGGTCGTCTTCCAGCCGTCCTAGAAGCTGTACAAAGTGTGGTGAACCCTTGCACATTTGTAGAACCTCGATCTCGCGCCGCGTCCTCGCCGGCTTGGCGAAATGCTTGTCCTCGTCGAAGGTGACAAGCGGGAGGGTCGCGAAGAGCTCCTTCGCGTCGTCCTCGAGAACATTCAAATTCTCCTCGAACTCCTCCGCAGGATATCTCTTGAGTTCGATCTCTCGAACGCTGTTACCGATGATCTCGAGATGGCAGTTGTACCGCGGCAGGTCGGCCTTGTAACGGAGTATGTCTCCGGAGAGCGCGTTCGGGACGTCGACGATGCGGACGTAGTACGGTGCGTCACCGTACCATACGTGTACGTCTTGTTGGAAAAGCGGGAGATAATTCGAACGGAGGGTCTCCCAGAACGGAAACTTGTTGAAGTGGATTTCCAACGCTTCTTCGCGGAACTGCGCGATCTTCGCAAAAAATTCCTTGTCGTTCCAGGTTTTGCCGGAGGCACAGGTATCACCTGGAATGGGTATATCAATGATGAGGAAATACGAACAGCGTGGATAATTTCTCACTGTTCTCTACGCCACAGTTATTGGAACCTAGAGTAGAGATTATGGAAGATGAGATTTGACTTAGCGATGCAGCTGGCAACTTGTCGGACATGGTGTTTGATTGGGGATATTTTTTCTCGTCGAGAAATCAATTCCAAGGGGGGACCTGGACGGGAGAACGCGTTCAAGTCGCTGGTATAAGTTCAACTTGGTCGCTAAATATCCTGGGGGATGAGTCAGCAGCTTCGTGATTTGAGCCGCCATGTTGAATTTGCCAAGCGCTCGAATCCGGAGCGCTCACAGTTACCTGATACCGACGGAGATCGGACTGTAAAGTGCAAGTACTGGTCTGTGTCAGTATCGAGCGGTAGTTGGACCAGAGGTCGCCCTGGCAGGGCGGTCACAACAGGTTAGTGTCATTCTTGAGTCAGCCAACACCCGCAGAAGCCGCATCAGGATGCACAAGATCTGACTCCGGGTCTGGTCATTTTGGCCAGTCAACGCGTAAACAAATCCAGGAAACTCATCCTAGCACGGATCTGTTGCCTGGATAGCAACTGCGTTGTGTGGTCGTGAAGATTCTGATCCGATCGCAATCACGACCACGTGCTATGGGGCGTTGAACTTCTCACTGTCAGCACCTGCCGTGCTCAGAACTTGCAATTCAGGATTATGGGCGCAGGCAGTTTCCAGTCGCGTGCTTGTGCCGTCCTCTCGTGAATCCTTGACCATCGAATTACAGCATTTGTAGTAGGATACCCAATCCCGGTGCACCCACGCAGTCCCAGTTCTCCAGTGACAGCCGCCAGTGCCTATACCGCCCTTCTCTTCTGAATGACGCTGTGTACTGATCATCACAAACGGGGGCACCGATTGTCGACTGCATCACCTAAAGCTCCTGCAACCAAGCCTTAAGCTGCACCAACGAAGGCCGGTCCTCAGGCCTCGTCTGCGTGCAAGCCTCATAGATCTTGTCAAAAGGCGGTAGCACAGGCCAATGGACATACGGGCTTCGAGGATTATTCGCGTAGCACAACAGTTGGAGGAGAATGCCTAACCCATATGTGTCACTCGCGGGAGCGAACACGGTATCCGGAGGATCGTCCCAGGCCAACACCTCTGGCGCCTTGCATATACGGGATGCGAGCTGGCACTCCAGGTCGCAGATGACGACGGGAGCTCCGTACAGGAAGTTACGCGGCACGAAGTCGCGATATGTCACGCCCCTCGCGTGAAGAAATGCGATACCATCGATGATGTCGAGCATCCACTTGCGTATCGCGTCGATAGATTTATGGCTCATCGCAGCGAGCAGGAGGTCATGTGGATATTTGGGAAATACGAGCTGATCGTCTTCGAGCCGTCCCAGAAGCTGTACAAATTGCGGCAAACCCTTGCACATTTGTAGAACCTCGATCTCGCGCCGCGTCCTCGCCGGCTTAGTGAAATGCTTGTCCTCGTCAAAGGTGACAAGCGGGAGGGTCGCGAAGAGCTCCTTCGCGTCGTCCTCAAGAACATTCGGATTCCCTTCCTCCTCAAGCTCCTCTGGAGGATACGGCTTGAAATCGATCTCTCGAACGGTGTCGCCGACGACCTCGAGATGGCAGTCGTACCGCGGCAGATCAGCCTTGTAACGGAGTATGTCTCCGGAGAGTGCACCAGGGACGTCGACGATGCGGACGTAGTATGGCGCGTCACCGTACCATACGTGCACGTCCTGCCGGAAAAGCGGGAGATAGTTGCGGCTGATGGTCTTCCAAACCCGAAATTTATTCAAGTGGATTTCCAATGCTTCTTCGCGAAAGTGCGCGACCTTCGCAAAAAATTCCTCGTCGTTCCAGGCTTTGCGGGAGACAGTGGTATCACCTGGAATGGGCATATCAACGAGGAAATATGAAGAGCATGGATAATTTCTCACTATTCTCTACGCCACAGCTACTGGCGCCTGGACCTAGAGTAGAAATTCTGGGAGAAGAGGTTTGACTCAGCGACGCAGCTGGTAACTTGTTGGACATGGAGTGTGACTGAGGGGTACTTTTCTCGTCGAGATATCAATTCCAGGGGGACCTGGACGAGAGAACGCGTTGAAGCCGCTGGTGTAAGTTCAACTTGGTCGCTACATATCCTGGGGGATGAGTCAGCAGCTTCGTGATTTGAGCCGCTATGTTGAATTCGCCAAGCGCTCGAATCCGGAGCGCTCACGGTTTGGCCTGATATGTACCGATGGAGATCGGACTGTAACTAGTGCACAGTGGTGCTGTTACACTGTACTGGTCTGTGTCAGTATCGAAGGCGTAGCAGCAGAACGCACTGGCAGGGCGGTCACAACAGGTTATTGTCAATCTTGAGCCTGCCTACACGCGATCTGTGCAGAAGCCGCATCAGGATGCACAAGATCTGACTCTAGGTCTGACTTCCACTGGCAGTCGAAGAAAACTGGTCACTTTGGCCTGTACTGACGTTAAAAAATCAGTACACTCTATCGTCCTAGTGAAGACGCACCGAGGCAACGGCCTCGGTAGGAGCTGCGTTATGTTGGCCGTGAAAGCTTTAAAGATTCTGACAACGTCCGATTGCAGTCACGACCACGTGCTACTGGACAAGTTGAACACGACTATCGGGCCACGGCATGGTCTGTGCACGCCTCCTCACCAGAGGCCGTCGAATTTGACCGTTCAACGTTGCAACGGTCACGTCTCTTCCGTCCGAAGGAACTGGTTCTAGTGACATATCCATCATTCCCCATCACAGCTATCTCAGCCACCATTCTGGCTCTCAAGAACCCGAAGCAGCCCTGCTTCTTCACCTTTCATCGATACGCTCGGCTAACCGACTCTGCTCGCAATCTCTCACAGCGTTTCGCCTTTTGACATACCGCAGTTCGTATTTTGTTGTCGAATCTCTCATGCCGAGGGCAAAGGGGCCCGCCTTCTACGCCGTGTCGAAGGGCCGCGTTCCAGGAGTATATCTGACATGGTATATGCCTCGAAGTTAACTCTCCATGAGCCCGTCTACTCATTTGGAGACCCAGGGATGAATGTGAGGCTCAGGTCGTTGGATATCCTGGTGCTAAGCATAAAAAGTTCACCACCGCCGCAGAGGCGGAAGCTTGGGTTGGCCTCCCTGCCTCTGGCTCGGGATCCGCGTCGGGAAGTCGGAACGTCCCTTCGGTGACTACGCACACCGCGCAGGTGATAAAACCACACAGCAAGGTTGACTCTAAAGCCGCACTAGCCCCGTCATCCTCGTCCAAAGTGCCAAGTGCCTCAGACAGCGCTAAGAGCGGGAAGAACAGGATCACGGCTGAGACCCTCAAGGATGAGAGTTTGTGGGACATTGTCTACTCTGACGGGTCATGCAGAGGCAATGGCAAAGCTGGCTCTATCGCTGGTATCGGCGTTTGGTGGGGCAGGAACGATGCAAGGTCTGGCATTGCATTGAATTTCATTGGAGTTTTGATTTTATCGATTATCTAGAAATCTCGCAGAGAGGTGCCCTGGTGTGCAGACGAATAATCGAGCCGAGCTTATAGTACGTACCTCTCTATCGCTTATGTTTTGTATTCGTCTCGCGTTGGCTGGCTGCCCGATGGGTTTTGCATTAGCGTGCGTTTCAGGCGCGAGAAACGTGCGATAACCTTGGTGGATGCGAGATAGGACGCAGGTTTCGCACAATTTTGCCGCTGAGAGACGACCGTAGATTGCCTCGGGTAGCCCTTCCGCATCCATCTACAAAAATTTCCCCGTTATCCTCCGACATCGCTCCTTGTTCTGACTCCATGATTGACTTGTTATCGTGCCAGGCCATCGTGCGCGTCCTCGAGACGGCCCCTCGAAATAAACATCCGCTTTTGATCAAGACAGACTCAAAGTACAGCATCAGCTGTGCGTCCCCCATCCACCCGGTGACCGGATACTCACCTCTTCTGCCAGGCTTCCATGATTGGCTCCCGAATTGGATCCAGAATGGTTTCATAGGGTCTAAAGGCGAGCCAGTGAAGAACGCACCCCTCATCCGCTACATCTCCACGCTTATTGACGAGCGCGGGCTGGCCGGCCAGAAGGTGCGCTTTTCTTCTTGACGTGTCTAACGCGAACAGTGGCGCGGCTAACCAGGGGATGCAGATACACCTTCAGCACGTGCGCGGGCATACTGGGGAAGAGGGGAATGAGGGCGCGGACCGCCTGGCGAACCGTGGTGCGTTGATGCCTGAGGAGCCCGAGCGTGACTGGGAGACACTCGAAGAAGAAGTCTTAAAGCGCTCTCGCGGGAGCGAGCGCGCCGCGCTGGGTGCTGCTGCTGCATCTGCGACGCTGGAGGATTTGGACCTTGAGGTGCGTGGATCCGTGTGTGCATCTGGGCAGTCGGTGAACTCGACTCGTCTTCAATTGTAGGCATACGCAGCGGGCTTGCTCAGCCCGGAGGAGCTAGAGCGTGAGATGATGGAAGAGGGCCTTTGATTGTCGGCGTTCGAACTGGAGAAGTTGATTGAGACTTAGGACATGTCTATTGTACGTATACCTTCTGCATGTGCTACGACTGATATCGCGACGTGAACACTAAGTGCCGAAGCTCATATGGATAACGTGTGTAATTGTACCATTCTTTGAATGTTTATATTCTTGGGTGATGACAGTTATCTGTGGCTCGTTATCCCATGTCTAAACGAGTTGCTTCTGCCCGTGTTAATATCACAGTCGCGCTGGTGAGTGTTGATGCAAAGTACCTTTGAACAATGCACTGACTGCCGCTAATATACAATTGCACGCAGAGAAAGGGATTTGACACAACACGCAGCTTCAGCACTTTTAACTCTTAAAAGTTGTGTGAGTTATATCGAACCATCCTCTGTGTCACCTTTCGTCTACGAGGTCACAAATCGTGGATCGTTGGATGCGAAGCTATGCTACAGTTTCGAGACTACCGATGCGTTCTGCAAATACGCCTGGGATCTTCAGAACAGCCGTTGATGCTCAGCAACGCCTATGTCCTCTCCCGTAACCCCCGCGGCCCCTGAACGGACTGCATCCGAGATTTGCTTGTTACGTGCTGCTTCGTCGCGGGCTTGAGACTCCTGCACATGCAGTGTGCCTGCGTTCAGGTTATCCTCGAGGACGTCGACACCTGTGGAGAAGTAATTAGGTATGTGTCAGCACAGCCGAGCAGTGTAACCCAGTTACGAATACCTTTGTCAAGATGTGCTTCATGTGCAGGCGTCAGTACAAGAAGGCTGGAGTACAGCAAGGTCGAGAGCTCACGTTTCCCTTCTGTTTGTGTGCTCTTCTCTTCGTGGGGGGGCACGAGGAAAGAGTCGGCGCTCGCTTTCTGGTATCTGACATCGCCCTCCTCTTGTGGCGTGTCGAGGAAGCTCGTATGGTCAACTGGGAGACGACTTTGTACCGCTGTGTCTCTCTTCTCTTCTTGAGGCGGGATGAGATGACTCGAACTCATGATGGTGGATATAGTTGTAAAGTGGTACGGGAAAAAGGAGAAGGTGCAGTGAGAGCTTGAATGTGAGTTACGTCGCGTCTGTTCAAAGGATTTTATAGTATCCCGGGTAACACTATTATAGTAATGACATCACGCTATGAATGGCAGACCAGGAGCGGAGCTCAGCTGGAGCTGCGTTGACGAATACACCACCTTCCAAAAGCGGACGTGCGTTCCTCGGCACTGTCACGTGCTGTCGTGTCGCTTGATCCCAGCTGTGACCATCCTTAAGTGGCCATGGCGAGTACGTCTCTTCGTCGCAGTTCTCGACTGGTTTCTGCAGCATGTACGGCGTCCACAAGCGGTCTTTCCACAACTGTTGTGCGTGCCGCGACGGTCAAAGATGAAAGCCAAGCGATAGCGGACAAACCTCCGAAACGCGTTCGGAAGAAGGCAGGAAGTACTACCGAGGTCAAGTCGGGGACCGCTGAAGCTGTGAATGAAGTGGAAGAATCACGTACAAAATCCGTTAAACGCAAGAAGAAGATTGAGGCTGTCGAGCCGATGCCTGAGGACTTCGCACCGAGGGCACTCAACGAATGGAAGATAGGACCACACGTCTCGTCTGCAGGAGGCGTCGAGAATTCTATAGTGAATGCTGCGACGATTGGGTATGTTTATCGTATTTTACGGATTTTTCGCTGGGCTGCTTATAATGCTTGTGACCTGCAGGGCGAACGCCTTTGCGCTGTTCCTCAAGTCACAAAGAAAGTGGGAGTCATCGCCGTTCAGCGCACAGTCTGTGCTATCATTCAAAGAGCGCATGAAGGCATTTGGATATTCTCCAGATCATATATTACCTCACGGAAGCTACCTCGTCAACCTAGGAAATCCGGACGAGTGCGTGTGCCTTTGATCTTCGTGGGACCTCTTGGGGTTAAGCAAATTTACGACTGCATGTAATTTTCTAGAGATAAGAGGGAAAAATCGTATAGATGCTTTTTGGATGATTTGAAGCGCTGCGAGGAGCTCGGGCTGCACCTGTATAATTTCCAGTGTGTTTCTTGTGGAAGTTCACGCATTATCCATAGTGATTTTTTGTTTTCTTAAGCCCAGGCTCGACGGTCGGTCAGGCGTCAACAGAAGACTCCTTGTCTCTAGTCGCTGCATGTGTAAACAGAGCTCACAAGGAGACTGCCAACGTGGTCATCGTGCTGGAGAATATGGTCTGTTTCTTTGTCTTCCTGTCCTTGGCTGGGAGGCAGACTGAGCTTGAGCCCTAAGGCTGGATCGGGCAACGTACTAGGTTCTAGCTTCGCAGAGCTCGGAAGTGTCATCCGCCAGGTAGAAGACAAGTCTCGCGTTGGCGTTTGCTTGGATACATGTCAGTCGGAAGCTTGTTACGAAGTCTGTGATCATTAACACTGTGTGATTTTTCAGGCCATATGTTTGCCGCAGTAGGTTGAAACTTGTGGTTGGTGCGGTGCACGTCTGAAGTCCTGTTACTCAGGGATACGATATTCGGACGAAAGAGGGCTGGGAGTGAGTCCGCTGAGGTCTCGATGTTGTCCATATGACTGACACTTCGTGTGATAGATCGACCAGTATGTGGCCTCCTCGTCCTGACTGTAAACTTGAAGTTGACCGCTTCCTCTGCAGTGGCCGAGTTCGAGCGAGATGTCGGGATACAGTACCTTCGTGGTATGCATATAAACGACTCCAAGGGGGATCTCAAGAGCAACAAGGATCGGCACGAGAACATCGGGCTGTACGTCTTCGTCCGACGTTTTGTGCAACCTCACTTACGCTGTTTCCGCCTGTCTCGGCATCGGTGCAATCATATGCAGGGGATATCTGTCCTTGACGACCTTCGCGCACATCCTGACGGACCCGCGCACGCAGAACCTTCCGCTGATCCTCGAGACGCCTGCATACGACGTCCCCGGCACCGAGAACGGCATGGACGTCTGGAAGAAAGAAGTGGAGGTACTCAATAAGCTTTCTATGACGGAAGAGCGACGAGGAGAGCAGCAGTTGAAGGGGTGGGCAGACGAGATCGCGGACGTGGTGAAGAAGGCGAGTGCAGGGAAAGATGCGAAGGGGAAGCGGAAGCTCGAGAACACGCAGACGGGGAAGAGGAAGCGAGTAAAACGATCGAAGAAGAGTATGGCGGATGAAGATGAAGACGATGAGGACTATGGCGCTGGCGAAGACGAATAGTCGTTTCGCTATTTATGAGAGTCTTGAGAATAGTTGAGTGGAGGCTACGTTTATCTCTTTGTCTGTGCAAAACGCATGATCTTTGAGGAAACCTACACTTGAGACGACAGAACAAGAAGCATCCCGGTTATAATACATACGATGAGGCAGTATGAAGAGGGCAAGATGGATATGCGTCATAACATACCGGCCGGACATTCTACTCTGTCGAGAATAGTAGACGAGGATCTCTACCCGCTTCCCATTTCATGTGCCGCTCAGAAGATGTACTGCCGTACTTGAAAAGATCCTGCAGGCGAGCTTCTATCGGGCTTGGATACAGCGGCGCTCGCTCGCGTACAGCGACCTGCTTCATCACCTGGAACAGCCCTTCCACCTTATTCAGAAAGGGATATGTCTCAGCACTCATCCCTCGAGCATATATCCGCAGGCAGCGGTTGTCGACGCCTGCATTGACCCGTTCCGATGTTGAAGTAGGGAATGTGGACGTAATACTTTCGTCTTGGACGCCTAGATCAAGAGTTATTGCAATATATGGCCGTGAAGTTGAACAATTAATAGAGTCGTGAGTACGGTCAATGAAATTGACATCGCGTGGGCTATCGTTTTCTCCTGCTTTGTCAGAGATGAAAATGCTGGACATCCGATCTTGATCGTTCCTGCCGGAAAAGTCGTCGAAATACATCGGAATCATCTTGTCGGTGCGTGGCTGTCCATGACAACATTGAATTGCACATGTTCTATACCAGTGGCGCAAGATCCATTCGCGGGGACTGTTCAATTTGCGTGATTACGAGAGGACGGATATAAGAAACTACAGCGGGCTCACTTCCACTTTACGCCTTCCTTGGAAATATTATCGGACATAGCGACCCAATGAGAGAAATTGATGCGAGCATTCTTGAATGCTTCTCTTGCGGCGGTTTTCTGCTCGTCATCTGCAGGCCAAAATTTCATCCCAAAGAAAAATTCGAGGAAGGGAAGCACTGGAATGCTGCGACAATAAAGTAGCTCCTGATTCCGTGTGGTAGTCTCGTCGAACGATTGAGTGGCAAACAGATCCTTCCCCAGTAGCCAAAGGAGCCGACTGACCAGCTCCCCACTTTGCCCTACTGCGATCATTCCGCTGTCCAATTTGCCTTCGAGGCAAGCAAGGACAGTGGTAAGTGCCCCGGGTGTTTTATGCAAGAGATGAGCGGCGACGGATGAAAGGTATGGCTCAGATGGGTAGCTCGTGAATCGCCACATCCTATCTTCAGTCGTCGTGATACATACGCGCATGTGACTCGCCACGGCCGTCTCCAAGAAATCCGTAGCTTTGGGGTGACCGAAACAAACATCCAAACAGAATCTCTGGCTTAGCACAGCCAGGGATTGTTCAGAGTCGCCTGGTATGAACTTGTCACTGCTGCACAGCTTTTGGGAAGCAAATTCAGACATTTCCTCGCGGTTGCATATATCGTTTAGGGCATGCCACCTACGCTTCGACGTCATTTCAGATCGCAAAGTATACGAAAGCACTCACAAAGGCCGACCATAGCCAATAATGAATGTGGTTGAATTTCGCCACATCCCTGGCAGAAATTTTCTCATCGCTGATAGGATCAGCGAATTGGTCACATCCTACTGCAGTGTATGGAGGATATAGTAGTTCGCCGCCAACTGCAATGCGGTTGGAATCATCTGTCAACATCAACATAGATCAGATTGCGTAGATCATGGCGAACAGTATCCTTACTGATCTGAGAAGGAGCAGCAAAGTCAGCGACCTTTGAGTTTGTAGATGCAAAGACCACCCATACGGACTGGGTTCGGCCGCGTGTATACGCACTAATGGCTCGACACAATATATGAGATGGCCGATATGTGCTTTGTCAAGGGCAATAATAGGGTCGGTTTATGTGATTTTTTGGGGAATAACTCTAGATGCGCTTCAATCAGAGAAGCGTAGGCGTTCTTCATCATGGTTTCGCCTTCCATCTTTATTTCGTCCGACCCCGCTGTTCCTAAAATTTGTTCAGAGGGATACTTCATACTCAAACGATCAAGGAAATATCCACACATACCAAGATGAGACGTGGATTGTTTGTCATCAAGGGCAAGACCCTCGACGTCTGTAGATAGCTGCTGGATAGACGGACTCTCTAGAATCTACGCACGACAGTCAACGGGGAAGACACCAGTATATAAAGACAGCTCACCACTTTATAACGGCGCTCCAATTTGTTGAAGAATTCTCGATCTGCTGTATCCATTGTACACATTATGCGGTGCCAGAGACGCACGGCATCACTGTAGCTATGCCTCTGGCACTTTTCGGTGAACCAGTCCTCGAGTTGGTTGAATATCGCAGTAAAAAATGCACAACATCGGGCACCGTAAGCCGACGCTGTACGCGGCATGTGTTCGTAGAGCTCTCGATAAGGGTACCCAGACCTGGCTTCACGGATGTTCATATATAACACAAAAACATCTTTGTTTCCTAGCTATGAATGACGTTCACTACAACGTTAAGGATAAGTATCAATGGAAGAAACACCTCGATCACCAATCGAGATTTGCCCGTTCCAGAACTTTGAACAATTGAACAGAATTGTGCGTAGTAAGTTTTGTCCATGGTGTCAAATTTGCAAAATTTCTTATTGTTTTCAGTGAGATATTCGTAGAAGCCATCTACGGCTCCGCCGAGGTAGTGTGGAAGGACCGATGAAGTACCATATCAGCTAAGCATATCAATAAGTCTATCGTATCAAGTAATGCAGTATGGAGCCACCAGCCTACACGGTGACATAGGATCACGGGGAATGTGCTCCTGGGTACGCAGAACCTCTGCCATAGGTGAGTGTGTTAGACAGCAGAGCGTGGATCGGGAACCAACGAGGTGACTCACTCAAACAACGTATCTTGGAAAAGCCACCTTCTATAAGTGAGCTATGCAATACAGCTCGAACGTCGCTTCGCCTGGAGACTTCATCACAATCGTCATGGCGCATGGTATTTGGGCAGCCGAGGACAATCCTCGTAAGGAGAATCTCGGCATCACGGCTATCTGGCGGAATACGCCCAGACAAGACCTCCGGAGATATATTACGCTTCGTTTTTTCGAAGACACGCTGATCCATTTTCCTGTGTTCTTCTTCCGTGTAAAGGTCGTCGACGAACTCCATGGTGGTCCAGTCGAATTGAGTAGACAAGGACTCAGATGCCTGATGTTCGTATTCTGGAGGAAAAGTTGACCTTTGCTGACCGGCACGATGAAAGCTGGAGACAAGCAAACCAACGGCCCACACGGTTTTAGACGCCGGCCATGGACCAATCGCGGCCACGCGGCCCGGGCAAGGCAACAGCAAACTAACCGTGTCATGATAAGTACTGTACGTTTGCAGCGTCGGAGCGTCCGCGTCAAGGCTGGACGCGACTCTTCCACCCCGGAATATATTTGGTGGTGCCATGGTTAAGCAAGAGTCCACCTGAGGAGTTGAAAGCCCGCTGCTCTCCAGGCGTATGACAAGCGTGTGATAGCGTTCAGTGCGACTACGATACTACTTAGCCGCCAACTCGCCGCGTCTCCCTCTTCAAGACCACAATCCCTGCCATATTCCTGCTGAAAAGATATCATTTTTTTGATGTCGGATCTTGCAATGGCCCGGCGTGTACGTCCTTTCGTTGATACTTATATTTACGCTCTCATGACGCGAGCACCAGACTGGGAAGCTGGAGGCCGCAATTCCGCTGATCCACATGTGTGGTGCTGCAAGTTGGGTAAAGATGGTCGGTTGATGGTACATCCCGGCAAACGAGAAAGCACTTAGCATCAGATCCTCGTGGAGAACGCACAGGACGCGGCAAGATTGGCCACTCCAGGCGAGCAGGAAGGTGCACACAACGAGACATCTCACCCCTTGGAGTCAGATCTAAGGACAGCTCGTACGCGATCTCTTCCATTGGCTGGATGCGATAAGTATAGGTTCCATGGAAGACCGGTCCGACAACGATCATAGATGTTGGGCAACCAGTGCTCTCAGGTGCGCAGTGCTCTCATCTCGTGCAAACAGATCTTCATCAGAGTTCACCACAAGCCCGGAGGCTGAATGAGCCACCGTACGTGTGATCACAAGGCGGGGACCATTTCCCATCATCGCCGCAGATTCAATGTCTGAGAAAGAGAACGTATCAAACATTGTTTCTGGTAATACAGTGCCCGTCACGGATCCAATTTACGAATTTAATGTCTGTGAGTATAGTCTGGTTATCTGTCGATTCTTCGTCGCACCCTGAATGTGTTTCTACCGACGAATTGGAGTCGTTTGATCCTGTCCTAACAGTGTTCACGCCTACGAAGTTCCTGGGCTCCTCAAACGGTAGTCTATGCACCGCTGGCTTTGACCAGTTATCTTTCGTGCAGGGCGTCTCCTCCAATCTGTTTAATGCAGCCAATACCTCCGTGAGGACCCAGCTAATTTGAGTCGTACCATCACGCAAACTGATGTGTCTCTCTTATCCAGTCATCTAGCTTACCAGACTATTCTATATATCCGCTTATCGAGCCCCTCGAGAAGATCATCCCGGGGCAAGGATTAGAGCTTGCAGTGGGGCCTGAGTCCGATGATGCTTGCTTTCGGCCGGAAAAGCAGAGGCTACACTTCCGAATACATCGCTTAGCCAAATGTTGGTGTACATATCTGGTTCATTAATTTATATGGCAACGATCCTAGGGAATATATATCCGAGAATAACCTTCAACGCTGAAGGGAGCATGTCAGTGAGCGCTCTCGCACATCTGAGCGACACGGACGCACCTCCGGCGGCAACATGGGCAAGCGTGCTTTGACGCTGACGATCGAGACGCGAGGTTCTCGCGGCAATCATCACACATAGCGAGACATCTGCGTATAACATCGATGTGTAAGAGACCGAGACCTTAGTTTGGAAAGAGACTCACCGACAAGGCCAGCAGATGATGTTCCTAGGCTCGACGGTACAGATCACGCAGTTTCGCCTGCTCTCTGCCGTTGCTGCATCGTCAGCCTCGAGTCTCCGAGCCGCAACCTTCGTATCTCTCCTCTCGCGGGTGAAGTCATCCAATTCGTCGGCCTCCATTGCATCCTGAAACGTTGATGCGTCGGGGGCAATTCTTTGGTACCGTCGACGCGTGAGGGGGGAGGGCGATGTCATGTGCGCCAGGATTAGAGGCGCGGACGCGGATACAGACGTAGACGTGGAATTGTTGGACAAGTCCGCGAAGAGGTTTAGCATGTCATCTCCTTCCGATTCCCCTTCATCATCCGAGAAATTAAGCGGCGTGTCATTGAAAGAGTCGGGTGGCAGCTCGAAGTCCTCGTCGTCCTCATCGTCGCTCAGCGATTCGCCTCGCAAGAAGCGTTCGTACACATCCGGCTCAGCCTCTTGCTCATCTTGGTCAGTTGCTGTACCCGGGGAGTCAATAGCAGGATCCATCTGCTGAGAAACACGCATGGCTTGGAAGCGCCGGCGCAGGATTGCCCACGACGATCGCAGCAAGCCTTTGAGGACCTTCCACACAACCAGGGCGTACACTCTAAGCTCCGCGAGGTGCCACCCCGTACTCATCACGCTGTCCATCCACAGACTCGTATGCCTCGATATCGCCTTCACGTTCGTGATCTCGTTCGCGAATCCATGCTTCGGCTTCCTATGCGTGCCATTCCTCTCATAGGCGGGAGAGATCGTCACAACGCCGGCACGATCGACCTCGACGGTGCCCATGTCCTCAGCCCGCCGTTCCGCGAAATCAGTAGAGTCCGTGTTCGTGATGCCGCCAACTTCGTTGCCCAGGCCAGCGGCACTCGTCGCTTCCAAGCTGGCTGTGCCGAGACGGAACAGTGCGACCCCAAAGTCCTCGTCCCATCTCGGCAAGAGAGCTTCGGCGTGACCGAATAGTGGTCTTGTGACAGAGCCCTCCAGGAGTAGTTGAGTTAACGCGTTCAAGCCAATTGTGAGGAGGATCATGGCGATGAGGAAAGACTCTACCACGCATGACACATAGTGCGTGAGTGGGTATGACGCAGGTGAGGTCCAGACGACTGCATGGAAGTGAATGAGAGTGAGAGCTGCACATAGTGTTGTGGGAATGAGTCGTCGACGCGCCCATCTTTCCTGAACTTCAAACCCGTGTAACAGGGCGAGCTAGATTTATGTCAGTCTAAAGAAGTAACCACGTGGATGACCTTTACTGACCTGAAGGAGAGGTAGTATAACAGTGATAATGACGTGCTTGTCCGGCCTTGATGGGTAATTATCCAGTTTGATGGCATGGGTAGTTGGGGATGTGTACATGTACAATTGGAACGCGAACGAGAACTGCTACAGGAATGAATCATCGGCAGATGACAAGGAGCAGGTTCAATGCTGCATACCAGATTGAATGGAGTACCATTGGTAGTGAGCCCTTCAAGGCCATTGGTGAGCGCTCCGACGGTCAGAGCTACGCACGTGGAAGTGAATGTGAACCAGCAGATCTCTTCCATATGCTTCTGCGCGACCCATGCGTCAAGTGAATGCAACCAACTCCAATTCCACGGCGGGAACAACTCCGCTGACTGCAGAAGAAGCACGGACCATAACAGAAGAGACTTTCCTAGAAGATATAGCGACGGGATCCTGAACATAGAACGGCAGAACGTAGAGGACAGATCAATGGGTAATATCGTGTTCAGGATGAGGCTGCAAAGGGACAACGGGCCTTGAGAGTTTCGGGTGCCATGAATGCCGAGACCTAGCCGGCGTCGAGGAGGTACGACAATGTTCTGTATCCGATTCAGCACCAACGCCTGCACAAACCGGTTAACACCAGCGGTGGGACTCAGTCTCGCAAAATGCTCGCCATCACTATGAGCCCGTAGAAGTAGCCCGACGTCACGAATCCCCATGGTCCTGGCGGCACAAGCGCTGCGCCCGCAGAGGACTCCTGTGATCTTTGCCTGCTGATCGTTTCGCCATTGGTGGTGACATATGCATGCGCCTCAGCCATTACCTCTTCACTCAAGAGCTCGTCCAGCCGACGTATCCGAGCGAGAAGGCGAGAGGGCAGCTGCAGGAAATGTGTAGCCAGCTTCCGACTGGCATTGTAGAAGGATGAATCCTCCTCCGCCGTGTCGAGGATACCCTGAGAGTTCATGGTCTCAGAAGATGGAGTTAGACTGCATGGAACTGTGGTGAAAGTAAGACCCAGGCTGTGTGCTCGATGATGATGAACTACTGAGTAACTGTGGCGCTCATCATTGCGGCCGAGATAATTAAACAGACGCCGAAGATGATCTACTGCAAACGCCGGTATGGGAGTGACCGCACATCGAGACTGACAGAATCTTCTTGCTATAGAAATGACACCACTCCAGGATCAGGAGGAAGGGAAAGAGCGTGACATGCAGCGGATAACTGAATGATCATAAGGAAGGCACTACAGGTACATGACACAAAATTAGCGAGATATAGAAGAGAATGGAACGTCATTGCATTGCCACCCCCCAGAAAGCAGACTACTTAACCTGCTGTACAGAGATACAAATTAATCAGTATCCTAAAGAACCGACGCCTGTACAATGAACTTACCTCCGGCTTCGGAAGGGCATCTGAGAATTACTCCGGCTTAGGTTCAGCAAACGAGTCTGCTTGAGCTGCCTCCACTTTGGTAGGGGTTGGTTCGGCCTCTTCTTCGTCAGATGCGCCCTCGTCGTCTGTCGGGGGAACAACCTCAACATTGATGCCTGAGGTACTAACGCTGGAGGAACGCGACAAAACCTGCTTGATGATGAGGACTACTAGACTCGTTGCATACGCGAAGTAGATTAGACATACCGGAGAGCCACCGTCGTGAGAGACCTCTCTCCAGCGGGGCTTTGCAAGTGTGGATGCTGATTTGGTGCTGACAACGATAAAAGGCCTCATATCACCGTTGTCACCAGACGCCGACGATTCAACATAGCCATCCGTAGTCAACATGATACAGTGTTTCCGAGAATATGAAAGGATATTACAGGGTGTTGAGCCTTCGAACTTTGAACGCAGTGAAGGGTGATGGAGGGAGGTTAAGTAGGGAAGATTCACCCGCCTGCGTTTGAAATACAAAAGCTAGCCTTGAATACCCCATTGTTTACGCGCTGAGTTCGAGCAGTGTGTATGCCCATAGCCAAACTCAAAGCGAAACAAGAGCTTTTGGTTCGAAGTCCGACTTTAAAGGGAGATCGCGATCTATGCTCCCCGTCAGGGACAGGGAGCATAGACTTTTGACAGAAGTATAGGAGCGTACCGCCGACAGCACCGCCATAATAATGGCAGGAGGATCGCCTTGGGCACGGTATTCCAGAGTGGAAAGACGTATAGACATGCTATGCTCACCGACCCGCAAAGCCTACGTAAGTTGTGGTACAAGCATCAGCTCTGGATGGCAGAAGTGGCACAAACTTGATCCACAAAGTTGAGCAATTCCTTACCGGTGCAGAAACATGCAGAAACGCGCAGCTCACGGAGGAAGAATACTAGGAGGAACGGAGATAGACCCTCTGACCATCGTTTTCTCTGCACGTCAAACGAGCAACGTCAGGATCGTCCGGGAGGTACGAAAGTCACCCACAGCAACCAGCACCAATACGACCGATTGTGACCTTCGGCAGCAAAGCTTATGGGCAGCTTCACCTTGACTCAAGGCGGAGCTATCCATGAGCTTCACGACCCGCAACACCATATGCGTAAGGCCAGCGTTAACAGTAAGAGTTCTGAGATGGAAGTGGGTGTTCACACCTGCGACAAAGTCTGACTTCAGGTAGTCCTCATGCAGTATAGATGGCCACATAGTGAACAAAACCTACAAGTCTATAGCGTTAGCCTGCGGTGTTGAGTAACCTCGTGGTGCGGCCCATGTGCACTCAACGCGGCGGGCACCGTAGGCGAGGCGCCCACTACCCTGATCAATGAAAGCGACTAAGCTGTATTTTAGACATTCTATATACCGGACTCACACTCGTCTTCATTCTCTATAGATCTACAGTATTTGTTCAATTCAACAGCTTAACTTCTTTCTTCACCATGTTTTCTCGTCCGGGCCCGACGCCAATCCACTGCACAGGGACGTTGAGGAACTCCTCGATGAACGAGATGTATTTCTTGCAGTTCTCAGGAAGATCAGCGAATGCGGTGACTTGCGCGATGGACTTCTTCCAACCGGGGAGAGTGACATAGGCTACCTCTACCTTGTGTAGAAGCTCCAGGTTCGCTAGAAGAGATAGGCCGGCACAGTGAGTCCACAGTCGCATTGACAACAGTGGGAGAACCCACCTGGGAATCCTGCGAGTTCCTTCCCGTCAACGACGTACTTAACAGCGACCTTGATTTCGGCGAGATCGTCCAACACGTCGAGCTTCGTGAGATTGAGGCAGTCGTAGCCATTGATGAAACTGGAATACTTCACGACGACAAGGTCGAGCCATCCGCAGCGTCTACGACGTCCAGTCGTCGTGCCGTACTCTTGGCCAACTTCTTGGAAATGCGTGCCGATCTCCTAAGCAGTGGATGAAAGTCAGTCAAGTCGTAATAACGCAAAGTCGCCAATTAACAGACGTACGTTCAGCTGTTCCGAGGGGAAGGGCCCGCCACCAACTCGCGTCGTATAGGCTTTCATGACGCCGATAGTGGTGCCGATCAACTTGGGCGGTATTCCGAGTCCGGTGCACACGCCACCGATCGCTGTCGAGGACGATGTCACGTATGGGTAGGTACCGAAATCGATATCGAGCATCAGTGCGTTTGCGCCCTCGACTAACAGCTTCTTCCCTTCCGACAGGGCATTGTGGATGTAGACGACACTGTCGACGACATACGGACGTAACCGTTCTGCCAGGACCTGAATAGCCAATTAACTATGTTGAGTTTTCAACGGGATTCTGCGGAGCAATAACACCGACCTTGTAGCGGATGATCTCGCCCTCGGTGTCATACTCGAAGTGCCCGTACCGCTTAAATCGTCCTTCGACGATCTTGCGGAATTTCTCGGCGAAAGTGTCATGATCGAATAAGTGGTGCACCCGCAGACCAGAGCGCGACGCCTTAGAGGAGTATGCCGGACCAATGCCCTTCTTTGTAGTACCTATGCTGGAGAACAAAAATGCGACGAACCATTGGTAATGTTTCTGCAATCCTCCCAAATGAGAACGAACCTTGAACCTCCTAGCTCAACCTCCTTCAATCCATCCACAATCTGGTGGAAGTCGAAGACGAGGTGAGCACGGTCGGAGATGAACAGACGACCGGTGCAATCAAGTCCTAACCACGGATGAACCACAGTGAATCTTTGTGTAAAAGAACCGGGTGCCAGAAGAACTCTGACCTTGGGCCTCGAGTGCGTCAAGTTCCGCGAAGAAGGACGGCACATGGATCACAACACCTGATCCAATGATTCCCGTACACTTCGGATGAACGAGACCTAATTTGTCGTAAATGAAAAACCCCATTCAAAACTACGATGAGCGCGTACCACTAGGAAGAAGATGAAATGCAAAAGTCGTCTTCACGTTGTCCGGGCCAATTGGCACAACAATGGTGTGACCAGCATTGTTCCCTCCCGCACAGCGAGCACATATATCTATGTCTGCTGCGAGGATGTCGACGAGCTTCCCCTTTCCCTCGTCGCCCCACTGGGTTCCGAGCACGACGGTAACTGTGCCGCGTAGATAATCGATCAGAACGCGCAAAAGGATCAAAGAGTGTGCGCACCACTCATTCACGCTGAGGCATGCACGCCCAACCTGCACTTGGAGCGAACCTAAACTTTGTGCGAGCTGATAAGTTGAAAAATACGAGTCACGACCAGACTGAGCACGTCCTAGTCCGGAGATGGGAGCGGAAGCGGAAGTAACAGCGCTGGGCCGGTCGAGTCCGCCTTCACTCTCACCTCCACCATGCCGCCGTTTGCGTCTCATTCTCTGCGAGCATCTCCCGTTCATCGCACTCTGCGTCGCCATCCATCGCTCTTTGGTGTGCCGTTCGTGCTCATCATTGTTGGCGCTTCCTTCGCCATGCAGAGTTTCACGCAGACGCGGTATGACCTTCACGACCAGAAAATCTCGCAGGTGCGCTCTCCGCTCTTTATCGAGCTCTTTGACGGTGGATGAAACTTATGACCGGCGTGATGCTGTAGGTGAACAAGGAAGAAGAATTGGGGTTGGCAAAGAATCGGAAGAAGTTCGACATTAGGGAGGAATATTACGTGCGCCCCGCTCTACCTCTCTCTGTCAACCTAATTGTCCCAAACGTCTCTTCAGAGGCTGAACGCGGCGCAAGACCAAGACTGGGAGCCGAAACGGATCGAACGGCCAAAGGGTCTCCCCGAATGGGGTGTTCCACCCACTGAACCACCGTCGAAGCCTACGTCCGCTTGATTTCTGCATGCATAACTTATTCTCCTGGACCTTTGTATAACATCCAAGCTTCTGGTTTCACGAATACTCTTTTTATGTGCAAGCACTTCTGGTGCAGCATTCTTTGACTTGTGCCTTTGTCTACTTCGCTCGACACCCCGACAAGATTTCCGAGCCCGTCCGTGTCACACCAGCTCTCAAGAGTCATTTATCTCCGAGGCTCTCTGTAACCAGGACTGCAGGATCTCATGCCGCGCCCAAACTGTGATTGCAACGTGCCGCTACTCCTCGACCTGAAACTGCATAGATATGAAGGTCGATATCATGAACCATCTATGAAGTCTCCTTTCTGTGTTCCCGACATTCCTTTGCCGATATTTGTTAGAAGTAGCACTCATTACCACCGGTACTGCGGTCAGTAATCGTCTCCCGCACCCGGCATTCACTGGCGAGCGTACGCTTGCATTCATGAAGCTTGAGTCGAATTTAGTGCCTCCGTACATACACTCCCACTTCAGCCCGCGGATGGAGCGTGGCGGCGTTTCGGTGCATATATCGTGCTTACAATGGACCTCTATCCTTTGATATACCTGTGGTGTGGCGCAGCATTTGTGTCGGGTTTTCACATGAAGTTGGTGAGTTGTTCCCTGTCTGTAGGAGAAATATCCTGACTTTGGAGATTGCATTCTGTTCGGAACGTAGCACTATGGGAGGGTGGAGCAGGCTCAGCCAACCACATTTCGAGATCTAATGCAGGGCAAGAAAGCCGTCATCGAAAACCAATTCGTTCTTGCCATGACATTACGAACAGATGTGGTACCTTTCGCCCCCATGGATAAACTCCAAGGTTCATTACACTGTGTTTTCCGACGTTCCTCATCTTATCCCTAAAATTGACTGCGCATATGAAACCAGTGCTCGGGGCAGTCGGACGTCAGCTGGAGCACCTATTAGATTTGGCTTCTGCGCAACTCTATGTGTCGGTGGATGTCCTCATGCACACTTTGGGTTGACGCTCGCTGGCGGAGTGTGGCATACATTCGCGGCCTGGTGGTATGCATCGAGTGGATTTTGAAACCCGTTTATCAGTGACAAGGGCTCATATCTATTCCACGGGAGCATACCAAATATTACGTGTCCAACTCCCACCCGAACATCACCTCGCTTTCTTCCAACCGCTCGCACACCAACTTGACCTTCTGGTCATTCACATTTGCGACGGAGAAGCGTATCCAGCGTTCCTCGTCCTCACCTGCGCTGCAGTCCTCGATCTTCGGCGCAAAGATTCCTGCAGGCAGACACACAACTCCGCGTTCCTTTGCGAGCCTTTGACAGACCTCTGTCGCGCGGCGCCCACGAAAGGGGTGGCGCACAAACGCGTAGTAACCACCCTGCGAGCCGATCTTCCAGTGCTGCGGCAGCGCGGCCTTGAACAGCGTGTGTCGGTGGGCCACTGCACGCGCTGTCTCCTGTACAAACGGGCGGAGCGTGGGTAGCAGTGGAGCGAGCGCGAGCTGCGGCGGGCGCGGCGCGCAGATCTGGATGGTGTCGAGCGCGATGCTGACAGCGGTAATGAGCGCGGGCGCCGCGCAGATCATCCCTAGGCGGTGACCCGGAATTGCATACGCCTTGGAGAAGGAGTAGAGGTGGATAAACGTGGAGCGCCAGGAGGGCCGTGATGGGCGCGGGAGGAACAGGTCGTGCGGTGCTCCGGAAAGGATGAAGTCGCGGTATGTCTCGTCGATGATGAGGGCGACGTTGTGCGCGGCTGCTACGTCTGCGAAGGCGCGTATGAGGGAGGGCGGGTACACAGCACCGGTCTGAGGGAACAATCTATGCTGTAGTATACGCGGTAAGCGCAGGACAATAACGACTCACTGGATTGTTTGGCGATACTAGCACTATTGCTTTAGTTTTTGGCGTGATCAGCGCTGCGCAGCGCTCGGGTGAGGGCATGAAGCCATCTTCTGGAGATGTCTCTAAAGAGACGGGCTTTATGCCCAGCATTGTGAGGGACATTCTACAAATCATCGCACATGCTCAGATCGTCGTGCAAGTTCCCGCGTATATTTACTCGGGAAAATACTGGATAGATCCTTGGCCGGTTCTACCGTATATTGCCCCCAGGTGAAGTGAACGGACACGCACTCATGATTGAAATACCTGCACTCAAAGTAAATGAATATTAGGATTAATGACATCAATTTTTTGGACTGAGTACCAAGGAACAGGCAATATCATCTCATCACCTGCGTCCGCGAGGGCAATTGCGACAGAAACGAAAGCCAGGTTGCACCCGGCAGTGATAGCAAGGTCGTCTGGCGTGACATCTGCGTCTGCACCGTATTTCTGCTTGATGTCCTCCACAACTGCAAGTCGTAGAGAGAGTTCCCCGACGTTCCCGACGTACCCACAGCTCATGGGCGAGGAGGATGTTGCCCCGAGCGCGTCAAGCAGCAACTTAGGTGGGGAAACACCTGGCACGCCTTGCGACATGTCGAGCAGGGGCCGATCGGCAGTGGGCACATAGGCTGCTGCCCATTCATAAGCCTGTGGTATCCTGAACGAGATCGCGGCATGTCAGGCCGCACGCACGGTGGATTTAATAAAATAACATACGGAGGTCGAGTGGTGATCTCAATGCCGTGAGACAGACGGAACGCCACGCCAGTATTAGAAGCCCATTCAGCTTTAGGAGAACGCATAGCAAGAGTACTCGACCGGAGAAAGCCGAGACTACCCAGGGAGGTACCCTCGAGGACCTTACTTGGATTTGTGCACACTCACATATTTATGGTCGCAGCTGTCCAAAATGATACTTCCTTGATGCATAGTGTACTCTCGTCGCGACCGGCGGAGTGTCTTCGAAATACTATGCAGGATAAGTGGTTACTATATATTGCAAAGTGTCTTCTCTGCTCCGAATCTACTGCGCCAGCAAATCCTGTATACCCCGCCGCAGCGCCGCACTACTCTACCCATACATGTCCTCCCAAGTCGTCCAAGTCCTCTCCGGCCCATTGCAGTTCCGTCAGTAGCTCCGGGCACGCTGGACATGAAGAAAAGATATATAGAGAGCAGTATGAATCATAACTATGCAATCTTGACTGTCTGGAGATACATCATTTATAAGGAAAAGAGTGGAAGGGAAGGAGCACAAAGGAAAGAGCGGAACGTGGAATGTTGTGGTTTGAAACATTTTGAAACGAAGTCGAGGATCCGAGATCGACAAGGATTGCACAGCAGAAGCGGAATAGCACAACAGAGACCAGAGTGAGTACGTGGATTTGTACACCGGGTTAACGCACGTTACCTTCGCGTACAACGAGTCCACCACCTTGCCAACTTGCTCCAATGTGTCGATCGCGGCACCATACGAGTTCTGAAAACAACATCAATGGTCGACTACAGAAGAGTCACTAATGGATGCAAACGCACGTCAGCTTCTGGTTCGTCGAACACGATGAGACAACCGCGGCCCTGGTCGAGCACACCATGGAAGACCTTGTCCAGAATCATCTGGGACAGCCTGAGCGTAAGTGTATATCAGCCATCCGCGTTGGACTCGTTGAATCAGAATTCATACTTGGTCTCTACTGCCTGTCGGCCCTGGCCGACCTGCTGCGCGACATACTCGACCTCGATGACAGAGTATGGTTCCACAATACGGAGAAGGTTGCCTTCAAGGAGAGTATCATACAATGCCGACAGATGTGTGCGGATTGTCGGATCCGAAGAGAGTTCTAGGGCGCGAGGTTAAGAGACCTGTAATTCACTGGGGAAACAGACCAACCCTGCTGGTAGTCCTTAAGCGCCTTCTCGAAGTCGGCGAGGTTGCGCTTCTGATGCGCCCGTGCGACCGCGCGCATGCTCTCTACATCTCGCAGCTGCGCATACTTCAGCGCGAGCTTGATAGAAAGCAGCGATGTTACGTCCTCTGGCTGCATACACGCATCACTACATGATGTCTCACTTTTTGACCCTCGCCACACTCACCAAGTTCAGCATGACCTTGCACAACAGCATGTATTTGAGCGCGCCGAGCGCACCAGGGTCATCCTGTGTGCTCATGTTCTCGAATGTCTCGAAGAAATATGAGTATGCCGTCGTATAATCCTTGTCTTCCGCGTGAAGGATGCCGGACTGTAGATCCAGGCGGGCTTGTAGATGCGGCGGGCAGTAGATCGCATTCGCTGCTGTTCGCGCCGATGTGAGAGCGGCCTGTAGTGGAAGGCGGAGTAAGACAGGGCGATTCTGTGTCAAAAATACACACCTTGGCCTTTGCGAGGTTTCCTAAACCGCGGTAGACTCTGCTCTCCAGCAAATGGACTTCCGTCAGGATCATTTTGTCGTCTAGCCGCTTGAGCTCCGTCAAGAGCGTGTCAATCAGGGCAAGTGCGGGTCTGTATTGTGATGTTTCTAGCTGACTAGAAGCAGGTTAGCAGGATCAAGAGAGAAGACACGGAAGGACCAGATAAAATCACAGTTTTACTCACAGGCCAACCAATCGTGTCTCCAGACTATGTTTCAAGAATATCCGCTTTTCGCGTTTTGCCCACTGGATGTTTTCAAGGAGTACGTCAATCTGGATCTGCTGACTGTTAGGGATCGGAGTGAAGCAATCCAGAAGAGTCCGGACTGCAACATGGTCTATTTCTGGGGTTTCAGAGCAGAATTAACATTATCCACGTACTGAGCTTAGCGGTTTTAGCTTTTGCAGCTGAGGAGACGAAGGAACGAGATAATGTGATGACCGCTGCGACACCTTTCGCGTTACTAAGAATCCGGCAATATCTCTTGAGCATGTAGGCAATGCAGAGACACTCCCGACTTACTTCTGGTCGCGGTAGAGCTCTCCCAGCTTCACAAGGGCCGTCTCCTGATGCCGGATTTCTCGCTCACGTTCCTCTACATGAGCAAATTGATTATCCGGTGATTCTAAGGAGAGCAGCGACAACAGTTGAGCATACAAACACCTGAAATCTATACGGCCAGAGAACTCACGTAGAACCTCTTTGAACAGTGCTTCCGCTTGTACAGGATTTGAGGGGGCCAGCGACTCAGCCTCATTTAAAAGCTCTGCTCTAGACGGCATGGCGAAAGTTTATAGAAATGTTAGCACTGTTGGGAATGTATCACCTTTAGAACCATTTATGCAAAGAAAGATATATTTTGAGAGACAAACCTTCTGATTGAATACTGTTTAAAAAATCTCAGCGTGTTCCTTGCTGTCCAATTTCACACGATGCACAGCACAGAGTCGACAAGGGCGAAGAGAAGGTTGTGGACGTCGTGCAAGACGAGGTGAGCGCGACGGGTGACCGGTGACGCGTCGAGGAGCGTGGGAACGGATTCTGCACTGACGCGTCGAGCACGCGTGCCCACTGCACTTACCGTCCGTCTCCCTCTCTCCCTCCTCTTTATTTTTCTGTACAGTTTTCGGTGATCACCATGCCTGAGGACGTCGTGCTACCGATTCCAAACTCTGCCCTTCCACAATATTTCTTTGTGCTCTCCAGGCCATCGCTCTCGCACCTGCACGAGAATGCGCGGAAAGAACTTCTGGCAGGTATTCAGGCGGACCGTGAGTATCTCAGAAAATTAGTATCGAAATAATGATGTATCCTGAGGTTCCGCTGTCGGAAACATAGAGATGGCACCGTATTATCGTCTAGTAACAGCAGCATCCATCCTCCCGCTTGACCAGGCTCTCCTCGAGTCTATGGAGAAGGCGAACAAGGAGGAGCTGGAGAAGCTCGACCTGCGGCTATCAGAGGCCGAGAAGACAGAGGGAGAGTCTGACATTGCAGATGCCCTGCACGCACGGGCGAACCACCTCACAAGAATCGGGGAGAAGGTATGTATGTTGTTACGCCCGCTCAATTCTCTCCAATCTCTAGAACCTTTCCGCCGTCTCTTAGGATAAAGCTATTGAAGCACAGAAAGTTGCTCTGGAGAAAACAGCGGGGCTTGGCTCGCGAATAGATATGGTCCTTACACTGGCTCGCATCGCATTCTTCTTTGGCGACTTCCAAATGATCACGGAGAAGCTCACCGATGCGGAAGAGTATGACTATATTTCTCCACGAGTGAGTCATGCTCACAAGTATATATCTACAGGCTCATTGAGAAGGGTGGTGACTGGGATCGCCGAAACCGCCTGAAAGTCTACCGAGGGCTACACTTACTATCAATTCGGCAGTTTAAGCGCGGTGGCGAGCTACTCCTTGACGCGCTTTCGACATTTACTGCTACCGAGTTGGTTTCGTACAATGACTTCGTCGCCCTTACCATCATCGCGAACGTACTCGCTCTGAAGAGGGTGGACTTGAAGAAGAAGGTATATTTTTCCTCGTCAAGTCGTCGCACTCACAGATTAACGCGTGATAGCTCATGGCTGCTCCCGAAGTAACACAAGTAATCGGAGAGTTACCAACGCTGGCGGATCTGATGAAGAACTTGTATGACTCGCACTACGACAAATTCTTCTTCGCCCTCAGTACGTTCTCCCACGCATATTTTCTGTGCTGTGCCCACACCGAGTGTATCCAGGCACCGTTGAGCAATCCCACCTTCTACCATCGCGTCTGCTCTCCCCACACACGCGCTTCTATGTCCGCGAGATGCGTATCCTGGCGTACAGCCAGATTCTCGAGTCGTATCGCAGCCTCACGCTCGACAGTCTCGCACGCTCGTTTGGCGTGAGCGTCGAGTTCGTAGACAAGTGCGTTCCTCCCGCTTTTTACGGCTTCGCTTGGTATATTGGACTGACTGGGGTTTTGCGTGTTCAAGCGAACTATCGCGCTTCATCGCTTCCGGCCATCTGCACTGCACCATCGACAAGGTTCATGGGATCGTGGAGACAAACCGGCCATCGCTTAAGAATGCGCAGTACGAGACTGTGATCAAGCAAGGTGACCTGCTACTAAATGCTGTGCAGAGACTGAGTAAAGTATTATACTGAGCATGTAGCGCTTGTAGCTGTGGGTTGATTCATGATTTTTTCTCCCTGAGAACGATATGTACTGCGCCCGTCCATACAGTGCCACTGTGGTATCTTAGGAGACCAGTCCATATATCACAAATTGAGTAACACTGTCGAGCCTCCCGTCGCAGCTGTCTTCTCTTGGCCGAATGAAATGGCTCAGCCTGCAGGTTCACCTAATGTGGTGACGACTTGCTCACCAATCCAAGTTAGCTCTTTCCCTAGCTGTTCGTTCCCTAGGAAGACTGCACCAGACGGCGACCGAAGTTCTATAGGCGTCCGATATCTTGATCCTCTCACACCGAGTCATAATTCATCCCTGAATCTCCCTGCGATGTCCTCACCCGCATCGATGGACCGATAATATCAAGGCCGCGGGTTTCAAGTCGTAGAATTGTCAGTTCTCATCAGCGCGCCACAACCACATCGAAGTTCTATAGGCGTCCGATATCTTGATCCTCTTACACCGAGTCATATTTCATCCCTGCATCTCCCTGCGATGTCCTCACCCTCTGCCCCCCTGCATCGATGGACCGATAATATCAAGGCCGCGGGTTTGAAGTGGTAGAATTGTCAGTTCTCATCAGCGCGCCACAACCACATGTTGTTCCAGAAGCGCTAGAATTGTGGGTCCGTGTTGGGCGCGTCACAGCCTTAGATACATTAGTAAATATGAGAAAAATAAGCAGTAAAAATTCGCTTTAGTTATGTTCTAGTAAAAATAAGAGATATAAATGTGGCGGGCAGGATTCAACGGGCCAATGCAGCGACGGCAGGAAGAGCGCTCGTAAAGAGGACCGACGGTCCTACAGACAAAAGACTGTTGGGCAGCACGGTGACGATGGAATCGATAGGCACCGGACACACGAGGCGATCGCGGAGCGGCGTGACCGCGAGGTTGAGCGCCTCTACTCAGTGATCCCTCTCGCTCTGTACTACAGGCCTCAGGTATTAAAGAACAGACTACACCCTCCGACATGGCCCTCCAGTTTTCTCTCATCCCTCTCTTCCACCGTATTCATTCTCAACTCAGACGACTCATGAGCGACCAGCCTCCCCAACAATCCTGGGCCGACAACTTTTCGAAGGAAGGCAGAGGCCTTCCCGTCGATACTGTCATCAATGACTACCAAAACCGGGGCTGGGTCGCGCGCGACCTGTACATTAGCGTGCTTAAATTCTACAAGCACGACAAAGGCGTCGAACACGAGTTCTTAATCGGTACCGTCGTTAACTCTGCTGGGAAGGAGGTCGGATTTATCTTGGTCGAGCGCCAAGGAGCGAGGATTGGTCGGGGTGCTTCCGCGAAGCCATTGAACGCCGCATTGGGTTCTTCCGGTAGTACTGCTGCTCCTCCTGCCCATGACGTTCTGTTTATGGGACGAAATCATGGTGCTCTGCTTAACCTCGCCGGTCGCACTGCCAGGTCTACCGTACACGGCTCATACACAGTGCCACCGGAAAAGCGTGCAGACTCGATCGCCTCCCTCCTTGCGGCTTGTTTTGTCGCTCACGAAATTAAGGAGAAGTACGATGCCTTCGAGACTAACTGCTACTGGTTTGCCGGCGTGGTGTACAATCTGGTCACGGGCGACAACATCAATATCAACTCGGACAGCACGCGCACAGTGCCGATTGTGCGTGATGCTCTGCCCGAGGGTGATATTCAGCTCGAGCCTCGTTCTCTTCCCCAGGCAGGTGGTGCTCAGTCTGAGGATAATATTCAGGTAAAATGACATTCTCTTCCCCTCGTTAGTCGCGGTCTGATTCTCAATTCCAGGTCGCGCAGGACGATTCTCAGTCTCAGGTTCCTCAGCGCTCGAAAACAGGGCACTTTGGATCGCTTGCCATTGTTCGTCCTGCGGACATCAGAGCTGATGCGGATGAGATACGGGCCGACTTCAGGAAAAAGACGGAAGAAATAGTGAGTGCACAGAAGTACTTTGGGAAATTGCCGGAGGAGTTGGCGAGTCAGACGGCCAGGGCGAACATGGCGGACGCGAGAGCGGACACAGAGGAGAGGCTAAAAAAGGAGGAGAGCGCCAGGGCGGAGGAGGAGAGGCTGAGGGCGGAGGAGGAGAGGCTGAGGGCGGACACGGAGGAGAGGCTGAAAAAGGAGGAGAGCGCCAGGGCGGAGGAGGAGAGGCTGAGGGCGGACACGGAGGAGAGGCTGAGAAAGGAGGCGGACGCGAGAGCGGTCACAGAGGAGAGGCTGAGAAAGGAAGAGGAGAGGCTGAGAAAGGAAGAGAGTGCCAGGGCGGACAGGTTGGCCAAAGAGAACGCCGAGATGGCGAAGAAACTTGCACAGCTTCAAGAGGCATACACCAAAGGTGCAGCTGGTGCATCGGGCGTGACAGAAGCCCGCACTACGCCTCCGTCTAGTCGTTCCAGCATGGCTTCCGCGTTTAAGAGAGCTGTGTAAGTGTTTCCGCCTTTTGTCTTGATCTACGTAAGCTGATATCATTGTTGTGATTTTCCAGCTGATACCGTCGATGTGAAGGTATGTACCATGTCACGGATCGTGCTTTCTGTGGTCTCATCATTGCTTAGCCTGTAGTCGTTGATAAGCACGCTCCGCGCTCGTCTTCCTATCTCGTCGAGTTTTCGGATCCCTCTATGATCCCTGGATTCCCTTGACATATATGCTTTCATTTTTTTTGTGCTGCGGATCTTTCTCTTCTACTCACGCTGTTCTCTTCTACTCACGCTGTCTCCGTCAGCTGTACTTCGTATCTTCTACTCGTGAACGTGCTCTCCTTTGTCCTCTTGCTCTCGTCGTCTTAACTTTCTGCTCTGATTCTGTAAAGATATTTTCATCGATACCTATGCTCTTGTGGCCTTCGCGCGTGTAACCTCTGTACTATTAGTATTCCAATGTGTTCTTGCTTAGAATATAAGCCGATGTCTGTCGCATTTGCTGCTGATTGGCATTCTGGTCCACTCTGATTATTCATGATCAGCCTTGCGTACGGCGGGGGGTGTAAATTATCTGGCTGGTCATATAATACGGTGCAACCTGAACCCATTGTTGCCGGTCGGTAGGACGCGACGACTACTCACTGCGTCCTACAATTATCGTAGATAGCATGCGATCTGTGGCATGAGGACCTTATTCCAGATCAACAACAGGCTGTCCTTGTTTCAACATAGATCTCTTCTTTTCTGCTTCCTCCCGCATTCTCCTCGTGTGCTGCAGTATCATTATCACAGCTCCGGGCGACGCACAAGACTTACTTAATTGGGTCGCCATATTCACCGCTCTCCCATGCTCAACACATTTGTTGATTTTGTGGTGCCGTACGTAGAATATCTCCAGCTAGATAGATATCGGTCTCCTCCACTCAGTGCTACTCCGCGGTAAAATATTTGTCCGTCCCGCAAGTGCGTGCCTGTAGTTGGATGAACAACATCGAAATCTGACTCCCATCGCGGAATACTATCGGACTCTGAGGCTAGTTGCCGTCACTTGTCAGTTTCTTCAGAACAGAGTAATTCTCTTCTTTCACATATATCGGGAATGCAGACTGTATGTGCGTCTCCGAAGTGATTGGCAGGTCAACCGTGATCAACTCAGTTCCCTCTTTTTCCCGCACCAGCATCTCCATAGTACTTTTCTTGCGTGTATGCGCATATGATGACTGCTGATCAGCATTTATATTTCCCCTTCTATTGTGTCAAACGGATATTATCGATGATGAACCCGATGAGCCGCTTTGCTGCACACTGCTTCTCAGCCAAGAGACCAACCACCGATGATCATTACCGGCGCATCGATAGCTGCTTAACTACGTCTTCACAGTTATCCACCATTCTCCTCAATGCGGTCGTGACCACAGGCTTCTCGAGATCATCCCGGGACAGCGATGATGGTTTTCGTTCGCTCTCTCGCCTCGCGTGAACCTCCAGAGCGCTGAAGGAACCTGTGCATACGATTCTATGGCGGAATCTTCCATCCTTTTCCCCACTGATAGCCTTACTACCAAGCACTTTCCGTTGGACTCCTCGTCACTTGGATTGGATGATAAGCTGCATTCTTGTATTTCCTCTGTTATTTTCACTGCCACGGCCACGTGGGCCAAACTTTCTCAGCCGGAGGCTTGGACATGTTCGTACAGTGGCACATACCCCAATCTTAGACAATCTTCTGAAGGACGTGGTAACACTCAAGTGTCTTGTTGCATTGTCATGTGCATTGCCTACACGATCTCCCTCCCTGTTTGACCTGGACCTTACAACACCTGACCACACTGGAGCGGCTCTATCTGAGAGCAAGTGATGCAGTGTCACCGCACGTTGGCGAGTGTGTCGCTGGTCTTCTCGCACTGCATTCGGTTCAGCTTTACCTACCCGGCTGCAACGCCTTGACGCATTTCTACATTTGACACGCCTGCAACTCACTGGAGACGCCTGCAGCACCGTGACCGTCGTCGTCCTTGCACATTTGATCAGCCGATTCCGTGTCCTGCACCTTGCCCTTCAAGACGATCCTCCTACTGAGGGTGATTGGCGGGACCTCTGTATTCTTATCAGTACAAGGTTCGCCAAAACCCTGCAGAGTCTGCGTACACGCGTGTCCTCGGAGTTTGGCTACCTCCACCGCTCCGTCAACGGACGCACTAGAATGTATCACTTGCCTCTAACAGTTCTCTCGGCGATGCCGCACCTGAAGTATCTGGATATGATATCCTTGACTCGGTCGTATTCCACGACGGCGATATTGTCCACATCGCGACCAGGTGCCTTGCACAGGAGGATTTCCGTCTCGCTCACGTCGCGCGCTTCCCACATACCGGCTCGAGGCCGTATCAATTTCTCTGGAATTATCCTGCTCGGACGATAAGGTACAGCATGATGAAACCGATACGCGGCGTACCCTTGGCTCGTGCAAGATGAGTCCATACTTCCGTGATGTTATCGATGAGGAAACACTAGCCTTATTCTCTGCAATCTCAATATCGTTCGTGCGCATGTCGTGCGCGTCGACTTATATGATTTCAATCGGCAGACGCCCTCCCCCACACTTCCCCGAAAACGCACGCTTCACATGGCGCCTCCCGTCGCAGCTGTCTTCTCTTGGTCGAATGAGATGGTTTAGCCGGGAGGTTCACCTAAAGTGGCGACGACTTGCTCACCAATCCAAGTTAGCTCTTCCCTAGCTGTTCGTTCTCTAGGAAGACTGCACCGGACGGCGACCGAAGTTCTATGGGCGCGTCCGATAGGACCCGGGCAACTCCACCAAAGCCCTCTCCGGACTTTGCATATTTGAGAGGCCGAAAACAGCCAAGTACTTCTCCGGGTTAGCATATTTTAGGCCCTCGGAGAGCCTCCAAAACCAAAAACCTTATCCGGACTTAGCATATTTGGGACTGTGCAGCGAAGTTGGAGGGTACATACCACTATTTATACAGTGCCTCGGACTTCTTGGCTGGAATGTAGCTCATTGTATGACAGTTAATGCCAGAAGACATGATACTGTTGTGGAAATCATAGCATAAATTACCCTTTGCAGCTGCCCAGATATGATGGTCGCGGAAAAAAATGCGTGACGTACCTTGTGACTACGCGTGACTGCGTGATTATCCTCTTCGACTTAGCATATCTGAGGCCCGAAATTCTGCATATTTGAGGGCGATTTTGGACGATTTTCCGGAGAGGGCTTTGGTGGAGTTGCCCGGGTCCTCGTCGATATCTTGATTCACCGAGTTATATTTCATCCCTGCATCTCCCTGCGATGTCCCCTCTGCCCCCCTGCATCGATAGACCGATATATGTCAAGGCCGCGGGTTTCAAGTGGTAGAGGTGGATTCCGGCGGCGGCTCAAGCTCGGAGCAGGCTGCAATAGGCGCCTCACGGCACTGCGACGGCCCGAGAAGTCAGCGGGCGACCGGCAGCGGAGGGGCGTGGGGAAGCCTGAGCGGAGAGATTTGCGGAATCCATCTTGAGCGTGAAGCGGCGGAAAGTCGTTGAGAACACGGCTAACCACCGCTAGGATGCTTGAATCAACAAGGGGAGGTGGGTGGGATGAAAAGGAGTGAGAGGCTGTAGGTGCAGGAACAGGCTGGCGCTTAAGGCGCCTATTCCTCTCGCTTAGTAAGCACTAGTTTGACTTAGCGCTCGCGAGCTCGCTGCTAAGCCACACTCCACTCTACTCAGTGGCCGCATTCCTCTCGCTCTACAGGCCTCAGGTATTAAAGAACGAATTACACCCTCCGGCATGGGCCTCCAGTTTTCTCTCATCCTTACCTTCCACCGTATTCATTCTCAACTCAGACGACTCATGAGCGACCAGCCTCCCGAATACTCCTGGGCCGACAACTTTTCGAAGGAACGCGTATCTTACATAGGCCTTCCCGTCGATACTGTCATCAATGACTACCAACACCGGGGCTGGCTCGCGCGCGACCTGTACATTAGCGTGCTTAAATTCTACAAGCACGACAAAGGCGTCGAACACGAGTTCTTAATCGGTACCGTCGTTAACTCTGCTGGGAAGGAGGTCGGATTTATCTTGGTCGAGCGCCAAGGAGCGAGGATTGGTCGGGGTGCTTCCGCGAAGCCATTGAACGCCGCATTGGGTTCTTCCGGTAGTACTGCTGCTCCTCCTGCCAATGACGTTCTGTTTATGGGACGAAAACGTGGCGCTCTGCTTTACCTCGCCGGTCGCACTGCCAGGTCTACTGTACACGGCTCATACACAGTGCCGCCGGAAGAGCGTGCAGAATCCGTCGCCTCCCTCCTTGCGGCTTGTTTTGTTGCTCACAAAATTAAGGAGAAGTATGATGCCTTCGAGACTAACTGTTATTGGTTTGCCGGCGTAGTGTACAATCTGGTTACGGGCGACAACATCAATATCAACTCGGACAGCACGCGCACAGTGCCGATTGTGCGTGATGCTCTGCCCGCGGGTGATACTCAAGCCGAGCCTCGCTCTCTTCCCGAGGAGGATATCCAGGTTGAGCCTCGTTCTCTTCCCCCCCAGGCAGGTGGTGCTCAGTCTGAGGATAATATTCAGGTAAAATGACATTCTCTTCCCCTCGTTAGTCGCAGTCTGATTCTCAATCCCAGATTGTGCAGGACGATTCTCAGTCTCGGGTTCCTCAGCGCTCGAAAATAGGGCACTTTGGATCGCTTACCATTGTTCGTCCTGCGGACATCAGAGCTGATGCGGATGAGATACGGGCCGACTTCAGGAAAAAGAGGGAAGAAATAGTGAGTGCACAGAAGTACTTTGGGAAATGGCCGGAGGAGTTGGCGCATCAGACGGCCAGGGCGAACATGGCGGACGCGAGAGCGGACACAGCGGAGAGGCTGAGAAAGGAGAAGATCGCGAGGGCAGACACGTTGGCGAAGGAGAACGCGAGAGCAGGCGCGAGGGTAGACAGGTTGGCCAAGGAGAATGCCGAGATGGCGAAGAAACTTGCACAGCTTCAAGAGGCATACACCAAAGATGCAGCTGGTGCATCGGGTGTGACGGAAACGCGCACTACGCCTCCGTCTAGTCGTTCCAGCATGGCTTCCGCGTCTAAGAGAGCTGTGTAAGTGTTTCCGCCTTCTGTCTTGATCTATGTAAGCTGATACTATTGTTCTGATTTTCCAGCTGATACCGTCGATGTGAAGGTATGTACCATGTCACGGATCGTGCTTTCTGTGGTCTCATCATTGCTTAGCCCTTCGTCGTTGATAAGCGCGCTCTGTGCTCGTCTTCCCATCTCGTCGAGTTTTCGGATCCCTCTATGATCTCTGTATTTCCTTGACATACATGCTTTCATTTTTTTTGCGCTGCGGATCTTTCTCTTCTACTCACGCCGTCTCCGTCAGCTGTACTTCGTATCTTCTACTCGTGAACGTGCTCTCCTTTGTCCTCTTGCTCTCGTCGTCTTAACTTTCCGCTCTGATTCTGTAAAGATATTTTCATCGATACCTATGCTCTTGTGGCCTTCGCGCGTGTAACCTCTGTACTATTAGTATTCCAATGTGTTCTTGCTTAGAATATAAGCCGATGTCTGTCGCATTTGCTGCTGATTGGCATTCTGGTCCACTCTGATTATTCCTGATCAAGCTTGCGTACGGCGAGGTAGAAATTATCTGGCTGGTCATATAATACGGTACAACCTGAACCCATTGTTGCCGGTCGGTAGGCACTGGCAGCGCGGTGACGCGACGACTACTCACGGCCTACATGTTGGAGGTGTGCGGATTAGCAATCCGGCATCTACGGAAAGGTTCGGGAAAGGTCCGTAGGGTTAGGATTAGTAAGGACAATGTCTCGAGAACAGTCTGGTAGTTTCTAGTCTTTTAGTTTACAGTATATAAGGAGCTCAACAGGCTTCTATGTACACTACCAGATGAGCCGGGTACCGGACGGATGACCAGGACCGGAGTTACGTGGTGGATAACCGTCGGGTACCCACCAGAGGGTTTTGACACAGTACCCACTGTGTAAATAATATAGTTAACTGTAGTTTAACCAATGATGGCTATCTCGCAAGTAAACCGGGGATATACATAACGTACCCACTGGGTACCGGACCGGTAGCTGGCTCTGGTTACCCAGCGGGTAACTGAAGCTGTATACCGTGTCGGTATCCGCTGAGCAACTCGCATGTGTCTAGCACGCAACCTGTGGTCCCGGCAGGGGATCACAAGAGGCAGGTTACACTGCCATATAATTGCACAATATTACTACATTACAGTACTGTACAGGAATACACAGCATGTAAATACATGGTTAGAAAACTAAAAGGTAGATAGGATGGGCTGGAAGGCAAGTGAGAGCGATAGCACGTTGGCGGCCCCGGATGGCGGGAGGAGCGCAGCAGGGGGTTCGAGCTTCACAGAGGCCAGCAAGGTGCTGCAAGCTATGGTTCCATCCTGTGAGAAATTCCACTGTAAAGGTACTTCAGGAGCTCACCAGTAGCAAATTTGCAAGCCGAGTCACGCTAAGCCTCACGCAAGCCGCCCTTCCCATTGCTCCCCACTCGCGTTTGCACTCTGCACGTCAATGCAGCTCGGCTGGGATAGATGATGTCACTTCCAGAAATATGGGAATATCATACCTTCAAGATCAAACATCGCAAGGAAAGAGAGGTCGACCGAGAACGCGCGTGCAGTACCAGTGAGAAATTGCTAAGTCCAAACGCCCATGTTGATCTTCAACAAGCCAAACAAAACACAACAAATGACGGGAGCTCTCGCCGCCCGTCGGATTCAAAGTTCTGCTTTCGTTCTTACGTCTTATATTTTGTTGGAGGCTTCGGGATGACCTTATTAGTCAATCCGGAGCATCCAGGTAGTCGGGCGATATTCCCCGATATCTTATTCAGCATCGAAGGATACAGTAGCTACGAGAACTATGTAGTATGTTCTGGACTAGTCTACTGGTGTAGTATATAAGGAGGGACCTCTTGCAGGTCCCACTAATAATATCTCTTCCCTAAATCACTCACTCGGAGGAATTCATACGAGCTGCGCTAATAGGTTATGAGCCCCGCTAGCTTATAGCTTATACTTTACCAGCTTCTACTTACTTGTTACACACTCTGACTATCGGTAGTTACAATGTCGAGTACTACCGAATCTCGTGACAGCCTGTCGTCCTTGTTCCGAATCGAGCAACTTCGCGATGACAACTGGCTCCCATGGAAGCGCCGTACTATGGCGATCTTGAGGGAGCGCGGTGTCTTGAAATATGTCGATGGAACATCGGAGAAGCCGAAGCCGGCAAATGCAACAACACCAACGGCAGGAGAAACGGCGGTGATCACGAAATGGGTTGAGGGCGATCAAAAAGCCCAGACCGTTATCGAGCTGCTGTTGAGCGACTCGCAGATGATACACATTGCGGATGCTACAATGGCTGCGGAGATGTGGAACCAATTGAAGTTAGTAAAGGAGGCGAGTGGACAACTGGGGATAATGGCGTACCGAAGGAAATTCTATCGCACAGTTGCCACGGAAGGCAGCGATATCGCAGCGCATATCACGGAGCTCCGCCGGACACAGGAGCAGCTACACATGATGGGTAGCAAGGTGTCGGATGACGAATTTCGAACGATCCTGATCACATCGTTACCGGAGTCTTGGGACCAGTTCACATCTGCGTACCTGGGTGCAACAAGCCAGAAGGACAAGTTGCCGACATCGCATGAATTGATAGCCATCTTGCTCGAAGAATACCGGCGCCGGCGAGAGAAAGGCGGTGCCGACGAGTCTGCGCTGGCAGCACGCGGGCGGTGGACCCAGCCAAAGAATACCGCACAGGGCGGAACGGACAGGAAGTCCGACGCGGAGTGCTGGAATTGCCACAAGCGTGGACACACTCAACATGAGTGTTGGTCGAAAGGTGGCAACAAGGCGGGTCAGGGACCGCGAAGTAAAAAAGAAGGCCGTGCGCAGGCGCACACGAACCAGGCACAGTCAACAAATGACGTGCTGCGAGATGTCGCGTTCCGCACAGACGAGGCAACCTGTGCCGGGCAACAATTTAGTAGTCAGTTCTCGCGTTATGACTAGCTAGCTGACTCTGGAACGACATCACATGTTACGAACCTTCGTGACGCGATGACAGACTATGTGCCGCTTGAGGCCTCTTCGATTGCCAGGATCGGAGACCAGAGTGTGCGCGCTCTCGGGCGTGGCACTGTGGAAGTCAATAGCAGGATCAGAGGCAACACATGTACTTTTTGCTTGAAAGATGTCCTGTACGCACCGAAAGCGACAAATAATTTGGTGTCGCTGAGCCGCCTGGATGAAGCGGGTGGACACTTTGATGGCGGTGCCGGAGGAATAATGCTGCGAGAAAGCAGCGGCCACATCATCGCGCAAGGCCGAAAAGTCGGCCGATTGTACTTGCTCAACATGCGGGCCAAGGCTGCTATGCCGAGTGAAGAGCACGCGAACATTGCGCGCGACGATAGCGACTCGTGGGAGTCGTGGCACCGGAGATATGGACACCTGGGATTCACAGGGTTAGAGAAGCTCTACAAGGAAAACTTGGTGGAGGGACTCACCGTTGATGAAAACTCGATGCCACTGACACAGTGCGAAGCCTGCATACAAGCTAAGCAGGCGCGTCGTGCATACCCGAAGGAGGCGGAGGACCACTCCCAGATGCCAGGCGAGTTGACGCATAGTGACGTCTGGGGCCCCGCACGTGTAGTATCGATCGCCGGATCGCGTTACTACATATCGTTCACGGACGACTGCACGCGGAGGTGCCAAGTCCTGTTCATGAAACATAAAAGTGAGGCTTTTGAAAAATTGAAAGAATACCTCACCTTTATTGAACGACGCTTCGGGCACCTGCCGAAGATCGTGCGTGTTGACAATGGGTCCGAGTACATCAATAAAAACCTGAAAGGGTGGTGCCGTGAGAAAGGAATTGAGCTGCAAACAACAGCACCATACTCACCTTCGCAGAATGGTGTAGCTGAGCGATTTAATCGCATGCTATTGGAGCTTGCTCGCGCAATGTTGATTGCGAGGAAGCTTCCAAACTTCCTCTGGGCGGAAGCTGTTGCATACACAGCATACCTGCGAAATCGAGCGCCGACGAAAGCACTGCGCGGGAAAACTCCGGAAGAGGCGTGGACGGGCAAGAAGCCCAATGTCGCGCACCTACGAGAATTTGGGTCAGATGTCTGGATTCTGACGGAAGGCCAGAATCTCTCGAAACTTGAGCCAAAGTCGAAGAAACACACCTTTGTAGGTTTTGCTGATGGCCCGAAGGCCGTGCGCTACTACGATGTGGGTGCGCGCTCGATCCGAGTCTCGCGAAATTTTGTATTCGTGGATGCCCCGAACCCAGCAAGCAATGTTCCTGTACATCAGCTTGATGACAGTGACAGGCTGCCGCTTGAGGGGGAGTCAGGGGGAGCTGTCAAGCAGCAGCCTCCCACATCTGCATCAAAACCAGCATCAGTACCTGTCAAAGCTGATCAGTCTAACAAGAAACACGATGGAAACTACATTACAGAGGAAGACTTACCTCCCGAGATACAGGAGAGCATGCGAGAGCGACCGACATTCTTGCCTGCACCCCCGAAGATCCCTCTTCGTCGTACGACCCGCGCTACGCAGGACCACGACTATCGAAGGATGGATAACCCCCGCGCGCAGCCCGCGAAGTCGCGCGAGCCGCCGGGAGTGCCGAAAGAGAACGCACCTGGTGAGAGTGCGAAAGTCGCCGTGACGCCCGAAGAATTTGAAGAGATCGCGCAGGCGCTGTATGCGACAGCACTGGCATCGGGCGACAGAACGGCGAGTGCGGGAGATGAGCCGCGAAGCCTCGCGGAGGCCCAAGCCTCTCCGGAATGGCCAGAATGGGAAAAGGCTGTAAAAGCGGAATATGATCAGTTGCAGGGCATGGGGACTTGGGAGCTACAAGACTTACCAAAAGATCGAAATGCTGTGGGCTGCAAGTGGGTCTTCCAGAGGAAAACCAACAAGGAGGGTCAGGTTGTCAAGTACAAAGCCAGATTGGTGGCACAGGGGTACTCACAGATCCCAGGGATGGATTTCCTTGAAACCTTTGCCCCTGTAGTTCGTCTTGAGTCCATCAGGGCCATCCTAGCATTAGCAGTAGTTAATAACTGGGAAATAGGCCAGATGGATGTTAAGGGAGCTTACCTGAATGGAGACCTCCAGGAGGAGATCTACATGCGACAGCCAGAAGGCTTCGATGACGGAAGTGGACGCGTTTGTCGACTCCGCAAGACGCTCTACGGACTAAAGCAGTCCGGGCGCGAATGGAACTGCAAGCTGCATCGCGAGCTGACGGAGCTCGGGTACAAGCGGCTGGAGGCAGATCCATGTGTATACCTGCGGGAGCGAAAGGAAGGAGAAGTTCAGATTATCACGGTATGGGTGGATGACTTACTGTTATTCACCAACTCTCCGAAGCTCATGGAGGAGCTCAAGCGCGACCTGCAGGACCTCTTCGAAGTCACGGACCTTGGTGAGCCGCAGAAAATTGTTGGGATTGAAATCGAGCGAGATAGGGAAGCGGGAAAAATCCAAATCTCGCAACAGCACTACATCGAGAGCATTCTCAAGCGATACCAGCTTGAGAACGCCAACGCTGTAGGGATGCCGCTCGATCCGAATGTGGCGTTCACGGCAGAGGACGAGAACGAGGAGGCGGACGACCGTTTGGCGGGAGGTTACGCGTCGATGGTGGGATCGCTGATGTACGCAGCAGTGGGAACAAGGCCAGATATTTCCTATGCTGTGCAAACGCTGAGCAAATATACAGCGTGCCCACGACCTGTCCATTGGACAGTGGCAAAACGCGTTCTACGGTACCTCGCAGGAACACGTGACTTGCACGTCACGTACACGCGACGCGATTCGGACGCGCCGAACGGAAATATAATAGGAGGATATACGGACGCGGATTATGCATCAGATCATGACCGAAAATCAGTCTCGGGTCATGTCTTTTACTTGGGAGGTGGAGCCGTAGCATGGAGTTCGAAGAAACAAACAACAACGGCAACATCCTCGACAGAAGCCGAGTATACAGCACTCGCGCACGCGACACGTCAAGCAATATGGCTGCGAAACTTACTGGCAGAACTCGGGTTTGCACAAGAAGAACCCACAGAAATTTATTGTGATAACCAGGCAGCGATCGCGATAGCACGCGACCCGCAGTATCACGCGCGGTCAAAGCACTTTGACGTGCAGAATCATTTCGTGCGCGAAAAGGTGGAAAATGGTATTATTCAATTGTGCTACTGTCCTACAGATGAGATGGTAGCAGATGTATTTACTAAGGCCCTACCCAAGCCTAAGCACCAAAAGTTCACATTGGAACTTGGGATGCTTCCGGCTTGAGGGGGAGTGTTGGAGGCTTCGGGATGACCTTATTAGTCAATCCGGAGCATCCAGGTAGTCGGGCGATATTCCCCGATATCTTATTCAGCATCGAAGGATACAGTAGCTACGAGAACTATGTAGTATGTTCTGGACTAGTTTACTGGTGTAGTATATAAGGAGGGACCTCTTGCAGGTCCCACTAATAATATCTCTTCCCTAAATCACTCACTCGGAGGAATTCATACGAGCTGCGCTAATATATTTACTTAGCCTGCCGGTAAATATTGGCCTCATTGAAACCCAAACATCCAATGGAGGACCTTTTGAGAAGCATGCATAGGGAGGGAGACTCAAACATGATGCCGACAGCGACAGCGACAGCAATATTTGCGCGCCGAATCCCCGCCCCCGCCGACTGTACGCACGCGTACTACGACGGCAACAGCAACAGCGGCATGGGCTGAGAGAGATATTATGAACATGCTTAAGGAAATCTTGACAGATTTGCACCATCAACACCGAAAATATTGTAGTCTGATAGGCAATGTCGTACAGCATGGATGCTTGCCGGTACCACACAGTTACCCAATGGGTACCCAGCGGATAACTGACACTGGGTACCCACCAGTTACCCAATTCCAGTTACCCACCCGGTAACTGTACCATGGCGCCAGCCGGTAACCGCCAGCTACATAGAAAGTAACTAGTGGATGACTACAAATTAACTAACAGTAGGTAAACACCAGGTATCCAAACCATATACCGGATGGTTAGCTGAGTTTAGTTACGGACTATATGCTTGATATGTAACCGGCGGTTACATGCTAACTACCGGCCAAATGTTTTCGGACCCAGTATCCGCCCGGTACCCGCGTCGCCTGGTGGTGTAGTTAAGCCAATTTCTATTCTCTTCTACTCGTAGCCCGAGGCGCAGTTGCTTACACTACAATTATCGTTGATAGCATACGATCTGTGGCATGAAGACCTTACTTCACATCAACAATAGGCTGTCCTTGTTTCAACATAGATCTGTTCTTTTCTGCTTCCTAACTCACTCTGCCTCGAGTATCATGCTCCCGGCGACGCACAAGACTTACTCGATTAGGACGCCATATTCACCGCTCTCCCACGCTCAACACATGTGTTGATTTTGCGGCGCGGTATGTAGAATATCTCCGGCTAGATAGATATCGGTCTCCTCCACTTAGTGGCACTCCGTGGTAAAAAATTTGTCCGCGCTGCAGGTGCGCGCTCGTAGTTGGATGAACAACGTCGAAATCTGACTCCCATCGCGTGCTTCCAGGCAACTCCGCAATCTACGAATTTTCCTACAGGATGAGTCTAAATCTGAATTCCGGCGCATGCTCTACGTGTTGGAAGATATCTCATAAGCCGGCGACTCCTTGCTATCCTGCTTTTGACCGCGTGACGTATCCCACTACTGACGTGGGGGCCATGGGTTTGCTCATTTCTCCAACGTATCCGCCCTACACAACTTAGAAGTCGTAATTATCTACCGTACTGGGTGAGTCTCGGAGGACGTCGAATGTAGGTACGTCACGCGCATTACCTGCCTATATCAATTCAGCTGACCGCAACACGACAGAACCCACAACAGAACGAATCAGCATCGCCACAGCACGAAGCCTGCACAGCCCTATGCGGAGGGAGACACTCGTCGACGCCGGACCTGCCGTGCTTGCGGTGGGATTTCAGTGGCGAACCGACTGCGCTGACCCCATTAAGAGGTCTATCGCTATGCGCACATACGACCCCCGAGTCGGAATCGGAGTAGCACGGAGTTCACGTTTGGTTGAAGGTGGCATGGGATTGCATGTTGGCCTACAATAGCCCTCATCAAGGTTGAAAAGAGATGAGTGGCCAATATCTCAACGGTGTATTCATGCATGTTTGTACACCTTGTTCAATCAATCAGTGCGAGAGGACAGCTGAATCGAGCGAAAACACGATCACGGCGGGCCCCATGCAGTGCCACAGACGAGGATCTTCAAGAGAGTCGTTGCTTGAGTACAACTTAAGCAACAACTGTCATGACGATCCTTCTCTGCCATCTAGCATGACGGAACCCTTATTGGTCACCAAACCTCTGTTCCACTTGGTTGCCGGTGGGGATAGAATTTGAACGCGGTCCCTACTGAGTGAATCAACGACGCCGAGGATCCAAACATGATAATACGCACTTACGCGTCTCATCCGTGGATGTGTCGCCTTCATGCTCAGTGCCCCTTGAGAATTGAACCATCAGCGCAACTTTAATAGATGATTCCGAAGTTGCAGGGCCCATGGCAGCAGCATTTGTATATCTGCGTGCTCTTTCCGAATCAACACTCTTCGGCCAAGGTGCATGATCTCCGGTCTTAGCGGGGTGATGTCTTAACTCACCATCGTATCAGTCAGCCGGAGATTGTGCCATGGCAAGTCTAATCCGCGCGATCAGGCCTGAATCAGTGCTCGCTGCGTGATGGATGACATGTACAGTATCCATATTCAAAGAGCTCACCTGAGTAGGTACCTCTGTGCAGTCCGAGGCACCGAGTCAGCTGCAACTCCAGAGGCATCGAGTCTTACATCTACTCGGCATTTCTGGAGGTAAGTTCTCAGCCATTGCCGCGGGTGACTAAAGTTCACCAGGTCGGGCCTGCGTGCTCCAGCGCTGAACAAAATCTAAGAGACGGTGACTCAGCCGTTCAGTGCACGTGGGCGCGTCGAATATTGCAATACGCGTGAGTCATCGACGCGTTGTCCCGCGTCGGATCTCTCACGATGACGTCGACGAAAGTCATTCGTCCACGTCATCCATACGGTGCACTCACGGGGATATGCACCGTGCACCCAGCAACGTGATTCCAGCATCTAAACACTGCAGGACCAACAACACATCATATTCGGGAGGACTATACCCGCGGCCGTCCTCCCCGCCATGCACGCTGTATGCGCCAACCGCCGAATTCCGTCCTTCGGCCGCGCGTGACGCGACAACTCCGAATCCGCAGAGCGAACGCGAGCGCACGGTGCGCACAGTCCATGCAGTCGAGCCCGTCGGCAGCGGGAATCGCATGGTCGCTTTCCGGGCACCGCAGGTGGGGGAAGCTGCCAGTTGCCCCACTTCGCGCGCTGACCGTAAATACAAATTCTCGAGCAGAATCCCCCACACACGAGTTCCAAGACGTTCCATTCCGTTCATTAGAACACGCGAGGGATGCGACGGGCGTCGCGGTAGACGTACGATACAGAGCACACTCAGAGACGACGACGACGACAACGAGAAATGCGGAAGAGTAGAGAGTGTAGGGTAAGTAGATGCTATTACAGACAGGACGCGTTGTAAACCAGACTACATGACGGGGGCTCGAATAAATAAACGAGCAAACAGCTGCAGCAGCTTCGAGTGGGGCCACGTGAAATGGGGTTATGTGCACAAAGTCGAAAGCGGAGCGGGGGAATGGAGGGGAGCGGCGGGCTGCGCCTCGACCCGCGACGCCCCCGTTGGCACCGTGTACCAATGGCGTGGGCCGAATACGGGCGTGTGGCGCGGGCGATGTGTCCGCGTGCGCAGACGAAGACGCAGGGGAGCGAGGGAAGGCGGACGGTGCGCGCGACGCCTACGCCATCACCTGCGTTGTTATTGGCCGAGTCCCGAACGACTGATGTGGCCGGCAGCCTGTCGCCGCTGGTCCAGGTCTCGACACCGCCGTCGAATGCGAGAACATCGACTTTGCCCGTGGTAATGAGAAGCTCGGAAGGGGAAGCCCGTGGAAGAGGCTCAGCGCGGTCGACACTTGCGGGTGTATCTGCACCGCGTCGCGCTGTGGATGCGAGGGCGAGGGCGAGTGTGACAGCGACGCCTTGACGGGGTAGACCGCGACGTGCGCGTGTGCGGGCGTCCGCGGGCCCGAGGACGTCTCGAAGCTGGATTCCGAGTCCATGTCGACGTCCGTCTCGGAGCTGTTGTCGCTCCACCTCGAGCGAGACGGCTCCCGGACTCGGATATGGTGGTGGTGGTGATGGTGGTGAGGGTGCGCGCCGACGAGGGCGGAATGGTGGGCGAGGAGATCGGCCTCGGAGACGCCGAGCTCGAAGTCAAGGACGTCCAGAAACTCGCGCTCGATCCGCCCGATGTCGCGCTTGCCGAAGACGCCCGTGCAGAGCGCCCAGTGCACGTTCTTCAGCGTGGAGTCGTTCAGATACTGCGAAGCGAGGTCAGCACGCGTCACACGACGTCAGCGAGGGAGACGCACCTTGTTGGCGACGATGAGCGCGCCGAGGAAGACGCGCTCGCAGGCCCACTGCTCGAGCGCGATCTGGATGTGTGGTTTCGCGCGGTGGACGTAGACGAGGGTGGTGAGCAGCACGGGGACGGGGACCTCCGCCTTTGCGATGACGTCCGTGACAAAGCGGGTGAACTTGGTGTGCTCCGTGTGGCGGGAGAGCGAGCGTCCGCGGGATGAAGAGGCTCGGCCGAGGGCGTAGTCGACAGTCTCGACGGGGGCATGTTGTGCGGTGGATGGAGTGGTGAAGAGACGGGCGCCTATTGATCGACGATCGCGAGCGGGTTGACTCGCAGTGTGCTGTGTCTACGTCATAGATCGCGGTCTCTGGCTCAGCAAGTCGCAGAGATTAATTCGAGACTCTGTGCATATAGTAGATACTAGGGGGGCACACTGGGCACACTGTGTACTCGACCACCCGCGGGCGCTTGTTCTCCCCCCGCGCTGGATCGGTTGCCCTCCCCTGCTCTGTTCGTTCCGCTGCTCTACCATGTACATCTCTGGCTACTCTGTCGACCCTCCCTCCCTCGTCCTGCTGGCTGCTCCACCTGCTTTCTCGGTGTGTCACTGCTCCTGCCTCCTCGAGAAACCGGCTCATGACGCGGCTCTCGATCCCCCCCGGACGTCGATCTCCACGCTCGATCGCGCGATCTTCCCGCTTTTCGCGTTCTGTCGCCTTTTCTCTGCTGGGTGGGAGGTGGGGCGAGTGTTAGAGCGCGTCTGGATGGGAGGATAAAGGCTCAATGGTGAGTACTTGACTCCTCTGCGCGAAATGACCTGTACTCACCCACGGTCGTTCACGTGCAGGACGCGCCCCAGAACGCGCACGGAGGGCAAATTCGGGTGCCCTCGAGTGTCGGAGAACGCGGGTGGAGGGCGCACGATGAAAGACGCGCGTTGGCGCTCCCTGTAGCGCGAGGTGCAAGACTCGACCTCAACGGACCACCAGTGCCAGCCAGGAGGTGCGGGCCATCGACATAAGACGGAGGTGTGCCAGTTGTGGCAAAACACGCAACTTCGGCCCTTTGCCCGCCATCTTTCGACATCCCCGGCCTCGCGGGGGCGCACGAGGCCTGAAAACGCGCGGTGAGTTTTCGCATTTCAAGATCTGATCCACCGGAAACTTACTGTATGAACTGCGGGCGTGCGATGCGCTGCCTCTGCGGATGCTTTCAACATCGACGAACGGGCGCTACACGTCGCGGACTCGCTGTCTCGAAGAAACGACGGAGCGGCCGCACCCTAGCTCTGAAAACACACCGTGAGTCTTCGAATTTTCAGATCTGACCGCGGAGCACTCACCCTCTCAGCCGGGGTGCGCGATTCTCAACCCAGGGCCCCGAGCACATACCCTCTGGCAATGCGGATGGTTCTGACCCGGCCCAACTCGGCGTTGTGGTATCGACGACACAGCACAGTGCCGCGCTGTGCATCTTCGTGCACCGACCCTGCAGATGACGATCCACGAGGGAAGTAGTGCACGGCCCACCGACGTGCCCCGCCGGACCTCCCGCTGCTGAGAAGGGCGCGTCAGTGATGACGCGCAACATGGCCTCTCGAAGACACTCACGACGAAGCCCGCCGCGGCCAGGATCACGACACCATGCACACAATCCACCAGGAGACGAGGATGGAATCGATGCGTTCCCTCTTCGAGCGCGGTGACGCTCGCCGCTGGGCCTCTGTCCCGCAAATTCGGAGGCTTCAGGAACTGCAAAATCCAAACGTCGGCGAGATCACGCGGAATTGAACGCCCACGGGGACCCACCAAGTTCGCGAGGCGCGGCGCAGCAACTCAAGCAGCGCTGCAGCATTCATCCACGCAAGATACGCCACGGACAAAAAAATGACCGGTGGACGTGATGCGGCGCTTCGCGCCGCGGTTTGCACACATCGATGACGGCCAGCGCAAGCCAGTACTCGGCCAGCCGTCACTTCACCCATCGAGGCGTGGTGACGCTCGCCGCTGGGCCTCGATCCTGAAAAATTGGAAGCCACAGGACCTGAAAACTCGAACGTCAGCGAAGGCACGGGAGATATAATGAAAACGGGGACTCACCACACTCACGACAAAGAGCGGCCAGCACCGGGTCGTGGTGATACGCACGGGATGCGCGGGCACTCGAACTCGCCCCGCCACCGCGCACGCAACGACCCCTCCAGGGACGACCACGAAGAATAGGTGCCCGTGCACCCGTCACATGCTCCCTCACGGCCTGGTGACGCTCGCCGCTGGGCCTCGATCCAGAAAAATTGGAAGCCTCAGGACCTGAAAATTCGAACGTCAGCGAGGGCACGGGAAATCTAATGCAAATGGGGACTCACCACGCTCGCCATGAGGAGCAGCGCGGTCTTATGGTGATAGACACGGCATAGGCGGGCACTTGGACTCGCCTGAACGAGGTATGTCAAAGGACGGTGTATGGAGATGGGGCGGCGCTTCGCGCCGCCACGCCCGCAACCACTCCTCCAGCGAACATCGCGAGGGATCGGTGCCTGCGCACTCGACAAATTCTCCCTGGTGGCTGCGTGACGCTCGCCGCTGGGCCTCGATCCTGAGAAATTGGAAGCCTCAGGACCTACAATTTCGAACGTCAGCAAGGGCACGGGAGATCTAATGAAAACAGGGACTCACCACACTCACGAGAATGAGCAGCACCGGGTCGTGGTGATATGCACGGGACGGACGGGCACCTGGGACTCGCCCGCAGGAGGTACTTTCCACAAAAGACGGTGTACGAAGACGGGGCGGCGCTTTGCGCCACCGCGCCTGCAACGACACCTCCAGAGAACATCGCGAGGAATCGGTGCCCCTGCTCCGTCGCATTCTCCCTGGTGGCTGCGTGACGCTCGCCGCTGGGCCTTGATCCAGAAAAATTGGAAGCCACAGGATCTGAAAATTCGAACATCAGCGAGGGCACGGGAGATCTAATGAAAACAGGGACTCACACTCACGAAAACGAGCAGCACCGGGTCGTGGTGATACGCACGCGATGGGCGGGCACCTGGACTCGCCCGAATGAGGTACGTTGCACGAAAGACTCTACAGAAGCGCCACCGCGCCCGCAACGACTCCTGTGGGGATCACAATGAAGGATCGGTGCCCGTGCACCCGTCGCATTTCTGCTCGTGGCCCGGTGACGCTCGCCGCTGGGCCTCGATCTGCTAAAATCTTAGGCAAGCCTGCAGCAAAAAAATGAATGTCAGTGTCATGTCCGTGGACCTAAGCCCGTCTCGTACGTACTGCAGTGGATCATGCACATCCAACACACTGCTGTCGGTGTTGCATACTCGGAGCAAAGTTCATGAAGAACACTCTCGTGTTAGATGCTACCAGCATGATAACACTCGCCGCTGGGCCTGTAGCGCACGAGATTCACAGCCTATATGGCACAAAATTGCCAGGTTAGTGACCACGCGCAAGATTTAAATTCATAGGCACTCACGGTGGTGTGTACGCGAGCAAGTATGGTGCGACGCGCCACTGGTCGTGATGACATTTCGCGAGCATCCTCCTGCTGGGAAGGTGTAGGAGATCGGACAAAGCTTACAATGCGGCATCGAGCACATATAACATAGTGCAACAATGCTTGCGACTGCGTCTTGCATCGTCAGATTGTATCTCACCTGTTTAGGTAGGTAGGTATCAGTGGATTTGGACACGACTGGTCCCAAGGCGGGAAAACACATACCAAATCATTGGTGGAATTTGTCGCTTGAAGTTAAAGGAGCAGTCCGCAGTTGAGCACCTGGAGCACTTCACACCATGGGTTGATTTTCCTGAAGGTGAGTGTTGACATAGAAATTGGGGTTTTGTATGGTGGCTAGGAGATCAAAAGTCGAGTTACACAGGAGATGTTGGTATTGTTGGGGATGTTGAAGAGAGAAGAAATGGTGAGAGGATGAAGGGGAGCGAAAAGTGAGGAAGATCCCACGTCAAAAATTGGATGCTGTTTGTAACCGAGATGGACTGATGGCACTACCGCATGCATGGCAACACAATTCCATTCATCTGATGTTCCGTCTTCACATGATTTGCTGATGGCAAGATTGGGTCATCTTGCCGACTTCTGTTTGCAGAGAATCCAAACATCAGGCTCACAGAATCTCCGCCACAGCCTCCGGCTTCTTCAATGGTGCATACGGGATTGTGGCGGCTGACTACAGCGGGTTCTGCAACCAAGCAGGTGAGAATGGACTGATGTTTTGCAAACAAGCCCAGAGTGTCAACATGGATACCGATGAAATATTCATGGTGACACCCTGGGTTGGTTTACAAAACATTCGGATCTACAGCAGCTAATTGTATGTCTACAGGTCTAGATATTTTTATTTCACCCTAGTATGCTTACCTTTGCAACTTCGCTGCACAACTCAGTCGGAGATCAGACCACTGGCAGGATCCAGTGAGGTCAGTGTGTTGTAGAGTAGATAGAATGTGAGATCCAGCCATGTTAGTATTGTAATTTTCGGATCAGACAGTGGCTGGACGGAGAACGACAATGGACATTTTTGCAAATGGAGCCGTAGTACTGCGGCTGAAGTGCATGAGAATGTCGAGGCACATGGATCAGACAAGCACTGCGAATGACAACGACACCTGGCTTCTGTACCCACGGCACTGGTGCCCTCTCACCGAATTCCTTATCAACTCACATGAAAACCTGGGTGGCTCAAGCTGAGAATCTGTCCAGTAATAGGCAATTGGTCACACATTGGATTCAATACAGGCATCCATGCAACTGTTATGGTTCACCGACAGGAATGAGGCTGTTTGCGAGAGGAGCGAGGAATCACAAGATGCACATTTTGAAGGCATCCGAGTGGACTGTAGGTCACTTGAGCCTCCTCGTGTTGCAGGCAATTAAGTATTGTATCCTGTAGTCAGCCATGTTAGTAGATATTCACGAGCACATTATAATGTGCTTTTGAGTTTTCTGAGCAGCTTTGTGCTGTGCAAACACCAAGGTTCAGGCTTGTTCCAGCAGGACTGCTTGGAAATACGGCTCAGAACAATCACCGCATCAAGAACATGACTGGCGATGTTTGATATGGTGCTACCAAGAACATGTAGAATTAAAATATCTGCCAGTAGCCTGAGCCGGCCGATCTGCGGAGGTTAGAGCATACTGTCTGTACACATGTCGAATCGGTCAGGCTGCTATAGATCGGGCACCTACAATCTCGGACATGCAGCCACTTGCGGGGCGCCCAGAGCAAGCGCTAGAACCCAGGCCGACACGAGGCTCCTGAACGCTCAGCATTTTTCACTGCCACGCTGTCAATGTGCCACCTATCTTCTCTGTCGATCCACTGACCGGCACTCATTCTCTTTGCTTTCTCTTCTCTATTTCACAACTTCATGCCTTGGACATCCTGTGGCAACTACATACCCCTCGCAGGCCTTGTAATTGGCCGAATACACGAAATTGAGCGGACAAGCCAGAAGGTGGGTTGAAACACTTCGGCAGGTTCAGCAGTCGGCACGCGCACGAATTGCCTCCGATCACGCGGGATTCGGCTAGAAATTAGCGAAGCACAATTTTCGTGGACTCTCGTTAGGAAGATTCGGAGAGGAATTCAATTGGCTCTTGGGACGGCTGTATGAACAGTGGGAGAACTTAGGGTGGTTACGGGTGTGTCACTCGGATCAGCGGTTGTTACTGATGGGCCGCATGATCTCCCACAGCTGCAATTGGACAAATAATGCAGTCGAACGATGAGGAATTTTGACAGGGCTTGCGCACGGACCACCCGGAGGAGTATAAAGGCAGGCAAATCCTCCACTATTCCCTCATCAGCCTCCCTCTCCACTTCTCCTCCTCTGTCCTTGCTTTGACACCTCTCTCTGCATCTCTCAATTCCGCCGCTCATCATGGTCTTCTTATCTCCCCATCGTCTTGAGTCCACTGAGCAATCTCGACAGTCAGTCGGTCACTGATTTTCACCCGTATATGAAGACTACTCCATGCTTGCAGAGATGTGATGCCGCAGGCGATGCTTAGGTATGATGCTTGTTCATATCAATTTGGTGAATACTAATGCATTCTTCTGTCTTGCTCTAGATTATTTACCGAGATGTGCCTCCGCTCGCCGTGAAATTCCAAGGCAAGATTTATATTGGTATTGTACACTAGGTCCGATCGTTGTCGTGATGCCTTGTACAGGGCAGATTACACTCTCAGAGCATTTGGTGATGTTCACACGCCGCTCTCTCCTGCTATTCCTTTGTGCGGTGTAGCCTGTTTCTTAACTTTGCGAGCAGAGATCCCCGGGATAGTAAGTATTGTGCAATGCCGCTAATTTATTGCCTCACTATTGTCACCATTTCTAAGGACAGTGCGAGAAGCCGCGATTTAATTAGTCTGTAGCAATCTCTCCGTGATCGCACTTGAACAAGGCTGCCGGTACGATACTCTTCGCTGTCACTATATCATGTACTGATTTATTCTTGTACAGAACTCTCGCATCGGTCGACATGGTAAGAGCCTCGTAAGTGAAATTACACAGCTTCATCGTGATATTGCTCTCACGTGGAAATTCCAGGATAATATTCCGATCAAGCAATTGCTCGTCACCTCTTGCACAGCATGCTATCCTACCTGAGAGTGTTCGACAACATCGTGCACCACGTCGTCCTCCCTGAACGTGTTTGACGACACCACACACCGTGTCATCCACTCCTGCTGCTCGACAAATGAGCTCCGCTGCCTCCGAGATTCCGGGTCTGTACCGTATGCACGCACCGTCCCCCTCTTTCGTGAGTGAGTATGAGAGCCGGCCCGTGCACGGGCACGATGACGACACTGGAGGATACCATCGTGCGATGGGGCTAATGCTTGTCTTTTGTAGCATCGATTGAACCGGTGGAGGTCTCACGCAGGTGACCAGTAGTAGAGCGAGGACGAGGGCAGGGTGTGTAGGAGTGAGGGCAAGTCTTCGAGGTGAGGCTGTGATGAAAACAGAGATGAAACGTGTCCATTCGGCTTGAGCACGACTGCTACAGCGTCACCATGCTCAGCGCAGAGCGGCTGACCGCTAGTACCTGTTCGGTGAGTGACCTGGCATTGAGGACTGCTTCGAGGTGTGCGGATGCCGGCGATACAGTCAGTGAGAACGAATATAGCATCCACCACCGCGAACGCGAAAGTGGGTGCCTCGATACAAATGCCAGACGCAACCGTTTGCTGCCCCATCTAGTCTTCACAACGGCCTGGACAATGACTCGGAGCTGCAGTGGGAGAACGACGTCGGGGATGGCGCGTACTGTGATACCCCCCTCGATTGCGGGCGTGCCGGCGCAGCCGCTCTCTGCGAACGAATGCCTGCACGGCGGGTCAGCGTTCAACGAGTGCCTCCCCGCAACTCACCTCTGAGTCATCGCCGCAACCGAATTTGCAGAACATCTGCGCATCATCCCCATCGGTGCATCCTACTCGCCGTTCGCGCGGAGGTGGTGGGTCCTGATACATCGAGTGTAGCCTGCCCGAGCAAAGAGATCAATAAACAATTGTTTACTCATCTGCGTAGAAATCTGAGTCCGTGAGTCAGCTGCGACTCTAAGGGAGGAAGTCTAAATCTGTGCCGTGGATGACTAACTTACTGCAACACAAGACTCACCAAGTCAGGCCGTCGTATTCAGCGAATTCGAAGGGAGAGGGTGACTAAGTCGGTTGCACGTGGGCGCGTTTGCACGACGCGTGAGTCATCGACGCGTTGTCCGCGTCGGATCTCTCACGATGACGTCGACGAAAGTCATTCGTCCACGTCATCCATACGGTGCACTCACGGGGATATGCACCGTGCACCCAGCAACGTGATTCCAGCATCTAAACACTGCAGGACCAACAACACATCATATTCGGGAGGACTATACCCGCGGCCGTCCTCCCCGCCATGCACGCTGTATGCGCCAACCGCCGAATTCCGTCCTTCGGCCGCGCGTGACGCGACAACTCCGAATCCGCAGAGCGAACGCGAGCGCACGGTGCGCACAGTCCATGCAGTCGAGCCCGTCGGCAGCGGGAATCGCATGGTCGCTTTCCGGGCACCGCAGGTGGGGGAAGCTGCCAGTTGCCCCACTTCGCGCGCTGACCGTAAATACAAATTCTCGAGCAGAATCCCCCACACACGAGTTCCAAGACGTTCCATTCCGTTCATTAGAACACGCGAGGGATGCGACGGGCGTCGCGGTAGACGTACGATACAGAGCACACTCAGAGACGACGACGACGACAACGAGAAATGCGGAAGAGTAGAGAGTGTAGGGTAAGTAGATGCTATTACAGACAGGACGCGTTGTAAACCAGACTACATGACGGGGGCTCGAATAAATAAACGAGCAAACAGCTGCAGCAGCTTCGAGTGGGGCCACGTGAAATGGGGTTATGTGCACAAAGTCGAAAGCGGAGCGGGGGAATGGAGGGGAGCGGCGGGCTGCGCCTCGACCCGCGACGCCCCCGTTGGCACCGTGTACCAATGGCGTGGGCCGAATACGGGCGTGTGGCGCGGGCGATGTGTCCGCGTGCGCAGACGAAGACGCAGGGGAGCGAGGGAAGGCGGACGGTGCGCGCGACGCCTACGCCATCACCTGCGTTGTTATTGGCCGAGTCCCGAACGACTGATGTGGCCGGCAGCCTGTCGCCGCTGGTCCAGGTCTCGACACCGCCGTCGAATGCGAGAACATCGACTTTGCCCGTGGTAATGAGAAGCTCGGAAGGGGAAGCCCGTGGAAGAGGCTCAGCGCGGTCGACACTTGCGGGTGTATCTGCACCGCGTCGCGCTGTGGATGCGAGGGCGAGGGCGAGTGTGACAGCGACGCCTTGACGGGGTAGACCGCGACGTGCGCGTGTGCGGGCGTCCGCGGGCCCGAGGACGTCTCGAAGCTGGATTCCGAGTCCATGTCGACGTCCGTCTCGGAGCTGTTGTCGCTCCACCTCGAGCGAGACGGCTCCCGGACTCGGATATGGTGGTGGTGGTGATGGTGGTGAGGGTGCGCGCCGACGAGGGCGGAATGGTGGGCGAGGAGATCGGCCTCGGAGACGCCGAGCTCGAAGTCAAGGACGTCCAGAAACTCGCGCTCGATCCGCCCGATGTCGCGCTTGCCGAAGACGCCCGTGCAGAGCGCCCAGTGCACGTTCTTCAGCGTGGAGTCGTTCAGATACTGCGAAGCGAGGTCAGCACGCGTCACACGACGTCAGCGAGGGAGACGCACCTTGTTGGCGACGATGAGCGCGCCGAGGAAGACGCGCTCGCAGGCCCACTGCTCGAGCGCGATCTGGATGTGTGGTTTCGCGCGGTGGACGTAGACGAGGGTGGTGAGCAGCACGGGGACGGGGACCTCCGCCTTTGCGATGACGTCCGTGACAAAGCGGGTGAACTTGGTGTGCTCCGTGTGGCGGGAGAGCGAGCGTCCGCGGGATGAAGAGGCTCGGCCGAGGGCGTAGTCGACAGTCTCGACGGGGGCATGTTGTGCGGTGGATGGAGTGGTGAAGAGACGGGCGCCTATTGATCGACGATCGCGAGCGGGTTGACTCGCAGTGTGCTGTGTCTACGTCATAGATCGCGGTCTCTGGCTCAGCAAGTCGCAGAGATTAATTCGAGACTCTGCACATATAGTAGATACTAGGGGGCACACTGGGCACACTGTGTGTACTCGACCACCAGCGGGCGCTTGTTCTCCCTCCCGCGCTGGATCGGTTGCTCTGCTCGTTCCGCCGCTCCACTTACATCTCTGGCTACTCTATCGACCCTCCCTCCCTCCTTCCAACTGGCTGCTCCACCTGCTTTCTCGGTGAGTCACTGCTCCTGCCTCCTCGAGAAACCGGCTCATGACGCGGCTCTCGATCCCCCCCCGGACCTCGATCTCCACGCTCGATCGCGCGATCTCCCCGCCTGTCGCGTTCTGCCGCCTCTTCTTTGCTGGGTGGGAGGTAGGGCGAGGGTTAGAGCACGTCCGAATGCGAAGGAAAGGGCTCAATGGTGAGTACTTGAGTCCTCTGCGCGAAATGACCTGTACTCACCCACGGTCTTTCACGCGCAGGACACGCCCCAGAACGCGCGCGGAGGGCAAATTCGAGCCCCCTCCTCCGACGGAGAACGCGTTTGGAGGATGCACGACGAAAGACGCGCGTTGGCGCACCCTGTAGCGCGTGGTGCAAGACTCCACTGGAATGGACCAGCGGTGCCGGCCACGAGGTGCGGGCCATTGACACAAGACGGGGGTGTACCAGTGGTGGCAAAATGCATAATTTCAGCCCTTTGCCCGCCGTCTTTCGACATCCCCAGCCGCACGAGGCCTGAAAACGCGCGGTCAGTTTTCGTATCTCAAGATCTGATCCACCAGAAACTTACCGTATGAACTGCGGGCATGCGACGCTCGCGACAAGGCCTCCCGCGTGCGCGCGCCACCTCCGCGAATGCGTTCAACATCGATGGGCGGGCGCTACACGTCGCGTACTCACTGTCTCGAAGAAACGATGGAGAGGACACGCCCTACGTCTGAAAACACACCGCGACACGTCTCCGTGCATGGACCCCCTGCAGACAACGATCCACGAAGGAGGCGGTGCACGGCCAAATGACGTGCCCCGCCGGGCCACGCGCTGCTGAGAACGGTGCGTCAGTGATGAGACGCAACGTGTCCTCTCGAAGACACTCACGACGAAACGCGCCGCGGCCAGGATCACCACACCACGCACACAATCCACCAGGAGACGAGGGTGGAATCGATGCGTTCCCTCTTCGAGCGCGGTGACGCTCGCCGCTGGGCCTCTGTCCCGCAAATTCGGAGGCTTCAGGACCTGGACAATGCAAACGTCAGCGAGATCACGCGACGTTGAATACTAACGGGAACCCACCAACTTCGCGAGGTGCGGCGCAGTATCTCAAGCGGAGATGCAGCGTTCGTCGACGTGACACACGCCACGCACGAAACAATGACGGCTGGACGCGACTCGGCGCTTCGCGCCGCTGCTCCAGCACATCGATGACGGCCAGCGCAAGCCAGTACTCGGCCAGCCGTCACTTCACCCATCGAGGCGTGGTGACGCTCGCCGCTGGGCCTCGATCCTGAAAAATTGGAAGCCACAGGACCTGAAAACTCGAACGTCAGCGAAGGCACGGGAGATATAATGAAAACGGGGACTCACCACATTCACGAGAACGACCAGCACCGGGTCGTGGTGATACGCACGGGATGGGCGGGCACCTGGACTCGCCCGAACGAGATACGTTGCACGAAAGACGGTGTATGGAGACAGGGCGACGCTTCGCGCCGCCGCGTCCCCAACGACACCTCCAGAGAAGATCGTGCAGGACATGTGCCCGCGCACCCGTCGCATTCTCCCTGGTGAGCGGGTGACGCTCGCCGCTGGGCCTCGATCCTGAAAAATTGGAAGCCTCACGACCTAAATTTTCGACCGTCAGCAAGGGCACGGGAGATCTAATAGAAACGGAGACTCACCATGCTCGTCATGAGGAGCAGCATGGTCTTATGGTGATAGACACGGAATAGGCGGGCACTTGGACTCGCCTGAACGAGGTACGTTGGACAAAGATGGCGTACCGAGATGGGGCGGCGCTTCGCGCCGCCGCGGCTGCAACGAATCCTCCAGGGACGATCGTGCAGGATAGGTGCCCATGTACCCGTCGCATTCTCCCTCGTGGCCTGGTGACGCTCGCCGCTGGGCCTCGATCGTGAAAATTTGGAAGCCTCAGGACCTTCAATTTTGACCGTCAGCAAGGGCACGGGAGATCTAATGAAAACAGGGACTCACCACACTCACGAGAATGAGCAGCACCGGGTCGTGGTGATACGCACAGGATGGGCGGGCACCTGGACTCGCCCGAACGAGGTATGTTGCACGAAAGATGGTGGACGGAGACAGGGCGGCGCTTCGCGCCGCGGCGCCCGAAACGAATCCTCCAGGGATGACCATGCAGGATGGTTGCCCGTGCTCCAGTCGCATTCTCTCTGGTGGCTGCGTGACGCTCGCCGCTGGGCCTCGAGCCTGAAAATTGGGAAGCCTCAGGCCCTACAATTTCGAACGTCAGCAAGGGCACGGGAGATCTAATGCAAACGGGGACTCACCACACTCGCCATGACGAGCAGCGCGGTCTTATGGTGATAGACACAGGATAGGCGGGCACTTGAACGCGCCAGAACGAGGTATGTTGCACAAAACACGGCATACGGAGATGGGGCGGTGCTTCGCACCGCCGCGCCCGCAACTCCTCCAGGGATGATCGTGCAGGATAGGTACCCCTGCACCCGTCGCATTCTCCCTGGAGAGCGGGTGACGCTCACCGCTGGGCCTCGATCCTGAAAAATCGAAAGCCTTAGGACCTGAAAATTCGAACGTCAGCAAGGGCACAGGAAATCTAATGGAAACAGGGACTCACCACACTCACGAGAACGAGCAGCACCGGGTCCTGGTGATACGCACGGGATGGGCGGGCACCTGGACTCGCCCGAACGAGGTATGTTGCACGAAAGACGGTGTACGGAGACAGGGCGGTGCTTCGCGCCACCGCGCCCGCAACGACACCTCCAGGGAAGATCGCGAGGGATTGGTGCCCGTGCACCCGTCGCATGCTCCCTCATGGCCTGGTGACGCTCGCTGCTGGGCCTCGATCACGCGAATTCGGAATCCACAGGTCCTGGAAATGCGAGCTTCAGCGAGGGCGCGGGACATCTAATGCAAATGGGGACTCACCATTCGCGATAAGGAGCAGCACTGTATGTCGCACAGTGAGGACACGCACAAAAGACCGTGTACAGAAATGTGGCGGCACTTCGCGCGGTGGCACCCGCAGCGATTCCACCAGGAAAAACCTTCAAGGATCAGTGCCCGTACACCCGTCGCATTCTCCTGATGACCGGGTGACGCTCGCCGCTGGGCCTCGATCTCATAGAATCTCAGGCAAGCCTGCAGCAAAAATTGACAGTCAGTGACATGTCTGTGCAACTAATTCCATCTCGTACGTACTGCAGTGGATCGTGCACGTCCAATGCACCGCCGTGGGTGTTTCATGCTCCGAGCAAAGTTCACGAAGAACTCTCTCGAGCATTACCTGTTACCAGTGTGATGACGCTCGCCGCTGGGCCTGCAGCGTGCGTGATTCACAGCCTATATTGCACAACATCGCCAGGTTAGTGACCGCGCACAAGACTTAAATTCATAGGTACTCACGGTGGTGCGTACGCGAGCAAGTACGGTGCTACGCGCCGCTGATCATGACGACATTTTGCAAGCATCCTCGCCCTGGGAAGGCGCAGGAGATCAAGGGGTTCCTGCATAAATTCTCGGTCTCGAGAATAAAAAGATGCCTGTGCAGGAGGGAACAATGTAAGCAATTGGACAAAGTTTACAACATGGCCTCCAGCACATACCACACAGTGCAACAATCCCTGCGACTGTGTCTTGCATCGTCGGAGTGCATGTCTCGCCTGGTTAGATAGGTAGGTATCAGTAAATTTGGACACGACTGGTCCCAATGCAGGGAAACACCTACCAAATCATTGGTGGAATCTGTCTCTTGAAGTTAACGGAGCAGTCTTCATGGCGACATTGTTGAGCAACTCAAGTGCTTCACACCATGGGTTGGTTTTGCTGAAGGTGAGTGTCAACGTAGAAATCGGGGTTTGGTATAGTGGCTAGGAGATCAGAAATCTAGTTACGCAAGAGCTGTCGGTATCATCGGGGATGTTGAAGGGAGAAGAAATGGTGAGAGGATGAAGGGGAGCGAAAGAAAAGTGAGGAAGATCCCACGTCAAAAATTGGCCGCCATGATTTGTAACCGAGATGGACTGATGGCATCACATTCATGGCAACACGATTCCATTCTTCTGATGTTCCGTCTTCACATGATTTGCTGATGGCAAGATTGGGTCATCTTGCCGACTTCTGTTTGCAGAGAATCCAAACATCAGGCTCACGGAATCTCCGCCACAGCCTCAGGCTTCTTCAATGGTGCATACGGGATTGTGGCGGCTGACAGCAGGTTCTGCAATCAAGCGGGTGAGAATGGACTGATGTTTTGCAAACAAACCCAGAGTGTCAACATGGATATCAATGAAATATTCATGGTGACACCCTGGGTTGGTTTACAAAACATTTGGATCTACAGCAGCTAATTGTATGTCTACAGGTCTGGATATTTTTATTTCACCCTAGTATGCTTACCTTTGCAACTTCGCTGCACAACTCAGTCGGAGATCAGACCACTGGCAGGATCCAGTGAGATCAGTGTGTTGTAGAGTAGATAGAATGTGAGATCCAGCCATGTTAGTATTGTAATTTTCGGATCAGACAGTGGCTGGACAGAGAATGACAATGGACATTTTTGCAAATGGAGTCGTAGTACTGCGGCTGAAGTGCATGAGAATGTCGAGGCACATGGATCAGACAAGCACTGCGAATGACAACGACACCTGGCTTCTGTACCCACGGCACTGGTGCCCTCTCACCGAATTCCTTATCAACTCACATGAAAACCTGGGTGGCTCAAGCTGAGAATCTGTCCAGTAATAGGCAATTGGTCACACATTGGATTGAATACAGGCATCCATGCAACTGTTGTGGTTCACCGACAGGAATGAGGCTGTTTGCGAGAGGAGCGAGGAATCACAAGATGCACATTTTGAAGGCATCCGAGTGGACTGTAGGTCACTTGAGCCTCCTCATGTTGCAGGCAATTAAGTATTGTATCCTGTAGTCAGCCATGTTAGTAGATATTCACAAGCACATTATAATGTGCTTTCGAGTTTTCTGAGCAGCTTTGTGCTGTGCAAACACCGAGGTTCAGGCTTGTTCCAGCGGGACTGCTTGGAAATACGACTCAGAACAATCACCGCATCAAGAACATGACTGGCGATGTTTGATATGGTGCTACCAAGAACATGTAGAATTAAAATATTTGCCGGTAGCCTGAGCCGATCTGCGGAGGTTAGAGCATACTGTCTGTACACATGTCGAATCGGTCAGGCTGCTATAGATCGGGCACCTACAATCTCGGACATGCAGCCACTTGCGGGGCGCCCAGAGCAAGCGCTAGAACCCAGGCCGACACGAGGCTCCTGAACGCTCAGCATTTTTCACCGCCACGCTATGAATGTGCCACCTATCTTCTCTGTCGATCCACTGACCGGCACTCATTCTCTTTGCTTTCTCTTCTCTATTTCACAACTTCATGCCTTGGACATCCTGTGGCAACTACATACCCCTCGCAGGCCTTGTAATTGGCCGAATACACGAAATTGAGCGGACAAGCCAGAAGGTGGGTTGAAACACTTCGGCAGGTTCAGCAGTCGGCGCACGCACGAATTACCTCCGATCACGCGGGATTCGGCTACAAATTAGCGAAGCACAATTTTCGTGGACTCTTGTTAGGAAGATTTGGAGAGGAATGCAATTGGCTCTTGGGATGGCTGTATGAATGGCGGGAGAACTTGGAGATGGTTACGGGTGTGTCATTCGCATAAGCGGTTGTTACTGATGGGCATGATCTCCCACAGTTGCAATTGGACAAATAATGCTGTCGAACGATGAGGAATTTCGACAGGGCTTGCGCACGGACCACCCGGAGTAGTATAAAAGCAGGCAAATCCTCCACCATCCCCTCATCAGCCTCCCTCTCCACTTCTCCTCCTCCGTTCTTGCTTTGACACCTCTCTCTGCATCTCTCAATTCCGCCGCTCGTCATGGACTTCTTATCTCCCCATCATCTTGAGTCCACCGAGCAATCTTGACAGTCAGTCAGTCACTGATTTGCACCCGTATACGAAGACTACTCCACGCTTGCACAGATGTGACGCCGCAGGCGATGCTTAGGTATGATGCTTGTTCATATCAATTTGGTGAATACTAATGCATTCTTCTGTCTTGCTCTAGATTATTTACCGAGATGTGCCTCCGCTCGCCGTGAAATTCTAAGGTAAGATTTATATTGGTATTGTACACTAGGTCCGGTCGTTGTCGTGATGCCTTGTACAGGGCAGATTACACTGTCAGAGCATTTGGTGATGTTCACACGCCGCTCTCTCCTGCTATTCCTTTGTGCGGTGTAGCCTGTTTCTTAACTTTGCGAGCAGAGATCCCCGGGATAGTAAGTATTGTGCAATGCCGCTAATTTATTGCCTCACTATTGTCACCATTTCTAAGGACAGTGCGAGAAGCCGCAATTTAATTTGTCTGTAGCAATCTCTCCGTGATCGCACTTGAACAAGGCTGCCAGTACGATACTCTTAGCTGTCACTATATCATGTACTGATTTATTCTTGTACAGAACTCTCGCATCGGTCGACATGGTAAGAGCCTCGTAAGTGAAATTACACAGCTTCATCGTGATATCGCTCTCACGTGAAAATTCCAGGGTAATATTCTGATCAAACTATTTCTCGTCACCGCTCGCGCAGCACGCTATCCTCCCCAAGAGTGTTTGACAACATCGTGCACCACGCCGTTCCCCCCGAAAGTGTTTGATGACACTACACACCACGCACCGTGCCATCTACTCGACGAACGAGCTCCGCTGCCTCCGAGATTCCGGGTCTGTACCGTATGCACGCGCCCTCCCTCTCTTTCGTGGGTGAGTGTGAGAGCCGGCCCATGCACGGGCACGGTGACGACACTGGAGGATGCCGTCGTGTGATCAGGCTAATGCATGCCTTTTGTAGCATGCATTGAACGAGTGGAGGTCTCACGCGGGTGACCAGTAGAGCGAGGACGAAGGGGACAGTGTGCAGCAGTGTGGGGAAGTGTTCGAGGTGAGACCGCACTGAGCGTGAGGGAAACAGGGACGAAACGCGTCCTCTCACAGCTTGAGCTCGACTGCTACAGCGTCAGCATGTTCAACGCAGAGCGGCTGGCCGCTAGTACCTGTTCGGTGAGTGAACTCGCATCGAGGACCGCTCGGAGGTGTGCGGATGCCGGCTTTACAGTCAGCGAGAACCAACACAACATCCACCGCCGTGAATGTGAACATGGGTGCCCCGATACAAAATGCCAGATGCGACTGTTTGCCGCTCCATCAAGTCTTCGCAAGGGGCTGGGCAACGAGTTGCAGTGGGAGAAGGACGTAGGGGATGGCGCGCAGTGCGATACCGCCTCGATTGCGGGGGTGGCAGCGCAGCCGCTCTCTTCGAACGAACACCTGCAGGGCGGGTCAGCCTTCAACAACAGCCTCCCCGCAACTCCCCTCTGAGTCATCGCCGCAACCAAGTTCGCAGAACATCTATGTGTCGTCTCCATATCTGGTGCATCCTGTTCGTCGTTCGCGCGGAGGTGGTGGGTCCTCATACGTCGAGTGTAGTCTGCGCGAGCAAAGAGATCAATAAACAATTGTTTACTCACCTGCGTAGAAATATGAGTCCGTGAGTCAGCAGTGACTCTAAGGGCTTCAAGACATCTGCTCGGCTTTCCTAGCGGGGAGCTTTCTTGTGGAATGACTAACTTACTGCAACGCAAGATTCGCAAGGTCAGGCCATCGTATTCAGCGAATTCGAAGGGAGAGGGTGGTGGGCGCGTTTGCACGCGTCGATGACTGTTGCGACGCGTGAGTCATCGACGCGCTGTCCGCGTCGGATCTCCAACGATGACGAGTCGACGAAAGTCATTCGTCCGTGTCATCCATACGGTATGCGCCAGGTGCACTCACCGGGATATGCACCGTGCACCCAGCAACGTGATTCCAGCATCTAAACACTGCAGGACCAACAACACATCATATTCGGGAGGACTATACCCGCGGCCGTCCTCCCCGCCATGCACGCTGTATGCGCCAACCGCCGAATTCCGTCCTTCGGCCGCGCGTGACGCGACAACTCCGAATCCGCAGAGCGAACGCGAGCGCACGGTGCGCACAGTCCATGCAGTCGAGCCCGTCGGCAGCGGGAATCGCATGGTCGCTTTCCGGGCACCGCAGGTGGGGGAAACTGCCAGTTGCCCCACTTCGCGCGCTGACCGTAAATACAAATTCTCGAGCAGAATCCCCCACACACGAGTTCCAAGACGTTCCATTCCGTTCATTAGAACACGCGAGGGATGCGACGGGCGTCGCGGTAGACGTACGATACAGAGCACACTCAGAGACGACGACGACGACAACGAGAAATGCGGAAGAGTAGAGAGTGTAGGGTAAGTAGATGCTATTACAGACAGGACGCGTTGTAAACCAGACTACATGACGGGGGCTCGAATAAATAAACGAGCAAACAGCTGCAGCAGCTTCGAGTGGGGCCACGTGAAATGGGGTTATGTGCACAAAGTCGAAAGCGGAGCGGGGGAATGGAGGGGAGCGGCGGGCTGCGCCACGACCCGCGACGCCCCCGTTGGCACCGTGTACCAATGGCGTGGGCCGAATACGGGCGTGTGGCGCGGGCGATGTGTCCGCGTGCGCAGACGAAGACGCAGGGGAGCGAGGGAAGGCGGACGGTGCGCGCGACGCCTACGCCATCACCTGCGTTGTTATTGGCCGAGTCCCGAACGACTGATGTGGCCGGCAGCCTGTCGCCGCTGGCCCAGGTCTCGACACCGCCGTCGAATGCGAGAACATCGACTTTGCCCGTGGTAATGAGAAGCTCGGAACGGGAAGCCCGTGGAAGAGGCTCAGCGCGGTCGACACTTGCGGGTGTATCTGCACCGCGTCGCGCTGTGGATGCGAGGGCGAGGGCGAGTGTGACAGCGACGCCTTGACGGGGTAGACCGCGACGTGCGCGTGTGCGGGCGTCCGCGGGCCCGAGGACGTCTCGAAGCTGGATTCCGAGTCCATGTCGACGTCCGTCTCGGAGCTGTTGTCGCTCCACCTCGAGCGAGACGGCTCCCGGACTCGGATATGGTGGTGGTGGTGATGGTGGTGAGGGTGCGCGCCGACGAGGGCGGAATGGTGGGCGAGGAGATCGGCCTCGGAGACGCCGAGCTCGAAGTCAAGGACGTCCAGAAACTCGCGCTCGATCCGCCCGATGTCGCGCTTGCCGAAGACGCCCGTGCAGAGCGCCCAGTGCACGTTCTTCAGCGTGGAGTCGTTCAGATACTGCGAAGCGAGGTCAGCACGCGTCACACGACGTCAGCGAGAGAGACGCACCTTGTTGGCGACGATGAGCGCGCCGAGGAAGACGCGCTCGCAGGCCCACTGCTCGAGCGCGATCTGGATGTGTGGTTTCGCGCGGTGGACGTAGACGAGGGTGGTTAGCAGCACGGGGACGGGGACCTCCGCCTTTGCGATGACGTCCGTGACAAAGCGGGTGAACTTGGTGTGCTCCGTGTGGCGGGAGAGCGAGCGTCCGCGGGATGAAGAGGCTCGGCCGAGGGCGTAGTCGACAGTTTCGACTACTGTGTCTACGAGATACTCTGGAGGGGAGTCAGTACGGTGAGTTCAGTGTAGGAAGTAATCATTACCGATGAGGTCTCTGGAGATGTCCATGCCGAGCATCTGCAGGAGAGCAGGAGAGTGGAGGGTAGGGTCGAGAAGGCTGGCGGGATGGACGGGGAAGTTGGCAACCATGGCGTGCGGGAGGAGGCAAGGATATGGTGGAGTGAGGAAGGGCGAGTGGCCGGGGTAGATATACGACGCAGCGGCATGTTGTGACTGTATTGGACATCGGCTTGCTGACGAGCGGTGCACGAATGTTGTGCTCAAACGCACCTGCCACTTTGAGCCGGCGTTGACTCAGGCCGTGCCACCGAGCCGAACGCGCGGGCCAATGGGGTGCGATCGCCGGCGATGCCGAGCTTCCGAGTCACGCTCGTGAATTTGTAATCAACTTGCCCGTAAGCTCCCCGACTGCTTCCGTAAGCCGATGTCCAACCTCTCCCGTCCCCGTCGGTCGATCATCACCGCGTCAATGTCCCTTCCCTTTCCGACTTCGTCGGACGGACGCTTACGAGGCGCCCTTCCATCTCTCGTCCATTCATTTCCGCATCGTATCGTGGTATGGATGTTCCTCTGTCTTCCGCGCCAGTACTCACGCGCTGCCAGACGACAATTCCAAGAAGTTCCACACCGAACCTCGCAGCACTGTATCGAGGCTCGAGGCCAACGCAGCATCGCCGACAATGCCCGATGCGATCTCACTGCGCCGCACCCACTGCCCAAGGGCCAACCAACCCAAGCCCACGCCCAAGCCGTACCTCAGTGCCGCAGCCCCCAAGCCTCGGTGATATCTTGTCACGGTCTCCGAATTGCAATCCGCGCCTGCTACGCGTCACTGCCCTTGCGCGCCACGCCTGCGACACGTATCGCGAGGCGCCGCGGAGGTGCCCATAGCTTGATGCCGTACACTAAGTACTACCACTGTTCGCACTCCACCATCTCCCAGATAATTGAAGTTGGCACTCGTCATGTAGGAGGAGACCACAGCCGTGTCGGTGCACGCCAATCGCCGTGCTGACGCGCGGCCCACAGGCGCGCATTCTTTCCTTATATGGGCACTGTTGCGCCCCCTTGCTCGATCCAACGTCGCCCTGTCTCAGGTGCTCGCTCTGAAGCTGAAACTTCCATAGGCCCGCCATTCAGTGCATTGACCGACGCTCCGTGGACGGATGGCCCTCTCGCTTCGCTCTAACGGTCTTGTGTTTCCGGCTCATGATGGATATCCTGCGCCGAAATTGATATCGACGATCCCCCACTCAAAACTGGCCATACGAACGCTGCGCCCCCAACGTAACAGTGTTGCCAGAGCCTGCGTTGTTGTGACTGTGCACGTGCTGCGGCGGCGGTGGCGACGTCCATGTACCCCAGGTGCGTCGATAACTGAATTTGACTTCGCGTTCTGATTAGGCTTGGCGTTCGCGCGGGAGCTGATGCTATTGCCATGGTACTAAACAATGTTGCTAGCATCAAATATACCAGTATCAAACATACCAGTGTCGGTATGCCTGTCAGCCGGGGCCCATAGGTCCCCGTCATTGTTTCGCTCTCCTATTTGCTGGGGCAAGGAAAGTGGCGAAGATGCAAGTCCCGTCGTGCGACGCGATATTAACAGCTCAAACAAGGTGATCTGCACTGTGTCTCGTTGCAAGTCTTAACGCGATGTCGATATGAATATCATATCGGTACTGAGGCCTGAGCACTGAGTACAGGCCTCCGCTAGTGTGATCTGCGTTTCCCCATCCGAGCTGCAGGGAGTATTAGAAGGCGTCTAATCTAGAACTCTGCCCGTGAGTGACCGGACGCGAGTACGCCCAGCGCGACCCTAGCCTAGAGAGCGTTACCACGCGACCCGTACGTGTTTATCAGTTTACACCGGAAGGAAATAGAGTGATGAGTCGATCCGCACGATAAATTATCGAGTTTCTAGTGCAGGACAACGTCGATGGATGGCACGTCGCGGCTTCTTTGCAATGGCCGTCGCTGGTGTTAGGACTGCAGTCGAATCCGATTGGACGGCAGATGCACATCATCCAAAGGACTTGCACGCACGCAGGAGTCTGGCGTGCAACGCCTCGGTCAGGTATCCGGGATGATGATCTGCAGTCGAATTCCATCGGATGACCCGCGCAACCGTATGACAGTGTTGTGCACGCACCGCATACAACATATCGTACGACGCCGCAGGCAGATGAACGATATTCGCACACCATTTCGAAATAAGAAGCGCAACACGAGCGGTGCTGCCAGATATCACAGCCACCTGCAGCCCACTGCGGGCAGCGCGCGACATCCCGAATACAAGGAACATACACATACCGGCCACAATCGAGCAACTTCAAGGAAGAACACAGCGACTCGGACATCGAAGCTTGGACGCCGAGCCAAGCTGTGAGTGTCAAGGTCGCCGGGCGTCTAATGCCTGTTCACTGCGCATGACGGCCTGCTGCTGCTGGCACTGGTAGTCAGTGGGGAGCACGGGGTGATATGCCGCGGGACGGACGCAGCACTCGAAATGCTGCGGCGGTGTTCGTTCGAGCGTTGTGACGGGAAGTAAGCGGGGATGACACGTCGACTGGGGGACGGCACCCACGGTTGATGGCCACGGTCAGTGACTTGAGAAGAGTGGGCACGAGTCTGCTGGAATGCCCCGAGGTGCCAGTGTGCGTACAAGTCTATCAGTCAACGCCCGGCGAGCGTCGAATCCAGGATATCCTCCTACGGCGTGCACAACGCGTGACAGCATGCCGCGGATACGCCGATCGTCGATTCGAGGATGTGTGGGTGAGGGTGTGGCGACCGCGCGCAGATGAGGTCGCACGAACGTCGACGCCGCTGGGAGAGCATCGAGGCATGTCTCGTTCGGGTCGCCTCAGCCTCTCGCGGGAAGGAGCCTACACCTGTCAGATCCAGCGTTGTGGAGATCATGCGATGGGGGCCTCAAGGAGCAAGTACAGGAGGCCTGTCGGCGAACGATGGTCTGTACTCAAGGCGTGTCGTCGGGATCTGTGAAAGCTAAATGAATGCCGGTATCCTATACAATGAAGAATGAAAGCAGAAGTACGCATACTTACCTAGATGCAGGTTAGATTGAATGGAACACAACCTCTCCGACTACCACCACGAGACTAATTGACACTCGACGCGATGAATGAATTGAACGCCACTAACGAACGCAGATTGACTCAAAGGTGATGATATGCAGTGGGGCAAGCCACATGGTGAGCTCTGTGTGCAACATGATTCAGTGAGCTTGAAAGCATGATATGACAGTGATCCGCACTTTGAACATTAGTACCGTAAGGTCAGCGCATGTAGACCAGCCTAGTCTGTGTCAGATGTACAAGAAAGATGTCGTGCAGTGGACCATGGTGACGGTTAAAGTGCATACATCCGAAATAGACGTAGAAATATGGTCTCCGCCACTCGAATTTCTCCCTTCAAAGCAGGCAGTAAAGTAATGGGAATACAGCGGCCGCTGTGGACAGTGGACAGCTGTGGGAAAGCGGTGAAGATGACTGTCAAATTAGGCAGGTTGAACTGTAAGTTCACGCCATTTGCCTGCTGTAATAGCGCTAGGACCAGTCAGGCGTTCTCTCAGGTTTGGAATTTGCCAAAGTCATGACAAAGGCGAAGCTGGGTTTTCGCAATTCAGACGCGGGATTGACTCAATCATGTGCGTCTCTCTCTCAGACAGACTTGGCTGCCAGTGTGGCTTACTAACGTGGCTGGCTGAGGTGCTAGGTCAAGTATTCCTAAGCACGATGATCAAGCTTTAGAGGATGTCGTGCTAACGAGTGCCGGGGAAATACTGCTCATGACTCCTTATGACCGACGGGATGATCACGATCGTGCAAGTTCTCCGCCAACTTCGGTCTTTCTAACGAATGGCGGTAACTTCTGAATCTGCGGTGGCGTCCGATGATGCGAAGTGATCGTCAATGCTCATCCCACATTTGAACATAGGCACAGCAACGCACTCGTCTCTGAGCCTCTGGTGTCGATCTCTTGAAGCTGTTAGAGTTACGCCTCGTTGAGAGGGGCGCTTATTGCTTAAGATTGTAGACGATGAGTCAGGGAGATGCCTACTCAGGTGAGCTCTTGAGAATGGATATGGTCGTGCACTGCCCACTAGTCAATGGAACTGATCGCTCGAATTAGACTTGCACCCGCGTAATCTCTTACTTACTGAAGATGGCGTGGATTTGCCCCACTATACCGTTCCGTACAACGGAGCTGATGGAGATTGATCATCCAAGACTCATCCGAATGGTTGTAGGGAGACCATCAGCCTTCAGACCATGCGCTATAGCTGAATGTTCCACCGAATTCGAGCTACGCTCACAGACCCTGAGAAATTCAACCGTCCGCATCGATTTCTCAGGTGCTCTTGAGTGCAAGACGACAAGTTTAGGGCACAGCACCTGCCAGTGCAAGAGGCTGCTGCATCAGCGTTGTAAGGAAAGTCTCCGGCAGCGGAGCGCCAGTTGCAGCGTCTGGCGTGGGCGATGGACGCTTTTGTCGCGCTCGCATCGGAGGGTTGGAACCTGATATCGGCTTTCATTCTCAGGTCTCACATGACCCACTATGTCGGGTTAGACGTTGCAATGCTCGCGACAATCATGCTAACGGTACGTTCAACTCAAATGCTCTCTTGCAGTGTTTAAGCGCGACTGAAATGGATAGCGGCCGTTGAAATCGTCCTCGTATGCGCGAAACTTCCATTCCCGTCTTTCTCGATAGTATTCCTGGGCTGCAGTAGGCCCGACAAACGAAATCCGATATCACCTTCGAGCGCGAGCGCACCCTGCCGCGACTCGGCCCTGTATTCGTACCGACAAGCGCCTTCGGGGTAGCGAACCGAACGCGATACTGAACGCCCTGGGCAGGCGCTGTCTGCGACCCACTCTCCACCCGGCTAGTGCGGGCGTCCGCTCAGGCGCCATGTGAAGCGTGGGTTTTCGGGCGAGTGGGGGGGAGGGTCTGCCGATTGAAAACGTGTAAGTTGATGCGCACGACACGCGTATGAACGATAAACTTGCAGAGAATATGGTGTTCCCTGATCAACAACACATCACGGAATTATGGACTCATCTTGCACAAGCCGAAGGTACGCTGCGTATCGGTTTCATCATGCTGTACCATATCGTTCGAGCAGGATAATTCCAGATAAATTGACATGGCCTCGAGCCTGTATGCGGGAAGCGCACAACGAGAGCGGGACGGAGCTCCTCCAGTGCAAGGCACCTGGTCGCGATGTGGACAATATCACCGTCGTGGAATACGACCGAGTCAAGGAGATCGATATCCAGATACTTCAGGTGCGGCATCGCCAAGAGAACTGTTAGAGGCAAGTGAGACATTCTAGGGCGTCCGTTGACGGAGCGGTGGAGGTATCCAAACTCCAAGGACACGCTTATGTACAGACTCTGCAGGGTCTTGGCGAACCTTGTACTCATAAGGGTGCAGAGGTCCCGCCAATCGCCCTCGGTAGGAGGATCGTCGTGAAGGGCAAGGTACAGTACACGGAGTGGGCCGACCAAATATGCAAGGAAGACGACGGTATTACCAGTGTCTCCAGTAAGTTGCAGGTGTGTCTAGGAGATCCTTTTATGTTGTCTTGGAGGGTGTTTGTCTGGAAACAATAAAACACAAAACACCGTCTGTCAGCCAAGCCAACTTATACAGCTTCGGGAGTGCGCGATACGCACAATAACGAAGCTCCCACCTGAAGAAACTATCTATTCTTCGCCTCATGCAGCCGGTTAGGTCAAGCTGAACCGAATGTAGTGCGAGAAGACCAGCGACACACTCGCCAACGTGCGGTGACACTGCATCACTTGCTCTCAGATAGAGCCGCTCCAGTGTGGTCAGGTGTTGTAAGGTCCAGGTCAAACAGGGAGGGAGATCGTGTAGGCAATGCACATGACAATGCAACAAGACACTTGAGTGTTACCACGTCCTTCAGAAGATCGTCTAAGATTGGGGTATGTACCATGTGTACGGTTAGGGCTAAGCTCTCCAGGCCCTCGTTCAGGAATAGACGACAAGCCTTGAGCCCATCAACAGTCCTCGCTGTCCATGTGAGTGATCTAAGATGAGGGAGGAAACATGATTTTGGACGCATTTGCTCCAATGCAGCAAAGACAAGAGATGGATCTTGTACGGATTCATCATAGGCGATGGAGCACACATGCTTCTCATACGCAATAGAACATGTCCAAGCCTCCGGCTGAGGAAGTTTGGTCTACGTGGCAACGAGGTGAGTGAAGGATAACAAAGGAAATACAACAATGTAGCTTACCATCCAATCCAAGTGACGAGGAGTCCAACGGAGGGTGCTTGGTAGTAAGGCTATCAGTGGGGAAAAGGATGGAAGATCGCGCCATAGAATCGTATGCACAGGTTCCTTCAGCGCTTTGGAGGTTCACGCGAGGCGAGAGAGCGAACGAAAACCATCATCGCTGTCCCGGGATGATCTCAAGAAGCCTGTGGTCACGACCGCGTTGAGGGGAATGGCGGATAACTGTAGGGACTTAGTTAAGCAGCTACCGATGCGCCGGTAATGATCATCGGTGGTTGGTGTCTTGGCTGAGAAGTAGTGTGCATCTAAGCGGCTCATCTGGGTCGTCCTCGATGATATCCGTTTCACCCAAGAGGAGCGGAAATATAAATGCTGATCAGCAGTCATCATATATGCATACACGCAAGAAAAAAAGTACTATGGAGGTGCTGGTGCGGGAAAAAGAGGAAACTGAGTTGATCGCGGTTGCCCTTCCAATCACTTCTGAGATGCCCATACAGACTGCGTTCCTGATAAAGGTGGAAGAAGAGAATTACTCTGTTCTCAAGAAACTGACCAATCGACGGGAACTAACCTCAGAGTCCGATAGTATTCCAGGTTGCGTACGCATTGCAACAACCCTCAGCGAGACATAGAGACATACCTGGTCACTTCAGCCTGGCGTGGCCGTGTAACATAGCACTGCGAGTACCAAGCCAGAAATATTTCTACTAGACATGGAAGGATAAGACGATCGTTGCCGTACACATGAGACTGTCAACAAAATATGACCTCCACCGTCAATAATTCGTGCGTGAAGTGAAAAGAGAGCGAATTCGCCAGAAGAACCTTGCGCCAGGGAGAGATGGTTAAATTATGTGAATTTCGATGACAGGTCCTAGCAAGTTACTTGCGTGGGAAAGCGGTGAAAATAAGGGCCCGATTTGGTATATGTCGTCATTCAAGCCCACGCCTGTCGACGTGAAAGCCGGATATGTGTACGAAGGCCTGCTTTGAGCGAGTTAGTCACCCACGCAATAGGCTGAGACTTACCTCCAGACTTTTTATATGGATGCTGTCATCCATCACGCAGCGAGCACTGATTCAGGCCTAATTGCACGGATTAGACTTGCCATGGCACAATCTCCGGCTGACTGATACGATGTTGAGTTAAGATATCTCCCCGCTAAGACCGGAGATCATGCACCTTGGCCGAAGAGTATTGATTCGGAAAGAGCACGCAGATATACAAATGCTGCTGTCATGGGCCCTGCAACTTCGGAATCATCTGTCAAAGTTGCGCTGATGGTTCAATTTCTCAAGAGGCACTGAGCGCGAAGGCGACCCATCCACGGATGAGATGCGTATGTGCGTATTATCATGTTTGGATCCTCGGCGTCGATCTAGGAATTGATTCACTCAGTCGACGTCGGAACCGCATTCGGGCGTCCGGCAAATTCTGTCCCCACCGGCGAACAAGTGGAATAGAGGTTGGGTGACCAACAAGGGGTGCATCACGCTAGATGGCAGAGGAGGATCATAATGAAAGTTGCTTAAGGTGTACTCAAGCAACGACTCTCTCGAGGATCCTCGTCTGTGTCACTGCATGGGGCCTGCCGTGATCGTGTTTTCGCTCCATTCAGCTGTGCTCTGGCACTGACTGATTGAACAAGGTGTACAAACATGCATGAATACACCGTTGAAATATTGACCACTCATCTCCCTTCGAACCTTGATGAGGGCTATTGTAGGCCAAAATGCAATCCGATGCCACCTTCAACCAAACGTGAACTCCATGCTACTCCGATTCCGACTCGGGGGTCGTATGTGCGCCTAGCGATAGACCCATTCGTGGGGACAGCGCAGTCGGTTCGCCACTGAAAGCCCACCGCAAGCGGTGGCCGCTTCGGCGTCGGTGAGTGTCTCCCTCCACATAGGGCTGTGCAGGCTTCTCGCTGTGGCGATGCTGATTCGTTCTGTCGTGGGTTCTGTCGTGTTGCGGTCAGCTGAATTGATATAGGCAGGTAATGCGCGTGACGTACCTACATTCGACGTCCTCCGAGACTCACCCAGTACGGTAGATAATTACGACTTCTCAGTTGTGTAGAACGGATATGTTAAAGAAATGAGCAAACCCACGGCCCCCACGTCAGTAGTGGGATACGTCACCCCATCAAAAGCAGGAGTCACTGGCTGATCAACTCTTCCAACACGTAGAGCATACGCCGGATTTTAGATTCATTCTGTAGGAGAATTCGTAGATTGCGGAGTTGCCTGGAAGCACGCGATGGGAGTCAGATTTCAACGTTGTTCATCCAACTACGAGCGCGCACCTGCAGTGCGGACAAATCTTTTACCACGGAGTACCACTAAGTGGAGGAGACCGATATCTATCCAGCTGGAGATATTCTACGTACGGCGCCGCAAAATCAACACATGTGTTGAGCGTGGGAGAGCGGTGAATATGGCGTCCTAATCGAGTAAGTCTTGTGCGTCGCCGGGAGCATGACACTCGAGGCAGAGTGAGTTAGGAAGCAGAAAAGAAGAGATCTACGTTGAAACAAGGACAGCCTGTTGTTGATCTGAAGTAAGGCCTTCGTGCCACAGATCGTGCGCTATCAACGAAAATTGTACGACGCGAGCAGTCATCGCGTCGCGGCGCTGCCAGCGCGTACCGACCGGCAACAATGGGTTCAGGTTGCAAGGAATTATATGACCGGCCAGATAATTTCCACCCCCGCCGTACGCAAGGCTGATCAGGAATAATCGGAGTGGACCAGCATGCCAATTAGCAGCAAATGCGACAGACATCGGCTTATATTCTAAACAAGAACACATTGGAGTACAGAGGATACACACGAAGGCGACAAGAGCATAGGTATCGATGACAACATCTTTACAGCTCAGAGCGGAAAGTCAAGACGACGAGAGCAAGAGGACAGAGGGGACCACGTTCACGAGCTAAGCAACGACGAGACTACAGAAAGCACGATCCGTGACATGGTACACACCTTCACATCGATGGTATCACCTGGAAAATCAGAACAATAGTATCAGCTTACATGGATCAAGACAAAAGGCGGAAACACTTACACAGCTCTCTTAGACGTGGAAGCCATGCTGGAACGACTAGACGGAAGCGTAGTGCGCGTTTCCGTCACACCCGATGCACCAGCTGCATCTTTGGCCAATGCCTCTTGAAGCTGTGCAAGTTTCTTCGCCAGCTCGGCGTTCTCCTTGGCCAACGTGTCTACCCTCGCGATCTCCTCCTTTCTCAGCCTCTCCTCTATGTCCGCTCTCAGCCTCTCCGCCTCTCTCCGCCTCCTCAGCTTGTCCACTCTGGCCGTCTGACGCGCCAACTCCTCCGGCATTTCCCCAAAGTACTTCCGTTCCCTCAGTATTTCTTCCCTCTTTTTCCTGAACTCGGCCCGTATTTCATCTGCATCAGCCCTGATGTCCGCAGGACGAACAATGGGAAGCGATCTAAAGTGCTCTGTTTTCGACCGCTGAGGAACCTGAAACTGAGAATCGTCCTGCACAACCTGGGATTGAGAATCAGACTGCGACTAACGAGGGGAAGAGAATGTCATTTTACCTGAATATTATCCTCAGATTGAGCACCACCTGCCTGGGGAAGAGAACGAGGCTCAACCTGGATATCCTCCTCGGGAAGAGAGCGAGGCTCGGCTTGAATATCACCCTCGGGCAGAGCATCATGCACAATCGGCACTGTGCGCGTGTTGTCCGAGTTGATATTGATGTTGTCGCCTGTAACCAAATTGTACACTATGCCGGCAAACCAATAACAGTTAGTCTCGAAGGCATCATACTTCTGCTTAATTTTGTGAGCAACAAAACAAGCCGCAAGGAGGGAGGCGACGGATTCTGCACGCTTTTCCGGTGGCACTGTGTATGAGCCGTGTACAGTAGACCTGGCAGTGCGACCGGCGAGGTAAAGCAGGGCGCCACGTTTTCGTCCCATAAACAGAACGTCATGGGCAGGAGGAGCAGCAGTACTACCGGAGGAACCCAATGCGGCGTTCAATGGCATCGCGGAAGCACCCCGACCAATCCTCGCTCCTTGGCGCTCGACCAAGATAAATCCGACCTCCCTCCCAGCAGAGTTAACGACGGTACCAATTAAGAACTCGTGTTCAACGCCTTTGTCGTGCTTGTAGAATTTAAGCACGCTAATGTACAGGTCGCGCGCGAGCCAGCCCCGGGATTCGTAGTCGTTGATGACATTATAGACGGGAAGGCCTATGTAAGATACGCGTTCCTTCGAAAAGTTGTCGGCCCAGGAGTATTCGGGAGGCTGGTCGCTCATGAGTCGTCTGAGTTGAGAATGAATACGGTGGAAGATAAGGATGAGAGAAAACTGGAGGCCCATGCCGGAGGGTGTAATTCGTTCTTTAATGCCTGAGGCCTGTAGAGCGAGAGGAATGCGGCCACTGAGAGAGTGGAGTGTGGCTTAGCAGCGAGCTCGCGAGCGCTAAGTCAAACTAGTGCTTACTAAGCGAGAGGAATAGGCGCCTTAAGCGCCAGCCTGTTCCTGCACCTACAGCCTCTCACTGCTTTTCATCCCACCCACCTCCCCTTGTTGATTCAAGCATCCTAGCGGTGGTTAGCCGTGTTCTCAACGACTTTCCGCCGCTTCACGCTCGAGTTGGATTCCGCGGTGGAGAGGGAGGTGTAGGGTGTGTCAGAGAGGATAAGTGATGCCTTCGAGGACACGCGTTTCACCAAGGATTGGTGAAAAGTAGGTGTACTGCCAGTAGAGAACATGCTGTGAGTCCACAGCTGGCGAAAAGTGAGAGATATTTGGAACCTGGAGATCCTGTATGTCCTCACCGAATTTCCAGGATAGCCGGATTATTTCCCGTCACCTCCCGCGGCGCCGGTGCAGATATCCAAGGCCGAGCAAGATGCATCCCGACGTATGTTCGTCTGGAGAAAGCAAACCAGGTATGCCTACACGTCGCGCGAGTCCCGAAGTTGTCGCCGTTGAGATGAGACTCCACAGCTCAGCCTCATATGGCAGGTGACTTAGATCATAAACTTCTCCGGCAATGCATTTCGGAAGAAACCGTAGGGTCAAAGCAAGCTGCAAAACCCGAGTCTGATACAGTAACGTCCACGTGGAACGCGGACGGTTCTTGGTACGAGACTAGAGGAAACCGTAAGAAGAGAAAAGGCTAGATTCAGTTGTAAACAGGTAAAGAGATGACAGTAGAAATAGTATCGCCCGAAGGCGCAATTTCGGACAGGGATAGTCACATAACGTACATGCTACATCATCTGGACCCTGCACCGTGAGCGCAGTGTCCACGCATATCTACATGCACCCAGCAAGTCATCCGGCTTGTACAATACTATCTCCCACACGAGCACATCATGACGGCGCGCGTAGCATCGTCCGTCCAGATAAACCGCAAGGGGAGGCGCACCCAAAGGACGTCCTCAAAAGAGACTAGGCACTTGGGGCACCGGAGACTCCTTCTGTGGGTGCAGTCGCCTTCCCCTTCTTCGAGTTCTTGCTCCCCTTCGGCCGGCCGCGGGGACGCTTGCCTGACGGCTGGCCGTCGCCGCCAAGGTCATCCCCGCCGCGCTTGATACCAACAGCTGCCTCGGACTGCAGGCGGAGCTCCTTGAGGTATCTGCGGTATGGCATAAGTAAGGAGAACACCTAGAAAAGAGGAATGCTAACTGTGCGGACTTCTCCTCTAACGTGCTCTGCAGGCTCGGTAGAGGGGGCTGGCCCAGCTCTTGCCGCAGCCTATCAACGTCTTGCTTCGCGACGGCGTACTCACCATCTGTGATGCTTTGGATCTTGTGGTGGAGGTCTGAACATCTGGCAATTGCAGTCAGACAAGCGCGAACGTAAGCTTGAGGAGTACTAAGGACTTACTCTCGACTTAATGTCGCTTCCAGCAGGTCGGTCTGACAACGATTCATTGGCAAGGCAATCAGCAAATGAGCACGGCTAAACGTGCCTTGTCTCGATCTTCGTTGACCTAAACCACCACGATCTCAACCTCCACGACATGAAAAAATGCATCGAAACGTACCTCCCGTAAGCAATTGAGAAGCCTCAAACGCTCACTCTCCAACCTAGCGTTCCCACTAGTGAGTTCTGCCGCTGCATCATGGTCAGGGGTAAACCGAGTACGCGCCTGTTTCTCTGCTCCTTCAGATCCTGGATCGCTTTGTTCTTCTGCTCAAGCATCGCATGCGAGGAGAGAATATGCGCAGTATGTAGTTGTAGTGTCAAGGCATGCTTTCTGAAATCGTCACAGGGAAAGAGTCAGTTAATGCAGCAGCGATGCACAGCCACGGGTAGAGATCAAGTCGAGATCGGAAAGTGGGAAGGCTCAGGAGCCTGTTGAAGACAGGCTCGACGACAGAAGAATTGGACGTTAACGATCCTGAGACGTAGAAACACGATTGCATCACCACTCATAAAAATCGCCTCAAAGAGCAACAGCCGCAAGCATACATCATGAGCAAACGCGTACTTTAACTCTGCAGTCTTCGCGAGGTGAACGAGGTTCTTTGTCCAGTCGCCTTGAGCGAGGAGCGGTGCGCTCGCTGTCGCGGACGTCGAGGGGGAAGCTGCAGACGCGCCGGACATTGGGACAAGGAATTGTTGGAAAAGACGGGGAGGGTTTTCGGGGACTCGGCGTACTCCGGGAACTGTCACTCTCCAAGTTGAGTGCCAGAAGGCGTTTTGCCTCGTGTTCCCACGCCTGTGTATGCTCCCTTTGCGCGGTCGAATAATCACGAAGCCATGCCTCACAAAATTTCTGAGGAACGCTTCCGAACGGGTTATATTTGAACGCCTCTACAGAATTACTGTCACAATGTCTTCGCACAAATCTGATAGAAGGATGCACAATCCGTACAAAAGTAATCTAGCCACTCCACGGATTTCTGCAAGGTATAGGAGGTTATCAAGGGGAGGACAATGACTTGTTTGGCGCGTACATGCTGCGACTTTGACCCGTTTGCTGCGAGTACTGGCGCGAGTCTTCGTCGGTATCGTGACAGCTCTGGGGGGCTGCGCAACAAATGTACATTTTAACCTGAGCTCCAGGCCGATATCAAGGTGAGCAATGTCTTACTGAACCAGAATCGTCATCGTTATTGTCGTCGTCGTTGGACGATCGACGTTTCCGCTTAGAAACCTAGATATCCGTCAGAATTTGTCAAGTGCAACATACGATGCACGCACTATGGGTTTGGCCTCCCCCAACGCTGTATTCCTCGAGGCCTTGCCTTTCGGGACCCAGCCTTCGGGCTTTTTTTCGACCGGCTCCCTCACCCAATCTCGCTTCCTGTCCAGACCATAGAACGCTTGCGCCTTCGCCTTCGCCATGCCGCCCCAGTCCTGCTCGCTAACCCAACCCCTTACAAGCTCAAGATCCTCCTCCCTCTGTGCTTGTAGCTGTTCCACAGAAAGGTCTGCACGGTCGCGTACACACTTTCGCCAGATTGCACGGGTCATGAGCGCAATGGTGCCTCCAGGGATGCCGTAATCCTTGAACTCTTTCTGAACCGCATCGGTAACGCCGTTGGTCGGGTCTGCGATTCTCCACTTAGTGGGCTTCTTGGTAAGGATGTCCGGCTTGTCTTCCTTGAGAGCGTCGTACCGCAGGCGGACACGGCTCTCTTCGACTGCTGAGAGTGTCATTACAGGTGGTGGGAGTGGGTGAACAGATAGGGAATCGATTCCTGCGTCCTGCTCATCGAACCCGGTTAGACTAATTCTTTCGTCACTAGGCGATCAGCTGTGCGTAAATCCCCCTAAACAAGCTGTAAATACTGCCGATATCTGATATGGACCGCAGTGCTGATAAGGACCTGGTGCGCGCGTGTAAGTGGGCGTGGCGTCGGGCTTGATTGCATTAAGGAATGTCATTACAAGTCCCCGATCAGCTTTGTGGAGTCCTTCTGCACATGTTTTAGCCTGCCGTATACGTAATTGTAGACGGCTTAGATGTGGGTGTTCCGTATACCAGCGCATTCCGCCTTCAGGTGCACCAAACGCTACTTATATGACGCGTGGCTACGCGGTCTCGTGACTGGAAGTCCATTGGACGACATCTATGCGGTTCATGTGGAACATACGGCTGTTAATATGATCTCCTGTAACATAGGCAGACCGACATGGCAGCGAAGACCGAGGAGGATATTCCAAATTCCCAAATGTAGAGTGCGAAGAGAAGTGAGCCATGCGATCGATTCCTCCGGGGTAGGTATGAATGAGGAGGGTATAAACATAAGAAGAATAAGGTATTCACCATTCAATGCAACGAAAAAAAATAGAGTGAGTGTACCGCTATCTCAAAACTGGAAAGCGAGACCATGACATCCTCTGCTACTCTCGCTGCTCACCGGACCTTCATCGCAGCAGGCCTGTGTGTAGCGTCGACGGAGCTCGTGGTCGTACTCGCGCTGTGGTCGGGGCAGTCAGCAACGACTTTACCTGCCAGGGTCGTGGATGTAGGGGTCGATATAATCTGTCGGACACTGGCGATTTTTCCTCGGACGCTGGAGATTTTTCTTCAGACGCTGACAACTTTTCTTCAGACGCTGGCGACTGTTCTTCGGACACTGGCGACTTCTGCTGCTTGAGGGCCACGCGGCGCCAGAAGCTCCGCCCCGCACCCTTGACAAGCTTCCCGATGGACGCGAAAGCATCCTCCGCGCCGAACGGGTCCTCCTCAATGTCCGTGTGCCGATGGCGGTGCCGCTGCCGAAGGGCGCCTTGCTCAGGATCTTCAACAATCTGAACCTCGTCGGACCAGGCGGGCATGGATACGTCGTCTGGGTTGATGCCCTGCTCACGGAGGAGGCGGCGGTGCCGCAGGATGCGCGAGCGCGCGGCGACGCCGAGCGCAATAGTGGACTGCCGTCGGCGCGGCTCGATCATGGGAAGCGGGGCGAAGGCGACTGTGCCGTGCACTGGGAAGATGAGTGATGAGGAGGTGCGCAGGATGGAGGGGACGCTCGGACTGGAGCTGGGGAGGGAAGAGGATGAAGAGGTGACGAGATCGGTGGAGACGCTTGGGGTGTCTAGAGAGGTTGAGGCGGAGGCGGACGTGGAGAAGGATGATCGTGAGGACTCCAGGCTCTGTGAGGGATCTTCTGAGATTGGTGATTCGGTTTGCAGACCTGTTGGGAATTTAAAGGTCTCTTCAGACGATACAGACTCCGCCGACTGGACATCTTGGGTTTCTACGGAGGGCGGATCTCCCAGCGGACGGACGATGGATATAGTCAGTTCCTCTGAAAGTGACGTCTCGCGGTAATCAGGGAGCAAAACCTTTGCCTCCGCGGATGGCATCTGAGACATGGATGGTATTGACTGTGATGAAGAAGCTGTTTAGGACGAATCGGCAAGCAAAGTGCGGACTTCCCGATGGAATAAGATGGTGTAAGGCTGATAATACCAGATGACATACTTACTGTCTATACACTGTCTATACACCACACTACTCTTAACGAACTTCAATTTACGAGGGCTGTCAACGCAAAGCAGATGACGTCGGTCGATACGCTGCCGTCAAGGAGAGCAGAGTTGCGAAGATCTTCTTCTCTGCAGGTGGTGCTTGGTCAAGATACAAGAAGTTGCCTTGGACTGAGACTACAGGGCAAATATACCCTGAGTAACAGATCAATCCACGGTTTTCGGAACACTGAATGGGCACACGACGGGAGGTGATACTGTGACACTTACTTGAAGGTGTTAACTGTGTGTCCTTTCCAGCGGCGCGTCCGATATATCTGAATTATAAACAACGTATTGCACCAACTGCAGTTGTGCACCCCGTAGCTATGTTTCGCCTGAAGATGCCAGCTCGGGGGTGGAATGATTGTCGTGGCGGGTCAGCGGAACACCAGTGTCGCAGAATGTAGCACAGGTGAAGGGGGGGTTACAACTTCGGGTTGTTAGTGATAATGATGAAAGGAGCGTGAACGTTGGCAACACTGGCAGCCAACTGCAGGAGGGAAAGCGACCGACCGTGTAATTGTCAGAGGCGAGAGCACGCCGGATGGCACCTTGCCAGAAAAGGTACTCGAAAAATAGCCGACGTTTCAAGGTAATGAGCCTTACAACATGCACTGTCCCATGAATACTGTATGACTCATCATAGTCGATAACAGCTTGTGCTCTCACATCCTGCCAAAAGAACGAGCCGACTTGCTGTGAAACTAACCGGGCCAAGTATCCCGAGGTTCAGCCAAGGTTGAAAAAGTCTCAATCTTCCTACGGAAGACTAGACGTAGGACATCGGCAGTGGTTGTTCTTCAAAAGTCGTATGTACGTATGTAACTACAGCACTCGGGCGTACCCAATTAACGCGAAACTTGTCAGTCAGACGAGGTGCGGCTGCTTTCCAGCCAGACCAACATGTCCCTGCTAACCGGTGAATCGTCGTAATATCACTGTACAAGAATATTCAAGCCATGTCTGTCTCACGCTCCGAGTCGCAGACTTCGCAATCTGGTAGTCGTAGAAGGTCCAACACCGCACAGTCTGTCTACAAGAGCACGCCAGCGTCGGTGACTCCTCTCAAGTTTGGCGACTCCAAAACCCTGACCACATGGGTGCATGATCCCAAAGAGTCACCGAATGCAATTCTCAACCAGTCGTGGTGGCCAGGTGTAGCAGAAGGCGACATGATCAAACTGTCTGCTAACCCCGCTGAAGGCGCGTCGGGCTACCTTTTTATCGTACAGAAAGACGAGGGTATGGTCAAGCACCAACTACAGGTAGGACTGTACCAAGCACTGCCGCGTCTTTGGAATGACGAGTAATTAGTGTTGCACCAGGTGTCTGTTCCAAGACCCGTAGCGGAGAAGTTTGGCTTGAGGAACTATGGCGAGGTGACGCTTACGAAAGTATGACGGATAGTATTTGCTTATGTCAACGTGCTCACGGATACTTTCAGACAGACAAGGGGAAATGTTGCGCGGAGTATATTGAGCTGACGTTTCAGGACCAGTATCTAGGACGCAACGAAATGTGGCGATTGAGCTCTCATCTCGCAGGCCAGTGTGTATACTCGGAACAGGAGATATCCTTCATCGGGGTCATTGCCGCGAAAGTGCAGGGAATCTATGTAGACGGGAAGCAGGTGAGGAGCATGCGTTATTTGTGGGCATTGCACTGACAGGAACGGTCAGGTCTCCGCGGCTTACGTGACGTCATCCACGAAAGCTATCTATCGTTCTCTGTCTGCGAAGATCACCATCTTTATCCAAGTGTGCCAAGAGCTATGGGAATTCGCGGGCGACGGCGAGCGTTACAATGAGAAGATTGCGCATTCCTTCCTCCCAGCGCTGTTCGCAAAGTGGCGCGAGGCGGGGACCAACCACATCGTGACTATCGTGCTAATCTCGCGTGTGTTCTACGACCATTCGGAGATTGACTACGCTGCCGGACCACTGAGGCAGGATGACGAGGGCAGGTGGTACAAGGACTTCTTCAAAGTTATTACCGATCTGGAGGTGCTATATGACTGGAAACCGACGCTGGTGGGCCTGAAGGATTCGTTCTGGGCGTTTCAGCGTGACATCCTACTGGCACACCACTACCACCGTGCGTCGCCGTCGGAGCTGCCCGATCAAGTGCGCCTAGTAGGCCATCTCTCGTTCGCTCACGATGGGCCCATTCTCGAGGCGATCAATCTAGGACTCAATCCGACGGAAACGCACTATGTCGACCGTTCACTGTCACTTACCGGTTCGTCCACGATACTCATTACGCCTGGAACTGGCTATTACCGCGTCTCGAAACGACTTCTCCGTCTTACAACGACTCGGATGCTGGATCAAGGTTTCGCACTGCACCTGGTGTCGCTCGCAAAGGCCCCTCTGCACCAAAGCCCTGTCTTCTGCTTCAAAGGGACGGAGCCCGACGGGAGAATGGACACCAGCGGAAAGGTCTCTTCGCGGACGTTTGACCCCCTGTGGGGCGGCGATGATGATTCGAGCGAGATGTCTGATCGCGACAAGGCCACGTTCTGGTGGGAGCCGTTCTGGATGACGGCGTCCTTCTGGGACAGACAGATGGATCATCCCTTCAGGGAAGACAGGTACACACCTCCATTTACCTCGTCTCAACTCGTACTAAACAAACTTCGTTACAAGGTTCATTGCCCGGGCGAAGATGCACGAGATAGAAATGCTCGGTCTGCTAGACCACGACGTTCTATCCAGCATTGAGATCCCATTCTTGCCCAAGTCGACGCGCATTCCGGCTGATACGCGCAAGACCGACACAATCTCCCAGGAAGAAGCAGATCAATTCGATATCGATGTCTTCGCTCCTCCTCAAAATCTTGCGTCTTTCCCGACCAGTCGCAATTCGCTGGCCTCATTTGCCAGCGCTGCAAACACCAATGCGTCTGTTCGCGTAGGCGAGGGCTCAAAGAGGTCGTCACTGCAGAGAATATCTGAAGTCTCTAGAATAGGCCTCAGCGAGGAAAGTCCGCGAGGCGCTCCGCTGAACCTGCCTCATGACGGGCTACCATCTGACCTTGAAAACAAGTTCTTGACCGCCCCGATGGGCACGCTGAGTACTTCGCCTTCACAGTCTTCCATCCGTTCCGCCCGATCTGCAAGATCTCACAGAAGTACGGCTTCCGCGAGTTCATCGAAGACTGCGCATTCGCGTCAAACGGCGCAGAAACCTGCGAAGTCAAAATTCACTTCGTCGTGGCTCTTTAGCCCTTTCAGGAGTGGGTTGAGCCAGCCGCAGACATCTGCTGTATCCGCGTCTACAATCAGTAGCCCAACGAGTCCTGAGCACACTACCTCCGGTCAAACGAGTTCTACGGCACCTACCGCGGTACCAATGTCCAAGGCCCGGTCGCCGCAACCTATGACGATCAGACCCCTTCCCGTGAGTCGCTCACCAGAGAAGAGTACAGTTGAGGAAGAACCTCTACTGTCCCACCGCAGTTCTCTGGCTCGTTACTCTCCGATCAACACCCCACCTCGAGATGATTCGCTAGGGAAACGTTGGAGTGCGATCGTGAATAGCTCAATGGCTCCTTCTCTCTTTCCATCGTCTCCTGGATTCAGAACTAACCCATGCAAACCGCTCCCATCGATTTCGTACGCTCAGTCTTCTTTGGCCAGGCGTTGGCAGCATATGTTTCCGCAGCCACTTTTGAAGCACCACATCAAGTGGAAGGGTATGGTCACGCCTGGGTGTCTTCCTCTGACTATTGAGCATTTCCCAACGGCATCGGAGCTGGAGACGTCGTATGATGTATTTTCCTATGACTTCGTCGTTGACCCTCCCGAGATGCGCTCATTTCTCGTGAAACCACCAAATGCCACTGACGGCCCAGACGAACTTCGGCGCGCCTGGGCACTGGTAGTCATGCGAGGTATGGTAGCTCTGCGGCTAGCGCAAGGCTTCCAGTTCGTGTTGCATCCATCTAGGAGGGAAAATAAGACAGATGTTGTCAACGTACTTCGCCGTAGCACGTCGTACGCCACGGAAGATGAGATGAACCCGAAACCAACCGGCGCTGCACAGGTGCTCATATCCACACACGATCACGCACAAGTGCTCAGCTCCACGCGCGATCCAGTGTATCTCAGCATGAGCAGCGAAATTCACCGCATTGCGTACAGCGGTGATTCGATACAAGTGCGCCGTTACGTCCGTAGGATGCCCAGGGCACACCCATTTAAATACCAGTGCCTCATATGGCCGAAGCTCGGCGTTGGCTACACTGAGCTGTCAACTTCGTTCTCGTCGCACGGTTTGGAGAACTACGGTTGGAATCGGTGAGCACATTTGGTGAGACTTTCTAGCCTTTTTAGGCTGATACTTGAAAGGCTCGACATGCTTGTTGCAGGATACGAGAATCAGTTCAGCGAATCTCTCCGCTATTGGCGCACCCGTTTCGTTGTCATACCGACGGATGAGACTCAGTTTAATAATGTGGGTCCAATGGGAGAGAAGATGAATGACGAAGAGGTTCGCCTGCTTGGCATAGACAGGTTGGCAGAGATGTTCTCCAAAGCGCGATGGCAACCACGCGAAGACCGCGGAAAGTCGATTCCTCCAGTGCGATTCCTCCCGACGGATTTGGGTCCTTCATCATGTGTTCTTGACGAGAATCTCACTGCACAGCTCGACGAGATACATGCTGCCGGGCCGTTGCGGAAGAAGATGAAGAGCGAAAGGGAAATCAGCACAATGTCCCTGTCAGCGATTGCCAAAGCGATGCGAGAGGAAGATGGTGTCCCCATCAAGGACTACAGATGGCACGAGAACAAATACGCCAACTCATTTGTTGGTTCCGACTTTGTCTCATGGTTGGTGCGTGAGTTCCGTGATGTTTCCACACGGGAGCAAGGTACAGAGTGGGGAGCCAGGCTGCAAGAGCAGGGCTTGTTTGATCATTGCAGAGGCACACACGGCTTCTTAGACGGGTGAGTAATGATAACTTACGTAGGATGCAGGCTGATACAACTTACTCACAGTCATTACTTTTACACCTTGAGGGGAGAGTATATCGTTCCCATGACGCCACGAGGCGGTTGGTTCCGTTCCGCTCGTCATGTATCGGGAGAAGAGTCAAAGACACAATCGGGGCTAAACTCCCCCAGCGCTGCAAAGCCATCACCGTTCTCTGGCAGAAGAACGAAGAAACGGCTTATCATGAGTCAAAGTATGGTCATAGATATTGATCCTAACAAGGTACTGGCTCTGAACTTCATCTTGAACACCATACTTATCGTGCTCGGAATTGCACAGCGGAGTGATCAAGCAGAGTCAGTCATCCTGCATCACGACATCATTCACAATCCTGCAACGTGTTTTCACTTCGAGCTACAATGGATTGGTACAACTGCAAGGTGCATTGACGACATTCTCCGCCAATGGGGCCGGACGATCGAGCGCTATGGCCTTAAACTGGTTGAAGCCTACGTGACCCAGATTAGCGACATCAGGGAATGCAATCCGTTCCAATCTTGCTTTCCAGTTCCTCTTGCTTTGCCACCGCCCACGCTTCCCGATCTGGACAAGCGTGTCGCTGAAGGAGTCCAGACGAAGCACTACTTCGAGTACGCTCTACTCCGCAAGTGTGGATTTGTGCTAGATATCGAGGCAGCAGACCTATACCCCGATCAGGTGGATGTTGTCTATTCCTATCGCCGCTCGCCGTTCAGGTACTCGCAATGGGTTCATCACTCAGGTGTTGCATTCGTGCAAGTCTTGGGAGGCTGTGAAGGATTTTTGTTCTTGACAAATCGGCTCATGGCTGCGGGTAGGATTGGAACAACACTGAAGTATCAAAGGCCTGCGGCCGCTGCCGAAGATATCCGGATCATGCTGCAGAAAACGTGCGAGGACAAGAACGAGCTTGCCCGGTTTTATGATGAAGAGTTGGCTCGATTAAGTCGTGTTCCTGAAGAACCTCCACCCCTCCGCATATAATGTACTTGCGCTGGTGCATTTTCCTGCACAGATTGCACTTGCTCTCCCCGCGTAGGCGGAAGTTCCCGACGATTGATGTCTTCCCTCTTTTGTCCCTCTTCGCACCCACACTTCTCCTACTTTTCTGGGCATCGGATCACAAGGCTCGATCCTTCTCTCTCTGCTTTCTCCCCATGGCGTACCTGCGAAGGTGCCTCACGAAAGAGGCCTTGATTAGATGTGGGGACGGCTTCCGCGAAGTCGGCCAACGAAACCCGTTGGCCTTTCGGGAGATTGAAATATGGACTGCAGGGTCCCTAACGAGCCTGATGTTGCAAGCTGATCTGTATCTTATGGCATCTACCGTTGTTTTTCCATCCGGATACTGCCAAATTATATCGGCAAATGGACAAAGTCAATGACATTTCTGGTATGGTCTCTCGAGTTTGTCATGGCTTACGAGAACTTACGGTCGAAACCACTCCGTATGATCAGTTGTAGGTTGCTTCGCCTTTTTACTCGAGCTCGGCTCACCTCCTTGTCTCGGTTCCGAGACTTGATAAGCAATTTCCAGGATCCAGCTTATCATGCCGGTATCTGTTGACCGAAACTATCATCGCTATAGTCCGTCATATATGTCTGCTATCCGTGACTGCTACATCTCAGACTTAAGGCGCACAGGCAGACTTCTCCGATGAAAAATGCCCGCAGCCACCGAGGAACCAGTTTTGCAATCGTCCAAGATTCTTGATCTACCTCACGACGTTCTCCTTGACATTATCGCCCATCTATCTGGCGCTGATATTGTTCGCCTCTTTAGCACTTCCCGGATCCTTCAAGCAGTGACAGAAGAGGAATCAATTTGGAGGCATCTATGCGCTCGCTATGGGCTGCACGATGTTATACATTTTGGCGGCCATTCATTCTACAGAGTGTATACGGGGCTGTTACACACCTATGGCCCCATAATGGGTCTTTGGGCGAGCGACGCGCCTTATACAGGGATTATCCTCCAATTTCGTCTAGATCGCGGGAGTGAAACCCGACAAGGAGGTATTGTCGGGGAGATGTGGAAGTTCCGTGCTCTCGAGCCTGAGGAGCCGGAGTCACCAGAAGTACCGGAATTTCCGACATTCATTCGTGTCCTCAGGATTGGCTTCGACGCCCAGACAGCGTTGCCATTTGCAACCGTCCAACGTAGTCCTTTGCTGCGAAGTAGCGCCCAAGTATTCTGCTGTTCTAGCTGGAGTGCAGACCAGATAGGTGTTGAACGCTCGGACATGGGAACTATCGCTGTGGTTTTGGGGACGAGGCAAGGAGTATTTCTGCATACTCGTGTTGGCCAATTTCCACACCCGGACTTCCCTAGTTCCAACGCCGACATATGGCGTGATGGACATCATCGTTTCCCCCGCATACCACCGATACCTCAGCAGGACTTGGATCAGACTGCGACTATCGCCCAAATTCCTCGTCCACGCGTCCCTATCATTTTCACAGTGCCAACGGACGAAGTCAAGCCTGCTGCTATCACAGTAGACTGTCCCTACAGGTGCATTTCTGCCAACTGGCCATTCCTTGGTTTCACCAATCTCATCCCATTCGCGCCACGTTTTTATCCTTTGCGCGACGAACGTAAGAAAGGCATTCACCCGTGTTCGGAATTATGGATTCCGCAGTCTTTGACTGGTCTTTGGTTCGGTACTTATGGACCTCATGGCACCGAGTGCGTATATGTTCACTGGGATGACATTGAGCGGTCCTTATCTGCGTGGAAGATCACTGGAGATGAGAATGTGCCTCGAGGAGCACTGACGTGGACTTTCGCCATGGGTCGTCCGTATCGCGTGCCCGCCTTGCAACGCGAGGTGTGCGTGCAATCGTTTGGCGACCTAGAGAAATGCAGGGTTTATTCTGGTACAGGTACGATCAGTGCTCGCGGATATATGTAAGTCTCATTCTGCTTACCCGAGTTGACTCTGCGTTAATGTGCACTGCAGGCCATATCAGCAGGTGCCGTGCTTCTTGCTGTTGGGCATCGTGGGCCCAGATGAGCTGCGAATCTTTTGGATGGAATCTGAAGACGAAGAGCTGTCCACCTATGTCCGCTATAAAGGCTCGGGATCTCCAGAATGAAGCGTAATTACAACAGCCCTTTTGTCAGACACTACACGGTGAAATTCCTAGTCCCGTGGCAGTTGTATTTTTCCCTTACTTTCATCGATGCTGCACATTTACGGCAGAGCTGAAGATTACTCCTTGCTATCGCGACTTATTTGTCTGCTATAGATACTTGAAATTACGCTGTTCCGAGAGTTTTCGATTCTCCAACCCCAGATTGAAGTAGGCCCGACGTGATGATCGGAATGAACCATCAATTGCTGAATCAAGACCTCCACGTTGCTCACTTGACTGAAACACTACCTTAACAACATCCTGTTAAGTTCCCATATGGAGTGCGTAGTCATACATATATACCATTGTCCTCCCGGTAGGGGCGTGAAGTGTGCTGGTCTACATGACATGATATAGAAGATCAAGGTGGGATCCGAAGTTACCAGGTCCAAATATTATGCGCACAAACTGCACTCGATTGCTTTATCCCCTCCATGGCATCGGCGTACAAGTCACCAAACGGGTGGGAGAGTCCCTCTGAGCATACGACCAATAGAATCGACAACGAGTTTGGTCAACTTGGGGAAAGCGTACGACGGGATGCAACTGCAACTCTTCAAGGGTGAGGCAAGAGGTGGACAGATTCAAGATGTCGTCATCATTGAAAACGAGGGACCATCGGGAGAAGTCGATATCTAGGCATCGCAGATGTGGAAAAGCCGCAAGGTATGTCAAAGGAAGCTTCCGTGATGATTCGTTTCGAACGACGCGAGAATTACTAGGTCCACCCGAAACGCGCAAGATTTGCAGGGTATCGGCGAACTGCCTACAGATGATGGCGCACATGCGTCGCCAGTCATCGTGTGAGAGACGTTCATCGGAAATAATGAGTGTAAGCTGGCAGAGAGGGCTGGTGGCAAATCCGAGGAATGCGCTGATAGACAAGCTGTCGCCGTTAAGGCGCAGGCTGCTAAGCTGTGTAAATTTTCCTCGGAATAAGTGAATATATGTCGGACCCGGCCTGAACTGGCTTTCAAATGAACGTCGCGCAATGGGTGCGTAGTTATCCTCCAATATTTGCCTCCGAGAGATATGGGGCACATCAAGTTTTAGACGGTGTAATCTCGGAAGGGACGAGAGCCACTCCAAAAGGTCCTCGGAAAGTGGTCCGAAGCTATGTAAGGAGAACCGCTCCCATGTCACTATTCGCGATGACACGTCTATGAGACCTAAGGGAGACTCGTGACATCTGATTTTAATGGAGGAAAGGCATTTATGCGCTGCCATCGTGACCAGATAATCGGATATCTCGCCGGAATGCACACCGCCGTCATCCAGTGTCATACTCTGCAGCTCTGGACCCAAAAAATGGGAACAACCTGCGAGTCCTTCGGTAGTAGCACATGTCCAGACAAGCGATGTGAGGTGAGGGAGAATGTATGATGTCGGCCAATTCGCTTGTATCGTAGGGAAGATTGGGGCACGTCGACCGAAGCGGAACTCATCGAATGACATCCCACGAACGAACTTTCCGTACACTAGAATACGTGTCCAATCCTTCGGCTTGGGCGCCCTCACCTGGAAGGCCTGTAAGCAGGATAAACCGGACACTATAACATAGCATATGACATTCACCAGGCCAATCCGATCAACGTCTCGTTTCAGAAGACGGGGAGGGAATAGTAACAGGGGCACAAATGAATCTAATTCGCGCCAGAGAAGTGCTAGTGCGGGCTCCTTCAGTTCCTTGGATACACATGCGAGACGAGATAGAGTACGGCGTCCCGAGGGATCAGCCAGGACTGCCTCGAGAATCGTCTCGGACACATCGGGGTTGAGGAAGAGAGCGAGCAGTGGTGAAGAGTCTGCAGGTGAGAGTGAGCGACGAGCCAGGCGCAACAGTGATGAAGAGACGAGTCCACGAAAGGTGCGATGAGGGAGGAAATGTCTGAAGGTGTCCATGGAAGGAACTTGTGGTGCTGCATGCTTATCAGAAGTTTGGTGGCTGAACATGCACTGCATAATTCGTGACAGGGCGCCAGTATCCTATGTGATTCAGGACAACGTCAATACACTCTTCGATACATGCAGGAGAGGTTGAACTATAGTCGACGTTTTGCCGTCACAGACTGGTATTTGGCGTCAGCTTCAATTGCTACCACAACTGAGGAGTAGAAATGGCTCTCAGCGACATATAAGTTCAAGTTGTTGCTGCTACTTACCCGAAGTCTTATGACGGTGGAAATTACCACATGCTCGAGAGGCACCGCACGCAATTGAGTCAAGACTCAAGAGCAAACTAATAGGAAACCACTCACCGCATCGGTCTCGGCGGGTAGATATCACACTGAATGGTGTTTGGTACAGCGCTCGCCTACGTTTCTAGGTGGCCTTTATATACACTCGGAAAAGTGCTGCGAGAAATACAAATGATCGTATCTTAACTTAATACTAGATGTCCCTAGTGAGATGGCTGTCGAAAGCACTTGCAAATAAGTGCATTAACGATGTAAACGAGGCGAATAGACGTGATGGATACAAGACATAACGCAACCAGATGAGCAGGAAATAATAGCAAATAGTGACGATGATATGCCAACAACATATAAGGAGCATTATGTGGGTTTCGACGATGAAGACGATTCTGGTGGTGAGGAGGATGGATGGAGGTCGGGCTCGGGCTCGGGCTCGGGAGCTGGTGGGGGCTTCTTGCGGCGAAGACTGAGCGGCATTGAGAACCGCAAGACTGATAGTCTCCGTTTTGACGGGGCACGCTGATGACGCTCAGACAGATTGGTTTGCATCCGACGTAGCGCAATGCCATTCTCTTCCGTCGCGAAGTCGAAACCACGATCGACGGACCGGAGGCCAGTGGACATGTCTGTGCGGCTCCCACCGAAGAGACGAGGACGATGGAGGTGGCTATGTCGACTTGCGGGTCGCTTCAGATTGGCCAGGCCGGCCTCTCTGTCTTTCGAGAAATCGTGATGAGGGTCCTCCTTATGGATCCACCGCACGCGGTCGATGTCGTCGGTCTGGAATCCGAATTTGTATGCCTTCGCAACATACCGTGGAAGGAGCGCGAGGACCACTGTCAGGAAAATGCCGAGCCAGAAGTACGGTGACGGCCATAAATAAGCGTTGTTGCCATAGATAGGGGTGGAGAACCAGCCGGGAGAGATGGCGGAGTAAAAGGCCTACAATCTTCGTTAGAAACTCGGACGGATAAACCCACAAGTGTGAACGTACGGTGTATATTAACACCAGCACAATACCAAGGGCAACTGCGAAGAATACCCAGCCTGTCCATACTGCAGTGTTGAGGCCGTTGAATAGATTGGCAGTCAGGACTGCCGCAATTGCCATAGTCTATGTGACATGAGTAAATGACAGACGTAGACCGCGGATCAACTTACCACAGCATACTCATACTGATACACGCCCCACCCATCTGCGCGTGAAGTCGTGGTAAAGTACGCGTAGTTGATGAGGAAGAATATGATGGCAGACTAAATAATAGACTTGAGATAGAACTCATGAACCACCAGGCGGAGTGACCCACCTGAACGACGCCGTCAAACATATAGATCGAGAACAATTTTAGACCGAAGTATTCGCCCTTACGACTGTGATTGTAAAGCTCCGGTAATGCCATGAGCACATGATCATCTGCGATAGAGGTTATAAAGGATATACAATAAATGAGGTAGGAGTAACGGACCAACGACACGATCGAATAGACCAATGGCGATGACAGGCGCGACGGTAAAGAAGGTGTTCCACCACAGGAGGTAGGTATACTCAAAAGCGCTGGAATTATGCGTTAGTCACAAGCCCGACAGTAAGACCGGAAGACTCACTATTGACTGCTCCATCCGCAATAGATCTGGAACCACCACAGGACTCCGATACAAATAATATTCTTGTAAAAGAAATTCACAATCCTGTGTTGATCGTTAATAAGTCGGCAAGCCTGAACCATGCCCATCAGAGACGCACATATTACCATTCCGAGCATAAGACCAGTGCCCGTGAACTAGAAGCAACCTCTTCAAAAACCGGAACTACAATCCAGTCAGCACCGATAACATTCTTCAGACCTCTAAACACACCTGAGCGATGGCGTAGTCCGACGAATTGACAGCTTGCAAACCCTCTTCACCGGAGATACCAACACCAACATCAGCTGCCTGGATCATGCTGACGTCGTTGGCACCGTCGCCGATAGCGAGCGTGATGCAATCCAAACCGTCCTTGACAAGCATGACAATCTGCGCCTTCTGCACGGGCGACACCCTGCAGCAGATTACTCCCTCGCACTGCATCGACAGGCGAAGTAACAAATGCTTGTGCCTATCGTCACCCAGCGCCTTCAGAGTCATGAGCATAGAGTCACACCCAAGCAAGAAAAATAATTACGTCGTGCAAAGCGCTACCGTCGATGACGAGGACGAAACCTCCCGGACGATCGCCGTTGCCTTGCCCCACGAGCGAGGTCACACCGGTGTTCATGCGCTGCAGCGGGTACGCGCCACCAGATTGCGACACCGTCTCCTCGAGGAACACGCCATCCTCGTCCAGGATCCCGCTTTCCGGGAAGAAGTCCTTCACTGCGCCGAGCATCTGTGCGTAGACGGACTTGGCGCTCTCGGGTCCAGACGCCCCGCGAACGATGACAATGTTGTCCTCGCGCCCGATTAGGTTGGTGCTGTGGCCGATGGCTGTAAGGACCGTCAACTAGAGCGATACCACGTCGGTCGCGCAGGAACTCACCGATGGCTGTCTCGAGCTTGTCCCCCGTGGCGACCCAGATCTTGATCCCTGCATCCTTGAGGTCGGCAATGGTTTCCGGAACACCATCCTGCAAGCGATCCTCAATAGCAGTGGCGCCTAGTAAGATCAAACTATGCTCCAATCCCTCGTACAAGGCATCTATCTTGCTCTCACGGTCTTCAAGCGACACCGTGGCCTCCTGGTAGCGCTTGTTCCAAGCCCTATGCTCGTCATCTGGAGAGCTGTGTCGGCCCACAAGTCGGCACTGAGTGAGAAATAACATTGCTCACCTGGAATAATCCTGTATGCGAGGGTGAGCGTCCGCAGTCCCTCGCTGGCAAACTCGTCGAGATCATCCTCCGTCTTCTTCCTCAGCTCGTTCTCTCCCGGTCGCAATCGCTCGAAGATAACGTTATCGGCGCCCTTGGTCAGTAAGAACAGCCGTTTGTCCTCATCGTCCAGTCTCCGCACGACGACGCTCATGCGCCGGCGCGTCGAGGTGAACTCCAGAATGTTCAGTAGCTCATACTTCTCGTACTGCGACGAGAACGGAGTCTGCAGCGTGAGTATCTCACGATCGCGGCGGCGAAACACGAAGCCAACGTCCGCGGCTGCCTGCACCAGTGCCGCTTCATCGGGACTCTGCGCCTTGTACTGAATCGCGCCCGACTGTGGGTCGACGGAGACGAGAGCGGTGTGACAGAGCGCAAGCGTTGAGAAAAAACCATTTAGGATCGGCGCTTGCTCTGACTCCGCCGTACCGGGCTCTGCGCGCGCGGCCGCGGCGATATCGGCGTTGAGGATGCTGTCGTGGAAGTGCATGGGCACGTCCTCCGCCACCTTTTCCGCTGCCGATGGATCTGGGACATCCGAGCTCGAAGGGGTGCTGTTCCTCTCCTTCCCGAGTGGCGTGTGCGAGCCGGACGAGATGGAAAATCGCAGATCGACGTCCTCGGAATCCTTTTGAATTCCGATTTTTGCAATCTCATCGCTTTCGTTCGTCCCTTGATAGCAGTGACCGCCGACGGAGCATCGTCTGAAAACCATGACATTCTGCAATAAACGCCCTTAGGATCTTTAACGGTTTGACATGAAGATAAGGATGCACCTGAGTTAATGTGCCTGTCTTATCTGAAAAGATGTAATCAATCTGACCCAGGTCGTCAGAAAGATTCCAACTCCGAGCAAGCGTTGGCTGGTCATTCTTCTTGTAGTAGATTTCGCGGTCAAAATAGATGAACAGGGCCTGGCATGTGCGCACGGCCTCCAGCGAAATGTATAATGAGATAGGGACAATATTCTGGAACCTGTGGGAAGGAAATTTCAACAATCAACTATTGCTCAGATGGCTGCACAAAGATTCGACGTACGTGATGAGTGCAAACGCGAAGGTGATCACCCCATTGACGTGCGGGTTGTTATTTCCCCGATTATCGTCGAACAGCCAAGGGGCACCCTCCGGATACAATCGCTGTTCCAAGACGGCATCAACGATACCGCACACCATAGCCATCACAGCCAGCAACGCCAAATTAATGAAACTATGAAGATCGAAGTCAAATATGGCACAGAATGGAACAGATAAAGCGCATACACTTGGGGATTCATCTGTCGCTCGACTTTGCTGCGCTTGCTCGGGGCGCCGCCCGAGTTCATCACGATCTTGGCGTCCTGCCCCGTAAAGACCACAATACCAATTGCCCAGCGTGTATTTCGGAGAACTGTTCCTCGCAACAACACGTTCAGAGTATCCACGGACGACTTGTCTTCTCCAACGACCACGGTTGCATTGAATTTGTAGAGGTTGGTGTCTGGCCGGTCGCAGTCGATCCGAAACGCATTGCGGCGATCTGCACACGCGCTTGCGGTGCGCAGGTGCATGAGAGCGGGCGACGCGGTGCGAGACTTGAGATTCGTCTCGCCGTCCAGGTTCTTCGTCTCTACAAACGCCACGTTCTCATCCTCGGACGTCGCACAGATCAGGATGTCCGCAGGGAACGACTCGTTCTCCACGATCTTTACCACATCCCCCACCCGTACGTCCTCCCAGATCGTCTTCTTCCAATGCGCCCGCTCATCTTTCCTCTGAAGGTGAAAGATCCCACCGAGCCCGAGCTCTTCACCAAGCCCGAGCTCCTCGACAGGCTCCTCATCGTCGGCGGAATCGTACTCCTCGGCGGAAGTCTCTACAGCCTCTGGCGGAGCGGCAGGTTCTAGTTCTACGACCTCCGTGTCCATGGTAGACACGGAATTCTTCTTCCGGAGGAATTTGGGCGTAATTTTGGGGGTGATTGCAGGGACGAACGTCTTGCTCTTGCCAGACGTCGCATTGGGGTTCGTCCAACCACCGCCAGTGAGTACACGCACTTGTGCATAGTTGACGTTGCGATCTGACTGATGGCGCTTAACGTCCTCATACCCATCTTTGAGAGCAGTAATAACCAGGACGACCAGCAGCGGGAGTATGACAAGCCCCGGAGAGACAGTAGGGAAGATGGAGAAGAACTGGAGGATGGCAATACCGAGGAAAAAGACATTGGCGACCCTCCTGAACTGCTCGAGCAGATTGCGGGGTACGAAGGTAATGAGGGTGTACTTGGACGTGATGACCTGGTTGGTGCAGTACACGTGCTCCTTCTTCACCCTCTGCTTCTGGTCGTAATAGTCTGCCGGGAGCTCTTGGTTGACATAGATCGAGCGAGGAGGACCTGGTTCGCGCGGTTTGGAGAAAAGGCTCTCGATATTGAAGGCAGCGAGCTTGTCATACCATCCGAGGACGCCATATCGTTTGGGAGCCATGGGAAGGAGTGGTGAGGGGAAGGGGGGTGAGAAAGGTCACAGAGGTGGCATTAGGATGAGGGTATGAGAGGAGCCGGCGAGGAGCATAACCAGTCGGTCAGCGCGATCCTGGTCACGCTCGTGACGTGACCTAGATCCCATTTCGTTCCGGACGTCGGGTCACGCTTTGTATAACGTACTGACTCATCCCGGCTGCACCGCATGCCAAAATTCACCTCTCCGACCTTACCGACTTGCTTAATTCCGTGCAGTTCATCTACAGTTCGTTTTGCGACAGGCAGTGTTGCCCTTTGGAGAGTTTGGAGTAAGTGCAGAGAAACGTAACGTTGCTTACCCCGTATGATGCGCAGCACCTTATCCAGTGATACCGATCCAATGCCGATCGCGGCAGGAGGTTGGTAGTCTGTCCAGCTCGTCGACGGAATACGTCTTGGACTCACAGTTTGAGCAGACGCTGTGACAGCGAACATGCAATTCCTACGGCAGGGTTCTCTTAGAAAACATGGATTTATCGTGTTGCTCGTTGGTCAGAAGTCAGCGCTTCCTAGAACTGGCTTGGCATTGGTCCACGGCTCGGTCAGCGTCGGTCAGGCCATCGCTGACATCGTCTACCCCACCGACTGCACGCGATCGGAAACGACGGCCGCAGGGCTTGCGCGGAATGTCCGGCGCTGGCGGGATCTCTCACCCAAGCCGCGCCTAGTGCGGATTGCCTCGGGCTGCCGCCAAGACGATCATCAGAAGGCCTAGACTTCAGGAACATCTCAGAGTTGAGGTGAGTACATACTATGGGTTACCACTCACTCGGCGGACCCTGTAAGTCGGCAGTTTTCCCATGTATAGAGAGGATTCGGGTCAAATGTTCTAAGCGGGGGAAATTTGACCTGAGAAGATGCACACCTACCCTGGATTATTCCCTTATATGGGGACTTTTGCGGGCTGCCGACTTACAGGATTCGCCGAGTGAGTGGTAACCCATAGTACATATTCAGGAAAATACTCAAGGATAAGATCAAGGCAATACTGCACCAGACGTACAGGTGTCCGCTGTCTGCGATGTTTGCTCGATTATGCGCGGTGTATCCGGATAGCTCTCACCTCGTTCACCCCGTGCGATGATGACAACAGAAGAATTGTGCACGGGATATTCGTGCTCGTCAGGTCGTCTTCAGATATAAGCGTAACACGTTTGCTACTTCGTTTGCGGGCTGTGGCTCTATGTTCCACAGCTGTCGAATAGGGTACGTGCAGAGGTGTAATGCAACTCTCGTGTCTAGGTCGTTTCAACAATGATACAACCATCCTGTCTTCTCAGCCAGCCGATAGCTAATAACTCCAGGCTGGAAAGCTTCGGTTTCCGCCTTGTTATGATCTGGTCGAATTCTCATGTGTTAGACATTCCTGTTGAAGTGAACGGATTAATCCGTATATGTGCAGGCAAACTCCAGGTGAACCATTGCTAGGTCCTCAATGCGAGTGGATCGAAATTTGCTATGCGATCGACTTTGCAATCATGTGCTCCATCTTCGCACATGCATTGCCGATGCAAATGTGCACTGAATGATCCACATTAACTTTAAGATGAAAAGATCAGCCGGAAATCTCTAGCATAGGTTAAAGTCACTCTGAAAATAAGACCTATGATGAGGCAAGTACTTTGCAGGAGCACTTGATTTTTGCAGTAAGGGAACGGTGACAGTGTGCAGTTATATCAACATGCAGCATGCAGTGTCAATTTGACTAGGGTATGTAGCTAGGAAAGACACTGCGGAGTTCAAACACCCCCTTTCTAGCTTGTGCTTTAGGCTGAGTGGAGCAGACCAGACAATTAGCAGTAAGCTTCAACGGAATAGATACTTACTTTGACCGTCGTGCCTCTGGAAACCCCGGAACGCCTTACTGAGATCATCCTGGTATTATTCGATGTTATATTACGGAGGCAAAGATTATAAGTACTATCGATACTTGCTTGGTACGCTTAGTCCCAGAAGGTGAAGAGCTCTCCGGGACCATATTGGTGTTAAGGTGCTGAAGAGGAATGAGACGAGGTCCGAAAATAACATCTAACACAAGAAAAAGAGATGCAGGAAAGGAGTGGGAAGAGGACTGTTTTACCTGGGTACTGCCCCCACTTGCTGTCTGAATCAGCGACAAATCAACGATCTCCTCCTTTTTTACTCCTGCTTTGGAGTCCTGTAGGAAAATCTTCTAATCAGTTCAAAGCATGGTATGCTATACAGTATGGACTGACCTCGGGCAGCACGGGTCCGGTTTTCTCAAGCCAATCATGGATGGATGGCGAAAATCTGCGCTTCAAGCCAACCTGCAATTGCAACAATTATCTAACATGATAAGAGAAGAAGCAGAGAACCTGTACAGCAGGTTTCATGTCGTCGACAGAGTCGGCCGTCACGTCGAGCCTAAGGGCATTCTCTCCTTCAGCACTACCCTCTCCTGCATCGCCGTCCGGTCTCTCAGTTTGCAGAGGATGACCAGGGTAGCCCAGCTTCCTTTCCAATCCGTAAAACTCTATTATCCGTGTCTCGTCATCAGCATTAACCTCGTCCCGCTGGAGGTAGTTCCTCATCCACTTCTCCACGCAAGCTATGTCAGCAGCGCGTTTGGCAGTGACGCCGTCGACGGACAGGCCCTCACGGGAGCCTACGCACTGTCGCCAGATTGCACGACTCTTGACCCCGATAACTCCACCTGGCACGTTTGCGTCGTTGACTTCTTTCTCGAGTTTCAAGGTGATCCCATTCTGGGGATTCTTCGCTGTCCGAATGGTTGGCTTTTTGGCGAGGATTTCGGGAAAATCTATGGCAACGAGATCGTAGCGCAGCCGGAGGCGGCTTTGCTCTTCTTCAGAGCATTTTGATCTAGCCATGATGGTTCGGATGCCAGTGAGGATGCGTAAGAGGTGATCTTCAAGTACCAAAGCAGAATCCTTGTTCGACCTCGACTACACAGCAACTGAGCGCTCACACTAGTGCGTTCGGTCACCTGAAGAGGTCGTGTACTCGCCCAGATGGTCTTACGGGCCAACGTCTGTCAATTACGTCTTAGATGACAACAAACATAATCATAAGTCTAAGCATGACTTACAGGCTGAGCCCACCCTACGACAACTCGAATTTTGTCATTCCAAAGCTAGTTAGTTGAGGATTTCATTTCCCTGCATTATGTCTCTACAGAGTGCACGACTCGGACATAATGCGATGCTGGATTCCAGGACCGAGATGAAGATGCGGCAGAGGAATATTATATCAATTCACGTAGTACCTCGGCTGTGTGAGTGGAATTTCATCACTGCACCTTTTGTTCGGTAATTTTATTCCATGCTGCGAGCAAGCTGCGAGAGCTCGGCTCTACATGATCAAAGTCGATTTATCCGATGAGCGGAACTTCAAGATAAGACCTTCCATATTGGGCCTCGCTCTTCACCGCTTTCCCACCCTCGTTCTCAACTCAACATCTCTTCTCACCACGTTAACCTTCTGTATCGGCACATCTGTCTCCAAAGGCGTGTGCAGTCGAAAACCTAAAAGAAATTCCAAGCGACCACCGCCTCTTGTACGGTCACGGTGACGCAGATGTCATCAGATTGTTCTCAGGCTAAGTAAACACATCTCACAGGTGTTTGGTCTCGCGTGGCGACGGACAGTATAGGATTCGAACATCACATTGCATGGTTTCCGAATTGCGTATCTTGTCTCAGTAAACCGTGGCTACTTGTGTGAGTACTGTCTTACCGATGATTTCTGTTAAAGTCGTGTTCACGTACAGTTACCCTCTCCGCCTACCACACGATCTCAGCGACAAGTGGCGCCCGTTTATACTGTTTCCACCATGTCACACGGTGCCACAGATGGACACTGCAGCTTGACAACATTTCATGACCTGCCGTACGAGATGTTACGAGAAATATTCTCATTTATGCCCGCCGGCGATATCTTCAGCATCATCACCACCTGCCAAGCACTCTATAAGGCTCTTAACCAAGACGAATCGCTTTGGAAGGAGCTTTCTTTACGGTATGGCGTAACCGACATTGCGCTTTTCGAGGGACGCTCATTCCGAACCATTTATACCCGTTTTCTTCATCATTATGGTGCTTTGCTGGGTCTTTGGGCGAGCGACCATCCGTTCAAGGGAAATATTATGGAATATCGTATTGCACCAAACAGGTGGGGACCCGGGAAGTCTCACGTCGTTATCGGTGAGGTGTGGCGTTTTCCACTCACGAGGAACCAGACTGCGACTGAGAAGCGAGAGCCGCACTTGCCGCAATATGTCGAGTTCATGCAAGTTGGCTTTGGGTTGGAGGAGGGGGACGATGTCGATGCTGTCTGCGTAACGTGGCACATCCATGCAGAGCAGTCCCTCCTCAACCCCGCAGTGCCGTTCGACAGACATGACGAATCCAGCCATTACTCGAAGCCCGTCATGCACCTCATCACTGCATTCCACGGGCCAATTCCCTTCCATATGCCCTCCGCCCATCACAATGGGAACCCAATGGCACACCCCGATTTTCCAAATTCCAGTACGATTGCGTGGTATGACCCCACACGCGGTTATCCCAACGTGCAATTGATGGCATGTCCCAATGAAGACAAGAATCTATCTGGCAACAATAGGCCACAGCAGTGGCAGAATTCAGTGTGGTCGGACTATGCAGATGACTCGGACCCTGAAGATGATTCGGATCCTGAAGATGACTCGGATATTGAGGATGGGACTGTAACTCCAAAACGGTTCCCAAAGCCTGTAGCATTGTCCTTCTACGGCATCTTGAGCAACGATCTGCTGCAGCTTCATACTCCCATCCACGGTTTCTATGATCCGCGTCAAGACACGGCACCACGCTACTTCCCGATGCGGGGTGACATCGAATTTGGCGACGACCCTTACAGCTCCAGCTGGCGTGCAGAGTCTTTGCGCGGCCTCTGGTTAGGCTCTTATGGCCCCCACGGGACAGAATGTCTTCACCTTGAGTCTGTTCCTAGTCTTCAGGCTGTCCACGCGCGGAAGGTCACCGGTGACGCCAATGTGCCCCGGGGAGTAATCAGCTGGGCTATGCAATTGAATCACCCAGTAACGCACCAGCAGCTAATGGATGATGAGGTCCTTGAAGGCCAGGTTGCCCGTGCCTTTGCGGGGAGAGGAACTACCAGCGGACACGGATTTATGTGAGTAATCTTGTCGGTCGGCAGCAGTTGTTGCTCAGCCAGATTTATTTACCAGCTCTCCGGAGAAGGTTAAAGTAACTGTCCTCATCATTAGCAGGGACGAGATCCGGGTTAATTGGACAAAGTCATACACAAATAAGTACATCAGATATCGTGGGCGGTAGACAGTGAGTGCACAGAACGACGTATGATCTAAATAGACTATGAGAAGGTGCGCTGAAACATGTTCTTCTGTTGCTTCATGCCCACCATTCAGTTTATAGCTTGACGTATGACGCGGAGTGTGTCGATGTTTTCTGCTGTAACAACGTGGCGTAGCAAATGAGAGTTGAATAAAGTTTTCAACAACTGGTACCTCCTTTGTGTCTCGTTCTGATGGTGGAGACTCGAGAACATTGCCAGCGCTATGTCATGTTCGATGCCGCGGGCTTTCAGTTTCGGTCGACGTCTTCTGGGGCCCGTCATACTGTCACTGATTGTCCTCAAACAGGTAGGAGCAATCCCTTGTCAGGAGTCGCATGCGGCAGCTGCACTGCTACCCTCTACCTGCAAAGTCGAAGGAAAGGCCATTCTGGTCTACGCGCGTCTAAATCACATGTTCTTTGAGGCAAGGTGAGTACTTAGTTAATACCTGCTCCACGGAGCTCTCGCTCAGCGCTCAGGACTTGTGTCGTCTGCCCACCTCCTTTCACCATGGATTCAGCATCGGGCAGGCTTCCTCTTGAAGTACACGAGTACATTCTCGATCACCTCTGGGACGACCACAGCACACTGGCAGTATGCAGCCTGACGTGCCGCGTTTGCTTACCGACTACGCGGTTTCATCTGTTCCGCAGAGTCTCTCTGGCGAGCTACGTGGAATACACACGATTTGAACGATTGTTGGATGAGTGCCCCGGGATTGCACACCACGTCCGCACTCTCCTGATATGCAATGCCCACCACGTCGTTCCCATGAATCGCGACTTTACTCGCATCTTGCTTAGGCTGCAGAATGTCGAATACTTAACCCTGAATTGCTGGCGAGCATATCAGATGTCAAACGAGACGAGGAAGAACTTGCAGGTGTGTTTCCCGGCGGTGAAGACAATTGTCCTCGAAGATTCCCATTTCTGCGATCACGATTTCCCTGGGATCATCCTCGCATGCCCCAGACTTACCGCGATCCATCTGATTGGGATAACGTCATCATCCTCCAGCTCTCCTCCGATCTGGCCTCTCGAGCTCGTTCCGGCCGGTAGCTCACCGGAGAGTCAGGTCGACACGCTAGTGTGGTCGTTCTCATCAAATGACACACTTGTATGGTTGCTCAATGGTCCCTCAATGCTGCGTCTCCGCGAGCTCCAGCTGTCTTTCTTCCACAGTGACATACACCCAGAAGTTGAGAACCTGGCGCAACAGCTCCTCCATGCAGCCGGGGCATCGCTGCAGCGCTTATCACTGGGAATATCTCCAACATTCGGTACTCCCAACGTGTCGCACGACACGCTGCATCTTTCGCGTAATCCAAACCTGGAGTGGCTCCAACTGAAGGGCATCATCCTCGATGGCGATCGAGCCATCCATTTCTCCAGCATTCTTTGTTCCATTGTCTCTCAAATTCAGCCTTGCCATACCAAGCTCCGCCAGATCCAGGCCGAGCTCATAGTTGCACGCATCTCTGACATAGCTGCTCTTCGATTTGAACAGTTTGACGAGACCCTGGCTGCGCTGTTGCAGGACAGGCAGTCCTTGGAGGTTCTGTTTCACGTGTGCAATGCCACATTGCATTCTCGTGGGCACGACTTCCAAGCTTGGGCACGAGAGGTGTCGGACGTGATCTCCACCGGCTTACCACGGGTGAGGACTCGGCTACTCGTGGAATGTGCGGATGCAGGATTCCCTCATGCGGGGTGGGGTGGGCCGACGAAGAGTCGCCAGCAAGTTGTATATAGGTACAGTGAGAAATAGCTGTAAGGCTGGTTACGTCGTGAGTACGTCTGGTAGATGAGCAAACTGATTGATGTCATATTTAGTTTTCTGCAGTGATCGTATTCCATTGATGACCCTGCGTCAGATAATCCCTACTGTCCAGCTTCATGGAGACTGAACATTCCCCTTAGTATTTTGGCCCCCTTCCCCGCATGTTTGTGCTGATCTTCTGTACTCTTGTCGAATTCCATTCACTTATAAGAAAGATCTACTCAAATAAGATGCCCATAACCCATCCGTCCGTATCAGGTGAGTTCCATCTTAGAGTTCACATCCTCGTTACATCTGATTGCGCCACCGTGCACTGACTGGTTCGTGGACTACGCTTGCATCTGCTTCCGTCGTATCACGGACGGTCACATGTTTAATCAGCATGAAGAGATAGGCGCGCTTTCACTACCTTTTTATACTGGAATGTTGAACGTTGTGCAGTTAGTTGCATCTCATCATGCCAGTCGCGCCAGTAGACGATCATGGCACTGTGCTCTACTATGAGGACAGCGGCACTCCACCAGCAAGCTCGAACTACACCACCATCGTACTGTTGCATGGAGCGTGTTTTTACGGCCGTAAGCAGATCATCTCCCTTCTTGCCTTGTCTTCGGCAATTAAACATCATTCGATTCTGGGCGCTACAGCAATCTTCAGGCCTCTGCTTCCGTTCGCGGCGAGCAACAATTTGCGCCTTGTTCTCGTCAACCTGCGGGACTACCCAGGCTCAACACCATTCAGCCCTGCAGAACTGAGGGCAATTCGCGAGAATCCGAGCGATGCGATTCAAGCGCGCGGATTCGAGCTCGCCGCTTTCTTATCTTGGTTCGTGGAAAGGGAGAAGATCCCTCCAATCTCCGAGAGTTCGGACGCGCTGCATGTTCGTATTGGCGGCCTCGCGGTCCTCGGATGGTCTGCGGGCAACTACCAGACACTCTCCATCCTTGCGCATGCCGAGAAGTTGCCGGAGGTAACGAGGACATTGCTGAATGCGTATCTGAGATGCGTCATATTTTATGGTGCGTATCGCATTCAATTCGCCGCAGTCTCGAGTAAGTTCTGTTCTCACACCATGCCGTACTCGTAGTACAGACGGCTCCTCATCGTGCATTGGTGAACCCCTTTCGAAAGGGATGTACAACCCCCTGGCCGACCCAAACCTTAGTGACGCACAGAAGTGGGAGCGTGCTCCAACTTGGCTGTCCTCCTATTACACGAAACTCGAGTTGGATCTCGCCTCCGAGACTTCCGCGTTCACGTCCGCTCTAATCGCTCGTGTGCCCCTTCACGAGGCAGTAGTCGCAGGGAGCGCCGATTCACGGTGGACACCCACAGTACAGCGGATGTCTGTGGACGAACTCAAGAGTGTCTTCTATGGTGAGGTCCTCAGGCGCTCACAAATGCCAATAGTGAACATCGATGCAAGAATATACAAGGAGAATTTCGACCGTGCATTGTTCGGTTTTCCCTCCAACTCTTCCGAGGTGCGCAGTGCGGAGGACTTGGTATGGCCGAATGTCAGCATCCAAGTATTGTGGTGTGATATGAGCATGAGCAGTGGTCCGTATGCTGTCCACCATATTGTCCGCCTTCGTGAAAGTACTAAGGGGGGAAGAACGGTGGGGATCCACAGGCTGGAGGATGCAAACCATTTTGTGCGTCGAGCCGTACCTAGAGCACCAGGAAAGCTGACACTATTCATAGGCGCATTGGGACTACCCTGAGAGATTTGTGCGTTTTCTTGCGGGTCTGATATGACGAAGCTCGCGTCATCAGTATTGTCAATGCACGCACGAGCTGCAGTAATGATATTGGCGTCTTCGGCGTGAGAGTAGATGCGATAGAAGGGGAGGAAACGCATGAAGCCAGGCGCGCCTTACAAACAAGCTATCCACAATTCCTCGTCATTGATTCGGTATAATTTTTCCATTTTCCCATCTTTCTCATCTTCACGGATTAATCCGTGCTACCTTCCTACAAATAGAATTCGGTGCCTCTTCGTCTCTCACCTGTCTACCAGTTCGTCTTTGTCCGTCCAAGTGATTTCTCTAAGTAGGTATCGTTTATTCGGAGTATCGAAACGAAAGTAGTACGCGCGTCGTTGCGGCAACGCGCTGCACATGACCCAGACGCGTCCATCATACCTTCCGCGGTAATTGCGATGTTCTCCGTGTAGTGGCGCACGGCTTCCGTGAGGCTTCTGAGCAAGCCTGGTCTGCCCTCCATCATCTCCCTGCATCCCTGCGCCACCATCTTGTCCAGGTGAACGAACCCTAACTCCTGTCAGGTCCACGGGACCACTCCCGTGCGGCAGAACCTCTTGTGCTCCCACCGTCGTTTATAAGCTGAGTGGCAGATCGTAGCGGATGACACAGCGGCGGCGTGCACTAGCGTTCCCGCTTACTTCGACGTGTACTAAAAGCCTATCTGTTCGAGCCGCGCGAAGTTGGGATGGGGCGTTACGATCTGTATTGGGACATTTGTATTGCTGAAACTGCGTGGTTCCAGGATGAGTTCCAGGCTGGCATTCCCCGCGGTATTTATCGAGCCCCTGTGTGAGGTGAGCGTGAGCCTCCCCCTCTCCCCCTCTACACACCTGGATAGCTAAACAGCATGCTGCGCAGTCTTCCCCCGCTGCGGCGAGCGCCCTTGGCTTTCCGCTCCACACTGTCCTTCACCACACCTTCGCGTGCACTTTTCACTTCTGTGCGATCATCAGAGTCTCTGACCGCTAATGTGTATCCTGCGGCGTCGACCCTCATCAGGGGTCAGGTCTTCGCGCGCGGCGTTGCGAGCGCTGTATCGGGCAGGCCAGGGTCGCAGAGTCTTGGCCAGGCGGCACTGAACGTCCGCGAAGAGCTCGGGAACTCTACCAGTGACCTCGCAAAAGTCATCGCTGGCGCGAACGTATATGCGGACTCCGTCATCCCCACCCAGAAGACGTTCGTACGTGTTGTTCCTTTGCGTCACTTTTGGGAACAAGCGTGCATTACGGTCTTGGCATTTTGTTGAAGTTGTCAATCTCCAGGTCGGGATAACTGGCGCGGTCGCGCAAACTGTGCCTACTCCGTTTATGGTCTTGGGCCTTGCGGGCGGTCTCCCTTACCTGGGACTATCGAGTGCCACAATCTACCTGGCATACCAGGCAGGCCTCGCCGTCACAGGTTGGCACCCTCCATCCAGGCGTGTCTCAAATGTGCTGAAAGGTTTCCTGTAGGTGGCATCGGCAGCATGGACCCGGGAGTCGCGATCACGATGCTTCACCAAGCGCTCGACTTCCAGGTGACGTACGGTGCGGTGCTACTCTCGTTCGTCGGTGCACTCCACTGGGGCATGGAGTTCTCCGGCTACGGGGGGCACAAGGGGTGCGTCCCTCCCTCTTTGGTTGCCGCGCACGCGCACTGAGGGTTCACTCGACACTGCAGGTATGCGCGCCTCTTGCTTGGCGCTGCACCCGTAGTGTTCGGGTGGTCCACGCTTGCGCTACCGCCGATGGAGGCACTGATCGCGCAGTGGGTGGGTTACACGGCCGTGTGGTGGGCCGATTCAAAGGCGACAGCAGCCGGGTGGGGTATGTGCACCGACATGCATCGTCGACTCTTCGCTTAATTTCTGCTTGGGTTAGCGCCGAGGTGGTTCTCCCAGTACAGGTTCTACCTGTCCATCCTGGTAGGGACGTGCATCATTAGCTCGCTCGCTGCAACCAGCTACTGGGGGCCCGTTGGGGGGCACGGGCTCATCAGTCATGATCTGAACATGGTGAGTTGCATCTCCGCCCACGTCCCTCGTGTGCGTGCAAATGATGGCTCGGCAGGTCCGTGCGGAGCGTAAGCAGAAGCAACCTGAGGCTGATGGGTCGGTCCGCGGGAACGTCGAGGCGCTGCTCGCGGACGAGTCCGGAGACTCGTACGTCATCATTAAGAAGAAACGCGGGGAGGAGGCTGGTTAACTGAGTCTTGCATATCGGGCGGCCGCGCGCAATATTTGAAGCATCTTTGAGCACTCGAGAATTCCGTTGGCCCCAGTGTTATTGTATGTACTAGGATTTGACTCCGACGTTGTAGCTGGATCTGTCTGCACTGTAGTTTTTGAATGTGTGTTTATCAATCTGTACAATATGCGATGTATCTGATCAGTCTTATGCAGTCGGATTCGATATAAGTAGCGAATTTCCTTGTGCTAGCAGCTTCTGTTCACCTGCAGCTACGGAGGCGAGCAGGACGATCGTCTGAGCACCTCGCAGGAGAAAGCTGTGTCAAGAGTCCGCTGTGCGCTCGAGATAGTGTTACCGCCCTACATCCACGGTGGGAATACCAATTGTGTCTCCAGGTACTGAGAGTCTGTCTGGCTAGATAGGAGAGGCGAACGAAGGAGCGAAGAGCGGTGACCATTTGTCTACACTCAGCGTTGGTAGGCATGTTTAGTGCCCTTGTGACTTGTTCCTGGGCCTTGCTAACCATTCGAACGCTCAAGACGTTTACAACCGCACTGAACTGAACGTCGACAAACAATGTTATTGGCGAGACATTCTGGCCCATGGAGATGCCCGAGTAATATCCAAGGAACTACGCACTTTAGTATATACTCTATCTACTTGCCCATTCCCGTCCATACGATAGAACAGCCGCTCTACGCAAGACTAACAGTGCGAAACGAGACGTGAAACAATTTACACGAAATGCAGAAGGATACTGATACAGATCGGACCATGCAAAAGGTAGCATTTTCAAGATGGCAGACTAAATGTTTTGAAATATGTGAGACGCGCATCGTCGCGTTTGAGACGCTGGTCGAATAAGACGAGCGAGCAGGCTTAGTCCATGGGTGCATTTTTGACGAAGCACCTAGTGGTCACCATGCGCAGGGTTCCGTGAACGTAGTGCACGATAGCTCCGCTTGAACGCGAGTACGACGGTCTAGATATTACGAACTTCAGTGGCGTTTCGCAAGAGAAAATGAGGTACTGGCCTGGATGATCACAGGGACCTTCGCAGAATCTCCGCGACGCACATTGACCGCCACCTCACGTCTAACAGAAGAGTTCAAGTCTAACATGGAGACATCACAATCTAAAATATCGTCGCCAACTCTCTGTGGATGCTATCAACGAGATATACTGCATGAGAAAACAGTTAAAACATATTAATGATGCAACCCACCAACGTCATTGAAGGCGGCTCTTCGAATACCGGCTCTTCGGTGTAGCGGTAGTCTACCGTTTTCTGTGACACGCCCACCACCGCACCCGCGTTGGTGACGCTATATGAGACACGTAGACCTAGCTCACCATCAAACGGTCTTGACATTCACGGCAGCTGGGTGAAGTCGTATTTGCGTGGTACCAATCGTGATAGGTAGGAGCTCGAAGAACATCGCCTTCCAGTAGAGACATAACGAGGGTGAACGACGGGTATGGCGGCTCCAGCCGTCGCATGAAAGGGCAGACAAAGAAGGAGGCGCAAGGCAGTTGAGGGAACAACGAGAGTGAAGACGTGCTGTGGAAGGAAGGGAAGACGAACTCTGCATTTACGCCCACAGCCTGCTCGTTATATGGACGAATCAAAGACTGAAGCAAGCATGTCGTAAAACGGCGAACTGGACCGCTAGATTTGGCTAATGACCCCGCCAGTTCGAACGACGCGACTGCCGCCATTGCTCTAGATTTGCTTCCGCGCAGCTGGCGATCAGTATTCTGCTTCCGCGAATGCCAACTTTGCAACTCCCTGAGGGAATCGTCTGGAGTGTGGAGACAGCTTGTCAGTGTCAAATAAAGAGGTACTCGGTAGACAGCGACGACGGTCAGATTGCTCATTGCTCATTGCTCACGAGCAGAGTCTCTACTGAATGGATATATCGCTGTCTCAGGTCCTCCGCGATGCAGCACACTCAACATACCTCCAGAAATTCGAGAAATTCGCTCATGAAGCATGCACATGACACCCCATCCACCTCGCTCAAGCGGGAGCCTCGCCGTAAGAATGTATGCCTGTGGTCCACACGACCACGAAGGGACACGGTCATCGAGGATTGGGGCGACACTGTTTGTATGTCGCTCACAGACCTCGAACGAATACAACTCCTCCCCACCCTCCAAGTTATCTATCAGCTAGCCAGCCAGGGCGGTGCAGCTAACGCGACGCGCGCCGAGCGTGTGACCCGACGTCACATCACGCGTCACATCCCGACGCCTATTTACGGGGCGCGAAGTGAGTCACAGTCAAACTGTTTCCAATGAACCACCATCAACTAATGTGTGCTGTGTGGTATGCGATCTTCAACACGAAATACCTTCAAGAGCAAGAGTGTGATCAAGCGTCCTCGAAACATGTGCGACACGCTCGCAACCAAGCAGTCCGACCAACGGCCATGATCATCGCAGAAAAGACTGCGCACACCGCCAGACATCATAAATGGGAAACAGAATTCTCCCAAAAATGCACCATAAGGCACGATGGATTGTACGCAGACTCACATTTTGGAATCGAAACTCGCATTGTCCGACCCCTACCCGTGTGACCCCATTTTTGAACGTAACAGGTTGGCACAAAGACCAGTCCGTCTTTGAGGAGGTGGCGCAAGGTTATGACAAGAAGTTCCTGGCAATTCGAAAGAGCCCGTCGCAGGCCGTTGAATCCAGATATCGGTGTGGCCACTTCGCACCATGGTGCAGGAGTAATTCTCCCAGATCCTTGAAGGGGCGACGAGTACCAGCGCGAAAGCCTCAAGAAATATTCAAGAAAGTCGGCAGAAGACAGCGAGAATTTTGTAACCGCAAAATCAAAAGCGAGAATACGAAGCAACCTATCAGCCCGAATTACCGCTGCACGGTCAGTATGTCGAAGTTTACGGTCTGAACGTAGGGCCCGATCATCAGTGAGACGGCAAAACGTCAAGGAAACAAGGTGTGGCAAGATGATAGCGGGGAACAGGTCGAAAATGGGGTGGCCCGCCAGGAGGTGGCCTGGTCCTCCTGACGACGCCGCCTGAAATTGGATCCCACAATGGGGGCGCAGAAACTCAGCCACCATCGCGACAATATTCCTCTCTTTCTCAGTAAACTCGCCCTCCTTCAGTGGGTCCATTTTGGACACTTCTCATGTCTCTCACAAAATATTCCCTTACCTCGGAAAGTCTCACATTTCACTCGGCGATAGGAGCGAGACCACTGCCGAATTGCGACGAATACGACCCGCACTCCGCTCACACTCACACAAGATTTTCTCAATCCTGCGCAAACTCTGAGCTCTTCAAGATTAGTGATACGCCTGAGGGGATTCTGCCTCGAATGCGGCGACAGACGAACTTCGGGGAGCTTCGCGGCGCGTACCAAAGCGTTCATCTTCCTCAAATCTTCTGGTCGTAAATTCAGGCCAAGCGATATACGCCGGAATTAACGACTTGCTGACTCGAGCGGCTGCATTCTAAGCAGGAGAGACTGTTTTGTCTGTCTGAGAGTGGTTGCAGTAATATGCTTGCGGTGAAAGTTCCTGAGGTGAGTGTCAGAGAACGAACATGCGACTAGATTTGACCCTCTGTTGCCTTCTGCCTAGCGGCGAACACAACGTAGACTCGGAAGGAGGGCGATAGTTCTCGCCTGCCTTTCTTTTTGCCTTGGAGGACATCTCACCTTCAGCTACCGCCTTGCAGTGCGGGAATCAACTAAGTCCGATGCTTGCAAGACTACATTATTAAGTTGCAGATCTTCGCTGCAATGTCGTCCTGACAGCACCGGAATTGCCACAAATCTGTATATTGTCTACTCTTTGGATCAAAGTTGACCTTGTCGAAATCTTCCATGTCTAGTCACCACGAACGATGGACGTTCATAAGCCCTGATTCCACTGAGCCCGTCTATTATGGATTGGTGAAAAGGCTAGACGGTGCATTCATCTGTCCTTGGTCTGATTCTCTTGTACCAACATGGCGCACTCATTGCCACATGTCTTGATACTACTTGGATTTAATGAACTGTAGGAAGGGGACAAGAGAACCACAAGATGCATTTTCTTACGTGAGTGGATATAGAGTCTCACACCGTTTCTTATTATCAATAAATCACCCAGATTGCATGAATTCTGAACCAGGTTCGAACGAGGGCTGGATGGAAAGCGATTATCTTTTGTGCACTGTTTGCGTTTGCTGCTACGTCTGCACGATTATGTGAAATGTTTCGAGATGAAGACGCTTATCTGCTCTCAAACACGCGACACCTTTATCTGTCAAGGGCCATTCGCCACGATACTGCGGGCAACGACGTGAAATCAAATGAGTGCATTCAACGGCCGAGAAAGAGTACTCTAGCATCCACTACACATAGAATATCGCCGGCGCACATACGAACGTCCAGTAATCCGGACTCCTGAAAGAAATCACCCTTGTGCCAGTACTTCGCAAGCTCGGAAAACGCAGAAGGCTGAGTGGCCCTCCTTGTTGTTCTCCCTGGCGCCGCGCAAGGCGCTACAAGGGTTCGTCTGCTTCAGGAAGAAAGAAATAGGTGCGGTCGAATTCATCGGGAGCCGGTGCTGGAAGAAATTGAGGCTGCCAGTGATGATCACTGTGGCGTCGTCCATTGACCACGGTATCGCGGCCCGCCAAGCGCGTCGCGACGCCTCGGTCACATGACAATTGGTTCATTCTCACCCTGCCCACTGGCAACGCGTCTACTGCAGCAACTGTTCTCTCTTCACCGCTCGGCAGCATCACGAAGATACCTCAAGCAAGGATAGAGAAGTTGGGAACACTTTTGACAACCAGTTGTTGAGTCCAAGTGAGTGTCAACAGTTACAGTGAATAAGTAACGATAGACCCTCTCCGACTTTCCGCACACTTCGCTCAGGTGATCAACTGTGGAAGGCAAAAGTGTCGGAGAGGATGAGCCTTCCTGTTACTCTTTGAATCTATCCCAATAGCCAGTTTAACGAACGATGGCTTTGCATTACCATGACTTCCCATTCAGCCGAGGACCGAATGTGTGCAGGAGCGGCACAATAGGTTCTGAATTTCGTCTCAGTACATCTAACCAGTTTTTTTGTTAATACAGAACGGTGCACAGACCATCATGCTTGCCGTCTTTACTACAGAATCTCTCATCTGCCTCGATCACCCTGCGCTGAAACGGCCACCGTCCACTGCTCCATCAACTTCTTCATTGCTCTCAGAACCAGTCTGTTGCACTTGGGCGCCAGATAACAGTTCAGTCTTTCTCGCAACGTCCACAGATATCCAGCAATACAATGCTGCTGGAACATTCACCAGATCCGTCCACGTATGCAAATCTGGACAGATTACTGCCCTGGCCAGCAAGGACAAAGGCAACACCGTCATCTTCAGCACTGCGCAGCAAGTCCACAGCCTCGAGGTGCACTCGGACAAGATTGTACAGACGTTCGACACCCACAAGGCGCTGGTGACGGCCCTCGCGCTGTCCAACGATGGTTCCCTGCTTGCAACCACGTCCGCGGCTGCAGCACACGTCCACAACCTCACGCACGGTGCACACACCGTGCTTCGCGGGCTGTCCGCGGGCACGGGCGCCATCGCTGCTTGCGCCTTTCATCCCCACTCGCGTACACGGCTGTTGCTCGGTGCGGGAACAGTTCTGCTCGCGTACGACACCACACGCCCCTCGGGGCCAATCAAGACCGTTCTTCTCACCAAGGAGAAGGGTTGTTCTGGCGATATCATCGCGATCGCGAGCAGCCCGTTCAGTAAGACCCTTGTGGCTGTAGCGAGCAGCGGTGGGACGATAGGCTTGGTAGATCTGGACAAGGAGAAGGGGTAAGCTTTCAGTGGTTATATGCAGTTGACTGAGCTTATGATCAGTCATCTAGCCTCTTCCGTGTTTTGTCAGTGCGCGTCCCGCTCACTTCACTTGTATTCTCTCCGGAAGGGGCTACGATCTTTGCAGGCACGGAGAACGGCAAGGTGCTTGTACAAGAGTTGCGCTCGCTCGACAAGTCGCCAAAGTCCATTTCGGTGAGCGACAGTGGCGCCCGCGTCGTGGCCATGTGCATTCAGGTACGTTACCTCTCACAGTCTTCCTCTTGAGTCCATCCTCACGTGTTTGCAGAAGAAGATCAAGGGCGAAGAGGCACCCCAGAAAGCGACCACCGCCAAACCTCTCGTCCAGCAAGATACGAACAAAAATACCACGCGCCGTCCCTCGGACGGTACACTTGTCAACGGGGACAAGAAGGCTGCCCAAACTACCAATCCCCCAGCAGCAACCTCTCCGGCCCTCACGCGTACTGCTGCAGGCCAACGGACTCCCGCGAAGACCAGAGCAGCTTCCGGTGGGACTCCTCGCCCAGCGCGCACACGAGTCTCATCGACTTCTGCCGCTGCTGCGTCTCCAAGCAGGGTGTCCGCACATAGAGTCGGCTCGGTGAAGTCACCTGCGAGGAAGGTCAGCGGAGGAATCACGAAACGAGTGTTTTCCCCGCCCAAGTCCAAGCTTATGCGTACGGCAGTTACGCCTAAGCTCGCCCCTGCTGCTATGCCGAACACCGAGGACAAGGACGATATGGACGAGCTGCATATGTCCGGTGAGTTGCTCTGCAATTCCTCTGAGCGTGTCTTAGATCTGATGTATTTTTTCCAGTGCGCATAGATGACCTACTTGCCCTGCCTAAACCCACCAAGGCTAAAGAGAATGTGAACCCTGCCGAGAGTGTGCCATCGTCGACAGTACCATCGGCCATGTCTGCGCGCACAACCACGGAGGGTGACACAGCACGCCCCCGCACTCGCACTCGCACAACGTCCAGCTCGCGGTCCTCTGCCTCTGCCTCAGGAACAAGTAGCAGTGGGCCGTCTGCCGCATTCAGAGGCAGCGCGGACGTGCGCGCGAAAAAAGTCGCCAATGGTAGTACAAAGTCACGTACAAGGTCTGTTTCGCGCCCCAAGTCACCAACTCTGCCTGCCCCCAGCAAGGCGAGCACACGGTCGCGTACACCGAGCCCCAAGCTCCCCGCTTTCGACTCGGGAGCGTCCGCGAGGCCTATTCCTCTTGCAAAGGCGAAGGGGAAAGGAAAGGAGCTCATGGGCGGGATGGGTGTGCTAGGGCTAGGTACGCCCGAGGTCGAGCGCTGGGTCCGCGCGGGGGATGTAGAGGCGGCCGGCGAGCGGGAGGGCAAGCACGTCGGCTTCGCGTCTGAGGGAGGCAACCACGAGTCCGGTGATGAGTACATATTCCCGGACGACGAGCACGTGGACTACCTGGACGCGCGAGAGGGCGCACAGCCCGAGCTGGCCATGCAGGTCTCTCCTCGCCGACCAGCGTCGGCCTGGGCGCCCGTCGTTTCCCCCCTCCGGCTTGCGGGTTCACCACGCGCTGGTCAGAACACAGCGCAAGACCTGCTTCAGACGCTTCTTCGCGACGCGATGTATGACTTTCGGCAGGAGACACGCTCAGAGATGGTCGGACTTCACCTGGACCTCGTGCGCATGGGCCGCGGGTGGCGGCGAGAGATGCGTGAAGCGATGGCAGAGTTTGGTGGGGAGATCCGCGCGCTGAGGGAAGAGAATACGCGGTTGAGGGAGGAGAACGAGCGGCTGAGGAGAGGGTATTAGTGGTGGCTGTTGCGCCCTGTGAAACCGACTCGATAGACATGATAGGGATTTTCTGTGTTGTATGTGATATGTATTATATTCACGCATAGTACTATTCCCTTGGGTTGAAACAAAACAGATCGATTGGTGCCTTCTAAATAAATACTCTTAGTCGTACATGATAGCAGGGGGTAACGATGTATAAGGATAGAGGTGTAAAAACTAGATGGAATGCAATTTGACAATCACGGCGATGAAGGAAGGGCTTGCAAGCGCCTCTTCTTCGTAGGCACGGGCGAAGCAAAACTATGAGGAGAGGAGGTGATCACTACCTCTGCACGGTTAACAACCTTGCGGACAGGCCGTTTCTTCGGCGTTATAGGCAGTCCGTCGTTCACGCCGACATCCATCCGTGAATAATCAGGCTCATCTTCAGATTCGACCAGAGGGCGTTCAGCGTCCGAGTCTATCTCCTCGCGCTTCCGCTTGGGTCTCCCGGGGCCCTTCCTCTTGTTCTTCTTGCCCTTTTTGGCCTTCGCCTCTACCTGGGTGCCCTGCTCGACGACGCGGCACACTTCTACGACAATACCGGCCTGGAGGAGGACATCGATCCAGACCTAGTTCGCAAGCCGGTCAGATAGAATCATGCAGGGGTACAGCAGGTATGATAGAGTACCTTCTGGTTCTCCTGGAGAATGTCCCCCGGGCCTTTCACCTCTGCGAATTTGCACACCTTAAGCTCGGGATTGTAGATAATTAAGTCAGGAACGCCCGCGCCACGCCCAGCGTAATCCTCACAGAAGAGGCGGCAAATGATAGCGAGACCCTCCCCGCCAAGATACTAAAAACAGCAGCCAAATAATTGATCAGATGATGTACTTGAGATTATCAAGATATTCACGCACCGTGGCTATAGCCAGCAGGTCTTCCCTCGTGAAGAGATCCCAACGCACGCCCACACACCACGTCCCCTTCTCTCCGTGCGCGGCGAAAACTCGCTCCAGTATCTCTGGCGCCTTCCCCTCACGGAGCTCATCCAACCTCAGATCCGCGAGCTCCTTGCGGGAGAAGTAGAACGTGTCCTCCGCGATGTCGAGTGGGGCAGACTGGAATGGTGTCTCGAAGGCGCCGGGAACAGAGGCGAAGATGATGTCCCAGAACAAAAGACCGAAAAGTGTCGTGACGATGCGTCCTTCGCAGTGAAACCTGGAAAAGTAACACATTCACAACACTATCAGTGCGGAGAAGAGAAGAGGAAGGCTCACCCCTTGTAGCCGAGTGCCTCGTAGTGTTGCAAAGCAAGCATTTCGACAGTGACCTCTTCATTCTCCCGACCGATCCATACCGACTTCCCAGTAGCCTTCTCGCTAACCTGCCCATACTCTGAACTAACGGTTCACAACGCAAGCGTTTGAGTACTCACCTCGACCTGAGGCTTCTGCACAGACGGTCCGACCAGCTGGGACCAGCGAGACAGCGCCGCCTGAGTGAAGACACCGCTTTCGTTGGGTACTTTAGGCCTGCCCGCCCGGTCGATCACCATGCTCGTTCCTCGATGAAGTACTCGCACGCCCTCAACGTACACCTCGGCCGCTTTTTCTAGCTTACCCTCGCATACATGTCGGTCTTCTGGCGGGATCTTGAGACGGTTCTCGAGCTTGGTGAGCCGGCGCTCGAGCATGGGACGGAAGACTGCAGTGTCATACTTAGCGCCACAACACTTCCTTGCGAATTACTCCACTCACCGATGTGTGTGTCCTCATCAAGCAGTGCTTCCGTGACGGCTTGCATGGCACGCTCGTGCGTACCTTCATCCCGTGGACAGTGGGTCATGAGAATAAGCGCTCGTCGGTCGTACCACCGTCCCCGACGCCCTCGACGCCACCGCCGCTGGGCAAGCAGCTCCTCGAGGACGTCGAGCTCACGCTGGTGCTCCTTAAGCACCCCGAGCGCATACGAGCCCTTGCACACCACGCGAGTCAGGATATGTCCTGGATCGTGCATCAGATACACGACCTACGGACAAAGACAGAGAGCCATAACCCACCGCAGTCGAAACGCTCCAATCCCCTCTCCCGCCCGTCCTCCTCACCCTTAACGTTCACCATCGCCTGCCATCGCGGAAATACCTCCTCGAAGATCGCCTTGACCGCCCGCGCATTTTGCACGCGCGGACTCTCCGATGGGGCGTATCCGTCGAGCATATCGGCGTCTACATTGCCCTCTTGCTTGATGTTGGCAATCGCGAATCCTCCCCTTTCCTGCTTAACCTGCACTGTAGGCACCTTACTGGCAACGGAGCGTTCGCGCAGGGCAGCGGAAACCGCGGATCCCTCCAGGAGCGCGTCCACCTGCGCCTCAAGCGCGAGCGCATCTTCATAGGCCAGTAGTGCCTCGCGCGATGGCCAAACGTTTGGCGTGCGTCTGTGTTGATATGGTGCGTAAGAGCGTTTGTGTGCGCGGGACAGGATCGAGGGCGTCAAGAGAGTAGGCGTGTGTTGGGTGCTGCAAGCGACGTGAGCCTCCGGTAGTGGATCGATTACTGGTAGACTAACCTCCGGAAGTATACTAAGTTGATTCGGCGGAAAAGAATCACTACATCTTCGTTGATGCGAACGCATTTCACTAGATCGTGCGTAGGTAGGCGTGCAGGATGCATCATGGAACCAGCTTACCGAGCATGTTCATGACCATCTCGCGTAGTCGATCTGCCTGAGTGTTCGGTCGGCCCGTCCGATAGGTGAACGTCAGTTGCGTCTGCTTCATGGGCTTGCCGTTTTGCTTCGCCTTACCCTTCGATTTAGAGGAGGAAATGATGGGGAAGTCCAGCGTGGCTTGAGTGGAAGAAGAAGACAGGACCGCGTTTATGAGCGGGTCGCGCTAGCACAGCCTGAGCGTGAGTAGAGCTGAGGAAATAAGTCCAGAACTCACCTTCGTCGCGGGCTTGACCTTCATCTGCTTCGCGATGGCCTTGAGTTCGTCGGTCGAGAGGCAGTCCAGCAGCTCGCGTAACGAAGCGTGCGCCTCGTCTTGTGCAAATATCGAGTAATCTGGCGGGCCATTGACTGCAGGCGGCTCAGGCAGCCTTGATGGACCCGCGACGGGCTTCTGGCCCTGCTCGTCGAACGTGAGGTCAATGAATTCCCGTTCTTCCACCTTCACCTGGCCTCGAGGATCGCGGCAGAGCTCCTGAATAGCAGGAAGGATGCCGTCCCCAAGCTCCTCGCGGTAGTTGAGCGCGCTGAGTCTGTGCCACTTGTCGGTCTTGCGGAGACAGAGTCGAATGAGCAGATATCGCGCGTTGTCTGAGGTGGATGAGGTGAGGTAATGGAATATCTAAGAACGCGGAGTACGTACAGGACAAACCGTCGTATTGCTTGATGCAGCCAAGCTCGTCATGGGAGAAGAGGTGCGCCTCGGACACCAGGACCTCCTTGAGCATGTCTGCTCTACTATGAGTTGCTGTCGTGGAAAGACTTCGTTGAAGACCTACCTTCGAATAAATTCACATACATGGATTCGCGTTTTGCCCCGACCTCGCCATCGTCCACAGCTGACGATGCTGGCGATTCCTCACTCCAAAAAACCAATCTGTCTGCAGCATTCGCTATAGGGGACCCGGGTGCCATGTTGTAGATGTAGCAGGTAGAAATCAGTACGCGTCGGAAGATCCAGGGACGTATATTGAACTTCGGCGATAAAACGGCGTTAGCCCTGCAGCGCTTTGACCAAAATCGAGGGACTCTTTGGTTGCAATTCACTGCAAATACAGACCTGAGGAGGTGATAGGCCGATGAGTCGAGGACGACACCGACAAGCAGCGGAGAGAGCGCCTGAGCTCCTTCCCTCGTGATCGATACAATATCGACGTGCGTGACCGTGTAGCACCGCTGCTGCATGCGAATTCGAACCGAATCTATACGTCTAGTATACCACATTCATAGATGATCATCTATACTATCGTGCTACATAAAACCCGAGGATAGGAGAGCCTCATCTACCCATGGCAATTAATTCTAAGATGAACCAATAGATACGACACACCTCGGAGCACTGAGATATCTCAGTTGCAACAAACGCGTCACCTTCCACCTTTAGATGCAGGAGACGCACAGCGACCCCTTGCTCTGGAAACCCACCAATCGGCTGGTCACAAGCTCACGCACCTCCTCCCGGATATCGCCCCAAATATCCTCGCAGCTCACCCGAAACACCACCATAAGCCCCGCAAACTCCTCCTTCGACAGCTCGCGATCAATGCGCTCCCAGTCGAGTCCAAGCAGGTCGCGAACGGCAGTGATAGCGAGCTCGAACGTCACCTCTTGCAGCCGCCGCGAGCGTAGCTGGGCGAGCATACCCGTCACCCACGGGAACAACCGCCGCGAGACGAACGAGTGCGATTGCGCCGCATTCAGCCCGCCAAAGTGCAGCGACCGCAGGCAGGTGTTCGCCGCGAGACTCAGGTGGTCTTCCAGCACGGCTGCACACGTCAAAGTGATTGGTGAGTAATGAAATATTAATGGATGAGGAAGACGCTCACCTTCCTCGGGAACGCCCGCAGGGAACTCGACTTGCAGCTGTTCTAGCGCAGCGCCGCTCGCATACAACAAGTCACCGACGGCCTTGGTGTTCTCGATCTCGCGCCAACAGAGTTGGATCGTGCGTAGGCGCTGCTCCGATGGGTGCCGTAGTAGCCACTCCGTCACCAGCGTTGGCGACGAGCGCGCGTCCAGGAACAGGTATGTCAACCGGATATTTCCCCGCACGGCATCCACCGCTAGTGACAGGGCAGTACTATCTGGCCTCGTATCCATGGAATCCTGTGCCCATGACACGGCATGAAAGTACAGCTCCTCGAGGGCTGGGAATGCCGAAAGAAATTCAAGAACGTCGTACGCGGTCGCGAATCGGACCTCGAACAGGAATAGTGACCGCACGGACTTTGAAAGCCGAAGGATGGTACTCTGCGTCTCAGGGTGCAACGCATCCCACCGGATGCGCGAGAGGCCGAGCGTTGTGACGCGCGTGAGCTGCGCGAGCAATGGCGCGGCGGTGTCCACCCACCCGTCGTCCTCCCATGCGTGCCCGTCCGCATCGACGCCCCCATACTCTGCGCTGAGCGAGAGTCGCCGCACGCATCGCGTGATGCTGGGCGACGCGGCGACGAGGGCTTCCAGCCGCTCGCAGTCCGCTGAGTCGCGCAGACGTACGGTGTGGAAGAGGTGCAGGCGACTGCTTGGTATCCAACTGCGGCAAGTGAGGCTACACGCCTTAAGCGACGGCGGGTCGTCCCACAGATGGTCGATTGTCTCGTCGAACAGCTCGGGTGGCAGGACTGCCGTCATCGCAAGGAGTGACCTCTGCGGGGAAGGTACATGTTAGTCTTCTGCGCGAAGGAGCTGCTGATGTACGCACCAAGGGTAGCACAGATCTAATGTTCGCGGTCTCGATACAAGTTGTGAACTGCTTCGCAGCTTATCAATGATATATGGCAGAGGTCTAGCGCCCAGCGCCCGCCGGCATGACCGTCAGTTTCTTCAGTCTGACTCGAGCAAAAAAAACTGACACGGTCCGGTCGTGGCGGAGCCCGACTCGTTTAACCCGCCATGTCCGAGCTCCTGGTCAGCGTCCATAGTGCAAAGCGGGCCTGGCCGAGGGTGAAAACAGCGACGGCGAGCAACGGAGCAACGACGGAGGCAAACTTGGCTTGTGACAAGAATGAGATATGGGGACATGAATGCGAGCTAGACGAACAACAACCTGAACAAACAGAATCGCGAGCACGTCGCCCGAGACGACGAGGTCGAGCAAGACGATGATGACGACGACGGCGATTATATTATTCGGCACGGCAACGAGGACGGCAAAACCCGGATTGGCATCCCTGAAACGGAAACACTCCCACGACCACCTCAGAGCGTCTGGATCAACGTCTAATTCGCCGCGTCTGCCTTTTCCTTGAGTTGGAGCTCTCAGGTCGACGACACTATGGCCGTATCAAACGCTGCTCTAGTATCCTCTCTCCGGTCGCTTTCGCTGCCCAACTCGAGATGTACTCTCGGCCCTAGTAGAGCCCTTAACGTTCCTGCACGACCGCGGACGCAGGCGTTCGTGCCCTCGCGCGCCAAGTCCACCAAAGCAAAGACGGACCCTGCTGCCAGCAGCGCAGCCAGTAGTGATACTGCAATGGCCAGCAATGGGCCTGCGAGCGGTGCACCGGGAAGAAGTACATCGACGAAGAAGAGTCCTGTGACCTCGGAGCAGCAGGAGACGTTGCCTTGGGCAGAGTACCTTGCGATCCGGAAGAAGAAGCGGAGATGGGAGACGGTGCGCATATTGATGGAAATTGTCGATCTTGTGTATGCTGTGCTCTGAACAACGTGCAGGCGATGACAATCCCTCTTACGATTGCTGGCTTCGCCGGTGGGGTTGCGTACTTTGGCAACCTGGATGTGGATCCCACCAAGCCAATTTTTGTACGTGCGCAAGCGCGCCCTTTGAATAGCACGATTTTTATGATCCTTTTCTTGTAGAATGTTGACCCCATGTTCGTGTATGGCTTTGCGACTCTGGGGTGCGGAGGTATGCTCTTCCTGCTATTCCCTGCGTAGGCGAATAATCACGATTCCCTTGTTTTTGCGGCGAAGGTTTGGGATACCTGTTCGGCCCCATTGTCGGCTCGACGTTCTGGAGGATCACGCACCGCCGGACGATGAGACTTATCGAGGAACGCGACAAGCAGTTCCACCATCACATCGTCAAAAACAGGGTTGATCCCGCCGCGCAGAGTGCCACGAATCCGGTACCGGACTACTACGGTACGTGCATGTCTTACACGGCTTGGTGATAATGCTTGACTTCGACTGGCAGGGGAACGTATTGGCTCCTTGCACGATTACAGACAGGTATTTTTTTCTGCTAGCGTCTAGCTGTGCAAGCTGACCTGTTTTGTAGTGGTTGAGGGATCAGTCGAAGTTCCGGCGGAAGGCGTTCCTCCCGGAAGATTAGTTGGCGACTGTACGGACGGGCGTTAGATGTATCTAAAAGTAATTGCGTACGTGAATGGTACTAACGTCGAACAGTCGAGAATATTGTATGCACAGAGCATCTTGGACGACAAAGTTGTAACGGGCCATTACAACTTCGTTACCCGCGACTTGTGACACACTTGTAAAAAGTTGTATTCAAGGTTTACAGCCACTAGCGCGGGCGAGTGACGTCGATGACGTCAGTGTCTATGGTCGCATGGAAGAGGTGCAGGAAATAAGAGGCCTGCCCGAAGTCCAGCTGACGCCTCATTCTCTCCTTCTTACCACGACTTACTGCAGACTGTTACAGGAAACATTCGTATTCCGAAAAAACATATCCAGTTCCGAGAAAACATGTTTTCGACATACACCCTCCGTCGCGTGCCCCTTCTCCTTCGACGTCTCCCCTCCTCGACGACCCCACGCTCTCTTTCAACTTTCTCCAGATCTGCGTTCATCAAGCCACCCTACGTTCCCGGTGTGGTGTCGTCGTCGGTTCTACGCAGCCAGATCTTTGCCCGCGGCGCCGCGAGCACCGTTTCTGGCAGACCTGGCTCTCAGAGCGTCGGGCAGGCCGCTACGAACATCAAGGAGGAGCTCGGCAACTCCACAGCTGACCTTGCGAAAGTCATCGCAGGCGGGAATGTATACACCGACGCGGTCCAGGCTCGGGAGCACACCTTCGTAGCTTTATCCCCTGAATCATGCGGTCAGGTCAATTGACTATCTTCATCATCTAGCTCGGCATTACCAACGCGGTAGCCCACTCTGTGCCCACGCCCTACATCGTTTTCGGCCTCGCCGGGGGACTGCCCTACCTCGGTACCGCGGTCACGACGGCCTACCTCGCGCGCGAAGCGGGGCTCGCAACGGCGGGCATCACCACGTACATCGACCCGGGCGTCGCGATCACTGTGCTCGACCAGGCACTGCACCTGCAGGTGACATACGGCGCGGTGATGCTCTCCTTCCTCGGCGCGCTTCACTGGGGTTTCGAGTTTGCCGGCTACGGCGGGAACAAGGGCTACACACGCCTCCTGCTCGGCGCTGCCCCCGTCGTCTTCGGCTGGTCCACCCTCGCCCTCCAGCCCCTCGAGGCGCTGATTGCGCAGTGGGTCGGCTTCACGGGCCTTTGGTGGGCGGACCTCCGCGCGACGAACGCGGGATGGAGTGCGTTGACTCTCGCGTGTTGAGGATGTTGTGCTGATGATTGATTCTCCAGCGCCCCAGTGGTACTCGCAATACCGCTTCTACTTGTCTGTCCTCGTCGGGACCTGCATCATCGGCACACTGGCTACCACGAGCTACTGGGGCCCCGTCGGTGGTCACGGGCTTGTTAGCCACGATCTGGACATGGTGTGTACGGCGCATCATCTGTTTGGAAACGTTACTGAGGCCTGCATTAGGTCCGCGCTGAACGCAAGCAGAAGCAGCCTGAGCAGGAAGGGCTTGTTGGCGGAGAAGTTGAGACCGTCGCGGGCGGCGACGATGCTGACACGTATGTCGTAATCAAGCACAAGCACCATGAGGGCGAGCAGGGCGGAGAGCAGGAACAACAGCAGCAACAGCAACAGCAGTAAAGTGATTGGTACGACGCGGGTCGTACCTGCAACCTCAAATACTGTAACTTGTATTTTGGTGTACAATAACAGCATTTGCTAGTGTACAATATATTGTAATTTTCAGCACCGGAATCCCTGAATACAAAAGGTTTCGTCAGGAATAAAAGATAGGACAGGCCTGCGAGCTTTCCTTCGACGCCATGAGCATTATCGGTCAAAGCGAAGGATCAAACGGGGAGAACGCAGCCTTGAAGGCTTTCACATCTGCCTTGTCCTCATCCTCGGTCTGCACACAGGCCTTCCAATCGAAACGGTCAAGCATGTTGAGCAGATTCACCAGCACTTGCCTGCGAGACAGAGCACTATGGTCAGTACCGCGCCTGTACGAGAACAGCACTGAATATATGCGCCGTACCTGCCAAACTGTATGCTAAACGGTACGGTGTCGCGCAGGAGGTGTACCATCTTCCGCCCGTCAGGGAGGTCGACGCGGAAGTAACTGCCCCGGCCCCTGCTGCACGCGTCGAGCGCGCCCTCTGCGTCCGCCTCGAAGTCGATGCCGTGCGCGCGGCCCTCGGAGACGAACGCTTCCTCAACGCGGTCCTTGAGCTTGTCCGGTACTGGCACAACCTGGACGTGCGCGTGCCCGCCCTTGGCGCTGAGCCGCCCAACCTCGAAGGAGACGGACGCCGCACCGTGCTTCGCGTACATCGCGCGCAGGGCGGACTTGTACCTATGTATCCCAGTTCAGATGATTCATTCGTTTGAGAGAATATTGCACACTTACCTCTCCGTCTCGTCGACTATTGGCCCGGAGATATCTGACGGTATTGAACTGTAGGTAGGGTAGTGCGTGATAGGCACGATCAGGACGTGTCCCCCGCCGGGAACAGATGGCGCGTTTCCGTGATCTGCCGCGGTGTGCGTTGGAACAATCTGGCCTTTTGGCAGCGTTACATAGCATTCCGAGCCGATAGAGACGATCAAATGTTTTCTACAGAGTCTGTTAATGCGCGTTTCGGGAAGATGAAGACAAGAACCCACGCAAGGTTCGGATTCGACAAACAGAACCAACATTCATCCGCTAAAAATGGACTTGTCAAAGTTTTGTGGGTGGAATCACAGAGACAAACGTACGTCCGATCTCTTTCGGAGGCCCACGGGGGCCTCGCGCGCCATATTGGCCTGAGCTGCTCTGGTTCGCGATAGGGCAGTCCTGGATGTAGTGCGCCTCGCTTCCACAGGCCCTGCACACGTAGCCCTCCTTGGGCTTGCGCCCGCCGGTATCGCCGACTGCATTCTTGACAGGACAATCTCGGACGAAATGCCCGGGCTAGACAATGGGCGATAAATGCAGAACGCAACAGATACAATAAATGGGGAACACACTTCATGGCAGACCTTGCAGATGTAACCCTCTTTTGGTTTTGCCCGATCCGGACAGTCGTTGATGAAATGCTGAGATGGATGAGTGAGGACGTGGTCGTCTCGAGAATTTCGTGCACATACGTCTGGAGACTCGCAGATCTTGCATTTGTACCCAGGGGGTGGCTTCCCTTCCTGCCCGTCTGTAAAGTGTTACTGGTACGACAAAGATTATTCACCAGAATACTAACCTGTACGTGCGCGTTTCCCTGGTTGCTGCACGTTCCCCCATCTGAAATTCACGCCGTCGTCCGCATCTTCTTGCAATGGTCGCTTGAGTGGTCGCTGCACAGCCTCAGTGAATGGATTCTTCGTCGCGTTTGCAGGCCGTGCCAGAGGTGCCGAATCCAGCGCATTTGGCGCAATCGAGAAGGCGTAAAACCACTGACCTAGTCGTCAGCAAAAAATTGAGTGGTTCACAAACGAAACACACCCGCTGCTTCTTGCCTGCCGTAACTTCACCACCAAATGCGCCGAGACTGATGAATCGTGTCACGCGGCCACCGTCCTCGTCCCAAACGAATGGTTCGCGTTCCCAGAATTTGGGCGGTTGACCTCCGCCTGCAGAGAAGTGATACCGTGGCTTTGTGCGACGCATAATTTCGGCGACTGGATCAACCCCTATGGAGGAGAGCTCTGGAGATGGGAGTGGAGCGGATGAATACTGGGTGATGGCTGAGGGCCACGCGTTGCTGATGAAGATGTCAAGGTGCTGCGAAGAAGTGGAGTTGGACTTGATTGCAGCGAGCGAGGTGTAATTCTGGTCTTGCGGTTGAGAATTTGTTAAAGTATTTGCTAGCAGCTTCTCAACGGTGTGCGAAGTAAAATACGGCGACGTAAACCCCTACGTCAGAAGCTGAGTGCTGCTGGTTCTGGCGTGATTACGCGACCAAACATACGTGGGGGGACTCAGCGGCTGCGTATAAATTGGAATCGTATATTCCACCTAGACATCCAATCCGCAAGCCATGCGAGGTTGTCAAGACTCCTGACTTATCTGGCCAAAAATTGTCACTCCACACAAAATTCACAACGCGACTTCAGTGCTCACGAAGGAGGAAGACGTTCTTCGCCAAGGTACTGCCTGTCTTCGCAAACTTCTCTATGACGAGCGCAGGGAGCGGGTGCTCGCCTTGCATGATATAACAGTCGACCGGGGCTGTACGTGAACGAACATATTGAGTAAACTTAGACATACTGCAACATGGGCGGTATACACCTTCCAGCCGCCCGTCCAAAAGCTGCACGATCTCATCGTCCTCTCCCACTGTCCCTCCGTCAAGCAAAGGCCCAAAGAAGTCTCCTACGCAGAGAACAAGGTCAAACTTGCCGTGTTTCGCGTCAATGGCCTTAATTTTCGCGAAGAGTTCACGGATTGAACCTGCAGCGGTTCCGATTGTGAGACTAGGTCGAACATGAGCAGTGAAATCAAAAATAATTATACAGCGTCCGTACATTTTGGCTGACATCAAGTAGCCTGCCCGAGTCTAGTTGCTCAGAGAGGATGCGTGGTTCGGTAGAAGCCGAAATTACAGCAGCCGCGTTGAGTTGGAAGGCACGGTTCACCTCGTACATTCTCAGGCCTTGGCAAACTTCACCGTAGTGCCTACGCATTATTGTCCTCTTTCACAATGTCGACTCAGATGATTGCCATCACCAACTCGTTCCAGGTGACCCGCGCACCCCGCAAGCGATACATGCATTATGATGGTACGTGCAGATCAGCTCATCAGTCCCTGTGCGCACATCCTGACGGGCTTTTGTTATCAGTGTGTAAGTATCAGTGGATTAGCATTAGCACGTCTTAGGTGATTCACTTGATATGCTGCAGTGATCATGAACAGAGCCCAGCCGGAGCGCACGGAACCATTTCCTCCTCGCCGTGCTCACGAGATTATTCAAAAATTGCAGACTGATCATGTAACGGTCCTCGGAGGTGCAAGAGTAGTGTACGATGGCAGGGCAAATCTCTTTGTTGCGGCGGATATTCCATCTGGAGAGGCAAGTAGGACTTCCATATCCTATGAATATTTTTTTGACAAGCTCCTTAGTATGCCGTTCACATGGGTCTCAATGCGAATCGCGGGCATTTTGTCGTCAAGCTGAAGAAGACGGCTATGATCGATCCAACGTACGTATCTTGGTGATTATTGATATGCTACTATTGAAGCCAAGGTGCACCAGGGACATTCTCAACTTAACTCGCAAAGGAGGCTTCACTCCTCATACGAGCTCGATGGCTGTTAACCTGGTGCAACTTATTGTTCGCCAGGAAGCCAATTTGTATGTGCTAAATCATCTGCATAGACTCGTATAGATTCGCATTTTGACTCGAGTCATATTAGGCGTCATGGCTTCCTTGCTGATGCTCGGTCATTTTATGTTCGCACGGGTGAGCGTGAATTAGATAGAGGCCTGAAAGCATGGAGGGGTTTTTTCCAGTGCGTGTCTGATTCTGCCCGGCTTGCTATAGATATTCATCGGCACTGTTGCAGGAGCGTTCGTCCAGTTCTTGGCAGGCTATTGATCAACGTCGACACGTCAACGGCTGCAGTGTAGGCTTCTAGTTGTGACTTCATGTTCTTTCTCATGATTTTACCTAGGTACAATGATGGTCCGCTGACCGCCTTGGCCATGAAATACCTTGATATACACAATTTGCGGGAACTTGAGAACTTGAAATCATCAAATATGAGGAAGTTGGAACAATTTCTCAAGGGTGTGCTCGTTGTAGTTACACAGCCGCAAAGGTCCTCAGCACAACGACGAGCCCGTGCAATCAGCGGTTTGGTACCTCAGGCAGGAGAATACCGGTTTGAGAAAGATGGCGTGACTACGACTGTTAAGGTATCGCTCAATGCATTAAATTACATCCATTGTGTTGATCTCCGGAATGGATAGAATCACTTTCTCCAGCAACACAACTATCGCGTCCGGAACCCCAATCTTTTTGGTGTCAGGATAGGGAAGACTGCGGTTTTTCCAGCAGAAGTGTGCAATGTCGTTGAGGGTCAAATTTATCGAAAGAAGCTTTCTGTGTCTCAGCAGACTGCGTTTATCAAGTTTGCAACACAGGCACCTGCAGACAAGCTGAAGGCAATTGGAGATGCAACTAAAGGGGATGTGAGTGATGTCAGACAAGGAATGCAGTTCCTATAGTCTCATATTACATTATAGGCACTGGACTATAAGGTGTCACTGAGCATGCAGGAGGCTGGCATGGAAATTAGTACAAGTCCTATCCAAGTCAATGGACGACTCCTTGAATCACCACCAATTGAATATGGTAGGAATGAAACTGTGGTGTGTATACATTTTTCATTGTCCTTGGTTACAAATTAATGTATGTTCAGACTATTAACAAGAAAACAGGGTCGTGGAATATTGTACGAAAGCAATTCTTTGCACCTGAAGCAATTAGGTGTTGGGCAGTGGCATGCTTTGAAAATGTACCTCCCCATGTGGTTGAGACGTTTGTATCTAAACTGTATGCAAATCTGACTAAACTTGGTATGTCATTTATCTGTGTGGAATAATGCAAGATACTATGGACTTCTCATTACAGGAACACGTAAGTATCTGGCTTTTTGTGTAAGAATATGCATCTAATTATGAAAATAGATGTTCATTTGTCATCACCACCTATTGAATATGGTAATCCTGCAGAGGTGAAGAAGGCAAGTTATTATTTCTTATGCTTGCTAGTCAATGACTGAAAAGTTGCAGACTCTTGAAAGAGCAGGAGAACTTGCACTTCAGAACTCAAATGTTCAACCTAAGAAAGTTGATTTTATACTTGTCATTCTACCTCAGAATGCTGCAGAAGTTCGGGCTCAGGTGAAGTATTGGGGGGATGTCTTTCGTGGAGTGTCAACACAGTGTGTGGTAAGTTCTTATACTTGATTAATTCATTTATAGATATTAATATCTATATAGCGTGTTGGCAAATTTGAGACAGCGGGAGATCAATATTGCAATAATGTTGCACTTAAGTATGTTTTCTTTTTAATTTGCTTGTAAATTAGTCTGAAGTACTGAATTACTGATTTATAGGATCAATGCTAAGATTGGAGGTATCAATTCAGTGTTTGTATCTCCAGATGCAAAACAATTTCTTGCTAGCACTATGGTTGTTGGTGTGTATTATATTATAATAGTTGCATAACTATTGTGATTCATTGATTTTTATAGGTGCTGATGTTAGTCATCCTGGACCTGGTATATTCAATAGGCCATCTATTGCAAGCCTAGTGGCATCTATGACACCAAGCATGTCAGTTTATAGATCTCAGATGCGACTCCAGGAACCACGTCATGAGATTATAAAAGATTTGGAGAATATGATGTTGGTAAGATTATATATATTATTCAGTGGTTGCTGAAGTTACTGATATCCGAGAACAGGTTGCACTACAGGAGTGGTATAACTTTCGCAAGCGGTCTCAGTTACCTAAGACAATCCTGTTCTATCGGGATGGGGTTTCTGAAGGTGAATTTGAGAAAGTGTTTAATGAAGAGATTGGATATATTAGGAGTATGTTTTTCATCTGTAGATATACTAACAGATGAACTGACATAAGGTATAGATGCATTGAACACTGCAATAGAGGGGATTATGCATGCTGCAACAAGAAGTGGTATACAGCGAAGTGCTCCTGATAATCCACAGTTAATCTTCATTGTGGTTGGCAAGAGGTAATCTCCTCTTTCTATGTTCTTTTATGAACTGATCCCAATGTTACAGACATCATATTCGGTTCTTTCCGCAGAATCCGTAAGTTATCTGTTTATTCTCATAATTTATCACTAACCTTCTGTAGTCATGACAGTGATAAGTCTGGCAATTGTCCCACAGGCTTTGTGGTTGAGGATCAAGTCACAAACACGGAATTATTCAGCGAGCACTACAAAGACTTCTACCTACAGTCCCATAGTGGGATAATAGGCAGTAAGTACATGCTCATCAGTATTCCTGTCAGTTTAATTGACTCCGGAATAGCAAGCCGGCCTGCACACTACATTGTTCTGCAGAATGAGACAAGTCTCGGTCTACAACAGTAAGATATTTTGTACAGCCAGAAACCAGTTTTTGAAATTTCCGAAAGTCTTCAGCAGGTTTCGTATTTGCTCTGCCATGTATATGCCAGTGCTACGCGCGCAGTGTCTATCCCTGCCCCAGTATACTGTGTGTCCTTTCATTACGTGTTGAGATTCCCATTCTAATACTATCTCCGCAGATGCAGATGTAAGTCAATTTATTGTCTTTCTAGGAACATACTTACTCTTTGGAAAGCGGGTCTGTTCACGTGCAGCATACCACTTCCATCCCGACCAGAACCTGCACTTGGAGGAGAATTCGTCGTCTTCGAGCGATGCTTCCCGAGAATTTGATCTGGCCAAGTGGAAGTCAGCGTTCAAGGAGTCGGCTCTGAGCAGACAACTCTACTTTCTGTGATGCTCCCTCTCCGTGCTGCAAGTTTCTTGCTCATATTTGATGATTTCACATCTGCGTCACTGTTGCACAATACCATGGTGACAGAGTAGTTGTAAAGGATCATGCTGGTCAGAGTCAGTTGTACGATATCATGTTGGTCATTGTTAGTTGCGCTGTATTGACCGGGGGTGAAATTGCACGTTGTAATACTGTGCCTGTCGAGTAGTCTGTTGTACGATACCTTGCGGGAATTGCACGTTCATCAGGCATTGCTTAGCCCTATAGCACTATGTGCGTTAAACATATATTCATCGTGGTCCGTTCCGCATTCATGACCAAAGCTACCTAGACGGACGATCCGTCACCAACAGAAAGAGCACCGGCTGTCACAGTACCTGCACTGATGCCGATAACTCACCGGCACCCAGACTCATTACATACGTGACATACGTGAAAGTACATTGGATATAGCGAAATAGGATGCGGAGAAAGCGAAGCAGTCAGGTGGTGATAGGCAAATCGGCAAAGCAACATACGAAACATCCCTCACATACATCCCCACGGCCATGTCCTCAATGTTGGGCCCAGTTGATGGCGTTGATATCGATACCCTCCTGTACCATCTCCCACAGCGGGCTGGAACAAACGTAGTCAATTAGTGGTCAAGAGTGTTGGTCGGGACGGCGTACCTCATGTCGCGCAGTTTCTGGACCACCGACACGATCTTCGCGACGACAAAATCAATCTCCGCCTCCGTCGTGAAGCGGCCGATACCGAACCGCAATGAGGAATGTGCCATGTCCTCGGCGGCACCTACGACAACATCAGTAAACTGGGTCATCTTCGATCAGCATAGATCTTACCAAGCGCGCGGAGGACATATGATGGCTCCAGCGAAGCTGATGTACAAGCACTGCCGGAGGAAAGGGCAACATCCTACGTTGATATCAATCAGCCTTCGACATCACCAAGAACGAACTCGAAAATTATACCTTGAGTGCCATCAGGAGAGACTCTCCCTCAACGTACGCGAAACTGAGATTCACGCAGCCTGGGTAACCGTGAACATCGCCGTTCCGCACGACGTGATCCACTTGAGTGTTGATGCTGGTGATGAGGCGGTTGGAAAGTTCAGTTATACGGGCATGATCCCTCTGCAGATCGAGAAAGATCAGTATCATGTGGATCGACGCCAAAGGAGCAATGAAACCAGAACTCAGTATCCCTGCACGATGGGTCTTCTTTCAGTCGGTTGCTACGATGGACCAGACATCGCCGCAAAGCTCACATCCCAAAAAGAATCGTGTACGATGTCATTGACGGACCTGTAAGGAAGGATACTCACCGCCATCTCTTGCTTAGCGATCCGTGCAGCCTCGCCCATGCCCACGACGAGGGCGGCTGGTAGTGTGCCGCTGCGCAGCCCCCTCTCCTGTCCACCACCATTGATAATCGGCTCGAGTCTGACCCTGGGACGCCGGCGGACATATGCAGCACCGACGCCCTTGGGGCCATAGATCTTATGTCCCGACATACTCATGAGGTCGACGTTCATCTCATTCACGTCCAGTGGTATTTTGCCGGCCGCCTGTGCAGCATCCGTGTGGAGGTATACACCACGGTGCTTGCGAACCAAAGCGCCGATCTCTCTCATCGGTTGGATGACGCCGGTCTCGTTGTTCACTGTCATGACTGACACCAGGGAGGTGTCGGGGCGGATGGCGGCCTCGAGCTCGGCGAGATCGATGACGCCGTTGTGTTGGACGGGAAGGTAGGTCACGTCAAAACCTTCCTCCTGCAGCTTGCGGCATGAATCGAGCACACACTTGTGCTCCTGAACCGAGCCGGTGTGAGCAATACGGTAGATCGAAAAATAGCGGTTGAAACGCACTGTTTGAGTGGTGATAACGTGCTTTTTGCGATCCTTGTGGAAACGAGCAACACCCTTAATGGACATGTTGTTTGTCTCCGTTGCACCTGAAGTAAACACGATATCTTTCGGGTCTGCGCCGATGAGATCTGCTACGTGCTATGCAATAACAATCAATCGTCCGCACAAAATCCGACTGCGTTGCGCGCCTACCTTGCGTGCGTCCTCAACGGCCTTTTCAGCTTCCCAACCATATGCGTGTGTGCGACTGTGGGGATTGCCGTACTGGTCGGTGAGGTAAGGGAGCATCGCATCGAGGACCCGCGGATCTACGGGCGTCGTAGCCTGTACACATGAATGAGAGCCAGCCTGAGGATGAAGAGATACAGCGACAAACCTGCATGTCGAGGTAAATGGGCCGTGCCTGTGCTCCCACGGCGCCTTCACGGCGAGGCATCTCAACCTTGAAGCCAAGCATATCTGCAATGGCACCAACATTGTTCGAGTAAATCCAAGCATGGAATAAGAGGTCAAACGTACCTGCTCGTGGTGTGAAATGGTCCTCGTAGGTGGAGGGTACATCGACGACGCTCGCCCGGTCGGCACCTGAAGGCTGCACTAAGGTTCGGCGAGCCTCCCTCGCCACCGCCAGCCTGGACGCGGCACCGAGGGCAGCGCGCGACACGGCCCTTGTCGCTTTTGTCGACACTCTGGACAACATGGTGGGCGGTAAGCAGGAGGGAGCGACCACAAAGTGAAGTTATCAGATAGACCGAGCAGCCGAAGTACTTGAGCGTTTCGTCACGCTTCCGCGGAAGGAGCGTGTGTAAGGAAGTCACGCGCAGCACCCAATTGGAACAACTCCCACGCCAGCAACCAGACTCCCGTCCAACGATGCCGTCCCAGTCTCCGCTGCTTTCCCCAAAAGGCAATTCCCCACGCTGCGTGCGCACGGGCCACCGCTGCGGTTGCATTTCAACCGTTCGAACTCAGCCAGAATTCTGAACTCTCTCTCTCTCGTCTTTACCCCCACTATGGCTAGAAGACTTTATCTCGGCAGTAATGTTGTTCACCTCCTATTTCAAGCCAGAGGTTCTGAATCGCGTTGTTTTTGTTAGGACTGCCCCCCGATTCCCGTGCAGAGGATGTCTCTAAATTCTTCGACGGCTATGGTCGCATCGTCGACTGCCGCGTGATGACTGGCTTTGGCTTCGTCGAGTTCGAGAGCTCGAGGGATGCTGAGGATGCTGTGCATCACTTCAATGGCAAGCCCTTCATGGGTGCCAAGTATGCTTGCTTGATACTATTCATTGTTGTTCTGGAGGTTGCTGACTTCTCACGAAGCATCGTTGTTGAATTTGCGAAGGAGAGCCGTCCCCGTAGGGATCCATACGAGTCCGAACGTGCTCCTCGTGCCAAACGTCCCCCTGGTTTCCGTCTAACTGTCTCTGGAATCTCCCGTGACACGAGCTGGCAGGTATGACATCCGACTTTCACCTTTCTCTGGTCGTCTGCCTCGGCTTCGAATTCCTACGTGGCACGAGGACATGGGACCCATATCACAGTGGCATGCTTCTAGCTTCGTTTGTTGGATCACGTTGGATCGGACCATTTTTCCTGACCGCTATTGGCCTCTGACTGGATGGACCCTGACAATGCCCTTCCTCCGATAGGACCTGAAAGATTTCGGTCGCGAAGCTGGAAGTGTGTCGTATGCCGACATCGACCGCGACAACCCTGGCGATGGGTCAGTGTCACCTTTCTTGTCGATATCGTTGTTGACGCCGCTACAGAATCCTCGAATACCTTTCGCGGGAGGATGCTGAGCGAGCTGTCAAGGAGCTCGACGGCAAGGATCTTCGTGGTCAGGCCGTCCGTGTCTCCTTGGACCCCGAGGTAAGCGTGCATATGTCATTCGTTATCGCCATACTCACAGCTGCTTATCAGCGTTCTGGTCCTGACAACTATCGTCGCGACACTCGTCGTGACGACCGCCGTGACGATCGCTACGGAAGAGACGATCGTTATGGTAGAGACGATCGTGCTACCTATCGCCGAGAGCGGTCCCGATCCCCTCCTCGCCGCGCCGACTACGACGATCGTCGACCCCCCAGGTCTCCCCCTCCTAAGAAGGATGTGGATGATAGACGGCCTGCAGGGTACGATGACCGGCGAGGAGGCTATTATGATGACCGAAGAGGCCCTGACCCTTATTATGATCGTCGCAGGGACGACGTCGATAAGCGTAGGGACGACCGCCGACGGGACGAGAAGGATGACCGCTACGACGACAGGCCCCCGAGGCATTCGAATGGAGATAGCGGTTGGACGCGCTGAGGAGGCCATGCTGTCCGGGTATCGTCCGTTGCATCAGTGGACCACGAAAGGTTCTCCCAAAATCGTTGTTGGACATGCTCTCGATAGGTTGAGTTCGTTGTATCGCACCGGAGTCGTGTACTTGTGGAAGGGTTATCCCGCGTTGGTGTTTCGTTCCTGGCCTCAGGATTCGTCGTGGTTCTCGAGGCCCGTGATGTCCGTGCAAGTCGTTGGACCGACGCATTAGGTCCGAATACTACGGCAAGACCTTTGAGTGTTGTTCAAGTCCGAAGGTTCTCAACGTCGCTTGAAACGAGTGGGCGGCGCTCTTCGAGGCAGTGCCGTACAAAGACAAGGATAGGCTGGATGCTGGGCGCTTTTGAGGTCAATGCGACAATATGGGCGTTTGTGGATGCATACCTTTCTGTTCAATGGTGGCCTGCGTACCTTGAGGCGTTTATCAAAATCCGCTGATGCTCAATGTCATTCCCTGGGCGTTGGGCGCTGTTGGTGCTGTTGCTACGTGCAAGAATTTCGGTTGGCTCGTACGGGATCATCTGGAGGAAGTGCTCTCAGTGGGATAGTTGGGGATCGTTTCATCTATGTTGCAATCGCTATTTTTGTTGTAGATTACGTGTCAAATTGCATACAGACGGCTACACACATGCAGGTGGCACGGAGTGACACTTACATGGAATCCAGGTCGAACGGATATCGCCGTCTCGAACGTTGAAGATGTCGTATGCGCTCGGTTCGTCGACAGTTGGCGAGATGCGCACAAGACCTTCATGGAGCCTGCATTGGACACCCTATGGGAGCCTGACGCTGAACCACCCTGCAGCGTCACGTATACTTGTTGGGGACTCTCCTGGCCCGATCAGTGCGTAGTGACGAGTGGGTGCGGCTACTTGCAAATGCAAGGACAGGTTACCTCCCCTTGGACCTCGAGGTTGATCTCCCATGTTAATGGCGAATTTGCACACACTATCCAGCTCCGGCATCAACATGCATGGGTGGGACCGGCTGCAGTTCTACGCACCGGGTGTACGCAGAGTGTCTTCGGAGCGTGGCTAACTTCTTGACCTCCAGTACGTGATTCGTCGCAGCGGGATGATACTCCTTCACATCTGTTGCTTCGCGAACTGAGGTCGAACTTAGCAGCAGATTCTTCGGACTTGGCTTTATTGTCATCATCGATTTGCTGGATAGCTATCCAGGTTGACTTTATAGCACAAATCGTAGCATCATCTGAATCCACTACTCCCTGCCGTGCTGTCGCAATACCGCTCCCCCAGGACGTGATTAACGATTTCAACGATGATATTTATCTTCTCTTAGAGAGACAGGGCAAGTACCACTTGCGCAGGACCGTCCCGTGAGTCAAGCTTCTCTCCTCGCTACCATCCATTCCTGCCGCTGCTTTTGAGATGCTTACTTCTCGCGGCCGTTTCACCAGTTTCCAAATTTTACAGGATACAAGTAAATCTGAACGAAGTGAGCCCGTCTTACTCGCCATTCCTACACCACAGTTTCGTTCTCTCGGAATTCATCCTCATTAGTGAGCGCTAAGGAAGACAGTGGACCCGTGCTCAAGATCACTCTGTCTACGTTGTGCAGTTTGCATGGTACTTCGTTGCACAGGATCGAGTACACTAGGCTACCTCGGAGTTTTGTTATTTCTTACCCAAGGTGGACTGCTTCGTCCGTGGGCGGTTCTCGATATTGGACAGCGACCTACGGGGGCTGGTAGCGGCCTGGCTGAAATTGCGCTCGCTCGAAGTTCAAATCGTGACGGAATCTCGCACACTTTATGTTACTGTATGGTTGAACCTCGCGCGCCTCTCGGGATTTTGTGTTTGCCGTGGGTGGACGCGCGTCCCCTGCTAGTCCGCGGAGAGATGCTTAACTTGCATCGTCTGCCAAGAACTCTTTTGGCCCTCTAGGGGAGAATGCATTGTCTTTGTGCCGTTATCTCGAATTAATATTTCCGCATCTTGACTGCACGCTGTTCATGCCTATGATCCCACAGAACAACGGATTTCTTGTCCCTGATTCTGTGATAGCGAAGGCATAGGCTCAACTGCGGTCTGCAAGATGGCAGCGATCGGCGCTGTAGAGAAAGGAAGGTCTTATCAAACACAACGTTCTCTACTCGCTGGACGGTCAATCTATGGTCCGGTGCACTAGGTGATCCGTTGACACACCCATACGTAAGGCGTTCCGTCCTCATTCAACGTACATGACGATAGTGGATCCGTCTTCCAGTCCCCACCACGCCAGATCACTGGTGTCGTTATCCATTTCCACTACATCTCCGTTCATCAAGCTCAGCCAAAGCCGCACGGAGGAGTGCTGCGCTCTCGCGATCTTCAATGATTTGATGACCTTCATGCGGAACGTCCGCACAGACATGTTTGGCAGGACACGCAGACGCGTCGCATCGGCACTATCTGGAGACCTCGGCATTGACTTCTCGTTCGTCGGCAGTTCAGTGATTTGGCGGACATTAATTTCTGTTGGACGTCGGAATCATATTCAAGTACACAAAGGATTGGCTTACCGATCAGACGGTTGCTGAGGGTATCTTGTCGTTGTTGAACCGAGACTGGCGCATTATCCGGTTTGCCGTGTTCTAACATCGATGGTGCACAATTAGTACAGACTGCTCTCTACTTACACCGGAATAATCATCCTGGACGTACTAAGACAGAGTGCTCTCCATCTTGGATGTTCTCGTTCTCTCTCGTTCTCGTCTGTTGGTCCAAATTTTGCTATGTGTGACATGTAGAACAATTCACTGTCTGTTCGTTCCTTCGCGGTTATCTGGGAAAAGAGGAGTTAGCACACAAACATAAGTGCTAGAGATAGCAGAGTGCGAGATGTGGACGCACCACAGCTGCATCCAGTACCAGTAAGGAAGGTATCTTCGCAATAGCGAATTGTCTCGCATTCTTGCCTGTTACCGGATCTGCGCGGTACGACATGCTATAAGCACTACGATTTCACCATCTCGAGGTAAAATCGGACCTTCTACCAGGGGGTTGCCCGTAAGTGTCAAAGACTCTAGCTGGGGACACCACAGTGTTAAAGTGTCAATGTCTCGCCAAGAATTCAGAAGGTTGAAGGAGAACGATATATGGTTCAAATGGGCAACAGGAGATTTTGGCGTGTCCAGAGGAGGAATGGTTTCAATACAATTCGACCCTAATACGACGCGCTGCAGCCTGTCCCCCTTTCTCAGCGATCGATAAATGCGCTGTGCAACCACTTACCCTGAGTACGGTCCTACAGCCTGACATGTATTGGACCAGCTGCGTATAGCGTTGCTATCTAAATTGATAACTTCCAAAGTGGCGTTGATACCCGACGTTGCAGACGGATCGGTGTGTATCGCCTGTAAGTTGTTGTACCCCATCTCGATCAGCCGGAGCGCAGGCATGTAGCTGATCACTTCTTGCATTTCTTCCCAGGTAGTCATAGTCGAGCTCAGCTGCAGCTCGCGCAGGGCTCTAAAGGCGGCTGCCGCAAGGTGGATGTCCTGCGGTGGTCGCAGTCGGTTCTGGCTACCACGGGAGATTTGTAAAGACGCGGTAGACGGGGAGACGCGCGGGCGGTGCGTACTTGAGTGCCAGCCTCTGAAGAAGGGGCAGCTCGGTGACTATCGACGCGACAATGTCCCAAGTGGGAATCAAGTTCTTGGACATGTCAAGTCCACGTATTCCTGCGAAGAGAGTAGCGCTCAACATGAGAACACACATCAGAAACAAATTGCGCAATTGTTCGTCTGGACGAACATGCAGCAGATGACTGACATACATAACGCATTTCGACGAACATTGTTTGACGGTCGTTTAGAGCGGAGATTATTCACTTACCTGGGCATGTCCGTCTAATCGCCCAAGGTGGATCGGCAGATGAAACTCCTTCATCATCCAAGCTCACCTCCCGCAACCGTTCGAGATTGGCAAGATTTCCTCTAATCTTATCCAGACCGACGGCCTCTACTTCTATCGCGCCATGGGAAGATCCCAATACAACAGTCTCCAGAACATCGGAATTTCGCGGCAGCTCCACGTACTTTGATACCAAGGCTGTCAAGAACGATGTTCCATATGAGATGGCCGCAGATGGTCTGATGAAAGAGCCGGAATTTGGTACTCTGCCACGAAGTTATGGGAATACGAGCTGTGGATTGAACAAACGAACCTACATGCAAGTAAAGTAACGCGACCCGTCCTTCACGCCATCGTGTTTCCCCCGTTGTGGGTCGTCCCATTCGACACCTAACCAGACGCCTGAGGTCTTCCCTACTGCTCCCACGAATCTGACAGTCCCTAGAAATCCCAAATGGTTCAAGCGCGTGCCGACTTCAGGTAACACCTGCGTTGCCATTCGCGTAAGTACTCGATAATTCAGCCAGATGCACTGGATTTCTAAGGACAAGAGAGGTTAGAAGAATATTGATTTGAGTCACGGTGGTTCAGCGCTCAGCGCTCAGCGTTGAGCCTGAGATTGAGATTGTACAGTATACAAGCCGAGTCGCGCTGCGGTGATCACGTGGAACGTCAAGGCGCGTCTGCGATGTCGGCCGGGTCACTCGGCAAATTCACGCCCGCCAGCACATCCCCAGGCTTGCTTCCTCTGCCGTATGTTGTTGCGACGCCCCACTTTCGCAAGGGGCTTTCATTTTGCGCCAATGTCGCGGCGTAGCCTCTCAGCGGCGCGGAGAACTGAAGCGATCAGGCTGCATTTGATGTCCACGTCTAGCGCACCAGTCGAGGAGGTAACGTCAACAAGCGGCTCCTGGTACTTCCTCGGTTCTCATAATTCTTGCAGGCACCGGTGCTGTTCAAATCAGATGGTGCCCTGAGAGCATATATCCTCAATCGGCCCAAAAAATTGAATGCTCTGGATGAAACCATGCTGAGTATTCTGCGACCAAAGATTGAGGTGAGAAAGCACTCTTCCTTCGGTTCCATATAACTTCTCATGAATATCTGACGGTAGGAATGGGCTCGCAGTGATTTGACTGGCGTTGTAGCAGGCACAGCTGTTGGACGTGCATTCTGTGCGGGTGGAGACGTCGCCCGTAAGTTTCCGTTTCTCTCGAGTTTGCGATTCTGCCTGCTATCAGGGAGATGCCCCGTTTCGGGCAAGGTATACGGGTCAAATGTTGCAGATGAAATGTTGCAGCAGGTGATCGAGCACCGGTGCGGAGATTGTTACTTTCCAAAAGCTCCAAGTTCTCTGAGTTCTCCAAATTCCCCTGGAGCTCCGGACCTGAGGGCGGGAGAGCTGTGGACATTGCTCGCTGACGAGAAAAATTCGCTGTAACTCGGCATGTGGATGCGAGACGAACGATTGATGATAACTTCCAAGTCTCCAAATTTAGTTGTCAACTTTTCTTTTCTCTCCGTTGCCATCTAGCACGATTTACAGACGGTCACAGGCATTGTCGAATATTCCAAGAAGGTGGAAACACTCCCCAAGGCCGTCGATTTCTTCCACCGAGAGTATGTATGATGTTCACTGCAGGCTCTGCGGATATTCAATCTGCATCAGGTTCGAGATGGACTACATCCTTGCCGCGATGCCGAAGCCTTACATCGCGTTCATGGACGGAATTACCAGTAAGTGATGGTGGTCACCCGCTGGAAGCCCGCTTATTCTCTGTTTGAAGTGGGCGGGGGCGTTGGATTGTCGGTGAACGCCCCATTCAGGATCGCCACTGAAAACACAGTATTTGCCATGCCGGAAACCAAGATTGGTTACTGTCCCGACGTCGGCGCAAGCTACTTCCTCTCAAGAATAGACGGCGAAATTGGCACCTACCTGTCATTGACGGGTGAAACCATCTCAGGCAGGGCAGTTTTGTGAGTGTCGACCGCTCCTTCTCGCCGTGCTACACAAATTTCTAACAGAGGCTGTCAGCGAACATGGTTTTGCGACACATTTCATTCCTTCGCGGCGCATTCCCGGACTGCTTGAGCGGCTGGCCGGTTTTGAAGACCCGACGTACGCGCAGATCGACATCCTCCTTGAGGAGTGTAGGTCGGATCAACAGCCTGGCCAACTGAACAGCTTACTTGTGGGCAACACGCGGATCGCGCTGGACAAGGCATTCCGGCACAACTCGGTTGAAGAAATTGTGGGGGACCTGAGGGCGTTCGCGGAAGGAAGCGAGAATGAGGAGGTGGCCGAGTGGGCTAAGCATACGCTGGCTGCGTTGGACCTGCGTAGTCCGACGAGTCTGAAGGTCGCTCTTGCGGCCGTCCGCAAGGGAAAGACGATGTCGCTTCTTGAGGCTCTGCAGATGGAGATGAATATCGCTTCCGCGTTCTGTGTGAGTAACGTTCTTGATGACCGTCCTCGTGACTATATTCATCTTGTTTATCCAGCACGGCGTTAGCCCTGACTTCCGCACTGGCGTGACTGCGGTGCTCGTCGAAAAGCTTAAGGGCCGTCCAGACTGGTTGCCATCGAAGCTGGAAGACGTGAACGACGAATTCGTGGAGAAGGAGTTCTTCAATGCTTTTACCCCGGAGGATGGCACCTCACCGAGAATCACACCTCCAGATTACCTCGTAGACCACACGAGGCTGATGGACCCGATGCGCTTCGCGCTGCCGACTGAGGAGGAGATTGGCCAGCTAGTCGCGGGCAACCACAAGACCAGCGGAGGGTTCGCGCTCGACCTCGAGGACCTCCTGGAGAAGTTCAACGACATCAAGAAAGGCAAGGCCGGCGTGCGGGAGAAGGTCCTAGAGGTCGTGGATCGGCGATGTACCTTCGAGAAGGACTCGGACAAGCAGTGGCTAGAGTGGAAGCACTGAGTATGCTCACCCAGCGTCTGAACCAGTACACTGCACTCTTTCGGATCTGCTTATTCCATGTATCTCTTAATTCAAACATGTATAAACATTCATTTAGCGCCTCTTTAGAGTTCGTGTTGGCATGTTGGCACTGACGTCGCGCTGGATATTTCTCTCAAGCCTAAGGCCCGTACTGTGGCGTCCACAGGGTTCCGGCGGCATGGCAATGTTCAGCTGACCGCGGATGGCGAATGTCTTCAGCTTTAGCAGCTTGCTGGCGACTAACTTGAACTTGCTTAGGCCTGCTGATCAAGCTTGCGAAAGTACGAACAGAAGATCTGCAACCTGTTGTCGGGGTTTGGCCTTCCTAGTCCGCATGCGTATTCACCTTCGAGTGAACCTCCCTTACCGCACAACTTCGCGCCAGGCTTTGGGCGAGAGTCGGTCGTTACACACTCACACATTCAAGCAGAATACCATGGCCCCAGGAGAAGCCAAACGCACCCCTGCGATCCCTAGACGTTCGGCTAGCGTTATTGTGGTGAACCCACAAAACGAAATATTGCTCGTCCATCGGAACCCTAAGTCACAGTCCTTCGCAGGTGCACACGTATGTCCCTACATCATTCTTGTCATAGCATGAACGCCAATTAGGTCTCAGGTATTCCCAGGCGGAAATTATGATTCGCAGCAGGATGATAGTCTCGAGATAACCGCTATCAGAGAGCTTTTTGAAGAAGCGGGATTGCTGCTCGCGTCGTCTGCTTCGCTCAAGCTGCCGAGCGACACTGAGCTCGACGAGGCCCGGGAGGCTATCCATTCTCAACGACGACTATTTCGGGATTTTCTCTCCCACCACAGTTTGACTGCAGACGTCTCGTCTCTCCTGCCGTTCACACAGTGGGTCACTCCGCCCACGATACCAAGGTAGTGTACACTGTGTGTAAATGCATTCTAAACCGTCTTTTACTGACTGTCACCCTGAAGACGATTTCGCACGCAGTTCTACGTCGCGTTCCTCCAAAGCGCACCCTCCACCGGCTTCTCCGCGGGAGGTAAGCAAGAGCGGCTCCCTACCCCAGACGGCGGACAAGAAGTCATCGCCGCGCGGTTCGTGCACCCGCGCACCGCGCTCGAGGAGAGCCGCACGCAGCGCATCGTGCTGATGCCCCCGCAGATGTACCTTCTCAGCACACTCGCTGACATCCTGCAGGGTGGCGAGAATACCCTGGCACAGCGCGAGCGTGTCGGTGCGCTCTCACGCGGCCTGTTTGGCAGGATGGTCGTCAATCCGCGTCCGCTTCCTGAGCGTGACCCTGAAGGCCGCACGATCTTGACGTACGAAGGCGACGAGACGCGTGGAGGGAAACCGGGGCGCCTACACAGGTGCCATGCGAAGTTTGGACCAGGAGGGGTGAGTCCTTATTTCCACCTTCATAATTCAGGCGTTGCTAACACTACTGCGATTTCAGACCGCAACGGAAGTTGTGATACAACGTAACTTCGACATATTTACGGGGATTGAGGGGCACTTGTTTGAGGCGGAAACAGCGAAACTCTGAGTGTCGCCTTGTATGCTGTATACAACCGCCTTGGACTGCGCCCTTGTCAACCACTGCCATCGGGATGTATTGGTTTCTCCCTCGATACCCAGTCGTAACAATGTGCATTAAACGCGGAACTATGACAATACATCGTAATCAAGACATCTACAAGGTCGTTGAGATGCTACAGAGGTTAAGCGCAGTGCAAGCACAGGCACCGAAAGTTCGAGAGACGTGAGTAGTGCTACAGAAGGCAGTGAAGCGTGGCGATAGCAAGAGAAGGGGTCAGTAAAACAGCCGCAAGAAAACACAATTGGTATGCAAGTGCGAAAAAATCCCAAGAGCGAAGAGAAGATGCGAAAATGCGAAAATGCTTCACTGATTATATGCGAATTGGTGTTCCAAAAAACAGTAACCCGTCGAAGTAGAGTAGAACGTGTGTCATCGTGAAGAAATATGTCGTGAAGCCGGAATGTGATCGAATGAAAGCGCACGAGGGGCGAGACTTTAAGGTGCCGTGTTGGAGAGGTTCTTCTCTAGATGTCATAGACCTGGTAGTCATACGGCACGTAGTCACCCCAGTATCCCAAATAGCAGGCACCGACGGGGTAAGAACCCGATCCGCCAAGCTCAAGCGCAGTGACATTTTCGCTAGTGGCAGCAGTCCACTCTGCGTATGACCCAGTGTTGGGGTTCCCATTGTGCAAGAACGCGCTGTAACGCGCTTGCACCTCCGTGACCAGTGCGGACTGTGCAGATGTCGGGCTAGGTACGGTGCCGAACTATCGGACCGGAAATAAAGTAAGCTAGCTAATCAGGAACGAGTTGAGTATAGAATGACGTACCACGATCTCGATGTCATCCTGGTGGCAAACGGCACCAGGCTCCGTGCATACGGAGTAATCTTCGTTGCCAGGATACGTCGCACCGACCATATACATGCCGACATACGCCTGCCCGCCGTTTGCAGCCCAGTTCCGCGCAAACGTCCATGTCGCACAGCGCCACACCTGATCCGTGCCGAGGATCTGCAGCATAGGCCGTGCATCCTGCACACCGTCCGCAGGTGTCGGAGGCGGGACGTAGAGTTCATTCGCAAGGAGGCGCTGCGCGCGAGGCTCGCCGAACGTGAGGTTGACGACATAATCATACGTTGAATACTCCACAGGACTGCCGAACGACCCGTAGATCGTCACTGCTGCCTCGTCGACAACGTTGGAGATGAGGACTGGTTTAGAGACGCTGGGGAAGGGAGTCGTCGAGTCCAACGTCGTGGTAATGAGTTCTCCATCGACTACGGGCCGGATGGGTTCTGCCGCACCAGCCGCGGGCAAATTATTGGCACTGTAGGTGATGGTGTTTCCCTGAGCGGTCAAGATAGAATCGAGAGACAGTGAGTTGATACAAGAATTATCGGAGTCACTGCAGCCAATGTTGGACACGAAGTTTGACAACAGTGTCTCCTGGAGCGTAGTATTCAGAAAGCCGTAGTCCTGCGGATTGCTAGAGTCAACAAGCGTGCGCCTCATTGTAGCAAGGCCCTCACCATCGGGTCCGATTGAAGAATTGCAGACTGGAACATTGATGATGCAGAAGGAGTGGCTAGAAGCGCTCTGATCATGTTGGCACCAGAGCTCTGTCCCGCTAGGGTTATCTTCGATGCGGAACCTCCAAAACTAGGGACCACTTTCTGCAAGAATGAGAGCGCCGTCATGACGTCCAGAACTGCAAGATTAGTCTCGCCACTAGGCGCCATGAAACCCAACTGCATATACAATGAGGTTTCTATGAAAAGTTGAGATAAGTAAAGCTACTCACTGCTCCTAGACGGTATTGGATCACGGCAACGACAGAACCAGTAGCAGCCGCCAATGCGGATCCGTCGAGGCCAGGGCCAGTGGCTGAGCCGCTGATGAAGGAACCGCCGTGAATCCTGAATGTTCCATGGTTTTGAGTCCCACAAGTAGTAAAGTGATGCAGCTGCACTCACCACACCATGGTAGGCGCACCACTCGAAGAAGAAATAGAATCAGGGACATAGAGTAGCATGGCCAAGCAATCCTCTGAGAAGGTCGAATCAGCAGCGTTAGGCTGCGGGCAAGCCAGAGGAAGGCCCGAGGCATTAGCTGCCCCAGCACTATGAAATACGATTGTAAACAGGCTCCCAGAAGACACAACGAGAGAACAAAGCATACGGGAAATCCCACGTTGTTACTACCTCCGATTGTTGCCAGCGTTCTGCGGATCCATACCTGACCGCATAACGAACAGCACCATCGACATCCGATGTACCCTGTGCAGTCCCAATTGGGGTTTGGGTGGTCAACGAATTGACAGTCGATGTTGTACGGGGACACAAGTTCATCCACGAAGCAAATGGAATGGAGCAAAACAAGCCCTTGTGCGTGATTGGAGGCAACCTGAGCGCTGGGACTCCATCAGGATACGAGCGCGAGAGTAGAGGAAATCCCCATGTCGAGGAGACGAGCAGCGACGCAAAGACGAAGGATGTGAAGGCGACCATGATGAGCTTGGAAGTTATTACAAATATTATATGGAGCCGCTCAGACCCAAAGTCTACGTCGACGAGAAGGTCGTCGCTGCAGGTGAGAGAGCGGTAGAGCCGACGGAAGGGTTTAAGTAGTGGAGAGAAAGGTGCCGCTCGTTCCTGCGAGCCAGGGGGAACTGCGTGAGACTCTAGAGAAAAAGCGACAGGAAGATGATGGTAAGGAACAGAACGGTGTAATGTCTGTGCGGTCGAGGACATATTGGATGCAAACAGAACAATGACCCAGAAATAGCGCTGAACAGAATAGCTACCGCACGAATACCTCACCTGCCTTATCGGGACAGTGTCTTGTTCCCAAACAGGAAGGCTTGCAACAACTTCAGGTCCTCCTCCTACGCCCGTACCTGGCGGTACATATCAGAAGAGAAGGTCAAGGTACGACCAGCTTTCATGTGCGTGGTGGCGCTCTTCAGCAGTATGAAATTAGCCTCGTTCACGCGGCGGGCCGTCTCGTGTGGGATATCCTCAGACCCGTGCTCCCACTGCCGACTGGAAGTGCCTTGCTCGAGCCTTGCTTACTTGACAAGTAGGACTGTGATGAATGGATATGGATATGTATTAGATTCAACATCACATCGCAATGACAGGCAGGCGGGATCAGAATATCATGACGATTCTACCAACCGAGCCAATCTCAGCTGCCGACAACGTGACAACGTCGCAGGTTGGAGGAATATTTTTTGTTCATGTATACTGGCTCGTCCAACTTGCGTGATACTGTATTTTACCTGAACATTGTACGTGTACACGGAGGAAAATTAAATTGTCCACCGCCCCGTTGAGAGCCGGACCTCCAACATGCAAAATGAAAGAAGAATCCAAGCTGATTACGATCGGTATGCAGGCGGATTAGCCGTGCACGCCCTAGATCCGAGCCATAACCAAAGATTTTCCGTCGGATGACTTAACGCTCGCCGCGTGCCTGATAAGATGAGTAAGTCCCGCGAAGGTTCCAGTACAATGCTTATTTGACCCGCCTCGCGATTGCAAGGAAAATAATGAAAAACGCACCACGCAATATTTTTCTGGACAAGGCAGCATCGTCAGTTGTGCAGGCACGAGCGCCAGAAGACAAGTTGAGTTTGCAACAGCGAAGCTACAGCCGGGACGAGTGTCCATAATTATCGTCAAACCATGGTGGTGTGCGTGGAGGCACCCTTATTGTTTGCAGCGCGGAAACTGAGCGCTGTTCTCACGCTATGCGATTGAAATGCAAGAAGTAAACACGTCTTAATGACTGGTCATCGTCAGGCGCGTCCCTGGAGATAGCGAGAATGGACTACGCACCGTAGATTCCGCTGGAAAATGCACGATCCGACGATTTTACAATGTTGGTCACTTCTTGTACAACAAGAAGATCACCATATTTGTGAAAATGGTACCAGAGTAATCCTGCAGAACGGACGTATGAGAGAGATCCGAGTTTCGCAGTTGAGCCGGCTCGAAAGTTTGAAATTCGTGCCGGGACAGAAACAACACTGAGACAAAACATACGGCAATATTTCAAAATCAAAACACAAGCCTGAAACAGAATCTTGGCCCGTAAAAGTCACCGTCAAGCATGAACATGATTCATTTCAGGGGGCATCTAGCTGCTACACACAGAAATAGAGACTGCTGTGCGTATGCGTCTGCCGAAAAATCTGATGAACAGCCGGTAGTCTGTCTGAGGTCTGTACCCGTAAAGGTGCAAGCCAGACACAGATATCCTAAGGCACAAAGGTCGAAGTAGAGTGTCTACTCTGCCGGGGGAGGCACGTATATCCAGAGGCACGAAGGTTGTCTACAAGTACTGTCTCAGTGCCTGAGACTAGACACACGCGAGGCGGGCCGCGGGCCGTGGCCACAGTCACATGATGGCGACTACAGTGGACTCGGAATTCCTGCAGCTGAGAGGCACCGTCACCAAGCACGCTCCAACTGAGCCTCAGGTAAGTAATTGTGACGCCTTACGAAGTCGTGTCTACAAGCCGGATCCTATATTGTAAAATTTGGATTCATCGTTTGACCTCAGGCTCAACTTCGAAGTGGTATGGGTGAGTTATCATTCTCTTGTACACCGGTGATATTACATGCCCACTGGTCGTGCGCCATCTGCAGATACTCTTCGCACCTAGCACAATATGTCGAACATCAGTTTCGTCTTCATGGAGCCCAAGCATAAGAAAACGACCGGTCCTACTCTATGCGAAGAATGGCGGACTCGCATTGCCCAGCTTCTATCTCCAGAAGACCAACCACGTTTCGCAGTCGTGCAGAGCACTCTTCAGAACCTTGAGCCCCCGAATTCTCTCTTCGACTGCATCGTATCGCCCGCGAACTCGTACGGCCTCATGGATGGCGGGTAAGTCGCAGTTCCCCTCTGACGCAAGGATTCCGTCGAATCGCTGCCAAAATGATAGCGTCGATTACTACATCTCCGAGGCTCTGTCGCCCAAGAATGACATTATGGTGCTCACGCGCACTGCTCAGGCGGCGATCAAGAAGCGCTACTACGGCCTTGCGCCCCCAGGGTCTTGCACTTTGGTCCCGCTTCCTCCGCTCTTGCGTAAGAACCCGCGCTTCCCTCGCTGCCGCGTCCTCGCCGTCTGTCCCACCATGCGTCTTCCCGCGGAAGTAGACTGGCACCGGGACCTCGTGTACAATGTTATGTGGAGCTTGCTCACGGAGCTGGAGCGCTGGAACGAGCGCGCTGCACCGGAGGACCGCATCACGAAAGTGGCGATGACGGGCTTGGCGACGGGTGTGGGCGGTTTGCCAAAGAACGTGTGCGCGTGGCAGATGATACTTGCCATAAAGCACTTCCTTGATGTCAGGAGCGAGGCGGGAAGGAACAGATGGGCCCAAGATGGCTACCCTGGCTGGAATGATGTCCTGCCGAGTGCAACGGAAGTTGAGCACATTCCTAATGACGATGCGAAGTGAGACGCGCGCAAGTCTCGGTGTAAAGGTGGAACACTGATTGCGTGGGCGGGGGAGTTTCTCAGGACGCAAGCAGGGTTTCGAGTGTATGAAATATATTTCCGATTTACTAGCATGTAGTATTGATTTCTGGCGAATGAAAAAGACGTGGGTCGCGGCGCGATATACGGTACCAGCACGATCCCACTCCCGCCCCCTGCCTTCGTCGGCGACATCCCCCCGCCGTAGCTCTTGACACCGGAACGGCCGACAACACATTCTCCTCGTCATTCACACTCCCGTTGTCTCACCCGAACCTGACCAGTACAGCACCGACGAGATCAAGAGAAGGTAGCGTCCCAAAAAAGCGCCTACAGGCGTCGGGATCGTCAAGGCGGGCGCACGCGAGGAGCTCGAAGACGGTGCACCGGAGGTGCTGCGAGAGAGTAGCATCTCCAAAGTGCTCCTACAGCATTGACGCGTCCATGGGTAAGAAACTCGGCCAAGGGCGGGCACGACTCACCAAGCCCGCGCTCGCTAACACAGGCAGGCCCATTAAGCTCGTGCTCGCAAACACAGACATGTCACTGCCGTCGTGATTCCGTCATCGATATAGATCGTCGGCATCGATATGGATGGGCGGCATCCATGAAATGACCTGGTTCGCGTGTGGGAGGGACAAGATGTGTCGATCACCGCCTGACGTCGCAAGCGATATTGCTCGGGCCTCTTGAGTGCGTGAGCAGGAAACGTCGGGCGGCAGGCACGTACCTGACAAAGAAGCCGTCCTTGCCTGGAGTGCAAGGGTATGACGTCTCGAGTTACACTCCAGAGTACGAGACGGCGCCGAGCGGCGCCGTGATATGACACCAGCACCTGCACACACTCAGGAGCACTGGAATAAAATAAACTGTAAGAACCAAACTCGCACATGCCTTGCAAAGAGGAGGCGCACCGACGCACGCCTCGCAGGACGTCGAGCTGTATGTACTTGTTCGAACGTCCACCGTAAAGAGGAATATGAGAAAGACCGTACATGTAGATGGAAACGCCTGAGCGCAAGGCAACGATGACGCCGTGAGTGGTGTGATGGTGCGATCATATCCACTCAGTCAGCGGCCTTGAATGTGTAGAGCGACAGCATTGACACGCACCGCACAAGGTCTCTGCAATGCCCTCCGCGGGGCGTCGACTCCATAGGTCCGATGTGGGTCGTTGACGGCCACGGATACCGCGGCCGTGCTGAACGGAATGGCCATGGTAGCGACACAGTGAGCAATGTCAAGGACACGCGGTACTCGGTGTCAGTGGTTGACGCTGTCGTTGGCGCCCATTGACATTTCTTTGACGCGTATTTCCGTCTTCGTATTTTTCTCTTCAGCGGTTCCGGGGGAAGCGGGGTTTATTTTCCCGCGGGGGATTTCTGAATAGACTCGTCCGATAATACCGCACTTGTGTGCTTCTAATACATTAATATCGCCCAGGAGGGCACCGCCGCGTGCCTCGGAGAACAGCGCCTCGCGGGACGTCGATCAATTTAATAGTCCATCCCTGTAAAAATGGACAGCGCATGAACGTAAGCGGTGAATTAGTGGCGTACTGCACTGGATCGGGGGACAACGACATCTACGACGCCTCTCGCCTCGCGATGCACCGACGCACCGATTCTCCCGGAGGTCGATGGACAAGGAGAACAGAAGTCAAGGTCAATATCATCGAGAGCAGGTGCGCGCTCAGCGCTCAACAACGACTGAGCACGAGTTGGCGAATCTCTGCCACGCTACACACACTGACACGCTGAATCACAGGATCCAACAGCTGAAGACACGGACACATGTGGGGCATAGCCTCCCCAACGATTCTCATGTGGAGTTGACCGTCCACATAGAACCTGGTACCCAGCAGACATGGAAGACGACGATGGAGCACAGACACGATGTGTGGACGAGAGACACTGCAGTAAACGAATAGTAGTACTCAGCCTAAGTACTAAGCACATTGTGCAAGATGGGATACATACATGAAGACTATGCGCCCCTCGCGGGGCTCCAACCCACACGGACGCGATCGTTCGTGCAGGAAATGACATGCGAGATCGGGCGCGGCAGGCGATGACTGCCGCGCGCTCTGGCAAGCTGCATCGATGGTGAAGGGCAGCGCACCGGCGAAATATGCGGGACAGAGGCACACGAAAACTCGCACGCGTATGAAGCCTGCACTGATCACGAGGAAGAGCCATCGACATGCATATGGGAAGCCTCCCTGAACGAACGAGACATAAGGCGACGACGCGAAACTTGACCGGCGGCAATTCGCGACGCGACGGGTCACGGGCTCGCGTCGTTCATTTTCGGCGCTTGACGAAATATCGTTTTCAAGACATGCTCTTCCCCAAGGCCGGCCATACCGTGCACCGAATGGCCTGGGATTCGCTCCACAACTCTGTCCGCCGTATCGTCTGGGACCCGGAGAGGGCAACAATATTTAAGGTGCGAGGAAGGCAACTGGCAGTGACAAGGGAGGGCGTGCAAAAGGGAAGCCGCGATATTCAGCGATGTCCGAAGAATTTTGCACCGGTACTGCGCACCCGTAAGAAATGCGTACCCAGGCAGATTTTCGCACCAGCGATGCCGGTGCCAAGTGCTTGCCTATGTATTTAGGGTATCATTGCGCGAGTGGCGAGGCTCATGAGCTCTACCACGCGTAGCAAATGCATCAGTCTTTTGGTATCAGATATTTATGTAAATCTATCAGCTAACATTGTGGGAGGCGGTCTGTCGACGGCGCGAGGTGTAAAGTTTGGACGGCATGTGGATATATACCTCTGTCTCGATTGTCTGTATACAGAGTAGTCATTGCGATCACCAGCATGAATTTGAAAACGAGTTGATCGCACCGTTGACGTATCGAACCGGACATCGCTCATGCACTTTCAAGCAGAAAATCCACAAGTCGACGATGATGCTATTCCACGGATATATGTACAGCGCGTCCATATAACGACACGAAGATCTTTTCATCTCTTCCTCGGTGCACTCGGTGGGGGTGGTAGTAGAGGCACAGCCAAACCGCCGGATGAAGACGGCTTTACGCCGCCAACACCACCCAGTAGGTCGCTTGTGCTCGTGGATTCTGCCTTAGCACGGCCAGGAATGGATATGGAGAATGTTTGACCCTCCTTCAGCGTATAGTCTTTCTTGGGTCCTGCAGGAATATGGGGTGAGGGCTTGTCGTCGGTCCCCGCCTCCTGCGGGTTCACACGAGCGCGCCAACGCCTATCCAGGGTAGAACGATGTCAAGGCTATTTTAGCGAGATCAGTATGTGGAACATACTTTGTGTAGTCTTGCAAAGTTACGTCTTATTCAACCAACATCAGCTGGCAATATTCACGGTAATCTTTAGCGGCTAGGACTTACTAAAATCAAAGCTATCCGAGCGCTCAAGGAAGCCCATGCCGATATACGCTTTTCGTCCGTTGTCCTCCACTCGGACCACGAAGTAGCGGGACGAGTCGAGCACTGCCTCGACGCTCGGTTTGGCAGGATCGTAGTCCGCCTTCGCGAACACTGCACACTCAATACACCTCAGCATGGTATGAGCGCAGCCGCATCAAATAGACGTACATTCTCCTGTGGATGCACCGCAACCCAGATAGCATCAACTCTCACGCCACTCACCGCGAAACCCACTCACCAGTCGACGGGTCTTCGAATTGCAGCGTCAACCCGCTCGATCGCTCGACAATCCGCAGCCTTCCCTTCCAAAGTGGCTGAGCGAGGTCACCCCACTCCTGCGCACGATGACCCTCGTTCTTCTTCAGCGGCGGGATCTTGTACACTGTTCTATCGCATGAGCGGCGTCGTGAGCACATGCAATGCAATCTGAAACCAACCTGACACTTCCCTGCCAATGTACAGGATACTCTCTATCTCTTCTTCACGGAACTCCTCCATTTCAAACCGCAGACCGCAAGGAAGTGCAAGGATGAGAAAACTTGAGAGTTGAAAGCGATGCCGCCGCAGGGAACAGTGGGCGGTGTAATTGCGCGTGCACGTGTTCAGTAGACGCGTTCTACGGGCGCTTGCCTTGTGCTCACCACCTACGACCTGCATTCGGTGCACTACTATTATTTTCAACACCTGTTGTATCACCTTACCTCCCACAAGCCCCACAAAATGACAGGACCTCCTACGCCTCCCCTGACCACCGCTACAGAAATTGAAGATGCCGCCCGGTGTTCTGTTTCACCACCATCGGCACCGGCAGTGCCAAGCACAGAGCCATTGACCATGCAGGTAGAAGAACCTTCACAGGTAGCAGAGCCCGCACCACAAACTGTGGCTGCGCCGGAACAGCAGAAGAACCTGTACGAACTGCTGTTCCCCACCTTGGCTAATCTCGCGGCGAAGGGCGACTTTCAGGAGCTCATCAGAGTCGCGGAGCACTGGGACGTATCTGTATGTTCTTGTAATGAATAACGACAACAATAATGACACTTCTACGGATAGGCCGAGAACAATAGTTCGTACTCGCGCCTGTTCCTGACAGCACCACTTGTTCTGTCCTACCTCATCGTAGACGAGCTGTACGTCCTTGGATCCGACAGATCGTGCCAAATGCTCAGGAAATTTTAATCCGACAGATCGGCCGCACGCTATGCTCTTACAAGACTTCCGGACAATCTAGCCTCTCTCCCGATTACCCGGGGGCTATTCCATCTGCTTTCTGCGACTTGGGATCGGAAATACCAAAGTGTATATTCCCGTGCAGAGGACGTTTTCAATCTCTGCCATCAACCCGGCTTCCCGGATGATGCCCTCGCATCCATGGTCACCGGAATGGTCACCACCTTTGTCGGTCAGTGGTCTGCGCAGCCTCATCTTACGTTTTATTGACGTGCTGCAGACGTGTTCCGGAAGAAAACGTTTGTGCTGCTGTCAAAGGCGTACACCTCAATTCCGCTGTCTCTCTCTCAGACCTATCTCGGACTTTCGTCGGAACAGGTCATCAACGGTCAGAATAATCAGTATGATCGCGTGTGCCGTGCTCCTGATCCATTTGTGTAGCTGCTGGCGCCCATGGGTGGACATACGATGCGTCTACTAGAGTGTTTACTCCAACTTCGGCGACCGCCGGTACCTCGCGTCTGAACGGCGCGTCTGCAGGTATGGGATATTTTGCAACATTCTTGCAATTTTTCAATAAACCATAATTTTGACAGCACAATCCACGCTGTATACCTTCGGCGTGGTGGCTGATAGCATTGTACGGCTGGAGATGTAGTTTGATCTCGTGTTCACCTTCGCGCTGTAGAGCAGATTTTGTAGGATTAGGCACTTGTACTCGAATCTGATACGTATTTTCTGCGTTCAACAAGTCCTCTCGCATTCTCAGGCTCGGGCCAAATACCTGATTGCCGAGGTCATGTGGGCGGCGCGTATTGCATGAACGCGTGGCTGAACGCGTTTGCAAGTTCTCGCAGAGTTGAACTCTTTCGTACTTCCTGTACATCCTGCTGAAACTGTCCAGATTTGGCGCAGAAAGTGTCCTGTTGTCAGTGTATAATCTCGGATGGAATTCGCCAGACCTTCGTCTCCTAAGCGCATCAAACTCGTAGATGGCGGTACTATAGAGACCATCCCAAAGGCAGACTCGGTAACAGACGGAGAAACGACGATACTAACGGTCGTGGTACGATGCACAGTTTCGTATTCAGGGGTGTATTAGAAGTTGAAAGAGTTGTTCCCAGGTTGATGTCGAACCCACCGACGAGGCAGAGCGCTGGATCCACTTGCTCTTCACTTGGTCGGGAAAATCACTCGCTTTGGACATTGCTGAGAGCGACAGGTCAGTCGTCGCTGTGTTGATTTATTCATTGCATCGCAGACCAAGGACCACTCTAGGGTGTATGACTTGAAGGCTACTCTACAAAGCCTCACTGACGTGCCACCAGAAAGGCAGAAGATACTCGGCCTCGTCAAGGGAAAACTGCCACCTGACGAGGAAAGGATGTGAGTTATCGGCTTTCCCTGGCCTTGTGACGCTGAACTATTATATGCAGAGGAGATTTGAAACTAGTGAGTGGAAAGAAGTTCACGCTGGTGGGAACTCCAGAAGGCCACGAGATCAAAGATCCATCGCGTATGTCTCCCTGGTTCCAGCCGTTCGTCTGCTCACACTTCCTGTTCAGAGCTAGAATTTCTCCCGGATGTGGTTAATGACCTCGACATCGACATCTCCGCGAATCCCGCGGCGGCGGCAGCGTACATCAACGACCAGCGGAACTTGCGAAAAATCCGAGAACATACTCGAAAGCTGCATATCAACATCATACATCCTCTCAGGGAGGGCAAGCGACTGCTCGTGTTGGATATCGACTATAGTAAGATGCGCTTCCCACGATTTGACGAATCAACGTTGCTATGTGTCTCCTGCAGCCATTCTGGATACGAAGCCGCTCACGTCGGGTGCGCTACCTCCGCGAGAGTGCGCCCGGCCTCGGCTCCACGAATTCCTGGAGGCTGTATATCCGTACTACGACATCTGCATCTGGTGCGAACGATGGACGTCTGGTTCCTGATAATGTCTAAAGGTCATCGTAGGTCACAGACGAGCTGGGTATGGCTCGAGACGAAACTGGTCGAGCTAGGGATGATTGGTGGCGGGCGAAACTATGAGGTGAGTGGCAGAATCCGGCCCGATCTCACATGGTGAACAAAATGCCCCGCGAAGTAGATATCCTTCGGTGACGTAGCTCCTCTCCTTCGCATGCAACATAGCTGATCGGACCCGTGGGTTGCAGTGCTGGACAAGACGTGCATGTTTACCGTGTTCTCCACACGGGAGGGCAAACAGTACAGGCACTCTGTGAAGGCGCTCCAGATCATTTGGAATCACTTCAAGCAGTTGTGAGTCATGGCTACCTTGGCGTGGATTTTGACGTATTGACACACACGATGATTTATCATCAGCAACTCCACGAACACCCTCCATGTTGACGATCTGGCAAGTTCCGAATCTTCCATCTCGCGCTCCCGTCTCAACCGTTCCGCGTCTAGAGCCGGAATTTTGCGCTGAACCCTCGCCAGGGGCTCAAAATTCTCGCGTTCAAGGATGCGCACACCCTCCAGGCAACGTTGGATCGCGAGCTGGACAAGCTTGCGCGCTACATGATTCACATTGCCAGGACACACGACGACTTTCGCAATGTCGATCATAAAGTGCGCGTCTCCTTTCTCGCTACTGTTCTACTTTGCGGACATCTCATTAAAATATGTACCATCCGACAGCATTGGCAGGACGTCGCTCGCGCTCTGCCTCCATGACATTTGCAACTAGACGGGTTGTAAGTTCTGTGGCATATCATTAATTGTGCTGCGCGATACCGAAATCAACGGCCCGCTCACCACTACGCCGCAATCCGGCAGCGAATACTTGCTGCATTCTCATGCTGGTCGTGGTCCCCTTCAGCATTCCGCTGTGTCATCGTATTAGGATCGTAATCAGATGTGTTCCGACTGTGGATGGATTTCGTTGTCCTGGTGGTTAGGCTTAGGCCGTTCGCAATACCATGTCGTTGGCAGAGCCGACCACGGGTCAAGTCACTGGCTCTGTCAGCGCGGACTGATTAGGTCAAGATCTGATTCGCTGCCTTCTCGATTCGTTAAGGTCATCTTCAATTAGGCAAAATGCTACCCAAATTGCAGGGCTCCGTGCGATTCTACATGGTGATGGGCATGTAAGAGACGACGGCCCGCATGGATGAGAGCGCTGCGTTGCAACGGTGCCGAGATGGTCGGAATGCTGCACTGTCGACAACATCAGACGGATCATCATTGGGTATGCCGCGCAAGCTTCTCCCACGAAGGAAGGCAGAGTAACACGTACCGAATCTATACAGTTAGATACACGCAGAGTTCCGGCAATGAAAAAGGTAGTATGAAAACACGCGTCTCGAGCTCCGATCAAAGGCAAAAACTAGGGAGATCCGACACTGAATTGTCCCAGCTCTGAGATGCAGTCACTTAGCGTATATACCAAAGACAGAGCGTCATGGAAAGTCGTGGATCGCCTCATGAGCAAAAGGGTTGCTCTCATCGAGCACACGTCAGGTATGGAACATTGTGTGTGCGCCCAGGTCCATATGATTATTGCCACCGCACCCACGAAACTCCGGAAGTGTATCAAAAGGTCTCCAAAGAAGTGCAGGTAAATCCTCCTGGACGCCCTTTGTGGAAAGAAAATCGGTAGCCGGGCCAACCGACTGAGCTCTCATGACGGTTCGCCTAAGAACCCTAGACGCGGAGCCAACGCGGAGTCGAGAGTACACCGCAGACCCCGTTGTTGTCCGTCAATAATGTTGCATCTGGAGCCCTAGGTCAAGTGTATACGAGACAATATGGTTTCCGGGGTGTCAAGCGCACTGGCGTGCATTTTTTTTCCCAGGGAGGAGTAAGGAAACCACTGAATGTACTCGGGCGTTGTACCCATGTGCCAGCTTCCGCGGGCCTAACAGTAGACGCTGGAGGTTCCAGTGTTGAGATGATGACGACCGACAGATGGAAGCGGAGTGCCTGCCGCACGTGGTTTCGTGATAATCAGCAGCACGCCACTACGAACGCAGGTTTCACTCCGATTCCACGCTCAGAATCTCGGGTACAGCGGTGGTCGCGGGTTTGCCCTGTACCACACAATATTGCAGGACTGTTCCTCGTACACGGCTGCCACATGTGAAGGCTTGGAGTTATTTGGCTGTCGGATCTCACGGAGACGCGAGCCCTAAGTCCTGCTCTCGCCGCAAGTGAGAACCCGAAGGGCTAGGTGAAACGAGACATTCTGCCGGAACAGTAGATAGGTTTACGAAGTGGGCTAATTCTCCGATAAGAAGAAATGGGGCAGGAAGTCGGTGAAATCGACATGAATGCGATCGGCAGCGGTTTAGAGCATCCCTGACACATCCAAGCAGGGGGTGCCGGAACAACAGATGTCACACCCTGAACATACCGTCAACTAAGGCCATGAGAGAGATGGGGGTGAGAGGTGTTACCTTTGAACCTTCGTCGCTCCGATCCTGAGAGATCTTGAGATGAGCAAGTTGCCCGAAACGAATGTCGAAGTGGATTACAAGGATATAGTGGAACAGCCATGGGAATGTTCAGCGAGTTTCGTGTCAGTCGAGCTGGCGCAGGATGCTGGAATCGCTATAAAATGGCTCGTTCCATCCACTCTCCATTCAACGTAACAGATTTCTCGACATACCTCCTGCAGAGACATCCCGCTAAAATGCACTTCCCGTCCCCAGTACACATCTTGAATCGTCTCTCCCCTACTGTCATCACCACGACACTCTCCAGCATCCGCGAAACGACTACGGTCAAGCCGGACGCCATTCACCCAAAAGACCTTGATGTCGACCCCAACACAGGATTCTTCCCGCCTAAACCACTTCCGAGGCTGCCACAAAAATTTGAACTATGGGAGAGGGCGCTGGAGGACGCGCGAAGAGTGCTGACATTGGCAGAGGATCATCGGGAGGAGTCGATCGCCAAACGACCAGAAGGAGAGCTCTGGAGAGGTACCATCAGATCGGTGAGTATAATTCATCTATTGCGCCGACAGGGATCTGGAACACTGACCTAATTATGTCCACAGTGGCCCGTCCTGAACACGTCCATCCTTCATGACGATATCCGGTATCTGCAGAGGGCGCACATGGTCTTGGCAACTATGATGCACTTTTACGTGCATTCCATGCCTGCCGCTCAGATTGAAGGCCCCATCCACATTCCACAGTCTCTCGCCGTCCCCCTCGTCGAGGTCTCCACCAAACTTGGGATGGCGCCGGTCCTCACTTTCGCGGACACGGTTCTGTGGAACTGGGATCTTATAAATCCCGAGCTTCCCCTGTCCATAGAGAACATGCGATACGTCAACATTTTCTCAGGCACCACTACGGAGAATAATTTCTACCTCACCTCAGCAGCGGTTGAACTTAAAGGGGTGGAGATGCTGAGGTTATTCGAAGGATTGGTTCACCTGCGCGACACCCAGGACGCGTTCACGATAGCAAAGATATCGCAAGACCTCAAACGGCTCGCAAAAATCATCGAGGAACTTATCAGCATCTTCCAGTCTATCCGCGACACTGTCGATCCGCACGAGTTCTACTGGGCTTGTCGTCCGTGGTGGTCTGGCGCGACATCGAAGAGCTCATCACATCCAGGTTGGGTGCTCGACGGAGTTCCGGATGCATCGAACCTCGACCTCGGTGGCGCGTCTGCTGGCCAGAGCTCGGTGATGCATGCCCTCGACATCTTCCTCGATATCGATCACAAGCTGGAAAAGAACCGGGTCCCAGCGCCGTCGCCCGACAATCAGCGGTCAGATCGAGGGTTCATGGAGAGGATGCGGCGGTACATGCCGGGGAAGCACCGACTATATCTCGAGCGCCTTGCGTCCGCTCAGTGTTCAGTACGCGAGGTTGCGCAACAGATCCCGAGCCTGATAGCACCCTACAACACGGCCGTGATGGCATTGAAGAAGCTCAGGGACGTGCACATCCGCATTGTGGTGCTGTATGTGGTGACGAAGGCCGATAGCCCTCCAGAAGGATTTGGTTCCGCTGCTGACGTAGACGGGGAACGGAGACACGGGCCTATCAGAGGCACAGGTGGCAGCGACGTCTGCAACTTCTTGAAGGCAGGGAGAGATGCTACCCGACGCACGGTTCTGATGGATGCTATTTAGAGGATACGGTGTTATCTTGGACTTTAATGCATATTGGACTCGCACCCTTGAAGGGCTGGCTCAGGAATATCTCAATTTCTTGCTCGTCGTAGTAGTACCGCATCAATGATAGTTCGGACTCACATTAAATTTAAGACAATGGCTTCAAAAGAACCACGATTCCTTAACAAAACATCTGATAGATACTTGGCCTGCCCCGTGCTGAAGTTGAGCTACAAACTCTAGATACAGTCAGGTTTTTCCAACTCGAAATCACTGACCTGAGCTGACAACATCACAGGGTAAAAATCACAACAACGCAGAACAACACGAAAAAGTGGTGGGACGAGAGACTCAGAGAATGGGGTAACACAGGACCTGAAGTCTCCGAGTCGTTGCAACATGTAAACCACTAGAGGCTGCCTTGTTTGGGCTACTTACGTACAAAACGCGGTACATAAGCAGGTGTCGCGGGAGTCGCGTGACCTCGCGACTCATTTGTTGACCACCACCGGCTGCTCGCCATGGCCCACCAACTCACCGCCGGGTTCTGTGAACGTATTAACAACCTCACCGTCGAGGATGATGCACTCTACAACTCCAAGCCCACCGTCCAGTTTCTCTCCTTCAAAAAGGTTCCACCCGCGTCGGGCGCGGCCAACGCTAACGTAGATCGCTACCGTATCATCGTGTCCGACGGAGAGCATTTCCTCCAGTCAATGTTGGCCACCCAGCTTAATTACCTGATTGAGGAGGATCAGATCGCTAAACAGACGATTGCCGTCATTGAGAACTTCACTTGCAACGTGGTCCAGGACAAGCGGTAAGATGCCGTGCCTTTTCTTTGTCTTTCCGACTTACGCGTATTTTTCTTTTGAAGCTTGTTGATAATTCTTTCGATGCAAATTATTGCGAAGACCGCGGACAAAATAGGCACTCCGATTGGACTGCAGCCTCCGGCGGGCTCTCCCACCTCAAACGCTCAGACCGCTTCTCCAGCAGCAACAGCAACCCCGGCAACTCCAGCGGCCTCCACTTCTACCAACCCTACCCCAGCAGCTCCAGCTCCACAGCCTCAACGCCAGGCCAACAGAGCAGGACGCGCTGGCGCCATTCACCCCATAGAGAGCTTGAGCCCCTATCAGAATCACTGGACAATCAAGGCCCGCATCACTCAGAAGACGGACATCAAGACCTGGTCTAATCAGAGGGGTGAAGGGAAGCTTTTTAGCGTTATTCTGATAGACGAGACTGGCGAGATCAAGGCGACGGGATTTAATGCTGCCGTCGACGAGCTTTATGACAAGCTCCAGGAAGACCATGTGTACTACATATCAAAGGGAAGGGTGAATCTTGCGAAAAGACAGTACTCCTCCCTACCGAATGAATACGAGCTCACACTTGAGCGGAACACCGAGGTTGAGGAGGTCAGCTTCTCACTGTGATGTTTGTTGTTCGCTTACGAACTTTAGATCAGTGCCACGATTTAACGAACGTGCCCACTATCAGATACAATTTTGTCGAGATCGGCAAACTGATGGATGTAGCGAAAGACGCCAGCTGTGGTGTGTTAGAGCTCGCATCCTTTGCTATTATATCAAAGCTAAACTCGGCACCAGATGTCATCGGGATAATCAAAGAAACGAGCCCTCTTGCAACGCTGACTTCGAAAGCCAATCGCACAGTACGCAGAGTAATCATCCGGTCCGCTCATTGTACTTACAGTTTAACGCAGCTCATCAAACGAGAGTTAACGCTGGTCGATCGCTCTGGATTCTCCGTCCGCCTCACCCTCTGGGGAAAACAGGCTGAACAATTCACTGCCGACGACCAGCCCGTGGTCGCTTTCAAGGGCGTCAAAGTCGGTGACTTCGGTGGTACGTCATTTCTCGTCACTTCGCTTCTGAGTAGCTGAACCTTCTGTGTAGGCCGCTCGCTATCCATGTACAGCTCGAGTACCATGGCGGTGAACCCTGATATCCCTGAGGCTCATGCGCTTCGCGGGTGGTACGATGCGGCTGGAACAGAGCAGTCGTATCATGCCTATAACAATATGGGTGCGGGCGGCTTCTCCACGTCGAAGTTCGATCCGGCGGAGATCCTCTCACTGAGCGATGTGAAGGCGCGCGAGCTCGGAATGCAGGACAAAGCGGATTCGTTCAACGCGCGCGCGACGGTGATGCACATCAAGGCGGACAACATCGCGTACCCCGGCTGTACTTCGCAGGACTGCAAGAAGAAGGTCGTCGAGACCCACGACGGCTGGCGCTGCGAGAAGTGCAATAAGACTTACGAGAAACCTGAATATCGGTTTGCCTGCAATTGATACAGTGTGGTGCAGTTCATTTTCTGACACCGCGCTGTGTCTAGATACGTCATCTCCATGGCCGTCGCGGATTACACCGGCCAGGCGTGGCTGCAGGGCTTCAATGACGTTGGCGAAGCAGTCTTCTCAATGAAAGCTGACAAACTCGTCGAAATTAAGGTCAGCATCAAGGCTTTTGGCCTGTGACTAGTTTTACTGATGGATAGCCTCAGCAACGCGACGACGCCGAGTTCAATACCATCTTGCAGGGCGCCACCGGTAGCACTTTCAACTTCGTGTGCAAGGCCAAGCAGGACACGTACAACGTGAGCGTCGCGCTCTCCTTAGTTTATTGCGCTGTGCGCCCGACTGATACTTGGCTTGTCTTTGCGATAGGACCAGGTCCGCGTGCGGTACTCCGTGCAGCACATTACACCTCTGAATTATCGTGAGGAGGGGAACCACCTGGCGAATTTGCTCCGCCGCTCGGAATGGGGGCGGTGATTGCGCGTCAGGTTCAGACTTTCATTTCTCATCTATTCTCACATTCACGTGTCGATGTTCCTCGTGTTTGCTGCTCCGTGATGCTCTGCTAGTGTGAATTTTATAGTGAATGGTATTGTTTGAAATAACCTACGACGACCGTGGCAGTTCTCCAGGGTTGATTCATGAAGCTCGCGGTGAAGTGATATAATCTCTGGGAAAGTGCAGGCATATCGACGGTACGTATGCCTGCCCCTCAGGCAAATGAGGCGGTGTATACAGCCGCGATTTCTAGGCCTCGCTCAAGACACAACCTCTCCCTTCTCCGATTGGTGGAAAGCTAATGATCTTCCCTTGACATTCCGTGCAGTACCCTCCAGACCGTTGCGTAGGCCCTGTCGAAGTGTGACCTCTGGGAGAACATGTCTGAAGATCGCACAGCTTGGTCTGAAAGCGAGTGCCAGAAACGGATCCTCGGCCAGGCGGTGAGAACGAAAGTGCTGTCATTGGATCGGTAGGTTCAACATCGTACGCTCGCAGACGCCTAGACCGTCCCGATACATCCAAGATGGACGCAGACACTGCCATAAACAGGTATGAGGTGAGAAGCAGAGAGTCATTGTATTGCAGAGCTGAAAATGTGCATGTCCATCTTACTCCAACGCGGATAACATATCAACTAAGACCGGCAGTGTGTCCCGAGAGAGCACCACGATTCCAGGCTTCTGCACCAAGTGCGGAAGCTATCCGCGACGGCGATGCACTTCTGTGTATGCCCGATCCTTCGCATCGAGACACAAAGGCTCGTACAGGCTCCGAGATCCTGCAACTCCGTCTAGCGAGGCTGCACTCTCCAGTGAATTGGGTGCTGCCCTCGTTCTCACTTTCGCGGATGCGATTCTGTGCCGTTGGCATCTTATTGGTCCCGCACTTTCACTGCCTGTCCGTGGACGTTATGCGATACGTCAGTGTTCTCTCATGAGTATTGAAAACAAGCGTATACCTCAGCCTCCAGGGTGGTGGAGCGTTTCCAAGTCGAGAAATGCTGAGAGTGATAGAAGTAGACAGCATCACCTTGAGCTTCCGTGATAGCAAAAATACCGAAAGCCCTCACGGGTGCAAGTATCGTTGAGAAATGCAGAAAATTTTCCATACGATGCGCAACGCTATCGGTCCTGCAAACGTAATGAGCCCGTCGACCGCCATGCTCTGAACGCATTCCATCAACCTTGATGAATGTTCTGTTCGATAGAATAGACTACTCAGGCTTCAAGCCATCGGGAACATAGCTGCCGCCAGAGCCCTGGAATCCACGGTCTGTATGAGTATTCCTGAACGGCGGTCAACATCCAGACAATGAATCTCTTGCTCCGACCTCTCCGTCGATGTTCCAGTGGACAGAAGTTGAACGCTGTAGCGACGGTACAGGCCGGGGAAGCACCATTGAATTGTCTCCAGCGCCTTGAGAACGCCTCGAACGTCTTGCATGTTGAACGTCTTGGCATTGCGTGTCCGAACGTCAGTGCTTGTGCGGGGATATGCAGGACATCCCCAAGTTTGGTGACGCCCTGACACGTTTCCGCGTTGGCGCTGAAGAAGCAGGAGACCGTGGGGAGCCTAACAATTGGTTGTACCGAGGCAAGGACCACAGGGAAATAAAGCAATAGATACTGGCGATAGACATATCTGTGCGCTGCTCATGAACGTAGTGAGAACACATAGGAATAGAGAGGCACATGCAACTCTGAGCTGGTGTGAAACCTCATGTGTCAGTACGGTGGTACACCAGTTCGGGGTCATACAACAGTCGCATCTGATTGTCGTCGAGAACTAAAATAAAATAACATGATATACAGCTACCACGACAGTGAAAGAGGAGAGCCTACTACGCAGAATTCGTCCGCAATCATGAATCACGCTCCGACGCTCTGTCGAGCTGTTGCCGCTTGCGTGAGTTGCCACTGCAGGGGACAACATGAGTCTGTGTCTCGCCACTGTGCAAAACGCTACTTACACTTCGGTGTCCAAGCCCCGTTTCTTTCCGGTCTTCGCCTCATCCAGGAACTTGTCAAGTCCGAATACGTCGCCGGTGTCCTTCTCGAACTGCACTGGACCCTCCCTAACCTCCTGATCTTGCGACCCCTCGAAGCCGATCCTTGCCTGACCAAGGCCGAACCTATCATTGTCCAACGCTTTTCCAATACCTTCTTCTGTGCCCTCCCCATACGAGTCCTGATTGCCCTCCGAAATGTTGCCCCGCGCCTTATAGATCGCAGCCGCAGCAGTTGAGCCATGGAAGAGAGGGCGGTCGTACAGATTGTACGCATCGTCATCCGCAAACGAACCAGAGAGCGACTCCTGGTTGAAGAGCCGCGAATCGAGCATCGACTCCTTGGTGAGCGTCGGTTTCGCCAGCCCAAGAGCAATCTTCTCTGAGATGTCGCGATTCTGCTGCCGCGCAAGCATCTTGGCGCGTTGCTCCGTGCCCATGTTGCTCATGCGCATCTCCCGCTCGCGCTCTATCCGCTTCTCCTGCCGCATCTGGTCCCGTACGCGCGCCGACTCCTCGTCCTCCTCTTCCTCCACTTCCGCCTCCGAGCCGCTCCCGTTATCGCTGCCATACGCGCCCAGAGATGACTTCATCGCTGCCGTGCGCTCTGCCGTCGGTGCGGCTCGCGCAGGAGCAATGCCGGCGCGCTCTTCACGTGCGCGTTGGGCGAGCATGCGGAGATTCTCCTCCTTTTGCGCCTTTTCCTTCTCTGCGAGCTTCTGCTGCATAAGAGCGCGCTGGCGGACTTCCTCGCGTGCATGTCTATCAGCGATAAACAGAGATTCTGAGAACTTCGCAAAGTTGTCATTGATGTGCACCTGCATATTGTTCCGTGAGTTTGCTAAACCCATAATTGGGGCATGAATTCACTCACATCCTGGAGACCACGACCATCGGCAGCAAGGCGTTTGTCGAGTGGAATTGTGTAACCCTTGTTGTTCTTCCAATTGGAGATGCAAGGTGGGATCATCCATTCTTTTTGCTCCTGCGCAGTGGCCTTTCTTGGTGGACTCCGCAGCACGGGTGGTGGTGGACTTGGCGGACCTCGAGGAATCTTCTTGTGTTTGAATCGTGGGGGCTCTAAGGGATCCTCCACAATCTCCGTCATTTTGATGATCCGCTGCTTCAGTCCGTCTGAGCCATTCTGTTGCCCAGGGGTGTATCGGATGAAGGACGTCTTGCCCTGACTATCCGGTACATTCTTTGGCTGCGCTGCTTTGATTTTACCGTTCACAAGCTTCTCCAACGCTGCACGCGTCCTATCTGTGGTACTTTGCACCTCATCTTCAGACGGTCGCTCCATCTCACGCGCACTATCGTCCAAGTCTTTCCGGTGGGAAAGGGGAACGAGGTCCTTGAATTGGGACTGCACAATTTTGCCTGGACGTTGACCCTGTTGTGCAATGACATCGTAGCGTACATTGCCTTCGCTATCGACTTGTAAAGCGAGAGTGTTGCCTGAGGAAGCCTACGAGATGTTCAGGCGAGTAAGGTGGAGAGGCCTTTCAGCGCAACTCACCTTCTTCTTCCCCATGTCCAAGGGATACTGCGCGACATGACACTCCGGATACGAACCACCATCACCTAACAAGACATCAGAGTTCAAGCACAGATCTGAGTGAGTATAGCAACGTACCGAAGTCATCCGGAGAAGTTGGTTTCCAACCTATCCGCTGCCCGTATGGTGGAACTACGTTCCGGACAATCACAGACTGAGATGGAGCTGCCTGGGGTAAAACAACCTCCTCCTCATCGTCTGAGATAGTGGGGGCGTAAATGGGCTGAGGTAAAGCTGTAGCGAGAGCGGCCATGGTGGAGATGGATGTTAGCGGAGAAACTTTAGTCACTGCACTGGTCAATGAAGAGCCTGTATTTGCTTGTTTGGTTGGTGGCACCGGGATCGGCCTTCCCAATATGGGCATGCAGTCTGGCGAAATAAAAGTTTCTGGTTTTCGACGCCGTGTCTGGCGATGAGCTCGAGTGGCGGCGACAGCGTCTTCCCTGTCCCCAAGCCACCACAGTCCGGCGTAAAAGCTGCTCTGCAATACACAGGGATACCCCCTTCATGGCTTGACAAGCGGCCCTCACTACCTTCGCGCAACTGGCTCATCTTCCTCGGTGTCACCTCCTCCGTCATAGGCTACTACATCTACGACAGGCAGCAAAGCAAGCAGATCCGTCAGCAGTACGTGGACAAGGTCAAGCACTTTGCACATGTGCCGCTACATAGCCTCGATTATCCCCGCAAGGTCACTGTCTATGGCTCCAAATGGCCCGGAGACGAGGACCATGACCGGAGCATGAAATACTTTCGGAAGTACGTCAAGGTCCGCCAAGTGCTTTCCTGTATTCTGTCTACAGCTTTGACCATGTTTCTAGCCCATTCTCGTAGCGGCTGCAGTGGACTATGAGATGATTGGCGGTAAACGTCACGGCGATCTTGCGAGACGAATTGCAGAGGAAATCCGGTCGCAGCGCAGAATTGCACTCGGGCTGGATAACCCACCACAAATGCCTGTGATCCTCCCCAATTCGTCGCCAGAGGACAGGCGGCGGCGTGCATTGGAGGGCGGCATCATTATCGTCGGCCGACCAACGCTCAAAGAGTTCATGGCTGGTCTTAAACAAGGCTGGAGTAATAGCCTGGACGTGGTAGACAGGGAAGAACAGCTCTCCAAGGAACTCGAGAACGATGGTAGGTTCGACGAGCCAGAACCTGAACCAAGTGCGGACGGTTCGGACGTGGACGGCGAGCCTATCCCAACCGCGTCACGACTCCCTTCATCCATACCCGTCTCCCCATTCACTCCACTACAGTTCCGTGGGCCCGCCCCACCACCACCCTCTGACCAAATTCCTTCGTCTATGAACAGCCCGCCTACCCAGATACCCCCACAACCTCCAATTCTTTTCGTCCCCTTCCTAAATTTAATTGGTTTCACGCAGATCCCACGCATGATATGGGACTTCTTCAATGAGCGCCATAAAGTCCGCGCTGGAGCCGAAGGCGCCTACTGGCTCGTCATGAACCAGACACGTCCGTTCACTGCCCCACCTCCAGAGGACCTCCGACAAAATGCCTTCGCGGATGCCGACCCCACAACATCCTCAGGCCAGCCCGATCTCTCTGAAATCACTCCTTCTGATCTCGACTTTGACCGAGGTATTGAAGCCTACTACAAACAGTCTCTCATTAAATTGTTCGCGTCGGACATCGAGAAGGTGCGCGCGGAATACTACTCCGCGCTTCCTGCGAAGCTGGAGACTGCACGTGCCCTTGCGCGGGGCGCCCGCGAACCAACGAAGGAGGAGCGGAACTATCCGCCACCAACCGAGGTGGAATTGCGTGCAGAGAGGATGAAGAAGGAGTTGCGGTGGCGGGGAGACGAGCAGGGTTGGGATATCATCAAACCAGAGAAGGATGCAGAATGGGATGAGAGGTTCAGGAATGTGCTGAAGGTATTCGTAGCGCCTTCGTCCGATGCGGACGACACGATAGAGAGGAGCACGCCATCATGATCTACATTTGTTTGTGGTTGCTACGCAGAGGGGGTAAACATCATCTTGCATAACATACAGTACTAATCCTCTTAGGGCATCGTGTCTACGATCTTAATCGCGCCGCTTTGGAACCACTCGTCCAGGTCGTCCAACTCCTTCTGGTACGCGGCGTTTGCCCGTTCTATCTCTTCATCTTCGTCCGACCAGTTTGCACGCTCCTGGGTATGCGACTCGTTCTGACCACTTTCACGGGACTGTGGCAGCTGGGATGTGGATGCTGTGAGGGGAAGTTGACTGCCGAAAGAGGTAGTATTGTCGATGTTCGGAGTCGACGTAGACATGGCCGGAGTAGGTGAGGCTGGGGTAATATTGATGAGGTCAGGATTTAGCACGAAGTCATCTTGGTCTGTGAAAGAGTGATGTGAGAATGCTATTGGCCAGTCTGGTGGAGTGCTCTTCCCGGTCTGGTCTATGTGGTCTCCTTCGTTATCAGACGAGAGTTCTGTGAACAGCGGCCCTTGGTTTTCCGTTTGATTTTCCTTCCCCTCCCGCAGATCCGGAAGATCCTGTGGTGCATGCGTTCAGGACAGATAATCATGGCGCACAAAGACTCACCTTCGAGGTCGAGACGGGCAAGGTTGTATGGAAGGAAGTCATTTTGCGTCCATCCAACATCCTGGAGCGCTTCGACTGAGAGGGGATGGTGTCCGTCTGGTGCTTCCTCTTCCGGCTGGAGGAAGGAAGCTGAAAGGCATTTGAGACGCCAGGATCATGGTGCACGGAAGTGGTATACAAGTCCTCTAGCTCAATGGGCGCATCTGGAGCAGACACAGGGACAGCACGGACGAGAGCGTCGACTTCTGAATTCGAGTAGTTCGTCTCCGAAGGATCCGATGGAGGCTGTTTCTGCCTCTTCAAGTGCGTCGAATAACCATCAAGAATATCCCGAGCATCGGGGAGATCGTCGTCAGAGTCATCAGTAAGTTCAGTGATATCCAATCTAGCAGCCGCTTCGTCATGCAGGCAAGAAAATTCCAGATCGAAGTTAGGCTTTGCTCTACGCTTTCCCTTGTCCCTGATATCCGTAGAGCACTGGCTATCAAGCTTGATCCGTCGCCCCTCAGGTAGCTTTAAGTTCTCTTTGACATTAGTTTGTTCGTGCAAGGAGTCTAACTGCTGGAGTCGGGCATCCGGTTTATCGCAAGGTCGAACCTTCGGTTTCTGCTTGGCCTTCGGCTTTACAACGTCTTCATCCTCCACTTCGTGTACTGAGCCTGTCTTCGGATGCTCGCATGACTGCACCGTGGACTCTTCAGAGGCGCACAGAGCCTCTATACGTTTCTTTGACATCGGAGGAGGCTTCTCGACACCATCTCGGCAGCTTGCAGCCAACTTCATTCTAGCAGGGCTCGAATGAACTCATGATAACGTACCACATATGCCGACACTTGGTCTTGTCTTTGCACGCGTGATTACATCTGGGGAAGAATATGTGATGAGAATCCCCGTTAATAGCACCGTGAGCGTACTCGAAGTTTCCGTTGGACAATCGCTTGAATCCGAGCTGTACTGTGGAGGGAACAGCTGCACCTCTTGACTCTGCTTTCTCTGGCCTCAAAGGTGTTTTGCGGGTGTTCCCCCTCTGGACAGCGTCTTCTGATTCTGTAGCAGTCGTCAGTTGGTAGTGCTGCATTTGATAGTCCATGTACAGACTTCGGTGTTGCGTCAAGTCTTTCATGGGAATGTCTTCATCGTTTGGACCCATGTTCCAAAAGTCCGGATCGTCTTCGAGCCCCTCGAGCATTAGGTCCTAGAAAGGATCACGGAGCCTTTTCCTGGCTCGCATAGAAATGATTACGTACCACAGCGTTCTGAGGACGAGTATTCATTGTAGGATAATACTTCGCCTCAAGGGTCGGTCTGTATGCCTTCGAAAGCGACACACCAGCAATATTCGTCTGATACGACGTTAGAGGTGTCGGAAGGAAACGCCACGCAATTGCATTACCGAAGCCATTTGCACAATAATAGATTGACTTGGCTTCACTAGCTCTGCCGAAACTGTGAATGTCTTCGAGTTCTTCAGTAATTTAGTGCTTGAATAATTACCGTCAGAAAATGCAACAGCATGAGGACATTAAACGCACGGAACACGGCGAAAATCGATAAAGTCATTGTCGGACGTCAAGGTGAGCACAACCGTTGAATCAGCTGACTTTCCCTTGCTCTTCTTCGACTTCAGTGAGATACCCTCTTCGACAAGCCCAACGTCTATCGATAACTCCACCTCCACGGGTTTGGAACCCCCTCCTCTAGTGACAGACAACTCGGTGATGCTAAGCGTGTATTGAGGGAGGCTGTTAACATGGGCAAGAATTTCGTGTCCGAAGGGTGGTCGGCGATTCAGCAACTACGTGAGTGATTAGTATCCTTTCAGTTGAAATAGATTAGAGTAATATACCGCTTCTAGCCTCATGGGGTCCTGTTTCCGTAATACGTCGAAAGAGCCGATATTATACTCGGCCAAAACCTGTCCAAAAATGAGAAATCGCCCTGCGCAAGAAAGCTTTAAGGAAAGACCTTCAGTCTGTGGGCAGTCAGATTCAGTATCTCCTTTGCACTTGCGAGGACGAAGACTTACGATTTCTCTCCGATCTGTTCGATCTGCCGCAATACCACAGGCCGATCTTCCCAAGCTTTCGCGGTTAAGCAACGAAGTCTGGGACGATGTCAGATCACGGACACTTCAAGAATGGACTACGAACGTTTCAAGGCTGTTCTTGAGCTCAGCGCCTGCCCTCCTTATGATAGCTACTTCGACCACAGCTAACCTACCGTGTCAACGGAAGGGACGTGGACATCCTATAGGAAGTACCTTTCGCAATGCGTGCAATATGACGAAAGACGGAAACTGCCTCCAACGTTGGATTATTGTCGCCATTTTTATACTCATTATCAGAAAGGCTTAGACCACCAAGCACCGCCTACGTGCCAGGAATTAACACGAATTACCCAGAGAACAAATCGTTGTACCTGTATTAGCATGAACACTTTGTCGGCTGGCTTCTCGACCTTCTTGATCTGGAAGCGGATGTCGTTGTGTTCGCGCATCTTGTTGTAGATCTAGGGGGAGCTCGTCCTAGAATCAGCTAGAAGGCAACACACATCTTACCTGCTTTTCTCCGCCACGGAGTTTGATGTCCGAGAACCTGAACAACATGACGCAATCTGCATTTCACTAAGCCTAAGACATAGAACCCACTCTTCTGCATTTGAGATCGTCTCAAGCTAGTCGACGAAATATCAGAGGGGCTCATTACGCTAGGAGAAGACTTACTATCTCCTTCATGGTCGCTCGATCCGAAAGCTTGAGTATCATACTCATCTAGGAAATGTCAGCCGAAGTACACGGTCGCAAGGCTGCAGGAATGTACCGTAGATTGCCGAATGTAGAACTGCACATAATAAGAAACAAATCGCAAACAGGGTTAAATCTGAATACCTTGCTCATGATGTCGCCAAACTCAGTAGAACTGAGCTGATGGTCACCGTCTTCAGGCCGAGATACAAGATTGTTGTCTTGTAGGTCCGTAATGCTCTGCGTGACCATTTCGCCAATCCTCTCCTGCCAAGTCTGAGCCCCGTCCTTTCCAATAGCATAGTGTCTCGGGTTCTTTTGTATCCTCTGAAACAGGAAGGAGTTGTGCAGCCATTTCTTAGCGCTGTCGAGGTCGGTGATGGTCCCGAGTCCGATTTCAGAGTTGATATGCTCCGACAAGTTGTGGTGAAGGCAGCTCTCCAGTAACATCTGGCCCTGGACAAGGGCTTTATACTTTCCCTCTAGCTCCGTTTCGCACATAATGATGGCGACACCTTCTTTGTCTGCGATACGACTGTTAGTCATCCAGACCACATATTATCAAGCATCTCACCGAATTGCGGACGACCCTGGTGGAGAGAATACACGATCAAAATCTTTGGTCAAACCAGAGTAACAGTGGTACGCACTGCGCGCCCCATCATCTGCATAATGTCAAGGTCGGAATATTCCTGCATACTGTTGTTCTGGAATAATTTGACACCCTTGATGATAACGGTATGCGCAGCTGAAAAAGATATGGCGGAGCAAATCATCCGTTAGAGTGAAGAGACGTACGCAGATTGACTCCGACAGCCAACGTCTACGATGACTTACGGTAAATTTTGATTTTGGAGAAGAAGCGATGTTACATACCGAAGTTGCGAACAGGATACGCAATATCTTCTTGACATAGAGATCCTCAGTAAGGCGACGGTCATCCATATTCATGCCAGCATGATGAACTCCGATGCCGAAGGATGCGAGCTCTAGATGATTCATTAGGTGGAACTCGAGCGTTGAATTGGAGTTCAACCCACTTTCGAGCTTTTTGTCATGAAAAGTTCGATCAACGCTTAGGAACAAGTCAGTGACAATTAATTGCGCAAAGGTCAAAGGATCACCTTGACGGCTTCGTCCAGGGCAATTTCGCTCTCTTCTTCATCGCTTCTTCGTAACATTTCAACATCTGCTCTGCCGTAATCACCACGCCTGAAGGCAGTGTTCACCGTTATGATATATGCCTTGAATTGAGTGTGCTCACCCTTTCGGGTAGTACCAAAAACCAGCATCGGTTTGTCAACGGAATGCTGTTCTAGGATACTGTATAATTTCATATCTAGCATGCGTTGGAACGCGAAATCGTTCAGGTCTTTCTTCTTTGAGTACGCGTGGACTATCTTCGTCAATTTGCAAGGCCGAAATTCTTCTCCAAACTGTGCGAGAATCAGACGCCCGAGTGATGCGACTTTCCAACATGCATGGAGCGAAAGCGTACCTGCTTGATAGCGGCTGATCCGCCGGGCAGCCCGTTCCCGATCCAACTGGCGACATCCTCGATGTTTGGAACTGTAGCAGAAACCACGATGAATCGGACTGACGATCCACGGGTCTTCATACGTGAGATTATGACTTCGAGGGTACTTCCACGAGACTCGTTGAGGATGTGCACCTGGGGAATGACTCAGAGTCTATAGCGCGGGACCGAGATGAAAACAGGATTTACCTCATCGACAAGGAAAAGTTGAATTTGGGAGAGTATCTGTCCGTAGTCACGCCTAACCAGGTTTGCAGAGGTACTAATGTATCACGACGAGGAGATGTGCTCACCAATGGCGAGTCAAACTATCCCACTTTTCACCCTACACAAAACGACAATAAGGTATAAATGCAAAAAATACGTTCGTATGACCCACCGTCGTAATTCTAGACCAACCAGGTATCTGTCAGCCAAGCGACAAAGTCATTCGTTGAAATCTCACATCACGTCAGCATCCTTCGCATTTCCCCATGCACCCTTGCCAAAAACTACCGTATCACCTGTCAACTCACAGCCTGTACACAGAAAATACGTCGGCCAATGACGGTCTTTCTGCTTACGAGACCACTCACATTTGATACCTAAAGCTTGAAACTTTGTCGTCCAATCCCTACATTTCTCCGAACAGAGTGCCTAAAAATTGATCAGATGTGAAGATATGAGGTCATGTACTTAACGAAGTCACGTTTCTTACACGGAGTAACCACCACAAAACTCACCTTCGTGGGTGCTACGTAGATGCACTTCGATGTTCCGCTATTACCTCCGACCCGCATGAGCATTCTAACGATCGCGAGCTCAAAAAGAACGGTCTTTCCGCTTCCTGTCGGAGCTATTGGTGTGGGGACGTGAGAATAGGTATACATGAGAAACTACTCGACGGACCGCTGATGACCTGAAGGTGAGGAATGAGTGCATGAATAAGTCATCTATATCCCACGGTACGTACCATACTTTCATCGGTGTGCATGACCTACAGAGGATGAGATAATTGAAAACATATTGAGTTAATGAAACGTACGCTGTCAAAACAATGCGACTGCACAGCATTGAAAACTCCGAATTTGAACATTCCTCGGTAAACATCGGCTAACATCGAATAAGTGCGCATATATGCGCAAAAATGTCAGCAACCCGTGGCTCCAGCGTATCAGAAACAAGTAACGATGCATACGGAGCTCAGAGACAGGACGCAGACGGATACCGTGAGCATTACGTGGATTTGATCCTCTAGTATGGACATCTTCCTTGTACAATTGAGGATCGTCGAGGAAGACTTGTCCAGGCATAGAGGGCCTGGGTTGATAACGCGTATGCTGGATCGGAGCTGTACGGGATGATTCTCTAAAGGCTATATCTCCGATTAATGGCGATGAACGTTACATCAATATGACTCTGCTTACCAAAATGATTTGTGGTAGACTCGTGTCGATTGAGGTCAGAGATGCGCACGCCTGAGGGTCCAGTAATCGCGGCCGGAAACGGCTGTCGTTGACTCTGAGGATAATTGTGAAAGCTCTGATCCTGGTGTTCATAATAAGGCTGATCTTGAAACTGTGTGATTTCGTCGTATTGAACATTATCTGGATGGTCTTGATGAGGAGGCTGCTGACTGAAGTTGTAGAAGGTTTGAGATCTGATCACATTTCTACGCTCAGGAGGTGAAGGAGACGAATTTTCTGGCATTATAATAACGTTAGTGGATAAGATGCCTACACGAAGGTGCATATAGTCACCAATCTGGTCCAGAAGCTCGTCAACATCGTTGGGATACTCGTCATATTCGGAATGAGCTGAAGGTGCAGGAAATGCGACTCCAGAGTCGTCGTACGAATTTCCATAGTCTCCAAAATCAATACCGCATTCGCGTGCAAGACTCTCAAAGCTCATGCTAGGTGCAAGAAGGAAAGTAGAGTCGATGTGGGGAGGGTGCAGCTCAGTGTCTCAGATGCGCGGGGTTTGAAAGGGAGGTTTGTGTTAGATCATGTGATCGTATTGCTCTGTCACGATGTGACGACTCGCGTTGACAGTGACCACCGTCTGCAGGATCTCCGTGACTGCAGGCTACATGAGCTCGAATTGACTTGTGTATACTATTACAGCTCTCACGACTCGCATCTCTTCTCCACGCTCTAAGAGAGTACTCTGTCCCAGGATGGCCACCAAACAAAGCCAGGAAGCAGCCAGCGCAGAGGCAGCGAGGAAACTGGAGGAATACATTGAGAAGTCCGCTCATCTTTCTCCTCGAGCGTCGCAATAAACGCTCATGCGATTCGCTCCGCGATAGGATCCACTACTCTGACCGCTACTCCGATGACGAGTACGAATATCGTCACGTTATCCTCCCGAAGCCGCTCTTCAAGATGATACCCAAACAACTCTTCAATCCCGATAAGAGCGGCACCCTCCGGCTGCTAACGGAGCAGGAGTGGCGGGGCATCGGCATCACACAGAGTATAGGTTGGGAGCATTATGAAGTACATGGTGAGCAGAAACGCTGTTACCGGATCTCTGTCTGGGCTGAAAGAAGGGCGCCGTGGTGCACCAGCACCAGAGCCTCATGTTCTTCTCTTCCGTCGCGCCAAGAACTTTGTTGCTCCCCAGCAGCCCGCACAACAACAGGTGGTAAATGGGAAAGGGAAAGCAAGGAGGAAGTAGAGGCTGTTCTCTGTTCGGCGCTCTGTACATCATCTCGTTCGTTCGTCCTACCCGGGTTTCCTTCTGCTCCTTTCTCCATCAGTGGACATCTTTATTTTACAGTGTTGTGTTTGTGGAATTGACATCAAAAGCTCTCGTGTCGCTCTGTACTGCTACACAGTCTGTAACCTGATCCGTACAATATGATCTTCGATTCACCAGATCCATTCATACAGCCGCAATCTTGAGCAACGGGATCTCCGTGTACCCGAGTCCAAGACAAAGATCAAGCAAACAGACAGCATCGCGATCACAGTGTACTACGTACGCGTGGACAGATAGATACAAATACTTTATAGACCTCAGTATATTCAGTATTTAGATGTCGGAAGGTCGCCCCAGTCGACCAACGGCCTTGGTTCATCCGATTTCCTCAAAGACGCCTTGAAGGCCTTCGGGTCTTTGATCATGGTCACACCCTCCTTGACATTTTCTTCCTCCTCTTTACTTTGAGTGGGATACCTTTCCATCAGCGCCGAAAGCGAGGACATTGCATCTTGGGCAAGCTCCGGGGGAATAGGTGAGATCCCTCCGAACGTGTCCTGCCAGTACTGGACGAACTGGCTCACAAGAGGCTCGCCATCTTTGGTGAGTTCACGCCATCCCTCTGTGTCTGTGATATGTATCCCGCGTTGTGTAAGTATGGCTTCGAGCGCCTTCATTGCGGGAATGCTGATCCTTTGCACGGGCTTCTTCTGCGAGCGAACGTGAACGGACAGTTTCGCCCGGGAAGGGGACGAGTGGTGGACACGGGACATGAACAGTGACAGGACATCTTCCTTGGTGATGCTCTTCACAAGGAGCGCGTCGCTCTCACCTGCAGCAGAAGGTCAGATGAGACTTGAGAACGGGATTATCCAGCGTGACTCACGTCTCAAGAAGTCCAGGTATCCAGAGTCGATGTGCGTCCAATACCTGCCCGTTTCCTCGGCCAGGTTTTTCACTCCTTCTCTCCAGCGGCGTTCCAGCCCACCCTTCTGCTCCTCGAACTCTTTCTCCGGCATCTCTTCTATCTTTTCCTTCATCTCGTCAAAAAATGCATCCACGCGTTCCTCCAAGTATACCGGACTCCGCTCGCTTTGCACGACTATTCGCAGCCCGGTCTCTCCGTCCCCAGAGGAGGGCCATTGCGAGCACGAGACAACGTAGCCAAGCTGCTCCCTCGTCCGGAGGACATTGAACGCAGGTTCGCTAAGAATTTGAGTCAGAAGAGCAGACGTGACACGAGAGCGAGGTTCGATGAGACTGCCGAGGTGCAAATAGTACGTAAGAGAGGAGTTAGGTTCGTTGGTGTTGGGCACATCCATGGTCCATGCATGGTTTGCACCTTTTCAACAGTGGTCAGCAAATGAAGGAAGCATTTTCGTCGTGGAACTTACCGCAGGGAAGAAGGAGTGCTCGATCTAACATCTCACAAGGATGTATGGGAGACGATTGCAGAATGTTCTCCGTCATCTCCGCGAGACGCACGGCATCCTGCTCAGATCGTCAGTATCTGAGCCAGGCAAGGGGTCAAGGAGTCGATGTAACGACGCACGTCTTTGTGCATGTTGCCCACAATCAACATGCGCATATAAAGCTTTGACAGGAGCTGTGGAACATGGGCTTGAAGCTCCTCAACGGTGATTGCTGACGGTTGATTTTCAGGCCCTCCAGTTACTCATCGTTAAGATGAAATAAAATGGCGTACATTCAATCTCCTCTAATTTCTCTGCAAACGTCCATTGCTGGTCCATCGTGAGATAGTGAGCAAAATAGTCAGACAGACGATACGGTTGGCCAAGGAAGAAATTCTCCCAGTCCCTCTTCGCCTAAAAACAGATGAAAGGTGAGACGACCCCAAGCATTATTGCAATGACATTACCAGGTCCTTCATAACTTGGAGCCTATCAGCCTTGATATGCAGGTTCTTAACCCGTTTAACAACATCCCTGGCGAGAACATGCAGCTTGTCGTTATAGCCAGACAAGGTTACGTAGACACCAAGTGCGTGTGAGGAGAAACTGTAGCTGAGCCCTGCTAGATCTGCGTCGTACGCGAACTCGGTCAAAGAATCGTTGACGAGGTCAGCAAACAGACTACAAACCGATCAGACAGGATGATCAGTAACCTGCAAGCGTATTGCTTACCGCGTCAACACACATGCTCTTGCTGAAGTGTTGGATGCAGGGCTAGGGAAGTTAATTAGCGGCCAACTCTTGTGGAGCTAACCTCGCCATAGCCGTACCTGCGGATCTCCATAACAACCTGCGCCTTGGGTACCCAGAATTGATCATCCTTCTTGTGCCAAAGACTGGAAAGAGGTGTTTCTCGAATCAGGCGAGGGCGCTTTGATGGCTGCACAACAAATGAGCACAGACAGCATGTTTGGAACTTTGACAGCTTACTTGGTCCACAGGACGTTTCTCTACATCTAAATTGGCGGGAATGAACTCGTTGGGACCTGGGAGGAAAAGCTCTGGTATGTCGTTCGGCCTTTCTGCCTATAAATTGTAAGCGAACATCAGATAAGATCTCAGAAGATACGGATCAGACCATACCTCCGCAACAAAGGCGCTATTCAGTCGCTCGACCCTGTATGGTGTCCCATACCACGACTCATGCTCCCACGTTAAATCTTTGCCCATAACCCTCTCAAATTCCTCGGCCTTCGCCATGAGGACCGCCCGACCTCGAAACGCCCTCAGCGATTCCAGCACTTCGCGCATCTCTCCCTCTCCTCCATTCACAGGGTCGGAGTCATCCCACTCCCACACCAATTGCGGAGCGCTCAGAAGAAGCTCAGGCGGTACTGGCCACGAGAGGTGCTCCGCCACCCACACTGCATAGTCGTCTGGCCTGCGCTTCTCTGCAAAGCGGAAGCGTGTGGCTCTGATTTTACTCTGTTCACGTTGGTTCCATGCGGGAAAGGGTGATGCGCGAAGTAGCGACAGATACTTGAATACCACAAGCATTGCAGCACGATAGTTCTCTGCAGCGAACCGTGTCAACACTGCACGTTCAGGTTCAGGCTAGATAAGGAGAATGCGTACCGAAACCTTCCGGAGTCAAGTGCAGCGTAACTTTCATCATCGCGAAATTTCTTGCGAGGAGCTGTGGACCTGCACTCAGAGCACTTACCCAACCTTTGTTCTTTAAGTACGAATGGAGCGAGCCAGGGCCTTCGTGTCCGAGGAAGTGTGAGAGAAAGTGCGCGGGTTCATGTTTCCAATGCGGGGGCTGATAGTCCAGTGGAAACGATATCTCAACAGCGTGGAAGGACATGACAGTCTGGACGGAGACAAGCGTCTACAACATCGTCAGAAGGGCATTCATGGAGAAATTGCGTAGAGCAGTCTCACCCCCATCTCCTTCGGTCCGAAAGGATGCTGGCTGATCTTTGGAAGGGGATCCTGTGCACGATTTGGGATTGGCGAAAACAATTCAGCGACCATATCCGCGAGTTCGTCCAGAGGCTCTGTGAATCCATTGGCGCTCGTAGCACATGACAAAACACGGTCGTCTCACCTTTTCCGATAACGCACAACCGCATCCTGCTTGCACAATACTCTTTGCTCCACCATTCGACCAATCGCCGTCTCGTCTCGCGACCCACCACACCTCCGTCGCCTTCCAGCTCTGAGCTGGACGACGGAGTAGGTGAGGGGGCGCGAGACGAGCTTGGCGTCACAGCGAGACTGCTACCGGCCGATTCCGTTGCCCCATTCCTGTTCCCGTTCCCGTTTAACAACCCCTCCGCCTTAAGTTCCATGCCAACCCGCTCAAGACTCTCCCGGTTTCCACTCCCAAACTTGCGCCAAGGATGGCCGTCTATACTGAGGTGCTTATTTACCTGAAAGATACGCCAGATGTCCGACTGATGGTTTTTCTTGAACTCAGAGTCTACCGCGTTGAGCTCACGCGACGTGCACGACGGTGAAAAGAGAGGAGAATGGAAGAACGCCGCAAACCGTGAGAGCGCCCCTGGCAGCGCAGCGGTGGCCACACTGAAGTAGTAGTTTGTGTTGGACGTGCCAGTGTATGCATTTGAGCTGCCATTGTTCCTGGCGAGATACTGGGATAGTCGTCAGAGGTCTACAAAGAAAATGGCCAAACGTAGGGTGCACCTCCGAATACTCGTTATCCTTTGGGTACTGTTCCGTCCCCTGTTATCGACTGAGCACACGACCTCAAAGCTGGAGGGTGCACGACGCACCATGAATAGTAAATGCTCGCAAAAGTGGGCAAGACCTGGCATATCATCCTAGTGAGTCTGTAAGCATTATCTGTTGAACTGCAGACGAGATGCACACGTACTGGGTCGTACAGATGGCCCACGGCGACGTCTAAGCTTGCTGCTGCCTTGTCTGCCTTCGGATCGTGCACTAGCATGGATTGGAGACCGTTCTGGAGCTGTATGAGTCTATATTCTCTATCATCTTGCGGGGACTTCTGTATCGATTTCGTGAAGACGGTATACGGGTTAGGACCAGAGATATGCTTCCATTCTGGATGCTTCAGAGACGAAGCGGCCATTGAAAAGTTGGAACGTGGCAGAGGACGACGGAGAATTACAGGAGCAAGATGGTGGAAGAGTACAGGAGTCGCTCTAAGCAAGAAGTGGGGTGAAGATGGGAGAGCAAGCAGAGAGTTAAAGGACCGTGCCAGTAGCTGCATTCAAGTGACTTCGAAACCGGGGACAATTACGCCCCTTCAAGTTCTAATTCCGGCACAATGGCTGGAAGTCTAAGATGCCCACGCAATATACAGTTCAGACCCTCAGCACCTCTTACGAGACGAGGGAATGGGATTTTTAGAAAGAAAAAAGCGCGCTCTGTGGTGAAGGAGTCCAGAGCAGTCCTCAGCGAAGCACATACCCTCGCAGTAACTGCCAAGCGCCTACGTCCCGGTCTTCCGGACTGCGAGTGTCATTGAATATTGAGACTCGGAGATGATTTCTTTCTATTAGCTGCTGTACATACATACATACACCATATGCCACCTAGGTTGATAAACAGCAAGTTAAACATAACCATTATCAGCAAAGAAAACAGGCCATTAGACAAAGCACACGTCACGGAGGGTCCAAAGGATAGTGCAGTACTTTTCGGAATATATGCCATACGGCCCCTAATCCGTTTATGAGAGCGTCCATAGTGGCGCGGGCAGTTTCCGGTACTTCAGGCAGCTTCAGCACTGGAAGCTCGAACCGTAAAGTCCAAGCGAAGGACTCATCGGACAAGGAGAGCAGGCTGTGTGACTCTCCATGAGAGACAGACGAAGCCGATGTAGACGGGGTTAGAACAGGAATCCCGGTCATGGTCGGCATAAGTGTGTCAGTAGAGAGTTGTGATGGATATTGCGACGGGGATTGCGTTCGGGCTTGTGATGTCGAAAACGGTGGGGTGGGTGAGTCTAACGGCAGAGTCCCTGTACTTGCGGAGAACCACCACTTTTCTGTCAAGATGGTTGTAGTGACGGTGATCGTCTCTGGTTCGTTGTGGGGGTAATCAGCAGTGAACTCGGGAGAACGGTTGGTAAGAGATGCCCGCATCTCATGCAACTCGGCAGTCTTGAGGCGAAGATCCATCAGGAGATAGGAAATCAGCGCGATAGGCAGCAAACAGGCCAGCAATATACCCAGCCTCCGGAAGGTAGGACTGGGCATAGAGAGTTTGCGCGAAGTTTGCTGAGGAGCAATAGCCATGTATAGCCGAGGGTAGTAGAACTCGTCTAGGGAGAATTGCAGCAGTCTCAGGGCTGGCGAGTTTGACTGTTGATGAATCAGGTTGGTACGCATAGCAGACACTTCATAGCCTGGACAAATGCGTGAGTGTGCATACTTTGTACGCCAAAACAATCCGACCAACCTGCTTGTACTTGTACATTCACCTCCAAGCGTCCGACAGGAAGAGCGAAACTCGGTAACAGTATGTCAAACGGGATCGCATTATCTGCCTTCTGCTTCCCCTTCGTCGGTTGGCTCTTATCGCCCTGCGCGATCTGCTCCTTCAGGCCCTTCACAAGGTAAATCACCTCAACCTTGCCGCCTCCAGCTTGACCCACATGCACGCCGACCCAGGTGATCCACTCCTTCGCACTCGTCTCCTCAAATGCCAAGCTGAGACCCAGGCTGCCATTCGGCTTCGAAACGGCGCTCGTCTGGAAACGCACGGGAACTCCTTCCACGCTTGCGCTCGCAATGTCAACGCGCGGAGGGCTGAAGCCGTTTGAGGTCGTCGCGTCAGAATTGGAGGAAGAGGACGGATCCGCGGTGGGTCGTGCCAGCCCAAACTCCAGCCACTCCGAGTCGGTATCAGAAGGAGCAGGGAGAGAAATTTGCACAGCGTAGCCGTTGTGGAAGGCCGTGCCTTCGCTTAGCAGCGGGGTAACAGTCGCAGTAACGGAGGGTATCATCAAGGGCCCATCCCTTCGTGGTTTAGTGCTGGACATCATGGACGCATACCGTGTGGAAGACGCAGCGAGATAAGATCGCGTCCCGTTTGGCTTCCGGGTGCGAGTTTGAGGTGTATCCTCGCTCTCCATGCTAAGCTCGCGGCTGCCGGAAGGAACTGGGGATGCGCTCAGTGGGAAAGTTCGTAACGCTACGTGAGCACCGTCGGCACCGCAAGCGACATGATCGCCTTCTTTCAGAGTCATCTTCAGCGTTTTCCCGTCTCGCAAGTCCCCAGCCGCAGCGAGCACCTCCAGATCCGCTCCATCCGCTCCGTTCCGGACAATAGTAGATGTTTTTTCTCTATCCTTATAGAAGAGATGGAACATGGGTACAACCGTAGGACCAACGACAACATCGTCACTGGAAGGATGCTTGGATTTGTTTGGCGGAGATTTGCGCCTTTCAGGAGTTATCAGCGGATGTCGGGGGGTCACCAACACCGTACCTGAGATCCTAAAGGTGAACGGAGCTTTCGACGGAGGAAGGAGCTCATTCATGTTCACATGCACGGTGATGGGCGCGTCTGGTGGGCGCACATCTGGCTCGAAATCGGTGTCCGTGTCGGTATAAGGGCCGTTCACGGAGGACGCACGGCTCCTGCGCTGCCGCTCCGGGCTCGAGGGTAGGCCGACCGATGGGAGAGACGATATCGTACCCGTCGGCGTTGAGACTGGTGAGCTCTCAAACGAGTAGTCTCCGGTGTTCTGATTTGGCAACGGCGCGCGAAGAAGTGATGCTGAACTTGTGGACGTCGTTGACGCGGCAGAATTCTGTCGTGATGGTGGAGACGATGTACCATGCAGAGCACCTCCATCGGGCGAAGACGGCAATACGTATATCGGTGGTCTCACCATGGACGGTGGTGGCGACGGGGTTTGCGTAGGACCTCCTACAGCGAATCCTGTAAATCCAGGGCCTCCGGTGACGGTCCATTTGGGATCTGTCCCGAGAGCCCAGGAGACGTCGCAATCACCTGCTTCCAGACCCACGTCCATGCCGACGAGAGTCGCAACACCAGGAAACCAGACGCCCTTGCAGGTGGCATTGTACTCGAGCTTCATCAGCAGCCCCTCGACACCTCTGTCTCTGCCCTTCCCCTTCCCGACCATCTCGCACGTCATGTCCCCCTTCACATCTTTGATACCTACTCTGCGCCGACCATCCTCAGTCTCGGGCACCTGTCCCGCTTTCGCTGGAGCTGCCCACCTCACGCGTATTCGATCCGTGCTAGGAAACGTGCCTTGGATCCCACATCCTTCTGCAAAACCCGCAGAAGACGACGCGTCGCTCGACTCATCGTCCGCAAAGTGCGTATAGGACTGTGAGCGCGAGATGCGTGCCGACTGGCTACGCGTTACGTGTGGCTCAGAAGCAAGTTCCAACGGCCCCATATCTTCTTCTACAGAAGAAAGTGACGCCATAGACGAAGCCATCGAGGCCGGACCAGGAGAAAAAATGCTCAATTTGATATGATTGGAGAGGCAGCGTGGAACAGGGATGGATAACTATTACGAGCCATCGTGAATTGCGTCTGAAAGACAAACGCGAAGGGACTTACCAGAAAAGGCGCAAACGGAGGGCGGGTCAAGAATGGGACCCAGATGTCGATAGCTGCCATAAACTGTGCGACAATCGTCCCGCGTCGAGTGCGACTGTCACTTTCTCTGCGCGGGAACTCCTTCGGAAGAATGTAAGAGACATGATATCCACTCACGAGCACGTGCCCCGTATACTTGTCTTCTAAAGGCGCGCCGCTTGACGAAGATGCGGAGTCAACGACAGAAACATATGAGTGAGGGGATCTGGCAGGTAGATTCAGTGCACGAGCTGCCTTGTGGATTAACGGGCATGTAGTTGACGAGAAATTGTACGGAACGGAGTTATTGTCAAGGGGGTGGACCTGGGAATCCAGGATCTTTAGGTTCTCCTCTAAGACGCGTCAGAACTCAAAGTGAGAGCCAAACGCGTATGATTCACCTGGAAACAGTGCAATAGTAGCACCTGGAGTGATGCTTTCCCCCGGTAGCGATATCTGTGGGGATAAAAATGTTCGCCATTGATTTCAGTGTCGGATACGAATGCTCACCTTCAAGTACACCTTGATCGAGGCGCCATCCCACCCCTTTTTCGACTTCCCTTCAACAGCAAGACGTGTCACCACATTCAGTCTTTGATTTCCAGTCGTGAAAGCGTTGAAATGACCGTTGGTCGACAGTGGAGGGCTCAGGGTCCGCACATGACGCGAAGAAACTGACATTCTTCACGCGAATTGTGGTGGTTTCTCGGACAACAATCTGCACGAGGAAAATCTGCGCGTTTTGGAACGTGAAGTAGGGAGTGTGAGACGTGGAATTGGGTGTCGCCGGCAGTGGCATGGGAGGAGAGGTTTGCACTCGTCTTACGGTGGCCCATGGTGGACTAATCTGGAATGGCAGGCCCCTCCCCAGTGCCCATCTTCAAGCTCCGAAAGCGGATGGTTTCTATCAGGCGGAGTCTGAAGCTCAACTAGACTAGTGGCCCCGCAATAATATTAGTGCAATCGGTACAAGTAATGCAATTGATATCGAGCCAACAATGAACGATACTCAGCCAATCCGATTGCTTCATTGGATTGTTTTTTTATTTTATTTTATTGACTCCATCCCTACACGGCAATGAGAATTGCATGGCTCGATACTGATTGCATTAACTGCGTCACTTCCTCCCGCCCTAAAAACACAAATAAAGCATCTTTAATACTATTTTACTAGCTGAAAATGGCTATGAATTTTGGTAATCACCGCGGGCAGCGGGAATGGGCTCAGTCATCAGAACAGGTTGCAAAACTGCCTCAGCTTCGGCAGACCTTCTCTTCCATTAAATCACTCCGGAAAAAGTTTCATGGCACTCTCTGTAGTATCTAAATGCTCCACAAAATTTTCCGGTACAAGACTCTGTGAGGATGGAAGGGAGACAAGATATTCTAGCGAGGCACCAAAAATGGTAAGTCGGCTACCTGCTCAGAGAAACTGCAGTTGCAATTGCATTACTGTCTTGATACTTGTTTGCTCTCAGCCACCCTCAAATCATTGCCATTGTGTTTGAAAAATTTTCCCAAACCAAGCTTATATAAGAGACTTTCTATGAATGAAATTTTTGAGAGGTTGCAGGGAATTGCGGAAGAACGGGAGGCCAAACTCTGAAAGAGTTGTATTAGTGGGCCACTGATACCAGTATGTGTCTACCTCCGTTCACAGGACACATAACAACTTTCACTGGAAATAACCTGGAAAAAAGGATGGAAAGCAATAATGTATTGATATTTTTGGAGGAAAAACTCCCAGGAAAAGAACAAAACATTCTCATGGTTTTCTTCCTTAGAAAGAAGTTGCCTACCCTCAATTGCCAGTGGTTTTGTTGACATGGCATTTGCATGTCATTCATTAACACTTCTGATGTCTTCAAAAAATCAAATTGATCCAATATTGCACTCTCCAGAGCATGCGCATCCGTTTGCACCGTTCGGTTAGGAAATTCAAGTTCTCGTTGTCACTGCACCGTTGGATTGCTTACCAGAGTTCTTTCAATGGAGAGAATGTTCGAGTGAGCTGGATGAATGCAGTTTGATCTCTGTGGCTTGCCCTTTTGGAACACGGTTGGCTCCTCGAGATGTTGGATACTTGATGGTAAGTGAGTCGTCCTGACTTACCAAGTTGAGCATTTGTGTGGTATCTGGATCGGAATGATCGACTATCGAAGATCTGGGTACGTCTGCCGAAGTCGATTACGACAAGCAACTTGCCGACTTATCAATATCATGAATGGAGATCCTCGCCTGCTGAGATATGGATCGCTCTCACCACCGCGCTCTCACCACTGACCGCTCTCGTTTCCAAACGGTGTCGAATTTCGGACCATCCTAGAACGTGTGAGGTTTGTATACACACATAGGCTAACATATTGTGCACTCGCGCGAGCGTTCGTCTTACTCCGTGAACTGTCAGCGAGAGGTTGGTGGAACTCAGTTTTATAGCTACACTGCTGAGGACAAGGGTCGTTATCCCGCAACACCGTAGAATGAATCAACGGAATATTTAGTCAAAATCCAATCCCACAGGTACAAACAGGAAAAAAACAATTCCAAAACACTCTTGTTCAGCGACGAAGACGTTTGCCGCATTTCTCCGGATGGAGCACAGTGCAACTATCATAATGCCGTCTCAGGGAATCGCTTCGCCCCCCTGATATTCTACAATGCCAACTCAGTCACTGCCTAAACCGTGCACAACAACCGACAGACTTACTCTTTGTTACAGTGCTCGCAGTGCAGCTTTGCCGCCTTTGAAAGCTCGTCCCTTATTTCGTGGGGTAACTTTTCAAGGTGCCGGTTTGACTGGACGTGGCGCACTATCGCGTGAGCTCCATTGGCGAAGAACTTGTCGCAATAGGTACATTCCTGCATGGAAAAGATATCGGTAAGTTTCCAGGTATTTCTTGAAAGTTAATCAAACTGACCAATTTCTTGCCCCCACGGTTGATGATGCCATGAACACCCAAGTCGACCTCGTCCTCTGCGATTTGGTTCCCTTGGTCTGTCGTCCTTTTTGGCTCCTCTTCACCTTGGGCGCCCTCCTCATTTTGTGTGCGCCTCTTTTTCGTCTCTCGCTTTTCCACCTCCACAATCTCCTCTGTCCGTTTTCGTTTTTCCCCTTGTGATGGTGGTGGAGAGCTTGACGACGATGGACCGTCGGGTGCACGGTCTGCGGGTGCCACTAGTACTGATCGCGTCGCGGAACGTTGTGCGGAAGGCTCCACAGTCCTCTGGGAAGAAGAGCGTGGTGTGCGCCTCGGCGGTATTCGTTGCGCATTCTCCACTCGGGAAGGGAATAGAGGACGTAAAGATGATGCACCTTCATGTGCATCGTCCGCAGGTGCAGCCAGCACCGGTTCGACGGAGGAATGGTCCACCTCCGCCGGAGATGAGAGGGTGAGTGTGTGATTCGGAGACATCTGTTTCGCGTTCTCGACTCGGGGTAGTAGTGGTCGAGGGCGTGCACATGATGGTCCGTCATACATATAGTCCCCTGGTATTCCTAGAACCACTTGCGGGGGAAAAGAAGGGTTCGCTGCCATGGATGTGAAGTCATCGGCAGGAATATGTTCGAGGATAGAACCCTCGTCCCAACCTCTAGTGATCTCTGCCGGTGACTCGCCTCCGATGGACAACTCCTCATCAGTATCGCGGCTCCCTCGCAAACCGCACCATGGGTTGATGGAGTGGAGGAGGTGAGGGTGGGCACGCCTCAGAAGGCTCTGAATGTGGTCGCTAGGTTCAAAGGAGAGGGAAGTTCGTTCGTTCGTTTTACTTGCAGCCGCTTTTGCGAAAGGCAACGGTTCCTCCTGATGGTGCAAGTCGTGCTGCAGTTTGGATAGCAGATGGGCAAAAGGATCATCTCTCCAAGGGTCGTATAGATCGTCGTGCGTCAACGGCCAGTCTGCGAGTGACATAGAGAACAAGAAGGGTGAACAGAAGGGAGGCGAGCAATATTGGAGGTGGGGATGTTTGAGAAATGAAGTTAGCCGCCTGTGGTTAGAAAATCGAAATTCGATATAGTGACTCGAAGACTTCCGTGTCAGGAGCGATGCTGAAATTGATGGTGGCAACAGTTGAAGTGGAGGGCGGCCTCAAGTCAGTTGAACTTATGGGCAGCCCCAAGTCACCTGATCTTTTGTTGGTCCCTGTGAATCTTCAAGATGATTGGTTCAATAAGCAAACAAAGCTTCGTCCATATATGTGCAGATGCGCCAATACAGTCTGTGACGAACTAAACAAGGGTTTCTACAACAACGTCTCACCTGCAAAACAGACGTTAAGTGATGTTACCGAACACCTTTCAACGAGACGAACCTAGAGCAGCACGTGCAAGAGAGCATCCTATAGCAACGGTCTGCTGCACCGACTGGACGTCCGCGAGTGACGGATTGACCTCCTGCAGCACACACCCACGTAAGCAAGGCGAGAAGTCCATAAATTACTATTGTATAGCACCATGATGTCAAGTGCAACCAGGCAACCCGTTTCATATATGGCCTCGCAGATGTAGTGTCCCTCTCTGAAGGTGAGGCCGCCTCGAACCTAACGGGTCGTGAGACTCGCACCCTCGGCAATGAACATTATCGACCTACGGGCGTGCCGGTCGAAGGGGCAACCGATGGATCCAGCGCATCCACGTCGAAGCTGAGGTGGATTGGCAGAACCCTCTTCGGGTTCACATGGTCTAGCGCCATGTCGACAACCCTCCCAATCCCATACTTATCTACCTCGTGCATGCTGAATGCACGAATACCGTTTTCCTTGAGAATACGTTTCTCGCCGGCATCGACGTCGCGCAGGCCGATGTATACCAGGCGAGACGGCTTCAGCAGCGGCTTCACCCAGGAAAATTCGGAGACCTTGGGACCGATTCCAAGTAAGAATGATACAGGCATCCCGTGGATATTGCCAGAATCGGTGGTCTCCGCAGTGTTAATGTCTGCGTGCGCATCTACCCAGATAACACACGCGTCGGGGTATTGCCTGTGCAGCTATTGGTAGGTCATTCTACCAAACGGATCCGGTACTTACTCCAATGTCCCAGAGATCGTGCCCATGGCCTGCGAGACTTCGTTAGTGATGGCGCCGCGATCTGCATATGTGACTTACCAGAGAATGGTCCCCGCCAAGGGTTAGCGGCAGCTGACCATTCTTCGCATGCGCGCCAACGACCTCCGAAACAGCCTTGCAGACACGCGAAACGTAGCGAGGATTTTTGAGCTTGCCAATTGGAGGGTCGCTCTGGGCGTCGATCTCTTCGAATTGATGGTGTCCGTTGAACTTGACGTTCCACCCTAACTCTACTAGCTGCTCTGGAAGTCCAGCTTCGACAAGGCAAATTGGACCATTGTCAACGCCTGGCTTCTGCTGTGGCGAACCAGCGGAGAGTCAGTGAGAATCCCACGAATGCTGAGAATCTTGCAGGTATACCTGACCACCGCTGTTACCGAAAATTTTGTGAAATTTTAAATCTAACTGAGTGGATACACTGATCACCTGAAAGGACAGCCAACAATCTGCCAACGTCCATTAGTCTTGAGGGTGTTCCCAGCCGATCTAACGTGAAAATGCTACTCACTGCTACGGTTTTGGGATCTGGGAGAAAACGAGATACACGAGCCTCTGCCATGGTATCTTCTAGAGGTATAAAGGTAACTTGTGGTCGATTCCTTGGTATGCGGAGTTCGTACTTGGCGGTTCTGCGGTGATGGTCACAGGCGCTGCATTTCACTGAGAAAACATTCAGAGCGGAGAAATATAATCTTATCTAATCAGGTTTGACACAGTCACGATCAATATGATTGGCTAGGCCGCGACGTCTCGGAAAGGCCAGTCTTGCGATCGACTCGGACTTGAGAAAATTGGTCTCATCTATAGTCCCTCGGGCAATGGCTGCTGAATAGGTGACTGTCGAAAACATACCGAGCTGTCGTGCGGAAGGTTGACCCTACGTTCTAGACGCAGAATTTGATGAATTCACGGATTCTACGACGGCTTCAAACTCAGTGAAGATCATAGCAGTCACTAGTATCTCTATGGTATGCCTCTGAAGACTATATTTGGGCCCTAACCGCAGTCTATCAGCGGAGCCTGAAGAACTACAGATTCCTTCTAGTCTTCCGGACGAACGATGATCGTCACGGATTTCGTTCTCTGTACACTACCCCGAGCAACACCCTCTCCTGAAGAGCTTGCTCACTTTCGTAGAAGGTCGATGCAGATGGCCCATGTTGATCTTTAGAGCGCGTATGAACACTCTTCCCGGAAGAGGGAAGGATGATCCTCGGACTCACAAACAACGTACTTGATGTCTCATTGAATTGCGTGGCATTCTCGAAAATATGTTCGTCCCTTGTATAATCTTCCGCAAACTCTTCAGGTCTGAAAAAGTGACTACGACTTATCAGATACGTCCTGTAACAGCTGGCCAGAAAAAGCATAGATCTCTGTAGGGGATGGCGGCGCTTGTGTCCTGGGACTGCAGGCAGTGAACTCCTCACAAAATAGGCGATATTTCGGAAATCGGGATGGGAACTCCAGTCAAATGTCTGGCTGGCGATCGATAAGAAGTAAGTCGACTTCTTGAATTTGTTCTTTCTCCGTAGTCAACACGCCATGTTCACAGTAAGAAGTACCATGTTGCCACGAAGGGCCTGTCAGCACATGCGACCGAGCTGCAGAATCCCGAGTCCTGAGAGAAATTTGGATTCCTGCAGCGAGTACGCAACTCTGCTGCAGCGGCCCACCATCCTGACGGGTTGCATATCGTCACGTAGTTCGACAGCATCAGCGTCACTAATTAGCATGGGTATCATCTCTGCTTTGCCACAGAAGTACTTGAATCTCGCTCGACATCGTACAGCGTGCACTTCAAAATCCCCAAATCCTAGTGTCATTGGTAAAGGACGTCACAAGACGAGTACTTCTGGCGTTAGACTTCCTACGCAGTAGATGCTAGATCGTGCACTCAGGTGGCTATCGGGACTTCTGGCAACCGATTTCCTAACCCGAGCTTGGTTATCGCCATATCAGACAACAGCCAAATTGCCATCGATACTACCAAGATGACAGTAGGCTGGGACTGTATAGGCCAAGAATCGTTCTCAAGCGGAAATCGTTCCGGTACGCCACCGATCAACTGCTTTGCCTATCGTGGCCTGACAGTTTCGTAGTCGTCTCTTTCACCAGTCTCTATTTGGAACGTATCCGATTTCATGCTCTCCGTGCCGTTGAGGTGAGTAATCTTTGGCCGCCATGTGAGTAAGGTGCTAGAACCTAGGTTATGCGGTACGCCAGTAAGGTCACTTGAAGCAGCTCATTTGCAACTGGAACGAAATATTTATTCTCTCTGATGGATGGCTTTTTTCCGCGCGGGATCTGCAGTTGTAGTCCTTCGGGTCGACGCTGCGTTTTTCCCCTTCCAACAGAGTAACTGCTAGTGAGACGAATAGTTATGCGCCTAGATTTTCCATATGGATTCGAGTTTACAGATGCCGCCGGTCATGTATCTGGACGTTTCCGCGTAACTCTGAGACCACAGCTGGATACATACCCCTTGTCAACATTCTTCATGTTTGAACGAGATGTGCGGACTGCGCAATTGGACAATGTTGGTACGGACTGCTCTACGGATGGTCCCAGCGACACTGATCTCGGAGTTGAGTGCATCCCTGCTACGCCTGTAAACCTTGTTTTTACACAAGGACTTGATGATACATTCGAATACTCTAAAAACGAGATAGCATACACCATTTTTCTCAACCAATTGGTATATCCCGAACCAGAGGCACTCAAACCATGCGCTCCAGGTGTATAGACTTTTTCGCGCTCTGCTTGTAGTTGTGTCCAAAGACATGCATGCCCTCCCTCTTTGCCTTTCTCACGATACGCTCTATGGCTGCCAGACCTTGAATGGAGCATGTGAGCACAGAGCGAGCAAATCAGTAGAGATGGTGAATACGCACCCATGTCAAGGTCCTTGAGCGGCGGACCGAAAGACAATCGCACGAAGTGGTGGCAAGACGAGTTGAACAGGTTGCGGCGGTGAGCAGGGTTGATGTCAAAGAAGATGCCAGGAATGACGATCGTCTTCTCCTTCAGCAGCTCTTCGAAGAACGTCTGTGGGAGTCATTAGACTGTAGTCGAGGACAGGCGGACAGTGGATGCTCACCAAACCGTTGTTCAAGGGTGCCGGGAGGTCCTCCAGGTCGAGCCAGATGTAGAACGTCGCCTTGGGCGGGCATTTCACTTTGAGACCAAGCTGCTCCAGCCTCTTCAGGACGTGGTCACGCTTCATCTTGAAGTGCCTTTGCAGCGCAAGCTTCTCCTGTTCGACGCGGCTGGGTTCCAGTAAGGGAATAGCTGCCAGCTGCAGACTAGGCGGTCAAGATTCAGTATCTACACCGGACAAGCAGGATATAATGAAGGCTTACGGATGGTTAGCTCCACCGTCCAGGAAAGAACCTGCCTGGGACAAGGCTGTAATAAGGTTCTTGGGCCCGAGGACCCAGCAAACACGCCAACCCGGCAGACGCCAGTTCTAGCCAGCTATCAGCTATGCAACCTACAGAGGCTGCATAGCCCTATATGTACCTTGGTCAATCCATCGACGATAACAACCGGGTCCTGGTTGACATCGTCAATGTAAGCCGCAGATGAAACTGACTTCCCATAGTCCTCGTCTTTCTCGGGATAGATGTACCACGAGTAGAACTGCAATATAGATGGGCACCTTACCAAGTGCAATAGGACAAGATCCCACTCACCTCGTCAAGAATAAGTGTAGTGCCTGCCTCCCGGGATAGATCGACGAGCGCCTTCAAGTCATCGTCTCGGATAACCTGCCCTGTGGGGTTCCGCGGGTTAGATGCAATGATCACTTCAAGACCTTGAGTTTTGATGTCTTTCTGCATCCAGTGCGTCGGTACCAAGGTCAGAATGATACAAAAATTGACGTACTCGAGTTTGCGCGAGGTCCAGACGGTAATCGTTCTGTACCAGAGTTAGTGCCCAACACAACGTTGCAAGAGAGACGGCCGCACATCAGCTTCAAGCCTGTTGGTGATACGTGAGCGCTGCTTGTTCTAAATTGAAATGGACGTACGCTGTGGGAACCGGAACCAGGCGCCTGAACGCACTCAAGACTTGATCATATGCTGTGTAGTCCGGGACCTGGTATGACTGAAACAGGACATGCGTAAACTACGCGCGTACATGTGCCAGAGGTGATTACGGACACAATACACATTGCCAATCACAGCAGCAACGCGAGACAGGCCGGAACGACCGCCCGGAACTATGCAAACATTTTCGTATGTGTACTGGCTGAGCTTACCCCGGCGATACGTCTGATTGTACAAGTTTGAAACGGCCTCGCGTAGTGCTATGCCGGAGTGCATAAGCACTATAATGTAGGCCGTTCAGAGGTGCGGGACTACCTTTCACACCAGTAGTGGGTGCATATTCGAGCGAATCCTCCGGAATCGGGATGCTCTGTGGTTTTGGCGGAGCATCTGGTATAGGGCCCACCTCCGGAGCACCCTGCCCAAGGTTGGCCCATTTATGTGAGGATGCGTATGAGAAGCCATTGGCCATGGCACGATCTGAGCAGTAGATCACACCAGTGCTGCCTGGGTGCCGAATACCCGGGACTGTTTCTTCGTCCTGTATCGCAATGTTGGTTATGTGCGCTAAACGGTAGACAACGCACAACGCAACGTACTGGGTTTATTGTCTGGGGTAATATACCCTTAGGCTTGTGTCCTGCAGAGTCACGGAAGATCTGGTAGCAGAGACATAAGTACATCACTGTTGAGACTTGAGACCTTGAATGTACTTACTCTGTGTGCTTCCGACTCTTTCTCGTGCTTGTAGTGCTTCATGACGTCGTGAACCTGAGAAAGCGTTCAGGTGGGTTTACATGCAGTAACTGCTAACCTACGACGCCTCTGAAGGAAAGGGGGGTGGACCTGCCAGACGGCGTGTGGGACATGGTTGCTGGATTGAAGTGTCAGAGCATCACTGCAGCTATAAATAGTGACAACAATCAGTGCGTCCTGCAGGCATCGGCAGGCGGCAATTGCGGCAGTGCATGGGGCATCGCCTGCACTTCCGACCATGACGAAATGGAGATGGCGTAACCTGAAATTTGCGCCGTGCAGGCCGGCCGAATATGTCTCCTTCTTGAAGTTCGGGCCCGGGTCCGACTAATAGACTGCTGCGGCAGGACGATGATAGATTTTGTAGGTATGTAGCAGAACGGCTCCGTCTCGTGCATTTACGACAACCAACATGGCGGGTTAATTACACGTCACAGCAACTTTCGCCAGGAATTGTTTCTCGATTTTTGAGATTTTCTGAGACAGTCTGAAAAAGGCAAATGTTCTGGGCCAGGTTGGTCGTAAACGCTGCATCATGATCTTATACTGGCGTGCGTATCGATCCTCTAACCCATAACTATGTCATTTCAAGATGACAGGGTGATCTTCTGTACAGTCACGAGTGCACTTGCAGCGACTATGTGTCCGGAAGGTCTATACTGCCCTTTCAGAGCGGCGGGCGAGCTTTGCTGGGTCATTCCTAGCTAGATTTTGATCGACGATCAATAAAGGTGCTTAAGCCTCGTGCAAGATTTCGCTACGTCAGGTCAAGCGTCCAGACCGCCCGGCACAACGCACGAACCACTGACTCGGACTCACTACTAGTGGGGATACGGTCAGTTTCCAATCCATTCTGCAATAAGCCATATGTTTGCTCATCGTGAATTGATTCGTTGACCGAGGGTCAAGGGTATGTCATCTACGTGGTCGGACGACCGCGATTCACGGACACACACTGGCACACACTATATATAGGAGGTGTACGTCTGCAATTGCTCCAGCAGCATAAGCGTCAGCACATAGAAGGTCGCATACAAGGAACGAAAAATTACTCCGTGCGAGCACCGAACTCGCATACTGCCCGGTGAGACTCACGTCGTCAGTCATCGTTATTGTCGTTCCTTGTGAATTGTATTATTCACCGTAGACGAATATCTTGCCCTCCTTTCCTTCAAGAGAACTGACTAGTCTAACATCTCTTGTTCGTCGGAGTACTGCGAAGTGACGTTGCGGATTTCGTCATCTCAGTGGAATCGCAGTCTTGCACCGACTTGTCTGTGAGTCTCACCTTCCTTGAAGAGACGACACATTGATCTTGGCGGAGGAGTTCAGCGAGGGTATTGCTTGATGTACTGTATAGGATTCTTTCAAGTGGTGAACGACCGGACACCGTTGACATGGTACTGGCTAACCCACGGCGGCCTTACAAGCCTGGAGTGCTACCGTGTTCGCTGTTATAATGAGTAGCCAGGAAAGAGTTTGACACCAGCTCCCGAGGGTGCGGCCAAGGGATGTTTGGTTTGAAAAGCCAGACGGACACGAGTGCAGATATCAGTTTGTGGTTATGCCGAAAACGAGAGTAGGTAAGTGGCATAGTAAAATTTACATTGCGACCCGACAAATTCCTGTGATGTTTTCTTTTCTGCCACATCACAATGGCTGCGCTCCATTGTGGGCATTCGTTGCAGGCCCCGTGGCGTTTGGATCGCCCTCGGAAATGAATGTCACGTTCACATCGACAAAGGAGCATCCCTTTTCTGCCCAATGGCAATGCTCAACGAACACGATGCGAACTTCCGTAGATCCGTGGGCCCTATTGTGCCTTCGCAGGCTCAAACTTTGTCCAAGTGATCGGGGCACAATGTGAGCACGTTGCGTGAGGGGATCCGGACGCAGATATAAAGGACCAGCATTGCACGGGCAACCACCAATCCCCGCCCACCCAGATACTCTCGCAGTACTACTTCCCTTCTGTACTCCTCCTTACTCCACTACACTCGCTGCTCATTCGATATGTCCTCAAACAAGGAGAACGATTACATACTCCCTGGATTCGGCCTTGGCCAGTATGGTCAAGATGTTGGCGACGGCAGAGTAAGCTTCCTAGCCGTTTATTTATTCAATGTGGCTAACATCATTTACATTCGCAGTACCACTGCACGTTGTGCCCGAAGACTTTCAATGGCGACTTGAAGACAAAATACCGCCATGTAATGTCGGATGAGCACCTCAAAAGGTTGCCGCCAATCTACTGCCAACAGTTGCTGTTGCTCAAGGACAGCGATATGGCTCTGGTGTGCCCTAAATGCCAGAAGAAGTGAGTAGAGGTGATTTTCTTTGAGGACACGTTCTGACGGCGAGCAGGTTCAGTCGCGGTGACTCCATGAAGAAGCACGCCGATACGTGTGGGGTCCCAAAGAAAAGGAAAGAACCGCGGGCTTCACGGCCGCGTAGGAGGCCTGCGCAGGTCGTCCAAACCCCGGCGGTGGTGGAAGAGGTCCCTCCACCAGATCCCGACTTCCCCGAACTCAAGGGCAACCCGCGGTTCACGGAGGCGGTGCGGGTGGCGGCACAGCCGTTCAACTTTGACAATCTCATGGGGGATCCTCTACTCCTGGAGTTTGTGCGATTCGTGGTGTATCTGAATTGCTACATCATTCCGACACACTATCCGCACCTAGTAGGCGTCTACTAAGCCGCTACTGCGGCCTGCTCCCTTCTCACCGCTATCGTTATTGTTATTTATGGCCTCTTCGTTGTAGTCATTCTTCTGGATACATACCAACTACCTACTTAATCTCTGTTTTGCCGTGGTACTTCAAATGTAAAGTTAATTGAAGTGCGATCAACTTGTGTGGCCTCGCAACTTGAACACGTGGGCGGCCCGGATCGCTGGCGTGCTCGCTCTTCTCCACTCGAATACTCAGTACTCAATTCCTGCTTGCGACATGACACAAACTTTGACACAAGTAATCCTCAGGACCTTTCTCTCTGTATTTAACGTATGAGTTGCCTCTTTCGAATCACGGAGACAGATCCGAAGGACTGGAAATATGTGTCTGAAGGCGGTTCAACTGTGGTCTTTTCGTACGCCGGCCCTGCCAATCCTCAATTCGACAGGACGGTCCTACGATTACAGAAAGTTGGCATATCTGATTCCATAGCTCGAAGTTCAGAATCTCCGGCGGAGGATCTCGTCGACCCTGGCATTATCTTCCACCACACTGTAATCTCTAAGCTGGTTCCAGCACAGTACCTCCCGCATCTAGAGCCAGTGCTTGTTGGGCGGGGTTGGTTGCTGCATCTGGCTCAGCTATGTCAAGCCCAGAGGCCTCAGGATAGGCGCGTAAAGGATTGCGTTGACGTGCGATGCAGGAAGGCCGTCCTTGCCACAGACTTCGTGGGCGGGCCAGGTTGGGCCGTTGAAATCAAGGTATGTCTGATGCTTGGCTGTGTGGTCGGTGGGTAGGCTAATGATTGATTTTCCAGCCAAAGTGGGGTTTTCTTCCGTCTCCGACCTATCTCTCGCCGTCGACGCGTTCGATCAAGACGCGTACATGCCGTTTCTGCATGCATGCTCATCTGAAATACACGCGGGGTGACATCGTCGCGTGCGGTTATTGTCCCCTTGATCTCTATTCCGGAGAGCAGACACGCGTCAGACGCGCTCTCCATGCCTTGTGGAATGCATGGATCGGTAGCAGCGGTCGCATTAACAATTTGCGAGTATTCGTAGGAGGAAAATTACTGGAACCTACGTTTGAGGCGTGTAGACATCTTCTGGGCATTGAAGTACTTAGCTGACTGCGCCGTTTTGCTAGCCCTCATCTCTCAGAGAGCTGGCGCTCGAATTCGGTTCCGTGTCCTTGTCGGATAACTTTGTGGCCATTAATCAACTTCGTGATCAATTCACAGCTATTCTTCTCCCAATCATTCTTGAGACCCCTGTCCTCCACACGTTGTCCACATTGCAGCGGACGCTCGATGAGCTAGACATTGAAGGGCTTGCCGCGCTCTGGACGCGCGCTCGTGCCAATGGGGTGGACAGCCCTCCCCCTGCGCTCGGCGATGGCATCTCCCAACCTACCATAGACGAATGGACGCGTTTCATCAGCGATTACACGAGCAAGATACATACTCCAGGGCAATTCGGGAAGGAACCACAAGTGCACGAATTGCGATACTACTGTCTCGCCTATCTCCTGTCGACTACATTCAAAGACTGTTCTATTATCCTTCGCATGCGGCCTCTCAAAGAGGGCGTGCACCACAGCTGTGACAACTTCGACAGCTCAGTCACGGTCATCGATCTGGATGTCAAGAGCATCTCTCGAATGCAGAAATGGGCGAAGCAGGATCGTGAGATTGTGGAGACATACGCCAAGACGGAACGGCATGAATGTCAAGACCGATACAGATGGTAACAGTAAGAGAGTTCTACTCGAATTAAGTTGAATTTTCTTCATTCGTTGCAATACTCTCCAGAACCCCTTGCACCAGAGGCAAGTATGTGCACTGGCGGTGTTGGACGGCTCGATAGACGGCAACCCTTACCGACCAGAGTGTTGACATGATTGTGCACTGTACTGGCTACTACAGTATTTGCACGCATCATCTACTTTCGATTAGGCATCATCGCAGATGAGCTTCGATGCGCCCGCGCGCAATCGCAGCATTGATGTGCCCCTGGCAAATGCAATTATCACACATTTCAAACGAAGTGAGTCTCCCAAATTCTGCAACTGCATCAACTCACATAATTAGACAAACATGCATTAGAACGTAAAGAGTACGCTGAAGCCAATCAAGAATATGCACAGATACGTCGCTGTTTACTGCGCTGTCTACGGCGGTGGTGGACGATGGTGTAGTGACGTATTGACTGGGCGACGTGTCCTCGGTGGGCGTTGGCTTCGACAAAATGCGGTGGGGGCACATCCTGTCGCAGATTAGCTCGGAGGGGCAGCGGTGCATATAGCGCATGTCGGTCTGGTGTACATACTTCATCGATAATGAACTAGCTTGAACGCACACGCGTACACACTGAATCGGTACTTGTAACCTTGAGAGGAGATGACCACTTTGATGTATTGGACTCACCATTTGACCAAACATCCCACAAGGACGGCCCATAGCAAAGGAGGTTCTCTTGAACCGCCTCGCGAGTCGCACTGGCAGCAGCAGGACGATGTGAAGTCAGACTTTTTTGTAAGACGAGTACGCACCTCATCTAGGACGTTCGCAGTGACGTAACCAGCAATTCCGTCGCTGTGGGACCTAGAAGCTCAAGGTGCTCTGTAGAAAAAGACCAGTGACCCGAAAAAAGAGACGAACGAAAGCCGACAGAACAGAGAAAAAATTGCGAGACCAGAGGAAACGCAGAATAAACGCAGAATAAAGACCGAGACGCTTGTAGAACCCAGGAAAATTGGACTGAAACGGGTGTCAAGGAAGAGACGACCGAGAGACGAGACATGAGAAGAAGGAAACCGAGACGTCAAAATTCCGGACATGTCACAATAACAGAGAACCCAAGACAAGTTCCAAACCTGCGCGAAAAGAAGAGGAAGCTGAACTATTCCAGGATCACAAAAGGCACATGACCGCAGCATCGACGTACGATGCAGAAGCGAGTCCATGAAAATTGAAGAAAAGGCGGACGGAAAACTGCGTGCACTCAGCTTCCATAGCGATCTCGCTCCGGGGTTCAGAAGCGAGAGTGTATAATTGGTATTGAGACTGCGCCTCAAGCATCCGGCTCGCTTCCAAAGATTTCCACCCACAGCGCTTTGAGGCTGTTTGAGGGTGGAATTTCTGCAGCTGTGCCAGTGTTCGAGGCTTCGGAACAGTCAGTTTGAGCCTCTGCCGGCAGCATCCAACCGTCAGGGTGGAGGTAGTCGACATCGAGGGCAATTACGGGCATAGGAAATTTGGCCATGCATTCCTGGAGCGCCGCTTCCATGAAGCCCGGAAGAGGCCCCTGAGGAATAGTGGCAGATTCGCTCGGAATTGAAGCTTCGGAGGAAGTGAAGGAAGGGGCAGTGGGGAAGAAGTCACGATCCATCGGCAGTTCCTGGTCAGGCTGGAAGATTGGCCCAAGGAAGCCGTCAGGGTTGCTCTCAGCATGAGGCTGTGCGATGAGGGACACCCCAGCATTGAGCATGCCGGCGTTAGGTTGAGCGCAAGCGTAGGACCATGGCGGTACAGCCAGCAAGTCCATACCGGAGGTTGTGCCATTGGAGGACAGCGCGCTCAAGTTCGAGGGTATCGGGAGGAAAAGTGCGTCTTGATCACCGTCGTCTACGCCAATGGCAGCCAGCTCACGCTCCAGCTCTTCAGCGAGAGCCCGCTCCGCCTCGAGTTCGTCGAACGCCGTGGGGGAGGCGCCCTGAACCGAACTCGAGGAGGAGAGGAACTCCCGCGAAGCATCCGGAACTTGCAAAGAGCTTACTGCCTGAGTCTCTGAGACGACAACGGCATTTTGTCCAGCATTGGCACTGGAGGGAGCGAAGGTCAGGCATCTGAGTAGAAGAGGAGATCTATCAGCATTTATTTTCGACAACACGTTTGAATGAGAAGTTCGGATGTCGTTATGGTAGGAGCGATATGCTGACCGGCCATCAGACGCTGCTCCTTACGCACGGACAACAGGCGCAGAATACAGAAGGACTGTATTTTCATCGCAACGTGGTTAAAAGGACTCACTCGACTGGGCCGTTCGACCCGTTCGATACGCTCCGCTCCGCCTCCAACAGCACGAAAGACGGCGAGGATCCCCACGCCGACGAAGGCTTCATGGTCCACGTCGACCGCGGTCTCGACGAACCCTGCTGCGACCTGGAAGAGCTGTTGTGCCTCGACCTAGACGAGCTGTTCGAAGAACTATGTCTCGAGTACCCAGGGCGCGACCACTGTGTCCTGCCCGCGCCGGCCTGCCCCAAAGCGGGTCCAGAGGAAGACCGAGAGAAACCAGCTTCGAAGGGGTTCACATCGAAGTACGCAGGAGCAGGCGGCTGGGGGAGAGCAGCACCATGAACCTCTAGCGACGGTGCAGCAGCTTGAGGGAACGAGTACGGAGAGACCTGAGACAGGTTGTACGCGTCGTGTACTAAGGGTAATGCAGCCTGGGCACTCATAATCTCGCTCATCGACGGCATAGGCTCTCCGGCGTAGCCATAGACGGCATCGGGGACACTGTAGGCATAAGCCTCCGCACCCCGAAGCTTGGTCTTCTTGGCCTTGATCCTGTTGTTCTTGTGATCGAGTACGTACACACACACCGCTCCGCTCTTGAGGCAACGCTTGCAAGTGGGGCGAGTGCCGGTGCACTACAAATATGGACGAGAGTTAGTGACGTCGGATCGGCCACACCGCTGGACGTACCTTGGTCTTGCGCTCGCGGCATCTCTCACAAGCTTGGGGCGTACGCAAGCGTTCGGGGACTAGGGACCGTATCCAGCCAATGCGCTTGCCAGATGGCGTCGCCTGTGGCGGGAGAGCGCCAGTCGCGATTGATCCCGGGAATTGGAACTGCTCGGGGTACGTGGGCGGCATGGATGCTTCGAGGAATTCAGGCTGGGAAATGCCCACGTTGGGGTATCCAGTCCTGATGACCGAGTTATCGTATTGGATGTGGTTCTCAAAGCCGCTCAATCCGAGTCCCTTAGGAACCCGCGAAGTGAGAGCACCGAGAGTGGGAGACTTCTGGGCGATGAACTGCTGCAGACGCGAAAGACGCGACTCCGAGGGAACCCGCGACCTGGCCAGCACGTCGCGGGGGAGAGTAGGTTGGGCATGGAAAGGAATCTGAGTAGCCAGCATTGTTACAAATAATAGAAGAGTGAAATGATGATAATGATAACGGCGTTAAGGGAAAAGGTAGGGGAGGCTGGCAACCGACAACTGGGGCTTTTATAGGCGTTACAACAATCTCAACCGTGGTCGAGGTCAGAATCGATACTTTGCGATGCTCCACAGACCGGTCTAACATGAAATATCCGAGGAAAGGTATCTTGTCCTGGCAGTCAAGTACAACAAGAAAATCTCTGCAGCTTACCTCGGCATGCTTGATTCTTCCTCTGAAGTATATAGACGCAGCATGCAGTAGCATAGCCCATCAATAGTTTCATCCAATAGATCCAGTATCAGTACAAGAACCTAGATGTTACAACGATGCACGCATAAACAGCAGTCGGTGGAGAAGCTTTGAGTGCTCCCATGGTCGCGAGTAAAACAGCCGCATTATGATGTGCGCCGGCGGAACTCCTCGTTAAACTCGCGACCAATGAGCATGCGCCTAATTTCCTGGGTCCCTGCTCCAACCGTGTAGAGTCTGGCGTCACGCAGGAAGCGTCCTGTGGGGTAATCTGCCAGTTTCTACGTCAGTGAATGAACAGAGCGACATCGTTGGCAGACGAAGCACCGTTAATATAGCCATTTCCACCTAGACATTGCATGGCATCCATTGTAACTTCAACCGCTCGGTCCGAAGAGTATAGGATCGCGCCGGCACAATCCTGGCCAGTCATGAACAGAATGCCGCGGAAACGACGACATTGTATACGCACCCGCCGACTGACCCTTCCCTCGTCGGCTGCCTTCGCAACAGCATAAACGTACGCTCGCGTCGCGTTCAACTTGGTATACATGTCTGCGATCTTGCCTGGTTCCTTCAGTCAGAACATATCCACAACGCAAAGGAAGTGAGAAAAAACCTTGCATGAGCTGGAACGTCCCGATAGGCTGACCGAATTGTTTGCGATCATGCACGTACTCAATTGCGTAGTCGAACGCAGCCTGCATGAGACTGGCGCGCATCATGGCCGTTAGCAGACTACGAATTACAAGTAATAGATCCTCACCCCAACGGTCCACCGCAGAGCACAAGGCGCTCCAGGTCGAGACCAGACATAAGCACCTGGGCTCCACCGTCTATCTTCCCCAGAACATTTTCTACAGGAGTGTCGGAAAAGGGACGCACAGGGACAGGGGACGCGTACTCACCCTCAGGCACGAAACAATCCTCAAACACGAGCTCGCACGTGTCGCTGCCGCGCATCCCCACCTTGTCTAGTTTCTGGTGCGTGGAGAACCCAGGCATACCGCGCTCGACGATGAACGTCGTGATGCCGCGCGACCCTTTCTCTGGTGAGGTCTTGCCATATACCACGAGCGTGGAGGCAACCGGGCCATTTGTGATCCTAGAACGCGTCAATCTACCAGCGAAGAACGTTGCAAAAGGGGCGAGCCTACCAGAACTTGTTCCCGTTCAGTTTGTAGCCCCCGTCCACCTTGTCGGCACGCAACCTCATGCTGATCACGTCGCTGCCACTGCCCGGTTCGCTCATCGCGAGACTCCCGACCTTTTTGCCTGAAACAAGATCTGGGAGATACTTCGCCTTTTGGGCTGCCGTTCCCCACCGATGAATCTGCCATTTCCTCAGATAAAAAAGACTACTGGGCCTGAATACGCGTACCTGATTCACGCACAAGTTTGAATGTGCGCCGTACGAGAGTGCGACGGAGCCAGACGCGCGCGAGAGCTCCTCCATCGCTAAAGTGTGGTTGAAATAGCCGAGGGCAAGTCCACCATAGTCCGGAGACACGGTGACCCCAAGGAGGCCCATGGAGCCCAACTTCTCCCAGATTTCCTGCAAGACAAATACGTCTCAGCACAACTTCATCCCTCTACAGTATATTTGCATTTGTGCGCTAACTGCTTGGAAATTGGGCGTCTATTATGTAGCAGGAGACAATTCACCATAGGGAACACATTGTTTCGGTCTATCTCTCCAGCGATCGGAGCAATCTCTCGTTGGGCAAACTCAGTGACCGCGTTTCTGAACTGTGTCAATGGGTCAAGTCACAGTCAGTCCAGGTTCGTGCATCACACCGTACCTCAGCCTGTTCTTCCGTCAGACCCGCCACATCACTGTTGTAAAACGACGCATTTCGACGCTGTATCCTGCCTTGTGTGGGCAATGAGCGTAGAAGGCGGGTAGACGGATGAGCGAGTGAACGGAAGGACAACATGAATCCGGGGCCGATCACGAGCCTGTGCGGGGAAGGTATTTAAAAGTATCTAAATTACGTAACGAATCTAACGTTGTAAGGTAAGCGGGCGAATATGAAAAAAAACCAACCTGTTCAGTCAGACTATTGGTATCTTCAAAACTCATGATCGGGGAGAAATCGACCTGAGACCAACGACTTCGGAAAATAAACTGCATGCAAGATGCGTCGCGGTGAACATGGTCTCTAACCCACATTCGGTTATACACCTTCCCTATATAGTGTAGGTGTTCGTACCCCTACAATCGACGCCCCGATGGTACTGAGAACTGCTATAAGTCGTCTCAGGAATTTGTAGCTATGGACGGTATATACATCCCGATCGAGGCGTGGGCTATATGCATACTAGCTAAGAATACCGGCTCAACGTTATCATGACCACACTGTACATAACGATACACCAAGAAGTTGACCGTCCTTCGGTAGATACTAAGGTGACTACTCACTCGATTGGCCATGACACCGTAGATTGAGTACTCGAGGCCTAGAATAGAAGAGAGGGACCTGATGCGTCGCCTTCGGCATCAGGCTCCTTTCGCGCCTTCTTCGCCCACCGCAAACCACACGCGTTGCAGAGCGTCTTGGGTCCAAGAGGACCCTGAGTAAGAATATAATGAGATGAACAGAGGATAATACGGTAACGAATATCCTGACCTTGCGCCATTCAGGCGAGTCCGTGCGCCCACATGTTACGCATACATACTGTTCCGCGGCATGCATTCTCTTGACCTGAGAAAAGGTTCAGATTCAATTGAGTTGCGCCATAGATAAGGGCAAACCTTCTTTCGCTGTGCCTCGGTCGTCTCATCATCCACACTGCCAGAACCGGAGGCAGAAGAAGGAGCGGCATATCCACTCGTGTCGAAACTGCCTCTAGTGTTGAAGCTAACTCTGCTCGCCATAGGACTGGGTAACACCTCGTCGTACGAACCACCAGATGGAATGCCATAGTACGAGTCTTGAGGCAGAGCATTCGGGGGAGGAGCCGAAGACGTAGATGCAGCGGGACTTGCCTGTGGATCGAGAACCTGCTGTTGTGCACGCAATTGGAGGAGGCGCTGCTGCAGGCGCTCGTTCTCCACCTTGAGTTCGAGGAACGTGTTGAGCATGGCTGTGTTACGACTGGGGTATGGCTTGGCCGTAGCGAAAAAGCATTGGAATTTATCGGTTTGGGGACTGACGTGGGGCTGTCCGGTTATCTCGAAGAGGACTTCGCGAGGGCGCGAGGAGTAGTCGTGGGCGACGCAGAACTCGTTCTTGCACTGCAGACGCGCGTATGCAAGAAGGGGACGTCGGGTGTGTAGGCAATCAGCGAACATTGTGCGGAAGCTCGCGCGATCATCAACTGCCAGCACGATCGGTCAGGTAGGACGCTCAGGAGACAGGAGGAGGACAAACCGTTCATGAGGTTGACAAGATCGCCATCAACGAGCTCCTCGTCCCTCCATCCCAACAATTCTGTCACTGCAGCCCCGCAGTACCACACCTTCCCTGTCGCATTAAGCACGAGGATAATCGCGTCGCTGAGTTCGGTAATGAGCAGGTCTGCCCACCGCTTCCGCTTGGTGAACTCAAACGTCTGCGGCTCCTTCTGTTTCGGCGCCGAGTTCGACGGGCCCGCCTGGGGGATTGCCTGCGCAAGAGACATGGAGGAAGAGAGCGGAAGAGAGCGAATGCATGAGGATGCGCCAAAAGTGTACAACTAGGTTCTGTCAAAGAGGCCTGTCCGCAAATGGCAGTTCCTGACATACCTATGTTGTCTTCCGAATTTGGCGAATTTGACCACCATCAGATCTATCTGTGAATGCCGCTGATCTTTCGTAGACAGGTATTTAGGTAAGTAGTATACCAGGCTGACCAGCACCAGCACTGGTCTCAACTCCGGTTATTCGGCGGAAGACGACGCTGAAAGATTATCATATTAGTTACCTATATTGTGACCGTGCTCCCCACCTCAATAAGGTCACTATTGGTTTGCCTTCGGGAGACTAATTGGTTACTAGTCTCTACGCAGGACAACGGTTCACATTGAAGGACGGTCCAGGACACAGCGGCCAGGCTCACTCTCAAGATCAACCGATGTTATCCTGTATATCCACTGGCACACCCAGTTTTATTTCCAGCGATATACCTCACGGTGCCCATATTAACACATCGCACCACCCCTGGCGCCGCAAGCAAATGACTACGGAGAAGGGAGGAACCTTGTGAGGTGAGGGTTTTACTTACTCTGCCCTACAATTCTAGCACAGCTGCTTTGGTTACAATAACTGCTCGCTCATTTTCACCCTTAAGAGTCCCTCTTCATTTCAGCTCGCAGATCACTCACATGGGAAAAGCAACTGCGCCGGAGAATTGTACGCAGGAAACACACTCCCCGATGGTGATCCGGGTGCTTGTCTAACCTTTGCATGACGCTGTTGATTCTCTCCTTCTAAGCACATCTTATGCACGGGCCCGGCGATCTAGGAAGAGGCATGCACAGATCACGTCTCTTCCGCTGGCTGATCTCTTCTCGCCCAGGTGTTCTTGCCTACCCCACCGCAGCAGTCATGCACCATGCTCCACGTTTCGCAATTTCCCACCGATATTCTCTTCTCATGTTTTTGACACTTCCACTCCACGCTTTGATTCCTCCTCATGAAGCGGTGCGAACAGGCAGTGCTTTTTCATAGACTTGCTCGTGAAGTCAACGAATTAGTAAGTAGGTAAGTAGTATACCGGCATTGGTCTCAACTCGGGTTGTCCGACGGAAGACGACACTGACAGATTATCATATTAGTTACTAGTTTCTACGCAGGACGGTTCGTATTGAAGGACGGACACAGCGGCCAGGCTCACTCTGAAGATCAACCGATGTTATCCTGTATATCCACTGGCAGACCCAGTTTTATTTCCAGCGATATACCTCACGGTGCCCATATTAACACATTGCACCACCCCTGGCGTCGCGAGCAGATCACTACGGAGAAGGGAGGAACTTTGTGAGGTGAGTGTTTTGTTTACTCTGCCTTAGCAATTCGAGCACGGCTGCTCTGCCAGGTTGCAAAAAACTATTCATTCAATTTCACCCTTAAGAGCCCGCAAAATTTCTCTTCATTCAGTTCGCAGATCGCTCACATGGGAAAAGTAACTGCGACGGAGAATTGTGCGCATAAAACACACACCCCGAGGGTGATCCGGATGCTTGTCTAACCTTTGCATGACGCGGTTGATTCTCTCCTTCTAAGCAGCTCTTATGCACAGGCCCGGCGATCTAGGAAGAGGCATGCACAGATCACGTCTCTTCTGCTGGCTGATCTCTTCTCGGGTGTTCTTGCCTACTCCACCGCAGCAGTCATGCGCCACACTCCGCGGTTCGCGATCTCCCACAGTTATTCTCTTTTGATGTTTCTGAAACTTTGACACTTGCGCTCCACGTTTCGCTTCCCCCTCACAGAGCCGTGCGAACCGTCATTGTTTTTTCATAGATTCGCTCAAGATTCGCTCGTGAAATTGGGAGTCTCGCACTATCCTCGGACCGACCCCCGCGTCACCAGTTCCCCTGCTCGCTGCCCCCCGCTGCGAAGCTGATTGACTCAAGAAGCAAGCATCCGCTTTTTCTTGCGGGGTAGGCTTCCTTCGTGGAAGAACTTCTTCTAATCGCGTGTCCACCGTTGCCGGCAGACTCTCGTAACTCTCACGAAGGCGGAGATTCTGCACGTATTCGTGCGACACACCGACACAGACGCGCGGAAAATTTCACCATACGAAATAAAGCAGCTGCCATGCCGTCCCCAATTACATCAGGGAGATTCCTCGCGCACAGCTCCAAGTGCTCGTGTCCCGGACCCGAGCTCGTCGGCCCACCGAAATTAGCGTCCGCTCGATCCGTGCACTCATGCTGAGAATGGTGACACACAAGATAATCATTAAGCTGGCCTGCTATAAACAATGCGCCCAAGTAAACAGTACACGCAAGACCGGTAATAATAGCAGTGGATATGAGATAAACGTCAAGAATGAAGCACGGGAAAAATGTCCAAGGGAACAGATAGGATGTGTATGCTTTATGGTGTAAGGTACCTCTACGTTTTGCGGTGTTCGACGACTGATATCCCAAGAAAGAGGAGAGGACGCGGAAGGACGACGAAATGAGAAGGTTAGGAGTGGATAGTTTAGATGATGCAATAGCCTCCGTCTACGCGGATTTCAGAGCCGGTCATGAATCGCGAAGCGTCGCTCGCAAGGAACACGATGGCGCCCTAGGGGGGGGTCAATACGTGCATGAAACGCAGAAATCGTGCAATACACACCGCAAGGTCTTCTGGTTCACCGATCTAGAGAAACGGACGTGAGCCAAAAGTGCTGGCGAACGTGGTAACCGTAAACTCACCCTGCCCATGGGCGTGAGGCTTTCCCACGTTTTCTGAAATTTCATCGGCAGGGCATCAGAAAACCAGCCACGAAACACGACGCGAACACAAACCTTAAGCTCCTGGTCATGCGCGAGGACGGTTCTCGTCAGTCTGGTCAACATGTATCCCGGACTGGGCGCCAAGGACTCTGGTCAGCGCTACGCTGCCTATGACGTAATGGAACCCACCTCAGGCAGTTCACGCGGACACCCTTCTTGGCCCACTCCACGGCCAGACTGGCCGCCATGTGTTTCACAGCTGCGTAGACGCAGATTCAGGTCATCTGGTGTCACAACGACAGGAACATGGCGCGAAAAAGCGCGATGCGTACCTGCTTTTGCGGCATTATACGGCGTCTGTGGCTGGGGAATGTTGACGATCTAATTCCAGAGATAGCGCGTCAGACATTGTGTCATGTGGGGTAATCAGAGTACTCACGTTGGCTGACATGGACGCGACGAGGACGATGCTTCCTCCGCCCTGGGGGATCATGTTGCGCGCCGCCTCACGCGCGGTAAAGAACGCACCATGGACATTAATATCGTACAGACGCTTTATGCGGTCAAAGGGATAGCTGAATTCACACGGGAACGTCAGAAAAAATCATTCACAGGGACCCGAGTACGTACTCGAACGCAGAATAGTTCTCAACGATACCTGAAGGACGAATGAGCGCGTGAGCACGCTATAAGGCACGTGACGTACCAGCTGATGCAACGACCGAGTCGATGCGGCCGTACGTGTCCATCACCTTCCGAAAAGCTTGCTGCACAGAGAGCTCGGAGGACACGTCGCAGCCGACGCCCATAACGTTGTAGTCGCCGGGTACCATGTCACTGTCAACTTCACACCTTATCAGCAGTCTGCGCAGGCACGAAGGGGCTGGGATCCTGACCGCATGCCGCCTTGACGACTTCATGCGCTGCCTCCCCCGCCTCCTCTTCCTTAAGGTCAAGGATAGCGAGGGACGTGCAACCCGACTCCACGAACGCGCGACAGAATTCGAGGCCCAACCCACGCGCGGCACCCGTGACCATGCATACCTGGGAACGGTAACGCGAACGCTGTGTAAGCTCTGTTCCGCACCACACGCGCGCGCGCGCGAAACGCACCTTGTTTGCCATTGAGAAATCAGGCAGTGATTTGAGGGCCCTCGCTTTCGCTGCCACCGCAGCACTCGGCAGTGCACTGGTGGCGGCATTGGTACTGTTAAATCTTGTCTGAGGGACGCATGCCCGAGTCCGTGCGACAACGACAGCCTGAGTGGATTTGATTGCCTGCGAGAGGAGTCGAGTAGCCATAGGATGAGACAGAGGAGGAAGAGAGTAAAGTTGGAGAGGGAGAAAGATAGGTGTCGAGGACGTGTTTCGGAGGAGAATTTATTGGCGGACGCAGCAGGCGGATGCCTAGACTCAGGAGGGCGGTCCGATCAAGGCAAACTGCGAGCCCATTTGCTCTCTTGACATAATCCTCTGCCGTCCAATCGTATCGACCATCCTCTGGTCAGCGGACGATGGGCAAAATTCGCTGGGCCTCTTGCGTTTCCGCTCACCGCCATCTGTCTGACAGCGTCGGACCCAGTCTGTCTCGGACTATTTTTAGACTCCAGTAAGACCGGCTTGCGTCAAGCGGCAGCACCGCTTTTGGCGTGCGGAGCACCTTATCCAGCGCGGAGAAAGCTCGTCCAATCGAATCGGAGCCCAAAGATCTAAGGAACAGACTAGTAGACCACCACTCATCCAGAACTCGCCAAGACCGCGCACCGGAAGTGCCCGTCTGCAAACCTGGATGCAATCTAGCGGGAACTGGAGAACCGGACGTTGCACAAACGGAGCGAGACCAGTGGAGGCCTGACGCTGTGTACGAACGGGCGGATAGGAGTGAAGGCGAACAGAAGTTCTTTGATCTGGATTTACGAAGCCCCTCTGCATAGAGGAGCATCGGACGGATGAACAATCCGCTGGCGGGAATTTCGCATCTCCTAGTGATCTTACACTTCCCCTCCATAATGTCCTGTGTGTGACCATAGAAAGTACGTCGTCCCCTCGAAATTGGAGACAAGTCACAGTGGAGCGAATATTCCTTCTGGATCTCGGGCCGTCAGCCGGTGTCCTCCCCTTTCAGGAACCTTCCTCCCATTCCGGGCAAGTGTGAATTAACAGAATCTCATTCAGCAGAGTCGACTGGAATCTGTGTCCTATCGTGACAAATTATTTCAGCACATCCAAGAATGCGGCAATATACTTATCATACGGCAGCATACAGTGACTCAAAGGACAGCATGCAAACAAAATGACTCGTAACTGAATAAACAATGGTGACATGGGGCTCGCTGCGAAATTGGAAGGAGAGGAGCGGAATGAGACAGATGAGTCTCTCTGATAGACTCACCACTGCCAACAACAGGCCAGGAGGAGTTAAGGTGAGGCCAGCTATCAAGCAATAACACGGAGCTATAGAGACTCGAAAAAGATGAGAGTTATACCGACCGGCACAGCCCACTGCAGCTCATCCATCCGGCTGTCCATATGTACCTCAACCAGCTTCTTCTGCTGCTGCTTCTCTTCCAACCGATGCTCCAGCAACTACTTCTCCAAAATCGAGCGCCGCACATTGGCGCGTCCATTTCACGACCTCGCTTTTCGCCTTGTGCAGCGCTGGCCAGAAGCTCATCACCTGTGAGCTAATGTTATTCGTTCTCGTGCGAGCTTGGTGGCTTGAATACGAGCCCTGCACACTGCGTGGGCAGGACAATTTGTCGGAGATGGGATCAGCCGGGGGCACAGGGGAAGACTTATTAGCCTTCTTCGCGCCGGTAGAAGAACCCGACTTCATACTGGCACAGAGTGGGAAGACCACGTACGGTTGTTCTCAGAGTATCCGAGTCACGACTCGGGCATTGCGACGCGGTCCATGTGCGCCTGCAGGTCACTCTCACAGTGTGTCAGTTGCTCGTTCAGCGTCGTGATCATCACGTCCTGCTCCTCGAGCTGTTTGGTCTGCTGCTGCAGCTGTGCCGTCAGCTTTGGATCAACCGCAACCGTCGGAGTGCGTAAGCGTGCGATAAACGCCACGGGTGTTGATGGAGACTCAATAGGAGTGTCAGCACTTATAGATTCAGACACCGCAGAGCCGGGGTACATGCAGATTGAGCGATGCCACCGGTGTTGACCAGAATCATTGCTACCTCAGTATCGTGTTTCGCGAATGCCTCTGGAGACATGAAGTGAGACTATGGAGGCAGACAGTCGAGCATTGCATGAAGACAAGCACCGAGGACGAGACCCATCAGAAGAGGCACGCGAAGATGCAGGTAGGGCCGCAAGGTCAATCACGGATCGGCGACTTCAGCTCAAATTTGCTCATGCACGGCTTCGTCATCAAATTCTATGTTGTATCACAATCTGAGCCCAGTATATAGTACGCACACAGAATAAGCTGGCCAGGAACGTTTCAAGGGATCCTCGCAGTACTGAGGGCAAAGTGCTGTATATCTATGGGCGCCTCGTGATGTCAGAGTCGAACAGTCACTGCTATCCCTTGACAGACCATCCTGACTCTCACGAGATGGATTTCTCCACAGCTCGTTCAGTGGGAAGTGCAATCATATTCACGAGGAATGCTCTAATCAGAGTTAGTTTGGGAATGAGAAAGCGCGCATGAGTGATGATTCTTACTGGACGAGCGCTGGCGCCAGACCTCAATAGAACACATTCGGGCCTCCCAGGCTGTAAATTTTCCGGAATGTGGACCGAGTAATGCTGAAAGGTTTATCGCCCTCTGTACTGTGGGTACTCTGTATGTGTGCCTTGATGACATCAAAGGGATATGTCGCCAGCCATGATGTGACACCGGCGATACCTCCAGACAGCATTTGAACATGCAACGAGTGCGACAATGCACGGGAACCCGCCTCAGAGATCAACTCGGCGGAGTGGTTGGACGGCAGTGGTGAAGGCGCGAAATAGCGCAAGATAGCTGCGGCGGTGACAAAGTATACACCAAACGCCGTGTCTCGCAGTGCTGTCGCGGTGATGCCACGGTATGGTCCTCTGATACCGTGATCTTTGAACATCAAATGCGCAACCTCAGAAGCCGTACTCGGCTTTTGAGATATTGTAAATGCTGTCACTAACTTGTTTGATGCAGGCACCACCGTTGACTGCTGATGGGCCTTTACCAGCTCTGTAGGTGCTGCTACGAGCCTGTTCGAGAAGAGTAATGCAGTAGTCACATTGACAAATGTAGCTTATAAGGGACGTACGAAGAAACAACCCCGGAGCAGGCACCAGCAATATATATTTGTGTCAATGTTAGGCCTGCTGCTTTCTCAGCGTGCAACTGAGACTTCAAGAAGTCGTTCAAAGAGAAGATTAGACCGTTCAACGGAACACTCGCGAACTAATAGCCACCGACACAGGTGGTTTTGCATTCAAAGAAACTATGATCATGCGGCATGAAAAGAGAACTTGATATGACTTACAAGCGGATAAGCTATACCTATGAACAAACCGCTCACGTGTTCCGCGTGCAATAGTGTACAAGGCATGGAACGTGGATCGATACTCCAATACCACTTTTGGGTTCTGAATCCGTACCTTGACTTGACACGAGACAGCAAGGTGAGGACTTATACATGTCGAGCACGGGAAGCTCACTGGTGTCAAATGGGAATCCCACTACCAGTCCAGCCACCGCTATTCGAACGAAGTGTATTATAAATTCAAGGACAGCGATCGAAGAACACCAGTCCGAGACAGCTGCGGCGAAGAAGTTTACAACAGGGTGTGTCTTCACTGTTGTTCAGTGTCAGTCTCCCGTACAACATGGCTAAGATTGGATACACCTTCGGTGTTTCTATCGCTGTCATCCTTGTCTACGGCCATCGCGCGCGTTTGACGTGTTGGTCCGCCGCAGCAAGAGTCAACAGGTGCCTCCGAATCGGATAGAAACAACGGTGTTGAAATGGCTTAGGAACAAAACGGTGTTCTGTAGAAGCGACGACAGAAAATTTTTTGGCAATGAGATGGTCCTGAGTACATAGGACATGTTCGGGCAACATATAGAACATGGTTTAAAGTGAGTATGTTGTGACACGTTTCTGGATGTCTTCCATTCACCTTTTCATGTCTTCTCTCGGTAGCTTCTGCAACTCGACCACAATTACTTATTGATGCGGGCCGTTCATATTCTCACCTTATCTCTCCATCGGATATTAGCGTCAAGCAACTCACCGTTACGAGAGTCGATTTTCCGAACCGTAGCAAAGCTAGGCTATCTTGCCTTGGTAGTACCAGAGCAGTTTTAACTTAACGAGCATGACTAGGTTCCGGAGGGAGACTCTGAAATGCGTCAGACTTGTCAACATCGTGTCGCTAAGGTGTTCTGTTGTTCTATCCGCGCGTCTTCAATGTGAGCGACGTACTGCGGCGAACAGGCCCAAGGCTCGGGCGCGCCGCTCTATGCCGAGGGGGGTTATCGGTTCCGGGGTCCTCCCACATACGACGAAGACGACAGGATCATCGTTTATAGGCTGTACTGTTCGCCAATTACAAGTCTGCCCTAAAATGTTTTCCCCGTGTGAAGCCGCTGGAGATTCCGTGAGTCCGTTAATCATGCGCATAGATTCTATATAGCGTCAATCATCTATACAAAGCAGCGCCGTATGTTTTTGGCAGTCATCGATTGTCTCTTCAGCGACGACCTAGATGAGGCAGACTTTTATCCGTTCGAGCTGGTTCAAAGCTGGCCTTCGTGGCAGTCTCTCGCCATCGCACCGTCGTATTGAGCATGGCTTCGTAAGTCGTGCAGCGTTTTGTGAACATCGCTAACCGCCGCGTAATAAATCGGGATACCGCAGAATCGATACCAAGCGACTTCTATATCTCTAGAAAATGCCTTAACAGAAGTTCCTGCATCTCGTTTTCTCTCAGACCCCAAGACTGTTGCCGTGAGTCTCACTTTCAGGTCACCGGTAGGTCACTCATGAGTCATGACTACTGCCCTCCGGCAGATCGTTGGCTGTCCTTTCGGGTGAGTATATTCGCCTGGCCAGGTTCAGAATCGCGTTTAACAAACATCCCGGTAACAGTGGTGGTCAGGTGTGTCGCCATAGTGCAGGTCATCCATGGTGTTTTCAGACTCTCCCGTTGGGTCACCATAGCCCAAGCCAGGCGTTGATAAGGGTCCAATTCGCCTGGTCAATGCTAAGCTCCCAGAGCAGCTCAAGGGACTAGGATGGAAGGTCGAGTTCAATGGACATCACCCGTTCGAAGAAATCGACGCCCAGAGCGATCCCCCAATAGGCCTACTCAAGAATCCTCGCTACGTGTCGCGCGCCTGCAAGGCTGTTTCCGACGTCGTTGGCGCCCATGCGAAGAACGGCCAGCTGCCGCTGATGCTTGGTGGAGACCACTCTCTTGTAAGCCGCATATGAAGATTGCGCACTGTCGCTAACGAGTTTTTGCAGGCTATGGGCTCGGTCTCGGGGACATTGAAGTAAGTACTGGATACATACCGTAGAGCCTCTCACCAATAAGCGCAGGCAATACCCCGACGCATGCGTCATCTGGGTAGATGCGCATGCAGACATTCATACCGTGGACACTACTGATACCGGTAATATTCACGGGATGCCTTTGTCATTCCTGCTTGGACTTGGACCTAAAGTCTCTGAGTTTTCCTGGGTGAAACCGCTGCTGAACCCGTCTCGCCTGGTATACATCGGCCTGCGTTCTGTCGATACCAGTGAGAAGCGTATCCTGAAGGAAAACGGTATCCGCGCGTTCAGCATGCACGAGGTGGATAAGTATGGCATTGGTGGAGTTGTCGACATGGCGCTAGACCATGTGAACCCTAAGAGGGATCTGCCGATTCACCTGAGTTTCGATGTGGATGCATTGGATCCGTGGTATGCTCCTTCAACCGGCACACCCGTACGTCGATATGTTCTATTACGGAGAATGTGACTCTCACAACCGTTTAGGTTGCAGGCGGCCTCAGCTCCAGGGAGGGGCACTACATTTGTGAGGCCATATACCAAACAGGCTGCCTCGTTGCACTTGACATTGTGGTGCTGTACATTGATAATTTGCTACTTCTTGCCTGGCTTACTAGCTGCATTCTGCAGGAAATCAATCCGTCCCTTGGGGATGTCCGGTCGGTGGAGAAGACCCTTGCCGTAGGGTGCTCTCTTACGCGTGCCGCCCTTGGTTCGTCCCGTTCAAAGACGTTCATTGCCGTGTTCACTCATCAATTTTGCGCAGGTGAGAGATTGTTGTAGGACCATTCTTCAGTTGGTAACGAGCTGTATTGGTGCACCTGCACATATATGGACTGAGTTTCCTTTGTTCTCGCTTACTGCACCGATCGTCTTGAAGATTCACAGATACCAACGAAAAATCAGGTGACTTGTGGCCGCCCATAAGTTCAACTGAGTTGCTGACTTGGTGCCACCGTTAACTTCAACCTTTACCACCATCAACCCAGCATCGACCCTGACTCTCGTGGGGTATATCGAACTTCAAACTTCCAACCACAGGCGACTAACTTCATTTCTCAACCATCCTCATCTACAACGTTGCTTGTCTCCCTCTCTTCACCCTTCTACCACATACTTCCTCACCATGTCGTTCGCACACTCGCTATCAGTGCACGATGACCTTTATGACCCCTGGAGAGAAGACTCCTTTACCCATTTGCTTCCCAAGCCGTCATACGACTGGCTTGATCAGGAAGAACCATCGCCTTTCGCAAAGGCCACTGCTAGCAAAACCAACCGAACCACCTCCCTCCCTTTCGAACCGAGCGACCACATCGCGAGCCTTTTGAGGCGTGTCCACCCTAACCTCGTTCACGCTATCAACCCATGGTGCGGTTTGCGAGGGAGCCGTGACACTGATGAGTATTCGTCCCTCGAAGGCGAACCATGGGCAGAGACCGCTAGAGGTTGGGACGAGGGTTCACTCCTCGAACAAGGTCCTGCCGACGACTTCACCACGTTTGGCTTGGACTTCACATCTGTGGAGCACGACGAGCAAACATCGGTGGATACCCTGGGCTCTGCTTCCCCGGAGGTGAACCCGCCGCAAGCAGCTCTAGCGGCGCCGGCGGACCATGCACGCGACGGATCATCATGTTCATGCCCTCGACAACAACTATCCCAAGTCGAGAGCACGAAACAAACGCCTCAGAGTGCCACACCCAGTTCGGCAACCTCAGTGGCGGTCAACTGTTCCTCCGTCGAAGCGCTGCTTGCAGCACCTCTGGACAATGCACGTGAAGGTCCATCATCTTCACGTCCTCAATCCCCACCCCGAGTGGAGAATGCGCAACTAATACCACCGAGGCGCACACCACGCTCTCCTTCCCAAAGGACTGCGGAGCCTTCCGCACAACGTTCCGCGACGCGATCAGTGCTAGTGGCACCTGCGGACCGTGCACCCGTCGGTCCATCGTCAAGCTCTCCACCATCACAGGGGAAAAAGAGAAAACAGACAGAGGAGATCGTAGAGGTGGAAAAGCGGGAGACGAAAAAGAGGCGTACACAAAATGAGGGCGTCCAAGGTGAAGAGGAGCCAAAAAGGACGACAAACCAAGGGAACCAAATCGCAGAGGACGAGGTCGACTTGGGTGTTCATGGCATCATCAACCGTGGGGGCAAGAAATTGGTCAGTTTGATTAACTTGCAAGAAGTGCCTGGAAACTTACCGATATCTTTTCTATGCAGGAATGTACCTATTGCGACAAGTTCTTCGCCAATGGAGCTCACGCGATAGTGCGCCACGTCCAGTCAAACCGGCACCTTGAAAAGTTACCCCACGAAATAAGGGAAGAGCTTTCAAAGGCGGCAAAGCTGCACTGCGAGCATTGTAACAAAGAGTACGTCTGTCGGTTGTTGTGCACGATTTAGGCAGTGACTGAGTTGGCATTGTAGAATATCAGGCGGGCGACGCGATTCCCTGAGACGGCATTATGATAGTTGCACTGTGCTCCATCCGGAGAAATGCGGCAAACGTCTTCGTCGCTGAACAAGAGTGTTTTGGAATTGGCTTTTTTCCTGTTTGTATCTGTGGGATTGGATTTTGACTAAATATTCCGTTGGTTCATTCTACAGTGTTGTGGGATAACGAACCTTGTCCTCAGCATGGTTGGCTATACCACTAGTAACTTGAAGTTAACGCTTACTTTTAAAGTCGACCTCTCGCTGAGGGTTCGCGGAGTAAGTAGGCGTGGCATGCAAAGTTACTCAATGAAGACATTCAGTCAGCACACTCCAAGCAAGTCGGAGAGAGTGACGTTGATCCCATTTCGACGAGAAGAAAGGACCAGCTGGCTGTCCGTATCGATACAGTACAGGCCTTAGCCGATCACCAATAGTCTCTGCAAGACCTACCTCTCGTTTTCGACGTTGGATGCCATACGCAGATCTTCGATAGTCGATCATCCCAATCCAGATACATCCACCAGGACCCCGGAATATCGCCTAAGCCATACTTACTATCAGTTACCTCGGCATGTGTCCAAAATGTTCAACACTAGTGAGAAAAATCCGAAAAAATAGTTTCTAGTATTCTATATGCTACAGGAACATTTCTGAGATGCCGCGGACAATCGGGCAAGACAGCGTGCGGCGGGACCAGAAGTGCCATGTTACATCCGGGTCATCGATAGTACGGATGGCCAGTTTATTCAAGATTCACTGGCCTTCAGCGGAGCCTGCAAGATGGGGGGTTATTCTCTGGGAGACTGGAGCTCGTAGGCATTGTGACAGAGTCGACCGGAACTTGTATCCCATCACGATAAGTTACATCCGAGAATGTGGGGCGCATTTAGCATATGGTGGTATATGAAGAACTTGTAGGACATAGGTATGAGATAAACACGAGTAAAACGAGGGTGTGGTATCCGCACGCAAAGCAAACCGACTCGTAACCGAATAAACAGTGGTAACATATGGCGCGACCCAAAAGGGGAGGAAGACGAAGGAACGTAACGAGACACGGGTAGCTGGGAGACCACCGCCCACAGCAGCCGAAAGGGCAATTAGGCGAGACCAACCATTAAGCAACAACAACACAACAACAAAGAAGGAATGAGAGTATACCGACAAATTAGTCGCGCTCAAGCCATACGATCATAGACAGGCAAACTTGGATTTTCTCCGCTGCAGCTCGTCCATCCGGCTGTCGAGCTGCGCCCGCGCTCGCTCCTTCTGACGCCGCTCCTCGTCCAGTCGGTGCTCCAGTGACTGCTTCTCCTCGACAATTGACCGTCGCACATTCACGACCTCGCTCTTCGCCTCGTGCAGCTCTGCCCGGAGGCTCGTCACCTGCGAACTGACGTTGTCTCGTTCTCGCGCGAGCTCCGTCGCTTGCATACGGGCCTTGCGCACTGCGACGACAGCAATCGATAAGAGGATGCACGGAGTGGGAAGACTACTCACGATTCTTCTCAGAGTCTCCTAGCGACGACTCGAGTGTTGCGACGAGGTCCATGTGCGCCTGCAGGTCACCCTCACAGTGTGTCAACTGCTTGTTCAGTGTCTTGATCATCGCGTCCTGTTCCTCGATCTGCTTGGTATGCTGCAGCAGCTGTGCCATCAACTTTGGATCGACCACAACGCTCGGAGTGGGTAAGTGTGCAATAGACGTTGCGGGCGTTGATGGCGACTCAGTAGGAGTGTCAGTACCCATAGATGTCGTGTTGGTCATCGCGACAGACGATGCAGAGCTTAACGTAGGTTCGTGCATCGAACGCGGTGCCGGAGGGATCGGTCCACTCGGTGGTGGGGTCAGAGGTGGGAGCTTCGTGGGTGACATGCCATTGATGCGCGTGATTGGGAGACCACGCTCTGCAACTGCCCGTGAAAGGGGGTCTCCAGGGGATGGACTTCGCACAATTTGGGACTGCAAATCGCGGAGAAGTGAGTCTTGCCGATTCTTCTCTGCTTGTAGGCTGTCCATTTCGTCCTTCGTCCGCTGTAGATCCTCCTGCACCTCGGCGAGCGCTGATCGATGCCTTTCGAGCTCTTCGACGAGCGAATCGCGCTTTGACGCCTGTTTGACTAGCTCGGTCGTCTTCTGCCGTGTATCCCGAAGTTCAGAACGGAGCCGCTCTACTTCAGCAGCGAGCTCGCCTCTCTCCTCGTGCGCGCCGCTGACCTGCAACTGGAGCAATCCGATTGTTTCAGTCTTCTCCTGGAGTGCCTTCTCATGGGACTGCCGCATTTCCTCCCGAAGAGCGACGTACTCGTTCGACGCGGCCTTATGAGACTCAAGCTCCTCCAACAGTAAGGCATGCTCTTTTGCTAGAGCCCCAAGCTCTTCTGAACTCTTCGTTCGTAATTCACGGACTAAGAGATCATGATCTTTTTGCAGGGTTTCGCGCTCTGCAGCATGCACGCTCTGCATCTCAGTAATAGATGCCGTAAGCCGTTCCCTTTCCTTGGCAAGTCGGTATTCGGTTTGTTCTCTAGAATTTTCTAGGTCTTCGCGATGTTGCTCTTGGGCAGCAATAAGACTGGATTCCACCTGGGTAAGGGCTGCAAGGTGCTCGGTTCGGAGTTTAGCTAGCTCCTCAGTATGAGACACCGCAATCGCCGCGAGACGATCCTCGACCTTCATTTCGGCGGCGGCGACAGCATCTGCGAGCTCTTGACTATGCTGCTTCTGAGCTGCACTCAGACTTGCCTGTACTTCAGCTAGAGCACGCCGGTGCTGGGCGTTTAGCTCTTTCACGTCGTTGGTATGAGAGGTAGAAAGTGCTGCGAGCTGTTCTTGCGCGCTGCTCTCCAGAGATGCGATAGCAGCCTTGTGTGCTTCCCGTAAGCGCAAGACTTCGTCCTGCTGGCTCTGCTCGATCTCCTGCAGTATAGTTGCCTGCTGCTCTTTAATAGCCTGCACGTCTGCCTCCATCTTCTCGCGAAGGTCTGAATTTGACGAGGTAAGCTCAGCCCGGCTGCTCTCCAGTTCGGCCGTCAACCTAGCGATATCATGAGTGAACTCTTCCCGGAGCTTCGACAATGCGGCGGAGTGCTCTGTAGCATTCCTGTCTAACGCCGCCCGATGTTCGTTGTCTTTGGTCGTCAGAGCACGTGCGTGCCCCGCTTGAAGCTTCTCCAGTTCGTCCGCATACGCAGCCTCCCTTTCGTTGAAATTGGCAGCATGGTCGGCCTTCAATCTCTCCACCGCTGAGCGATGTTGCTCGAGTTTCGCAGAAAGGGCGGCGACATGTTCATCCTTCAGCTTTTGCATATCGACCGCAAACAGCTTCTCCTTGTTCGCCATAGCGGATGCATGCTCGTCCTGCAGCCCCTTCATCACTACATCGCGAGCAGATTGCGATTCCGTGAGCGAACCCTCTCGCGCAATCTCCGCCATCCTCATGTCGCGAGCGTGTTCATCCCGGAGACGTTCCATGGCAGTGGCCGCCTCTGCTGTCTGCTTCTCGAGTGCCTGCGCATGATCTGTTCGCAACTTGGTGAGAGCATTGTAGTACTCTTCCTCGGTCTGAAGGAGGGTAGCGGCTGCCTCCTCTTCCTTCTTCTTGATGGCTTCTTCATGCTCTGCGTTGGTTTTCGACAAGGAAGCTTCATGCTCCTGGCGAGTGTTCTCAAGCATCTCGTCAACTGCCTCGCCGCGGCGACGTAGCGTTTCTTCGTGATCAGCCTCCAGCTTGCCGAAGGCAGCCTCGTGATCCTGTCGCGCTTTCTCGAGTGCAGATAAAGCCTCGACAAGTTGATCGCGCAAGTCGTTCAATGCGCCCTCATGCACCTCCTTCATTTGAGTGAGTATCCCATCCACTTCGGTAGCTTTCGCCAGCAGCGCCTCCTCGTGCTCTGACTTCAATCGCTCTACCTCGGTGGCATGCTCCGTTTCAACCCGATTTAGGGACTCGAGAAGCTCAGCCTCGCGCTGCTGCACTTGCTCCAGCTCGTATGAAATATCATCTTCGTGAAGTCGAGCCTGTGCCAGGGACTCCACGAGCTCCACTTCGCGGTGCTCCAGTTCCTCGAGCCTCTGCAAATCCTCACCGTGCTTCGCCAGGTCTTCGTCACGCTTGTTCTTCAGTGCTTCCAGCTCCGTGGACATATTCAAAGCCTGGTAGTTACTTCAGTCAGTGCGTAAGTCAGGCGAAATAGAGAACGTACCTGGTCGCGCGACAACACGGTAAGCTCCTCGAACTGCCTCCGCACCTGGACGAGTTCAGAATTGAGGCTGTCTACAGTCTCACGATGACTGGACTCCTTCTGGGCCATAGACCTGTTTGATAAAAATGAACACCGATCATTTGCAAGAATGGAACATAACCCACCGCATGAGTTCATTGAGCCTCACGAGTGATTCATCTGGGTCTTGCACGTTGCCATTCGCTGCCTGGAAATCCAGGCTCCGACGGATCTCCTGGAACTGGCCTATTGTCTTCGGAGAAAGATGCAGGGTAGGACTTGTGTCGCCGTTGCCATTTACTGACCGGATCCCTGATGGCTCAGTGGAATGCGTGGAGGGCACCTCCTCGCGATCCTTGCTCTTCAGCGACTCTTCCAATACCGTTATCTCTGCCTCACGTTCCTTCAGGACCTCCTGCAATCTCATGATTTCCTTCTCTAGGCTAGCAACTGATCGCTCGTTGGCATTCACATTGACAGAAGGTAGAGAGACGGAGAGGTTGGGTCGAGCATGTCCTAATGGAGGGCTCAGAGAAATAGAGCTACTGGTGCCGTGACTTGAAATAGAAGCTTTGCGCGACCTGGCCGATGATAGCTCCTGCGATAGCGACAATGACTGTGAAAGCGACCTGGGCGACAGGGGACATAAGTCTGGTTTCGTGAAGATTGTGTTTCGTAGAATGGAAGCGATCGAACTCACCCAGAATGTAGAGACTCCACCGATGCCGCCTGCCTGAAGAAAAGGCGTTTGCCAGCTCCGTTAACTGGTGTCTCAACACCGTCTCGTGACATCCCTCGGGTCATCCTCCGTCTCGGAGAGAACTCTACCGTTCGCTCAGGGGTCTCTGAAGGTGGAAGGAGAGCATTGACTTTGGCTTCCTGGAGCTGAGCAGCCAGATCAGCAATCTCGCGGAGGGCGTCACGATATTTCTCGGAGACGGAAGAAAGGTCCGCAAGAGTTGCTGTATGCGTCTGTTGGAGCGCAACTAGCTGGCTTTCGATAGACCCGTCTAGCTCAACGAATGATCCCGCAGCGGACGAAACGGTTTTAGTAGGTGACGCCCCTTCTAAATCCTTGCGAGCCTTGGCGACCTCGTCAGCCAGATCAGCCAGCCTTTCGCGTCCTTCTCCGGCCTCTTTCTTCTTGGCTAGCCACTCCTCCATCTTCAACTCAAGCGCGTGCACCTTTCTCTCCCTCTCCTCAAGGTCAGTTCTCCAGCTCTGTCCGTCTTGTTTAAGACTTTCGAGGCGAGATTGCAGGACCTCAGCTTCCTGCCTCCGCCGTTCGCATTCGCTCTCAAGTTTCTCGACCGTCTCGCGCAAAGCAAGCACAGATTCGTCAGATCGAGCAAGGCGTGCTTCCAGATCGGTGATGTACTGTGAAGAGTACGACTCGGTGTCCTTGTATCGTGTGATCTCACGTTTCAAGTCCGTGATAGAGCCACTCGAGGTGAGAGAGGACTCATCGTATTGCTTGACTTTGTCCTCCAAATCGCGAATGTACGCCTACAATGAAGCTTAACATAAAGATCGTCCAGTGAATCAATATGCACTGTACCTCGTTCGACGCCTCCCTTTCAAGAAGCTTGGCAACTCGCGACTTCAGTTCTTCGAGATACGCCTCTGTGGTAGCATGTCTTGAAGAAAGTTCCGTATACTCGGCCTCCTGCTCCTCATACAGCTCGTTCGTGTGTCTCAAGGCTGCCCTGTTCAGGCTAAGCTCCGCTTCCATAGCACCGATCGTCTTCTCGTATTCTTCGATGACGGGTCCGACGATCTCTTCATATTTGGCCGTCCCACCAATATGACCACCCTTCGAGCTGCGCTGCTTCTCCGCAAGCTCCCGACGAAGCCTAGTGAGCTCCTCTGTCCGCTCGACAAATTTCTCCCGAAGGTCTTCGTAGTTATTCTGCAGCTCCGACATCTGTGCAAGAAGGACCTTCTTGCCTGATCCCTCCGTTCCTGCGGGAGCTCCGGGGCCCACGCCGATTGTCCCCGGTGCGCCGTCTCGCAAAGCCTTCGTCTCCTTCCGCAGCCGTGTCACCATGCCCTGCAACCACTCGACATCGTCCCACCCATCCTCCTTCTCATTGACTACCGCTCGGTTCTTAATGTTCCGCGCCCTGTTTGCGTATTTCAGCGTGTTGATGGTCTCGCCGAGATTCCACTCTGAAGGGCTAACACAGGCGATCATCAACGTATGCGCATTTCCGCCCAAAGAGTCTTGCAGTAGACGAGTGAGTTTCGAGTCACGGTAAGGAATGTAGGAGGCGGTATGTGATTTCGCTCGTGATGGGTCGCCCAGAGCAGAGATCACGTTGCCTAGTGCAAGCAGACCACTATTGATCGAGATACCTTCCTTGATTCGTTCTCCAGCAGCAGCAGTTCGCTTCAGCTGTACAAATATTATTATCAGCCATCCCGAGTACATGAACACAAAAAACTTACCCGTTCAGAGCCCGCCAAATCTACGAAGTGGAACTTCGAGACGACTGTGACCCATTCCCCTTGTTCGTCGTCTCCATCTGCGTGGTTGCGATTTCGTCCTATGTCGGGTGACAGCAGACCGATGGAGCTGGGGGGTCTGCCTCCGCGAGACATCGCCGTTTGGAAACTGGGAGTGCCCGGTCTACCAAAAGTAGGTGAGGATACTCTGGAACCACCGACGAATGCTGAGCCAGGCCGAGCAATACGAGATGGTGGACGGCCACCCGGTGGTAGTGGAGATGAGGAACGAGCTGGAAGTCCGGATCCAGTGTACTTCTTCTGCGTAAGTGTTAGGCTGAAGATGGCATGCGAACGAGATGATTGGGCGTTCATGTCCGTTTCGTTCGTTCTTCGAATGGCAGTGCCTTGGCGAAGGAGGCTGCGATAAAATTGAAATAAGTCAGGAATTGTCGCATAATAACAAGTCATGACCTGGAAGAGATAGTAGCATCCAGCAAACTGATGGTATTCGTCTGCTGATCGAACTAGCCATGGTATGGCATCAAATGCCTAATCTCGCGTGCACCTAACAGCGTGCGCACAATGCGCAACACAAGGAAGCTACACGCACAACGACAAGCCTTCGCAAGCCACCGATTCACACCGCACAAACAATGGACTCCAAGTCCATGGAAATTCTATCTAGAAAAGCGCAAGACTTACTTCATGACCTCGTTGGAATTCTTCACGGCTACTTCGCGCAAGCCTTCCCAAATGATATGCCCCTGTTTGTCTTCCCGTATCTGCACCTCACGTCTGCCTCCCGTCTCATCCATACTAAGCAAATCAATGAGATCTTCGTTGTAAATCTCGATGAAGGAACCCTTGACATTGTACTGCCACGCGTTCCCTCGTTCATCCTTCATCTCTCTACAGCGCGAGAAGACGGTAGAGACAGCTCTCGGAATGATGCCCATGCCATTCGAAGGATTCGAAGGATCCGCGTCGAGGTCAATACCAGTCATAGTAAACGTTTTACCGCTGCTGGTCTGGCCGTACGCGAGGATGGTGCAGTTGAAGCCCTCCGCGAAACGAGAGATGAGGGGTTGTGCTGTGGATGTGAAGAGAGCATGCTGTGTAGCGGTGGGGGGATGCACCTGGTCGAAAGTGAAGAGCTGCTTCTTCCCTGCATTAGCAGAGACGGCGGTTGCTCCCGCCGCGTTCGAACCAGCAGGGGTAGTGGAATCGACGGAGACACTGGTGGGTGTTGCTGCAGTAATGACTGACCGTTGAAAACGAGCTGGTATTGAGTTAGTGTCCTGGTTGTTGGTGGGTCGAATGCGCAGAGCTAGAGGATTGTGTCATGACTCAGCCTCTCGAATTCGAGATCGTCGTGCTCACCAACTTGAACGGAAGTTGTCGCGGCATTCGACGGCGGGGGCGGGGGCGGCATAGCTGGGGGCGATCAGGAACGTCGACGACGGCGTCGACGGCCTGGTGAGTACAGCGCCAAGTGCGGTGGAAAACAACGGAGACCGGGTTCGTCCCAATTTGGCAGCTCATCTATGTCGCGATCGTTTCAGTCACGTTACGGACCCGCACCGACTAATAATCCGAGAGAAGATATACATTGTATATAAGTCCGTAGCGCCGCGCGAGCACGGCAGAGCCCGCTAGCTTATTGGGAGAAGGTTGTTTGCGATATGATGATTCGACATTAGACACCACAAATTGCAGGTTACACAGATTTCAATATACAGATTTCAATTCTCGCTGCATACAAAGTGCAATGGTGTCGGTCTCAATGCCATGTGCTTTGGCTGTTCTCACCAGCAGGTCCTCATTGGCATCAGTTGTGAACAGGGAGGATGAGGAATGTATAGGAAACATGATACTCAATGTATATGCAATATTCGGACTCAATGACGGGAGACGATGACCGGTAGATTCGCAACCTTGCACAAAGACAGGTTGCGATGACAAAGGGGAACCACCCGCGACATGCGGGTCAGAACACGAAGAACTGCCCACACCGTAGGCGCACGTACAATGAGTAGAACCACTATCCGCCATACGGATAGGACACAGAGTACTACCGTTCCGAGAGGGAACAGCCACAGACGGAGATCCAACTTCAACGAGATGACTGCCATCGGCAGTGTCGGCGTACGGAGAGAAAGAGGTGCTCGCACCTTCTAAAACAGCAAAGATTTCATCAGTAACGTAGACAAGTGATAAAAATGCGAGAAATACCATTGAAAGGGTACCGGGGAGATCAGAGAGACGGTAGGCGGTAGACCATGCGCCAAGGCGAAACGAGTAGACAGAGCTGACTCCGAGCAGGACACATCCAACAGAATTGAAGCGGGTATTTCTGCGTATGAGCCGCGTAGCGATTGAGATGCACCTTTTCAGTCGATGGTGGATTACGTGTGCTGTTGCGCCGTGACCTGTTGTGACATCAAACACGTGACTTTGCAAAAATGGCGGGGAGCACGGACAGGTCGATCACCTCTAAGAACCCACTAGCAGAGCTAGCGGGAATATCACTGGGGAAACGTAGAAAAACCATCATGGGAGTCTACCGTGTAATTTCAGGATCGCATAACTTGTCAAAGCATCGGTGTGATTCGAACTTTCTGTGCTCGGTCAACCTAAAGGATACCTAAAGCCTGTGCATCACGGTGTATGATAAATCACTTGAATCTTTGACATCACAGTGATGCATCCAAGTGCTGTGGAGATTGCGCATACATGTTTATTTACAGAACCAGTGACAAAAGGCAAGTGAAAGGCGCCACTAGGATCGCACCAGTACAATGCCGTGCACGGCCATGTGACTAACCAATTCAATCCTGGAGGGTAGCAAACATCTGTGGATGACACAGGTCTCAGCACTTGTTCAGATCTGGCATACCGTCGAAGTTCACATTCGAGCGAAATTGCTCAGAAAATATAGACAGAGACGAGTGGAGCAACCAGTCGAACAACAAGCGACGTAGAGAAAGCACCGACTCGGAAAGGTCCTTAGTAGGGGCACGATAGCGGTTGATGCACATTCTTCAGGAGCAACAGAATCTCGCGATCCGTTCAGTGACGATCAAGGATATTCACGGGGAATATTGATCTAGAGGTTGCGTTCTCGGGCAACTGGCTGAATGCTGTTTTCACATACTTATGCCTATTAGTGTTTCGGACAATAGCCGCGTGTCCACCTCCCGGCGTCGCATGAACACCCTGAACATAGGTGCTTGTCTTCTATTGAGATCGAAGAGTGTAATTGAAACCATGAAACTCGGACAAATGGACAATAAACGTGGACAATAGCGATCTGATCAGTACTGGGATTATCGCACATGAATTCACCCCAGGTACCAACGTGCCCTTGATCTCACCGTTTATGTCTGTTACATGTTCTGGCTGTCATACCTCACCGATCATTATGTGATATAAACCGGTAGGCGTTCTCCTGCATTTGTTCGCAGATTATTGTGATTTGCCAGTGGTGAGTATCCATAATATACGGCAAAGAAACAAAGACCGTTGAGATCACCGCCTATGAATGTCTCGGGAAGTGACTCACCTGCAGAGAAACTTGGCACCATCTTGTAAGCAGTTGAGAGGAATATCACCTCCACAGCTGTAAAATTGCATCTGTGCAGTCTAATTGCAAACTCGTCGCCGTTGAGACTTGGCTCTCCAGAAATCCAGAATGACATAGCAGATATCATTACTACTAGGTTTGCAGTGACAATAAAAGGTCCGGAAAGGAAACTAGTACATGTACTAGAGTATCGTTGTCTGGGTCAGATCATTAATGTCCAAGTTCGTCTCCAGGCGACTCGCCTATAAGGGCTCTACTCCCCTCCACGTCCAACGGAAGGATCCCTTCTTGCCCGTGGCAGGATCCCGTGCATGGTCATCCAGCATGAAACCGCACCGCCTATACAATCCCTCAACCGAAGGGTCCGCAGCATTTAGACAGACTTCTGCTTTATGTCCATCAGGAGGTCCTTCCGACGGAGCACCTGCGAACCCCAGAGGCTGCACGCCAAGATAGTAGCGCGTAACAACAGTGACAAGTGCTTCTGCAATACCTCTGCGGCGGCATTGTGGTAGCACGAACACGCAGCGGATGGCAATAGTATGAGGCGTGGACCGCCCCACCATTACATATCCCGCAATTCCTCCGTCAATGCGTGATATCCAGATCTTTTGGGCTTCAACAGCCTCACCCATGGCCGCTCGTGCCGTCTCTGCGGTGGCGCGATGGGGACCATGAGAGGAGAACTGCATGTTGAGTGGAATAAGATCTTCAACGTCATCAGGACCTGCTAGCGAAATATGGTAATCGGCTAGGGTCGAGCAATGTGGTGGCAAGGTAGATCGAGTCGCATGGCATCCACGCGAATTGAAGTATGGAGGTAAAGCCTTCAGATAGACGCCTCTGGAAGCCATTAGCGTCACCCAAGACACGATGAAGGCGTTGACTGCGCCTTTGGGACCAATTACTTTGTCCACAAGGGTTGGATCAATGATGGTGGGAAGGTACGATGCAAGAAGCTTCGCGGCGGCAGATATATGTAAGGCATCTTGCGAAGGGTCAATGCTGCTCGGTGTTGCCATCATCCACGAAAAGTCTTTTGCATTCTTAGTGAGAGTGAGTCTGAGGGCACCGAAAGCAACACAATAAGGACAGCGGTTTGTAGACACCTCACAACCCAGATCACTCACATTAAATCATCTCCTCGGTAGACACTGAGTAAGATTCTTGTCTTCGGACCCCAGTGCGCCTGTGAGAATTGTAGATTATCATCCATATTATCAAGAAACGATCCGAGTGTGAAATTGAGAGAACTGTCATCATATTGTTTCATGGCCTCCAGGAAATCTGCGGGGCTATCGAACTGGACGAGACGGAGAGCGGACATTTTCCCAAAACACACAGAACAGCAGCCGCATGGCACCTTCCTCAGTGATGCTTTTATTGCAGATGCATTGATATTGAATCAAATCCGGATCCAGGTCCATATGCTGCTGCATGATCGGTGATAATGACCTATGCTTATCGGTGCAATGATGAAATCGTGAGTGTCGTCACCACTTCACATGACGTTCGGCGTCCAACCAAGTGCTGTCGCAGGTAGAACACGTCCAACGCATATATCAGTGAAGTCTTGACGCCCAGTCGTATCTCCAAATGATGAGCACAATGTCTGCAATGACACCAGTCGCACGCTCAATTTTGTGATTGCGCGTTGCGCAAAGAGTTCTCGGGATTACGTCGAAGAAAGAGTGTTGTGTTGGACAATTGGGTTTCAAGCGTGTTCAAACACGTCCGTAGCGCGGGGGCCGGATAATGATAGACTTCAACTGAAGTGACACCTCCCGGTCACCGTTTCCTCGAAGATAGGTAAGGATCGAGGAACACGGTCCGGCGTTGCGCGTTGACACACCAGGAGCATAATTTCAACCTATGAGCGGGCAAATGAGCGAGAGAAGTCTGGGCATGAGTAAGATATGCATATATGCCAAACCATTGTGCCTGAAACTGTGCACCCTCCAGTCACTCTTCCGGTATCTCATGCATGGCGGGAATGTCACCCGCGTCATCACCATCGTGACGTCGAGTAACGGATCTGAGCACAATGACTAGAGACTGAGGATTTAACACTCTTGTTGACGAGTCATAATCAGAGCGAAGCTACAGCCAGGATGACACATGCAAGGTTATGACCGGAGACAATACGATGTCAGGGCGAAGCTGTGTTCCGCAGTATCCGTGAGTAATAACGAGCAACACCGGAAAAAGTATCACGATGCCAGTGATAACGGGATAGTCTGCTTCAAGAGTAATGAGCCGAGAGAAAAATGAAGGCAGGGGGAAGGAAATACAACTTGTGAGCCAACGGCGCTTATACTGACTCGACCCGTTCCACTCTTTTAAACGTCGCTCTATGGTACGCTCTCAAACCAGTCGCTGGAACCCTTGCATCGTCGCCCACCATGAAACCGCAACGCTTGTACAGCCGTTCCACCGCGGGGTCCGCAACGTTCAAACAGACCTGCTCCTTGAGCCCGCCCTCCGGTCCCGTCGCCAGAGTTCCCTTCAACGTTGGCGATGGTTGTGCGCAGAGGTAGTAACGCGAGACAGCAGTCACCATAGCCTCGGTGATGCCTCTGCGGCGGTACTCCGGAAGTACGTAGACATTGTGAATAGCAATGGTGCGCGGTGTTGGTCGTCCAAGTAGAACCGTATACGCAGTAGGCGTTCCGTCAATACGACAAATCCAGACTTTCCCGTCTGATACCTGCCCATGGCAATGCGTGCACTCTCTGCAGTCGAGCGATGGGGCACATGCACCGAGAATTGGACAGCGAATGGTATAAGGCTCTCGACGTCATCTTGACCCGCCGCGAGCGATATATCGTAGTCGGTGATGTTGGGAGGTGGCGGCGAAATTGTAGAACGTGTGGCGCAGCATGCGCGGACATTGAAGAATGGTGGCAGAACTTTCCTGGGTATGCCTTTCGACGCCATGACGACTGTCCAAGCCAAGATGAATGCGTTCACTGCGTCTTCGCGCCCATTCATCTTGTCTACGAGCATGGGATCAACGGTGGTGGACAGATGCGACGCGAGGAGACCCGCAGCGGCAGATATACCAGACGCGTCGCTCGAGGGGTCCACTGTACGCGGGACTGCAATTAGCCATGGACGGTCTTGAGAAATTTTGATGAAAACCAATCTGTATAGTACCAATGAGTAAGCGGGAACAGATCCAAAAGCATGCCAGGTCATTCACAGGACATCATTTCCGCTATATACCGCCAGTAATATCCTCGTGTCTGGGACCGGCTGGGTTGGTGACTGTGTTTGGGATTCGTCTATGTTTTCTAGAAGCGGGCAAAATTGAACGCGCTGTCATCGTATGGCTTCTCTGCTTCCAAATAGTCGCCTGCATTGTCAAAATGAACAAGACCGAGAGCACCCATCTTGCAATGACTGAGTGTGCGCTTCCTACATCGATGCCGCTACATTGCCCTTCGTCCGAGTCACCTCGAGTCATGATCCAGCCTTATTATTACCGTGATGACATTCCTGTGAGAGAGACCGTGATCTAACATACATCTAGTCTCCTGTGAGTCGGAGCGCTATGGAGCTTTATGAGCATACGCACTTCCTCACGAATGTCAAAGAGAAAATGTTTGGCGAGAAGCGCCTTCACGGACAGACATGATCAACATGGCTAGCGGGTACTGACACCCCGCCCTCGGGAGTATGTCCTACTCAGCATCAAGCCCCTCCGACCAAGACTCATACTTGTCTATTGTCTCAGTGAGACCGTTCACTGAGTCCCTCGCCATAGCTATGCAATCGTTGCCCAGTGGGAATTGGAGCGGCGGCTCGGGGATCCCTGCCACCCTATAGATCACTCCAGCCGCTTTAGTCGGATCCCCGGGCAGCTTAAAGTTCGGCTGCGTCAGGAATCCACGCGTGAGCGCCGGTACTCCGCCTGGCTTGGTATACGCAGGATGCGCAGGAAGGCGTATCATGCTACGCTGAGCGCCGTCGGTATTAAAACCGCCAGGTTCAATGATCGTGACCTTGGGCGGGGGCGATCAGCAATGACTAAATACGACATTGCAGAGACTGTACCTTGATGTTCCACTCTGGATCGAGTTCTGCTGCGAGCGACTTGGTAAAACCCTCGATAGCTGCAGATTTCCGACCATCAGTGTACATTTACTCCTCCCGTGAGTACCACTCACCTGTCTTAGCTGCCACATAGTATGACAGCACCGGTGCACCTCTGAAAACAGCGATAGAACCATTCTGCAGTATTCTACCCCCAGGAGGACTATTCACTTCGCGGAAGACACGTACGGCCTCCCTGCTGACATTCGCAGCACCCCAGAAATCGACGTCAAACTGGGCCCGGACAACTTCTTCCCGCGCCCCCTCAGCCTCGCTCAGGACACCGTAAGCAGCATTGTTGAATACGACATCGACTCGCCCGAATGCCTCCACGGCCTTTGCAAACGCGACAGTGATTTCCGGCTTGTTGGAAACGTCAAGTTGAACGACGAGCAACTTGCTCGCAGGGTATACGGCCGAGAGGGATGAGAGCGCGTATGGGTTCCTGAGAGTGGCGACAGCAATGTCGCCACTCTTGAGGACGTACTCTACTACAGCGCGCCCGAAACCGGACGAAGAGCCAGTGACTGAATATTCCTCGGTGAGTTACATATATGTGTGATGAAAGCACACTCACTGAACCAAACTTTAGGCGATGACATCTACAGGACTTTTGACAGACGGATATCTGTGCCAGTGACCAGATCTTGAGCAAGGATACTCAGCAGATGCTTCTCTCTGCAACATGACGGCCATCTTTATACTGCGCTGGCCATTTCCAAGCGAGGTCACCGCTGCTCTCGTATTGTGCGAGCTGCGGACATGGTGGGTTGAGTACCTGGCTTATACAAGCTGTAACGTGAGGGTATATCCGGTAAACCGGGCTTTGAACGCGTATTTGTCAGGCTCGTCGTACGCTCCGCTTGGAACGTCGGTGACTGCGATCAAGACATTGCTGTTTCTGTCTCGGTGACTGTCATAGCAATCTGCGATGCCGTTCGCTCTCAGCATGAACGCGGTCAATCCCCGGGTTGCTTACCGTCTGCTCCAATTCAATGCGACGTTCAACAACGAATCGAAGATCAGCTGCGCGAGCTAAGAAGGTGCTAAGATCCCGGGCGTCTGAGTTGGCCATCAGGTCGTATCATGCTCATCAGCGAACTGACAGTCAAAGGGCCTTCACTGGCAGTACAGGAGGGAGCAGGAGTTGTCGCTAGGCTGGTGGTTGTCGAGAGTGAAAGGAACGCGTCGCGGCGCCGGCCATGAGCGCAACCTTTTCTGTTTTGACCGGAGTCGCCCGCTCAACGCTCAGCGCTCAGGCCCATAGCTCCATCGGCTGATAGAATTCGGAGGTTACATAGTCTCCTAAAGGCAGGTTGTAGATACTCAGGATATCTGTATCTGACAAGGTTACAGGTCTTTGTGGCGCATCAGTCCAAACCATCATGAGCACTGCGACGCCCAGCATCGAGCTCTTTGGAACCAACCCATACGAAGGACACCCGAACCTTTCGGAAACCGAGGCCGAGGTCCTATGGCAGTACGCGAAGCTCTCGCAGAACATTAAAGAGGTCGGCTGTCGTGCATTTCTGTCTCATCTTGCACTGACTGCAGGTTGCTGCAGTAGCTCATAGCAGAAACGCGCAGATTGAGTGAAGCTCCTGACGAAACGCTGCTGAAGCGATTACGGGCATTGGAGGTAAAGATGGGGCTGGTATTGACTTTGGTGCGTATAACAGTGCTCGAATGCAGGCGTTCGTTCAAGAAAATGTTCTGTTCCAGTTCAAGGCATCTGTTTGGGCTGTGATCAACGAGCAGCCCGTCGGGGACGACTCAGGAGCGTACACAGATACCACCGCAGACCACAGCAGCTTGTGATCAGGTAATGCAGAAGTTTACTGCCTTGCTAGGCTTGTATTACACTCGATAGGCTTACTATTGTACACGACGCGATGTATCTATACCTCTACTTCAACTGCAATGCGCCCAGGCGACCAGTAATTCCACCCGCCCCAATAGGCAAAACCGCATTCACGTCCCATACGACTAGCTTTCCGTCAACACCAGAGGTGCTCACCTTAGTAACGTTTCCCGGGATACCGTCGTACGGGCGCACGCTGGTAATCGTATTTTGGTGCACGGTGAACAGCTCCGACTCCGTAGATGAGGACGCGGTCGGAGACCCAGGAACGTTCGAGATACCGCGCGTGTCGGCGTTTCGGAAGGTGTTGAAGGCCGCACTATTAAGGCGCCCGACAGGGGACGCGCCGCCGAAGCCAGATCGTCCGCCACCCGACGATTTACTGGCGTTCGGATCGTCAAGAGTACCGGCCAGCTCCCATCCACCATTGCTGCCGGAGAACACCAGCGGCTGGCAGTCGTGCCCGGCAGCGACAAGTGAGTTCTCAGTCGTCCAGGCCAGCGTGACCAGTGGCAAGCCGGTCAACTTGATGGTATAGATTGCTGGTCCCCCGGGATAGACGATACTGACAGAGCTATCGTGACCTACCAAAATATGCATCACAATCACGGTCTGCCATTGGGGCACATACACTTACTAGTAAAGGCAAGAACATCTCCGGAGGAGGAGAATGCAACATCGTGAACCCAACCGCCTGTTGGGCTGGTGTACTCTCCGCAGATAGTGTTGAATGGCAGTTTGTCTCCCCAGACGGTGGGCGCAGGTCTGCGAAGATTGTCACTCTAACATCCTTCTTTTGGACACAAGATACCAGCCTTTTATCCACATCCTTTATGTAGGCTGAGAGGACGCGTGCCTTCATGTCCGCACTCCCAGCAGCGAGGAGAACATTGTTGGGATGCCAATCCACGGAGAGGACAGTAGACCTGATGGGCTTCTTGAGCAGTCTCGACACCCACCAGTCGCCCTCAGGGTCAAACGAACAAATGGCAATCGCACTGGGACACGTCATTAATTGTTGAGAAACATATATTCAACTACTCAACATACCGAGCACCGCTTGCAACGGCGAACTTGTCCTCGTTCGGGCTCCATCTGACATAGGTCGCAGCTCTGTTAATTCGGAGCAGCACCAACGTCGGCTTCCAGATCATCTTGCCCGTCTGTGGATCCGGACTCTGCTGCCAGACGTATGCATTCCGGTCTTGCGCAGAAGTGACGATACGATTTGACCTCGGGGCCCAGTCGATGCCGGTGATGAGTTTGTCGTGCTGCATTACCAGTAATCAGGACACACTCAGTGCAGTGCACGCACTTAGCGCACCTCTGAAAGTGTCTCGGTGGGCTTCCAATCCTGCCTCTCGCGGGAGAATATCTGCACATCATTGGAGTTCAAACTCACAGCGACCTCTACCAGATCTTGTCAGTTTTACGAAGTGGGTCCAGACATGTTGTTCTCACGGGATCGGTCTGCGTTGAACGAGTGCGAGGTAATTGCGGTTTGCCCAAGTGAATACACTTCAGGAGGAGCCATGGCCTATTATTTGTAATGCAGAGGACTCTAGCAGTCTACAACTGCACTTGGGATGCAACGTGGATATGCTGTCGTTAACGGCTGTAGCGACCAAGCAGCGACTGCGAGTAGCGCAGGTAATTCAGTTCGGATCGGTTCGCTTCGTGTCACAGCCCCATCCGTCACGCTTCGTTTCGCATGTTCGGATATAGTACTGTTCGGATTCATTCATGTTCAATTAGCCCATCATACATAGAACACAGTCACGATAGAGGTAGGTTCAACCCAGGATGCGTCGGCTGAGATCTGTGAACTTTGACAGGGAGAGAAGAATGTATTTCTCTTTCCGGCTGTGGCACCTTTACAACACGTGGACAGTGCAGACCAAGAGCAGTCCCCAAGTGCGTATGACAATACCTCTGCTTGTATGGCTCACCGGTGCATTTCGAAAGTAGAGTTAGCTCCCTGTAAGTTAGATGACCCCAAGCCAAATTTTTACACCTCGAATCATGGCCATGGTTGGGGCTGCAATCCACGGCCGGGTCATTTGCGGTGCCTCCTGGCCCTGCCAGGCGCTGAATGTAACTCGGGAACCAATCTCATGACTCGCCTATTCCATGCATGAAGACCTTTGCGGATGGGATGCTACCTCGATAAGGGTCTCCACAGTCACTCAAGCTTAACAGCTACTACCTCATGGATGCGTAAGGCCGGGAACGCTCTAGTTAGGTTCTGCCACTTGCATGTTCCTTCGCGCTCCGGAACTCATCAGCTTCTTCTCGGCCACGCTGTAGGAGAGTTCCGAAGCAATCAGCCGTCGATGACGTCGCATTCAATTAAGTTCAGAGGCTAAGCAATCTCGTCTTCAATTCATTATATCGCACGCCACTCGCCCACCGGAACCCCAGGCCAGTATATCCACCACTCATTTGTCCTGTAGCAAAAGCTCGATACCAATGTTGGCGCTCCCGACGCCGCTCACCAACGCCACACATTCCGTATCTGCATGACATATGTTCTCGGAGCGCTGCTATTGCACCACTTGTCTTATTGTCTTGTTCGCAATTCATCCGCTGCGGCTCTGTCCGCCGTTCCGGAGATCTCTTGCCTCATATGTCTTGCACGACTGTTCTCTTCCATACCATCATTTCACACGTGTAGTGTTACATGCAAATTGGTGTGTCTTGTTCTGTGTTTCCGTGCGCCTGCTGATACCATGGGTTCAGGAAACTGTGAGTAGTGGGCATAATCGTCCTCATGTTCCACATCATGTTGCATTATCTGCACGGCTCTGCTCTAGTATGCGCACATCCCCGAGGACCCACCGGCGCCCACAATCGCTTGTGCACTCTTCTGGTATTTTTCATATTAGTAAGCGTTTTGTCGCCCGCGCTGCTGAACGCCTGGACATTTCTGGCGCACAACGTTTTCCGCCTTTACATCACTATCTCCATCTCGCCTTTCAGAATTGCGCTTCTGCGCCTGCCGTTGGCAGGACTCGTACCTAGCAGCGGCGTATCGTTCGGCACACTGCTGGCGCTCTCAGGGTGAAGGTGAGTGCACATGCCCATGGTTGATGATACCATCAGTGATAATGTGCCTCGCCACGGTCTTGTTAACCTGTCATGCTCACTGTTTAAGATTCCATGGTATGTTTTGCGCGGTCTCGTGCGCGCCTGGTCTGCGTCTGAAGGACTGATTTCTCTACAAGATTATCAGACTCCCATCTGTAACACGTTTCCATCACTCTCACCGCCCCTGGCCGCTCTGCCTTGTCCCTTCACAATACTTGTCATCTAAGATACCTATGTCGGCGTTCGCCGACGACATAACCTCGGGAGTAGCCCTCTGGTCGGTATGAACTTGCTATATGTCTCTGGCTCCCGTGATTTGCAGTGCAATTTCATCGAGCTATCTTCGGCTCTGGTGTACTCGGAATACGGATATTCTACGGGTCAGTGGTCCGAGAAGACAAGATGTTCGCCCTCCAAGATAGGTTGCTGGGAGTCGCCATCTCCATCGTGTTCCACCCACTGCCATCTCTGTCCTATAGCTGGACCCATGTCTATCTCTGGGGCGCTGGCCCGTTACCTATCAAACAGACTGCGATTACGCTATGTCACTGTGTGTGATCCGTCCATGGGCTCGCGCTTATAGGTTCCAGCGCTCCATGGACGCCTCATGAAGCATCTCTCTCTCGGTTGGTAGAGACTTCCAAAGTCCGTGAGACACTTTTGAGGCAATGAAATAAGTTCGTGAGCGTTTCGAGACGATTCATTGCCTCGAAAACGTCTCACGGACATATTCCATCTCGTCTGCATATAGAAAGAGAGACTATAGGGGGCCAGTACTTCCTGTCATCAGTGCTTCATCGTGGAATGCAAAGAACCGGAGGTTCGGCTGTTCATTTTAAGGACCACCTGCAACATGACAGCGAGCGGTGCGAGGTCCATGCCATCGCAGTAAGTGCGTTCCAGGTCTTGCAAGCGAGTCACGATCCATCTGTGGACCGCTGTAGACTCGTGTTTCTAGCGCGCTGGCTGTTACGTCCCGCCGAATTGTGACTGATTAAGGCAGTCAAAGACAAGGCACAAATATGATGGATGGTAACATGAGTGAGAGGTGGAAATTTCATGTTCTCTGACGGAAAGAGCGATCTACGAAGAATCATGCCAAGGCCACGAGGCTCTCAAACTGGGCAAGGAGAACAATAAGACAGATCGGACACATCGCGGTCGCAGAGGACGCACGCACAGAATTCGATTCCCCCTCTCGACCGCTTACGACCGGGCGGTGTTGTGTTACCGTTTGCAGTTACCGTAGTACCCTCGTCGCCTTGTCGGCCGTCACTGGACTCGGTTACTTTGAGCAATGTCCGAATCCTCCCTCTATCCTCTCCTCTATCTCGCGTGCTGGGAACCACTATATCTTTCGTCTTTCTCTCGCAGCTTCAGTACTCATTCTTTCGCTTTCTCCTCTACGTCATCTGATCAGTTCAGAAATTGTTGATCTTCAATTCTTACCTCTTGCCATATTCTCCGAGCTTCACAATTGTCCTAGGATTCCTGTTAGCCTGCCTCACCCCCGGAACGAGGCTGCTATATTAGTTGCAGGCGTCTGGACGTTCGCATGAACACACCGTTCGAACACAAAAACAACAATTACACTATGTCTCCGGAAGACAATAGTCGCGCGCCGAACCCTAAAAGCCTGCATCAGTTTCCCCTCCATTGCCAGAGCTCCCGGTTTGGCCGTCCTACGCCACAGTCCTCTCTGGTCTCTTCCGTTTATTCTCTTCGCCCGCCCCGCCGGACAATGCACACGTTTACCTTTGTTCCCCGCCCTTTTCCGCCTCCCGCTCTCGCCGACGTTCCCCTTGAGTACATCATTGACCAGCTCCGCCGTCTCGCTCCTCATTATTGGAGCAAACCTGAAACTTCGGATTGTACCATTCGTCAGCATCTCAGTGTTTTTTGTTGCGGATCACTTCTGACTTCCGCCTTCACATTTCAGTTGTTCCACTGGATAGCTCCTGTAGTCGTTCGATCATGACCGACACAGTTCCGGGATCGTCTGTCTTTACATTAGCAGAAACACTATCTCAATCTAATGCGCTCGACATCTCAGAGGTGTCAATCCCCGTTCCTCGCATGGTCATGAAGGTGCGCAATACCTCGTACTATTTCGCGAAAGTTACCGATTCAATTCTGCAGTTACACATGGATTATCTTTCAGCCCATTCCGCGCTGCTGAGAGGCCTACTCAGTGGTGCTTCGCCCTTCGACCTGATTGACAGCGCACCAACCCCTCCGATTGCCTCACACTCTTCCAGACACAGTCCCACTGGTTCCTCTCGATCAAATCGCTCTTCAATGTCCGTACCGCTTGTCCCCTCTCTGCTGCCCTCGCTCCCTACACGGCCCACCATATTCCTACCGGTCCCCGACCCACCGTCCCTACGCCTACTCGTGCATTATATCTATTTCGGTTGCACATCCTTCATCGAGGACGCACTAGACCGTGGGGTTCTCAGTTGGGAAGGCCTTGCCCGCAACGTCGAGTATCTCGGCATGGGCCCTGAGATCAAAGTGTTCCTTGGGCAGTGGTATGGGCGCTGGCGTCACGGTCATACCGCATGCGCTCAGGGTGATGACTACAACAGCAGCGACTCGGACAGTGACAGCGATTCTAGCGCCGAAGGCGATGACGACATGGACTCCACTGCGAGAGATGAGTCTATCGCGACGTCTGTGACCCTCACTGACCACGAAGACATTTACTACGCCGCGAAGGAATACGAAAGGCCCGAGGAGCCACCTCGAGGACGCAGAACTGCAAGGCGCTGCTTGGGACACTCTACGTCCGACCCCGAGTTCACCCGCCTTTCCCGTCTTAGCGATATCGACGCTCGCCGTCCGCCCGTCCCGCGCGGACGCAGCAAGTAATCCTGCGCTCTTGACCTCCGAAGATCTTCCTTTATTTCGACTTCTATTTTGCCTGTCAGGCGAACATTGTGCGCAATCCGTGCTGATTCCGGATGCTATCTTCGCTTTCGTATAATATTATTCTAATTGTTATCTGCAACACACCCAACCACTCGTGGGTACTTTCTCGAGCTTCGCTGTAACCTGCTGGCTGATGCATTCTACCTTAGGACCTTCTCTACTTGCTGTTGTTCCGTTGCTTTCGTCGCATTTGAACACTGCTAGCCGACCCGAACAGGACAGCGACGCTCCTTTCCCTTGGGCAGTAGCCCGATTCCCTCCTTCTCATCCCCCCGTTCAACCGTACATCATCCTTTAAATCGAACAGGGCGTCGTTGCAGTCATATGCTGCAACTGGATCCTGGCAATACGTCACGTGTACTACGTTACGTGTACCTCTAGTAAGTAGCAATTGTTTTTGTGGGAGCGTGGTATGACTAGCAGAGAAAGAAGCTTATCCTCACAGTACTCGCTGGTAGCTACTAATGGCGCCGTCGGTACTGTGCATGTACTACCATACGTGGGAAGCATTATCACTTCTGTGTGCCTATAGAAGCATCATTGACAATAGAACAAATACAGAAGGTCAGTGACCGTAAAATGTGCGCAGTCTCGCATCACCAGCACCTGAGTGCACTCGGCGGGAAATATTTCAAGGACCCATTTAACGCAGATGATAAGAAAGGAAAGCGTGTTACGAAATTGGTCACTGCCACAGTGTGCAATATGGCCGGGCGTCGTTACCGTTGCAACGAAGCCACGAGAAAAAGGCGTAGGAGCTCCGCGACGATCATCCGCTAGACCTCTCTTATTGTCCATCTGGGAGTGCCGTCGTGTCTGGCAATGCGCAAAGGCCTTGCATCAGAAGAAAACTCCAAGCGATCCTCTATTTCCTCAACGAGACTGTCGGTAATTATACCCACTTGTCGCGCGTGGGGCATTGCGCTCAAGTTGACATCCCTGTGTGTCTCTAGATCTTCCCGCGTCCCCTGGTGAGCGGAGCGATCTTTTCACTGGCATCTAATAGTTACAGCGAACAAAAGGTTCGGGCCGCAGCAGCTACCTATGGCGAGAGGCTAGACACATCATCAGCTTGCGAGCGCGATATTGACAATCAGTCTTGGACAGACTAGCCTACGCACAGAACACATGGTGTAGCCTTGCGTCGAAGTTGTTATCGATGGGAAAAGGCACATTGCTGTGCAGATATCCCTTCATAAGTCTTGCGTCATGGTGATGGTGACTTGTGGTCGATACAAGAAATCCAAACCTTGGGTGAGGACCAATCCACCGGGCGGTCACAGTTGTTAAAGCATTGGTGGACATGTGACCCCCGTCGAATTTTGGGAAGTACGGAGCCTAAGCAGGTCATATTAACAATGCAAAAGGGTGACGCCTGACAAAAGACGTACCTCCCCTGCCTCTCGGAGATCGGAGGGTAGTTCACTCTGCTGCGAAGCCGTGGGTGTCTGCGAATCTCGAAACCCCTCCTGTTACCGCTGTTTTCACGAACGAGGAAGGCGCCAGAACGTTCAAGAGGATTCTTCTTCAGCATCCTTGTGACAAGGTCCTTAATGTGTGTGCTAGTAACTGGATTTTCTAGCCAACATAATTCTCCTGTGTTGATTTTTTGCCCTGAGATTGATCCTACTCATCCCATCCCACAGTTTGCAATAAGAAGCTGAGCGTGGTGTTAGGTCGCAGCCACCAACAGCCGTATCAGTGCCTTCGTTAATATCTTCTAAACCGTCACTCTCCCCGCCAATCAAATGATCTTTCTTGGACTAATCGGATGTGGGTTGAATTTTTCGACAGGCTCAGGCACTCTGTATGGCCATGTGCCAACGTGAGCTCCAAAGATATCAGCATGGTCAGTATCATGGAGGGCACTACCAGGTTCAGCCAAGCTTAGTCGCCGTCTGCACCGACTAGCAGGTTTTCTAGATTGATATGGCCGTCATGCGAATGCAGGAATTCCTCTGCGATTGTGATGTTCGCAAAACGAACCTGCCCATCCGAGTCGGTGAGACGCGTCTCTTCGTCTATCACATTTTGCAGCGAGCCACATAGTACTAGTTCAAGCAAATAGAGATTGTGTTCGTCCGCAGACGAGGATTCCAGGGCAATTCTGTGCGAAACTGCCTCTCAGGATTTTGGCCGGTGTCCCTTGGAGATGCATCGTGATCATTCTTCAGTGAGACAGAACAGGAAGAAGTGACCTGGCGTAAGACATACTCTGCTGTTACTCAGCTGTGCCATTTTCTTGCATCTCATGTTTATGGCACAGTAAGTGGCAGGACGTTCCAATGGGTGAGGTAACCTAATATATTTGGCGAGTCTAACCAAAAGCATTGTCCCATTAACTCCACAACCTGAGGAAATAAGCCAAAACAGTGCACTGGCACGCCAATGAACCTAGTGCTCGTATGTATTCCAACTCTTTGGACATGGACCGCACCCTTTGGACGGGCGTACGGAGTCGATCTCGGTTTGCGATATGCACCGCAGCCTGGTTCACGAGCCCGGTAGCTTTCAAACACATTTTGTAGTGGGTTCTAACTGTGAATTTGACGTTCTGTCTCTGTAATTTACACAGCTGGAATGTTAGACATTCCTACGGCGACAATCAGATTCTATCTCACGTTGTCGCTCGAGACGTTCTGAGAATACGCAGACAGAGTCCAGCAATGGGTTTGGTTCCTTGCGTGCAGATATGACATCCACTACAGTCGTTCCTGTCTCTACGAGGAGCATCACTGAGGGACAAGAATCACTGGGATCGTTTTAGCACATACACCGTCGCAAACTTGAAATTATTCTTCTTTTGGCGCTACACTCGATCCCTCGGCAAGTCCCCCTAGTGGTGCTCGGGCGGCTCGCCACCACCATTATCCGAGCTCTACGCCATGGTTCCGTAAACAACCCAAGTTGTTCATTAGCCCACACAATACACTGAAGGCTTCTACATACACACGTCTATTATCACACTACAAGAGAATAAATTGAGTCTAACAACTGCCGAACATAATGTCTAATTGTCTGGCAACGCACACCGGTGTGCGGAAAGGTTGTAGTCTACGATGAAAAAGGTCAGGATTCACGAACCAGAAAGACTAGATTCAAGAAGAATTGGCATACCGTCACCCCACTACTCAGGAAAGGTATACGCATTCCCTGATGCTCCGAAGACAGCCTATGTATGAAGTTCATGATGAGCATCTGGCAATGTCTAATAGAGAGACTGGACGCACAAAGTTTAAGATGAAGCTGATGACTTGTGTTCCACCGTCCAGGGCAGCAGCGATGATGTAGCTAACCGCACCGCAAGTTACATGATCTCCAAAACAGAACAACGAGGATCACGCACTTGTACTTGGTGAACCAACGAGGATAGCATGTGCGCACCCACCATTGCGAGAAGATACCCAATGCCATACCGAGGCTAAGGGTATCGTACGCCAAGTCAGTCGCCAAATATATATATATATGAAGGGATACTCACTTGATGGAGGAATTGATCCTCATATAGCAAAAGCACTGAATATGCCATGAGTGACCATCACTCGTACCTCAGGCATCCACGGAACGAACCTACATGATGGCAGATGTTTTTAGTTCTCAAAGCCTGCCTGCGGGCAGATACGGTGCTGCCGATGAGATAAGCTAGATAGAATGGACAGCAACTAAGTTACCGCGAGATAGAATAGAAATGGAGGGACGACGCCGATGGCGAGAGAGAGTGGTACCATATGGTATATCCCGCTCGGCCCAAACATTCGTGGCTTGAGCGCCCCTCATGAGATCGCGTTGGCTGAAGAAGGACGTCACCACCATCCAAAGATCTGGATACACCTGTGGCACACTCACAGTTATGCTGCTGTGCATTCTGGCCAGACCAGAGCCTAGACATGGGGTGAGCTACCTGGCACATCGTAAAAACTACTTGTGTACATACCGAGTACCCGAGATTGAAAGGAGAGCAGTCTGGTTGTACTGCGACCCGTTTGCAGACAGGGCACAGAGTAAATAGAGGTGCCCTTGTACATCATGATGGACCAACAGTGGCTCACGAAAATAGCCTGGCTCATGAATGGGAAGTTCTTCGCCTCCCACACATTGCCGTAGTACATGGATGCCATAAGGATGTACATGAAGCAGATGCCAATGTCTTCATTGATCTGGAGCCAGAGCGAGCTGTACAGGCAGGAGCTGCCGATCAAGTTCCAGCCTAAGCACCACGAAAGTAAGCCCATGTCCTCATTGTTGCTGGCGCCCCCTAAAATGGAATACTTCATTGGTATTGTTGGCCATGCAAAAGATTGAAATTCCAGTGAGCAGAGGGAATATCCCTGGGATAATCGATTGATCAGCTAGTCTGAAACCTCAGAACGGCGACAGAACGCACATTGCAGAATGATTTCCCAGAAGAGCACGACAGGAAAGTCCAAAATAACCGAACGCGCTTGGAAGTCATTTGTCTATCATAGTGGAGTACTTGGAATAGATCGGCAATTGAGAATGGAAAAACGCGATGACAGGGAAGTCCAAAACGTGGTTGTTAAACAGCGTACTGTTAATAGGCCAAAAACACTTCGTGGGCTTAACGAGGGCGTCCTGCAATAGACCAGCATATCCATGGCCCAGTAACTGCGAGCTTATGAGAGTGAAGATCGCGACACCGGGATTCTGCGAGTACAAAGATAATTACTGCATACCATCTTGCTTTTGTAGTATACTGAGTGCTGGAGATCCGTAAGCCTGTGTAATGCACGCATTGCAAAATCTGCATAACTTACAATCCTGAACGGAAATGACCTGAATGGCAACTGCAGAATTGGCAGCAGTTGACGACATGATGACAACAGCAACATGCTCCTTGACTACAAGGTTTCAACAGGAGAACCATCATGCAGGGGAGTAGACATACTGTTGAAAGGACCTGGATTGATGAACCGGAAAATGCCCTCCGACGGAAGAAACATGTGCATGACACTACCAAACCAATACGATAGAACCAGGAGGAGCAGCGTCGAGACAAGAATGGTTTGAGGCTTAAAGTGGTAGATCTGAGCCAGAACTCTGCAACAGCAAGCTACGTCAAAACACGATTCAACGATGCCACAAGAATAACTGACCCTCCAAATGCTTAAAAGCCAAGGCCTAAGAAGACGGTACGGAAGGTCAAGGCCTGAAGCTCAGGATCATCTCTAGTGGATAAAACCTGCGAATCGCGAGATCACGCGTAGTATTCAGCATCTATCTAACACGCAGGCTGTAAGATAGCCTCGTACCTTAACTGCAACATCGCATGCATTTTCGACGCGGTATTCATTGTCGCTAGCTTCGTCATTACCAAGCCAATTCTCAGACTCTTCGACGTTCTTCAGTTTAGCGGTGTCACCGACATGATCGAAAGGTTTCTCAAGGGAACCAGAAGAGTCCTTCTCACTATCATATGGTGGTTGTTGGCCGATGATGTCCGTCATAGTGCAGGGGGTTGGGTCCTTGTAGGGCCCCTACCATACCTGAGAGACGCATTGATATACTTATACTCAACGAGTCATTGGTGAGGCATCGTCAGCTTCTTATCATTGACTCGGCTGAAAGCGAAAAAAATCGACGGTCCGTCGAAAGCATGTGGCTCGCATCCTCGAATATTTTGGTCAAGGTTCGATGAATGGCGCAGACGGCAAGACACCTGAAGGCCAGGCGGGTCGCTGGGCCGACGGATGACCCAATCCGTATATATGTTGCGCCCAAGAACGCACGTCTCTACAGCATGATAAAAGCATTGAAAGTCATTGGCCTGAGCTGCAAGGCGTCAACAAGGAGCACAGGTTAAAGGCACGACAGGATGCTAGTTTGACTGAGGCATACTGGAGTGAAATTCTTGTGGCTCGAATCTTCGAGTCATTCGTATTCACCGTTCCATGTTTTTGCTTTGCAGATTTTGCTTGCAAGATCGTCTGCACTGACGAATCTCAACCAGAGATCCACCTCGACAACTAGATGCAAATGCAGCACAGGGTGATGCTATGGCTCGATAACGACAGTTGCCTGGATGGGAAGAAGAATACAAGTAGTTCTTTATATAATCACGATGATGTGGGTATGCATGCAGACTAGAGTCAAGGAGGGTAACAACGCCAGAGCAGGAAAGAGCGTGAGGACATTAGCGAAGTGCAACGAGTAGGGATCATCCGAGGAGCAACAGATTAACACGAATACAATGCTAAAATCTCTGATAGTGGCGAATTCAGTGCTGTCTGGAATTATCTCAAGGACGCCACTCACCAAAACAGAGACATCCAAAGGGAACCGCAAACACCGTGGGTCTAAGATGTAAGTGAGTAGCGAACAACACGCAGAGCATACAGCGCGAACGCATGGCTTGACAGCCGAACACCGCATCTCGTCCGGCGAGACTGGGATTATGGTAGCCATATCTTGATAGTTTGGTCAACGCAGCCAGATGCGACAACATTGACAAACTTCTCGGCTTCGGCTGCTTTACCGTCTGCCGCGGCACCATTCACCTGGGTGCCATTTGTTGAGCTCTGCGCTGGTGCCTGCCGTCCCCAAGCTAAACACGTCACAAAGTGCCCGTGCGCCTCGACGGTCTTGACACAACGCCCGGTTGCAAGTTCCCATACGCGTATCTTGTAGTCGTCCCCAGCAGACAGAAGGAACTTCCCGCTGGGATGGAAGACTAATGCGCGGACCCAATTATCGTGGCCGGCCTGTGCAATGACGTCGCGTAAATGGTGGATCAAGAATATGCGCACAACTAAACCTACCAAACTTCGGATCATCTGGCCGGTCTGTGTGTCCCAAATCTTGATAGTCTTGTCTCGCCCACCCGTTACAGCATATGCACCAGGGCGTTTTGAACGGTCTCGGTTCTGTATTGAGAGATTGAGACTGCGACTCATCGGGACCAGAATACGACATACTGGGATGCCTCCCAACTCGCGGATTGCTGCATAGGCATTCACAGGAGCGAACACAACAACTTCAACAGTGTGCTCATGGCCTCTCAGCTCCATTTTCATTTCCCCTGTGAGCGGGTCCGTGATGCGAGCAGTCTATCGGATAGTGGTCAATTCACTTGTTTTAATATACAAGGGGGTGGCACACTTACTTGATCATTGCCACAACTGGCTAACAACCGCCCGTCTTCTGAGGGCTCCACACACCGTACCCAATCTGAATGTACCGAGATGGTTCGAATCAGATGTCTACAATCAGTAGATGAGTACACTGCGGGGAAACAGATGAGAGATACGAACGTAGACGCGACATCGAATATCCGTATCGTTCGATCTCGACTGGCACTGACGATTTGTTGATCACCCGGCATGAATCGGACGGAGGAAACTGTATGTTCGTGGCCAGGAAAGGTCTTGGTGTTCTTCCAATCGTTCTGCACATCCCATACCTTGATGAATAGGTCCGAAGAACATGTAACTGATGCGTTCATCAATGTCATACACCAGCGATACACACCGCGACAAAGCCCGGGACTCACCCAGCAGATTTCCCTTACTATCAAAGTCGACATCATTCACCGTCCTCGTATGCCCCTTCAGCGTGCGCTCGAATTCGCCGGTCTCCCAGTCCCAAATCTTCACTGTCGCGTCTTCACTTGCTGATGCGATGAGGTTGAATGTCGGATGGAAAGCCACCTTCAGCACTGAGCCACGGTGCCCCGTCAGTACATATGCTGCTGGAGCTCTAGGCACCCAATCCGTCTGCAATGCGGCGCGTTTGGCTGGAGATAGCGAGAGCTCTTCTTGCAGTGCCGCGTTCCGGTTCTCCAAGTCCATAATCTGTGCACATACAAGGTCACTCACCACGTACAGACCGTGTCTCCATAACCGTACAACAATAACGCACCTTCTTTTGCAACCGTATGACACTGGTCCACTTCTTCTCCAGGAGCCCCGCATACTTGGACTTCGGGTCCGGTTTGTATTCTACGCCCGCGTCTAACTTGAGCGAGTCGAACGCGTCTGTGAAGCTGTTCGCATGCAGATATTCGAGGATAGATTTGTGGCTGTAAGGATACGGAGAAATGAGCATGTACATGCAGGCGCTCCGGACAACAGGGCCACTCACAGTTCCTCCTTCTGCCGGTCAGATAGCAAGGACATTGTTACCGTAGGTCTCGCCTACCCAAATTCCCGCTCGTAATAAGAAAACGTGCCGAAGTGAAAGAAGGAATGGAGGGTGGTCGCGTCGAAGCTGGAAGTGGGGTGGTTCGAGCAGCGGCGACCCGCCTCAAAGGTCCATACCTGCCTGCCCGTTTTGGCAATCGTGGCGGCACCGACGACCTCGCAACTACATTTAACAAAGCCTCATTGAATATTGTCGCAAGGGCAAAGTAACACCATTATTGAAGATTAAGTGATAAACATTGCATATTTTCCCGGCCTTCTCGCTGCCAACACTCCACGAGGATTCCAGGAATGCCTAGTTATTCGCTCCGATAACTCCAAGAAATATTTTCTGTGCAGACATACAATATACAGTCCGTGCTTAGATCTGGGCTTGACATTACATTGAACACCTATATATTACCAGTCGTCATCGTCAGACATGTTTGCATAGATATCTGATGTGGCTGAAGGCCCAGGGGCTGAGCCCTGCTCTTTCGGGCCCACCATATCATTCGGGTCAATCTCATCATCCTCGTCGTCACAATTCACTTCATTGGGAGCCTGTGGTGGATCCTGTACGTCTCCTGCTGAGTTGATGACTGGCATGACCCACCGGCAAAGCCTTTGTTCATCAATGGTAGGGCCGCGAGCCATAGAGTACCACATTCTGCCCAATAATCTGGGTTACACAGACTATCAGCCATGTACCAACAAATTGGGAGTGAAAAACTTACCCGCTCTCATTCCCCGCACACCATCCCTGCTGTGCAGGGTCATTTACGTCTGATCTACCCTGCACAGAGAGATCATGTGCGTTATTAGGGATATTGGCAGATGGTAGAATAGCCTGCTTCAATTTCTCGTGCATGAGATGCACGTCAATAACATAAACGCTTGGCTGATGTAAAGATGGCTGCGGAGAGCGCGGGCGGGGACGGGAATCACGGTTGGTATCCCGGCGAGGTGATCTAGAACGGAAATCTCTCCTGATGCAATGTAAATGAAGGTAATGCTGTAAGCAAACAAAATGCACATACGAATCATGTCCCCTCATGCTGTGATATAGAAGGCGGAAAATCCCACTTTCCCACTGGGAAGTATCAACTCCAAAGGCCTGTAATATTTTCAGAGCCTTCTGTGCATCATGAACAAGTAAAATCTTTGGTGGGACAGTATCCCCGACAGTGGAAGGTGCAAAAAACTGTTTCAGACGAGAACAGATAGCTGTCTTGTCCATTATCTCTGTGGTACCATAGGAGAAATTCTGTCACAATTTTCAGACCATGTCTTGTCAGGAGAAGGTATGAATAGCCTACTACGTACCAGCCTCTTCATGCGAGGGTTCTGTAACAACATATTCTCTTTGATGCGCAGGTGGACAGAGGATTCAATTGCCAGATCACCGTGCTCATCGGGGACAGTAAATTCGGACCAACCAAGATCAAGGATATGAGGATTTTGTTCACGCTCAGTGAGCGAGCGTGTGTCTGCAGTCCAAGTGTTACATGCAAAGGAGAATACCTTTACATCATGCAGCCATGGTGCAGGTTGTAGTGCATAATTAGACAGATTGTTCAACTCTCTGCGATGGAGCATAACAAAAACACTGGGAGTAAATGGATTAAGCCAGGTTCAAATGAACGTAGTTGTAATCCCTACCGCTGATGTTCAAAGGTTGCTCGTGCAATTCCTACAGGAGATGAAGCTTCACCACTAGTGACATATCCCGAATTCGCTTTGCTCCGATCTCTAGGAGCTCCATTCTTTGTCTTCTTAGACATCAGCGTATGGAGCTTCTTGACTAGCTCTGTCGCACTGTTGAACCGAATAGGCGAGAGAGACATGAATCTCTCAGCAGGCCATGGATTCGAGACACGTCTTCCCCTCCATCGGTTCTCAGGCAGTAGAAGATACGAGGCTCCGCATGATCTTATACCTGGTTGAAGAACAATTTTGCCATTGTCCTAATAATGGGTTCACCGAAACAATCATACCAAGAACAAGCTCGATACCCGTTTCTCCAACGCGAAGAGCTTGAGCAATTGCTTCTGGGGCATCTCTGGAGACCCATTCGAGAGCATTCAACAGCTAAGTTTGAATGGGACTGACTTCATGTGTCCCATGTAACCTCCAATTTGGACGTATCTTGTCGACTGCATTGAGTCTTATGCCAAAATGACCTGCGTTGATCCAAGCGGTAGATGAAGGAAGGTCGTCAGAATCAAACGAATGCGATTGTCACACTGGCGAATCATCTCACGGACAAACAACACGCATCAAAACATATTCTACCAACCGTAAAGGCGACGAAACGAATTAAATTGATGAAATCGCAAACGTAGAGAACTACACGCGTATCTACGAGACATTGCAGAACAAATACATGTGAACATCCGATACGTACGTCCGTTGATCACCGTCCCGCGTGTACTACTGGTGCATTGCAGTTCTGTATATCTGTGTCAAGTACTTAATAAAAAGGAAGAGGGAGGAGCCAGGCTTCATATCAATTCGTTCAATCATTATGGTAACTTTACGCTCCAAGAGAAATAACAGATAAAGCATCGCTGCCAGAGGATGGAAGAGCATGGTGATACAATGGTGAGTGAATAGAGAACAACAGAGGAGGATAATGCATAATACAAGGTATCAGTGCAATGGACTGTACCAATTCCCTTGTGTTCCAGAGAGGCCGTTTCTATATCCAAGACCGAAGTATTAGATCGTCCGAAGTATCGTTCAGTGTTCCTGTCCCGAAACTTCAGAAGCCGGGCATACCGCCCAAGCCCATAAAGTTCTGCCCGCCAACGACAGACATGGGTCCGGGGCTGGGATGCCGCATGACGCTCTGCATCGCATGCGGGTTCGCAAAACTGCCCATGTTCATCTGCATCTGCATGAGCGGGTTCATACCCATCATGTTCATGTTCATTTGTTGCATGCCCATGTGCTGCGCAGCGTACGCAAGTGCAGCAGGGTTCGACATGGCGAATGGATGCTGGCCGGGAGAGGTCGAAGTGGAAAGACCTTGAGACTGACCAGTCGACTGCAGTCCCATCGGAGTTTGAGTAGGTGAGGAAGCACCCTGCTGTACTTGAACGGCCTGGACCTTTTGCATCGATTGCAGTTCATAAAACGCGAAGTCTTGCAGGAGGGAAGTCCGTGCCGGGTGGGTGTGGAAGATGCGTAACATCTCCTGACCAGCATCAGGCAGCAACTCCTGAGTGTCGCGCGAATTCGTAACGGGCTTGCGTTCCTGCGTATTGCTGCGGAAATAACGGGATAAGTAATCAAAAAAGTGGACAGGAAAAGCCGATGCATACTTGAGTCTGATATGCCTTAAGTTGGAGTTGGGAATATCGCGGACGAAAATCCATTTGACTTTGAAAACGCCCTTCCACTTATCTGAGGCCCACACTGTGCTGCTGCGGCTATAATCAACCTGAGATAGATTCAACGTCAGTGACAAGACACCACAGGAGAGATAGACTTGCCGGCGTCAGCATCTCCGCCATTCCGCAGAAATGACCGCTGTCCAGGGTCATTCAGCATCGGGATATAGTATGAGAGGCATATTAAGCATACCTAGCATTGACACTAAAGAAAAGGTAAATGGGGCCTCTGCCGGAGCACTCCTTGAACGCCTTATCAAGTCTCTTGTTGCCAGGATCGGTGGAGCTCCAGATCTCATATTTAAGAGACTTATGAACATCGTCTTCCGTGTAAGACTTGATAACAAAATAGCGGGCCTGCACGAGAAAAGACGGTTATTATTATGACATGCAGTCTGGAACTCCATACTCACGAATAGAGGTCGGGTATCGAAATCGACAGGATTGTAGCCTTTAGTAGCAATGAGGGTCGGGACATCGATGGGTGAGCCAATGTATCCCTCGTTAGATCCACCCTGGGAGTCATTTCTGCCATGTCCACGGCTGGCAGACTGGCTGCTCTGAGTTCCTGTACTACCGGCGGGACTAACGACGCCCAGGCGCGGCCCTTGGTTGAGGTACTGAGAAGGGATAGGAGGGACGCTGGGAATACCGCCGTTCCCGCCACTTCCGATTTTGCCTGATTGACCTTGATAAACATTGTGCAGACTCGGCTGCGAAGCGCGACCTGTCAAGACACGGTCCTTATTGGAATCCCAAGTTGGTGTTCCTGAAGCGGTGAATGCACGCTCACGATTCCCGTGATGCTCCTCACCCCGGTCACCACGTTGACCAGAGGACACTCCATGCCCAATCGGCGGGATGTAGGCCGATGCGCTTTGGACCGACCCCTGGGCGGTTGGGGTGCTGCGCCCATCGACATCGGTGTTGAGTTGCAGTTTACGCGCGGGACCACTGTTACTGCCGCCATTGCGCATGCCACCGACCTGCATGGTCTGCGACGCATTGAAGCGAGGCGGGTGCGACGACTGTCCCTGCTGGAAATTACCCATATTGCCGTACTGCTGATTGATCTCCAAGGCAGACAGTGCACGGGAAACGTCATCGATGCCACCGTTACCGCTGGCAGAACCCCCAAACTGAGGCCCGCCGGCTTGGCCGCGCCAATCATTGCCGGGCGTGTTCCAGGGAGAGGATCTGCCCATGGGACTGCCAGGGTACTGTCCTTGTTGCCCAGGTAACCCGAAGTAGGTATCCTCTTCGGCATGAACGCTGTCGTCGTCATATTCCTCCTCAGCGTTGGTGGGACTAGGAGTCTGTGCACCACTATAGGCAACGCCCTGGTGTCCTTTGCTGCCTACTTGTATGGTGCCGGCACGCTTGAGACCCGTCATTTGTCTCATGTTGTGGGTGACATTGGGATAATTAAGACTCTGGTGTCTGCGGACGCCTGCACCGCCACTACCAGCGGGAGGCGGAGACGGCCCATGGGGAAGTCCACCCGCAAAGTGCGGCGACAGAGGGGAGGCGGACGACGACGCCGGGTCGACCGCCTGATGGCCGTGATCGGAGACAGACACTCCGTGCTGTGCAGGAGATGAGAGATAAACTCAGAACGAGATGTATTGAACATACCTCCTCGTCCCGGAAATCCCTCATCTCTCTCTCCCATTCTTCTTCCTCACCCTCATGGCCTGCGATGGCCGATAAACTATTCAGGGCTCTCGGAGCGTGTGATCCTGGTTGACCGCCGAATGCTATAGCCCCGCAAAGTTAGACAATCCAATCCAGAACTGAATCGCAGCCCATCTACATGTGCGCTGCAGTCACGAGTGCTTACCACGGTGGTACCGAGTGGGCAGCGAAGCCTGCCTGTGCAACGAGGACTTTTCACCGACTGCACCAATACCTCCAACCCAGTCTTGATCAACAGGCTCGTCGTCATTCCATAGCTGTTCTGCTTGTGGGTCCTCCAGTTCCGAGATGTCGATTTTTGAAGTCGGCCGGTTCGCACGAGATGAAGCGGAAATTGTGTGGTGCCTGCGGACGCCTCCCCCAGAATTAGTGGACGAGTCTGGCACCGGCGGAGGAGAAATCGGGTAGCCAGACTGCGAAGACATGACTGAGAATGGAAGAGAGTAAAGAACTCAGGAAGAAAGACAGGGAGGAAGATTGCAAATGAGCAGCACTGCGCGCGGCAATGGCAGACACTCTCCGCCGTGGTCTTCGCGTTGTCACGCTCCCGACCGCGGCCGGCCCGGCCGACCCTCCGACCGTGGCTCGGTCTCGGGCCCGCAATGTCCTGCGCGAAATTCGCGTTTATGTTGCGGCCAATTCCTCCCATTTCCATAGAAGAGTTTTTCCAATCTCTGCAGCGATGCATGCCTCCAGGTGGTTGGCCCGAGACACTGGGTGCGTTATCTCATTTCCAAGGTGGACCGCTCCACACATTTCCTCCTTGCAGCGGTCGGAAACTCTGGGGGGCCTGATTCGACCTGCCTTCTGTTTCTGCTTTCCTCTGTCCTTGAACAAGCAAAAGGCAGCTACGGCCTACCCTTCAAACTCTATTCGATACACATAGATCATGATTTACAGCCTGCAAATCGCGAAATGGCAGACTGGGCTAGACGAAATGCGAATGCTTTCCGCGTCCAGCACCACACTTACGAGGTCCCATGGGGCTCCTTCCCGTTCCCCAAAAGCCCCCATTCAAAGCTTGAGACGTTTGAAAAAGTTGCGCGTGAAGCGCGGCAGAACAGGCTCTTCCATGGGATGTCTGTCTCGCATGCCGATGCTATCGCGCTCGCTCACCACGCCGACGACCAGGTGGAAACCGCTGTCATGCGAATGGCGATGGGAAGCGGTCTTGTAGGACTGGCCGGCATGAGACCTGTGAGGCGGTGGGGTATGGACGTCGGACAGTTCGGAGCTTTCGCCGGCCCTGAGGGCATGTCCCGATGGATTGTGCGTCCTCTCTTGTGGTTCTCCAAGGTAACGGCTTCACTGTATATTTGTTCGGTATATATTTATTCTAGTGATAGGATAGGATTCTCGAGACGTGCGAGACCAACGAATTGCCTTATACAAACGATCCGACGAATTTTCAGCCTGCCATCAGTATTCGCAACGCCGTTCGCCATTGTCTGGCCGAGAACAAGGACATCTCCGAAGTGGTAACCAAGGTATGTTGTAACACCAGAAGGTGTTTCTTGCTCATTCTGTAACAAAACAGAAGGACCTCAAGGATGCTCCGGGAGCGCAAGTCGTCGTGGAACAAATCCCAAAATTACAGGCTGCCCTTGAAAAGCTTCGCGAGCAGGCTGATCGTATGCCGGACAGCGCGATCTTTGAAGGCCGTGACCGACTGCGAGAAGTTGTTAGACGTTTCTCTACACGCCTCGAGGCGCTGGATTCCGAAGGTAATTTTCTGCGCCACCTCGTTGATACGTTTCTCATGCGACTTAATCCAGTTTCGAATGTTCTCATGCCATGTCTTCTCCCATCTCCTCCTTCCACGCTCTTACTGTCCATCCCAGAACTTCAAGAGATTGGGGATCCCGACGTCCGTGTAGGAATTGCGCGCCGCATATTGCGCTACCTCTCCCCTCGTCCATGGGGTAGTTTGGCGGCAGAAGCCAAAGGGGACAGTGCAGCATTGAACAACCTCGTGAAGAAAATATGGTGTATACCTTCTCGGATACCTGAGTTGGACCCGGTACCGCTGCCGTTTAGTGCGCCAAGCACTGTTCAGTTCTGGCCCATGGTCGTGCGCACTGATGAAATGGTCAGAAGACGGAAGGTCCTTAATTTCGGCGAGGTGCCTGTCTGGTTGGCGCAGCGTGCCCCTCCCCATTCCGCAAAGCAGCTTGCCAGGGAAGGTCGTGCCAATCCTTTGATAAAGGACCTCAGCAAATTCTTTGTCGGCTTGCAACGAAGGGACAAGATACACTTCATGCTGTACGATTGCAGGTTTCTCTTGACCTTCACCTTCGAGGACATGCCGAGCGATATTTTCGTTGCAACACTGGACCCCACCACGAAATTCTTGGTCAAATCTTACACCTCTTGGTTCTTACCTCAGGTGATAATGCAGCGTCAAGGCGAACAAGACCAGGTGTTAGCGAGGTTTAAGTATAAGCATCCTAGGTGGAGCGAGACACAAGAAAGGGAGAACAGTAAAGATATCAAGGAGAGAGAGGATGATGTTCTGGTAAGAGGAGACGGTGATGCATGGATAAAGATCGAATTCATTCGGACGTTGGAAGCTCTCTGATGTTTCCGCCCTTTTTTAATCCATTGAACCTATTGGACTTTCGTGTCCAGAGTCAACTAATCTACAGTTCTGCCAGTCTCGAATGACACAGGCACTTCTTGTCGACCACAAACTCGATAGCTAAATTACTGTGAAGGTATGTGTACTGAGGGGATAACGTATATGCATAAGATATCAGAATCAGGAGACGAGACTGTCTCCTTGAAGCTCTTCGAACTTCTTGCGAGCCAGACGGATGTTCATCTTCAGCGCCGCCGTCTCTATCGAAATAGACCCGATCAGACCATGGTCAGTGAAACGAAGTACGTTAAATTTACCTATTGTGGGGTCGTGGACGACGATGAGGACGTATGTATTTTTGGTGAGCTCATCGAGCACGGCAGTAAACTCGGCGAGCTCCATCTCAAGGGAACGGAAATCCTCTCGGACACGCGAGCACGCGTGCTTGAACGCCTTAATGAGCTCCGACGTGCGCTCATACCGGGTCGGCGCGAGCTTGTGAGGGTCTGAATCGTCCGGTGTATAACGCGCATTCGAGCGGGTGTGCGAGGTACTCGTCGGTGTGAGGAGGCCGTTCGAGTGCATAGAAGACGGTGTAGAGAACAAAGGAGTAACCGGCAGCGGGATGGATGCGGGGGAGGGCGGCGGGGAGGAGGTGGCAATAACAAGAAAGGTCGTGCGCTCGAATAGGATGACTTCCGTCGCGTTGCACGCGTGTGCGAGGGTCGTCAGGTGCTTTGAAAGCACCGCCACGTTCGGAATCAGCGTGTGCACGATTCGAGACCATGCCTGTCGAGTGAGAATGAGAGCTCAAAGGTGAGGGAATTGCGATGGTGACTGACCTTGTACAGGCTCTCATCGTAGATACTCGTCCCGAACACAGTTACCCCCATGCCGTCGCTCGCCTGCTGCAATTCTGCCGTCTTCCTGTCCAGCGTCTGGCCCCTCGGCTCATTCACGAGATCCATCTTGTGCACAAGTAGGAACACCGCAGCGTCAGGGCTGTACCGACGGAGAGCCGCAAGACAGTCGCGGTAATACTCGAGGTCCTTGCGCATGTTACGCGACTGAACCTCGAAGACATAGATCATGACGCCGACGTGCTGGAAGATCGTGGACTGCTGGGTCGAGAGGTAAGAGTCCATGAACGCGTCCTGACCGCCACAGTCCCACAAGTTCAGGATCAGGTCTCCCAGGAAGCGCACATGATTCTGTTCGACGTCGATGGTCGCACCCAGGCGAGCGGTGAGAGAGGCAGGGTTATTAGAACTGGAAAAGTGTTAACTCGCATCTCTTAACGCTGAATGGTCGACTCACAAGATCAACGACCGCATCGAAGTCTTCCCGCTCCCAGACGCCCCCATGAGCAGAACCTACATAATAAGCTCGTTAAATTAGCCTACGTCGCCACTATGTTACTCACCTTTTTCTTCATGGTCGCTGGTAATTTCTCCTGAACAGAATTCTAATCGGTACGCCGCCTAGCCAAGCACCTCCTTCCGACTTGAGTAAAATCTCTGCTGTTCTCCGCCTTCAGGATACTAGTGGGAACGATTCGGTCAAGAGGAAGATATGTAGGTGGAGAAAGGTGTATGGACACGACGGGAACCATGGCAGTATGAGGTAACTAGCAAGACGCCGAGACCGCGAGAATATTCCGGGCAAAAGAATCAGCTCGAAAATTCATAGGTTGTTGCAAACTACACGACAGTACATGTAAACTTCAGCAGATGACAGAAGAGAAGAGTCATCAGCTACTATCAGGTGGTTCCGTCATGAGCACTTTGGCGAGTGTGGAATGAATGAAGACGTTGGCACTATCGTAAAGAGAGTCGGAATGGGACCATATTGGAGATGCCCCAGCTGAGAATGAGTCCCAAATGCACAAGTTAGCCTGCGGGCCGCACCTCGTGGCGAAGAGTTCTGACAGTTCTCAGTAGTCCAATTGAAATTACATTCCATATGTTTACTTCTCCATACAAACCCAATGACACGTCGTTTAAAACTTGCCTTCAGTCCATCTCCTCGTATGCGATGCCATCTCTACTGCAGCCGCTGCCCAATCCTCGCCATGGTTGTGTCCTTTTTCTGCACCTCTGCCGAGGCCGGCTCTATCCAACGCCTGATCATCCGTGAGCGCCGTGAGGACACCGAATATGACTGGGACACCCGTGTCAAGTTGAACGCGCATCAGCGCGTGCGACACGCTGTCGCAGATGTACTCGAAGTGCATTGTAGAGCCCTTGATGAGCACACCGATGGCGATGACGGCGTCGAATGGCTGGCTAGGCATGTTTACGAGTGCAGGCGCAGGGGTAGAAGAGCGAGATGGTGGGCGCGGTGAAGTGAAAGATCCTAGGTACAGTCCTCCCAGGAGGTCCGTCGCGGTCGCGCCAGCCTGGACATGCGAGCCAGCGATGACCCTACGCACCATGCGTAAATACTCAACACTTGTCCACAATTCACGTACTTTGAACACGCCAGAGGCAACTCAAAGCTTCCCGGGACAGACTGGATTACAATATTGCTGTCCTTCACGCCCTGCTCTCTGAGCTTTGTGACGGCGCCAGTGACGAGAGCATCGATCACAGTCTTGTTCCAGCGCGAGTGCACGATGGCAATTCGAAGCGGAGAGCCATCAAACTTGGCATCGGGGGCGGCAGGTCCTTTAATTGAGCTCATCGTGGTATAGAGCGTGGTGCTCGTCGGTGCAGACGATCACCGACATATTTGCCTCTATTTGTATTGTGGCTGATGTCGCTAAATAAGTCTGCAAGTTATTTTGGACTTTGTCTCGGCACCTGTGGACGTTCGCCGTTCACGTCAACTCTACACTGGAATTACTTTGTGGGTATCGCTATGGCCGTTGAATCCAGTAAGAAGACAGGCAGTGTCACTGTAGATGGTAGTCTGGCGTGTATGTGCAAGACTGAAGTGACTGCTTTCTACTGACATCGCAGTCGCAGCAATCTATGGACTCGTCTACTCATTCCTCGCGAAACACTCGCACACAAAAGCAGCGGAAGCTGTAAAGAAGGCTGCCCGGGATGTCGTTGTCCTGAAGGCCGATGTCGCGCCAGCGGGGCCATTTCTGGAAGACATAGTGAAGCAGTGGAAGATTCTAAGTAAGAAGCAAACCAAGAAGTTGACGTTAGACTCGGCCTCAGACTCTTCGTAAGTACAGCTATCCGCGCTTTTGCTTCGTTTCTTGTGCTAGAATGCGAAGCAACAGTGATAATAGCAGCTCTGATTCTGATTCCGATTGTGAGTCGTTTGTGCTCGCATTTTCTATGTTATCTCGACGCAAACCACTTTTGTAGCATCAGCGGACGCTTCAGGCTCTTCATCTTCAGAAGATGGTATATACTCCGTCTTGTGCTCCTAGCATCAATGGTTAACACATTCTGCCAATGTTACAGAAGGAAAGAAGATTTCAAAGACAATAACGGCCAAAGAGCCGACTGCCGCTGCTAAAGTAACATCACGTCCGGCTACCTCACCGCCTCGCTCAAGCAAGACAATATTGAGCCAGGATGGTGATATCGAGGACGATGATAGTGACGATGATACCGATTCTCAGTCCCCTGATGCCACACTCAAGGCGAAGAAGGTAGAGAACTCTGCTGGACCACAGGCCAACAAGAAGTTGGAGAGCAGTGACGAGGACAGTAGCAATGAGGAGAGCGGCGAGGATAGCTCGAGTGATGACGATGAAACAGAGAAGGAAGTGGTGAAGAAGTCAGCGAAGAAGATCTCGAAAGGCAGTGATGAAAGCAGTTCAAGTGACGAGGAGGGAGAGAAGGTAGCAAAACATTCAGCACAAAAGGCCGTCGCAGTCAAGCAGGCTCTGAAGAAAACGAAAGGCAACCGCAGCGATTCTTCTGAGGAAGAATCATCGAGTGATGGTACATCGAGCTCTGACTCTGACTCCTCAGATTCCGACTCTTCGAGCGCGGCGACAACAAAGAAGCCCCTCTCTAAACTCGTGAAAACTCCCAAAACTCTTGCCAAGGTAGCTGCTGCACCGACAGCTGAGCCTGTGGTGGCTGATGTCGATGTCGATGTCAAAGCCATCAAGAAGCGGCGGATATCAGAGAGCGGAGCAGCCTTTTCGAGCGCGACTGCGAGCACCGCCCGTCAGGAGGACGAGGCAGTGTCCAAAGCGTCTGATCGCACAAAGACGGGCGCGAGAGTTCCTGTGAACGGTAACGCGCAGAACGCCAATGCGAACGGAAACGGGCAGGGAAACGGGAAGGGCAAGCCGAGGAAGGCCAACTCCCCATTCCGACGCATAAAGCCTGAGACTGTCCATTTCCATGACCAGCGTTTGGCGAACAACGGCTTTGATGCGAGGGTCAGTGTCCATAATTGCGTAGGTGTGTTCACTGGACGTGCTCTTCCACAGGGCGCAGGCGCAGGCGATTATGGTGAGCGTGCTGCACGCGACTTAATCGTCACCCGAGGTGCTGGCTTCCGGAAAGAGAAGAATAAAAAAAAGCGGGGCAGCTATCGCGGGGGAGAAATAACAGTTCGTTGCCTCATCTTATTCATGGTCTCAGATTTTTCTGACCCGCATATCAGTTGCAGAGTCACAGCATCAAGTTCGACGACTAGATTGGATTGATCTCGTCTAGACTGGTCAGCAATGCCAGGGCACTCATGTCTGCACGGCTGCTGTTATGGCGATCCTGTATGGACACGATATCATACACTAGACAACCTCTATTTACGTCTGGTAAGTTCATGTCCGCAGCAACTCCAAGTTATGACTTGGCAGTGGGAAGTGACAGGCACAACGCCGACCGAGACTACACCGCAGGCAGTGGGCGCGAATTTCCCTCAGTCGCAGCGGCGAGTGGAACTCAGTGATTTGAACGCCATGGCAAGACATTGACAGAGCCTTGTAACTCCGGAGTGTATCGGGTTTCGTTCCGACGAGTTTGCTCGACGCATAGTGGATTAGGGAGTAACGTTGCACGTAGCAAGCCTATGGCATTGAACAGATCTACAATCCAGATGCAAAGAGCTTCCTACTCGTGCGGGTTCGAAATTGAGTCGGACCAGCCACCAGTACGAAACAGAAGACGCGTGTCTCGCAGAAGGATAACCCAGCCGGAGTACATGTACAATAGCAGGGTCACAATCTGCAGATACATGGGCAATCGGTCCATCTGCAAGATGATGGAAGGGGGGGGGAGATTATAGCACGGCAATAGAGTCTTAAGGAAAAAGAGTATGGTACGTCTGTTAATATGATGGTACCGCGAGATGTTGACTTGAGGGAACGAACGCGTTAAGAGACCCAGACTGCACGTGTGACGGGTCAGGGGCAAGCGCGAAATGAAGCATAAGATGGAACCTACACGCCAGAGCAATAACCAGGTACAACGCTATAAGCCTGAACAAGAACGCAGGCTGGATTAGTAAAGCAAGACTCCGCTTGGTCGTTCTACTTACATGAGCCCCTCCATATAGTTGGACTTGCCATCTCTGTAATGCAGCTGGTCAGCATCGCGTCAACCGAACCAGTTGTGATACACTGACTGGACCAAGAATTGTACGAGAAGCACAGAAACGAAGAGTACTATGGTCTGTCATAGTTAATGTAAGCACGATTAGTCGTCTGCAATAGAGGCTAATTACCTCGAAGTTAGCGAAGAAGAGTGTAAGGTTGTGGCCCGTTCTATTCCAAATAAAACTATTAACGGACCTCGAACATGAAGACGAGAATAGCACTTACATCCAGCCGACTATAACGAGGAGCGGAATAACAAAAGCAGCAATTTGCTTTGGTGAACAGCAGGGCGTGAGAAAGATAAACGGTCACAAACGGGCAAAAAGCTCACAATTGAACTTCCTACACAAATTCCGATGGTGAGCTCCATTTTATTCTTCAATGCCATCCACACTGATGTGACATGTTCCGCGGCATTGGACTGAGCAAACACCTTAGTAATACGGAACAACCGATAGTGCGCGAAGAGTACCTACAACAATGGGAAGGAGAATCAAGCCGATGAACGGCTTTGGAATGCTGTATCGCCTTGCAGTCTCTTCGATTGAGGCAACCACTAATATAGAGCACAGTCGGCAGTTGACTGTCTAGAATGAATCTCGGGTACTCACGGTAATCAGCGCAGAATGAAGTGACGACGGTGACCAGAAGAAGTCTACAAGATCTCTGGCGTCAATGATAGAAGATCAGTACTAGGGACGGTCACATACGCAGATGCAGCCGCTGGCACGCTCATTTTTGAACGCTCTCCCTCTTCGTCTTCCGCATGTGCATCTTTGTACAGGTACGCGTGTGTCTTAAGCTGTAGTGTCATCCATATCACGCGGGAACATCAGACCCAACACCTTATGCTCACTGACCTGAAAGAAGAGGTACACGACATAGACAATCAATAGCAAAATCGCTGTGCCACGGGAGAGCGTAAGCAAGCCCTTCTGTGACTCATCGTCCAGGTCACTGATTTTGCTACCCATTCGGTCAAAGGTGATAAGGAGAGCATCCGTCGTGTCGTTTCCAGTGGGCAGCTTGGAGCTGTGATAAGCCGCAGGAATGACCAAAGCTTGAGAGCAGTAACGTCAGTGTCGCACCGTCATATAGCTTAAAGAACGCACTGAGACATGCCAGAGTCATAAGCTAGGAGAAACTATGAGTCCGAAGGCTATAACATTTAACAGAAAATACGTACCGAACTCGAGCTGCACATGTACAAAATATAGCGATCAATATATGGAGGAAAGTTTGGGCTATATTGCTCACGTTTGTGCAGCTGTCACCTGGAAATTACTTTCCGGGTATTTGAGACCGCCTACGTGGAAAATCAATGACACCAGGTCATAGGATACGGGGAGCACACGCACCTGCCAGGAAGGAACATCCGAGAACAAGCAAAAGATTGGATAATATAGACCCAAGCATCTGCCAAAAATCAGCGAATCACACGATATTGACATGGAGTGGCCTACGGAAGTCTGTACGATACGCAACTCCCCTATACCAATGTTAGACGGCCACTAGAGTAATAACTGCAGACACACCTTGCAATAACGCAGCTATTCCAACAATAATCTCCACAGCATTACCGAATGATGCATTAAGCAATCCAGAGAGGGTCTGCCCCAATTTCAAAGACATCTGCTCCGTGGCGGTTCCGAGGAGCTGAGGCCTGATGTGTCAGATAATTCATATATCACGCAAATTAGGCGTACCGCGGCGAGGGGCATAATGGCAATAAAGCTAAAGGAAAAGCAGAGTGCAGCGTCCCATTTCAAGAAGTGGGCCGCGAAGCTGAGTGGCACAAAGATAAGCAGGATATTTAGCCAAGAGCCAAATAAAAAGAAATGGTAAGAGGCGGTCCATGACGGTTCTCCCTCTGGTTTCAAGACACTAATGGTTCGGCGGTAGAACGAGGGTTGAGCATTGTGCCCATTCGCCAGGAGGGGTGTAAGGTCATTGGTGGGAGACATGAGGGTAAATTGGCACGAGTGGCCCGGGTGGACTAAGTACTTTCGAAGCATCGTACATAGCCTCAATCGAGTTACGTAATACTTGGTGTCTGATAGCAAATCCAGATCGACCCAATCTGTCGTCTTCAAGACGGACTCAACACCCTTGATCTCTCTACGCCAAGACGAACCAGAGAATCAAGAGTACTTGCTAGGGAGTGAGCAGCTAAAGTATACGAGAAAAGGAAGTCATCCACTTTACCCTAAGTCTGAAGGAAAGCCACGTTTTGTTAGGTTTGAGTTGAAATACACAGCATGACGTGTGACAGGTGAGAAAAAGGCAACTCCAGTGTTGGCTTGGCATGGATCAGCCGCTGTCGTTCAATCCCTGACGAACTTGCATCTGTGTTCGACCGCCGTTCAAGATCTCCATGCTCTGGCGAACATGCAAAACTTCAGCGATTACTGATTAGTACGCATCTCAACTCATCTCATACTGAGAATTCCAAAAGAGACTGCAAGACGTAGCGTCTGCTGCAGGATGAACGTAACCCTTTCAAGCAGGCATATAAGAAGCAGAAGGAGAAAGAGTTGACCCGCATACAAGGGGATTTGCGCAGGAACGCCGAAGTGGAGATCGCGCGGCAACGAAACGACTTGATATTGCGGGCATCCAGTCTGCAAGAAAAGTTGCAGGCAGTCATTTGTGAATTGTCCACCCAACATGCGAGGGTTGAACAGCAGGCGCACGCCTTCGAGGATCTCGAGAAAGTGGCGGTCTGATGCGACTCGTTACAAGAAAATGGTGCGTGCTTCACTGTATGCGCAGTCTGGTGAAAACCCCGACATTTTAATCTAGTATCACGTCCTCAAGACGAACGTCATTTGTGGGATGAAAGCCTCCCACGATAGTTTTGCGGACAATTTGCTTGTGATCATCTGATAGCCTATGTTAGTGAGTGTTTAGACAACGTACAGGACCAAGTCCAAATATTAAAAACGCTGAAGATGATCATCTCTAAGGAGACTGGCGAAGTTGGGAGCTTGATGGCAGGGCCCCCATGAAGAAGAGGCTGTGTAAGCATCTGGCTCTCTTGTGTATTTGAATTCTGCTGCTTGTCCAGCACCGTCATGGCCAACCTAATACGTTCCGCGAAACCTGCGAATGACTAGACCCCCTACGATCTGTTGGCGTATAACATCACTGTCGTGAACGAAGATGTGACCACTTTTTTCGGTGATCCTGACTTGCCTGCGTCCGCAGTGGACCTTGTCCCTCTCGATGTCGAAATGCCTCCTGGACGATCAATTAAATCGAAGCGACTTTTCTTCTGCTACTTGAAAGACCTTTTACGATTTCCCCACGGGGCACCATCAGGTTCCGCGGTCAATGATTTCACCCTTACTCTCCTTAATTTGCTCGGCTATGACGAACCCGACCGTGTTCTACATCAGTGATTGGAGATCAGCTTCCTAATGTGTGGTGTGTACGTTGAGGCCATGCCAGACGTCTGCGTTCTAGACGGCGATGACTTTAAGGACTTTATTCTTTTCGTCCAGGCGGTCAAGGTGCGCCGGTACAGTGTCAGGACCCGATGTTAATGCTAATAACTCTCAGGTGTCGTGACGCGCTCACCGACGATCCATGCTAATTGCAGACACTATTGCCGCATTTTATGAAAACAATAATTGTCGCCCGCCCTCTGGCCGACGATATCAGCCAAAGTATTCGCTGGGATCATCATGAGTCAACCGTTCCGACATTCTACAAGATGCCCGTCGCGAATACACTCCTCAACTCCATTATAAATGCGCAGCTTCCTCCTGAGCAAATCGTCGTCCATGCGCTAACTGTTCCTGTGCCAAACCCCATGGTTTTATTTGGGAAGGAATGCGGTCTTTGGTGAACAGGTGTATTATTCTGCAGTGTTTGGAAGCCTTCAAGCGATTTGTTTAGTAGCGAGCTTGTTAATCATGCCCCTGCGTCGCTGCAAATCGACATTGTTCTTGCATAGAGGCCATCTCAAAATTAGGTTTCTTTGTTTCATTTCGTGAGATGTGAATGCAGACGAAAGGAAGGCGGACAGACGACGAGGGCTGTGATCTGAATCAATCTGGGCGCCAGTCGTAGCCATAGAGTAGTACGAGTAAATCTATTCCCTCTCTCGTGGACTTCGCTGGGCTCCGTAGTATGAGCCCTTACCTTCTCACTGTGCAGCGGTTACACATCAACATCAATGTCATCATACCGTCTGCCAATTTGCTATTTACTGTCTACAAGTTCTGGGTAACAAGACAATTAAATGCTTACACCAAGTTGTTGCGGAGTATGACACTTTGTACGACGGCGACTATTGAAGGGGGCGGGAAAAGCTGCCACCGCCGGGACTGGGAGCCTCCAGATATAAGTTAACATAAGAATCCCATATCATAACCCTTACACGACTAGAGCGAAGTTGGTGAAGCAGCGTCTGAAGACACTACGATGATAAGCACGTTCATCACAGACTGCTGTCTCGGGTGGAGTAACAAGATATACATGTCGTGTTGTCGCAATGGATGAGATCTAGATATTTACTCTGGATTACATTACTGGTACTACAGTACTTCTAGTCTATAGTAACACCCTTTTCCGAAGGGTCAACTTGCATTCCATTCATTATGCAAACCGATGGTGTCGTCGGCGCCATTCGCCGGTCCACTGCAGCCCAGAGTGAGTTCTCTGCGCGCGTACACCACACTTGCCAGATCGTCCTGGGCAGGGTTCGTGCGTGATGAGTGAAGGTGTTGCGACGCCTTGACATTGTCTGCGCGCAGCTGTTCCAATCTCCCGAGGTACTCCTCGTCAACTCCTCCTGTGACATACTCGCCCGTGAACACGGAACACTCGAAGGCTGTGACAGACGGATTGAGTTGCCGTACGGAGGCGACCAGGTCTGGCAGGGTCTGGAAGATGACAAGGTCCGCGCCTATCGCCTCTGCTATTGACTCCGGCGTACGGTTGTGTGCTACCAGTTCTGTCCGGGAGGGCATGTCGATACCGTAGACATTCGAGTAGCTGGAGGAACGATGAGCGCCAGTAAATATTTACCTCTCACGCGGACCTCACCGTATTGGAGGTGCGCAGCTCGCGACGATCACCTTCTTCGCACCCACGTCTTTGGCCATCTGGATAATCTCCTTTGATGTTGTCCCACGCACAATGGAGTCTATGAAGCGCGTCAAGGGGTGATCAGGAATTATAATGGGCGGGCGCGTACCATCTACGATGAGGATGTTCTTCCCCGCAAATTCGAGCGCCATCGCATTCAGTTTCCGTCTGACGTTCTTGCGCCTGCATCACTTCGATCAATATCAGAGTGATCAGGAGGGAAAGAGAAGCTTACCTCATCTGCTGGCCAGGCATAATGAATGTGCGCCCAACATAGCGGTTCTTGATGAACCCTTCGCGATAGGGAAGCTGCAGCTTTTGTGCTAAGTTTAGAGCTGCCACGCGCGAAGTGTCTGGAACCTGCGTGACAGACTATGAGCACGAGACACGCGTTGCTCACGGGAAACTCACAGGGATAACCACGTCGACGGACAACCCTTTCTCTTTCAAAACACGTTGGACTTCAATTGCCAATGCGTCACCCATAGCCATGCGGCTGCGGTACACACTGATACCATCCAGTACAGAATCGGGTCGCGCGAAATACACATATTCAAAAAGATCAGGAGCAAACGTAGCGGGCTGTCCGACCTGGCGACGGCTCACGGAGCTGCGTGTGATGATGATAGCTTCGCCTGGCCGCAAGTCAGAACACGTTCCCCGTGCAAAGCGACACGGACGAAACTCACCGGGACGGACATCTTCCCAGTCACCGAAACCGCTCGCATCCGCTACCACGCTCTCACTGGCGAAGAGGTAGTCCTTGCCTGGTCCGCCACCGAGGGCCTTCCGGGACCCCATCCCGACTGGTCGGATGCCGTTCGGGTCTCTAAACGCGATAATCCCGAAGCCCGCTAGCATGGCGACACAGGCATAGGCGCCCTTGCACTGCTGCATGAGCTTTCCAATGGCGTTGAAGATATCCTCCTCGTTGATTCGGAATTTCCCCGTCTGCTGCAGGTTGTCTGCAAATATGTTCAGCAGCAGCTCAGAGTCTGAGGACGTGTTGATGTGCCGGTGCGCTGTGGCGTCCATGAATTGCAGGAGAGGCTCTGTGTTGATGAGGTTGCCATTCTGGGAGGGTGTTAGTGATTTAAATGCAGACGCAAGACGCGCTTACGTGTGCGAAGACGATGCCGTAGGGTGAGTTCACGTAGAAGGGTTGCGCCTCGGCGTGATGTGAGCTGCCTGCGGTCGGATATCGCACTACATGGCATGGGGGTCAGCGATACGTCCTCTTGTATGGACTGAAAGGTGCACACCATGACCTATGCCCATTCCACCGATCAACCTGGATACCGCGTTGGGATCGAAGACGTCCCTGACCATGCCATTTGCCTTGCACTGATAAAACCGGCCTTTGGGACCACAAGTGACAATCCCGCACGCATCCTGCCCGCGATGCTGAAGCAATGAAAGACCCTCGCATATTTCGGGAGCCGCGTCAACCGTCGAATCGTGCAGCAATAGACCTAGAATGCCACACACTGTTTTGGGGACGACCAGTCAACGCTGGCGAGAACGCGAGAGTCTGGACACTTACTGCTACTCTTCGCGATCCACGCAACAACGCAAGTTACGTAGGCCCTGGAGGCAGACCGTGAAGCTTTCCTGTACTGAGTGTATAACGCAGGGACTCATCCTTGCGCTGAATTTGACACAGCGGATTTTTTATCATCTTCGGGCAATCATTGGTACAATGCGGAGTCTGGGGTCCTTGTCCCCCAGTATATAAATTCAGAGTTCATCATCATAGCTTAGAGTTGCTCACCCGTCGGAGAGTTTTCTGTCTGTTGTGGTTCTCTCCGCAACGTGCACAGAGGAACAGAGGTATTTTTTCCGTGAAATACGTACAGATTCCACCCGCTGTTGGTGCGTTTGCGGGTGTACGGCGGGGAATCCGGCTCGGAGGAAGCCGGGGATTGTCGGAGTGCGAAACTGAACTTTATTCAGGCCGGCGTTGCTGTCAATCCGTCTCGTCTATTCCACCTCTTCATCGTCCACGTCGTCGACCATGCTCACCTCGCGCGGCGTCCACCGTCTGTCTCGCAGAGCGCTGAACAGCGCGAGGAAGACCAATGCGCTCTTCTCCTCCGCTGCCGTTGCCCCCATTCTTTCTCGCGCAGCCGCTGTTCCTTCTTCGTCACATCGCGCGCAGGCTCGCCCCACTCGCGTCTCAGCACCGGCTGGTTGGTTTCCCTACACCCTTACCTGCGTGGTAACAATGTACTGACGTGTATCTGATCCACCGTTTTTTTCTTTGCCTTTTTGCGATTTATTCTCAAATTGTGACACGTAGCTCGCACATATGCGACCGAGGCAACGGGCACGATCGGTCAAGTAAAGACCGTCATTGGTGCCGTTGTTGACGTCCAGTTCGACACGGAAAATCTTCCCCCCATTCTCAATGCGCTTGAGGTCACTGACTTTCACGGTGGTCGTCTGGTCCTCGAGGTTGCTTCTCACCTTGGCGAGAACGCGGTTCGGACCATTGCCATGGACGGTACCGAGGGTCTTGTCCGTGGGCAGAAGGTAGTTGATACCGGCGCTCCCATCAAGATCCCCGTCGGAACCGCGACGCTTGGCCGTATCATGAACGTCATTGGTGAACCCATTGACGAGCGGGGTCCCATTAAAGGTGTTAAGCTTTCCCCCATTCACGCCGAGCCGCCCCCGTTCGTGGACCAGTCTACCACTGCTGAAGTGCTGGAGACCGGTATCAAGGTTGTCGACCTTCTTGCTCCGTATGCTCGTGGTGGAAAGATCGGTCTTTTCGGTGGTGCTGGTGTCGGCAAAACTGTATTGATCCAGGAACTGATCAATAACGTCGCCAAGGCGCACGGTGGTTTCTCTATCTTCTGTGGTGCGCATTTTGTACGGACTCGGGTTTACTCCCACGTGACCTGGAAGGACAGGTGTCGGCGAGCGTACCCGTGAGGGTAACGACTTGTACCACGAGATGATTGAGACCGGTGTCATCAATCTCGAGGGTGACTCCAAGGTCGCCCTGGTCTTTGGTCAGATGAATGAGCCTCCGGGCGCCCGTGCCCGTGTCGCCCTCACAGGTCTGACCATTGCGGAGTACTTCCGTGATGAGGAGGGTCAGGATGTGTTGCTCTTCATCGACAACATCTTCCGTTTCACCCAAGCCGGTTCAGAGGTGTCTGCCTTGCTAGGTCGTATCCCGTCTGCCGTCGGTTACCAGCCGACGCTTTCCACGGATATGGGTGGCATGTAAGTTCATACGCCCCATTCAAATTTGATCGTCGCGAGCCCACTAACTTATCCATTTTTATAGGCAGGAGCGTATCACTACCACTAAGAAGGGCTCGATTACGTCCGTGCAGGCCGTCTACGTGCCTGCCGATGATTTGACAGATCCTGCTCCTGCCACCACCTTCGCTCACTTGGATGCCACGACTGTGCTGTCTCGTTCCATTGCTGAACTTGGTATTTACCCTGCGGTCGACCCTCTTGACTCCAAATCTCGCATGCTTGATCCCCGTATTGTTCGTCATTTTCTCCGATCTTAGTAGAGCGCTTTGATGCGACGCTGTCGCTCGTCATTTACAGGTCGGCCAGGAGCACTACCAGGTCGCGACCGCTGTCCAGAAGATCCTTCAGGACTACAAGTCGCTGCAGGATATCATTGCTATCTTGGGTATGGATGAGTTATCGGAAGAGGACAAGCTGACAGTAGGTGATGTTTATCACACGCCATACATAGCTCTGACGACTTGTGTGATCCAGGTTGAGCGTGCTCGTAAGATCCAGCGTTTCATGTCGCAGCCCTTCGCTGTTGCGCAAGTCTTCACTGGTTATGAGGGTCGGTTGGTTCCCCTCAAGGACACGGTTCGGTCGTTTAAGGAGATCCTTTCCGGTGCCCACGACAGTCTCCCTGAGTCCGCATTTTACATGGTATGCCCTTTTACACGCATGGAGTTAGCTATTTCGGTGCTCACTGTCTCCTGTACTGTAGGTTGGTACGATCGAGGACGTGAAGACGAAAGCTGAACAGCTTGCGAAGGAGATGGGTGAATCATCATGAGCGAAGAGCGATGGTGCTTGAGCATGGATGTCGATCTGGGATCTCAAGTTAGACTGCATCCGAAATAAAATTCTCTTCGCGATTTTCTTCGGTATGCAGGCAAGGACTCTGTGAAGCTTCAAATTTCCATTGGTTCTTCGCTATGCATGCCTTGACGCGTCGTGAGCGCGTGTGGGCCGCCGCTTGCCTACATCATTTAAATATTCACCATCGTTCGTTACCTCCCTTGCGCCATTTCTCAGCGCTGAGTGGCTTTTGTTTCACCATTTAAGCTGGTCTTATGCGTAGAACGTGGACTAATGCTGTCCTGGCTTAGACGGAACAGTCGACTGAAACCACGAAGGACGTACCTACGCGCAGGTACATGGATGCCTAGCTGTGAAATTTTCACAACGCGCGAAATCTTTGGCCTTGTGCTTTTCTTCTTGAAGCTTTCCGTATGTTTATTGTCCTTACTGCATGCGAATAAGTAGACAGATCCTCCGAGTTGGCGTGGAAGAGTGTTCTCGTAACGAAATGTGATGGCATCGTACCGTTCATTTACCAACCCGGCCAACCTTTGCTCTTTTTCGGACGGTCTGAAAAATATCAGGTATCTGAAAATCGCTGGGACCTCTGGCCGGCCGGGTTAGTCGTAAAAGTATATGTACACCCAATTTTCATACAAAAGTGGTGAACCATGTTCAAGTATAGAATGCACTTTTTTCCGCAGGCTCGGTGGCTACTGGAAAAACACAAGTGCTTGGGGATGTTTTTGGCATTGGTTTATATACTACGATATAGAAGGCAACTTCCTTCTTCAAGAATCAGGCGCTATAGCCAAGTGGTTACGGCGACAGATTAGAAATCTGTTTCCCTTTGGGAGCGCAGGTTCGAGTCCTGCTGGCGTCGCAGAGTGAATTGGTCTTTGTTTTGGCTTGTACTTTGAGTAGGCTTTGTTTCTACGGGACACGCGCGGCGTGCCCATATCGGGAAGGTCGCTTACGTAATGCGTGTCCCGGGACGCGCGCCCACCGAAGGCGGGCGGGCGGAGTGTCGAGCGCGTCCCACACGGTGAGCGGCAGGGGTGGGGCGTCGAAATTGATGGCTGTGACATACGTGCCATCTAACCGACGGGCGCCAGGCGCCACACCGGCGCTGATTGGCTCACGTGCTCGGCGAAGTGAATATGTTCGCAGAGGATTGCCATATCGGGCTGCATGTCCCATGAACGCCCCGAATCGAAAATCGACTTGGGACACGCAGCCCGCTGGCCCGCCAGCCAAAAAATGCATGTCCCATGTAAAGCTCAGGCACGATAGTCTACGTGGGACACACCGATTTCGCCTGAGAACCGCTACGGGCTTGGCTAGTAGAATATCTTTAGGTAATTTGGCTGGAAGGGACACCTCTACTCGAATCCCCGGCCTCCCGTGCCCTCAAAAAATCGAAAACAATTATCAATTGTACGCTACAATACCCCTGTACATGCATGCAAAAATTTCCTGCTCATGAATGGGACGGGGACAGCTCTACAGTGCGAACACTGCTGAGCGCGCTCGAAAACGTGCGCGCGGGCACCTATCTCGGCGAAGGTGGATGGGCGCCTATCTCAGCGAAGGCGGAGCATCACACGTCACATTTAAGGTTCGCGTGTCCCGCGTCGATCTAAACGTTGCTTTGTTTCTACCCACGGCGTGCCCATATCGGGAAGGTCACTTATGTAATGCGTGTCCTGGGACATGCACTTGGCGCACCCACCGAGGGCGGGGCGGGCGAGCGCGTCCCACGATGAGTGGCAGGGGTGGGGTGTCGAAATTGATGGTTGTGACATATGTGCCATATAACCGACAGGTGGCAGGTGCCACACCAGCACTGATTGGACGCTCTCGTGCTCAGTGAAGCAAATATATTTGTGAAGGATTGCCATGAGCTGCATGTCTCATGAATGCCCCAAATCGAAAATTGACTTGGGACATGCAGCCTGCTGGCCCGCCAGCCAAAAAATGCATGTCCCATGTAAAGCTCAGGCACGAAATTTTATGTGGGACATGCTGATTTCACCCAAGAACTGCTACAGGCTCGGCTAGTAGAATATCTTTAGGTAATTTGGCTGAGAGGGACACTTCTACTCGAATCCCTGGCCTCCTGTGCCCGAAAAAAATTGACAAAAATCGATTGTACACTACAATGCCCCCGTACATGCAGGCAAAAATTTGCGGCTCAGAAACGGGACAGAAACACCTTTGCAGTGCAAACACCACTGAGTGCACCCCAAAACGGGCGCAAGTGCCTATCTTGGTGAAAGCGGAACATCACGTGTCATGTTAAGGTTCGCATGTCCCGGGTCGATCTAAATGTTTCTTTGTTTCTCACCTGGATCTCACATGTTCCTAAGGTATTAAGCTTGTCAAGCGCCCCCAGTACGGCAAGCTAATAGGCTTGATTGGCCTATGTCCTGCACACTGCCAGTAACACTGGGAATATTGTGTGCTCAATGCTCAAAGCATCGAGCTCACATGATAGTGCTGATAAGACCTATGTCATCATTGGCACTAATGTATAGATAGCACATGCCACCTCACTGGTTATCATCAGGTACTGCTGGCTATCAGATCCCACTTCTGCACCCAACGCCGCCCTTATTGCTGCTGATACAACAACATTTCTCTTATATCTTCCTTAATTCTTTTGGTTTTTTTTTGGTTTTTTGATGTTCTATGACCATGTAGCTGTACTGTAGCTCCACCACAGTAGACTTTTCAGACACTCACTGGTAATTGCACCTAATGTTTCTTGAGACAATGATGGGCAGGCAAAGGGACCTAATTCCATTGAGATTACAATTCCTGAGGTACGAAGGAATCGTTCTTTATGGGATAGGGCTTCCGCTGACTTTTGGGGGATACGCACTTTCTCCCTAAGGTGTGAGAATGACTTTTCAATACAATTTTGTGTGCATGAGCTGCACCTAGTCCTGGGTTAGGTCTAGGGTTTAACTATAAACTTTGTAATGCCTGTTCTTACTGTACTACAGCTTGCATACAGTCGGTCTTTCAAAGTGATTGTAGTGAAAACCAACACGACTTGCACAAATAGTGATTAATAGAAGTGCCACAGCAGTCACAGAGGGCCAATGCATCATAGTCAGTGAAATTATATAAGCACATACTAATTTCAACATATAAAAAATTGTACGATTGAAATCTGTGAAGGAAATGAAGCGTAATGCTCTCTTAAACCAAGTAAATCTGAGTAAAACTGGCTGAGATATCTCAGTTTTAGACTAGAATGCTCAGTCTGAAGTGCAGGAAAGTTGTATAAATGCCAGAAAAATTTGAGAATGACTCTAAGATACACATAAACATGTCAGATAGGGCGTCTTATTTTTTACAAGCAGTGCACATTAAAGAAACAAGCAGAAATGAGATAAAACTGAGAAAATGGATTGTAGCACTCCAGCAATTGATGCTGATGTTTCAAGAGTAACACCATCAGATTCAGCTTCAAAATCCGGTCAGAATGGCTACCGGGTTCATTCAAATCTGAGCAGAATTGAGTGAACTACAAGTCTGGCAAGTTTGGCAAGAAGTGCTTGAAGCCAAAAATGTCACGTGCCACCTGGGTCCGTATGAAACGTTAAGCACCCTAGAGCGCTTAACATTTCATATGGCGGGAAACGTGACTTGCAGGCCATGTGATGTGTGGCTGAAGACAAACATGCAGAATAAAATGCAAAAGAAATCGCACAAATATCAGGAAAATTATGGCATGGCCTTTTGATAGTGGACTTGTAGAACTAACTAGACAATATTATAAAGTCCTTAAAAATCCATACTAGATGGCTTTTCAGACTACTGTAAGCCCTTTACAAATACATACTAGATGACATATCTAGACATTATGAGGCCCTTACAAACTGATACTAGAGGGTGTACTAGAATTCAATAAACAGTATAATAAGGCATTGTAGGAGGCTTACTAAACACTACTAGACAAACTACCAGGAGTCAATATAACACTTTGTAGGCTATTGTAAGGCCTTTATCAACCAGTGGTCAGTGGTCTACTAGACTATTGTAAGTATCGTAAACATGTTCACTAGGACACTTATAAGAGATTGCTAGAGACTATTAAAAGTTACTGAAGATTCTTACAAAGTGATGCCAGATAACATTTCTGACTATTGTAAGCTCATTACAAACTGATACTATAGGAGACATTAGGAGTCAGTATCATAGTGTGTTGTTGACTTGCTGAACATTACTAGACAATATATTAAGAGTCAGTAGGTGACTTTGTAGACTATTTAATAGTACAGCCCTTATCAACTCACACAACTTATTAAGATATAGTGGGATGCTGTAGGACACTTACTACACATTATTAAATGGGACACTAGGAGTTAGTACAGAATACAATAACAATTTCTTGCATACATTTTAATATATTGTTATAGGCACATTTGTAACAGTTTCCAGTGTCATTCTTTGTAGTGATTCGTATAAGCACATCTGTAACAGTTTCTAGAGTTATTTTTTGTAGTGATCCTCATAGGCACATTTGTAACATTGTTCAGGGTCATTTTTTGTAATGATGCTTATAGGCACATTTGTAATAGTTTCTAGTGTCATTTTTTGTAGTGATTCTTGTAGGCACATTTGTCACAGTTTCTAGCATCCTTTTTTGTAGTGATTCTTATAGGCACATTGATAACATTTTTTGTGGTATTTCTTGTAGGCACATTTATAACAGTTTCTAGTGTCATTTTTTGTACTGATTCTTATGTACTAAGAGTCAGTAGATGAATTTGTAAACTATTGTCAGGCTCTTATAAACTCATACTACTCAGTGTAGTCAAATATTGTAGAATGTTTACTAGACATTATTATATGACATACTAGGAGTCGGTAGAGAATATAATAGACTATTCATAGTTTCTTGGTGGTATATTGTTACGCTGGGGTGTACCACCAAGACTGAGTATTGATCGTCGAGCACACACGAAGCCAAAGACTAAGTGTGGTGAGTCGCGAAGTGTCTTCATACTAAGGCTGAGTGGAAAGCCCGTGTATTGAAGGTAAAAGTAACCAGATCGAGACTGGCGTCCCAGTCAACGATCTCAATCTTATATACTACTAGTACATGCTGAGTAAGACATGTCAGTAATGGCTGAGTAAACGAGTACCCTCACAGTGAGGGATGAGTCAGTATATATCTAGGCTATGATGTCATAGTCTAGTATCGTCCTGGTCGAGTCAAGAGATGTCCGGACTGGAGGTCTCGGAGTAATACACGTAAAAGTACAATGTAATCAAAGAAAAGATAGGTACACAGCATACCATTGTAACATAAGCCCCCTCCTATACCGTCTTTGCCCTTAAAGATGTTTCCTATGCATCTCCTGCTTCTGATGGCATTACACTGTCCATCAGAAAACCTTCAGTATATAGTGACCTCATTTCATTGAAGTCTGCAAATCGCGGATCTGTTTGGGGATCAGGATGGAAGAATAATGGGTCGCGATCTAGAAGCAATAGATCTCAGAGAGATCTTACTCAACTGAAATCCTTTATGTTTTGAACTTTTCAGTTTAAACTATTGCTGCAAAGAAAACACTCTAATATATTTTTTGGTTTTTATATGCGTGGCTTCTGAGTGTGATTCCATGTCAGTCTGGTCAGTAGAGATAAGTCTGTGTCAGTGGAGATACTACTTGTTTTGCAAGCATATAGAAAGAAGAAAAGAAAGATATTTTAGAATGCTACATTACCTACAGATGTATAAGGTAAGGTGGCAGAAAAACTGCATGAATAAGGTCGACGTCATACGAATGCAGCACGTGATGCAAGTGCAAGACACATCTTACTCATGTTATTCCACTCAGTGACCTACTCATGACATGCATCAATGATATATATATGCAGAATTCAACATCACAGATTGCAAAGATCTCATGCTCATGAATAGGTCATTGTCTTGTCAATGCGAGTTCTTAAAAGTGTAGTGGGTATCAGAATGTAAACAGAACTTACCTTGCACTTCTTAAGTTTGCTCAAGTGATGCTCCTCCTCTTTGCCCTCTTCATCAAAGATGGCAGCAATCTCATCTCCAAAGTCCTCACCTTCATTCTGATTGCTGAGGGCCTTCTTCTTGGTCACTCACTTTTTGGCTGAGGTCTTGCCCTTCTTCTTAGCAGGTTTAGCAGCAGCCTTTTGCCCATGCTTTCACTCATCCTTTTCTTCCTTGGCTTCCTCTTCATCCTCCTTCTGCAATGTATGATAACAATTAGAATGACACAGAGAGAACAAAAATAAATACTAACATCAGCCTTGGCCTTCTTTGCATGTGACTGCTTGAGCTTGTCAGTCTTCTTGACATTGTTCCTGTCTTTCTTGTTCTTCCTCTCTGCTGGCACCTTCTTGCTAGTGTCGACTGCCTCCTTAATGCTCTCATTTTCATCGGAAATTGTGTCCTCTTTCCATGCACAGTGCACCTTCTCCTGTTTGGCCTCCTTGAGGTCTGACCAGCCTTTGATCTCCGAAGGTTCACTATATGACACCTTCATTGAGGTGATTATCTTAGATGGGGTGCAACTCCAATGGTGCCAGGTGCTGTCAATGCAGTAAGCATTGGCTATTGGAGACAATGAAATAAAACTCACTGCGAGATATTACTGTGAAATGCAACTTCATTCTCAACTCTGAAGGAATTCTTGCCAACATTTTCTAGAAACATTTTGTGAGCACACACACAATGCATGTAGACTGACTTTGCACTCACTATCACAATCTAGACAATCGATGACAAGGTCAGATAATCTTCCAGATGATAAAGCAAGTATAATGGGGGGGCGAGACCTTATCACACTGAACCTCAGATACAGTGCACCAAGCTCTATTCTGGAGCGTTGTGCGTGTATCAAGGTTGTGGTGTGTAAAGTCTCTGACTTCAACACACCAATGCACGCTCAATACACGCAGAGCACATACAAATAGTACACAACAGTTATGTAATACATGATTAGATTAGATAAGATTAGGGCACAAGTACCGCTTGGTACTTGTGCCTCATAATACAACAGTGGCACATTACACCCTCCCCCACTGGACATGTTCCACGGGACCATAACACCGACTGTGCCATTGAGTGGATGATGCAGGTGGCAACATGAGGCGGGATGGCATGATGAGGCAAGATGATGGATGAGGATGATGACAGACACAGCCAGAACACACAGGCGGGTTGTGGGCACACGGAGGGTACACATCACATCCCCAGCTGTGGCCCACAGCGGCACATCAATGGGAGGCATGCCAGCATAAGCTAGCGGCCACCCATGTCGTGGTCAGGGTCACCAGCCTCGGGGGTCGCTCCGGGGTTAGGACCCAGCTGACTGCTGCCAGCAGGGGCATTGCCAGTGCCGGATGTGAGTGGTTTGGGATCTGGCGACTGCATCGTCACGTCCTCATTGATGAGTGATAACAACTCATGGGTCGGAGGTACCGGTCGAGCGCGTCTGTCACGAAGGTCTGCTGGGAAGTGTCCCTTGAACGGGGTCATGTCTTCGAGAACCCATTCGAGAATGTAGTTGTGATGTCGACGGTGGAACTCCTCGAGAAATCCAATCCGCATGGGATGGAATCTGCGGGCAGCATACCATCGCGCGACATTGTATATGGACAAGTTTTGTGCGAACGAGTGGGGAAATGGGGCCGGCTTGTTGTTGTTTGCCATGAGGTAATGCCCGACCTGTACGATACCATGCGTACAGTCCAGGGATGGAGAAAAGCTCCGCAGTGTGCTCGATGAACACATTGTGGGCCATTACGATTTCTGAGGTACAAAGAGAATCGTTCTTATAAGCGGTGGGCCTTTGGAGGCTGACCTGAACCGTGATGAACTTTTCCCCAAACTGTGGGAAAATCCTAGAGATAGAACTTAGCTACAAACATTTTAATGGCTCTTCTTGCCCAACCACAAGTTGAGTATAGATGAGCATTCAAAACTGTTGTATTGAAAATCGGTGCAACTTGTACAAATAACCATCAATAGATGCATGGCTGCAGCACTTTAGATTAGATAATAGATAATAGCTCTATCTCAGGGAACATTAAAATTATATTTTATGCAGTGTTGTACTGAGTTTAATGTGTTGTAACCATCATTATTGAATTAAAACCAAAAAATAGACCTAAGTAGCACTAGAAGGCCTGCTTAGTCAGTTTTCTAATTTGGAAACTGGCTTATTAAAGGTACCCATGATTATCTAGACTATGCCTCTAATTTTTCCGCTTTTTTCTGTCTTTTTTCCAGATTTCTAATCTCAAAATACACTTGCCCAAATTGGGAAAGTCAGGAGCCTTTAAAGTTACAATCCTTGAGAAACGAAGAGAATCATTCTTACAAGTGATGGGACATTGAGGGCTAAAAAGGTTGGCTAGTATATGTGTGTAATGATTATATAATATTTTTAAAGTGTAATTAGTATAAGTTTTTAAGAACCTTACCGTGCCTGATGATATATCTAATTATCTTTACTAGATGATGTAGTATCATATATGATGGCCCACTTCAAAAAATGTCACTGAAAAATGTTACCAACATGCCTATATGAATCACTACAAAAAAGGTTACCAATGTGCCTATAAAATCACTACAAAAAATGACACTAGAAACTGTTACAAATGTGTTTGTAAGAATTACTACAAAAAATGTTACCAATGTGCCTATAAGAACCACTACAAAAAATGACCCTAGAAACTGTTACAAATGTGCCTATATGAACCACTACAAAAAATGACTCTAGAAACTGTTACAAATGTATTTATAAGAATCACTACAAAAAATGACGCTGAAAACTGTTACAGGTGTGTTTATAAGAATCACTATATAAAATGTTACCAATGTGCGTACAAGAACCACTACAAAAAATGACACTAGAAACTGTTACAAACGTGTTTATAAGAATCACTACAAAAAATGACCCTAGAAACTGTTACAAATGTATTTATAAGAATCATTACAAAAAATGTTACCAACGTGCATATAAGAATCACTACAAAAAATGACACTAGAGGCTGTTACAAATGTGCCTATAAGAATCACTACAAAAAATGATACTAGAAACTGTTACTAATGTGCCTACAAGAATCACTACAAAAAATGTATACAATAAATTGTTATTATATTATCTACTAACTCCTAGTATGCCATCTGATAATGTGTAGTAAGTGTCCTACAATGTCCCACTATACATTGATAACAGTCTACAAAGTCGCCTACTGACTCTTAGTATATTGTCTAGTAGCATCCAGCAAGTCAACAATAGCCTATTACACTGGCTCCTAATATACTCTTTAGTATCGGTTTGTAATGAGCTTACAATAGTCTGAACATGTCACCTGATGTCACTTTGTAACTAGTAACCTACAATAGTGTCTACTAATCTCTAGTAAATGCCCTAGTATGCAAGTTTATAAGGGCCTTACAATAGTTAGATATGTCACCTAGTGTCAGTTTATATGATGCTTACAATAGTCTAGTATACCACCTAGTATCAGTTGATAAGGGCCTTACAGTAGCCTACAAAGTGATATATTGACTCCTAGCATGTTGTATAGTAATGTTTAGTAAGCCTCCTACAATGCCTTATTATACTGTTTATTGAATTCTAGTACACCCTCTAGTATCGGTTTGTAAGGGCCTCATAATGTTCAGATGTCATCTAGTTTGTGTTTGTAAAGGCCTTACAATAGTCTGAAATGCCACCTAGTATGGGTTTGTAGAGACCTTACAATAGCTCAGACTTGCAAGACCTGTTACAATTGTTGTCATAACCTGTACTTATACCAAAAGTCCGAGCTTGTAGTGCTTTTAAGCTGCCCTACAACAGTTACTAATGAAGCTAATAACCTGAAAGCCAAGCTTTGTAGTGGTCCCGGGTATACCTGGTGAACAGCTCTTTAGTCCAGAAACAGAAGTGCTGACTTTGAACATTTTGCTGCATTTAGTAATTCTTCAGCCACCAGAGCGCTGAGAACGAAAAAAGTGTCGATGCGCTCGATTTTTTGGATCGCATCGACACTTTTTTCGTTGTCCGCTCAAACCTTATTCAATTTAGGCAAGTCTTTAGCAACTGGTTCCCACACTTTCAGCCAAACTTGCAAGGCTTGTAGCTCACTCAGTTCTACTCGGATTTTGATAAATCCGGTAGGCATTCTGACCGGAGTTTTGAGCCGAATCTGATGGTTTTACCTTCAGAACATCAGCATTACTTCCTGCAGTGCTATAATCCATTTTCTCTGTGTTCTCTCACTTCTGCTTGTTTCTTCCAGGAAAAACAAATGTGCACTGCATGTAATAAATAAGGCGCCCTATGTAGGATGTTTAGGTGCATTATAGGGTGATTCTACAATTTAACTGGCATTTGTACGATTTTTCTACACTTTAGGCTGAGCATTTTAATCCAAAACTGAGATATCTCAGCCAGTTTTACTCAGACTTCCTTAATTTAAAAGAGTATTCTGCACTATTTTATGCATAGATTTTAATAATACTCAGGTCTACATCTTAGGTATCATTACAAAAACTGGAAGTGTCTGGTTTAATGATGGGGTTACAACTGGGCAGACTTGTATACTAGAGGGACAAATAGAAAGTATGGGATCAACAGCACTGACAAAGTGTAGATCAAAGATTAGTTCTGTTGTAGTATATGTTAAAGCATGACTGTATTAGATTATAATGTAGCAAAATGAATGTTTAATTATAAAAATATACAACTGTAATACTTTTGAATGATGAGTGTAAAAAAGACTAAACACATATATCAGAAGTGTAGGCCTAATAGATATTAAAATCAGGAATCGTTCTTGCCGTGCATTAGCATCGGCTCACTCCAAGCAAGTTGCAGGTACACTGGGTGAGATGATGAGGGCCATGCGGTGTGCAAGCCACATCGCCTCCAGGTCCTGGTGTAGTGAGGCCTCTGAGCAGTTATTGTTCAAGTGTCTTACAGCCCAATGAACCTGGCTCGGGTTCTGCATGTATCATGCCACCCACTCGTCGAACATCGATGAGCTGGTGGGGTTGGTCATCCTGCAAGGAGGCAGAGCAGTCGGCGGGTAGATCACTCCGGAGCTGCCATGACATTGCCACAACATGAGTAAGTTCATCATGCCATGGGATGCGGTCAGGCATCCGTCTTGCTGCATCTGCCAGATGAGGTCAGTCGCCCGGGTGCATGCACCATCGTCACCCTCATGTGCTGCATTGATGAGGCGCTGCAAGTCGCAGATGTACTGGGGTACAAAATTGTACCACTCGGTCGCCTTTCACAGCTGCGTGTTGACCGGTAGGGGGAACGTATCAGGCCAGTTGTGCAGGGTGGGCGAGACATCATTATTGGTGTCCGATGGCTGCGGCACTGTCTTCCCCTTGTCGTCGCTCCTCGATGCTCCTTGCCTGGGCAAGTTCATCAGGCTGTGGTTCCTCTGACACTGCTTGTTGAGCTGCTGGACCTTGGCTTCATCGGGCTCATTGTCGCCATCTGTTATGGACAGCTCTGACTCCGACTCCGACTCATCATTGTCAATGTGCTTGTAGGCCCGCTGTGCATGTGACTTCACAGGGGTGGGGGCAGGACCAACTGGAGGTCGAGGGGCATAGCCAGCCAGCGGTCCAGGGGTAGGACCAGTCAGCAGTCCAGGGGCACCACTCCTTGATGGTGACCCTGGGGGCATGTGTCTCGGTGGTGGGGGCATTCCTGGGGCATGGTGTGTGGCTGAGCTCGGCCTACTCACCACAGCATAGGGCAAGTATCGCTGTGCTCTCTCAGTCAAGTATTGCACCAGGGATCGACATCGCGATCTGCTCGTGTTCGACGGTGGTGAGTACTGGTGCGAGCTGCTGTTCATCGATGGGGGGAAATACCTTCACTCCCTCGGGGGAGGTAGGTATTCCAGTGGGGATGGTTGTCTACGTGGAGCCCCACTTGGTCGCCCTCGATAGTCCGTGGGCAATCAAGGTTGGGAACTCGACGCAATCTGCCTAAGGAGATGTTCGTGCTCCCTTAGTAAGTCATTGACTTGTCATCGCTGTGTGGCTGCTTCTGCTTCTGCTGCACAGAGTTGTGCTTGCAGCTCCATGTTGCATTGCTGAGTGGGAGCGTCACCACGTCCTCCCCCTTCCGAGGCCATGTAGGTCTGGAAGTGCTCCCAAAACAGGTGCTGCTTGGCATTGAGCACATTTGTGTGGGCTTTCTGGTAGGGGGCCATGTTGCGTGCCATTGCAATATGTTGAAGGTAGGCGTAACACACGGCACATGCCTCCATGTGGTACAGTGTGAACTGGTGAGTCTCAAATGAGACCCACCTCTCCACCACTGTCGGGATCGGCGGTGGTGGCATCATTGTCAATGCGTTCTCAGCACCTGTTGATGCTGGATTTATTGATGTCACTGCGATCGCTGGGGCTGCCATCAATCGTATTGTGATCAGTGGCGGTGGTGATTGCAGTGGGGCCTGTGGCATCACCATAGTTCCAAATTGGAGCCACGGAGATGTCGACCTTTGTCGGCCTTGCTGTTGTGTTGCTGTTACGGGGGCCAGTCGTGCCACCGTACATCCGGTTCGTCGTCATCAGTGACTAGGCCTTTGCAAGGGCTCAAGTCAATTGTGAGGGGTCCGACCTCCAGTCATAGCGATGACCAGAGGTCGGCCCAGTGGAGTAGTCTTATGAACGCTTGGCTGCTGTCTGCGGACCAGTCAATCTGTCGCACAGATGTAGATGGTAAAACTGGTTGATGTGTAACCAGGACAAGATGGGGACTCCAGCTTGTCCTGTCGGTCTTATATACAAGTACAGGCGTCTGTCTACCTGTAATACTAGAACTACGATTGGTCCATCGGTATCAATACAAGGGCACAGGGTTCGTATACCTGTCCCACGGTCGTGAGAATGCTGAGTCAGTCATGACTCTGCATGAGAGACAATCTGTCCATATGGGGAATAGGTCGTGCTGCAAAGACAAGGCAGCAGCGAGGTCGTCGTGCGTCTAGCGCATGTATCAGGGTCTAGGGTCATGCCCATAAGGTTCGGTATCTGTATCATAAAGGTAAGGCAAAGGTGAGGCAAACATGCCTTTGTCGTGTGTGTGATAGGAAGTGCGTCCTAGGTCTGGATCTCGCACATGAGGTAAACATGCCTTGAGCACAAGGCACATATCATCAGATGATCAGGTAGATCCGTGCCAGATAGATAAGGGTGATGACCATGATGACATCATGGTCATGTGGTCAGTGACATCATTGTCACATGGTCAGTCTAGGCTCTGTGACATCATTGTCATCACCCTTATCTATCTGGCACGGATCTACCTGATCATCTGATGATATGTGCCTTGTGCTCAAGGCATGTTTACCTCATGTGCGAGATCCAGACCTAGGACGCACTTCCTATCACACACACGACAAAGGCATGTTTGCCTCACCTTTGCCTTACCTTTATGATACAGATACCGAACCTTATGAGCATGACCCTAGACCCTGATACATGCGCTAGACGCACGACGACCTCGCTGCTGCCTTGTCTTTGCAGCACGACCTATTCCCCATATGGACAGATTGTCTCTCATGCAGAGTCATGACTGACTCAGCATTCTCACGACCGTGGGACAGGTATACGAACCCTGTGCCCTTGTATTGATACCGATGGACCAATCGTAGTTCTAGTATTACAGGTAGACAGACGCCTGTACTTGTATATAAGACCGACAGGACAAGCTGGAGTCCCCATCTTGTCCTGGTTACACATCAACCAGTTTTACCATCTACATCTGTGCGACAGATTGACTGGTCCGCAGACAGCGGCCAAGCGTTCATAAGACTACTCCACTGGGCCGACCTCTGGTCATCGCTATGACTGGAGGTCGGACCCCTCACAATTGACTTGAGCCCTTGCAAAGGCCTAGTCACTGATGACGACGAACCGGATGTACGGTGGCACGACTGGCCCCCGTAACATTAGGACAAGATAGTTATTCACTGCTCAACCTCCTATGGTTTAGAGCTGACCTTGACGATTACAACTTGTCCATGTTCGCAGACAGCGTAACATTAGGACAAGATCTTTTTCCTTGGCTCAAGCTCCTATGCTTTAGAGCCTGACCCCGACCTCGACCGGTTCACAAACAGCGACTGTGTCCTTTGACCTCTTGACCGACCAAGGCGACGGTTACCTTAGGATGACACTACCCGACCTCGACTTGTCCATGTTCGCAGACAGCGTAACATTAGGACACCTGTGATGACAGAGATGGAGATACCGTGATTTGACACTCCATTCTCTTGACCTCGACCTTGTCCATTAACATTAGGACACCTGTGATGACAGAGATGGAGATACCGCGATTGACACTCCATTCTCTCGATATCCAACATTGGAACGATGAAGAAGACCCTCGTCTGGTCATTCCTAGGTGAGACCAGATTTTCATAAGACAATTTATTGGCACCTTGTCCGAGACGAACTCTCAAGAGTTTACCCTTCATTGGGTGACTCTCAGGGGTCGAATCCCCTCATGCGAGGAAAGCTATGACATGTGTAATAATCAAAGACATGTACGAGCTGCATGTGACTGCGAATCGGAAAGGTTTGGCCACCGTAGAATTAGTACCGATTCTATGGACCGTGATGAACTGAGGATGGTGCGCAGCCTTTGACGAAGGACTTAAGTCGCACACTTGATGATCATGGCTGACAACACCGAGTGCGGCAAGATACCCATGGTGCAGATTGATCCCAGGAACGGCAACACGTATAAACTGTAGACTCTTAATTGAGTCCAATCTGATGACCATTTGATGATTGTGATCCCTGAATGGGAGCTCGGACTGAGCAAGTGGACACTCGCTCTCCACTATAAACAAACGATAGATCTTGGCTGAGAACACCCTGCATGGCGAGTTACCTGGGGTGCAGAAAGATTGACAACTCGATGCCATTACGAGTTGATGACCATGGAATGTTTGAAGACACCGCGAGTTGACACTTCAAAACCATTCCCTGTCAAAGAGGCTCTCGACGTTAAAGAAACCGACAATCCGAAGAAGATCCTGATGTAACAAAAGGATCTGAATGATGACCGTCGATCACAGCTCTCGACGATAAAGAAACTGAACCTGGATGAACCTTGAATGACATAGTAAAAGGTTCTGATGGAAGACGGATCCTGGCTCTCCGTATAAACCAATGATCCATACCGAATCTAGGCCGAAGGTTTGACAAGGCGACGATTAGCCTGATGATTGAACTTAACAAGAGATCATATCACCGAAGAATGACTTAGAGTTAACAGTACATGACACTCCAATCCCCGATAACGACACCTGATATTAGGAAACCCCTAATGGTCCTTTGTTGACCACCACGATGATGACTCGAGCATGATCAGACAGACATGACTCATTCGATGATGTCTGGAAGTCCCACATCTTTGTCAGTTATGAAAGATAATCTTTTCTATCAATAAGTAGCAAATTTTCATAAGAATTGCTACTTTTAAGTAGACTTATTTGTAGGTGCATAGATTAACTCAGGATAATCTTAATATAATCTTTCAGATAATCTGAGGATAATCTTCTGGATAATCTGAGAATAATCTGAAGATTAGCAACAAAATACAATTTTAACTTTGACACCAGCCAGGATTGAACCCTAGACCTTAGGTTGATTTTATAGAATATAATTCCAAGTGACACTTTAGACCACTTGACCATTAGGCCATACATCACAACTATCTTATATTAAATTAGACATCTTTTTCTTGAAAAAGACTTAGCCAAATTCTGTCTATTAAAAAAGAGTAAGTAAAAGACACTTGACTTTTATCATAGATAGACAAGACTTATAAACAAACATTACTCTGAGTCTTATAGTCTTTTCTAATGCTTGCAGCCTTCATATAATGTAGTATAATATGTAATTAATAGAATATATGTTTCTACAGTTACTTCAGCAAAACAGAACTTTGCTATACAATTAGAAGATAGCTATAAAGATCTTGTATATATAAGTGCTCAGTCTATAATATAATAGACTCTAGAGTATAAGCCTAAATTGAACAAATAAAATACTGTCTCTCAATAACTTGTTATATATTATAGATGACTATATTAAGATACTCTATGATACTGCATGATAGTTTATAAAAACTGTAAGCTGTAGAACAAGACTATAATAAGATGCAGAGTACTGTTTGTCTATAAGTCTTGTCTATCTATGATAAAAGTCAAGTGTCTTTTACTTACTCTTTTTAATAGACAGAATTTGGCTAAGTCTTTTTCAAGAAAAAGATGTCTAATTTAATATAAGATAGTTGTGATGTATGGCCTAATGGTCAAGTGGTCTAAAGTGTCACTTGGAATTATATTCTATAAAATCAACCTAAGGTCTAGGGTTCAATCCTGGCTGGTGTCAAAGTTAAAATTGTATTTTGTTGCTAATCTTCAGATTATTCTCAGATTATCCAGAAGATTATCCTCAGATTATCTGAAAGATTATATTAAGATTATCCTGAGTTAATCTATGCACCTACAAATAAGTCTACTTAAAAGTAGCAATTCTTATGAAAATTTGCTACTTATTGATAGAAAAGATTATCTTTCATAACTGACATCACTGAGTCCCAGATGGTCCTTTGTTGACCACCACAATAACGACACCTGATATTAGGAAACCCCTAATGGTCCTTTGTTGACCACCACGATGATGACTCGAGCATGATCAGACAGACATGACTTATTCGATGATGTCTGGAAGTCCCAGACGGTCCTTTGTTGACCACCACGATAACGATACCTGATGCTAGATGCCTAAATAGGTCTAGCAACCCTCGACGATCAGACAGATCTCGATGGGCGAAACTACTATGAATGACAGCCTTCGATATGGCACTTTTGATGACATGCGTGGGGTAGTTCCCCATGGATAGAAAGGATACTGGGTCACGGCCGATCCTTGGATTTGATGTAGACTGTTGTCTCATCATCTGGAAGAATAAATTTGACAAACAAACGAAATTCGATATATGACACAGCGATGAATAGGGCATCCATGGAATATGGATGGAGGTAGTCGATTTCGTTCGACACCAACACACGACAAGACCCGATATGAAATATTCGATAAAGTATCACGCTAGGCCGGGGTAGTTCAAACCTAGGCTGGGGTACTTTAATGATGAAGACATGAAACTGGACATGAAACGTGAATGGGAGCTATCGCTTACCATTGGATATTCGATCTGAACCTTTGCTGAGAACACCTAGTAGGGCGAGATACCCAGGGTGCAGAAAGGTTATCAGAAGGACGAACGACCTTGATGAAAGCCGAAAGGCAGGATTATGGCATTCATGAAATGTGAAGGGAGATAACCGACAAAGTGTGGTATCAACCCAAGATAAGGCCACAATTATCCCGATGATTAGAAACATCGAAGACATGAAACCTGAATGGGAGCTATCGCTCACCAGAAGACGATTAACCATGCTGGCATTGACGATGATCAGCCAACCACGATACATGTCCGCAATGACTTAAAACTAGAAGACGACATTTGTCCGTAATGACTTAAAACTAGACGATACTTGTCCGCAATGACTTAGAACTAGAAGACGATATTTGTCCGCAATGACTCGAAACTAGAAGACCCTTGCTGCCCACCCTCTTTTTTCCCTTTACGATTTGTTATCTGTTTTTATCGGTTTTAGATCCAGGGTATCTGGTTTTTTTGAATGGGAGCTGATAGGGGATAGTAGGTGAGGATGCATATCCGAGCCAAAGGAATGAGCCCGAGTGCCCGGGTGACGAGGAACGAATGGAATCGAGGAGTGACGAGCAGAGTCGAGGAACTGTGCAGGCCTCCAATCACGGTAGGTATCTGTAATTAAGTTCAAATGGGGCAAATCCTGTGGTCATGCTCGTGGCTGAGTTCAGTGCGAACTCAACCATTGGGATCTTGTCTATCTAATCTAATTGATTGGGAGACACAATGGATTGTAGGATTTGAGATACCGATCAGATGGTCCGCTCAGACAGCCCGTCAGTTTGCAGACAGAACAATGTTGACATGAATAACTTCGCACCCAGGAGTCGATGTAGTTCACATCGAAATTTCGATGTAAACTTCAAGTCCCAGTCCGAGATGATAGACCCAGGCATCCCATGCAGTTGCACAATCTCTCGGACATATAGTTCAGCTATGTCTGAGGCCGTGCTCGTCGTATTCACGGGGACCAGATGTACCATCAATGTAAGGTGGCATTTGACTACCCATAGGTAGTCATATCCCTTTGATCGCGGAAATGGGCCAATGAAGTCCATTGCTATTGAGTTCCACGGAAACTGTGGAATCGGCAAGGAATGAAGTAGTCCCACTTGCAAGTGATTGTGAGGCTTCACTGTTTGGCAGGCCCTGCACATCACGCAGAATTTTTCGATATCACATCTGATCCTAGGCCACCAGAACCACCGTCGGATGTATTCCGATGTCTTCTGTGGGCCATAGTGTCCTATGGTCATGTGCCCTCTATCGATGATGATCTCGGTCATCATTCAATGATGGTACAGGACTCTCGGGATGCAGATAACTTCTTCATCCTGGTGGTTCTTCATATATATTGTCTTGTCCCGGATTACAAAGGCGCTGAATTCCGTTGGGGATTCAACAACCTTCCTAAATAGCAGGTTCTCGCCGTAGCCCTTTTGGACTGTGGCCAGGAATGGGGTATCCTGTTCCAAATGGACCTTCAGTGGAGGTCCGTTGGTACGTGATTCAGCTATCATTGGGTCCTCGCCCTTTGCACCTGGAGTTGGTGTCACTAGAGGCAGGTGGAAGGCCATCTCACTGGCCTCCTGATCTCTTGACTCTTTCATGTCCTTGGGCAGCTGTACTGAGTGCTGAATCGTTCCAGCGCGCAACTCAGCAATGCAGTTGGAGGGTAGGTCATCACACTCGGGGTCTAGATGAATGTCTGTGTTCACATAGTCCTGGATGAGTGCGAATTCATCCGCATTGTCATTCTCATAGTACCTTGATAGACAGTTCGCGACCTTATTGGTCACGCCTTCTACATACTGGATTTTGTATTGAAATCGAGACATGTACTCATTCCAATGAATCTGTCAATTTGTTGGATTGGTTACACCTTCGAAGTACTTCAATGCCAGATGGTTGGTCGCAATCATTATCGGTCGACCGAGTAGTTTGTCCTCCCACTTGAAGAGAGCTTCCAGTATCGCGAGTGCCTCATGCTCATATGTTTTATAAGCATGTTGCACACTCGTGAATTTCTTCAACAGGAAGCCAGCCAGGTGACAGGTTCGCCAGTCTGGTCCCTGTCCGTACATCGCTCCAACACTGTATAACGATGCATCGGATATCACCCAGATGGGTTCTGGTTGATGTGGGTCAATTGGCTTCAGGATGGGTGCCTTGCACGCCAGAGCTTTGATCATTTCAAAGCATTTGGCGTGCATTGGGCACCACACGAATGCTCGGTCATTGTGAGCCATGTCTGACAATGGCGAGGTGTACACCATTACATCAGGCATGAAGTGTTTTAGGTAGTTCACGAGCCCTAGGAATCATTGTATTTCTTTGTAAGATTGAGGTATTCGCCATTTGCAAATACGGCTCATCTTGTCTGAGTCTGCGTGGAGTCCTCGGTCATTGATTAGGTGACCTAGGCAGTCCATGCTTCATGAGTATAGGTCGCACTTCATTTCGCTGAGGTAGAGCTTTGCCTCCCTCAGCTTATGGAATACGATTTTCAAATGACGTTCGTGTTCTTCAATTGTATCGGAGAACACAAATATGTCATCGAGGTATATGTGAACATATCGTCCGATGCAGTCACGGAATATCAATGTCATGAGGCTTTGGAATGTCGCTGAGGCATTACAATCGCCTTGTTGCATGACGTGACTTACAAACATACCGGATGGGGTGGAGAACGCTGTTTTCCAGATGTTCTCCGCTGCCACACATATTTGTTCATACACGTCAGACAAGTCAATCTTCGACCGGTATTTGGCACGAGACATGTCCATGCGTATCTGGTCCTGGTCCGGGAATGGGGTTATGTCCTTTACGGTGTTGTCATTGCGTTTACGTGCATCAACAACCGTCCGTAATTTTCCGCTCTTCTTCATAATGCATATCATGAGCGCTGCCTGGGGAGCCTGCTTGGACTCCCACCAGCCAGTGTCCTGGTATCGTTGGATCTTTGTTAGGAGCAATGGCTTCATTGCATCGGCACATCTCAGTAATCGCTGTCGATACTGCTCATCGTTATTGATGAGCAGTATTCGATGGTTAATTTCACAGAACGGTGGAAGGATTAGGGGTGGGGGACACATTATGTCTCTCATCTTCTCAATCCAGGCTTTTCGGTGTTCTTGTAGTTTCTCCTCGGATGCTATTGCATCTGAGGATTCTACGACTGTGGCGTGAATTTCTTCATTGAACTGGTCCCATCGTGTTTCGTTCATTGAGTGTCTAGTCAGTGTGAACTTCTCCGAGATGTCAGGGAAACAGTCCTTTTTGGGCTGTTTCCTGTTTCTCATGGTTGATTTTTCTTTCGCCTTGACGTTTCCATCATTCCCCTCCCCTCTTAGGACTGTCCCCAGTTTCGCACCACGAGACTGGGGTGGCTTCATGGCCATTGGTCTCGTTGCGGGGTCCTATTGCAGGTTGTCCGAGGTGATGGTGGTAACAGTACCAATGTTGTTGTGTATGCAATAGTGTGAGTGCGACATATCCTTGTGATTTGCAATGATTGTGGCCTCGTCCACTTCCGCGTAGGTCAGTATCTTTTGCCGTTGGATCGATATGGTGCAGTTCTCGAAGTCGAGGACCATGTCATATTTATGCATGAACACTGTGCCTAGTACGGTGTCGTATCTATCGATATCGACGACATTTAGGTAGTGTTGTGCCTTTACTGGGCCTATGGAGATTGTGGGTCGTGCACCATAATTGATGCACGTCCTGCTTCCCTTGGTGCCCAGTTGGAGACCTATTTGGTCATCCAGGTCAATTCGGTCCACCTTCGAGATGTACGTCATCTCTGGAGAAATGGAGTCTGTTGTACACCCCGAGTTGAATAGTGTATAGGTCTTGATCCCATTGATCAAGACCTCTGCACATAGTGTTTGTTGTGTCTGTGAGTTTCGCTGAGGCTGCATGGCTGGATCGGTCAGGCATTGTACGTGTGAGTTGTACAGCCATGTGTTCCTCAAGGATCATGCATCTGTTGTGGGTTCACTAGCATGGAGGTGTACAGTCTGCATACACTTTCCGGGCTTGTGTTGATGCATGGCACTGAATCTCATTGATCCCAGGCGAATGTCGTAGTCATCATTCCAGCCATCGTCTTCAGATGGGGGTTCACGCTCATCTGCCGATGAGTACTGTGATCTCTCTGGAGCCCAGTCCGACTCAGGATATGTTTGATATCCTGTGTCATTCTGGTATGGCCCTTCATTTCTGTCAGTTTCGGGAGTCATCTCCTGTGGAGCCAGCTCCTGAACTGCAGCCTCTGGTTCCGCCGGTTCTTGGTTTGCCTGTTCCTCATCCTCGGAGTGGTCATCGACTACATGTTGTGCGTGTAGTCGTGCTGGCCGAGGTTTACCATAGTTCGGGCACGTCGGGTCTGTCGAGAAGTGGCCCTTGCCACCGCAAGAATAACAAGTGACATTTGCATTTGTCACCTTGTTATTCGCTGGTGGTCTCAATCCTGAGACTGCCGGGTTTGTAGTAGGATGACCACCCCCATGATGTTGTCTGTTGCATGGGTTCGTCATTCTATGGCCAGCATTACCAGCCTACCATGCATGTCCTGGGTGTGCCCCTCCTCATCCTTGTCCTTGCGGGCGGTAGGTAGGTCGTGTATCTCTCATCGATGATATCATCGGTGCGAGGAATGACACGGCCTTACTTGAAATCCGGGCCCCCGTATGGTCCCCAGTCTTCTGAGGCTGTCGGCAGTCCTTGTATGTACAGTATTGGTCCAGCCATCTGTTGCCCTGTTCAATCACCAAAGCCGATTGATACAGTGCATTGATGGTGTGTTTCTCAGGCAATAGTAGGTGGGCTAGATGCACTACTTCTACCATCGGTAGCAGTAACACATCCATAAACCTCTTCCGGAATGTGTATTCCATTGGGTATTGCACCATGCAATCCGTGTGGTGTAATAGCCTGTCGTATAGCTCACTCACACCACCACGTGATAGACTGTATATCGCCTTGTCATACTTCTCAGATGCTATTAACTCCGAGTCCTTGTGTAGGAACCATCAGTGGAGGTGCATCACTGCATCCTCGAAGTATCACTGTCGTACTTCGCAGTTCAGTGACTGCACATTCAGGAAAAACCAGTTGGCAGCATTATCTTTAAGACTTTGCCCCAATATTCACAGATGATCTGCATCCATGGTGTCGCCAGTGATGCGGAGAGTCTTGAAGTATTCCAGTAACTTCTGTAGCCAGACCTCGAATGCATCAAGATCATCCTTCCCATCGTATTGCAGTGGTGGAGGCATCTTGGTGACTCTGAGGTATGCTGATGGTTTATTGATGGGATCTCTTGATACCGTCTCATCCACCGTTGTATGGATCCTCTCAATTGCGGGAGACGTATCTGAAGGTATCACTCCTGGGCCATGCAATCATTGTATGGTTGCATGGCCTGTGTGCATACCTGGTGCAGCTGTTATATTCATTCCCGGGAATCGAGGGGGTCGGTTCACTGCGGTAGTGACTGCTGGGTTTGGCTGGGTTACTCCTGACTGGGCATCAGTCCTGCATGTCGTGTGTTTGTTCCCACCGTGGGCTGCCATTGCAGTCCACGGTGGTATCCAGGTCCTGCAGGTCATGTTGGTCAAGGAGGCAGTGGTGGTGGGGTCGATCCATTGGATCGCAGTAGCCGTTGTCCTCCAGGTTGGTGTCCCCGAGGTGGTGTTGCGGGCCTTCGACCATTTCTCCTGAAATGGTCGAAGTTGTTCCCACCATCTCCGGGGTAGGGCTTGAGTCGTCTGAATCATCGCTTCCAGGGTTGCCTTCAGGAGCTGCTACTGGAGCCGTTCCGGATTGGAGCAATCCCCACATCGCGCGAGGTGTCGATGATACTGGCAGTTGTACTCCGAATGCCCTCAACACCCTTTTGGACTCTGAGGCCATGCGGTCCAAGTATCTGGTGTATATTAACACCCTTCAATTGTAATCCTCGTCCAGCTCTCCCTCTTGCTGCAGTCGGGCCAACCGATGGTACACGCTCTCGATAATTATATCAGGAGCACCTGCCATCAGGTCCTCGACCTCTGAGGAGTATAATCCTCGCTCTACCGCTATCTCTTCGATGGAGTTCCTCGTTCCTGAGGGGACAGGTTAATCCATCAGGTCAACTTTATCTCCTAAGGAGTTTTCAAGTTCATCCATTATCCTTTCAAACTGCTCATTCTGTGCTTGGTGAGTCTGTTTGTGTGCCTCATGAATGCCCTGCATCTTGCATTCTTGCTTTTCTTGCAATGCGTCAAGTTTGCAGTTCGCCTCTTCTCGAGCCCACTGGAGTGCCTCTCGGGCTCTCTCTCTGCACACGTGTTCTGACGAGCTCATGCTTGCAGTGCTTCCTGGGGCTCTATCCTTGGCATGATGTATTTCATCCGCTAGGGAAGATATCGGTTGCGCTGACAGGGCTGAGGACGGAAATCTCTGCGAGTAATGTGAAGGATGCCGTGGTGTCCTTCTCATTCTCGTCATTTCCATTTCTTTGCTGGCCTGGTGAGATCCAGTGGATCTCACCGGTGTTCTAACATTACGGTCAGAGGCAGATTCCTGCCGCTGCTCATCCGTTTAGCCTCCTCATGTTGAGCATGGGGGTTCGACATATGACAGTGTAGGGGATCGTGAGGCTGGTGATGCCAGTTCTTGCCCATGGTCCATTATTTCTGGGGCTGGCGTGCTAGTGTTTGCATGCACGCCATCATGGGGTGCGCTCTCGGCCACGTCTGCCAGAGCTGCGTGCTCTGCCTGTCTTGACTGGAAGTGTGTTATCTGTGTGTTTTTGGGGCCTTGACTTGCCATTGGGTGGCAAGTTAAGGTTTTTGATTTCTTGATGGGGGTCTTCGCTGTTAAGTAGAATTTTTCGCAGGGTGAATTGGACTGTAAAAAAGTGTAATGGGGGGCGAGATCTTATCACACCGAACCTTAGATACAGTGCACCAAGCTCTATTCTGGAGTGTCGTGCGTGTATCAAGGTCGTGGTGTGTAAAGTCTCTGACTTCAACACACCGACGCGTGCTCGATACACGCAGAGTGTGTACAAATAGTACACAACAGTTACATAATGCAAGATGAGATTAGATAAGATTAGGGCACAAGTACCGCTTGGTACTTGTGCCCCACAATACAACAGCGGCATGTTACAATTGACCTCCCCTAGTCTATGGTAAGATGATTATGGTGATGCAGGTGGTAAGGCAATACCGTATGTTGCCTGCGAGCACCGCAGCCTGTTGCCACAAGGTCCTGGCATCTGCCCAGCTTCACCACAGCCTGGACGGAGCATACTAACAGTGGATGGACGTGAGAGTGCTGTGCTGATGTAGGGACTAATGAAGGGCTCTAGAGTTTTGTCAGGTTGGCTGAGTGCTCATAGGCATGTAATGAGGTCAGTACATGTATCCGTAGCCTGGAGGAGTTCCTGCATTCGGATCACTCTCTCGTTGCCATAGTGAGAAGTGCTGCCAATGTTGTGGCTGTGTGTCGGGGACGGACTGTTAACTGTCAGTGATAAGCCCATAGAAAGCGAATGAAGACCATCAAAAAGATTAGAGGATACTGAGGAATCTGAAGTACTTTCAGATGGAGTTTCAGCACCAGGAGATGACGAGCTGGAGCCTGAAGCTGAGAGCATGTTGATAGGCAGATCTGGGAGTATTTGAGATAGGTCCATGGCCATGTCCTCTCATAGCTCATGAGATCCACATGTCTCAAGCCCCTGGGCATCTTCAGACATCGGAGAAGGACTGTGTCTCGTAGTTGAAGCCATAGTTACAGTGAGGGACCAGTCTGAGTTGCCGGAACATAAAGCCATCTCTGTTTCTGGCTCAGTCTGGGCTGTGTCATTAGTCCTCGAGTCATCCGTGAGCATAGTGTGTAGCAGGTCAGCTTCATATTCAGTGAGAGATTCTCCAGCTACAGATTCGGAGAGAACAGTCGGAGCAGGGTAAGCTAGGCATGCCTTGGGGGCAGTACGTAGGTAGTCATAGTGATTGCACAGTTGGTCCATGTTGTTGCGGTGTGCAAAGAAGTCGGGAATAACCTGCATGATGAGAATGAATATCCAGACATCAATGCATGAGAGCCGACCACCGTGCTTGTGATCTTGGAAGTAGTCACCCTTGAGATGGTTATTGTGAGATTCCAGATGATTTGTCATTCTTGGCACATCTTCAGGACGAACACCGAGAATTTCAGCAGCCTTGATGGCACCTGCATGAGACCACTGAAGCCAATACTCCTGTGTCACCAAGTAGGAGGACAAATAGTTGAGCAATTTGAGGCCACCAACAGATTTCTTCTTGTCCATCTCGCTTTGATGATGTCCTAGGGATACAAAGTAAGCTAGCTCTTCCTGATAGGCTGCCTTCGTGGTATCGTAGTCGACAATGTTTTTAATCCGATAGAAGGGCCCATCAGTGTTTTCTGCAAGTATCATTAAATACAACACCGTACAGTTGCATGCATAATCGGGCGAGCTGTGAACAAACTTCTTGGCGATGCTCACCATTTGGTACTCCAGCCAAGCAGTGATTCAAGCCCAACTGCCAAGACTGCCAAGTATGATACAGACACAAGATCAGGAATATGTTAGGCCAGTGTGTTGTCATTGCCGTGCACTCTCTAGTATCATTGTCGCTGCTGCCAATCAGCGGGGCAGACTTCTCGCCAGATGCATTAACTCCCATGCTGTCAATCCAGTGGCCCAGTAAAGACTGTAGAAGCTCTGTGTTATAATCAGCATGAACTCCTCGAGACAATGTCTCCTCCTTCACAAAGAATACAGCATAGGCCACAGGTACACCCTTCTTGTTGTGGTCTATAGCCATCAGAATCCAGACGTTGGCACGAGCTGATGAGAAGCCAAACGTGAGATCCATGAGGATATGTTTCTTGTGACCATGTTCCCATGCTGCAGAATGTTGTCAGGGAGTTGTGATGATGAGTATGAAGCGATCGGAGATTCCCTCAATGAACAATTGATAAAACAGGCAAGACTCAGTGAGACGAGGATCAGGTGGTGCTGGATTGCTAGCATGGAACCAGAGATCAATATTCTCATGCGCAAGGGATCGCTGTGGTACCCCCATCTCGGCAGCTAGGCTGCGGTAGATTGATGAGGTGTCGTAGGGCATGTAAGTGAAATGATGGTGCTTGTCGAAAGCCACTTTGATTGGAGGCCAATGGAGCTTTAACCATGTGTTGATCTGTGTGTATGCAGAGGCTGCTGGGACGTGATTCTTTAGTAATTCATGTGCATATATGCAGATATCGGGGTGCAGAGGGAGGTGTGGATTTCGTGACATTCGCGTGGTCAGCATACACTTCTCTGTGTGGGCGAATATTCCCACAACTTCATTTATCACGAGAACATTTTTGGCTGCATTTATTTATGTTAGGCATCAAGCCAGTTCTGCATGTAGGGAAGAGCATACTTTCGACATCGTACGTCACAGTTATCTTGATGAATGCATCACACCCAACATTTTCATATGGCATCTGTCTTGCTGTGGCTGGTTGATGACCGGCAGTGTGATTCGAGCTGCAGATACACTGAAAGACATATGTACCATGGGAATATTTGTATTTCGATGCCACGGCCTTCAGAGGAGTAACATTTGATGTCTGTATTGCTCACTTTGAACTCGCATCCCTCTGTATAGTACTGGGAATATGTAACCGGAGGTCAGCCAGAAGTTCGAGAGCTTTCTCTGTGAAAATGTTAGTCTTGCAATGGCAGGCTATATGCATCAGAGCGCACTTTGGTTATCATCCCCATGCTTAAATCTCCTCTTCTCGCACCCCTCAGTTGCAAGCTTCTCTCATAAGGTCCTTCGCCTCCCATCAGACAATAGAAGTTTGTCAGACACAGCTACCTGATCCTTTGTCACATGAAGAGATGGTGCTTCAGCGACTTTCTGCCTCAATTGAGATGCAAGCAGGTCAATGGATAGCTCAAGAGTAGGCAGGGACATTCAGATTAATATCAAGTACTAGTAACAGATTACTGTAAAGACGTGCAGGGGGGGAACATGTGTCAGTAAATGATGCAACTCAATGTGCCGAGCAAGACACGTCGATGTATTTCAAATTACATACTGCCTTCCATATCTGTTTATGGGTGTGAGTTTAAATTTCCATGCATTTAGACCACTCATGCTTTCCACAGGTTGAAGGGCTTGATAAAGATCTCGATGTAAAGAAGACCTTTTGCAAGAGTGTATTTGTGAAGGATAATACTGATATCCATAAATGGGAGATTGAGTTCAGGATGAGAGATATGCCTCCGAGGTGGGCAGGTCCTCATTAGGTGCTCAGGCAGGCCTGGTGATGGCCAACCCCTCAGATCGAGTAGGGACATGAGTGGATGAGATGGCAAGGTATGGCGTGATGGGTAGTGATTCAATAAAGTGATTGTTAAGCAGATGCAGGTAGTATCAGGAGGGCAGAAAAGGTCAGGACCAGTTAAGTATGATGGCAAGGGAGAAGGATGGGTAGAATGAAGGTATGCATGTGAAAGCCTTATTCACATCTCCATCTCATTCAGCTTGTACATCTTTGAGCAGTTTGGCATTTTGTGCATTTCTGAGCAGTCTTGTGTTTCCACATTTCAGTGTTCTCCTTAGAGCAGTGTGATTTTACCTCTAACGTGTTTCCAGCAACTATTGTGACTACAGAGATTTGCTAGCTACACTATTGAGCTACCCACCTCATACTTCTGGAATAGACTTTCCTCCTCCCCTGTGCTTCAGACTCCATGCAGACTTGATTTCACGTATACACCACCTTTCTGACTTGTGACAGAACTTGAATCACATTAACGCATGCAATCCAAATTTAGTATTCACATAGTGCTCCCCCTCATGTAGCATTGCAGAGACATGTTGTAAAGCCATACAAAGTATAGTGTGATTCTCTTAAAAACTAATATAAATGTTCTGGTTATGAGTGCAGGATTCTGAGCTGCAAAAAATCAAGTACTAGTGTGACACATCAACTTAGAGACTTGCAGGTTGAGAGTAATCTGAGAGTGAAGATTAGATAACTCAATGGTCTATTGATTGAAATTTTTGAGCCATGCCATGCTCCTATGCTCTAAATCAATATTATTACACAAAGAGGAGTGTACAATGAGCATTATGTAAACACCAAATTTGGATTACATGCATTGCAGATAACAAGACCCATGCTAGAGTTTATTCAAGATTTCTTGCAGAAAATGCTAGGTGTGCACACTCACCATATCCTTGGATAACCAGTTTGGCCAGCCATTCTTTAGCAGTCTCCTCTTCTCATTCAGCTATCCTTTCTCAGCAATACTCTCTCAAAAAGGTAAGTCGCATAAAATATATATCACATGATCATCTAAAACATATGTTGAGATATAGAAGTAAGAACACTAATATAGAAGTAAGAACACTATAGCAATGGATGGTTTTAGAAGCCTGGCTGACCACTGGATTATGTCACATCAATGTTGTCCAGTTTTTGTGATGTGCTCTAAGGTTATACTCATGCCTTGCTTCTCCTTAGAGATTCAAGAAATATTGTGAAATTTCTGCTTACTCAGCATTTTTTTGTATGTTCTGGCTGCAGATAACACAAAAAATTACGTTTTGGTATATAACCCAGGCAAAGATAGACAACTATTCAGTTTGCATGGCCGGAAGTCCCACCCGTGCCGGAGTACTTGATGAAGGTAGCCGCACTTGACTTTTGGAGGCGCTATAGCCAAGTGGTTACGGCGACAGATTAGAAATCTGTTTCCCTTTGGGAGCGCAGGTTCGAGTCCTGCTGGCGTCGTGAGGGTAGGCCATAGAAATTTTTTGGCTTGAAGCTGGTGGGTTTGGGGTGCATGTAAGTAAGTGGTTTATTTAAGCTTATAGTAGGGCCCACAGGTTTATTTTATGAAGTCAAGGAATATTGAGGCCATCGATTTTAAAGTTGCCAGAAAAGGGGAAGGGTGTCTGCTCATTGTCTAGCGCTCGTGTGCTCCTAACTTAGCACCGATGGACGACGACATGCCGACGACGCTCGAGCAGATCGAGGAGTACCTCGAGTCGCTCGAGGACTACTTGTTATCGTCGCTGCAGGCTGTTACTCCTGACCTGCCCCATGTGAACGAAGCCATGCATCGTCTGTGGGAGGATGTCTCGCGCTTCGGTCCAAAATCACTCCCTTCCCTCCCGGACATCCACCTTCCTGGCATCGGTCCGTTCGAAGTCCCACCACCCCCGCCGCCTCCCCCGCCGCCCAAGAAGTTCTGGGAGGAATCGGCACACTGGGTGTCCGAGCACCCGTGGACCACGGCGGGCATAGGCGTCGGTGTCGTTGGCGCCGGCCTCCTCGTGGGCTACGGCTCCTTCCATATCTTCACCCGCAGGTCCCGGAGGACAAAGGCTGCGGTAGGGACGGCTAGTACAGAAAGGAGACAGGTCGTGGGTGAGTACCATCGCATTGCGAGTTCGTCACGCCCTTAACCCATCGATGTAGTCGTCCTCGGGGGAGACCATCCGTCTGGACTTCCGCTCGTGCTCGAGTTGGAGCGGAAGGGATACATAGTGATCATCAGCGTGTCTACTCCCGAGCGCGTGGATGAGCTCGAGAGGAGATCTCGCGGATATGTGCGCGCCCTCGTCCTCGATCCTGCCGATGTGAGTAGCGTGCCGCTTGCACCGTCCGCTCTTGCTTACGGCCTCTAGCCCGAGACCATTCCGTACTTCCTGCGCTCGCTGGCTTCGACTATGTCCCGTCGTTTCCCTGTCACGGCTGCGGGCGACCCACACTTAGCCCCTTCCACGCACCTCTACGTGCACTCGGTAATCTCCCTGCTCACGCTACCTCTGCCTGCAACGGTACCCGCCCCGGCGCCGCTGGAGCACCTATCTCTGCGAGACACATACGCCTCGTACCTGCAGACGACACACATCTCACCGCTGCAGGTGCTGCAGGCGATGATGCCGCTCCTGCGCACGTCTGCTGCGCGGGCGCGCGACTCGGTCTCGCAGAACCTCGGCAAGAAGAGCATCATCGTGTGTCTGCCCGCGATGGATGGCCGGGTCGGGCTGCCGTTCGCATCCGCCCAGGCTATGAGCGCAGCCGCCACGCTGCGGGGCGTCGAAGTGCTCCGCCGTGAGATCCGCGTGGCGGCTCTTACAGACCCGACCGAGTCCATGAAGAATATCAAGGTCGTGGTGGTCGATGTTGGTGCCATCGGAACGCAGGGTGCAGGGGGCAAGGCGTCGATGGATGAGTGGACACAGGGCGAGAAGTTGGCATACGGACCGGCGTTCTCGTCCGTCGCTCAAGGCGGCTTTGTGTATAGGAAGCCAACGAGCACTGCCGTCTTCGTGGATACGCTCATTAATATAGTTAGTAACGGCCGCAAGAGAGGCAATGTCTCCCCGCTGAGGCATGCTCTGGGTAGGATTTTAGAATGGGTGCGGGGCGATCGTGTCGCCGTCGGCTCCGGGGGTGCATTTATTTGTTCAGTCTCGTACGAGTGTTACTGATCAAATTTTCCAGCGGGTACGTACACCTTGGCGTCCCAGCTTCCGGCGCTCGTCCTCGACGCATTGCTGAACATCCCGCACTTCCTGGTTTCTATTCGAAATGCGCTTCTCCCCGTGCCTCCGCGGGTGGCGCCCGACCCGTCGGTCCCTCCCGTCGTGCCAGCTACTGTTCCTCCCACTGCGGCCGTTAAGAAGCCTGAGACCGAGGAGTCGCCGTTCAGTTCCGATCAGGAGCATCTCCATGACCATGAACTCTCAGAGACAGGCTCTGAGGCAGACGTAGAAAGCAACGAAGGAGATGCTTCCGGTGTTGGTGAGTCGTGGGTTAGTCTGAAGGGCAAGTTGCAGGGCCATGGCGGAGAGAAGTGATCAACTCGGTTTGGCGCGAGCAACGACATGGAGAGACAGTCGGTGTAATAGTGGGGGATTTGTATGTATCATATGCTTTGTAAAATTTAGTGTTGTAAATTGACTGAACCATCACTTCAACCCACTCACGAGAGCGCTCAACGTGTGGAACGGCGCTTGCGCAATAACATCATCGCTTCGTACCGCGATACGACTATTATACTGTAAAATTCATCTGGAATCTACATTAAATGTATTGACATTACGTAGGGGTCCAAGTTGATTGCATGGGATTCACTCCAACTTGACTGAGCAGCTCTCTTCCTTCACCTTGACTAGGGCTTCCTCTTCGTCCTTGGCCCGGGACGCCTCCTCTAGTTTCATTGGATTAGACCCATCCTTCACCTCCAATGAGGGTGATCCTGCCCTCTCCACCGGTTGGGATCCCTCCGCATCAAGCGGCCGGGGCACCTTCACCTTGACTTGGCGGATCATCTTCACGCCCGCCCTCACCACCGACCTCGCCGTGCGCCATCTAGATCGAGCTACCCGCGACCTATACAGACGATGGAGCTTGTCCCTGAGAGTATTTTTTGCCACTCCCTCCACTATCCGACACCAGCCATTCGTCGTGAGCCGCTCGAAGTAGTAGTTTTCGTATGCTAATTGGGCGGCACGGGCGAGCATGCGGGCTTTCGGGTCAGCAGGCATGCGCTTGGAGCGTGGGTCGTAAGAGACCTTTGCACGCTTCAAGGCGCGCATGGTTCGCAGGTATTGCTTCTCGTACGGAAGCAGTCTCAGTTTGCTACTCTCTGTGTTGCATTTGTACCACTTTTTTGTTTCGGCCTTCGCGTCGTCCTCTTCCTTCTTTTCGATCTCTTTTCGGGATGCATGCCGGCGAGGTTCGTAGCTGACTCTACGGTGAATTATTCAGACACTGATGTCATGTGGGAAGGGCTCTAGCCATACCTCTGCCTCTTCGGGGGCGGTAGTTCCTGGAATGGCGAGAGAGAGAGACTGCGCTTCCTCTTTGCAGCTGCACGGGTACTGACGATCCTTGTTAGTTGTGGCGCGAGCAGCATAACGCAACACTCACAGAGGTGCCATGATTAATGAATTATTGGAACGGAACGTGTATGATCGCAGATCAGTAGAAGCCGCCTAACCAGAGGACAGGCAGTGTGTTCGTGAACAACCAGGTTAAGGCTGTCATTTCGTCGTGAAGGTCTTTAATGATACCAGCGGCGCCTAAGAATCAGTCAATACAACAAGGTCTAATTGGATGTTATTGTTTTCTTGGTTTCGTGTGCCGGAAATGTATTTGTTCCGTAGCTCGACAAGATATACGTAATGAAGGTATTAGAACACCGCACAACAATTTTCAGCGGCTTTTTGTCTTGCGGCTGAAGGTTCTGAACAAGGGTCTCTCAATCTCTGCATACAGTTGTGGGTCCTTATGGATACTGCCACGTGCTACTCAACGTCCGCTGGATCTAATCTTATCTCTTGCGAAGCCGCCTTTGGAACGCACTGCGTGCAGGAAACATCGTATAAATCTGTGCAAGAAGGATACCCTAACACGATTTCCTCTGCGCGATCCCTTCAAGTTAGCTGTGTATCCGATCGTCTCGTGAGTATGGTTGTTTCAACTGAGCGGGTTCAAGTTGGGCTAAATTGGCATGCAGGCAGAATCTACTACCTCTGCGGATCTGTTAACAGGTCTATACGATGGGTTCGTGTCAGCGTTATCATCAATGCTTTGATCCTATGCTTAAGGCGGGCGACCGTCAGGCACATCTTTGTGGCTCGTACCATCGTCAACCATCGCATCGAAGATCGAGAGGTTGATGAGGATATCTCCCCCAAGCGCCAAATCTCCGTCTTCATTCCCCAGGTTTGATCCTCACATCACCCTCACCACTGTCCCGCCGAGCACAGAACTGTCCCGCCTCCTCGAAGCGATCCCGGAAGCGACAAGCGTCATACCCGTCCGCTTCAAGTCGTTGGATGTCGGCGACAAGTACTTCATGTCAGTGTATGTGTCCGTGCATGAGTCCCCGGAGCTCATGGCGTTGCGGACACATCTACGGCAGACCCTTGGCGAACGGACGGTACCTCCCATCTCGCACATGTCACTCTACTACATCGACGATGCCGATCGGGAAGAGCGTGCGCATGTTGCAGAGACATTGCGATCGACTGGGAGTGTAGTCGAAATTGCAGATGGTGTTATGTTAAACTGCCAGCCGCTTCCCGTTGAAGGATCTGCCGCAGAAGACGGCAACGGTAATGGGCTCGAAGGCTTCGATGGGGCCGAAATCTGGGTTGCAAAGTGTGATGGACATCCTCGAGAATGGGCAATCCTTCACAAGGTTCCTCTTTGCCCTGCTTAAGGATGGTACGAGAGTATGTTGTCTTTTCGAAGTTATCTATTGATCCTAACAGTTTCCACCAATGACCACTAGTATCTGAACTAGTATTTCTTGTCTAGAGGATACATTACTGGATAACAGTACTATGGAGAGAGCATTCATACACTTGGACTAAGTGATAAATCGACGAAACGAGCGAGGCGACCATGATGCGCACATTGAACGAAACGAACGTGATGGAATACAATAAGGAGGATGACGAAGGGTACAAGCTGTGGAAACAAAGCCTCACAGCAGCCAAATAGATCGGAGAACAGTAGATACAGAGATGCAGAAGACCAGCAAGTCGTCGCTATGCATTGGAGAACGTGTCCGATTCGAGATCCGAACTATGGCTCTGGATCGAGGCGAAATCCAAGCTCGACAACGATGAAGATGAATACGTATGACATGGGGAAGGGGGCGTATACGGCGGCAGTGGAACGGAGTAATCGATCTTTCTATCACCATTGGGATCAAACAGTTGCGAATACGCAGGCAGCGTCTGCGCATACGGCATGCTGAGTCCTGGTGGTGGCATATAGTCTTGCAGCAGGAGTGCATTGCTCCGCACAGAATCGATAGATGACGAGGGTGAATGTCCAGAGAGAGAAGGGGAAGGTGTAGTGTCCCGCGATATGACACTAGGGCTGCCTGCAATGACGTGTGCGAAGCGAAGAGGGACCTGAAACCGCAGGCGCTCTGTAATCCTCTCTGGATTCTCACCCTCTGTGATATCGTATGTGCACAGAAGGGAAATATGGAGCCGGTGTTGTACAGCAAATAAGGGACTGAAACAAGACTCCCGCAGCTTGTAGGTAACAGTCCCCTTGCTGCTCTCCGCTGTCATCGTATGCGCTACTGGGACCTGTGTTTGTACAGAGTACCAGACGTTGCCGCGAGAAGGGTCTGCTTCTTGGGAGAAGGCGTAGCCATCACCCGATATTGAATAGTGACCCGACGCGTCAGACGGGAGCAAAGACAGGCTGCGTGTGCACGAGCGCACAAAGCTTCTATCTCCGACCAGACCAAGTTCATAAACGGGTTGCAGCGGGTGTGGGTTGAGTAACGGCTTCCTGGGCGGCTGTCCCGACGCGGGTGGTAGAGGAAACTGTGATGTATACGATGATATAGGCGAAGAGCTAAGAAGACAAATCAGGGGTCGCGTTACAACAAGTAATGAGTCTACGCTTACCGATAACGCTCCATCTGTTCGACTTCCAGGTCAAACGAAGCGATCCGCAGGCGCTTGCGTTCTTTCCCAGGAATATCTGCAACACGGATGCGCAACGAAAGCCCGAAGGAAGTATCCTTGGGGTCTATATACTGAGGAACTGAAGCCAGCACGCGAAAGTTTGTTAGGATCTCCATGGGTATACGATCAACTGTCCCTTCGCCGTGAGCCGGATCAGCAGCCTGGGCATAGAGACTGTAGATGGGGTGGGTAACAGTAGAAGGGAAGGAAGACTCAGACGATGGCCCTGCCTGGGGACACATGAAGCGTTTCAACGGAACGTCAAAGATCGGGGCCGCGACGGTGCGCCTGGAGGGTCGGAACGGGAAGCAGAGTGCAGACAGTAGAGACGGCCCTGCACCATCATTGAGGTCGGAGAATTCCGCTGTAGCATGCAGAGCATAATGCGTGCCAGCCTTTTCATCCTCATTCTCACCGAACACAGCAGTCTCTGGTAGCCACCCCGGTACCGCGAGGTTAAACACTACATTCCAGGTACTTGGGTCGGAGCCCTCATGGCTGAGCTCAACGGGTTCGCCATGGATGAGCTCCTGCGATACAGAACAAAGACGGCAACCTGTATAACCCATCTCGTGGGAGATCATCTCGGTCTGTCCCTCGAACACAACAGTGAGGGAATTGAGAAGGAGACGTGAAGCTTGGTGCTGCGAAAAATAGCCGGGCGATGATGAGACTTTAACAGAAATGTGGCCAGAAAGCGAGTACGCGGTACTAGAGTGGGTTCAACATGAGAACGAAATACGATGCGTATTGAAGAACTTACGAGCGGTCTGGCTCCCCGTACATGTCTAACGACTGCGAGAAGGGTACTATATCTAAAGAAATAGTCATGGCGCATCCGAGATTATGGAAGATATCTGGAAGGACGTGGAGGGTAGGCCTACGACGGCAGAGCACAGGATGGCAGAGGAAGGCTGATGTTATATACCCCGCCTGAGGCAGTGGATACAAAGCGACCTTTGCACAAGGGCCTGATACGCATGTTTCCCAACATCATGGCGAAGCAGCAGCCCTGAATATTGCAGGCGAATCCTTGGTATAGCATTCCTTTTGTCCGACAGGCTTTTGTCGGCTGAATCAGGAAGAAAGGCAACGAACTGGTGCCTCAAATGGCCGCTGACTCAGCAACGCCACCGAGAAGTGATTGTCCCAATCGAGATCCTGTCGTCGCAAACAATGGACTCGGTTTTCGGCCTTAGCTACTATCGTTACCCCAGTATTGCAATCTGGTCTAGTTATGCAATTTCGCTGTTTTGTCGCATTTTGCTGCACTAAAAATCACAAAAAAATATGCAATAGATGTGCACAGTCCCAAATACCTTGGCTGTGCAACTTGGGAGTCAAACTCGGAGGGGAAGAGTGCGAAGTCTCTGAATTGCAAGTTTGGAGGACTCAGGCGTGACAGTGAAATGTGCCATTTAAAACTCCGACTAGAGGGAGAACAAGGGAACGGCACGTCGGCAAGCGTGACGATCTGTGACCGATTCGGCGCTCTTGCGTGCAAATGAGTCTCTTCACTGCGTTCGGTCTTGGAGTCGCACAACATCAGGAAAAAAATTGGCAGTCACACAGAAGGTAGCTTATATGTTGTATATTTGATCCAAAGAGGTTTGAAGGAAGACGGGCCCAATTTGAAGGAACGGTGACAGAGATGCAATCGCAATTGCATTACTGGGGTAACGATAGTATGGTCTACTTACTACAAACGAGACAATGGTTTCTTCAATCTAATATTAAACGACTAATGCGCGGAGCCATCGTGATTGACAGCATGCATATGAACCAACATATATATTTGCAACCGCGCGGTCAGTGGCTTACGACTGGCCCTTTCTCTGCGGACCTCCACTTCACTTCAAAGTGAGAAATCTCACACGTTAGGAGTATAAATATATCAAGATTTATTATGAAACATAAAGCCAATCATCGTAAGGTCATGTTCCTTCTCAATAAGTTCCCCGTCAAAAACTCCTGCAGGTCGGCGCACCGTCACTCGATTCACATTTGGAGGGTACCGGACCTCGCCTACTGGACCTGCCCAATCGAAATCAATAAGCTTGACATCAATCAGCCCTCCTACCGCCACCAGAAAATTGGCATCGCGTAAGTCGCCGTGAACGAAACCGCCCCCGTGTAGAGAACAAATCATATCCTCAACCGTGCTCTGAATGAGCCCCAAGTGTTCGTGTAAATTGTCCCTAGCGTCATCCAGCGAAAAATAGAGAGCGGGGTCCAACATGTCCATGATGACCATGTGCCATGCTCCGGGTATTTCTTCGTAGCCGCGTAGGCGTGGAGAGACGCCGCGATCTGCACAATAGATATGCGCTTGTTTAGAGTACCTGCGCGTAAACTTAATAATGATTGGTTCTTCGCTGCTTGTTAGCCCCTTGAAAATTAATTTGTGCGGGATGACGCCTATATATCGAAACGAGATGTCGACAGCGGTCGTCAGGCAACGGTACACGGTGGGATACGGATACTCCACACCGGGCAACTTCGACTCCAGCGAAAGAATGAGAGGTAGCTGGACAACGTAGTAGGAATGGAGTCGACTAATAGCCGTTTTTAGAGCACCAAAGATTCGCGCTGCACTTGTGATCATGATTTCATCTCTGGGCTCCCATATCAGAGGAAGGACTGGGGTGAGAACGTCCTGACGGACGACACCCGTGTATGCTGCACCCGCAATACCTAACCACGGTCCTGCATCGAATAACGTGTTGATCAATGCTCCAAGGGAGGGACGAAAACACTGACCAAAACAATATACAATCAGACATGGTAGAACTGTCCCCTTCAACGTTGCCTTCATCGACTTCACGAAGTGTGCATAGTGGATTCCGGCTCGTAAGTAAGGGTCAGCATTTGACGATCCGATTTCATTATTTGCTTGGCCTGTCACAGCACAGAACGCTTTCACGCGATAATTGCCATCGGTGATAGAGTTGGACAGCGGCTCTCCTGTCTGACCCAATACAATCCCGTAGTATTCCTTGAAGACACGGCGGAACGCATCCACGCGCGATGCTTCGTTCTCGTAACACTGCGCCATAACATCGCGCAGGGCTATCGCAAAATTGTAATCTTCTGCCGCAGGCGTCAACCGCATCGAATCGTCAACAAACTGACCGAATACGAGGTGGAGAAGGGTGATAGGAATACTGTCAGGGCGTGAAGGGCGGTTGAAATCGAACAAGTCATTTTTCTCCTGCTCAACTTTAAACACCGCCGGTTGAGCAAGGGTCGACGGCGCCTTTTGAGGCAATAACTCTTCAATCCTCTTCTGGCGCTTCTGTAGCGGAAGATCGGATGACGACGAGCGTGACCTTTTGTATACCCCTGCTATAGTATCACTGTCAGAACGTGCGATCATGTGCACGAGTACGGCAAGGACCTACATGGACGAACAATGATTATATGGAGATTATCTGTGTTAGGAGGACCACCGAAGTAAGAGGAAAGCTGCGACGTCCAGTCGAGAGAATTCTTGGAACGCGGGTCAAATTCCCGTACTCTGTCCGGAAAAGGACGGCCGGCCAGCGGTTGGTCGAACTTATACACACGTAAGACTTCTGAAGGGCAGTGTGTTTCCTCTTTGATTGCAGCTACGAGATCGAAGACGAATGCTTCAGGGCTGAGCTCAATGCTGAGGATCGACAATGGCTCGTGGGACTCGACACAACGGTATACAACCTTGGGCTGGGCGGTGGCCATGGTGGGTCGGAGGAGAGACGCAACCAGACGCAACCCTGGGAAAGAAGAAAGACAGGTATTACGTAATCAAGTTGTTTGGTCTCATAAACATCCTCCTATAAGTTACGGTGTCCATCATCGTCTGTCACGGTGTGCTCGACCCTTTCGTCGTCGTCCAGCACAGCGACCAGCAGGTGAGTCATGTCTCTCGCAGCTCGATGCCTACTTCCTTCCCACGTCTCCCTCCTCACCATTCCCGCTGCGTCCCCCAGAACCCATCCACCATCCCGAATCCTGTCCCAAGCCTCTCCCCGTGTCTCTTGCTGACTGGCCCTGACACGCACCGTCTGTCCACATAAAATCCACTAAATTTGCAACCATGCCAGAAGCCGACTCGACCAGGAAACGTTCCCGCTCGCCTTCGGACAACGAACAACAAAAGCACCACAAGCGGGCCAATACAGGCGCTACGTCCTCGGATGACTTGCGCAGCCAGGCTCTCCAAGGTTCCGTCCCATCCGCTGTCGCAGCGTCGATGACGGGTGACGTAAATATGACCGAGGTCGTGGTGTCCGCGGACGACACAGCTGCGTCTACCCCTTCACCCTCTCAGCCTTCCGACAAGCCCGCCTCAGCTGAAATGCCGGAGACCTCTGTTGACGCCACTTCTTCTGGTGAGACACGCGAATCTTCTGCGACCACTTCTGCTGCACCCGCTCCCGCGTCTGCACCCCCTTCGGCGAACATACACATGCGGTGCTTGATTGTAACCCAGGATGCCTCAATCATCATTGGCAAAGGAGGTTCGCATGTGAACGAAATCAGGGAGAAGAGTGGGGCTCGGGTTATGGTGTCGGAAAGTATTCCGGGCAATCCTGAACGTATTTTGAATGTTAGTGGGCCATTGGACGCGGTATCCAAAGTGAGTCGCGATGTACACAAAGGCGCTTATACTCTCTCAACGTGATACAAAGGCATTTGGCCTCATCGTGCGGCGGATCAACGACGAGCCGTTTGACAAGCCTTCCGTTCCTGGCAGCCGTGCTGTCACTATCAAGTTCATGATCCCGAATTCTCGCATGGGTTCTGTCATTGGTAAGGGTGGAACAAAGATCAAGGAGATCCAGGATGCTAGTGGAGCCCGACTCAATGCCAGCGAGGGTATGTTACCTGGTTCTACTGAGGTGAGACACCACGTCCGTGTCCTGGGACTGTTACATGACATCCTACATGCTCTAGCGCGTCCTAAGCGTGTCTGGCGTGGCGGACGCGATCCATATCGCCACTTACTATATTGGGAACATCCTAATCGAGGCGAACGAGCGTATGCCGTCGTACAACAATTCGTCGTATCGCCCATCGAGCTACTCACGTCGCCCGGCATATGGAGGCTCATCATATGTACCAGGCTACTCTGCGCCGCCCTATGCTTCGGGTAGCGCTTCGCACAATCCGCCGCAGCAACTGCAGACGCAGCAGATTTATATCCCGAACGACCTCGTCGGGTGCATTATCGGGAAGGGTGGCGCCAAGATCAACGAGATTCGGCATATGAGCGCTAGCCAGATCAAGATTATGGAGCCAGGCGCGGTCGGTGTGGGGATGAACGGCGGTACTGCACCTGCAGGAGGTGAGGGAGAGAGGCTGGTTGTAATCACAGGCCAGCCCGCCAACATACAAATGGCGGTGCAGCTGCTGTACCATGTAAGCCTTATGCTAACTTCTATTATCGGCGCCTCGATTGATGAGGTTGAATTAGCGCTTGGAACAAGAGAAACAGAAGCAGCTTCGAGCACAGTCTTCCAGCTCGTGAACAGGTTACTTACCGTAAGTAGGCAGTCAACATCAAGCGCGAACATGTTTTCTGCAGCTGTCTTGTTATTTATGCGCCTTGTATGCATCATATTATTGCTCAAATACTCGACCAGAGTCGCGCATTCGGTTGTATCCTGCTTTGCAATCTCCTCTGCAGAAAAGATTGCCCTCCCTGTATGTCCTCTTACCCGCCTTTCCCCTCTCACCCCTCTGCTGTTGCTCCCGACAAAGCATTATAGCATAGCATTCGCACTTTTCGGTGTTTCCCTAAAAATTTGAATTCTGGTCCTGTACGCAGTCAATCGCCAAACTAAGAGTGTCCTTGATCAATCCAGTGCGAGCGATGACAGCGGTAAATAGCAAGACGGGAGGGAGATGCGATATGATAAAATTGAGATTCATGCTATGGCTAGGGCGCATAGGAAGCCCTGCGACATCCACGAGGGAATGAATAAGTTGACTCGTACTATATTCATCGAGGTCTCAACTGCCGCCCAGACATTTAGATCACACCCCTCGTCATCTGTTTGCTTTCTTTTTGTCTGTGCTCACATTACACAAAATGGTACGAAGAAAGGAAATTTGATATGCAACGAAGTTAGTCTGCAGTGACGCATAAGTATGATTAGGAAGCTCACTCCTAAATGAATTGTTTAAAGGCTTCAAAACGCTGTAGAATAATACGCCCGTTCTCCAAAGACCGCACTCCTTCTAATAAATCGGAACCGTTTGGCACAGGAATTAGCGCATGGTCGACGATTTGCTAAAGAGGGAACTGCGCATTTATAACGGAGTTGAGGAGTGTATTCGTGACGGGGATCTTATAGAATGTCGGAACGGTTCCCTGATGACGATCCCAGCGAATACTTTGGCTGGTATGGTCAGCCGTCCAACCAGCCGGCGACGATTATTGTTTTCATAAAATGCGTCAATAGCGTCTACAATTAGCATGGTTTCAGGATCGTCGTGTCACGACACTTGAGAGTTATTAGCATTAACGTCGGGTCCTGACACTCTACCGGCGTACCTTAACCACCTGGAAGAGAGGAAATTCCTTGAAGTCACCGCCGTCAAGAACGCAGACGTCCGGCGTGACCTCAATGTACACACAATACATTAGGAAGCTGATCTCCAATCACTGGTGTAGAACACGGTCGGGTTCGTCATAGTCCAGAGCAAACTAAGGAGAGAAAAGGTGAAATCATCGACCGCGGATTCCGATGGTGGCCCGTGAAGAAGTCTTTCAAGTAGCGGAAGAGTCGCCTCGATTTAATTGATGGTCCAGGAGGCATGTCGACATGACAGGGTCCACTGCGGGCCCAAGCAAGACAGGATCACCGAAAAACGTGGCCACATCCTCGTTCACGACAGCGATGTTATACGCCAACAGATCGTAAGCGGTCGAGTGTTTCGCAGGTTTCGCGCCATGGCGGCATCAGACAAGCAGCAGAATTCAAATGCACGGGAGAGCCAGCCTCTTCTTGATAGGGGCCCTGCCCCCCAAGCTCCAGTCTCCACGTACACCATCACTAGGCACTAGAGATGATACTCCTCAGTGTTTTCAATATTTGGACTTGGTCCTGTACGCTGTCTAAGCACTCACGAATCCAAGGGTATCGTTTATATCCAGCGCCAACGCTACGCATAACAACATCAGGACCCAACAAAACACATGGTATCAGATGACCACAAGCGAATCGTCCGCAAAACCATCATGGGCGGCTTTCATCCCAGAATTGACGTTCGTCTTGAGGACGTGATACTAAGATTAAAACGTCGGGACTTCTCACCAGACTTCGTATAAAGGGAACCACGCACCTTCTTCTTGTAACGTGTCGCATCAGACCGCCACTTCAACACCTCCTTCTCGAGATCCTCGATCGTGTGCGCCTGCTGTTCAACCCTCGCATGCTGGGTGGACAATTCAGAAATGACTGCCTGCAAGTTCTCTTGCAGATTGGATGCTCGCGCTGTCAAGTCGTTTCGTTGCCGCGCAATCTCCACCTCGGCATTCATGCGCAAGTCCCCTTGTATGCGGGTCAGATCCTTTAGTTTCTCCTTCTGCTTCTTATATGCCTGCTTGAACGAGTTGCGTTCATCCTGCAGCTGCTGCAGACGCTCCACGTCTTGCAGTTTCTGTTGGAACTCTCAGCGCAAGACGAGTCGAGATTGGGCGAGTACCAACGGAGCGTATCTCGTTCAGCATAGTTGTCAAGGATCTCAGTAATCGCTGAAGTTTTGCATGTTAGCCAGAGCATGTAGACCTTGAGCGGCGATCAAACACATACCCCCACATCAGATGCTTCGTGCGACAGGGACGATAGAGACAATGTCTCTACAAGGTTCTCTGATCTAAGTAACATGAGCCAAGAATTCAATAATATGTCTCCACGTACTTCGATAACGCCGGCGCGAGCGCGTCGGCTCCGTAGTCCCCGCTCTTGAGCACGACCGCACACGCATCGATCACTTCCCGCCCCATGTCAGCATTTCTACCTCGTTTGGATGACGATGCCCGCTGCTCTGTGTCGTCCCCGTAGTCAGGGTAGAGTCGGATGAGCGTGTCCAGAGTTTGCGATCTCCGGCAGATGGCGCAGAAAGAGCCGGGTTCGACGAAGTTGTAGGTCGCACAGTCAATGCAATACATATGGCCGCAGGGGGTAGTCATAGGACATTTCTCTTCACAGAGGCCTTCAAAACATATGCTGCACCTCATTGTAGATCGCGAAGGCGAACGACGTCAGGAAAAGGGGACGTAGCGGTGCACGGCGCGTCCGCAACGCGAGGCTGTTATATCAGAGTCACGTGCCTGAAAGTCCAGGCGGTGGCTGAAAATATTAGGCATCTTTCCTTCTTAAAATCATGGCATCTCTTCTGAAGACACAAAAATTGCAGGCAGACGTGAAGGGGAAGGGAAAACGTAAGGCCGAGGAGGTAGAAGATGAGGAGGTGGTGGAGGCTGCGGTAGCAAAGAAACCGAGAAACAAGCAGAGAGTTCTACTGCTCTCTTCTCGTGGAGTAACTCACCGTATGAGGCACTTGATGAACGATCTTGAGGCTTTATTACCCCATGTGAAGAAAGGTACGCGACGTGTCGCTCATACTGCTCATTTATAACCCAATATGTCGCGTGCAGATGCAAAACTTGACTCAAAAAATCATCTGAACCTCCTTCCCGAGCTTGCCGACCTCAACAACTGCAATAATGCACTCTACTTTGAGGCACGTCGCCATGAAGACCTGTATTTGTGGGCCGCGAAGACGCCGAATGGCCCCAGTATCAAGATGCACGTCCAGAACATGCATACCATGGACGAGCTGAAGATGACGGGAAATTGTCTCAAGGGCAGCAGGGGCATCTTGAGCTTTGACAAGGCATTCGATGACAGCGAGTGGGGGCGGCTTACCAAGGAAGTGTTCACACATGCAAGTGATCTTTTTTTCTCTACGCTCAAGTGACACGGCGTAACACTGCGTTCAGATCTTCGGCGTGCCAGCACAAGCACGCAAGGCGAAGCCTTTCGTTGATCATGTTCTAACATTCTCCATGCTCGATAACAAGATTTGGTTCCGGAATTTTCAGGTTTGCATGGATTTGCTCCGCCGTACTAGAAAGGCCTGACAATGATACAGATAATAGAGAAGGATCCACTACAGCCCAACGGACCACCTCAAACCTCGCTTGTAGAGATCGGACCACGTTTCGTCCTCACACCAATCCGTATATTTGAGGGCGCTTTCAGCGGGGCGACGGTCTATTCGAATCCTGGTTCATATCTCGACTGCCTGATCAGGTTTCGGATATTGCTAACGTCTTGTTCAGAATTTATCTCTCCCGCTGCGGTACGCATGGCGCAGAAGAGGGAGAAGGGTAACAAGTACAAGAGCCGGAAGCATGCGCAGTTGGAGAGGAGTAGCAGAAAGGAGGGTCGTAGGAGAGAAGAAGATGAGTTGGCTGTGGCTAAGGTGTTCTCGTAGGTATAGATTGTAGCAATCATTTCTCGTTCTCCGTTCATTGGACCGTCTTACCACATGGCTCACGAGACTACACTCAGAAACTGTAGGTATGGAAAATCACTTTGAAAAAAAAAAAGGGGCGGGGAGGGGGGGCTCAGGCCAACTTCAAATCAATCTACACTGTACAAATGGTAGTAAGCCAATTTGTAAGGACAAGCTAGGGGCATTCGGTAAAACATATAAGGGCAAGACAAATTGCGAGAGCATACGTTCTAAAGCTAAATTTCGTCGAGCTCCCGTTCAATACACGACACAGGCATGATCTAGGGACTGAGCCGGGTTATGCTGTCAGAACGTTAGGTACTGGCAACGATACGACGCATTACACTCACAGGACAAAGATGCAGCTTAAGCGTAAAAGATCCCCTCGCGGATAGGCATCGGTACTTGAGCAGGATTCTCTTTGTTAATGTCGACAAAGCTTTGCGCCAGCTTTTCGTGCGAGCCGGCTGGCAGAAGGCCAGCCCTCTCCCAGTCCTTCAGAGCGACCGTGCACCAATACCTGCAACCGCTACCGCTGCCATCGTAGCGGTACTTGTCACGCTGGAGCTCCAACAACACGGAGATGAACTGATCGGCGGTGGTATCAGACCGCGCCGCATCGACGACGACAATGCGAGTGCTGCTCTGTGACGTATGGTACTGATGGCCTGTAACCATCAGCAATCCGGTAATACTATCCGAGCCCGGGGTCATGTCGAAGCGGATAGAACTGCGTTTCGGAAGAGCGAGGAAAATCCTCCAGTGGAGGATCGCGCCGGGATCTCTAGATGGAGGGGAGCCGCAAATGTAGACGGTGCTAACGACGGACGACCTCTTTTCATCGTCACAATCTCTGTAATAAACAGTACTCATAGTCTACTGGGGGACAAGATGTGAGTATAAATAGCAGGATGAATTGCTGACATACATCTGACGATGTGGAGCAGTGAGGCGTTCGGCAGGGTTGAGAGGAGTGAAGGAAGACATTCAGTCGGTGCCTTCTTATGTTTTTGGATTCGTTGATGGGCAAATATCAACACAACAGTCATACACAAGTGGGCGACATGCAATTTCGCCGTCAGTAATCATGCCATATCTCCGCGACCATCATTTCAAGCAACCCGAAAAGGCTTCTGATAATCGAGGCCACCGAATCCACATGCCTATAGATACAGCTGTCAGCCCACATGAGTACTTAATCCCCACGAGTGAGAAGATTAACCAGATGCATTGCGAGTATGAACCACCAATTTAAGGACGACCTTGTTACAAGAATGACCGGATAAAGTTTAACATGCTATCATTTTAATGGTGGTGGAAAGAAACTTGCCTTGGGTGACGAGGGCAGGGTGTATGACTCGAGCAGATCAAATGATTCACCTGGGAGGACATAACAGAAGTTCAGTGATTCGCAAGCGCTACATGAGCGCTGTAACGAACATCCCCTATCGATTAGAGACACGCTTCCGGAACAATACCGTGGACTCGTCGAGAGTGCACTCAAATACAAGGATGGGAGACACCGATATATTAGACGCCGTCCACAGTCGTTCCAGATTAGGCAAGTCCTGTAAATGACTCGTCTACTCTAGTCTGTTTGACCAAGAATGTGCTGCAATCGACATGTCGTAATCTCAGACCCAGAATCAGATGACACTATCTATTATCCTATCTACGACTTAGGCCAGTCAGAACCCTACTATCGTCGGATCTTCCAATTATGCTTCCGTCCGAAGAGCGAGTCGGCGAGGCGGAGAACAAACCGTAGGCGTACATAGGGCCAGATGATGCCCAGTTTTTTGTCATCTATTAGGCGCTATAAGATCATCTATCATAGCTGAGTCTTAAATGGGCGCTGTGGGAAGACCTCTGAACTGAAGCATCTGAACAATACCATCGGCGCACGAAGAGCTCGAGCTACTATTGTGCATCTAACGTAAACCGAAAGAACAACCATTTGAAGCACCGTGTTGGTAGTAGACACTGGAAATTTACCTTTAAGATATCCGACATGACTCGTGAGTACGGTGGTAGTATAATTGAAAAGGTATGGTCGCAGAAGTCCAGACTAGTTGAAATGCTTCTTTATGGGCGCATCAGGAAAAACCTCTCGGGCTAATAAGCCTGTATACTGCAGAATACTGACCTTATTCGCCGTCATCTGATTAACCGTCATTTTTTCTCCGAAACCATCCTTATTAGTAGTAATTACAACGGTTTGAATGTGATAACGGTGCACCCGTCATAGCCATAGCTTATTCGCACTTATGGCCTGAATTCTAGTATATGCTCCGCTTACTTTAGGCATCTCGTTCCAATGTTGTGCACTTCCAGAATTACACAAGCAAATTGGAACAGCTGTGATTTCTGCAAGTACATAAATACAATTCACGGTCACTACCCTTCCTAAGTCCCACAACATTGCCTTGTACATACAGCACCCTGCTCAAAGATGCACTGTTCTCACTGTGACTCTCCTAAATGCTGGACCCTGCAAAGGGCATTCTCAAAGCCTCTGAATTGAGAAGTAGCCTGGACAATGGGAAGGATGATAAAGGACTATAATTTATCACTGAGAAACATACATACCCTAGGTGCTTCCACTTCCATCCAGCAGCAGAGAAGGTAACTCAAAGACTTCCTGTTTGTGCATCGCGTGGGTAGTTACCCAGGAACACGAGAACTTCGAGAACAGCGAGGACGGGCTGGCAATGAGAGATGTCGGCTACCTTGTCATCGGTAGCCAGAGTTATGAACACATGGTGAGGTAGTAATTGAAGCAGTTCACGAGGCGTCGACGAGACCACCTCAAAGCATGGTGGAAGTGAATATCGACAAAACTTGACGGTGCATGTGCACTACACGTGACATTGTTGAGAGGAACAAGCAAGCCCAAATAGCGTCCGTTTACTTAGCGAGCGCCAAGTTGCTGCGTCAACGCGCGTGAACCTCGAAGTCTCTCCGAGCGGAGAGACTCCGACTCTCATCTTATCAACACTTGTACCATCTTCATACCTACGGTCTGCAGGCGACGTCTTGGTTTGCACAATACATATTCTATCTGGTCCTTGTCCTTAACCTGTCTTACTCGCTCTCCCATCTCAGTCGACAGCTTTCACCTGTTCATCACCGGCATTGTCTTTAAGCGTCGTTCCTCTGTCTGCTACATGTGTCTGGCTCCCTTCCCTCTTATGTCACTGTAGGTCAATATGCAGTGAGTGTATGATTGCATAGAGATAACATGGATGCTCACCATGTTTAACTGCCAGCGACAGTTGACACCAGTAGTACAGCATAGCATCATCTGGTATGTTGTTACCTTTTGCTGTGTTGTGTCTCCGACGACTCACCTTAGTCCCACAAGTATATCCCTGAACATTGAAGTGCAGCCATCAATGTATTGTGTGTGATGTTCCTCCTGTTCTTCTGGTAATGAGGTATGTTGTCACATCTTTGAAGTGTCCACCCTCCCGTAAGCACTTTGACAGTCGCATGCCTGCCTTCTTACTGACATTCTTCTACAGGTGCACAGCCATCATGGTGTACAATGCGCTCATGGGGCTCAGCCCGCTCAAAGCCGGCGACACCGTGCTCATCTAGGGCACTGGTGGCATGCCCATCTTCGGCCTCCAGTTCGTTCATGTCCGGCGCGACGGTCATTGTCACCTTGTCCTCCAATGAGAAGCTCGAGGTCGCGCGCAAGCTCGGTGCGAAGCAGTGTAGATAGGTTCAGGCTTTCAGGAGCCGATGAGACTGGGATGTAGCTATGGCATGTACATGTACCAATGCACTTCAGTCAATATATCTTGTTATCCTACTGCCTTGGTTTGAACTGAATGGAACTATCATATGTCCTTAAGTGCTCGAATCCATTGGAACTTGTGCTGAATGATGTTGAATAAGTGTAAATAAGTGCAGATGATTTCCACTAGGTGAGGGGGACCAGCCGATTCAGCATTATTCCACAGTATCGCCCTAATGAACATAATAAACTTAATTCCGTGAATTCGACCAAATTCTAACTTTTGTTACCATATTAGCACAGGAGGTTTTTCCTGATGTGGTATAGGGTCTATCGTCGCATCAGCAAAATGGGCAATTTGTCTTATCGGTCTTACCGCTCTTATCAAGACGTTCAAGACGTTCAGTGCCCAAGACGGCATGGTCTTGAGTAATGAGGTTCATTTCTTGAAAAAGCGGCATCAAGTCATTCTCAAGCCTGTCAATTGCTATGCAAGTCTGACTCAAGGTCGATTCAACACACAAATAAGATGCAAGGAAGTCTTTCAATCTGGGTTAAGTACATACAAACTGTAACTACCACAATATAGGAATACATATAGAAGCAACTAATTCCATATCACGAGTAGCATAATACAGTCTCTGTCCACCACATAAACAAAATGGTAAGACTCACTGCACAAATGATCTGACCCGATTCTTGAAGTTCCCACGAGCGACATGCACAGTCCCACATATGAAGAAGGGCCTGGCCGGCCGTTGATCAATGGGACAAGCACAGAGTGAGAATCTGTATGGGACGCGATGAGTATCGCGATCAAAGCACCTTAAAGGAAAGCACATACTTGAATGTCTGTCCCTTGCCACGGCGGACTTGCCCTACAAGTGCTCGCGCCCCTCACATTCTGGGTGCTTACAGAGGCCCCGTCACCTCTCCGATGCCACATTTCTAAACTGTGAGTACTGCATGTCATCCTGCTGTCTCTTCCAAGGCATACACCCCATCCTCGCATCGTCTCGCTGTCGCTGATGTTCTTGCAATTGCAGCGTTCAGAGAGCATCGCGGTTTTCACCCCCCTGTTGCGCGGGGTTCATCGATGCACGTTGGATGATTCGACCCGAATTTTGGACATCCTGCAACACAGTCAGCTTATAAATGCAGCCTTAACAATCATGAGGGACATGCCAGATGTGATGCGAAGATCTGCAAGGGCAAAGGTCAGGATCAGAAACCTCAAGACTATGGCACATACCTCAATGCTCTCCCCCTGCCTCGGCCGACACTTCAATAGGATATTCCGTGGTCCCGCAAGCAGCGTAACGTGCGTCCCCTGAGTATTCACGTGCTCTCCCGCCTCTACACCATATTTCAATGTGCTATGAGCAGCACACAGTGCTATCAGTGCTGCATGTCGTGCTGTGGTCCATTTGCCCTGTTCAATTATGTCCCTCCCTACTTTCCCTACTCTCGGCTTGGCACTCATCATGATCTTCGGCATTATGTAAAAGATGTGCCAAAAATATCTCAACACTTTGTATGCAAGATCATGCATGCATTCTTCATAGGAAAGGTTCAAGTGTTCTTTGGGGCATGATTAGCTTTCAAACCATCCAGAATTCAAGCAAAATGAGGGAAGCCCGCATCCACAGAGCAGAGCGCGAGCAACCGCAAATTCCGATCTAGCCGAGATGCGGGTCTAAAATAAGGCACCTGCCGAGGCGATCAAAGTAGGGAAATTAGGGAGGGACATAATTGAACAGGGCAATTCCTATGTTCGCGTCCCGTTCTCGCATCTTGTCTCGCCGCTGCTGACATTTTCGCATCTTGCCTCGCGTCCGCCGAACGTCCAGCGAGCAATGCTGTCTTCACTCTTCACCCCCTGTTGCGTGAGGCCCTTCGTCATGCTGTCGCAAAGCAACGGGCGGTCAGCTCATCAAAGCAGGCAGTGAATCAGAGGAAGTACTTGCAGCGACATGGCGATGAAACTCAACCATTGTTAGTGTTTGTTCTTAGATCACGTGCCCGCCGGGCCGATACATGACTCGGAGTCTCGGAAGCTTTGAAATCTTGTCCCTCCCTTCTATCATCAGCTTGTGCGTGTATATTCTAGAGATCATCTCCTGAGGCCTGAGGTCTCGAAGCTTGATGCAAGTTCCTTTCAAGTCTCGGGTGCTCTGGAAGACAATATTGTTCATTACCTGCCTTACTGCCATGATGTACACACATACCACTTTGTAGGTGAGCACGACGAGGTGATGTGGGTTAGGAGACATGAGCAACGAGGAGGACGAGGGCGGACCCTGGCAGCCTGCCCAGTATACTCATGCAGTGCGAATGACTCCCCGCATGTGTGCAACTGTACGGGGAGCACGATTGAGTGCAATGAGGGCAGTGAGCACTGCTGAATTCACTGTACCACACAAAGTACAGGTGATTCAGAGGGTTTTTTGTGTACTCTTCTGAATATAGATAATATTTTTAATACTGCGCGCTGTCTCGAGATAAATACATCGGTCTCTGCAAGTCTAAAAGCTTGAAAGTTTGAAACACGAGTATTAATATTGGAGTGCTTGAACTGCACTTGGCAGCATTAGGGTGCTCAAATGCTCCGAAAGATCAAGACCATCAAGATGGAAGCAAGACTGTAAGTGCACCAAGCCGCCTTCAACATGCCAAAGACAGACCAAGACGCGTGACCTTTTGCTGATGTCCACGAGGTGATTGGAATGTATACTATCACGTGGGGGGAGTTGCAAAATCCAAAAAATCGGCAACACTGCCGTCGCTGCTTCCACACTCAATAAATAAATCAGATAAAATTGTAGGACGATACTAAACACCAGTAGATGTGTTCTACCAAGCCAGGGGTTCAGGCATTCCGGGATTGCTGAATGAGACGTCAAATACCACATTTGCAACTATGGTAGGTGTACTAATATCAAAGATCTCTCTTGATACTGAGAATGACTGACCCAAGTGATGTTTGGGTGACAGCAATATGTGCTACAGCACTGTGTTCCACCATCCCGATAAGTGTTTTGGGCAATCAGACATGCTTCAGCCTGCATTTTGTAACACTCCCGATGAAAAGCGTGACGACGTATAGCCCGATATGGCAGCCGCGTGAGCGCTCCGTCCGCGAGATGAGCGTGACATCTGTGTGACAAAATCAGCAACACCACCCCCCGTCAACACCCACCACCGGCATCTTGCCATCTCTCCCTCCTCACCACGAGAACATGTAAAAAAATTTGCAAAATGTAATGTGGAAGTGCATACATCTGCCCATGTAAAAATGAAGACAAAGCATCCCGGAATACAGAAGAGGAAGCCCGAGCGCTCAAAGATCGGTAACTCCCCCCTCATGATAGTAAGTACGCCGATGCTGTATTCGGTGTGGCGTGTGAGTTGCGAGATGCGGCATTCAATCGCAAGAGGTTTCCGATGCCTTCACTAATTGTTCACCTACCCTGCATCGTTAATCAGGAAACTACACACCATCTTGGGTGTCCTGCCCAAGACCATTAACACCGAAGACAATTTTCTTAGCCAAGACGGGTCCAAGACACACAAGACGATCTACAAGTCATATTTGATAGTACTACAGCAGGTGTTAAGTAAACGTTACAAGTATGACGCCGTGCCACGATCTCAGCACGGATTCCGGTGATCTTGCATCCTTCTTTAGGGGAAAAGGGCTTTGCGGGTTGGTTTCAATTCGGAAGACTCGGACGTGAGAAGGAGAGGTGCAGAAGTGCGTTCAGCTGGCACCCACAATGATCAGGCCTTTGTATCATTCATGACCATGAAGATGCTCGGCCACTGGTGCCATTCAAGATTGGGACTCGCTAATATATCCATGTGACTATGAGGATAGAGCAATACTCGCATGTAAATTGACAGTGAAAGCCTTAATATAACAGTAACTCTGTCGGGCTGAGCAACTTGAAAGCAGTGAGAAATGTAAGTAGGTATGATATGACCTTAGAGGTGTAGTACACACTCTCGAATAACGGGGGCGATCAGCCACAGACTTGTTGTACCGACAATGATCCCTGGAAGGGGGGGCCCGAACTGTCGAACTTCTGCCCGGAAAGCTCATGGAGGTGCACAACTCAGCCATTCCTGTGCAATCCGAGTTCGGTGCTCACGTCAAGTGTCAGTACTGGCATACCGCATCAACGCGAGGAAGGGAAGTGATAGTGGAGGTGCACCGGATTCTGGCTGATGACAGGTTGAGGGGTAGGACCGTAGCCAGAGTCCGCGGAAGGCAAGGCCACACCACACACGTTCGCGTGGATGCCGGTAAGTTAGGTCCATCGCAACACTGCATGCTACGTGAGTTACACCAGGCGTGCAAAGAGCATGGTAATGACCTTGCAGAAGAGGAGCATCTGGGCACCGCGGGAAGGTCAGTGGAGCATCTGATCCTCTGGAATGGCATGCACCCCGTACTTAGAAGAGGTGGAAGTGAGGTGGAAGTGCATATCGTGGACGAACCCATACATATCCGCTGAGATCTGCGGATGCAGAACGTGCATCAGAATACATACATAGAATAGTCATTACACTCGCTCGTAAGGCCCGAAAGCTTGTGTCGTAGTGGATGTTAGCTACCCCTACATTTTTTGGTACCAGAGATGTGTTACGATATGGCCTGCTTTTCCTAGTACGACGGTGCTTGTCACTTTATATAGTCTCCCAAAGGCAGACTGACACTCTGCTTCAACCTTCGTTCCTCAGGATATCCGAGGAGTCCGTGTCTGGTGTCTGCTATCAATAAGGTGGTCCTTATCGGTAGGTTGGGTATTTTCATCTCCGCAAATCACGTGCACACGCGACGCGTCAAAACGTGTTCTCATCTACCCATGCAAGTCTCGCATTTCTGCCGCATCCTCATAGCTCTCTGGTACACAGGGTGTTCTCCTGTTATGTACTGTCTGTAGACTGGATGTATTTTTAGAAAATCTATGCCTCAGGGCCCTCAGAACAGCTAAATCCACTAGTACTGTATTTTAAGTGGGGGATATCAATATGTTGCACTGTTTACAACCATGGTAGTGGTAGCCAGAGTGACTCCCAATTAGTCCTCTGTATTTCTTCAACAGTCTTATGCTAGAAGGAGGTACAAAATTATTGGGATGTGACTGTCCAAGTTCAAGCCAGAACTTTCACAACCCATCCTCAGTAGTTGCTCCTCTTGTTACCCTTTGGATGTGCTTCTTTTGCTTGTCTCCTACAGCTTAAAAGGCATGCCATTTGACAGAGATATCTCGAATGTAACAACGACCGCTTCCCTGGAGTATGTAGTATCTGTGCCCCGTGAGCTTGCGGCGAGCGCTTGTTCTGTTATTTCCAGCTCCGACTCATTCTCTTGCAGTCACGCAATTCCGTCCCTGCGAGTCCAAGCTCCGAACGAAATTGGGGACCTACCGATAAGCCCCCGGCGTTAAAAACTAGACTATAACTTTATACAAAAAAAATCATCCGCGCACGCCACTCCCCACGCACGAATTGCAATTCTCCCACCCACAAAATGTGTCTCGACACACGAATTGCCGAATTGCGGGGGGAACGTATGACGGTTACTTCGTACAACAAATCATTTCCGCGCATTTGCCGTCTACATGTCCAAACTCGGCAGTTCCCACGGTGGACTCCCAGGCTCTTCAGAGAGGAACGACTCTCTCTTCCTATCTACTACGTGCTCGTTTACGAGGCTACCACAAATGGGCCCTGCGACTCCAAGCAGCCTCATGCCTTATTTCGACCCTCCTCTACCGTGTTCATTCGACCACGAAGGTTCAAAACCAGAAGTACGTTTGAGCCACGATGTGGACACTGTAGGAGGAACTGACAAATACACAGTGCTATGCAGAACATGCAAGGGTGATCCCAGCTGTCACAAATTTCATGCCACCTAGTTCGGTCGTCGAACTTACCGAAACGACACCTCCCTTGTTCGATCCCATCAGCGTACATCGCATCAGTTCAGATACGATCGTTAAAGTGGAACACTACCATCATTACGTCGAAGCTCTCAATCTCTCCATGATTCGGGCGATGACCACGATACCAGTTCCCGAAGTGCGCCAAATCGTTCAGCACAAAACTTTCACATACCTAGTGATGGAATACATCGAAGGGCGTACATTGGACCAATGTTGGTCGGAGCTGAGCCATATTCAGAGACTCCGTGTTGCGCAGACACTGCGGGGGTACATTGATCAACTGCGTACGCTCACACGCGCTGTACCGGGTACTCTGGACGGTTCGGCCTGTGTGGGACCGTTTTTCTCCGCTATTGATGCCGAACCATTCGCGAGCTACGATGAGCTCGTCGACTGGTACAATCACAAGGTCGATGTCGTCAAGAAGATGCGGAAGGCGCCTCCCGATATCGGCACCTTCGACGACTCGGCACCTCTAGTATTCACGCACCAGGATCTGAATATGAGGAACATCATCCTCGCGAATGACGGGACTCTCTATGTTATTGACTGGGGTTGGTCCGGGTTTTACCCTGAGTGGATGGAATACGCCTGCATGGCGAGATACGATGATGCACCACAGTCATGGAAGGATCTGATCCCCTTCATTACAGGCAAGTATCTTTCGTGCTTGCCAGGTCTAGCGCACGCTGACCCTTCTTGATAGGTCCCCATGAGGATATGTTCAATCTCCTGTGTGACATTGGCTGGGCTTTAGAAGTTGGCTATATGATGTAATGCACTTCGGCTGTGACATAGTACCAGTCTGCGTGTGCCATGTAGAGTAACCAGATACCTGTGAGTACATCGGTCCTGTGGATGATACGTTCTCCCTATACCGATATTACTGAATAAGTTCGCTTCCAGAGAATTCGAGAAGGCTTGATGTCCACTAAAAATTTGTCAGATAGAGCCTAACGTGTCCAAGTGTTTTTTCACCTTCGAGTCCGATAGGGAATATTTCGTACTGCAGCACGCTGCAAGCAAACTCACGATGATGGCAATTGAACTCGTTGCGCGCTAGGAAGATCAAGGTTCCACATCCAAATATGCAATTTACTCGTGCGACGACGGTAATATCAGTGACACACTGTACGCAGATGGCGTTTGTGGTGCCAGAAGGTAGTAACTCTGCCTGTAATATGGTACGATCCACTACACTCCGCCGGTAGACTCTTCCTCGACCGCGTTCGTCGCAGTCGCGTTTTGCACCGATCCATACAAGTACGAGTCTTAGGCGCTTCAGCAGCGGAATAATCCCATTCGAATCCTGATTCGTATCACAACATCTATCCGTAGAGTCTGGATCTCATTCGTGAGCTTCTTGAAACTCATCACCTGCGGTACGTATAGGAGAAGGATGGCAAGTAGAAGAGCGTGAAGGACGCGCAACTGGATAAGAAAAAGGAGGAACGTAGGAGTGAAGAATTCGACTCGTTGACTACTTCGAGGACCCACCAGGTCCAGTTGCAAGACAACACGTCAGGGAGTTACTCGATTGGTGGAAGAGGTGTGTTCACAGTAGTTTTCCGTCTCACAACATTTATCTGATGATATGAACTATGCAGAAATATATTTCCGCATCATTGTCGATCGAGCACAGTTCAGGTGCAATCGGGACAGCGAAACGATGGGTCGGTCGCTCAGCGTGCTCTCCAGCGGTTGGCGAAGGAGCATCCGGATGAACAATGAGTCCTTGAGCAGAGCCGCATGTGTGCGGGCGGTAATGTAACAATACTTATTTGTATATATTGAACTGGGAAGAATATGAAATCGGACGTACCATGTACATTGGCTAGGATGGTCGGGCCTCAATTGAATATCCGGAGGAAAGAGAAGTAATGCCCCGGCGTGTGGCGGCATATCGAACATACATTAGACGGTGCTCGAACGCGACATAAACTTTCACTAAGATGTCATTGATACAATTGTTATGAGGTATGTAACCACAACAACCTTCAAGTATATTACATAGGGCGATACATGCAGACCAATTCTCGAGCGCGTTGCGTCACGTATGTATGTCGTTTATACACGCTCAGCGTTGTAATGTATCGTAAACGAGGCTACAACTGTTAGACCTATTACATGGTATGATCCCGTTAGAACCGCTGTGTAAAACCTTCCCGGTTTCCGTGATGGAGGAGTTGCAGCCGCGGCTGTCGTTACTGTGCCTTGCAGTTGGATTCCTGTTTGGCCAATATTTTTATCCTAGGCCTTCCGTTCTGGGTGACAACAACTTCGGAGTGATCGACGATCTAGACAGCCGCGGGTATCGTTCATGCATCATGCACATGATCGTCGTGCAGTCCCCTTGTAATAAACGCGAACGATGGTATGATTTCGTCTCTTAACTTTGTCGGAGAGTGATCTCGCTCACGTTATTCAGACAAAAGAGCCTTCAACGCGAGATAGAATTTCTGTGCCACCTACATACCGTGTTCTTTGTGCCTCCTTCGAATCCTTTTATTGTGCATGAGCCCATCTGTCTACCTTGTCGATGACTTCCACCTCAGACTCAGAGGCGGCCGCTCCCCACAGCCTGACGCCTCGTTTCGATCCTCCTCTGCCGTCCGCGTTCGACCATGAAGGTGCCAAGCCAGACGTGCGTCCTCAGTCGTGTTACAATTGACCTAACAAAGGTATTGAACATCGTGCAGTGCTATGCGGAACATGCGAAGTTGGTTCCTGCCGTCCAAGACTTCATGCCCCCTACGTCGGTGGTCGAGCTTGCCAGAGCGACGCCCCCACTGTCTGACCGCGCCAATGTGTACCGCATCGGCCCAGATACCATCGTGAAAGTGCACGAATACTACCCGTGCGCCGAGGCTTTCAATTTGTCGATGATACGAGCGATGACCACCATACCCGTTCCCGAACTACGGCAAGTCGTCAAGCACAAGAACGACACGTATCTGGTGATGGAGTACCTCCGCGGACGTACACTGGCTCGATGCTGGTCGGCACTGCGCTCCTCCGAGAGGCTCAGGATCGCGGAGACGCTCCGCGGCTACATCGCCCAACTGCGTACGCTAAGACGCGCCGTCCCTGGCGCGCTCGACGGTTCAGCCTGTAACGGACCTTTCTTCCCGCCCGACGGCGCGGGTCCGTTCGCGAGCTACGCCGAGTTCGTCGACTGGTTCAACCACAAGGGCGACGTCGCTAAGAGCACGGGGAAGGCGCCATCCGACCTCGGCACTTTCGACGACGCGTCTTCGTTAGTGTTCACGCACCAGGATCTGAGCATGCGGAACATTCTCCTCGCGAACGACGGGACCGTCTACCTCATCGATTGGGAGTGGTCTGGGTTCTACCCTGAGTGGATGGAATACGCTTGCATGGCGAGAAATCAAGATACCCCGCAGACTTGGAAAGATTTGATCCCGTTCATCGCAGGCGAGTGTTCTCCTGGCCTGCAACTCGTGTGCAACGCTGACTGTTGCTGATCAGGCTCTCATCAAGACATGTTCGAGCTCCTTTGCAATGTTAGTTGGACTATAGTAGTAGGCCGTGATATGTAGCTGCGAGCCGTTCTGGTCGTGGCCGTGTATGTTTGCGTGGGCCGTGTACAGTGTTCAAATCGCCATCCAGTAATCTGGTGGTATGTGTAAACTTCCCTAGGAATATTGGTGAACTCGCGGGAATTCTATATCCGCGTTGCAGCGTTCATGGCCTTCAAGAGGGGGATATCGCCTTGGTTTGGCTGGTCATTGATTGGTGTTGGGAGCCGAAGCTAGAGCATGCAATCCTGTCAAAATCGCCTCCCCGTTTTTGATGAGCCATATCTCGCAGATGGGCCCAAATTCAATAGGTGAGTAAGTACACGTTTGGATAGCTCATGAGAATACGACAATATTGTATACAGTCTATGCTTAAATCTGCGTGCAAATGTGTAGCGTTGCGAGTGATAGGAAGATGTCAATGGGATATGCAGGGGGAGGAACGATGATGCAAGGTGGACTAAAAGGGGCGAGCGATGCGGGTGTATGCAAGGAATGCAGAAGTAGAAGCAGCACAGCTAGAATGAGTAGGTCGGCCAATCCAATACGCGAAGTCGCGCGGCTGCCGATTCATATCAACGTCGGCGCCGACGCCGACGCACTACTGGGTCTGTACTCGTCGTCCACGCCGTTTCCGTCCCACTGCTGCTCGCGGCCCTTGCCCTTGCCCTTCCCGTTCTCCTGCTCCAGGTGCTCGGTGGAGCCCGCCGGCGAGCCCAGTACGTCCGTGGGCGGCGCCTCCCATATCCGCACGGTCTTGTCGTCCGAACATGAGGCGAACATCCGCTCGTTCCGTGGGTTCCAAGCGACCGAATTGACGCTCCCCGCCCCGTGTCCCGACAAGGTGTGCAAGAGGGTTCCGGTGTCCCGGTGCCAGATATACACATTTCCGTCTGCGAGATCAAAGTAGAAGCACAGTATACAGCGATCAGTCAAAATTGTACTATAACTGCATAGCAGACGTACCTTCGCTCCCGCTAGCGATAAAGTTGCCATCAATACCACCGAAACAACTCCGTATGACGTGTTTGCCCTGGCTGTGGCCAGTATACTTCCGAACGACGCGTTCCGTGGCGAGGTCCCATAGTTGTATCTCCTGCAAAACCAAGTGACGCAATAAGACTCAACGAGCACTCCCAACGACAAGCACACTCACACAAACGAGTCCGTCACCCGCGCGGTTAATCAGCACGTACTGCGAATCCTGCGATGTCTTCACACTCGTCAGCTCTCCCTGCAACCCGAGGGACCTGTGGCAAACCAATATTCAGATATCACACTAACTAGAATGTCAAACGCACACATACGTCTCAGGCTGCTTTGTCGCCAGATCGTAGATGATGACCCGATTCTCCGACGTCCGCCCGCCCGGCGCGCCAGATCCACCCGGGGGCGTTCCATCCTCCGGCGGCGTGACGTTCGGCCCTGTGGGTGGTATGAGGACGTCGCACATCCCCACCGCGATGAGGCGCGTGAAGTCGGGCGTCACCGCCAGGTCGGTCACCCGGATGGGCGTCTGGCCCCACGAGTCACGCTGCTTGCCGTCCGCGTCCTGGATGTGCCAAGACGTCAACCAGGGGTATATTAAAAAAGAGCATGGCTCTTGCTCACCCAAAGAATGATTTTGCGATCCAAGCCGCCCGAGATGAAACCGGTACCATCGGGCAGCCATTCCAGTGCCGTTACGACATCCGTATGTGCTTCGAGTGTTCTGATACACTGCCCGGTCTGGAGCGCATACGGTATATTAGAGAGCGTTAACATAGGAGAGGTCGATACTTACTCTCGCGTTCCACAGCTTAATAATCTGCTCTGCTGCTGTCAGCAGTATTGTGTCGTCTAATGACCACGCTACACAGCCCACGGGAAACGGGTGATCGCCCAGAACAAACACGGACGAGTATTCTCTGACCGATGGCTCTTGGTCGAACTGCGCAGCGAGCGAGACGTCAGCATTCCAGTCAGCGCCGAGACAAGGATAGGATCATGGACGGCGTCTCGGGTAAACACGTACCTCGACCCGCCAGATGATCGCGGACTTATCCTTGCTCGCGGTCGCCAAGTAATTCCCGCTATGGCTCCACTCGAGATTCCACACCTCGTCCTTGTGCACGTCGAGAATTGCGGTGGTGACACGGGGGAACGTGTTCTTGTCGCAGCGGTGGTCCGTGTACAGCGAGAACGTCCGCGAGTTCAATGGGGCATTGTGGAAGAGACACCGGCTTTGCTGCCATGTGCGCGCCTGGTCGAGGAGAGTCGCGAATCGTCGCTGGGGTATCATTACCGATGATGGGATATACCCTGCATTGGGAGAACAACATAATAGATCAGGAATACATGAACATCACCCTTAGAAATGAACTGACGTTGAAGGTTAACGAGTAGTTGTCGTCGTGAACTTCCTGACGCGCCATCCCACCCTGCTCGCTGTCGAAGGTCGTCCGGATCCGAGCACATCATCAAACTAAATGGGTAGACCCACGTCAAAACGTTATACACAAGAGGTAAACGCAGAACACACCTCGATAGTGTATGCAACTGATCTGGCTCGACATTCAGCGGCGCGAGCTCGTTCCGCAGCACCTGCAACGCCGCCGTCGTTTCTTGTGCCTCCAACAGCTCCAGATATTTCTGCTGGCTGATGAGGAACTTCGCTTCCTGCAAGGCGGAGTCAGTAACCGACGCAAGGATAACGATGAGATAGACGAAAGACTTACCCAAAGCCTCTCATCGTCCGCTACTCCCAGACGCATTAGCGCAGCTTCCGCACTGTCCCACGACGCGTCCAGTATGCACTTTCTGAACTCCGACACTTCCGGCGATTCCATGGTATACCCCGACTCCGCTTCTAGTGTAGCGGCCGACTCGCTGGGCATGGCGACAACATGGTGAGCCCAATCGCGCCACAGGACGAGAAGTGAGAGACGCACATATAGCCAACATCCCGCAGACTCTGTATAACTAGCCTCACGAACTCCTCGCGGTCAACATACGAGTCGTCATAGAGCGTCGAGCCAGGCAGGGATACCCTCGCGACGGACGTGCCATTCCTCGCCGCTCTATGTTCTTCTAGCTCAGCAGACAGTAGCGATTTTGAGGAGCCGTTGGTGAATGGTTGCGAGAATCCGTTGGTCTTTGCGGCACCGTTGTGTCCGTTAGACGCGCCCACAGCCGACGACGGGCCGGCAACTGGGGACGAATCGAAAGAAACCGAGAGCGCAGACTCCTGGTCAGCTTCCGGTGGTCTCATGGTGGCGCTGTCGTAAATTAGCGAGGACGAGGAAGATTCGGCGAAGAGAGCGCGTTCGATGGCTGTGAGTGAAGTAGACGCTGACGAGCTGAGACTGTCGATCCTTTGTCGCTTGCGCGCGCGCGAGTGTTCTGGGTCAGGTTCTGGCTGTGTGGCTGTGACAGGGGACGCAGGGCGAGCGACGTTGGCTCCAGAAGAGGATGGGTGGAGGAAGGACAAAGGGGCGGGACTGGAAGAGTGTGCGGCGAAGGATGGCGGAGCGCTGTCGCTCTCAGAGTCCTCTAGTTCTGCGCGGGATCGAACAGAGGGGACGAGGGTGGCGGGCGACGTCGAGCTCCTCGATGCTGTGTGAGCAGTAGGCGACGGAGAGGCGAAGGAGGGGGATATGGGTTCGCTGGGGTCCAGAGCTGCCGCCTGGTGCGGTGTGGTGTACCGCGTCGGATTGAGCTCGGCGAGTGAATCAATCGTGACGATGTTCGGTGCTGGTCGACGCTCAGAGTTGGTGCGACCGAACTGAGGATTAAAGGATGGAAACGGAGCAGGAGATAGTATCAGAAAGAGAGAGATGGCAGCATGTAACCTGGTCTGCACGACTGCACGGTCCTCAGACTAGCATCAGCCACGCGTCTGCCGACTGTCCGCAATTGTCACGCTCGATATATTCTCTTCTCATTTTCTGCTGGGTCGTCTATCCCTCTTGGGCTCCCTTTATCTACCTCAGATATTCGAGTAAGCAGCCTAATTGCCAGCAGAATATTCCGCGCCGCTCTCAGTCAGCACAGGCACGAATGTACATCATCGTAACGTCCTCCGAGCCGTGGCGAGTTGCTATCGTCACCTCTCCGAATATTTGCAATCGATTGGCTCAGTCCGTTGGCCGCTGCGGTCCGAGGGAGAATACGGAAGAGACCTTGTTATCTGCTCGCCTGACGTGCACTTTCCCCGCATTGCTCGCGCAGGCGCAATGCAGATTGAGCGCGATTGACAGGAGTGCTGGTCGGCAGACCATATCGCACGCTAGATCACCAACTCAGCACGCTCTAGGGGACGTTCACGAGCCTAGTTCAGTGGACCGTGACGTGGTCCGCCAGTGGTCCGCCGAGCGGACAAGTATGTAAACCTTTCCTGCAAATCCCATGAGCCACACGAGCCACCTCAGTATGACTCGAGCTAGATTCCGACTCGAAGCGATGGTGAGCTGTCAAGTCAATCACTCCACACTCATCCCAATTTTGTACCAGCGATAGCCATCTCACCGCGAGCTCTGGCGAAGAATGCCGCATACATCTTTGTTGTCTACTTCTCGAGGCCCATCCCATACTAGATCGCTTGCGGTGCCTATTTCGAATATAACTTTTCGTCTAGACATCAATCCATTACGGAGAGTCGTATACCACCACCAGGGAGAACCAGCTTGGTGGCGTCCTTCTGCACTTCCAGGGTTACATCGCAGGGAAAACGAAGGAGCGACGTCCCAAATCCAGAGAGTCACATCAAACCCTGTCCCCATCCATTCCTGCCGTCCCATCACCGTCGACCGCTATTCTTCCGGCCCTCCTCCGGTCGGCACCCTCTACAAGTGCACCGCCTGTCCGGGCATCTTCGCGCAAGTTCTCATCTGAAACAGACCTGAATATGTGACCCGGGATGAATTCGTAAGCACACTATAGTACAGCGCTTTGCATAATTGCGTGAAACTAACCAAAACAAATCGCGTTATTTGGCGGGGACAAACAAAGCCTTAAACGAAATTGGAGGAAGCTCGTGATCGAGTTCTACCATCCTAGAGAACCTATAAGAACATCTTCGTTTTCGATACCAGAACCTCGCAGTGGGAAGCAACCAGGAGAAAGCAATATTCTCGGAAGCTCTGAAAGGCGTCGGGAAGGCCAGACATAGAGGAAAGCCCCGAATTCCCCGCTCGGCCGGCAACCTCCCCACCTACCTGATATAGGTTTATTTGCGCGGGACAAATAGATGAGAAAAATCCGGGAGTTCCACGCAATTATGCAAAAGCGCTGTAAATTTGTCAACATCCTTTGCTTTTTTTTTCAGAACTGAAATGAGACTCAATTGAATGATTGGATTTGTGGGGTCTAGAAATTCAATATTCAGGCTTCCTGTGGACCAGGAATTGTTACAGTGTGATAGCGCGACTCATCTACCAAACGTGCGGTCCGAGTTGGTCTCAAGCGTCCTGCGCTGATCGTTACAGCAGTTCTGCGCCAGGATCCCGTGCACGCAAGAACCTCTCGGATTTTACACACACCCGCCGGCAGAACGATCCCCACATAGTGACATACTAGGTTCGAAGTGCGTGACAGGATATGTTGGCACCCACGGAGTCCAGGCAGATGCAGTGGCTACGCCCGCGGTTTCAAAAATCCTGCGGGCGCGAAGACCTCCCGGACAGCGCTCCGAACACGCTCAAAAAATGTCTGCAAGCTCTGGTACCGGCGAAAACTGAAGGAAATTTTTGGAGACGCTAGCGTGCACCAAGACGCCCCCGTCAAGATTCGTGCTCATACAGCGTGGCATCGCTGGCAGACGCATGCCACGCGCGTGTGCACGCTCGCCACCTGGCCGTGCAGACAGCGCGAGCGCGCACACGGACCGAGCATCTGCGCGTCCAAACGCCCTGGAGCTGTGCAGTTGCGTCCGTAGTAATCTTCTTCGGAGTGGGCCCAGCGCCTTAAGCTCAATGGCAGAGACACATGGCCACGGACACAAATACAGACACAGGTATGTGCTCCAGAAGAACCTCATTTAAATTACCTCTCGTATTCGCACTGATACAGATCTCATTTTTTATCATGCTGCGGCCTGCCACCTACTCGCCGAACCGCATCACACGCAGCCTGACCCAAATTTTCCAAACGCGTGCGCAGCGTACAGCCACTGGGCCTGGCGCCTCGAGCTGCCCAAACCCGTCGTCCTCAACCAACCCCCAGCGTCTCAGCGTCGAGCGTCCCCGCTGTCACAACGCCTCTACCGAATCTACTCCCTCGAAACGCAAATGCGGATTTATCCGCTGCGCGTCTGTCGGTGGTGTCACCGTCACAGGCCCACGGTAAGTTTTCCACATTAATATTCCTTTCTCGACTCGCGAGGCGCAGGAACCAGGTCCAGTGGCGGAGGGTGGCTGAATTCAGTCATATCTGCGGTAGACTAGGCACGCGGTGGTCCGCCTTCAGGGAAGGAAGGGGCGCGTTCATGTTCTTGGCTTCCTCGGTCGACTGATACACTAATATTAAACCCACCTATCCCTCTGGATAATTCTATTGAGAAACCCCCAGAAACCCGGAAACCCCAGAAACCCCCTTAAGTTGCTCAGCAACCTGGTTTCTGTGCAAGGGAGACCGTTGACAGCCGGCCGGTTTTGATGGGGAGCCGCGCTTGCAGTCTCTTTCTGAAAGTGAGTAAAGTGCGGCCTCCCCGTAGCAGAGGCCTCGCTGCGAAATTGTAAGTTGATTCGGGGCTTACCGATCACACAGGAGCTCGGTACACTCTATGTACGTGAACAGGACGCGTCGGGCGGGACTGACAAGGCTTACGGCGGGAGCCAATTTTCCCTCTCCCTCTCCCATTCTTGCGAAAATTTACTTTAAGAATATGGAGAGTGCATGCAGGCAAGGTCTCTCGATCTTTCGTCAACTGCCATGAGAAGCTGTGGAGTGAGTCTGCCCTGCCTTCCCGCACAAACGATGATGCCAACATGGCCGCCCCAGGAGGGCGTCCGGCCGGAGTCCGAAACTTCCTCCGGAGAGGGAAACCCCACAAGTTTCCAAATTGAGGGGTTTCTCCGAGCAGCCTCAGAAACCCGGGGTTTCTTGGGGTTTCCGGGTTTCTGAGGGTTTCCCAATAGAATTATCCTATCCCTCTCGAACGGATCTTCACACCGTTAAATAACAGAATTCATCTATCTCTTCATTTCTGCCTTCGCTAGCGCCTCATATCATACACGGTTCTCCATCACAGAAAAATTCGAGTGGGGCTGTGCCTTCGCGTTCCCAGTACAACCCACCACAGACATATTGGACAACCTAGCCCATTCCACCGTGCGAGCACGGCCGCACCCATTGGCCAAGCCGCGCGAAGACCCTCGCGCGATCGCCATAACTGGTACGATGCTATAGCTACTAGCGCGCCGAACCACCTCCTTCAGGTCAGATGGTGTGCAAATGTGACGCAGCACGGGATCCGCGCTTCGCGACATTCAATTCATGTACACTGCGGTCTGCCCGCCGATAATTATGCGCTGTGCGAGCTATGGGTAGCGTACCTGTAGTTCACCAAGATATATATATGAGACATGTGTGATAGGGCTAAAGTGAGGGTGTGAATGGGTTGCGGATCAACATGTGTGGGCGTGTGTGTACGAAAAAAAATCAGTGCGTATTGTGAACGAATTGAAGAGACAGGAGAAATGAGACGGAATTGTGTGTACTTGTACTTGTATTTGCTAAGACTAATGCTACGACCTGTCAACCGAAAGTCCCTTTTGTGTGCTGAGGTGAGGAATAGGTGTGTGCGGGCGAGAAGCGCGATTTTGCAGATATGTACGTGCGTGGGTGAAAAGCAGAGCCAAAACGAGGAGACGATGTGGGACTTTGGGACATTTTTGCGACCCTCGACGCTGAGGATATGCATGCGGGGAGACCATGCTCCGATAGATACGATAACGGGACTCGGACGACAAGCGTCGAGAGACTGCTCTTGCAGTAAAAGAGCTTTTGCGCACAGCGGCGAAGCACTAGAAGCGGTGGGGCGTGCCCACGAATTTTGAAGCAGCCGGAGATATGTTGAATCGTCTCTGGCGAGGCGAGGCAAGAAATGCGGAGAAAATAACGGCGAGCAGCAATGCAATGTGACAGCAAAATGCGTTGAGTTGGATCGAGATGGGAGGACGAAAAAAGAGAGTCGAGGTGAGGGGATCATTGGGAACGCGCCGTTAGTTCGCGTTAGGTCGTGTTATGTTTCAGCTTCGTCGTACGTGTGTCATGCCAGAGACAATTGATCACCGCATCGGAAAGGGCCGCCCACGCTCGCGCGCCCGTAACCCGCTGCGCCCGCTGCCATACCCCGGCGCAGACCTGTCAACGCCCTGCGGGATATTGTCGAGCTCCTCCGCCCGCCTGCGCCCTCGCCTGTCGTCCCCGTGCTCCACTCGCTCTTCCTCGACCCGCACATGCAAGCTGCGCGCGAGCGCCTCCCGCAGGTGATCAAGCTGGCCGCCCACGTCCGGGTCCAACATGGCGTCCGCAAGCAACATCTCATGCCGTGGTTTTGGCGGCGGCGAGCTGTTGCGCCGCGTGAGCGTCCGCCCGCGCACCTGCGCGCCCACAACCGGGCTGTTCGACACCCAGTCCGCGACTTTTTCGACGCTGTCGAGCCGTGCGCGCATCTGAGCTTCAACACGCGTGTGGCGGACGTGACAGGCAGGAGAACGACCGGGGGACCGGTGCGCACAGGAGGGTGAGCGTGCATTGGGGTCGCGTTGGCGTCCGCGACCACGCGGAGCCGCCTCTACGGCGAGCGCGCGGGTGTGCTGCGCGTATGCGATCGTGGGGTCAAGGATGGGGTTCGCAACACGCGGCGTGGGCGGGGACGACTGGAGCGACCGTGAGATCGCCGTGAGCGTCTGAATGGACGATGGGAGCCGCTGCGTACGGACAGATGTCGGAGAGGCGGCAGACGTGAGAAGGGAAAAGTATGCAGGCAGGCTCGCACGGTTGCGCTTCGACTTCGCGGTGATGGTCTCCGGATCCTTCTCCCAGTCCCCCCCTGCGGATTTTCTTAAACGCCTGCCTTGCGAACGGGCGGAGGACGACGAGGAGATCGAGGCAGAGGGAACGTCCGAGTAGTCGTCCTCTGCGGAAAAGGTGGGTGCAAAGGCACTCTGAGCTGCGCTGTCGTCCGCGTTCGACGGGCTAGATATCGAAGATGTTCGTCTATGGAGTAGTGGGATGGTGGACCGGTTGTTCGTGGAGGACGGCCTGCGTACATATGATAGTTGACCCATAGGGCCTGGAGACTTTGAGCTCCCGACGTCGGCACTGAGCATCTCCGCATGGTGGAAGTCGTCATCACCGTTACTGCTGTGTAGGCCGAAGTTGGACGGATCCTCGTCGTCGTCAGTGAAGGTGTCCCAGGTAACAGAGGAGTTAGACGACGAGGATATAGAGAGGCGGTTCTTAGCGTGCATGAGGGCGCTTCTGCCGTTGACCGACCGACCAAGGGCGGACGGTACAAGTGCAGGCACGTCCGGGAGGATACCTGTGCCATTCATGGAGTGGAGATAGGGAGATGTAAAAGCACTACTGGTAGCGGAATCCGAGCGCGAGGTGGTGTCAAGGCTCTCGCACTCGTCGCTGCAGTAGGCGCGCCTGTCGGGGTCGTTCAGCAGAAAGTCAGCAGGTGAGCATTCAGACGGCGTACCCATCGACGTTGACGGGCTTGCCGCAGAGAAGGCAGACTTCCTCGTACATGGATGAGTGGGAGAAGGATGTGAGCGAGGTCGGAGAAAGGAGGGTGGGCGGTTATATAGGGCGGAATGTGCTTGGTGAAAGAGGTGAAGGAGTCATGATATGATGGAACAAAGAATAATATAAGGGGTCCTGCGAAAGCGACGTGAAATGGTGCAAGACAAATTCGAGGCACGCCATTCTCCTGACTCGTTCCGTGACAGTCACGCCCGCCTTCGGCATCTTCCAAATCGGGGTGGTCTGCACCATGCAGTCACGCCGACTGTCACGTTCCCCGCAACGCGAGACGCACGTTTTCCGCCGTTGGCTTTCCTCTCCCTTCACGCTTCTTCTGTCAATCCGCGAACGTGTATTCCAGGCCGACCACGACCTCTCTTCTCCCTAACAGCCAGCAGTCTAGTTCTCTGTATTTTCCCGCTCTCCTCCACATCGGGCCGTGTCGGTCAACAGCCTACACCTTCTGCTATCTCGCGACGTTCTATCTCGGTACCGCCGATACCGCCTTATCAATACGTAGCCTTCGACGCGGCCCGCAACGCTATGTGCATGCCTTAGGTAGTCGAACTGCACGTCGCGATCTGCTATCCACTCTTCCGACCATGATCCCAGTGTCGCCCGCGTTCTGCGTAGTTGCGCTTCTGCGCATGTGCCCTATCGCCAGCGCCCCATCTTGGCTTCTGGTGCTCTACTTCGCGAACGCACGCGTCTTCGATGCCCATCTCTCGCCTCAATCGTGCCGACTCCGCGTTATTGCTGCTAGCTCTTCAGCGTGGCTTCTCTTACATCTTCCAGTTGTTTCCGAATCATTCATAAATCTCTGTCTCGCCGTGTATATCACATCCCTTATCAACGCGATATTATTTTCGCGTTCATTTCGCATATCCAGAAGCGCGTCCAAAACCTAAATCCGAGAATGGTTATCGTCGTTTCCACTTTCCGCAAGTGTGTGATCTGCACGGTCACTCTTTTGAGGTCGGAAGTTTCGCTTTGCACGGATGTCACCATATTTTCGAAATATCGTCTGCAGGCATGACACCATATACCGCGGAGGAGCGTGTCACGCTGCTCGGCATATGTTCTTTCGCGTTCTGTCACCATCGCCGACGCAATTACAGAAGCAGTGCGGCCACCGCGAGGGTGCGTGTTAGCGTCATGAGGATTGCGCACCCTCGCAGATCTCGTGCGTCGCAGTGATCCTGCACACAGTGATACACAGTGACCGTGATGTATCACCCACCTGCCAGGTGGAAGCACCTCGAAAACGCTCGCCGGCAGCACGGCCGACGATGGCGGCATCATGAGCCACGTTGCTTGTGACGCCCGCCTACGTCATACGTCATCGCGTGACGTGATGAGGCGACGCGAGTGACGCGACGTGTCCGTCATGTCACGCTTTGCGGTCACGTTCGTCTGGCCCACGATGCGCAGCGGCGCGTGCGCTGCCGCATGATACGGGGTGCTGACCGCTCGGTCGCCCAGTCCCACCGGCGATGGAAAAGGGTACTGTGCAGGGCCCGCAGTGATTGCGAAGCGACTCGGAGAGATGACGGGTAGATCTGTCATATCCCGGTGGCTGCTGTCGCGGCAATTACGGCGGAACAGAGACGCTGTGACCGCCGCGCAGAATCCGCCACCGTTGGCGTGTCGACGGTAATATCGCGCGGAGGTGGAGCGGGTACTGGTCCTGCATCCCGGGCAGTGGGAGTCCCGCGTGCCTCACCTGGGCAGACGACGCCTGACTCGAGCGTTTGGCGCGCACGGGCCCCACTGGTCGCGGAAGCAAATTTGGGGGACGTCCACGCGGACGTGTCTCGGTCCTGCGAACTTCTGCGACGCCGGCGAACGCCACAATCCTCTCGCGTAGCGCGCCAGGGGATAGGTAGCAACGTTCGCTTGCTCCCGGCCCAGGCGCGTCACATCGATGAACCAGCGGTGTGTCCTTGTCGCTCTTGTCAACGCGGTGTTCAAGCCAACGTTCGCATCTGCGCATGCTTCATTTTTTAATTGCTTGCCTGTTTGAAATGGACCCATAGGACTCTACAAGGCAGGTCTTGTATAGAAAGTAGGACAGGGACTTCCCTTGTACTCAGACTAGTGACGTTGTTCAGTGTCCGGCTCGAGCGACTTCCGGCGTCGATGCCACTGGATGGGAATGCAGCCTGACTGGTGACGAGCGCGTCGAAAATGAGTTTCGATATTTTCGAGGCCCGTCACCAATCAGCCTCAGGCCTCGTGGCGTCGCCACAGTGGTCCACATCGAGCAGGAGAGCAACTACGGACTGTACATCAATGCATCACGCCTCGCCTCGCCGCGTCCAGATCTTCCCGCCGCCCATCCACATGCGCGACCTCTCAAACCGGCGAACAATACACGACAATAGACCTGCATTGTCCGCTCGATGCGTCCGACGATCCCGCTGGTGGCGGTGCGAACGTAGAAGAACTCTGGGACAGCACCTTATCCCCGCCTCATCGTGAGTCGGTACCACTTCCAGTTATTCGGGGATCTCACCGCGCTGTGATCGCATTCGTCTTGCGAAACCGTGACCGTGACAAGGGTCATTGACTGCGTCCTGTTATTGTCGGGGTTGTCACTTCCGCAGTGTCGACCTCTGCGACCTGGACCGCCACCGTCAGCGTCGTCTCAGGCAATGGGCAATCAGAATTCCCGCCGTAACGATGCATTTTCAAAACGTCTGCCCAGCGGTTCTCGACCTCGAGCGTCGGCCGCGAACGCGCCCTCTTTGAAACTGTCCCGGTCGCCAACCCGCGAATCATGACCACATTGCGTCACATGCCTCCGTTCCTCGCCCGACAACATTGACTGCCGACACATCTCTCCCCCAGATTCATAATACGCGCAGTGCGTTTTTAGACTGGCCTTGGCCCTGCATATGACCCCGCAGGCCGAGTCACGCTCGGGGTCGAACCCCAACGCATTCAAATTCCCAAAGTCATATTTGTCAGCATATACGATCCCTACATTCTGACTCCTGAGCGCGTGAGCATTTGCATATGTGCGTGCGTATAGCTTTTCCCAGGGAACGAGAACGCGTCACGACGCGTCAGGCGGGCCACGGCCAGCCGCTGCAACTCTGGCGGGATGCGGAGGGATTCCGATTTCGTGCGCCTGAGGCCCAATTGCCACTGAATTACAATATTGAGCACGGGCTGGCCCCTCTCCACCGTGAGGGAGTGGTATTCGCCTGTAAACGTTCTCGCGTATGCAGCGAACGTTGGGGCGAACTTGGCAGACAGGAAGAGTGAGCCTAGTCGCTGGCGCCGTTCAGCCAATACAACTGCCTCTTGTCACGTTAGTTGCATACACTCGGTCTGCCACAAAGGCCTTGTTGCCTCTTGTTGCCGCGATGCAATTAACGTGCATGCCACTCCGTCGGTCGCAGGCGCCAAGCGATCGATCACGCATTCTTCAGGAAATACTTTCAGGTTTCACATTCTTCGGAGCGTCCCAGAACTTCCCCTTGCAGCATCTCGAGCGCTGCGACAGGACTCAGAAATGTTACCAGGCGCGTGGCGACATCGCTGCCGGGGCTTGTGCACGCGTCTCGCCGAGCTGGTAGCGCACGTTTGCGATGAGCGACAAGCTGCACATTTTTGTGACATCGCAGTGATTTGGTCCAATGGGTTTACTTACCTTTGCATGCCGGGTACACAGCGCAAGTTGTATTCGGAGGACCATCGCAGTGAAGCCCCGAAGGCAAGCGGAACTATTAAGCCTGTCAAGAACAGAACGTCTGACCACGGAGAAGGCGGATGTACCATTGTCGAAACATTTACACCTACTGCACAGCCAGCACGCTAGGAGACGACGCGCAGACAAAAGCGGAAAGCATCCATTGAGCCACAAATCCGAACAGTTATGTATCAGTTTCAAACTGGTACGAGCACCCGGCCGGTGTGTATGGGAAAGCGAGGCGAATCATCGAAGTTCTGCGAGCCGCTACTTCTCAGCAGACAGCGAGAGCCTAAGCAAATAATATAGGAAGATGATTTGCAGTGCAGGCGTGGTCGCCGGTCTTCCCATGGCACCAATCCCATCCCTTGCAAATTTGCTCGTCTAACCTACTAGGAGAGGACTTCGAATATATTTCATCAGTTCTTCGCCAAACCTACTGCGAAAGTCGACATTATAGAATCGAGCGATAGTAGACTCCCACTACGCCTATTTACCCATCAGCGCACCAGGAAATAATGGCCAGTAGAGGAATACCTTTTCATCTGGCCCACTGCAAGCATGGAACGACGTGCCACAACTGATAGTTAGCTTTCGAAGTCTCGGTAACGCTTGAGCGATCATGTCTACCAGCTCGGCGTTAAACACCCCACTAGGCTCTACGTAAGCGTCACTGCCTCATCAGGTGAACCTGATCACCTGACGCATTCAACCCTAGACTCGTCACTAGGCTCGTTCCCAGCCGTTCTGGCGTGACAAGATACCGTTCACCGAAACACCATGTTGCCTCGTTTCATTTTCATAGCTCCAGAACCGCGTCCTCCTCGCAAGGCTGGCGTCAAACCCAAGACATCGCTGTGCGCCTCCTGGAAGCAAGCCATTCAAGAACATTTATCCACTGACGAATCCTTCATCACTGTCATCGAAGGGAAATTTAACGGGATTGATGCAGAAAAGCTACGATGCGACTGCATAGTATCTCCGGCTAATTCGTTTGGCATCATGGACGGAGGGTAAGTGAGCGACTTTGTGCTTCAACGCGCGGCATTTGACATCTTCTTCAGCTTTGATTTAGAACTTTCGCGCTATCTCAAGGGCACGGGAGATATGTGGAGCCTCACAAATCATTGCCAAGCATACATTCGCGAAACTTGGCATGGCTTCGTGCCACCTGGGTCTTGCACCCTTGTACCTCTCCCCGACGACGTAGCTGGCCCAAATAACGCATGGCACATCCGCGTTGTGGCCATGGTGCCGACCATGCGCACACCCGAGGATGTCAGCTGGCATCAGGACATCATTTACAGCTGCATGTGGAGTTTATTAGTGCAACTGGAGCACTGGAACAAGACAGCACACGAAAACGGGAGGGAGAAAATTGAGAGCGTGCTGATGACAGGGTTGGGCACGGGCCAAGGTGGGATATCATCGGAGAAGTGCGCACAACAGATGATTCTTGCTGTGAAGCACTTCCATGAAGAATTGCCACCACAGCTTAGATGGGTGGATGTTCGACAGCGTACGACGGAAGTTGAACGCAGTACAGAGTTGTGATATATAATGGCTCTATCAGTATACACGATTGAAATTTATAGAGATGGAGGCTGCACAGCGTTGGTAGGCGTGGCGGCAAACACCGGACATGGATCCTTCTCCGATCGGATCGGGAAAGCAGCGATATTCCAACCAAATCCAATTGACACAAATAAGTACCGCATCCCGACGCAACAAAGTCGACTATTAGTACTAAACATATGTATCCTAACGACCACTCAGACATCACTTTGCACTGGATGAAGTTCCGGAGGTGCAGCGCCATCAACACCATTCACAGCGTCCCCGTTCTGGACAGAACTCTCCAGCAGTGGTTTCTCCGGAGCGAGCACACTTGCGAGAGACGGGTACAACATCTCCGCTTTAGGTGGTGTCTGCGGCGGTGGCGGGTCCTCCACATCTGTCCGACTTTCCCCGTCCACCGCCCCGTTCGCCACCTGCGATTCAGCAGAAGTGGACGTCAGGGACGGGAGGCTCGGGAGGTCCGACTCCCGAGAATCGCCGGATACGATGGTGGAGGAGGGAGTGCCAGGCGCCGGCTCTGGCTCGTGTGCGGCCGGCGTGGGCGGTGGGAGTGCTTTCTCCACATGGGGAGCGGGCGCGCTCGCCTTCCTGTGGTTGAGGATGCCTTTGAACCGGTGTGCAGCGGGTGTCGACGGCGGAGGAGCCGGAGCAGGCGCGGCGGCTTTACGTGCGATCGACTTCTCCGAGACCACGGTCTCGAGCATCGCCGTGGGCGCGCCAACGTTCTTGAGCACAGCAAGCTTGTCGTGCAAGAACCGTGCGTCTGCGAGTAGTCTGTGGCGAGGCGCCGTCAGGGGTCAGTAGTACAAAAGAACAAGCTACGTTTGGACGCACCTGTCTTTAGCCTCTTGCGATGGGAGTTCGATCTTAGTGTACTCTTCCGAAAGTCGATGATTAATCCCAGCGAATACCTGGGTCATCACATACTGCACACCCACGCTGTCAGTGCCACTCGCACCAACCGAGTATGGGCAAACTCACTTCGACAACGGACGTAGAAAGGTATCGGGAAAGCACCTTATGGAGCGTGACCGTATCCTTGACTATCGTCTCCATATAATCGTTTACCCCGTTCCCCTTTGGCGCATCCCACTTCACCTCCTGCAGGCGAGATAGCACCGAATAGTCTGCTCAGCTCTTCGGGCATCAATATAGAAGAGCAGAGACCCACCTGCAGAGTCTTGATATGGACACTCAGCCGGTCACCCATGATCGCAATCAGCTTCGCATGGATCTCGTTCTGGTGTTCTTGGAAATCCTGTGCGCAGCGTCACACTCGGCATTTTGTAGAAGTAGCACGGCGACGTACCCGCTTTAGCTTGTCGAACTCCACCAGCATGACCGCCTGCTTCTGGCTCAAATGCCGGCGAAACGTCTCGCGCACGTAGGGGATAAGCGAAATCATAATGGACAGCGACTGCGATGCAAGAGCTGCACATGAGACCTGTCAGTAAGAACACCACAGCCGCCGGCAGAATGCATGATTTCTCACCGAGATGTCTGGCGGTGATGTTCTTCAACCCGGCAGAGCGCATGGCGCCTGCGCCGAGCACCACCTGACATGTCCGCGAATTGAACGCCTTGAGCAGCTCGATGACGCGGCTCATCGTCTCCGTAGTGAGCATCGGGAGGTTGACGATAATTTTGAGGTAGTCTGCTAGCAGCACTAGCACCTCTTGCGTGGCGGATACCGCGAAGTACGACCGGTCCTCGATGCGCAGGTGCTTCGTTGGCGCACTGGAGACCCGGCGCGGAGTCGCACGCGCTGCAGCCATCCGCGTCGCCGGGGAAGCAGGAGAAGGTAGAGGGGAGGACGGTTGGTGCTTGATGAGTTCGCCGTTGACTGCGAGAGCGGGAGAAAGTAATGGTGAAGATGGAAGAGGCGATGCGGGAACGGGTCGGTTGAGGATGAAGTCTAGCGGATCTTGGATGGAGGCATCGACGAGCATGTCCACTATCCGCTGAACTGATGGTGCGACTTCCGCCGCGTTCCACTGCTCATCTTCTACCAGTTTCGCGGAGTGAGTGATCTGGCTCTGGTGGAAGGTCTGGAGGAACGTCTTTGCCTACGCACCAGCAGGGTTAGGGACGGTCCTAATGCGTCAAAACTTACACACCTGGCCAACCATCGTTCCCCTCAGACCGACAATCATACGCCGACAGATGACTTCCGACTTGACCACAAAGTCCCATGACTCATTGAACAGACTGCAGAAACTGGGCAGATCCAGGGCCGTATGTTGCTCGGAGCGTAGCGCAATCACTTTAGATGCTCGTGAATTAGCCAGCTCGGCCGCCGACGAGAGAATATCAGACAATGCTTCTTGGAGTGCGGGTATGTCTATCATCGCCTTCGGAGACCTTGCGTAGCATGGAATGGCATTAAACGAGAGCTCAAACATATCATTGCGGAGAACATACCGTATCGCCTGGAGAACTTCTACGACGACAGCGCCTTGCCCTTGCAATCCCTCGATGCAATTCAAGAGGCTGCGATACATGATGCGCGCAAGACCCACGAATGTAGGATGCGACATGGCACGGAGCTCGTCGACTAGACTAAAAAAAATCGATTACACCAACGACGTGTGTGAATGGACGGCCGACACTACCTTGGCTGAGTCTTCGACTCTTCGTCCTCGAGGTCGAAAGCCGGTATCCGCTGAACGACTGTGAGTAAGGGAGCATTTTGAATGGCAGGGTGTCCACTCACTCGCCTGAGCGTACCCCGCACTTCCTTCAGAACCGCGCTCTTCCAGGACGTAGCCGCCTCATTCACGCCTCCCGTTCGCACGAGATTCTGCAGCAGCGGTCGCAATCTGTCCTTCAAGGACATGTTGGGATCGTTCTTCCTCTCCGCGGAATCTATGTCCGCGTCAATGCGCTCGACCAAGTCTAATCGCAATATATTGACGAATTCCGAAGTAAGAGAAGAGGTGATCTCCATCGTGAGCGTCCGCAAATGGTCAGGTAGTGACGCGAACGCTTGGAGAGAGGCAATGGGGACGGAGATAGCGAGTTTCCGGGGAGTAACGGCAGCGGGGGTTTCTGGCGGCGACTCGAGTACGGTTGGGAGGGGCGAAGTCCTGCCATCTCTCCGAGGTGTCGACGGGGACAACACTGGCACAGGAAGGTCATGTAGTGGTTCCGAGCGACTGCCAGCATTCCACAATCCGTCGAGCTCGTCAATCACATCCAGAGCCTCACCCCACTGACCTGCAGAGACGAGGCTCTTCGCGACGCCTGTCATCTCCACGATACCTCCAACAACTCGCACTCCCTCTTTCACAGCGTCCATGTTGCGCAGCTTGTTCTCCCTGCGGACGATTTCCAGGCCGCGCTTAGCACCTTTCTCATCCACTTCCTTGAGCAAGCCCCGCAACTTCGATATTCGGTCGAGGCACTGTTCGGACTCCGTCTGCAAATCTTGGAGATTCGACAACGCGGCAAAGAATGATGTTGAGCGGATAGAAATCTCGCGGATGAGGTGCTGCTCAATCGTGTCGGCATAATGCGATAGCTTCTCAAGTAGCGGCAGGGAATGCGAGAGTGAGGAAGGATCTGAGGCGTCATCGTCTCCCCCATGCTGTTCTGCGACCACATTGAATGTCCGTGGGTCACCGAGGTTGAAGTTTGGGTCAAAGAAGACAGAGGGAACCGTCTCCAGAGGGGGTAACATCTTCCCAGGTGATGGTCGTGCCGTCCTTGGGGTCGAGGCGAAGTCGTAGTCAGCCAGTTCCAAAGCAGCGCTCTCTATCCGCGCGACACCTTCCCTACCCTGCTCCGCGTTCTTCTCGAAGCGTTCCCATTCTGTGCCGATAGCATGGAGATACGAATCGAAGTCCTTACGCCGCACTCGCGGAAGGTCAGCGGGGGGTACCGCGGGCAGGCTGGAGTGTGCCTTCGGCGGTGCAGACCGTTTGTGTGGGTTGTTCAACACGGTCGAGATGGCTGTCAATGTCACGCACATCTGCATGTCTGCATACACTAAGACGAGGAGAGACGCACCATTGAATCCATACTTAGCGCTGCTCCAATCTGGCGGCATGGTACCCGGTGGGAACGGGCCCAAGGAGGAGTTTTCGTACAGGTCATCTGGGGCTGCGTTTGCTACGAAGTAGTCGCCGCGCCCCTCTGTAGTCTCCGAGACGCTCCCAGGCCCTTGCTTTCGATGAGCTGCGTCCCATGTGAACCTGTAGGAACGGGAGGTGGTAAAATTTGGTAGGTCCCCGACCGGCGAGGCTGGACGAGAGGGTGTAGATGCCTGATCAGACATACTAGTAGATAACTAGTAGATGCAAGTCAATAGGTCCAAGAAGTGTTCAGACAACCAGAAACGTCCGCCACAAAGGTGACACGAAGTCAATCTGGCACTTGGTATCAGGGAGCAGCGCTAGAGACCATATAGTCGGCCCTTCAGAAATACGAAGTGAGGCCCTAGCACAGAGATATTGGAGCAGAGTCCAGCGATGAATGACTGCCCAGCGACCAGCTTTCCTGGGTGCATGTCATTTCGGCTTATATCAGCCGTTCTATACGAGCGTTGATTGCCGCATCCGGGAACTCCTCCATGACGAGCTCACTCTCGTTGCCGGCGTCTCTCCGCCAATTCTTCGCTCTTTTTCCCCTCTACACCCATGGCCCCGTCTTGTCCCCGTACACAGCGAAGCCAGTAAGGTCGCCGACGCTGTGGATACACAGCCCGTGGGATGCCGAGGCAGACGTTCTCAGCAGCGACGTCGAGTGTCTCAAATGGCAGGCCTACCTCGCTCTACGCGGGGTCACCGATGTCGATGTCCGCTGGGATATGGCATCAGAGGGTGCAATTGATGCGCGTCTGCCGAACCTGCATGTACCGCCAAAGGAGGGAGAGGCTGGGGGTGGAGACTTGCTGCCCGCACACCTGATCCGGGAGTGGGTTGACGGACGCGTCGGAGGCGGAGAAGGCCCGCTGGAGGGATACGTCGACGAGGCGGCGCGTGACGAGGGTCGTGCGTGGGTCGCACTGATGGAGGGGAACGTGCACGCAGCGCTGGTGAGCTGCCTTGCCGTTCGCAAATCGTCTCGATTCTATCGCAGAATGTTTTTAGACAATCAGCGAACCTCCGTCCTTCAACCTGTGGAACATCCTCTCGCCGTACTCTGAGAAACCGCGTTCTGTAGAAACGATGATTAACCCGCCTCCGGCGCCTTTCACCGGTATCAGCTCCCTCCTTCCACCGTATGGCAGTCATGTCGACCGAGCTACCATCGAGCTGCAATACAGAGAAGCCATAGCATCGCTTTCTGAGCGCCTTGGCACGGACAAGTGGTTCCTCGGCTCCACGTACGCTTACACCTGCCTTTCCGTGTACTAAGCTCACGGGCAGCATACAGTGGTCCTACTGCACTCGACGCGCTCATCTTCGCCTATCTGCATCGCATCCTGCACGCGAAAGATAACACGATACGCTTCGAGGTCACCCGACGCGTCAACCTGGTTGCTTGGGAGCGCCGCGTCCAGAGCCAAGTGCGCGCTGCGTTCCAACGCATCGCTCCGTGATATCTGCACCAAATCTGCACACATTAACAGCGCCGGTGCCGGTGCCCATCGTGTAACGAAATCCGGAGAGCATGCAGATGCACTACGTCAGTCATCTGGTTGTAATCTTGTTCTTACAATACAGTTGAAATAACTCTGTTCGTGGGAGTTGCGTCCAGACGAACCGCAACTTCGCAAAACGCAATGTCTCTCAACGTCAGGGGCGTGAACCGGTACCTATCCACGAAAATTAACACTGTTACAACTACTGCCCAAACGCATATCCAAGCATGACGAATCAAGTACAGATGTATGAGATCGTCTCCCCTCTCCCGACTCCTCATAATCAGTGAATTCCACCCGCTCACTGTCCACCACTCACTCAGCCTTGCCGTTCGCCTTACCGTTGGCGTACCCGTTCGCTAGTCCCTTCGCAGCGCCATTAAGTCCCCCATTAATCTTGGCAGTCCCGTTGGTGTGCACCTTCGGCTTCGAGTCAGACCCATCAAACCGCTTCTTCAGTGCCAACACCATCTTGTACATCCTGAACGAATCATTCAGCATCAGACGACACCATGCCGCGCAGAAATATCGCGTGATAACTCACCACATCGCGTTGAGCGAGTGTAGCGCAGAGCTACCACAGCCGTAAATAACGAAGTAACCTAACGAGATCTCGTCCCGCGCGGCGTAGAGCGTCAGGTAGAGGTCCACGGTCTTGTACCACCCCCACACGATGCGCGCAAAGAAGAACGTGCCAAGGAGGAACGCGCCGTTGACCGCCTGCGCGGTGCTACCCGTCCGTCCTGTCCGGTCGAGGAAGCGATGGATATTCAGGAAGATCGTGCTGAGCTCCCAGGAGAGGAATCGGCACGCATAGTAGCCAAGAAAAGGCCGCTACACGAAGATCAGTGCGTGCGATGCGCGACGACGCCGTACGTACGAAGATCCCCATGTAGATAATGAAGCACGATACGCCTGAGCTCGCGACGTGAGCGCGAGCGCATGCGTACGACAGAACCACGCTACGCACCATGTACTATGAACCCGACATCGTCAAAATTGAGGATCCCATCCACACAGTCCCATAGGAAGTATCTGGCGGACATCGCGTCGATCAACACGACTCAAGGGGACAAAGACGTACCCACACGCGACTGCGACAGTAGTCCCAAGCTTGTCGTCCCAGCCGAACGCCCTGTCTTCATTCAAGCTCTCCGACCACAGACATCGCGCAGCCAGCGGGACCACAACAAAAACATGCAGGAACGATACGACCTGTATGTTCCTGCGCTTTCACCATGTCAATCGCTCTTATTGATGGACAACAGCATGAACGCACCAATTGTTAATCTGGCGCCGCGTAGCGAGTTTGCCATAGCTCACAGGGAAGAGCCGTGCGCTCAGCAGCGGCGAGACGACTAGATGCAGCACGTAGAAGCCCAGGAACGCATAGACGAGCGCGGGGAAGTGCGGGGGTAGATACGGCAGGTCAAAGACGCGGGCTATGGGGTGCGCGAGCTCCTCGAGGAACGCGTTGGACTGCCGCAGAAGTGCGACCATGGGGAGCTCGTGAGTGCGTCGACTCTATGTCCTGCATTCGCCGCGTACTTATGTCGTGATGGATCGCGTGAGGAAGACCGCCACTGGACTTGAACCAATTGATAGCTCGTGCACTTTGCACGTTCTCTAGAGCCGAGGGAAGCACCCTGATTCACCTGTCTTGATAAGTTTATCGGGGAAGGTACAGAAGCTGAACTCACCTTCAGTCGAGGAGCTTTTAGGTCCGAAGTGGGATCCGGTCTGTCATGATTAGGCGATCTCTCTCCTCCATAGCGGAGTGCTATTCTGTGCAAGCGTCTGGGCGTTACAGACCAACAGCTGATGAACAACAACTTGGACTTGGAGTTGCTGCACTAGTACGCTTACGTTATTCCGTATGCACGAACGTGCGCAGGTGTTGGCGGCTGTTACCCGCGGGGTGATAACGATGAAGACGTCACAAGATCGTCGTGCAGGAAAGAAACAGCGCAACAATGCATTTGGCAGGGTGGATACAAGGAGGGTATAACAGGTAGAGTAAAGGTACAACAGAGAAACGTACATCATCTAGGGATATAGCGAATGTGCTGAATTCCGAACTTGAATGAGCAATGGTCTAGGAAAGAGTCATGATCTACGTGACCCATCGAGTATCGAGATGACTGCTGCACTCACGATTAAGACCGTGATAAAAATAAATCCACGAGACCTGCAAGACGAGTATTCAAGCAAGCTTCTCGAGGATCCCGCGGAGCATTTTCTGCTTGGACGCCGCACTGCTCTCTTTGTCGAGCTCCTTGCTCTTCTTCTCTAGTTGGGAGACCGTGTGATCAAGTTGTGCCGAGAGCGACTCCAAAGCAGAGGTAGCACCAGCAGCTTGTGCGGGGTCAAATATCAGTTGGTACTTTGCACACACGAATTCAGGGTAAGAGCGGATAGATACCGCGAGCGTCCAGTTCAGTCGAAACCGTGGAAAAGAATTCGTCGCGGCGAGTATATGCGGTTTGCAGTTGCGCAAGAAGAACTTGGATCTTAGTCTGCAGAAAGTTCCTTCCCTTGTCATCCCAAAAAGCTCTCGGTAGTCCCAACGATACCTGAGAGTCCATATATGCGGTCTTGAGCTCGTCCTCGTCGCGAAGCGCTATCGCCTCGAGCTTTTTGCAGACTTCATCGAAGGCCAGGATGCCCGTGCCGAAAGCGAGATCAACTGTCGCGACACCATGAGATTGGTGAGGATTGTGAGGAAGCGCAATGCGGTACCATGATCTTCCATAGTCTCGTGTGCTTCTTTCATGCGAGTTATAACGGGGAGGAGGGTATCGGCGAGGTACTGCTTTAAGGAGACACTTTGCGCCGACATCGGTGCCTTGAGCTTGTTCACCAGCGCGAGTAGAAACTCGTCTTCATCGTCCTCAGGCGAGCTACAGAGGAGGTTAGCTTGTACAAATAAAACATTATGGGCTCAACGCACGCGTCTTGAAGCATGGCTACGAGCGTCGATTCGTCGTCCCAGTCCATCGACTCATCACTGTCACACCTGCGCATGCGTCGCCCTTCACGGTCAGCGCGTCCCAACGCGTCCAGTTCACGGAATAGATCTCTATCAAACGCATGCACATCTTCCTCTGGTTCACGTAATTTCCGAGGTCTGAAGTGGTGGCTTGCGCCGAGTATTGTGTCCGTTCCTTGCAACCTCGGATCCTTTGGCGGGGCCGGTCTTGCCATTCGTTGAGTTGGTACCCAGGCAGACTTCTGTGCCCTTGCATACATAGACATCTTCTGAGGTTGATGGCGAACCATTTTCCGGCAGCTGTGTGGTAGGATTCTAGGAACTTAAAGAACGTTGTGAAGACAGACGCTCGAGAAACCTGGATTTACCATCACATGATCGCATTTTATCGAACTTTAATGAACGGAAGCAAATGAATACGCCGAAAATGCCTCCCCGAAAAGGAAATCATTCTACCCGACATTGAGACTCCGTCAACCTGAATTTGCTCGTTCCGTACCTGTTCGTGATGCGACATCTTCCTTCCTCTCTTCTTCCGTTGTAGTTCTCTTCACGCTGTTGGAGGGGTTGCACGGAGAGCAGTCCTACCCAGGCAACATCACACTCCTCTTATTTTGCTGTACCGCCGAAATCACATCATTTTTCGCCCTAACCGCTTGACGAACCTGTTCTATCATGAGCAGCCGTATCCAGAAGATGTCCACGTCGGAGCTGAAGCTGCGTCGGCTCTCAGAACATAATCAGCGTCTGAGGGAGGACCTGGCGAGACCGCGTATTCGAGTGAGCGAAGCTAGTGTGAGGTATGTCCTGTCCTGGTTTATTATCATCGATTCGACTTTTTAATGACGATTCACCCTTGTAGCTTGATTCGTTATTGTAAATCGACGAAAGACCATCTCGTGAGTGTTCGTTGTCTTTGCAGAAGTCCTGCTATCCTTGTCTGGATGTCCGTCATGTCACTGTGACTGGTTATGTTTGATATGATAGCATATTTCTACAGAAGTGATTCCATACCATTCGAAGCTGCCTCGGTGCTGTATACCGTGAGCACGACTTCCTGCATTCGCGTGGACAGCTATGTCTAGGGCGACCAGCTTCTACTTGGCCTCAGGATCTCTCACCGGGAGATACTGGCGCGCCATCTGATAAAGCGTCGCAAGGTGCATGTGGTTTTTTGATGAGATACGACCAGTCATGTCAGGGGCACGCGTGACAACCGCAGTCTGCTCGGTGCGTCAGAGGAGCGGTGGCTAATAGTTAATTTACTTAGGTGCCATCTGTATGGGGACCAGTCAGCAAGGCGGAGGACCCCTTCGGAGCGCCTACATCGCAGGGGTGCCAGTGCCTTGTCATGTAGGGCACATGTTGGCATTGGTACAGCCCATTTTCCGCAAATCCACTTTGCAGTACATTGCGCATTCACTGGAGGGAATTACAGAACCGAGAAAGACAGCACGACCAAGATGGGGTTTCTCCGTCGTGCTGGTCTTCGCGCGACCTCCGCATCTGTGACGTTTAACCGTCATCGACACCTACCCCCACCCCCGACGCTCCTTTGATCCGCTATCTATATGTTTACGCTTACCTATCGTCCTTGCATATCTACATGTCCACATGGAACCATTTTCCGGAATTCACTTCACCGTTGCTGTCCTGTTTCGTATTTTATTTCATTGTACACCATTACACAGTTTCAATGGCAGGTGCCGTTGTTTGTTTTCCGTACTGGCGTCCTGCCATCTTGTCCTTGGTATCGCATATGGGGAACAGACCGGATTCCGAATTCGAGAATATTTCGTTGTGTGCGCTCACGTGAGAGAGGGAGGATAACTCTGAGCAGTTGGTCGCGGCAGTGCGTCTTCCTGAGTATCAAAAGCTGGCCCAGCAGCCATCTGCCAGCTTTCCGCTGTCCATCTCACCCTGCTGTTCTTATTATCTGTTGTTCATCCATTCTTGCGCAATTTTCACTCGCGTGTCGTACCGAGGGAATCCATCACTGACCCCTCGGGATCAGGCGCTTTCTCCCCATCCTCCACCACCTCCTCCTTGATCGTCTGCAGGCATCCTCTCAGGCACGCTCAGCCATATATTCTGTTTCCCTCTCGCCGCTGTGCTCAACCATAACTCCCTCCATAGCACCAGCTCTAGACAGCTCCAGCACACCGTTCGGCTTCCGGCATTCACCACGCCAACCCGTCTTCGTCCTCACTTTCCCGCCGCCGGCTGCGCTCTCCCCCCACTACACTCTCCACCATGAACGCGCGCCCACACAAGCAATCCATGTCCGAGCTCAAGCTCCGCCGCCTTACGGAGCACAACCAGAGACTGCGAGAGGACTTGGCGAGGCCACGAATAAGGGTGAGCGAGGCTAGTGCAAGGTGAGTCAAACATGCGTCTTTTTCGTGTGCTCTCTGCGGAGTGCTGATGTTACTGCGCCCCTGTGCTTTTCGTACTTTTTTCGATATGCCCTCTCGCGATTGACATGTTAGTTTAATCCGGTACTGCAAAACGACAAAAGACCCCCTCGTGCGTTGCCCTTTTCTTGTCACGTCCTCCTTTGGTGTCGTTTTCATACGCCACCAATACAAAGGATTGGTCTTGTATGTCCTTATGTACTGACTTCTTATCTCATTTCAGGTACCATCGGTGTGGGGCCCCGTAGCAAAGAACGAGGATCCTTACGCGAACCCAGGCGGAGGGAAGGGTGGCTGCTGCGTCTTGCAATGATCGTCTCGTCCCTCATATCCTTTCATCTTGCTCCCTTCTCTTAAACTTATACCATCACTCTTTTGGTCATCCATCCGAACGTCATCCTCATTCTCATCATCGTTATCGTATTTCCGTTTTTGCTGCTTCAGTATAACAAATCACTTTACATGCTCAGGTTATGGTCACCAGGAGCACGAGCGGGAGCGGAGGATGCTGCGGGCGCGAAGAATTGAAAAGCAGAGTACTTTAGTAGTTGTTGGCCCCCTCCTCGCTACAAAGTGCCAGTCTCCACAATTGTCCTCTGTCGCCGCGCAACTGTCATCGGTCTGGTCCGCGTGCCGCTTAGAATGTCTATCAAAATATGACGTAGTATCTCCGCCGCATGGTATGTTCCTGGTATTTGGATCCTGGGCATCCGCCTGCACAGGGCCGGGCGCTGTGGGGCGGTGCGCGTTCTGTGTGGTGCGAGAGCTATAGCTCGTGGTCATCGTCATCGTATGTCTCCTTGACCAGCCTGTGTGCACCGTTAGTGGCTGTTTCTCTCTCGATACGGGTTGGCATACCTGTAGACCGATGAAGGGGGGTGGTCGCCGCTGCAACGGGATCAGCTTCCAGCAGAGCTATTGCAGCATGCGCTACTCACTCATTCGTGATAAACACATCGACGAGGTCGGGGCCTACGTAGTCGTAATATGGGTTCAGCACATCGACCTTGTCGACCAGATTGCCCTCCTCGAAGCCCAGCACGCTGCTCGGATCAGCAAAATCGAGGGCCCCGTAGTCGTGATATAAGTTCCACAGCGGCGTGAGTTTGAACTGTCCCGCACACACGACGACGGGCGTACTGTGGGCGCGCGCCGCCGTCGCTGCGAGCAATGTACCGGTGATGGCAAACATGCCGCCGTTCGCTAGGATGGCGTGTGCGCCGAGGATCACTTTGTTAACGCGTGACATAATGGCATATATAGAGGAATCCGGAACTAGGAAGGTGGATATGCCCGCGGCTGAGAGTGAACGCGCCATCTCGTGTCCATTGTAACTGACGAGAAATTGGTAAATCTGACGAGAACAAGTACAAGACCGCGTACGAAGGTCCGGTTTCTGCAACGATGACAGTGTAATTTCGGTAATGTTTTGCGGATTTAAGGAACGCCTCCACCGTGTGTGAGTGGCCGATTGTGAGGATAATTTCGCTAAGATGACGATCAGTTAGAGTATCACCACAGTCCATGATTGAAGACTCACTCTGAATGTATGTGGTCCTTCGCATTCTTCGATACATTGTCGTATACCGTCTCGAGCTCGTCCAGGACCTCTTTAATTGCTTCTATTAGCACAGGTTTCAGCCCCTTGGCGAACGAGTCCGGATCATTGGGATCATTCTCCCTTAAAAACGTCGTCGTCTCCGATTTCGGCGCAACGTTGTGTTTGCGCGGCTGGCCCTGCAGCACAAACTTGGAGATCGTGAACACATTCTTGGTCGACGCCGATGCCACATCTCCCCTCGTCGCCGTGTTGTACTCCTCGCGGATGTTGTGCAGCACCTTACGCACAATGTTGCCGACGGTGTGCTCTGGCGACGGTCTGCGTCAGATTTACCCGCACTACTTTCCGCACAAAAGGAATAATCGCACCCTTTGGCTGCGCCTCTGAAAGCCTCCGGCCCACCTCTCGGATCAGCGCTACTAACTGGTCGAAGTTCGAGAAACGGGCTTTTGAGACGACTTCGCGGAGCACGAGCACAGTTTCCAACGCCGCCTGTCGTGAGCCTACTACCTGCCTGAGGGTGCAGCAGTTTCTGTAGTGAGATTATAGTAATAATTTTGCACGAATTACTCGCCTCCTCCGTAATTTGGCGACGAGAGTTTCAACAGCACGCTGTGCTGGGATGTATACTTCTGGTGCCATGGCGAGAGGCAATACTGCGATCGAAATGAAGGTATACGACCGTCGAGAAACGTTCAAGCTGGTTGAAAGCAGATCGTGGGGAATGAATTATTTAAGCCTGGTGTGCAGTTGAATGCGAGTGGAAGAAGTCCGGAATGAGTCAGATATCCAGATATCCCTACTAGGCTTGCTAGTACTTAGCATGGCATGCAGGTGCGGTGCGGCAACACGAACGCAGGCGCCTTACATTTGGCGATGAGAAGAAAACACAAGCGGATACATTGTCTACTAGGTAGATAGTCTACAGATTGTTGTCCAGGTCCTCCAAGGCCCACCGGGCCAGCATCTTTTGGGTTACTTCTATCGGATCGTGTCTCCCTTACGCGGTCACATGCCAGTCGAGGATGTCCTCCCACTTGCCCGGGAGCAGCTCCGAAATCTGCTCGACGTCCTTGTCGCCCCGACCGGAAAGACACTGCAATAAACAAGTGAGTCCTGACGAATAAATACAGAATGGAAGATGTATCACGATAACGAGGTTTTTGTCCTTGGGCAAGGTCTTTGCCACTCGTACACCCTCCCAGATTGCATGAGATGACTCCAGAGCTATCGGACGATACGGGTAAGTGCCAGAAACCCTTGATGCGTTTCAAGAGAAGAGACACACCCGGGATGATGCCTTCCAGCTGTGTGCACATCCTAAAGCCTCTCAGGGCTTCCTCATCAGTGGCGACCACGTACTTCGCCCTCCCAGAATCCTTCAACCAGGCGTGCTCGGGGCCGACACCGGGGTAGTCCAGGCCAGCACTGATCGAGTGCGTCTCCAAGATTTGGCCAGTGGAGGATTGCAAGATGTACGTACGTACACCGTGAAACACACCGGCGTGCCCCATGCTTAGCGTAGCGGAGTGTCGCCCGGTGTCCAAACCTGAGAGCGTTTGAGCAACAACGGAGGACCGAGTGCAAGTGATACACACCATCTCCTCCAGCTTCGACGCCAACTAATTGGACGGACGCTTCCGGGATGAAATCGTAGAAGGAGCCAATGGCGTTGCTTCCTCCGCCGACACAGGCCACAACGACATCTGGTAATTTCCCAATTTGTTCGTGCAGCTGCTCCTTGATCTCCTTGCCAATGACCCGCTGGAAGTCGCGCACGATAGTGGGAAAGGGATGCGGACCTATCGCAGACCCGATGAGGTAGTGAGTGTTGGAGAGGTTGGTGACCCAGTCGCGCAAGGCCTCGTTCACCGCATCTTTCAGAGTGCGTGAGCCAGACTCTACAGGGATCACCTGAGCGGAACAATATTAAATCGTGCAGTGCAGTACTCATTAGGAGTGGCGTAAAATTCACCGTAGCTCCCAGCATCCGCATCCGGAAGACGTTGAGTGCCTGGCGCCTCACATCTTCGGCACCCATGTAGACGACGCATTGCAAGCCAAAGCGAGCACAGACGGTGGCAGTCGCTACACCATGCTGGCCCGCACCAGTCTCAGCTATAATGCGTGTCTTTCCTAAACGTTTGGCTAGGAGAATCTGCATACTTGTCAGCTGCAACACCACAGCATGAACAAACATCAGATCCTTACCTGACCTATTGCATTGTTAATTTTATGCGACCCTGTGTGATTCCTGGAAAGAGGTGAGAAACGTCATTTCTGTGAAATCACACAATGCACGCACAGGTCTTCGCGTTTCAACCAGACGGTGGCTCCGCCCGCATGTTCCGTCAATCTATCTGCTCTGTATAGCTTAGAAGGACGGTTCATGTAACCATACAAGCCCTCGAATTCCTTCCAGAACTCCGGGTCCTTCATTGCAGATTGGTGCACGGCTTCAAGCTCCACCAGACAGTCCCAGAGGGCTTCCGGAACGTACTGTCCGCCAAACTCTCCAAAACGTGGGGGAAGCAAGTTGTGGTCAACGGCGTGACTCGATGCACTCTGGCCGGATTTCACACTCGCGTGAGACTTTGCATGAGAAGACGTCAAAGCCGATTTTTTAGGAGGCTGACCCTTCAGGCTGATCTCACGGCAGAAGTCCTCCACAGCTTTGACTGCCTGTGAAGGAGGCGACGTCTTGATAATGGACACAAGCCGGCTTCCGACGACAACGCCGTCTGCACCAGCTGCTGCAACCTCTTCGAAGTGGGCCCTAGTTGCTACGCCGAAACCAACTGCAAGAGGGATATCTGTGTATTCACGAACACGGTTGATCAGATTGGGCAGAGCGGTGTTCATGTGTCCGGTGATACTGGAACCTGTTGTACCCATCTGGAGCCGTTGAATTTCACGACAGAGTAGCATCGTACTAGGAACGAAAGCATACCTTCGAGACAATGTAGATAAATGAATCCGCTATTGAGGCCAAAAACTCAATTCGATGAGCGGAAGTAGATGGGGCGACAAGAGGGATGTACGAAACACTACAGTTCCAGAAGTCAGCATATGATAACAACGCGTGTTGAATTATCTTACGCGGCTTTTGTACATTTATCACGGAACGCGATTGCCTCCTCGGGCGGAAGATCCACCACAATGAAGCCGTTCGCTCCTGCCTCTGCGCCGTCCTGAATTGCCTTCTCTTCACCATAAGCAAGAAATGGGTTGTAATATCCTGATCAAGCGTTCAATCATACTACACAGAAAAGAGCTTAGACAGAGATGCTCACCCATCAACAGGACGGGAACCGTAAGTCCATTATTCCGAGCATCTCGTAAAAGTCCTAGGCATGTTGCATAATCAACATTGTTCTCGAGAGCGACCTGGTATTAGGAGTGTAAACAGAGGTCAGGCTTTAGCGTGGGGGTACGGACGTACGATATTAGTCTCTTGGATGGCAGGGCCGTCTGCCATGGGATCGGAGAAAGGTATGCCAAGCTCAATAATATCGGTACCACCCTCTTGCATTGCAAGAAGCATGGGCACAGTGGCCTCGACGGTGGGATAACCTGCCGTTAGGAAGGTCACCAATGCTGGGCTGCTCTACATTGGTCTGAGCAATCGGGTTCAGCAGATGCATCGCGGAGGTCTCACCTCCCTATTCTTTGTTTCAAAAACCTTCTTGAGAGCCTCCATGTTCGTACTTTTTGGATACCGTGGCTCTGACTACCCACCTGAGCACCTGTGTTTTATGATGGAGGTCAAGCAATCGAGTCAAGTCCGAGAGGCTCTCCGAGTCGGAGTCGACAACTAGGATCTAGTGACTTCAAGATAAGATAAGATCAAGGTGATGTCTGACCCGGCCGCGGCGGCGGTGTCGACTAGCTATACCTCCACTACGCAGATACAACATGGACCTCTTACAACCCGCAGACGAATCGAAGGTTCTTATTTTGAATACGGGGGGTACCATAAATATGATTCTAAGCCCCCGAGGTTACGTTCCCGAACCATATTTCCTGACAGAAACTCTTCGCAGTCAGCACCGCTTTCACGACCCGCGGGAGGAGTCTTTGTTCTCCCATTCAACATCTGTAGCGGGGTACAGGGAATGGCACAATCACAGTGGGCGGGTGAGTCCAGTTGGTGGCTCATACAGAAGTGAACCGGCCAGCCCTGGCCCACTGCCTCCGCAATACCATCTGCCAACACTGCCAGTACGATCATCACGGCGCATAGGTATACCTGCTCAACTGGCTCCAACAGAGCAACCTTCTTTGGCAAATCAGCCGCTATGCACCAAAATCTCAGACAATGTGTATGAGGCGCACTTACCCAGTCTGATTACACCGAGAAGTGTTGCCCCGGGAGGGAACCATAAGCGTATTCGTTATGCTATCCTTGAAGTGAGTCGTGCGTCTTTGAAGTAAGCGGCGACCGTGTCCTCACCAGGACGACAGTGGCATCCTCTGTTAGACAGCAGCAATATTGAGATACAAGGTGAAATTTATGCTGCGCGTTTCTGCATCGTGATCAACTGTCTTCCTTCATAGCACAGATTGGATCAGAATTGCCACAGAGATAGAGTTGAATTACTCCACTTTTGATGCATTCGTAATTCTGCATGGCACCGATACCATGTCCTACACGTCGTCTGCCCTTAGCTTCCTTCTGGAAGACCTAGGAAAGACAGTGGTGTGTTTCCTTCTTATTCCCTTACTTGTCAATTCTTAAATTCACCGCCAGATCGTCACTGGCGCCCAGATTCCGTTGTCACAACTCCGTAATGACGCTGTGGAAAATCTTCTGGGTGCATTAGTGATCGCTGGGCATTACATCATTCCAGGTAGGATTCCATGATTAGTTCCGCGAGGTTGAATACAAATGCAAGAACAGAGTGCTGCCTCTTCTTCAACCATACATTATACCGCGGCAACAGGGTCTCTAAATTTTCCTCCTACGATTTCAATGCTTTTGTCAGCCCCAATTTTCCTCCTCTTGTCAATGGTTTGTCGGCATGCAATTAGCCCCTGGACTCCTGAATAATCGTTTATCTCCGAATACAGTTGGTATCGACATCGTCGTCAATTGGAACGACGTCATCAGACAGACAAGTCTTCGCCGATTCAGGTCGCACAAATGTATGCAATTTTACTAGTAATAGACTAGGTTACTAAGTTGGATTTGCCAGACATGAGTCCTCATGTAGGTGGGGGCAATCATCATAATTTCCCGCTATGCAGCCGCTGATCTCGGTTTGACCCTCCAGCTACCCTGCGGCTATTCCCAGGCATCACTGCGGCAACGGTACGAGCATTCTTGGCCCCACCCACGCAAGGCGTTGTATTAGAAACATTCGGCTCCGGCAACGCCCCGCAACGGTCAGATCTGATAGATGCCTTGAAAGAGGCCTGCGACCGAAGAGTCGTGATAGTCTCCATCTCCCAGTGCGCCAAAGGCTCCGTATCCGACGCATATGAAAGCGGAAGGAGTCTTTTGATGTCGGGAGTCCTGCCGGGGGGAGACATGACGCCCGAGGTAGATTGTTCGCGCAGTCTAACGGCAGGGTCACCTTTCTCACCAGTCGTTCCAGTGCGCACTCACGAAGCTCAGTTATCTCCTTTCGAAACCGGAACTCTCGACAGTAGAGGTCCGGTCGCTCATCAGCATGCCTCTGCGCGGAGAGCTTACTCGACCCGCAAGTGCGCCTCCTCCGAGTCTCAGCAATGCCACGGGATTGGATCAGAATCTTGAGAATATCCAGGGCTTACTGTCACAGGTCGTCCGCCTATCGACCACGAGACCCCAAGTGCCGAGGATCTGCATCGCCAGCGAAGACAGTGACAGTAACGATAATATGGCAGAAGCAGCGGCACCGTGGTCATGGACCGCGTCAGAAGCGGCGTCGACCGAGAGCGCGCTCTTTCCATTCCTGATCCACCTCGCTGCGGCCCGCGACGACGTTGAAGGCATAAACTTTTGCCTCTACGCAGGGAGTGGCAACAGCACGGAGATGCCCGTGAGCCCTTCGCCAGAGTATCAGTTCAAAAGTGCCGTCGCCATCGGGGGCGGGCTCGTGAACTGCCTCGAGCCTGCGTCCGGCCGCTCCCCGCTTCATGTGGCGGCGTTGAACGGGAGCGTCAGGATTGTCAATGTGCTACTAGAGGCGGGCGCGCTCGTGCACCTACGCGATGCGCTCGGGCATACTCCATTATATTACGCTGCCAGGCAGGGCCACGAGGACGTGGTGGATATCCTGGTGAAAGCGGGAGCCATCCTTGGAGGATCAGATGTAGAGGGAGGGTTTGCAGCACTCGCGACTAAGAAAGCGTCGCGTGCAAAGGATGAGCACTTGCTGAAGATCTGGGAGAAGGCGGGGATCACGACGGGGCGACATGAAGGATAAACCTACCGTGAAATACTATAGACTGCGTACTGCACATGAGTTGTTGAGACATGCCTAATTTTGCTGAATTACACATTCCAGACTAGTAGAGTGTTAGATACGGTATCAACCTACTGGTATCACTTCGACCACATCGTCGTCGTCGTCATCATCTTCATCTTCATCATCGTCCGCGAGCTGGTCTCCCTCTGAACTTTCCTTATCACCCCCTAGCTTGCCAGTCAGTGTTTTCAAGAATATTGGCAGTTGTCCATGCGAGAACATAAATGGATCCTTGAAGAAGTCGAGTGCGTCCACAAATTTTGGTGATTCGTTCTCGAGCATGAGTGGCTGGTACTTGACCTTGTCCTCAAGCTGATCTTTTCGAGTAATCACGACGTTTGGCTCGAGACCGTCAGGTCGCTCCCAGGTATGGCGTAAGGAAAAGTTTAGACCTGCAGGACGGCGGTCCGTATCAACTGACTGTACGTTGGCATGGGCGCTGGACGTACTGGGTACCGCACCCTGGTCCTCTCCCTTCTGTCGGTGTGTGTATACACAAGCGAAAACGGGCTCATCATGATTCAAGTAAGGAGACTTTTCGAACTTGACGCCGACGACGAGCAAGTTGGTCATGTCCTCGTACAAGCTGAGAACCGCGGTGTTCTTTGGATCGTCCGCAACCTTGACATGGGGGCGAGTAACTGGGGGCGGATTTCGCGCCGCAAGGGACTTCCCTCTTTCTATCTCAGCGTTGAGATCGGATCGCAGCACCTTTTCTGTGCTATCATTAGTTCAGCTAGAGGGGAAAACACGGTAAACACTTGCCCTGAGCCTCCATCTCAGCGATGCGCTTATCCTTTGCGGCCAACTGAGCGTCTTTCTGTTTCGCGATGTCCTTCCAGCGGGTCATCTCCTTCTGCACTGTCTCCATCTCCTCATCCGCAGCTTCTCGCGTAAGGAAGTGAAGCATGTAAGACTTCTCCGTTCCTGCCAAAGCCTTCACGTTCGCCAACTGAGAAGTTAGCTCGCGGATTAGTGTCTCCTGGGCTGGGTTTCGACATGAGGATGCTATCGCCACTCTTTCATGGAGGCGAGGGCTCACTCTGGACACGCGCTTCGTACTGCTGAACACACTGCTCAAGCGCTTGTTCAGGCTCCGTGTGTCTGACCTGGAACAATTCCTCAAGCTGTTTAGAAAGCTTGTCCCTGTCTGACATGACCTATCTGACACTGAGTTGAAACACAACAAATATATGATAAGATACACACAGTTTCCAACTGTTTTTGAACATGTTCCAAATCGCGAAGATACGAGTCTTCCTGGTGGGCTCGTTGGGCGGACGTGTTGACCTTCGTACCTTTGAAGTTACTGCGCACGTGAGTGCTGCGTTGAGCTGCCCCTTCGTCTTCTTCAATACTAGTCACCTGTTGGTCGTCCACCTCCATATGATCGTCTTCCGGAGTAGCACTCCTGGCAGCTTTAGCCTTGCCCTTCGCGGCCGGCGCCTTGCCCCTCCCATTCACTGCCGCTGTTCTACGCCCAGTAGTCTTCCTCGCGGTTCTGCTCTTCGGTGGCGCAGGAACTACAACGACTTCCTCCTCTTCTTCCTGGGTAGCCTTGAGTTCGTCCTCCGATGATGATGCGATGACTATCTGCTCCTTGTCATCTGGGACATCCGCCTGGCGTGAATGGCCATTCTTCTTGGGAACTGCAAGGGGTTTGGACGATGGACCGGCCACAGGACGGTTGTTTGCTCGGGAAGGGCGCGCGGGTTTCTTCGGCGGCGGAGGCTTGTACGGCGTTGTAGGGTCGTAGTTTGCTGGTAATATTTATTGCACATGTTTTCAGGATGTTTTACCATATTGCGGGACAACGAAAACATACCAAATTCGTCTGGTGAATCCGACATGAGCGTCCAGTGAAGACAGTGGGTGTGACTTCAGCGCGTAACACGTGAACAGACGCGTTCACCACTGCGGCCCCTTCGTGGCCGAGCGGTGATCCTTGACCTTATTCTACCTACTACCACCGGTCGAGGATTCTCCCACCGCTTCATTGGGCTCTATGCACCTTGGGACCCAGGGAATAATGACGACGACCTCTCCTCCTTCTGGACTTCGATATCCACCCTATGTCGAGATGCTCCATACTCATGGTGTATTATGGGAGACTGCAATGCCTCGCTAACTGCACAGGAAACTCTCTCTCCATCTCCAATCCTTCCCCCGTCTCGACTCTTCTATACAACATTTCTCCACGATGTCCATGCAATCGACCTGTGGTCTCTACAAGGTGATGCAGATGCTCACTCTATGTACACCTTCAAGAACCACCTTGGCCAATCAATCATTGACCGAGTTGCCCATTCAACACAAGGATTTCTCAGTGGCTCCGTCGCGACTATGAACACCTTCATCCCTGCTACCGATCATCGCCCGATTACTGCATCAATGGTTCTGACTTCTCCCCTTATGCATGCAGCATCACTGCACCTTCCCGACTCACTACCACCACCCGATGTCCCTCCCAGGCATTACTATCCTTGGCGCCACGAGAAACACCGCTTCCGCACTTATGCTGACAATGTTGAGCAGCTAGTCCATGCTGAACACCTTGATGACCACGACATCTCCGATGATGACTCCTTTCAATTCTGCTATGATGCACTGACCCGAATTTTCCATTCCGCAGCTGATGATGCTTTTGAACTACCTCGTACCCGAATGCAACATGTGCACCCCTTATCCAGTCCTAGCTTGCGCCAACTTGTAACTGAGATTCGCCGCATCAATTGCCTCATCTCCGCTGAACGTCAAGCACGAATTCCATTGCTCGCTGCACGCGCTCCCTGGGCCTCTACCTACCTCCGCGCTTTCTCCTTCACCCAACACTCCGACGCCCCAACTTGTCATTCACTACTGGTGTTCCTCACCTCCATATGGTGCACACTGAATAAGCTCAGATACCGTGAAGAACACAAGGAACTTCAACGTCGCGCCACCCAAACAGCGAAGCGGCAGATCAATAGCGTCCTCCTAGGTGGATCATCGAAGAAGCTCTATCAAACGGCTCATGACACCTCTGGTCCCCCTCTCGCTGTGACACCAGATGATGACCCAGACTCATTCATTACGGCACCAGATGAGGTAAAGATGCACACACAAGCTTACTTTAATGCTCTTTTTTCCCGACAGCAACGACCACCAATGGCCAAACCGTGGCTTGACACTCCATCTGTGACAGATATTCGGCAGACCACTGCAGCCAATCCATTCCACTGGCCACAGACTATGTCTCTCGACGATCTCTGCCTTCTCCTTTGCCGCGGCAAGCCTCGCCCAGCTCCTGGACCTGATGGGTGGGAGAAGTGGTGTGTGAAAGCACTTCACGACTCATCTCTCCGCCTTGTCCTCAACCTCTTGAACTATGAAATTTCACAATCTCATATTCCTAACATTGTCAAACCATGCACGCTCTCCATGCTGTTCAAGAAAGGACCACGCACATGCCTCTCCAACTATCGTGGTGTCTGCTGCAACAACTTCCTGCTCAACACTCCTTTTGCATGGCTCAATCTCCGACTCATGCCATACCTAGCGCAACACCGCATCCTCCCAGAAGGACAAGTTGCCACTCAGCCCGGCACTCAAGGACGCGACCTTACCTCCTTCCTCTCCCAATTGGAATGTTGGTCCAATCGCACATGCACTCCCCTCTATATTTTACGTCATGACCAGCAAAAGGGATTTGATCACCTGGAACCACAAGGATTTTACGATGCTGTCACTGTATACGGTCTTCCATCTTCACTTGTCCAATTTGACATTTCGGCACAGTCTGATGTTCCCTATCGTATCAAGACTGCATTCGGCCTTACAGAACCGATTGTTATTTCCGGAGTAACCAAACAAGGCGGTCCTGTCTCATCGCTCAAATCTACCCTCACAACAAGCCTTGGCAACCACTGGCTACAGGACACCCTGCTTCAACACCATGATGGCATTATTGTCTCCTCCACACAGCATCATGTGAACGGACCGCACATTCCGGACGATCACCTCACACTGCGTGTCGCCATGGTGGAAGCAACAGATGACTCCGCCATCATTGCAACCTCTCAAAATTCCCTTCAACGCTCCTGTCTCATGATGGAGCGATTTCAGGTTGTATACAGTTGGCTAACCAACTGGCTAAAGTCTCTTCTCTTCCTTCTCAACGTTTTGAATGCTCCCCCTCTTATGTGCATGCCTTCTATCTCTCCCTTTCAGCCTGACTCCGACCTTGTTATCTGGCATGATGTTCGGGTTGTCACTTCGCATATTGATTTCCTCCGTGTCTGCGTAAATGACCCGCAGCATCAGTATGAGAAAATCCGTGATATTATCCTGACCTTTGACCTACCCAATCTTTTCCTGCGTCTGCCACTAACCGCCCTCCGGCGTATCTTTTCACAGTGTCTACTATCTCGAATCCGCCCCCACCTCGCCTTCCAACCAATTTCCCGTCGACATGCAGCCCAACTCGATCATCTTCTTGCCTCATGCATACACCATTACTTCTCGTTTCCCTTTCGCTTCAACTCCCAACTCCTCACTATCCCCATTCGCCACCATGGTTTTGACTTTCCCTCCATCGCTCGTCTCAATGACTGTGCAGCCGTTACGGGCCTGCTACGTGACCTCAATCACCACAACCCCACCTTCCGCAATATGGCGCGCATCACCCTCGCTGACTGAACATGCACAATCAACCACTGCCAATTTCCACTCCACCCACAATCCCCTCAACGCTCCTTCGCACGTCAGACTCGCAACCTCCCATCCTCCTGGATCGTCGCCTACTCCGTACTCTCCGATCTCAACCTCTCCATCCAGATGACAGATCAATCACATCTATATTCCGGTGATGTATCTCTCCGTCATTTGCTTAGGCTACTACCCCCTTCCTGTCATTCACCATGCCCTTCCATGATTTCTAACCTCGAACGTGCGGGACTCACACACCTATGTGATATTGCTTCGTGGCCCCCACTCTCTCTCGATGCCCTTCCACCCCTTCCACTCACTCTCCGCCCTCATCACCATTTGAGCAGCTTACTCCGCTTCACGCCCGCGGCACCTGAATGGCACGCGATGTGCGACTGGTTAATGTCACTAACCCTCCCACAGCTTACGGCGGCACCCTCTCCAAACACCCGTGATTGGACACTCACCCTACCTCGACCCATGCGGCAATCCTTTGCGGAACATGTCCTCTACGCCTTCTTCCTCTCATCATTCCTCCCCAAATTCCCCTCCACATCCATGTCATGCGCCTCCGACGGATCCATGGTACCAGCTGCACCGACCTTTCGCCAGCCTCATTCTGTAACCTTCGCCACTGCCAGCCCTTTTTCCACCACTGTATGGTCCCTATCGACCTTCCGTAATGCGGCCTCCATCCTCTATGCCGAAGTCTACGGCCTTGTCGCAGCATCCCTGCAAGCACACTCTTTTCCACTACCGCCATCTCCCCCGCTTTACACTGATCATCTCAACTCTGTTCGCATCATTAATGACTCCTTATCCACCTCCTCCCCGCTCCTCCCACATCACTGGACATCGCTTCCAGCCCGCTCCCTTTACCGATGGCTCAAAAACATCCTCACTACCTTCCCATCCTCCTGTACACCAGCAGTAACCTACACAGCTGCGCACACCTCCTCAGACACACCACCGTCTCGTGCCAATGCGTTCATTGATGCTATCGCTTCACAGTCTCATGATCTTCCCTTACCTACTCCTCCTATTCCCACTTTTTCCATGGACGACTACACCTTATTCTCTCCCTATGACGGATATATTGAATCCTCTCCCACCACTTATATCTCACACACCCTCGTCGCTGCTGTTGTCCAAGACCGCTCGTTCAAACCCCTCCGCAACATCGTCCTGCCCCTTTACAACTCTCAGCCACCGCCGGACTACCCCTACACACGCGCGTCGTCAGCCTATTCCGCACTCGTGCAACTATATGCTCGGTGTGGACAGCTTGACACTGCATCTCTTCGATCCGCGCGCTTCGGCGATACATCAGAGTGGTGTCACTTCGGATGCCCCGTGCTGGAGACCCCATATCACATATTCGTGCAGTGCCCTCGCTTCAACCACTTGCGTGCCAATGCTCACCGCGATGTCATTTCGGAGACGTCCAAGCTTCTGACCGGAGCTGAAACCAACCGACAAATCATGGAGGTCATCCTGCACAGCGCTGCATCACTCTTCGTGGACCACGAAGCTTGGCCACAATTCACATCATACTACTACCTGGGCATTGTACCAAAAATTCCCGCTCTCCAGCCATCCAGGAATCCGTCGCACCAATGCCTATCCGCACGTATCACGCACACATGGCATACCTCCAGCATACACCTCGCAGGCAGAATATGGGGGGAATACAAACGATGCACGTCTACAGCACGGCGTATGGCCAACTCTGATGTATATACTCCCGCTCATCTCCCGCTTCACTTATGCCATCTTCTACCAACCGATTAACCCTACCCTTCTTACTCTTTTTATTTATCTTTCCTCATAACTCTCTCTACCTACCATATACAGTAGTTGACGAGGTACTCCTTACGTACCTGAGCTGTGTAATCGGCGTAGTCAGCTAAATCTACTCGTCTCCTCGTCTCCTAGTGTCGGGGGCAGAACTAAATTAGTGAGTTCTGCCGGCAGAACCGGCAGAACGGCAACTGCCAGAGGTGGCAAAACTTGGCGAAACTCCTGGCTCATAAATTGCATGGTCTGTGATAGAAGGACAACATACAACTGGACAGAAAACTAGAAAGCTTACAATTGGTCAATTGAGACTCTTGGGCTTTGTATGAGCGAAACTGAGTTCATTTGCGTCCATTTTTACGCTTTCATCTCCTAAGTTAGGGTTAAAATGTCAGGTGACCATTGTTCGGAGCATGGAAATGTCCCCAATTTGGATGTTTGTCGGACAACCGGAAGATTCGTGTGTCAGTGTCATGCTCACACTGAATACAGGAGATAAATTAAGCCTTAAAGTCTTTCCCGTTGATTATAGCCCCAGTTTGACTGGTACTTCTGCCAGGTTCTGCCCAAGCCTGCTGGGCAGCTGCCGGCAACTGCCGGTTGGGCAGAACAGGACGGCAGAACGGCAGACTTCTGCCAACAACACTACCACTGCCGCCTCGGGCTGCACTTTTCATCCAGTATTTTCAGCTTCTGCGTAGACATCTGCGCAATGGCCACTCTCTTTACCAAAGGTCTCTCTGAGGTCGACAGGTCGGCCGTTGTCACCAAGGTCCACCTCGCATGCTCTCCTGTGGACATCAGCAACCCTGATTCCATTCTACACTGGGCGGTGTCTCTGGAGTTGACTGAAACATCATCCGTTATTATGGATATGATCCCTGCAGGTATTGATGGAAGGACAGGCGTCCTCGTAGTCTCCAGTAGTCAGGAGCGCATCCTCGAGCATAGCGTCGAACCATTCACAATTTCCACCGCCAACACTGCGACTGTGAATGATCTTCTTTCCGTCATCATAGACAAGAAACGGCACCAGTACAAATACGATGATTCTGGAAGTGGATGCCGTTACTGGTGCACCGTAGTTGTGGACGATTGGGAGCAGCAGGGCCTAGTCACCCCAGGCGCTCACAACGAGCTCGAGAATCATATCTCTCAGCTTAGTGGGAAGAACCCTGCTCGGGTTCCCATGCCAGTTCGGAAAGGAACTTTCTACTGAAATATACGCGGAAGGTACTGGTGTGTAATAAATACTTGATAGTCAGTTTGCAATGCCTGACACGCACTTTCGTTTGTAATCAGACTCCATTGTTTTATTCTCGCTGTCCATGCTGTCGTAAATGTTTGATGTCCCACCGATCTCGTTAGTTGTTTTGTGTCAGATGCTAGTATTGTCGTCATGATTCGCTATCTGTTGGGAATCCTCATTGAAGTGATATTGATAGATTCGTTGCTCATGCGGGTGGTCAATCGTAGGCACCGTAGCCCAATATTCAACTGCTGAACCAATAGCCTGCCGGTATATTCGACGGAAAAGGATGACGCCGCATGGTCGGCGGACGCAAATGCCAGTCGTCGACCACTAAGATCGTCCATGTCCACGCCTATGATTACTCACACAAATTATCGTTGCCGCAAACAGAATATCGGGTTTAGCCTTGACCACAACCGCAATGTAATTGCCTTTTACCTGCGTCGAGCTCACCACACTGAAAGACGTCTCCGATATCCCTTCTCCTTGAGACCAGGTCTATGACTTCGCGGAATTAATTGCACCGCGACTTGGCTGCGTGGTGACTGGTATGCAGCTGACGAACTCGACTGTGCGATGGACGCTTCCTGGCTGGACTCGTTCTTGCGAACGAGAAGCCTCTTGATGGAAGAGCGAGGTTGTCCTCATATTTGCTTACTCTCCCAGCCGAAATTCATGCGGTCAATTTTCTCGTTTTCCGCAGTAGCGAACTTTGACCGCATGATACTGTAAGAAATCCATGTAACCGGTCAAATATTAATGGGTCTTGAAGCAGGAGGCGGTGCTTTCTTCACTATCCATGCTTCACGCGTTCTTGGAAAGCTCTTTCGCGGAAGACAAGAAAGTGGTTCTAGACAACGTGTGGTTCAACCGACCTTTCTCCAACTGCCTGCATCAGCCCCGTTCGCGAGAAGCCCTGGCCGTTTCAGTGAGCGGCAGGAATGGCCTGTACTTCCCTCTCGTCGCAGCGGCCTGTGCAGATACCCTCCTCCAGACGACGACCCCGATAGCACCATCATCTACTTCTGGGAGAGCAATATCAGGAAAGTCAATAAGCTACTCGTCCCGGGCTGCAAGACTTTTCGTGGCACTGCTGGCCATGAGACCACCGGATTGACGCCAAATTACGGCGGATCCTATCCAATATTTGTCCACTTCGAGGGGAAGAGCGAGGTCAATACGGTCTTAGACGTCCCAAGGCGGGATTGGTCAAAGAATGCGCTTGGACGCACGCTCCAGCCCCTACATCATCGATGAGTTCACATCTCCGTCCATGTGTCGTCATTAATTGTTCGAACTGCATGTCCAGCCTATCACTGTAGATCGACCGTCCTCACTGTAGCCGCTGAATGCACTCCGCGATCTGTACTGCAGGACACCTACGTAGACGATCTGGCAAGAGCTGACCTACGCCAATGAGGCGATAACACACCTTGAATTTTTGCGAGCTTGTCAACCTCTTCCCGTGCATAACGCCGCTCTTCGACCTCAACCTGTTTTCGCGAGCTTGTCAAACTCTCCTCCTGCATAATGCAGCTCTTCGACGTCAACAAAACTCGTACTATTCCCGAATTTGCTAATTTGAAGGGGTAAGTGTGGGGTACAGCTTCTGTTGTGGTTCTGAGTAATAATGCCTTATACTACTAACAAGTCTCGGGAGATTGGCTCGAAGGTTATTCAAAAAGTCTACCAGGGACCATTGGGCTGTCAACGTACCCACGGTTTGCAGACTATCTGTCAGATGGTGCGAGACAATCGCATATCGTATACGGATTATCTCGTCGCTTTCAATGAATCGAGCGTCATCCTCGACCCGAAGTGTATCGCCATGCGACGAAGAACTTCGTCGACGCACTTCCAAGCGCTTGTGGCACGCCACCGTTCCGAGTCGTGTAGGAATATCTCCACTATAATCCTTACGTCCCCTATGCTTCGCCACCCATTCAGGATATCCGCTGGTCGAACGTCATCCGTCGAGCGGACAACCTTTCTGAATGATTTCTTGTCGACTGGGACTATGCGACCCTGCGCGGCTATGACATTGCCGTTGCCAACCGTCTCAACTCGCAGACGTACTACAAGGCTGACAATGGCGGCGAGGTGACCGTATGGGGTTTGGGAGGGTCGAACACCTGATGCTCGGGCTGCGGAATGCATTTGCAATTTTACCGGCCGTCGTACGCAAACTGACATGGGAATGCGAAGAAATGCTCGAGAACTTTGTCTGATGTAAGATCGTACAAGGCCAGGTGTGTCTGCTTCGCGTATAGTAAGTGTACATTCTGTGGCGTACTTACGAGATGCAGGGACAAGGTGCAACCAGCGCGTTGCAGCCCGTCTGACCGGACTACGCTTGTTGGATCTAAGTCGGCTGCCGTGGCGTTCTGCAGGGGAATGTGTCGGAAGATAGCTGTAAGACCACCGATGTGCGAGTCATGAATACATGACGGATGACGCTGTGCGACGGTGATAGTGTTGCGAGATACTCCACTGTGCTGGGACGATACAATCCGAACTCACATGTCGTCAAATTGAGGACCGAAATAGCTCTACTGTATTCCTCGACATGCAGGCTAGGTAGAAACTCATGCACTAAACTCGATTGTGCAAATGATAGTTGCCTGCGCTGAAGCGCCAGTCTCACCACCTTGATTGTACAATTACAACATACTAATCCAGATTACGGCTCAAAAAAACCCTTCTCTAGCTCTACGGGTAAAAATGTGGCTACTAGAAATGATGTTCAGAGAATTAAGTGACGTGAGATGAATGGTACAGTGCGACGAGAATCGAGTCAATGCGAGCAGTAAGTCCAGTAGTCGGTTGAATCATGCACGAGATCGCAGGTCGTGACGGGAAGGCGCTGTTTGTGACGGCAGTTGTGAATGTGCACGGTGTTTCGGCATAAAAAGAGATGCCATTCGGTCCTTCTTCGATATTGGTGGCTTCGGCGTGATTACAAGTTCATCAGCCGGAGAAGACGGTGTCTGCGGAGATTTCACTGACGGGGGAGGCGGTGCTGTGCGCTTGACTGTGTTCGGCTTCAGTGCAGTGCGCGAAGGTACTGGAGGAGCGTGACGGGCCGACGACGTACTTGACTTCGTACTAGAACTTGCCGTGCGACGGCGAACGGTCACAGCCTTAACGGTGACACGACTGCCTTGGGGGCTCGCAGATGAGGTCGACGACGAGGATGAGGGAGGGTGGTGCATAGTATCAGCCGCCAGAGTAACAGTATTCGGCTGGACAGAGTAATTCTTGGTCGTCGGCATAGGAGGCGCCATACGCATGCCATATATGCCCTTCTGCATACGGGCAGCCTCCGATCGTGTCTTCTGCAGTAATGACTTCGGCATAGTAGGGCCCCCTTGAGGACAATAACGATCGCTATTAACCACACAATGTCCAAGACGTTAGGGAGAAAAGGACTTACATCCACGGGCTCGCTTAGCCGTAGGTACCTTGTCCGTAATCTTAATCTGTGTTTCCTTCTTGCGGTCCGCTTCTTCTTGACGCTGTGTTCGGAGACGGGAGGTTACTTCTTCCAATCGTTTGGCTTCCATGTCTTTCAAAACCTATGTCGGTACGTAAGCCAGCAGCGGCTACATGTAAAATTGCCTACTTACAAAGAATGCATCTCGCCATGATTCTGGCTCTCCGGGGCAATCGGACTGATATTGTTCTGCAGCTAGAGGGTAACGCTGGAAGCATAGCTTTTTCCAGATTCCCTCGGTGTCCTTCTCAATGTACTGCGAGAAATTCGGCGGATCAGCTAAGATACGTGCATCGCCTCTAGCAGAGACAGACAGACCGGGCTAGCTTGCTCGAGTCTGAGCAGTGTGTCCGGAGAGCAATTCTCAACCACAGGCTCGATCAAATCGTACCGCCAGCCATCACCTAGGCTGCATATGCCTACAACACAATGAGCATCATATAATAGCAGGCAAGCTTCGGAAACGTACTGTCTACATGAGCTGCCGCCACTAGCCGCAGCAGATAAAGACATTTGAGGTCAGTGAGTAGCTCACATGTAATCCTAGACTTCTCACCGCGTTGACAGATCTGAACAAGAGATGGAATGCACTGGTTTGAGTCGGCCATGGTTGACACACTTCAGAAACAAAGGCTGCTAGAACGCGCATGTATGAGGACGGAGGCAATGCGCAACGACTCCGAGACGCTCGGGGACCACCTGACTGATTCCCACGATTGTATCTTCATTTGGCAGTTGCATGCTTGTTTCCATGGCACTCTAGTCTCGCAAGCCAGACGATCGTGTGCCGCTCCTCGGTGACGCCTCGGAGGCTGCCGGAAAGTAATATGTCGGACATCGAAAAAACCATTGTCGCCTCTAGAGGCAGTGGTTTTTCGGTGTCCAACATATTAGTTTTTGGCAGCCTCCGTGCGGTGAACGTCTGGAATACTCTCCGGTTTGGTGGCAAATGAAAAAGGTGGCACATATTCGGAGGCTTGACCACAATTTTTCTCAGTTCACTATGCTGTGATACTTATCCCTGTCTGCAAGCATAGTATGCGCTCACAGGTCATTGAGCGACGCGACATAGAGCAATATAGTACAACTCGCGGGCTGCGTGTAAGTACCGATTGGTAAATCTTTATGTCCCTTTTCGCGCCTCGATATATTGTCCTGTTCTGTACGTCGTCAGACCCTCCACATCCTCGTCTTTCTATGCTTTCGGACTAATTTGATATCCGGGAAGCAGGGTGCAACTTCGGCCAGCTCACCAGGCGCGGCACCCGCAATTTACTGTCTTCCTTGACCTCGCTGGTTCCATGAGTTCTGATACAGTGTTAGCATTAGTTAAAGTTGTTTCCACTCAGAACGAGTGCATTATCTGCATGAAAGAAACGGGTCTTTCGTGAGCTCTTGAATTACAGTGTACAGACCATGGCTGTTACATATCTCTTGCGGAAGGTTCCATCCTGCTCGCAAGCAACTCAACTCGACCGACAGCACTTAAATTTCATTTTGATCTCCCGCGGCGCCGTAGTTCATGGGACTTCCCGTCAGCTTGTCAAGATGCGGTGCTTCTGCAGTCTTTCCTATACAGGAAATCGTTATTGTTCGAGTTCCTGGTTGCTCATCAGACTGCTCCATGCTGATTCATGCCATCGGCATCCCAAGTGAGTTCTGGAGCGCGAGGTACGCATGCACATGTAGCGGTTTGGTAACTTACGGCATTTTGCTATGAATGCAACCCCATTCCCACTGAGTTTGCCTGACGGACTTCTTACTGATTTAGTGTGGTGATAGTGATTCTTAACCTATGGTCTGCGATAGCGCAGACACCCGAGACCAACGCAAATTTGCTACCTCGACAAATGATGAATTTCGTGCCCACTACAAAGTAACCGTGTGTAGATGAAACACAGTTTCTATTTGCCGAAGTAACAAATTCATTGGTCAATCGAGTCCCTATTCGTCCCTGATCACACATGTAAGCTGTATCAATAAATTTGTACTGGAAAACGGTGACATTGTAAGGCAGGCAAAGATTACATTCACTCAGGGATACAAATTGGGAGGGTCTCAAGTGAGATGCTCGCCAAGGCTATCAGACGATGACGTTCATCCATAAGACGTCGCGATTTATGTCCTACCTACTGGGCAGACCTGGTTCGTTACGGGAGGGGCCACCGGGAAAGCGAACAGAGAGAGGTATTCGCTAGCGTCCGTCCTATGCCGAGGTCATTCAAAGACAACCAATCTATAGCAAATTTGACAAGACGGACCTGAAGGTGGTCTTCCAAGGCGCACGGTGCGGTGCAAGCGATTCCGAATCTTTCCGAATCAGGAAAATTTTTTCAAAGCCTCATCGGCGTGTGTGTCCTCAGATGACCACCTGGGCATCGAGGTATGGATGCAATCGTTCCGGCGCTTAGACGCCGCGGAGGCTTTGAGTGCGGCCCGAGCCGCGAAACCAAATTTGAGGTGATTCATACCATAAGTTCTGAAGGTCGGAAAATGACGCAAATTCGACCATGGACAACCGTGGAACACGAGAAGGCATTCCTACAGTCTTCACGGATCTGAAGGCCTTCTAAGCACGGTGAACCCGTTCCCGAAACAGTAAGAACGGAGCTAATAATGCCCTAGTGCGAACCTTCTTGCATGCATCGCCAACGCCAAGTTAGTGGCTTGTGCGCAGTGGCAGGGAAAGAAAAAAGTTTCATAAGCGTCCCCCGATCGGTACGGTCAAGGGCGAAGTCATAGACAGCACGAATATTTTCTGAAAATTTCTAGGTATAGCAGGTCTTCTGGGACAGAACACTTTTAGGTTTCAACTGAAACATGTGCTATATGTATATCTCTGCTTATTCCCGTGTTAGCGTAGTCAGTCAAATTTACTCGTTCCCTCGTTTCCCCATGGGTGTCTCCGATCGGGCAGGGGACCCGAGAATAAAAGCCTCCATGTAGCGAGCGATCTCGAACTGTATCCCCACTGCAGAGCGTTCTAGAGCAGAGTCCTCCGACTTTTCAACTATGTTTCACGCACCTCTTCCCGACGCACAGCATCCCACGCATCCTCGTCTCCATGTTCGCGATGCACGCGACGCACACATAGTCTTCGAAGCTGTCCGCCAAGGCATGCTGCAGCCAGTTGTCCGGCGGCTGAACGAAATGGAGCGGTACACGTACATTAAATCTGGCTCTATCTTCGTCTGGGAAGAGAGTGAGCAAGACTCGGGGCTGAAGAGATGGACGGACGGGCGTGTGTGGAGCCAGTCTCATATGCGAGAGGTATTGCAATCTTTCCGAAGAAACATATGACAGACTGATCATGGGACCTCTATAATGTATTTCCCAGCCATATCTGTTCTATGATGAGAAGGTGTTATCCAACGAACAACAAGATAACAACAACCAATCATCACGGTTCGTGCTCACCTGGAGAACGCACCTGATCTCAAGAGACTCAACCACGCGAAATATTTCCAGGAACTCACACCCTACATATCGCTTCATTGAGGGACCGTCGCGCACATGGACGTCGTCGGCACAGTCTCATTACGAACGAAGCGACCATTCTCCGGCTGGCTTGGTGAAACAGGCGTACTCGGCGTGGGTTCGCACTCCGGGTAACGTCAGACCACGAAAATGGCACCTGACCGCGTACTTCTCCTACTCGGATCTACCAAATATTCCGACGGTGGATCAAGACCCGATTTTGCGCACATTGACTGTGCCAGAGGGCGTCTACCAGAGCGGGAAAACGAAGTCGAGGGGACCTGATGGGGTTCCTGCCACATCTACCCCTCTTGCATCACCAGCGTCGTCCCGGAATGCGTCTTTCCATACGGAGGACCACGGCGCACTCCCCCCACTTCCCCTTCCGGTATTACATCACCCGCTTCCGGATCCGCGACATCGCGTACATCCACGGGGTCCTGAAGACCAGCGAATGATTGGGATGCTGGACTCCCAACCCATTCTGTAATTGTAGAAAACACTGGGTTGCCACCTTCAGAGATCAAACTCAATGTGGTGCATGACTAAGAGCCAATCAATATTAGACCATTTACCATCCAAACATTGTCTCCGCCCGAACACGTGAGCCTACATACGTGCAGGAGTCAGTGAACAGTTGATGCACTGAAGGACAACATACTTATAACACTGAAAATACAGGACCATATCGGGTCATACCACGGCAAGTTAAAACTATGTCAGTCGTCCTCGTCTGACAGAGCATCCTCCATCCGTCCTGCTCTCTCTTCTGCATTCATAGCACCAACCAGATCGTCCGACTGTCCCTTCTGTGAGGCTAATCTCTGGCCTGAATAGATGTCAACTGCAGGAGGCACTTGGCCGGCAGCTCAACTTACGAATGAGTGTGTGAATAGCCTCCTGGGTTTTTCTGTCTAGTTTCGCCAGCTTCTTTTCCATCTCCCGTTTCAGGTCCCAATTCGGCCTTTTAGGTGCAATGTTAAACAAATCCTTCGTAAGACAGTATGAGTACTAGTGAAGCAGAGTGGAATGAAAGTATACACACCAGATCCTGGGCTCTCCGTTCCGCGTCTTCTGCTATGATAGTTTCCGCCAGACCTTCAACATTTTTTTCTACTGTGTCCTCCATCTCCACGTCGTCTGTGCGTGCATGTTTCTTTAATGTACGTCTCTCCGGGTCGAAGGTGCGGTTCTTGATGATGGGCTCAGCGGATTCGCTGGAAATAAGACGTCAGTCCCGCGCGGTGCGGTCGCATCATACAACCAGTCGTTGAAAGACAGACGTATTCGCGTCCACTGCCTCGCCTTCCTTCCGCCTCCGCAGGGCAATCAAGCGAGTTTTGCGAGATTCAGACGCTTCCGCAAGCGACATGTTGTGGCGAGTGTAGCCAAGTGTGCAACGGCTTCTAAGGCTCTATTGCTGACTAAGCAGACTTGCCAAGCTCACTTTGGCCAGCGCCTGAATTTCTGATTCTGCTTGTCTTCTACGCGATCCATTCGTCTCAGGCCCTGGAATTCTTCCTAAGTTCTCATACGGATATAGCAGAAGAGTAATTGTCTGTGTTCATGTGATGCTACGAGGCTGGCGTCATTCGTGGCACACCGCATTACCCCAGAGGTATCAGAAATTGGACGTTAAATGTGATCTGCAAACATGCACTTCTGGCCGCCATGCTCACAGACATTTCGCGACTTCCGGGAGTCGTTATGCAACACAACACAAAAGCATACCCATGGAAAATTTCCCTCGTGACCTCATCCGGTATTTTCGGCGGTAGTTGTGAATTCGGTTACAGCTTAACTGGTCTTAGGAACTTCTCAATCATAGCCCATATTGGTGAGTACAATTTTGTGCACACGATAACAAGCACATTGAAATCGTTCTAGACCACGGAAAATCTACTTTGGCCGACAGGTGTGTGTCTCAGACTTCTCGGTGCCGCACTAACTTATATCTACCTCTGACAGATTGTTGGAGGTACGCCGCTCAATGGCCACGATATATAGAGTCGGTAATTTCTGATTAGGAATAGTTGACAGGTACCATTGGCAAGAGGCAAAAGGGGGTAAACTCCCAGGTCCTCGACAAGCTGAAAGTTGAACGAGAACGTGGCATAACAGGTTTTGCATCTATTCGTGTGTTCACATGACTTCGGAGTACTGACTTCTCATCCTCAGTCAAGGCGCAGACTGCCAGGTAAGAAGCATCAGTGTTAGCACCTTCCATGTTATCTGACATCACGCAGCATGATATACTTATCCGAAGGGAAGAAATATCTGCTTAATCTCATTGATACGCCCGTCAGTTTTTTCACCTGGGTCCGCAATAAACCTCACATGATGCACGTACTATTATCTTAGGGGCATGTTGACTTTGCGTGGGAGGTGTCGCGTTCTCTTGCCGCGTGCCAGGGAGCACTACTTCTCGTAGATGCAACACAGGGCATCCAAGCTCAATCTATATCTGTCTTCCATATCGCCAAGGAACGAGGCCTCAAAATTATACCCGTCCTGAACAAGGTCCTTTACGAGTTTTATGTTTTATTCATGACCTGACGTTTCCTATATCTAAACAGATTGATTTGGCCATTGCCCAGCCAGAGCTTGTGGCAGCACAAATGGAGTCAACGTTTGGCATTAACCTCGCGGATGTGATACCTATCTCTGCTAAGACAGGGAAAGGTGTTGAGAATGTTTTGAAAGCCATTGTCGAACGAATACCCCCACCAGTAGGAGACGAGTCCGATCCACTCAAGGCATTACTTTTCGACTCATCGTAGGCGATGATCGTGCCCGTCTAACAAATGATGGACAGCTGACAACGTGACAGCTACGACCGGTACCGCGGTGTCATTTCCCTCGTGAGCATCCAGGGTGGAGTTCTTAGAAAGGGTCAGCGGACATTTCTGTTGTGATGCCACTTTCGTACCCCAGCTGATGCGACTCAGGCGATAGAATTGTGTCATGCCATACCCGCAAGAAGTATGAGGTGACCGAGCTGGGTATAATGCATCCAGAGGAGGAACCCACGGCGAGTCTTGGTCCGGGACAAGTCGGATACATCGCGTGCAGCATGAAGGAGTCAAGCGAAGGTCGGCCTCCCTGCACTTCGTTCACTATGCTTGATAGATTTCATACTGGGCACAGCGTATGTCGGTGACACGCTTCACCGTGTTGGGGAGTCCGTCGAGCCCATACCGGGGTTTAAGCCCGTGAAGGCCATGGTGAGTACATCCCACGATTCCCTCTCACGGTGTCGCCGTTGAGTTTCTTTGGCAGGTGTACGCAGGCATTTACCCGATTGACAGCAACGACTATCCCAAGCTAGAGGAGTCTATCAAAAGGGTGGGCCTTTTTGTTGAAAAAGTCGCAAACATGCGCATACTGAACGTCTAGCTTACGCTCACGGACCGGAGTGTGGAGGTTTCCCGAGAATCATCCACTGCTCTTGGCCAAGGATGTCGGTTGGGGTTCCTAGGCACTCTCCACATGGACGTGTTTCGCCAACGCCTGGAGGACGAGTATGATGCCAGTGTGATCATCACAGCGCCCACTGTACCATACAAGGGTGCGCGCATGTTTGCATCCCTATTATCCGCTGACCCACACGCGTCTCTGTCGGAATATCTATGTAGTGGTATACCATGATAGGACTGCAATAGTCAGCAATCCGACTGATTTTCCGGATGTGACCGACTCCGCAAACAGGGTGAAGGAAATTCAAGAACCGATCGTGAACGCTTCCATCGTAGTGCCACAGGGTAGGCCGAATATTTCGTCATTGCAGTTTTGATTCGACTGTATACTTCCATAGACTACCTTGGGGAAATGATGGACCTGTGCTTCTCACATCGCGCCGAGAACTTGGACCATCGATACTTGGATGCTTCTGGAGCCTCTGCCCGTATCATATTGACGTGCACACTCCCGCTGGCCGAGATCGTGACGGACTTCTATGACAAACTCAAAAGCCGAAGTTCTGGGTTCGCAAGTTTCGAGTTCGTGTTTTCTGGTGTGTCTCGCTAGTATCATGCTCACATCAGATGCGCCCTTCGAATCAGTTACGAGGATGCTGGTTACCAACCCAGCAACATGCTCAAGGTTAGAATCACCACATCTCCCTTCTCCGGCGTCGAAGTAACTCAATCACTGTCCAGATGACCTTTCTCCTCAATAGCAAACCTGTCGACGCCCTGGCCCTCATTGTCCATCGATCAGCGGAGCAGGAGGTTGGCAGGGCGTGGGTGAAGAAGTTGCGTAAGTGACTCTTCACCGTATTCAGCGGACCCGAGCGAGTTTGAGACCCCTTCAGACAAGGTGATACCCCGGCAATTGTTCGAAGTGCCGATCCAAGCGGCTGTGGGCCGCAGAATCGTCGCTCGCGAGACGCTGTCTGCAATGCGTGCAGACGTCACCGCAGGTCTATACGGAGGTATGCCAGTCGTGACTGGTTTGGAGATAGAATTCGCTCATGGATCATTTAAGGACACTACGAGCGCAAGCTTAAGCATCTGGAGAATCAGAAGGAGAGCAAGCGCAAGATGAAAAGGGTTGGTAGCATCGACCTCCCACAGGAGGCGTTCTTCGATATTCTTCGAACTAAGAGTTCATAGTTATAATGTTTAATAACTCTACACCTATATGTCACCGAGCCAGCGAGGCGCTCGAGAAGTATCAGATGAATCTTCATCGGACACGGAAATCAATGCAGCTGTATGAGTACCCAATCAAGAATTGTGGATACTACTTGTGCGGTCCGTCTGCAACTCGCCGATACGCGCATCAAATAGATATTTGTAATACCTATGATCACTTATGCAATGCAAAGACGATGGGTGCAGTCATTTACAGGGCCGTCAAGAAGTTGCGAACATGTGCTTCGGGAACCGCACCCATGAATTGACTGATAGGCTGTCCATCTTTGAATGCAATAACGGTCGGAAGGGAGCGAATCTGTATGTGCAAAATGAGGACCCGGAGAAATGAGACGTAGGCATGACGTAGAACTAGCGTGCGAACCTTGTACTTCAACGCAAGTGCCGTCTCTGTGTCTGTGTCTACGGTGACCAGGTCGAGCGGCAGACCGCTGCCGGACTTTATGGAGGGGTCGGTTGTCAGCTTCTCTAGGATGGGAGACAGCATCTTGCATGGACCACACCAGCTGCGCGCAAGGGAAAACAATAAGCAACAAAAGAGGAGACAAGCGGGGCACTCACTCTGCGTAGAAATCGACCAATACGACGTTGTCTTTGTTCGTGATGGCCTCCTCAAAAGTCTGCAGGTAACAGCACGCCCGGACGGGCCAGTTAGAATGAGCTCGCAACCATCATCATGGGTTCCGTGAGATGCGGAAAATTGCTGACCGCTTCATTCGCGTTCAGGAAATGCTTGTTCCGCCGGGCTGACCAATGGAATGTCCGCAAAGAAGAGACCTCGCTTGGTCTCAATGTCTTGGCTAATGTTCGGAGAGCGAGAGCAGACATCGTACGACGGACAAAACGTGTCGCAGATGAACAAACGCAAGTTCGTTGCAACTTGCGAGTAAGTAACCGAAGCCGGATGGACGCGTGTGTTGAGTCGAACTTCGCAGGCAGATACGGTCACGAGCTGCATCTGTCCAATCTTGATCTCTGTACTGTTCTCCTCGACCAAGAATTACTTACATCGTTTGGAACCTTTAGAGAAGATCATGCAGCCACACAAAAAAAGGCGCAAATGGATTGTTCGCTCAGCCAATGGGCTATCGCGCTGGTAGCCTTTGCCAAGAGAGGCTAGCAACACCCGTTGCCATATGAAATATGCCGGGTCCAGCGAGGAGGTTCTTCGAGTTGCCAGGCCGACTCGATTATTGGCCTATAAAGTAGCGAGCAGGGAACAAAAATGCCTCAAGCCATCTCTTTCCCCCTCTCATCGGTCAGGTTTACCAGCAACTACGAGCAGGGTGAGTTCTCTTCCATCCTCCTCATCTGTCTTGTGGACTCATGTCTTCCTGTCAGTCTCGATTCGGTCATTCTCTTCCAATCGACAGCTTCTAGACTAGCACATTACTGCGTTCTTTTGAATCGTCGCACAAATTCAAGATGCGTTTCTCTGCTCTCCTTGCTGCTCTCCTGCCCATCGGTGCAGCCCTGGCCAACACCATCCTCGTGAAAGTTGGTGAGAATGGAACCCTGACATACAATCCTTCAAGGTATGCATAGGGCCTTCACTTGTTTGCAGTATTCTAATGCGCACGTCCCATAGCGTGAATGCCACCGTTGGAGATACCATCGCTTTCCAGTTGTATGTCGAAGGTATAGCTGCATAACGTCGTCACTGAACTCCTTGCTTAGCTTGGCCAAGAACCACACCATTACACAGTCGACGTTTGCGTCGCCATGCACGAACTTCACTAGCGCCAACGGGACGACCGGTGTTGATTCCGGTTTCCAATTCGTCGCTGCGAACGCGAGTGCGTTCCCGCAGTTCAGCTTCACCGTCCAGAACGCGAGCGCACCGCTCTGGTTCTACTGCCGTCAGGCTGGGTAAGCCTGCGTCTTGCGTTTATTTCTCTGTATTAGCCGCTTATACGTTGCCACTATCTTCAAAGGCACTGTGCTGCGGGAATGGTGTTCGCCGTTAATCCTACTGCGCAGAAGAGCTTTGCGACGTTCCAGGCTGCTGCCAACGCCACCGGCATGAACGCGACCGCGTCGTCGGCCGCACCTTCACACGCGTCGTCAGCTGCCTCCTCGCCCTCCGCCTCCTCGACAACGAAGATGAACGGCGCGAACACGGTCCGCACCGGCAGCGCCGCGGTCTTGTTAACCGCCGCCGGCACGCTCGCAGGGCTGCTGCTATGAACGCCTGGCGGTGTCCGGGGTTAGAGATTTATTCTTGAATTTGGGACTTCAGGTTACTGTTCTGTGCTTGTTCCTTTAATTCTTGCGCTGTCGCGTGTTCGCTTCTTGATGAACGACTTATAGCTACTGTGTTGCTGTGTTAAACGAATACGATGGGATTGGCTGCAATTTTAGCGAGTGTGAGTAGAGCGTGTCATTTTCTCACAACTTGAGTAACGATGCGTCTGTATAAGGAGATCACAAGCATTAGGACGACACGTTGCTATGGTAGTCGGAGTCGATAGCATCGAACCGTGCTCACAGAGCGCTATGTAATTCATGTATGTAGTGACGCCAAGTGAGTAGTCTCCCAGAGGCGGTTGTAGCCACTCTGCTTCAACCTTCGTGCCTCGGATAAGTGAGCCGCCCAGGCGCCCAGGCGCTGCCATCTCAGAAGAGCATTTATTCTCCTCTCATCTATCATGCCGATCAGCTATCTTTCTGATCCCAATGCTCAACATGACACTTTTGATGTCGCATCCCTAAGCTTTCGGATTCTATATCGCGAATTGTGGAAAAGGAGCGATTCAGACGAAACCAAGGACAGGTGCCAAGTCTTCATTCAAAGTTGTATTTCCATTCCAGATTACGAAAACTTGAAGGTCAGGATGCAGTCCAGCGATGTGGAGGTCGATTCTGTTTCAGGAGGTATCGTGGAAGATGACGATGATGCAGCAGCCGCATCAGCTAGCGTCGACCCTGACATCCCTCGGATTCCATTCGACTACATTCGTCTTGATCTGTCGTGGCTGCCTGCGTCCATTGCAGACCCTCATCAGTCCTTGCTGGTTCGACAGGAGTATAAGGATGCAATAGAGAGTTTTGAGGAAAACAATATACCGGTCGTCTTGACTGGTCAGCCTGGTGTTGGTGTGTAGCACACGGTATTACTTAAAACTGATAATGAAGCTGACCTGCGCAAACAGGAAAGAGTCTATTCCTGACGTACGCTCTGATTGACCGGCTGATCAAACAATTGCCAACCATTTATGCACCCCACGCCTATAAGTTCTACTTAGTTAGAGACTCGGGTGCCTACCAATTCACTGGAGCTGAGATGGACCTCGTATTGCTACGTCAGGGGTTGTCTAACATACATGGCAGGGATGTTCCCGGAGGGAATATTGACGGCACGGATAAAGGATGGATATTGTTTGATTCGAATGAAAATCAAGCGGTGCCACATTGGTATAGGCTCTATGGTTATCCTCTCCTTTTCCCCGAATCCTTCTAGGTACAAGGAATGGGCGAAACACACAGCCGCTGACAAATATATCATGAAGCCCTGGTCCTGGTATGAGATATGCGCTGCGATATATGTATGAAGGTATTGCAGCTGTTACAGGGATTTGACGAGATTTCGTTTCAGGCCACTACAAATGTTCCTATCTGGCCACCAGCCTACTGATCGGGAACTTTGGGATGCCTACAGTCAGTTTGGTCCGTCTGCTCGCACCGTGTACTGGTCCTGCGTGAACCGTGCACGGTATCTGTCAGAAATTCGTTTCGCATTGGAGAAATGTCGGGATCCCAATACTCTGTTCCCACTGGGAGACGGCGGTTGGGATGATTCGGTGAGCAACGTACTAGTGGCTGTGGGGCCGGCAACTTGGGACGGTGTTAGAAATCGCGCCTTAGTTCCCAAATAGGAAGGTAGTGATGGCGGGTCAAGATGCGTCGGGGCGCGTGATTACGCATCCTAAAATAGATTTCTGTATATATACAGTTCTAGACACTCCACTTTATATAAGCAAATTTCCTTCTTTGTCTTTCTTTGTAATCATGCCCTCGGCTTGTCTGCCCTTGGGCGCTCCCCAATTTCTGGAGCTCCAGAAATTTGGGCGCTACTTTCCAACACTCCCCCTCAAGCCGATGGGCATTCCGAGCTTCTTTGTGAGCTTCTCGTGCCTCGGCTTAGGGAGTGACTTTGTTAGGATATCCGCTATCATGTCCTCCGTGGGACAGTAGTGGATATCAATATATTTATCCCTCAATTTTTCGCGCACATAATGATGCTTTACATCAAGATGTTTTGATTTCGCGTGGAATTGGGGATCACGTGCGATTGAGATAGCCGCTGTATTATCCTTGAATAAAATTGTAGGATCTTGTTGCTCGAAACCTATTTCTTTGAATAGTGTTCGGAGCCACATGGCTTCTTTTGCCGCTTCAGCGGATGCCATGTATTCGGCTTCCATGGTGGATGACGTGACCGTGGTTTGCTTCTTTGAGCTCCACGTGATCGTGCCATTTCCTAATTTAAATAAATATCCCGAGATTGATTTGCGATCTCGGATATCGTTCGCATAGTCTGCATCTGAGTAGCCCACAAATATGGATTGATCTTCGGGCTTGACATCTGTTACGCGGCAGCGAAACACGAGCGTCTAGTCGAGTCGTCACGAGACAAGGTCTTAGTCTAAGACACAAGTCCGTTCAAGTGACACTTCTGGCGATGTCCTCGCACTGAAGGTCGATCAGAGTTCGTTCTTATGACTCGTAGTAGCTGTCTGCTACTGACGGTCGATCTCAGTCAAAGGCAAGTGAAAAGCTGGTTTAATGGTAACCAGGTCGAGATGGGGATCCAGCTCGACAAGGTCGTTTACTTATACAAAAGGTATCCGCAGTACTACACAGTAATGCGAGATCGTTCATTGGCTAGATAAGGTGAAACGATATCTGGGCAAGGTAACAGCGAGGAAGTAATATGTATGAGAAAGCTGAGTAAGGTCGTGAGAGGTAATCAGTACTAATGGGGATAACGAGTCGTGTATCAGAACGAGGTAAAGATGAGGCGTACATGCACGTCTTGCATGCGCGATAAGAAGAAGGTCCGGAGTTGGATCCGGTGTAACCCTAGACTAGGGGTTCTGGACATCTGGGTAAAGAATCGGAGGTTGCGCTCCGATGAGTCACGTGTTGGATCACGTGGTCTGGTAACGTAAAGGGAACAAGAAAAAGAAAAAGAAAAGACGCGCCACAAGTGGGGAGCGTTGTAACATCAGCTCCCGTCTAACGTTTCTTGTCCCACAAGAAATATTGTGATCTTCATCGTCGTCGGGGGCAGTCGCGGACATAATGATCTCCTCCACATCTGTAGCATGTCCGCCGGCTGGTTCGTGATCCTTGTTCGGGGATATGTCCATCCCTGTAGGGATGACTGCGATGCGAAGAAGTGGATGCAGTCGAGAAAGATGGTTGGGATAACGGAGATCGTCCACTGGGTACGTGCGAATGAGGAGGGCGAGGTCGAACGGGAATTGGTTCTGGCGACGAGCGAGGAGTGGATGCGGGTATTCCATTAGTGGTGTATCCGAGGATGTGTCCAATGTCTTCATCCCCATGCTCCCTCCAAATCTCCTGTGCTGTACGAGTGACCGTACTGCGCATCAACGACCAGACTTGGTCGACTCTGGTCTGGGCTCTACTCGTCCTTTCTTCTGCTGCGATGAGCTCTTGTCTGGCCGTCTGCATCCACTCGACCATTTCTAATGCTCGTTGCATGGAAACCACTGCTTGTCGATCTTGTGGGCGATTTCGTAAGGCGACGAGGATATCTGTGAAGTCGACAGGAACACGGATAGCCGAGACCAGACGTGTGGCAAATTCTTGTTCGTCCGATGCGTGACTGAGTTCGATAGAAGGTGAGGGCGATGAGGTGCAGATAAAGGGTGTCTGTGCTCGAGAGGGTACTCCATTGACAAGCGTAGGCAATGCGGGTATGCTCATAATTGTGGAGGCGACTTCAGCGAGTATATTGTGAACAAGGTCGTCTATAGCGGAAGTGGGCATTGATGATATGTCGTTTTCTCCTCCTTTTATACCTTTCGGTCGTTAAGGGGGTCGCGGTTATAGAGATAAGAGCTGCCTGATCAGTTCCAGGCATCGTTCTGATCACCCCAGCCGTTAGCGTGCGGGCTGTCTCGCGTGAAGAGTGTGTGTTCGACAAGTCGTCTGATAAGGATTCGGTGGATGATCCAAAGAAAAGTGAGGGTTGTGCAGTGGAGGACGATTAGGAAGATGATGAGGAAAACCGTCGTGGTAGTCATTCCGGGTTTCTTCTCCTCTACTGGATTCCCCTGGTCCTTTTATATGCATCGAGGATTCGCTTGGCATTCTGTAAATTGTGGGTAGGTTCCCACGAGTTTTCTGCTGAAGAATATCCCTTCCACTTGACTAAATACCTCAGATGACCTCGGTACGTCTTGTGATTCAGGATGGCTTCGACTTCATACTCTTCTTCATTATCAACGACATCAGGTGGTGGGTTCACGTAATTCGGACCATGTATGTCGTTTTCGCAATAAGGAGATAGAAGGGCGGCGTGGAATACAGAATGAACTCGCCAGGTCTTCGGGAGTTTGAGACGATAGTTGGCCGGTCCGATGACTTCGACAATTTCGAATGGCCCCTCACGCTTTGGTGCTATCTTGCGCGAGGCGTAATTGACCTTCAGGTTCCTCGAGTCTAGCCAGACCTTCTGTCCTAGTGTAAACTTCGGCGATCCTTGTCTGACTCGGTCCGCCATCTGTTGTCGGGCTAACTCGTGCATGGCTAGTGCTTCTAGTCTTATCTTCTGCAACATGTCAAGCCTGGATTCAACCGATGGAATGTTCGTGGTCGGAAATACGGAAGGGAGTCCACGTGGTTCGTATCCCATCATGATGCGGAATGGGCTCATCTTCCGTGCTGAGTGTTCCCTTGTGTTATGACAAAACTTGAGGTCTGGCAGGCGGTCGGCCCATGTTTCAGGGTTGTTTCCGCAATAGAGTCGAAGATAGATTTCCAGCTCCTGGTTGACTCGCTCTGTTTCTCCGTCCGTCTGAGGGTGATAAGCTGTGCTCATTGATGATCTGATCTGGAGTAGTCGATTTAACTCTTGGAAGACCTTGGATGCGTATTGAGGTCCTCTATTCGAGATGATTCGGTCGGGTAATCCAAATCGCGAGTATACTTTGTCATGAAAAATCTTGGCTGTTCCTTCGGCTGTGATCGTTTTGAGGCAGGGCGTAAGAATCACCCCCTTCGTAAGGTCATGGTCTACTACGACCATAATTGAATCAAAACCATTGGAAATGGGGAGGTCGGTAATAAAATCGGTGGTGCAACAGGAAAATGGTAATGCGTGTGGGTCGGCGGGAATTAGTTCCAAAGGAATACGCGTTGGATGAGTATTCGGTTTCATTTGTTGACAGGCGGCACAGCCTTCAACATAATTGTAGACAAATGTATACATGCCGGGCCACCAGAATTCACGACGTAACAGTTCAAGAGTATTGAACTTTCCAGGGTGACCCATGGCAGGGGAGTCGTGATGTAGTCGAACGAGGTCATGACGAAGAGTTTCGGATGGTGGAACGTAGATCTTTCCCTTGTAGAGGATGACACCATCGCGAACTTCCCAGTCAGAAAGCGATGATTTCATGGGGAATGGCCCTTTGTGCGCAATCACTTCGAGGGCTTCGTGAACAATGAGGTCTTTTGCTGCGTGATTCCTGATTTCGTCAAATAATGTCGGGGAAATGGATCGCACAAACAGTGCATTGGGTAAAAGAACGCGATCTTCATTGTCACTTTCACTGTCATCGAGTCCGTCACGACGAGATAGCACATCAGATTGGATCATCTGAGTGCCGGGGACATGGATGAGGTGAAGATCAAATTGTGATAATTTGAGACTCCATCGTGCTTGTCAGCGGTTTAACTTCTGAGCTGTACAGAAGTACGTGAGGTTCTTGTGATCACTGCGAACTTCGACGGGATGGGGAGAGCCTTCAAGATAATGGCGCCATTCAGCGAGGGCTCGAATGATTCCGAGGAGTTCGCAGTCGTAGATTTCGTAGTTCCGTTCAGCTGGATTGAGCGTCTGTGAAATGTAGGCACAAGGATGGAGGTCTCCATTGATGTCGGCTTGGCATAAAACTGCACCCGTAGCAAACTTGGAAGTGTCGGATTTAACAATAAAGGGTTTTGCCTTGTCAGGCAGTAACAGTACTGGGGCGGTACTGAATCGTTGCTTTAATGTGTCGAAAGCTGTCTGACATTCTGTCGTCCATTCAAAAGGTGGAGATCCAGCGGCAGTGCGCGTAAGATTCGTCAATGGTTTGGCAATATCCGAGAAGTTGGCAATAAACTTCCGATAGAAGTTTCCAAACCCTAGGAAAGAGCAAACACCTTTTACCGTGCTTGGTTCAGGCCATTCTGCAATTCCTTTAAGTTTGATAGGGTCCATGCCAATGTAGTTTTCTCGAATGATCATGCCTAGGAATTCGACTTCTTTAACATCAAAGAAACACTTTTCCGGTTTAAGGAATAAGTCGTTGTCTTCGAGTCGTTGGAGTACGCGTCGGGTTCGAACGTGATGTTCTTCCAACTCATTTGAGAAGATGAGGATATCATCCATGTAAATGACTATCCATCCCTCATCGATCATGTCCTTGAAGAGTGCGTTCATTATCATTTGGAAAGTCGCCGGGGAGTTGCAGAGTCCAAAGAACATGACCATAGGTTCAAAAAGTCCGCGATTTGTCTTAAATGCGCCCTTCCATTGGTCACCATCTTTGATTCTGACATTGTTATATCCGGAGCGTAAATCCATTTTCGTAAAGATCGATGCGCCTTTGAATTGATCCATAAGGTCAGAGATGAGCGGAAGAGGATAGGCATTCTTCACCGTCCCTTCATTCAGGTATCGGTAATCCTGACAAGGACGTAGTGCTCCGTCTTTCTTTCCTACGAAGAAAAATGGTGAAGCCATGGGAGATTTCGACGGTCGGATGTATCCTTTTCGCAGATTTTCTTCCAGGAAGTCATCCATCGCTCCTTGTTCTTTGAGCGATAACGGATAGACTTTACAGTCGCGTGGAATAAAATCGGGTTTCAAGTCAATGGCGTGGTCCCAAGGCCTGGTTTCTGGAAAGCGTTCAGCTGCTTTCTTTTCAAAGACGGACTTCAAATCGTGGAGGTAGTTGGGGACCAACTCCTCGACGGTTTTGGGTTTGTCTACAGCTGATGCTTCCTTGTGTGCCTGTTGTGCCAATTCTTGTGATTTACCGGATGGTTTGTAAAAGACCGTATTCTGTGCGTTACAGAATAATGGGGATCGAGTACTGTGTGTCATTCTTCCAATGGCTGGGCCTCTTCGTATGGTGAAGACTGCAGTTTCAGTCTCTTCATTCGTCAAAGGTGACTCCTTCCTGATGGGTTCAAATATCCCAATGACTGGCTCTCCTGCGATATAGGATATAACTAGATCGTCATCATCGAGCTGATCCATAGGGGATTCTGATGGTGGGTCATCTGGTTCGGTATCATTCCGTACTGCGGGTAACTCACCATGCTCAGTGTTATCGGCCATGATTTCTCTGATAGATTCCGAATGTCCAAACAAGGTAGGGGAAGTTTCGGTGGTGATTAACTCTGGGAGTCCATCTTCCTTGAAAATCGAAACTTCTTCATCTGGTGCATCTTCGACGGTGGGTTTCGGTGGCCATTTGGCATCTTTACCAAACCAAAAGTCACCGGTTTCCCAGTTGATCATCGGATTGAGGCGTTTAAGCCACGGCATGCCGAGAAGTATGTTTTCTTTGCCAATGCCGGTCAGGAGGAAGCGAGTAAGTGTCTTCCTTCCTCCGATTTTCATCATCTTCCAGGTACAATGAGTAATGGTGCCCATTTGATTTGGTGTGCCATCTGCATTCATGACTTTAATCAGTTTCGGTAATTCCCATCTGATGAAATCGTTTTCTTCCGCAAAACGAATGTTCATGAACGTTTCGGCTGCACCGGAATCGATCAAGGCTTCTGTTGTAACGTCTTCCTTTTCTCCCAACGAAATATTCACAGTGATTGAATTTCCGCTAGTGTTGCAAATAATGAGGGGAGATACGGTAAGATGCGACGGTCCATGCATTACTAGTGGCCGTCGTCTCAAAAACCCAATTGGGTTCGTTCTTCATCAGTCATGTCGTTGAAGACGTTTCGCACATAGGCGATCTGTTCCTCTCTGGTTTCTTCCTTCGACGTCTCCTTCTTCTGTGCGAGGTCTTCTCGCATCTTCTTGATCCATGTGATCATGTCTGTGTCCAACCCGGGCTGTATCGTTCTAGCACGGGTGAAACTTCCAGACTGGGGGTGAAATTGTCTGTCGTTGGCTATATGGCCCTTCTTTCCGCATAGGAAACATAATCCTTCTTTCATTCTCTTCTGTCGCTCGTCCGGGGATAAGCGCGAGATATTGACACGATCAACATCCATCGCGTTTGGATCCTTTGCAGAAGCCGAGTAGTAGGGACGATGGACAGATCGGCCCTTTCCTCGCGTCGTCGTAGTGGCTCCTCGCTTGAAGATCTGAGCAGATCTCCATTGGTTATCAAACCACGAGGCATATTCGAACCACTTGTCAAGTGTCTTGGGCATGCTTTCCATCCCATATATCCTTTGTCGGAGTGGGTCGTTAAGTCCCCACTTGAAATACTCGATATTTCCGGCATCTTCTAGTTTCGCCTTGGATTCAAGCGATCGGAATTCGGCAATGTAGTCGTCCGCAGTACGAGTTCCTTGCTTGATGTTACGCAGCAAGGTACGAGCGGTTTCTTCAATATTTTCATCGCCAAATGCTTTGTTCACACTTGCAATGAAGTCTCTCCAACTCCCATAAGAAAGGAAGTCGTCATTGGTGAGTTCCGTTTCTATGAAGCTCTGTGCCCATGATCCTGCTGTTCCTCCTTGCATGTGCGATAGCACGAATGCGATCTTCTGATTGTCCTCCTGGTAGACATGGCTATTTCTGGCCATGTAGTTCTTGCATTGGTTTATAAATTCCCTAAGCTTCGAACGGTCTGAACCGTTGAAGATCTCGGGTTTTCTAAAACCAAGTTCCTTCTGGCTATCATGGTGACGTCCTTCATCCATGGTAACTGTAGCCATCGGTGGTATGTAATCGGGTATGATTGGTGCAAGAGTCGGTTGGGGTACAGGATTCTGGGCAGGGGGGTTCCAAGGGGCGTCTGGTCTTTCTCCTGGATAGGAGGTCGTTATACCACTGTCTGCGATGTGCTGGAGCACTATTCCACCAAGATTATGGGGAAGTGTCCTTTCAAATTCCTCTGGGGAGTAGTCGAAGTTGTGATTGTCTGGCCTGATGAATACAGGCCTCCCTCCTATGAAATGTGCGTTTCGTTCTGTGCTCCACTCCGCTTGGGATGGGAGGTGCTCGCGGTACTGCTCTGGAAGAGCGGTCGGGTTGATGTAGTCAAAATCCAGCGTGGATAAATTCTTCTGTGTGGCCTATGTCTACACGTAGACTGCACACCGTCCTTAACTAAGTGGGTTCGTTCGTCGTCGGCTAACAAGCCCGTAGAGTGTCTTCTGTCTTCAAACTGATACACCTATTTGCTGATTGCTCGAGTGATTACCTCAGCCTCCTCGGCCTATTGGTCTCTCGGACAGACCCCTCTCCGAAGATGAGTGATCAGTCTATCCCTTCAGCTACCTCGATTACAGAGTAATCTCAAACGGCGCTTTAGCAATCGAATCGGGTGTATCGTTCAGTCTTCAAGGTTCGGTCCGGTCGGTAGTTCGTTGTTAGACTCTAGGAAGTCACAGAGAGTAATAAGATCTCGACCTAATGTTATGCGGCAGCGAAACACGAGCGTCTAGTCGAGTCGTCACGAGACAAGGTCTTAGTCTAAGACACAAGTCCGTTCAAGTGACACTTCTGGCGATGTCCTCGCACTGAAGGTCGATCAGAGTTCGTTCTTATGACTCGTAGTAGCTGTCTGCTACTGACGGTCGATCTCAGTCAAAGGCAAGTGAAAAGCTGGTTTAATGGTAACCAGGTCGAGATGGGGATCCAGCTCGACAAGGTCGTTTACTTATACAAAAGGTATCCGCAGTACTACGCAGTAATGCGAGATCGTTCATTGGCTAGATAAGGTGAAACGATATCTGGGCAAGGTAACAGCGAGGAAGTAATATGTATGAGAAAGCTGAGTAAGGTCGTGAGAGGTAATCAGTACTAATGGGGATAACGAGTCGTGTATCAGAACGAGGTAAAGATGAGGCGTACATGCACGTCTTGCATGCGCGATAAGAAGAAGGTCTGGAGTTGGATCCGGTGTAACCCTAGACTAGGGGTTCTGGACATCTGGGTAAAGAATCGGAGGTTGCGCTCCGATGAGTCACGTGTTGGATCACGTGGTCTGGTAACGTAAAGGGAACAAGGAAAAGAAAAAGAAAAGACGCGCCACAAGTGGGGAGCGTTGTAACAACATCTGCAATTGGCCCGTAGATTATTCCAAGTTCTTGCGTTCCGGATAGATAGCGGAGGACGCGTTTAGCAGCAGTCCAATGAGCCATTCCGGGATTGGCAGTAAATGAGCTAAGCCGTTGCACGGCGTGAGCAATGTCTGGTCTCGTGGCAATTGCCGCGTACATCAGTGATCCGACGAGCGATGCATATCCATTGTCTCGGTCGCATTCGTCATCAGTTTCGGGTTCTTCTTTTTCAAGCACTGTATTTGGATCAAGAGGCATCCCGACCATGTTGGCATTCGTAAGCCCATTCTTGTGTAGGATAGACTCAATATATTTTGTCTGAGAGATTTTGATTGTCCGCTTTGAACGGTCTCTCTCAATTTCTATCCCCACAATTTTTCGGGGTTCGCCAAGGTCGGTAACTTCGAACATATTTCGGAGTTCCCTCTTCAATTGGTCCATCAGTGCGCAATCATTGGTGAATATTAATAGGTCGTCCACCCAAACGGTGACGATTTCTATCTTATCACCTTTAATCCGTATGTACGCACATGGATCCGAGAATAGGCGCTTGAATCCCGCGTCTAGTAACTTGCGGTTCAGCACGATATTCCATTCTCGGCCAGACTGCTTTAGCCCGTAGAGGGTTTTCTTTAATTTACATACGCGGTATGTTCCATCGCTGTATCCTTCGGGTTGCTGCATATACACTTCTTCTTTGAGAGTTCCATTAAGATAGGCGCCTTTCACGTCCATCTGTCCGATCTCCCAATCTAAGATTGCAGCTAGCCCGAGGATAGCTTGAATGGTTTCGAGGCAGACTACGGGCACGAACGTCTCGGTATAGTCCATGCCTGGGATTTGAGAATATCCCTTCGCAACCAGGCGGGCTTTGTATTTGATTATTTCACCCTCTTTGTTTGTTTTCTTAACTAGAACCCATTTATTTCCTATGGGTTTTCGATCTTTTGGAGGTTCCACTAACTCCCAAGTCTCCATACCCTGTAGTTGATTGAGTTCCGTCTGGACTGCCTGTTCCCATTTGGGCCACTCGAGTGATCTCTTGGCATCACTGAGTGTCTTTGGCTCGTCCGCATCCGCATTTCCGTGGGCGCTCATCGCAATATAGACTAATTCAGCATTTGATTTATCTGGATCATTATCCAGATCTTCGTCTGCCTCTGGGTTGTGCATTAGACGGTAATCATGCCGAACTGTCTTTCTTCTGGTTCGTCTGGGCTGGCTTGGTGCGTCCGTCCCGCTTTCCTCGCGTTGATCAGGATCATCATCCTGTCTGCGCTTTCGCGGATTTTTGGCAGGTGACTGTGGCGCGGAAGTTCCTAACTCCCCCTCGCGCTGCACGTCTGCGGTCGTTGTGAGGTTTGGGACTTCGGGTCTCCTTTCCGCATGCGGCACATCTGACGCATTGCTAGGTAAAGTGCCCAGAAATATATTTTGCTCCCCCTCACGCTGTGCTGTGAGGATAGGTACGTTGGATCCTATTTGCTCTTGTGGCACGTGAGGCGCGTTGCTGGGCAAATGGTCCGGGGAATTCGAAGAAAATTGGAAATTACGCGAGATTTTAATCTGGCACGTATGCGCATCATAATATTTGATGGCTTTGGGTCCGTCCATGTATCCAACAAAAATATACTTGTTGGCACGGGGCGCTAGCTTTGATAGTGTTGTGTCCTCCATGAGGACCCATACGGGGGAACTGAATTCTTGTAGGTACGAGATATTTGGTTTTATCCCATTCCATTTTTCTTCGGGAGTTGCCCCATTTAACACCTGGGTAGGCGATCTATTTTTAATATAGACTGCATGAGCAATCACGTCAGCCCAAAGATAACGAGGTAGATCTCTTGCATAGATCATCACGCGCGCTAGTCCAAGCAGTGTGCGATTCAATCTCTCAGAGACTCCGTTCTGGGATGGTGAGTACGGCGCAGTCGGACCCATCTCGATCCCTTTCATTTGACACCAGTTAATTAATTCGGTGTTCATATATTCTCAACCGTTGTCGAGCCTGAGTCGCAAGGGTTTATTTCCAAACTTGCGCTCGATATAGGTAATATAATTCTTTACCTTTTCTGTTACTTCATCTTTATGCCTCATAAATAGTACTGTACTTCGATGACTGTAATCATCGGTAAATGTCATAAAATATTTCCACCCTTGTAGAGCGGCTGTCTGTACAGGTCCCCACACATCTGTGTGTGTTAATTCTCCGGGTACCTTGCTGCATTCATCCGTCTCTTTGGGAAATGGCTTCCACGTCGCCTTTGCTTGGATGCACGCCTCGCAATTAATTTCATCTGGGCTTGGCGAGATTTCTAGGCCATCAACAAGCCCTTCGTGATATAATCGCATAAGCGCTGGTTTCCCGATATGGCCATAGATCTTGTGCCACTCTTCCCAGGTATGCGGGCCGTATTCCTTAGCAGTATAGGTTCGCGCAGGTTGCGGAACTATTGGACGCAATTTCAATGAATATAGTCGTCCATTTTTCTTGCCTATAGCAAGAGTGTGTTTATTTTTATCTATTAGTATTGCGCGACTATTACCCATAAGTACTCTTCCTCCCGCGTCGTCCAAACACATGATGGAGAGGAGGCTATTGGGTGCTGTTGGCGCATACAGTACATCGTGGAGACGGAATTTCACTTTTCGGTCTCCTACTTCACTTTCGACATCGACCGTACCGTGGCCCAATGTCTGCGTTGGTTGCGGTCCAATGCCTGTGATTGCGTGATCTTCGAGCCCCTGATAGGTCGCGAAGACTTCATGACGATTTGTAATGTGCGAAGTTGTCCCGAAGTCGGCAAACCACTCATAGAAAGAAGCGATTTCGCCATCAGATCCGAGAGATACAGTGTCGCTATCATTATCGTAGGCTATTTTTGCCTCATCCTCTTTCGATTTGACCTCGCGCGCTTTGTAAGCACATTCCGTCTTTTGCCGTTTCATCGGCGGGCCCTGTCCGGCTTTGCCGCCGCCTTTAGCCCAACAATCCGTGGCCTTATGCCCGAATTTTGCGCAATTCATACATTTGACCTTGTCGCAGTGCCGACACTCGTTACCAAGATGTCCCGGCTTTCCGCAGATCGAACATTTTTTGTATTCCCCAAAGGGGCGCTTCTTTCCTTTGGCAACCATGGCTTGGTCCGAGGATTGACCGCGCTTGCCACACTCGTGCCTTCACCTATTTTCATCAAGAATGATGGCAATCAATTCTTGTGATGTAAGCTGAGGGCACACGTTGTCAGCACCTTCGGCGCCAAAGTAAGAGCTGAGGAAAGAATCCCAGCTCTCCGGTAATGAAGTGGCCAGGATGAGCCGGAAATCCTCATCAGAAACAACCTTCCCCATTAGGTGGAGTTGTTCCTGGATCTGTCGCAACTGTGTGATATGATTGGAGATATTGTCTTCTTCCTTGGCTTGCATCCGGTAAAAACACCGGCATAGCGCGAGAATTCCATGCTGTCCACGCTGTTCCTTGACTGTGCGAAGCTGCTCCCACATGGCCCGTGCGGTCTCGGCTCTAGCGATGTGCACCATCTGGGAATCTCCCAGCGATAGCACAATTACATTCTGGGCCTTGAGGTCCTTCTCTCCTCAGGCGCTAATCTCCGCCTCTCTCGCTGCCCTATTGGCCGGGTCATTACTCGGCTGCGGCTTCGGTGTCTTTCCGGTCACATACTCCTGGAGACCCTTGTCATTAAGGATGGCCTCGACGCGGCGCTTTCACGGGAGCCAATTGTCTTCCTTCAGGAGTAGGATCCGGTAAGCATTGCTATTGCTCGTATTATCAGTGCTGGTCGACATTATTTGTTCTCGTACTAGTAAGGGGGTAACAATTTTTGTAGCCACAATAGGGGCTGTTGTTATCCGAGTATTTATTGGCTAGAGCCGGGGCTCATAACCTGTTAGAAATCGCGCCTTAGTTCCCAAATAGGAAGGTAGTGATGGCGGGTCAAGATGCGTCGGGGCGCGTGATTACGCGTCCTAAAATAGATTTCTGTATATATACAGTTCTAGACACTCCACTTTATATAAGCAAATTTCCTTCTTTGTCTTTGTAATCATGCCCTCGGCTTGTCTGCCCTTGGGCGCTCCCCAATTTCTGGAGCTCCAGAAATTTGGGCGCTACTTTCCAACAGACGGGAAGATAGATAGAGGCATCATGCACGGGAAGGTCGCTACTCCATTCATTTGGGACATGATTCATCAGCATGCGCAGCGTTTGTTAGGATCGTGCATGTGCAAAATCTACAATAACCTCCTGTCGGATCGTCTCTCCAGAGGGACGGCGGGAAGCATCTTTGAAGACACCGCCCATCACATCCTTGGAGGACACAGAGCTATACCATTAGGCCTCTTTCGAAAGGTCATACTTCTTCCTCTCAGACTGAGTGGGACCTCTCTATGACTTCGCAAGCGGTCATCTTCGAGAAGATCACTCAGATCTCTGGTAATCTGGCACCACACACGTACTACCGTCTGCTGAATTCAAATTTCACGAGTATCGATTCTTTCACGTTCATTGATGGGACACTGATCCTGTTCCAGTTCACAACCAGTCTGGACCACTCAGTCAAAGTACAAGGATTACAAGGTGTCGCGAAGGTTCTTCCTACCACGAATTGGAAGCTGGTCTTTGTGGTTCCCACAGATATTGAACCAGAGTTTTAAATACCAACTCTACAAGCCACCCTCCTCCCGCGAAACATGGGAGAAAAGAGTGGAGCAATATGTGATGAGACTGAGCGCTGAGCAGTTGTTTCCGACTGCGTAAGTTTGCTTTGACTTTTGTTGCTGACATTCCACCTACTGACGCCAACTTTCAGTGATATGCAACAGGCAGTGGACTAGTCTTCAGCAGATGAAAACCAATTCTCCGCCGCATGCGAACGAGTCAAGCTTGCTGGCAAGCCCATCGGATGCCGTGCTGGCAGCTCTTGCACCGTCGTCGGGCTCTGGTGGTACCGCGACACGGGCGCAAAAACGGGCGCAAAAAAGGAAGCGAGCGAGCAGGAAATCAAACCAGTAGAGTGCGAAGGCTCAGTCATACGTTGGTGGCTTGCGAGAAACTTGTATGCTAGTAGTGATCCAGCATTACTTCGAGTCAGATGTATTAATGAACGATAGGCGTTCGCTGAATGTTGCACCAAAAGAATGCATATTTTGTTCTCATCATGATTCATATGTGAACATTAATGTTGAATGTAAACTTTGGTAAGGAACGACTGTCTTCCTGCAAGTAACTAGAGGCTGTATCTATGAGCCTCACGCCAAGTGAGCGGCCCAGGCACCCAGGCGCTGCCATAATTCCTGCACCTTCTCTGGCCACACCTTCGCAACGACATCCCGAATCAAAAAATCATGACTGAGGTTCTCCTTGATACCCTCGGTCTGAAGCCAGTCTACAGAAACACCTGCTCCAGAGAGTCTGCCCTCGAGCCCTACTATGGAAGAGGCAATACGCTCATTGTCGGCGGAGGATATGAATGTTGGCGGCCAGCCGGGCAGCGGTGCGTGAAGGGCGGGAGAAAAGTACCGAGATTGCATGAGCTCGGGCGGAAGCTGACCTAGAAACTTACGTATCGATGGGTGATTCGGGCTAGGAAGGTATCTTAGGGCAATATTGGCAGAAGAAACACTTGTGATTGAACTCACTCCCTCATGTCACACCACGGGCTGAGAAGTACTATGCCCGCTGGAGGGTCAAGGCATTGACTTTCTAAAATGTATCGCACCAGCGAAAGCACAAGATGGGCGCCCGCAGAGTCACCCACAAAGATAATTCGGGAAGGAGAGACGTTCAGCGTATGCAGCATATAGTAATAAGCGGAGAGTCCCTCGAGAAGTTGCAGGGGAAAAGAGGCTAATCGCTCCGGAGAGGAGCCTGTGAGCGTATAATCTACAGCTAAACCATGGACGAGGCGTCAGTGTTACGGTCGGAGGCGTAGCGTATATAAACGCACACAAGACGCGTGCGAAGATATCGCGCTGTGAATTGTCAGCTAGGTCTATGCGGGTCATGCAGACTCACGTCTACAAATCCACTGGGTATACCTGGACATGGTCCACGCAGGGTCAGCAATGTCGTACAAAGGCATACGCCATCCACTCACGCGAAAACCCGCCCTTTCGGTTCATAGCGCTCCCAAACATGTAGCCTCCGCCATGGAAGTTAAGGGCAGTCCATCGGTTATCCTTGTCGACCTCCTCGAGACCGTCCCCTGCTTTCATCCACCAACGCGCGTTAATCACTTGGAGCACAATGCCAGCTTGCTGTGCCCAGCTCTTAACATCGCCACGTATGAATTCCTCAGGAATGGGAGGGATTGTCTGAACCATGTCGGGTCCGTCTTCAGTATCGCCAGAAACAATTACAGTTGTGTCCGCTCTTGCTGTATCGGAAAGCGACGAATTCTTCTTTTTCAAGAAATTCGTGGCCTTCAACTTCTGCCAGAGTTTGGAGGGCATGAGCCGGGAAATTCGAGAAAGTCAGAGAGTCAGTATGTACGTAAGGGCAAAGGCTGGACAGTGCGTATCTCGTGATCACGTGTACGTTCGCCTTCAGCCACAAGCGCGTCACGGCAGGTGGGACGCGAAACGCGCTCTCACCCTCATCTCTGCTTGTCGCTGTCACGCATATCCAGGCTGCCTCGAGGTCTTGAAGGCATATATTGCATCAATATTTGCACAATCCAACGCGGAAACCTTCTGTCCACCTCACAACAGCAGTTGGAGACTGGGCTGTGGCAACTTTAGAATAGGACTTTAGGTGGTCATATTAGGGCCTACTGTATGTTGCCAGCTTTTTATTGTTTTTATGTACTTCAACCACCTCGGACTTGCTCCACAGTCCCCGAAGTCCTCACACCATGACCGAGATCGACTCTTCACTTTTCGGCCAACCGAGCAATCTACTCGCTGCGAATGTCGCATCAAAACTGTCATCATCTACCGAAATATCTCAAGAAGAGCCTATGCTAAATGGTCATCTTTCAACTAAGCCGTTTGTCTTGGGCGGATTACTCGGTGTTGCGTCGCACCAGACTACTGTCAGCGTACCCGGGTCCAGTGATGCGGAACCAGCAGATGATCAGTCGTCTACTTTGTTTGCATCTGAAAGACACCTCCAGGAAGATCACTTTACCCCCAACGGTCTGCTCGCGGAGCAAACTTCTACCTTGGGTGGACTTTTGAGTGGGGAACGCCCTATTGCTGTTGCGAGCGGCGCCGTGGAGACGGTAGCCGGTAAGTAGGCGTGCCCATTTTGCAATGTAATCTTCTCAATGTATCTCGTAGATGCCCCCACGCTGAACGAATCCTTTATTCCAACTGGCCTGTTGTCATCAACGTCCCAATCGCAAGGTAAACATGTTGACCATTTGTGCACTAAGTATCGCACCCGTCTAAACGAGGTCTCTATGGCTTGCACATAGATGAAGAATTTCCTGACGTGTCAGACCTATTACGACCTTACGTGAATGCCAACGCTGCCGGGAGTTCCAGTGCGTCCACCACATTGTGCGCGTCGACCTTCGAAGGGAAGGTGATCTTCCTCAAGCGTAAGCCAAGACGAGGAGAAAAAAGTTCTTCCACGGTGAGTACATTTGCCGTACACCGACCAGCGCTTGTCGGGGAACTGATCGAAATGTTAGACAAGCAGCGCCGCTTCTAGCGCGCAAAAATTCGGGAAATTGCTTGATGTTCCTATACACCGTCTGCTCGACGACCTATCTGTCACTGTGGCGGCCAAATTGAGTTACCAGTAAGTGTCCTTGTAGTCACTGTCCATAATCGTTCACGGTCTCTCCAGGGAGGCAAACCCGGCGCCAGCAGTTCCATCACGCCCCTCCACAAGTACAGACGCTTCCCTCTTGACTGACCGATATCGCCCAAAGCGCTTTACTGAACTCCTCGGTGACGACCGTGTGCACCGCGAGGTGATGGCGTGGGTGAAGGAGTGGGACCACTGCGTGTTTGGTGGACGCAAGGGTCGCGGCCGCAAGCGTCCACGAGAAGAAGACAGTGCTGACGAGTGGCGACGACCAAAAGAGAAGGTATGTTCGGTGGTGACGCTGTGCGATTTTCTAGTGGTGGTTGACAGCTCCTGCACTTGGGGTAGCTGCTGCTCTTGTCCGGACCGCCTGGGTTGGGTAAGACGACACTCGCGCATATTGTGGCTCAGCATGCGGGTTATAGTGTATTTGAAATCAACGCTAGGTTGGGCAATTTATGACTCGTTCATCTCCTCGCCTAAATACCTTCGACATTTTAGTGATGCTCGAACAGCCCAAGTGGTCGATGATCGCATACGTCCTGCATTGGAGTCTGGCTCTGCCGTCGGTAGCTCAAAACCCATCTTGGTGGTCGTCGACGAGATCGATGGTGCTACTGGCGGCACAGACAACGTATGTGCCCTACGCTCATATTTGTTCCTGCTGTTGATATGTCTCGCAGTCTAGCGGATTCATCCAGAGACTCATACAGCTGACGTATGACAAGCCACGAAAGAAAGGTATGCTTCAAGGCGGCGTACCCCGTCCATATCCTCATAACACATCTATAGGCCGCAAACTTGACCCTAAGGCTTCTCGCCCACTGCTCCGCCCCATCATTTGCATCTGCAATGACCTATATGCGAGCTCTCTTGCGAAACTCCGTCCTCTCGCCAGAATTGTGAGATTCTCGCGTCCCAATGACGTGCACTTGGTGCGACGTTTGCGGGACATATGCGAGACTGAAGGACTTCGTGCGGAATCTAGGGCACTCACTACGCTCGTGGGCGTTTCCCAAGGTGATCTCAGAGGATGCCTGAACATGCTTCAGGTCAGTTAGGCACTGTAGACGACTGAAGCCCGACTTATATTAATATTCTCGAACTAGTTCATCAAGGCCCGAGGTAAGGAAGTTACTGAGCCAACTGTGCGTGCGGCAACTATTGGCATGAAAGGAGGGAATACCTCGCCATCTAGTGTGCTCAATGATCTCTTCGCACCTATGTCACGAAAGCGAGCGAAGGATCTTGGAATTGGAGAAGAGGAGGAGGCACGGTATGTCGGTCGTCTCAGCCGTGAGGTTGAGGATAGCGGGTCTGTGGACAAGATCGCACTAGGTAACGTATGGCCTATTTCCAATAGCCATGCGATCGCTGACCGTGCGCAGGGTGTTTCGAGCACTACGCCAACTTGCACCAGCACGATGGCAACTTTTCGCGATACCTCAAGGGGAACGAGTGGCTTGGAACTTTCGACATCATGTCGGGCGAAATGTGGTCAGAGCGGGAGTATGCACTTCTGCAGTATCTCCCATATACTCTCGTCCCTTTTTACCCGCTGTTCCAGGAGCGTGGCGGCCCGAGGGTAGAAAGGCCGAAAGCAGATTGGGAGGTATGTCGCTAGTTTCTCTTTGCGTAGTTGGTGCAGCCAGTGAATAGTGGCGCCTCGCAGAATTACGTCCAGACCAAGATGAACGAAGAAATCTACAAATCCCTGGGGCGCAGTCTGCGTGCAGCTGCTGGTTTCCGACACTGTGGCGGCTTCAGGCATCTCGCGAGCGACCAAATTTTGCAACTCGAACTGGCACCATTACTCAACAGGATCATCTCACCTCCTCTGCATCCAGTAAATCGATTCTGCGCAGGGTTGTCTTCATGTAGCTGACAAAGATATCCAGGTCAACAGTCAGGTCATCCGCCCACACGAGCGGGCGATACTGAGCAGGCTGATCGATATCATGGTAGCTCTGGAGCTACGCTTCGTGCAAGAGAACGCAGAAGACGGCCAGCTCGTCTACAGACTGGACCCGTGAGTCATCTTCCGCGATTTCTCGCATGGAGCCACGACAGACTGCTATTCGCAGCCCGATAGATGTGTTCGTCACCTACGACGGCAAACGAGCCACTGACATCTCCGTCTCGCGTTATGCTCTCAGACACCTGGTTGCGGCAGAGGTGCGTCGGTGCGATACGCCGCAGTGCACCTTTACTGATGGAGTTTCCGTAGATTGATGCACAGCTCGCCTCGCGACAAGTGGACACAATCGAGAATAAACGGAGTAAAGCAGATTTCTTCAGCAGACGAAAGTGCGTTACGATCGTATATTGCACGTATTGGTGATCACCGAGTTACATAATTTCCTCAGGCGAAAGGCGTCTGAGAACGAGGAAGAGGTCGAAGCAGAGGGCGACGGCCAATTAGTAGGCCGAGGGTCTAACGTTGTCGTGAACAAGCGAGCAAGGAAGGATGACGCAGAACCTGCAGAGAAGGCAAGTCGTCGGGATATTGCTGGCCCGTCCGTATATTGACGGTCACATCGTAGGTCGCAACTGACTTCTTCGGACGACCTATTATACCGAAGACTAGCAACGAGACTCAGAAGTCAAGTGCTCCCGTAGTGAAATACCAAGTCAAGTATCGCTTCAAGGAGGGCAATTCTTCGGCCGTGCGCAAGCCGGTCAAAGTCGGGGCTTTCTTGTGATGGACGACTTAACTTGTTGTCCACCACTTCCATACGCACTTCCGCCGGAAAAAAAATATGTATCATCATGTTGCAGTTACAAGAAATTCCATTGTTTGTACAGTCACCGTCTAAACGTTAGCTTCCTTAATCATGCCCAGAATCTGATCCTTATCGATACCATCCTTGTTGGTAGAGTGCGAGATCTCCTCAAACGTCTCGCCGTCCCGGACGGTCTTCAACGCCTTGTTGCGCACCAACATTAGACTGTCTGTGCCTAGCTGAATGCGGAGAGGCGGGTTGGGCATGCTTGCGATCTGCATTAGCACTTTCCCTCCTTTGTTAGGGTCTCCGATTCCGCCGCCGCCGTATTGGTGCGAGGCCTCCCGCATCTTCCTGAATGCCAAGCCAGGGGAAGTGGGGCCTTGATAGCGGGGGTGTATGGGAACGTGGATCATGGAGCTACCACCCCACTCGGTTTCGAATCCTCCCGGCTCAATTATGAGACCCTTGATATTCCACTCTGGAAGCATCTCCTTAGTGAAGGCTTCGGTGAAGGCCTCAAGAGCTAGTGAGAAGCTTGTGAGCAACGAATGAAGCATTAAACGCAAAATGCGTCATACCAAATTTTCCGGCACTGTAGAAGGCAAGCGTGGGGTTGCTGGAATAACCACCTACGGAAGAGATATTGAGCACGCGACCACCATATCCCGGAGGGTTGACGTCTCTCAGGAACTTGATGGCCTGTAGCGGATTATCAGCATCAATTGCAGTTAATTCAACTTGCATCGCACTGACTTCCTTCGTGATGCGAACGGGTCCCCAGAACAAAACTTCTATCTGCTTCCGCGCCTCTGCCTCCGGGGTGTCTTCAATTTCGCCTTCCAAGCCATAGCCGGCGTTATTGACCACTACGTCCAGCCTCCCAAAATGCTTCTTGGTGGCTTCGAATGCAGCTACAATCTGCGCCTCGTCCGTCACGTCGAGGGGAACAACCAAAAGCTGGGAGGAGGCGTATTTCTCGACCAGGGGGGCGAGCACTGTCGGTTTGCGAAGAGTAGCAACAGCACGCTCGCCAGAGGCAAGGACCTCCTCGAGAAGGGCCCTTCCAAGCCCTTGAGAGCTGCCGGTGACTGCAACTTAGGTTCTCAGCATGCCACTAAGCCTCAGAGACCACTCACTGAACCAAATTCGAGAGTCCGAAGTGCTCATTATGGTGACGAGTGGTGGTGGCGTACGAGGTTGAATAGTGGACAAGTCCGAGTCTGCATGACGACCTCAGCAGGTCTACCGAAGGAACATTTGCCGTGCCATCCAGTTGCGCAAGTCTTCGGCTTGATTCCGACTACAAAACTCTCCAAAAGGGGCAACTTCGCAAGCCACGGAGTAAATCATTATGTAATAGAGGCTCTCTCTGCCTGTCCTGCAAACACATGAATGTTTTAATATTCAATGCTCACTACCGTGGTTGGACGGGTTTGAATATTCAAACCAGTTGATACTGTGAGCATCCTCTGGTTCCAACACTAGTGCGACAGCACATGCTTATATCCCCTCCCAGGCTAAATGCACTGTGCAAGACGCTGTACACGTTTGTCAAATATTTGCACGCAGTCACAGCATTCAATTATTACGCCCTCAGCCTCGGGCCGCATCTTGTCGTCGATGTACGGCTTCACCTCGAACAGCATGTATATTTCCTCCACGGTGCTCTCTGAGTTTTCAGGGCACATAAGCTGTACATGCAAGGCGTTCGGCGCTTCTTGTCTTTCTCTGCTTCCACTTAGAATCTCATGGTCATTCGGGTGAGTTCTTGGCCGCTCCTCGCAACTCTGTCGTCTCTTGAGAGCAGCGACACAAAATAACTATCATTTATGTGTTACTTTTGCCTCTGGAATGGAATCGTTAGCGGATCTTTGGGCTGTTTGCTTCGTGCGCGGATACACTGCAGGGGAATGTCTGATACTCATGTTCTGCTCATCTTCCACATATTCAAACACTTGGTCTTCATTATTATCCTCTCTTATCACCAAAGACATGCTGATTGGTGCAGCTTGTCCCTCGGAATTGTTTACCTCATCATCTCTAGCCCCTTGTCGACCTCTCACCCTGGTTCGGAAATGATTCATTCGGCGTCCTGAAGCTACAGAGTAAGTGCTATCAGCTACGTCGGGAACTATCGAGGCACCAAAGGCCATGCAGAGGTTTGGACCAGGATATGGCAGACTCTTCTCTGGTTCATTTATTTGATTTCCTTGAACGTACGACATGAATATGTGCATCCTTTTCTTGATGAGTCACCCTCCACCGTCTGCCCAGTACTGTCGTGCTCCGGATATAAGTTGGACGTAAATTGGGTTTCCGTGTTTATTCCGGTACGTATTTCGAGTGGAGCATCTGAATGTAAGGCTTAGACACTTCTTCGTGCCTCAAACTTCAAGATACACGTCTGTGTGCACACTAAAGCCTGCTTGTATCGCCAGATCATGGCTCAGACAGGTCACCGCAAATGTTGTATATAGCGGTAGATGTACAAAATCCAGACATTTACCATATGTCTCGAGTTCGCTTGATCGCAAACAGATACAGCGATACAAGCGGTGACGAACGACTACAGTTGCCTTGTTTGGAACTGAAGGTGAACAAGTGGCCACGGGCGCCTCAGATCTCAGAACCTTACTACTTACTTGCTTTCCACGACAATCTCAGTCATATCTTGCTGTGGTGCCAGGACATCCAGTCTTTCAGTGTCTGCCTTGCGAACGTTATTCACTTGGTAAGAACTGTGTAAGGACAGACAGCATCTGCCTTAGCCGCAGGGGAGACGCGGAGGTTGTGTTCGGGGTGACCATTCCAAACAGCCGAAGCGATTGAACTATATAGCGAGGTGCACATCTAGTAGTCAAGCGAGCTGTATCTGCGAATATGGGTGTCATGGATAGTGACGGAAAACAGCATTTTGCTGAGGGTATTGTGGCAACCAATACCCAGGAGTGGGTGCTGAACCCAGAAACTGAGTATAGGTTCGAACTTGACCCTGGCACCTCACTCGCGATCAAGGTGCGATTTTCTTAACAACAGAGTATAGCTCTTAACACCCTGATCTTTGATGCGCTCATTCATGCGCTGCAGCTCCTTCGTGGACACGCAGAAATTTTCGGCGCAGAGCTTGTAGACGGCAAGACTTATGTCTACGGCTTCGAATGCAAGGCAGCTGTGTACACATGGCAGGGATGCACCATAGAGATGAGTACATCTCTCTCACACTCCCATCCACAGATGTTTACCGGTTTGGACACGATGCCGTCATCGCAAGCACGTCACAGGCCAGCCTTCGACAGAATACATCTCGGAGGAGACCCCCATGGTAGCCTACGCGAATGTACACCTCGCGCTCGAGCAGATGCGGGTACGCGCCTTGCGAGCGGTGCATGGCTCACCTCCATCAGACGACGATGACGCGGATATACTCACAAACCCCGATGCGCCGCGTGTGCTGGTATTGGGGCCAGAGAACTCGGGCAAGACGACGATGTGCAAGATTCTGACGAATTATGCGTTGCGCACTGGACAGGATTGGTGCCCTCTACTCGTGAATGCGGACCCTAGCGAGGTATGTTGCAGTCCTAGTTGGCTTCTATGCTTGCAGCAATGTCACACCGAAAGTCGGCAATTAACATCAATATACGCGGTTTAGGGAGGATGGGCAGTCCCTGGAGCCATATCCGCTGCTTCGATTTCTATTCCGATACAGACCTGCTCTTCCGCCTCCCCTCTTGGTTCGACGGCGACGTCTGCGCCCACCCACATGTCCTCTAATGCCCTTCTTCCTCTCGCATACTGGTACGGCCACGCCCAGACACGACGGAATCCGTTACTCATGGACAGAGTGATTCGGAATTTGGGGGAAAACATCATGGAGCGGTGGGAGTCTGACACAGAAAGTGAGTGAAGTCCTTTACTTTGTGTTGGGAGTCTCCCTTATTCTGCGATGTAGGTCGGGTGTCAGGCTTGATTGTCGACACACCGGCTTCTTTTGCCGCCAGCTCGGGTTCCAATGGTGATCACAGGCAGACCCTCATCAAAGCTTGCGTTGATGCATTCAGAAGTAAGTGATGTCATAAATGTCTACGACTCGGTGGTCTGACGAAAATCGTGCCCAGTAAATGTCATCCTTGTAGTAGGCCACGAAAAGCTCAATGTGGAGATGCAGCGAATATACGGTAATCGTATGGCCGTCGTCAAGATACCAAAATCGGGTGGCGTAAGATCTGTTCTTCCCTCATAGCTCTCAGCCACTCATTCATGTGCTGCTTCCCATGTGTTTACAGGTGGTAGAACTGGACGCTAGCTACCGGGAGCGGATACGCAAGTATGAGCTACACAAGTACATGTATGGCCAGGTGATTGAGCCCCCATCTGGCCTAAGCAGTACGGTGTGCATGCAAGGGGGCGAGCAGACGCCCGACCTCACTCTTGCGCTTTCACCGTCATCGTCGGTAATCTCGTTCAGCGACCTGAGAATTTATCGCATTGGAGAAGGCAAGTATATCACATTCATTTGCTCTGTAGTTTTTGCTTCCCTATCCATTTGTTTTACCATTTACACCATTGTCTCACCTGTCCTAACCTCTATTCACGGGACAGAAACGATGGCACCGGTTTCAGCACTTCCCATTGGCGCAACTCGCGTAGTTTCCGAGATGCAGCCGCTAGTCGTCGATCCAGCGCTGCCCGGTTCGGGGCTGTACAACGCAGTTCTCGCACTCCTGGCCCCTCCGAACCCTGACGAGTCAGAACGCTATGATGAGGAAGTGCTCGACCTGCCAATTGTTGGGTTCACCGTAGTGTGAGTACTTCAAGCTCTTGTTTCCCGCGTTGTACGCGTTGTTCATTCGCTTGTTGGATTGCATAGGACTGCGTTGGACATCCCTAACAAACGGATGACGGTGCTGGCGCCAAGTCAGGGTTCGCTCGCGGGGCGGATCGCTGTTGTGGGCTCATTCGAATGGCAGGAATGAAAGTATTTTATCCAAAGGAGAGAGTAATTCTGTGAAGCCCGAAAGACCTATGGTATACGGTGATCCTAATGATAGATTTTCTGGTCAGAATCAACTATAAGCTGTCCACTGGGAGATATCGGGCGACCATGCGGCCAATGTAAGTCTGTTAGTGTCAATACTCTGTGCTTAAAGGCATCATATACAAAAGGCCTCATGGCTGTGCGATATTTGTACCATTGACACACGGGGGCGAATGAAGGAACATCCTAAAACCATAATAACTTTAACGCCGTCTACGTCTTACTTACAAGCGGGACAATAATTAAAATTCTCGACGACCGTACTGTCCGGCGAACGGGTAACGTATGCGATCACATGTTCACCGGCTGAAACAAGAAATATTTTGCATCTGTTGCAATGTCACACTCTGTAAAAACCGGAAGTCAAGTGGAGTCTAAGCATTGTCAGGCTGCAGTCAGCGAGTTTCAAAAATTTGCCACCGTAGTCACAGAGAAGTCAAGATAAGTCCGATTTCAGTCGCCAAAGTGATCCTGCCAAGAAATTATGCCATCAAATGCAGTCAAATCCTAGTCTGCGAAAGTCTGACACCACAGTTGATTGTCTCATAATACATGGCATTCTGGTGCTCATATGTTGGTTCTTTTGCACTCAGAGGTTGGAATATAGCTGTAGAGACATGATCTAAACCATATGAGGTTATGTACTACAAGAAAATCATACAAATAGTCACGAATAGTCAAATTTGCCAGAATTTCGAATTTGGCTGACTACACTTTGACTTCCCGTTTTTACTGAGACATGTCACAGCTGCTATTAGGAAGGGCGAGTAGCATCCAATAGGTCACGTCTGGGGTAACTCCGGTCGAAAACCTCCAGCTGGGAGAACAGCGCGATCGCCTTCCTCCACTCTTTCAGAAAGTCACGTAGTCAGGTCTTATCGGTGGAGTATGCACTTGAAATCGAGCACACACCGTCCTGTCTATCTTCTTGCGCGCAGTGATGATACTGTTGTCGTCATCAACGTGCAGGCGCGTGATCCAAGCCGCTGCCTTTGCGACGCCCGCCACGAAATCAACACGGCAACATTCCAGGAGCTCCAGAGCTGTTAGCGACGGCAGCGTGGCTAGAACTGCCAAGAGACCCGCGACGGTTGCCAGTGCGTGACGGTGAGATACTAAAGTGCCCGCGGCTCAGTAGACGTTGGGGAGAGGATCCCGATGGCTTGCTCGGTCCAACACTCGAGTCTCTTCAAATTGGGCAGCAGCCCGGGTGGCCAGTCCTGCCGTGGATGTGACCTGCCTTTCGAGTCCCATCCGAGGAAGTCGTCGATGGCAAGCTCCACCAATTGCGGATGGGCAAGGAAGAACGATATCGCTGCCGCTGGTGTACAGACTGCACAAGACAGGTACAGAAAGCGCAGGTATGGCCACCGCCCACTTAAGACGATGTCTCCCACGTCCGGCAGCAGGCGTCTAGTTTGAAGTGTGAACTTTAACCGCAGTTTCTGCGCGACTGCATGAGCTGTGGATACAAAGGATTCGACATACACCGTACCTGCAATCTCGGGCAACGTTCGCGCAGCATGATACCGGGGGTGGTAGTATCAAGTGGACCGTCATCGTGGAGGGTAGCCCAATGTTCGAAATGCGTCAAATTTGAAAAATCAAGTATCTACCGTTCCCATGTCTACACATGATCCAACATGCTGTTGATGGGTGGTTGGAAAGACTCACCACATCGCCGAATTTTAGACGAGGCCTGTCACGAAATCCATGCTCCAAGCGAATATCCACCTCTCTAAGGCTTGGGCAGTGCGCGGGGGGGTCCACACGTCTTCCCCATCAGTTTCTTTTTGGGCGATCACTGTGTTGGGCTTAGCAAGCCATTTGAAGGATCTCAGGTTAGAAAGGATTGCCACGACAAGCTGCAACTCTGCGTTTCGTCGCGTCGCAGATAGATTGCATGAGCGAGTGGGACCGCAGGCGCAAATGAAACGAGGGAGCCGGCATGGGCGATGTTCAGTGATCTCAAGAGTTCGAACATTACGCGCTAGGGACAGGTCTCGAGAGCACACCCTCCACAGGCACATGGCTTTGACGTCACATCGAATGTGGCGCAGCTGTGTGTATTGCGGAGGGATGGCCGATGCGATGACCTTTGCCGCCAATGCGAATGCTAGCAGGTCGTCCGAGCTATCGAGCTCGTCGGCGATGATTTCGACGATTTTCAGCGGCAGATCAGTAATGGCCGGCATTCAGATGCCAGTAACTACTGTCATATCTTCAGACATTGGCCGTATGGAAAATCTGGAGGCGTACCTAAGGAATTCGAGTGGCGCCAAGTCAATGTCAGGATATACTATAGGCTCTTCACGCCCGAAGTCCACCCTCAAGTCGTCAGCAGTGAGTACCAGAGTTGATATCAAACCAAACCTTACCGAAGGCAGGAAAGGTACGAACGCCTCTGGCATGCACCTGACAAGGTCGATGACGAGAACTAAAGCAGCAACGAGTATTTATATTATCCCTGAACTTGGTGCCAATCCGCAGTACAAGGTCGTACCCACGGCAACCGACATTACTAGGTCGCACAGATAACATTCGGTGCGGTATGACCTTGTGTTGAATGTATGTCACAGGCTTTAGTAGAGCAATCTGGACAGATTTTACCTTTTTCGGTAGCCTCGAACCTCGTATGAGAGTAGTCTCGTAACCAGACGTTCACGTGAGCAACCTGGCGGTTACCAAATTGGGCGTTAAAGATGTTGGGTCGCTCCCGAGAACGTCTGGTGAAAATTGTATAGAGGGGGGGGGTATGTCACACGGGCGTGACCTCAGCCAAAACTCGAAACATCCGAACCTGAGCGCGGCACATTCACGGGTTACTGATGCCTAGAATAGGGTTCGGGGGCATATATGGTTGCATACATGAACAATATTTATCAGCAGGAAGCAGGAGATGTGCAGGTACACGCGGGATGACCAGCGTGACACGCTGTTGGAAAGTAGCGCCCAAATTTCTGGAGCTCCAGAAATTGGGGAGCGCCCAAGGGCAGACAAGCCGAGGGCATGATTACAAAGAAAGACAAAGAAGGAAATTTGCTTATATAAAGTGGAGCATCTAGAACTGTATATATCTACAGAAATCTATTTTAGGACGCGTAATCACACGCCCCGACACATCTTGACCCGCCATCACTACCTTCCTATTTGGGAACTAAGGCGTGATTTCTAACAGGTTATGAGCCCCGGCTGTAGCCAATAAATACTCGGATAACAACAGCCCCTATTGTGGCTACAAAAATTGTTACCCCCTTACTAGTACGAGAACAAATAATGTCGACCAGCGCTGATAATACGAGCAATAGCAATGCTTACCGGATCCCACTCCTGAAGGAAGACAATTGGTGTTGGAGGCTTCGGGATGACCTTATTAGGCAATCCGGAGCATCCAGGTAGTCGGGCGATATTCCCCGATATCTTATTCAGCATCGAAGGATACAGTAGCTACGAGAACTATGTGGTATGTTCTGGACTAGTCTACTGGTGTAGTATATAAGGAGGGACCTCTTGCAGGTCCCAGTAATTATATCTCTTCCCCAATCACTCACTCGGAAGAATTCATATCAGCTGCGCTAATAGGTTATGAGCCCCGCTAGCTTATAGCTTATACTTTACCAGCTTCTACTTACTCATTACACACTCTGACTATCAGTAGTTACAATGTCTGGTACTACTGAATCTCGCGACAGCCTGTCGTCCTTGTTCCGAATCGAACAACTTCGTGATGACAACTGGCTTCCGTGGAAGCGCCGTACAATGGCGATCTTAAGGGAGCGCGGTGTCCTGAAGTATGTTGATGGGACCTCGGAGAAGCCGAAGCCGGTAGACGCAACGACACCAACACCGGAAGAGATGGCGGCAACCAAGAAATGGATCGAGGGTGATCAGAAAGCCCAGACCGTTATCGAGCTGCTGTTGAGCGACTCGCAGATGATACACATCACGGACGCTACAATGGCTGTGGAGATGTGGAACCAATTGAAGTTAGTAAAGGAGGCGAGTGGACAACTGGGGATAATGGCATACCGAAGGAAATTCTACCGCACAGTTGCCACAGAAGGCAGCAATATTGCGGCGCATATCAGGGAGCTCCGCCAGACACAGGAGCAGCTACACACAATGGGTAGCAAGGTGTCGGATGATGAATTTCGAATGATCCTGATCACATCGTTACCAGAGTCTTGGGACCAGTTCACATCTGCATACCTAGCTGCAACTAGTCAGAAGGACACGCTGCCGACATCATATGAATTAATAGCCATCTTGCTCGAAGAATACCGACGCCGGCGAGAGAAAGGCGGTGCCGATGAGTCTGCGCTGGCAGCGCGTGGGCGGTGGACCCAGCCGAAGAATACCACACAGGGCAGAACGGACAGGAAGTCCGATGTGGAGTGCTGGAATTGCCACAAGTGTGGACACACTCAACATGAGTGTTGGTCGAAAGGCGGCGGCATGGCGGGTCAGGGACTGCGAAGCAAGAAAGGCGGCCGTGCGCAGGCGCGCACGAACCAGGCACAGTCAACGAACGATGTGCTGCGAGATGTCGCGTTCCGCACAGACGAGGTGACCTGTGCCGGGCAACAATTTAGTAGTCAGTTCTCACGTTATGACTGGCTAGCTGACTCTGGAATGACATCACATGTTACGAACCTTCGTGACACGATGACAGACTATGTGCCGCTTGAGGCCTCGTCGATTGCCGGGATTGGAGACCAGAGTGTGCGCGCTCTCGGGCGTGGCACTGTGGAAGTCAATAGCAGGATCAGAGGCAACACATGTACTTTTCGCTTGAAAGATGTCCTGTACGCACCGAAAGCGACAAATAATTTGGTGTCGCTGAGCTGCCTGGATGAAGCGGGTGGACACTTTGATGGCAGTGCCGGAGGAATAATGCTGCGAGAAAGCAGCGGCCACATCATCGCGCAAGGCCAAAAAGTCGGCTGATTGTACTTGCTCAACATGCGGGCCAAGGCTGCTATGCCGAGTGAAGAGCGCGCGAACATTGCGTGCGATGATAGCGACTCGTGGGAGTTGTGGCACCGGAGATATGGACACCTGGGATTCACAGGGTTAGAGAAGCTCTACAAGGAAAACTTGGTGGAGGGACTCACCATTGATGAAAACTCGATGCCACTGACACAGTGCGAAGCCTGCATTCAAGCCAAACAGGCGCGCCGTGCATATCCGAAGGAGGCAGAGGACCGAACCCAGATGCCAGGCGAGCTGATGCACAGCGACGTCTGGGGCCCTGCACGTATAGCGTCGATTGCCGGATCGCGATACTACTGCACACGGAGGTGCCAAGTACTGTTTATGAAGCATAAGAGTGAGGCTTTCGAGAAAGTCAAAGAATACCTCACCTTTATTGAATGACACTTCGGGCACCTGCCGAAGATATTGCGCGTCGATAATGGGTCCGAATACATTAATAAGGACCTGAAGGGATGGTGCTGTGAGAAGGGAATTGAGCTGCAAACGACAGCATCATACTCACCTTCGCAGAATGGTGTAGCTGAGCGATTTAATCACACGCTATTGGAGCTTGCTCGCACAATGTTGATTGCAAGGAAGCTTCCAAACTTCCTCTGGGCGGAAGCTGTTGCATACGCAGCATACCTGCGAAATTGAGCGCCGACGAAAGCACTGCGCGGGAAAACTCCGGAAGAGGCATGGACGGGCAAGAAGCCCAATGTCGCGCACCTACAAGAATTTGGGTCAGATGTCTGGATTCTGACGGAAGGCCAGAATCTCTCGAAACTCGAGCCAAAGTCGAAGAAACACACCTTTGTAGGTTTTGCTGATGGCCCGAAGGCCATGCACTACTACGATGTGGGTGTGCACTTGATCCGAGTCTCACGAAATTTTGTATTCGCGGATGTCCTGAACCCAGCAAGCAATGTTCCTGTACATCAGCTTGATGACAGTGACAGGCTGCCACTCGAGGGGGAGTCAGGGGGAGCTGTCAAGCAGCAGCCTCCCACATCTGCATCAAAACCAGCATCAGTACCTGTCAAAGCTGATCAGTCTAACAAGAAACACGATGGAAACCACATTACGGAGGAAGACTTACCTCCCGAGATGCAGGAGAGCATGCGAGAGCGACCGACATTCTTGCCTGCACCCCCGAAGATCCCTCTTCATTGTACGACCCACGCCATGCAGGATCATGACTATCGAAAGATGGATAACCCCCGCGTGCAGCCCGTGAAGTCACGCGAGCTGCCGGGAGTGCCGAAAGAGAACGCACTGGGTGAAAGTGCAAAAGTCGCTGTGATGCCCGAAGAATTCGAAGAGATCGCGCAGGCACTGTATGCGACAGCGCTGGCATCGGGCGACAGAACGGCAAGTGCAGGAGATGAACCGCGAAGCCTCGCGAGGCCCAAGCCTCTCCGGAATGGTCAGAATGGGAAAAGGCTGTAAAAGCGGAATATGATCAGTTGCAGGGCATGGGGACTTGGGGGCTACAAGACTTACCAAAAGATCGAAATGCTGTGGGCTGCAAGTGGGTCTTCCAGAGGAAAACCAACAAGGAGGGTCAGGTTGTCAAGTACAAAGCCAGATTGGTGGCACAGGGGTACTCACAGATCCCAGGGATGGATTTCCTTGAAACCTTTGCCCCTGTAGTTCGTCTTGAGTCCATCAGGGCCATCCTAGCATTAGCAGTAGTTAATAACTGGAAAATAGGCCAGATGGATGTCAAGGGAGCTTACCTGAATGGAGACCTCCAGGAGGAGATCTACATGCGACAGCCGGAAGGCTTCGATGACGGAAGTGGACACGTTTGTCGACTCCACAAGACGCTCTACAGACTAAAGCAGTCCGGGCACAAATGGAACCGCAAGCTGCATCGCGAGCTGATGGAGCTCGGGTACAAGCGGCTGGAGGCGGATCCATGTGTATACCTGCGGGAGCGAAAGGAAGGAGAAGTTCAGATTATCACGGTATGGGTGGATGACTTACTGTTATTCACCAACTCTCCGAAGCTCATGGAGGAGCTCAAGCGCGACCTGCAGGACCTCTTCGAAGTCACGGACCTTGGTGAGCCGCAGAAATTTGTTGGGATTGAAATTGAGCGAGATAGGGAAGCGGGAACACTTCAAATCTCGCAACAGCACTACATCAAGAGCATTCTCAAGCGATACCACCTTGAGAATGCCAAGCTGTAGGGATGCCGCTCGATCTGAATGTGGTGCTCACGGTAGAGGACGAGAATGAGGAGGCGGACGACCGTTTGGCAGAAGGTTACGCGTCGATGGTGAGATTGCTGATGTATGCAGCAGTGGGAACAAGGCCAGATATTTCCTACGCTGTACAGACGCTGAGCAAATACACAGCGTGCCCACGACCTGTCCATTGGACAGCGGCAAAATGAGTTCTATGGTACCTCGCAGGAACACGTGACTTGCACGTGATGTACACGCGACGCGATTCGGACGCGCCGAACGGAAATATAATAGGAGGATATACGAACACGGATTATGCATCAGATCATGACCGAAAATCAGTCTCGGGTCATGTCTTTTACTTGAGAGGTGGAGCCGTAGCATGGAGTTCGAAGAAACAAACAACAACGGCAACATCCTCGACAGAAGCCGAGTATACAGCACTCGCGCATGCGACACGTCAAGCAATATGGCTGCGAAACTTACTGGCAGAACTCGGGTTTGCATAAGAAGAACCCACAGAAATTTATTGTGATAACCAGGCAGCGATCGCGATAGCACGCGACCCGCAGTATCACGCGCGGTCAAAGCACTTTGACGTGCAGAATCATTTCGTGCGCGAAAAGGTGGAAAATGGTATTATTCAATTGTGCTACTGTCCTACAGATGAGATGGTAGCAGATGTATTTACTAAGGCCCTACCCAAGCCTAAGCACCAAAAGTTCACATTGGAACTTGGGATGCTTCCGGCTTGAGGGGGAGTGTTGGAGGCTTCGGGATGACCTTATTAGGCAATCCGGAGCATCCAGGTAGTCGGGCGATATTTCCCGATATCTTATTCAGCATCGAAGGATACAGTAGCTACGAGAACTATGTGGTATGTTCTGGACTAGTCTACTGGTGTAGTATATAAGGAGGGACCTCTTGCAGGTCCCAGTAATTATATCTCTTCCCCAATCACTCACTCGGAAGAATTCATATCAGCTGCACTAATAATTGGCTCCTGTGGAAGCGCCGCGTCGAGGCCATCCTTAATGATAAGGGTCTCCAGGAGTATGTGACCGGAAAGACACCGAAGCCGCAGCCGAGTAATGACCCGGCCAATAGGGCAGCGAGAGAGGCAGAGATTAGCGCCTGGGGAAAGAAGGACTCAAGGCCCAGAACGTAATTGTGCTATCGCTGGGAGATTCCCAGATGGTGCACATCGCTGGAGCCGAGACGGCATGGGCCATGTGGGAGCAGCTCCACACAGTCAAGGAACAGTGTGGACAGCATGGAATTCTCGCGCTGTGCCAGCGTTTTTACCGGATGCAAGCCAAGGAAGAAGACAATATCTCCAATCATATCACACAGCTACGACAGATCCAGGAACAACTCCACCTAATGGGGAAGGTTGTTTCTGACGAGGATTTTTGGCTCATCCTGACCACTTCATTACCGGAGAGCTGGGATTCTTTCCTCAGCTCTTACTTTGGTGCCGTGGGCGGCAATGTTGGCGCCGAAGGTGCTGACAACGTGCGCCCTCAGCTTACACCACAAGAATTGATTGCCATCATTCTTGATGAAAATAGGCGAAGGCATGAGCATGGCGAGCGTGGTCAATCCTCGGACCAAGCCATGGTTGCCAAAGGAAAGAAGCACCCCTTTGGGGAATACAAAAAATGTTCGATCTGCGGAAAGCCGGGACATCTTGGTAACGAGTGTCGGCACCGCGACAAGGTCAAATGTATGAATTGTGGAAAATTCGGGCATAAGGCCACGGATTGTTGGGCCAAAGGCGGCGGCAAAGCCGGATAGGGCCCGCTGATGAAGCGGCAAAAGACGGAATGTGCTTACGAAGCACGCGAGGTTGAACTGAAAGAGGATGAGGCAAAAATAGCCTACGATAATGATAGCGACACTGTATCTCTCGGATCTGATGGTGAAATCGCTTCTTTTTATGAGTGGTTTGCCGACTCCGGGACAACTTCGCACATTACAAATTGTTGTGAAATCTTCGCGACCTATCAGGCGCTCGAAGATCACGTGATTACGGGCATCGGACCGCAACCAACGCAGGCATTGGGCCGCGGTACAGTCGATGTCGAAAGTGAAGTAGGAGACCGGAAAGTGAAATTCCGTCTCCACGGTGTACTGTATGCGCCAACAGCACCCAATAGCCTCCTCTCCATCATGCGTTTAGATGATGCGGGAGGAAGAGTACTTATGGGAAATAGTCGCGCAATACTAATAGATAAAAATAAACACACCCTTGCTATAGGCAAGAAAAATGGACGACTATATTCATTGAAATTGCGTCCAATAGTTCCGCAACCTGCACGAACCTATACTGCTAAGGAATACGGCCCGCATACCTGGGAAGAGTGGCACAAGATTTATGGCCATATCGGGAAATCAGCGCTTACGCGATTATATCGCGAAGGGCTTGTAGATGGCCTAGAGATCTCGCCAAGCCCAGATGAAATTAATTGCGAGGCGTGTATCCAAGCAAAGGCGATGCGGAAGCCATTTCCCAAAGAGACGGATGAATGCAGCAAGGTACCCGGAGAATTAACACACACAGATGTGTGGGGACCTGTGCAGACAGCCGCTCTACAAGGCTGGAAATATTTTATTACATTTACCGACGATTACAGTCATTGAAGTACAGTACTATTTATGAGGCATAAAGATGAAGTAACAGAAAAGGTAAAGAATTATATTACCTATATCGAGTGCAAGTTTGGAAATAAACCCTTGCGACTCAGGCTCCACAACGGTCGAGAATATATGAACACCGAATTAATTAACTGGTGTCAAATGAAAGGGATCGAGATGGGTCCAACTGCACCATACTCACCATCCCAGAACGGAGTCTCTGAGAGATTGAATCGCACACTGCTTGGACTAGCGCGCGCAATGATCTATGCGAGAGATCTACCTCGTTATCTTTGGGCTGACGTGATTGCTCATGCAGTCTATATTAAAAATAGATCGCCTACCCAGGTGTTAAATGGGGCAACTCCCGAAGAAAAATGGAATGGGATAAAACCAAATATCTCGTACCTACAAGAATTCAGTTCCCCCGTATGGGTCCTCATGGAGGACACAACACTATCAAAGCTAGCGCCCCGTGCCAACAAGTATATTTTTGTTGGATACATGGACGGACCCAAAGCCATCAAATATTATGATGCGCATACGTGCCAGATTAAAATCTCGCGTAATTTCCAATTTTCTTCGAATTTCCCGGACCATTTGCCCAGCAATGTGCCTCACGTGCCACAAGAGCAAATAGGATCTGACGTACCTATCCTCACAGCACAGCGTGAGGGGGAGCAAAATATATTTCCGGGCACTTTACCTAGCAATGCGTCAGACGTGCCGCATGCGGAAAGGAGACCTGAAGTCCCAAACCTCACAATGACCGCAGATGTGCGGCGCGAGGGGGAGTTAGGAACTTCCGCGCCACAGTCACCTGCCAAAAATCCGCGAAAGTGCAGACGGGATGATGATCCTGATCAACGCAAGGAAAGCGAGACGGACGCACCAAGCCAGCCCAGACGAACCAGAAGAAAGACAGTTCGGCATGATTACCGTCTAATGCATGACCCAGAGGCAGACGAAGATCTGGATAATGAGCCAGATAAATCAAATGCCAAATTAGTCTATATTGTGATGAGCGCCCACGGAAATGCGGATGCAGATGAGCCAAAGACGCTCAGTGATGCCAAGAGATCACTCGAGTGGCCCAAATGGGAACAGGCAGTCCAGACGGAACTCAATCAACTACAGGGTATGGAGACTTGGGAGTTAGTGGAACCTCCCGAAGATCGAAAACCTGTAGGAAATAAATGGGTTCTAGTCAAGAAAACAAACAAAGAGGGTGAAATAATTAAATACAAAGCCCGCCTGGTTGCGAAGGGATATTCTCAAATCCCAGGCATGGACTATACCGAGACGTTCGCGCCCGTAGTCCGCCTCGAAACCATTCAAGCTATCCTCGGGCTAGCTGCAATCTTAGATTGGGAGATCGGACAGATGGACGTGAAAGGCGCCTATCTTAACAGAACTCTCAAAGAAGAAGTGTACATGCGGCAACCCGAAGGATACAGCGATGGAACATATCGCATATGTAAATTAAAGAAAACCCTCTACGGGCTAAAGCAGTCTGGCCAAGAATGGAATATCGTGCTGAACCGCAAGTTACTAAACGCGGGATTCAAGCGCCTATTCTCGGATCCATGTGCATACATTCAGATCAAAGGTGATAAGATAGAAATCATCACTGTTTGGGTAGACGACCTATTAATATTCACCAATGATTGCGCACTAATGGACCAATTGAAGAGCGAACTCCAAAATATGTTCGAAGTTACCGACCTTGGCGAACCTTGGAAAATTGTGGGGATAGAAATTGAGAGAGACCGTTCAAAGCGGACAATCAAAATCTCTCAGACAAAATATATTGAGTCTATTCTACACAAGAATGGGCTTACGAACGCCAACACGGTCGGGATGCCTCTTGATCCAAATACAGTGCTTGAAAAAGAAGAACCCAAAACTGATGATGAATGTGACCGAGACAACGGATATGCATCGCTCGTCGGATCACTGATGTACGCGGCAATTGCCACGAGACCAGACATTGCTCACGCCGTGCAACGGCTTAGCTCATTTACTGCCAATCCCGGAATGGCTCATTGGACTGCTGCTAAACGCGTCCTCCGCTATCTATCCGGAACACGAGAACTTGGAATAATCTACGGGCCAATTGCAGATGTCAAGCCCGAAGATCAAGCCAAATTCGTGAACGATATCTGAGATTGCAAATCAATCTCAGGATATTTATTTAAATTAGGAAATGGCACGATCACGTGGAGCTCAAAGAAGCAAACCACGGTCGTGTCATCCACCACGGAAGCTGAATACATGCATCCGCCGAAGCGGCAAAAGAAGCCGTGTGGCTCCGAACACTATTCAAAGAAATAGAATTTGAGCAACAAGATCCTACGATTTTATTCGAGGATAATACGGCGGCGATCTCAATTGCACATGATCCCCAATTCCATGCGAAATCAAAACATTTTGATGTAAAGCATCATTATGTGCACGAGAAATTGAGGGATAAATATATTGATATCCATTACTGTTCCACGGAGGACATGATAGCGGATATCCCAACAAAGTCACTCCCTAAGCCGAGGCACGAGAAGCTCACAAAGAAGCTCGGAATGCCCATCGGCTTGAGGGGGAGTGTTGGAAAGTAGCGCCCAAATTTCTGGAGCTCCAGAAATTGTGGAGTGCCCAAGGGCAGACAAGCTGAGGGCATGATTACAAAGAAAGACAAAGAAGGAAATTTGCTTATATAAAGTGGAGCGTCTAGAACTGTATATATACAGAAATCTATTTTAGGACGCATAATCACGCGCCCCAACACATCTTGACCCGCCATCACTACCTTCCTATTTGGGAACTAAGGCGCGATTTCTAACACACGCGCTGTGCGGAAGCTACAGCCAGGAGAGCGTTACATACCCCCCCCTTCTATACAATTTTCACCAGACATTCTGACAACCCTTTCACCTCAATTCCCAAAAAGGGTCGAAGGTCAGAACGGCTGGTTCCGAGACTAGTATGAGAGGCGAAACATTGAGTTTGAATATTGACGTCAGCGCAATGGCAGCTTGCCCTCACATGATTTGCACATGATCATGACGCGAGCTTCTGCTCGGGTGAACGCTGAGCTCCCTCTGTGCAGTAGGAAAATAAATGCATTGCACAATAGTTCAGCCGGCAAAAAGTGCTGAAAAAATTGCCACTCATTTCCTGGAAGCTATGCTAAAATTTTTATATGTGTCGTATGTCACATTGCCTCCTTCACATCTCAAGTTTGGCCATGCCGTCGGCATGGTCAAACTCCGCCGTTCCCATGGAGGACCTCTCAGAAGCCCCTCATACGAGGATCCAGCCTCTATATAGAGGAACGACTCTTTCTTCCTATATACTAGAGGCTGGTTAACGAGCCTACTTTTTCGGGTGGTTCGAATAATCTCAGAAATTAGCTTGTAATTGCAACCTGACGCCAAAAATTCCTGGACCAATCAGAAGACAGAATATCTCTGGTGCCATTGCAAATACTCTCTATTCTCATAAGTTGAGAAAGAACGATTGGCGACTTTGAAAACCCTTGGTCCGCGTGACCATCCGGATTGGTCGTAAACCTACAGTAAGTATTGCATGTACGAAACTAATCATCTCCAGGTGGCACAAAAAATGTATACGCGTACGACAGAACGAAGGTACATATATACGTCGAGACAAGCTTAGCGTCAGTCTGCCTTCTAGGCACGCGCAACGCTCCTTCGTCGACTTCGAGTCTGGCACGTTAAGCACTGGGTGAACGACAATGCCTGCCGAATTTGGGCGCGCTACTTAGTCTAGGTTCTGACGCGCCTCCTTGTCGAGGTCGGACAATTTAGACGGAGCTGTAATTTTACTAGTGTTTGATAACACTGAGTCGCAAATTTTGGTGATATCACGTGATGTACCTTATACCAGCTGAAGACTTTCCGCAGTTATTCTTCACTGCATTCTCCCCACCTGGCATGCACGGTGGTGTGTGGTAATGCACAGGTGATAGCAAGATTGTGTCTGCTAGAATTGGTGATAGAGAAGGTGTAGAGATTTTTGTGTAGGAGGCTAATCACAGGAAATCTCATGCTGCTTGGACTACCATAGAGCATACAACATAGCCGCGAACACAGAAAAAGTGTTAACTCATATACATGCACGTCGGGGTGACATACGGTGGCAGAACAGGTGAAGGGAAATATTGAAGGGACAGAAATGTGACGTGCTCAACGTGATTTACAGACGTGTCGTGGAAGCACATGATGTGCCGGATCGGTAATCACTACCCGCAATGGACCTCTTAGTAAGACCCCCCCTATAGATAGCAGACATCAGACACGGATATCCGAGGCACGAAGGTTGAAGCAGAGTGGCTACAACTGCCTTTGGGAGACTAGCGCTACTGTACGTCTTCAAGTTGGTCTCCCTGACTTCCATCATTTGACACGATCCTCGTAAACCTCGACGTCGCCATTTGCCAAGGTGCGTTCGAAATCATCCAGAGACTTAGCACTGTATCTGATGGCAGAGTGTAGCTTCTCAATGGGAGCTTTTACTGATCAGCCTGCAGAGATTGTCGAGGCCATTGCTGAGTACATCGACTGGTTGGATGATATTGTGGCATTCGCATTAGTGTGCAAGTTCACTGCGTCCATCGTCTCTCCCCAGCACTTTCAGCTTCGCCACATATGATGCGACGTCAACGCCATGTGTCTCTGGAGGGTGTTCTCTAATGACCAGCCCCTAGCATGCAAAGTTTGGTCTCTCGAGATAATTCCACGCGTCCCATGCCATGTCCCTCACTTCATTTGCACGTGCGATCGTCCCTGCACCCATAGTGTTCCTCGAAGAGAGGCTAAATTGGAACTCATCGCCGCAATCAAGAATCTTGTTAACTTGGTATCCTTCAAATGGCCAGCTGACGCCAACATAGTCATTGCCCACAAGGAGCTGGACAGTCAAGACATGTGGACTTCACTCACGCGTTGCAGAAATCTAAGGGATGTTGATATTTATGAGGATCTTGCTTGCTTTTTCTGGGTGCCTGGGGGATTTGAGGCCGCGGTGAGTCTTTTCTATACCTTTGAAAGGATGTAACTGGAATGGACAATGCAGATTTTGAATTTTTCAAACTTGACAACACTCAAGTACCGTGGTAGTTTTACTGATTGTAAACTAGTTGATCCCACTGACCTTGGTGTCATGTTGTGCGAACGTTGCCCAAGGTTACAGGTGTGGTGTTCTTTATGCCCCTCGTGCATTCCGCTTATCCAGTGACACAGACGCTCATCTTACACCTCCCGTTTCGACCCGCAATCCTTTCGCATGAGGCGGCGGAATCCATCCTAAGTGGTCGATGGTCCGATCTGCACTCCCTCAGTCTGAACGGCGCTGTTTGCCCTGCAGCAACGGCGATCTCATTCTTTATTTCCCATCCTCAAATGTCTGAACTTTCCATCGACGAGCTCGTCGGGTATGACATACATAGTGATGGTCACTTGGAGGCCTTCGACTGCCCGCCCGGACTGCTGCCCAATTTGAAGAAGCTCGAGTCTGTGGTTCAACATGTGGTCGAGCTTCTCTCCGCTCCGTGTGCCCAGCCACGCCCAATTGAACACATCTCCATCAACCACTGGCGTAGGGCCTGGTGTAACTCACAGGAAGAGGATTTTGCAGCGCTCCTGGCGACGCTTCATTCCATCACGACCGTGACATTGCCGGTGACTAACATCGATCTTGTCGCACGTATAGCACAGGCGGCGCCCTGGCTCACGCGCCTGCGTGTACCCTTGGGCGCCTTTGAGATTCTGAGTGATTTGTATTCCGACAAAGAGAAAGTGCGTGTTCCATCTGTGCAATGACATTCTGGCTGCTCAACCTGTGAGATAGAAGAAATGGCAGGCGGCGATTTCGCCGTTTCGCTGCCTGGAGACATTTGAGTGTGATTATCCTAAACGTAACATGCTGGATGTCATCCGCTCCAACCCGTAGATGGATGACAGCCATCCGTGTCTGCTCCTCAGGGCGTGTGCGGTAATGCATTATTGGATATTTATGGATATTGTAACTGCAGCATCATGTATGTCTGACCCATTGGCCATTCTTTATATGCTTCATGCGACCAGCTTCATCACAGTTCCGCGCAAGATGAAGACCTTTCAGGAGTATGTACCGCGGACCTTCTTTGCGAATGGCCTCTTGGCAAATGAACGCCTCCGACGGGGACACTTGTCATGACTTGCCATCAACCTGTCACCGCTCTGTGCTCGCGATCGGTGCACGTTTGCGTTGCGGATCTTGAGTCACTTCGGTTCTTGCTTGAAGTAACTTGCGCAGACTCACCCGACCTCTTGGCCAAACAACGCTGGGAACTTCCACCTTGTCCAATGGACCTACTTCTCAGCGGCTAGGCTCGTGCCGCAATTTAGTTCTACCCTGATGGAAATGGACCCACGCCCGCCGAGTATGACTCGTTTTCGCATGGGGAATGCTTCATGCTGCAAATCACCAAACCCCCGACCTCCTGGTTGCTCCCTTTTGGCTGTCCCGCCTTTCACAAGTGTAGCACATTCCCTCAGAAGGAGATGAGCGGTGCCGCCAATTGTGATCATCCTTCACTTATGTGCTCTCTGGACCGGTGGCTACGCCGAATACAACGTCAAGCAGATGCTCGCTGTACTCTTCTTCCAGACACTTGGCCAGCAGCCATGCCAAAACTTTACCATGCAGGTGCCCTCGTACGTTACTGCTGGATAGACGTTGCACTCTCGCTTTCCTCTTTGTGCGCCCTGTGTCGGACCTTTTAAACTTTTCAGACAATAACCTCTATCCTCTGAGCCGTTCCGCTACTGTGGTTTACGAGTGTTTCTGACCAGAAACTCGTAGAATTGTACTGCTTCTTATGCTACTGTTGGACACGCCTGGAGGTCTGTATCGTACAGTTTTGTCCTTCGCACGATTGCCATAACCAAAGTGATATTTAACACAGTGCCACAATGAGCAGCATATAGAATAAATCCAAAGAACACAACGTTGAGCCCTGTAGTCACAACATAGCCTACATGTCCCAGAGTCTATGATCAAGGTACATTTTGAGATTGTTTGCCATTGGCATAGTACTAATGTATCCATGCTAAATATTGTTCCTTCTCGATGCACACAACTATGACGATACGGTGCAATGCCTTGTCACTGTATCGCGTTATCTTGATCGGACTTAGATATCCTTTGCTCGCCATGTGTGTATCCTCAAATTTGGAGATGGTCACACTGTCGCCCTGACACGGAGACTTTCGGGACCATGTTGCAAAAAAACTGCTCAAGGCTACGGAGTACATATCCGTATGTGATGCATGCAGAGACACAACAAAGACGGTGTTTTGTCTTCTCTTGCAAATGTGATGAGCTGCGAAGTGATTAAACTCTGTCTAAACCACTCCCGCTGAAACAATCAATGCACCACCAGCCTGTAACTATATACCAGAAGACGACTGTGATCCTGTGTATTCCTCCACATGATAGGTGCCATCACGCCAACAGTGAATGCGCCTTTTCCCCTCCATATCCCTGTACTCGTGAACTACCATCCCATCATACTCTCGAATGACATTCTTCACCATGGTTTGACAATAGTCACACCAATTCATGACTGCAGAAGTGCGTGTGTTCATTGTCATCGAGTAGACTGTCTGGCTACGACCGGCCACTTGACGTGTCGTGTTCCACTCGGCACAGTTTCCAGGTGCATGCCTAACGGTCCGATTGGCGAGGGAATTCTCTGCACGCTCCTGCTGATACTCCTGAGCCATCTCTTGGTACCAACGTTCTCCTGCATATGCCACACTCCGGTGTTCCACCTGCTCGGGCTTCCGCACCTTTGACCCTGCGACAGATGCCCCGAACGCATACACATTTGTCTCCCGATTATATGCCACTGCAAGTGCTGTTGGTAAACGCCTTTCCTGCTCTTGCACGGCTGTGCGCATTGCACGGGAAAAATCCTGCAAGCTTTGAAGGAGTGCTCTACGTATCTCGACATCACTAAAATGATTAATAGTCGACTCCCTGTCAGAGACATGCATCCGTCGCCAGTAGGAAAAGGCTTGGGCCCGGCGATCGTTGACATTACAGTGAGGAGGATATTGGAGTAACCCAGCTTGTTCGAAGTAGGCCACCAATTCATCGAGAGCTATCGCAGCGTAAGTTCGATCGGACACACAATAGGAGTAAATAACAGTGTACCACCACTTCTAGTCAGTATATCATCTTTCGTTGGCAACTGAATATGCTCCGGATATTCCTGCAGTTGCGGCAACCTGAGGAAGGGATCCATCTGGTGTGCGAGCTCTCTGCGTGCAGTTAGAAAAGATATTGCAGAACTCGAACATACTGAGGGCATACCAATGCAGAAGTTAAGGGAAATATGTACACTGCTGAATCCAATGCCTGGCGGGGATTCTTTCGCTTACAAGAGGAGAAAAGTGTTGGGAGCTAGTGGCTGGTATAACATTATTGATATTTGACATGAAGACATCAAACAGAATAGAAGCCCATTCACCTGAGTCGCGGAGAAAGGTAAGGCTCTGGTTCATTAGACTTGGTTTCTTGAGTTCTTAAGAATGACCATGGTTGCACAGCCCAGTATCCATCGATCGGAACACCGGATCCAACTGGCACAGTGAGTCAGAGTTTGACGATGTGTGCGCTTGGGAAAATCGTCTTTGTACATCGATTAACTATGATGAGCACGTAAGTGCAGGTCCCCACTTTTTAACGCGCAGGGTCAGTGATGGATTTTGGCAGTTTTACCAAGTGGCTTCTGGCGTTATCGTCATCATCGAGGATGTGGTAACACAATCGAAACAGGACAAAAGTGAGATAGTACCTATCGATAGAGACGAGATGGCGGGGTTCGAGAGTGCACGAGCGGACGGTCCGGCGTGGCAGCTGCCGACCAGGCTGCAAGTGAAAAAACCCTCATTAGAGCTTGCAACGTTAGATCTCGGGATCTGAAGAGCGCGCCGTGAGGAGGCCCGACTCACATCCATCCCTATTCGGAAGGTTCCATCCGGTGGACACATCTAAGCTTGAAGTTTGTCTTTCAGCCGTTGGCGATTTAGTCTCCCCAAGGCAGACTGCAAAACCATCGCTTTTGAGTGGAAGAGGGACGGACTCGGGATAATATAGAGGCAGATTGGTTGTCGGACCTCCTCAGTCGGGAAGAGCACTGAGATTGACAGCTTCAAGTTGCTGTAGCTGTGAAAGTACTAAAATTCACTCACGACATTGAATACGAGTACACGCATCAATCTGAAGGTTGAGACTGCGCTCCCTCTAAGTACCCAGTGTGGCCCGTAAGACTCGAAGAAAATTGATATCGCATGTATGGCGAGACCTACTAGTACCAAACATACCATAAATACGTATACTCTGCAGTTGTGCGTTGATACTAAAGAGAAGCGGAATCAATAGCTCGACAGAGATAATGACACCCATAGCGTAGGCGGAGCATAGTACGCTGGCAGCGGTCTTCTGGTGTGATCAACTACGATATACGAATCACCGAAAATTCGAATTTCGTAATAATTGAGGTGCGCCACCGTTACGTAATGCTTGGCGGACTCCATCGCAACTATCGCAGCCTGACGTACTTCATCCCCGCTTTAGCTTTTCCAACCGTTTCCTTAAGGTGCGGCTCAGTATTACCGTCCTACACACTGCTTTGAGGGCAGAAATTCTAGGACTACATGTCGCCCATTCACGGTCAACCCTTTGAAGTTCTTGAAGCCATTGCTGGCTATATCGACAACGCAGACGACATTCTTGCATTCGCTTTGGCATCCAAGTTCATTGCCTCTGTTGTCTCCCCTCGACACACGCAGCTACGCCACATACGGTGCAATGTCGAAACTATTTGTCTCTGGAAAGCGTTCTCTCGGGACTTATCCCTAGCTCGTAACGTTCGAATCCTCGAAATTGGAGATGGACGTCCATACCGCCTTCCTCGGTTCATTTTACCTGATCATACCGATTGTCAGTGCAGTCATGGAGTGACTCAAAGGGAGGCAGAATTGGAACTCATCACCGCGCTGAAGAATCTCACCCACCTGACGTTCTTCAAATGGCGTGGTCATCCAAATGTTGTTATCGCCAAAAAGGAGTCTGATGGGGAGGATGTTTGGACCTCGCTCACGCATTGCAGGGACCTTAGGGAGCTCGACGTGCTCGAGAATTTCATGGAGTACCCACCTTATCCGATATGGGGCGGCGCAGTGAGTCCTTCGGGTATCGGAACTCATGTCTTGGACCACCGCTGATATGTGTGAGCTGAAGATGTTCAGATCGTCAAACCTGACAAGCTTTAAATATATAACCTCCGTCGAAAGTCTTGTGCCTGACCTATATGGACTTGACACTGAACCCCTCGGGATCATGCTCCGTGAACACTGTCCAAAGCTGCAGGTGCGTAATTCCTATCCATGTGCTTTGTATGTGGTGCTTATGTGGATGCCACAGAGGCTGCATTTAGGCTTCTCGTGCGAAGGCGAGGATATCATGCCCAATGTGGAACATTCGATCATGAGTGGACGATGGCCCAATTTGCGCTCGTTGCACCTCAGATGGGCTGCCTGCTCTCCCGCGGCAGCGGTCTCGTTCTTGGTCGCGCACCCTCAGATATTGGACCTCTCCATTGACAGTTTCATCGGGTCCACAGCAACATCCGAGGGACTACCGCTAGACTGTCCGCCAGGACTCCTGCCTAGCCTCCAGAAACTCGAGTGTGCAACGTCCCAAGCGGCTGATATCCTCTCTTCCGCATCTTCCCAGCCACGCCCCCTCATGCACCTCTCACTCAACGATCTTCCGTTCAGTTCTCGTCAAGCGGAGTTTCTAGCGATCCTTTCCACGTTGACGTCCATCCAAACTGTGGAGTTCCGGTACAGCTTCACTATGGAAGCAATTTCTCGTTTGGCACAAGCAGCACCATGGCTCCCACGGCTGCACATCGACGGCAGCTCTTTCTTGATGTCCTCATGCAAGGACCCAGAGACGAAGGTGCGTTAATTACCGTCCAAGTACAGGTGTGATCCATCTCACTTGCAATCGTAATCCGGCAGAAGCGGTGGCAGAAGCTGTTTGAGCCGTTCTTCCGTCTGGAAGCGCTAGAGTGTGAGAACCCCGAGCAAAATGTGCTCGATGTCATTCGCGGTCCATAGCATGGCTACAGGCTACTGGTTACCCTCGATTACTACACGGATTTCTATTTGGTGGAACATGTGGTACCCTGCAATATTTTTCCATGTTGCGTTTTGATTCGCGCATGACAATGACATCAAGCAGTGCCATCTGCACATGTACACGTAACTTCTTATTCCCTCAGTCGGAGACGCACATTAACAGGAATTGCGTGAAGTGAGGAAGGCATGTACTAGTTATGAATCAGAGCAATTTGGGTACATAGAGTTTGCTACACGGCACCGCAGTAGCATAGCGCAGCCCACTGGCACTACAGAGAACATAAATTCGCAGTTCTGGATATCTGTTATCGTCAGCGAGTCTGTTCAATATGGACGGCGGAAAGACAATAAATACACCTTACCGACTTTGGTCTCCTTCTGCGAGCCGTCGATCTTCGCGTTGATATGCATGTCGTCGAATGTCGTCCGGTGGCTCTGTGCCCCGCGTCGCGCGTTCTTGCGCGCAAGGTGCAAGCTAGTCGCGAGCAGGAGCAGCCCTCGACCTAGGACGAACCAGTACACCGTCAGGATTGTCCACAACACTCGGTCGCCTCGGCATCAGATTTAATTCACCCTAAGCTGCACAGAAGTATTAGTCATAGCAAGGGGCATACACCGAAGTTCATACTGCTTTTTCCATCTTCGGGGTACATAGGACTCCAACTGCATCTTATTCCCACTCCAACCTTTCGTATCTTCACTGGCACCGTGGTTCCTTCGGGGTGCGTCTTGGTATCGCTGTCCTATCCACTGCAGCTACTGCTTAAATATTACCAGGGTTTCTAGGATTTACATGGCGCCTCTCCACGACCAACCTGTAGAAATTCTCGAGGCCATCGCAGGCTATATCGACAATGCAGACGACATTCTTGCATTCGCTTTGGCATCCAAGTTCATTGCCTCTGTTGTCTCCCCTCGACACACGCAGCTACGCCACATACGGTGCAATGTCGAAACTATTTGTCTCTGGAAAGCGTTCTCTCGGGACTTATCCCTATCGAATCCTCGAAATTGGAGATGGATGTCCATACCGCCTTCCTGGGTTTATTTTGCCTGATCATACCGATTGCCGGCGCAGTCATGGAATGACTCAAAGGGAGGCAGAGTTAGAGCTCATCATTGCGCTGAAGAATCTCGCACACCTGACGTTCTTCAAATGGCGTGGTCATCCAAATGTTGTTATCGCTAAGAAGGAGCCTGACGGCGAGGATGTGTGGACCTCACTCACACAGTGCAGAAACCTTAAAGAGATTGACGCACTCGAGAGTTTCATGGACAACCCACCTTATCCGATATGGGGCGGCGCAGTAAGCCCTAGTAATAGAATTCAAGTTTGAGCCATTGCTGATATGTCTGAGCTGAAGATTTTCAGACTATCAAATCTGACAAGCTTTGAATATTGGACTGCCGTCGACGGTATTGCACCTGACCTGTACGGAATTGACACCCTCGGGATCATGCTGCGCGAAAACTGCCCAAAGCTGCAGGTGAGTAGTACTCATTCATGTGCCTTCTACGTGATGCCTTATGAGGATGTCACAGAAACTATATGTAGGCTTCTCGTGCCAAGGCGAGGATACCGTGGCGAACGTGGAACGTTCTATCATGAGTGGACGATGGCCCGATTTGCACTCGTTGCACCTCGAGTGGGCTGCCTGCTCCCCTTCCGCCGCAGTCTCGTTCCTTGCCGCCCACCCGCAAATAACGGATCTCTCCATCGACGAATTCATCGGGTCCACAGCGACCGCCGAGGGACTACCGCTAGACTGTCCGCCAGAGCTCTTACCTAATATTAAGACACTCGAATGTACAACGTCTCAAGCAGCTGATATTCTCTCTTCCGCATCTTCCCAGCCACGCCCTCTCGAGCACCTCTCACTCATTGACCTTCCGTTCAGTTCTCGCCAAGCGGAGTTTCTGGTAGTTCTTACCCCGTTGATGTCTATCCGAACTCTGCAGTTTCGGTACACCTTCTCTACCGAAGCTATCGCTCGTGTAGCAGAAGCAGCACCATGGCTCCCGCGGTTGCAAATCGGCAACAGCTCCTGGCTGTTGTCCTCATGCAGAGATCCACAGACGAAGGTGCGTGAGCTATCATCCACGTGTGGTCGATGTTTGATTTATCTCACTTTGCGGTCATAATCCGGCAGAAGCGTTGGCAGAAACTGCTCGAGCCCTTCTTCCATCTGGAAGCACTAGATAGCGCTGAGGGAGATGTGCTGGATGCCATCCGTGGTCCGTTGCCTTCCACGGACTGTGGTGGTCCTTGTTAAGTGGTGTGAAGACTAGTGCCGGGATGCGTTGCGTTGCCGGAGAGCACATTATTGTCATCAGTATGGTCTAGTTGGATCGAGCATGGGGGACTCTGCAGTTGAACCCTCGGGTATCTCTAGGCTACCAGGTTCGCACTCTATCTCTCTCGCTCGGACACGCACGTTAACAGGGATAGCAAGAAACGGGAGAGATATGCATTAGTACGTATCAGAGCAATTTTATACGATAATATACAACCCAGCGTGCAGCCCGGAAATACGCAATGTCGCCAGCATAACACAGCTCAGTAGCCCAGTGGCACTACAGGGGGTATCTGAAGTCGCGGTTCTGGATATCCGTAAGATCGAGGAAGGCCTACAGAACAGCAGAACCATCAGCATTCCAATCCCAAACAAGGGCAAGTGGGAAGCGCACCTTATCGACCTTCGTCTCCTTCTGCCCGCCGTCGACCTCTGTGACGACATACATGTCATCGTACGTCGAGTCGTGGCTCTCGGCCTCGCGCCGCGCGTTCTCGCGGGCGAGGTGCCACCGCGTCACCAGCAGGAGCAGCCCCGAGACGAACCAGCACACCGTCATGATCGTCCACGGCACGTGGTCACTGCGGCAGGAACATCAGCTTGGCTTCGCCGACCACGCAGAGGTCAAAGAGAGGGACACGTACCGCGGCTGGTACTGCTGTTTCCAATACTGCGGGCCGGCGGAGTTCCCGACGGCATAGCCGACCATTACGACGGCGTTGGTCGTCACACCTGCGAACGCGTCGGACGCGGGTGAGCAGAAGACAGGTCGAAGGACGGGAGTAACCGACGTTTTGTGTGCCCTGCGCACGTAGAGCCCACCCATGCAAGCATGACGACGAAGGGCGCGATGGACGTGACTGCGACGAACAGCGCGCATTCAGCAACGGGCGACGAACCGGTATGCGAAGGAGAGACACGCACTCGAGATCCAGTACGAGAACAGCAGGCCGACCCTGAGGTGGGACGGGAGCGCGTTGACGAGGATCGCGCCTAGGATCGCGACGCAGTACGCGAGCGCACCCGAGTACGCTCGCCCGTCCTTCCAGTACGTCGCGGAGGTGACCGTGCAATAGATCACGATGACTATTGTGCACACGTGAGTCCCTGCCCAATCCCGACAGTGGCTCAGAGATTGCACGTACTCTCGACGACACCGTCGACGCAGCCTAGGAGAGTCGTCTGGATGTCCGTGAAGCCGAAGCCGGCCACTATGATCTGGCGCTGGGTGCTGAGCTGTGTAAGATGGGGGCGTGAGCGTCAGGCCATCGGGATCTCGTATGCGGCGTATTCACCGAGTTCGTGACGTTCCTGGGCTCCCACCGTCAGTAACACCACAGCTCGGAGACGTCACCGAGGCACTCACGAGATGGCGGCAAAGAAGAAGAACAGCCAAGTCTTCGGGTCCTTGAAGCACTCGATCGCCCTGAGATTGCAGCTAAGCGGAAAGTAAGAGTGACCGGGTCAATGTACGCACTGCTCCATCTTGAAGTGCTTGTTCTCGACACCGGCCTGGTTAACCTTGATGCGCTCGACGGCGATAATACGCTCTTCCGGGGTCAGGAACCATGCCGTCGTTGGAGAGTCAGGGAACAAAAACCTGCGAGTGGCGTGATTAGAATTGAACAGACAGTGGACTTCGCCGAGCGACACCGAGAATACCCTGCACTCACCAAAAGAGGATACCAACTACGAAGGTGATGATACCAAAGATAAGCATCAACCTGCGCTCCAATGAGTTGTATTAGCCCACAGAGACCGAGTACGACTCACCATTGCCAGGGCAATAGAACACTGGACTTGATATGCAGAGTGCCATACGCCACCAGCCCAAGCAAGACAATTGCCGCACCATTCATCAAGACTAGTAACACACGAGGAGTAAGTTTTTATGGACAAGCTCATCGTCGGGAGTACGCACACCAATATCCAACTCTCTGTGTCTGTTCCCGGCGCGTGTAGAACATGGACGTCACGATCATAAATCCCGGAGTGACTGCCCCCTCGCAGATACCAAGGAATGCCCTGCATGCAAAGAGCCCGCCAAAGTTCTTCGCTGCGGCGGAACAAAGCAGCGCAATAGCCCAAATGGTGATGTTGATGCTGTTTCGAGTTGGATAGCGACGATCAGCGGCTGGATAGGACAAACGTACCTAACCCATTTCCCAACGGGGAGACGCTGTAGCGCATAGTTTTGGGGGAACTCAAAGACGAGGAAGAAAAGGTAGAAGATCGTCTGCAACCAGTTGAACTGGTTCGTAGTGAGCCGGTCGCCCGAGCTATTGGTGCGTGTATTGGCACGTGAGTGCAGAGAGAAGAAACGGGACGATCATTGAGCGTTTGTGTGAAACAAGAGAAGGCATGAGGCGTACAGCAGGCCGAGAACTGCGGACTGACCGAGGGTGGTCTTATCAGCGAATTGCATCCTTTTGAGAACGGACGTTACGGATATGTTTCAGAACGTATATACGCCAGCATACGCACATGTACATGACTGCGCGATAAAGAGGCTCAGAGGTCTGTTCAGAGGAGGACAGAAAATGAGACTTACTGCACATGAGAGGCATTAAACACCAGTCGATTTTCCGTCTAAACGAAAAGTGTGAGTCGCAAACAACTGAACAACCACTTTGTTACATACCTGATCCTCGCAGCCTCCTTGGGATCCACCGTGATATCTTTCCCGGCAGTCAGTCGGGCAGCGACGTCGACCTCAGAGGTAGCGACGGTGGCCCTGAGGTCATCCCGCTTCTCAATGGACGTCGAGCTGCTGGAGTCCATGTCGTCCTGACCCGGTGACAGCGTCGTGAGAGGATGTATGGGAATGGTCCCGCTGGCAGAAGGCAGAAAGCATGAGGGTGGAAAGGTACTTATACATTGGCGAGAACTGTTGGAGGAAATGCAGAACCGAGCTATTGTTAGCGAGTGTAGCGGCGGCGCTCATATGATCAAACAGCAGGCTATCGCAGATGCACCTCCTGCCGGCTCCGGCACGTGCTTAGCTAATCCGATCATCCACGGACGTCTACCTTCCAACTGCCAGGAAATGCTTTTTTGTTAAGTAACTTGGGCGAAACTAGCCATTTCTTCATTTTATGCGTTGAATACACTAGCAAGAGAAGAGCCTTGCGATACGATTAACCTCGCCATTGACTTAGATGAGGTGTGATCGCCGGAATTAGGACATCCTCGACCCTCCGGAGTAAAGTACAAAATGAGAGTGTTTGACGAACAATCCAGTTGATCGCCATCATCAATATTAAAATTTTCCACTGTTCCTCGTCCTGAAACTCTGTGTACGGACACAAGTGAAGTGTCCGAGTAAAACACCAGGTAGCGTTTCCTCTATAGCCGCGGCAAGCTCACTGGAGGGAGACAGCTTGCGCACATACTCACTTGATCGAAAGGGAGCATCTCAGATACCCGATCAGGAAAGAGATACACGTGGCATGCCGAGCGACCATCACCGCCAAAGTCTTGTCCTGTCCTGCTTTACTTCGTCCTTCCTACGGTGCTTTAGCATGCTGACTGCCACACCGTGTATGTCGCTCAAACGTTGACATCGCTACTAGGTTCCTCACTTCACGATTAGAAATTCCTCGCAGCTCATGCGAGCGGAAATTCGAGCTGTGACCTGGAAGCCTTCCCATGGGTGGTTTCTGACTTCAGCAATGACAGTGGAATTTGCTTTCGGCGACTCGGAGATTGATATTCATCATCAACGCAACATCTGATGTCACTGCGCACAAGGACGACGGACCCTCTAGAAGCCACATGGTGAGAGAGCCTCCGTAAGATTTCAGTTCCTGAAGCGCTGAAGTGCGGAAGAACTCGACGGCCGAGAGGCGCTCCAGCTGCAGCCAGAGATGTGGGCGTATGTGAACATGCTGGTGTATTTCCTATCGTAGCATATCCTACGAAGGTCCGCACCCGGATTGCAGATCACGAGCTATCGGATTTCTGGACATTCGCATTTCAACCAACTCGTTGTGATACTCTCGGAGTCAAGGCCCGACCTGTACCAGACTACCAGTTTATCTGTGACTTCTCCTGCCGAGAACGTCATCATGGGGTTGGACATAGCTTCAGAGTACTTAATTTCCGGTTCAGTCGGAATGGTCTATTCCTGCATGGTGAACCTCTTGCATGCGTATGCCCTCGGTACATCATGTACGAGCTCACCGTCTCCGTTTACACTGCCTTCACAGATCAGAGACGCTTGAATTACACGCCAGTGCCGCTTTTCAATTGCATACTTCGAGTGGTCCTGCTCAGCATGTTTCACTAGCGGCGGTATGTTTTGATTCCGTGGCCACATCTAAGCGCTCGTTTTCTGGCACTGTGGTACATGGGTGGCATGGCAGAAATTTTCTGTTAGTATGACGCCTATGTACCACGGTGATCCGTGTCGAGCTATCACTCGGGACATACGGTTCGTCGTGCAGGTCGCCTATCATCCGCGTACCGAAGACTGCAATACCTGCTCACGGACATGTTGCCGCAATCAACGTCTCCCGTGAACAACACCGCACGCGAACGCAGGATCTGCAGGATCGCCAGGGACTCCCGCAATCAGCGCACGGATGCATCCCTCCAGGTTCAGGTTCATATTCAATTCTGATTACCTTTCAGAAAGCTAGATCGCGGAGACAGATCCGCTCGACCCAGCGTGCTGAGAGAGCCGCCCGCGAAACTGGAACAATAGCGCGTCTTGGGCTTCGCGGGTGCTCCGTAGAGCATCGGACTCGCTGGACTGGTAAGCGCCCGTACTTTGACAAGTGGTCGCGTTTTGGCGGTCTGCGTGTGGGCGCCACGAGGCTATTCATTTTTACGTCAGCAGTGGATTTCTAGTTTGTGCATCCTCCTGTGCGCAAGCTTGGGTATCTGCTGGTGGAATGTTGCGCTTCCCTCGCATTCGATCTTATGTGATTATTCGGTACCTCCACCAGAATTCTTTCGACAAGGCACGGGGTTATCACACTATCCCGAGCAAGCCTCTGTCATACTCCTTTCCCCCAAAATTCTCGCAATCTGCGTCGCACCCCAAGAGCCGCGGACCCATACTGTGACCCTCCGACTTTTGAGGTGTGTCAACTCTCCATTTCACAACCCCATCTCCCTGTCACGTATTCGACAGTGGGGGATGTGCCTTGGCACCATTTGTGTTCGTGCTCGGGTTGTACTCTCCGTGGTCTCTGAAATATCCGGCTGTATCGTTGGCTGGCCCGACTACTGTCCTGGTCTGTCGAATGTATGCAAGCATCTTGAGACTTGTGCCCCAGTTGTAGATGATGCACCTTCCATGGGCTACGTTCCTTCCCCTTTGTCCATTTCCTTCCTTTAAATAGCCATGCTTGTTCACCTGGTCTATACAGTATCGAAATGAGATGGATTGAAGAAGAAGTAATAATGATACGCATGCTCATATATACATGAACCATACATACGTCGACATGAGTCGAGTAAACTACAGAGGGAGTCCTTCACTGATAAAAATACTGAATGCCAGAGAAACACAGCCTACACCAAGCCCCCAGTGTTGACACCGAACGCAGACGGGCACTGCAGACGGGCACAAGACATAGCGCCACACGCGGGCGGCAGGTGCTGCACATACGGCGTGTGCCAGCCCTTGAATCTCAGCTCCACGGAATCAGTAGCAGGATCCAGTAACAGCCCATCTGAGCGACAGAGCATCCAGCTGCCCCAGATTGGCACTGCAGTCAGACCCTGGTGGACATAGAGCCTGCACTCGGTGGGCCGGTTCTCCGACATCTGGTAGTTCTGGTGACACCGCACGCAGTGGAACATGGGACCGCTTATGAAGGACGCTTGCGGGACAGTGAAGTCTGTGCTCTTGCGCTCGAGGAACTGCACAAGCTGTTCGAACACCGATGGGTCCAAGGTGCTGTTAGACAGCGCCAGCTGCAGATCGGGAGGGAACGAGCTCAGGAGATTATGAAAGAGAGCGGTGCCTGGGGTGGTACTCCGAAGTTCCTCCAGGATACATGCGGCTAGGAGGCACACATCGACCGAGGTGTCTTGGTAGCATGAACCAATCCCAGTTGATGTTTCTGTTTGGACTTGTTGCATACTATTTAGATCGACGGGTGCTTGAGGCTGTATGCTCTGTAGCATATCCACTGGCATTTGCTGCATAGTATTTGACAGCTCCTCTTGGAACTGCTGGAATACATCTTGTACCATTTGTTCAGATTGTAGCATATCGAAGGCTGTGGGTTGCGCCACGGGCTGCGAGGAGTAAATGCTGGCATCAACAGCGGAGCATCCGAGAGAAACACCAGAGCTGCCTGCAAACCTGGAAAAGTCTGTCTGAATGCCAACACCCGCATCACTATATCCGAGAGAAACACTGGAGCTGACCGGGTAAGAAGACTGAGCTGCAAGGCCGCCAGGTGGGCATGCAAACGATCCCAGGGGAATTTGGGGCTGAGCTGCGAACTTTGCTGGACTAACACCAGCTTGAGCTACAAAGCTTCCGGGACGCGTTCGAACTGCAAATCCTTTGATTGGGACCCGTGGTCGTACTGAGACAATCGGGCAGGATGCGTGGACGACCGTCTCAGGCTCGACCATCTCGGAATCATTGTTGAGGGACGAGTTGGAGTCGGAGTCGGTATCGGAGGAAGCGTCAGATGAAGTGTCGAAGGAGGTATCGGAGGAGGCGTTAAAGGGAGTGTTGGAGATGTTACTAGCAGTGTCATAAGAGGGGCCGCAGGCGACGTCCAAGGAGTCGCAGGGGACGCCACAGGAAGTTTCACACGGAATTTCGTAGACACAATCTGGAGAGAGAAAAAATAAGAAACGTTTGCCGTCGTACGTCCAATGAAGAAACCCGTCCATGTGTGGCGTTACGGAGGACGTAGATGCGAGATGAGGCATGTCTGAGAGTGTATACTGGGTCGACATTGCGAAAAGTTGCCTCGGCGAGAGTGATAGATGAGCTGGACGTGGTTGGATGAGGAGTAAGGAGAAGCCACCTTTATACATGTTCGACAACGCCGCGATATCCATAATGTGACCATTTCTGTCTGGCTAGGCTTTGGAGGCAGCGCACAGGAACGGCTACGCGTGGCCATAAAGACAATGTAGTGAGGTCGAAGAAGGCAATAATGTCATGTGGCCAACGCGCGCACGCGTGTCGTGACAAAAGCAAACGATCTGATGTGAAGAAATGGAGAACACGCACTAAGAAAAGCGCAGCTTCCTTCCCGTGCATTGATGCCTAGAGAGAGATTAGTGTCAAGACACGGTCTGATTCGGTTAGCGATACGCTTGACAACCTAAAGCCACTCGCCAGTGGCTAAACGCCCAAAGCGACCTCTCAGCATCTTGGACGCAAGCAGATCAATGCAACAGGAGAGCTTGGATCTACGGCCGATTTGAGATGGCCGAAGGAGACACCTTCGGGCCACCAAGCATTGTCAGGAGGCTGTGTGAGCCATCATCAGAGTGGCTGGCCGCAGCAAGGGGATCCATTGTGTTGTTCCCATCCTCCAGGTATGCCGAGCCTAATGAATAGCATGATGTCGTGAGGCAATAAAGAGATATAGTGTTCCGAGAGCACAAAGACATGCATATCACAGGACGCATAACCCCTTTTTTCCCGAGGAAATAACTTGGAAAAATGTGTGGAAATCAATAAAGTTATACTGCGGGAAAAACATGAGGAAAAAATGTGTAAAAGAACAAAGCATTTCCGTAGTTTTTCCACTGGAAATAAGTTGGTCGCCAAATATGGTAATTTTGTCCGGGTTTTGGCATGTCCTGGCATGTCCAGTTGCCTGATATGGTAGGCAACTTATTTCCAAGGGAAAAACCGTGAGAATGTTTTGTTCTTTTCTCACTTTTTTCTTGAGGTTTTTCCTCTGAAAATATATTATTGATTTCCATGCTTTTTGCCAGGTTATTTCCAATGGATAAAAGTGGTAATGCTTCCTGTGTATGGATGGTTGAGTGCCGAAATAGACGCGTAAGGAACACACGGGCGCTTGTTGAGTCTATCCGCGCCGTCCGTCGTGCAGCGTCGTGTAAGACCTTGACCATTTCCCGTGCCTCCAGATGGATGCCATACGAGTAGCCAAGGTATACATGATGTGCTGGAACGCTATCCTCGTGTGCGCCTGACAGTTGTTATTGCTCCAGGTCGAGGGAGTTCTCTGTAGCAAGGGTGGTAGCACCCTGTCGGGAACCCTGCATCTCACCGCGCATCATCTCATCTTCTGCTATGATGAATCAGAGAGAGAAGAGATGTGGGTAAGTCCTCTGTATATTGTGCTGAGCACGCTCATTGACTCGGCCTGTGTTTCGCAGGCTCCGTACCCGCTGATATCCCTTGTAACGCGTCTCCCTCTTACATTACAGGGACAATGTCCCCTCACTGTCCGTATGCGGACATTTGAATCTATATCCTTCATCTTTGTCTCGGAAAGAGACGCAATAGACGTCTTTGAGAGCGTGAAGGAGCTCACAGTCGCAAGTAAGTTTCCATTCTCTCTCTTAATCCGAGCGCCTGACTTATATTTCTCCCCCAGCCTCCGTCAACCAGCTGTACGCTTTCTTCTATGTGCCAAATCCTCCATTACCCGTACAGACAGGCTGGTCACTGTATTCCCCGAGAGAAGAATTCGGACGAATGGGTGTAGGTTCAAGGACCAAGGCGTGGAGGTTCACCGATATTAATAAGGACTATTCGGTGCGCTTCGTGCGGCTCGTGCATCACCTGTTTTCATTCATGACCTCCAGTCCTCTTAGTTTTCGCCAACATACCCTGCGAGACTTGTCGTCCCGACTCGTATCAGCGATACTACGCTGCAATACGCTGTGAAATACCGCAGCAAGGGCCGGCTGCCCGTCCTCACGTATCTTCACTGGGCCAATTATGTGCGTAGTATTGTTCTCACGCTTGTTAGATCTAATGCATTGCTGCAGGGGAGTATCACACGTTCTAGTCAACCCATGGTTGGTCTGAAGAATAATCGATCAATACAGGATGAGAAACTCATCGAAGCCATCTTTCAATCGCATCACTCCCCCGAGTCCCGCGCCGCGAATATGCCGATATACGGCGCAACTGCGACTAATCTCATCATCGATGCGCGGCCTACTACCAATGCGATGGCGAACACTGCGAAAGGCGCTGGCACAGAAAACATGGATCATTACAAGGACGCAAAGAAGGCCTATCTTGGCATCGACCATATCCATATGATGCGCGAGTCCCTCGGCAAGGTGGTGGAGGCTCTGCGGGAGGCCGACTCTCTACTTTCCTCGCTAGGCGCGAGCGACCAAAGTACGGGTGAAGGTATTGTCGCGTCTGTGCTGGACAGACAGGCGTTGCGGAGATCCGGGTGGCTAAAGCATATCTCAGCGATTATGGAAGGCTCCCTGCTGATCGTGCGAAACGTGCACGTTAACTCGTCGCATGTCCTCATTCATTGCTCAGATGGCTGGGACAGGACTGCGCAGCTCTCCTCGTTATCGCAGCTCTGCTTGGACCCTTTCTACCGGACAGTACGTGGCTTCCAGATACTGGTGGAAAAAGACTGGCTCTCGTTCGGCCACAAGTTCTTGGACAGGTGTGGTCATCTGTCGTCGGAGAAGTTCTTCCTCGCTCCGGTTGAAAGCGGTGGGGGCGGTGGAGGCGCGGAAGCTGCACAGGCATTCTTGGCTTCGGTACAGAACAGGTTCGCGTCTCCAAATCACATCAAAGAAACGAGTCCAGTCTTCCATCAATTCTTGGAATCTGTGCGCCAGGTCCAGCGACAGTTCCCCGAGCGCTTCGAGTTCAACGAGCGATTTTTGCGGCAATTGCACTACCACTTATATTCGTGCCAATTCGGTACGTTCTTGTTCAACACCGAACGTGACCGCCGCGTTGGCGAAGGTAGTATAGCTCCTGCATGCGATCGTACCGTCAGCGTCTGGGATTTCTTCAACTCACCACCCGAGGCTGCCCTTAACCTGAATCCAGACTACGATCCGTCTCTCGATGATCCGACAAGCCGTGCGCCGAAGGCTGACATGGGCGTGCTCATGCCCAACCCCAAAGACGTACGGTTCTGGCACGAGCTGTATGGAAGGACGGACGAGGAGATGAACGGGAAGTTTCGTCAGCTTGCGCAAGAGACGGATATTGCAGGGCCTGTTGAGACTGTCGACGATGAAACCCCCGTGATTCAAGCCGTCTCCCCGCCTTGTATCTCGCTTCCTCCATCTCCCGTGACTTCCCCGCCGCCTGCGACTCCCACACAACAGTCGCTGGCTCGGAAAGTGTTCGAGAGGAGCCAGTCGCCTGCATTGGTCGCGTCCTCTTCTACCTCCGAGCCGTTGAGGCCGAGGCATGAGAGCCTGCGGGGGATGGACGCCCAGCTGTCGCCCACACGGAGGACACATGAATTAACCGTCCCTTCACGTACCCCCTCACCCGGCGTAGCGGATTTATCTGCCTCACCACGTGCAGGCGTCTCTGCGGGCCAGGTCACAGATCTGTTCTCGTCCAGCAACGTGCGGTCGATGTGGGGACGCTTCTCGTCGAACGCGTCTGCTGCGTTCTCTGTCGTGCAGGACGCATACGGAGGGGTGGCGAAGGATCTCAGGGGATTGTCCCTCGGCGGTGATACTGGCGGCGACGAGCTCAAGACGCGCGAGGAGATTGGGGTGTGGGGCGAGCAAGAGCAGCATGAGCGGCGGCCCTCATCCGCTCGCGGTCCGGGAAAGGTGTACACTGCGACCGCGACCAACCCCTGGTCGACGGCGAAGGCGCGTCCGAACATGCCCTCCATGTTCTTGGACAACCCGTGGAGCTCTCACACGCCGGATCGCGAGTCGGAAACGCACTCAGCTCCCGAATTGGATATGCCGACGCCGACAAGTGCACTACCCGCGGACCCAACCGTCGCGCTACCTTCGTGGACACCGGTGCGAAAGTCCAGCATCAATACCCTTCCACGGTCGAGTTCTCGGGGTAGTACCCACTCGACCCCGTTGATATCGCTTGGTGCTGATCTGCCGCTCGTGACCCATCCCCTCCCCGCAGCGTCAGTCGGTAGCACCCCGCCAGCGGTCTCGCCGCCGTCTTCAGATCCACTCGGGGTGGGACTTCTGTAGCTTACTAGGTCATTCGTCGTTGCATGTACGGTGTATCATAGGTGTGAATTACGCTAGAAATTCCCGACGAGCCATTCTCATGCGGTGTGTATACTGGTCGGTGTCGTGTGTAAAACTCAGGTAGGAGGGAGTGTACCCGGGGCCGAAGATGTGCCCGTGAGCCAACCGCGAGCAGAGTAGAAAAATCGTTTGAGATGGCGTGCTATTAGGTGCTCGGGGTCCCACGGTAAGCAAACTTAAGAGCTTTGCCTCAAATTCAGCCGTTTCTCACCTCCTTGGATCTCTCTTTCGCCTCCACACAATCTACCCCTCCTTTCCTCCCTGCCTTCACCATGTCCTCTAACGGAACCGCCACTGTCGCACTCGCGCCCGGCCATTTCCTCTTCACCTCAGAGTCTGTCGGCGAGGGTCACCCAGGTATGCAGCCAGCAGATACGGTGTACATGATATGTAACGACGTCCTGACCATGTTTCTCGCTGCAGATAAAATTTGTGACCAGGTCTCGGACGCTATCGTGAGTGGAATCCGTTCAGCTTTACGTTCAGGAGCACGTTGCTGAAGAGGCTTTGCTATCCACCAGCTCGATGCCTGCCTCGCGCAGGACCCATTCTCCAAGGTCGGCTGCGAGACCGCGGCTAAGACGGGCATGATCATGGTCTTCGGCGAGATCACCACGAAGGGCACGATCGACTACCAGAAGGTCATCCGGGACACTATCAAGCGGATAGGGTACGACGACTCCGCCAAGGGCTTCGACTACAAGACATGCAACATCCTCGTCGCAATCGAGCAGCAGTCGCCTGACATTGCGCAGGGGCTCGACCACGGTTCGCTGGAGTCTATCGGCGCGGGTGACCAGGGCATCATGTTCGGCTATGCGACGGATGAGACACCAGAGTACATGCCCCTCACACTTGTCCTCGCGCACAAGCTCAACTCTGCGATGGCCGCCGCGCGCCGCTCGGGCGAGCTCGGGTGGCTGCGTCCTGACTCGAAAACGCAGGTCACCGTCGAGTACAGGAAGGAGGGCGGTGCGACGATCCCACTCCGCGTTGACACTGTCGTTGTCTCGACGCAGCACGCGGCGGAGATCTCCACCGAGGACCTCCGCAAGGAGCTCATGGAGAAGATCATCAAGAAGACCATCCCGGCGAACCTCCTTGATGAGCGGACGGTATACCATGTGAGTAACGTGCTAGAACTACCACGTTCGGTGGTCTGATGGCGTGAACGTAGATTCAACCGTCTGGACGCTTCGTCATTGGTGGACCGCAGGGTGATGCGGGTCTTACTGGCCGTAAGATCATCGTCGACACCTACGGTGGGTGGGGTGCGCACGGTGGAGGTGCATTCTCTGGCAAGGATTGGTCCAAGGTCGACCGCTCTGCGGCTTACACTGCTCGTTGGATCGGTCAGTTCGTGCACATATTCCGGCAAGATCGTTACTCACAGTCTTTGCAGCGAAGTCCCTTGTGGCAGGCGGTCTCGCACGGCGGGTGCTCGTCCAGCTCTCGTACGCCATCGGTGTTGCGGAGCCATTGTCGATCTACGTCGACACATATGGCACGGGCAAGAAGACTAATGAGGAGCTCGTCGAGGTTATACGCAACAACTTCGACCTCCGGCCCGGTCTCATTGGTATGTTGTTGCGTGCTCACATCTGAACATCTTCTGATGCGTGCCCTCCGCAGTGCAAGCTCTTGGTCTGCAAAAGCCGCAGTACCTGAAGACCGCGTCGTACGGTCACTTCGGTACGCCGTTCCTTTTTAGGCGTATCGGCATATTACTGACGACTTCACCTTAGGTAACTCCGAGTACGCATGGGAGCAGCCCAAGAAGCTCCAGCTCTAAGCAGCTACTTCTGCGCCTGTTCTGTTTTCATCTTTTGGGCTTAGAGCCGCATTACGCATTCAACATCGCAACGGAAGTTCATCCTTCCGCTATTTATCATCGCACGCATGGTTTTATTTGTTATCATGATACCTAGAGGACACGACCCCCCTGCCCGCTCACCCTATCCCCCTCCCACCCCCTGGCGTGGCCCTGGCTTGCTGCTAACCCGCCGCACACTCACTTGACACGTTACTGATGATGCTGCCCTGGCCTCGGCGCTGCCGCTTATGCTATACTACTTCGTGCTCGATCTCAGTTGTTGCATAGTTTCATGTTTTGTAATGTTGCAGAGAAGAATATATCCGCGTTCAACCGCGTACAGTCATGCCTTTGGAGTGACACAGATATAGGATGAAGTCGAGAGTGGTGGGCCTTATAGACATTGCGGCGTACAGACACGATGATAAAGAGTGGAACGAACCCGAGATGAGACATGCTACAATGTAAAGAAAAACGAACATGAGTACAAGTAAAGGACCTAGAAATACATCAGCAAGCAAGCATACTAAGCTGGAATGTTCCTCGCGATATCCCAGTTCACGAAGTTCACGTCGCAGTCTCCCCACAGCCAAGGTAGTCCATTATCTGCTGCCTCCACATGAGGATAAGGTCATCTGCCGAGAGATCTATTCCCAGGGCAGTAGCCAAGCTTTGACACTCGGCGTCTGTAAAGAATAGCCAAAGCATAAGTTTGTCGAACCTCCACAAAACTAGTAGGCACTTACCCGTCAAGCGCAATAAGTCCGCCTTTGTCTGTGCATGGGGTTGAGGGAGTACGACGTTTGTTGGGAAGGAAAGCGGAGCATCCCTTGGTGCATTGAGATTAAGCAACCTCAGTGGCAGTAGTCTGCTCCTGACAAAACAGGGGATAAGTGGAGGCGGCATCAGAAATGAAACACGCTACTTACTCGGCATGGAACTCATCTCGCAGCTGCTGTATATCTTGCTGTAGTTGTTGCTGCACTTGAACCAGCTGCTGCTGTAGTTCGTGCTGCCCTTGAATCTGCTGCTGCTGACCCTGCAGCAGCTGCTGAAGGATCCCCAGAAGCTGTTGGGGAGCTGGGGCCTGCGCGACAAGGGATAACTCATTCGCCAGATCCTCCAGAGCCTGGGACATTATGTCGTAGTTGGGGGCTGCAGCCATTACTGTCCAAGCCTTTCAGGGGAGTACTTACTTAGCACCAGCAGAGATGTGCGCACCCTGAAGGCAGTAAGTACTTATGTCACCTAGTCGTGGTTGTGCGGAGGCAAGTTGTGATACTACAGTAGAATTGAAGAAATCACATGTACCACGTATGCGTTGACTGGCAAGTATCTTCGCAATAGGATCCTATTGATACGAATGTAACTAAACGTATCAAATCGGATAGATTTGTACACTACCTTTAGACGAGCGTACCTACGTACTCGCACTATTCTAATTTAGTGTGATAAATATGATATATATTGTATGCAATATGCTCTCTTCGCCCGATAGATCTTGAGTGAATGCAGCTCGAAAGCTCGATGAAGGGGTAGGTGGTTGTGCGCAGTCAGTCAGACAGTCCGGTCCGTGATTAACTTTCGCAGGCAAAGAATTCCTTCACGACTCTCCCGAGAATGGACATGCCCTGCTCCATAATCTCCTCCGTGCCCGCAAAGGTTACACGCACGTAGTTCACGCGCTACAAAAGTAAGATCAGCGCGTTGCCAGACCGGATTCTCGAAGGGTACTCACGTCCTCGATGGGGTCGTCCAGGTCGTCATACTCGGGATCCGCGCGGAGCGCAAAGACGAACCCGGGCATGACGACGAGCCCGGCGTCCAAGCAGCTCTCGAAGAGCTCCTGCATGAGCGGGCCGACGTTCGTGCGCGGGCCGGCGGGGTCCCCGCCTACTACGCGAACGTCGCTGCGGAAGCGCGTGTGGCGTTCGAGGTTGACGCGGATCCACACGAACATGCCCGCGGCGGGGGCGCTCGCGGTCGTGTACCCCGTGCCGCCGAGCTCGCGCGCGTACAAGCTGAGGAGGAAGTCGCGCCGGCGCTGGTAATCATCGCGCAGCGAGCGCACCCAGCGGTCGAAGCCCGCAAGTTGCCAGCCGTGCGCGCTGAGGAGCTCCGTGACGAGGATTTGGCCGAACGCGTGCGGGTGGTGCGTTGAGGAGTCTGTGAGCGAGACGAGGTGCTCGTAGAAGACGGGGTTGCAGGTCACCCAGCCGAAGCGCATGCCCGGTGCGATGATCTTGCTGAAGCTGTCGAGCCGGATCACGCGGCCGTCGACGTCCATGGAGAGGAAGGAAGGGATGAAGCTCTCATCTGAGTCCGATGCGGGGTCGGTGTATCGGAGGAAGTAGTATGGGTCTGCGGAGATCTAAGCATATAGAGAAGTACGAGATGAAGCCTGAGCTCACCATCCTCGATGATGATCAGATCGAAGCGTTGCGCGATCTCGTAGATCTCCTTCCGACGTTCTAACGTCAACGTCGAACCTGTTGGATTTTGACCACACCTGAAAACAATATACACGGTTAAATCTCGAGACAAAATCGGTCGATACACGGAGACTCACGGAACGATGTAGAGGACATGTGGCCGTCGGCCTCTCGCGGGGTCCCAGGTCGACAGTATTTTTTCGAGTACGTCTGGCATGATCCCGCCAGAGTCGATCCGTACGGGCACCCAGTTGATGCCAAACGACTCGCCCGAGTTGGTCGCCGAGGTGAACGTGAACTCGTCCGCGAGGAAGTTGTCTCCCCGATTCGCAAGCAGGCGGAAGCACTTGGAGATGGCATCTCCGTTGCCGAGGGTCATCACGGACATGTGGTCTGGCGGCGAGTGGTAGTGCTTCGTCAGGTCGATGAGGGTTTGCTGCGCTTGCGGTATGCCGGTCGCGTTGGTGTAGCCAAGCGAGTTCCGCAGCGACAGGCCTTGCGAGGATTGCCGAGATGAGGATTGCCGAGATGAGGATAGGGTGCACGATGGGGCGTCGGAGCTTGCGCTACGCCAAGATGCGACTGGGTCCTTGACATCTACGGACGCGATTTCGAACTGTATCTTGTTGATCGGATAGAACGAGAAGTGTGGGTCACCTTTGATAGACGGTCAGTCAGTATGAGCTTGAGTATGGAAATATGTAAAAGAGAGTTAGCATACCGTTCGCAAGTGAGATCATCTTCGGCTTGATGAGCCTCCCAATGGCCTTCATGGGGTTGGGCTTGCGCCCAAGCGTCTCCGCAGAGAGATGGTGCATGAGGTCGACTTTGGAGCTGCTTGCCATTGTGTGTTATGTCGGGTGGATCTGCGCAAGCAGGGATTTTAAGGTGTTGAGTGTTGAGTCTCGACGAGTATTCCATCGCGTTTTTAAAGCAGTCAAAGACGGGCTGCCGGATCACCGGGTAAAGGGATTGTGCGACAAGGGTGGAAAATTGCGAGCGTCGACAGAGGCGGTGACTATTTACCATGACAAATATATTGAGAGGATGAGTCGGTCTCAAGCTAGAGTGAGGCACCGTCACCGCGACTGCTTCGACAAGATCGGCTAGATATTGATAATCTTAATCACACCTTGGCGCTGCCTTCCGCAATCTCATCTTTTACCATCTGTAGATGAGTCTACTGTCGTGTATGGCTGTATCATCAACTGCGGGATCAAAAGTTTCGAACAGAAACGAACAATGTCCAGTCCCTTCAAGGTCTCATTGTCGACCATTTTTCATGGAAATATTAGCTCTGAACACTCCGAGCCAAACCCCGACGTCGCGGTCGGCCCCTCCCCGCCTGTGCACTTACTGCTCACGCCCGGGATCCCCCAAGCCTTCATCGATGATCCCCTCTAGCCGGCACTTGCAGGAGGAGGCGGTGAGTCATGCACGCTCTGCTTGGTATCATTGATTCCGTTATCGGAGCGCTCGCCGGACACGAGCATGACCCGAATGCGAGCCGACGAACCGTCATCGCATTGCGTCTTGATGACCTTTCGAGGCACATAAGACTCGTCGCCATCCATTGTACCTTGCTGCTGTGATCTCAACAACTGTCCATCGACCCCCTCCCAGCTCTCGGGTACCCACCATGCTTGACACCACGCGCACGTTTCGAATTCGTCCAGACGGCGACCTACGGCTACCCGTTAGCGAAAAAAGGGCGCCGTCCCTGGCTCGTTCGGATCTTGCTGCAGTCTGCACCTTGTATGCAGAAGTGTATGCAGCCGTGTTTGCTATCATTACTTACCGACGCACCAGGCTCTTCTACATAGGACGGGGGGACATGACGAAATCTTGGTTTTCGTCGAGATCCGACCGTGTTCTCGTATCGTCAGTTTACTGTTTCACTTTGTGACTCGAGCGCGGTGTTTGCATGAATGATCCATGCCGTTGAAACAATCACATATTTATGTCATAGTATGTATCCACGTGTGTTCATCTCGAAGTACAAGAGAGAAATGGGAATTGGGTGAATTCAGGAAGAACGAAGGAAGATAGTCATGTACGCTAGTATACACATGCATTTCAACTTGAACAGGGACAAAGAAGAAATAAAGATACCATCCAATCAAAAACATGACTATTGAGAAGAACGAAGGTGTCCGGCCAATCAGGAAGAAGGAATGAGTTGAGTCAACCCCATCTTCGAATAATCCGTGCATTTGTTCCTTCACACCTAGATGTGGCGAGGCTCTTCCGCAGACCCGCGAAGCTGTGGATCGCGCGCCGCCTCAAGCCCGCGACAAGGCGGGTGCGCTTGCTGCGGGACGAACGGTGCACGCGCTCGTACAGCGGCCTGACGAAGAGCAAGCACACTACACGTCACACACACATAAGCCCCCCGTCACAGTAGGAAAGAGAAAGAGCCTTACGGATGATTTCAAGGACTTCATCCTGGGGAATGCCATCCAGTTCGAAGTAGTCATATCCTCCTCTGCGTGATCGCAGGGGCTGGCCGTTGACCACAACACACTTAGCGTGGAACTTCCCGATTACTTCACCGTCATCATCCACGAGCTGGGACGCAGTACGAGCAAGATAAGTTGGAAGACCTGGGCGGATGATAGTTAGATACTCACAGTGAGACTTGTAGGTGTTATGCACCATGTATTCTCGGTACGCATTGGAAGTTGCGTCTCGTCGTTGCTGGAGAGACCATATCCATTAGACCGTTAAAATTAGCTACATAATCAAACTTGACTCACTACAGCTTGAAGAATGCGCAGTCAAAGAGCTCCGCGACGCCCCGCAAGACCTCCTCACCAATCCTGATGAGCGTCGCGTAGTTCCCCGGTGCCCAGTCGATTTCTGCTACGATCGCACCGTCCTTATCTTCGACGAGGGTTGTGGGCCTGTCTGTGCGGGGAACGGTCTCTTGGGAGCAATTACGGCTCATAGTCCGCTTGAGCGAATCGAGAGTGCTCGCGCGCGCACGCGCTGGACGGGGTGTACTGATACGGAACGCGACCGTGCCCGTGGCGCAGTCAATGAGCGTAGTCTGGCCTTTGTCTGTGGACGTAAGCTTGTACAGCATTGTGTAGCACGACGGTGGTAAAGACTGGGAGTTCCTCAGAATTCAGGTACTAGCAGAGGTTCTAATAGCCCGAACGCGGGTGCGCAGGGGAGCAGGACAATCGCTAGAAGGGAGAGCGCACATTATATACGCACAATAGGATATCAGCCTCGCTTATATACAGGACCTTCGGCTGGCGGAGCAGTACGTCACGAAAATTCGACTGGAGAACATTGTCCTTGTCATGGGTCAAATGTCACGCCAGAAGCGACATTCTGCGACATCACCGTCGATTGGATGTTGCGCACACATTCCACAACGGGCTTGATTATGCTGCAGTTGTGCGGGGTGTCGAGGATTCGGACAATGGAATAGCAGGACAATAGAGTGTACGGAAAAAGGCGCCGGAAAGTTTGAGAGGATCCTCCGGATAAGGAAACTATTGCTCCCGCCTGCGATCGTCCGGTGTTGGTGCTTCGGTTTCGAGGCGATTCGGACTTGAGCTTGAACGTTGCTGCTACGCGTTGAAAGGCTGGTAGCAGTCTTTCAACGTTGAACTCTAGCCGGAGAAGGCTCACCCAATTTCGTTCCCGTGCTGGTCCCTCGGTAAGCTCCTGAAGTACCGCGTTATTTTTTCCTGAACTAAAGATGTCGATGTCCCGCCACTGGATCTCATTCGAATCTTGGAAAGACTTGAGTGTACATCGCCATGAATGCAGGACCTGGGGATCAGAATTTTGGTGTCGGCGGTGAGCCGGGGAGGGTCTATCTTGCTCTAGTGAGCTTCAATCTGTTCGGCAAGCTGAATAAAAACCCTAGAAAATGGTTAATTCGCGTGCATTTCTTCCGTACTCGGTACAGATCACACTTATCTCAAGTTCAAACGTTCATGACGAGAGTGCAGTGACTCCGAGGCAGAAGTAGCGCTGGGGACCTAACCCTAGAAAAAGGTTGAGCCGACGCGTTCGGCAGGCGGGCTTTACGTTTCCCGGTAGTGCCCCGCACGGTCATGCGGGGCCCCGGACGCTACACAAGCGTCGATCTACTACTCGTCAGCAGGGCCCGCCCCTTTATATAACCGGACTAGTGTTCGTCTTCGACTTGAAGAAAGACCACCACCATCTCCCCTTCAGCCCCTCGAGAGTGCGCCATGTCGGCAGGTACAACACCCGCTTTCTCTCTCCCAAAATTCACCGTTTGAGATGGAACTGATCACCGCCTACATTGACAGTTGCACAGGCCATGAATGCTTTCCGCCCGACGCCAGAGAGTATCCCTCCGCAGAACGTGAGCTACAGGGTCATCCTGCCGAAGGACATCCCCGTCCATATTCAGCCTCTGGTGAGTTCCGACCCTCCCAACTGAGTGCACACACCGAGAGGACCTCCCAAACGGACAGAATCCCGTCAGCTTCGTGCTCCGTGCGGCTCAGATATACCCAGACAAGCTCGCCCTGGCAAATCCTGACGTGCCCCACCCAGTCTTCTACTCGTACTCTGTGTGGTAGGTCCATGTCAGAGACGTCTCGGTGAGCACCGCTGAGCCTCCGGCAGGGCCCAGCGGATCCAAAACCTCGCATACGCGCTCATACAGGCAGGTATACGGCCAGGTGATCGTGTTGCAGTGATCGCACCCAACTCGTAAGCACCCTTTTGCCCTTCACGGAAGAACGCGTCTGATCCGGAAGCGCAGGCCAGTGATAGCAGGTCCTCTATATTCTTAGCCCCCAACGTGTGCCTTTGCTGACTTATGTCGTGTCTTCGTTCTGCAGAGGCACACCATGGCGTGCTGGCTGCGCGCGGGGTCATCTGCCCGATTAATACGCGCCTCACACACCCGGAGGTGGCGTATATCCTCGAGCACAGCGGTGCGAGACTCATCATCGTCGACTATGAGTACACGCACCTTGTGGCGGATGCGAAGGTGCCAGTCATCGTGACGCAAGACTCCGGTAAGGCGGGCGACCCTTATGAGGATTTCTTGAGCGCGGGTAGACGCTTCAGCAAGGAGCGGGGATGGACCGGCCTCGAGTGGGAAGGCAACGAAGATGCACCGGCTGCACTTTGCTATACGTAGGTCCAACTTGTTGCTGGGTACCTGCGAATTTTAACACGTCTTCATAGGTCTGGGACTACGGGAAGAGTATGTACCTTCTGGGTCCTGGTCGCTCTTCTCAGATACTGACGTTTAGCAGCCGAAGGGCGTGATCACAACCCTTAGAGGTAGATCTATGCACAGAAACATTAAAAGCATGAGACTTAAGATAATGACAGGGTCGTATCTTGCGGCTATTGCAAACGCATATGAGACGGGGTACGTTCCGTTGCTTCGCAATGATCCCTGTAAGCTTATTTCATTGACAGCATGAACTCAAAATCAACATACCTCTGGTAAGCGCCTACTTGATCATCTAATTGTGCGTGTTAATGTTCATCGCGCTGCAAAGGATCCTTCCGATGTTCCATGCTTGTGGTTGGACGTACCCGTGGGCCATCACCTTTTCATCGGCTGCGCAGGTAAGAGGACGTGTTTTGCCGCAGGGCATGGACTTACCACACACGTGTATTCTCAGATTACCCTCCGGACCGTCTCGATGCCACTTATCTGGAACCACCTCTTGCACTCCGGTGTGACCCACTACTGCGCCGCGCCTACAGTCCAAGTAAAGTTCCACGGGTGTTCCTTCATAATCGTTTTTTGATGGGTATGTTCCATACAGATCGGTCTGGTCAATGACCCGCAAGCGAGAAAAATTTCAAACCCGGTAACTGCCATCATTGCAGGATCTGCCCCCACTGCGTCGTTGCTGGAAGCCCTTGAGCAAAAGGGTATCAGGACTGTCCATGCGTATGGTCTGACGTGAGTGGGCATGCTTTGATTATCGCTTGCGTGTGCTAATACCCATCGACGATCCTGTATAGTGAGGTGAGTATAAAATTGCAGCCGTGAAAGATATCATTCTTAACACCATCCAGACATACGGGCCCTTCACCCGTTGTTACCCGCAACCATATTGGGATTCCCTCTCCGCAGACGACCGAGCGAAGCTCATGGCGCGCCAAGGTTACAGCTTCGCGACCGCTGATGACGTGCGCGTCGTGAATCCACCAGAAGAAGGCGAGAGCTTCGACGTGGAGCTCGTCGACGTGCCTAAGGACGGGAAGACTGTTGGCGAGATCGTCGTACGCGGTAACATTGTGATGAAGGAGGTGAGTCGATTTTATTTGAGTTGTACATATCTATGGATGACGAGTGGGATGGAATGAAGTACTTTAACGACCCCGAGGCGACAAGGAAGGCATTCCGTGGGAAACATTTCAGCACGGGAGATCTGGCCGTCATGCATCCAGACGGGACGGTCTCGATCCAGGACAGAAGCAAAGACATCATCATCTCGGGTGGAGAGGTAAGTCGCACGAAGAAGTACGATTTTTCCTTTGCTGATGAATTGTTCTCGTGTGCAGAACGCGTCCAGTCTCGCAATAGAACAAGGTTAGATATCACTTAAGACCCTCAGTGTGCCAAACTCACCGCCTTTTACTGTGCAGAACTCGCGAGCCATCCTGATGTGCTCGAGGTGTCGGTGGTCGCCCGCCCGCACCCGAAATGGGGCGAGCGCCCGATGGCATTTGTGATCCTGCACCCCCAGCACGCGCAGAAGTGGACGGGCCGCCACGACGAGTTCGGCGATCACCTGAAGCAGCATGCGCGTAAGCGTCTCCCGGGCTTCGCCTGCCCGGAGTGGGTCTTGATTGTGGAAGAACTGCCTGTGAGTACAATAGTAGTTATTTACATTGATGGCTTCTGACAAATGTGTAGAAAACATCGACCGGGAAGATCCAGAAGGTTGTTTTACGCAAGATGATCGCCAAGTTATGATATAAGCCTCGATCATGTATGGGTGTAATTGGGTTGTATAAGTAAATCTACTAATATAGTCAGCGTTGTTACTTGTCGAAACCTTCGACCTATCTGTGTCGCTGGGGAACAATATTTGCGCACGTTTGATAAACAATAGTGTTGCGTAAGAAACTCAAAGCATGTTATTAACGTTAGGTTTATAACATGTTAGGTTCCGGAGGTATTTGACACCATGTTTTTAACGTTGAAAACATGTGGCCACGTGACCTATTTTCGCATACTATAAACTGTAGATTTCCTCATTTTTGCACCTGTTTACAATGTTTACAATACGATATCCGCCTTCGCCCCAGTGGGCTTAGGACATGTCTACGACAGACCTCGACGAACCAAGTATGTATGGAGCAGCGGATCTACAATGGCATGAGCGGGACGTTGGCTGGACTAGCACTCCGCTACCTGGAGTACAGGATCACCAGTGATAAGACCATGTAGGTGGATGGGGGTTACGCCGGAAGAAAGGAGGGGAAAGCATCAACCAAGGACCCTCTGTACCAACCCCTTACATAATCCAACCCGGTTGCCCAGCGGGAACATGAGCGAGCATGAAGTCCGCTGTGAACGGCAGTCGTCCATCCTAGGACAAATGATGATGGTTCATGAATGCGACAGACCGAGTGGTAGAGGAAGTGACGATGAGCTGGTTGGCGTGCTGCGGGGATGGATGTGCGATTGGACTGGTGGATGATGGTGAGGGTGTGTCTGGCTGTGTTTGCCCAACGTCGGGAACGCCAACTCCGTACGCTGGATGCCCATCATGGGGCGGGTATAGAGGGTTAGATGAGCTATCGGCGACGATAAAATCCCACATTCATCGAGGCCGGGACGACAACATGGTGGTTGTTGTTCTGGAGGCTGCAGAAGAGATCGGAGGGCCCGAACGTATGATATTCCTACTCTACTACTCGATGACCCCATATCCTACCAGTGGAACTGTCAGCCTACTTCCGAAGACCTGTTACCTGTTCTCTTGGGCCCCGCTCGACCAAAAGGACATGAAATCTGAAGCTTGAAGGAGAACTGTTAGTGGCTGTCAAGTTGTAGTAGAGCATCTGACCTCGATGAGGGCTTGTGAGCAACCCCCGCATGCCGTGGCCCAGTACTTACGCTATGGGGGAATCCGACGCGACGTGACCATTGGCGCCGAACTTATTGACATAGGCATTTTGGCCTTATGTTTTTAACATGTTTTTAACGTGTTAAAAACACGTTAAAAACATACATGTTTTAAACATGACAGTTTTACACGCAACACTAATAAACAAAGGACGCGTTGTGTACGCGCTTGATCACGTGTTGAGATATTTCACGTGATGGTGTTATTGTGGCTCTTTGTTTGTCACGCTTTGGCCTGGGTTTTCTTGTTCTCGACTGGGCGTCAACGGCGACATCGCATCCACGACGAGCAAGCTGGAGCCGCTGACGCTAGCCCCGACAAGCTAGACAGTGCAATCATCTTCCTCCACGGCAGCCGCATTGTGGAGGGATAAACGAAGAAGACCTACTTGGCCGCATATACTGGCATGGCCCAACGTCGTGCTCATCACCACAGGATATCCTCAGTCCCAGACTCCACCGCTATTCTCACACGCCGTAAGCTGCAGTCGCGACGTGGCGCCAGTGCTCGAAGACGCGCGTTTACCCTTGCGGACCCGTACGGCCGCACCTCGAGTTCGCGCGACTCGCGCGCGTCTGGCAGCTCACCTCCGACGTCGGCCCGACCCGTTCTTGTACCATTGCAGTTCAACCTGCGACGACTCCCCTCTCGGCTCTTCTCAGAACGCAAGGAAAGTATGCGCGATGCGGGCGACGGCTACACAGTACGCGCGGGCGCGAAGCGGAAGCGCGTCGTCAGTGGCAGTGAGAATACTGCGGGTGCGCGCAGCACGCGTAATGCTGGCAGGGTGAAGCGGCGCAGGGCAGTGCGCGAGTCGAGCGATGAGGATGAGATGAGTGGCATGGACATCGACGATCAGGCGCACTGGGAGTCTTCGGATAATTCCGAGGACGAGGGCGCAATGGACTCGTGTATGTGTCTTTGTATCTTATCCATCTTTTTGCTCAATGTTCTGCCTAGCGGACGACTTCTTGATTCATGAAGCGGATCCGCGGCAGTTATTTCGTATGCGCAAGGAGGAGCTCGTCCGCCTCTATATCGCCGCCGGCCTCACTGAGGATGCGGAACTTCTCACGAAGCATGAGATCGTTGACTGCATCGTGGCCGCTCGAGACGATGTGGCAGAACTACCACCTTCATCTCCAGGGATCGGTGATAGCAACTCGAGCGACTATTCCTCCGATGGTGGTAATGTCGCGGGTGGCGAGGAGACAGATTTCGGTGGGAAGTTCAGGAATGGGCTGAGAAGACGGGCGACGGTTCAAGACTTAGGTCGGAGTGCTCGCTCGACTGCTGCCAGCCGGTCTCTTTCTCTGGGTCAACTGGAGGCTGCTCCTTCCCACGGTAAGAGAGCTCGAGAGCCCAGCGGTCCATCTTGTCCAATACGCAGGTGAGAGATCTTAGTCTTCTGTCCTAATTGCAATTTGTGAGGATAGTGCTGCGTAGACGAGGAACGAGTAATGCAAGTTCCAGCAGGTCTTCACCAACATCCTCAGCCGCCTACTCCCTTCCTTCCCCTCCCGCCACTCGTTTGCGCACTCGCAAGCTCTCTAACGAGGACAGCGTCGCGTCAACGTCAGCCAGACTCAGCAAGGGCAAGGGTAAAGCAAAGCAAGTGGAGTTCAATGATGAAGTTCAGGTCAAGTCTAAACCTGTCACTCGTCCCTTTGACGATGAAAGCGACCTCACCGACCTTACAGAGGTCGAACAGTCGATTGCAAAGATATCTCCCAGCCCGCGACGCTTGCGTAGCAAAGGCGAGAGGCCTCGGAGCGAAAAAGAAATCCCAGTAGAGACTGCGTTCGACGCAGACCGGCGGGTCACACCCATGCGGAAAGCGAAGGGAAAAGTGGGTTGTTTGCGGGAAGAGGACGAAGAGGAAGAGGAAGAGGAAGTGGATCAACTTGAGAGTGGGACGGATCAGGATGAGGAGGTCGACCAGCTGACGGAAACGCCATCACCCATGGCCACTCCAAAAGCTGCAGTCCCCCGGGGTCGATGGACTCCAGTTGTACGCAGATTGAGGCCGCGACGGATCCAGACTCATACGCCTCCTAGTGACGGAGATGATGAAGGGAGTGAAAACGATGAAGGGGCTGACGTGGAGACGAGCGTGGATGGAGAGGACGAGGAGAATGAGGGTGATGACGAGAGGAGCGTGGTGGACGGTGAAAGCGAGGAGGAAGAAGAACAGCCACCTCCAGAGCCTAAAAAGCTGCGCAACGGGAAGATTGTACCGGACGGTGAAGTCGAGGACGAGGTTGCGGAGGAAGACGATGACGAGGGGGACGAGGACTACGCGGACTCTACTGTGGAGGATGTTGATGCCGAAGGTGAGACGGAGGAAAGTGAGGGCACTGATGAGCCAATGGACGATGATGGTACGTTCCTTCCTGTCTTTAGCATTGGAGCTGACGACTTTATGGGTGTTGATCAAGTCGACCTTACCATCGCCACGGCAAGGACCCTTGTACGCCTACGTCGGGACGACCTCGTCCGCTTGTGCGAGACGCGTGATCTGGATGCCTCGGGAACCAAGTCTCAACTCGCTGATACGTTGCTTCAGTGGCGGGATCGGCATTGTAGCGAAGCATCGTCGCCATCCTCAACAGGTACGGCTCGCCCACCTTCAACCGCCAAAGGTCGTCCAGGCCGGCGGAAGACCAGAAGTAAGAGTAACAGCCAGACTCCGCCTGTACTGCTGCGATCGGATCGCGTCCATATGGACGAGCCAAGGACACCTCCACTTTCTGGTCAACAGAAGGAGGCGGAACCAGAACTTGAACTCGATCTCGAGAGCTTGGGGCTAGAAGATAGAGAAATTCCGCCGGATAAACTGACGAAGCTAGAGAAGATCGGGAGCGGCGGTTTCAAAGATGTCTTCATCGGCAAGTTCAAGGGACGTCGGGTCGCCATATCTGAATTCCGAAGTCAGCTTAGTGCAAGTGAGTATTTCCGTTATGTCAGGCATATTGTAGTGTCTGAACTTTAATAGTGGACATCAAAGAGCTTAAGTTACTGGGCGATTTCGACCATCCCAATATCGTCCGTTTCGTGCGTGGCGCTTTGTTTACTATCACTTGTTTGAGACACTGACTTGCCTCTAGCTTGGTGTGAGCATTCCGGAGAACACTCGGGAGACTCCGGTGATGATTGTCAGTGAGCTGTGTTCAAACGGTGACTTGTTCGACTACGTCCGGAATGTGAAGCCCCCTTCACTCTATAGAGTCGTACGTATCATTATTCACAGGTTACAACGGGCTTTCTGAGTCTTTTCTTAGCTCTGCATCATGCTCGACATCGCTCGCGGGCTCGAGTATCTCCATATGCGGAAGCCTTCTGTCATTCACAGGGACTGCAAGTCGTCCAACATACTGATCACATCCAAGGGTATTGCCAAGATCACGGACTTTGGACTGGCCAAGGTCAAGCAATCGACACGCTCCATGGTTCGCAGCTTGGTCGGCACGGTGAACTGGCAAGCTCCAGAGTTATGGCACCCTCATCCCAAGTACAACCACAAGGTCGATGTATTCTCCTGCGGCATGGTGTACTGGGAGATGCTGCAGTGGCATGTCCTGAACAAGAAATTCCCGTGGGAGGTATGCATCATCACACCCTATTGCTGTCGGGCTCTCGGGTTGATGGATGAGCTTACAGGGTATGAATGAGCATGCAATTTATGATCTCGTAGGTGCAAAACGTCAAAGGTATGTGGCTCCGCTCCCCCCGAGTGAACAGCTTTGTTCAAGGCCGATGTGTTTAGACCTTCGATTAACGGCCTGCGTAAACACTGGTGTCCGGAGATAGTAGATCTCATAGAGCGAATGTGGGCCCAAGAACCCGACGAACGCCCTACCATGTCTGAAATTGTAGAAGAGCTGGAACATCTCGTGCAGATATATCGTTGACCGCATACCCCCCAGCACGTCAAGACCTTTACCCACCATAACCATGATCCCATTGTTCCGCCTCTGCCATGCTCATCGGACACTTCAAGTTGGAATTTATGTAAATTTCTTCATGCTTTGTGGTCTCATGTTAGAGCGAGAGCTTATTCCCCTTGTCGCTTTGTATCATGCCGCGTCGAACATCACCAATTCACATAGTAGTTGCATCGTGTTCTATCCATCATTGTATCGCTGTCTCCAACTCAATGTTAACAGTGCATTTTGTTTCTTGTACTGGTCGGATTCAGGGAAGTGCCCACGGGAAAATAAATAGATTGTGAATTTGCATGCAAGTTGGTCCCTGTAGGTCCATACTATCACAGTCACAATCTCGATCAGACGAGTCACGTCTTTACCATCTTAGTGACGAGGGCTGAAAAGTTCGCCAAGAGCACAGTGGTCTTGGCCTATTGTCGCATGCAATGAATCTATACTTCTGCTATTAATCGTACCACACCATCTAGATGGTCCTGCACTTGGGCAACCCTATGCATCGTAAACATTCTTGACCTTGTACATCTTCGTGTCCGCAGGCACTACCACTTCTCCCTCCCCGTATACAGTCGAAACAGAGTACATCTTCGTATCTGTCGGGGTGTCAAAGAGCGCCTTTGACGTGCTCTTCGCCTCTGCGCCCTTCCCTTTGATGAGCGGCGGAGCAGTAATAGGCGTCGCGCTCTGCGAATTTGCCTTGCTTGCAATACTGGCAGCGCGGCCATCGGGGATATGGATGAACTCGAGGCGGCCGTCGGGTGCCACACCATCAAAGATGTAGTAACCTTTGCGCTCGAACTGGATGATGTCGCTCTTCCTGAGCTTGCGCACGTTCGCGTCCGCGAGCGCGTCTTCACGGAACTCGGTGATGGGCGTGACGAAGTCCTGGACATCATCGTTCTCTTCGAGCTTCTTCTTCGTAATGAGGTAGTCATAGTCGAGCAGTGTGACGTCGACGAGCGTGTGCGCGGGTGTGGGCTGGGCGAGCCATGTGATCTTTTTCTTGGTCTTGCGGAAGTCGCCTGAGAGGTGCAGCTCCATCTCAATCGCGGTGATTATACCTGCGGAGTTCACCGTCTTGGAACGCACGAAAGCATTACCCCAGTCCATTAAGGTGATCTGTAGAGCAGATGTGAGATGAGGATCAGGAGATGCTGCAAGACACTGACCTCCTCCTGGTCGTCGAACGAGAGAGCATCTTCCTGCTCGACGAAAACATAAGAAGAAAAGACAGTCTGCTTCTCCCCGACCCCAGGGTTCTTCTTGTGTTTTGGAAGGCTCTTGACCTCAGGGTCAGCAGGTCCACCCTTGATAGTCACCGGCACTCTGGACATCAGAAACAGAGGTTAGCAGGGAAACAGATAGAGATGCGGACAGATGCACATATCACTCTTCGCAATTGCCCAGAATCGTGGTGCGATGGGGTCAATGACTTTCTTGTTCAGTGTCCACAGCGAGTCCCACTCGAGTGAGACGATCGCTTGTGAAGGACCTTGCGCAAGCATGAACTGGCGCAGCGCTTCCACTGTCAAACCTCTTCGGCGGATACCTGCAATTCGGTGATGTCCGACCTCAATCAACGGCCCAGAACCTGAGAGAGATCGAGTTACCTCGGACGGTGGGGAACCTCGGGTCATCCCAGCCACGAACGAGACCCTGGTCGACAAACCAGTGTAGTTTGCGCTTGGAAAGGAGAGTATAAATGAGGTTGAGACGACTGACGTCTGAAGTGAATAACATGGCACATCAAGGGCAACCACTTCTTACTGACCTGAAGTCCCAGATGTGGACAGGACGCAGGCCGAGGGCTTCGATCATCCAGTAGTACTGGGGGTTCCGGTCGCGGTACTCGTTTGTCCGCAGTGCGTGCGTGACGCCTTCGAGCGAATCTACGATGGGGCAAGCAAAATCGTATGTTGGGTACACCTTCCACTTCGATCTGAAGAACAGACGGAAACGCAACATGAAGATCGTTGTTGAACTTCTGCTGGCGGGAGTGCTTACCCCGTTCGGTGATGCGGCAGGAGGTTGCAGCGATAGATGACGGGGTCACGCATCGCTTTGTTGGGGTTGTCGACACTCATCTTCGCACGGATACACCACCGCACACCCTCCTCAGTCCCCGCCTTCATCTCCGCAAAGTGCTTGAGGTTGTCCTCGACGCTGTCGTCTCGATGTTTTGACGCAACGCCGTGGTACCGCTCCTCCCGCATCTGAGCGGATGGTCAGATCGGCATTAGCTTGACTCCGATGTATAGTATTTTGCTGTGGAAGGGGTGAGCGCATGCTTACCTGGGTCTGCTCGGTGTCGTCAGCGTAGGCCTTGCCAATTTTGATTATCTTCAACGCTAGTTCGTACAGCTCGTCAAAGTAATCCGATGTGTGCGACAATTTGTCTCCATGGATCTCCAGCAGGGCAAGATCCTCGAGGATCGTCTCCTCAAACTCGGTCTATCCACAAGTGCATGCATGTCAGCATCGGAAGTGCCAGTCGCACGAGCCCGAAGGGAGATGAGGCACCACGCACCCTCTCTTTCGTGGGGTTCGTGTCGTCAAATCGGATCAACATCTTCCCTTTGTACATCTGCGCGAAGTACTGGTTCAGCATGGCCGCTTTCGCATGGCCAATATGGAGATAGCCACTCGGCTCGGGCGGGAAGCGCGTCACGACCTCACCCTCCTTTGCATTTGCTAGGCCGAGCGCGAATGACGCGGCAGTCTTATTTAATCGCGCCTTGCTCGATTTTGCCTCTGAGAGCCAGGGAGACACGGAATTAATTCCATGAACCAGGTGCGGGCTGATGAGATGCTTACCGGCAAGGCTTGCAATAGCAAGCTGTGTAGATTCGAGAGACTCGAGATGTGAGAACCACCGGAGAAGATGCGGGTGCTTGTTGTTCTTGAGCAAGCCAACGATCTTCACACTTCCTAACATACACAGGTCAGTGGGCGGCGGAGCCCCGGCAGACATTGAACGAACCTTTGAAAGCGCCCCACACGATCCAGTCGGAACCTGTGATTTGTTGGCCCACGAGGTAGGTGCGAAAGGCTAGATGATCGTCAAACGAGTCCAGGACGGCGACGATTTCGGGAAAGGCGGTCAAGGTCGGCAGTGTCTTTGCAAGTGCAAAGTATGCCGATGCCTATCCACTTCGCGTGTCAGCTATATATCCTACCCACACGAGCAGCATAGCAAGATACGGAGGACGAACCTTGGCACCGTCCTCCGGGAGGCCGCCTGCTTTGGCGAGGGCCTGCACGACCTGGTCCTCGGCGGTGATCTTTGAGCCATCAAGCTCTAATGTAACGCCCGATGCGCTCTCGTCGAACGCGAGCTCGACTTTTTGGGTGTATGTCGCGATCGCGACGGCAGCGAAGGGAAACGGAGAGGCAGCGGAGGAGACTGTGAGCACGTCAGCCATCGCAAGTCTACGAATTAACTATTTCTGAGCAAACGAGAAACCAAGTTAGAGATGCTGAAGGCTCGGGGTGACTCGTCTGTAGGAATATATTGCTCAAGCGCCGATCTCGAGTTTAGAGTTTCGATATACACCGAGATGTCCGGGGTCCAACTTGAAGTTAATCTAATCGGCTTCACCGTGACATAAATACTGGTGCGCACATCTCTGCTGGTGCTAAGTAATGACCTTTCCTCTTCGGACGATCTATGATTTTGTTGCTTCTTCTACTCGAACATGAGTGTTGCCCTGGATAGCAAACCCGACGAGCCAAGTTGTCGTCTTCAAGCTACACCGACGTTGTCCACTCCTAGATCTGCGGTATACCTGACATATGACATCCACAACCCACCCCCGCATCCGGGAGCGGCCTGGACACGCTTTGTCTGCATATCTGACACGCATTCGAAGATCTTTCCCGTGCCGCCAGGAGATGTCCTGCTGCACGCGGGCGACTTGAGTAGTCGGGGGACCTTGCGGCACTTGCGGCACGCTGTAGAGTGGTTGCAGTCACTGCCACATCCGATCAAAATGTGCGTGAAGTGGTTCTTATTGAATGACGACGGACATGCTGATGCTTTCGCTCCACAGCATGGTTGCGGGGAATCATGATGTACGTCGTGTGTAATGACGGGCGGGAGACATATTCACGAAGGTGCAGCTATGTTTGGATGAACACTGGGTCGTAGGTGGCAAGCTCTACCAGTGCTCAGGCAACGGTATCCCAGCTGAGGTGAGATTAGGACTTACTGTCAAGCCCTATTTGACGTCACAATCTGTTCATCACAGGATATTGCGGCTGCCCGTGCTATGGTTCATAGCGACACGCTGCGTCAAGCGGGTCTGCACTATCTTGAACACGAATCAATACGGATCACTGTACCAAACGGTAGAACCTGGGAGATATACGGTTCGCCTGTAAGTCCACCGCTAAACCTGGCCGCATTTTCAGAGACTGATCACAGGTATCAGGCTGCTCGCCGTTATTCATTGGGCGCGTTCCAGTACAAGGCCGGTGTAGGCACGGCCATCTACAGCCGCATTCCATCCACTACAGAGATACTCATCACGCATTCCCCTCCGTACGGTGTCTGTGACTTGACGCGTCGTGGACAAAATGCGGGTTGCCAGGAGCTTGCCGCGCGACTGGAGAGCAGGCACTTGTGCACCTGCCGGCTACATGTGTTTGGGCATATCCATGAGGCGCACGGGGTCGCGCTTGGGATGCCTACGGCTCAGAACCCGTGTGGCAGACTGAGTGTCAATGCGGCGCTGCATCATGTTGGACAGGCGGTGATTGTGGATTTGCTGAACTGACCTTAGATTTACTAGGCATCCTTCTTGAGCTGATTGGTAGTAAGTACTTGCATGTACATATTCGTCTATGAGTAAGGAAGTAATGCATGTCTTGGACTCCGGGGGTTACAGCCTGGTCATGACCGGTATTGGCACGCGTCTGTTACGGTACGCGTTCTCCCCTGTGACAGCTTGAGCAAGGCGTATCAACTATCTTGGACGCCACTAACTCACCGCTCGTTAGCTTAGCGTCTACTTACGCCTGCTGCATACTGCGTCTTCCCCCGACACACGTACAATTCTTACTCACCATGCATCAGGCTCTCAAGCACATCTCAAGCCTGCTTACTGTCACGCGTGACAAATATCCAGTCTGCAGCGGTTACGGGGTCGGGGTATGTAAATTTCCCGCGGGGGAATCGACTCATCCATGGCACTGTGGTCACCGAAGTGACTCGGCCTCTTGTCTCCTTATTATAAAATCTGGTTCGTATAAATGCAAAGCGCACGATCCACTTGCCTTATATCTAACGACCCATCATGCTGTGAGTCACTGCACATATTACCGCGGTCGGGTACTGACATCTCTACCAGCGCCGATCCCTCAAAAAAATACAAACCGTACACCCCCCTCAACCTTACTGACCGCCAATGGCCCTCTAAAGTCGTCAAGAAGCCGCCGATCTGGCTGTCGACTGACCTGCGCGATGGCAACCAGGCCCTCGCTAACCCGATGACCATCCCGCAGAAGACGCTTTTCTTCCACACTCTCCTCAAATGTGGCTTCAAGGAAATCGAGGTTGCATACCCAGCCGCGAGCGACACCGACTTCAACTTTGTGCGCGGCCTCATCGAGGAGGGTCAGGTGCCGGACGATGTGTGGTTGCAGGTTAGTCTACTCCCCTTTCACCCACCCCGAGCCGCCGGCCTTGGAACCCGTAGCTGGTGCTGAAAGTAGGTTGAGCTCAGGTCCTGACTCCCGCACGCGAAGACCTCATCAAGCGTACCGTCGAAGCGGTCGCCGGCGTCAAGCGCGCCATCATCCACATGTACAATGCAACATCGTGCACCTTCCGCGAGGTAGTCTTCCGCAACTCTAAGGAGGAGACAGTCGCGCTCGCTGTGAAACATGCCAAGATCGTCCGGCAGCTAACAGAGGAGTGCACGGCGAAGCATGGCACACTCTTCCGGTTCGAGTACAGCCCAGAGATGTTCACGCAGACTGAGCCAGAGTTCGCTTTGGAAATCTGCGAGGCTGTAAAGGCTGCGTGGGGCAGAGCGGGAACGGCGCCGATGGATCGGATCATCTTCAACCTGCCCGCGACTGTCGAGATTGCTCCACCAAATCACTATGCTGACCAGGTGGGTGCGAAGCTGTCACCTCTATAAACACGCTTCTCACCTTCCATGGAGATCGAAAACTTTTGTCGTAATATCTCTGAACGGGAGAAAATCATTGTCAGTCTGCATCCGCATAACGATCGCGGTAGGTGATACCACTTCATCGTGCATGGATGAAAAGTCAATGTTTTGCCCTTTAGGCCAAGGCATTGCTGCTGCAGAGCTGGGTCTGCTTGCAGGTGCCGACCGCATCGAAGGCTGCCTGTTCGGCAATGGCGAGCGGACGGGTAACGTCGATCTCGTCAACCTCGCGCTGAACCAATACACTCAGGGCATCAATCCCGGTGTCGACTTCAGTGATATCCAGGCAGTGATTGATATTGTAACACAATGCAATGACTTGCCCGTACACCCTCGCCATCCGTACGCTGGAGAGCTTGTCTTCACCGCTTTCTCGGGCTCACACCAGGACGCCGTCAAGAAGGGCTTTGAGGCGCAGCGGATACGACACGCGAAGGCTGCTGCCACTGGCGAGCCTCAATACTGGGACATGCCTTACCTACCGATCGACCCTGCGGACCTGGGTTGCAACTACGAGGCAGTCATCCGTGTCAACGCCCAGTCTGGCAAGGGCGGCATCGCATATCTCGTCCAACAGCACTTGCAGCTGGACATGCCCCGAAAAATGCAGATCTCGTTCTACCAGATCATCCAGGAGATTGCGGACCGCGAGGCGCGCGAGATGACCGTGGAGGACATTACGGAGGCCTTCCGCACCACGTACCACTATGGCGGATCGAAGTACGAGGGCCGGCTGGTGCTAAAGTCTTTCCGAATCTCCGCAGAGCCCTCTGCGGACCTCGTGACCAGCGACGAGGCTGCCGATGAGCGACGCCAGTTCGACGGCACTATCAGCGTCGACGGCGTCCTGCGTGTCATCCGGGGAGACGGGAACGGGCCCTTATCCGCGCTGCTCGATGCACTCCGTACGCACCTCGAGATCGACTACTCGATCCGCGAGTACACGGAGCACGCGGTAACGCAGAGCCAGAACGCCAAGGCTGCCTCGTACGTCGAGCTCGTCCCGTCCGCGCCGGACGTCAAGGGTACCCGTCGCTCCGCCGAGTCGTGGTGGGGCGTCGGTGTCGACTCGGACATCGCAGGCTCCGGCTTACGTGCGGTACTGAGCGCGGTGAACGCCGTGATCGGCACGCGCGAACTGCCCGAGCTCAGGCTGAGCGTCGGGTACAGTGCCAAGTCCGGGCAGGCTGACATTGCGTCCGTGGTCCTCAACTCGCTGCACCTCGAGCTCCCGCGTCGCCTGCAGGCATCGTTCTTCGAGGTCGTGCAGCGCGCGGCGCGCGAGTCCGGCGGGGAGATCTCGTACTCGGACCTCATCGCGCTCTTCCGCGAGACGTACGGGTACGAGGTGCCCGACCGCGAGGGTCGCTTCGTCATGAATAGCTTCCACATGGACAACCTCCTCGAGAGCGGTCGCAAGGAGCTCACGGGCGAGTTCGTCATCAACGGCGAGCTCCGCCAGGTCTCCGGCCAGGGCAACGGCGCCTTATCCGCGGCCCTGGATGCACTGAACCAGCACCTCTATGGGAAGGTCGGTATCCGCGAGTACTCGGAGCACTCGATTGGTGAGGGCACGGAGGTGAAGGCAGCATCATACGTCGAGCTTGCGTATGAGGCGGACGGAGGTGCAGTGAGGTTCAACGCCTGGGGCGTTGCAACAGACACGGATATCGCTGCATCAGGCTTGAAGGCTTTGTTGTGTGCGGCAGGCAGGATTGACCTCATGACGCGTCGATAGGAGAGGGAAGGATTGGATGCACCCGTAAAACTGCCGATGCTTAGCATGCATATAATGGCAGCATCATCTAGTATTACCTTGATGTACGAATGAATGTGTTGGTGCCACGACGTACCTCACCGCTGCCCCCCTGCAAGCCTCCACAAATCGGCGCAAGCTATACTGCTGGCGTTTTCTACGAGCCACCTGAATCACGATGCTTAGCAACTAGTAGAAAGCAGGCTGATACGACAAAAAGAAACGGCCTATGATACGTATAATAAAACAACAGAGCAGCTTTCAGAACTTGAACTCCCTCTCCCTCCTGTTGTCCCTGTCTCGGTCCATCTTTTGCTTCTTCTTCGCCATTTCCTTTGCGATCATGTCCGAGAAGTCCTCCTTGGAACCAGGGACGCCTGCAGAGCCGCGAGAATGCTGGTCGTACTTCCTGCGAAGTTCCTCCGTGGACATACCCTCCAGCTCCGCCGCATCGATGGAGACTTCCACGCCATTGGACCTGCGCTATAGGAGACAGACCTGTCAGTAAAGCATCTCACTATGGCCTGCTGACGCACCTTGGCACCCCTCTCGTCTCCGAGGACGGGAATTGCACCAGCACCGGTAACAGCACTGACATCGTACCCACGCTCGCTGCCTATGAGGCCTCTGACCGACGTTTGCTTCTCTGGCACCACCTGGTAAAGCGACCTCGGGCCGGTCTCTGCAGCTTCGGACTGTGCTCTTCCACCATGTTTCCGCAGTTCCAAGAAGTCGGGTGTCTCGAGTCCACCAGCCACCGTGGACACAACACTTGTCATACCAGATGGCGTCTCGAGGCCTGATGGTGTTTGAAGACCGTCTGCTGGAGTGGGTTCCGGGGCCTCCTCTTCTTCGCTCTCTTCCTCGCTCTCCTCTTCCTCCTCCTCTGAAATGTTTGTTAGCTTACAAAATGCGGTGATAATCATGAGTCAACGTACCTTCTTCGGGCTCCAGTTCGCCCCACATATTCCGATCCACTGGTTCACCCATCTGCAGACCAGGAATCAGTCAGATGACAATATAGTGAATGAAAAGTCCTACATCGGCATCGTTGTTCTTTGGCAATACACCGAATACGTCACCATACAACGGACGGTTGTACTCGTCAAGGGGGGGCTTACCCCAACCACCTGGATGGAAACCCCACTGAGCACTTCACACGGTGGGTCAGCACATTGCTCAACACAACGATCCAGAACACGCACCCTTCCGGTATAGGAGCATTCAAGCCGGGAATTCGTAGTGTTGGGTAGCTCGGTGGAGGGCCGAAGCGCTGCATACTGATAAGCCATGGCGGAGGTGCGAGCGGCGGTATAGATAACGCTTCTACAAGCTCAGGGGAGAGATCACCAGGTCGCTTGTGCTTCAGCTGGGTCTCAAATTCCTTGCCTTCATAATACCTATCAGCATTGGGAGTGTTAGCTGCACAAGAAGGAGGCGCAACTGACTGCTCACATCTCGCCAAAGATCGTGACGTTCGGCTTGGTCATGAACTTGAAGAAGGCGTCGTGCAGCTTCTGGTAGTCGATGTCGACCTTGCCCATCTTTGGCTGGACCCGTTCGCGAGTTTTCGCCTTGAGTGACATGTTGGCCTCCTTTTCCTTGACAGCGTCTCGCATTGTAGCAATACCAGTATCGGCGATGTAGGACGGAAGCTGAAAGGGTGGCTTCTCGATACCCCTCTTGCCTTGCAGGTAGTCGCGCTTCGCGCTCCAGTGGCTAGGGATGGGCACTGTATTTCTGTAACTTTTAAGATGAAGCAGCATGCGAGGATCAGCAGCAGTAACGTCTGTCCACTCGACGACCTCCGGTTTCTTCACTAATTGCTTTAATTCGGCGACCGTCAACCGGTTTAGTTTGCGCGCTTTCTTCTTGGAAAGAGGTTTCTTTTCTTCATCTTCCGAGTCGCCCTCCGATAGCACACCGTCGTCATTGTAGAGGACTTCGCCCTTTGAGATTTCCTGATCACGGCTCTGGGGAAAGGTGACCGCATGAATAGGGGATTCGCGGCCAAGGAGGACTGGAGACGCACAGATGCTGTTTCAAGGGGCGGCTGGAAGCGAGCAAATACGTCGGAGAATGCTTCGAGGGCAGCGCCCTTAACATCCAACTGCTCAGACACGTACTCGACATTCTGAAACTGATCGCCGTCTTCCATCTTCACATCCTCCCCGTTTGTCTCCTGCGACGCATGTGAGGTCGTGTTCTTCGCGGCACGAGAAGGTGTACGCACCGGTGATGCAGTCTTCTCCTCCACCTTCTTCTGCTTCTGCTTCAGACGGCGTAGCTGATTTTTGGACTTGATCTTGGGGTGCGATTTGACGCCATTCGTGATGATCGCGGTTTCCACTTGTGCAACCATGTTTCAATCTGGAGCGAAGACGAAGACCGAAGTGGGGAAGAAGGAGGTGTATGAACGGGCGTCGTCCCAGTCGAGCCTGGGCAGCTGACGTAAGAGTCAATTCCCACGTTTGGGTACGGAGTTTGAACTTTCCGGCAGGCTCCGTAAGTAGTTCAGTCATCGTCGAGACAGCAAAATTTGCTTCTGGACAAGTCTTCTGACGAACAGAACTTTTACAATCAACACTCGCCAACCCTTTTCTCTACGCCAGTCGATCACGGCCGTCGACTGCTACGTATCACGAACCAGATCAAGACCAAATGTCAACGTGAGTGGCCTCAGGCGGGCTCTGCAGTCACTTCCGTAGCTGACGCAGTCGGAATCCCCAGAGAACAGCTTCAGGATGTCCAGGAGGCGGAAATCGAGTCCAACTGGGACCAAATCGTCGACAAGTGCGTATACTGACTGCACCGCAATTGACAGAGTCCGAAGGTACTGATTCTATCTGATCTGTAGCTTCGATAACATGGATCTGAAGCCCGAATTGCTTCGGGGCATCTATGCTTACGGGTGAGCCGCCCTACGTGTCTCTGACCCGTACACCTCCTGACTCCTTTTAGTTTTGAGCGCCCCTCTGCCATCCAGCAGCGCGCGATTGTCCCCGTCATCAAGGGCCACGATGTCATTGCCCAGGCTCAGTCCGGTACCGGCAAGACTGCCACCTTCTCCATCGCCATTCTCCAAAAGCTCGACCCTGCGATCAAGGGCACGCAGGCCCTCATCATTGCGCCGACGCGTGAGCTCGCGCAGCAAATCCAAAAGGTCGTCGTCGCCCTCGGCGACTACATGAACATCGAGTGCCATGCCTGCGTCGGCGGCACGAACGTGCGCGAGGACATGGCAAAGCTGCAGGAGGGCGTGCAGATCGTCGTTGGCACCCCCGGCCGTGTGTTCGACATGATCAATCGCCGCGCGCTCAGGACCGACACCATCAAGATGTTCTGTCTGGACGAGGCCGACGAGATGTTGTCGCGCGGATTCAAGGACCAGATCTACGAGGTCTTCCAGCTGCTCCCGCAGGACACCCAGGTCGTGCTGCTCTCGGCCACCATGCCTGCGGACGTGCTCGAGGTGACGAAGAAGTTCATGCGTGAACCCATTCGTATCCTCGTCAAGCGGGACGAGTTGACGTTGGAAGGTATCAAGCAGTTCTACATTGCTGTCGAGAAGGAGGAGTGGAAGCTGGACACCCTGTGCGATCTATACGAGACCGTTACGATTACCCAGGCCGTCATTTTCTGCAACACGAGGAGAAAAGTCGACTGGTTGACAGAGAAAATGCACTCGCGGGAGTTCACCGTCTCCGCTATGGTACGTGGTGTCGTTTCCTCGGTCAGGTTCGTGTGCAGGTTACTGAGGTATGTTTGTCAGCACGGCGACATGGAGCAGAAGCAGCGTGAAGTCCTGATGAAGGAGTTCCGTTCTGGCTCGTCCCGTGTGCTCATCACGACAGATTTACTCGCTCGCGGTATCGACGTCCAGCAGGTGTCGCTCGTCATCAATTACGACCTGCCCACTAACCGGGAGAGCTACATTCATCGTATTGGCCGTGGTGGACGTTTCGGACGCAAGGGCGTTGCCATCAATTTTGTTACGACGGAAGATGTGCGGATGTTGAGGGATATTGAACGTGAGTGATGCTCGCTCGGGTTGGTGGGCTTGTTAGCTGATGCATTATATGTTGCAGAATTCTATAACACTCAGATTGATGAAATGCCACTGAACGTCGCGTATGTAATTTTGGTGATATTGAGTGCTCGCAATCGAATCTCATGTTTCGCCTCATATCTAGCGACCTCATCTAGATGCACCCCACGTTGCGCCCTTGAAGACTATCTTATCACGGACTTCCGCCTCCTTCGTCGGGTCAACGGCCCCAAAATTGTTTTCTCTCGTCGCTTAATCCCACCGTCTTACGACCACCTGCGCGTTGCACACACACCTCATTGTCTTGCCGCATCACGAGAAGCACCATCGATTTCCCTCGTCTGTCCTGATTGTTATGCGCCCAGTGGCGGAAGTTGTTCGTATACATTGTCCATTGCCTGTTTCGAATGTACTGTGTGTGTCCTGCGATATATTACTCTATGCATGTCAATTTCAGCCTGACCCGTGTGATGCGGGATGGGTGCGGGAATATGAGAGATGTGATACGAAGGTGGGACCAGGAACATGCGGGAAGGGGGAGGCTGTGTGGCGAGGCTGTGTTGGTGGCGTGGGCCTCTTCCCGGGTGGGAGATCAGGTCGTTGGAGTCAAAAGATTGGCCCGGGTCGTCCTCGAAGACTCGCAGAGGAGGCACTGCTTGTCAAGCAGTTTCGCGGTGGGCCCACACTCCGACCATATAATTTGTCATATTTGAGGCATGGAGGATTGACTTTTTATACGAGACAGACCGGTCGTGCGTGCCGCCGTGCACCGGGACTCGGACGTTGTCCACTCGATAGCATACGCTTAGCAAACACTCAGCATACAGGCTGCTTGTCCCATGTTCTTGTTCTGACAGTCCATCATCGTTTCCCTGCAGGCAATTGATCCTTCGCCAGTCCGAGTGCAAAGCTTGTTCCCTTTTCTGCCACTCGTTGTGGGGCCGTGCCTGCCTGTACTCGCGACGATTGATATCCGTGGGGCCACTGGCTAAGCTTGAACTTGCTTTTGATCGCTAACTTATTATATATGGCGAGTTTCCCTCTCTTACCCCGAGATCCTCCTCTAACCTGCCACCTACAATCTCTCCAAAAAGCAGATATCCGTCGGCATGAAGCTCATTTCTCCTGCGCCGCTATCGTTCAGCCCGTCCCTGTCCAGTGCGTCGTCCTGGCATACTGCACAATCTGCATTCCCTGGCTCTCCTACCAGCGCCTCCGGTTCTTCTACTACCTTCGCGCCTACAGAGATCCTCCCGCGACTCTTCATATCCGACCTCGGCGCCGCCGAGAGCGCCACGACCCTCACCTCCCTCGGGATCACACACGTGGTCAGCGCGATGTGCGGCCGCGTGCTCGTCCCCTCAGGCATGCCGCTCAAGCACCTCCAGCTTCCCATCCACGACAATCCCTTCGCGGAACTCGCCCAACTCCTCCCGGCAGCGACGTCCTTTGTGTCCGACGCGCTCCGCGACCCAAACGCGCGCGTTCTCGTGCATTGTGTGCAGGGCGTCAGCCGGAGTTCCAGTGTCGTCTGCGCCTTCCTCATCGCCCACTACGGCTGGTCCCCCGACCGCGCCCTCCAGTTCGTCCGCTCCAAGTGGAGCCGCGCAGACCCAAACCCCGGGTTTGTCGGCCAGCTGAGCGAGTACGCGGAGTCGCTGCGAGCGCCCGCCCGTCAATAGCGTACGCGTTTGAAACGCGCTCCTTCTTTCCTCCGTGGACTGTATCCCTCGCTATCTTCGTCCCTTACCCCCTATTAGCCGTCGCATCATTCTGTCCTGCATCATGTCGCAATACGCTTTCCGCATAGCAACAGCACCGTTTCCCGCATAGGCATCGTAGTCCCTACCTTAGTGCTATTATATTGAAGCATAGAGCTGAACGTACTGTATGTACCTACTGTGCCCGTGTGGCAATCTTCATGGGTTCTTGCACCTCTGGATTCGTGAGTAATGAGCAGCATCGGCGGTGAAGCTCCAACACGAATAGTATACAATAATGTACAGTAACCATACATACTCCTACAACATTGAATGCGCGACAGCCATACATGAGTCCAATGTGTCAACAACAGCGAGACTGCGTCGCGTCAGAGTCCAGAGTCAGGTCAGTATTCGAAGGCCGTGATAGCTTTACACCTGGCTATATGCGCAGAATATGGAGTCAGCCTCGACCGACCGAAGCAAATATAGCGAGAACCCACTCTATCGTCGTCGAAAACGCCCCGCTTTATCTTGTCTAGAATGTCCCTTGTCGCCTGCTCAAACGCCGCCTCGACGTTCTGGCCCGATTTCGCACTGGCCTCCACGAAGAGCAGACCCTCCTCCTTCGCCCAGAGCTCCGCCTCCTCCGTGGGCACTTCCCGCGAACGCCTCCCCGGCCCCGAGGGCGCGTCTTCCGCACACAAGTCGATCTTGTTACCGACGAGGATGCAGGTGAGATGTGGGTCCGCGTGCTCCCGCACGTCCGCGAGCCACGAGCGGGCGTTCACGAAACCTGTACGTGGACCCAGGTGCCGGGCGTCAGCAGCGATGTCCGCGCGGGCGAGTTCGTCTGAACGCACTTTGCCGCGAGGTGACGTCGTACACGAGCAGACAGCCCGCAGCGCCGCGGTAGTACGACCGCGTGATGGACCTGAACGACTCCGTGCCTGCCGTGTCCCAGCCTGTTTACGCCATCAGCGTCAGCCGCCGCCGCCCGAAACGATGCGCACACGGACACGCGCAATAGCGGGGTATACGCACATTGCAGTTTGACGACCTTATTCTCCTCCGGGATCGTGATCAGCTTCGAGCCGAATTCCACTCCTAGCTAGAGCGGCGCAGGCGGTCAGCGATCGGAGGAGTGGCGCGGTGCAGTGCGACACCCGTGAGTGATCCCAGAGATGTGACGCACTGTTGGGTCGGGGTTCATGAGGAATCGCTGGTCGGTGAGGCGCACGAGCAGCGAGGACTTTCCCACTGCGGCATCGCCTACAAAAGATATAGTGGCGGGTGAGGATCAGAGGGAGAGACAGAAACGCGATGAGTACCTGTGATGATGAATTTAAGGACATAGTGCCATACGACGCCGGCCATGATTGTTCTGGCGAGGCTAGATAACTTGTCTGTCGTCTAGCAGATGGAAAATGAGAGCAGAATGCAAGTGAAAAAGATCCGAGAAAACTACAAAGTGTGTTCAGCTGTAGTGCTGTAGCCATGACGGTGGTGGCTGGGTGGGGACGCGCCCACGTGGCTTCCCCGGAGCTGCCCGGTTGCTCGACGTTGCAAACACAGCGTTGCTCCTTGCGCATACCGTCCGTCACGATGAGCAGTACTACCTGGCGCAGTGTCTTTTCGTATGTCTCACCCAGCTCACGCAGGGGTTGTAAATCTGACGCAAACGCTCATTTGTAGGTACAACAAGTACACCCAGATCGCCGCTCGGGCTCTCCGCCAGTCGCTGAAGGAGGAGGAGCGTGTCGCTGCGGAGAAGAGGGGGCTCACAATTTTGCGGTACCAGCAATGGGAGAACGGCCAGGGTGGCAAGCAGGTGCGTCTGCCCATTGCCACGTCACCGGTCTTCGTACCGATAAATTTTCTTCGTACAGGTGTTCTTGCACGAACCAGAGGAAACCACACCGCCTAAGAGTGCAGCAGTATAACGATGTTTGAGTGCACCCAATAGAAACAGCTGCGCGTTCGTCCGAGATGCAGTGTTTTTCAACGGGTGCTATGTCTGACAATCACCCTAACCGTGCCCACCTCTTCTGAGTCTCATTTGATATGCAGATTGGCTAGTAGACCGCTCGCACACACTCCCGCTGTGAATGTGGTTGCGAGAATAACCTTTTGCAGGTTATGACTCGACGACCGCTTTGGCAATGGAAATCCCGAAACATTGACGGGCAGTGCTTCTGGAACAGGGTTGCGTTGTCGGAGTTGAGGTTTGTTTTGTTTTTTCTCATGTTGGATCACAACGAGGACCGCGGCGGTCGGGATGTGACCGGGCGGTCCTCTTCGCTGGGTGATATAAGACACGGCGTGGCTCATTTTTGGGGTTTGGGTGGGGCGTGCCATTTCCTCTCTGCGCCTGAATGACTTGTACTGGGAGATTTCTGAGAACCACCTCTTCGCCGCTCGTCTGAGAACGGGTCATGTGGCCATTCTTCAGCTTCCTCCATGCCTTGATGCGGCTCAACATTGTTTGGGGCTTCTAATAGCAATCCCGCGTTACGACATAGGCCTCGTTGCAGCAACTGTAGGGTCGCGCAGCAGCAGAATTGACTGAAACGTCGAGCCCAGCGCCAGACCCACGTGCTGTGGCAGGAGTCGTATATGAGGCTTACGTACGCCCGCGACTTTTCTTTTCTCCCACCTCGTCTCTCCCCTTTCAGGATCGACGAACGTCTGTTCCATATAACTACCCTCAACACTTTGCAACTCGTACGTGTACTCCAGATCAAGCTTTTATCTTGCCGGCGTGCAGTCCGGAACCGCTCGGTTTCTGATCTCTCTGCCCTCTTTTAACAGTACAACAAATCAAACACGACGACGATGGCCGGAGCGCGAGGTTGTTTTAATTGTGGTGGACGTGCGTCGCGGTCCTTTCATTCTCAGTGATAGGCTTTTTTCCCTTCGTAGCCACCTGTGTCTGCGTGGTGGCTTTGCTCCGCCCTGACGGCTGCGTACCCTTCTTGTGACGGTGTGGGGTGCCGACGAGGACCCTGTTGGTTCTAATTGTCGCTTGTATCGCGTCGATGACATACTGCTGTCGTCGTTACCGAATAGCAACACCTCGCACCTCGCAATAAATCACTTTTTACCCCTACACATCTTGTGCCTATCGTCTCTGTCCTCAACTGTTGCCCTGTTTAACCACCTTTTTTCGCCGAAACCGACTAGACGGTCACCAGGCAGCCAATTGCCCCAAGGCCGGAACGCCTACCTGGTAACGATGCGATCTTGCGCTGCGAAGTTTTGTTTCTGATCGTGTTTCTGCTGGCTCGTAATCGCTTGAGAACAGCTACAACTGTGAGCCCATTGTTCTTGTTCTTCGCCGTGAGGTCCCGATGCGTTTTCTAGGCGGACTTGAAGGTCATGTTTCGCGCGATTGCACCATGGAGGCGAAGGCCAAGTCCTGCTACAAGTGCGGGCAAGAAGGCCATATTGTGCGCCCTACCTATATTTGCATCTCCATTACGACTCATCGGGTTGCAGTCGCGGGATTGCCCCGAGAACGCTAACGCTACCTCGAACTCCGGCTTCGGCGGAGGCTACAGCGGATCGTCCGGTACCGAATGCTACCGTTGTGGCAAGGTCGGACACATCGCCCGCGCATGCCCGGACGCTCAGGGTGCTGGTGGTGGGTACAGCCAAGGCCAGGGCAACTACGGCAGTTTCGGCGGTGGTCAGCAGAGAGCCTGGTGAGTACCTTCGAGACGCTTCAGTTGTCGCATAGGTCTGACCTTGGTATGGTGTAGCTACACCTGCGGTGGCGTAGGCCATTTGTCCCGAGACTGCGTGCAAGGATCAAAATGCTACAACTGCTCCGGATTCGTGAGTCCAAGCTGAGTGGCTATCTGAGAACGAGGCATTAACTCTCGTGGTGGTATTAGGGGCACATAAGCAAGGACTGCCCGCAGCCCCAGCGTCGGGCTTGCTACACCTGTGGCTCCGAGGGGTGAGTGGTCTCGCTGGATCGCGGAGCTATGTTTTGATGGATTGACGTCTTCCGTTGCAGGCATATCTCGCGTGACTGCCCTAACGCGCCCGCGGCGGCTGCCGACGCCTGAGGTCGTTGTATTCTCTCTGTTCTGCGCTGAACATGTCCCGTCGTCACCTCTTCCTGTTTTCTTGCTTCGTCTATCGTTTTGTCGTACGCAATGATATGTACGCCTACCAAGAATATAGCGTTGTGCTGACCCCGCTGGATCGCGGGGGTCAGGCATTGTAGAGATCATTTGTTTGAACGACTAGTCGGCGAGACTGCAACGAGAGTCAACGAGATCCCTCTAGGCCGAATTGGCGGGCAGATGTGCGCACGGGGGAACCCGTGCCGCGCGTTGCCGGAAGTGGGTGTAGGCGCACGACGACGCTGGCGGTCTTTTCGCGTCTTTCCTCAGGGTTATCCAGTACCCATATTTTCCTTCCCTCTCCTTGGCCCTTCTCCACTTCTCTGCTTTTCCTCATGCAAGCTCTGCGTCTGGCGCATCCTCGAGCTGCTCTCCGCCGCCCTCTCGTCCGCACCCTCGCGGCGACCGCAGGTTCCCCGCCTGCAGGCGCAGCCTCCTCGTCACAAGCGGTCGTTCCCTTGTCCAACGTGGAGGCCCAGTGGGAGCGCCTCTCCTCCGACGAGCAGCTCGTCATTCACCAGCAGCTCGAGGAGATCCAGAAGAAGGACTGGAAGACCCTCTCCATCGACGAGAAGAAGGCCGGTGCGTATCTCCGCGCGTCATTTTCGCGCTGGCCCCTCTGCGCGCAACAAAAAGGTGCTGACCGCGCGCGGTGGCGTGATCTGCAGCGTACTACGTCGCGTTCGGTCCCCATGGGCCCCGCACGCCCGTTAGCCCGCCTGGCGAGAGCCTGAAGGTCTTCCTGTACACCATGGCTGGCATTGCCACTAGCGGGGCTCTGTTCTACGCCACGAAAGCGCTTGGTACGTGCCCTCAGCGCGGTTTGCTGCGAGTGTGGTCTGACTGCTGCTTCTCTACCCCAGCCGCGCCGCCGCCAAAGACCATCACGAAGGAGTGGGAGGAGGCGATGAACCAGCGCGCGATCGAGCAGAAAATGAACCCGATTACTGGTCAGTGCTTCACCATACATACAACAGTTCCTCGGGATATAACTGATTGTTCCTTGTGTTCAGGTATCACATCGGAGGGTTACAAGGGACCTACGTTCGTTCAGCACAAGTAGAAGCGCTGCCTGTTGTGCACGTTACCGGCAGCGCCGGGACAGTGGGGCCCTCCCCGCGTCCTGGGCGATGGGTGCTTCCATCGCCTTGTCGAACGGAATGTACCCAGCAAACAATAATCGTATGCTTTTTCAACCTCGTTGCCTCGCCCAACTTGAGGTGTAATTGCAATCAATGGTTGTATTCCAACTCTGAGCTGCGACCGGTGTACAATAACGAGTATGAAATACTGAATGTCAGTGCTGGATTTCAGTCTGTTGAATTTGCGTTTGCTGGTTCTTCGACAACGATCTCACGCATACGTCATCTCGCTGGTGACACTAAAGAGAAGCACGGATTGGAAAGAGTACGTTGATCCGTCAGCGAGTATAGTTGAACGAGAACCTCGATATATAGCGGATCTACAAACCCTTTTCGTCCGATCCGTTAGTGTTCGACTCTTTTCCCTTATCCTTCGCGTTGTTCTCCTTCTGCTCACCCTTCTTGTCCTTCTTCTCCTGCTGCTTTTCATCGACACCCTTCGTCTCCTCCATCTCCGCCCTCCCAATCGTCGCCTTGTTATCTACCAACGCATGCAGCGCGATCACCGCCCGCAACAGACTGCTCAGATACACCACCAGCAGCTCGTCGTTTGTGCTCGTCGCGAAGCTTTGTGTGAGCTCCGCGCTGTTGAGGTCAGGGAGGAGGTTCAGCGCGTCCTGCAGGTAGTACACAATTTGGTGATTAACGGGCATTTTACCCGCCACGACGTCGGTCAGATATTTTTGGATATCGGACAACCGAGATTGCAGGCCGCGTAGCGAAGCGAGCTGCTCTGAGACTCGTGTCGCGAGGGTGGTTGTAGTCGAGTCCTTGATATCGCGCAGGAGGTGCTCTACACCGATCTCTTCTGACTCTTCCGCTTCGATGGCTGAAGGTACGTGCAGGAACGTCTTTCGTGTTTCTGTACCATCCTATAAAATGTCTAAGCATTCGTACAAAGCAGAAGAGAATTATGAACTCACGTCCTTGATCTCCTCGACCGCAAAATATGCGTCCGTTGGGATGCCGACTGTTTGTGGTCGCACATCGACAATGACCATCACTGGCCGTGCAATATACCGCTTCAGAAGATCATTAATCTCCTGGTCCGACGCCCGCAGCTTGGGCCCTGTGTGATACCACCCAATCATCCGCTCGCGCGCTAGAAGGGTGCAGGGGGCACGCGTCAGCATGACGGGGCACACCGTGGGGCACGATGCACGGACCGTTGACCTTCTTGAACATCTCCCACATGCCCTCGATGTAGTTGTGGTCCAGGAACCACGTCTTGCTGTCCTTCTCGTCCTCCTCGAACGGGATACCGAACGAGTTGGCAACGTTGATCGTCTTGCCGTTGTCCTGCCCGAGCAGGATGCCGATCACGCGCTTGTTTGAAGTGCGCGAGATCGAGCGGGCGTGGTGGTCAGTCACGGAGAGGAGGACGAGGGGGTGGACAACTGGGCCGCTGTTAGCTGGGACGGCGAGCTTAGGTGGAGTGCCACATACCGACGGTGGTTCCAGACAACGCTGTTAGCTTGTGAGACGAGTGAGCACTCGTAAAAAAAGCAAAATGGTTTTCCACTCACCTGTTCTGTTGTTGTGGCGACCATAGCGGTGAGCTGAGTGGGGAGAAGTGAGTACGGGAGCGGAGTGAAGGACAGTGGCTGAGCGTCATTTGGATACAAGACGCGTACGCGTTCTCACTGTTTGCACGTGTTGTCCAACGCCTTCTACAAAGTTCCCTTTTTGGGGAGACTACGAACAAGAAATTGACGACGACAGTGTATAGGTCCATTGGCATCTGCGACAAAAACCAGCCACATCTCGCGCGCAATTACAAGATGACTCGCGGGTGGTTATGCTGCAATTGAACTTTATCCCACCCCGCCCATCGGATTACCCAAATATTGACTGTCACAGATACGGGTGATAACGCATCTGCAGGCTGTCACTCACGAGAAACACGAAAGTTCCTAGTGAATTCCTCAAGTTTATATAAGATCTCGGCCCTTGGTCTTTGGAGGTGCTCTCTAAAATGTTGCGTTCTAGTAGATCTGGCGGGGATCTGCCGCATTTGTACTTATTTACCGTAGATATATGCGATCCTTGCCTGTTTTGGAACACTCATCCTAGGCCTCCGCAAAATTTCTGCACCCGCTGCAAAACCCGTTCAAAGAACAGACGTGTAGCAGCAAAGTTCAATGGCATTTGGTATGCTTTATTCCCTTCGTTGATGTTACTTTTTGACCGTGCTCAATAATCTCCATTACAGGTGCATCAGGTGGTCGTGGAGGATTTGGTGGTGGGCGCGGTGGTCGCGGTGGAGGTGGTCGCGGTGCCCCACGAGGTGGTGGATTTGGTGGTCGGGGAGGTGGAAGAGGTGACCAATATTTTTCAGTGAGACAGGAGTTGCAACTGATCGATTTTCAGGCGGATTTGGTGGTGGTGTACGAGGTGGGGGTATTGCGAAGCGTGGGGGGGATAGAGGGCGAGGGGGCGGACGAGGTGGTCGTGGGGGTGGGCGGGGCGGTGCTAGGGGCGGAGCGAACATCATCCTCGAGCCCCACCGACATGCCGGTGTCTTTATCGCGAAGGGCAAGGACAGCATGCTGGTGACGAAGAACCTGGTCCCGGGCGAGGCGGTCTACGGCGAGAAGCGGATATCTATCGACGGCGGCGTTGACGGTACCAAGGTTGAGTACCGCGTGTGGAACCCCTTCCGGAGCAAGCTCGCAGCCGGCGTATTGAACGGGATGGACGAGATTTATATTGCGCCTGGCTCGAAGGTACTGTATCTTGGCGCTGCCAGTGGAACGAGTGTCAGTCACGTAGCGGATATCGTGGGACCGGTGAGTGTGATGCCCTTTGCTTTGCGTCACCGATACTCATTAGAGCAACAGGAAGGTGTCGTGTATGCTGTAGAATTTTCTCTGCGGTCAGGTCGTGACCTTATAAATATGGCAAAAAAGCGAACAAATGTTATCCGTGAGTCCTCTGTCAATATAGTGCTTAATATTTTCGTCTTGACATCTACCTCAATTCAGCCATCATCGAAGATGCACGGACACCGCAAAAATACCGCATGCTACTTTCGACGGTTGATGTCATCTTTGCCGACGTCGCGCAGCCTGATCAGGCTCGTATCGTTGCCCTCAATGCTGATTATTTCCTCAAGAACGGCGGTTACGTCGTCATCTCCGTCAAGGCCAGTTGTATCGATTCAACTGCTCCGCCATCAGTAGTGTTTACGCGGGAGGTGCAATTTCTGCGAGAAAACAAGTTCAAGCCCCTAGCGCAGGTTACCTTGGAGCCGTACGAGCGTGACCACGCGATGGTTACTGGTACGTGCATTCTACGCTGTCCCGTTGCGCACGATCTGAGAAGTTATCAAGCCCAGTACCGACGGTTCCAGTAGTACTCTTGGTTTCTGCTTCTTTTGTATCGTCCTCCGCACTGTCAGTCGTGTGCACGTCTTTTTGTACTATGCTGTATCTATCTCCGAAAAGTATCATGCTTTGGTGTTGTTTCTATGTTGTTTACTGCATCTTCCACGTACTGCGGAAGCATATATGACGACGTGGCAATCTTGAACGTGACCAGGGCCTGAGGAACGCACTGCGGGACCGAGTGTATTTTAGAGATTAACCGCACGCAGCTCATCCGTCTATCCGCAGCTACAAAGGACTCGTAACGGTAGTTCAGTTTTGTGATCAACACAAGTTCACTGTCAACCGCACTTGGTGGCTCGATCAAACGTCAGCTCGAGCCGAACAGCCTATGAGGCCTGCTGAAGTCACTCTCGACCTTGGTGCACCGCCAGACTACTCCCCCCGCACTTCATCTGACTTCGAAGAGGTCCAGTACCCCTTGCTTGACGACACTCCCTGGCCCAAGTCTGCTCGCAGGGAGGAGGAGCTACCGCTGCACTACATGACGGAGGAGAAGACCCGTCGGAGGGTCCCCCGCCCTCTCGTTGAGGTACCCAGCTATGGGGGACAGGACGAGGACACGGGAATGGGGTATGAGATGTACGACGACGAGGGCAAGGATGTATACTCCAAAATGAAGATGAAGAGCCCACTTGGCAGCGGTCGTTTGAGGCGACCGCCTCCAACTCCTCCAACAAACATTGTACGAAGTCTTTGCTGTTAGGTCAGCCCCATCGAGCTCACGTATCCTTTATAGCTCGAGTTCTTCCAACAAAACATTGAACACATCCCGCCCATTGTCTACACACTCCTTTCCTGCTGGACGCGTTTCCACAAAATTGGCAAATCCAACGTCGTCATCTGGGACGAAGCCCACTTCGGCAAGTTTGGGTCCTTCTACCTAAAGCGCCAGTTCTACTTCGATGTGCACCCGCCGCTGGGCAAGATGCTGGTCGGCTTGGCTGGCCTGCTGTCGGGCTATGACGGGACCTTCGACTTCCAGAGCGGGGGGGCGTACCCCGAGCATGTGCCGTATGTAGCCATGCGTGTTATCATGGCGATCTTCGGTGTCGCGATGGTCCCGCTCGGATGGTATACGGCGGTCGAGCTGGGCATGAGCTGGAGGGCATGTCACCTAGTTGCCTTGATGGTGCTGCTCGGTATGTTATTACCCGCATGGTTCACGTTTGCGCGTGCCTTACATCCGATCCCAGACGTTGCGTGGTTGTGCATCTCGCGTTTCATTTTGTTGGACTCCATGCTCCTCTGCTTCACATTCACTACGGTCTTCTGTCTCTCGAAATTCCACAACCAGCAATACCGGTACGTGCCCTCAGTTGTGGCAAGGGCTTTTTCTCAAATTAGCCTTCTACACTACAGTTCATTCTCGTTTGACTGGTGGTTATGGCTGGCCTTGACTGGCGTTTCCATTGGTTGCGTAACAAGGTGATGATCAGAATGTCGTTAACGCTTATTTACCGACCGACCATTTCATCGTAGTATCAAGTGGGTCGGACTATTTGTGACAGCCTTAGTGGGTCTGTACACTATCGAGGATCTATGGGATAAATTCGGCGACCTGAGGATGTCCGCGGTATGTATGGCATCCACCACGTCCGCTTTCGTCGCTCATGCCGCCGTAGCGCGATCAAGCCAGGCACTGGGGAGCACGAATAGCCTGCCTCATTGTGCTGCCCATCACGCTCTACATGTTCTTCATCAAGTTGCACTTCATGATCCTGAACCATTCCGGACCAGACGATGCGAAGATGAGCTCCCTGTTCCAGGCGAATCTCGTCGGCAATAGCTTCGCTGAGAACCCACTAGGTTAGCCATACTCCGGTGAGAGCGTGTCTTATGTATTGATGTTGTCTGTGGTCACAGAAATAGCGTACGGTTCCAAAGTGACACTGAAGAACATGGGTTGGGGCGGCGGTCTGCTTCACTCTCATGTCCAGGTATACCCCGTTGGTTCAGAACAACAGCAGGTTACATGCTACCACTACAAGGACGACAACAACGACTGGGTCATTCATCCCCGATGGGACGAGCCAGAGTACGACCCGAATAGTGCTCTCAAGTTCCTGAGGGACGGCGACGTCATCCGGCTGAACCACGCATCCACGACTCGTAATCTTCACTCTCACCCCGTACCCGCCCCGATTTCCAAGCTCAACAACGAGGTTTCGTGCTATGGCAATAGCACCGTCGGTGATATTCACGACTATTGGGTGCTGGAGGTTGTTGACGACATAAACCGCGGCAGCAAGGCCCACGTAGATATTATTCACTCGTTGACGACGCGTTTACGGTTTCGCCACCTGAACACCGGATGTTACCTGCGCGCGGACAACAGCATCCTGCCGCAGTGGGGTTTCAAGCAGGTGGAAGTCAGCTGCACCAAAGAGAACGATGTCAAGGACACGCATACCTACTGGAATGTGGAGGGACATTGGAACGACCGCCGTGCATATCCGCATTTTTAGTGTTACGTTATTCTGATACTCATGAATCCTTTCCACAGTGCCGCCTGGCGATCACAAGATGTATCGTACATCGTTCCTCCGCGACTTCTGGCACCTTAACGTGGTGATGATGACGTCGAACAACGCCCTCGTCCCTGACCCTGACAAAGAGGATATCCTTGCATCTAAGCCGCTTGACTGGCCTTTCCTCCGCCTCGGTCTGCGCATGTGCGGGTGGGGCGATAACCAGACAAAGTATTACCTGCTGGGTACGCCTATCATCTGGTGGGGTGGCACCATCAGCTTGGGCGCGGGCCTCCTCGCCTTCGGAGTCTATCTGCTTCGCATGCAGCGCAAGTTCGTTGATATGGAGCCTCGTCAGTCTTATTGGTCGATTTTCGCGATTAGCAGTGTATTGACATCATTCTGCAGGAGAATGGGATCACTTCCTTTATGTGGGCAAGGTAGCGTTCGTCGGCTGGTTCTTGCATTTCTGTGAGTGGACCATACAATGATGATTTTTGCTGGGGTAACTGACGCGTATCATATCATAGTCCCATTCTTGATCATGGGCAGAGTGACATATGTGCACCATTATGTAGGTGCCATTTATCCGCATTGGCGGGATTGGATGCTTATCCAACTTCACAGCTCCCCACATTGTACTTCTCGGTGCTGATGCTCGCGCATCTCATCGACCACTTCATCTTCACCTCGCGGCGCCTGTCCGAGAGGACGAAGTGGATTACGTTCGGGTTCTGCGTGTCCGCGATCGTGTTCACATTTTGGTGGTTCAAGGGCGTAGCCTTCGGTATCGATGGTCCCGTCAAGGAGCACTGGGGTTTGCAGTGGCGTTCGGTATGTCCCACTTTCACTATATTATCGAACTGTCTCTGATACCACATAGTCTTGGAACATCTACGACCCGTAGTGCCTTCAGTATTCTCCTCTCGGATTGGCGGACGTTGACATGTGCATAGTACCTTTTGAATATAACTTAATCCATTTGTTATCCTCCGGATGAGAGCTGCGTGGTATGAACACCCTACAGAACGTGAGACTGATTACGAAGTAAGAACGTGCCCATCTATAAGTACTTGGCTATTTTCCTGATCATCGAAGGGACATAACTAGGGTATACAGCCATTAACGGTACTCTCAACGGGACTATGTCCGTGCTGGGCCCCAACCGCCGACCCTCCTGTAGAACAACAGATATGCACACCTATCGTCGCGGTCCATGCCGTTGAAGACGTCTTCCGGACGGACGTCGGATACGAGCTCGTCGTCGATGCGTATCCAAGCTTGACGTGGCCTGTCGCTCAGGTCACGGTTCGGATGCAGAACGTCCAGCGTGTAGTGGCCCCCGTGTGCCGATTGGCCATGGTGATACAGTACTGCGAAGAATGTCAGCCGAAAGTGTGACGCGCATGGCAAGAGACTCACCTCCGAATAGCTGATATTTGATGGGATGCGTCGTCCGTCGGGTAGGCGCAATGAGGTCTGAGACAATGTGAGCGACACGACAGCAGACCACAGCTGCGGTTACAAACCTGGTCCGATCTCTAAGTCGGGACCAAATGCTACTTGCTTCCCGATTTTGACGACGTCGCCGACGTTAGTGTCATAATGGAATCTCTTGAGATGCAAGATCAGAACCGGGGGTAGGGACTCGATGAGGGCTTGTTGGCTGGCATCGATGACGACGCCGGGCCTCGTTGGAGAAGAGATCTGTACAGCTTGTGGATGCGAGATATGCTGCAGCGCATCCGTGATCGAGTTTACTTGATCCCGCTGCATGACGCTGTGAGCTGGATGAAGAGCTAATCGCGGTGTCACAGACCTGAATATCAAGTCGCAATGACCGCCAGTCCTCAACAATGACCGAGTCTCTCTGATGAGGAGCTCTGAGGGTAGATCGGAATTTGCCACCGAATATGCGAGTTATGGGTGAGTCTGTTGACTTGATCTAGGGAACGTGACATATCAGCTTGTCAAACTCGCTGAGAGTGCACACGAACTTACCGTTCGCGTGGAAACTAATTTGTTCCGCTTGCCCACTTCATACCAGCCATCGTCATGCGGTGGCCCACCCTCGTGTTCTTCGGTGGCTCTTGCCTTAGAGGATGGTGGAGCAGCGAGTGAGAGCAGCTCCTCCTCGAGGGTGTCGAGGAAGAAGCCCAAAAATTCTTCGGCGTCTTCTTGATGACCAGTCTAATAAATACAAGTGCATAAGCAACTACCGCACACGAGGAACTGCAGGGCAACACTTACGATCATACTCGAGAACCGCTTCTTCTCCTTCATCGCATCATATACATACGACGGGATGAAGGACTCAGGCTCGTAAAAATCGTCGTCCTCCCGCTCCTTCCCCTTGCTAGAAGCATCTCCAACCGACGGCGGCGCGAACTCCTTCATAAACCGGATCGTCGCATCAAGTAACGGCGTCGCCTGTTTCTGCGACCCTGCAACAGGGCCTGGAAGGTACTTGCTGAGGTCTTTGAAGAGCTTGTGGAATGGCGGACAGTACACAAGCACTTGCAGTACCGCGTTCGCGAAGCACATGTTGCCAGTATTGACGAGCCCACGCGGGGTTATTTTGAGCGGAATATTCGAGGCCGAAGGCAGGGAATTCAAGACGTTAAGCACGTCGTTGCGGTGCGAATGCGCACCCGGCGCCGTCGGGGAGCTCGACGTGGAGCCAGCAGGGATAGAAAATCCGATGACGGAAGACACGGGAAGGCGAGACTTCGACGAAGACGCCGCGCTGCCACTGGACTGTAGTAAGGATGCCCATGACTTCGTGAGGGGAGCATGCTTTGCCGACGGTGCAGGTGCGGCAGGGGACGCTGGCGGCGCTGCGTCAGCCGGAGCCTTCGCAGACGCTGTTTCCGACGTAGGAGTCGAGACTGCTTCAGCCCGAACCGTTTCAGAAGGTGCAGTTACGACCTTGCTCTGAGGCTCAGCTGGGGTCAAGCTCTTCTCTACACCAGAAGGAGAAGCACCAGCAATAGAAACGGATGTGAGAGATGACAGCGGTGAGCCTGGCATGGGCGTGTCAGCCGGCGTGAGAGAAGCTGGAGTAGTCTCGGTAGCAGAAGACGAAGCGACGTGCGCAGGCTCCGGTGACTCGTCTGTTTCTTCGTGTGCAGCGGATGTAGTACCCTCAAGCAGCGCGAGCTGTTGCAGCGGGAGCTTCAACGACCGTAGCTGTGGAGACACGGGAGGAGAAGGGAGGTCAACTGCGTCTTGGAGAATGTGCTCGGGTGGGTATGCTCGAGACGATATGATAATGCCAGGCGCACGAGAAGGATCCTGGGGTCGTCGGGACCACACTACCCAGCTCAAGGTGTCAGCCATTGGCTTGGGAGGTTCACTTTGAGATGACGACAAGCTTTCGCTGTCTACTTCAAATTGAACTGAGTCGGGTTGAGGAGACGACGGAGATGGTCGTGGTGGCGATGAGACGCTCTGGCTAGTGTCAGCGGATGATGCTACCGGCTCCTGGACTGTCTGCTCGTCCTGCACTGCTTGAACCTTTTGGGTTTCTTGTACTGCCTGAGGCTGAGGCTGAGGCTGAGGAAGGAATACGGGAGGAGGCATGGATAGCTGTTTTGGTAAAGGTGACAAGGTCTGAGTAGACCATGCAGGTGGATATGGTCCGTTCAATTGAGGGTATGGTGGCGAATATGGGACTTGAGACATATGCGGGGAATACTTTTGCGGGTGAGTGTATGGGACCTGGGGAGAGGTAGGTGGAGACTGCATGGGTGGCGGCGGCGGCGGCGGCGGATGCATATGCGGCATAGCCTGGTAATGAGGATAGTTAGGCACACCACCTCTGTGCAATTGATTGAATCTCCCTCGGCCAGTACCGTTCAACCTTGGGGATGCTGGCTGATGCATTGGCGAATGTCCGTTCATGGGCGGTACCTGGTACTGATAATACGGTGCAGGACCGGGGGCATTATAGGGCAGTTGAGGAGGCGGTGGAGGATGGAAGTAGGACGAAGGCCCCGGGTGAGGGTACGGAGGATGCGGACTCGCCATATCTAAATGACAAACCCGTGAGGCCTTGCGACATTGTGGGCACTGCGTACAGTCATCATCACGGGGTAAGTACTCACTGAACGATGAGAATTTTTTTCGCCTGATGGGTGAAGGCTATTGGATGGTAAGCATAAGCTGAGAGATGAGCCTGTCCGTTATCGAGAGTTAGACAGAATGTGTATCTTCGAGATTCTAAAGTTCCGAGATGCAGGAGGCAGCGGCAGACGCTAAGGGCAGCAATGTACCAGGACTGATCAGAGAAACACTCAGAGCAATCAGGATTAATTCAGTAAATGCGGGGATCTTAAGGGTTCAAAGCACAGAGGATTTGGGAAACGTTGGCAGAGCAAGTCGTGGGACGGGACTCGGGAGGTTTGAGTTGTGGAACCTACAGAATATCTAAGATCTAGACTCCCTCCCAAATGTTCTCATCACTCGACAGTGCCGGACCAATGAACACTTCTGTGTCGAAGCTCCGACTTACGCTCTTCATTTACCAGACTCTGACCACGGAAGACTAACCAAGGTACTTATTTTGTGTCATGAATTCGTGAGCTGCGCACACTGACCTATGTATGACTTATGGCGCAGGCTGCTGGACTTTCGGTCGGCGATGATCATCCTCTTGCTCTCGAGCTTGCCAGCCTCCGCGCTGCTGTCGCTCGCTACCAGGTGACGCTCCCCCCAGTGCTCCGTGCGCCATGTGGTGCTAACTCCCAGTCAGCATGAAGCCCATGCCACCTCTGTGAAGCTCCAGCGGCATTCCCTGGAGACTTCTCATGCGCTTGAACGCGCGTACGCTCTGGAAGGGGAGAATGTGGCTCTCAAGGACGAGGTGATCGCGCTCAGAGCAAGCCCGGACATCTGTCCCCACCCGGCTTCTCTCCAAGTCCCAGAGCTTACCCTCGCCCTCCGCCGTCTTTCGGACAAGCTTACCTTGACCGAAGAGACTTTGCTAGCGCGCACGCACGAACTTGCCACAGCGCGCACTGACTTGCTCAAAGCCGAGTCCGAAACCGAGAGCGCTTACAAGCGGGAGGCTATCACGCGCTCTCAACTGGAGGAGGGCAGAGAAAAGGAGTTCCTGTTGACTAGAGTCGTTCGGGCGACTGAAGAAGAGAAGAAGCTCGTGGATCTCGTTGTCCAAGAATATGCAGACCTTGTCCGAACACTCGAGGGCAGGCCGCGGGCGTCCACAAGCTCCACGTCCTCGCTTGCCATGACCAATGGAACCAACGACTCCAGCGTAACGTTGGTCGACAGCCTCGCCGAGGGAAAGTCTGGCCTGAAGAAGTTGTTTGAGGAATTCAACGAAGAGACCGGACGACTCGAGAGCGAACTAAGCCGGCTACGAGGAGAGAATGCGGTTCTAGAAAGCAAGTTAGACGTCGAGCGGGAACGCGCTGAGCACGATCGCGGCCGGCTGGCAGACGCGCTCACGGAGCTCGAAAAGTACAGGATGGATGATAATACTGCAGCGAAGATGGTGTCGCGTTACATGTTAGCTTCGTTCGTCATGGTCCAGCTTTACATGTATGTTGACACGCGTAATACACAGGAAGTTCTCTCAGTCGTCCACAGATTCTCTCCAGCACGCTATGGAGAGCTTGAAAACGCGACATGCGGCCACAACTGCCACGCTGAGTACCGAGATCGCCCACCTGCAGAAGCATTTCATGTCCGAACAACGCCAGTGCGAGAAATTGCGTCAAGCGTTAGACGAACTTTCGGAGGATATTTCGCGGGAAGCGTACGGACGAAGGCGGGAGATCTCTCTGAGGCTCGCATTCCTAGGTCGCGAAGAGAGCTTAGCAGAAGGTCTTAGAAGGTGGATTCGCAAGGCCAGGGAGACGTTCGACCGTGCTGCCTCCACTGACGCTCCACAAACACCTACAAGGGAAGTCTTCGCGAGGATGACTCAGGATGCAGAAAGTCTTCTCGAGACCTTAAACGGGCAACCACTATTCGAGGAGGGCTCCCCGGGCTCCGTCGCTCGGGTCATTGCCGCGCAGGACGCAGTGTCGATGCTGACACGTGAACTACAGACTGAGACGGACCGGCGCATGGAATTGGAGCGACGGTTGGCCCAGTCCTACGTTGATCTCGAGGCACACACTATTGCGGAAGACCTGCACAACGCATCGAGTTCACACAATCCCTCACAACAAAATGGAGACTCCCGCCAACTGTTGTCGATCGAGGAGCGGGATCCTGCGCAACTTGAAGATACCACTGCATCATCATCGACTACACACTCGAACGCACCAGATACACACGATCCAGTAACCTCGGTGGCCGAAAGTATACCCTCCCCTCTACAGGTGTCGGTTTCAGTCGACCCTCCCGCTGAGAATGCAGGCCAGGAATATTCGGACAAGCCACCAGACGGCCCTCTCCCTATTCCTGAGTCGCCTTCGCCACGGATACTCGTCTCACCACCCGATACTCCTGCCGCAGTCGAGGTCGCCCCCTCGACGTCCCTGTTGTTTTCTCAAACTGTGTCTGGAACATGTGTTGGTCCCGTTGAGACTCCTGACGGTGTTACGCTCGGAGTCGAGGCTTCACCGCTACCTGAACCCATCGTACATAAGGGCCCGAGCAGCACGGCCATAGTAAAGCAGGACGACATCGCCTCCACAGACGTAGCCCTACAACCTTTCCCCCAGCTACCCGATACGAGTGATGCCGATATTGTCCCCTCCAACTTGCCTGCTACCGATCCTGTCGATTTGCTTTCCGCTCCTTCGCCAGAAGTCTCAAACGGTGACGCGTCTCACCAAACGCCTGCAGAGGAGCCGGATGTCTTCGCACCCGGAGCCTCAGGTTCAGGCAAAGGTCAGAAGATATCACCTCTCACATCAAAGCTCATACAAGATCTGCCCCACCCGTCTTCGCTTCCGCAGGAAGATCTCCTTGCGGACTTAGCCAGAGCCAAACATCGCTACGACGACCTCCAGCACGCATTCCGCGACTGCCATCTTGCGCTGAAGGAGCTGAGGAAGGACGTTTCCGCCCTCCCGGACAGCTCTCAGATGACGCTCGTTGTGCAGAAGGTAGTTGAGCGGCTGAACGACTACAACGAGGATACTCGCGTCGAGCTCGAGATCCGCATCACGGACGAGGAACGGATCGCGCAGGGGTATGAGACGCTCTTGACCGTCCCTGGGGCGATGTCTGATGAAGTCGACGAGACCGAGGTGAGGAGCGAGATGATGGCATTCGTGGATGGCAGCGGCGCCACGGTAACGAGAGCCACACAGCAGTTCTCGCGTAAGTTGGATGACCTCCAACACGATATCGCCTGCATTAAACGGACGCTCTACGAGCTATCCTCCGCTGAGGAAGACGCTGTGCCCACGTCTACGACTCCGACGAAGTCCCCTGCGTGGTCTTCATGGACAGTAGGGCTCCTCAGCCCCTCGCGGCCCATCAGCCCTGCCCCGACATTTGGCTCCGTCATGACTTCCCCACGGCTGCATAAGGTGTCCCTCTCCTCGCAAGTTCCGAAGCCATCGGATGACTCCTCGAGCACAGCCAGCAACGACCCGTTTGCCAGCCTCGGGCTCCGCATCCCGATGCCTGCACACATACTGTCACCTCCCCCACGTGCGACGCCGAGGGCCCGTACAATTTCTGCGATGTACATGCTGGGACTCGGCTCACGGAGCAGTTCATTCGGCTTGGGAACCGTCCCGCCGAAGGCCGCTCCTACGAGCCCGCTGGCATCTGACAGTAGAGACATGACTGCCAAGAGTGTGGACTTGAATTCAGATATAGAGTAGGTGCCTATTGTTTATGTATGTATCGTATTTAGGTTGGTGGTGGAAGGACTTCAGCAGCTTATAATCACCTGCACAGCTCGCTTTCTACATCTGAGTCATTATGTACCCTGCTACTACCGTGACATCGCGAGCCCGAGTTTGCACTACTGTTGCCAAATTTGGCACGGAGTGCGGACCCGATCTGCTGAGTCGGGCAGTTGACGCCGGTCACTGATCCCTCAAAGCAAGCTCAGGCTACTGCATTCTCTATCTCAACAACATCATATTGTTTCAATGCCTTCAGCTACCGGCACCGCAACACAGACTCGCTCGGCAGGGCAACGCGGACGTAGGGGAAGGGGCCGTGGAGGAAACCGACGAGCTCCTCAAGACGCCGGCAAGGGGACCGTTGCCCAAAGGGCTCCATCTGAGGAGGCCGCATCGCCGGTCAAGGTAGCAGACAATAGCGACAAGAGCGCAGAAGCAGTTGACCAGGTTGACGATGCTGTGGTATGCTGGATTTGCGCCGAGCAGGTCAAGTACTGGTCCGTGTCCGAATGCAACCACCGCACCTGTCATGTATGTGCCCTCCGTCTACGTGCGCTGTACAAAAAATTGGAATGCACTTTCTGCAAGGCAAGTCTTGATTTTGAACGTCATGATTGTACAGAATCACTGTCCTTTTTATTTAATGTATTCTGACACGGTATACAGGAGCCGCAGCTCTCGGTGATCTTCACCACATCGCCTGATGCGCCGTGGGCATCCTATACCCCGGACCTGATTCCTTTCAGGGACCCTAAGTTATCCATTTCATTCGAGACACAGGAGATGATGGAAGAGACCCTCATCCTCCTCCGATTTAATTGTCCTGATCCAAGCTGTGATTACGTCGGCAATGGCTGGAGCGACCTTAGGCTGCATGTGCGCGCTGTACACGGGAAGTTGATGTGGTATGTCCCCGTGGTGTTTATGTGGAACTTCTCATAATGTCTCGGCGCGATAAGCGATCTTTGCATCCGACACAAGAAAATCTTCTCGCATGAGCATGCTCTTTATGCGCCAAACCAGCTTCCTATTCATGTTCCTTCAATCTATCGTGCCCATGGTTCTTCCAGAAAAGACAAGGAACAAATTGAGGGTGGTGTCCATCCACTGTGCGAATTTTGTCGCGAATGCTACTTCAGTGACGACGAGTTATACGCTCATATGCGGGAGAGACACGAGGAATGTTTTGTTTGCAAGCGTAACGAAGTCACAGACCAGTAGTAAGTCTGCACCGTGATAACTATTCGTTTAGTAAGCTGAATTACCTCCAGCTTCCGCAATTATGATGCCTTAGTGAGTTACACTGGCTGCCGGTCGTTGCGCAAGTTTTCATCGTCTTCCTCAGGAGCAACACTTCATGCATGCTCACCATCCATGCACCCAGCCGCAATGCCTGGCGCGCAAATTCGTCGTCTTCGGTTCCGCGCTTGATCTTAAGGCACACATGGTCGAAGACCACGGCGCGGAGATGTCTTCCCGCGATAAGAGGGACGCGATGCGAATACAGGCGGACTTCGAATATGAGGAGGTCGCTGGCAGCAGGCGCGGGAGGAGAGGCGGGGGCGGTCGTGAGCGCGACAGAGAGCCTCCGCCGGCTCCTCTTCCGCCTAGTCCATCGCGTCTGAACGCCGCTGGTGCTCGCAGGAGAGAAGCCTTCAGTGGTAACTTGACTGGCCATGCAAATGCAGCTTCCAATAACGTCACGCCCAATATCAGCCGACCTCCCTCTCCACCGCGAAATGACGGTGAGCCTACAACGGTTGAGTGAGTACCTTTACAGTCTTCTGGTCTTCTAGATGTTGATTATCATCTAGGAGGAACGCTGGGCTTGCCAGTCGCATAAGCTCGCTGGCACCGAACTCTACAGCTGCTGTGACAGCTATCCAAGCTGCTATTCGTTCATATCGTGTCTCTGAATCTGCTGCGCGTGACCTGATTCTCACCGTGTGGAACATCTTGGATCACAATCTTGATGGGACTGCTAGTATCATCAATTCCCTGGTGGATCTTATGGATGAAGAAGAAAAGAAGAAAGATCTATTGTCCGCTTGGAACGGGTTCAAGATTGAGGTACGTCGTTTTTCATGTCAATGCTGCGCTCAACAGTGACACTTCCGGCAGCAACGCAGCCAATTTCCCGAGCTCGTGCCCACCGCTATTGGGACGGACTGGGCCGGTGTGACCAGCGGGCGCGTTCTGAATGCAAAGCACTTAACTGTCTCCCGGTCGTCGTCGCAATCGTCCAGACAAGTCTGGGATCGTGTCGCGCGAGCGGCAGCATCCTCGTCGACATCATCCTCAGCTTTCCCTCCACCGCGGCCACCGGAACGCTTCCCTCCACTCCAGTCCGCCAGCCCGTCTACCACGCCCTTCCGGCAGCCTCAGCGCACCACCCCATGGGCATCCTCAAGTTCAGCTGCGCCTCCTCCTGTTCGCGTGCCGATGTCCGTGCCAGGCCCTGGTGCAAGCAGCAAACCAGCAGCCCCTGTGCTCTCGAAGTCTGCGTTCCCGGAGCTTCCCACCTTCACTTCTACGCGTGCTCCCAAGGGGGCCGTGAGTGGAAATCAGTCAATGAGACGCATCTTGGGCGATTCCACCCCAGCAACCTCCGCGTGGGGCAGCGGAAAGACAGCTGCAAATGGAATGAACGGGGGTACGCCGCCGAGCACTGCAGAGGAGCCTGAGGAAGAAGAGGTAGGATCTCGAGAGCAGACTCCTGGGAAGAAGAAGGGGAAGGGGAAACAGAAGCAAACGTTGTTCACATTTGGTTCATTTCCTACATGAAATGAACGACGCTGACGAGAGAGGCCAGATGAAGGATTTTATCTCCATATCGCAGTGTATTTTCGACCGTGAGAGGTCATGCAGGTTATGCAAAGGGTGTCAACCGCACAGGCTTCCCTTGCATGCCAGAGCGCCGTGAAGCATTATGATTCGGAGCAGACTCACCTGTTGCAGCTCATCAACGGTGAAGATCATGAGATGTGGTTAGCAATCGGATGGAAATTACTGCAGACAGCATTGCGTGAGTATATCAGAAAGAAGACTGCAGACAGACTCAGATTGGTTCGACCGGGAAGTTTGACAGAACTCACTTGTATGCAACCGTACGAGAACAAATATGACCCCAACCTACTGTGTCTTCATGAAATTCTGGTCGCGTATTCGTTTTCGGTTCTCCTGCCTCATCCTACGCTTCTCCGCCTTCCCACCCGGCCCATCGTCCTCCAATACCTTCGGGCTCAGCAGGGTCCACAGCCACTCCGGGTACTCCTCGTCTGGCAGCGCAATTACTGGCGGCTGGTCCTTAAGATACGCGAGCCCATCCAAGATCGTATTTGGCTCGCACGAAGACTTCGAAAAGGCTGCAAAGCACGCTGTCTAGCTGAAGGAGGAGCCAACAACGCGGCGACTTACTCCCTGCTGGTGATTCCTCCCCGTCCACCGGTGTTTCTGCCTTCATCCCAACATTTTTTGGCGCCTCTCCCTTGCTAGTGTACGCCCTCCGGACGACGCAGCAGATATTGAGCCGTGGTGGTCGTCGAAGAGCATGAAGAAGGGACATTTTGCGTGACGTGACTAGTGCGGGCGTGACTCCGTACTTGTGTCGCGGTCTCGTGCGACCGCGTTCGCCTAGTGTTAGTGACCCGTCGTCGATATCACCTCCGCCCGACTCCTGCGTCTGCTTTGATAATTACTGGCGCCATCTCTCAATCAATTGGACCAAGCGCACTGCGATGTTGATATATTGCACTCTTTGTTGAAGTCGAGCGGGCAGTCGTAGAAGAACCTCATTAACATTCATACTGACTCGACGTGTCTGAGAAATTATTATCTACGGATCGTTGGGGTGTAAAACAAGAGGCGAAGAAGAAAGCTTGGATTTTGGACAATAGACTTCGTCCACCTTCAAATTTTCGAGAGCGCAAACCGTCGCCCGGCGCCGGACAGCACGATACCACTCCAGCACCCAACGAACTGCCCGATCTGCAATCTTACGTTCAAAGACCTCACAGCTCTCATCCGTCTACCAGAATGCTATGATGTATCAGACGAGGTTCTTGTATTACAATGTCGGGATTACTTCTACGACCAACGATAAAAAACAAGGAGCAGGAGGACAAGACAGCAATGCGAACAAAACATCTGCAACGAGAGATAAAGTGAAAACGGCAAGCACCAGCCTAGTCGACGCCGTGCATCATGATGCTGGCAGCGTCGGGTGTAGGAGCGAGTAGACGTTTTCTAAGGCATCTGATTTTCAACCAGCTCAGTATATTCTGATGTGAAAGGCATAACAGGATGGCGATGAGCTCAGTATTTCAGAGATTGGCGGGCACTACTCACCCGCATGAACGCACACAATCGTGGCGGATGCGCTCGGCCATGAACACTCTCTGCACGCGGTGTTGAAGACGGAAGGATCGACGAGATCTCGATTTCGATCTCGTCGTCCTCGAAGATATCGGACTGGCCATAGAACATTTCGATAAATAACGACAGATTCAGCGGGAGACCTGGGTTACCAATGCGAAGCTTGAGCGGTATCGTGGAGGTTCTTCTGTATGGCGATAATCTACCGTTTTCTAGCGGGAACAACCTCGTCAGGAACTGAGACGATGGGAAGGCGCATCCGCAACTTACCATGAGATCCTCATACGGTGGAGGGTGTCTCTTTAGGTAGCCTGCACGGCGTGTAGAGTTGACTGCACCATACGACGGCAACTGGTGATCAGACGGAGACGACAGAGACTGGCGAATGAAACTTGAGGCGCTATATAGCGGCAGTTGGCGAGTCTTGGATGACGATAGGGAAAACGAAGGGAATCGCGACTCAGAGCGTCGCATCTTGTGGGTGTATTTGGAGAAAGAGCGTGTTGGATGGGGCGCAAAAAGAGTGTATCACGTATGCCGCAGTCTCTGCGCTCCTAGGTGGAGGAAGTCGGGAGACCGGGCAGAAGTGCAGGCGCGTTGCTTCGCCTGTTATATATGAGAAGTTCTTAGCTAGTGCCGCTGAGAGCGCGAACTCTTAAGATGGGAACATGACCATACGCAGCACCATTGTGCGCTCCTTTTGGACAGGATGACTAGGAGAGGGACGCCCCATCGACTCATGCGGCAAGCATCAATGAATCACTGCCTATTTACGAGAAAAATCTTCAAAAGAAGGAAACTTCGTGCACCAGATGGCCTAAGGCAGAGGACCCTGCAAATTCTTCCAATATTCTCAAATGATATAGCCACAAAACAAATTGGAAGCTGGCAACCAGAAGAACATATTGGAATTGTGACGTAGAGCTAGTCCGAGCATCGTCAGACAGAAGTCACCGTGAGATGCTAGCCGAGGAAATTTTCCGAGCATCCTAGCATCGAGTATAACCTCGAACAAATGGCTCTAGGGCGTTGGATCACTGTCCAGTCAATGCAGAGCACTGACTTAATCCCGGGAGACAGAGATATCGACCGGACGCGCCTACACTAGCACGATCCTTAGGATACAGATAGTGACCTCCTTCGTGACCACCTGAAACCTCACACTCCAATCGGAGGAAGGTGTCGGCCATACTTATGGCCTTCACCTTCACATCCCCACGGAGAGCTAGAACTGCAAATTTCGCACGCGCGGGTAGCGGGGAGGAACTGCGAGATAATATGAATAACAACACAATCGTACCTTGAACACGTAAAGATAATGCTCTCTGTGGATGGGAATGAACAGTACTATAGATCTGTGAAGGACGGATGGCTGTAAGCAAGCTCTGGAAACACCATTCATCTGGACAGGGGAGTACGGTTATATCTTAGAAACATGCGCTCAATGTCCATCCTTGCTATCGCAATTCGTGAGCAGCCCATGACAGACATGTGCGTCAACTCACCTTAATATTGATGCCTCGCTGGAAGCGAATAGCGAGCGCTCTGCCATCAGAGCTACAAGCCTCGAAAACAGGGTGAGCTACCAGAAACCCCAGTTGATAGACCGGATGCATCACCGATGAGAGCGTGTGCGAACACACGAGAAGTCACGCCTAGCCTACAGGAGTAACGAAGGTAGGAGATGGTTGAGATGGCTTCGAGTCCAAGCTTCGAAAAGTCTGTCTTGCTACCACGTTGCCCTTGCAGCCCACGCAAGTTCCACCTGCATAGCTTTGTATGCGAAGTCCAACATAGTCATATAAGCTGCAAGTGCTCGGGGGCGAATACTAGTCGACGTGGCAATGATTCCCAACCATTTGACCGTCAACACCTCTCGTAATATTGGCAATGGGACTTTTGCAAAGACCACCTATATTTCTGCGCAGACATAGAGAAAGAGGTTCCGAGAAATGGTATTTTCAAGGGTCGGGAGACGAAGTATCGGCGTTCAGACTTGCACCTTCAACTGTCTGTTCCCTCCCTCCTCAGTCTTCCTGAAGCTCAGGCTGAGCTAACGCAGTCAGGCGCCACACCTTTGAGTCAGACGCACGTAGCACTTCCAATCCGGTGTTGAACCTGAACAGCGTGGAATTGGGCAGACCATTTGGCGAGAGGGGTCATGTTTGGGAGACGGTGCAGAGCGACGGCGGTGTGACTAGCGAAAGACGAGTGACTCGAAATGGCTGAGCGAGCTAGCCGAGTCCGATTCTAGTTGTCTGCAGCCACAGCCTGCAGCGCTCAACCTGAGGCAACACGTAATTCCTGCGTTCGCTTCAACGACCACGGCTTCATTTTTTCACGTCCTTCGAGCGTTCTGTCTGAGGAGAGGGTCTTGATTGTCTCTTCACTCGCGCAACACCGGCCATGGCTGCCTCGTTCGCTGCGTACGCGTCTCAGTATTTGAATAGACAACAGACCTCTGCATCTAGTCTGTCCTCATCTCAGCCTCTCTTCTTCTCTTTTACGACCGACGATGGCTCTCGTGCAGGCAATATTGACGAAGCAGACCTCGATGACCTAGACGATCCCCATCTGCATGCAGCCGGCATGAGCAGAACTACCACGAGGAGAGACGATTCGGAGCATGGAGCAGACGACAACTCGGACGATCCGTATCTGCGTTTGGACGAGGAGGACCCAGGGGTGCCCCGACATCAGGCCCACTCTATACCGTTGCTACAAGCTTCAGAGGGAGACAGTGCTAAGGGATGGTTGGCGCATGCTTCCCCTCTCCGGTCGCCTTCACCATCACCCTCTTCCTCGCTTGATTCGAGGAGTCCACCACCAGATATTCTCAGTCCGACCTTTCGTCCACCCATTCACGCTGATCCGCAGCCACAACCTCCACCACCACCTCGTACAGCTGTCTCGCTCTCCTTGACCGAGTCATTGCTGCCTCGAGACGGCCACACACGACCCCTGGACGTGTTCTCCTTGCCCGATCCCCGCTATGTTTCCCGGCGGCGGCGGAAATACAACGATTATATCTGGACAGCTGTTTGGTGTGCCGGACTAAGCACATGTCTCTTCTTCTCCATCCTTATCCTTTTTGTCACTCGCAAGCCGACCACACCTCCACGCGCCAGTCTTCCGTACATGACCCTCCTCCATACCGTTCCATTACTCACGATTCTCATCTTCCTGAGCGCCATCGTCGCATATCTGCATGTGTTCCTTCTCCGCATATTTGTTAAGCCTATGATGATTGCGACTTCAGTCTTCATACCAGCGACACTACTCATCTCCGCAGTCTGGGCATTTGTAGGCAGTTTCATGTGGGATGGAACACAAGAGCCAACGTGGGGAGAAACAGTAGGGTGAGTCTGATTGATCATGATAATGTCCGCGTACTCACTTTTTGTGCAGTCTTCGCCTATTCTCCTTGGTTCCATTGGTGTTATCCCTATTGACTGCACGGAAACTGCTTGACCTCCCTCGGGACATCCATACTGCTTCATCCCTGCTCACGCTGACGACGCGTTTGCTGATGGCAAATCCCTTTCTTCTTGCGCTCTCCCCGACTGTTTTACTCGCAATACTCCTGGCATCTGTTCCCTTCATGACTTTGGCCTTCCGTCTTCTCTTGATCGGGTATTTCTCTCATCCCTCTGGCAACATGTCTGGCTGGGAATGGCATGTCAGGGGCTGGGCGAATTGGGCCATCGCGGGCACAGTTGGTATTTGGCTCTGGAGTTGGGGTGTCGCTCGGGGTGTGCTGCGGGTGACCTGTGCGGGGGTCATAGGTGCATGGTTTTTCGCCGAGTAGGTAGCACATCTTCTCTTGTGCATGCTATGCCTCATTTACCTCATCTAGCCCCGATGCGACTCCTCCCGCGCCCACGAACACTCACACTATCCATGCTGCACTCACACGAGCAATGCAGCCATCGCTTGGGTCCATTGTCCTGTCTGCCTTGATCATCGCGTCTGTACGGTGTCTCGGGCTGCTCGCGGCTGGTCTGCGCATCCTACCGGCCTATCTTCCGCCTTACCTACGCGTAGCAAGTGTCGGTGCCAGCATGGCTGCAGGCTATTTGGAGGGCGCGACGAGCACACTCAGCACGCACGCACTGGTATATATTGGCCTTACAGGCGATCCGTTCTTCCCTAGCGCGCGGAGAGCGCGTGCGCTCACCGCTGCAGTGGAGAGCTCCTCGGTTGTGAATTACCGAAGAAGGTTCAAGACTGAGCGTGAGTGCCGCCGTTCCTCGCCGTATCTAGGTGTATTGACAACAAGTGCGTGTTCAGCTTCTCTGACAATTTTGACTGTCGCGCCCTTGACGCTTATGTTTCCCTTCGCACTGGGAACGTACTTGTTCGTTGCACACACGTTGAACGCGCCCGACCAGGCTCTGTCAGCGGCCATGCTTGCGGGCAGTGTCACTTCGCTGGTCGGACTGTTCTGTATAGGGCTGGTGAAGGATACGTGAGTATTGTTTGCGATCCCCGTTTTGTAATCTGTCTTTACTTATAACATTCACATCTTTGACAGTGCAGACACGCTGTATATCTGCTACTGCATAGACAGGGATGTTGGTGACCGACACAGGGAGGAAGTCGTCGAGGCTGTAAGTTTTGACACCTTTGAGTTGTTTGATCCGAGGTTGACGTCATCGCAGTTCGAGTACGAAAGCAGAAGACGGCCAGCGCAGACACACCACCATGACCCTGCAGCACCAATGCACGAACAGCGTGGTCGCTCGCGCGAAGTCCATCGACCCTCACCTGCGCCCCCGCGTGCCGAGACACCCGATCCCTTCCAGCACTCCCCGTCCGTCATAGACTCACCTCCAATACCGGATCCCATACCGCTCGTGTCGTCCACTCACGACTCCAAGGCGCGATTGCCCCTGAGTCGCCGCGAGAGCCTTTTGCAGGACCCGCTGATCCGCTTGACTCCACTTGAGGCCCATACAGAGAGCGATGAAGAGGAAGGCGAGGAGTCGCAGCTCTTCCCTGGGTCGGATCTGTTCTAGGCGGTTGGTTACGGGATTCGCTATCGCACGTTGTCCGAGATGGCGACCCAGCGGACGTAGGAGGCAGTCGTCATGCGCATGACCGGGACAAACAGTTGTGGGCAGTGTGCTGTCGGAAGGTGACCGGATGCATCTTGATCTATCCATCCGAAATTTCATCGTGGTTGAAGAAGTTGGAGCTTGCCCCTCGATGCCCTGGGTATTTAATGCAGTGTCATGCATGCCAGTGTAAATGTCGTCAATAAGGCTATCCATACGTCGCTTTGCTTTATCGCTCGTCCAATAATCTTCCGCATTAAGCGGATCGTTTTCCGCAATTCATCCTGGTGTATATAATGTTTCTTCGATAGATAATTCATGAGTTGAACCTGGTCCTCATGGTCTCCTTGATTCTGTCTACGCACGTGGTTGGAACCCGCATTCAATTTCCGAGTCTCCGCTCTTTCTTGCCTTCTTTTATCACCTCCATACAAGAGAGTTTTGCATATTGAAACTTAGACTCGGTCGGCGAAGCATTCTCGAATACTGCAGCGTCCTGAATGGGTCCACTAGCAAGGACATCAGCACTCGAAGGCCCGTCGCCAGTGACAGCGCATTCGAAAGAGCTCTACCACGAATTATTCAATTGGCACGGCGGCTGGTCTCACACACCATCAGGATAAGTCATTACACAAAGGCGTAAAAATCCATCTCATTCCCACCGATCGAGGCTGCAGGTGTATCGGTGAGAGCATCTGGAATTCTCCCATCCGTTCGATCGTTCACGAACTAGTGCTCCCGTTTCCTCGGGGCCTGTGCAGATATGTAGGTTGAGAATTGCACAGGCCGGAAATGGATCACCCATGCGATTAGAACTCACGCTGCGTCTCAGCTTGTCTCAGGCCATACAGAAACGCCCTTCGAGCTTCAAGCGTCAAGGACGTGGGTGCTTACCTTGGTCAGCGGTTTACTGACATCCTTGTCCTTAAATTCAGATGCTTATCTGCGTGTGTATAATGAACGCATCAGATGACGGCGCAGGCATCCACTCGTGCCTGCTCATCTCACACTGGACCTCATGGGAACACTCGAGCTGAATCAGTGCGCCCTCCGGCTCATGTCGAGCTGAGTATCAGAATCCACGGCCAGCGTTTAATTCCCTGAGCTTATTCAACATTTAACGAACAGGTGAGCCGCCGATTCTGTTGTGTGCGCCGAATAGAGCGTCACCGCAGACTCGTGTCCAATGCAGCGCGCCAGTGTCCTGCTCCTCCGATGTCCCAGGACACGAGAATCAGCAAACAGAGTGGGGTAAAATTTGCCGGTCCCCTAAGCGGTGCTCGTCTATCTATGTCCATGCCTAATCCATGACCGGTGACCGCATCTCTCGTATCCACATAGTTTGGCGGAGAGGTGCTCCGGTCGCTCGGAGTCTCACGGCGGTATGGAGACGCGCACCGCTAGGTGTCGCGGAGGAAGGTCGTATCTGAATGGCTTTGGTCTCTCCAATGGGTGGCGCTCACCCGCTTTCCTGCGGTATGACGATGAATTTAGGAAGACTCAATTGCGCCGCTGTCCTGCGCAGACCATGCAATGTATCATGGGCTCTGCACAATCTACGTGACACACTTCGCCGGCTTGAACTGCGTATATATATATAACTCTGACTCGGAGGCCAACTCGTGGCTGCCCACGTTCACGCTCGGCCACTTTTTAATTGGGACCACTCTCACTCACTGACACTAAGCAGCCCGTCCGTTGACCTCCGCTTGTACATTCTGAGCCTCCAGACTCCCGCCTCGTTATCGCGCCATCCGGATCTTCGAATGAATCCCAAGCTGACTCCCTGAGTCATCTATGCAGAGTGTGTACAACTCGCCCGCTCCACTATCTCGCCGACATGATACGTCATGTTATGCGCATCGCAAGAGCTAATCGCGACTTTCTGAGCTCATGTCCTTGCCCGCGTGATGAGTATATTGTGGGCGAGATAACGAAAGGGACGGAGCTCGCCCGCCCTCGGATGGGTTGCGCAGCCCTGATTTGTGCAGTACTGCCGCAGCGTGGCTCATGTACGTATATGTACGGGAGTGCTCGCAGCCCGGCTCCACTCGCAGTAATCGGTAGCATGTAGTACTATCCAGATATCTCAGAAAGGATTCCTCCAATCCAGTGCCGCCTGATTCTCGACAAAGCCGTAGGGGGTGTATGTATTACGCCACCACAACGCGCCCATCGCCGAATAACAAAGTCACAAAATCGCAAAATCACAACGCAACATCACGACAAATATTCTCACTAAGCACCTTGTGGAGAAGTCTGCAGACTGCGTGCATGTGGAAGTGGGTCCATGCGCTCCTCGAGGCCGGAGAGCAGGGCCGCCTAGCACAAGATGTGCTGAAAATGCGGAAATTTGGGGCACAGATGAGCGCGTCGGCGTGCACGGCGAGTGGGCCGGGTACACCAAGGAGAACATCTCGTTCGCTAAGTTGTAGACGCTGCGGCAGCGCACGAGGCGATAGCCAAGAAAAAGAGATAAAAATGCACGCTCGAACGAATGGAAGGAGGCCCGCAAAGCTTACAAGCCAGTTACGAGGCAGAGCGTGCTGTTGCCAAGAACGTAGAATCAGATGGGCTTGCAAATTCGATTTGAATTTGAGGAGTCTGCCAAGAGTCCTGATTTCGGATGACAGGATGCACGGTGTGGTGGTCACGGAAGTCTGCTTGGTCGGGCTCTCCGGCATACACATGTTGATGCTATCTAAACTGGGAGTCTGTGGACGACGCGTGAAAGCACTGAGGCTAGGAAGAAGGGGTGAAATGCTCGGGATTTAGGTAGGTCGCCATCGTGTGGGGCGGAGATGTACTGCTCCGTCGGGCTCGCCGGCACGCGCATGGAATGTGACAATTCTTTGATAGTACCGAAGTCGGAGGGTCCGTGGATGGTGCGTGCAGGCAGGGAGGCCGAAACGAAGAGGGTGGGTAGATGCAGGGACTTTCGGAGGTCGAATGCATATAGCGGGCCATGCATCGTGAAATGCGCCATCTCTTGCCTAGTGGAGAAAGCCAAGATCATAGTTCCGGCCGTGGACGACGCGTGAAAGCAGAGAGGCAGGAAGGAAGAGGGCAGACACGCTCGCAAGTCGACGAGAATGGAAACACACCATGCACACCGCTGGAGGCCCGCGCTTCCTGGAGATGGAATGCGAGCGTAAGCCACGGCATGTTGCACTGTCCTAATGCTGGTGGTTGTGGTACCATCGTTGACCTGGATATACCAAAATTCTGGTCCCGCGTGCAGCGCCTGATGCGATAGCCCCCGGCATCCCATACGATGTTTCGATGGCACACAGAATATGACAGGTGATCTTTCTGGATCATTTTGAGCAACGCTGAATACCGTAGAGATATCGTTGTGTGTCGCCAGCCAGATATAGTGCCGCAATCACGAATTCTCTGGGACCGAGGCAGGAGACACATACTTACCAAAACATTGACGTATCAAGAGCAGGCACGCAGGCTCCTACATGTGCGATTTAGAAACAATCAGATAAAATAGAGCCGTAGAAAAAAATATGGCACTTCCGTGTCATTCACATCTGGGTTAAGGATAGTAATGGTTTTCAGCGCTCTATAGCGGTATGAATGAAATAGCATTACCAACGGCAAAGCTTACCTTAACGGTGTGATAGTTGTGCATGCTGGAGCCACACTTTCGGCAAGGATTCAAGCAAGCCGACTGAGAAAACGGCGAATATATTGAGTCAATCACTAGCACGTCCGGGGGATCTTCGAAGGCCGGCATAAAACAAACAGGTTGAGCACCTACATAACATACGAGATCGTCAGTAGATGGAGACAGCTATTGATCAAAGAGTACTTGACACCGAACATGACAATGTAGCTCCGCGTCAGAAGCTTTGAGGCTGACCGTGTAACGACTCACAGGTGTCTCGGGACACATTCTATGTGTTTCTACGCGATAACGTCGCCAAATCCTCAGAGACAGTCATGCCTACGCAATGCTGGACAAGTAGCATTTCCAAGGGAGGACGAGGCTGAGTCGGCAGCCATTTAACAGATATGTTTAGCACGCACTCACACAATATTGTACTACCGAAAGCTGGGAATCATGGGAATCATGGAACCAAGCTATTGCCTAGCTATGCAACAGTAGTAATGAGATTGCGCAAAGTCAGAGACAAGTTCGAAAAGCCGTCGGGCCCATCGATCGCGACGCAGAACGCGACCACGTGACAGCAACGTAAGTAAAGTATCCCACGGTTCAACCCAAGTTCAACCATTCCGAATGCACACCACCGTGACGAGTCTCCCGTTTTCTCACATCATGATCTAGGACTTCTCCTCGGACGAACTTTCTTTGCAAGTCTGACGTCAACTATGGATGCAGTATACACCCGCACGGACACATTCGCGGAGACAACCCCACCCGCAGTCAGTCGTAATGCATCCGCGATCCACAAGGTATCTGCCAGGCAGATGTCCGCCAATTCCATAGATCGAAGAACACTCCATTTCGTGACGTCACCCTGTGACCACGTCCAGTATCCGCTGTGCGGCCAGTTCTCGCGCCTGGCATTCCTCTACCCTGGAACGCCTCTCCGCCCAGGCTGGGGACTCACATAGCAAATACTATTCTTGGCAGACCGCGCGGCAGGAGCACGGCCGCCATGTCAATATTCAACTTTCAGACATCCTGCGCCACCTCTTCTGTGGGAATCCAATTATTCCAACTCCACACGGGACGGCGGCGTGCTATCTCCCGCGTCTAGCCACAGCGCCTGGGGTCGCCTCGGACGCCTATGCTGCACGCTGCCAGGAGCAATCTTCCGGCTTGCTGACGCCGCTACGCACCCGGGAAGGACGCAGAGACGCCGGACGGAGATGTGACGATCCTTCCTGCGTGCCTCGATTGCAGATACCGGTGAGTTTTCGGTGCTGATATGATACGATACGATACGATATGATCTATCATGCTATGTCATGAACTCGTCGAGCTTGTTGCATCGATGGCATCGTCGTCGGTGGTGTGCAGTTGCAGCCGGCCATGCGGATGTCGCGCAGACTCGGAAATTGCGGCAAATCCCACACGGATGAAGGTGGAAGACAGAAGACGGTCGCCTGCGCCGTGCCAACGCTGCGCACGCCCGGAAGTGCAAACGGTGGCGAACGGCGTATGGCTAGGTTTCTCAGCTGCGGCCGTGCAGCACGAATCGTATGCCTGTGGTATGTCCGTGTTGCTCTCTCTCGCGGTTCTCACACCTCAGGCAGGCAGGATGAGCATTTCCACGCGTAGTCCGTCTGAAGGCCTGCGGAGGTGAAAAATGCGTTGCTTAAGCTTGCATCGAACCTGAGCCACCCCAAGACGCCCTTTCCGACTGCACGGTTGTAGAAGGCTCTTCGGGCGGCCCAGCGAGAATACTCGCAGATCTTACATGGCGTGCCTCTCTAAGTGGCTCCCGCTGCATATACAGCACCATCTATCCGAATGAGCCTTCGACCAGCGGTCACGATCCCACCGCGGTGCAGGTCCGCGTCGACGATCCCGCGTCAATGTCATGATCAGCAGCGATCTATAACAACCCCACAATCCCCACCGCACATGCACGCGTTCATTGGCTGGGCCTGCAGAACTGACAATCAGGAATCAAGCTCCCCTCATGCTTGATGGTTATCTCCCTTCACGGTTGACTCTTGGGCAAGGGCTCTCCGCGCCGAGGCGTTTGCAGACCAAGTTGTCTTGCTGTCCGCGCGTCTGGAACTGATACTGACATATTACGCCGGTGCGCAAGCGATACCGATTGCGGGGATGGGCTCCGTCGGTCGACGTGTGCACACGATGGAGTGCTGACGCCATCGCCATCGTTCGACGCGATTATTATAATGCCGCATCGTACGACTCGCTCTCAGCGTATTCTTTGGGCTGCAGCCGCAAACTGTTACAGGCCGCGCGCCGCGACGTTTCACTATATATTATCTGGGCTCATCCGCCTCAGGGTGACGACGAGCGGGCAGCCGAAATTTATCGGAAACACCACAGCGCGATCTTCCCTGTGCGCACCTCTCGCACTCACGTTTCGGCAAACAGGCGGAACATCGATCCTTCCCTGCGCCATCACGGTACATTGACCCGCCAGCGCCCGCGCCCGCCCATCGGCGGCGGTTACCCATTCGTGGGTGCAGCCGCCGACACCAGCGCCCGATTACGTAACTCAAGCTCACAGCGGACGCATACCATTCTGGACCCGCGGCCATCGCGGGTGCCGCGGCGCCCCGGCGTCGGCATCGGCGTCGAGAGGCCCGGAGCGCGTGCCGTGGTACAGTCAGGACGGCGGCGTCCCGCTGACCAAGCCGCAAACTTGGCAAACACAAAAAGAGAGCGAGCGGGCGATGACAAAGCCCCGCGGCGCGCGGACGGTCTTGGCTTAGTCACGCTGCTGTGTACTCACCGCTCGGCGTCACGCGATACTGTACGGATTATGGAGTCGAGTTGGATTTTCGCTCTTACGGACGGACGGAAGAGGTGGTATTCATTTCTTTCATTTCGTTGCTTCTGCTACTGCTCGTGCCTACTGTACACTGTACATACACGGTGCCCACAGGCAGCCAGCCGGGGGGGGCACACCGAGTACACCATCGTTTCACCATCATCTATCGCCTGCGCAGCGCAGCGCACGGGCGATGGCGCGCCGCAGGATGTGAGGAAGCGGCGCGTGCGCGAGAGAGAGAGAGTTGTGGGGTAAACTGACCGGAGGACGTGGACACTGAGTACCGAATGCGTGATGCGGGGCGTGACTGCGAATAAGTGAAATGGCCGGGACGGATCGTGGTGGACATGGGAGTGGGAGACGGGAAGGGGAAAGGGGAGGAAGGGATGAGGGGCGGTCGTGTGTCGGAAAGGTGCCCCCGGAGAGATGCATGTGAGGTAGGAAGGAAGAGTGGATCGGGGAGCGGCGCGATAGGGGACCGCGCGGACACGCGACGGAGAGGGGCGCGCAGCGGCCGCTACCAGCTCCGGTAGCAGCTGACCCCATCTGGGCTCGCGCGGCGCGAGTCGATAGTCCATGTGCGGTCGTGTGCGATGTGCGGGAAAAAGTCAATCCTGGAGTAGGCTGTGGGGGATGTGCGCAGCGGCGCGTGCTACGTGCGCCGCCGTGCCCGCCGCCGCGCAAACCGCTGCTGCGCGTGGAAGAGCCCGAAGCGGACGCGCAGTATGACCGCGGCCCACTGCTGGCGGAGCGTATATGTGCACGTCGGGCTGTAGATCGGGAGGACGCAATCAGGACGCGTTCGTACAGATCCAGAACGAGGGAGAAAGACGTACACGAACTCGACGTCCACGCCATCTAGAGCGAGCCTGCTGCTATTAGGGTTCGGCGCGCTCTTCTCGGAGCCCGCCTCGAGTGGTGGTTCAGCCGCGGCAGCGCTGCGCCTCATCTTCTTCGAGGTATTGCGGTTCAGCGAGATGCTGCGCCGCCGCCGCTTCTTGCCCCCCTCCTCCTCGATCTCGTCCTCGAGTACGGACCCGCGCATGGGCAACGACGCGTTCTCCTCGAGCGACCCGGCGGGCGACACGGACATGGGCACCGGCGCCGCAGACTCGGCGAAATAGTGCGAGTACGCGGGTGTGGCGGCGTAGGGCGTGTACGCGTACGACGGCGACGCGTGCCCGCTGGCGCGGCGGCGCGGGGGGGTCGCGAAGGGGGAGAAGTGCGACTGGGACTCGGCGTCCTCGAGCACCGCCTCTTCCTCGTCGGCCTCGAACTCGGTGGACCAGTCGCGCTCCCAGTTGGGGCGCGCGGCGGCAGCGGTGATGGAGTAGGAGGAGTAGCGGCCGCGGCTAGTGCTGCGAGAGCGGGCGGTGCCGCTGCTCGGACGCCGGCGATCGTTGCGCGAGGGGTGGAGGACGGGGAAGTCGCGGTAGTCGGGGTCGTGGAGGTCGCCGTGGTGGTCGACGTAGGCGCGGGTCTGGTGGTGGGTCGCGTGGGAGGGGCTCGCGCTGGACGAGGAGCCCGAGGAGGCGGAGCTGGCGTAGGCGGGGTCGAGGAGGCGGGAGATGTCTGCTGCGCGGGTCGAAGGCGTGTACTGGTGGGCGAGATGGCTGCTGGGGAGGAGGGTGGTGATGCGGGGGATGGGGGACTGGGAGCGCCGGTGTGGAGAGTGGCGGTGGTGGTGGTGGTGGTGGTGGTGTAGGTGCTTGGGCGCAGATGGGGGAGTGCCCCCGGGAGAGTCGTAAAGGGGCATGTCTGGTCGTATGAGCTGCTGGAAGGAGTTATAAGGGCTGACCAAACAGAGCCGGAGAAAAAATACTCACCGGTTGCTTTACGCTGGGTGCTATGTGAAGCGAAGCAAAGGGGAGCGCTTTGGGAGTGCCTGTGGCGGGTAGGTGCGAACGGAGGCTGTGGGCAGGGGAAGGCGGGAGCACGTCGGGGGTGATGAGGAAAGGGACGAGGGTGGCTCGGGGAGGAGGAGAGAGGGTTATATAGACAGCGGGCTGGACGGGGAGAGCGAGTGAGATCACAGATGAGGAGGGAGATCAGCTCGGTCGGTCCGTGGCGTAATCACAATCGTCCGGCACCACCTTCCATATCGGGCCACTTTCTCACGGGATATCTCGCTTTCCAGCTCTGCTCACCAATGGCTCACAGGTGCCTCACCTCAGCCGCCCCCTCGCTTCGCCTTCCCTTCCGCATCCACCCAGTGACTCCTCTCCGCCAGCGCGCACATGCCCCCCGTCCGGCTCTCCCCATACCCGTGAGTCACCCGGCCACCAGGCGCCCATCCGCCCGTCCACCAATCAGCTTCCTCCTCCCGCCCAATTTCGATATCGGCCCTATTCATTTACCCTAATTCCTCGCCTTCCCGATTCGTCCGACTCGTGTAGATAGACTTTCCCCACGTGATACCCTCCTCCAGCTATTTTCGGACCGTCTACGCGTCGAGGCGGCTCTGCGATCTCATTCGCCCAGCCTGCTTAGCCCGAGGTCCAGTCGAGGTTCCCGAGGCCAACGACTGCTAACTCCTTCCGTTTTTTCTGTCCCAGGCCGCGAAACAGGGATAGGGTCCATGTACAGCAGCATCTGTGCAACAGGACATCCTTTTGCCCTTCCGAATTTCCTCGTCGAACGCAAACTTGGCCGACTTTCTTTAATCGGCCGCTCCACCCGTCGGTCGGACATTGCTGTCTCTTGCTCGCCCACCAGCCAATGGCCTACTTCGAACTCTGAATCATCGGCGGCTAGATTATCTCTCCTCGTCCTTCTCCGAGTCCCAAGCCGATGCATTCGCCCTGCCCCACCCGCAGCCTTCCGTTCCTCTGCATCTCTGTGGTCTCCACACGCGGTACTCAGTGCTTCTTCGACGCGACTTGTCCGAACCAGCTCTTCGCACCTCCTATCCTGTGCCCTCTGCGTTCATCATCGTCACGCACGCGATGACACCTTGATTATACATCTTTCTCCGGCCTTCTATCCGGCCAAGCTTGCGTCAAGGTATGTATGTACTCTATGTAAGTACGTGCAAGTGCACGCGCAGGTACGTCACCCACTGCACCGCTCCCACGTACGTACCCCGGTCTGCGCATACGGTCTGCGCTGCGGCCGTGCCCGTTATATTCGTCCTCGCCCACCGCGCAGCTCAACACCGCCCAAGCGCCGCAGGCACAGCCAGGCCTCGCCCACCACTCTTCCCGCACGCACTCCGCGTGACCACGGGTGGGCACCCGCCTCGTCCGGCGAGCCACCGCCTATCCACCTAACCTGCTTATCCTCCCCACCCACAGCCACTGCACGCCCATCTCGATAGCGCGAGATGCCATCGGCCCTGGCGTGAGCGCGACGCTTCTCGACTTCGCCGCGCCTATCTGCCCACCGTGCTCTGGCTTATCCTCCTCCCCATCTGGTGCGACGCGCGTCCGCGCATGACCCAACCGCGATGCACGCAGAACGCAGAAGGCGGCACCACCTGAGCGTGGGCGTGCCCTCACCGCACGCTAATGTCGGCGCGTCGGCGCGTTGTCGGAGCGTCCCGCGCGTTCTGCTGTTCATCCCCACCCACCTCGTCCTCGCCTCTTGCTGCGAACTTCGCTCCGGTCGACCGGGCTTCGGTGCTCGCAGCGTCGGACGCCCATCGTCGTCGTCCGCATCCGGCACGTTCTCGGTATGCCCGCATCGATGCGCGCTCGATAGGCAGGGAAGGGAACGCGCAATCGCCCGGCGCGCGCTTGCGATCGTCGTCGTCAGCGCCAGGGGCTTTTGCAAGTCCGTGCTTCCCGGGTGGCGAAGACGTCGACCCCGCGCGCTGCGCGCACCACATCGTGCGGCGAGGACGCGTCGTGCCCGTCGACGCGTCGGACGCCCATCGTCGTCCTCCGCATCCGGCACGTCCTCGCTATCTTCCCTCATCAGACACGCATCGATGCGGCACCACGCGCTCGCGATCGTCGTCAATCGGCCTGGCGAGCGCCAGGGGCTTTTGCAGAGTCCGTGCTTCCCGGGTGGCGACCCCGCGTGCTGCGCGTACCACATCGCGCCACCCTCGCGGATGGACATGCAGACTGCGCTGCGGCGAGGACGCGAAGCACGGGCAATTTTGGCTCGCTGCATGTGAGTCGTCGTCCCACGACGCCACGCCGTGCGCTGTGCGCCACCGCTGCGCTGCGCTTCGGCGGTTGGCGCAGCGGGTGGGTTCGGGGCAGGAGTATAGCTAGTATGCTGTCCGTGTCCCATGTCCACCGCTGGTGGTGGTGGTATTTCGGTATGGAAGCTGCGCGCGGCTGTGGGATGCGTCCGTGTGGTCGTGTATGCGTGTTCGACACGCTTCCATTTTGTCCTCGAATATACGACGAGATTGTGTGTGCGCGTGTGTATGCGGTGCGTAAGCTGAGGGATTGGGTTATACACTTGCGGTCGAGCGCGCTCGGCGAATACACGATTCCGAATTTGAGCGTGTGCCTTCTGGGCGCTGCGCGAAGCTTCTTTCTCTGAGTACTGCGCTCGGCGCGGGAACGCTCACGCGCGCGCTGGATTCTGGGTGATGATGATGAAGATGATGATGAAATCTGTGTATTTATACTGCAAGTAGGCGAGCAAGTGCGCCGGGGAACAGTCACAAACGTATACTAAAATACGCACCGGTAAGGGGTCTGTCTAGGAAGGATGTGGTCTGTGCTTCCGTAATGCGGCGGTGTCTTATGAGTACTGCGTTGGTCGGTGGTGGGGAGGTCGTAATGTCAAAGGGATGTGTCCGCGTGAGTATTCTAGACGTAGTCATAAGAGGACAGCGTAGTGGGAAGCATGCGTATAGCGAGAAAAAGGAAAAAACACCTCGATCGTCGTTGTACTCTGCTCATCTTGAATCCTGCTACCCTGCACGTTCGTGCGTGCGTTCGTGGTCCTTTCGTTTGCCATACGGCTTGCCCGTCGTTTGAGGCAGTTCATACTCTGTCGGACGGCGCTGGATTCTGGAGTCTACTGGAGGTTCAACGAAACTTCTCCTTCCTTCCCTTTCTCTCCTGACCCCTACGCGCAGTCATCCCTGTTTATGTCCGCGGAACCCGATGCATACGGTCAAATCCGCGCTCTCCTCGTATATCCGCTTTTTCTCAGTTTTTTTTGTGCTGTATACTTATCCGAGACGCCCCGGGCGTGCTACGAGCCGGAGGGGGGAGGGACCTGTGTTTACTGGAAGTCGCGAGTCGCTTCGAGAAGGGAAAATTTTCGGGTGATTCTGGCGTATGATTTGGCCAGGATACTGTACTTTGGCCCCCCGGGTTGCATGTGCACCTCTATTTGCGGTGGATATATGTTGAGGGTGGACGCCCGGGCCTCGAGTCGGACGCCGAGGATACGCCGTGGGGGGAGATCGCGGGCGTTGCCGATGGGCCGCGGTGAGATTAGATAATATAATCTGGGGAACTTCGTCCGGCGGGTCGATTGTGGCTTCCGATTCGCCAGAGGACGGATTACGTGTGGGGGATCGCGATCGCGATGTTATCGCGGCGCGTTCGTTCGTCACTGTGACGGTGGCGCGTACGTATACACATCCATTGTCCTTTTTTTGTGGTTGAATTGTATCTTGACGTTGTTTCTTGTGCGCCACTCGGTCTTGTGCAGGTATCCGTGCTATCGGGTCGTATCGATCCCCATCGTCGACTCTTGAGCTTTCAAGCTTCTGGTTCTGTATCGATGTCGATGACGCCGCCGCCGCTCGCGTATTGTCTCTCGCTCGCACGTTCTCATGATGAACACGTCGCACCCACCCCAGTCCTGGGATCGCCTACGTCCTTGCGTCACGTAACGGTCGACATCAGGCCCGCTCGATGCTCGGTGCCATGACGTCACAGGGACGTCGATGATAATGACATGCAAGGAAAGTCCTAGTACCTGTACGACGACAACTTGTCGTTCAGGCTCAAGTGCGTACGTCGTATATGACGAGGTATGTGCTGGAGTTGGCTTGTGCGGGCCCCCGCTGGGAAGGCTGGGACTGCGCCACGGTACGTCCTCGTCAAAGCTTGTATTTCGAGAAGGTCTAGGACCCGCTCGTGATTACACCCCCCACACTTCCACAACCCGCTTCGAACGCAGATGTACTCGCATATGCTGCACGCATCGCCTCGTCACGATCGGATCCGTCTGGCGCATCTCCTGTTCCACCACGCTCACGGCTCCTACAGAATGGCGCTCGTCCGAGCTCGCTGGTTACCCTCTCATTCGTTCACCGCTTCAAGGCGGACCCACAACGTGTGCGTTCTACATGCTTACTCGTGTACGATGATCGTTCTTCCTGACTTTCACCAGGGTGGCATGTATCTCCGTCGATGGATCCTGATCACCTCTGTGTGACTTGCTTCGAGAAGACATACGCTGCTCGCGTCGCCGATCCGATTCATCGTGGAGCATCTGTTACCCACTACTACTCCACCCTGTTCACGGCTTATTACAGAATGGCTTGTTCAAGCTCGCTGATTACCTTCTCGTCCGAGGTGGTTGGTTCACCGCTTAACTACAAGGCGTGTGGTCTACGTGTTTACTCGTGCACGATGTTCGTCCTTCCAGACCTTCTTTAGACCGGCATGTATCTCCGTCGATGTGTCCTGATCACCTTCGGGCCGTCCGACGCACCTTGGGGATATGCAGCTGTAACTGAGGCTCGCATGAGGCAGGTGCGTCGGCAGATCAGGCTCTTTTTCCTTCGCCCCTGCAGGGTCGCGTACTTGCACCCCCGGATGCACAATGCAACACGCATACGCCACCCGTCTGCGAGACTCACTGGAAGGCGGTGCTGGTTGGAGGGCGGCAGTCTCTACGGTTACAGAGCACGAACCAGCGTGCCCCACAAGAGACGTAAATAATCCCATCCGGCCCCCTCTTCTCCGCATTTCCTGCATATATGCATCAGGAGCCTACTCTCCGACCGGACTTCTTCGACCCTCCGCGGGTTGCGCGAACGCGTCACGGACTTATCGCTTGTCGTTGGAGGTGGTACACGTCGCCACCGCGCGTGCGCTATCTGAATTGTCCTCTCGCTGCTTCTCGCACTGGCGACTGCCTGTGGCCACCGCCTCGCGTTGATTTTGATATTTGCTCCGGAATTCTGATGAAACTGTCTCACCCGCCTGTGAACGGTCCTACTGCGCGCCCCGGCGGACCGTGTGATGCCCTCTGTCGACGCGAACTCGGACGTGCCACGCTGGTCGTACGAAGGCTAGCACGAGCTGGAAATTGCAGGTAATTGCGGTGCTACACCTAAGGATCCGCATCTTCTGATTACGCTGAACCCACCGATCCGCATCCTCGCCAGCCTTGGTGCACTGGTGAACCGGTCATCCAGCGACCGACGCCGCGATCTCGGTTGGACGCATCGCGTGGAACGGTATGGCGCACTTTGCCTAAAAGGGGAGCATGCCCGCCCGCGCAGGCCCATCACGAAGCGCGGAACGAGGCGAAACGAGGCTAGTCGAACCGAAACGTGCTCTCATATTCAGCTGCAGCCGGTGTCGTACAACTCGCGACACAGCACGGATAAGTGGATACTAGTGGACAGATGCGAGAGGTGCCGCCCTGCCCGGCTGGCGGGAAGGGCGGGCTAGACTGAATGCGCGTTGCTCCGCTGGATGCCCGCTTCGCCTCGTGCTCGTCCAAATCTTGCGCCGGTACGGTGGCGACGCCTGCGGGTCATCTTGCCCGCCTTGACCTTGACACCTCTGCTTGCCGCGTTTTGTCGTATTCTTGTTTGCATTTTGGCTGCACGGACGTTGCACGGTGACACCTTCGTCGAACCTGCATGCTGATATCCCCTCCGGTCGCGTCGTTAGCAATCACCGGGCACCTTCTCGCTAATGAGACACCTTTCAAACGCGTAATACGCAGTGAGCTTCGTTGTTCCATCTGCATGCGCCCTGCACGAACTGTGGTGGTCAATTCAGTCCGCCAGTTCGCGGATTTTCTGACTGTTATCTTTATGCAATCTGCATGCTTGCTGAGTCGTCTAGTTTCGCATCTGGGCATGGTTCGGGGTTACGGTGCGTGCTCGATATGTTATATGCAGATAGCGAGCAGCGTGCATGGGTGCATACTGTTCTGTCCTGGGACAGAACGAGACGCGGAGACGTTGCAAATGACTTATGATCCCTTCTCGAGCTCAGCACCAACCTGCCCCGCATTCTACAGACAGCACCCCGATTACCAGTACCCCGCACTCGCGCATCTGGAGTTACGGCGCTATCGCGAGATACATTGCGCACTGCAGTGCAGTGCAGGCTGATCACGATCTCGCGTGTCATGCCAGTCCACACAGCAAGCCTCCGAGATGCCGCCGTAGTCTGCACGGCATGATCTGCGGCGTATGGCCAGGCTTCCGCCGGTCTGGCATCTGCTAGTGGGCGAGCGAGACCAGATGGGGCGAGATGGGCATCATGGGCTGGTGGTGCAGATGCCTGGACTGCACACGCTGGGTGTACGCGGGGGTGATCAGAGTGGCGGGACGGTGGGGGGATGGACACGAAGGTGGGTCATGACTCGACTCGTCCGGAGATGCAGGCGAGATTGTGTGGCGATCAGATATGTGTGGACCCGTGTGCATCTGTACATAACGCGTCCGTTCGTCGTCCTTTGTTCGCTAGGCACTCGTGATCAGGAGACGAGGGAGGTCGTCCAGAACTCTGTGCCGCGCTGCATGCACGCACCTGCATTCGCGTTCGCGTATAAATATCCGTTTCGGCGGTGGCGATTGACGTTGAGCAGGTGACGCGTGGACCTGGGTAGACGGGACGAAGTCCGAGTGGCAGGATGAGCGATGTGAGTAGAGCTGCAGGACTTCCCACCGGGTAAGATTACGCACGGACTGCAGATCCGAATCCTCGCGTCAGCAAATCGCGGTATGCATGTTTACAGTAGTCATATCTAGCAGACGCACTACGTCGGGCGCAGGACTCCGAGTCGGAGGTACCATAAGTTACTCTTCCCAGGCAGAGTAGACACTCTGCTTCAACCTGTTCTGAGCGGGACATGCCACCCATGCGGCCACCTAAATACGTAGGGAGCTCAAGAGATCCACTACTTAGTGCTACGTGCGCACTGAATCTGGGCTGATAGTAGAAATGCTAGAAATAAAGAATGTGTCGACTTGGGTTCATACTGTCAAGTTGATCCATCATCATTCGACTCATCCATGTGGTGTGGTCTAAAGGCATTTAAGCCAAGTAACAAAAAAACATGTCCCTCTGTTCATGGGAGTGGTAACGGCTACAGCGTATACTGGCCTACACCGTATTGTTGAATCCAGTAATACCCGCGAATTCTAAGTCTGACCTCGTTGAATTAGAGCATATCGCATGAACTCTGCTGCAAAAACCAAAATTTTTACAATGGTAAAGGTCAGGTGGACATGTCCGGGATCGAACCGGACCCCTCTCGCAACGCAGGTTCGGCAGAGAGAGAATATGCTAAGCGAGCGTGATAACCAACTACACCACATGCCCAAGATCCTAGAGGACAACGGGGAAAATTTTAGTCAAGGCATCCGGAAGCTACTCGCCGCTTTTCACATCGGGGAATTTGCATCTTTCTGGTATGGGCCTGATGAGCGATTGTAAGTCATTACAAGGTATAAAATATACGGAAGGTGTATAAAGCTTGTAGTCACGAGTATAATTACAGGTAAGACTATGCACCCTTTGCCAAGAACAATAAGAATTGTTCAAGGTTGGAATTATTGCACGACTTGAGCAGGATGATGGCTCTTGTGCCTCCTGTGAGACCTTACCAGCTGCAATGGCATTCCATTCCACATCCCAACCATGGCTGCTATGCTCAGTGCTCACCACCGTGACATTGGACATGAGACACCCAAGTCAACAAATATATTGGAGTATATGTAAAGAAACAGTTCATCAAAATATGCATACATACATGGAAATCACCCAGACGAACATCCAGGTCCGCCAGCGCACCACAAGGGTAAACGATGACCATCGGAGACTTGCGTGCGCAGGCAACACGCGGGCAACGTGTGGTCAAGATACCCTGGAGCCGGCATCACTGAGGGAGCCGTGATGTACCATGACCGAATATGCACAGTGAAAGGGGAAGTCATTGCGCATATCCACGGGTGCTGCAAGTGATGATTGTAACCTGTGAAGAATCAGGTGTGAGTGGAATATGATCCTCAAACATGGACAGCATCCGTCCTCTGCACACAACAACATGAGGAGTGCCCACGGAGCTTCATAGCTCAAGGATCAGGAATATAGGCACAGGAGTATCTCCCCACACATTGACACAGACAAACATGTCTGCGGAGCACGGTACAGCTCGGGAGTCAAGTAACATCATACCAAAGGTGATGGATGGGCAAGAAGAGAGATGATGCGACGATGGACGCGCCGAATAGTGTTGTTAGTGGCTTGGCTTCTGAGCCCAAGCCAGGCCAAGCCGAGCTGTAGAAAGTCCGGCCAAGCCAGGCCAAAGCCATCTGGAAGCCTTGCCGCTGGGCCTGGCTTGAGAATGCTCAAGCCCGAGCCGAGCCCATGAGTCCGGGGCTTTCAGCGCTATGTGCAGCAAAAATACAGGACTGCCTAACCCAACATCCGGCCTCATTCACACCTCACTGCTACCTTTGCTGGCACTCCTGGGCATACCAGAAAATTCCTCACTTTTACTATGACAACCCCTTCTGTGATATGCTCTTTTTTCCCCCAAAGGTGAGTATCTCCATGACGGTATGATGATATTGAAACCCTTAAGAACATCATCAGGGATTTGAGAGGTCTTCGTTGCCGCCATCACGTGCCAGATGGAGACCCTACGGAGAAAATCCAGATTCCTGATGATTCATAAACTGGCACAACTCACCTATAATGCTATCCTATAGGCTGCCAGTCAAGTTGAGTTGTCAATTTCTTATTGATCAACTATCTGAGTAGGTTACCTAGTAGCTACATACAAAATATTTTTTTTCTTCAGCAGGCCCGGGCTTGAGCCCAAGCCAAGCCTGAGCCGAGCCCAAGCCCTACCATCAGGCCTAGTTTGGAGTTTGATGAAGCCCAAGCCTGCTAAAGCCAAGCCAAAGCCAGGGCTTTCAGGCCAAGCCAGGCCCTCAACAACACTAGCGCCGCCGAAAGTTCAACATCCATGCCGATCACTTTAGGGCCAGCTGCAGTGGACTTCAGAAGATAACGAGGGCAAAGGGAAAAGCACGCACCATCACGTTATCCGTTATCTCTTGTCGACAGAGAGTCAAGCTGAGAATAGTCTGACAATACATTGCAAGCTGTTCATCAAGCTTGGCCACTGTCGGGAAGGCGTTACAAGATGTACAAAACGCAGAGTAGCTCCGGAGATGGAAGCCGAACAGTTATGGCTCGCGCACATGCTCAGGGCATAGCTATACAAGCACGACAAAGACATACAAGACGTGTACAAGCACGACGCGTCGATTGCAAGCTCTTGCACGCGGTTACAAACTCGCGTCACACTTGGTCACGCTTGTCAGAGCTACAAGCTCAAACAAGATTCAGGCAAATTCCCCGATGGCCAGATCCTCGTAATTAGTCTCCGAAGGCAGATGGTAGACACTCTGCTTCAACCTCGTACCTCGGATATCCGTGTCTGACGATCCTCGCGCATATTGAAACATTTCCTGCGACTGCATCAAATTGAGGCCACCCTGGCACACCCAGAATCCTTACTGTGGTTCCAAGGACGGATGTTACAAGAGACATTCAGACATACATTTGGAACATAGGTCTCGCGGAGGGAGGAATCATATTGTTTCCTACCTCTACAGCTTTGCACCCGCCTCGGGATGGCGCACCTTCAACACGACCTTTCCGAACTGCTCCCCTCGCTTAATGAGCTCAAATCCTTCCTCAGCTGACTCCAGACCATCAAGCACATGCGAGACCACCGGCACGATACGATGTTCCGCGAGGAACTTGGTCGCATCAATCAGGTCTTTGTGCGAACCCATGGTAGATCCTGCGAATAATGTGAGGACAAGCTTGGAAAATTGTCTGAAAGCACAGGATGCTGACCGATGAGCTGATGTTGCTTGAGCACTTCGCGCATTGTGAATGTCACTTTAGGACTTGCGGTCCTGATTATAAAGTGAGAGTCAGGAGCTAGTCGCTTCAGAGAAGAGACTTTCGGCTACTTGCATTCCATAGACGACGACTCTGCCCCCGGCCTTTAGGATCTTACTGGTCTTGCCTACAATATCTCCACCTCCAGAGTCGATAACAGCACTCAGCAGTGCTGAGGTCGCACCACCAGAACTGTTGCTCTTCAAGATAGCTTCCAGTTGACTAGGCCAGTCCTCTATGAAAAGTACCCGGTCGAAAAGATGAGTGAATGTACAGAGAGGATAGAAAGAAGAATATACCAGCTTTGTAATTCACCCCTGCTTTGGCACCGAGAGAGATCGCGCGCTGTATCTTCTCTTCGGACCCACTCGTCACATAGACGTTTGCGCCGCGCGCGAGGCAGAGCTGCATGGCGATCAGGGCGACACCTCCGCCTATGCCGGTGATAAGGACGTTGTCACCGTGCTTCACACGTGCATTCACGATTGATGCCCTGTCAAGGATTTGACGTGAACTGTTTACTGCAGCTTATGCGGGTGTATGGTGGAAAAACCCACCTCCAAGCAGTTACACCGCCCAAAGGCCACGCTGCCGCATGCTCATCATCGAGATGGTCGGGAGTCACAATGACCTGGTCGCGCTCTACGACAACGTACTGAGCGAACGTTCCCAATGGAACTACCCTTCCACCGCCTAAGATTACAAAGCTACGAGGACAGATCGTGAGTATCGTATTTATCTCCATTATTTGTCGTGATAGGAAATATACGCACTTCGACTCGGGAGCGTCTGGATCTTCTTCCCAGCCTCGCATCGGGACAAGGAATACTCGCTTCTGCAACAGAGGGTCACTGTTCTGACCCGAAGCAATCACAGTTCCTATATCAAACACAAATCAGTAGTACAGTACACATGAGATCCCAGTGACAGACGCGTGTACCAGCACCATCAGCACCGAAAGTACTCCCGAACGCAATTCCAGGATACTGTCCCTTGCGAATCCACAACTTGGAGTAGTGGAGTACCCTCTGTGAGCGTAGCAAATAAAACTGACTAGGAAATACGGCATACGTCTCTGTGATTGAACGCTGCTGCTGCGATCTTGACAAGGAGTTGGCCATTTTGCAAGGAGGGGATGGGACGTTCCTCCAGCCTGGCATCGTGGTAGAGAGGAGTGCGTTGTTGGAGAGACTTCTGTACCGTCAGGACCTTCGTCGTCCGGGCAAGCTGAGACATGGTGAACGACGTGGGACAGACAGAAGAGCACGCAATTTGGACATGGTCATTCGCAGCGGTTTGACGGTTAGTAACCAATGTGGGCCTGAGACTTGGAGAGGCAGGTGACTTTCCATATACAGGAAAGTTAGTTTCTGCAGATCCAGATCTGCGTTGTCTAATTTCAACTGCGTTTTCTTGACGATGACCAGGCAGCTTCGTTCTCGAGCATCCCGTCTAAACTATGCAACACTGTTTCAATACGAAGACGGCGACGGCGCAGGGCCTTCCAATCCATTTGTGGATGAAGCGGACAGCGGTAGTGACTTCGCACCTGAGGCCAACGAGGCTCAGGAGGGCGAGGGAGACGCCATGGCCGAGGACGTTGAGGAACAGGAGCAAGAGCTTAAACTCGTCTCGGATTCTGACCATGAGCGCTCTGTCATAGGGCCAGCTGGAACTAGCGGGGGACACAGTGCACCAGCTGCGAAACCGAGGAAGACGGTGTCTCTACCTCCCGGATTGTCTCGTACAGCAACTCGCCAGCAATATGCTCTCCCAGCTCTTCCTGGTGTTCATCACCGTCACAGAGCTGTTGCGCTCTATCGAAGGGACTCTCCGGTGGAGCGCCTTGCAAAGGCTCCCATGCCTTTTGCCCCTGATACAACAGTCCTTACCAAAAGCTCGACCGCCGATTCTGTTGTTGCTGAAAGAGTCGGCAAATCTTGGGGCTTCAATGTTGGCCCTGGGCCTCTGTGGGAGCTCATGGAGGACAGAGGGTGGTTCAAGGAGGAAATAAAAGGCGACGGAGAAGAAAAGGAACTTAATCGAAGGCCGAGGGTGTACGAGTCGATTAAGGTGGATGATTATGAGGTGCTCAACCTTCAGTACGTCACTAAATTGAATATGATGTATGAGTTTTGTCGACGTTTGACGGACTGGTAAGAGAGGCTGCACCATACTTGCCAAATGATGTGGTCGCAGATAAAGACGTCCTCAACGCCCCATCATCCATAACCTGTTCATTTGGACCTTTTGGTCAGCAAACACGCGTGGAAATGAAGATGTTTGAAGCGCAAAAAATTGGTATATTGTATTCATGTCATAGGAGTGCATATATGACCGTTGTGACTCTCTTCGCCAGCGGACTTCATTCCGGGCAGCAAATCCCATGTCTTCAATGCAGGGACACCAGTATGGGCATTAGACTGGTGTCCGATCCATCCTGACGACCGTTTTCGTGAGTTTACTTGATGTTTGAATACGCCTACGTCTCTGAACTTTTGCATAGGCAAATCCCATAAACAATATCTAGCAATCGCTCCGTTTCCCTCACGCGCACATTCTCCGTCAATTGGAGTGCGGGCGACACGACCTTCACATGCATGTATCCAGATATGGTCGCTAGCTCCTTCACGGGATGCAATGGAAGTCGACGACGAGGACTCTACGAGCAAAAACACCGAGGACGATCCCGGAGAGATGAAGTGCGAAATGCTGCTATGCCTGGATAGCGGCCCGGCGTATGAGCTCAAGTGGTGCCCGCTACCTTCGAACGATGCATGTGAGGTAGGTGACTAATCTCGCTTTGAGCCGATTGTTCACCTATTATCGGCGCATAGAATTCGCAGTTACACAGTGGCCAGTCTGGTCCGCGCAAACTTGGGATCATCGGCGGTACCTTCGAGGACGGCTCGTTTTCGCTGTATGTTGTTCCGGACCCCGCAACTTTAGTCTCTTACAATGAAGGAGACCATGGTACTGGCCCATTATTCAGTGCGTCACTAATCAGCCGCTGAAGGCTTCGCGTCTACTCAGGCTTTCTCATACATGTACAGTAAGGTTATCCAAGCCACTGTTGCGCATCGAGTTGGAAGAGACTTTGTGCTGGGCACTAGACTGGGCAAACAGTGAAGTCGTTGCCATTGGCTGCACGAATGGTTTGTTTCTTTTATCGAATGGCCTGAACTAAATCATTATCCTGAAGCCAAATGTGATTCGTAGGATCCATTGCAGTATTCAATGTTTCCCAAGCGCTCAAAAGCCCGGGCGAAAGTGCGAGACTGTCCCGCGCCTCTTGATATGGATCTCATCGTATTTTCAGTTGTCCTTCCCACGCACTACTTCTCCGTTCACCAGTCTGCCATTCGTGCACTGGCGTGGATCCGCGTGCCAGGCGTTTCCGCGGACGTAAAGCCCGCCGCTACTGACCCTACTGTCGTCGCGAGCGGCGGCTACGACGGTGTGGAGTGCCTCACCGATATCCGTGATCTCGCGGGAAACATAATGAACAGGACAAGAGGTAGCTCCATACGCCCTCACGAAATTCAGACATCGTTGAACGCGTTCGTCCGCAGATGTCATCAACTCGCTGTGCTACTCACCCTACTGTGGCGGCCCGATCACCATCGACCACGAGAACATCGTGAAGACATACTCGATTTCGCCCAGCATGCTTGGGCGGGGACGCACGCTCCTTGAGCCCGACGGTCCTTCTTGGGTCTGTCTATCTACCTGCACAATCTCTCCGAAGCCACGCTCATTGATAATGTATCCAGAGCCTTGGCGCGTCCGACTACCATCCGCAGCTTGCAGTCGGTGTAACTGATGGCAGCTGTCTTACTACAAACACGCTTAGGTCTACTAGGCGGGGAGGGATGGTTGTATGTTGATGCCGCAAACTGTAGAAGCTCGCCAGTGACTGACTGTCTTCGCAGCCGTTCCTTGTGCACAAGATATACCAGCTCGACTACAGCCGAAACACCGGAGAATACAGGATGCTCGAGAGATTCCTTCCCACGGTGAGCACCCGCCTGCTTGCTCTATGGACGTTCAGCCTAACGTTTCCATCATCGCAGGAGATGCAAGATCGGCCCACTGCGACGCGCCTCAACAAAGTGGTGCCAGTGGGCACCGGCGCGTGGCCGCCAGAGGTGGGCATACACCGCGTGGCGTGGAACAGTGGGAACGGGCTGGGGCGCGCCCCGCTCCTTGCGTCTGCGACCGGATCAGGGCTATGTCGCGTGGATTGGCTCTTGGGGAGGTGGATAAAGAATCGTATTCCCTATTATGGGATACAAGGCATTCGGCAGGAGACGGACATCGCGGACGAGGACGAAGAATCGAATTGAAGTACTATACTTACATGACGGTGGAGGCACACTAAAGACGACCGTCACACTGCTGTGAGGGATAATTTGACGTGCATACACTCCGGTGATTCTACGGAGCGTATGGCAAATCCCAATAATTGACCACTTCATAAACCACACGAAGGCCATATGCAATGAGGCATTGCATAAAGTTACAGTACATCTTTCAATAGAGCTTGACTATGTATCTGTAGTTATGCATAGTATGACTCCAATGGATTCGCTTCCCGTAACCTTAACCGCCTTGTTCAATTTACCCTCCTCCGCTTGCATTCATTACTGGATATTCGGCATGTATTATCCGACACAGCCCACGGCACTGCAACAGATATGAATCCGAAAGACTCTAAGAAAAAAACTTAGTCGACTCTCCGAGGATCCAAATGTGGTAGTGACTTGTAGACAGCTAGCGCTGGGGGTTGGATGAAACGTCGAGTTTGATTTAAGGGACAATCGTTACTGAATGGGGTCTGTACAACAATATGTTCACGTACAATCAAGCAGAGGGTAGCCGACGTACAGATACGCCAATGTAATTGTTTTATACCATCCGTATAGACTATGGTGTCAAGTCGATCTCGGCTTGAAAACCATGTCGACTGAACCGCTCGGACGACGCTCTTTATCTGCAGCATACGGCAACCACTCGAATACGCGCAGATTGTTGGTGAAAAATGCACGATCTTCCTCCCCGATCTCGCAGTCATTATAGATCCGGATTTCTTCAAGAGCGGTTGGCGCGTCCTCGCCATACTCCGCAGCCAGGGTAGGATCTGAACGAACCAACACCAGTTCCCTCAGCTCCTCTATATACATCTGAAGGCAGCTTCGGAGGCTGATTGAGATGAGTCGAGCGAGCGGTAATTCAGTTGGATCTATTTGTCTATCACCAGCCGCTCGAATAACGTGGTTTGGAGCATATTCCAGCCCACGGATATTGACATGGTGAAAGTGCTCCACCAATTGGGAGAGGCAATCATAGTCGACGTCAATCTCCCCGCGAGAGTTGGCAAGAGTGACAGAACGGAGAGCCGGGAAGAATTCGAGATGATTCTCAATTACGGGTTCCGAACCGTCTGACCAGTCTCGTGGATCGATGTAGGAGAAGTGGGCCAAACGCGGGGCGGAAAAGAACGAGAACATTTCGTTCACGTTTTCATGCCAGAGGTCTGAGACAGACAATTCTTCTAGTGCGGCCAAAGTCACCCTGGGAGGAGTACCAGGATCCTCCTCGAGATCCATAATATGCCGACGGCCCCCTCCGAGATGAAAAACGCGCAAATGCCCCAATCGTGCCAGCATTTGCACGAACTCCCTCCACTGTAAAGTCAACGGGGCTGATTTGTCCAAGGACAACAACTCCAAGGCTGGGAAGAGCTCATCAATGGGTGAGTCTGGAAGGCTCACTACATACTGAAGCGTCAGTTCCCGCAAGTTAGAAGCTTTGAAGGATGAGTGGAAAGGGGCCCGTTGAGGGTGACTAGGCGAGGAAAAATCAATGGGCCCAGTGTATGTGACCCTGAGTTTTTCCAAAACATTGGCACAACCACGCAGGGAACTATTAACGTAGCCCAAACTTGCACCTGTGAGCGCTGATAGTGACAGTGACTTCCAACGCCCCATATGAGGAAGGAGAAGACGGAAGATTCCTTTCGTAATGTCTGGTTCTCGATGTAGGCGGTTGTTGTTCTTCACACGGCGGTGTGTTATTATGATGATATCTAGGGGTGCGGAGTGTGAACGAGAAAGGAATAGGGCGAGAATTTCCAGGGAGGGGTCATAGGAGATGATCAAAACAAGTGTGGACCACAGTGACGAAGAGTCAAGAGCCGCGATTCTCCAACGGCGACAAACGGAAGCAACAAGTAGCGAAAACTGCAAGCGCATGCTTGGAGCAGAATTCGACCATCCGCATTTGAAGATCTCGCGGATAATGTCCTCTGGTAAGTTTTTCGCGGGGGTAACTAGCAAATGCGGGCGAAACAATCAGCGATCGATCGCCGATGCCACTGTGAGCTCAAGTACTCACCCTCCAATCCTACAGTACCCCCGAGATGAAGTGACATTTTGTATCTTTCTATAGGGCTCGTATTGTGGATATCGTTCTTAGATGTAGTGCAGCACTGCCTGTGAGCTCGCTCTGACGAAAGTATCAGTACTAGTACTGATCAAATGCTCATAATGCGACTGGACTTTGGGAAAAACAAGTGTGAATTACTCACTGATCGTATATCTAGACAAGTAAAGCACAGGTAGCAGCCAGTACGTATTAGGCGGTTCAGTTATATCCCCGAAAGCTGCTTATTGTTGTCCCGTTGGGTCGCAGCGCGGTGGAACACGCGTACGTACGGCGTGGCAACGTCCTAGGAGGTCGTATGACGCTCAGGGAAGAGTCAACGGGCGCTTCCTGAGCTCCATTCCCGCGAGTTCATCAACCTCGCCGTTACCTAGCCACTAGTACATAACCAGGCATCCCATATTGATACTTCGCATGACTGGGACTCGCCTTCAGCCGTACGAGCTTGAACCGCTGATGCCAGGCGGGGCTCAGAATGGTTTGAAAGAGGACGGTGGCAGACCGCGCAACGGCAAGTACAGCAATAGATTTGAGCTGAGGACGGCACGCTTAGGGTGGTTGTAACCAGCGTACAGTCGTGCTTTGAAGGTGTCTGCTGTTGCCGTGGTCTCTGTGATAGGCCTCGCAGCTGCCCTATCGTGCTGGTCCCCTCGAGCGCAATGTCCTGTTGCACGTAGACTGCCCACAGTGGACTCGGAAACCGGCGTAGGTCGTTTACCAGGTGTGTCAGGTTTCTTTTCTGTGCAGAATTTGTCCAGTGATAGTTCCGCGTTTCCGTACTTTCTTCACAGTCCTCGGTTACAACAGTACGCTCCATTCCGCTCGTGGTGTTCACTGCTTGACTTAGCGGATCGTTTATGTAGCATGGAATGCATATCACGTTAGTGAGAGTTCTGGTCATACGCGCCCACTTTCTGATCCTCCATGTGCAGTGTGACATCAATGAAAGTCTCATTCTAGAGACCGCGCAACTCCTGAAGTCGCTTGGCCTTGCGGTATTAAATTTGTTCGTCATAGAGTCTTAAGGTATAATCGTTACATTGTACACAGGATGTTGGCTATAAGTATGTCAACATCGACGACTGCTATTCGGAGAAGAATCGGACTGCCACAGGTGATATTGTCGAAAGTGAGCCATATTGGATTGAAGCCCGCTCCTTTTCATCCTGTTCTCTCCGTCATGCAGATAAGGCCCGCTTCCCGTCTGGAATGCGGACTCTGACTAACCAGATACACGACCTTGGTCTGTAAGTGCCAAAACACCTGGTTCGACTTACATAGCTCTCACACGCATGCTCCAGAAAAGCTGGTATTGTGTGTACCATGTACTTCACACCAGACGGTCAATTCGCTAATATACGTAGTACTCTGATTCCGGATGGTTCACCTGCCAACTATACCCTGGTTCATTTCAAAATGAATTGAGGTGCGATTTCATCCGTAGACGCACGTCTAAATTTCCACCATTCACATCACATCTTGCAGAGATACACGATTGTTCCAAGAGGAATGGGGTTTTGACCTGTTAAAGTAAGCTCGACCTCCGCTCTATATTGACGGTGCTGAGTATGTTCCCGCAAAGGTATGATAACTGTGCGAGTACGTGCATACATACTCCAACACGTCCCTAGAGTTGATCCAAGAATTTCTTTAATTGGTGTACTGTCCAGTTCCTTTCGACACGGTCATCAAGCAAGGCATGGTTGGCAGTACGTCGCACCTCGTTTAGTATCCCCTGACAAAAATTCAAATCTGTTGTGCAGAATTCCAGCGGATAGCTGACGCTCTGAGCAAGCTTGCCGCTACAACGAGAAAACCACCGATGGTATTGTCCCTCTGCCAGTGGGGTGAAGTGGGTCCCAGGACATGATGTTTCGACCGCGGATCTCATTTGTCGTGATTTAGGAGCAACCTTGGCTCTGGGCTAAGCGATTCGGCCAAAGTTGGAGGGTAAGTTAGTTGTCGTTTGTCCGGTACCTAAAGTGCTAATTGATCTTTTTGGGCCGATAGACTACAGGCGACATCGGTAAGCCTTCCTTCCGTTCAATCCTCGTGGCGCATTGATGGGTTTTCGCTTTCTGTTTGTAGATCCTAACTGGGGCTCAGTAACGAAAATCCTGGATGCGTATGTATCAACTTCCGCATGTAATTAAGTGTCGCTCACTGGCAATAGGAACTCCTTTATCACTTGGGCGTCTGATTTCTACGGTCACAACGACATGGATATCGTGAGTCGTATTCTCTTGCGGGGTCACGTTCGCTGACTGTCCATGGGAATTATATAGCTGGAAGTGTACGTCTCGATCTTTTCGCCGATATTCGCCCGTCGACTGACATTCGTACTAGCGGGAACGGCCTTACATACGAGGAAGCCAAGTCGCATTTCACGGCATGGGCCTTCATGAAGTCTCCCCTACTCATCGGCACTCACGTAGGTTCATCCCATTCTTATCTCTGCGCTTCGTCTAAATGGCCGGTCATTCAGCTGGCAAGCGCGACAGATGAAACGCTGGAAATTCTCAAGAACACCGAGATTCTCGCGATCAACCAGGACCCAGTGGTAGGCACTAGCATAAGCCCCTTCCGGTGGGGCATCAACGTAGGTGTCCTGGCGCCCTGCATTCACCGGTAGATGACTGACTTGGACGTTGCCTCAGCCGGATTGGGTTAGCAACTCGACGCACCCAGCCCAGTATTGGAGTGGCGAGAGCCAGAACGGCACGGTATTCATGCTTGTAAGTACATTATCTCCAGTTTATTTCCTTGACTTCACCAATCTCACCAGCTGAACACGCTGGACGAGCCGGCAGACATGTCCTTCAGCTTGACGGAGTCTCCGTGGATCAGAGCCGGGAGGCAATACTCCGTCCGGGTAAGTACACGCCCTTGACTAAAATTAACAATGCTCATCAGGTGTATCACAGGACCTGTGGACCCATACAGACAACGGCACCGCCGTGCGCAACTTCACAGCGCACGCGGTCCCTGCGCATGGTGTCGTTGCGCTGCTGTTGCGGGACGCGGGTGATGAGCCGGAGGGGATATATCCGCCGTGCGCGCGCCAGGCGTGGTGCATGAGTAAGAACGGGACGAAGTACTTCCCCGAGTGAGCAAGAACGGGACGAATAGTGTCGACCGTCACTTTGACATTTGTGGATGATTGCATATATATGCGGATCGTGGACAATGTTTTGGATTACCACTGTGCTTGTACCCAAAATGCTATATGTTGACTGAACATGGACATCGGTTGTCTTCATCTCGCTCCAACCGGAGCATCTCCCGGAGAAAATGCTGATATACACTCAGCAGGGAAGTTATTTCAATGTGCAGCGGATTTCGCTACGAGAGTGTTACGACGAAAACGTACGGATACACGAAGGAATACAATACGGGGAAGAAATAACAATATGAACACCATTTGCCGCCAACTTTTGTTTTCTCCAGGAGCTCTACAAAGTACGGGATACAATAGGCAGAACACCAGGATCCATCATCCAGAGCGCGAGCTCACTCCAGCACTCCAATCCTGGATGTTCCTCTGTAGTTCCACATCGCCTGCCTCCCGTGCGAAGGGGGCCAGCAGGCTATTCGTAGGGTAGGACGAGTATCATAGTCGCCATCATCGAGCTCCTCGTCGTCAACATCGCGGTCATCTTCAATCTTGAACGGTCCGACGGCACAAACAATATTATCGACTCCCCGGTAGGCCGCTTTACCGAACCTCTCAATGACGCACTGCAAGTAATGCCAGTCGAAGATCCCAGGAGGAGGTAGTCGAAGATCCCAGTAGGAGGCAGAGGGACGGCGGGGTTGTGAGAAGAGAGCGTGAAGCTGGTTCCATGGGCTGGGTCGCGTATTACGTCTGAACGTGTGGTTGTGTGGAATCCTGGAGGAGAATCCATTCCAGTGAATGCCTCGAATATTTCTGTAGCAGCACGATCATCGAGGCGTCTGAGGACAAGGTGAGTCGAGAAGTACTGATGAGCTCTGTAGCAGGGCGACGGAGAGATGGGGAAGGTTTGGTCTCGGCGTACGAGCAATTCCTTGAGCTCGGCAGAGCGGTTCTTGGATGTACGCGTGGTGACGGATCTGCTCTCACGTAGACATATCCTGGTCAGAACGATCGGTCTGTCGTCTTCATTGCGGAATTCGGATATCTTCGCCTCTAGCGTGACCCCTAGCGCGACTTGTGTCCAAGCCTCTCGAGACAAATCTTGCTCAAGCCAGTCGTCCACCGTACTAGAATCGTGTGTGTAGAGCACGCCATTTCCGCGGGGTCCAGGAGTCTCGCCACCCTCAACAGCCAGCCACCGGAGAATGGGTGTAGCGCGGACAGGTCTGCTTCGATAGCATACAGATGACCTCTCGTGACTGCATTGGGCGCGGTGGACGGAGAACAGGGCTCGTCTCATTGTCCTTCCAGGGGTGCAGAAAGCGATTGTGGATGCGGAGGTAGACCCTCCCAGTTGGGCTAAGTTCTCGTTGCAGGACGCGATGGCATCACAGTATCGTAGTACGAAACGTCCAGGAATAAAAGTATAGAAGATCCAATATCACGAGTGGCCGCTTGCAAGCAGCTATGTAGCTAGGCCGTGGGATACGGTGAAGCAGCTGAGACTGAGAGACTATTTTCAGTGCGAAACGTCTGGGCACGTGTGTCTCGAGAACGCTATGAAACATTGATTAAACACGTCAATCATCTTCCTCCGCGGGAAACCATCCTCATTGGATGCCTTCCCGTAGCCGTTTAGAAACGTTCTAAACTAAATTTCGTCTCTAAATCAGGCCGGCACGTCGGCAAATTGATCTCCGCATACCGTGAGAGCAAAGTGAGCTCTTTCTAAACCTTATATCTGGAAGGGGGGGTCGATCCCCCCTTCCAGATTCTAAACGTCTCTCTAAACGATGATTTCGATCTCCGCCCACTCGCAATGCCCATCTTTGCCTATATTTGCTGCTGCATATTGCTTACATCATGCTGCCGCTCGTCCTCCGACCCTCTAGAACTTGGTTTGATCATCCTTATGTTGCGACGCTACGGTTTCACAAATCCTGCTGTTCCGACACAGTGGGGTGTTTCGCAGTTCGCTTTGTGATTTAAAAGTGCTCCAAATCCTACGGGAAAGCATCCATTTTCTCACCTCCAGGGTGCGCTCGCCTCCAGCCTGACTGCCCAGCTCCTTAGGCTAGCTTTCGTAGGTCTTTCCGAGATGCTGGATATCCTTCAATTGGCCCTAGCAGCCTTGGCACTGAGTTCGGCAGGGAGCGCGTCTCCGCACACAGTCGCGCTCACATCTCGCAGCATACCCAAGGGCCATATACCTGCTCTGCGGCGAAGGGGCTTGTCAGCGGTCAATGTTCCACTCGAAGATTACTTCTCGGGCACAGATCTTCAGTGAGTTAACGCGTTCAGAAGAATGAAAGCAATTGATTGATTCGCGTCTCGAAGGTGGTATGGAAATATCTCAGGCAAGTCTGATTCAAATGCATGGGGCTTTCTCGCTGAATGTGCGGCAGTCGGTACCCCTCCCCAGAATGTCAGTGTGTTGTTCGATACGGGCAGTTCGGCACTTGAGTTTGCGAGTCAGTATTCACCTACTGACTCAGAAGTCCGCTCGCTAACGCTAGCCTATGTAGGTACGCAGTGCGGTTCAGCATGCGCCAACCAGACCTTATTCGATCCATCTCAGAGCTCTACTTTTATAAGCAGCGGAAAAAATACGACCCTGTACTTCGAGACGGGTGTCGGCGTCACTCCCGTGATCCCGCAAAATTGCTGGCTCGAGGTGGTGTCTGCTGAAGACACTATCTCTATCGGTGGGCTTACTGCGCCAAATGTCTCACTCTTCACTATTGTGAACCAATCGGTGTCGTTTGACGTCGATCCATTCAGTGGTATCCAAGGTCAGTTACACTGAGCTTGGGTACTGCACGTAGCTAATCAACCAATAGGCATGTCGACTACGGGGCAGGGATTCTTTACTGGGTTGATTTCCCAAGGTCTTCCTGGTAATTCTAATGACTTACTCGTGGCGGCACTGGCACTGAAGTTCTGATACGTAGCGCTGTTCGGCATGTACCTTACTCCCCGAGCGGTCGGAAATGCTGAATTGACCATCGGGGGATACGACGACACGAAGTTCCAAGGTACGCACACCCGTTATTACATCCTTAGGGTCTCACTGATGAAACATTGTCCTCAGGCAATGTGACGTATTCAAACATCGTTGCGAAGGCGGAAGGATCTTGGCAGCTTCCTTCGTCTGGCATCTACGTCAACAATCAGACAGCCTCAATCCTGCAGCAGCCGCTTCCCATTATCTTCGACAGCGGAACGAGTAACATCTTGTTCGACACGAACATTACCGAGGTCAATTTATCATATGGTCGCACTAGTGTTCTTCCCACTTACATATGACTCTCAGGCAATGTATGCTCTCATATCACCCGATATCCAGCCATATGCGAACGAGCCTGGGGCGTATGGCATCGCCTGCAGCGCGATCGCCAACCTCTCCGCAACAATCGCGGTCACCTTCACCTCCCAGGACGGCGGACGGTACAACCTCACGATTCCCAGCAGCGAGCTGAACGTCGGCGCGTTCGCGGACAATTCGTCGCACTGCCAGACGCTGATCAACGCGTACGACGGTGTGCGTATCTTGGGCGGGAGCTTGCTCAAGCAGTACTACAGCGTGTGGGACATCAGCAACCAGCGCTTGGGCTTCGGCTCCAATCAGGAGCTTGTTACTGTCGCCACTTCTGCAGCGGGGTCGGCTTCGGTGGTGACTTTGGCGTCCTGGGTGCTGATGCTTGTCTGTCCGGTTTTGATCCTGGGCAGCTGGTGAGGTTGGTGTACCCACTATTATCCATGCCGTCTTATTTTCTCAGGGATTAATATACCATATTTATGCATACATGAATTCTTATGCATGGAGCTCGTGAAATGAGCTGAGGTGCTGTACACGTAGCAACTATTGTAAGCGCGTCGCGACGCGTCGGTCACATGACCGCGTCTCCACTCAGGTGGCTAACCTAGGGTGACCTCATGGCATCTGCGGAAAACATTCACTGCAGTTGAAAATGCCTGTCAAGTTCCTATCAATATGCCTCCACAGTCTCGAGATAAATACACGCATTCCGCCCTTCCACCAAGCTCCACCCACGACACCTTCTCCGCCGGCGTGACTGCCCTCTATCATGTGAAGCATGTCGCCCACCAGGGGTGGGTTTGCGCTCCCTACGATCATGATCACTGGTGTGGTCAACAGGTATGTGTGTGCGAAGCTGGTACGTAGCGATGAGCGTGTGCTAACTTCTGGGCCTGCATATATTCGTCAGGATGTAAGTGAGAATTTGCCGCGTGCTGCGTCCTACGTGAAGTGGACGAGTCTGACGCACGCGCAGATTCCGCCACGACGACGGGTACGATTCTCGACACACGACGTCGCACTCCTTCGTTGGATGGGCGCCGTGGATCGGCATCTGCCTCGCCATCTGGACGATGGCGTTGATCATCGCCGAAGTGTAGGTATCTCGGCTTGTGCGTCGGTTACTCTGACAGTCCGCTCACATACTGGCAGGATTCCGTTTTTCAACGACTTGCTGGGCGTCATTGGCTCGATGTTCGCGCGGTGCGAATGTCGTTAACGTTATTGTTAGAGCGTGCGCTCACCCTAAGGACTTATAGCTGGTTCATTTACGGCATCACAGTACGTGCCCATCTCCTGATGCGTGTGCGATAGCAGTCTGACCACCCCGACAGGGCGTACTTTGGTTCCACTGATCCCCCCGCTTGGAGCGATGGATGACACCACGAGAGCGACTCGAGTCAGTCTTCTGAGGACTCATCCTTGTCAGCCCCACTATTGTGACCCTAACCCTATCCTCGGTCTCACTGTCCCTTACGACAGTTGGGCGCGTTCATCATGGTCGCGGGACTGTATGCTAGCATCGTTAGTATCATATAACGTGTCATTATGTGTTTGCTTCGTAGAATCCGTGGATGACGGTGTGGCGGGGATCAGGATACCAAGCAGGCACATTCTCGGAACCCTTGACTTGCACGAGCCAGGCGTTGTCCTGAGATTGTGGGAGACTTTTATAAATTTGGAATGAACAACGACGACTACACGCCCAAATACCCTGCTTTGGTGTATACTGCGCTTTGCACATTAGAGGATAGTAATGGCCATCTGATAGCCAAGTAACGCAGTGATCGACATTGTTACGAAACAATATGCGGCGCGTCGTCTGTCGAATAGTGCGAGCAACGGCAGACAGATACTTTGTGTACATGTACTGGAGGGGCAATTTGAAGCAAACGCAATCCCACTGTGAAGCCTTTCTTCGTCGTAGACGTGCTCGGTGACCAAACAAATAACATGGTCCGTGCGCACGTCGCGTGCAGGATATAAGGGTTGCCCGGGCACCTTAACAACTCATACTTACCTTGATGGCACAAGCCCCTTCACGTACCTGGGTCTGTGGCCCGTGAGGACCTCTCATAGCACAGCGACCATGTCTTCAGGGGGGCCTTGCGGTTTGTATGGGCTCCGGCTCATGCACCGTCTCAATATTTTCCTGTCCTGCTTCGGCCCTCGGGCTGGGCAGGCCTTTTTTTTCCGCTCCTACGTCGTCCTAACCCTAACCCTAGTTTATTTGTATCTTCGAGTCAATCTGGAATCTCGGGTTTGGCGATGATTCTCACTGCGATGTGAATTCTGTCCGTGGATTGCAAGACGCTTGATATAAGAGACGATCTGGATAGCGCTCTAATTAGTTGTATGCAACCGTTAGTAAACAATGGTTGGCTCAGGTGTCTCCCCCAGCTCTCCCGTTGAGGAGCAGCCCGCCATCGGCCTTATAGGTATGGGTGCTATGGGCTCCATGTACGCGCAGTGCTTATCCGACGCCGGCTGGAAAAAGTACGTCGGCAAGCCAATCATTCTTTCCTGTCTTCGACCGATCAACTCAAGTCATACAGGATCTATGTGTGCGACTTGCCGAACAAATACGAGGCATTGAAGACCAAATATGAGAGTATGTCGCCGCGCGTTCGTAGTTCATCGTTGCAGCGTACTTATGCGTTCTAACAGATACAGGCATCACTGTCCTCCGTGATGGCCACCTCGTCTCCCGCGTGTCGGACTTCATCATGTACTCGGTCGAGGCGGAGCACATCAGTCGTGTCGTTTCCGAATACGGGTCCTGTTCGTCGAATGCCATTTGTTCGTGAACCGCACTCTGACATCGACTCCAGCGACCAAGGTCGGTGCAATCGTCTCCGGCCAAACATCGGTGAAGGCTCCAGAGAAAGAAGCATTCGAAAAGTACTTGCCGCAAGACGTTCACATTGTCTCCTGCCACTCCTTGCATGGCCCATCGGTGTCTCCTGCAGGTCAGCCTCTGGTAATGATCTCGTACTTTTTTCAACCACTCGTCATTGACAGAGCACCATAGGTGTTGATAAAATACCGCGCACCCGACGAAGCACTCACTCTGGTTGAGAATATTCTCCAGCCGCTAGGATCTCGCTATGTCTACCTTTCCTACGAGGACCACGACATCGTTACCGCAAATACGCAAGCGGTGACACACGCCGCGTTCCTGAGGTCAGTGTGCTGTCCCACTCATCTTCTACGACTCACGTTTCCCCAGCATGGGCACAGCGTGGGCCAGCGAATCCTCGTACCCCTGGGAGCACGGCTATTACGTCGGCGGGATCGAGACGGTCAAAGTGAACATCATGCTGCGCATCTACTCGAACAAGTGGCACGTCTACGCGGGGCTCGCGATCCTGAACCCGTCCGCGCGCGTGCAGATCGACCAGTACGCGCGGAGCACGACCGAGATCTTCAAACTCATGCTCGCACGCGACGCGGAGGGGCTGCGCGCCCGCATCTACGACGCTCGCACGCGTGTGTTCGGAAACGGTGACGGCTCGCGCGCGCCGATCCTACTCTCGGAGGACATGCTGAACCGCTTTAGCCTTGGCACGTCGACGCCCGCCCGCGCGCCGCTTCCGAACTCGCACCTCTCGCTGCTCGCGATGGTAGATTGCTGGGCGCGCCTCGAGATCCAGCCGTTCGAGCACCTCGACCTCGCTGCGACGCCCATCTTCCGCATGTGGATCGGAGTCGCGGAGTACCTCTTCCGCTCGCAGGAACGCCTCGACGCCGCCATCGATGCGGCCGTGCACGACCTCGCCCACCGCTCGGACGATCTCGAGTTCGTCATCGCGTCCCGCGGATGGAGCCAGTGCATCTCGTTTGGGAACTTTGAGCTGTACAAGGAGCGATTTATGCAGACCGCGACGTTCTTCGAGTCGCGATTCGAGGAGGCGACGAAGCTGGGGTCGGCCATGATTCAGGCCATTATGGACAGTTCGATGACGTAGGTCCTCTGCATCCAATGTACATCTTCGAAGGCGTTGCATTCCCTCTTACGGTGTACATTGCTCGACCTCATCTGGGAGTCGCATGCAACCTGCATACGTAAAGCGTGTTTCTGTGGCAACGACAAGGGTAGAACGAGCGGCAAAGGCGTATCCAGTCATCCTGCATTCTGGGTAGGTAATAGTAGCTACAAGCGTCCGCGGAGGGACTTTTTCCTTCTTCATTGACAGCCATCGGCAGCGTAATGTGAGATGCATCCAGAACTATCATACATGCAAGCAGGCGTTAATATCATAGCAAATATTGCATCGGAAAGAGCGGCTGGCGCCTATGGCGACATGCGGTATGGGGCGACGCAAATCACGTCTTTTTGTTCCGGGCGTCGTACGCTGCGCGGAAGGTTGGGTGCAGGAGCTGTTCGTGGAGAGCCTTCCCTGCTGGCACCTGCGGATAAATCATTATCAGTATACGTGATGGAAGAATTTTCAATGCGGGTAACTGACCATCGGGAATACATGCTCGTTTGTCTCGACCAAGCACTCCATGAGCACCGGTTTCGAGTTATCGTACTCCAAGAACTCCTTCATCTTCTCTGGGAGCTCCTCCGCGGAGTGGCATCGGATGGCGTGCACGCGCATCGCCCGCGCGAGCTCGATAAAGTCGGGGTTGGTCATACGGGTATGAGCGTATCGCGCGTCGTAGAACAGGTCTAAGGGTAAACTGCTGAGCACCGTAGAAATGGAATCGTTTCGTAAGGATGTACCTTGCCATTGGAGAACCATGCCCTGGAACTTATTATTGAGCACCATAACTTTAACCCCGATGTCGTACTGCGAGGCAGTAGCAAGCTCCATGGCGGTCATGCTGAATGATGCATCGCCATCGATGTCCACGACGGTCTTGTTCGGCGCGCCAACCTTCGCACCGATAGCAGACGGCAGACCGAAACCCATCGTCTGGTGCGCAACATCAGAAACAGAAACGTGACACAGATGTCAAGGCACTTACTCCCAACCCTCCTGAAGTGATCATCGATCGCGGTGTACGCCACCTGTAATGTTGCGCGGTCCACATCTGGTGCTGTCCAACACCCGTCGTGATGACGACGTTGTCCTTCATGTGCACTGTCTGACGGTCAAGCTCCTCAATCGCCTCCTGGGGCTTCATCAGTGCACCTGGCTTGCTCTTTAGGTAGGTGAAAGGATACTTCGCCTTCCACTCGCGGATGTCGTTGAACCAATGCGTGCGGGGCGATGATCGGATCATAGGCACCAAAGATGCCAAGTTAGCGACGACGTCGCCGAGGACGGGGATGGATGCGTCGACAACCTTGTTGATGTTCTTCGGCTGGATCTCGAAGTGGATAATGCCACCACGGCCCTGGAGGGCCGCAGCGCGCGCCGCTGGCGCGAACAAATCAACCTTGCCCGTAACACGGTCGTCGAAACGCGCGCCGAGAGCAATAATCACGTCTGCCTCTTGCATCGCGAGGTTAGCGTAGGCCGACCCGTGCATGCCGAGCATGTGCAGGCTCTTCTCGTCGAGCTCGTCAAATGCGCCGAGGCCCTGCAGCGTCGTTGTGACGGGGATGTTGCCCTCCTGGGCCAGCTGCTTCAGCAGCTTGGGACCCATAGGCGATGAGAGCACGCCGTGCCCAGCGTAGATGATCGGCCGTCGCGCATTGTTGATGAGGTCCGCCGCCTGCTTGATCAGTTGGATGTCCGTTTGCATGTCCGAAGACTGTAGAGGATTCGACGGCAGACCGAGAGGGCGACCGGGCGTCGTCGCCTTGTAAGGCAGCGGTGTGCGCAGGACACCCGCAGTGATGTCTTTTGGCAGATCTACAAGGACGGGGCCAGGTCGACCAGAGGTCGCGATCTTGAACGCTTCGTTGATGCGCCGTGGGAGCTCCGCGATGTCCTTCACCATGACGTTCCACTTCGTGCACGCCCGCGAGATGCCCACGATGTCCGCTTCTTGGAACGCGTCGGAGCCAATGGCAGATGTTGCCACCTGACCTGTGAAGACAACCAGGGGCACACCATCACTGAGGGCGTCCTGCATGGGCGTCACGACGTTCGTCGCACCCGGGCCAGACGTAACGAGGACAATTCCAGGCTTTCCAGTGACGCGCGCATATCCCTCAGCCATGTGCCCCGCACCTTGCTCATGCCGCGGAAGGATGAAGTCGAACTGTGGGGAGTTGTAGATGGCATCAAACACGGGGAGAATGGCGCCCCCGGGGTATCCGAAGATATGCTTGACACCATGTCTGACCATCATCTCGTGGAAGATCTGTCCGCCAGACATTCCGACGAACGAGTGATCCAAAGGGCCTTCATGATGAGGCCCGAGTATAGGTGGGGGCATGGAGACGTTATTTTTCGATGGCGCCTGCTGGTAACCCGGAGCAGGTTCAGGCCGCCTAGACGATGTTCAGTCATGTCGAAAATGTAAAACTCAAGCGTCACGTACACAGCTGCTGTCGCGGTAGCCTCACGCGCAGTCGTGCGACTGATGTTTCTTGCATGTTCCCTGACTCTTGACTTGGCTTCGAGCATGGAATTATTTAGGTTAGCAGCCGTCGAACGGCAGCGAACGAAGGTGATGACTGCAGGGCTTTTCGCAGCATGCATTCTTGAAGCAGAGAGGGACATGATGGGAAACCACGACCGCCGCGATGGGGGGCACGATAGAAGGAGTGAAAAAACCGGAAGCAGGGAGGATTGCCTTCTCGAATTGTATCCAGTGCTCGAGTCATACCCCGGTCAGCTGATTTCAATGTGGCGTCGATCTCCCTAAATAGGAAGTCACAGTGGATGAGTCCGCGGGCGATTCTCACAACTACTCTAGGGAGACTGGCCGTGCGCCGTGGGCACCGTACGCAGATTCTTCTGCACTAAGTAAGGAAGTACAAGGACGGGGGATTTCAGATCTAAATTTCTGTAGGGAACAGGGCACGCCGTTCGTGCAATGTGGTGCCCGTGTCAGCTTTGCCGCCCTCTTTCTAAAACAAATTACTGAACGCTGGATAGTCGGGCATTCACAGATGCAAGACCAACTCCCACGGAACGACTGGCGCTGCGAACAGCCTGTCATTGTGAAGTAAGCTTACGAGTGGTGACTCACTTGTACAAGTGGCAATTTCCACGTTACAAACTCCGCCTTTCACTTTCACCCTGTCATATTATTGGCCAGGTGTTGGAAAGTAGCGCCCAAATTTCTGGAGCTCCAGAAATTGGGGAGCGCCCAAGGGCAGACAAGCCGAGGGCATGATTACAAAGAAAGACAAAGAAGGAAATTTGCTTATATAAAGTGGAGTGTCTAGAACTGTATATATACAGAAATCTATTTTAGGACGCGTAATCACGCGCCCCGACGCATCTTGACCCGCCATCACTACCTTCCTATTTGGGAACTAAGGCGCGATTTCTAACAGGTTATGAGCCCCGGCTCTAGCCAATAAATACTTGGATAACAACAGCCCCTATTGTGGCTACAAAAATTGTTACCCCCTTACTAGTACGAGAACAAATAATGTTGACCAGCGCTGATAATACGAGCAATAGCAATGCTTACCGGATCCCGCTCCTGAAGGAAGACAATTGGCTCCCGTGGAAGCGCCGCGTCGAGGCCATCCTTAATGATAAGGGTCTCCAGGAGTATGTGACCGGAAAGACACCGAAGCCGCAGCCGAGTAATGACCCGGCCAATAGGGCAGCGAGAGAGGCGGAGATTAGCGCCTGGGGAGAGAAGGACCTCAAGGCCCAGAACGTAATTGTGCTATCGCTGGGAGATTCCCAGATGGTGCACATCGCTGGAGCCGAGACGGCACGGGCCATGTGGGAGCAGCTTCGCACAGTCAAGGAACAGCGTGGACAGCATGGAATTCTCGCGCTGTGCCGGCGTTTTTACCGGATGCAAGCCAAGGAAGAAGATAATATCTCCAGTCACATTACACAGCTACGACAGATCCAGGAACAACTCCACCTAATGGGGAAGGTTGTTTCCGATGAAGATTTCCGGCTCATTCTGGCTACCTCATTACCGGAGAGCTGGGACTCTTTCCTCAGCTCTTACTTTGGCGCCGTGGGCGGCAATGTTGGCGCCGAAGGTGCTGACAACGTGCGCCCTCAGCTTACATCACAAGAATTGATTGCCATCATTCTTGATGAAAATAGGCGAAGGCACGAGCGTGGCGAGCGCGGTCAATCCTCGGACCAAGCCATGGTTGCCAAAGGAAAGAAGCGCCCCTTTGGGGAATACAAAAAATGTTCGATCTGCGGAAAGCCGGGACATCTTGGTAACGAGTGTCGGCACCGCGACAAGGTCAAATGTATGAATTGCGGAAAATTCGGGCATAAGGCCACGGATTGTTGGGCTAAAGGCGGCGGCAAAGCCGGACAGGGCCCGCCGATGAAACGGCAAAAGACGGAACGTGCTTACGAAGCGCGCGAGGTCGAATCGAAAGAGGATGAGGCAAAAATAGCCTACGATAATGATAGCGACACTGTATCTCTCGGATCTGATGGCGAAATCGCTTCTTTCTATGAGTGGTTTGCCGACTCCGGGACAACTTCGCACATTACAAATCGTCGTGAAGTCTTCGCGACCTATCAGGTGCTTGAAGATCACGCGATCACGGGCATCGGACCGCAACCAACGCAGGCATTGGGCCGCGGTACGGTCGATGTCGAAAGTAAAGTAGGAGACCGGAAAGTGAAATTCCGTCTCCACAGTGTACTGTATGCGCCGACAGCACCCAATAGCCTCCTCTCCATCACGCGTTTGGACGATGCGGGAGGAAGAGTACTTATGGGTAATAGTCGTGCAATACTAATAGATAAAAATAAACACACTCTTGCTATAGGCAAGAAAAATGGACGACTATATTCATTGAAATTGCGTCCAATAGTTCCACAACCTGCGCGAACCTATACTGCTAAGGAATACGGCCCGCATACCTGGGAAGAGTGGCACAAGATCTATGGCCATATCGGGAAACCAGCGCTTACGCGATTATATCGCGAAGGGCTTGTTGATGGCCTAGAAATCTCGCCAAGCCCAGATGAAATTAATTGCGAGGCGTGCATCCAAGCAAAGGCAACGCGGAAGCCATTTCCCAAAGAGACGGACGAATGCAGCAAGGTACCCGGAGAATTAACACACATGGATGTGTGGGGACCTGCGCAGACAGCCGCTCTACAAGGGTGGAAATATTTTATTACATTTACCGATGATTACAGTCGTCGAAGTACAGTACTATTTATGAGGCATAAAGATGAAGTAACTGAAAAGGTAAAGAATTATATTACCTATATCGAGCGCAAGTTTGGAAATAAACCCTTGCGACTCAGGCTCGACAACGGTCGAGAATATATGAACACCGAATTAATTAACTGGTGTCAAATGAAAGGGATCGAGATGGGTCCGACTGCGCCGTACTCATCATCCCAGAACGGAGTCTCTGAGAGATTGAATCGCACACTGCTTGGACTAGCGCGCGCGATGATCTATGCGAGAGATCTACCTCGTTATCTTTGGGCTGAAGCGATTGCTCACGCAGTCTATATTAAAAATAGATCGCCTACCCAGGCGTTAAATGGGGCAACTCCCGAAGAAAAATGGAATGGGACGAAACCAAATATCTCGTACCTACAAGAATTCGGTTCCCCTGTATGGGTCCTCACGGAGGACGCAACACTATCAAAGCTAGCGCCCCGTGCCAACAAGTATATTTTTGTTGGATACATGGACGGACCCAAAGCCATCAAATATTATGATGCACATACGCGCCAGATTAAAATCTCGCGTAATTTCCAATTTTCTTCGAATTCCCCGGACCATTTGCCCGGCAATGCGCCTCACGTGCCACAAGAGCAAATAGGATCCGACGTACCTATCCTCACAGCACAGCGTGAGGGGGAGCAAAATATATTTCCGGGCACTTTACCTAGCAATGCGTCAGACGTGCCGCATGCGGAAAGAAGACCCGAAGTCCCAAACCTCACAACGACCGCAGACGTGCAGCGCGAGGGGGAGTTAGGAACTTCCGTGCCACAGTCACCTGCCAAAAATCCGCGAAAGCGCAGACAGGATGATGACCCTGATCAACGCGAGGAAAGCGGGACGGACGCACCAAGCCAGCCCAGACGAACCAGAAGAAAGACAGTTCGGCATGATTACCGTCTAATGCACGACCCAGAGGCAGACGAAGATCTGGATAATGATCCAGATAAATCAAATGCCGAATTAGTCTATATTGCGATGAGCGCCCACGGAAATGCGGATGCGGATGAGCCAAAGACGCTCAGTGATGTCAAGAGATCACTCGAGTGGCCCAAATGGGAACAGGCAGTCCAGACGGAACTCAATCAACTACAGGGTATGGAGACTTGGGAGTTAGTGGAACCTCCCGAAGATCGAAAACCCGTAGGAAATAAATGGGTTCTAGTTAAGAAAACAAACAAAGAGGGTGAAATAATCAAATACAAAGCCCGCCTGGTTGCGAAGGGATATTCTCAAATCCCAGGCATGGACTATACCGAGACGTTCGCGCCCGTAGTCCGCCTCGAAACCATTCGAGCTATCCTCGGGCTAGCCGCAATCTTAGATTGGGAGATCGGACAGATGGACGTGAAAGGCGCCTATCTCAATGGAACTCTCAAAGAAGAAGTGTATATGCGGCAACCCGAAGGATACAGCGATGGAACATACCGCGTATGTAAATTAAAGAAAACCCTCTACGGGCTAAAGCAGTCTGGCCGAGAATGGAATATCGTGCTGAACCGCAAGTTACTAGACGCGGGATTCAAGCGCCTATTCTCGGATCCATGTGCGTACATTCGGATCAAAGGTGATAAGATAGAAATCGTCACCGTTTGGGTAGACGACCTATTAATATTCACCAATGATTGCGCACTGATGGACCAATTGAAGAGGGAACTCCGAAATATGTTCGAAGTTACCGACCTTGGCGAACCCCGAAAAATTGTGGGGATAGAAATTGAGAGAGACCGTTCAAAGCGGACAATCAAAATCTCTCAGACAAAATATATTGAGTCTATCCTACACAAGAATGGGCTTACGAACGCCAACACGGTCGGGATGCCTCTTGATCCAAATACAGTGCTTGAAAAAGAAGAACCCGAAACTGATGACGAATGCGACCGAGACAACGGATATGCATCGCTCGTCGGATCACTGATGTACGCGGCAATTGCCACGAGACCAGACATTGCTCACGCCGTGCAACGGCTTAGCTCATTTACTGCCAATCCCGGAATGGCTCATTGGACTGCTGCTAAACGCGTCCTCCGCTATCTATCCGGAACGCGAGAACTTGGAATAATCTACGGGCCAATTGCAGATGTCAAGCCCGAAGATCAATCCATATTTGTGGGCTACTCAGATGCAGACTATGCGAACGATATCCGAGATCGCAAATCAATCTCGGGATATTTATTTAAATTAGGAAATGGCACGATCACGTGGAGCTCAAAGAAGCAAACCACGGTCGCGTCATCCACCACGGAAGCCGAATACATGGCATCCGCCGAAGCGGCAAAAGAAGCCGTGTGGCTCCGAACACTATTCAAAGAAATAGGTTTCGAGCAACAAGATCCTACAATTTTATTCGAGGATAATACAGCGGCGATCTCAATCGCACGTGATCCCCAATTCCACGCGAAATCAAAACATTTTGATGTAAAGCATCATTATGTGCGCGAAAAATTGAGGGATAAATATATTGATATCCACTACTGTCCCACGGAGGACATGATAGCGGATATCCTAACAAAATCACTCCCTAAGCCGAGGCACGAGAAGCTCACAAAGAAGCTCGGAATGCCCATCGGCTTGAGGGGGAGTGTTGAAAAGTAGCGCCCAAATTTCTGGAGCTCCAGAAATTGGGGAGCGCCCAAGGGCAGACAAGCCGAGGGCATGATTACAAAGAAAGACAAAGAAAAAAATTTGCTTATATAAAGTGGAGCGTCTAGAACTGTATATATACAGAAATCTATTTTAGGACGCGTAATCACGCGCCCCGACGCATCTTGACCCGCCATCACTACCTTCCTATTTGGGAACTAAGGCGCGATTTCTAACACCAGGGAACGTTAGAAGTCCGATAATTAATGAGTGACAAGGAAAAGTAGAAATAAGGTAAAATCCCGATCACGATCGACGTGAGCGTTTAAGTCACCGACGTCACGTGCCACCGTGCTGCCATGAATTGGCTGATCTCCCGTGTAACGGTCAGATCAGACCAAAAATAATATCTTCTTGCGAACACGGGAAAGAATTCACCGTACGTGAAGAGTCACAGTACGCTGAGTAACCGCGAGGATGGGAGCAGGCCCCGCCGACACACTGTGCCAGTTGTCGTCGGACGCGTGCATTTGATTCGCCTCGATCTACTAAGTAATCATCTCTCGTTGGCAGACTGACACTCTGCTTCGACCTTCGTGCCACAGGATATTCGTGTCGGACAGATCTAGTAAGTTTTACGAGTGAATTGACTCGTATTGTCTGCGGCTGAGCCCTACAGCTTGCGTTGGGTGCTCAGCTGAGGACTGGATCACCCACACAGTTGCTTTGCATCTCACGCATTCCCATGCTATCGATCATTGCAAGAAGCAACACGGGCAGGTGCTCTCGCCTGGTGCTGAACAGACTGGGGTCACGAAGCTTCAGTCAGACTACCTTCAGGATGGCAGCGGCGTCTTTCGTGCAGCAAGGCAAGAAAGTGCGAAAATCTTCAATATTCCGTGGATCATGCTGACCGTCGAGTTAGATCGTCGCGATTGGCCGGAATTACTCGGAGCACATCAAGGAGCTAAAGAATGATACCCCAGGAGAACCTATGTTCTTCTTGAAACCGACCTCTAGCTACCTTCCATCAGGCGGGAACGTCGAGATCCCGAAAGGCGTGACGGCACACTACGAAGGTTGGACGCCCAACTTTTGTCTGTATCAGCCATGGGCTTACGCGTCTGAATCCGACGCGTGCTCGATATTTGCATACAGTCGAGCTTGGCGTGGTCGTTGGGAAGGGCGGTCGAGATATCTCTCAAGCTGATGCGGGCTCGCATGTAGCGGGCTATGGTAAGCTTCCGTCTGCGCGATCCCCGTACTTCAAAGTCGACCGATTCCCCCATCAGCTCTTGCAGTCGATATGACCGCTCGGAACATGCAAGATGTGGTGAAGAAGAAGGGTCATCCTTGGAGTGCAGTGAAAGGCTTCGATACCTTCACGCCAATCAGGTACGAGGCTTGTCAATGCAGCGATACCGGCGTATTTAGACTGTCGCACAGCTCTTACATTCCCAAGTCGTCAGTGCCTGATCCACAAAATCTCAACCTAACCCTGAAGGTCAGTGCCCTCATGAGATCGGTCAAAGATCGATTCCTAACGCGCTACACGCTTGTAACAGGTGAACGGTCTGGTCAAGCAGGACGGGAACACAGGGAGTATGATCTTCCCCATCCCACGTCTCATCGAGCACGTCTCCTCCATTATGTCGTTGGAGGTAAGCATGTTCTCCGTCAATTTCTGTTTATGTTTAACATAATGTGTTGAACAGGAGGGAGACCTTATACTCACGGGAACGCCATCTGGCGTGGGTCCCATCGTACCTGGAGATCAGGTCGAATGCGCAGTGTCCGATAACACAGGGAAGCAGCTCGCGACGCTCACCTTCGGAGTAGTGCAGCGCAACGGCGGTTATGAATTCAAGCCATGATACACGCCGTATTACCCTTCCAGTCTATTCATAACATTGTTCGTGAAGGAATCGTGCAACATGCGCCGCGACGTATAGAAAGCGTACAGGGAGATTACAACATCATTACGTATAGCAAAGATTGCGAACATACTTCGCTCAGCCGCCTTGCGCAGTCCGTTCGCTCTGCTCACTCGCCGCATCCCCTGCCCGGCGCTCTGCCGCGCTGTCGTCAAATGAGCCTGTGCTGGATATGCTCGCGAAGCTCCAGCTGTCCGCCCCTGTCGGTGTTTGAGTTCCTTCACCTTCGACTGAGCCAGAACTTGCGCTCTGGAAGTCACCGAAGTCGCCAAAGTTGTCGTCAAATGACGAAGTTTCCGTGGAGTCTTCTCCGAAAGGAGAAGGGAACGTGAAAGGATCTGATCCACTTGCTGCAGCGGAGTCGGAGAAGGGTCCAAACGCATCCTAATAAAATCGAACGTCAGCGATAATAGCGCTAAGGAAGTCCCCCCGGCGCTCACGTCTTCGAAGGGATCTTCGAAGGCGCTGTGAGGCGAGGAAGCAGGAACGAACGAGTCCTGTTGAATTTCAGAATCATGTCCCGGGAACGCGACGAAGTTCACTGACATCGAAGCCATTCGAGCTTAATGGTCTCCGACCGTTGTTGATATGCTGTCGCGCTGAGACAGGAGGCGAAGGCAAGTCGAACGTCGAATGTGCCAACCATCCACTATCCTCTTCCTCATCATCCGACGCTTCATCAGACGACTCGAAGTGTTCCGCAGACTGCATCTCCTGAGCGAGATAGTGCGCGAACTGCATGATGCATCGCGCGTTAGCAGCTGGGATAGACAGCAACAAACAGACTTGCTGTAGGCAAACGTACGTGGGGAGGACCCGCTGTCGAAAATTCGTCGTCCTCGTCGTCCATAGAGGCCGGGCCAAAATCAGCGCTACCCTCTCGGATCTTCGGAGTCCGTCGAAATTCGCTCTTCATCTGCTGGTTGTTATCTCCGCCGTCATCTGAAGGTACGACTACTTGACTGTCAGCATCTGCTTCGTCCACCCTCCACTGCATTGCTGGCCCACTCCTCATGCCAGGAGCCAGCACAGGCTTGCCACCTCCCAACAGGCTGGTATCCTTCTTCTTCGTCTCCTTGTAGCGGCCGGTGACATACTCGTCCCACTCAGGCTGAGGCGCGTACTGAGCTGCAAGCAGACGAAGATCAGGAGGGAAATGCTCCAGGGCGCCGATAACATCTTCGGATATGAGGGTGAGATGACCCATGTACCCCAGCCGCACCCCTTTCGGTTTTGCGCTGGAAGACGGTATGCTCAGTGCAGAGATCTAGTGATAGTTGGCGCATCACGAACCTCTCAACGTCGTTCCGCTTTGAGCCCTCGATGATCCGGTGCATTAGCCGTGCATCGCGGAAGAGTGCTACGGTGAGTTCCCGATTGTATCCACCGTCGATACGGCCCGTTAGGATCTGGTGGATCAAATCATATACAACACTGTGCAGGAAGTTGTTCCACGGAAAGTCAAAGAACAGGTCCTAAATGATGTCAGCAATATGGTGCGACAGGTAATATAACGCACTCACAAGGAGCGTCGACATCACGTTAGCCTGCAAAAATCGCTGTTTCAGTCTCTCACCGAGGACAGGAGGCCCAGGAGGAGTATCATTAGTGTTGACTCTGCGGACGCTGCGGCGAGAACTACTGGAGCGTGGTCTTGAGGGCGAATCGGAATCTGAGTTCGAGTTCCACGAGTTCTGCCTGTATTGCGGAAAGGCGGCGATATCCGATGTTGAAGGTGACGATGATGCAATCGGTGATGATGACAGCACTGTTGCTGGTGGACGCTCAAGAGGAGATTCCGTGATGGTTGGGCTGGTATTCATGGGTCGAGGCTCGTCGTACATGGCAATCTCCTCCATGGCATCGTCGTCCGAGCTGCCTGGTTCATCGTCGCCGCTCATGTCCTCGTCCGAGTCGATCAAAGAAGAGGTGTCGTGGGATGCGTTTGAAATTGGGAAGTCATGGGTATGCTCAACCTCATCCGCCTCGTCGTCCATGGAATCTTGATCGTTTTCACCGCCGGAGCCAATAGCTATGACTTGCGCCAATTCCTCGAGCGCAGAGAGACCGCCTTGGAGTCGGCCCTCGGAGTCGTACAGATGATCATAATCCCTAGTACGATTTAGCAGTGACATGTTAGAACAGTGCAGGAGCTCCGCATAGAGCTCGCATATCCGATAGCGCTCGAAAGTGAGCGGATTAAGCGAACCTACAGTAGTCAGGATAGGGCCGTCCTGCATTGGGGTCAGAAAAGCGCCAAGCACTGACATGCAGAGGCACAGCTGTTCTTATGGACGTACCAGAGACCTTGGATGCAGCAAAAATTGCTGCAGCTCATCTAAATGGTCGCACATGATCTCCAGGACTGGACCGAGATGCACGACACCCATGCGGTTGACCATCTCCTTCATCGCCTGCTCTAGCTTCTCGCGCCCGCCATCCGTATTCATCTGTAGGTGCTGTTGAATTTGAATGAGGCGATTCCGTAGTGTGTGGAAGAGGTAAGGCTCGAAATAATCGGAGTTATTCTGTCGTATGAGCTCGATGATGATGCAAATCGACTGCACGACCGAAGAAGTGGCAGACTCTAAACTGGGCAGAGTAGCCGCGCAGTCATCATCTTCCATGTGCGGCTCTTGGTTGGGCCCGTTTTCTGAGGGCGCTGGGGGAAACTTGCACAAGATGTAACTGGTCAATTTGGTTACACTGTCACGATGAGCGAGTTCGCGTGCAAAACGATTGGATGGCGGGGCGTTGTTTCCGTCGGAGACGCCTGCTCCAGGGGACGGAGCGGCCATGGAGATGATACCCTTGATCAATTCAGAGACCACCGTGTGCATGTCACTGCTATATGCAGGGGAGAGCAAATCAATTAAACGTGACATGAGATTCTCCTGGGACAGCCACTGTATGCTTAGAAGTGAGAGGAGCTCGCGGTGAAAGCATGCTCGGCACAGAAAATCACGTACTTCGAGAACACCCGCACCAGCGGGGATTTCGTCCAATTGGATTATGCGGACTAGGAGGTCAGCGAACGCGGGCGTTTCTATGTGGCGGAGCAACCGTTCGACCACCGCGGGCTGCGCTTGGATGAAGGCGAGCATCTGAGCACGGCGCTCTGCATTCACTTCCACGAGAGTGACAGGGAGAATAAAGCTGTATTCACCTCCGCGGGCTTTTTGCTCAGAAACGTAGCATTAATTTTTGCGAAATGGGACGCCATTACCATCTGTGTCTTCATATCGTCGGGTGGCCTGTCCAGGACCACCTCCCAGAACGGCGTCAGCAGCTGGTCCGCATGAGTGACGCAGGTCTCGACGATGGACCATATCTCGCTGCAGAGGACCTCCGTAGCGACATAGGGATACCTTACGGTGCCGATTTGCGAGACCGTGGATCAGAGAGACATCATGCCAACAGCCAAAAGCTCGAACGGCGACATACTTGAATCTCCCTCGGTCCTCCCCTTCTATTTGCCCCGTCACGTACCCCAGGAGGCGCTGCAACACGTCGACACGCTGGAAATAGTCGATGAGCCTAGTGTTCTGAGACTTGCACTCCTGCAGCAATTCGTCTTCGTCGAGGATAGCTTCTAAAGAAATGTCCTCCCTATCCAGCAAAGCGTCGATTGAGGAAGCATTGTGGAATCCAAATCTGTGCGCAGAGAATATGAAGAACCCTTCGCGTAGCCGAGAACCATATTGAATACCTCCAGAACATGCAGGATAACTTTGGGTAATCCTCGGCCTCCGAGAGCTATTTACAAAGATAATGGGGCGGCTGCAGGTAGAGGAGGATCTGAGATGTGTTGCGCAAGGCAGATGAGAAGAGTCGAGCCTATTCCGAGCGAGACGCGGCTAGCTGCTTGGTGGCTGTCCATATGATTGAGTGGGCGAGCTGTATTAAATAATTGCGCTCTTCTGGCTATGTTCCTACGTACAACATACATAATCTACCCTCCCACACGCACACGACCAACCCCGCATTCTCCGTGTCTCGAGCACACAGATCCACCTAAAGATAGAGTTGCAGAGGCACGATCTCCCGAACATGCAAGGCTTCGGGTCATAGGATCCATGACACACATCAGATCGACGACAGTAAAAACCTGAGCGGAAATGCAACGCGGATCCTTGGTAAGACAAATGTGTGCGTGGCCCCGCACGTCAACTGCTGTCATGTAATGGTGCCGCAGCCAAGGCACCAATCTCCGTCCCACACCGTGGCGATTTGGCCGGGCGCAACGGCCTTCTGCGGCGCGTCGAACGTGATTCGCAGGGCGCCCTCCGCGTCCCCTCTGACCCGACCAGTCAGTGTCAACATCGAGAGTAGTGGCGATGTGCACTGGGTATTCACCTGCGCACCACACACGGCACGTCCATCATGCGATGCCGAACCTGAATTCGGCCGCGGAAACCTCCCTCATCAATCCCCGCTGGAGGGGCGTCAGCCCAGATCCATCGCCAATCCGTCGCGATGATGTCTGCGCGATATAGCGCGGGATGATTTCTAGCGCACACAGCGAGTCAGTCAAAAAGAAGGGCACTTGGCGTGCGACGCGTACGAGCCAGCAACCACATATATTTCGTTCTTCTCGGCATCCTTTTTCGCGACGTACATCTTCTCCGGCATGCCTCGTATTTTCGCTCCCTGACCGACGGTGTACTGCCATAGACCGTGATGCGTGCCCAGAGCCTTCGCCGTCGCGAGATCGATTATTGGGCCCGGATTAGGTGTAATGTACTGGGCTGTGAGGAGATTACATGAGGGCGAAGAGAGATCACAACAGCCAAGGGCCTACAAATGAAGTCGTCAAATTTCCTTTTCTCTCCAACGAAGCATATACCCATGCTCTCCTCCCTCTGCGCGGTCGGAAGCCTCCACTTCCGCGCAAGCGCACGCACCTCGGGCTTGCTAATTCTGGCTAGCGGGAAGATTGAGCGCGCGAGGCTCGCCTCCGGTATGGCCGAGAGGTAGTAAGTCTGGTCTTTGGACCTATCCGCTGGTCGCAAGAGTTGCGGACGGGGCACCTGGTGATCGCCAGACAACATATACGACAGACGGGTGGGCATGGGAGACCAGGATTTGTCGGCGTAATGGCCTTCGACAGAGATGAGAAAGCGATGCCACATACAAGGAGGACAGAGTACCTGTGGCAAGCCAGGAAGCTTTGTCGGTGAGATGTTCCATGAGCGCGCCAAACTTGACTTCCCTAAGCGAGAATTCCTCAATACAGTAACGACCGCGTAGATATGCTACTCACTTGTTGCACCATATGTCAGGGTTCGGCGTCGCGCCCGCCTCCCACATGCGGAGGGCGGGCTCGAAGACGCGCGTCCAGTACTGGCGGGACAGGTCGATCTGTGCGCTTCGCCGGTCATTGGTTATGAGCCCCAGAACGCGGGATAACGGAGGGGGCGCACCATCCTGTAGGGGATGCTGAGCATGTCGCACACACGCTGGACATCCGCCCAGTCCTTCTTCCACTCGCAGCCGCTGTCGGTCCCCGACTCGTCGCGCGTGTCCCAGTTGCGCATGTACACGGCGGACAGGTCGTAGTCCTACACCAACCAGTTCGTGACCGACATAACATTAAACAGCCGGATAATACGCCACCTTTTCAGAGAGCAGCCTCGCGGCCACCGACGAGTCTACTCCGCCCGACATCGCGACGACGACTTTGCGAATGTGTTCAGCACGGCACGCCGGAACAAATGAGGGAGCCTACTCACCACGATCGCCCTTCCGAGGAACAAGCCTCGCTACATGGTTGTGGTACAGTGCAAGCCTACGCCCGAGCACGCCAAGCTGCATGAACGTCCTCTCCAACCTGGCCGTCCTCTCTCAGTCGGAGAGGTAGTTAGACGCCCGTCGGAACGCGTGCCTCCTTCCTTTTCCGGACACCCAATTTACTCGCGCCTACCACACGGAGCTTCCTGCACTTCCTACTTACCTAGATCTCCTTCACTTTCCACCGCATATCACTCACGCATTTCGCCCTGCCATCTGGCCATGGCAGGTTCGCAACCGGCATCTAGAAGGAGCAGTCGCCCTGGCTCCCCGCCTGTGGAAGGTCAGGACAACCGCCGCGCCCGCCGACGGAAGGAGAGGGAGAGAGAGAGGGAGAAGGCAGGCAGCGGAGATGCGGGGGCTGCCACGCCGAGTGGGAGCCGACAACATACCGAGAGCACCGGAAATGTGGGGGTGAAGACGCGGGAGAAGGGGAAGGGGAAAGAAAAGGTGAACGGGACCGAGAAGGCGAACGGGACCACGGTGCAGGAGACGGGAAAGGTGCAGGGGAAGGGGAAAGGGAAAGAGAAGGAGAAGGCGGACAAGGATGTCAGTCTGACCAACCCGTTTGGCTCGGCAGACTTCATCGCATTCGATGTGTCGGACGACGAGAAGAGCGCGGTTCCCCAAGCAGACTCTCGCCCCGTGCGGGAGTGGGACAAGGGCAAGGTACGCGAGCGTGAACGCGAGTACGCAGGACGGGAGCGCGAGTATGCAGGGCGGAAGCGGGAGTACGCAGGGCGGGAGCGCGAGTATGCAGGGCGGGAGCGCGAGTATGCAGGGCGCAAGCGCAAGGTGGACGAGTTCGACCCTGACGACGCATACGCGAACAACAGGCAGCGCGTCGCCGCCCCCTCGCGCAAGGCGCCGTGGGCCGCGGACGTCGCCTGGGAGAGCTGTAATAACGTCGCGGAGATGTGCGTCCTCACCCTTCCTGTCTTGTGCGTGCGTGCTCATGTCAGATCCAGGCTGCACCGCGACGTGGAGGCGTTCGTCCGGTACATATCCCCCACGCCCGTCGAGGACGAAGTCCGCACCCTCGTTGTCATGCTCGTAACGTATGCTATTACACAGGCCTTTCCCGACGCGCAGGTGTTGCCATTCGGAAGCTACGAAACCAAACTGTATCTTCCGTTGGGGTGCGTTATAGCTACTCTATCTACGTACACGCGCTCACGGCCCTGCAGGGACATCGACCTCGTGGTCCACTCCCAGTCGATGGCGTACAGTGACAAGGAGACCGTTCTGTGGGCGCTCGCCGACACTATGAAGCGCGCCGGGATCACCGACCGGGTGAAGATCATCGCGAGGGCGAAGGTGCCCATCGTCAAATTCGTTACGACGCACGGCCACTTCTCTGTCGACATCAGCGTGAACCAGATCAACGGCGTCGCCGCGGGGCATATGATCAAGCTCTTCCTCGCCGAGTTCCCTGCGCTACGCAGCCTCGTACTCGTCGTGAAGTCGTTCCTGAGCCAGCGCAGCATGAACGAGGTCTTCACCGGCGGCCTCGGGAGCTACAGCATCGTGTGCCTGGTCATTAGCTTCCTGCAGATGCACCCGAAGATCCGCAGGGGCGAGATTGACCCGTCGAAGAATTTAGGCGTCCTGGTGATGGAGTTCTTCGAGCTCTATGGGTGCTATTTCAACTACCACGAGGTTGGGATCTCGTTGAGGGACGGCGGGACGTACTTCAACAAGGAGGACCGAGGTTGGCTAAATTATAACGAGCCCAGGTTGCTGTCGATAGAAGATCCGGGAGACGCAAGTGAGTACGCATTAGCACGCGCGTCATAGTGGTCCTGACGCTCGCGTTTCAGCAAATGACATCTCAAGGGGATCGTATGGAATAGCTAGAGTGCGCACGACGCTATCAGGCGCACACGGCATCATGACCGCGGCGGCATACTTGCAAGCGGGGATTTTCAATGCGCGGAGAGAGCGACGTGACGTCGATCTGCGGTTCACGGACAGACCGGAAGAGCTGAGCATCCTCGCCAGCGTCATGGGCGTGACGCAGGAGGTAGGTACATTTCGACAGAGTACCTTAATTGTTCTAACCTTTCGGCATTGGCAGACTATCAACCATCGGCGGTTGGTGCAAGAAGTCTATGACTGCGGTGTGCTGCATCGGATGCTCGGTCTGACGCCGCAGGTGACTCTGGCACCGAAGGTATCGCGGCCAGAGCCGAACGGGAAGTCGCTTGCATCGCAGAAGGAGAGCGTGCAGACTGCCTGGGAAGAGGCCGACATGGAGCTCGAGTCGGACGAAGAGAGAGACGGAAAGGTTTCGGACGAGGAGAGCCGGTACGACATCGACAACCGGGTGCAGCCGCCAAAGAAACGGCAAAGGGTGGGGAAGCAGCAGGACATGCACACGGTGTACACGACGGACGAGGAGGACGAGGACGGTGAGATTCTGGACGATGGAGAGGATGGGCTGTCGAGGGAGGAGCTGGAGTATGATCTGTCGGGGCTGCAGGAGGACGAGGTTGGCAGGAAGCTGGAGGCACAGGAGCGGCGTCGGTCGTACTGGATATCGAAGGGGTTAGACGTAGCGTCTGACACGAGCGGTACGGTCGAGTAGCCGGCTGGTTTTATAATATTTGTTTCGAGCTGAAGCGCCGGAATCATGGTCGCGTGGATTCAGGATCAGACTGCGTCTTCTTCTTCTGCGGCCAACAGCTCAGATCACTCCAGTCGCTGGTCGCGAGTGTTCTCCCTCACCCTCCTTCTTCCAGATAATAATGTGAGTAGATATTCAGCACAGCTCGCTGCAGCGCCCTAACCGCACTCTGCAGGTCCGCCGCACCCAAGTCGCAGGTGAACTTGAAGGACCGCATCGCAGCCCTTCAGCAGCGCAATGCCGGCTCCAGCGAACCGAAACCGCTCCCGCAGACGACGAACCCGACGACGGGCAGTCTCCGCGACAAGATTGCCTCCTTCGAAAAGCAGGGCGCCGTCCCCGTCCCTCGCGGTAGCTTTGGTCTCGGCGCACTCCCCGTCGACGACGGCTCCTCCAAGCGCCGTGGCGAGATGTACGGCAATCGTGTCCCTGGCCTCTCCAGGCCTACCACCCCTGTCTCCGCTACCCACCTCAGTACCGCCCTCCACACTACCGCCCTGCCAGAACGCCGTACACGCCGTGTATCCGCCTCAGACCTCTCAGCCTCGGCGAGCATGCTGCTCCGTGATACGCCTTCTTTCCCCGAATCTGTGGACGAAGACGCATTGGTAGCGACCTCAGATGTTCCCTCAGAGAATCAGATTTCGCCTACGTCTCCTCGTCGCCCTTCGCCATCCAAGACTCATCAGGGAAGACGCAGTGTATCTGACATTCTCATGAGGTTCAACACGCTCACTTCTCCAGTTGGAGAGACTCTAGGGGAACGCAGGGAAAAGAGCTCGTCTCAGGCCGTGGAACCGCAGTCGGAAGCACCACCGGCGCCTGTCATCATCGTGTCCTCGGAGCCGGTAGTCCACGAATTTCAAGCCCTCGAGCCATCTCACCCTCCGGGAGATTATTCATTGTCTGACCGTACGGATTTGGTGCAGAGTAGTCAGCCCATCGATGCAGCCAACGTCGAATCATGTCGCTGCAGAGACCATGACATGCCCAGCGTACATGCCGAAACCGTCGAGGTGGAGCCAATATCTAGCTCACCACGTTTTTCCCAGATCATTGCTGAGGCTGAAAGCCAGGAGGCGCCGCAGCGCGTTTCGGTCCCGGTGTCCAACGCTGAGTCTGCGGTCAGTACCACTCCAGCAACCACGAAGCTCTCTCCAGCAGACACAGCGAACATTGACCAAGCTCCAGCTGGTTCTCCTACTTCCTCACTTGTTATTGCAAGTACGATAGAGGCATCGATTTCGGAGGAATCTGGAATGGGATCTGATGCGGAGGACGTCTTCAAGGATGCTTTCGATATCGCGTCGGTGACCGATCGCACGTCCTCGGGCTCGAGCAAGCTTTATACGCCGACCGACTTCGTGGACTTCCCGAGCACAGAGTCCAGTCCGAGCAAGGAAATGTACGGCGAGGACAGGTTCTTCGACGCCACGAATGAAGGCCTCACACTCGACGCGCAGCACGCGATCCTCGCCACCGCACCACGCGCAGCGTCATCGCCGGCCAGCACCACCCTCGCGATTCACATCCCCGTCGCGGACGAGGCGGACGACGTAGGGAATCAGAGCCTCGCACTCGACGCGGGCGACGCGATCATCGTCTCCGAGCGCCCGCGCGTCGTCTCCCCGACCCGCGCGGTTCTCGTCCCCGTTCCGCACGCCCTTTCGCCCACGACCTCCGCGTCCCCGTCCCCGTCCTCGTCTCCTACTTCCTCGTCCGCTTCCCCGTCGCCGGTCACTGCTCCCTCCACCGCAACCCCATTCGTCGAGCTCTCGCTGACGCCCAAACCCGCGCAGAAGACGTTCCGCGCCGTCGTGCACCGCAGGGTCCCTACACCCCTCCAGCTCGCCCCGCCCCCCCAGGCGCAACTACAGCCCCGCGCACAGTCCGCGCGCCCCGCGCGGTCCGCTCGATCCGTGCAGCCTGTCCCCGTGCAGCCCGCCTCCGCGGAGTTCGGTGACCTCGCTGCGCTGCTCGTGGACGCAGCGCTGCTCGAGCAGCAGCTCTCCGTGCTCGGCAGTCCGCCGAAGAACGTGCAGGCCACCAGTGCGTCCCCCGTCTCCGAGTCGGCGCTGCTGGAGCCTGAGACTGAACCTGAGTTGCTTGAGCCAGAGACGCCGCGGGCAGCGGAAAGCCCACAGCACATCGACTCTCCTGCCGAGGTCGAGGTCGTCCACGAGTCATTGCGCGACCTGGTGTTCCCCACTTTACCCTGGGAGACCGACCCGGAGCCCGAGCCCAAGCCCGAGATTGAGCCGCGGCGGGAGCAGCAACCGCTCCCTCCGCTCCCGCAGACGCCGCAGAAGGAGAAACCAAGCTCGGACGCGCGCTCACTATACGAGTCCCCGCCGCCACCGCCGCCGCCCACGAAAAGCCCGCGGCAGCGCTACTTCTCGACGCTGCTCGCGCGGCGGCCGACCGCGCCCCCGGCGGTCGCGTACCCGCGCGCGAGCATGTCAATAAGCTCCGAGACGTCGGAGGACGAGTCCGTGCTGGTCACGCTCCCGCAGGAGCTCGGGTCCGACACCAGCTCGGTGCGCAGCTCAAACCGCTCGCTCAAGCTCCCCGGCCGGAAGGGCATCGCGCGCGCGACCTCGTTCGCAGACAGGCTCTGGCACAAGCGCGATAGCACCCGCTCGAGCGTCTCGCCGGACAGTCAGGGTATGTTTTTCGTTTCGTACCGCTAAATGTTTCCGGTATAAGAGGGACTGACGTTCTGCAGAGGACGAAAGCCGCCTGTCCGCCCGCGGTGTGCAGCCCCGCGCGCCTTCCCCGAGGCTCATCATTCCCTCGCCCGCGCCGACACCGCGTTGGAACCAGAGCCGGCCCACGCCTGAGCAGCGACCGACCTCGTGGGTGTCCGTCTCGTCCTTCTCGTCCGCCGGCGGGAACACCTCCTTGCTCGACAGCGAGCTCTTTGATGCCTTTCCGTCCGTGCCCGACGACGTGCACCCGGTACTGCCCATCCCCGAGCACGGGAGGATGTCCTTCCTGTCCCCCTTGGCCTACGCAGGACCCCCGAGTGCGGGCGTCGTGGACCGCGCGAACCTTCCGCCGCGCTCCTCGAGCCTCCCGAAGCAGCGCTCCACGCTGGCATGAGGTGCGCGCCGGTAACTGGCTGAATTCTCATTCGATCCGTTCATTCGCCATTTTGCATTTCATCTCATCTCCCATATCTCTCCCTCTGCGTACTGCTTCAGCTTTGGAACTCTAGACCCACACACATACACAATGTAATGCTCCCGCATATCGCGCGCTGCTGCATCTCACTCTTGCATAAGTAGTATTGCAATCTTATTACCCCTCAAATCCGTCCTGTGTTGGCGATCGAGAGAGATTGGAATCATACAATAGCGAGCATAATGTTACACGGACTACGAGTAAGTTAACCAAAAACCAGAAGCCACATACCCATGGGGAGAAGTAAAATAGGCATACGCATGAACCATAACTACGTTTTCGTCGACGCTGCCCGCCTGAGCGCCGCGGCACCGGCGGCATGCGCAGGCTGCGCCTGCAGCGTCTCCGACGAACCGCGCGCGCTCGACGAGCGATGAGCGACCGGACTGCCCGAGCCGCCACCCGAGTGTCGGTGACTTCGCAACAGGAGTTTCTGGCTGAGCGAGCGGGCGCGGCTCGAGCTGTTGTCGTCCTCATCTTCGTCCTTAGACACCTTGCGGGCCTGGGCGAAGAAGAGCTTCGCGTCGCGCTCGGCGACGTTCTCAATGTAGTACATGTTGCCTGGTAGTGGAAAATATAGCATATAGTCAGCTCTCTGAAAGCTCCCCGACTGCAATCACGGTTACAAACCAAGAACGCACCTCGTGGGACGAGAAACACGCCTCCGGTTGTCAGTATATAGCTGGTGTGATGTACCTTGAAGTTGACCGCGCCCTCGATGACGTAGAAGACCTACCGACGGGTCAGACCTCCATGTATGCGCATAGGGTGACACAGATATACGCACGAATGTATTGTCTCTGGTGCTTTTTGTCGGTTTCTGCTTGTTGGGAGGGATGATGAGTTGGCCCGCCGCAATAAAGTCACCGTCGCCGAATATCTTCTGAAAGAAGAAGTCATTATTGGCCGCCGGCTTAGGTGTCAGCATTTTTGCAGTGAATGCCACCCCTGCCACATATCGTCTCAGCCCAACGTCCGACTTAACAAAAGATGTCACTCACGTCTGGTAATCTCGGTCTTGGTCTCGTAATCTTCCACCATGCCGGATGGGTTGGTCGCAGTATCCCAGCCCTCCTCCGGATTATATACCAGACTCGCCGGGTCAATTTCCTCGACAGGTTGACTCTTGCTCTTGCTGCGGAGCTTCTTTCGCCTGCGATACTTCGCGCCCAGAGGCTCTGGTTCCTCCTTAGGTATGCGAAGGATTTCCTTGATGGTCGGTACAAGAGATATACCCGACTCTCGTCGTCCGTAGACTACCTTCTCGCAACGCCACCAATCCAACGGTTTATACCGTGTACGTGTGCCGCGACGGAGCCCATCTGCGTTATTGTCGTCCGGGATTACTGCTGGAACATAAGCAAGCTGTCATATAAACACTAGCGATAAACAGTAGACCTTCGCGTAGCACGTTCTCCTTCCGAGGTCTTCCTCGTGGCTTCTTTGCGCCCTCGTTCTCCGTACGTTTCTTCTTGCTTGCAGGTTGCTCCTTCTGTAGGCTATCATCCTTGTCCTGGACCCCTCTCTTGCGCGGCCGTTCCTCTTCCACCTCTTGTACATCCTCATCCATTGGCTCCTGTTCGATTTCCGCGAAACCTTGTGCGATCTCGTCCTCCATTTCCGGGTCCTCATCCTGGCGCGGTGGATTGACGCTTGCGCGCTGCTTCCCTCTTGCCCTGGCGCTAGGAGAATCGTACACGCCGGGCTCCTGGTCTTCGTCCTCGTCCTCCTGGTCAATTTGCGCAAAGCTGGTGCGCCGCGAAACATGTCCGTTCACTTTCGGGTGGGACTGTGGTGGTGGGGGCGATATGGCCGGTTCGTTGTCGGAATCATCGTCATCGAACCCGCCGAAGCCTCCGCCTTTATCCATGCTAGGACCATCGTTGTCCACATGGATATCCTCGAAATCCTGCGCTACCGTAGACTGAGACAAATGGGAAGGTCCAGATATCGATGATCGGCCACGTCCAAGCGACTTGCGACCGTTCACAGCAGGGGAACCCCGCGGGGACGGCACCTTGTCGAAGTCAACATCGGCGCCGTGGGCTACCGGGCGCAAGGACGAGCCGACGCGTTGCACGCTCGACGTTAAGGTACGAACGCGTGCATTCGCAAAGTATGCTGAAGGGCTTTTGGCGGTGCCTGCAGGTCGCGCGCGGTCAGGACAGATTGTCGTGGCGTTCTATGAGTGGAGACTCACTATCCTCGAGGTCCATAGACATCTCACCATTCTCGTCGTCCTCTTCCTCTACAATGGGAGTCTTTGGCTTGGGAGTGCGCCTCTTGCGTGCATTGTGCACTCGCGGGGGTGTGCGCTGGTCCGCTTGGCTGATAACTTTGTCGAACGGCTCGAATTCGTCGGATTTGTGGTCGACGTATGCGACCGCCATGCCGGTCTTCTTTCCATGCTGGAGATCATCTCCGCGGTACGGAACATACTTCGTGGGTGGCCTGCGAGAGCCGATGCTGCTTTTGCGTGAAGAGGCGGGCATGAGGTCGTCGTTGGACTCGAGGCTGAGCTCGCTGGGTGTGGCCGAACTTCGGCAACTTGCAATCGCGTGATTGTAACCGTGACTATGTAACCGTGATCATGTCACACAACTACCAGATCGAGACGACGCATATGAACCTTCATCGAGTCCCCCGACCTTTTGCTATAGTCCTGTGTGCACGCCCGGATGCAGTACGTTCCACCGACCCCTGCGTCCAGCACTCTTCCTGTTGCTTCCCACCAAGCTCCTCCCATTTCTTCATCTTTATCTTTGTGCTTGGAATCCAGGCCCTGTCGTCGTTCCAACAACGCGTCTTGCATCCCCAGGCATCGCACTGAAGTCAACCTCCAAATGCACGAGCCTCTTGACTGTGACCAACCCTCTTCTCATCTCAAGCAATTCCCGATTTCGATCCATTCTTCGTGTGCACCCACACTCGTCCACCCTGTCACAAGGTATATTTCTGACGGTGTGGTCGTGTTCTGGAAGAAGAAGAGGGGGTGTCCGGACCAAGAGGATTGGCGCTCCGCGACTCACGCAGGAAAGCCACTATCGCCGGTGAAGACGCTGTACATGGGTGAAGGACCCCCAGGGTGGCGAGTTCTGTGATGGTCATGGCTTCTAATTGCCTGAGAGCCATGCTTCTGCCCTTCTTATACTCATGCTCCGCGTTGGTGCAGGTGTACGCGTCACCTTGTTACCACATTCGAGCGTTGCTTTCGATCAGGGGCTCCAAACCACGCAAATGTTAACCGTAACGTCCGTGGTTTTGGCAGGAGAACAAATATGCCCAAATAGCTGTTCATTGAAGTGGAGTCGCTTCGTTGTTTGATGTTCTGCGCAGATCTCAATCGTGATGGAGAAAAACGTACCGCAGGATTCTCCCGTTGGTATACTCCCTAATGTAACGATTAAACTTCATATTCCTCTGCCCAACTTGTCAGATACCGATTTTACTCCTTGCTGGGCTGCCGCATTGGATATTCCTACGTCTTGTCTGCCCCTCTTTTCTTCCTATCCCTTGCGTTGGCTCTGCTACTTAGGTTTTTGTTTGACTGGTTCCAGAGGTGACCTGAAACATACCCGCAAGCTGAATCTTTACATGTCAACGACGACGACCAGACACTCCTGAGCGCATCTGCTACTTTCTACTTCCATCCTGAACGTTCTGCTTTCCTCGTCGATCCAGACATGTGCAAGCGGGATATACCTGCTGAGACTGATACTGACAATAGCGGCGGAGACGAACTTTGGGACTGCCTGATGGAAAGGGAAAGTGAGCGGTGTGTAGTGACGGGAACCTCTCACAGACTATGCAGTGCAGCACACTTGGTTCCCTTCAGAAGAGGAAATAAGGTGCGTTGTCAAAGTAAATGTAGCACATCGTTACTTATATGGTTATTGCAGTACATCGAATTGCTGACGAGGCGCAGAAGGTATGAGGATGAAGACGATCCCATTATCGACGATGTCAACGGCCCCCGCAACGCATTATTCGTTAACTTGTTCCTGCGCATTGCAATTGGGAGCATGCGGGCCGCATTCCTACAGGTACGCCGTATTCATAGTTTAGTGTAGTAAATGGGCATGCCAATGTATGTTTAGACTCCGAATTTCATCCTGAATCCAGAACATATCAATTCACAATACACCGGCGGTTCTCATATCTTCCTACATTACTTTGCTCAACCATTGGAACTTGACCAGGCTGTCAAGGCCAGCATCCCACACGGCCAACCCATCCGGCTTCCCGAGCCGATGAATCGAGAGATCTGGCCACCGCACGCTATATTTGCGGCTTATTACGGGTGCGTGACTTTAAATACACGGCCTGTTCAATCGTTTGTGGACAGAGTGCGACAGGAGTGGGCGGGTAAGGGCAATATGTTCCATGTTAGACCTGATGATATGAAGAGCAAGCGGACCTCTGCCCACGTTTGGAGCGAAGCGGCGCAGGAACGGAGAGCGCAGCGCGGACAGACAGAGGAGACATGGAATGTCCTAACGATGTATCAATAATTGTTGCATGGTGCCGCACGAGAACGCGAGCATGAAGAGAGAGCTAGGGAGAATGCGAGGGAGAAAGTGAGTACGTGGTTGCACGAGACCGAGGTCGAGGAGCAAGTCGGTGAAGCTCCCAGTTAGTGTACCTGTACCACATCTCTGTACTGCCATACACCGAAACTGTATTGTGGTACAGCGCGGGTTCTGAACTATGACCAAATATTACAGTGCCACGCAATAGTTGTGTCGACGCATGTGAGGGACTGGGAAGGGATCCGACAAAGTCAAAGCAAATTAGTTACAGCATAATAAATACCACTCTCGCCAATACACAAGCATTGTATCTCGGATAACTCCAATACCTCCGACCGTCTGCGTCTCAGAACTAGAATTCAACGTATCAGCGCACGGCCACGCCAGTATTCACCTCACTACTCACCCTGACTTGGTATGAACCGCTCGCCTTTGTCAGGTACCGCACCCACTTGATGCTCTGGTAATTGCTCTTCTCGAACACCTTCAGGAAGCGCACGATCAGGCCCGATGCGGTGAACATGAGCACCTGGAAATCGACGTCGATTGGCGGACGCGCCCACACTTGCCGATGAGTTGTGCTCGTCAGTTCTGCTGATGCCGACAATGTTATCTCCTGACCGCCCTGTATGCGCGGTATTCTAGAAATTTTTTAGTATGATATGAATGCGAACAGCACGTCGAGAGACAAACACGTACTTCCATACGACAACATTCTCGGCAGGAACATACTTCGCCTTCCCGTTGGGAACCTTGCAGTCGACGCTCGTGGTGTTCAATGGAGTCGGTATCCGTACAACGACATTTGTTGCGGAGAGCTTGTTGTTAAAGTTTGTCTTGACTGTAACAACGTACTGAACCTGCGTTGTTCCAAGTTCCGTCACCGATGGAATAATTTTGAGCGGGAGTTTCACGTTCGACGTTGAACGATATCTAAAACCGAAAAAAAAATTAATGCCGTACTTAGTTGAACTAAAATGCATTTCACTTACCGCATAAGCTCAAATTCCCCATCAGGCGGAATAAAGCTGATAGTCCTATTCGAATCGAACTCATTCAGGCGCACACATTGGTGGAAGCGACAATCATCCAGCTCGACGGCGTCGCTCAACCCTCGCTCGCTCTTGTCGATCACGAGCTTGTCGTTCAGGCCGAACTTGCACTCCGGAGTGCCGGATAAGTATGCTCGCATCATGATGTGTCCGTCAACATCGGCACGCAATATTGTGCCTATATACGCCCACTATAGTTCGATTCTTCCGATAAGACAGGGCAGGAAAGTACGCACCTTTCGAGCTCATACTCAAATTCACTGTCTCGACGACGTCAACGAACGCTTCATTCTTCTTATATTTGACGTCTCCGCGCCGCCAACTGGTCGTACCTGTCGCTTGCGTAGTAATCTTCGACGATTCTTCCTAACGATAATGCACATCAGTGCCACAACGACGGAGAATCTAACAAAGGCGGCACACCGCAGCTATGGACGTGGACATGACGCTTTCGGTTGTGATGTAGGTTTTGAGTGTGTCAATCTCACTGTTCTGGGGGTATCCAAAATCGTTGATCTCTGCCAGTCGCGCAAACGCGTCCGGGTGAGCTTATGCCTCACAAATGGTAATGGGATACGCGCACCGTCAATGAGTTCATATATGAGCACAAAGTTGTTCTTAACGGCCTCCTCGTCGATTTTGCCAAAGTATGACTTGGCAATGGCTATGAAGCGGTAGCAGAACTCGAACACCAGCGCCGCATTGGCATTACACCTAAGTCGTCGAATCGGTGTCAGCTTCCCAGCTCAGACCTCTGTATACACTCCACTACAGGCAGAGTAAAAAGACGATAAAAAGACGCACTTTGTGACAGCTACGATGTACAAGTTGCTCACGCGTACATGGAAGAAACTCGTCGAGCCAAGCGTGATGATCGGCGAGCGTACATCGCTGTTGGACACGACCTGTATCCGGAAGACGTCTGCAATGGAACGTCTGACAAAGTTAGAGCAAATATAGAGCACAGATACGCGTCGTGTTAGTGCCGATAGAGGTAGGGAAGTTCATGCAATACGTTACTTTAGGTCTGTTCGGTACAACCGCGAGATGAGGACCTGTAGGGTCGTCAATTGACCGCAAATGTGGATCAGGGTGACATAAGGGGCCTGCATACCTCTCCCTTCTGATTGAATATAAAGAATGCCTGTTCTCAGCTGCTTCAGCTGTAATTCTGAGTATAGAGGGTAGTGTTCTTACCGAGATCATGTCCGAGAGGTGTGAACGGTAGCGCCCAGTAGCGCCCAGAGCGCTAGTCGCTACGAACGTAAGGATTTTGCCGAGGCCTGCAAGGATACTTTAACAAAATTGTAGATAGGTTAGAAATGGGTTGAAGTTGCTTTTGACTTTCTCTTAGACACTTCGTGTAACCCAGTAGTAGTAACCCGGTCCGGTGCTTCCCGAGCGTCTAACGAGGTTCGTGTCTATCATTACCCGATTATATTCGCCTTCTCAGGCTGGTGTAATGACTTGCCGTGGTCAATGGTATATTTGGCGTTGATCCCTCAATTGCTTATCTCCGTTCGACGGCGTTCTCATGTTCAATCGACCTTGACTGACAGCTGATTCTAGTTCAGACGCCGCCGTCAGAGTCGCTAGTACGATGTGACCATGCAGTTATATGTCCAGTCGAGATCTGCCAGTTCCTCGTTTGCCATTCCTCGGAATGCCAGCATCGCGTGTCGTACCGAACAGTGAGCGTGACCACCTTCGCTTGACATTACGCGGTCCGGTTAAGTTCTGTTGACTTCCGAGCTTGGTGGGATGGCTGCCCGCCTTCTGCATGCATCAATCTTCTCATAGGTATTCCGGGCGAGAGCCTCGAGGTTTAGAGAGTAAGCTTGGTCATTGGACGCGCTCGATAATACTAATCCTCCGTCAGTGGGCACCAGCTGACCTCTTTTGCCTCCTTCCTGCGAATATCGTGTAGCGCTGCATGAACGCCCTCATAGTCGAGTACCCACATTCCACGACGAACATTTTACCCGGCGCAATCCAGCTACGCCGTGGAGGCAATGTCTGGCTTCGCGGACACTTGTCGGCTTATCCGCGCAACGAGCACAGCGTATAAGAGCATCAATTTGCTGGTAGGTATGTCTGCGGGGTCATCGTCTTGCTGCATTAGGACTTTGCCGCCATGAGCGCTCTGTTGTGGAGGGCGTTTTACTTCGTGTCTGCCGCCACCATCGTGTCTGGCCAGCTGACTTGGGCCACAACCGAGTACCTTTTCACTTTCGGTGACTCCTACACTACTGATGGATACAACATCTCGGCCGGCGTGAACTCGCCTAACCCTGGTTATGTGAGTCCCCAGCATCGTTCGCACGTTAGCCAGATTTTGAACCCCATGACAGACATCGTCGAACGGCCCTAACTGGGTTGAGTACCTTGGTATAATTTCACCGTATGGTACGAGACGCATTGTGCCGATTCGAATATTACAGGAGGAACATACAACGTCACAGACACGAAGGTATAGTCGGTAAATTCAATGTCGGCGATCATGGATCTCACTGCATAATTGATGTAAGGTTTTCAACCTCGCATCTGGGGGTGCGACCATCGACGCGGCGCTCGTCGCTCCTTACGAACCTACGGTTCTGTACGTCACAAAAAATGTTGACATCCGTGAATCACTTATGTCATCATGCAGTTCTATCGTTGATCAAGTCACGCAGTTTGATGAATATTTGGCTTCCAAGCCGGCAGGTGCAGAGTGGAATAGCTCAAACAGCCTCTTCGCGATCTGGATTGGCATTAACGATGTCGTATGTGATTTGTTTTACTTTATTTTTAATTTGCATCTCAGCGACAGCATAATTAGGGGAATTCTTACGGCTGGGTAATTTTATATTTATCTTCTTTATCGTGATATCGACTGATTAAATATATTTCTCCAGACGAACGTCACGTCGTTGCCTTTGTTCTACACTGAACTGATGGACCGTCTCTTTGAACAGGTAAGACATTCCATAAATTAACGCTTATCCTGCCGTTATGATGTTGTACATTGAAGGTAGAAACCCTGTACCTCGACGGCGCCCGATCATTCCTTTTCATGACCGTGCCGCCCACCAACCGCGCACCACTGCTGCTAGAACAGGGTTTTGAGGCGGTTGAAAAAATCACTGGAGCGCTCGCCAATTACAACGGGCAGCTGACGCAATACGTCGACACCTTCCAAGCGACACACCCTGGCCTCGACCAGGTGACGCTGTTCGACACCCGTCCGATTTTCAACACGCTGCTGGATAACGCGCCCACCTTCGGATATTACAACGTCACGGGCTACTGTGCCGCCTATGAAAACGGCACCCCCACCATCACGACTTATGAGCCGCCGTGTGCGCCGGTGACAAATTATTTGTGAGTGCAAAAAATGTCATTTGTATTTCCAGAGTTGACGTGAATATTTATAACAGCTGGCTGAACACGTTGCACCCGCTGTGGACGGTCCATAAGTAAGCTACTCACGTTCTGGAGCTTCCTTATGGCTCACTCATAAATCTTGCCGCAGTGTGCTCGCACACTCCATAGCAACTGTGCTCAGCAGCTACACCTATCTGAATGTGTAGATATGGCGCTCCCGCGACGCCTTACATTGCGTGTGCTAAGCCTCATGTCGGACATTTGTCTACTGCGAAATTATTGTGCAAGGACGGTGAACTCTATTCAATGTGATGCATGTTTTGCGCTAGAATGCGCCTTACGGCCGATAGCGTTTAACGGTGGTTAGCGCCGTTGCGGAGATGTCTGGCATTGCAGGCCGTATCTCCGTCTACACTGGGCCAACGCCGCCTAGATAAGAGCGTAATAGAGACTAACAAAGTAATCCAGTGCTTCTGGATTGGACATTCTCACAACCGCAGCCGAAAGAACGTTCTTCCGCTGCCTGCCGTATCACTGAGGGGCGTTCTGCCTACCATGTCCGTGTCAGTCTGCAAACCATCTCAGGAAATAGGAACGCACAACGCGCCAACGATGTGGTTGATCTGGTACATCTATAGCCCAGCATACGTGGAACTCGAGCATCCCGAACATTATCAAAGATTTCCTTACCACGTGTGTGGAATAGATAAAAGACGAGCCGTTTAAGCTCAGAGTGCGGCGCAACGAATTTGGCTGTTTGGTGACCGCATTTGAGGAGTTGGGAACTGCTTCTCGATATTTCTAGCATACGGCGCAAAGCTCCACAACAGAAGAAGCAAATGCAAGAGAGTCGCTATTCAGGCGAACCTAACGAATAGCCAAACTGAGTGAGGCGCAACTCACGGTCGATTTGGTGTATGAACGTGTGGGTATGCGAACCAGCCAACGAATCATTCGCCCTTCACGAGTTCAGAAAGCGTCCGCTGCGGCGTATATGGTCATACCGCACACAGATTTCGGGCGGCCTTGGCCGCTGGAGACGTCCGAGGAATAGAACGATCGGGTGGCGGCGGACCAGATGAGTGCGGAACTAGACTGGAGACTCTAGCGTAACGGCTTCGGCGACGATACGACTGTATGGGACAGACGTTGTGCGCCATGCCGGAGCCGAAAGTCGTGGAGATCGAAGCACTATCACAATGTAGCGCAGCGGACGCAACAGTGGAGCGCGTAGGTCCGTCTACGCCAACTGAACGGGCTTGACGCGTCTATCAGCTCGAGATGCAGGCGATTAAGCCTCATCTGCGGGACATTCACTGATACGGTGGATCAATCGATAATCAGGACAGCTGGTACAATCAGCTGGCGAGGACGTGATTGCGACGGGCTGGCATCCCCGACTGCGCATAGCGCCAAGGTAAAGCGACTGTGCGCTCCGTCATCGCAGGGAAATAGACGAGACTTTAATAAACGTAAGATGACAGAGATGCTGGACAATTATGCAACGGAGTACGTACCCGACGGGCCCTGCCAGCTCGTCAATTGTGGTGAGGCACATGATAGAGTGAGCGTCCCCCAAGAACCAGCGATGCCTGATCGGCAGACTCGAGAGAGGCACTGTCTGCCCAGAGGTGGAGATAGAGTATGGGCGGATTTTGCGGCCGTATCCTCGGGTAAACGCCGCACAAATACATTCCAGAGCAGTCAGCACCCACCACCAGAGCTGCGATCTTGACAAGATTGGAAGGGACATGAAGATGGCTGATAACCAGCGGAGATTATCACACCTTGTGCTCAGCGTCATGTCCAAGCTACCTCGGTTGGATGACCACTCATCAGCCATGGGATCCCGGGTCTCAGCCCTGACGGCGAACGTCGAAACGAGGTTTTCGGCAGGCTCGCATTAATCCGAGAATCGTCTTGGTTGGTGGGACAATGTATCGGGAACGGGAATAAGGTAGGGTTAAAGTTGCTAGTATCCGCCCCAAAGAAGAACGCGAGTTGCCGTAATGTCCGGGGAGCAAAACGCAAGCAAATTGCGACTAAGTATGATGTGATTGTTCAGAAAATCAGCCAAAAACTCCATGAAGGCGGTTAGATTCCCTGCGGCGGTGAGATGGCCTCAGCGCCGCATCTGGACTTCTAGTCAGATATAGCGAGGGGGTCAGAAGAGGGCTCGAAAAAGTGAGAAGATACTTCTCGAAGTCAGACAATGTGGATACATTGAACGCGCACCGTATACAGATTTCTTCACTATCGATGCGATGAAAGTCTGTGGGCGATCAGAAAGTGGCGTTGATATACGACACACGGTACACCAATGTGACCGTCCGAGACAGAGAGAAAGAGGACGTACTATCCAATGCGAAGAGCTGCATTGTGGTTGTGCGTTTTCTCGGTGCCCTGATTTGACACTATGTCACGATTTCACCCCGGAGCGAGATGAACCAAAGCTATGGACGAAGTGGAGTGGACCTTCTCTGGGGATCAGCTGTAACGCACATAAATATCATTGAATTAATACTATCACACATCAAACTGCGAAACATCGGACCGATATCAATGAGAATACACATACAGCTGTTGGTCGAAAATGCCGATCTGGATATCCTTGACTACGAAGGGCTATGCCTGTCCGATGAACCCTCTTAGCTCACTTAACTGTTCCTGGATGGCTGGGAAAAACAACTGCAGAGCAAGACCGGCCGGCATTGCGTACTCGCTGATGCTGATCCGGATCCAGGTTCGATAATAGGCCACAGGAATGATGGTAGTGGAGGATATCTTCGGGGAGTAAACGAGATTGGACTCGTTTTGGAAGAGACCATGCGCTATTGCCAATGTTAGGCAAATGCAGATGCCAAGTAGTCAAGGAACGGTCCGCTGACATGTATCGACTAAACCGTTCTGCGACGCGGGAGAAGTGCACCTTGGAGGTGCCGGCATCCACGCCGGGCTGCAGCGGACTGTGGTTTACATTTGGCCGGATCATGATCAGTAGGATATGATGCGTCGAGTGGACAAGGAGGTCGAGAGACAAAACAATTGGAGGGCAGACCGCCACAGACGCCTGATAAACGACGGCCGGTATGGAGAGCACGGCGAGACGCTGACCACCTGAAAAAGGATGCGATGAGGGGATATTTGGGTGAAATCAGGGGAAGACGAACAAGTTTGGAAGGAAGCCTGATTATTTAAAATGTGCCTGTAATGTCAATCGAGCGCATGGTGGAGCCATGCTTCTCAAAGTCCAAGTTGTTCACGTTGATACTGAACGGAGATATGCGATGAGCGTCTCATGCTGTCTTGTTCGTTCACACCTGCCCATTTGGCGCAATTTCACGGTGAGAAAAGGTAGGAGCCTGAGGGGAGGGCACGCAGAAGCGGCGAGGCACGGAGGATCTGGAAACGGAGATTGGACGGAGAGAGTCGATTATCGGTTGTACCCGGTCCTCGAACATTGCACTTAAAAGTTTATTCTTCCGCGGGCGACCGCCGACTCGGAAGAATCGACCCGCAAACTCTTGCAAGGTATTGGAGTCCGCTGCGTCCCATCTCTCAGAACTGACCATCGACGTACCGCGCAGGCGCCGTCGGGCTTGCGACTTGTCCAATCTCCAGGTCACCCACTCATCACGAGTACAACGTCGTCAAGGAAAGCTCTACCGATGCCATCGTTCCGGATCATTGGCGCGCAGGTACATCAGCTAAACCAGTCTCTTACGGAATTTCCACGAAATCAGTGCGTCGATAGCTATTTTCTTCATTTCCTTCTTTCAAAACATATCTCGAATTTCTCCTTTTAGATTTCTCTCCCGAGGTCTGTCCCAATCTGGGCACGAGACCTCTCCGCGCTGGTCAACCCATTTCCTTATATCTACCTCTCTTCGGCGCTCGGTGCGTGTTGACGGTCGCGCGCATTATAACTCGTGCGCCTGAGCTCAACCTTCCCTCTGCCTCCTGCCATGGATCCTACCAGGCGTCACACCACCGACCATCCCGAGCCCGCACGTCGTCCAGCCTCCCACTCTCGCAACCCGTCTCCCCCGGGTAATCTGGGTCACCCGCAAGTGCAGCCCTCTCTGCCTTCAATACATGAGCTGAGCCTACGGCCTCAACTGCCCTCTCCGGTCCCGCCTTATGGTCACCCGCCCGGCACAAGCTACCCTGTAGCCTCTGGAAGCAATCCCGGTGAGCAGCGCCCCTGATCCGCAACATACAATTAATGAGCGGGTATCGTCTAGGTACGCGTCCTGTGCAGGAGGATTCCGATCCCGAGGACCAGCAGGAGCCTCCGAAGAAGAAACGCCGTCGCCAGGCTCTCAGTTGCACAGGTATGGGACTCAGCTCTCGAGGTGCACGATGTCATCACTGATTGGCGACACGTTCTACCCACGTACATACGAAATCGCTCCCATCCCACAACATTCTCGCTTTTTTTGCGGACTTGTCGGTGCCGATACCGGATTGCAGAATGCAAGAGACGGAAGATTAAATGTGATAGGTCCGGAGCCTATCTTCTTCTAGAGCATTGTAGCCAAATCTGATAGGCGATACAATCTTGGCTCTCCAGGGCGCAACCATGCGGACCATGCGCGAGGCGCGGAGAACATCTCAAATGCCAATGGCACATAATAGAACCAATGTAAGTAGGTTTGACTTATCACGTTGCCAGGCAGCCGTTCTGATATTCTGCAACTCACAAGGGAGAAGTATGTCACACGCACGGAATATGATGAACTCAAATCGCGAGTGTACGAACTCGAAGCCCTTGTCTCGCGCATGCGTACCACCGCACCTTCTCTTCCTGGTCGAATGGCCATGTCCTCGCCCATGATCGCGATGTCGCCGGGCTCTCCGGCCGATCCTATACAGGGAACGATGATCACACCATATCATCCGGGGCTTACCAGTGCAGGTTCCTCGGCATATCATAGGATGATACCCCCTACACGATCCCCACCTGATCGTGGGGAGTCATCATCTGTGCGCGGAGAGCCCTCTTCTCGACCTGCGGGATCGTCCGCAGCTCGCAGTCCGCCTCACCGCTCGTCTGCCTCCTACGTCTCCATGAGTCGCCCCATGCCCCCCGCCATGCCATCTACCGACCCCGCTCACCCATCCGTCTCACCGGAGCGCTTGTCCAGAGCCCCTCAGCCCACACCATCCTCGGAACCTGTGTCTTCCTCTGTGGTGACCTCCAGACGCGCTTCGCTTTCCCTCGCCGCAATCACGACCCCGTTCATACCTGACACCAAGCCCCAGAGCCCGCCAAAAAAATACCAGGCGCAGACACCATCCCAGCCGGGCCAGCGTCTGCGCCCAGCACCAGCATACCACGGCTCGGCTCAAGCGGTGTAGGCGCACCTCCACCACCTCCACCACCTCCCCCGTCTCTCACCCGCCGGCGCGCCCGCACGGGGCCCTCAGAGACTGGGCGTCCATCGGTAGCGACGGCTTCGTCGGAGCTCTACGATATGAGGCGGCCGTCCTCGTCGTCTGCCTCTCCGACGTTTTCTTCCTCTACTCTACGCCCATACAGTAACCGCTCGCGGACGGGCAATCCTGAAGACGACGAGCGGACACGCGCCGGTCCGTCTCGATCTTGACAGGGGGACGCGGTTCCTTTTTCTAGGCGAAGCAAGGGTTCTAGCGGCACTACAGGTGGATACATCTGTTTTCATCTTTATCTTGGGTGTCTCGTCGATGCATATAGCTCCTTGTAGCCTTCACTGTACTTCTACGTGCATCTTTTTTGATGCTCACTATACCCAGTTATTTAAATCTGAATTTACGGTGCAAATACTTTTGTATCCATATTTATGCGCTTGTCTCAGTGCAAACAAATGTCTCATCGAATGCAGCATCCGCCGGCGGCAAACTCAAAACCGACAACGTGGTGTATAAAACGAAAATCATATTTCTAGTCTATCCGGTTTGAGAAGAGTCATGGTGTAAGAAGGCGGCATCGTGGAGGAATTTGGAAATAGCATAAGGCATGTGTTAGGGACCGGAGACATAGATCCACCCGCTCCCTGCGTGGGTCGTTGGAGGAGCAGCTGTGCGAATTTCTCGGCGCACGATCGCGAAAGCACTTCACGCATGGAACTCGCCGACACTCTACGAGCACTCGGCTTCCACTCTGAGGTTGGCAAGAGTCGTCCAGCAGCGTGGCCACCGTCGGGAGTCCGTGAGTACCTGCCCAGGTGACACATGTCAGGACGGAGGGATCCAAGATGCAAGATTGCGATGGGCATAACCGCTGGCCGTACAGCTGTTGCATGCATTGCCCGAGCCACAACTCGAAGACGGCCAATCCGCGCGTCGCGACTAGAAAACGGTGAGACCAGACTGGGTGCCGGCGTACTGCGACTTCATGTCGTCCAAATCGGTGTCGTCCTGACTCTTGTAATCGTATTGCGATAAACCCATGTCGGATGCTCCCGCGATAGACCCAAACGAAGTCCGGCGCCGTAATCTGTCTGACTGTGAGTAGCCCATGCTGCCGATAGGTCGATCGGAGGGTCCAACTGCGCTCCCTATAATGCTCGAACTGTCGGTACCACTGGGACCAATGTCTTGAGATATAATAGAACTAGCATAGCTCCCATAGGTGCTGCGCTTCGCGCCATTGGGCCGCTGCATGCCCGATCCAAATGGTCCACTGGGAGCGTACGTCGGCAAGCCCGACGAGTAGGTGGCCTGCGAGCGTAAGGATTGAACATCTGAGGGAATGTAACCCAGCGCATCATGAGTGCGGTAGAAACTGGCATCGAAGCGGCTGGGTGTGCCGGATCGGCGACCTGCACCAGCGCCATCAGCTTACGTCAACCGGCACAATTAAAGATCTTGACGTACCATCACCCATCATCCCGCCTCCAAAAAAGTCGCGCGCATTGGTCTCGTGCCTCCGGTACTCGTCCATCGCCTTGACCAGAGTACGCCTTGGTTTGCTAAATTGAATCATACTGGGTTGCAGATTATTCAGGGGGCCTTCCACAAGACAATTCTTCTCCTTGTAATGGGTTAGTAGGTAGTGCCAAAGAGGATGCTGCGCATCAAAATGAGTAAATAAAACTCTGTCAAGACGCCGTTGCAATGCACTGCCCACCTTGCTCAGAACCTTCGGATTGCCAAGGATGACAACGCCGTACTTCGCACGAGTAAGGGCCACGTTCAACCGCCTGGGATCGTTCAAGAAACCGATACCCTGGTGTTCATTACTCCGCACACAGCTGAGAATGATGTAATCCTTCTCGCGACCTTGAAAGGCATCGACGCTAGCCACTTCAATCTCCTTGTAGAGGTCCTTCTTCAACGAGCCATTGAACTGCATATAATTGACGATATACGACCGTTGACCTTCGTAAGGAGTGACGACGCCAATCTGACTGGGAACAACACCAGACTTGAAGAATTTAGTGACGATCTTTTCAACATTAGATGCTTCAGTTCTGATAATTATGAATTAGCTACAATAGTTGGACTGGCAACGTCACGTAAAGCCAAGCACATACCGGTTCAGGAAGGACGTCCCGCTAGATGAAATTTCTTCCTGGCCCAGGTTCTGATAGAAGAACATGGGAGTATCAGGGACAGGCCATGGGAAGTCGACGTTCTTGCGCAATCGCTCAGGAGCTGTAACACCGTTCTGCAAAGTTCCCTCGTAGAACATGTTGGATGGGAATTCGGACAAACACGGGTGCATGCGATACTGGACCTGCAAACGAATTGGGCGGTTGCCCAAGACCACGAGACGCTCGAAAAGAGACTGTGTCAGTCCGGCACGCGCAGCCTTCTTGTTCATGATGACGGGACCGAGTTGCTGATAATACGTCAGCACGTCAAGAGCTCACAGCCTTAGGTAAATGTGAGTACAAACCTGATGGTCTCCGACAAGTACGACTTGTTTGCACCCGAGCACCACTGGAATCATACACTCTAGATGACACATCAGTAACAGTAAATGAACCGCCGTGACAAAACACATACCTGGTTCGGCGGACTGAGTCGCCTCGTCGATGAGAACAGTTCTGAACTTGAGCTTGCTCAAACGGGGATCACCAGCACCGACACAGGTACAACAGATGACATCGGCTGCACTGAGAATCTCCTTTTCGCACTGCCGGATAAGCGTCTTGTACTTCCTCTCGTCGTTAGAGCTCAGCTCTCCCTGTTCGTTCTTGAGTTGGATAAGCTTCTGGAGCTCCACATGAGTAGTGTTGTTGGCAACTTGCTGATGCAGCGTCAGGAAGGACACGGACGAGTCGAGCGCCTCGCGTGATTTAGCGGTCAGGCGGACAACTTTGAGTCCAGTGGCGTGTATCTTCTCCGTGAGCTGATCCACGGCGACGTTGGATGGAGCGCAGACAAGAACCTGACCCGGATTCATTTTGGCTAGATGATAGACAATTGAGGCCGATGTGACCGTCTTGCCGGTACCAGGTGGACCTTGGATCAAGCTGATAGGCTTCTGCAGAACGCTTTTTACAGCATACATCTGCGAATGATTGAGCTCTGGGAGTCCAGGAGCAGAAAAACGCTTGGGCATCTGAGTCCGAAGAACCTGCGGTTCTAATTCATGACCCAAAAGCTTGTGGTACTACACACGGTGTCAATTTCATGTGACACTAGAGTACCACAATAATACTCACGATGTACCCGCTGACGCTCTTCTCGTCAACTGCGAAGGTTTTCATTGCAAGCTGCATCCTGTCGAAGCTAGTCGACTTCCACACAAAGTCCGCCGTGAAGTTGTGGGTGATCTCCAAGGGGACGCCCTCGGACCTTCTAAGCTCCAGACCAATTTCGTCGGAGACGTCTGTTGCGCGTAATTAATTTCGGGATAATGCCCACATCACGACAGCACTCACTGTTTGGGACCTTGATGACATGACCATCGCCTTCCCAGGGCTTGTGCAATTGACCGGAATATTTCAGCCTGAGCTCGTCACCCACTGCCAGGCGAACCTCGCCGCTCTCAAGTTTGGGTAAAGAGAACCACGCGACTCGCTTCTGGTTGAGACCAAGGTCCCACCGCACGGTGATGTCCGTCTGTGTCTGGGACTCTTTCAATTTCTTATCATAATCAGCTTCAATTTTCACAAGGGGGCCGAAGATGTTCTGGTACTGGTAAGCATCCTCATACCGCACAAGGATCGACTGAGGTTCGTCATCGGCTCCGGGTTTCTCTAAATCTTCTAAGGTGGCATTCGCATTGTCGCGCCAGAGATCCTCGAGGCGGTTAATCTGCTGGAAAGAGATCTGACGGGACCTCAGTTGCTCGGCTTCGCTCGGGGGCTTGACCAGCCATGACAAAAAGGACCGGTCGTCAATCAACGGGGCCCACAACGAGGCATTCCACGAGATGTCCTTGGATATGGCAGCACACGGTTGGCTATAGAAACCTTCTGTTAAGGCCCTGCTTCTCCACGGTGAAAATCACTTACCGGCAGAGGAGTACGACGACCGTGTCGCTCTTGGCCGGGATGAAACCCAGCGTGAAAACGTTCTTGCTGCCACAGTTGTAGCACTCGGGAATAGTCTCTCCCAGAGGAGACTCGGCATGCAAGATGACCTCCTTGTGCTTAGCGCGCACGAGGTGGTTCACGATATGCGACGCCGAGGTGTTGCCGCGGGAGTTGCAGAACCACTTGGAGCAGATAAGGCATCTCACAACTGAGGCAGGGGAATGTATGCCACAGTAGCTGCAACGAAATATATTAGACATATGCGGTCGACCTTTCGATAGGTATGATTAAGTTACCTGCATGCATGCGGGGGCAAATCCACCTGGCTCTCGTCTTTCAAGTCGTCTAGGACCGCGTCAAAATCCTCGTCCAAACTATTCCGGACAGACCCATGGCTATGAGTTCCGCGCCCGTTTCCATTCGGGGACGATACGAGTGAGCGGTCGTCTGTGATCGAGAGACTCTCGAGGTCCACCGGAACGTGGCTCTGGCTGTTCGTATTAGCGGTGTAGATCGAAGAAGTATCGTCCACAATGCCGATGCCGCCATAAGACGACGCGGAGTCGTACTGAAAGTTTTCGAATGAATCCATGTCTCAGAGAATGCAGCAAGATGAGAGAAGAGTAAGAAGAGTCGTTGTGGCGGCGGCGGCTCCGCGGCCGCTTACTGTTACCAGGCCATGTGGAAAGCACGTGGCTAGTATGCTTCCGCAAAGTTTAAGATTCGTGAAATTAGTTGTACCTTCAGCTCTCAAGTCTCTACGCGAAAAGCCCTGTGTGCACGGCATAGTTAAAATAGAAGAATACAAGATGTCTCATCTTGCACGGAGCAATGGGAGGCCAGAACCGGAGGTTATAGTCAACGTGCGCTCCACAACTTCGAGCTATCGTACTGCCAGAGACATTGAGACTTTCCAGTTCGCAGACGGATGTGCGTATTCGAAGGGCAAGATGGAGGAAGTGTTTCGGAGTGGATTCATGGACAAGCCTGTTGCTAAGCACGCGAGGGAGCCTGGTAGTGCAAAGCGGGATGACATAGATCTCCTTGTAAAGCTACAATTTACTCACCCAAGCGGACCGAACTCATCGTATGAATAGGTGCACGAATTGGAGATCCCTCGACATCAAGCAGAAAGGCTACTCATCGAGAAGAACGGGGACATCGTTCGAGTGCTCGAGGACTGGGTCTCTATTCCAGGATCATCGTAATAAGGCTCGGTATGTATACGTACTACCCATCACAGTATTTATTCAGAGCCGGTCTCCTGAGCTCGAGCCTTCCGCCTATCAGTGTCAAGCAAGATAGTTCCGAGCACCTGCACGAGGTTTTTTCCGCTACCTTCAACCACCGTGGTGAACTTCGTCGTCGAAGACCTGCTCGATGGTCTCGTCATGGGTGGAGTGACCGGGGCCTGCTCGTTGAGCGCAACGTACTCCGGTGAGCCTATCGGGCGGGTGTTTGACCACGTCGTCTCCACTCCCGCGTTCGTGCGGACGAATGACCTTAAAGAAATTGAGTCCATGCTGTGAGACGCGCGTCCGACAACATTCGGTCCTGACGCGAGCACCGCGGAAGTCATGCGGAGCTCGGCCACACCATCCTCAGGCTCGCATCTGCCCTCCGTCGCCAAGGTATTCCAGTTGATAGGCTTGGTAGAGCCAATGAAGTTTTTGGGGAGGACAGGTGTCATGCCGGCGAATTCAGCGATGTAATCGGAAGGCCCGTAGCGGTCCCGCAGCTGCGAGAGGACCCGTCCACGTCTGGGCTTCTGCAGCAGGTAAGACTGGAGTCTTGGTGAGCGCGTGTAGGTCAGACCGGCATACTTCTGGGGCTGCTGCTCGATGGATGTCGCAGTGGGAGATTTATACTCCTCGTACGCCTGCGTAGCGCGGAAGTCCTTGAGGTATTCGTCCGTCCTGGGTTTAATTGATTGCTCCCATAGCGTGGTCGGCACGGATCCGCGCCCCTCCTTCTCCAAATGCTTCTTCAGGTACTCTCGGAATGCTGGCCGCATTTTGCGTAGCTTCTCGAGGTAACGCTCGAATTCCCTCTCCGGCATGGCATTAATGTTCGCGACCGCGGTGCTCTTGCCCGTCAACGCCGCTCCAACACCTCTGTCGTCCACTCCTGAATCCGAACTACCAAACTCCGAGTCCACCTGCCACCTGATCTCGCCGAGAGGGCCCAGCTTGTTCGACCATGTACTCCCCCCTCTGACATGTGGTGTTGCCCCGACCTCGTCCCACATCTGGATCCACCTCCTCTGTTGCTCCGCGCTTTTCCATTCTGTTTGCTGCTGCCTCGAATCCACGGCATGAACGAATACAGTGGCATTCCGATGACGAACAGGCAGCGGCCGTTTGAAACCAAAGTTGCCACGGTAGGCGTGTCCGCCATAGGAAGTGTAAGCCTGCGCGATTGCTGGGTCAAACGACGCGAATTTTGACTGCCGCAAAAGGGCAGCAAATTGGGACGATGGTTGTGTCGCCATAGACGGTCCACACGAGTGGAAAGCGAACGAGAGCGAGCACACGAGATAGAGACTACGGCGAGATAGAGCACACACAAGCGCTCGTGAAACGCTAGGTGTCACACGTGACATGTGACATATCACGTGCTACCTGCCAAAATTCAAGATCGTGACGCTGTTCGAGCGGAGCTTCGGATATTCCCGAGGCACTTTTAAACAGGTGCTGGCGCTTGTATCTCAATTCAAGACGACGTTCAAAATATTGTTGTCCTGTCCCTCTGCTTGTGTCTTCGGACCTCGCGGTTTCACGACTTGACAGTCCAGACAAACGTCGGGGATGGACTTTTCAAAAGAGATGTCTCGAAAACAATCTTTGCTGATTGCTTCTCCCTCTGGTTGAGAGGCCAGGATGCAGGATCACCTGGAGGTCACCTACATCTCTGATCCAGTCAAATAGCAACATGTCCGTGGTGCTACTGTTCAATTCGGTGAGTGTCCGTGTCGTTCTTCAGCGAGTCGTGTTGCTGTGGAACCAATGAAGATAATCCTGGTAACATTATGCACCCCGATGTGAGAGCCGTGGCGTGTCGTTGTTCTGCGGGACGCGTCAACGTCAACGGTGTTCACAGGCCCTCGTTCGTGGGCATCATATGATTGCTGGGTGTGCGTGGAGAATGAAAGGCGAGGCTGAGGTTTTCCCTGACGAGCATTCTACTCTGGCCGAGATCGGTGTAGAATATGCCATCGCTGACATTTCCATTCGTAGGTATGCCTACTCCAGGGGTGGCGATACCTAAAGCGCGTCGGTACATGACCGCGCTTATAATTTGCCCTGGTCCCCCCATGCATCGGAGTTACCGGGCGCAATGGGTAGAGTAAAGACGGGTGGTACGAAGCTTTGAGTTTTATGTACCAGCGTACAATCTACATGTACATATGCCGTGTATTGCCTCTGTTCTGCGTGCGACGTCAATCTCGATGTGTACAAATGTATGTTTTCGGGAGAAGAAATGGATGTTTTCATCAGAAGTTGTAATGCCGCTAAACCGGATATGGAGAACGTGCGCGCGCTTGCGGTGCAAGTTACGAAATTGCAGTAAGCGTCGGTACGTTGCACATCGTTCACTCGGCTGGTGACTGTTCTTGCCTGTGTCCTTCATCCCCGCCACGTCGACCTGCACGTTCTGCCCGTCCTCGCTCTCGTTGCGCTACGCGCAGTGTGCGCAGCAGCTGGTCTTTACCAAAATAGTCTTTGGCGTTCGTGCTCTTCCGCTTACCAGCCACATGGACCGCCCTGTTCCTCGGAGAGCCTCTGCGTTCACCGCGTCAAAAGCGACCCCCGCCGCCCTCGACATGTACCATAGGCCATATCCGACGAGCCGCACGGGCACCCCATCTCCGCTTCTTGAGGAACCCTCGCACCATCTGCTGCTGCCGCGCTCGAGCCCGAGGCTGACACCGACTCTCCCGCTTTCCCTCCAGCATACGCCTCAATCCTTCGCGTCGAAGGACGTAGCGCCGAGCAGCGTTGCCACGGATAATGGCCCGACGGTCTGTGGCATGCCTCTGAAATATGTCTCGTAAGTGCGCCCAAAGTTACTTCCCAGCCTCGTCTTACGCTCGCATAGATTGATCACACTCGCGGTACAGAATGCTGCGCTCTCAATCGTGATGCATTATTCTCGTGTGTCCACACCTGCGTCCCAAGCATACTCTCCTGCGACAGCCGTTCTGCTCAATGAGCTGCTCAAAGGCGCGATTTCCTTCGTTGTTGCCTTCTTTCGAGTAGCGTCTGCTGCAGATCCCTCCGGAATGAGGCTCACGGGATGCTGGCTGGCGTTTCGGAAAGTATGCCGTGACATCTTTAGTCCGGACTGTTGGAAGCTCTCCATCCCGGCCATCCTATACGTCGTGCAGAACTCGCTGCAGTTCGTGGCAATAAGCAATCTCCCGGTAGCTACTTTCCAGGTAACCTACCAGATGAAGATCCTCACAACCGCCGCCTTCTCTGTCGCGCTCCTTCGAAAGAAGATCAGTTCGACAAAGTGGCTGTCCCTGTTTTTCCTCGCCATCGGAGTCGGCATCGTCCAAATTCAGAGCGGCTCTGGTCACATCCCTCAGCGTCAAAATGTTGTCGTAGGCAGTGCGCATGAATCTGCACCGCTACACATCCACATCATGAGCCCCCTGAAGGGCTTCGGCGCCGTCACTGCAGCTTGTTTCACATCCGGCCTCGCTGGCGTTTATTTCGAGATGGTGCTCAAAAATTCCAAGGCGGATCTCTGGGTCCGGAATGTACAGCTCTCGTTGTTTTCGCTCGTACCGGCCGTCCTCCCCATCATTTTCGAGACACCCGCTCCGCACTCTCGCGTTGGTGGCAGCATCATGTCGATTTTACTGCGTAATTTCGGCGGCTGGGCATGGGCGACGGTCATTATACAGGTACTGGGCGGCCTGATCACAGCAGTCGTCATCAAGTACTCAGACAACATCCTGAAGGGATTCGCGACGAGTTTGTCCATCGTTCTGTCCTTCCTGGCGTCGGTCGCGCTGTTCGGGTTCCGCATCACCCCGTCATTCCTCATCGGATCCTCGACCGTCCTGATCGCGACGTTCATGTACAACCAGCCACCAGGGAAGGAACTCGTCACTATCTCGGGCGTGATGCCTGCACGGTGTCCGACACCTACTTTCCCGAATGTGAGCCCAGATGCACCGATAATTGGACAATTCCCGCCGCAGAAGAAGTCATCGCCATTCAGCAGCCCTCGTATCCTCGCGAACGCGCTTGGGCTGGCGAACGAAAAGTCGGAGATGGACGCTGCATTCGGCGAGACGCTCGACACACCCCGCTACCTTAGCGCACCCTACGGCTCACCGTACCCCTCGCGGACGCCCTCGCCGAACCCCACGCCACCCTGCCCACCGCCAAATTCTGCGCACGGGTTCGATGCGCACGGCCGTTGGCAGTCGCAGTAGCTGCTCCTTCTACGTGAACCCCCTACAATACAATCTTTGACCAGCCTATACACATAGTCATACTTGACGAGATGCTACGATACCCCACCAACAACAGACTTTGTCTGCACCGTAGACGACGCCCTTCGTTACGATCTATCGCAAGTTATCGCGTGCGCATACATACATGCATCGTTTCATGTTTTTTATTTTGCATCATTATTCACGAGAACATGGAACGTAGAGTAGAGAACCTTGTAATTCTCTTTAAGTAGCTTCGCTGGGCGGCGCCGGTCGCTCAAGCTAGTACGTAGTTTTGCGTAATTCCACGCACGGATACCCACAGCGCTTATGTCCGAGTCTGCATTTGCACGCGACCGCGAAGCGCGTGTGCGTGACTTTGACTTGAACGTGCACTTCCACGCATGTCGATCGACCTGGAATGGCAGAAGCTCGACCCCTCGCTCGCGTCGTCGCTGGTGGACGTGTTGAACAAGCAACTCGCGAGCACGCCCAGGCCGTCATTCATCGGGCCCATTGAAGTGACCTCCTTCGAATTTGGGAGCACCATCCCCGACGTTGAGCTCGTGGATCTGCGCGACATCTACCGCGACTTCCTGGAGGATGATGAAGACGCCGACGCCGACGAGGACCCGGTGAAGGTCTCGCAGTGGGCAGAGGAGGACGGGGGCTTCGAGTGGGTGCCCCGGCGGGCGACGCGCGAGAACGGGCTCGCCGACGACGGGCCTGCGTACCACCTTCTTCCCCCGCACATGCGCTATGGCCGTGCGATGGCGGCAACAGACATGTTTGCGTCGACACCGTCGCTGCGCTCACCCAGAGATATATGGAACCCTGCGTTCACCAGCCTTGCCGACCTGCGTTCGACGTACCCGGCGCCGTCGCTCTATGCCTCAGCCATGTCGTCCGCCCCTTCCATTTCGCGCTCTAACCCCAATTTTAAGCCAGCGCAGGCCAATTCTCAACAGCATAGCTCGCAAGATGCCAATGAGAAGCTCCCCGAATCGCCCCGCCCAGCTTCAGCGCCCGAGCCGCCGACGCAGCCGACGCAGCCGAACCTACAGATGCACTTGCACATCACCTGGAATTCCAACCTCCGGCTTACTCTGACCACATCGCTGCTCATAAACTACCCCTCGCCCATGTTCATGTCCCTTCCTATCAAGCTTTCTGTCACTGGCTTGCTTTTCACCGGCGAGGTCGTCGTAGCATATGAAGGCGCGCGCCGTCGTGTTCATCTCTGCATCCTGGACGAGCTGGACCCGTACAGCCCGCTTGCAGTAGGTCGCGTCAAGCGCGACACGCCCCCGGCGGCAGGAACACCCACCGATGCCGACGACGATACCCCAGGTTCTGCTATGCCCGCAAGGACAGGCAAGCCATTACCAATCGGACAGCGTCTCTTACCTTCAATATATATCGAGAGCGAAATTGGGCAGGCTGATAAGCACGTACTAAAGAACGTTACTCGTGTGGAACGTTTCATCCAGGATGTCATCCGCAAGACTGTAGAAGAGGAACTTGTCTTCCCAAATTTCCACACTCTAGTCTTCGGCGATGAGGATTCATGACGGCGACAACATTTTCTGCCAGAAATACAAGGATACGTGTAATAGTACAGAGGTGGGTGACAGATATTACAACCGATTATAGCAGTAATTTGCTCATGTACGGCCCGTCTAGTTCATACCCCAGTCGACGATAGTAATCTCGAGTACCCACACCTGTACAGGCTGAAGTGAGAAAGCCACAAAAGCAAGAACGAAGACGTACCGGAGATGACGGCCAGCTTGACGCTGCCATGCTCTTCCCGTGCTATCCGCTCTGCCTCCTCCATCAGAAGCGTCCCGAAGCCCTTACAGATCACAAAACTCAATCAGACTGACCCCGACATATACACGTCACATCTTCTCACCTGATGCTGAAATTTCGTCGGATCCCGGCCGTGCACTGGCACCGCCGTACCGTACACATGCAGCTCTCTGACAATACTGCAGCCGCCCTCTGCCCCTTCTTTCCTGACCAACTCTGGCCGGAACGTCCCTTCATCGGAGCATTTTCGAAGCCGCAGTAGACCGATTAAGATGTCGCGCTCCGGGTCTTCGTACGAGAGAAAGGTTTCCCAACCCCCATTTGCCGCGTAATCTCGGCGGAGAAGCTCGACAGACTCTGGCCGAACCTTATGGTGGATCTCATGGATCTAAGAAGGAAAATGAAGAAACGTAAAATATGAGTCACGCAGGGTGGGGCTTCGAGATGCACGACGACATACCCCAACTTCACGGTACCGAACGTCGCGGCATTCTGCACCGAAGTCTTTCATGCGATTCAGTGCCAACTCGCGGAGGTTCCCGGAGTTCTCGCAACCGCTTGAGACCAGCGGCAGTGGGATATCTCTGCAGTCAATTGGCGTGAGTATATTACATGTTTCGGAACATCGGGTCCCATTCACCTTTGCACTCGATATACTCGTGTCCAGGGAGGAACTAGGGCCAATATCCTCGCTACGACGTCGACGAGCACGTTTGGCGTGTAGTTCTTGTATCGTCCAGTCCGCCAAAGTTCATACAGACCTGTTCCCCGAATGACTAGTGTCGGATAGATTTTCAGTCCGTCGCTCCTGAAGGCGGGATTCTCGAAATACTCCTTGAACTGCTCAAGATCGCGCTCAACGCCGACGTTCGGAAGATCGGGCATCATATGTGCAACGACTTTGAAGCCTGCGTCTTTGGCTAGGTGGAAGGATTCGGAGACAGCGCGAACGGTGTGCCCGCGGTTGGTGTCTCGAGCTACATCTTCGTATACGGATTGGACACCGATCTCAAGCCGTGTACAGCCGTAACGGAGCATTTGACTAACTAGATATTTAGCATACTGGTCGCAAAGACTCACTTCGCTGCTTACCTCAAATGTGGTCTGAGACAGTAATCCGGTCGGGTTTCAATGGTAATACCGATAGCCTTCGACCTGCTCTGCTCAGAATAGCTTTAACACGGAAATATAAGTGCACGGCCGTACTGGTTCAGTCCATATCGTGACATACCGGACAGCTTCATCCACGTCGAGGCCGGTGAATCCAGAAAGTGCGTTATGAAGTTGGGCGATGAACTTGTTCCGATAGTCTTCGGGCATGCTCATGAAGGTGCCTCCCATGATTATGAACTCAACCTAAATGAATGTCGGGACTTGCGTAGTGATTCGAAAGTGCAAAATCACCGTTGCATACCTTGTCTACATTATGTCCCAAGCTCTTCAGTTGCTCCACTCGTCCTCTTGTCTGCTCGTACGGATCGTAACGCGCACGGATCGCTCGCATACTGGTAGGCTCATATCCGGTGTAACTTTGCGTGCTGTAGTCGAAGTCAGAATCCGGACCTCCTGGGCAGTACCTGCACACGTTCAGGACAACTCAACAAGATACCAGCGTGAGGACATACACGCATATATTACCCGTCATTGCGATATGCGGACACCGATGCGGTTTACACATCACGGCAACTACTGCAATCTGACCGGTCGGTCAGCATGTCTGCGCATGTACTGGATTTATCTGCTCACCCCACTTGCTGTCCGGATGGGACGTGCCTTTAGCTTTGGCAAGAGAGCCTTCTTGTAGTCATCAGGAATGGCACTGATGATGTCCACCAACCGTGGTACACCCCCAAATCCATATTTCTTGCTCATCTTTGCTCGCAGCTCGTTCAACGAGACTGTTTGGTTCGCATCGTGCGCCTTAATCAACTCTGCCGCAATTCCAGAGGTAACTCTCAGTAGTTGTTCGGCCTGGGACGGACCTGAGTGGTTTTCGCCTGAATCAACCGCTGGTTGACGAAACTATAGCTACACATACCCTCAACTTTCGTTTTCTGTACCATCGCTTCTGAACCAGCTACCAGAAGTTCACCAGAGTTTATTTTCTTCTTGTGAGTAGTGAACCGGCCAGAAGCGGTCTTAATGAGTAGTATCAGCGACTTGCAGAGCCAAAATTGTGCCTGAGACAACTTCCAGGAGACAATATCGGGAGTGCGGACGAGAGATCGTGCTCGACTCGGACGTGCCGCACGGCTCGCGGGAATGATCAACCGCGGTCTCCTTTACTCTCCATCCATCTACATAGGTCTTCAAGCTTCAAGCTTAAAGACAAGGCGAAGTTTGAATCGGGTTCTCTGCATCGGTTAGTTGTCGATGATTGCTATCGTTCATGCCACCTCCAACTTCCGTCGACTCGTGGCTCACCGCTCGTCGCTTCGGGATCGTCATTGACGCAGGATCTTCTGGCTCGAGACTACAAATCTATAGCTGGAAGGATGCGCGTGCCATGCAGGGAGCCGGCATCGCACTAGATACCCTGCCGAAGGTAGAGAAGGGCACACTGGACAGTGAGGAGTGGTCCATGAAGGTTGAGCCCGGTAAGTGGTTTACACCCTGCAATGGAACAAATATCTTCACCCATCATTGTCGCATATGTAGGCATTTCATCCTTTGCCGACAACCTTGAGGGAGTTTCAGGTTACCTTGCGCCCCTTCTAGAACATGCACGGACTGTCATACCACCGTCCTTGGAGCCCGAGACGCCTCTCTTTCTACTAGCTACTGCAGGGATGCGTCTCTTGAATCCGACGCAGCAAGCCGAGGTCTTACAGGCTACGTGTCATTTCCTCAGATTTCACTCCAATTTCCGCATAGACGATATGTCGCCCGCGGGGCCTTGCGGTTCAAGCGTGCGAGTTATCACTGGGGAAGCGGAGGGTCTCTTCGGATGGATTGCGGTCAACTATCTCATGGATGGGTTCTCTGCTTCTGGCAGTGAACTCCCCACATACGGCTTCCTAGACATGGGTGGTGCCTCCACACAGATTGCCTTTGAACCAAGCAAAGAGGCACAGGAAAACGCTCAGAATTTGGCAGATGTCAGGTTACGTCTACTGAATGGCGAAGAAATCATACACAAGGTATTCGTGACTACGTGGCTGGGCTACGGTACGAACCTGGCAAGGGAGCGTTACGTCGGTCAAACTCTCAGCGAGTATGATTCGAACCGCACTTCTTCGTCGACCCAGGACAGGATCATTCTTGATCCGTGCTTACCCAGAGACCTGCAGCTAACCGAGTCTCCTGCACATCTGGACTCGTCGAACGCGCCGTCGAAAATACAACCCACCCTTGTAGGGACAGGTTCATTCGAACAGTGCTTGGAACGGACTCTTCCGCTCTTGAACAAGGAAGCTCCATGTCCGGATGAAAATTGTTTGTTCGACGGAGTATACGTTCCGCCCATAGACTTTTCCGCATCGAACTTCATTGGCGTCTCGGAGTACTGGTATTCATCGGAACACATTTTCGGCTTGGGAGGTGCATACGACGTCGTACAATTTGAGCGGGCAGCATCCGAGTTCTGCGCACGCAATTGGGATGATATCGTGCGACACCACGAGAGCTCACAGCAACAGGGGAAATTAGGCGGGGCTGGGGAGATCCAGGTACACGGGGAATTCGCAGGTGCGGGGGTATGGGGCAACAAAGTCAATATCTCTCGATTGCAGATGCAATGCTTCAAGGCAGCTTGGATCGTCAATGTCCTGCATGAGGGCATCGGCTTGCCTCGCATTATTGATGCCGGAGGAAACAGTTCTACAAATGGCGACAAAGTGGCAGAGCAAGCGGCGACCAAAGGTCTTGGCCGACCCGCGTTCCAGTCTATGGATACCGTTGGTGACATCGCCATCAGTTGGACGCTCGGGAAGATGGTGTTGGAAGCGAGCAAGGAAGTGACCCCCTTCTCGGCGTCCGTTCCACCACTGATCGATCCACTCAGCAATTCGCCGAGTGTAGTCAATTCACCCTCCAAATCACATCTCCCGTCATTCTTAGACTTCGAAGCAATTGAAGACCGAATATCGCACCGTCTTCCAATTTCTCTTACGAGACAATCCTTGGGCTTCTCCCCTGTTGCCACTCTCTTCTATCTCACCGTTATCGCCGTATGTCTGGCGGTCATGTACCGCTTGAGACACCGCGTCAGAAGCGCCGTACGTCGAATAATTTACAGGAAGGATCGCGGATACACTCTCGAAGGTTACGCCATGGAGGAAGGGCGGGCGCTGAACGGAGGTTCTCAGTTGCGTATGTCACGGTCGTCATCGCTGTTGCGTATATCCTCCCAAATCCTCCAGCCTCTGAAAACACTCTCCTCATCCTTGGGATCACGTAACCATCACCCACCATCCATCGGCATCACCGTTACGAGCCGCCATCCGACCCGCTCAGGACAATACTCACCTTCTCGTGTTTCGCCTCTGCGCTCGTTGTCATACCCTCCACAGAAACCTCCACTGCTCAGCCCTATCGATGCTCCAAATGGGACTGCTACAGCATTCGTACCCGGGTCCCCTCGCCTCCAGGATGGAAGCATTGTTTCCAATGGCAGTCTTGCATCGCTCACATCACGCTCTCGAAATTCTTCGCAAGTGAACCTTGCAGTTTTGACTCCTCGACAGACTATCTCGAGGGCAAGTAGTGGCGCGTACCGGCTGAGCGATCGCTTCTGGAATGAGGCCTGAGGTTTGATGCACGATGACTCTTGATGTTATTTTATGCATTTTATGTGAACGCATAAGACTACACTATGTTCTATTGCACATTTGTTTCCTTACGGACTCGTCAGCATCGAACTGCTCAGTGACTCCAGAAATAGATACCCTGCCGCCCTGCCCTCGCCGATGAGACCGTTACGTGTGGAAGTGAGAGCTCACTGCCGGAAACTTGGCAGAACGTACCTACCAGGAGCATGCCACGAGTCGCCTATCTCTCAGTCTACTCAACTGACGTCTACCAGTTGGTTGGGGCTGCAAATGCCAAGCAAACACGGGTAATTGGTTCCTTTCGACAGAGGCCTCGAGATTTTCTATATCTCATCCCATGTGGACCATCCTGCCTTCCGCATTGGCATCGCTTTTGGGTTGACCAGGAAGATCTCCTAGAAATACCCACCGTTGAACGTGAACCAGAACCAACTGGCTTGATAGGGCTGACACAATTTTCGGCTGCTAGAACCTGTCGCGTACTCAAGGCCGATGACTTCTACCCATCGGTCTGTCTGATCTACCTATGCGATGAATATTGGTGACAATTCCCCAGGAATTCACAGAAAGACCCGCCACAGGTACTGTGGTGACTGTGCACCCCGGCATCGGTAAGCAGTTGTGTACCTTCTGACTTGTTCATAAATTGGCCCATTGTGCTCAGGCAAGACGTTATTCTTGTACTGTCTTTTTGTTGCGTTTCAAAGATCACCTTGTCGCAGTGCTCCAGCTGGCCGAAGGAATTTACCTGTTCAAGGAGGACGGTGCTTTCCTCATTAAACCTCAGCATAGGCTGCCGGAGAAGACATGGGTTCTTGTTGACTCCTTAAAGCAGAGGCAAGCACCGGATCCAGATCGCATGAGCGGGGCCCATGAATATCCGCCCATGTTCTAATGGAACTCTTTAGTTTCCAGGAGATCCTTACCCAGACCAGCATCCTACTAGCCGTACTTTCCAGCAAAGCGTTCAAACGGAGGTGGATCTCTATCGATTCTACGTCATGTATGGCTCCGGATATAGGAGTTTTAGAGGTGGCACCAGCGGGGATTGGCACGGCCTGCATGACCGTCCGGGACGGAAATCGCATCCAGAGGGATATGGCGGATTGCCTGGGTGGATCCACGCTGGCCGAAGCCGACGAGATAAAGGACTCAGTCGCGTACATGTTCGAGTATATGGGGCATTGGGAGGACGAAGAGTAAGTTCAGAGGTGTGTACATTCAGCTGGTAACATTATTTTGCTAGCGACAACGTCAACCTTTTGACGTTATAACAGTTATGAGACCAGCTTACCTACACCAGGATTCAATATTCAACTGTTGCAACCGGTGTTTAGGCTTAATACTCTGTCACTTCACCGCCAGCGCTCACATACAGCGACGCCCACTGCCCGAGAACAATATTTGGCTTATGCGGGAGAGTTATCTGCGCTGCTCGCGACGAGTTGTGACGGAAAGTTTTTCGTACTGTATATTCAATGTCTGCGCTGCGCTGACTGGATCGAAGACGCGTCGTGCATCACGATAGATGTCCATATTAAAACTCAGTACTCAGATCTTACTCTTACAGCCGTTTGCAGATCGACACTCGTTCTGTAAAGTTGTGCAAACGGCTGTAATCCGCGGGACTAATAGACAAGTATAGCCTGAACAGGTTGACTGAATGAAGGTTACAGCTAGTTGCGGCTTACAATGTTTTCGACAGTTTCCTTACGATCTTGAACTGCTGGACGATCACGCGCTTCCTGACATAAGGATTGCGACATTTGCGTTGAGCAGATCCAGTAAAGCTTCTCTTCTCACGTACGCCAATGAAAGTATATTTCATATTGATTTTTCTATCTCTGCCGTTGCCAGCTACGATTCGGGGCCGTTAGCCGAGCCTGTGGGTGAGAGACGCGGCTATTTACATAAGTACCACCTAGAGTGCATTTGGTCGGTGTTGTGCCCATGTCCGATTGCCAAGAAGCCGTGCAAAGTTACGAACATCCCGAGTGATAGATTGGATTCAGCGTTCCTGGTGAGAATAACTACGTATGCCGTGGGACTTCAATATTTAAATCGCAACTCATTGCCAGCTGCGCAGACCCTTCATTGTTTTGAATTTTCCATTCAAGCAACAGATGAATGCTACATTCCATGGCGTAGTATGCAGTGCACGAACAGGTACAAAAATGAGATTGCATCCAGCAATAAATCAATTCCATTAGTTTCAGACCTCATGCCTTCCGGGGGCGAGATCTCGTACCACCCCCTCGAGAACTGGAGGCAGGTTGAGATGTCGTTGTGCGGGATTTGCCCTTGAAAGACAACATGTTTCCGCCAATAGCCTGCTTCATTCGCACGATGTCATGCACCCAATTAGTCTCCTGAGATTGAGTCAGAGCGATGGCATGCAGCCGTATCTCTTCCTCCGGTGAGAGGAGGTCAGGCGCCATGCGCTCGCCAGATCGCCAAAGCAGCAGCTGCAGCACAGCCTCATGAAGCAACACGTTCGTACAGTACTGCACATACAAGCGGGTCAACATTGTCCCCCTTTAGATGTTGTGAGGAGAAACTGACCGTGATCTTCTCAATAGAAGATAAGTCCATGAAAGTGGTCGTTGGACGAGAACGTGGGATGTCGTCTGAGGGGCCGTCAGTTCCGGTAGGATTTGACGGCACTTCTTCGTCCATCTCGAAGTCCTGAGGGCGACTGTTGGATTCACTTCGCCTTATCGGTCAAGCACGAACTTACTGGAGTGAGATCGACCACGCTGGGTGAGTGCACGGGTTCAGGAGGACGCGGGTCCGCTTCCGCTGAACCATGCTGCCGAACTGTCAGAAACCGCATGCACTAGGAGACCAGAAACACAACGTACCTCATTCTCCATGTGCTTCTCGGAGGCCCCTGACGGAGACATAGAATTGGACCGTTGTTGCTACGGCACTGTACAGATTAGCTAAACCTTGATATAATTCAGTCGAACCCACCTCCGGTCCTTCTTCCGGGGATACAAAAGAAGACGGTGGTCCGTCCGGTGGCACCAGCACCTATGTCAGTCGTCAACGTCAGGTAGTCGTGAGTAAATCCGATATGTGTACATACATCTGCAACTGCGGCCGACGCCGACGACGATCGGCCATCAAATTTGGTATTGACTTCGTGGTTTCCGTCTGCCTGCATGTTCTAAATTTTGGAATATAACCATGAACACAACAAATGCAGAGAAAAACGTATCACTATGCACATGGCGACTTACCACATTTTCGGCGCCTGCTCCATGGTCTCCGGGCGATGAAGCTACTGTACTAGATGGCTCCCCGCCATCTGCAGAGATGTCCAATTCCTCTCTCCTCTCCCTCCTCCTTACCCACCGCCTCACAAGTTTGTCGAGTTCTTCTACTTCTCTCTGCGACAAACTGCCTCTGTCATGGCAGGTGTCGCACACCTTCTGCCTTGCAGCAGCCCCGCGCATGAATCCATCATGGCGGTCGTTGGCCGGCTCATACTTTCCGTCCATGACAGCCAGGAGCACGGGCTTCACGTACCTTAGCTGCTCCTCCAGCAATAGCCTGTATGCGAACTCCTCCGGGGCAGGAATAGTTGGTGGAGGACTTGCCACTCGTAAGTCAGCTTCTTCATTCGCATTCATATCAGAGTCATCCGCTCCTGCATCGGACGAGGCCTGATCCTCATCCATCCCGTAGTTGTACTTATCTTCGCCCAGCTGTAGCAGCATGTAAGAGTAGAGAGTGAACTGGGAATCCATATCACTCACTTGGCATGTCTCGAAACCCTGGTCACCTTCGGTAAAAAATTGGCTTGTGTCAAGGTTCTTGATCATTCCGTCGTAGAACTGGACCTTGTACCTCGGTTTTTGCGTTCGTTTTGTGGGCGTGATATACTCTAGCAGCTGTGCAGGCCAATAAACCGTGTGATGGCGCATCTCCTTCGCGAGGGCAGGCTCGCCAGGTAAGGTGTACATCGGGTCGCACGATGGGGCTCTCCAGCTCTTCTCAGCTAGCTCAGCGTCAGATTCGCCAAACACGCTCACTGCAGGACTGCCATCCCTGGTGTGGGGAGATGCGCCATTCCCGGTATACGCCGATAGCATCATGGGGAGGCCGTCGTTGTCATCCTCGTCTGTTTTCAACATCAGTTCGCGGCCGGCTATCCACCTATTCTCCAAGTCGGTTTTTTGCTTCTTCCTTGGTGAAGCCAGTGGGCTGCCCAACCGCGCCGAACGCCGAAAGTTTCCCTCGTTAAAGCGGAGGACACCACCAAAGGTCATCGAGAGTACATTACTTGGCGACGGCACGAAAATACGCACATCATCTGTGGAGTTGGGGCTGTCCCCGAAGAGCGACAAGCGTAAGGGTATCCTTGCATGAGTGACCTGAGCACCTTTGAGTGCTATCCAATATCAGAAATATGAATGCACTGCACCTTTGCTGGCCACCAAATGGTTTCGATGTCGTCGTCGTCTTGCTCGACAACGTCTCCTTCGGTGTTCAGCCTGACAAAAACAAGAGAACCGAGATCTGCCAGGGTCCACATTTCCAACTCATCCATATGTTGATACCGAGCGTGCGACAAAGTGAGTGGCTGCATTTGTGATGAGGGCGGAGGCGCAGCTTCGGGAGAACTGTTGATAGAGATGACTGACCCACGACGCAACAGAGAACTGGGCCTGCTTCTCGACCGTCTGTGAGCAGAGGGATCGGTGGGAGGTGGAGAGGACAAGGGTGTCAGGACACTGGGCTCGGTAGGGAACAGAGAGCGTGCGGATGAAGAACCAGACCGCGCACGTTTGCGAGAGGTATAGACATCTCGCACACTCGATTTGTCGGCGCGCGTACTAGGGCCGCTGGTATCTGCTTTGAACAGTGATGCGCGCGTCGTACGGGTAGACCTTTCCTCCCTGTACATAACATTAGCGGCGGGTTTCTTTCTCTGCATAGCCTGCGCATAGACATACTTTCTCGGTGACTTTTTCTGAGCTTGTGTGAACAGACTAGGAGCGGACGGGGATAAGGAACGATCGGTATACGAGACGGAAGGAGACCTATTGCGGGGTGGATGGGCACTTGGTCCAACCCTGCTCCGCGTCATTGGTCCGCTATGGTTCTCCGAGATAGTGGTACGTCTCTTACGGATGGATGGCTTGGAAGCACTACCACTGGGGAGAGCCGCCGTAGAGGTCTTTTCATGCAGAGCCTGTATACCACCATCCTTGCTCAAGGATGCTGACTCCTGCTCCGAGTCTGTAAAAGGAGTGAGGCTACTCCCACTGACAGACATATGTGATGGGGTGTCGAGCCGGATGGAGGCAAGCAAGGAAGGACGATCCCGCGCCGCATTCATGCTCGCCTTACGGGACCGTGCTGGCGCCACAGGCATCGGTGACGGGTGCCGAGGAGCCTTCTTCGGTGAGTTCCTCTTACCTTTGCCTCCATAAGTGATCTTTACTCCCCCCTTTCCCCTGGTGGGCTCCCCGAACGTCGAGTCTCTGTCCGAGATTGGAGAGCTGTTCAGCTGTTCCGCGGTCAGCTTCGAAGCCTTTCTCCCAGCAGCGCGGGATGGCACCAGCCTATCGGCGAGTGACGCGTCATCGCGTTCAGCCATCGTCGATGCCGAAGACTCTGGAATGCTGGAGATGCGGGTCCGGTTCGTCCAGCCGCCAAATGGCACACGATGAACCGTCAATGAGCACAGACTACGAGTACAGATTCAGATTATGGCTGGGGAGCGAAACAGGGATGATACAGCCCCACAGCCCCACAGAAAGGACGGCAGAGGTGGTGAAAGGTTTGTCGAGCGGCTGCCAGTAGCAAGGCAGGGGGCAGCGTGACAGGCGACGTCGCGTGTAATGCGCCAACAACGCGTCCGTCACATCGTGACATTGTGTACCGTGCCAGCAAGTTCAGCGCCTCACCACCCAAGCTCAAGAGGCGGCTACATCAGCTAGCTATGTGACAGAAGGCCTCCGGGAGGGGGGAGTGGTCGGCCTATGTTCGTCGAATCTCAACAAAAGGTCCGGAGCATGCCTGCCCTGCCCTTGTCTGTCATCCATGACACGATGTTGTCGCGTTTAGTAGCAGTTCAACTAACTCCGTGACTACTCCTTTCCATGGAGTCCCAGACTTTTCATGTACAACAAAGCACTTGCATTCAATGATACTTATCGTTGTCTCGCCAAAAAGGTCCTGACCGCCTCTTGCCCAAGCCGATAGGTATTTAATGCGGTCTATATCGAAGATTCATAGAAATTGCATGTGTAGGCATTCAGTCGAGATCGAACCGTCAACTGTTAACCCAAATACCCCAAATTAAATGACGCATGTACCTAGTGATGGAAGTTTTTACATCAATCAAGGTCATAACTCTCTTGACATCCGCAAACCCAGAATCTCAACCCAAAATAAAAGGAGTGGAGCGGCATGTGCTGCCGTCTTCAAGCAAGGAATGCGGCGGCGAGGCCTGCCGCGGCCAAGGCAACCAGAGGGAACGACTGCAGACGCACGTCGCCGTTGGCAGTGTGACTGGGAGAGCTTGAAGAACTGCCGATCGCGGAAGCGGAGGGGGTAGAGCCCGAAGGCACAGACGTCATTCTTGAAGGCACTGACGTCGCGCCAGGCTGCGACGAGCCCGCACCTGCGGTGCCGGTAAGAACAGGGGAGCTGGATGGATTCGCAGCGGGTGAGCCAAAACCTGCGGAAGACGAAAGGAGAGGATATTCCCCAATGGTGACGTACGATTGGCCGGACGACGGAGCTGGAGTCGCGGTTGCGGCGGCTTGTACGGCGAAGCCGCTTGCCTGCTCGGTGATCACGGTCGAAAGCGTGGTCTCCGAGTCGACGATGATGGCGTCGCAGACGGCGACTCCATCCGCGACCGCGCAGTTCTCCTGGATAGACAGGCCCATGGTTGGATCAACGTACACGATATTTGCGTTCGAAGGGCCCACGGCGAGTGTAGCTGCGATCGCGTACATCATCAGCAGAGTGCATCGGAAGGCCAGACGGTTACGCACCAGGTCCATTGAACCCTAAATCTGTGGGAATGGTTCCGCTCGGGACACCAGGCGCAATCAACCAAGTGGTGAGGCCGTCGGATCCGACACCGATTTCCTGTGCAGTGACGGGCTGCGCGTCGAAGCCTGGAATGTACATCGACGAGTCCGCCGCCACATCTGTAAGTAGAGTAAGCTTATTTTTTCTCTGACCCTAGGCCTCCAAAAGTATCTGAAACATACAAGGAAGGAGTGTTACCAAAGATAGAAACACAGCGAAATGACTCGCAGACTTCATGACGATGTTATTGAAGGAGTGTGATCGGTTGGATTGACAGGAATGTACGCGCGAGCAAAAGCTGGACAAAAAACTGGGATCCTTGATGCTGGTACCTGGTGTTCTTATACTTACGTGCCTGGACCAGATAGACGCGGAGGGTGGCTTAACCCGGACCTCGGCATCAGGTGAGTCACAATGCAAATCCGACCCACGCGGGGTGAAAAGGCCTTCAAAGGCATCAAAGTTGTTGGCATGGAGCACATCAGAGTATCATAGAGACACAACAGCTTGAAAAACGGACGAGTTGGAGAGCGCAACGACGAATGGGGAGTCGATGGAGCAGTCGATTACTACCATTGCCATGTATGGATATCCGTGCACTCCGCGGTGACCGACGGCATCTCCCGGGGATTCGCTTGCGATATTGTTCATGCGCCCCGGGTCGATCTGGGCAATGCAGCCGCTGAGAGGGTCGTGGAGATGACGGGAATAACAAGCTTCATCAGGTACACGCGTAGAATCACTGTCGAGTCGGTAGAGAGAGAGCCTCTTCGTCAATGCGACCACCACCAGAAAATTGCGGGGCCAACGGATCAAAGAACGAGATTCGCAACTCGAGACGGATTCGATCTCCGAGTCCGTCGCGTCGCGGAAAGCAAGAGCAGCGGATTCAGGGCACACTTCGTCAAAATCCCGGAAACAGGCCAACTCATCTAGACTAGTCTCGGGGCGATGATGCGGCTCGGATTTGCCTCAGGGGCACGATCTGACCTCTACCAAGCCCATGGAGGACTGACTCAGGTCTGAGAAATCGTCGATACGAGCAGGCGGAGCAGCATGGACTCGATCAACCATCTTCGTGACTTGCTTAGTGAACAGGAATTTCTTTGTAAAAGTGTGAAGATCTCGTAAGTTGTGTACGCCGCTGCCAGCATGCTTTCTACCTGTGGTCCTGTGGTCATGAGAGCGGCTCGGCTAGCGATCTCATTTTTCCTCGTTGAGCGGGATAAACTAAGCACCGATGCGGTACGATCAGCGCAGCCGATCCTAGAAGAGGACCTTGGCTGAATTTCTACCGTGACTGCGTCAAACACTGCGACTGAATTCAGATGAGCTCAGTTGGTGACCACTCGCTTCTCGTCTGCAAGCTCACGAGCACTGACATGGTCTCGCAGTGGCCACTCAGGAGTCCAAGCCTCGACGAGTGAGCTAAAACCGCCCACCGCGTTGCGCGGGAACTTGCGCGGGCTTAGTAAAGCGAGATTTGTTCTGCGGCGCGCTGGTTTGCTCTCCTGTGATGACTTCGGGAGGGAACGTAACGCTCGTAGACCAGGATGATCGCAGCGAAAGTATCCGTGACGATGGGTTGAGTCGATCCGGGGCAGCACCCCGCATTTCGTGCAGCTTCGAGTGACAATGAATATTTCAGGGAAAGGGCGTAATCATTTCCGGGGATCTAACTCGCTGTAAGATGTGGAACAAAACTTGTGCAGCAGGATGAAGAGACGAGGCGGGACCGAAAAGGTCCGACGGAACATAAGCGCGCAGTTTAGGACGAGCATGTGACGGCCTGCGTGTCTGGCATGAGCAGCTGTAACTCCGTGCATCTGGTCATCCTTCTCACCATCTACCGCAAACACCATTCATAATCTGCTATTAGTATTCTGCTTGTTTACCCCTTCTTTACTTTCGTCCGTCTTCCCCCGTCGTTTGCATTCTCTCCTCGTCGATCTGCGTCGTCTGTGCTTCATCTCCTGTGTTCTTTCGCTGTCTGCTCCGTTTTGCCTTTTCTCCGAGCCGTCGACTCTTTCTCAGTCTTGCACGAGCCGATCTACGTCAGAACGCCCCACTTCTGCAGGTGCACACCATCCGAACAAAGTCCGCTCGACTTCGAGCGATTCCGAGGCGCGCTAATTCTCGTGCAGCACCGCGGCGCAGCACCAGCACACCGTCCTCTACTTCTCTCCATACAATGTCTCCGTCGCCTGCCGACTATCCTGGAAACTATCCGCATTCGCTACAGGATCACTCGCATTACTCAGCACAGCAGATCGCCTTGCACCACACCCAGGACCACCTACTCCCGCAGCAGTCTCCGTCCCCGACCATACCCATTGATCCCACGCTTTCCCTCTATCCTCCACACTTCTACCAGTACCAACACTCACAACATCACATGCCTCCGCCGCCACTTGCCCTGTCTGCCAGTCTTTCCTCCCCTTCGTCCCAGTCGGAAACGGTGGCTACTCCCCCTAATGACCACATGTCTATTGCGTCTGCGAGTTCAAACGGTAAGCGTCCGGCGCCAACCTCGTCCGTCGATAGTCGGAAGAAGGCGAGGAAGGATGACGATGCCGAAAGCATTGTTAGTCCGACCAACGAAAAGGGCGAGGAGCCGAAAACGAAGCCCACGCGTGGATCCCGGTAAGCTCGCTTGACATAATAGACAACCTGCAGTGTGCAGAGCTATCTTCCGCAGAGCATGTACGGTATGTAGGCGCCTCAAGATGAAGTGTGTGGGCGCGGAAAATGGTCCGCCGTGCAAGCGCTGCCAGGCCGGCAATCACGAATGTATTTTTGAAGAATCCAATCGGGGGAAGCGTTCCACCAAGTGAGTATCTCGGCCTCACAGCGATATCTCCGAACGCTGAACGATTGTAGAAAACATGAAGTGCTCACGCGCTCCCTGCGCAAGATGGAGCGCACCTTAGACACCATCTTCCGCTCGTTGGGTACACCGGGAGATGTCATTTCGCGATCACCCTCTCCTACCCTCCCGGTACAGCCTACGCATCCCCTCCTCGCCACGCCATCCCCTCCCCCATCCCCTGGTCCCTCACTGGAATCACATCCGAATGGGCGTGGTTCATCCGAACATCACCGACCCATGTCGCCCAAACTTCCTCAATTACCGGACGATTCGCTCAACCCGCTGGGATTGCTCGCAGAAGCAAGCCTCGCGAATCGTCGTGCGCAAGCGGGGAACAAGTCTGATCACTCATCTGTCTTGTATTCGAGGTCGACCGAGCCGTCAAGAATGGGCGTCGCTAGCGACGTATATTTTAAGCCTGGTCAGCCGGACGTGTTTTCACTACTTCTTGAGCTGAGTAGTCTTGACAGGCCCTATGACTATTTTGCCTCTGCGCCGTTTGTACATTGAACGGCAGATTCAGCCGGAAATGCTCAGCTTCGTATCTACAGAAGAGGTTGTGGCGCTTTTCAAAATGTGAGTGGAACGTGTAGCCTGCGCGAAGGTACTCAATAAAGCGCCATCTTTCTAGCTACTTTGATCACATGAACGTATGTCTTACATTCTCGTCTCTCTGTATATCCGTAAAATTTCGCCCAGATGCATTGCGGCATTCTCGACCCCGACTTCCACACACCGGCTCTAGTCTGCTCGCGATCACCCTTCCTTCTAACGACCAGTGAGTTCTTCTTTAGTTTATGCTTCATTTTGCATGCGAACTTCCTCCACAGTCTGTGCCATTGCGTCGCGTTTCTACCCCGAGCGCGCGGAACTGCACACCAGACTTTCCGAGCTGACGAAGAAGCTGGCCTTCAATGTTCCTGCCAAGGGCTACAAGTCTGTTGAGATTGTCCAAGCGTACCTCCTGAATACATACTGGGGATGTGGTCCAGTTGAGCGCTTCGAACAAGACAGGACCTGGCTTATGCTTGGGATGGCGATCAGGTGCGCTGTTTTCTCATTTTTTGTCTTCTACCGTCCAGACTGCACAACATGCCGAGCCAACCCTCTGCATTTTACCATGATATTTTCCGCAACCCTGAACGTGATTTGTGACGCATCAATCTTTTTACGTAGAATGGCGACGGACCTGAACTTGCATCGACGTACCGTGTCGACTGGACACGAGACAGACGAGGGTCGGCCGCGCGACATGGAAGTGCACAACCGTGAGCGGACGTGGATCGCGTGCTTCTGCGCCGACCGGAGCTTTAGTGCACAGATGGGCAAGCCGAACACTATCAAGGAAGAGTGAGTGCACTGGCATTGGCTCTCTCACGGGCGCTGATGATGTCATGCCATTCGTTGCAGTTTCGTCATCCGGAACGCGTCGAAGTGGTCGCGCTCGCCAGTAGCCATTCCGGCTGACTTCGCGTTGGCTGGTTATGCGGTATGCTATACCGTTCCTGCCGTTACTCTCCCTGCTGAGAGAACGTCGTAGGATTTGTTACGTATCGTGACTCGCAGTCTTGACTTGCTGTACTCCGGCATGAGTACGTCGTCGGGGCTCCAGCAGGATTGTGACTACTTGCTTGTAATCCAGACCATGGAAGCGCAGATTCTTGCCTGGCAACATGAATGGTGCAAGCCCATTTGTAGGTGTTCCTAGTTGTCTCTCAAATGTGTTCTGTGCTAAAATGCGACTGTGAGCCAGTCCCAGAAGAGCGCACCCGGCGGTGCGCGTATACCCTGGCGCGATTTTACTTTCACTACGCCATGCTCACGATCAACTCGTTTGGGCTGCAAAACGCGTTGCAGCGATCTCCGGTGGACATTGGCCATTTTTTTGCCCGATGCCATTCGTCCGCAGTGGGCTGCATGAATGTGATCCGCGACGAGCTCGGGCCTCTGGGTTCATTGAAGTACTCGCCGGATTCGCACTTCGTACAGGGCGCGTATGCTGTGCTCAGTCTACTCAGGGTAAGACTCGCGTTTCATTTTATCGTGCACGGGACCTTAGATTTGTCCGTCTTTTATCACGTCCAGCTCCTTCGACCCGAGTTCAAGGTCTTCCTCGAACACGAGCAAAAGACGATCGACCTGGTCACTGACATAGCGAACATTTACGACAGTGTCGCCGTTGGCCCTTTGCACACCCCTGCATTGTACAGCTGCTTCCTTCGGGCCCTCATCAACGCACGGACGAAGCCTGCAGCGTCAGCCGATGCTGATAACGAAACCCCAGAGTTCGCAGCCCCCGCCGTCGAGGAGATGCCAGTGTCCCCGTCTGTGAACGCGCAACCGACAGGCCTCGCCTCCGGCAGCGACGCACTGCAGGGATTCTTCTCGACGAGCGAGATGGGCCCGGTGGCGGACATATCGACGTTCCCGCCGACGATGGCGCCGGGGCCGTCCACGATGGACATGAGCATGCTGTCGATGGACAGCATCCTGAGCGCGGACTTCTGGGACAGCGTTCTCGTGCCAGGTCAGTCTGGCTGGACCGCTGCTGGACTACACGCGTTCTGATCTTCGCCCACGGCGGTGGTTGTCGGTTTTTCTCATTTCTGGCAGGGTCGAGCAACTCGATGGAGAGCCTGAGTAACGGCTTTGTTTATGGCGCGGGCGGCACGGGGCTTATCACGCCGCGGATGTGGATGTCCCCCGTCCCGTCCTCTGCGAACTCCCCCCATGCGCGTGGGGGCGACGTTGGACACGGGATAGAGTATGCACAGGACAAGGCTGGTGCTCCGTTTGAGGTGGCTCGGGCATAGATGGAGAAGTACAGATTAAGGTAGCGTAACACTATATAATCCCGGCCATATCATTCTTGGTTGTTGGACTGGATTATTAGTATTATTGTATTTAGTTGTGAGGTTCTGCATGTAATTAAGGACTCGCAACGTTCCATATCCCTCCGTAGCCATGGTCACGGTGACGTGCACTTCCTCTCAGCAGATCGTGAACGATTCTTTTAACATCTAGTAGATTCAATATCGTCCTATAACAAGTGAATGTGTCGCAAATGCATATGATCGCCAGTAACATTGCCCAAATGAATGCAAGATGCAAAAATACGAAATACCAGTAAGACCAGTATATATGGCTGCATGAAGAAAACAGATTCCACATATTACAATTACAGTATGGTTCAGGCCTACTCATAGGTCAAAACTTGAGGAGGGGAAGGTTAGACCAGTGTCCCGAGAGCCACCGTCATCGTCTGCGATGACCCATGTTCCGGATCCGTGGACGCGTCGGCGTCTCCTCGTTATTAAGCGGAGGCCGCAGTAACGTCGACGACGGACCAGGCATGTCCCTCGTCCTGGGCCGATCGCGACGTCCACCCTGCAGGAACATCTGCGCATCTTCCGCAGGGCCGGCGAACCGCCTGAACACGTCCTCCATGCGCGGCAGCTTATTGTCGTCTTCCACGGCGTCGTCCTCGAGCTCCTGCTCCTCGATCTCCGCGTCGTCCAGGTCCGATGGCTGCATCCCGTCCAGATCCTGTTCCATCGCGTCGACCTCCGCCTGATCATCCTCGTCATCGTCGTCATCATCGCTCGCTTCGTCGTAGATGCCGCCCGGGGGCTCGCCCAACCACTCCTCGTCGCCTGCCTCGTTCGCGAAGTCCCATACGTCGAGGACCGTCGCGTCAAGGCGGTTGCTCGCGGCGACGCACCAGCGACCCTCGAACACGACCTGCCACACACCGACGATGCCAGTGAGCAAGTCGCGTACCTGAGTGCCGTCGCGGATATCCCACATCTTGAGCGTCCCGTCGGACCCGCTCAGCACCTTGAACTCGTCGTGCTGGAAGCACGTGATCGCGCCGTTATGCGCAGCGAGTGTGTGGTGGCGCTCGCCCGTATCGGGGTCCCATACGCGCAAAGTTGAGTCCGCCGCGGCGGACACGAGGTAAGAAGGAGAAAGCCCAAGCAGACCAACAAGGGAAGTGTGCCCAGTGAGTGTGTGCTGGCATTCGCCTGTGTGGAGGTTCCATACGCGAACCGTGCCATCCATGGAGCCGGAGCATGCAAGATTTCGGTTGATATCGAGCACAACGCTGTACACTGAATTAACAGCATCAACAAAATTCAACACATCAATGTAGAGATGTCGGCATACCTTTCTGAGTGTGCCCGACCAGAACCCACTTGCAAGTGCCAGAAATGATGTCCCAGATTCGGACAGTGCAGTCGTAGCTACCTGATACCAATGTACGACCACGCGCTGCAAGGGCTCGGACTGCATGATCATGACCCTCCAGGTGAAGTTTGTGATAGGGGTTATCTTCCACATCCTCCTCGGACGGGTCAACCTCCGTATCGTCCGCTCCATAGCATCGGTACTCGATATCGCCCGGTTTCGGCAGAGTCCACACTCTAAGAGTATGGTCTCTGCTGCCCGTGACGATCAGCGGGCGCTTGGGCCACTTCTCTCGGGTGATGATCCCACCATCGTTCTGGACGTCAATCCACTCAGGCTTGACAATCGCCAGACATCGTACGGTGCTGGTATGCCCCCCGAAGACATGGGTACAACGACCTGTCTCGAGATCCCATATCCGCACAGTTCGGTCTGTGGATCCACTCACGAGCGTGTTCTTCGTTGCCGCAAGTGCCCAGACGCCACCCTCGTGCCCGTCTAGCGAGCGAATCAGCTCTCCCGTGTGGGGTGAATAGACGTGGATGGAGTGGTCGTCCGACGCAGATATGATGCGGCCGTGCGAGAAGATCAGACACGTCACGACCGACCGGCCGTGTGCAGTGAACGTAATTCGCTTCGGATTCTCGTTCTGTACCCACCGCGTGCGCGTGAGGTGCCGCGATTTGAACAGAATCTTATATGGGTGCGGAAGTGGGAGCGCGCCCGGTAGAGGCAGCCCTTCGCGGCGACGACGCGCGAACAACGCGTCCGCGAAGGCGGTCTCGGAGCCTTTGCCGAACCAAGTCTTGGTACCTTTTAGCAGGTCGCGCCAAAGTACGGGATCCGAATCGATAATGGCGCGCCAAAACTTGGACACGCGAGACGCACGCGCGAGGTCAGAGAAGGTCAGGTAGCTGAGCACTTGAGACACAAGTTCGGGAGGAAGGAGAGTGAGGAAGTCACGCGCCAGCGTTGGCGTCAATACGTTGTGCAGTGTGCGCAGTACAGATAAGGGAGAGTGTCGCAGGAATGTTAGGAGAACATGAGACTGCAATTGCGGAGGGAGACTAGAATAATGCGCCAGGAGCGATGGTAGGGTAAGTAGCGTCGCGAGTGACGCATCTGGCTGGACGGGCGCTTGAGGCTGTGGCGAGGAATGACCGCTCGGGGGTGCCGATGGCCAGATGCTCTCCGGCGGGGGAGAGCCATGGGGAGACGGGAGAGGAGACGGTGGCGCAGCGGAATTCATGCTCATACTCATATTCAGCATGGGAACAGCGGCCTTCGCCTTCTTGCGAGGGGGAGTGTTCGAGACGAGACCAGGAATGACTTCGATGCCCTCCATCATGTTCTCGTTGCTGTAGGACCTCTTTCGCCCATACCGCTCGATCGCCTCCACGAGGTCGACTTGCTTCCGCGCGTCGCTCTCGTCATGTCTAATCATGCGCCAGCCATTCCCACCAACAACCTCGTCATCTGGCATCTCCTCCTCAGACCCCTCGCCATCGTGGAATGTCGCGTGCGACCCGCCCGGGAAATCGAGAGGAAACTGTCTAAGAGAGCGAGGAAAACGCGCGTTGATGAGAGGATAAGTCTTGGGATCTTTAGGAGAGGAAGGAGCGGGAAGTGGGGGTAGCGGTATTGGGGCATAAGTTGTTGTCGTCGTAGTCGTCGTGACCACCCTGCGAGATGTCAGTATTCAAATGAACAGGATCTGGAGAGAAGGAGAGACATACGTGGTGGTGTTGACTGAGGGAGAGAGGTGGAGGGATGGCCGGGGTAAGGAGGCCATTGTGTTGGCGGTGGCCAAGCCAGGGAGAGTTGAGACAGATGTGATGAGCGAGCGCAACTAAGAAGACCGCAGCCACAGCGGACTTTCAATTTCAGGCCACAAGTCACCCTTTCTGGCCTGCTTCCTCTCTTTGGCCATTGTTCTCAGTGTAGAAATTTAATTCTCCTGTACTCCTTTTTTTCTTTGCGATACCACCTGTCCTTGCTTGCCTTAACGTCTCTAGCTGCCCCTAGTCTATAGCGGATCCAACTTTCGTGCTTGCCCCTATATAATCAGAACAACCCGAAATTACTCGCGTCACCTGGAGTATCTCGGAATGCATACTTGAGACCACTCCTCAGAGCTACAAAAGGGTATCGGGGCACATCAACAAAATCCGTGTGCTATCTGTACCGCGACGCATAATATCTGGTAGCGCTGCCACATTTTACAATCTTACTCTACCATGATCGCCGGTGAGCTGTGTCTCTGTTCCTATGGCTTTCTTATTTTATTCGCATTGGTTTATTCGTACGTCTTGATGGATCCTTGTATAGAGGTCTCATATTGCGCACCGTATCGCTATTGCCGACTCTGTTGTCTCACAATGATCATCACAGGGCATGTCACGCGAACCAACGCCCGGAGTGGGAAAGTTGTTAGCAACCTTGTGTACGATCTTCACTGTATCGTTGCGGTTGTCGTGCTCTCACTTTTCGTACTTTGAATTAATTTACTCGGGGCATGTGGTCTATGATATATGGTGCCTCGCAAGAAATAGTCTGCGCTATCGTGACTTCGTTCAATCGCTCTCCAAATTACAGCCACGCTCGTTCAGCTTGTCATATTCAGTCGCAGAGTAACTCGGTTACTCCATCTGCCTCAGTTACGTTCAGTATGACTGCTCTGGAAGCTGGTGTGGGACGATTTTTATTGGCAAATAATATATCCTTGACATCTCCGACTGTAAACACTGCAATTACAGAGTTGAAGCTAAGGCGACGTACGGCACTTGAGATATTCTGCACAGACGGACTACGGAGGATTCATGATCAAGATAGTGCCCTGGCTGTAAATTATAATAATCTCGATACTGCACACTTTGCGCCGCAGACACATCATCCAGAGATAGCGCAGAATATATTGTCACCAATGACATGGTCACTGGAACACGCTTAGATATGTCATCTGAGAAGCATTGTGCGTCCCCCGATCAGAGTTCTTTGCCTACTTAGAGTCGCAGCTGGGTGCTTCCGATACATCCAGGACAAATTGCCGGCCATATATTGACTTCCCCATCATTGGGGCCAAAGTACTCCCTGGATTCGAGCTGCGCCACAGTCGCGACGCGGTCACATGGTTGGTAGATGACGAGAAGCATGGACACACATTGGTTTATGGAGAGTGCGTTCTTCTAAGGAGCGAGTGCCGTCGTCGTGGCATCCACCGTCTGGTAATGACCGACGATAGCATTCCGAGTGCGGCAGCTTCACGCCTCCGCAGAGCAATAAGAGTACAACACCTTAGATTCTGCGAACGACAAATCTATGACATGCAACATGCATTATAAACCGTCTCAGTTGTTTACTTGAGACCGCAAATGCACCAATGGAGACGAACCCAGGTTACGCCGTGCAAACTGAGGGTGGCATCGGCTAGGCGCATTAGATACACGCCAGGAACCTGGAAGGTGTACGAGGGTGCAAATTCTGAGATCTTGATACATGTTCATTAAAAGCTGACCGGTAATCTCAGGCGGGCATTGCAGTTCGTCCATAGCCATTACGAATGGCACCCGCAGCAGCAGCTACAATACATGGGATGTAGAGCAGGAAGCTCTCACCGGCCAGTCATACAACACGAGCCTTGTAGATTTTGACGTCCTCTCGAGGTCTATCATGAAACATATAAATCAAATACGTACAAATGTCTGCTGAACCATGCGTACCTATCCTGTACGTCAGTTGCGACGGCGCCCAGTCGCTGCAGAACTCGCATCCCAGAAGACACTCGACCGAAGATTGTATGTTTATTATCCAGATACGGTGTTGGTGCCAAGGTCAGGAAGAATTGCGAGCCTTCATGACAGTAACGTTGAGAACCAGATCGCAAAACGGAGTGAAGTCAGGTACACACCATTTGTGTTCGGTCCAGAATTCGCCATCGCGAGTATCCCTGCACCTGTGAACCGCAGCTCTGGATGTATCTCGTCCTCGCTATTCTCTCGTCAGACACAGCAAGCAAAACTTCGTTTATACTCACAACTTCTGGCCGTAAATACTCGTTCCTCCTCTGCCTGTCCCCGTCGGATCCCCGGTCTGTACCATGAAATCCTAGATGCGGAGAAATCAAGCTCGGAAACGATGCACAAGAAACAGTGCACACAACCGACTTACTACAATGATACGATGGAATACAACACCATTGTAATAACCACGCTTTGCCAGTTCAGCAAAGTTTTTGCACGTCTGCGTTGCACGCCGAGAGGATTGGAATCATAAGTTTAGTGAAACTACCCGAGCGAGGCTTACTCGAGGGGCGTGATTCCAGTACAATTCCAGCTGAATATCACCCATGCTCGTCTCCAATACGACAGACTCCATAGCGAACGGGTAGAAGACAGCAGCAGCAAAAGAGATATGGTGGGGTTGAAGAACGCCTTCCACGGGCGCCAAATCGCACTTGAACTCTTTATTGCGTGCACCACATCATATGTACAGTCATGCGAGCTGTTGTTCAACGCGTAAGTTCCGCGTCGGTCACTGGTAAATACATGGGGCCACGAACTCTCAATAATCAACTAATGCTTTCCGTTCAGTTGGCAATGAGATCATATCTTCCATCTCTCGAGGTCTGATGGTCCTGGTCGGCATTGGAAAAGGTCATTTAATTTCTCTTCCAGAGAAGAACGAAGATTGAACGACTGCAAACTGCAGCATAGACGATACTACTGCCGATGTCGACATACTTACCAAGAAGATGTATGCAAGTCTTCTATTTATGCATGCCGCAGCAACCTGAGATGTTGCTCTTTAGTCTTACTCTGCGATTATTCGACAATGGCTCTGGAGGCATGTGGAAAAAGAGCGTGCAGGACATTGAAGGGGACGTTCTCTGTGTCTCCCAGTTTACTCTCCTAGCCAACACATCGAAAGGTAACAAGCCAGATTTTCATCGTGCCATGGTTGGTTGGCTTAAATTACTTCTCGGTCCTTTACACTGACAAATGTGGATTCTCTCCAGAGCTCAGAGCCCTCTCGCGAGATGTATTCCTTTTTCCTGGAGCGACTTTCAAAGTTGTATAACCCAGAAAGAATAAAAGGTACGCGGCTGAGCAGAATTGCTGTCTTTGACCAATTCAAGTTGTATTTCTTTTGGAATAGATGGACGCTTTGGTGCGATGATGGAAGTTCGCCTAACAAACGAGGTACATGCGGGTCCCGCTTTATCACAACTGTTCCTTCGTGAGACTGCTCTAACGTTACCCCTGCATTGGACGTACTACACTACAGGGTCCAGTAACCATCACCCTAGACTCGCGCAAGTTCGAATATATCGATGAACCGGCCAACAATACAACGGCTCAGAAAGAAGGAACCTCAAAAGAATAGAATGTTCCATGGCGAAAGAAGTAGACGTGCCCTACATCGTCCCCTGCATACCAATGGCATTGGATAGTGTGCGTTTATCCATGTTGATTTGTAATTGCGATGGATGGGTTTGTAAACATCTCATCCTGTTCACACTACATATTGGAGCACTGCCCGCTCGCGTCGCGCAAGTATCCCTGCAGTATCCAAGCAGGATCTGCTGATCCCGCATTTTTCATGGTTCACAACAGACTGCATATGCTCAGTGCAATGCAAACTGGCGCTTGCGCAGATTTCTCAACGCAAATGAGCACCATCACTACAACATATGAAAGTCCGGCCCCGACTGGTTCCCGGCACCACCATCCACAGAGCTCAGAAAATCTTAAATACCCTTATGATACAGTTTAAGTCATTCTTGTCAGTCCTTGCGCATTTCGTCTGGAATAAGACCCCCAGCTCTTCACAGCTCGTTTATTCGGCACCGCTGAAGCAGCGGTTGTGAGGTGAAACGCATCTATTCGGCATTTGTCAATCTCTTGGCCACTCAAGTGCCTCCTCCATATTCAGGGTCGTACCGAACTTGCAATTGGTCCACGGACACCCTCCCGAGATACTTACTCTTTCCCGAAATTATACCCCAGGATCCTTTAAAGCGGTGATTAGGTGCGCAACCTGGTATTTCGTCAGAGGTTGTGCGGTGCAGGGACTCGGCGTTTTGACGCAGTGAATGTACGAAGTGGATATGCGACTACCCAGTCAAACGTTTATCGGGAAGATTCTGGTCTTGAAAGCTTGACACTTTCTGTCAACCGAGACCATTTCTTTGCTATTCAATCCGCTGATGGTCTGGCAGTGCAGTTATTCATCGCGAACCGTAGAGTAATTGATGCGCTCAAAGTGCGTTTCACTTGACTGCTCCGCATATCTCAGCAGCTTCTCGATGCCGGCGCTGTGAACACGATTGTGAATGCACCGACAAACGTCAGCGCAATACGACATCAACAGCGAGGTATTCACCATTGGCTGAGTGGCACTTAAGTGTCCGACGCGCTCGCAGGTGACTACCAACACCGGACCACGATACTGGGAAAAGGCAGTACCAGCCTCGGTATGCTATAACCTTTGCGCGGTCGACGAAATAAAGTTGACGTTCGTGCTGCAGCGACGCGCAAACTACGCTGCAGGGTGTGCGGGCCTGATAGTCTAGAGATATCCGAGAGTCCGTGATGCGGAGTCCCGCATGCTCTATTTAACTGGAGCATAGTCCGCACCGATGACAGTAATGTGCTCTCTGACAACACAACGCACCTGACACTGGTCTTCACCCCACTGAGCCAGGACTACCACATTCCGTAGCAGGCTACGGACCACGGACGGCATCCAGCAGGTTTAGCTCGGGGATGTCACATTCTATCGCTTCCAGACGATAGAATGGCTCAAACAGCTTCTGCAAACTTTTCTGCCGGATCAATAAGTGAGTTCGACGCCTTCAACATATGCAGACAATAGTGCACGCACCTTCGCCTCTGGATCTCTGCATGAGCCCAACAGCCAGGAACCATTCGGGATGCGCAACCGCGGGAGCCATGGTGCTGCTTCTGCCAAACGCGAAATAGCTTTGAGAGTGATGGTGTTCCAGAACTGCAAGATCTGGATGGACGTCAACGTGGACAGGATCGCAAAGAAGTCGTCTTGGCGAGGACTGAATGGAAGATCAGTGAGTGAGAGGTGCTCGAGAGGGCGCGGCGGGGAAGATAAGGAGAGGATATCAGCCGCTTGAGACGTTGCACACTCGAGTGTCTTGAGACTGGGTAAGAGTCCCGGCGGGCAGTCTAGCGGTAGTCCTACGGCGGTCTCCGTGGACCCGACGAAGCAGTCAACGGAGAGGACCAATATCTGCGGGTGGGCGACGAGGAACGAGACTGCAGCGGAGGGAGAGCAGGCGGCCCATCTGAGGTGCAACGAGCGCAAATCGGGCCATCGTCCACTCATAATAGATTGTTCTACGTTCGGCACGATATGCTCGCCTCTGAACGAGAAGCCTAAATGTAGTCTCTTTTTGGGTCTCTATAAGTGCCATGTACATAGCATGTTGATAGGCACTACGCACCTGCAACTTTGGGCAGTGCTCGCGCAACATGATCCCAAGAGTCTCAGTGTCAAGCCCGTAAAGGTCTGGCACAATACTTTCGACGGAAGTCCAATATTTAAAGCTCGTCAGGTTTGACAATTTGAACATCTTCGGCCCGAATACGTCAGTATTCAGTCGAAGTCTGAATTTCTTTGCTCAGATAACGCACAGCGCCGCCCCATACGGGATAAGGCAGGGACTCCATGAAATCCTCGCGCACGTCGAGCTCCCTAAGGTTTCTGCAATGCGTAAGTGAGGTCCAGACATCCTCGCCGTCAGGCATCTTCTCGGCGATAAGAATATTTGTGGGACCACGCCATTTGAAGAAGATCAGATTGGAGAGATTCTTCATCGCCAAAATGAGTTGCAACTCTGCCTCTCTTTGTGTCACCTCGTGATTGCGCCGACAATCGGTATGGTCCACGAAAATAAACTGAGGAAGGCGGAATGGATGTCTATCTCCAATCTCGAGGATTCGAACGTTACGGGCTAGGGATAAGTCCCGAGACAACGCTTTCCAGAGACAAATGGTTTCGACATTGCACCGTATGTGGCGCAGCTGCGTGTGTCGAGGAGACACAACAGACGCAATAATCTTGGACGACAGAGCGAACGCCAGAAGATCGTCAGCGTTGACGACATGGCCAGCAATGGCTTCGAGGATTTCACAAGGTTGGTCATGAATCCGAGACATGGAGGTCAGCGTTCAAACGTTCAGCTTGTTGGTTTCTTGTCCTGCTCGGTTGCGACCCTAGTCACCTGTTGCGACGACTCGGTCAATTGACACGGTCACGTGGCCGCGTCTTGTTATCTTCGGAATAGATGCTGGCCGCCTTGGGCTCTTCGCCTTATAATCTGAGTATTAAGTGGTCTCTACGCATAGGCTACTCACGGCAGTCACCGCGTAAAATTTCGCTTTAGTTCTGGCAAGTGTCCGAATGAAAGTATTTTATATTACAGCAAAGCTCACGACATCTCGAGACCGAGTCCGCGAAACTCGTGTCCGACATGCGTAGCATGTCCGTAACATCTTGTAAATCGGTGACTCAGGCACCCAGCTGTATATGCACTTTAAATGACGTCAAGCGTGATGTTTTTCACTTCAAGATTCGGGTACAGCCCCCCCTGCGACCTGCAGTCAGCTAGCCCATCTTCTGGAAACTTTCAACACAGAGCGCACCCCGAGGAGAGCAAAGCGAGAACACGACAGCGAGGCCTGTCCAGCAGCCATGTACGATGGCACCTGTACGGTAAAGTTTTGGTACGGCGCCTCGCCGGGCGTCTGGAAGACAGGCGCGTACGGTCCCTGGTAGAGGACCGTACCGAGCACCTGCGTGACATCGTACTCGGCGCAGCCACCGGTCCAGCCCGCGCACGACTCGAGTGCGATTACGATCGCAACTTCGTCGGCGCCGCTCATCTCTTGCTGAGAGAACGTGCTACGTCAGTGGAAGGTAGCAGCGAAAACGGAGTGACGTGCGGGTCTGGTGATTTGCACCGTGAAGTTTTCTCCGGGTGAGAAGGAGTCATACCCAGCAGGCGCAGTGATCCAGACCGTCTGGGCCAGTGCAGCGGCTGTGAGGCATGAGAAGACGAGGAAGTACTTGAAAAAAATCATGAGTAGAAGGGTCGCTAGTGAGGAAAGAAACGGGGAGTGATCCCGGTTGCTTCGGCAGATGGGGTGCAGAATAACGCATAGGTCGTCCTCTTATATGCAGGCATGACCGCGTCGCCAAGAACCGATGCACGGAGTAGAGTTGGTCATGGGGAAGAGCTGCACTATCCATTTTTGTCAGGGTAGAAAGGTAGTAGCTCTATCGCTCACGGTATGAGCCTCACCGCTGAGAGGGAGCTTATCGCTGCCGATGGTTCGTTAGAATGGCAATAATAAACATGCTCTACTGGAAACGAAACACGTTCTGCCTTTGTAGGCAAGGGATCTTTCGTATACCTGTAGATCGTTGCTTGGCGTCCCGAGTGAGGTATATCTGTCAAATTCATCACCAAGGGATGGGCATATGAACAACATATAGGTGATTTAATGGCGTAGCAAGCCAACTTAGCTTACTCAAGCGCGCCCCAAACCCAGAACTGTGACGAAGGTAGTCGCATGAAACGTACGAAGAACGGTCAAAGAGTCCGACATACGTAATGCCGCAGTTACAACATCCATAAACACCCACATTGCAAGACCGCACACGCGCTGTGGAGCAGACACAAGACGTCGAGTATAGATCTACAGGTCCGAGCGCATAACATCCAGCATATTACATTCGGGGTTCTGACTCTCGAATGCCTCCAGGCAGCGGAACCGCGAAATCGCCGCCTGCCATTTCTTCTATATCACAGGTGAGCAGCCAGAACGTTACATCGCACAGATGGAGCACGCACCTTCTTCTTGTCAAAATGTAAATCGCTCAGAATTGCAGTGCCGGAGGGGACACGCAGGCGCGTCAGCCAAGGCGCTGCCTGCGCTATGCGTGCGACAAGATCGACGGTAGCCACCTGCAATTCCACACTCGTAACGGAGGGAAGCGCCGCCAGGAGCGCCGGGAAATCCTCGACGTGCGGGCCACGCCAGATGGAGACGTGCTCAATGGGACGTGGCTGGGCAGATGGAGCGGAGAGAAGTTCGATCGCACGTTCAGCTATAGATTCGAGTTTCCTCAAGTTCGGCAGCAGTCCGGGTGGGCAGTCTAGGGGCAGCAAGCGACCATGATATTGTGGATCACACCCGATGAGCTCGTCAATGGAGAGTTGAGACAGTTGGGGATGGGCAACGAAGAACGTGATCGCTGTTGCTGGAGAACAAGCAGCGCCGGTCAGACCCAGGGTGCGCAGATCTGGCCATCGGCCACTAAGAATGGATTCACCAGCGTCACGCGAACGGACTGGGGGTCGACAGGGGAGAGATAAGATGAGCTTCTGCGATGCTGATAAGTGGCATGTACGAGGGGTATCAAGAACACCACACCTGCAACCTTGGGCAACGTTCGCGCAACATGACACCAAGAACGGTGGCATCAATGGGTCTAGAATCAGCAAAAAGACCAGTATACCTGAGTGTTGTCAAGTCTGACAAATTTAAAATCTACAATGCCCATTCAAATCACATCGTCTGGGACGTACAATAATGGGAAAGACTCACTGCGGCCTCAGATCCCGTAGGCGCCTGGTTAAGCCAATTATTCTCAGCAATATCGACATTCCCTAGGTTCCTGCAGCACGCCAGGGAAGTCCACACGTCTTGACGATCCGGTTCCATGTGGGCAATGACTACGTTGGCGGCGGATCGCCATTTGAAGGATACCAAGTTAGCAAGATTTTTGACTGCGACAATGAGTTCCAATTCTGCCTCTCTTCGAGACACATCATGAGCGCACGGACGATCGCAGGTGCAAATGAAGCGAGGAACACGGCATGGGCTGCTTGACATTATCTCGAGACTTCGAACGTTGCGCGCGAGGGATTGGTCGTGAGAGAACGCCCTCCAGAGGCACATGGCGTTGACATCGCACCGTATGTGGCGCAGCTGAGTGTGGCGGGGAGAGAGGATGGACGCAGTGAACTTGGATGCCAATGCGAACGACAGGGTATCGTCCGAGCAGTCGATCCACTCAGCGATGGCCTCGACGATCTCTGGAGGTAGATCAGTAGTGGTCCTCATTCAGAGTCTTTTCTCTGCGGTCAGATACAACATTGAATTTCTGGACAACATCGAACGCACCCTGCAACAAGTACAGTACGTAGAGGTTTATGATGAGGATCGTTTTATGAGATACTAACTTTGAAGCGGAGTAGGAGAATCAAAGGCGGAGATCGAACCAAACATTATGGCCTAATACAGTAGCACGCGATTGAATGACATCATCGCCATCAACAACGCGCCCGCCGCCCGCCGTACCCTGCACCAGCCGCCTGTTGCTGCCCACCACGTCTTCGACGCCGCCATGCTCGCAGCGCGGCGTTCTCTCCGGCCGCCCTCCGGGCTTGTCCGGTGCTGCGTCATCGTCTCCCGCCGGCCGACAGGCGCCGTCCGTCAGTTTTCTGTATGCCGACCGACGCTTGCCGAGCAGCCTGCAGCGTCCTCCGCGTCGGCCACGCCACTGGCGTCCCGGTTGGAGCACCGCCGCTCGACGTGGTCTGCACGTGCACGGACGGCGGCAAAGTGGTCGGCGTTGCTGCTCGGGTCGACCGTCGTCGGCGTCCTCGTCCTCACGTCCTCCATCTTCCTCCACGACGCCTTCACCTACACAGACCGCGTACGTCGTCCGGCTCTCCTTCGCCTCTCACGCTGTAGCTGACTCTCGCGCAGCATGTTGATCGCGTGCCCGTGTCCCCTCTCGCGCTCCACCCCCACCGCGGCGGGCCCAAAAACCTGCCCATTGCCAAGGCCCTCCTGAGCGACATCCAGGACGACGAGAACGAAGCTCTCGCCAAGAAGCCCCGTCTCGTCATTGTCGGTGGTGGTTGGGGGGTCAGTTTCTTCCCCGCTGTTTTTGCCGTTTGCTGACCTGCGTTGCCTCGTGCGATGCGCTCTTCTCCTCCATGGACTTGCCAGGCTGTAGGCGTACTCGATACCCTCCGCCCCGGCGACTACCACGTGACGCTCGTCTCTCCGGACACGTACACTACGTTCACGCCTCTTCTCCCTTGTGAGTACCCGACGTGCTGTCGGTGTAGTACGTATACTGACCGTGCCATGCGCACCTCCTCGTTCGCACCTCCTTCACATCCCACTTCTGGCCATGTTTTGATCGTCGTTTACGCCTGTATGCTATGCCCACTATGTATTCTCTCGTTCGCTTTCTTGCCTATTTGATGTGTTCACGCGGCTTCTTCCCAATCCATCCGGCTCTTACTCGCGTTCCTTGTCTGACCTGTTGTCTTATTCTCATATTTCCCTATCGCCTTCCCACCGCAGCCGCCGCAGTTGGCACTGTGCAAGTGCGCTCGCTGGTAGAGCCGCTGCGGAAAATAGTAGCCCGGCTGCACGGTCACGTCCTGAGCGCGAAAGCGACGGACCTGGTGATGTCCGAGCGGCTGCTCGAGGTCGAGACCGTCGCGCCGAGCGGGCAGAAGGAGCAGCTGTACATCCCGTGAGCGTCGCGCCTGCTTCATTCGCCAATCACGCTCACACGCACGCAGATACGACAAGCTGATAATTGCGGTGGGCTCAACGTCGAGCACTCACGGCGTGGAAGGCCTGGAACACTGCTTCCAGCTGAAAACGATCGCGGACGCGCGACAGATCCGGCAGCGCATCATCGACAATTTCGAGACGGCGGCGCTCCCGACGACGACCCCCGAGGAGCGGCAGCGGCTGCTCAGCTTCGTCGTGTGCGGCGGCGGGCCGACGGGCGTCGAGACCGCCGCGGAGATCTACGACCTGTGCCAGGAGGATGTGATCAGCTATGTGCGTCGCGGTCGCCTGTGTGTGCGTCGGTGCTGATGAACATGTGTGTAGTATCCGAAGGTGTGCCGGGAGCAGGTGTCGATACACGTCATCCAGAGCCGGGAGCACATCCTGAACACGGTACGTCGTGCGTCGATCCCAGTATGGGACGTCACTGACTCCCACCCAGTACTCCGAGGCGATCTCGCGGTATGCCGAGGTACGTGCCCCGCGGGCCCGTCGACCACACTACACATTTGCTTACGCACCTCGCAGCGAAAGTTCAAGAGGGACAATATCGATCTGATCACGTCCGCGCGCGTCGGGCGCGTGCATGAGGACCGCGTCGTGTACACGACGCGCGGGAAAGACGGGAAGACGGAGACTCACGAGATCCCGACTAACTTTGTGCTGTGGAGTACAGGGATTGCGATGAACCCGTTTACCGCGCGCATATCCAGTCTACTGTACGTTGCTTCCCTTTTTGTGCATTTTGCTAGGAGTGTTAATTGGTGTTTGAGCGTAATAGACCGAACCAGGTGCACAAGAAAGCGATTGAGGTCGACGCGCACCTCCGCGTCAAGGGCGCACCTCCGGGCGAGGTGTATGCCATCGGTGATGCGGCGACGGTGAGTTCTGATGGCGTACTTGTGATACCCCAAGATGTTTGACACGGGTATAGATCGAAACGTCTGTCGTGGCGCACCTCATGGACCTCGTGGATGAAGCGGACAAGAACAAGGACGGCAAGATCGACTTTGACGAATGGGAAGTTATGGGTCCGTCGTTGTTACAACCCGTGCACTGTGCGGCTCGCGTCTAACACGTATTGTTAGTCCGCCGCATCAAGGTACGGATCCCTATGGCGGAGGATCAGCTCAAGAAGGTTTGTCTCGAGTGGGGCGACCTCGATAGTGATTGACTGCATGCACCCATCAGGTCCGCGAATTGTTCGACCTGTACGATTCGGACGCGGACAACAGCCTCAGCCTGAATGAGCTCGCGGTGCTCCTCCAGGAGATCGGGAACAAGATCACCGCGCTCCCCGCTGTGCGCCTTCCTCACTCGTGATCGTCTTACCGTGTGCTGGCGCTGACTTGCGATCCACGTAGACCGCGCAGGTCGCGGCGCAGGAAGGGAAGTACCTCGGCAAGAAGCTGAGCAAGCTCGCGACCCAGCACGACGTGCTCGTCGCGAACGGGATCGAGGGTCCCGGCGCGGACGAGGCCGTCTCGAAGCCGTTCCGATACCTCCACTTGGGCTCTCTGGCGTGCGTCCTGCTACCCTCTTTACATTCCGGCCCGCTCGATATTCACGCGGACTTGTTTTTGTTTTGCGCAGATACATCGGGAATGCGGCTGTGTTTGACCTGGGCCGGATGAGCTTCATGGGCGGGCTCGCGGCGATGTACGCGTGGCGGAGCGTGTACTGGAGCGAGCAGGTGAGCTCGCGCACGCGCGCGCTGCTCATGATCGACTGGATCGTGCGGTGCGTGTCTCCCTCGTCGCTATCTCGCGTGCTTGTCGCTCATTCGGTTTTCACCCGTTGCAGAGGCGTGTGGGGCCGCGATTTGTCGCGGCTGTGAGTTGGGTGTGGACCGTTAGATCGCGCTGTGGACTTCGAATATGTGTTGGTGGGTGATACTTAGATTATTTCTATCGTAGATACCAATGCATATTAGTCTACCGGCTGATGCGTGTGGTGCTCGCAGCCTACATGTAGGTCCTCTGTACTGTATCTTACAGAGCAGATACCACCGGCTGATGCCTGTCGTCCTGGCGGCTTACGTGTAGGTCCTCTGTACTGTATTTTACAGAGTAGACACGTGACAGGCCTAGTGGCTGAATATTTTGCTATTCAGCTATCAGATCTGATAGCATAGAAGCTGCCGGGCCTGTTTGGGCATCATGGGCATATCCGATGGAGCGGTATTGTGGTGCGTTGCAGCCAGCGATACGAAGCCGTCGACATCCATATGCCTGCCTGAATCGCTACGTGCTTGACAAAGCCCGCCTCACTCAGATCAAGCTCATCTACGGGATCAAGACTGAGCTTTCATTTGCGGTCCCATACATCGAGACAGGAACGAGTATACCTGGATGTAAGTCCCTGTTTGGTCATCTCCGTGATTTTTTACGTGTCTCACGGCGCGTCGTAATCAGATCCCACCTGTGTCGTTCTCCCCACACGCCGCATCACATCGCTGGACCAGGGATTACTCAAGCAGCTCCTTGCCACCCTTTGCACTAGATTCTCTGCCCCGGCTTCTACAATCCGAAAGGTGCTGTCCCCGCAAGTCGAAGAATGGAGTAAACTACGTATCCTCAATGATGGAGACACCATACGGGCAGCCGAGTCAGATTGCAGGGCGGAGGACGAACGAGATGCCTCATTTGTACGAGTGAGTAACCCAGTTTCACACGCGTAGTAGGGTTTGCTTACAGTTACTTGTCACAAGTATGAGTTGTTGGTAGACAAGAACGCAAGGTACCATAACCGTCCCGTCGTGCTCGAGAAGACGACATTCTACGGACAAGTCCGGCGACTTTTCATCTGCAAGCTCAATCGCGCTCCCTCCATCGGCTTGCAGCAGCCTTCCACAAGTGTCTTATTGGCGGCCATTCGCACTTGTGATATTGAGGAGACAGACAATGTTCTGGATATTCACTACTACTCGAAGATGGGTCGCCTCGACATTGTTGACATCACCACTATCCAATGCGTGGTAGGGCGCGTTCACGACAGGCAGCGGTGGGCCGTGATAGATCGCAGCGGTACCCTTTCGCGTGCGATCTACATTGATGATACAGTGTCGGGTTAACACCCGGTTCGTTGCTTAACGTCCGTGTACGTCCATCGTCATGCTTACCTCATTGCCAATCTGAGTCAACTTTGAAGTCTGCAGATAGCTAGCAATGAGTCTTTCCTCTTCCCCGATGTCATCTTCTAGGGAACAATGACACATTCACTTCAAGTTCCTCTCCTAGAACAAGGACATCTTCGACTATAACATGTGCTCCCGGTGCTCCGATGAAGGGTTAGAAGGTTACTGGACCTGTTGGGATGGGATCCTAGGTGTGTCCGTGCTGTGCTATAAAATTTTCGCTGACCAATGTTCCGTAAGTCTGCAGATATAGCACATGCGCAGACGATGGTGTTGTAGCTTCTAAACTCACACACTGTGTCTTTTCAGACGGGTACGCCGGGTGGTCCGCATGTCGGGTCTCAAGTAGGGATTGTTGTATAGTAGCCACTAGTCACCTCATATTCCCGTGAAATACTGGCTGCACAGCTTGAACTGAGGCAAGGCCTAAGCTTTCGTGAAGTTCACGGTATTTTTGGGTGGATCCGCATTGGTGGTCACTCAGGACAAGCCCGCATCTAATTTCACCAGATAAACTTTCACATCTCATAGACGGTAGAATTAACTAGTCAATTCAACAGCCCCAAAGTTTCCGAATTAAATACTGGTGTACCCCGTGAATGGCGGTTTTCACCGATGAAACCCGGACTAATCACCAACGCCTGGGTCTATAGTGAGAGTAAGTATGCATGTTGAAGAAATTAAGGCTGTGCAGCATTTTCGGGTCTCATATTTGTTGCTGCTTCAGTCCCATACAGGTGGACGAAAAGCCGCTCAGAGTAAATTGCGTCGGTGGCGGTAGTCGGAGAAGGGAGACCATACTTCGAATATTAATATGAGTACTTTCTGGCGGTCATTGGACAGTTTTCTCGCCTCGCAGCTCTGTGCTCATTGTCAGCGTAACCAATATTTACGACCACTCAGCAGTTGCTTGATCCACAGAACCTACCTCTTTTGGTCACTGCATTACCAAACCTAGTATACGGTGCCGAAGCACTCGAGAGCAAGTTGAGCTTGCGCTGGCGCGTATCGCACGACTTCAATCTAGTGACTATAGGCCTCCAGTCTTACTTGATTGCAATACACAGAACGAGACGAGAATGCGTCAATTGAACATCTCCAAGAGCTCTGCACGGTTCCAAAGCCCACCTGATCCTAGTACATCTACAGCAAGGTCGTCTTCCCCATCCCATCCCATCTCCAGCTGCCTCATGTCATCTGCAACTGGTGTTTTTCTCGGGGGTCTACAGCCGCCTATGTAGGACTATGTAGGCTCGGCTAGCACTCGGCTAGACAAGTCCCTACTATATAGTCCTATGTAGCCCGTGTAGACTTGTTGCAGTTTCCAGATGGTCTTCTTCGTTTTCACGCATGCGCATCTCTTCCTCGTTTGGCTTAGGCAAGAATCCCAAACGAGACGCATCTGCAGGGATGACGGCGTTCATGACCATTCTGCGGGACCCATCTCTGACCGCCCACCTTCTTGAAGTCATTTTCGATCGTGGGTTAGAGCGTCACTCCTTGTCTCGTCTGGCACGCACCTGCCGGGTATTGAAAGAGCCCTCGCTGTCAGTTCTCTGGAGACACCTCGATAGTCTCAAGCCCCTCGTCAATCTCTTCCCTAACGTTATTCAACGCACATTCCGGGGTCGCGATTCGGCGCGTTATTTCCTTTGATCACTATTCACTGTTTTCTCATCTAAATATTATGAATAGATGCGACCGAAGGATTGGTCTCGTATCCTGCCATATAGTTCGCGTGTGCATAGCCTCAATTTTACAGACCATTTAATTTCGTCTTATTTCTGGTCCTTCTTGGAGAGATGTCATGGCGGCCCGGAGTATATTCTCCCGAACCTCATGAGTCTGACATGGCGATCCATGTCCGATGAATCCTTATCTCATTTCCAGTTATTCTTAGGCCCCCGGCTGGAGACTTTTTCTCTGCCATACCAGGATCACTACCCGAGTACTGAATGGATCGACAAGATACTACCACAAATAGCAGCGCATAGATGTCTGACAACCATATCACTCCCTCTCTCTGATTACACATGGAGCCTTGAACCAGCTGGGTCACCAAGTGATGTCATTTGGGAGAAGGTAGTCATTGACGGCCCATCCCGGTACTTGCAGGATCTCCTCCAGAATGGTCCCTTCATCAGGTGGATATCAGCTCTTCCCAGGTTGCACACCTTCGTCTGGAACGTAGGGTCTCTTAGTGTGATCGTAGAAACACTCCGGTCCGTTGGCGACCTTGACACTACTCTGGGTTTCTCCATCCTTCCAGCTTGCAATGGGGATGGTGGTTATTCCACAGGATCTATCCTCCCCACACAAGATCCGAAACTCGACTCGGACAAGACGAAACAAGTAAAGAGTGTACTACACAATTGTGGTGATCCACAAATCTTCGCGCAGCTGACTCATCTAGAGTTGTCTATCAAGGACGTCGAATATTTTGGAACATTCCTCATGCAGCTTAGAAACCCGTTGCGCAAGCTCAGCCTGAAAACTACAGACGCACTATTCAGATATCAATGGGACGATGTATGTCTCGCTATTTGCGAGCATTCCGGAGATACACTAGAAACGCTGGAGATCCGCCACAAATCGATAATGCGATACCGTGGCGGTGACGCGCATATAGATCTGACTTTACTTGCTCCCCTTCCGCGCCTACGACATCTGACCATCGACTTTCCATATCTCAGGCCTGTATTTGATGATGAGGATGTCGTTGACATCGCGTTCACCTTGCCTCAACTCGCCGAGCTGAGCCTCTGCCCCGTGGTGCGATTTCCTCAGCAGGATGCCACACCGCGCCGACTGATCTGGAACTATGCAAGTCGAGACTGTCATCAGGGATCAGTGAGATATGAGGAGGTCTTCCCCGCAGAACAGTGACCGCGTGGAAGCACCCCCGAGCCCTTGCGCTGTACGTTGACGTTCGACCTCCTTGTACAACGACTTTCGTCCGGATTACATCTCCACCGCCTCGCCTCTGCTCCTCTACTGGCTCCCCATATATACATCTATTCCATCGTACCAAGCACAGCTCAGCAATCGCCTCGCGTCCTCCCCCGATTGCATTCGCAGGTCCGGACGCAACCACGGACACTTGGAAACCCATCTCGATCTCGCACGCGCTGGCAGCGGCAAAGAACAGTTTTATTTAGGTGCCACAGACCCGCACGTGGAGTGTGTGCATACCTGTGCGTCTCGAACATGCCTCCGCAATGACTAGCAGGCGTGCATTTGTTGATTTGCTTCATTTGCTAGAGGACTTTTTGGGGACACGTTCAGAGTTACGGATGGATATTTTCCTCTGGTCACTCATGAAGCGCGGGTCTACCTCCTTTACATTTTGGTACCTCTGACTGTCTCACATCTGTACTATGGAACTACGGATGCTTGGAAACCTGTCTCACTCTTCTAAAAAGTATTTAGATGCTAGACTCTGGGAGCGCTCGTGGAGGGCGTGCATGCCCCTGGGGCCCTTGAGATGACTCGCTGGCACGCATTTGTCATTCGCGTGAGGATTCTGCTTGGGAGACGGACACACGTATGAATTGCAGCAGCCTACGAACTTATATCCTTTCAGGTCCATCAATTTTTGCACAGCTTACTCATTTACAATTGTCTTCCGACAATCTCAGGGGTTTAGGAATATTCCTCGGGAAGTTTGCAAACCCGCTGCGCGAGCTGAGACTTAGTCTCCCGAGGGCAGATGGTAGACACTCTGCTTCAACCTCGTACCTCGGATATCCGTGTCTGACGTCTGCTTTCTATTACGGGCTCTTACTAGGAGGTCTTGATTGCCGACCCGGCACATCACGTGCTGGCACAACACGTCTGTAAATCGCGCTGAACGCGTCGCGTTTCGAGCGCAAGAAGCACCCGTTGTCCTGTGCTGCATGTGTATACAATACTTTCCAATGGATATATTAATTGACATTGATTTTGGAGACTTTGCTGTCTTATCTGCTTTGTACTGGTCCAAGAGGGCATTACATGTTTGAATCTCGTAGGAATCCTTCTATTCTCTGGGCCCCGCGCCCAAGCAAAATTCACCATTCCATCACCCATCCATTGTAGCACCTCATCTCACCTGCGATGTGCCCAAACCAGGGTGGAGAGGATCTTCAGGAATACTTTCGTGAATTTCGGCGGACTTACAGCGCCACCTGCATCACGTGGTATCACAAAGGTTTAAGATTCCGCATTAGAAAGAACTACCAAACTTTAGGCTCCGCCTAAATTGTCCGACCTCTCGACAAGGAGGCGCGTTAGAAAGCAGACTACTGAGACTCACTCTCACCGGCGAATCTGTCTGATTTTCATGGTGCCACGTATGGATGGCTGTTCGCGAGCATTCCGGTGGTACGCTGCAGACGCTGCAGTTCGCAACTCGAAGGTGAAAGTGTACGTGGGCAATGATCTGGTTATAGATCTGACACTACTTGGTCCCCTGCAGGCTGCCGCGTCTACGACGTCTGACTCTAGACTTCCCCCGTCTTGAATCTGCATTTGAGGTTGCGGATCTCGTCAATCTCGTGACCACCTTCCCCGGCCTGGCCGAGCTAAGGCTCTGCCCCGTCGTGCGTTTCCGTTCAGAGTAAGCCCAGGTGCCGACTTCTGTGGGACTATGCGCAGTTGGAATGCCTGGAGGGATCTATGAAGTACGAGGAGCTCGAGGACCAGTTTGAGGCAGGATCACTGTGATACATCCACTGGCATGGAAGCGGCCCCGGGTCACTACATGGCGGTCGCGCTGCTTGTCTGATATTGCGACCTTGGTGTCACGATTTCGTTATGTCTCCGTTTCTTGTGTGACCAACTTCGCTTCACTCGTCTCACTCTCTCCTTCCTGCCACTCGCTCTCCACGTCAACTTTGCATCCTGACCGCACCGCAGGCTCCCCGCACAACGTCCCCACGGACATGAACTCGCACATTTGCATTACTCGCTTCTTCTCACCGCACGCCATCGAGGCCATACAGCATAATTGGGAAGGAACGGCGCTGCCAGCTCACGCTCTGTTCTCTGAGGGGGGCAGAGAGAGCTTACTGAAGCTAGCGAAGGAACGTGTGCACGGTGCGACTGCGCTATGGATATCGTGCGTTTTGCGGCTGGTACCTGGGGGGTACCGTCGCGCTCTTCGAGCTGTTGGACCGCGTGACATTCGTTCAACACATCTCTTGAGGTATGCTGCCGCGTGAACGACGACTGACTGCTTTTATTTTCCAATGCCTGGGAACTGATCACACGGTGCAAGTTACGATGTTTAATTAATTATAGAGTACACACACTGTTGTCCGCACAAAGTTCGGAGATACCCTTAAATTTGTTTGGAATTTTGTCTTGCTTTCGTTTAGCTTTCGTAGTGCTGTTTGATACGTACCACTCGGGGCAGATATTCTTGTACTACTAACTACTACTAAACGACAACCGGGAGTCCGCACTGTGAACTTCACTTTCATCAGCGTGGTTATTTCCTACGAGCTGCGGATTGTTAGAACATTGGATGTTGTCAGGAGCTGGATTTGGGCCTATGTGATATTGTGTCCCGTCGCCGTGCGCACTGACGGGGACGTACGAGTCAGTACTTCCCCAGGCGTCCATTCTAATTCACAGCGCTTATTCGACCGTGACTAACTGGTGCGCTTTCTCAGCCGAAGGCCCGTGCACGCGCAGTGCGCACTGCCACAGAGAAAATTTTCCAGGCGGCCTGAGGATGAGACATGATGCGTGATTACTGGTGTCACTCGTACAGTGCTGCGTTTATTCGACAGACGGTCGTAAGTGAGTACTTGTCGATTGTGTGCGTAGGTGATACCGCTGAGAGCATGAGCTGATATCAAGTCTCGCCGAGTCCAAAGAAATACTGACAACTCCGCAGAGCTACGGTTACAGTGAGTTTTTGTCTTTGGCATTTGCGTGAGCGCGTTATTTACGCGTTGTTTTGATCGATCTCTCAGGGAGGGAATCGGGCCGCGTAGGACCTCTGGAACCTCGCGGGAGCAAATTTGCGTTTATATTCGGAAAGTGAACTGCCTTTTCGAGCGCGTCTCTCGCGACGCCCGGGAAGTCTGGAACGCACAGAGTCACTGATCGGGGGAATTCCCGGTGGCTGCGGAGGAGTATATGGACGAGCTCGTCCCTATATTCTACGATGAGAACCGTTACTATCTCCACCCGTCTCGGTCCTTCATCCTGAGGGCAGCTCTTTTTTCTATTCGAGCAGTATGGCTTGGTTGTTCTTCAGGCAGTTCTCCATCCTCGTGTGGAAGAATTGGATAGTCCTCTTCAAGCATCCATGGGTGCGTCTGACTTACTCTGCAGAGTGTTTGCATTGACCGTTTTGCAGCTGAACCTTCTACGGTGTCTGATCATCCCTGTCGCATATGGTGTCTTCCTGGCGGTCGCCCAGGTGTTCTTTGTGAAACCCAATAATGTGAGTCGCCTGCGTCTTGCTTGAAAATTCGCCGTAAAATCCTATCGATCGCAGTATGGGTTGGGCTCAATAGCATCCGTGTATAACCTGACAAACGTCTACGATGGATCGATGGCTCTCGTGTGGGCAGACGGCATGAATGGTACAGGAACCCCCACCGCGGACGACATTATGGCTCTCGTCACACGAGGTTTTTCCTCGGAGCAGCTCGGCGGAGTCAGGAAACTCGCTTCGCCGAGTGACCTCGCGGCAGCGTGTCCGGAGAACTTCAACCTGTTTTCCCTGTGCTTTGCCGGCATCTCGTTCAACTCACTGCCCTTCGCTGGCGGAGGTGCGGCGGAGGCGCAGGCGATTAATTACACACTGCGAGCGGACGGCGGACTGTACTACATTAACGTGGTAAAACATACGAGCAGCTACGAGGAGAGGGTGATGCCGTTGCAGTGGGCAGTGGATAGCGTGCGTGTCCTAGTGTCGTGATGGTCTGTTTTTACTGACGTTCGTCCGCAGGCTATCATCGAGCTCACGACTGGAACACAACCACTGACGCCACTCGAGCTGCCGTTCACCCAGCTGACGAACTCGGAACAAAGTACAAAGATCCGCTTGAGTGTGTGATGTATTCTCTGCATAGCTGAGCGCACGCTAATATCTAACCAGGTTTTATTCGAGGATTGCGGGAGTTGCTCGTGCTTGCTCTGTGGGTGATTATGTCCACCTACCAGCCATGCTTCTGACCCTTCGCAGTTTCGTGTGTTACATCGGCATCGCGTACCAGCTCCCGGGCTCGTTCATGGGCGAGCGCGCAAATCTGCTAACGAGCCATTTGAAAGCGATGGGCCTGTTCGACTCGGCGCGCATCATGTAAGCGTCGCAGCTCGGTCCCCGCCATTGTACTCACCCGTCCGCACAGCTCATGGCACGTCAGCATCTCGCTCGCGTACCTCCCGGCATGGGTGATCGTCGCGCTCATCTGGCACTACCGGATCTTCACGGGCACGAACGCGGGCCTGGTAGTGGTGATCCACCTGCTGCTCGGGTGGTCGCTCGCGAGCTGGTCGTTCTTTGTCGGGATGCCGTTCGGGAAGAGCCCGCAGCTGGCGGCGGTGGGGTCGACGTTTCTCGCGGTCGTGCTTGCGATCATCGCGCTGGTGATCAAGCATTCGAGCACAGGCGCGGCTTTCGTCTTCACGCTCGTATTCCCACCCGCGTACTACGTGTTCATCATCGTCGCCGTGACTGGATGGGAGAACCACCAGATCCCGACGAATATCCTTCATCCCGATCCTGACAGCAATCTGACTATCCTTCCGTTTCTGGTCGTCGCTATCGTAAGTCTATCAGGTTACGCTCACCAGACTGTATTGTGACGTTCACGATACCCGCAGATCAACATCTTTCTCTGGCCATGGCTGGCTGTGCTTCTCGAACGTCGCCTTTACGATGCACACAACCCGAAGTCGTCGTCTGGCTGGTTATGCTTCCGCCGCCGCAAGCGCGCGTTCGCAGAGGAGGACGCTCATACTATAGCTCCGGACATGGCCATTTCAATCCGCAATCTTGGCAAGGACTTCGACACGTCGAAATGGTTCTGGGGAAAAGGGCGCGTCACAGCTGTGGCCGACCTCAGTCTTGATATCCCGAAGTACGGAATCTATGTCCTCCTTGGATCTAACGGGTATGCATTGTAACGACCGAAGCGATTCGGAAACAATGGTACTGATGTAGGTTGCCTGCAGTGCAGGCAAGTCCACTACAATGTCCATCCTCGGTGGGCTGCTCGGTCGGACACGTGGCTCGGTGATGTTCGAAGGTAACGTCGAGCAGCCGCCGCCAGGCACGATAGGGATCGTCCCGCAGAAGAACGTGCTGTTCCCCGAGCTCTCGTGCTATCAGACGCTGCGCGTGTGGAAGGCGGTGAAGGCGCGGACCGTGCCTGTGGAGGACGAGGACATCGAGCAGCTACTGCGTGACTGTGATCTCGGCAAGAAGATTCACTACAACGCAGAGGCGCTGAGTGGTGGCCAGAAGCGCAAGTTGCAGTTGGCCATTGGACTCATTGGCGGCTCGAAGAGTGCGTGGATTTCTCGTTGTATGTTTGCAGTGGTTATATGACGTTATTTTTTCCAGTCGTTTTGGTTGACGAGGTGAGTTCTTATATGTAGAATCTGGGTGGTACCATGATCTGGTTTGGCAGTGCACGTCGGGCGTCGATCCTTTATCGCGCCGTGCTCTGTGGAGAACGTTGACCTCTGTACGTAACGAGAGGACAGTTATATTCACTACACATGTGCGTCTGTGGCAGCTCAGTCGTAAACAATCTCTGACCCGCAACCATCAGTTTCTCGACGAAGCCGACCTTTTGGCGGACACGATTGCGGTTCTCGCTACTCCAGGGAAGCTGGTTGCACAAGGCACTCCGGTGGCGCTCAAGTCCAGGATTGGTGAAGGATACAGCGTCCAAGTGTCGTTTGACAAGAATAAGCTAGAGCACTCGGAAAAAGCTGCTGCTGCTCCGACCCAACGGGTCCTGGAACGCATCCGTCTGCTGGCGCCGCTCACGTATGTTACGCTCATTGGACCGAGCGACGTGTCATACCACCTGAAGTCGAAGGATAGCGGCGACGTGCAGAAGGTGCTAGAGTTCATCGAGGCAGAGCGTGACTCATTCCATATTGCTACGTACTCGGTGCAGAGCACGTCCATCGAGGACATTTTCCTAGGGCTTATGCATGCGGATACCGACGAGGAGGGTAGTAGAGACAAAGACAAGGAAAAGGAAGGGAGCATCGACTCCGCGCCATCGCTATTTCTGCCTCCTGCTCTACCCACCCTGGAATTGACGAGCGGCAGAAGTAAGTCGCCGCTCAAGCAGGCGTTTACGATTTTCTACAAGCGTTGTCTCGTCGTGCGGCGCGCCTGGTTGACGCCGTTCCTTGCCGTCCTCATTGCAGTGGGCGGCTCGTGCATTCCACTCTTCTTCCTTGCAGGTGCTAACCAGAGCTGCACGAAGACGTTCGATTCCATATATAATACTCCGTTGTACCTCCCCGAATCACCGGTAGCGCTGACCTTCCTTGACCCCACGGAACTTGGTTCTCAGGTCCTGACATCGCCTCCGGGCATACTCGACACCCTTGGTCTAGCGATGGCTCAGGTCCCGGTGCAGAATATTGCTAACAACGTCACGTTCTTGGAAACAATCGACCAGAACTACCAGAATCTGTCTCTTGGAGGTGTTTCAGCGGACCTGCAAAACGATTCCGTGCTGTTCGCGTGGGAGGCGACACCGCCTGGTGAGATGGGGCTTGTGATGTTGAATCTAGCATCGAACCTACTGTATAACAACGCGCTGAATGCGACAGGCAAGAACGTCGGTGTCCCCAGCGTCATTGGCGCGAACTTCGAAATTTTCCCAGGGATTGCGCAGGGAACCCTGAGTTCACTCCGATGGGTCGCGTTCTTTGGTGCTGCTATGGTACAGTGGTCCTCGTGTACTACGTTTGACGCATGTACTGACTTTTCCATAGTCTGTGTATCCCGCGTTCTTTACGCTGTATGTATCAAATGAGCGCCGTTCATCTGTCCAGGCCATGCAACTCTCCAATGGCTTGTCGAATCCCGTGGGCCTGTGGCTAGGGCACCTCATGTTTGATACATTATTTTCTGTGATTATTGCTACCATCGTTGTCATTGTGTTTGCTGCAGCCTCCAATCAGTTGTACGGCCTCGGCTTTTTCGTGAGTGTATCCCTCGTCTCTAGCGTCGTGTCTGAAAATGTCAACGTCGTAGTGGGTTATATTGGTGTTGTACGGGATCGTTGGAGCTCTGTTTTCATACTGCGTATCGCTGGGCGTTACCTCGCCACTAGCCGCATTTGCGGTATCAGCTGGATACCAGGTCATTATGTTTATCGTGAGTTCAATTCCCTTGTCGGGTTGTGTAATAACTCTGATGTCTTGCTGTCAGTTATACGTTGCTGCATACCTTCTCACATTCACTTATGCAAAAACATCGGATGCCAACAGAGAATTGACAATTATTCGTGAGTAGCAGCTTTGTTGACATGAACCGGTTTTCTCACTTCTCTGCATAGACTATACTATGTCAGTCTTGGCCCCCGTGAACAGCGTCGTAAGTGCTCTGCTACCCAGCCTAATCTCTCTTCCGCTGACCATCTGTATGTAGCTCCGCGCTTCCTTTGTTTCTGTCAATCTATTCTCTCTCCTTTGTAACGGGGACTCGCCAGTTACGGCGTCCTCCATGGGCGTGATCGGGCGATACGGCGGACCGATCCTTTATATGTTTATTTATGCATTCATTCTTTTTGGTATCCTTGTTTGGGTTGACTCCGGATCGCTCTTGCCTCGGAAAACTTCCCCAAAGAAACTCGCGGCGCGTACTCCCGGTGGTGCAGTGGCACCCGGAAGACACAAGGACGTGGATGACGAAGCAGCGGCGGTGGCTAGCTCGGATGACGTACTTCGTGTGCTCAACGTTGTCAAGGCATACGGCAAGTCCTCGAATAGGGTAGTGAACGACGTCAGCCTAGGGGTTTCCACCGACACTATTTTCGCCCTCCTGGGGCCCAATGGCGCCGGAAAAACAACTGTTTTCAATGTAATTCGTAGGTCTGCGCTTCTGTAACTGGGTGATAGTACACTAATGTGTCTGCAGGTGGCGATGTGATCCCAGACCACGGAGACGTCCTCATCAACGGAATTTCTGTCATCAGCCACCCGCGCAGGGCTCGTCTATCGCTTGGTGTCTGCCCGCAATTCACGGCTATCGACTCCCAGCTGACAGTGCGCGAGCACTTGTTGGTTTATGGGCGTCTGAAGGGTTTACTCCGAGAAGAGCTGCATCATAACGTCGATAGCCTGATGCATGCGACGTCCCTTCATGTGTACGCCGATCGGTTGGCGAGTAAGCTCTCTGGTGGCAACCAGCGGAAATTGTCGTTGGCAATCGCTCTTATTGGTATGTCAACTCTCCCAATCCAGGGCCGTGATGTTCATGGATTTGCGCAGGCAATCCCTCTGTAATTCTCATTGACGAGTTCTCCACCGGAATCGACGCGAAGATGAAGCGAGACATGTGGGCGACGCTGAGGAAGGTGGCTGTGGGCAAGGCCCTCATCATCACTACTCGTAAGTTGGCAGAGTGTCATGAAGGACGCAAATTAACGCCCCTGTTCGTAGATTCAATGGAGGAAGCTTCTGCATTGGCTAACAAAGTTGGTATACTGGCCAAGAAGATGCTTGGTATGCGACCGTTCCATACGCAGCAACTGCTTCTGACCAATTGTATAGTTGTTGGAACAACGGACGCTCTTGCTGAGCGCTATGCAACCTACGAAATTCACTTCTCTTGTCGCACACGCGAAGAGATTGTTCGTGCGCAGGAACTCATGGCGAGAATACCAGGTTCTCGAATGGCCGACGATGTCGCGACACGCTTCGAAGTACCTATTGGAAGCGACATGTCGCTTGCAAGACTGTTCGGTGTCCTCTCATCGCAGGGTGACTTCTCGGAGTATACTGTTGAGAGGGCTACTTTGGAAAGTGTCTTCCTAAAAGTTATCAAGGAGAATGATGTGCTGGAGGAGGATAGGGAGCCTAGAAAACGGTGGAGGATTTGCTAGCGTTCATTCAATGCCTTCTCCCGGACATCTGATATTTCCCTTTTGTTGCATTGCAGTTAGACTTGTACCAGCATGAACGCTATACCTTGATCCACGCACTGATTACCACGTAGTACATTGTACCAGCCAATTACATCGCACATATAGTACTGTAGCACTCACTGTTAAGTAGAATGAACAATTGGAAGGGACTTCTGCAGGCCATATAACTCTGCTACGATTGCACAGAATTATTGGACAGGTCATGGTGGCAGATGATTCACCCTAGCGTAGGTCTACTGATTGAGCGGAGATAAACGAACACAAATTCCTCAATCGTTTACACATCACAACATCCCACCAACAGCACTGACCAAAACTCGTGTCCCGATACGCACCTTGCGTTCCTCGCCGCGCCATGGCTGTGCATGCGCACGGAGACCATCCGCCTCCTCCGCGAGACGTGCGCGCAGCTCAGGCGCTGACGTCACAAGTAAAAAGGAGAGCTCCGTGTCGAGGTTGGAGGAACGCGAGTTGAGATTGGTCGAGCCAAAGAGCGTGAGCAGCGGTGAGGCGTTGGGCGTCGGGCGGAGCCAGATGCCTGAGTAAACCGCGAGAGAGTTGGAGCTTAGACGGTGAGGTCTGTCATAGAATTGAAAACAAACCTTTGGCGTGGTACGTCCATCCTTTCTTCTCCCATTCGTTCAGCTGTACACCTGGGCGGCATTCCTGCTGATCTTGTGTCCATTCCCGACCAGAGTGGCGGACCGCCCTCATGAAACGCTTCTCGAGCAGTGTGTAGCCTTCCGGGATCCGTCCCGAAACGCCTTTGGAGCCATAGAAGCCGTTTGCCTGAACCATTGATCAACTTAGCACCAACGCGAGAGAACTATTATGCCTGGAATGCATACCTTTGGACTGGCAGCGAGGATGCGACAGGCTACTCCCGACCGAAGGACAAGATCCTGATATGGTTTATATAGACCAAAGTACCCGCTCGTCAAGTCCATCAGAGGTCCACCATAACTTGGCGAAGTAGACGTGGGTGTATGCGTCCCGAGCTCATCGAACAGAAGCGCTAGAGAATCCTCTTCCTCACGGATATCAAACAGTCCCGCTTGAATGACCGGAAACACGAGCACATCTGGCTGATTGACATTCAGCTTTTCGACATCGATCTTCTCGAGTGACGAAGTTGACGCGAGTTGGTCATCCAGTAATTGCGGAGACTCAGCCAAGTGGGAATTTTGGAATGACCTCAAGCTACGTTGCGCTTTGGTTTCTATGTAGTGCGGATGGGTATGTTCATCTGGCCATTGCAGAGTGTACTCCTCTTTTGACAGAGGAGAAGGCAGAAGTGAATATGAGAAACCAGACGCATGCTGCAAAAAGTCGAAACAATACCCCGCCAGCTGCGGCTGGGCGGTGAAACGCAGATAGCGATCTTGACGATTCGAAAAATAGGACGTGTTCAAGTTCGCACTGTTACCACGCGTTAGAAGGGTGTGAGATTCGACGGTAAAGAAGTGACGTACTTCCTTACCCGGAGATGAGCACGTCGTCGTCCGCCCCGTATATCTTCGGGTGCCACGTTCCCCAGCCCTCATTGAATCGTGGGGGCACGAGCTTAGCCATAATGCCTTTTAACTTCGGACTTCGGAAGAGCGCGACGCAAACACGGTTGGGATACTCCTGCAGTAGTGGGAGGAGGAGACGCGCTGTAGACTGAGGTCCCGGACGCGTCGAGCGGTTGAAGTCGAGGTGTATGTGGATCTTCAGGGATGGGTTCTGTTGGAGGGACACGTGCAACGCGTCAATCTGCGCGCGAAGCAGTTCATATAAACCAATACTGGAAATTTCACAGCGACGTCCGCACCAGCTCCACGTCTTCCGATCCAATATACAGTGAGGATATAAATATCCTGCGCCGTGCACGGCGTATCATATCCTGCACACCTGTCAATTACGGGTCTCAAAGATGAACATATACCGACAAGCAAGCATTGGTAGAAATCCTGCGGCTCGTGCATTATGTGCACGTCGGATGAAGACATAGGAAAGCACGGCTGGCGCTCCGCGAGTTTGGAGACAAATTGGCGAATGAAGGGGTCGAATGAGACGGTCGAAAGTGAGCGAGAACGATGCACGGCGACATTTGCGAGCTTGCGATCGTAATGTCGCGAGACTGTTCGACTAAAGAGGATGGCGGCGAACATATTCACTGGTAACAACCAGCAAGTTCGGGCACGGACTCGGGACTGGGAACGCAGAAATGTTTGGTCGGCCGGGGCCGGCCGGTTTCCCGCGACGTGGAAGACTGGGCGCCTGCTGCCAACTCAAATTTGAACGACCCAAAACATCCAAGTCTCTTTAATTTCTTTCATCGACTATGGCCCTTAGTTTCATCGGGTGCGCCTAGTATGTGCGTACGGCTACTCGAGAGCTAACCTGGGCTGCACAGAAAGCCCATTTCTCTCATTTCGCACTCAGATGTACGTTACAGAGGCATTCTCGCGGGAATCGACCCTGCAGCCTCGACCATCCAACTCTCCAATGGTAAGTTTGTTTGTGACATCATCATTCGCAAATACTCATTCACGCGTCTGTGATGTAGTGTACTCGATGGGAACAGAGTCGAGGCGGTGAGTCTCGCTTTCGCCACGCAAACTGTTGTGACGAAGCCATTACGGATGTAAAGCGAGCTTTAGAGCTCCACCGTCCGAGAGCGCATGAACCCATGTGGATTTTCCGTTGCCTTCCTTCTGACTCCGTGACTCTGTTTAAATTGCGCTGCTGAGCAAATCGTCAGAAGCTGACGTGTCGCTTGTTACCCTCCAGACCGCCAGACCAGTTCATACCTCCAGTGCAGGAACCATATGCATATATCATCTTCCGCGCATCAGAAGTGAAGGACCTCGCAGTGGATGACCCAGCGCCACAACGACGAAGCGTTCACGATGACCCAGCAGTGCTAGGCGTGAGTACTTTTATCAATTCGTTCTTTACCCTTCATGATGAAAACATTGACGGATGTAACGAGCACATGCTCGCATATCCGAGAGCGCTTAAACTCGTGTGGATACCCCGTTGCCTTCCTTCTGACCCATTTCCCTCATCCACCAAAGTGAAGCATTCTCCGGTGCTAGCTAACGTGCGATTTGACACCAGGCATCCGCGCCAATGGCAGCTGCACCACCATATGGCCAAAATTTCCAAGTACCGCCGGCGGGTGTACCACCACAATCTGCACAACCCCCTCAGCAAAATCGACAACCATCCTTTTCTCGCCAGCAGTCCTCCCAATCGTCTACCTCTGGCCAGCAACAAGGTGGGCCGGCTCAGGCAGCTCAAGCTGGCGCATCCGGCTCACCGTCGTCTACAACGCCCTCGGGAGGTCATCGCCAAGGGCGCAACAATTCTGTGCACACCGCCACGGCGTCTCTCGAGACCGTCGAGCGTGCGCTCGGCGACCTGCGTGTGGCGAATGCCACCGCAAACGGTGCGCCTGTCCCGCGCAGTGGACGACGTGGGCGCGGCCAAGGGCAACAGGAGCACAACATTCGGGTGCCCGTGGCGGACTTTGACTTCCAGAGTTCAAATGCGCGCTTCGATAAGGCTGCGCTAGGGCCGTCACCCCGGGGGACGCCGAAAGCGGACGAGGTGAACGGTACTTCTGCAGACGACAAGGAGAAAGAGAAGGAGGCCGAGCCCGTGGCGTACAACCCGAAAAAGTCGTTCTTCGACTTGCTCTCGTCTGGGAGCAACGGGCCTTCGGCGGACGCGCGCGGAGGGCGCGGAGGCGGCGGACGACGCGGCGGAGGCAGGAACAGGCGAGAGGAGGAAAGGGAGAGGAACGTCGCGACGTTTGGCGAGCCAGGCGGTGTGGGTCTTATGGGACCTGGTGCGTATGTTGCGGGATGGGGTGGCTATGGCAGAAGAGGTGGCGGTCGCGGACGGAGAGGCGGCGCAGGCGGTGGTGATCGCGCTGCCGCGGGTGCTCGCTAAGGATATCTTGATCCGCACTTTTTGATCCAGTCTTCTGACTGCAGCATCGATTCATAGCTTTTATACGAAGATTATCACCGTCGTGATTTGAGGTTCATTTCACTTTTGGGTCTGAGGTCGAAATGATGTCACTTATCGCGTACGACACTATTTGCACAATGGGCGATGTATATTAACTGTTACGACCGCCCTATTTTTTCCTCGCTGTCGTTTTCCGTCGGCGCGATAACGCTCTCCATGCCAGAGTCGTCAGAGCGGAAAACAGGCCCCATGGTGGGAAGAGCCAGCTGAGCCTCCATGACCACCCCGCCGCCTTACGTAGTTTAGCCACAAGCGTATCGATCTGCTTTTCCAGCTCATGGCGTTCTCCCGAGTTGTCTATAACGTAGTCGGCGAAAGCGACCTTCTCCGTGATAGGGAGCTGCGCGTTGAGGCGCGCCGACGCGTCTTCACGCGACGAGCCGTCGCGCTCCATGAGACGGCGTAGCTGGATATCTGCAGAACTATAAGGACAGTGTGTGCGAGTAGAACAACGTTAGACCGGTGCTAGCTTAAGGACTCTCAGCGGTACGCGAGTGTAAACAGAGACTCACCAATATACGACGATGACGGCGCTGACCCATTTCCACATGCCGCCCTCGATTAGCAGTGGGACGTCGAGGATACATATGCGCTCGCCGCCCCACCAGTACCGGAGCACGTCCCAGAACATCGCGCGGCGCACGGCAGGGTGCACGATTGCGTTGAGTTTACGGCGCTTCGCCTCGTCTGTGAACACGATCGCACCGAGGCGCGCGCGGTTGAGCGAGCCGTCGGGGAGGAGGACATCCTCCCCGAATTGCTTGACGATCTGCGCAAGCGCGGGCGTGCCGGGGAGCACTACCTGCCGCGCGAGCACGTCGGCGTCGATTATGGGGACTTGGTGTGCGCGGAACAGGTTCGCGACCGTCGACTTGCCCGTGGCAATACCGCCGGTTAGGCCTACGACTGTGCATCCGTAGTTAGAGGCACTTCGGCCTGTTTGTTCATTCATTCCTTCGCAGGAGAACATACCTAGCATCTTGATGGTATGAAAGGTGTCCTTTGGTGCAGGTTCGTTCTCAAGATGGTATACGCATGATGAATACAAGAGGCAAGAGGCAAATGGGCTGCTAGGTGAACACAAGCTGATGCACGCGGTTTTCGTGCAGTAGGCACGGTATGAACATTATATTAGATATAAAGTCCAAGGGAATATGAGATGCGTCGACTATAAGTCCAGACCATAGGAAACTCTACGAGTAGTCCCGCCGATGAGTATGCGTCTAAGGAAAGCGCTCTATGCGGCAAACAACATCTCCCTCTTCAGCCCGATCTCATCCTTCAGCATCGCAATTCTACTGTCCAGCCGTGACGACAGGTCCACCTGCTGTGTCGCCAGGGCGAGCGCCGCCTCCAGGTGCTCGCTCGCGACCTTGAGCGCGCGCGCCCACTCCTTCCGGCTCTCCTCTTCCGTCATCATCTCCGTAACGGTGTCGCGCTCCGTGCGCGCTTCCGTCTCCTTCAGCTCGAGCACCGCGAGCTCGAACAGCGTAACACCGCCGACCCATGTGCTGACCTTGATCGAAGACTGCCGTGAGTATGCGTCAGAGAGGAACGCGCGTGCAGGCTCGTAAGCGCCGGCGGTGCGGTGAGTAATACCCAGGAGTAGCGAGCGGATCGCAAATTCGTCCGGCGTGTCAATATCTACACACGCTGCGGTTGCTGGTGGTGATGTGGGGGCAGTGACGTATGGGCTCGTGATGGTGGGGTGGGGTACGAGCACGGCGAGCTCCGCGATGTGTGCTTCTGCGGTCTCCTTCAGAATGCGCGCGTGCGTGTTCCAAACTACGTCAGAAGATGTCAGTGAAGTTGAAATACCGGTAAAAACAATGCAAAATAATACAGATTCCAAGTTCTGCAGAACAAAGGTCAGCGAGTGCACGACTCCAATATCAATATCAATTCCTCACCTTCGGCGGGGCTGACCCTGATGCACCGCGCAAAGTGTTCTTCGGATCCTGTCCACCGCTTCTGCTTCTCGCGGTAGAACGCCACTGTCCATGAACGTGTTAGCCACGTCCATCATTGCTGACTTCAGGAATAGAGGCACTGACGCTTCTTCTTGATGAACACCTCTGTAGGCAAGTCTTTTCCAGTGATCTTCTTCTTCTCGAGCAGCACTGGAATTTCGTCCAAAAGCTCCTGGGCCTTATCGTAGTCTTTCAGCGAAACATAGCATCCTGTCCGTGCTAGAAGTCAGCGCGAACTTATCCTAGTGAAACGCGAACCTCACCTGCAGCGATGAAATAGTATGTTCCGTGGCTCCTGCGCGTACGTCAGTCCAAGTTGTATCAGGTCAAGCAATAAACGGTGGTAGACGCACCAGCTGTTAACCTTCGTCATGCGGATAAACATCTCCGCAGCTTCCTTATACCGCCGCTGCGATAGCAATGTCCACGCCAATTCGAAGATGAGCTGCATAGTTTATATTCAATGAGATGTTCGAAGATAAGATATCATGCCACCTTACCAGTCCATCGGCTTGCGAGAAGGTATGCGGCCGATTCGGCTGCAGACCCTCTTGTAGGATAGCAATCGCGCCTTCGGGGTCGTACGTCATCCGCAGAATTTTTGCCTGTAGAGCAATGACGTCAATGAGAACTGCTTTCAGATTTGGAACAGACGCACCCTGTTCAGGATCCAGAGGGAGCCGTTGGGATAGCGAGAGGCGATGCTATATCGGATGAAATAATGAGTACGAGGGCTAAACTGGTAACGAGAAGCGTACTTTTCAACAATTGCGCGGTATTGCTTGATGATGTGCGCTTCGTCCGCTTGATAGCCCGCAAGGAGTAAGACGACACCATGGTACGTCATAAGAGCGAGCCTATTATGTCGTCAACGTGGATTACGTCGAAAATCATGGTCAATCTTACCCTGCAAAGACAGAATGAGCATCTGTTCTTCTCGCGGATACCGCGAGGGCTTGCAGCGCCAGCTTCCGATCATGGTTGAATCCGAGGAAGCCGACAACTCCTCTGCCGACAGTATAAGGCGATTACGTCGGAAAAACGAAGAACATGAACTGACCTGATCTTAGCTGGTAGAAGGGAGAAAACGAGGTTGAAGAGCCTGCGCAGAAATATGAGATTCCAATAGTGGTAGTCATCACATAACCCACCCAAAACCTACACGAACTCCGGTAAGTGGAAAACATTGACACTCTCGATAAGTCAAGCAACACACCAAACGCCGTCCCAGACAGAATGAGCTCGTCTACCGATCCCTCCTCGGCAATCACGACACTCGCCGTCGACGGAACCGACAAGCTGGACTTTCCCCACCGGCCAAAGAAGGTAGACTTTGCCGGGCTCTTCGGAGTATTGGGGGTCGAACCCGTGAACGTTGACACTGACGTGGATGAGGCGGAGGAGTATACGCTCGGCGATGGCGAACTTCCTGGTGTGGTATACTCGTACAGGCCGGCAGGGTACACCGCCTTATACAGTCTAACGGCTTTGCCGTGAGACGCATTAAGGTGAAAGGAAATATGGCTCACCTTGAATACTTGGAATGCGCACTGTGGAGAAGTTAGTAATCTTTATAGGGAGAAAACGAGACTAGGACTTTCCTGTTCATGGCGTACAAACATTGAAGGTAACCCATGTATGACTCACTATTCGCACGCACGGTAAGTAACGCGATGGCAAAAGTGCGACCCAGGTATGGCCTTGCGAACTCTAGACAGATAAAATTGGTCGCGGAACAGAGACATGCGAACAGTATGTCGGCAAAACGTCCAGCAGCGAGCGAACGTAACCGGTCGCAGCTACTATGAACATACTCTGCGAATGTCTGGTGCGTCACCGGAGGATGATCGATGATCGACAGCGGACGACGGAAGTGCCAAGACCACAGAAAGTATAACCCAGGTGGCAGGACTCACCTTAGCGCATGGTTTAAACCAAGAAGGATGATGGCGTCAGAATGCAGCAGTTCCCACTCGATACCCGGAGGAAATTGTGTGTTTGACCCGGACCCCTTGGACGACTTGAACTGCTTCTTTGAACCCGCCTCTGAGAGTGCGAGGCAGCGAGCTGCCTCAACCAGCAAACCTGTCTGATGTACAGTCATTCCACTGGGATGCGCATACTTGCAAGACTGCCACTCACCTCCATTCCCAAAGCAGCCTCTAGAAATGCGCATACACCGAGACCGAGTGCATGGAAAGGTGAGCTCCCCGTAGCAAAGATCTCCCTAGCCTTTTCGAGATCGTTTGAGAAGAGATGATCGAAACCAATTGATGCATCTCGGAGGTGCTTGAGCGTTTCATCGCTATTAGTGGACAGCATGAATTCTAAAGAGGAAGGACTGTGAAGAGTGCTTCAGTGAGAGTGCTGAGATATCTGGCTCGAACGGCCGGCGGTGCCGAGGTGAGAATTATTGATGACGGTGCAGTACTCAGTAACGACTACAACGTCACCTGCCATGTATGGCAGACTCGGACCGCCGGCAACACACAACTCATAAATTTTGCACTATAGCTATGTACGTACGTACAGTATACAATCTTCACATTATCTATCCTCAGCAAACGATGAGCAGTTGCGAATCATAAATATTGGAGAGGTGCGCAAGCGGTCAGTGAGCACGGTCAAACTGCTTCATAGTACTGCGCTCCGCATAGCAATGGGTTAACCGAAACAAGTAGGTGCAGTAGCTGCACGTACAAATTCGCCGCCTGGTCCTGTGGCAGACTGCAGTAGAGACGCAAAGTGATCACACGCGCGCAAAGTCAGGGCGTTTTGATCAATATTTACTAGCTAGTGTCCACTAGTGGACAAGTGATGGATAGGGTATGTATTCCAAGTAATTTTGTTTCGCAACTCGCTGATGCTGACTCCGAGGAGTCGGGGAATGCAGTGAGTCGGGACTGAGCTACGCTCTGTCTTGTTCCATGTAGATCCGTCAGGCATCCGTTGGACGCCTTCCCCCGCCGCGGCGTACTCGCGATAGACAAGATGCTGGAGATGGTGGTCGGGAAGAAAGACGAGCTTGCAGCAGATGTTCGCTCGACCGTATTGAGATCAGGAGATATAATTGCAGGACTTTCGGCTGAGCATTTTAATAAAAGATGAGTGAGCGGAGATTGCCGAGGGGCGACTGCGAGCGTCGAGGGCGCGGCCACCAGCGCTGCGGACGCAATGACGCCGCCTGCATGCTCGTCTGTTCTCCAGGCGAGGATCAACGCCTTCGAGGCTCTCAGCAACCCAGTCTCTGCGCCAACAAATGTCGAGCGCGCCGCCTCTCCTCCCAACATCCTCGAGCGCCCCATCTCTCCCGCCGTCACCTCTTTCTCTCCCATCATCCCGTCCTCGGCGTCCTCGACGCCGTCCAAGCCTCGGCAGCACAACTTCGTGTCCTGCTCGCCTTCTCCATCTCCCCCGAACCTTAGCCGCAGGACTTCACTCATTGACCTCAAAGAATGGGTCGTTGACGATGGTCCTTCCACTCATACGAACGGTGCGACTGCGTCGTCCTCGCTCATCCTTACCTCTAATTCAAAAATGCCCTCCCCACCACTAATAAACCTCGATCCATCGTCGCCACCCAAATCGAGAACCCTTTCGGTGCCACCTCTGCCGCCCCGCAAGTCGTCGTACTCGTCCCTCAAGTCCGTATCTCCTACTTCCTCCACTTCCTCTCTCGGCCGCAGCCCCGCAACTCTAACAATCCCATTACCACTTGCCGTTCGACCCCCGTCAACACGCATGCCCCCAGGTACGCACACGTACCCGCCCGCATCCACGCTCGGCATCGCCATTCCTTTGCGCGGACATGCCCCCGCATCCTCCATCTCCTCTTTCCACTCCGTTTCCCTGTCTTCCGACGGCGAGCCTGCCCATCGCGAGTCAGACGCGCAGAGCATCGACATAGACGATTTTGAGACCGTTTCGGCGACTTCTGCCAGTCCGAGTGTCGCCCGAGGACACGATTGGGAGCAGCCCGTGCAGCGAGTTCCACCCAAGCTCCCACAGCGCCCACCATCGGCATCGACGACCACCCTCAAGCCTCCGCCGAAGCATCCTCCACCGTCCCGCTCATCGACTTCACCGAGCTTCACCTCCAAACCTCCGCCGCCCGCACCCCCGCCCCCACTGCGCTCTCGCGCACCCTCTGCACCATCTGTCCGCTCCTCGCCCTCGACCTCGACTTCGACCTCGTTCTCCGACCGCTCCTCCATTCGCAGCACCAGCACCGTCGCCTCTTCGCAATCGCACACACAGGCGCCAGCACGGGGGCAAAAGCTTGCACGACAAACTCCCGTCCCGCCCGCAGCCCGTCGCCGGTACGAGGCGCTCTTCACCGCGAACGTCCGTGCACGGCGTCCGCGCATCCGTTCGCCTCCCCCGGGCACGGCGCGGAAGCGCCAGGCAGCGGGGTGGCGCGGGCTGTCTGTGGACCTCATCACGAGCCCGGAGCTTGGCGAGGTACCGCTTTCGGAGACGGAGGAAGAGCCTGCGGAGGTGGACGAACGGCTGGAGGGCGCGACCGTCCGGCGAATATGGAGCCTCTCGAGATTGGAACGGGGTACGCTCCGTGCGATATGGTGCGTTTCGGTCGTAGGTCGATGCCGTGCTGTGAGAATCTGATGCGTGTGTGCTGTAGGAACGAGTGTGACCCTGGGGGGACAGGCGCGCTAGATCGTGCGGCGTTCGTCAGAGGGATGTGGCGGATTGACGAGGAGCTTCGGCGTGCGCAGCTTCTTGGCCTCGGGCGACAGGTCTCAAGTGCGTCTGTACGTGCACGGATACCACGGAGGGCGGACCGGGCGCCGGCGACGGCCTCGAAGCTCATTCTGCATTGACCCTTGTGGTCTGTGGCTCTGGATGGTGGGTGCTACGATCTACTTTTTTGTGATGGCCGTAGAGAGGGTCAGTGCGCGGTCGACGATCTGTCTGGTTGAGGTAGGGTTATGTGACAGAGTCGGACTATTTTATGGACCTCTGAGTGCTGTTGATGTGAGATGCTAGTGCTGTGATTGCGGAGATTGTATGTGCAGGTATACCTGATCATTTTGACATCAGTTTGTTTCTGGTTTAAAGCTTCATGCTGCGTGTTTGTGATCACAAGATCGACATGGCAGCGCGCCCCATGGTTGGAATTTCGGAAGATTTGAGCTTCTTGCGTATTCCCGGCCAAAGTACCGAAAGAGAAGTACCCTCAGCACTGCTTGTGTCGAGTTGTAGTTGACCTGACACGCGATAGTCCATGCCAGATGGCATGGTTGAAATGCTGATGACAGGCTTCAGCTCATCCCTCGGGACTATTCAGGCCGCGACTCCTGCCCAAATTTCATGGCATGCGAATGCGAGTCCAACGCACCTTGTCATTCTGTTTTGACGCTTTTCTTAACAGTGCCCACACCGCCGCTATATGCATGGACAGAATGACAGGAAACGTGAGCCTGATTTCTGGCCTACTTTGCCTGGGATGGAAGATGAGTCGAGCTCCCCTGGGCCATTCGTGGAGGCGAGTCGCGAATGGGAACTTCTAAGCCTTAGCCCTCTCCCTACATCTCGCAATTCCCAGACGAAACGCGAGACGTAAGTACTGGATCCGTGGACGTTGAGCACATCTATTGCATTACGGCGTCACTTCGTAGAGGTAAAATTGACATACTCAGAGAGCACCAACAGTTAGTGGGTCGTTCTCATACGGAGCCCGAAAGCATGCGAGCGCTCAGCGGTGTGACAAGGGGTGAGGGACTGGATTTCACCACTTCCCCCAGTGTCCCCCAGTGCGCTTTTGGTACCGTATGGCCATTATACAATCTACTTTGTGTGCAGCTGTACATGCGAGCTGAGTAAGTACAGTACCTGCAAGTTATAGATCCAGTCGCACGAACAACTACACTTGCCAAATCTAGTTTAGCAAAAACCGTAGATCTAGATTGAGATCTAGTCGTTGCCGGCCTGCCAATTTGTTTGCCAAGCACCTCTCTGCACCTCTCTGTCCAACTTCTGCCTGCTGCCATTAGTTCCCCTTCCATACAGCTAGTGGTGCCCCGAACGTCAAGCACAACTTCAATATCACATCCGTTCTCTCCTGGCGACCGCATTTCTTCCGCACTATCATACGTCCTTCGCCTTGGCAGGCACACTTCCTACGAGAACGAAGAACGCGTCACGCGATGCGTCAGTTCAAGTAAACTTGGAGGACGTGATGTGTCTGTTCGGACAACATTTATGACCATTATCCACGACTCAGCTCTGACTACTCGACTTATTTACTCCAATGATTCCGGATGTCGCTCTTTACCCAGACTTGCGCATACCTGCCGGGAACTGAAGAAGCCTGCGTTATCGTTACTTTGGCGAGACCTTAACGTTTAACTCGTTTGAACCTCTCGCTGTCCTCTTTCCAAGCACGCTCGAACGGACCTTTCGGGGACTTGGTTCGGTACAGTCTCTTAAAAGGGTTCAAACTTTACTTCCCATGTAACAACCCTTTATTAAGATGAAGTCCAAGGAGTGGATAGATATTATTTCATATGGTGAACTCGTTCGTACAGTCTCACACGTCGATGCGGTCATCGCGCTTGCTATATTTTCTCTGCTGAAGAAGCACCGCAACGGGTCCGAGTACATCTTACCCAACCTAACGTCACTTATTTGGCAGTCTATGGGACTCCTGGTATCAATCACTATTCTTTATTCCTGGCTCCGAAACGTCGAAGTCTCATTATAAGGATTCGGTCTTCGCGCACGGATTCTGGCACAGCTCTCGGTGACATGTTGGTGAGAGCGACGATGCACAAGTCTCTTTCTACTAGGTCATTAGAGATGGCCGGCGTCTTCAAGCCATCTTCCTTCATACATAGTGTGTCTCCGTCGGATGTCATTTGGGAACGCTTATCCATACTGCCTCGTAGCGGGTCTGGAACCTGATCCGCACTTCATTCCGTGGATAACCGTCCTCACCAAATTGCAGACGTTGATATTGACATTGAAGTGGTCTCCCGAACCTTCGCGATCGGAATCCGTGCTTCTCACTGGCACTATCCCTAACCCACGCATGACCCAGAAACATCAAAACTGGATACGCTGGGACTTACAGATGACGGAATGTTCAAATTCAGTCGGCTGCGTTGACCTGCGGCTCATCGTGGACAAACGCTTGGGATGTCTAATGTCCCTTCGCCATCTGACGAGCATGCTTACTCGACTCGAACTTGTGATCTCCAGTTATCCTTCTGACTTAGATTGGCGGGATGTGTGCACCGCTATCCGCAAAAATCCCCGAGTCCTTCCTTGTACACCCTCAGGCCTCAAGATGCACTCTCTGGACAAAGGTCGGATGCGAGACGTCATGCATCTAGACCTGACGCCGCTCGTGCCAAACCTACGGTGCCTCAACTTGGACCTTCCTCACTTCGTATTCCATGATCCAGATATAGTTGACCTTGTGACCACTGTCCCTACTATAGATGAGCTTAGGCTATCGCCCTTCAAGCGGTTTCCTCGTCGAAGCACATAGTTATATCGCTTTATGTGGCTTTTAATTTATGCACAAGGATCACCCCAGTAGCGCAGCAATGTACGAGAGAAAGGATCTGTTTTCTCCCGTTCCGAACTCATAAACTGCAGAATATGCACCTCCTCAAATTCCTACATCTCTCGAGTGCGGTTCTACCCTCCTTTATTTACTTCTAGCTCTAATCATTATTTGCTCCTTTCACCGATTCCCGGTCAGATCTCCCGGTGCAGGAAATCCGATGCTAGCTATCGTATGGTAGATGCTTCCGCACACCTATGATGTTTTGCAGTTCAAAACATGGTCGTAGCTCGTCGTCTGCCAGCGCAGCAGTAACGATGTCGCTACCATTCAGGAATATCCTGGCGTTCGACTTTAAAGAAACAACTTCAGGCATCAACTAAGACGAACATTTCCTAAATCGCACGCGGAGGCACTCGGCCGCGGCCCTTCACATTTACCCCCGTCCCATATATCTGCGCCAGAAGCCCAAGCACACCCCCGTCCTCTAGCTCGTCCTCCTCCTGTGATTGCGACTGCCCCACAGACGGCTGTCCTCTGTGTGTATCGCCCACTACATATGACTCCCCCAACGCACTACTCACCTCTTCCACCTCCTCTGGTATCGGCTCCGCTCCCACATTAGTCGCAGCGCCGGATATGACGCTCCCTTGCGAATCTCCCAGCACCGCAGTCTGTGCCATTTCCGCTCCAAGCATGCTAGACTGGAAGATCGACGATGCCGCTGGCCCGACAGGACGCGTGCTCTGCATGAGTACACTGCCTCGCCGCCGCGCCATCTGGCTCTGCCTGAGCGCGCGCTCGTATTCACGAGCCTTGTCCGCTGGTCCCACCTCTGGTTGTACCGTGGCGTCAAGGGTAACGGCAGGGACTACGTTCGCAGCGTTGTTTGCTTCTGAGCCTCGTCGGAGGAATCGCCGGCGACCAAGGCCAATGGGATGTGCGGCGCTGAAATCTGCCATGCGACTGAGATAGAGCGATCCCGTTGGGTCTGCTGGCATCCACTCTGGATGCGCGGCCTGTGTAATATTTTTAGCACAACTTTAGTTACGATCTGGGGCATAGTCCGAACCTTGAAATTCAGGAAGCTCTTCTCCATCTTGCCCTCCTTCGACATAAGCCGCTCGTCGTTCACCTTCGTCGGGGCACCGAACTGAATGAGCTGCAATTAGTACCATACAGAATATACGAGCGACCTTGTCACCGACCTTGATGTTGCCGTGCCGCTGGAAGTCGAACACGGCAAAGCTGCACACGTACCCAAGGCCATCGACATGGACGGTGAACTCGCGGAAAAAGTCGACGATAGCGGGTGCACAAGGGGGGAGGGAGTACCATAGCACGAGCGGTGTGAGAATCACGGAGAGCAGCTCCTGGGCAAAGATCATGATCTTCATTGCGAATAGCTGGCCGAATTCCTCATGCACCTACGACGCGATCGTAAGCATCTTCATAGCTCTGGAGACGTGCTGACGTACCTTCTTCGAATGCAGCTGGTCCTTCCATTCGTCTGGCATGTAATGCGTATACTGCACTACCTCTATCATGAGCAGCTCCGGATCAAACACCATGTTATCCTCGGGAATCATGCCTCGTGCGACGGCGAGGAGTGACGCAAAGACGGTCAGGTAGAATAGCACTGTGTGATGAGGTGTGATTTCGAAGGAAAGGAACCGATCAGGGTCAATGACAGAGGACAGCAGGAGAACAGCAGCGAAAGAGCCAGCTATGAAAGCCACAAAGCTAAACAGTCCAAGTCGTCCATGAGCGTATGCACGTAAGATCAAGTGGCATAATGCTCACCGGACTATGATCGTCACTTTCTCGTTCGGGAACTGACCGATGTACATACTCGCCGCTGGGTACGATTCGTTCAGTCTGCGCTTGAACAGGTGTGGCAACTCGTTGAACTCGCGGAACTTCCATTGAGCGAAGGGCGTATAACGTCGGCCTCCAATATTAGAGGGATTCTTGTGATATTCCTAGAAACCGACATAAGTACTGCTCTGCATGCAAAAGTGTTTTTTTTTCACCTCAAAATATCGGAAGAACGAGTACATAAGGAGGTAGAGAACGATAAATGGCGCAAAGATGGCGTTCAAGATGCCCATAAAGATCAAGCGTCTTCGCAGACTGAAATACATCACAATATCAGTTGGAAAGATCAGTGGCAATTGAGCAATACGCACCCCTCAATCAGTGCCGACCTGTTCTTCGACTTCAGGAATACCTTCCTGACGCGTCCACTGGTATCGAATAAATATTCCATCAGACAGAATCGTAGGTTCCACTCCAGCGCCGTAGTTAGTGTGCGGCCCTTCCCATCTTCTGGTGCGCCAACGAAGCGTTTCAACATTGGCGGAAGCGGCACGCGAAGGTCTAATAGTTCCTTATTAAACAATGCAATAAGGTAATTCTCCTGACGCATGATACGATTTGCAATGTCGTGAGCATCGAGCTTCGCTGTGATTGATTGTGCTGCGGATGTTGAAGAAATGGCCGTCAGTGGATTGTCTTCCCGAATTGCGCCGATGCGCCGCACTATCTCTGGCCAAGAAATCGTCTGGATGTCTGCCTGAGGAAATAGAATGACGTGAGGCTGAAAGATGAATTGGAGCTAGTCGCAGGACCTACGTCTGGTATATGCAGAAGGTGGGTGTAGAAACTGTACATGTCTACGAGTCGCATTATACCAAGGACATATGTGGCTGTCTGCCAGACGAAGAAGGCGGTGAACAGGATGAAGAAAATGAGCGTGAAGCCTGAGAACCTGCGTTCGCGTCAGAAAACTATTATTCAGAGTATGTACGTTGCGCACCTGGACACACAGCGGTCAACAATGACTTCCGATAATCGATTAACTTTGTCATGGCGGACCCGCGAGTAGTCCACACAACCTAGAAGAAACGTCGAGAATCCAATAACAAACCCAACTGTGCTATGCATCACGTTAGTCCAGAATTCAGTCACATGAAGAGGGTACACAAAGGGATGATTACCAACAGAAGGTTGAGTCCGCGGGATAATGCGATACTGTAGATCCCCTTCCCCTCATAATAGTAGTATGCCTCCTGCAGGAACGCGTCAAGGTTATAGACGTTGACCCAATTCCACAATGCGCGTTCGTGCGCGTCTAGCCCGCGCATACGTCTCTGTGGCGGTTCACGTAGAGGTTCCGAAGGTGTCTCCTCCTCCGCGTTCATCTCAGAGGGTCTGGGAGGTGCAGACAGTTGAGTAGCACGTATAGCGGTAGTGGGCAAGATCGGTGGTGTGTTCTTCCGCGATGTAGAATACAATGGCTGCCTCCGCATTTCCTTCGCCTTGCCTTTAGCACTCACGAGAGGAGACTGTGATCTGCGCACCCCAGGCGATGCAGCTTCAATCATCAAGTTCTGTGGCTCCTCGTCCGACGATTCCTCGTCATGTTTCGGGTCATCCTGCCGGATGTTCGGCCTGAGCACCTTCATCTCAGACGTGTCTCCACTCCACCCTACTCGTCTGCGCCCATGCGGATTGCTAGTGCTGTGGAATATCGTGCTGCGATTCGCATGGCCTGCCTCGAGGTCTCCATCCTCGTTCGTGTTCTCATTCTCCTCCTCCTCTTCCTCTAGAACAGATTGATTCGTTTGCATATAACCCTGATAAGCGCGCCCCATAGGGTTGAGCATGTGAAGGAAAGGCCGTGAGCTGCTCCCGCCAGAATATATGGACTGAGAACCATGCATTGATCGTGAGGACATGGGGCGGCTACTTGAAGGTGCTGGGGGTGACTTCGACATGGCTTCAGGAGTGCACGCAAGCGGCCAGCTGCGCCTGGGTGCGTGTAGTAGATGAGTGGGAGCACTAGTCAAGCCAGCTGCAGGTCAGGAGCACTTGCAAGGATGCCACGAGGGTCTGCGTGAAGGGTGCGTTTTCGGACGTAACCATGACTTTTACATTTTACATTTTGCACAGGCAGCCTAGTAACAAGAAGTTAAGTAGCGTACAGTTGGGGTTAAGTTAAATTGTCATCAAGGCAGGGTTGTAGGTTATCTGATAAATCATAATCGCCATCAAACGCCAAGAGCCGCCCAGCTGCAGCTCGCTCGTCCGTGACAGATTGCTTCTTGCCTCGTACCGTATACCCACTAATGTCTCAGGCAAAGCTGTAAGGTTCTTGGTGCCCCGCTGTCTTGCCAATTGACCCATATGTAATTCCCAGAACTCTACGGCCTCCGCCAAACATCGATTTCGTGCAGGGTACGCTCCATTTCAGGCCTTTCCGGACGCTGCACCGTGTGCAGCAAGGGTTCACATATCCGCAACAGGTTATCCTGGAATCCCTCCTGGTCCACCTGACCGCCCTCAAGCTGCAGTGAAAGGTGTACGTGTTTAGCAGCTCGCCGGGTTTGCAGTCATCTCACCAGACTTTGCTTCCAAATAGGCGATCGAAGTGCGAGTCGGTCCTCAGGGCGTCAAGGCAAAATGGGTCCGCATCGAGCTCAGGAAGGTGGAGACACTACCTGGAGGTGGGGTTGCGAACACGTTCTTTGACCCCGTGGGCCAGAGTCCCATCAATGTATGGCAGTCAGGCGAAGAATATGGGATATTGCATACCGTATGTCTCGTTTCTTCGCATACCTTAGCTGGCGCTCAGGCTAGTGTTTTATACAGCAAGACTTTCCGTTCTACATCCGCATTCCGGAGTCTATCCCGCCTAGTATAGCTCTGGAGAAGGGCGGTAAGTTCTGCTAGCCGGTTCGGGTTGCGGGTATTGATGTGGAAGTTTTGGACAGCGGGTATCAAGTACGAGTTGATTGCTGCGGTGTGTATCAAGGGGAAGAGGTTAGCACCTCCTAGCACCTAATCAATGCAACTAACGTCTCAGCTGCATCCAGAGGATTGCTTCGTCGTGACAAGCCTGTCGTCGCTGCCACTTCTTCCCAAATTATCATTGACAAGCACGAATTGCACTCTACTTGGCCTGTTTACTCGCAACCAGAGTCGCGGAGCCACACGCAGGATGGGGTAACGCTTACTGTTGACCGTTCGCACACATGCTATGGGCCAGGCGACCGTATCATCGTAATGGCGACAGTGAAGTCTGACGGCCTTCATACTGTCATTCTTCGCGGTTTCGAGTTCACCTTGCGCGAGACTACCGTGTTTCGCGCAAGTCCACATACCCATGGTAAGAAGGGTGCACCGCAGGTGAAAGTTGCGAGCATCGGAGAGCAGAAGGTGCCCGTGAATGTGACCCTGTATGGTGGTACGCAACATAAGGCGGAGCTAACCGCCGTCATACCCCCTCACCATACCTCTGCCACTTTGAACGCAGCAAGACACATTGATATCACATACAACCTGATCGTCAAGGCTCTGATGGGCACCGGTCAACCCGTTGTACTTGATCTCCCGGTGATCGTGTCAAATTGGCCAAGGTTTGTTGCCGTGTTTGCCGTCGTGTTCTCTCTTCCTCACTGAGTCCTCGTATAGAACTGTATCGCAGGAAGCAATGAGGTACTATATAGTCTTGTACGTATGGGTGCCAAGATACTCACCATTTACGCAGGCGGATTGGCACTGCCCCCAACGTCTCTTTACCAGGGCACACCGGCACGCTTCACATACAGCCGGAATTGCCCCTCTCACCACCAGCCTTGCAGGTGTCTCAGTCTATCATCTCGATCACACCCCAGGCCAACATTGTAATCTCGGCCCAACCTCACCCATATAGTAGCTCGGAGAAAGCAGTCAGACCGGCAACTACAGGCTCCACTAGCAGACCAGCTCTCGGTCAGTTCAATACCGCGCCAACGTCTCTTACGAACGGCTACGCAGGAAAGACTGATGAATTTGGGATGACAAAGAGCTCAAGCATCGAGAACAGCTCGCGCGATAATGCCAGCTCCCAGGGGAGTAGTTATGACGCGCAGACAATTGGTGGTACTGGCTTTGGCCGCTCCGCTGCTAACTCCGTGAGCTCTCGAACACCTGGCCCGCATGGGAATGACGCTCCAGCCGCTCGTCCTCGCAACAATAGTGCCAGGGCGGTAGGTGCCGGGAGTAGATTGACGGTAGCGAATTTGAATGATCAGGAGATCGAAGAACATACGAAAGCGGAACGTATGCACGGAAGACAGGCTTCTCTATCATCAACTCCAGCTCCGAGGACACCTCCGGCGGAAGGACTGCGCGCTCAATGGCTTTCTGCCGAAGACGAGAAACGACGACTCTATGAGACTGCTATCGCCAACGTCGAGCGAGTGCAAGGCAATGTGATCCATGCGCGCAGTATGACCGATGTATGTCCATTCTTTGAACTTGATTATGCCTGATTGACATTTCAGTATGAGAAGCATGCACCGTCCGATGCAAGTTCTACTCCGCCGTTAAGCAGCACGACGGCGAAGTCGGGTCCATGGCCAACCGCCGAGGACGAGAAGACTCGGCTGTTCAATCAGGCTCAGGCGGCTGTCTTGCGTACCCGAGGCTTGGTCAGCTCTCCTAGTGCTTCTTCTGTATCATCTGGTCATGGACGAAACGGTTCACTCAACGGTTCTCAATCCTGGATGGCTCCTACTTCCGGGTCGCATGGTCAGATGAGATCAGCAACATATAGCCCTCCAGGAACCGCCAACTCGTCCTCTGTATCACGTCAATCAGCAGTTGTGAAAACTGCTGCGCTTCATTACGCTTCTGCTGAAGATGAGAAAGCAGCTCTCCGTCGATATCACGAAGCAAAGGCTGCAGTGGATCGCACGCAAGGTGCAGCTTATGGTATCGTGTCACCAACTCCCCCATCTGCACCTATATCATACGACGCTCTTTACCTTTCAAATACACCAAAGCCTAGCTCGTCGCTATCTGCCCCGGTGGTAAACGGTTCGACACCGCCATTCGTTCCATCCTCAACTCAATCCTCGCATCCATCCGATGAGGGCCGGCGCGCGTACGAGGCACAAAATGCCGCGAGGACGCCAAATGTTACCCGCATCAGTTCGATTGGCACCGCAGGCTTCACGCTGACCACGCCCGACCAGCCCTCGACAACCGGTGCCGCCGCTGAGAAGGAGAAGCTCCGCAGGAAGTTTGAGGCCCAGGATACTGCCGCGCTGACTTCGGGACCGCCAGCGCCGCCTCCTCGCTACGGCGCACCGCCTCCCACGCCTCCTCCTTCACAGGGATCACGTCCAACACCCACCCCGCCACGATCGCCGCCCGTATCACCGCATGCCAGCGGCTCTCGGCCAATGACTGCTGCAGAGGAGAAGGCAAGACTGAGGGCGATGTACGAAGCTAGTGATCAGGGCGCCCGACCAAACGACATGTCTTCCTACCCATCCCCGCCTCCCACTGGCGTCCACAGGCATGACGAATCCGCTTTTGGGGCGTCGGCCGCACCACCGCCTCTCCTGCCACGCCCTCCGAAAGAATATATTCAGGAGACACAGGAGGAAGACATCCGTACCTACGCTGAGATCGAAGCAATCGACAAGGATCCTGCGCGTGCAGGCCCCCAGAAAGCAGAGGTGCTGCTGTCATCATTCAACGCAGGTCTAGTCGATTCTTATGGAAACCCCGTTCCCGCCCCGGGCCCGCCCCCGCCACTGCCCCCCAAGGTCCTGCTCGAGTGACGGGTTGTGAGATATATAGGTGTTACTCATATATCGGGCTCATGCATTCGCAGATCTCAGCATCAGGGTTATCCCTAGGAGTACACTCACTACATGTAAATATCGCTACAGTTACATCTCTAATTATCTGGAGGAAGTATTTATCTATCGCTTGCGCTTCACCTTGGGCACTGTCATCGAAATGTCCGCCTTCTGCTGTGGAATCGACAGATCCGCCATGTCCAGCTTGCGCTTGTACCCGCCGTTCGTGGGCTTTGAGTCAGGTGAATGCGGGGGAAGAGGCGACGCTGTGTCCGAAACCTCGTCGAGGAACGCGGTGAGCTGCTCCGTCGATGCGTCGCCAACCTTCGTCCCGTCGATTTCTGTCGAGGGATCGTACCGGCCCGTCACGTCGGGGTATTCTCCGCCGCCAGCATTGATCCCGCTCAGCAGCGCGTCGAGGAAGAGGTCAGACGACGGGTCGTCGTGCGGCTCGAGGCCCGACAGCGTCGGCCTGTCCATTGGGATTCCGGTCGATGTCGACGCGACGTTATTGTGTGGTGGCTCGTCATTGTGCAGCAGCTCGTCCTGGTCGTGTGCCTGGGGAACGATACTGTGTGGATCAATGCCGAGATTCTGGATGAGAGAGTTTAAGCTCGTCTGCAGTACGTCCATGTCCGCCTCGATCTCCGCAGCATCCCTGTACGTCCTTTGCAACCGTTGGGCATCGTCGAGTAATGGCCCCAGCGACGGCGCGTCGTTCTGCAGCTGTGGGCCGAGCAGCGGGAGCGACGGGTGGGGCGCAGGCGGAATATCTGGCCGGTAGCGAGAGTAGTCATTCTGGTTAGGATCGTACTGCATCACCTGAGACGACAGTCCGTAGTATCCTGTCGATGGACTAGACGGTCCCCGCATTGGGTGGTTCTGCTGCGACGCGAGCATTTGCATCAGCCGCTGCATCTGGTCGGGAGAGTTCAGCATCTGCTGGATCGCAGCCTGCCATAGCCCATCGGATTGACTCGGCGGAGGTGTGAAAGAAGTCAACGCTGACGGCGAGAGGGTACTTTCTTGAGGCTGAGGGCACCCGTCCGGTGTAGGCACCTCGGTGGAGGTGAGGTTGGACGAGTTCGAGCCCGAGTTCGGGCCGGACGCGGTCGGACTCCTCGACAGCATGTCCGGGCGAATCGAGGTGTGGGAGATATAGGTAGCAGGTGAATCGAGAGATACGGGGGAAAACGCGGCCGAAGACGCAATGGACTGGGATTGCTCGTCGATGGCTGCTATTTGGTCTACCACAACTTGCGAATAAGGTGTGAGTAGCGCAAGGAGGAGAGGAGGCTCACCGATGGGGAAAAGGTGTCGGGCGTCATGGTCCGATTGTGGTGTCTGCACGCTCCCTCGATCATCCTCACCGACATCTGCAGCCTTCCCCTTCGGCCTGCCGTCACTGATCATAAGTCTCTGACGCGCAACCGGGACAACAGCACTTGGAGAACGTGAGCCGTCCTTGGGATCTGCGGAGTTGCCGAAGACGCCCGCGAGAAACTTGAGGATGCGGTTGATGGTATCTTGGTGCTTGTCGTGCCGTTGGCGGGTTATCTCTGCCTCCTTCCACAGCAGGTCGTTCGACTGCTTGAGCGCATTCAAATCGGCCGAGATGGCTTGCTGGTGCCGCTTGATAGCCTGTATGCCATGGACGACAGAGTTAATGTCCAGGACTTGCCCGGCGGAGAGCGTCCCGACCTGAGGGGCGACGTTGACGGTCTCATTATAATCCAGCTGGGCTTCATCGACATTGCCGTGGGTAGACTTTGTCTTGCGGGTGATGAAGGTGAGTAAATCTGGCTGGCCACGGCGGAAGTTGGGATGCTCGAAGTGCCAAGCTTCGGTGTCCGTGTCGCTCCTCAAGACGCCTTGCTGGAGGTGAGGAATTTTGTGAAATCCGTACATGTTTAGTTGCCGCACGAACGATGTAAACTTCTGGTGCTTGAACCAGTGGCCGAGCACCTCCCTTGCAAACCGCTCATGGTTGAGGACTGCCGCGAGCGTCAGAGTCGGACCGGTGGGGAGAAAAAAAGGATAAACTGACCGTAGAACGAATCACCATCATCGGACCAGCGTATCAGCTCATCAGTCTTGGGGTCATTGACGATTCTGGGGACGGAGTGACGTGAGGTAGTCTTACCGCGACGGGAGTGCACGAAACTCACTCGTAGAGTTTTTGGAGAAAGGGAGCGACAATGAGGCGGGTAGCTTTGTTGAGATTTGTGGAGTCGATATTGAGGGTGCGCGCGAGCGCGACTTGTTTGTCGAGTGACATGGGACGAGAGTGAGGACGAATCTTGGCCATGCAGCTGCGATATCATGCCCGAGCGTCTTTCCGTTACGCTTGCCATTACGACACCCCGCCACAATGACAACAACAATCAACAGTCGATTCCTCCACTTTCGTTGTCGCTGCACCGGCAAAACCAAAACACAACGCCTCAGTTCTCGTATCATCTCCTTGTATTTCCTGGAATTATCGTAGAAATTTAGCTGCAGGAAAAGCCTCTTTAGCCACAAGCGCAACAGCCGTCAACAATGACATCGCGTCTTAGTGTGACCGCGTGTCATCAAAAAAGGAAATGAGTGACCGATTCTCGCCGAAGCGGGATGCCGGCACGCGTCTCCGTGGATTTTGGGAGTCCCAACTCGAGCTCGACCGACACGTCGCAGTCTCCCTTCTGCTCCTCCACCAGCCATGGCCTCCCTCGCTCGGTTGCGGTCTGCTCTTCCCCGAAAACTCGTATGATCTTTGTTGCCGTTGTGCTCATCGTAATCTGACCCTCACCGCCCCGCAGCCGCCCTTCGTACGCGCCCTCCAGACAGCAGCAGACAGCACGCAACTGCAGGAGGCTGCTTCGCATGACGAGCCTTTCAATGTCAAGCTTCACGACGACTCTTTTCGCGGCCACAACACCGACATCCCCAGCCTGGAGCTGGAGGTCCACAAGGACCAGCTCATCAACATGTACAGGCAGATGACGACCATACGCCGTATGGAGCAGGCAGCCGACGCGCTCTACAAGCAAAAGTTTATCCGTGGTTTCTGCCATCTTGCCATCGGCCAGGTGTGTATACTCGTTAGCTATCCCGCTTGCCTGACGTGTTCTTACTGTGGGAATATGCGTTAGGAAGCAGTCTCGGTCGGACTCACGCAAGCGCTCACCAATGAGGACCATATCATTACCTCGTACCGCTCGCATCCGTTCGCAATCCTTCGCGGAGGCACGGTCGTCGGTCTGATCGGCGAGCTGCTCGGCCGCGAAGGCGGCATATCCAAGGGTAAGGGCGGCTCCATGCACGTTTTCACGCAGTACTTCAAGGGTGGCCATGGTATCGTCGGCGCTCAGGTCTCGCTTGGTACGGGCCTTGCTTTCTCTGCCAAATACCAAGAGCAGCCCATTGCGACCTTCACGATGTACGGCGATGGCGCAAGTAACCAAGGCCAGGTCGCCGAATCGTTCAACATGGTAATATTACTTTTTTTTTCATCATGTCCTCCAGACTGAATAATTGTGCGCGCGACGATAGGCGAAATTGTGGAACCTGCCGTGCGTATATCTTTGCGAGAACAACAAGTACGGAATGGGTACCTCCGCCGAACGCAGCTCCGCGAACACGGAGTATTTCACTCGTGGTGATAAGATCCCTGGTATCCAGGTATGTCTTTCTCAATGATTCTCATATGCATCGAGACATCATCATATTTTCCGGCGTAGGCCAACGGAATGGATATCATTGCTGTGTACCAGGCAGTGAAGCACGCGAAGAACTGGGTCCTCAACGGCAATGGCCCTCTCATTCTCGAACTTGTGACCTACCGCTACGGTGGTCACTCGTACGTCTCCCACTTTGCGATACCACATAATATGAAACTGACGCTCCGTGACTAACGCAGAATGTCTGACCCCGGCACCAGCTACCGTACGCGTGAAGAGGTCCAACGCATGCGCAGCACCCAGGACCCCATCCGCGGTCTACAGCACTACATCCAGGAGTGGGGCCTCGCATCGGAAGAGGATCTCAAGGTGCGTCCGCTGCTTCCCCTCGAATCAACTCATACACACTCTTGTTTGTATATGCAGGCGATTGACAAGGAGTCGAAGAATGAGGTCGATAAAGCTGTCGAGGAGGCGAAGAAGCTTGCAATCCCGCCCGCGGAGAACCTCTGGACTGATGTCTATGCCACCGGCTACGAGCCGCCGTACTTACGGGGTCGCGAGCGCGAGGAGGTGAGCATGCTCTGCTACTTTGCATAAAGTTGTTTGACGCTGATAGCGGCGCAGATTCACCGCTTCTGATTGGGATGGGACGATAGATTATTGTAGTACCGGATAACTGTGCTTAGTCTGATCTCATGCTTCTGGTGCAACTCTGGAAGCTGTTGTTAAGCAGATGTAGTACTAATGCGGGAGTAGTGTGGATTGCGAATGCACTTGTGGGGGTCCAGAGTGTGAGTGCGATGTTGAGGCCGAGACAAGACTAGCACAAGTTATGACTCTGCTAAGGGCAGATTCACGACTGTGCCGTCATCCGCTATGACTTTGAAGCGCACTGCGGGAGAGATGAGCGAGCATATCGTATCGCCGACAAGATGGAAGAAGGGCACTACGCACGGACGGTGAAGGGCTCCCCCTTAGCTTTCCGTATGCTCGTGAAGTAGAGCGTTCCTGCGCCTGCAACCAGCGTGAGCGCGATCACCTATCAAGGGAGCAGAAGGCCAACCTTTATGGCCTTTCAGCCGGAAGCTCACGTCGACGTTCCCCTGCATGAGATATATCTGGCACGGCGGCGCATCCTCAACCACAGCGGCAAGTAAACAGACACGCCGGACGCACCGCACCGCTGATCCACGGGTCGCCGTTGAGCCACCAGATGGGCTCGGGGCGTATCGCGTCGCCGAGGACGTCGCGCAGCTCCGGGCTCGCGCGCACGGTGTCCATGAGCTGGCGGACCACGGAGCTCGAGAGCCTCTCCTGGTTCGCCGCGTACGCGAAGAAGGTCGCCCACGCGCCGACGCCGACGGCGCCGAACGCGAGCAGCAGCGGCCATTTTCGCTGGCGCCGAGGAGCTCAGCGCGCGGGTGGGATGGAGGGGGTCGCGGGGCTCACCTGGAGAGGGGGAAGGTCCCGCGGGTGCGGGCGCGCGTAGTATTCGCGCGGCCGGGAGGGCGAGGAGAAGGTCTCGACCTGCGGGGGATCCTTGTGTTCCGGTCGAGGAGGCTCGCTGCTCGTCGTGAGGGCCCGATGCCACTTCAACGATGGCGACGGCGACTGTGCGCATATATGCGGGCGGGCGAGGGCGCCAGGACATCGTCTGACGAGAGTGTGCGACATGGCGGTCACTGTCAGGAGCAGACTTCAAGTTGGCCGTGAACGTTCCGGCCAACGTCGATCGCTGCCAACATTCCGTCTTCCGGACTGGGCAATGACGTCCGCATTGAGCTCGCTGCCTTTTGCACGCTGCTCGACGCGCCTGTGGGCGTGCTCGTCGTCGGTGACAGTGAGCTGAACGGGTACTTCACATGACATCGTTTCCTCGCGTTTTCTTACACCTCCATACTGTTTCCACCACGATACATCTCTGTCTGGTTCTACTCTCGATTCCACTCTAATTCTCGACGATGAAGCGACGCTGAGACGGGCATCAAATACATAGTATATGGAGAGTGCAGATAGGCTACATCATACTTCTCTGCCTCCCCATACGCGCGAACGCCTCCTTATACTAGTACTGTGCTGCGTTGAACTGGACGCTGAGAGCCGTGGATCGGACAGGCGCTCGCTCACGACTCGGACATGACTGCTGTCTCCTCGTCCTCCCGACTCAACGTCAACTCCCCGCAGCCGCAGAACATCATCTCGCTTCGTCTCTACAAGGTACTCGGCGCCAGTTTCGATGATGATGCCACCAAGGAGGCCCTCCGCACCGTTGCGGAGCTGTACGCGCCTCCTGTACCAACGGTCTCTGTGAAGGGCAAGGAGGTCCAGCGTGAGCTCGACGACGCAGATGAAGGCGAGGGCGTGAAAGTTCAAGCAAGATCTCAGCTCGATGGTACGCCCCTGGTCGAAGTCGTCCCCGGAGAGATCGCTGCGCGGGCGCGCAAGAACCTCCGGAGAGACGTGGAGAGCAAACTGGCCGAGTCGAGCCGCAAGTTTCTGGATGCATTCGGAGAGGTGGACAAGGTGTGTCTGATGTTACTGTACGTGACCCCTGTTGGCAACTTACGCGAGGGGATGTAGCAATTAGATACCCTGCAGGAACATATCGCTGCCATGCGCATGCGCTGTGATGAGGGCCAGGCGCAGCTCAGGCTGACCAGTGAGGCGTGCGGGTCACTGCTAGACAGAGCGGGGAGCTTGCGAGAAGAGAGGTATGACTGCTCCTCATTGCTCCATCCCATATTAAACATGATTCTCGCGTCAGACAAGCAGTGGCTACCCGACAATCCATCGTCTCGCTCTTTCTCTCGCGGTTCACCCTCAACGATGAAGAAAAGGAGGCCATCTCCTCCCGCGACGTTCCTGTCGGGATGCGTTTCTTCGACGCAATGGACAAGGCAGACCGCATCAGGGACGACTGCCGGGTCCTCATGGCGGGCGAGGAAGGCCCAACCAAGGCAGGGTATGTACCGACCTCGCGCATACAGCCAGTCTGCTAACGCGTCACTTCGCCAGGCTGGACATTATGGCAGCGACCGCGACGTACCTCGAGCAAGCGCACGAGAAAGTCTTCCGGTGGTGCTGCTCTGAGTTCCGCCACATGGGGCGGGATGCCCAACTCGAGGTCAGCCCCGTCATGCGCGAGGCCGTGCGCAGGCTTCGACAGCGCCCCGAGCTTCTCACGTACGCCCCCAGCTGCTGAGACGTGTTGCGTGGTCTCACCCTTGGCACAGAGAAGCTCTGGGATACCTCTCGCAAACTCGGCAGGCGACGGTACTCGCAGCTTTTACCGGCGCGCTCACACGTGGCGGGCCCGGCGGACTGCCGCGCCCAATTGAACTGCATGCGCACGATCCCCTTCGGTACGTCGGGGACATGTTGGCATGGGTGCATCAGGCGATTGCGGCAGAGCACGAGTTCCTCGAGAGCCTGTTCGGTGTGCGCGCGGACGGGCGCATGGTCGGGAGCGTGCGCCAGTTCGGCGACAGCGTCGAAGAGGAGCTAATCTCGGAGCTTATGAACGCGGCCGTGGGTAAGCTGTGCACACCACTGAAGGTTAGTGCGGTGCCACTTTCGTTGAAAGAGGAGCTGACATTGTGGTGAGTGCAGGTGCGCGTGCAGCAGACGGTGCGATCGCAGGAGAGCAGCATTACATTGTACAAGATCGCGAATTTGCTCAAATTTTACACGCTGACGATGGAGCGGACAATTGGCGAGCATGCGCTATTGTCGGAAGCGCTCAAACAGTGACTGTCATTCCCTTGACGAACACGAACTTACTCTGACGACGCCCGTAGGATGACTGATATGTCGTTCGACGCTTTCCTTGACAACATCGAGGCGCAAAGTCGCGCGCTAATCCATATTCCTCTGGTATACTGAATATCTGTCGTTTTGAATGTTACTCTCATGTCTTTCTCTCACAGGGCCCGGACGACAAAGAATTGACACCGCCACTAGTCATCCTGGACCACGCACAGGTGTTGCGGGAAATCATGATAGTATACGCATCATCACTGCAAAGCGATGAACCTAAGGACACATTGCACCCGGGCTTCCGCCAAATCCTCGACAAGATGGTAGATCCTGCGGTCGAGATGTGCATCTCCGCAGCGGAGGTGAAGAAGAAAGCGATGCCGTGGTGGGATCGGTCTGTGTTCGTGCTCAATTGCCTCGCGTACATGCAAAGTTTGCTGGAACCATTCCCGTTCACCAAGGAGAAGCAAGCGGTGATTCACGAGTTGATGGACCATAAGATCTTGCAACTGACGGAGGAGCACGTGCGTGAAGTTTTTAGCTCCCTTGCGAGGCCATTGATGCATAGTATTCCTTGAAGTACAAAAACATCTTATGGGAGGCAGGATTTAACGAAGTTGTTGAGGCATTCACACAGCAGAAGCCGGGTGTATGTCTACCTGCTCGATTTCGGACTCTTCACTGAGAACATCCCTTAGGAACCATTGTCGTACATATACGGGACGACGATATACCGGCTGCAGTCCGCATTGCGAAAGTTCTCCACCTGGCTGTCCGGCATAACCGTCGTGCACTCGAATCGTTTGTCGCATCTGACCGTGCAGAGCCATGCGACACGGGTCCACCAGGCAGTGCTGGTGCGAATCGCGCGGATATACGAGCGGCTCATCGGTGAGATGAGGAAGCCGGAGAATAAGTACGAGGCTGCGGCGACATTGCTGGCTGGCGAGCGACCCTTTGGCCAGATGCATTTGCTATGGCAGATTTTTGGTATGCAGGACCAAGCATTCGCTCTGGAAGGGCAGACAGAGCCGGGAGATCATGTGGGCCTGGAAAAGCAGGTGGGTCAAGGGGAGCAAGAAAAGCAGGAGGCGAATCCATAACGCCCTTGATGTTCGTTCCTACAGCGCGTGTAACACTACGTTCATGTCTCAGTAAGTGATCGCTTCTATCAATTGCAAGTCGCGAACTGCGGGAAGTAAACAATGGCACTGCGTCGGGGAGCCGACACTGTATCGAGTCTTGCAGTAAGCAGTGCCTGTGTGATACATATGTAGACTGAAAGAAACCAGCCATCCTGGTTGACAGGACGGAGACCAACGAACCACCGAAAATCACAACGGGCATACATTCATGCCAGCCAAATCCCATCCTAGAATAGATCAAACACCCATCTCGACGTTGTGCTCGAGCCAATGTAATGCGTCGCGCGCCTTCTCCTTCACCTCCCAGTCATCCTCCGCGCCCATCTGCAACCCAATAGAGAACCTCCTCGTCGGGCTCCCGCCCATGCCGCCATTATATTCACACATGTGGCGGAGCGTGGAGTCGATGCCCGCCTCGTGCAGTGCCTGGTGGCTATGAGGGTTCGCCCGCACCAGCTCGAGTACGCACGCGATGGCTGGTCGACGGATCCCCACTTTCGCATCGACGAGGCAGGATTTAAGCGATCCAAGGATCCGTGAGTGAGCGAGAATGCTATTCTGGTGGAGTGGGCTGTTGGCCAGATTCGCGAGGACGCAAACAGCCTGCACGTACACTAGTATGAGGGAATGAACAAACAACATGACGTAAACAAACCGCACCTGGTGTACAATGTCTTCGTTCTGGGAGTCCATTGCGATTGACAAGAAGCCAAGCAACACCTCAGTCCCAAGTTGATTGAAGACCATGTCCACGTCGTCGGCTCCTTCAGCGATGTGCCGTACGACGTGAAACGCCTGCTCCTGTACACCAATATCTGGATCGGTCAAAAGTCTGCTGAGAATGAGAACACTACAATCGGTGCGCGTAAAGCAACGCACTCAGCCAACTCATGCCACCCAATCCCGTCCATCACCTGCCGCTTCACGTCCAACGAACTCTTGTACAACAGATTTTTGATCGCCCAGAGCGCATTCAATCTGAGTCCAGAATCTCCCGAATTCAGCAACTGCACAAGTCTATTCACTACACCCTGCTCCAATAGCACCTAGGGCAGCTCATTCAGTGCTTGAATTGACACAGTAGAATCACAATGCTTACTGTGCGCAGAGGAGAACAGTCGTTCGCGAGGTTACATATCACTGCAGATGCAGCGTATGTTACACGTCGATCTTCGTCCTGCTTCTGGAACAACTGGTAGACTGCCATGCCCAGCCCTGTATCGACTATGTTCGTGCGCAGGACTGCCACTGAACGGCTCAATGCGCGCACGCACTGACATGCAGCATAGCGGACACCAACATGCTGATGCGAGAGTGATGTTTGTATTGAGGGTATCAGCTTGAGCTTATCTGTCACATCGCCTCGGATATCATCATCGAAGAGTGAAATCGCGGCTATAGCTGTCAGAGCTGCCTGGACGAATGTTTACTTTCAAATTGACATCAGGAAGCAAATTCTGTTCATACCTCTCGAAGGCACGATATACTCTCTGGTTCATCTTCTTCCCACTCAACCGTTTGCTCAATCGGCGTGATTGACTTGACGAGACAGGCTAGCTTACTGAGGGTACCACGGTCGAAAGCGAGCTTACAGAGCTCCTTGTGATCTGAAACGAGATTATCTACGAAGAAACCTCAACAAGCGCCGGCTACAACTACAGCGTATGACTCACACAATATAAAGCAGGCCTTCGTGCGTATTCGGGACCTCTCGTTGTCCGATGCAATGATACGGTTTATGACATGCATGACGGTCAAGGCAGGGGAGTTATCCGAAGCCAAAGGGGGGTTCGGATATCCAGCTCGGGAAATATTCGTCGCGCTAATAGCTGTTCAAGTCTAGTTGACAACTCGGGAACAAATAGTACATACCAGAGGCAAGCTGCTAATTGCAACTCAGTGGATCGAGATCTGCATAGTGAGAGAACATGTGCTAAGGTTGCTGTGGTACAATACATGAACAACACGTAGACACGAGCAAGACACAAACCGACCTTCTCGATCTGGGGGTGCATGAGCAAAGGTGGTGGCTACCGCTGGGTTATTCTCGGCGAGAGCAGCGAGCGCATATAGGGCAGCCTCTTGGAACTACCGAACATCACCATGAGCAACGTATGTGCCTGTGCGTTCAGGATACGTACCTTCGTATCGCGACTCAACAACAGAGTTGTCAGGTTCCGTGTGACCCACCCACCGTCTTTGCTGGGAGAAGCAGGACCCACTGCTTTCTCCCAGCCACGTTTCCCCTTGACTTCCTTGATACGCTCTGCTGGGGGCAGCCAGTCAGAAACAGCTGTCCGATGCTCCTGCGTCCGAACTGCAGAGGCGATCAGCTGCGCTATTGAAGTGCTTGTCTGGGGAGTGGGATCAACTAGGAGTGGTAGATAGATATCCATAACTTCCAGCTGTTGGACCAAATGTACGTCAGGACAGCTTGATAAGATGTACATGAAAAACCGCGACTCACCTGGAAGAGGTAATCTAGAGCAGTCTTTGCTTCCTCCCGTAGGACGGAAGGTGAAGAACGAAGTCCCCACTTCGATGGGCCAACTTCCTCGGCAATAGCAGCTGCCAATGCCCGAAGCGCACGAGCATAGCTTGCTTTCAGGGATCCGGACGGCTGAAAGTTTGAAATAGCAAAAATAAACGACCGGTGCGCATTGAACCTCAATAGAGCCCTCAGGGCGGATGAGGAACCTAATGCCCGCAGCAATCAGTGTGAGACGCCAATGGAGGGACGATGCACACACCGTATGAGAGCGAAGAGATGACATGAGCAGCCTCTATGCGAATGTCGTCCTGCGACCCTTGCGACTCTTCTAGTGAAGGCAGAGGGTTATTGATACAGTCAACAAGCCTTCCCGGAGTCAGTATGTACAGGTCTCATCATCTCGCCGAGTGTGCATACTCACATTCTAATGAAAGCTTCATCCTCTGCCAACGCAACTTTGGCAGTGGGGTTGCCTATTACAGAGTTCTTTACTTTCTTTAGCGTTGAGAGATTCAGAGCGGTGATAGTCATGGTTGTAGCGAATGATTAGTGAACGATCATTCCCACTTCTCGAGGTGTAACAGCAGGACGGTCCAGATCGAGGGTAAGAAGTGATGTCCCAGAGAACTATGTATCACAGACCATCTGAGGTCTGTACAAATGTCGCAGTCAAGTCGTAGCAGAATTGAATGGTGGTCGAAAGGAAGATGAGGCAAGCATCTGGATCTTGAGATCCTGGAGATCTCGAGTCATCCTCAAGATCTGCTCCTCACTGGCAGGAGTTGGCAAGCAACTGCCAGGAAGATCTGGAGAACAATTCGGTAAACATGTCTCAGTCAACACCCACCGATCTCTATGCAGTAGCGGGTGAGATCCAATCTATCGCTCATGCAGTGCTGCATATCTGACTGGCATACATATATTCCGGGTAGATTTCTGTCTCGTACCGATGGGTACGGCAGAACCCTCCGTATGTGGTATTGTGTCGCTCTGACTCGGCATGGATGAGATAGAATGTATCGTTCCAGGTCGCGGAATATGTAGCAGAATGTTCCCGCGTCCTTGAAAAGACCGGATTGAAACACAAGGTACGCAGGAAATTTAGTGGTCGCATACAATGCTAGCGACTGAAGTGGCTGCATTACAGTTGCAGTGAGTTCTAAATATACAGATCTCTTCCATGAAATACAGTCTCATCTGATATACGCCTCTCAGTGGGTATGGAACGAACATTGGTGAGTACTCGTCACAGACCCGTTTGTGAAGGACTCATGCTCAATGTGTCTCACAGAAGGACCTTGGTCTGCCGTGATGCAAGCCATCCATGACTGCCACACTGCTGTCCACACCAAGGGCGCCCCTCGCATCGCAACTGATATTCGCATTGGTACCCGGGTCGACAGGACAATCGAGCCCGGTACAGGAAACGAATCAAAGGTCAAGCGCGTCGAGGAGATCCTGGCAAGAGATCAGAAAGCTTGAGTTGATTGACTACTACCGTGGGTTATCTACGAAAATGCTGTAATGTATACATTGTTTATTTATCGATAGAAAGATCATTAGAACGCTGCAAAATCGGGTTATCGTGGACAGAATGAGCAGATGTAACAGTTCAGATCTCTACTGGCAGTTCCGGACTCCGCGTCCTATCTTGAGCCTCCCTTGCCTCTTTCTCCCGATACAGCTTGATCAGTGCTTTACCGAGTTCCTTGCCAAGAGCCAAAGCCAATGGAACAGGAACTGCGTTTCCAATTTGACGGTGTTGCTTCCACGATATATCAGTAACGATTGAAGAGATTGTGATGAGAACGAACACATACATCGGCAATGCGATCGGGTGGACGGACGTTCGTAGAAAGGAACTCATACGTGTCGGGAAAGCCCTGCGCGCGAGCACATTCCCGCACTGTTATGATACGCTTTTGCTGCATGGTAAACACGATCAGAGTTGATGTACCTAAAAAAATCGTAAAGACAACAAACATTTGGATGGAGCAAGCGACCTCCTTTGGCATTTGGCGCAACAGTTGTCATCGCTGTCGCGAAGAAACTATCGCCGTCAATCCTCCCATAGATATCTGCAAACAGTCTCAATATAAGGTGCACCAATTTGATCGTATATAATAACGCTGACCTCGATAAGCGCTATCCTTTCGTCGTAACAGCCTGCCCAGCTTCAGCCTCGATGGCAGATCTGTCAACAATAAATGAGTTGCTGTCCGCACAACACAAAATGGTGTACTTGCCAGCATGGCCGGTGCCTGAGTGCAGAGGTACATTGACAACCCTGTGGATTGTCTGATGAGTAAAGACAGAGGCTGATGTCATGGACTTGCTGATACAAATCACTTACCGTTCCACAATACGCGCCGCAAAGCGCCGCGTATACTGGTAAGAGACGTTCGTGCCTGCACCTCGCCTGATCCACTCCTGATAACGGTTCAATGGCTCTTGGGGATAAGGTACAGGAGTTGTGAAACCTGGAAAGACAGGTTCGGGAGAAGTGATTGCATCAAACCTGGGTATGCCGTCAGCCATGCGAATACCCGCTTCTTCCATATCTCTAGCTGTCATCTTGATCTCCATGTGAGGATCAATCCTAGATGAAACCACTCATACTCAGCACATGCAGCATATACAAGGAAATGCGACATACCAGTCAAAACGTGGCTAATACCAGCAGTATTCAAAACATTGAATTGACATCATTTACATCTGGAGGACGCACCAGATCTCCAATGGCACTGTTCACCGTGATGGGTGGTAGTGGTGCACACTGATGATAATCGGACCTGTCACTTGTCTCATCCACGTTAGCACGAGTAGCCGGATGCAGTGAATCACCATTCTCGAGATTGAAATGGTGCATGGGTTTCGGAAAGCAGTGGGTTGGTATTGGGAATTGGGGAAGGGGCACATCTCGCTTGGAACCCCAAAAAATCACGCGTCTGCGGCCCTGCGGTGCACCGTACTGTCCAGCTTGAAGAACCTTGAAATGCACTTGGTATCTGGGATGGACAAGTGTTGGTGTAGGGCTCAGAGCATTGTCATGATGCATACATACCCGAGGCAGGTCAATGTGCGTATGACAAACTTGACAATACCCATCCTTACACCCTGCTTGGATGCTTGGCCTTTCAGACTATAAGACAGAAGGCCTACAACATTCTCAAGTAAGAAATATGATGGTCGGTAGAACTCCACATATGCTAGCATATTGCAGACTAGTGTATTCCTTCCAGGGATTGGTGAATGAGGATGTGATCAACACCATCATTCTAAGACACTCACCGAACATCATCATCTTTCTACCAATGCAAGTAGGTGGCATCAGGATAATCTAGATACAGCAGGAGTCTGAACCATGGACTTGCCTTGTGGTGATTCATCATAGAGAAACTCTGGCAAGGTGGACCTAGGCACAACAGAGATTACTGAAAAGCTTAGTAGTTATGAAAGGGAGGACATGCCCCCATAAACAAAATCAACTTCTCCACGCTTTGGCATGGGTGGCAAACTCATAGCACTGTCACCTGGCCTAAGGTCCTTGAGAGGCTCAGGCTCCTTACCCTCTGCAGTATCAATGGCATGACGCAGTAGTAGGTTTGTACACTGGTTGTATATTATGGCTCCAGGATGGTTACGACTATATGGAGGTCAAGAAGGGTTGCAACGGCAAATCAAGAAAGCACTTACGAATATGTTAATGCGGCACTGGGAGAAAATTCAACTGCCCATTTTGTTTCCACGAAGCCCGATAATTCGAGACCGGTGGACAAACCACCAGCACCTAGGGACACAGTTATAAGTCCGCAGCCAGGGACATCAGGGTTTCATATACCTGCGAATAATTCCAAACCACGTAAAGGACCCCACCGCTCCAGTAGGCGGTTCTGTTCCTTCACCTCAGAGCGGCGTTGTTTGAGACAGATCTTGCACTGGTGGAGACAGCCTGGCACTTCGTGCAGGTCATCTAGGCAGTTGACATCAACAGTCTCAGCAAACCGGTCTACGAAAAAAGTGTCGTCCTGCGAGAGCCACTCTTCAAGATTATTTTGAGACGAGGCCAGAACGTATGCCTTGCCATCGATGTCTGAAGGGTCGACATCCGCAATCACATTAGTTTGGAACAAGCGGCGCTATAGGATACTCAGCAAGACAAGGTATGGACGTCAAATGGAAAGGGCCCGGCACCTCGTCGTTTTGCAGAGGCGGTTCGGTATCGTCGTTTTGCTGCCGGCGAGCAACAGTGTCATACCGACCGTAAGACCGAACCTGCACCTTGCTAACCTTCTCGTGTTTGCCAAAATCGAATCCAACTATTTGGGCAATGTCGTACAACTCCGCTTGCCAGCTAGGCGATCTGAGATAAACGAAGTCATGGACATGGTAGTCGACGTCATGTCCGGATATTCCCTCGCTGGTAAGTTTCTTCCATGCAGCCCGGTCCTCGTGTAAAGAGCGAATACCGCAGGCGATGCAAGGTTTGTGGCGCTTGCACTTCCGCAACGCACATGATATAACATCGGGTGATATTTCAACGAACGCGGATTGATCTTGATCCCAAGTGAGGCTGCAATCCGACAAAATATCAATCATAGTGTATTGGGACCATGTTCCCAATGACGTAGACATACCCAGCGTGGAAATCATTCTCTCCACCCGTGCCAGAGCCAGGTTCGTCAGGGGGCTCATCTTCATTAGATCTCAAAAGGCGCAAGTTGCACCGTTGATAGATACATTCTAGCGGGAGATCGTCACACTCGTTGATAAAGAACAGCCCGTTAGAATGAGCGGTTTCTTGGAGGAGCACCTGGGAGCCGTGCTGCAGCCACTGGGCATGGAAGTATTTCTTGCGGACCGTCTCAGTCTTCGACTTCGACTTGACAGTATCTGCTTTCTCATACATGTAGCAAATTTTGCAGAACCTTTGAACAATAGTCATGGCCAAATCAGTGTAACATATTGTGAACGCACCACTTCGTGTTTGCAAGCGAGTTGGAGGTGCGAGCTTTCTCGGTGGCAGCATTGCGTTCGCGTACTTGGTTGGTGTCTTCACCTTTCTCAACAATGACGATGTCACCAGCCTGGAAAACGCTCAATCACCACGCCAAGTCCCACTAAGACCTAAAATTGGCTTACACAATAGAGCGCGCCATCAATACGGACCCTCTGAAAATGATTCGGAACAGTTTGTGATTCTTTCTCCCACTCAATGAGAGCAGGGTCAGTCGAATGTACGTGCATCTCTGCGGTAGCCACCGAGACATCCTCTGCCGTGTCGTTCTGCAGCGACTCTCCTGCGATGCGGAGGGTCTGAACAAATAGTTTATGTGCGATGCGAGCCACAGCTGGTGTGACCACGGTTTTATTGCGATGGAGAAGGACGTCTTTTTCCATATCGTTCAAGCGCCGCTTGGCTTTCGCCTTCGCCTTGATCACCCCCTTGGTCGCTGTCTCGGAGTCAACACGATCCTCGGTGGCTTTTCGCAAAGAACAAATAAGCGGAACTCGATAAATAGCCCGACGAAGTTGCGGACTGTCCTCGCACAAGTCATCAATGGTTGCAGTGACATATGCTTTCTGGAAAGGAGTCAGCATAAAAGACGAAGACATACGACTAGATCCATACCGCATCATCAGATAGTAGATCGGCTTCTGTGAGCTCTCGACCAATAATATCAATGGCCAAGGTGACTTCCTCTGGGGAATCAGGTGTGACTTTTAAGAATCTCACGAATTCATCGTAGTCCGTGTCAACATCGTCCACACTTGCGGAAACAATAAGATGAACGAGGCGATGCTTGATCCAAAGTTCCACATAGAAAGGGAGATAATTGTGCGACGGCACGTCCAGTATATACCAAGCAAACTCGGTGCGAATATAGATTTTGCTAAAAGAAACACTGCGATCAGCTCGGCGATAATGTGAGATCAAAGATTACCGACGGGTCCAGCTCAAGCGATTTCTCAGGCAGATGATGAATATTGAACTCCAGTATCTTCGAAAGCTTTGATCTGTGCGTGAACTCTCCTAGAGAAGAGCCATCATCAGACTCTTCGTCTTCGTCTTCGTCTACATTACTTTCGTTGACATGTCGTTTAACGATACCAGATGCACCGTATAAATGGCCGTCGCTGATCTGAAGAAGGTTTTCTACGGGTATAAATTTTAGACTATCCCAATCATAGATGGAGAAGTCGGTCAGCTCGCGGACGGGCACATCCTCGTCGTCATCATTAATACCATCCACGAATGTTTCCCCAGGGACAAGAAGATCTCTATCTTCCATAACCTCGTCCTCCGACAATTCATGAGTATCTGGTAGGGGAATCAGGATTCAGAAAATTCAGGTTGACCACCTTACAGAACTGACCGGTAGGTGGTTGACTATCACAGAGGTGTTCATCAGTGGCCTATGTCAATCGAGCTGGGAAGTAGCGCACTTAACTGTTGTCCGTTTGGGCAGCGGTGGAACCTCCACCCAAAAGTCTACTGAGGGTGGAGTCGCCTTGCGGACGGGCGTAGTTTGCTTCGCTAGCCTCAATGCAGGCTTGGATTTCGTTAACACGGGCACCTCCACCCAGAATTCTGGAGAAGTGGCGCGAGGAGGGGCAGTGCAAGTAACTGACCCCCGCTTTGGACGGGCTGTCTCACCAGGTGTAGGAACATGGCGGCGTTTTCGAGAAACTCTCATCTGGCCCAGCTTGCTTCAGATGGAGGGGTGGGATTTGTGAAGTCGGGCCCTAAATACCAAGCCAGCCGAGTCACCAAGCCGAGGAGGCTGAGGACCAAGAAAACCTAAGTAATTAGGACTTAAGAGGTGAAGCCGTCTCCTGTACTTAGCAGACGAGATTGAAGGTTCGCTGACTCGCCTATGAAGTGACGAGCTTCAAGTTCGTCGCCGTGAGCATGTGACATTGAATCCTCGTGACAGGCGCCGTTATCAGTGTGACCGTTCAACGCGTCGCGTCGCGTCACACCCCGTTTCTGTCACTGTCTCTTCACCTCCCCGCCATCCTCACCATACACCGCCACCATGTCGCTGCCTGTCGTAAACATAAATATTGACTATGAAACAGAGAAAGGCGCGTATTGTCGTGCCTGATAATCTCTAACTAACGTCTGGATGGTCAGAACTCATCAAGAACTTTCTCTCGACTTTCAAGGGACAGGAGAAGGACTTGGCGCGTGGAATTGCGGACATTGACCTCGACAATGACGAAGAGATGCCCACCGTGACTGTGGGACTTAAGTACATGGTGTACTTGGTGCGTATTCATCGAAGGCCTCCGTGGATTTTGCTGAAGCAGAAAATAGCAACACATAGCAAATCGCGAGCAGGAAATGCTGATCATTGATTTGGAAGACATTGCCGAAGTAGGATTAGTTATTACTGGAGTAAGGTGGTACTTATCCGCTTGAATACAGCATGAGAAGACCGTCGCAGAACTCGTCGCGCGAATCCGTCTCAATACCCGTCGATACGTGACCTTGTTTAGTGAGGTTGTGGACAAGCTAATGCCAGTGCCAACAAAGGACATCAGTGAGCAGGACGAAGTGATCGATGTGATTCTCCACCAAAGAAGGGAGCGGAATGAGAGACTTGAGGGGGGTCAGGAAGGATTCCCAGACCATCTCCTGCGACGATAGTACGTCTGCAATACTACCTATTTTTGTTCTCAACGTTCATTCTTCAAAGCAATCTCTACTTCAAGCCTCTCCTGTCAGACATCGCCATGGCCGTCCGCGAAGTGCGAGGCACACACCTCGGCAAACTCATCACGGTCCGCGGCATCGTCACTCGCGTGTCGGAAGTCAAGCCTCTCCTCAGGGTCAATGCGTACACCTGTGATGTGTGCGGCTCTGAAACATTTCAGCAAGTCTCGAACAAGCAATTCACACCTATCTTCGATTGCCAAAACGAAAATGAATGCAAGAAGAACGGTATTCATGGTTCGTTGCATATGCAGACAAGAGCATGTCGTTTCAGTCCGTTTCAGGAAGTGAAGATTCAAGAAATGGTGAGTCGGCGATTCATCACTTGTACGGGGATACTTAATGCGCGCCCAGGCGGACCAAGTGCCTGTGGGCCACATTCCACGCTCTATGACAATCCATGTCCACGGTAATCTTACGCGCCAAATGAGCCCAGGAGACGTAGTACACATCGGTGGCATATTCCTTCCCATTCCATACACAGGCTTCCAAGCTATCCGAGCAGGACTACTGACAGACACGTATGTCGAGGCGCACCACATCCACCAACTCAAGAAGCAGTACAACGACATGGAGATCACTCCAGAGACCCGGCAAGCAATTCTCGAGTTGAAAGACGACCCCCAGCTGTACAACAAGCTTGCACAGAGTATCGCGCCCGAAATTTACGGGCACGTTGACGTGAAGAAAGCGCTGCTCTTGCTGCTGGTAGGCGGAGTAACCAAAACCTTGGGTGACGGTATGAAGATCAGGGGAGACCTTAACATGTGCTTGATGGGTGACCCTGGTGTGGCGAAATCTCAGCTGCTCAAATACATCTCAAAGGTTGCCCCCAGAGGTGTATACACCACTGGTAAAGGTTCATCAGGTGTCGGTCTCACTGCTGCTGTCATGCGCGACCCCGTGACGGACGAGATGGTGTTGGGTGGGTGCTGTTCCACTTCATTAATTATCAATTCCTGAACTTGCAACCAGAGGGTGGTGCGCTGGTGCTGGCTGACAACGGCATTTGCTGTATCGACGAGTTCGACAAGATGGAAGAAGCAGACCGAACGGCAATACACGAAGTCATGGAACAGCAGACAATCTCCATTTCGAAAGCAGGCATTTCCACAACTCTGAACGCTCGCACGTCCATCCTTGCTGCTGCAAATCCGCTCTACGGCCGGTACAATCCGAAGGTTTCGCCTGTGGAGAACATCAACTTACCAGCTGCCTTGCTCTCTCGGTTCGACTTACTGTTCCTGATGCTTGACAAACCCTCTAGAGACGATGATGAACGACTCGCCCAGCACGTCGCGTACGTGCACATGTACAACCGTCACCCTGAACAAGAGTTTGACTTGGTGGATCCCAATCTTGTTCGGTGCGTCCCGTTCATGTCTGGATATGCTCTCTCGCTGACCTGCATCATCGTCACAGACATTACATCGCCCTTGCCAGGCAGCGGCGCCCGACTGTACCCCCAGAAGTTTCCAACTACGTCGTCGAGTCGTACGTCCGCCTGCGCAAGCTATCAAAAGACGAGGAGGAACAAAAGAAGTCACACACCTACACCTCTGCGCGGACACTCCTCGGCGTCCTGCGTCTGGCGCAGGCGCTGTGTCGGCTCCGTTTCTCTGACCTCGTCGACCATGCGGACGTGGACGAGGCACTGCGATTGATGGAGGTCAGCAAGGAGAGCTTGCAAGACGACGACGACAAGGACCGTGATCAGGACCGGTCTGACGTCAGCCAGATATACCGGCTTATCAAGGAGATGTCGACAGATGTACGAGCGGGGGCGAAGGGTAAGCAGCGTAAGGGGCGCTCGCGGCGCATGGGTCGCGGTCCTGCAGGCGAACATGACATGGACGTTGATGATGAGGATGAAGACGATGTGGAGGAGCTGTCCATGGTTGAAATCAGAGCTCGCGTATTACGGAGCGGTTTCACTGAGGCGCAACTCATGGAAACCATCCAGCAGGTTCGTATGAGGTTTGAGTACTTCCTTGGAACATGACACTGATCTAAAAACCTTTTAGTACGAGGGCATCGATGTGTGGACCCGTGTCGCGAACAACTCGAAGCTACGGTTCATCGACAGCTGACTGCTCCACACTATGTCTATGTCGGTGTTCCGTATCATGTTCTCACTGTCAGACATCTGCTTTGTATGTGTTATCATCTGTATCGCATAAATACCATCTTTCCTGTGATAGATTAACGTTTTACAGTCGAATAATGAAGGTATGGTCCTATCGGGCATCCGAAGCATGCTCCCAACTACCGTCGCCGCTGCCACTGGCGCTGGCTGGGCTCTGCGGCCGCTCCTTCTCAGCTTCGTGGGGATCCGGCTCGTCTTTGTATCGTGCTGGCGTGATACCACCTGCTGTGGAAGGATCCTCGTCATCCAAAAACCCTGTGTGGAAGTTCCCAGGCGATGGTTCGTGTGCTCGAATGTTCGGCTGCTCCTCTTCCTCATCATCAGACACCTCTCCAAAGGCATCGTATAGTTCCTTTGTCCGCTGGCTGCCGCGACTGCGATTGACTCCGGGGATGGAGTCCATCGCAACGTCGTCACTCACAGGAAGACTGGTGTAGTTCGCTCTTCTCCGTACAGCGCGTCGCCAGAAGTAGACGCCGACGCCGAGACCGAATATTGCGACCGCGCCTAGGGCGATGAAGAACCAGATCTGGTTGGTAACCAGGTTGGACAGGTCTGCGAACCAGCCCTCGTCCGGTGTCGGTGTGGCAGTCGCAGTCGCACTCACGGTGGGCATCGCGATGTCGTCGGCAGGCTTTGAACTCGTCTGCTGACTGCCGGGGAAGGCGGGCTTGCTCGCCTCACCTTCGGACTGACCATGGTCTCCAGGAAGATGGTCGGTGGGTTTTGAATGTGTTTTGCTTGTAGGTGTAGGAACGGGTATCGTGGAAGTGGGAGCATCGTCTTGCAGAGGTGGCAAAAGACTGTCTATCAACGGCACCTCGTAGACCTTGATCCCCTTGCTCGGGTCGACGACGGATCCCCAGAGACTCATCGACCAGCCGAGGAAGGTGCCCGTTGAGTCTTCGTTATCCTGGTCTGATACTCGGATTGTCCAATCGCCCACCGGATCTTCACCCCTGCAAATACTGTCAGCAATGTGGCTCAAGACGTTTCAGATGCTTGCTCACCAATGCTTCACGGTCATGAACGTCCAGCCGGGGAACCCTGAACTAGCGGAATCCGCGAAACGCTTGGCAGCGAGCACACTCCGGATGCCGTGAGGACTAACCAACTCAACCTCCACATCGCCTCTCCTCACGTGGGTGATCCACACCTTCACCGTGATGTGCTCCAGCTTCTCGAAGTTGTTCTCCTGGAGCAGCACCTGTGCAACTGTCATAGTGCTCGAGACACCGCCGGGGACGATCCGTTCTCCACCCGACGTCAACTGGAACAGATCCATTGTACCATTCGCGATCTGGATGGTGGGAAGATCGATGTATGTCTGCGGCTTCACCGTCTTCCAGCTCAACGCAGCCTTGACGAACTCGTATCCGTTGAGACTGCCGTAACCGTACTTGTAGCTAAAGAGATTCCCTGTCGCGGTGCGCTCCCAATCCGGGTCATCGGCATTGATCTTCTGCCCAGTCTGGACACAGAGGTGCTGAATGTCCCGCCATGAGAGGTCAGGCCTACTCAGATAACACCACATTGAGGCCAGCATACGAATAAATGAAGCTTCAAAACGTACCGCGCTCCGAGAGCTAGAGCAAACACCCCGGCAGCGTTCGGTGCTGCAGCAGATGTCCCACCGTGCGCGTGGGAGCACTTATCCTTTCCACGGTCAGTTGTCGTCTGTAACGATCTTTTAGCCAGTGACCTCTGGGTACAACTCGAAAGACATACAATATGATTCCCACTACCAGACGAGTAAGCCACGATCAAATTCGCAGCACATGGCTCCGAATAGTCCGGGTGAAGCCCTTTGTAATCAACGGCAGCAACGGTGACTGAGAATATACTGTTTGTATATCCGTCGAAATTGCACTGGTCTGAGGATCTCCCGCCATTGCCACTAGCGAAAACGAAAACTGAGCCCTTGTGGTCGCGACCGTTCTGAATGCCGTTGGCAATCGCCTTCTTGATCAAATACGAAGGGCCTTCCATAGATTTACCGTCGTCCGGAGGTCCCCAGCTACATGAAAAGATGGACGTGTTCTGGTAGTCGTAGTTCAGTGCTGCAGCCTCGTCAATGTCGGAAACGGGACCAGATAAAATCCGCAAGCCGGCGACTTTGGAGTCATATGCAATACCAACTCCGCATATATCATTCTTGACAGCAGCTATTTGACCCGCACACCTTGTTCCGTGATGATCCTCGAAGAGTGTAGGTGTCGGTAGGTCTAAGTGGTCATTGAAGTCGTAAGAGCCGGCTGCGTACTGCACAAGATATTAGTATGCGATCTCGTCACAACTGGTCTGATGATACTCACGAAATTGTCAGCGAGGTCATTATTTGTGTAGTCCAGTCCGTCATCTACCAAGGCGGAGATCACGCCTTTACCTGTGTAGCCCATGTCCCATACAAGTGAAACATTCATCATATGCTGCGGGTATTCATCGTTAACAAGGTGCCATTGTCGTGGAAATTCAGGATCCTCGATTCCGAAATGCTGGGCTACCCCCCTTGACGTCTCCAAATCTACTACGGGTGGAGGGGGGGCGCGCTTGACGCGTTGCCGGAGCGTTTGTGGGGAGAGGTACTTCACAGCCGAGACAACACGTCTACTGTGGAGGGTCTCCTCTGACCTCGATGAGTAGTGACCTCGAGACCTCGCACGCTGCTGCAAAGTCTCGAAGGTCTCCAGGACTGGGTCGACGTGCCGTTTCCCAAGATGTGAAGGCGGCTTCTCTGTCCGCACAAGCCAATGATTCTGTAGCTCCCCGGCTTTCTCCACGACTTCTACTCCCAATGCGCCCACGCACTCGGCCAGCGAAGCACCCGCGAGCGGGTCGTATTCCATGACGTAGTAGTCGTGTGTAGCATAGTGTCGTCTCGCGGGTTTTGCGGCAAGGACAGACTCATAGACAAGGAGCGCGAGGATCAGTGAGACAGGAAGACGCATCGGGGGCGTCGCAGGACGAAGGTGAGAGGACGGAGGGGAAGGAGTGTTGGTGAGATTGACGCCGCCACTACGTTCTGATGTCTAAAGGGGGCAACAACTGTTTCATCACTCCGGTGATTGCACCGCATCTTGCACTTTTTGATTCGACGAGTCGAGTCTCGACGCAGTGACAATGGCGATGACTATTTGACAGTTCGACAATGGGCGGTGCAAAGGTGAGTGCGGGTAGGAAGAGCGATCATGCTCATTACGGCGATCGTAGCGTAAACAGGTGTAGTGTACAGAGGTCCAAAAACATGGCAAAAGGTTCATTTCTCCAACACTGCATGACGCTGCAGGACATAACCTCGAGCAGGAGGACCACGCCCATCATTCAGAGGCCACATGCCAACGGTCAGAGCTAGCAAAGGTGTGTCCGGCACGAAGTCATCGTCAAATCGTCGTCGAGCGCTCCCTTCCGCCTTTAACAGGTTCCCGAGGAGAGGCGCAAGGCGCTGAATAAACTTGTCATACGCAATTTCGTCCTCCCGAAAGTCAGCTGCTTCTAAATCCTTCAGTAGGGAGCCCTAAAAGTAAGGATCAGTAGAATGACATGCTAGCGAAAAGCAGGAAATAGACCTGTTCGTCGCATCCTGAAACGTCTAGACGATCGCCTTTCTCGTCCTCCACGCGCAAGAAAAATTCATACACTGGCTTCACATAGCTCTTGTCGTCCATCGCATCATCGCACTCCGCGCACCTCCGGTAGTCTTCCGCTAAACTGTTCGTTCACTGTCAGTAAAGCTCAGATAACACTACTTCCACTCACTCTTTGTCGCACTTCGTGCAGCGCAAGACTGTCCAGCTTCTCAGCTCGCGAGGGTAGAAGTCAACGATGCGGGCACAGATACGGAACAGCGTAGGACACTGTTCGTCGCACTCGATTTCTCTGATCGTCTTGAAGCCTTTCTCGCGGCAGGAGAGCTTGACAGGTGGCTTCTCTTTGCGTTGACTGGCACGGCCTGTGCGCTTGGGAGGCACCGCTCTGCCCATCTTGCGCGAATAGTCAACTTCCCATTCGGATTTACGACTGCACAATTCAATTGAACCTCAGGTAGTGCATGTTAGCCAACAACAACCACCCACCCGAGTAACGCTTTCAGCTCCTCGTTTGTGGGATCATGCGCCTGTAGTTTGTTGATCAATCGTTCGACACCTCCCAGACGTCCCGCAAGCTGCTCCGTTCCTCCTGAACGCGTCAGCCTCAAGTTACGGATGGAGATGAAGTCTCCCTCAGTAAGGTTCTTCGCAGTCTCTACCTGCGTGTCCGACCGGAGGTCAATGCGGACAATCATACCCTTGAGTGCAGACGCCCTCGGCGCCGTCGGGGCGATAGGCACCAGATCTGACCGAGAAGTGTAGTCTGTCACGAACAAGCAGGAAGTGTCACTCTTGTGCGAGATGTATACGATCTAGCCGAGATGCCAATGAGAGTCTGTTCTAATGCGTTAAGTTTTCTCCCCTTACCTCCACCGTGCATAGGAAGTGATGATCTGGTTTGATATCTTGGAAGAGTTGGTGAGTGAAGAGTTCACCATCAGCTTGGACTGCGGCTCCCCAATCATGCTTGCGTCTGACACCATCTTAGCCAGGGCGTTCGTATCACAAACTTTTGAGACACCTACTGCAACAGAGCCTCAAGGTGAGGTGCACCCTCCAGTACATCCTCGTCCAGTTTCCGCATCTTGTTCGCTTCCGAGATAGTCGCTTCCAGATAGCCTCCCGAGCTCACTTTCATCCTGTTATTGCCAAAGAACCAATATTCTCCAACCTTAATATCCGGCGCTTTCGCCGCGGCGCTATTCCACATCTCCATTTTCAAGACCCGGTCTGCCAGCTGCGGCGGACACCAGTCCCGCTGCACGGCGGTGAGCGCGGGGTTGCGTGTGTAGTCTGTGATGTAGAGACTGTACACGCCGTTGTCGTTATTGTATCCATGAAGCACCTGTCACCGCTGCTTCAAACATCGAGAGGGTCAGAGAGGCGTTATGCATACCTCTGCTGTGCAATCAAAGAAGCCCGATGGCTCTGTCTGCGGTGACGCGTCGCATATGAGCCTGTGCACCCTACTGGCTCGTCCTATTGGACCAATGATGTGGTGTATTGTGCCTGTTTCATCGCTCGATGTCCTGCTCTTCGAGACATCCTTCCACCAGTCCGCAAGGCGGGCGCAGTAGTGCATTTCCTCTTCACCAGGCTTGAAGGGGCTGGTCCCGGTCGTGGAATGTGTGCGCGGATCGAAGATAGCCCACGTCCAGCCTTTATACGAAGGTGCTGTACCGCATAGTTTACCCAGATGGTTATCTCCCTGAAATTGATAGGAACATCAGCTTCATAAGCAGTCAAATAGGTAGTCTTACTTGGATTTGCCTCAAGATGAGGATGTCACCTGTCTTAGGCTCCGGCAGCCAATTATTGGCCTTGGAGAAACAGTTGATCCCAGAGCCTGTCGTTTCGACATTGGACGGATCGACTATGATCACCTTAATCATGTTTTCTGTTAAGCACTCGGTGTTAGATGAGACGTAGCCGAGCACGGAGCACTGACCATTCGTGGCTGTCTTTGCTACTCTTCCGGCAATAGTGACGACACCTATCACATTTTGGGTTTGTCTTTCTCTGATCTCGCTGAGAGGAACGTAGTAGCCCTTCATCACAATTAACGGCGTGAATAACATAACCTCGAGAAGCAGATAAAGAAGAAAAGGAAACACACATTTGAGGTCCAGCAACCCGCCTTGGAGGCCGCAGAGGAATCAGCATCTTCGGAATTCAGAGGGGTAGAGCTAGCAGTTGAAGGGTCAATAATGTGGGAGATGACGGTTCTGGACGCTGGACTAGGGGTATTTATCGTGTTGGCAAGGGCACTTTGGACGGGAACGTTCATTAGTTGACTTGAGGTGGCACCATGGAGAACTGCACTATTGTCAGATGGTGCATCGCGGGTCTCTGAGTGACCAGAGAGCGTAGATACAGGAGGTTCTGGGGCGGGAGAAACACGGGTAGGGTTACTGATGTGTGTGAGTGCGGATTTGTCTGCAGGATCCACGACTTCGTATGTTATTGGCAGTGGTGGCGCGTTCACGTTAGCTTGATTTGTAGATACTGATTCCCCGGATTTTGTTGGAATATAAGACGCAGAGTCGGGACTATCACCAGGCACGAGTAAAGTCCTTTCCTTTCGAAAGGCTTTGAGCTTCCGCTCAGCTTTCTTGCGGGCCTTTTTCTGTTGCTTTGTCTCCTTTGCAATGTCCGCGTTCACATTCGAGCCAGGCCCTGAAACGGTGGGAGGGACCATCCGCTGTTCATCCTTGCGTTGCTGGGGTTCCGTGGCATCGTTCTTGGAATTGGCGGGAAGGACGATCAGAGAAGATGCCTGAGGACAGTTGGCAGGATGACTACCAGGCTGTGGCTTCGACTGTGGTTCTGCCACGGTAGTGGAAGATCCACGCTCTTCGCTTGTCCGCTTGGAGGAGAGACGGTCGGGTGAACGACGTCTTTTCGACCTGGTACTACTTTCAGAACCATTCGAACGCTCAGCGGAATCTTCGTTTTTGTTCATTTGTACCTCCGAGCGCGATGCGGGCTTAGCTGTGACAGATGAGGACGTGGCTAGGTTCTTGGAGTCCGCCACATCTGTTGTCGCAGACGGAGCTGTTCTGCTGTCCGTCACTGGCGGCGGAGGAACGGTGTGAGAAGCGGAACTGCTCGCTCTTTCCTGGTTGTCGCTTCCATCAATGGTAAATAGTGTCGGCGTAGAATACCAATCATTTGGATCCAACGGTTTTCGTGCAAAGGTCCTTGTATCTTCTTCGTCAACTAAGGCAAACCGAACAAGTAAAGTCTCTAAGCATCAACAAACAGAGTAGAAAATCTTACGTTTCCAAGTATTCACAACACGATTATTTTGAGCTGGATCCTTTGCCTTGAGAAACTTTACGATGGCGCCTTGCTCGTACGTCAACTCGTGCGAACGCCTTGCACCGGGTCCAGAAACCTTCACGCGTACTCCTTTGAGTGCAAGCTGAATGACATCTCCAATGGAGAACGTGAGCTGGCTGAAATACTTGGAACACGCTCCTTGGAAATGGATGTCCAATAAGGCACCGTCATTCGTAGCCAGCTGGATATGAGACTTTGCACTAAGCAGTGGCCACCTCATCTTCAATTTACCCTCCAGATATCCCTGTTCATCAGTTATATCAGCACGAAGAACCGACGAGTCTCTCTTTAAGCTCGCGTCGAATGGGTCATGGTGTTGCTCCGTAGCTGCATGTTCCGGTTCCTGTACTCGTGGCCGCTTCCTGTGACCGTCCGCCGACCCTTCAGTATTTCTTTTCATGATCTGCCTGGCAAATAATTGAGACAGATGGTTAGTGGAAGGCGACGTATCCAAACTCGACGAACGCGATTGAGTCAGAACGTGAGCGCGACGCGTACACGTGAATTTACGTAACGTGGCTGCTTAAGTGCGCAAGTCCTACCGTGACCACACCTCATCATGTCCGACATCCCTCTCTCCACTCTTTACCATCGCGGGCTCACAGCTGCGGCAAAAGCAGTCAACCTCCCTACTATTCAGGATGAAACTCAGGTACACCGGTCAATCTAACTCCATGCCGCTAACTCACCCTGAAGGAGACGGTAGGAGCTCTTACAGGCTGCACTGTCCGATCTACGGCTTGTCCAATCTCGCGTCGCGTCTCTATCACTTTTCAGCCAGAATGAATTGCTGTCCGATATTCCAAGCCGTGATCTAGTCTACCTGCTCCTTCCATTCATTCTGGCCGAGATACACGGTCGAGTGAGGACGACGGATACGGAAGAGCGCATGGACCAAGTAATGCGTGCACAGGTTAGCGCGAAGCCTATCACTCCTAGTTTCTTGCTACTAATTTCAGTATACAGAGTTCATTGCGCATATTCCTAACAACTCTAGATAAGCTCGAGGTCGTCCCTGAGTCGGAGAAGACGTTGTATGCGCAAAAGACATCAACAATGAACGATCCTGCGAAACGGAGGGAACTCAAGATCAAACAGTATCAGAAGGAGAAAGAGATCAGGTCGAGAATTCAGGTATGCATGCGACGTCTGCCGTATGAATGGCTCTCTCAGTCTTCCTGCAGGCAGTGCGCAAGCGACGCTACCAAGGCAGAATACCTAACGAGCCCACTTCAGACTTCGAACTCATCGCCTCTCTTCTACCTGACCCGTCCAAAGCGGCATCTGCTTCAGAAGATGACCCGGACACGGAAGATGTCCTCCGCCAAGCTACGCTTCTTCTCTTGCGCCTCACTTACGCAGAAGCACATGCTCAGTCGGAGAGCCTGGACCAAGAGCTCCAACTCTTACGCAGTGCTCCTCCCCCTCGGCCTGTAGAACTAGCCTCCGATTATTCCCGTCGCCGGAAGGAACCCCAGAGCGATGACATGTGGCGGTTAGATGCCCCTATACCATCTGGTGGACCAGACGGCAAGGGCCCGTTGTTGGATTCCAGCGGAAAGGTGAATCTTTGTCTTTGTACCTTACCGGTATGACGAGCCGACATTATACTTGACAGCCTCTGCGCCCATTCACCATTCTTCCTGCTTCGTCTGACCGGGCTCGTTTACAAGCAGAAGTATTCCGGCCGGACCATCGTCTGCCTACTATGTCGGTTGACGAGTACCTTGAGGTCGAACGTCAACGTGGTTATATCATCACCGGGGGCGGGTAAGTACATTTACATCTCACTGGATTAATCAGCCCATAACTATGTTAAGTAGACCCCAGTCGGAGGCGGCGCCCACGTCATCTGAACAACTTGCCCTCGACGCTGAAATGGAAGGCACGGTGTTCGCAGAACAGAAGGCGGAGGAGAAAAGGCAGAAGGACGAGGCGTGGGCTAGATACACCGATACGCATCCCAGAGGTGCAGGTAACACCATGAACCGTGGCTGAATATGGGTACCGGGTTGTTCCACTACTGCGAGAATGTGTATGCTATGTAGTTTTAGTATCGTGCTGAATGGCAGTGAATTGTTTTCGATAGCTGTGTCCTCAACTTCACGTCAGACAAACACAATGCATTACACCTACGGTTCTAAGCGTTAAGAGTAACAAATAAAGGATGGTATCTACAGGTTTCCAATTTGCAGCAACACCTCACCTACAAGGAGGTGGAATGCTCGCCTAAACTTTTGCCTGCCTGAACGACTGTATGATAACTTAACATTGACACTGAGAGGCATCCGGCACTTCGTTTTGTGGGGGTGCCGTGACATCAATTTCTGAAGAGACGGCGTAAGTAAGACATAACGGTAAGGCGCGACCGAGTATCCAACGTACTAGTGTTTTGCGACTCTGTCACCTCCGTCTCCTTTTCCATGCCGACAATCTCCATCGCGATCTTCTTGAAGAGGCTCTTCACGTTGTGTCCCGCTTTTGCCGAAGTTTCCATGAACATGATATTAAGCTGTGCTGCTTTGGCGTTGGCCTCCTCCAGCGTAACTTCCCTATCGTACCATGTGATATTACGGCCGTAAGCTGTGAGACGACCAAGGGAGAGGACTGACCGTTTGTCTGACAGGTCGGCCTTGTTGCCAACTAGTACAATAATAACGTCGTTTCCCCTTTCTGACCGCACGTCGTCGATCCATTTTGATGTGGACAAAAACGACTGGCGATCTGAGGACAGACGAAATCAGGACAGTGCTACCTCACGGTCAGATACTCACGCGTAATATCAAACACGACAATGGCAACCGAGCAGTCCCGAATATATGATGGGATTAACGACCGATATCGTTCCTTGGACGCGCGCATACATGGGTCAGGGCCTCGCGCGGTGAGCACCATAACGAACTGCTCACTTACTTGGCCAGCGGTGTCCCACAATTGCAAGCGCACAGTGCGGTCTTCCAGGTACATCGCCTTGCTCAGGAAGTCAATGCCTATCGTCGCCTGGTACGTGTTGTCAAATGTGTCGTACATGAATCTAATGCGGCAGCGCGAGACACGTCTTCGTGAGCTCCCTAGCACTGCGCACTTCAGATACGTGGACTAGAGTATACCTTGTGATTAGACTGGTCTTCCCGACACTCTGATCGCCCAGTAAGACAATCTTGCTGCGCTTCAGTGGGGGTGACGAGAAGTCGGCCGTTATTGGTGATGTAGCCATGGCTGGATGACTTTTCTGAGACCGCAGATGTACAATAATTTGAATTCAGTCAACGCAGAACGCGGGCGACAATTCAGATAGGCTATTATGCGCCTCGGGAAAGTCGAGAGGGATGGGAGCTCTCAGTGCTGGAGTGGTGCGTCGGTCCCGGTCAGCAATCATGACATTTTGCCTAAGGTTATCGGCCACGTGCCAGTAAAGCCGATTAGATTCAAGAAGAAAGGCTGCCAGCCTGAGTGAGTCGGGCGCGCGTCCGTCTCGTCTCTCTTGCTGAAGCGTTCTCTCTGAGAATGAAGCTCACAAAGAAGATCGCCGAGCACAAAGTGAACAGACCGTTCTATACTTTAGAATTTTTCCCTCCTAAGACCGAGCAGGTGAGCGGTATGCATCCGTCTCGGTCGCTCACTCAATATTTCTGGCACCAGGGTTTTGAGAATCTGCTCGCCCGAATCTCGCGTCTCGTTTCTCTGGACCCTCTCGCTATCAGCGTAACGTGGGGTGCCGGAGGTACCACGAAGGAGCGCAGTCTCGACCTCGCGGGAGTTACTCAAGCCGATCATGGCGTTGATACGATCCTGCATCTGACATGCACGAACATGCAGCAGGGTATGGTTGATGATGCATTGAGGGTATTACAGGAATGGAATAACCGTCAGATGGTATATTGATATATCAACAGGATGCTAAACAACGTGGGATTGAGAACATACTAGCTCTCCGAGGAGGTACTGCGCCCGCAAAACCTTCTGTGGAACGCTTTGTTGATCGTATCATCCAGATCCTCCGAGAGGGGAAGAGTATTGGATTCCCACAGACCGCAGGTTCACGCATGGTGCCGATCTAGTCTCGTACATCAAATCTTCCCCGGAGTTTTCCTCTGGCTTCTGCGTTGGCGTGGCAGGTCACATCTCCCTCTATGGATATCGTTTACTCGTATTCACAACGGATGATAGCATACCCGGATGGGCACACTGACGGAGACATCGACAATGATGGAGAACTAGAGTTCTTGAAAGCGAAAGTTGACGCCGGCGCTGACTTTATCGTCACCCAGCTGTTCTATGATGTCGACAACTTCCTGCGCTGGGTGAAGAAGGTCAGAGCGAAAGGTCAGTATTCGGTCTAGGTCTTTACGCGTTGTAACTTGTCTCAGACAACGCAGGAATCAGGGTTCCTATCATTCCTGGTATCATGCCCATGCAGACTTACGCGTCTTTTCTGCGCATGACGAAACTCTGTGGTACTCGTATACCAACTAGCCTCATGGCCGATCTTGAGCCCATACGTGTAGGTTGCCAAGCCTGGCTACCCTTCTTTTCGGTGTTCAGCGTTATTTTCTCCCTCACGCAGCACGATGATCAGCAAGTGAAAGACTACGGCGTGAAGCTTGCAATTGGAATGATACAGAAGTTGACGGAAGATGGAGACATTCGCGGTGTCCACTTCTGCACTCTGAACCTTGAAAGGAGTGTGTATCGCGTCTTGGAAGGTTTGGGATGGACAGGTACTAGCCCCAAAATCACCAACAAGCTGATTACAGTATGACCGTTGCCTTTTCTATCAGGGTTTATCTTATGACTGAGATTCGCAGGACATGCCTACCGCAGAAAATCCGGAGCTCATTGTCACTGCCCACTCGGCCACCGATTCCGCTGCGAATTCATTGACGACCGGTGTGCCTCTTGAAGTTGAGGCAGGAAAGGGTGAACTCAACAATGCTTCTGCATGGGATGATTTCCCTAATGGACGATTCGGCGACTACAAGAGTCCCGCCTATGGTGAGACAGATCTATGGGGGAGCTCGACGATGTCCGTACGTACACTCTTCACGTCTTGTGTTTCGCGTTTAACTCAATACTCCCGTAGCGAAAGCAAGCCCTTGCGCAGTGGGGTCATCCCAAATCGTTGGAAGACCTTACAGACATCTTTGTGCGCCACCTGCACTCCGAGATCGCTACGACGCCATTCTCCCCTTCACCTCTTAATCCGGAGTCTCTCATGATTCTGACTCAGCTTGAGAAACTCACTCGTATGGGATGGTGGACGGTTGGGTCTCAACCTGCTATCGACGGTGCCAGCTCGGCAGACAGTGTCGTCGGCTGGGGTCCCCGAGGAGGTTACGTGTATCAAAAGAGCTTCGTTGAGTTTTTTGTGGAGAAGACCGACCTTGAGAAAATCAAGAGCAAAGTTGAGACGGAAGGGGGAGGTTGGGTTAATTACTTCGCCGGAAACGTCCAGGTAAAGCTGTTCCCATCAGCATGACTGAGACTGTGTGTGACTCACTTCCTCTTGTCAGGGTGAATGCTGGACCAACATGCCTGACGATGGGAGAAATGCCGTTACGTGGGGCGTCTTCCCTGGTCAGGAAGTCGCGCAGTCGACCATTATTGAGAAGGAGTCCTTCCTCTCGTGGAAGGTCAGTTGCCAGATGATCGGTGGCATCACGGTCGATTGATACCTTTCTGCATCGTAGGACGAGGCATTCTCAATATGGGTGGAATGGGCGTCATTCTACCCGCCAGATTCAGCTGAGAGAAAACTGTTAGATAGCATTCTTGATCAACGCTGGCTCTTGAGCATCGTACACCATGACTATACGAACCCAGACGCCTTGTGGACGTTCTTATTCAAAGACAGTCCAGATACTTGAATATCTAAATTGCATCTCTACCATCATACTTCTGCAGGACGTCTACCTCTACATTCGCGATGCAAGTAGCATTGAATGCCTGAACTTCGATCGGCGTGGGATCATTCTATTGAACAACGTTACAGGGACTTGAATATCATTTGCGTCACCAGTCACCCGCGCGAGCCGTCAGACCGCCTTGTACGCCATCACCTCCCACCTCTCCAGTAACCTCGAAGTGAGGAGAGCTGCTTCCCATGACGTATAGACCATCTCTTCCCGCCATCCTGGGAGACCCCATCTGCGCACGAATGCCATCCGTACACCAGCGTCTTCTTCCAGGTCCCGGACGTACGCGTTCAGAGAACTTGCTTGCTGTTCTGAGACGTTCCGCACGGAATGCACGATGAGCGGCATCGAACCGGACGTGATCAGATCTAGGACGTAGGATAATGATGCGAACAGTGGAGTGGTTGTGCGTACAGCATCGGACGACGTCGATGAGAGCTGCTGTGAGGTATATGTGTTCCGAGAGCCCCGATGAATGCGCTGACGAGGAAGAAATGGAAGTGCAGTCAGAACGAAGGACGAGCTCAGGAAGGAGACGGAAGTGCAGCGCGCGGTGAAGTTGATGGAGATGCATGATCCTGGACACAGAGCTGTTTGCAACGCGCGGACGAATGCTTCAAGGTGCAGGTACGGGACCGTATCAAGGGATAGTCCCCGAGCAGGTAGGAGCGACACAGCTTCAGTTCGTGTACCGTTGAGATTGTGGAGTGTCTGAGTAAGTGACGACGTTTTGAAGGACGAGCTCGAAGGCGATGTCTTGCGATCACTGATGAACTGTGAACCTTACGGCGTAGGATTACAGACATCAGTTGAACAATATGCGCATATATCCACTTACCAGACCATACGAATGACTATGACAGATTATCTCCTTCGTGCATATGTTAGAAACGAACAAGTGACTCACGTAAGATTTGATGAATGAGAAGTGAGATGCGGCGATCCAACCCAGGACGGTCGCCCACCAGCTCAGTTCCACTCTCAAGACGATCAGCCAGTCGTGGACTCGGAGGGTGCTTGTTATTAGGGAGGGTAGATCAAGTCCAGTATCTCTAAGCTGCATTTTCCCGGCAACGATGTCGTCAAGCAGCTCACGTAGCGGCAGGCGAACAATGTTATTGCCAGAAGCAGCTGCTCGCCGGGCAATAGCGAGGTATGCAGCCGACCAAAGTGAGCATGTAGGGGTGACAAGAAAGAGGATCGCATATAGGGCCTGTCGGCGTCGGGCTAGCAAAATATCCGAATCACGAGATGACAGGGAACATAGTATGGCAGTCAAAACTGAGACTAAAAGCAACACGACAGCGAGAGTGTGAACGGGTGACATGCCGTTTTTCAACAAGCACCATGGAAGGGATGGGGGATCGATACTATGACTGTTGCATTGGAGTTTCATGTTGTATGGCACCGTGCTTGAGACTTTGAAGAAGTCCATCTCGCTGTAGCCCAGTCGATTATAACGAAGGCATCGCCACAGGCCACGACGTTGAGCACATGCGCATGAGAGTAGATCCAGCTCACCTGTCATACAAACAGAACAGAGATAACCAGTTGTACACACGCCGAGACTAAGTATTGTGGGCCAGGATTTGCGGTAGAGTTGCGGCAGACTGGATGATGACGGCGCGACGTTTACCCAGCCGACCAGGTGCATAGCCGCTTTAGGCAGGTGAATCAGTTCGCCCACACAAATCAAGAAACGAGAGCATATAATTAAAATTCGCCAATTGCATCAATAAAGAAGCATGGTCAGACCGTTGCAGTCGGAACAGTATCAACAGTGGTCTTCTCCCAAAAGACTGCACCATCTCTGCCTGCCACAGCGGCAGCAGTACCACCGACAGTAGTCTTTTCCCAGAAGACCGCTCCATCTCTGCCTTCTATAGAAGCAGTCGGTATAGAAGTATCGACAGTGGTTTTCTCCCAGAAAACTGCACCATCTCTCCCTGAAGAATATCGCCGACCTCAAGCACTATATCAAGAAGAGAGGCGAAAGTACACACTGAGAGGGGCGCGTTTCATATCATGGGAGAATTCCCTGTTTTCGATTACGCCCCGCCGATCCTCCAAAGCCATGGCTAGAAGACGGGCTCATGTTATAACACATTTTTGGCGGTCAGAGAGTTGTGGTAGTTACCTCGAGAATGATCGGGCTGCACTGTCAGCGTGTATAGCATCACCAACACAAACGAGAGAAGAGTTTGCACAGCGGAACGCATAATATCGATGGCGGTAGGCGGACGTTAGTAATAGGCTTGAGAGACTCCACTGGAGATGAGGGGTTGTGCTGCTTGAGCAGTAGACTTGGATGGGTAGGCTCTTTTATATCCTATGAGCCACACCACTCTTATAATCGGAAGCGTCTCGCATAATTGGGCGCTGGTCCCTGGATGAGAAATCCATGCCATTACAAAGAGCCTGCGACCTATGGGCACTGTATACAGGGAGTTCGACGTGTTTCAATCTTTGATATCCCTATAACGGAATGCGCCACATTCTGAGTTGTACATCATGTCATTGGCCGGTACTCACCTAGCTAGTGACATCCAGTGTTCCCGGATGCCCGAGCGCTGTCCGATTGAGCTCAACATTCAACGTTTCAAAATTTCGACTCTTAGTGCAAGGTCAATTATCCATCAAGCAAACGGCCTTGGGCTGCACGGTGATTACCCGGGCATGCTCAATCTTGCCCGACGAAAGTGATCTTGACGCCGGTAGTGTCGCTGCTGTGTAGCGGAAGTGAGGCAAGCTAGCTGGGTAGGAGACAAGACGATCTGAAGCCGAGTACAACCCCGAGGCTATCCCGAGACGGTTGGAATAGTTCAGAGAGTGTACTTCCAGTACTCCGACCGTGTCGCCATCCAAGGGTAACTGCTACATAGAGAGCATAGGGAGAGACGCTAGTAAAGCATGGACATCTGTACATCCAAACGGGAGTAGAGTTACAGGTAATTCATGAGCGGGAAAAGCAGCCACCAGGTATCAGTAAGTCAACGTCTCGACGATAGCATCCAAGATGCGTATCGAATCCGGCATATAGAACTTCTCGTATTGCATTGGAACGGGTGTGCTGGAAGAAAACGTAAGTATTTACACAAACGAAGGATGACATTCAACTCACTCCCAACCAGTGACCAGTTTCACTGGAGCGTTCAACTTCAGGAAACATCTCTTCTGGATCTCGGAGCTGATCTCTGTACCTACGCCACCGGTGCGTCCGGCCTCGTGAACAATCACGAGTCTGCCGGTGCGCTTTACGCTTTCCGTAATTGTCTCGACGTCCCAAGGCAAGATCGTCCTCAGGTCAATCAGTTCCACCTTGGTTGAGCGAAGAGAGGCAGGAACGAAGGGGGTGAGAGACTCCGGAGGAGTCGCCAGCATGTGGAGCGCTGTCTCGCAATGATAGAGCGGTGTTCCCCAAGACAGCAATGTCAGATCGGATCCCGAAACGAGGGTTTCTGCTCGGCCAATTGGTAGCTGATAGTCGTCTATGGGAACTTGTTCCACTGTACCATTATGAGATAGAGTACCACGAAGATATACACTTTGAACACATACCTGTCGAACGGTACAGGATTTTAGGCTCCATGAATATCACCGGGTTTGGGTCTCGGATCGATCCTAACAGGAGACCCTTTGCTTGAATAGGAGAGCGAGGAATTACGACCTAATGATTGACGCGCTCAGTACCGGGTAATTATCCACTACAGATCAGTAGCATGCAACTCAGAGCCCAGAGTGATGGAATTATTTTTAAATGGAATGCATCAGCATACCTTTATACCCGCGGCGCCCATGAAGAACCCTTCCGGACTCTGAGAGTGGTAGTGACCGCCATGACCGACCGCCATGGATGGACATCTGATGGTCAGACCTCCGGCTTGGAACTGACCGTTGGATCGGAATCGGAACTTGGCGGCCTCATTCACAATCTAAGACGAAGAGGCTTGTGCTCGAACCATGATTGGTTTGAGTAAAGCGCATACCTGGTCGAAAGCCGGGAAAATGTAGTCTGCGAACTGAATCTCAGCGATTGCCGTGTGACCCATTGCTGCAAGACCTATTTTTAGTGAAATTCCTGTCAGGATTTTCTATGGCAAGTTAAGAGTCGCACGAAACCTATTCCAAACCCTGCTATTCCTTGCTCCGTTAATGGTGTATTAAATACCCGCTCTCTGCCTAGTCGAACGGCGTAAGAGTGCATTCTTGACTCTCATTATTTTGTGACAGCCTCACCAAATTCTTCGGCGAGGCCCTGAATGTGAGTAGTCGGCATTTAGAAAGCCTCTCGCTGCAAAGCGCCCGGTCACTTACCATCGTGCATCGGAAGACTCCACCGAATGCTACATCTTCCCCGAAAACGACAGCAGTGTCATCTTTCATCAAGGCGACACTGTAGCAAAGAGCATTGTATGCAGTGCGACGCAGCGAAAGAATAACACTACCTCAAACCGTCTCGCACTGCCTGATACAGGTTCATCTTCCGCGTCTCCCGACCTGCGACGATGTCCCTCGTCGGACCGGACGCGTCTTCATCCGCCCATTGTATTCCTGGAGTACGAATAGCAGAATCGCGACCTGACCGCAGGAAGGAAGAGGTCGCTATTGAGGGTAGATGGCCACCGGCTGGGAGAGGCTCTGCCGCGGTAGACTGCCGGCGCGTGCCAGAACGCTACGTCGTAGATGGGTCAACATCACATCTGAATGTGTTGAGAAAGATATGCCGTACGTAGAGAGAGAAAAGGAGCGAATGCTGTCTGACACACTTGTGGGTGAACATAATCGTCGAGTAACCAGGTACGCGCGTTGAAGAGCACTATCAGGATCTGACTCCGGCGGCATCATCTTCCCCAGATCTCACTTACATGCCAGCACCATCTCATCTCCCCCGCCAGCCTCAGTCCTTCTCCAGCTTAGCCCATGAAACATGGAGAATGAGTCCACATTCGTTGCTCCCGAAGGTGTCTACTCAGTGACCGAGGAGCATAAGCCCGGCTCATTCGGCCAGCATCCCATCACCACCGCCCCCATTCTGTATCCTACACGAATCTCTGCTGTTACCGTCAGATTCCCTGCCACCAAGTCCAATTCACAGGGTCTAGCGCAGCTCCTTGGGGGAGGGAATCGAGAGAAGGATTACAAGAAGGAGAAGGCTGCGCCCGCGAAAGAGCGGGAGGACGGGCTGAGTGTCTCCAGCAGCGAAACGCCAGACGAAGGCACCTCTCCAGATGTCTCCAATACCCCCGTTCCCGACAGCGCTATGTCCACACCTGCTATGCCTCATGAACAGCTCAACAATATCTTTTTTCAGACACCGGCTGGATTAGGGAAGAAGAAGACCTTTGCTCGGCCAAAGCATAACATGCGCACAACCTCGTCAACGTTCATCACTCGTGTGCAGAACACGGACAATCTGACAAAAGGTCTCCACTCAAAGCAGGGGGAGACGAACTTTGTATTTTATAATTTAGCGAAGAGCTTTATTTGGATGGAAGCTGGTTCCAAACCCAAGGTACATCGTTTTTTTCCCCTTGGGTCACGCGAGAAGACAATTCATGAAGACCAGGAACCACTTGCACGTGTATACTTTTCAGCATACCCCACCTGCCACGACGTAAACCTGACAACGGTATCACCGGAACGGATAGATGTGATCATAGGTTTCAATACGGGAGATCTGTTATGGTTTGGTGCGTATCGTGAAATTTCCTTGATCGTGGCTTTGTAATGTTAGCTTCGATAGACCCAGTATCATCACGTTACGGCCGACTGAACAAGCAAGTATGTAATGCATTGCGTGAGGAAATTCCACTCTGACATACAGGAATACCCAGGGTCGCATATGCAATTCCCCCTGCACTGCTATCCGCTGGGTGCCAGATTCGCCTAACCTATTCCTAGCCTCACACGCGGACGGTACCATTGTCGTATACGACAAAGAACGTGAGGATGGTGTATTCATGCCGCAAGAACCCGGAGCGCCGCCGTCTACTTCGTCAGATGGGAACTCTGCTAGTTCTCATGGAGAGTGGAATCCCCTCGACAGCATATTTGTGACAATGCCTCCGTGGCATCCGGTGACTGTTGGTGGTAATCTTTCCAGCGGCGGCAAATCTGAGAAAGAAAAAACTGCAAAGAATCCAGTTAGTCATTGGAAGGTCTCCCGTAAGGGTATCGTAGGCAAGTCTGACGTTTTCGTCAATGACCTTCTTTGACACCTTAGTCAGACTTTGTGTTCTCACCAGACGCTAAACTCGTCGCAGCCATTTCGGAAGATGGCTGTATGAGAATAATTGATACTGTTACAGAGCAGTGAGTACTATGACATCGTACTTGCATCTGCATTCTCATCCTTGGCGCAAGGCTTGTTGACTGCTATGCCTCATATTTTGGTTCTCTCAGTTGTGTAGCTTGGTCGCCAGACGGCCGATTCATTCTGGTGGGCATTCACTTTGATTTTGGGGTATTATTGAATTGAGAGCCGAGAGTGTAGACCGGAGGTCAAGACGACTTGGTTACGATCTTTTCCCCTTGGGAGCAGCGTGTAATTGCAAGGTGTCAAGGACATTCTTCTTTCGTGTCTGCCTTGGCCTTCGATGACATTCGTTGTGATGGCCGAACGTATCGATTTGGCAGTGTCGGAGAAGACAACAAACTAATATTGGTTGGTACTATGCGTCATCGTGGTCATCTGATCGTCAACTTCTGAACGTACTCTTCAGTGGGATTTCTCCAGCGGCGCGCTGCATCGCCCTAAGCTACACGTAAGTCATGACGAGTCAGTTCTTACTGTATTTATTATTGAATCCACCGTTTGTCGTTCAGACTGCGCATCACCAGCGACAGTCAATGACGTCCAACACATCTCTTGCACTTCGCCGGAGAGGAGAATCAACGCTGTATCTTCCACCCTCAGGCGCGTTCGGCGGGGATTCCCCCTTGCCACGCTACCATCCAGCCCCGTCCCGCAACGAGGTGGCAGTCGTTCAGCCAGTTGTGGTCAGTTTTCGCTCATGCACTTTCGATGGTCTTCCTGTTGACATCTATCGTTGCATTTAGGTCAAGCACATTGGGACCGACATGTTGACTGACACCACCTTCATCGGTCGTGGACTACTTACCGCCACCAAGTTAGGCCACATCAAGCTATGGATACGGCCCCTGGCCGTTCAGCCGCGTCACCTGAGAACTCAGAGTACGTACAGAAGGAATTCTCAGGTGGATGCTGTTCTTTAATGTCTACGTTTATTCCTTACGCCACGCGCTGTATGATGTATATGCATTCTGTATAATGGCAGTGTACAGTATTCCTCGTCTTGCCAGCCTGAATATGTACGTAGGCCACTTGCAGCTACCGGCTTACTTGTTACTTAAGATAGCTCGACTATAGCGTTATAATACACTGGTCGTTCAACGTTGAACATACAGACGGGTCGACTAACCGGAGAGCATCCGGCACCGCGGCGCGGTACTTAGACACACTTCGCTCGACGCTGATCCGGCAGGATCTGCGCATCGCATTCGGTGGAGATTGAGCGAGAGCACACACGCACGCACTGCGGGCCCGATCGGCATGAGCCTGCAAAACGCCGCCGGTCCCGCGCCCGAGACTGGGTCCCGGACTCCCGGGGAAGGGCGAGCATTGACGGTACATGCACCCGCGGTTCTCGAAGATCGACAAGGACGGATTCAAGGACCGAGAACAACGCAGCAGTCTATTATCGCGCACCCACCACGCGCGCGCGCACACACACACACACACACACACCGTCCTACTACTCACTACCAGGTATCCACGCGTCCATAAACGACAGACAAAGTGCGGAGGGTAACGAACGGAAAAGATCAACAGATATCAAAAGCGATCGTGAGCCGGGACAAAAGTACGCGGCGGCAGCCGCTCACACGCCACAGCGGACGGCGGACACCAAGAACCAAGAACGAGGGGGGCAGGCAGCGCACGGGCTATGGCGCGCCCTTCTTCTTCCCAGGAAAGTCAAATTCCACCTTGTAGAACCCGCACGGGCTGAGGAGCGTCGCGAGGCCCTGGTGCACCTCCACCTGGAACGCCTCGAACGGGTACGCCTCGCCGTCAACGGCAAGGCAGCCCTTCTTCGAGTACGGCTCCACACGGTACGCCTGCGCCTTCAGGTAGCGTTGCTGCGCGGGCGTCAGTGAGCCGGCGGCGGGGGGGTGCGCGCGAGCGGGGACGCACCGATTCCAACCAGTACTGCTCGCCCTTGTGCGCGACCTCCATCCCGTGGAGTAGCACGCGGCGCGACGTCTGCAGCAGACAAGCAATACCAACTCAGCACGCGCCCGGGGCGGCGAACACAACGGGACCGAACAGTACACGCACCATCTCCTGGATGACGATATCGATGAGGCCGTCGTCGGGGAGGGACACGGGGAACTGCATAAGGTCGCGGGAGACGTACGGGCCCTTGCCGGCGTACATGTACACCAGCGGCTTATCGAACGCGATCCAGCCGTCCGCGTCCGCGTCCGTGTGCTGCAGCTCCGGCAAGGTCGCAGACGGCAGGCTCAGCGGGGGCAGCGGGGACATCGGCGGGAGCGGGGACTTGGAGGTCGCAGGGCCCGAGTCCGGGCTCGGCGGCTCGGCGCGCGGGGAGCGCAGCGTGGTCTTGGAGCGGGAGTTATGCAGGTTGTGGACCATGCGGTGCTTGTCGGCCTCCGCGACCTTGATCGAGAGCTTCACGGGACAGCGGCGCTTGACGATCACTGCCGCGGGGTGGTAATGCAGACGGTCAGTGAGGCTCGAAACCGGGCATAGACGCGTTACCTCCGTGCAGGTATCCAAGGATGAACCGGCTGAGACGGCCTCCGCTTGAGTAAGCACGGGGCAGGACAGAGAGAGATGCAAAACGCACTTTGAGCCCATGAACCGCAAGCGCTCGGTGCGCAGGTCAAGGTCAGCGAGGAGGCCGACGACCTGGGACATGAACGAGAACACGCGGCGGTCCTTCTGGGTCACCGAGAAGAGATCGACGCTCATGGGGAGGCCTGCAGCGGGGGCAGCGCCCAATTGGTTCATTTCGGGCAGCGCAGGGCGCGCACGCCAAAGGGGAGGGACGGACCTTTGACGGCGTTCAGCGCGGCCGCGGCGACGTCGTATCCATCCTGGGGAAGAGGAGGGGGCAGTGTTCAGCATCAAGACCGGATCGGGATCAACGACGACGCGGGACGCGAACGCACCTGCACACCAAGAAGGTTGACGGCTAGCCCGTTGCCGGATCCACTGGGGACCGGGGTGAGGGGGGTGCGGAAGGCGCGAGTGGGGTCGGCGTGTGCGGCGAAGCCGTTGAGCACCTCGTGCACAAGCCCGTCGCCTGAGACGGTGACGACGACGTCAAAGTCGTCTAGAGGGAGCTCCTTGGCGATGTCGAGCCCGTGCTTGACGTGGGTTGTGACTGGGTGGAAATGGAATGTCAAGGGAAATACATGCGGGTGAGAGGAAGCGCACATGTGGTGTCGATGAGACATCGGGCTGCGCGGAAGATGGGCTCGACTTGCTTGATGTAGTGTTGGACGGCGTTGCCCTGGCTCGAAGGCGCTTAGAGTGAGGTGGGAACAGAAGGACGAGAAGCATACGGGACCACTCTTGGGGTTGACCAAGACCTTGAGTCTCCTCTGACGCTTGACGCCTACGGAAGGGGACTGAGTGGTGAGGATGGAGAAGGGGAGGGTGGGAACTGACCGGTGTATGCAGCGCTCATGAGGGCATCTGTGAAAGCGTTGGCGGCGACCTTGTCCTTGTCGTGGAGGTTGACGTTGATCTGTACGAAAGAGAGCGGTGCGGACTTCTTCTTGCGGGCAAGGAGGGATATCTCGAGGACGTTGTTGTCGGTGAGCTCAGCCCATATGACGTTGTAGACGTCGGTCTCGATCTGCGGCCATTTCTCTGGAGAAGGGTGAGTTAGGGAGCGCGAGAGCGGGTGAATGGGCTCACTGTCGCCGGTGCGGGAGACGAGGAGGGAGGTGGGGGTGAGGGAGAAGGTGGAGATGTGGTGACCAGAGGCGACGGAGAGGGAGATGGGGGCGTCCATGGTGGGGGAAGGAGATGGAGGAGAGAGAGAAAAGCCATTCTCGTGAGACGCGGCTGTCGGCCCCGCAGCAGCCAAATAATATTCTTCCCGTCATCATCCACGGCTGCAACACGAGCTGTAACGCGATCTCTCGGTCGCCCATCTCCTCGTGTCCATGGCTGCCACCGCAGAGCACCCAGTACACAACGTCGCCAAGGCCGGCTTCGGGACGGGGACGAACGAGCTCTACGATCGGTCAGTCGCTCCGGGCGCTCGCTTCCCTGTTCTCATTCCACAGCCCCAGTGCTCGGCCCTCGTACCCGCCTGCCGCCCTCTCCCACATCCGCAATGCCCTCGCTGCCTCTGCCCCACTCAACGTCGTCGAGTGAGTACACCTGCCCCATCTTCGCTTCTCTAACCGCTCTGGTGACCAGGATCGGCGCGGGCACCGGCATCTTCACCCGCGCGCTCCTCGCCCACCCCGACTGGTCCCAATCCGTGAACCAGCTCCGCGCCATCGAGCCTTCAGAAGGCATGCGCGACGTCTTCGCAAAGTCCGTGCATGACCCCCGCGTCTCCGTCGCCGAGGGCACCTTCGACTCCACCGGCGTCGACGACGGGTGGGCCGACCTCGTCGTCATCGCACAGGTGCGTTTCCCCACTTCCGCATATACATATGTACGCTCACCCGGGCTTCTCTCGTGTTCGCGTTCGCACTCGCATCTGCATTGACTGCTGCGCGCATATTCGCGTCCACAATCGCACCGTTTCCCCTCCCCGTTTGCTTCACTGTTCCACCTTCGCAGGCGTTCCACTGGTGCCTGGACTACGATAAGGCCTCCGCCGAGTTCGCCCGCATCCTCAAGCCCACCGGCATCCTCGCCCTTATCTGGAACCTCGAGAACAGGTCCGTCCCTCCCTCCTTCCCTTCCCACACACCCAACTGACGCCCCATCGCCACCACCCACCCCGCACCGGAACCCGATTCCGTGCTCACGCAGGGACGGCGCGCCGTGGGTCGCCCAGCTGCGCGACCGCATCGAGCCCGAAGAGCTGCGCACCCCCCAGTTTCGCCTCGGCCTCTGGCGCGCCATGTTCGCCACCCCCTCCTACACCGCCCGCTTCGCCCCGCCCGACGAGCGCACCTGGTCCTACGCCCTCACCGGCACCCGCGCCCTCGTGCTCGACCGCGCCCAGAGCAAGAGCTACATCGCCATCCTCCCCCCGGACGACAAGGCCGCCGTCGTCCGCGATATCAACGCCGTTCTCGACCGCGCGGACGGGCTGGTCTGGCTCGATCAGAAGGAGGGCGTGTTTGAGTATCCGTACAAGACTTTGGTCGTGATCGCGCGGAAGAAGTGAGCTGTGGAGGTGTAAGTAAACTGTGCCGATTTGTAGATGACGACTGAGGAAATAGAACTGTGTGAAGCTCCCCTCGCATAATCCACCACCACCACCACCACCGCCGAACGGTGGCTTATTGCTGTTTGCGCAAGGGCTGGCGGTGGTGCTGCTCCTCACGCACAACTGACGCGCGTTTTGCACCAAAGTGACCTCGGGCAATTCAACCTGCTCGAGCCTCACGTCGACATCCACCTTCACTTGAAATGCCATACGAGAACGTCGAGCTTCAGACAGCGCGGGCACACGCGAATGACATGCAAAATTTCATTTTGATTGCAGATGCTATACACTAAGAGGTCGTAAGATGCAAGCAAAGGAGATGCCCAAACACCGCGAGGTATGTCAAAAAAATACAGATGAGAGAGAATCAACGACGACAGCAGCACAAGCTCAGCCCAAGCCTTCCGACACGCCTCTAGTCAATCTCCTCCATCGCCGACGTCGACGCCTCCTCCGCTGGGGGCACCTCCTCGGCTGCCGCGGGCGCAGGCGCGGCCTCCTCCTCCTCGTCGACGTCAAGGCCGAGCGAGATCATGCGGTGGATGCGCTTTGCGAACGACGTCGGGTCGTCGAGCGAGAAGCCCGACGTAAGCAGCGCGGTCTCGAACAGGAGGTACGTCAGGTCCCGCACGGACTTGTCCGCCTTGTCCTCCGCGACCTTCTTTTTCAGCTCCTTCACGATCGCGTTGTGCGGGTTCAGCTCGAGCGTCTTCTTCGACGCCATGTACGACGACATCGACGAGTCGCGCAGGGCCTGCGCTTTCATGATACGCTCCTGCAGAGGGAAATCAGTAAGGACTCGACAATACGCATAAGCGAAGACGACGCACCATGTTTGACGACCAACCGAACTGGCCAGTGACGAGCACGCACGGCGAGTCGGTGATACGGTTCGACACGACAACCTTCTCGACCTTGTCGCCGAGCGCGTCCTTGACGGCCTTGCAAAGGTCCTCGAACTGCTTCGCCTCTGCCTCACGCTCCGTCTTCTCCGCCTCGGTCTCCTCGAGCTCCAGACCCTCCTTCGACACGCAGATGAGCTTCTTGCCGTCGAACTCCTTGAGCTGCGTGATCGCATACTCGTCGATGGGGTCGACGAGCAAGAGTACCTCGAAGCCCTTCTTCTTGAGCACCTCGAGGAAGGGCGAATCCTTGACGGACGAGAGCGACTCGCCGGTGAGATAGTAGACGTTCTTCTGCACCTCAGGCATGCGAGTGATGTAATCTAAGACCGAGAGGATAAGGTACAAAGCGCTGTACGCGATAAAGAAAAATACACACCCTTCAACGACGTCTGCTCCTCAGCCGCCCTGGTCGAATAGAAGCGCAGGAACTCGGCGAGCTTGCTGCGATTCTGCGCGTCCTCGTGGATGCCGAGCTTGATGTTCTTGCCAAACGCCTCGTAGAACTTCTGGAAGTTGTCCTTGTCCTCCGCGATCTCGGTAAAGAGGTCCATGCACTTCTTGACAATGTTCTTGCGGATGACCTTGAGGATCTTGTTCTGCTGGAGCGTCTCACGCGAGATGTTCAGCGGCAGGTCTTCCGAGTCGACGATACCCTTGACGAAGTTGAGGTACTCGGGGATGAGGTCCTCGCAATCGTCCATAATGAAGACGCGGCGGACGTAGAGCTTGATGTTGTTGCGCTTCTTCTTGGTCTCAAAGAGGTCGAAAGGCGCACTACGTAGAAAAACGTTCAGCCACACATCGTTACAACGGAAGTCCGACATGAACGCACCGCTTAGGAACAAAGAGAATGGCCTTGAACTCGAGCTGACCCTCGACGGAGAAGTGCTTGACAGCGAGGTGCTCCTCCCAGTCGTTTGTCAAGCTCTTGTAGAACGCAGCGTACTCCTCGCTGGTAATCTCAGAGGGGTTACGCGTCCAGATGGGCTTCGTCTTGTTGAGCTCCTCGTTCGATACCTCTTTCTCCTTGATCTTCTTTGTCTTCTTGGGCTTCTCCGTGTCTTCGTCTTCTACCTCCTCGATTTTGGGCTTCTCCTCTTCCTCCTCCACCTTGGCCTCTTCCTCCTCGTCTTCGACCTCCTGCAAAACGGGCCGTGTGAACGACAGAAACAGGAAAATAGTAGAAATAGCGAACCTTCTCAACCTCCTTGGTCACCGCCAATTGAATGGGGTAGGAGATGAACTCGGAGTGCTTCTTGACGACATCCTTGATACGCTTCTCCTCGAGGTACTCGAGCTGGTCCTCCTTAAGGTAGAGGCGGATATCGGTACCGCGACCGAGGGGAGGGTTAACGGTGTCCGGCGTGATGGTGAAAGTGCCACCGGCGGCAGACTCCCAGATGTACTGCTCGTCATCGTTGTGTTTTGAGATGACCTGCACGCGTTCGGCAACGAGGTAGGAGGAGTAGAAGCCGACACCGAACTGGCCAATCATGGAGATGTCGGCGCCGGAGCTCAGTGCCTCCATGAAGCCCTGAGAAGACGTATATTAGTTGCTCTGTCAGTATGCCATAGGAAGAACGTGGGTGCGCACCTTTGTGCCAGACTTGGCGATGGTACCGAGGTTGTTGACCATGTCCGCCTTCGTCATACCTACACCGGTATCGCGGATGGAGAGTACCTTGTTCTCCTTGTCGGGCACGATGCGGATGTACAGGTCCTTGCCCGTGTCCAGGACGGACGGGTCGGTGAGTGAAGCATAGCGGATTTTGTCTAAAGCATCGGATCCGTTAGAGATAATCTCCCGAAGGAAGATCTCCTTGTTCGAGTAGAACGTGTCTGTGGGGCGAGTCAGAACGAATGCCGGGTCGGAAAATCGAACGAAAACTGACTGATGATCAGGTCCAAAAGCTGGCTGATCTCAGCCTGGAAGCCAAAGCTTTCTGTCGCCATTTTTTGACTACGGGAATGGTGAGACAACGCCTGCGAATTGGGGGCAGAAAAACGCGTACGGTCTAGAGATGCAGAGAGATTGATGATAGGAGATGGAAGGAGACTGAGCGGTGAGGAGGGGTGGCGGCAGGGAAGGGGTTTTTATGTACTTGGACGAATTTTGGTTCTCGAAGCTTCCATCTGCTTTTGTCGGCGTTCTCACGCAGCCTTGGATATCGTGCACCTTCGATTGCTTTCGACGACCTTCCATTCCGCCGACGCGTCTCTCACGTGCACCGCGACGCTGGCAATAGCCATCAGGTGTTCCTTTGTGAGTACTAGTGTTGCGTGTAAAACTGTCATGTTTAAAACATGTATGTTTTAAACGTGTTTTTAACACGTTAAAAACATGTTAAAAACATGAGGTCCAAATAGCTATGTCAAAAAGGTCAATAAGTCCCATAGGCCCGAATAGGCCCACGCCAGTCCCTAGGGTGTACCAGGATTTGTCACAAGCTCTCATCGATTTACCGTCAGACCTGACGCTCTGTTACAACTTGAAAGCCGCTCTTCCCCTTCATATTTCATGTCCTTTTGTTTGAGTTGAGTAATTGTAACTGTACCATGGAAATACAGGCTCTGCTCTGCTCCAGGCCTATAGGCCATATTTCTAACCACATCAGGGGGCTTTGGATCGAGTTCTGCTCCTCGTTACGGGTGCCGGTGATCGAGGATCCTCAACAAATCTTGAAAATGTCGGACTTGAGTATTCCATCTGCCCACTGTCATTACCCATATGTTTTCTGAGAAGGTTTGGATTGGTACCAACAAGGACTTTGACAAATCCCCTGCCTATGTCAAGGAAGCCTTAGCAGAGGCCCTTCGGCTTCCTGGAGGCGTTGAAATTCTACTGCCAATCCCTTCCATATCCGTCCTCTCTTTTCTCAATGGTGGATGAGTGCACCGCTTCCGTCTTTACTTGGATGAATCCGGCACTCCGAAATCGCATGCAACTTGCGATGATGGTCTCGGAAGCTCAAGTCCGTCAATATTACCGATCTGCAAAGAGGGTGTGTACCGAACAAAAGGTTTGTATACGGAGCCATAATCATTTCATTTCCCAGGTCCGCCCGAACTCCAATCCCAGGCCGAATGTTCAGTTCTACAATATTGATAGCCTATTGCTTGACGACACCAAAAAGCAGGTAAAAAATGATCCTCACTCCACTACCACTGCTAAAGCCGTCACTCCTGAGGATGGTGATATGGATGATGGGGAGTCCAAGCCGTGGCTCGACAAACCTCGGGAATCTGCACTTGAGAAATGCCGCGCAAATGTCTTTGTGTTGGAGGAAGACATTGACCTGTCGCAATCGGATCTTTGTGACATGCTCGTCAGCGATCCTCCGACGCCAAATGTACCGGCACATGAGAACAGGCAGAAAGTCGAAGGTGGTTCGGATAGTCTTCCCGGAGGGAATGGCTCTTCAGATGCAGACTGGGAGTTCCACTGGTAGCGTACGGGGTCGCCAAGTAGAATGGCATTCAGGCGTTCTAAATCGCAGCCTCCAGATACTCCAGATATATACTGAGAAATCTGCCGCCTTCAGCGCGCCGAAAAATGTCACGTGACAACATGTTTTAAACGTTAAAAACAGTGTGTCAAATACCTATGGGACCTAGCCTGTTAATAACCTAACGTTAATAACACGCTCTGAGTTTCTTACGCAACACTAGTGAGTACTGGAATCCTTCCGCGAAAGCGTGACGAAATGCTCAAATACTTCGGCAGCTCGGTCTATCTGAAAAATTCACTCAGCCTTCACTCGTGTTCAACATCCAACATCTGATCCACAGTGTCGACCAAGGCAACGATGGCCGTGTCGCGAATCTTAGTGTAGCCTTCCGGTGCCGACCAAGCAAGCGTTGTCAATGTACCCTCTGCCTGCGAGGACCATTTCACACCACGGCAGATACAGTTTTCATTCCATGCCTAGACTCAGTCAAATAATGTTGGTACAATTTTAGGTATGCTTGGATCCAAGCTCGAAATGCCTCGCCGCGAAGGTGCCGCAGCACAGGCACGGCCCATACTTGGCATGCAGGTTTGTCCCTCTCTCCACTTTCAAGCTCGCTCTCATTCATGGGCACATGTGCAGAGACTATGTCACCGGTAGACCCATGTGTACTCCTTACCTCACCGACCCCACAGCCAGAAAAGGCATATATATGGTTGGGAAGCCGGAAAAGCCGTCGAGGACGCATGCAAGGTAGGCTCACAACGCATCGGATTTTTTGTGGTCGATTGATCGGTATTCTATAGCACATAGCAAGTCTCTTGACACATACCCCAAAGTTGTCGTCTTCACCTCGAGTGCACGGAAAAATAGACAACATGGCCGTCAAAGGTATTACTCGTTTCCACAAGGACCGCAAGAAGCACGATATCACCACTCAAACAGTGAGTTCTAGCCGCTATTTACGATCCACCGTTTTGCCGAATTTGGTTCGGTGCCGGAGTAAAAGAGTGTCCTGGACTCGTGCCGTAAACTGCAGGAGGATGGTTTCGGCGTGACCTATATTCCAACGGCGTCATTGATCTCGCCGAGCTGGACGCCGCAATCCGCCCGACACCTCTGATGTCAATCATGACACTAAACAACAAATCCAGCGTCACCCGGCCGATGAAAGAGAGCAGCGCTTTGATTCGCAAACACTGCGACGTATATCTCACACGGACGTTGCACAGGCTGCCGGCCAAGTACCACTCAACATGAACGAGATGAATGTCGACCTGATACGTATGACGGGATACGAGATTTATGGCTCGAAGGGCACCGGTGCTCCATACGTCTGCCGGCGTCCCAGGGTTTGACTCGAGCCAATCATTAATTGTAGTTGACAGGAGAGAGGTCTACGGAGCGGTACGCTAGCGGCGGCCCTCGTCGTGGACATGAGTGGAGCTGCACGCGTCGCTAAGCAAGGGATGGCGGTGAGTATTCTTCCTTACGAGTTCGATGATGAGATCGTGCACGATTTTTTTTGGATGTGAGCTTTGCGGCGACGTCTGGGTTCGTCTCAGCAGCCGGCTGAGCGAAGACCTACCGTGCAGGGGTACTGAGTTTTGGTTTTGTTGCTGCTTTGATGTGGATCTACATGATACTGATCTTTCTCGATCTGCAGAGGGAACATGTCCGTATAACTGAACCTTCCATTTGCCTTACCACCGGCATGAATGCTCTAGTGGATGATGTTGTCCGGAACGGCAACGTCCACGGTTACCCAGGCTGCGTGAATATCAGTTTCGCGTACGCCGAGGGAGAGTCTCTCATGATGGCACTCAAGGTACGAATCCCATTCTCGATGGATGTTGGATGCTGAGATTGGTAGCATCCAGGACGTCGCCCTTTGCTCCGATAGTGCATGTACATCGGCTTCGCTGGAGCTATCATATGTGCTTTGTGTACTTGTTAAAATCTACGCTCATCCCAGATGCCTGTTTCCTGAGTTGTCGCACGTGCCACCTACGACATGGCGCATTCCTCATTGCAGTTCGGTATTGGCCGCTTCACAACGGTGGCGGAGATTAATTTCGTCATCGTGTCGTGTCGGTGGTCCAGAAGCTGCGCGACGTGAGGCACGCCATTCCGACCAACATATCTTTATCACTGACTGACTACGTTCGTCGCAGCCCGCTCAGGGAGATGGTTCAGGAAGGCATCGACATCAACACCTTCAACTGGGCCCAATATTAATGCTGAGGACGTGGCCGCTTGGATGTATGTGAGGGATGTTTCGTATGTTGCTATTATCGATTTTGCCAATTACTACCCGATTACTTTGCTTTCTCTGTAGCCTATTTGGATGCGACCTTTCGCGTACGTCGCGTTATATAACGAGCCTGGGTGCCGGTGAACTATCGGTATCTATCCAAGTACTGTAATGGCCGGGGTCTGACCGTCGGATCGTCCATGTCTAGGTAGCCTTGGATTGAATTCCGAGTGGATCTCAATGAATATATGTTTGATGCACTCATTGTTAAGCAACGCATACGGCAAGTGCAATTCTCTCAAAGTACAGACTACTCGACCGAGATGATATCGTACAAGTGACAACTCAACTGACCCACTATCGTACAAGCGACAACTCAACCGACCCACTATCGTACAACTGACACTGACCGACACGATCTACGACAAACGCAACCGACAACCGACATGATATCGTACAACTACTCTGCCACCACAGTACTGTCCAACAGTGATGCAGATATCAAAATATGATCAAAGACAAGTGACAAGCTTCATAGTACACAACAAATGAGAACAAGATTGACATGAAGCACACACCAAGGTACCGCAACCACGTACAAGCATCAGATAATGGCCGCACTAAAGGATGAGCAATATGGCCGGCGACTTCATTTGCGCGGGGAGGGAGATCACAGGAAATAGAGCCGCCCGTTCATGGCAGACTGCCTGAACGCAGCCTGCCACCTGGTCATATCGAATTCCCGATGCGCATCACTAGAGGATGTCAAGGTCTCATCATCCAGGTGCAAATCCGTCGCTGGGTCGAAGTGATATGCTGCCCTTGCACAGACACGCTGTTACAAGGATAAGTGAGGTCATAGAAAGAGAGAACAGTGACTTACGTCTGCATCTGGAAGACCCATACTCATCAGTGGTGTCATTACAATGCCTGAGAAAAACGTACAGTATACAGGAGCAGGAATAGACACCGATCGTGTGGCACTGGCGTAGACATGACAGAGCACATATGAGAGTTCTTGAAGCCTAATTCACTGAGTTAGGAATTGATGCATCACCAGGTGAAATCACTCACTCCACCAAAGTGCACCTCATCTCATTCTTCAGAACAATATAATGGCTTAGTCGGCTTGCTGCTCGCAAGATAAATGGTCACACAAAAGGTTTGTGAGTTCACACTTACTGCCTTTCAATGCACTGTGAGACTGTAAGTAAAAGTTTTTGTACTGAGGATTGAATATTTCAGTGTTTGTGACACTGGTATCTGCAACAAATCCAGAGGGACAATTGCCTGAATCATCAGCATCATTGCTAATGGAAGGTTGTCAAATCTGCAATACGACTATAATAGAAAAACCCATGATGATTGTGGAAAGAACCGAATGTGGTGTCTGGTGTGTGAAACTTAATTTGATATACTAAAGGGGCAGTCTCCTTATAGTGGTAGGGTTGGCCGGAAATTAAATAAATTAAATGAAATTAATTCGAGCAAGCGAGAAGGTATTCACTCTGTATCTTTGCGTGATGCCCAGCATGTCCTCGACTCCTGCGCAAAGTGCCTTGGTGTATGAATATCGGGTTTCATGCCACTTACACATAATCCATGATGATTTTCCACAGTTATATTCAAATCATGCAGTACAGTCAGACATAGGAACACAACTGCAGGGATGACTCTTCTTGTGAGGCAACTAATGAAGCTTAGGTCCTGTAAATTTTACACATTCACGGCATGCAGAAATCCTTTAAATTTTCTGCTCGCCCTTTGGGCGAGAGTGTATGTTCCTCTTGTAGCACAATAAAACTTTGGCCCAGTGCAGTTGCATTCACTGTAGCCATCTGAATGCACTGAGTTTCTCCTGCAACCTTAAAAAATTTCCATGATATCACAAGGACTGCCAGTTGTAATTTTTACTGGCAGGACATGCATTGAATATGAGAAAAGTCCCAGTGTGCAAGTTTGGCTGCACATAAGTGTTATCATGGTTGTGGTCCTCACCTGGAACTGTACATAGGCAGTATTTTTTATGTTTAGAGAGCATATAGAGCACTCAGTTATGGACACTAATTTTTATTAAAACATGCCACAGAGTGTGTAATTTGAATAGCTGTAGTGCAGTGCCCAACCTTAGGTATGTGCTTACATCAGAAATGCCATTTGGGGTAGATTGCCTGCCGCATTGAGTAGGCACATGACGCGGGGCTGCCCGCGCTGGTAGGTTAGGTTTTTCAAACTCCGCTAGGATCTAACTCCCCTACCACTATAAGGAGACTCTCACTAAAGGTGAGAAGTAAAAAAAATCACCTTTTGCCAACTATGATGAATACCAGCTTTGGCTTATCACTGCTGTGTGCACGGCGCATTGCTTCTGATACAGCATCTGTTATTTATATCAATACATCTGCTGGTAGATTCCAAATTGAAGAATGTACCTTTAATATGCTGGATTTCTTCTTTAAATACCTTATCAAACTCTCCTTCAGAGACACCATCCCAATAAAACATAATAGACTGAGGAAGCATATGACGATTGTGGTAACTGTAGAAGTCTCCTAAGACATTCTGTTTTTGATTGTAATCAGGTAAAGATTTCAAGAATTTTGATGTTCTTACCAGCATCATAACTTTCAAATTGGCAATGATCTCATGACGTGGTTCCTGCAAATGAATCTGAGATGTATAGTTTGACACATTGTCATCCATTGATGCAATAAGGCTTGCAATGGATGGCCGATTCAATACACCAGGTGCTGGATGGCTAACATCAGCACCTGTGATTGCAAAATAATTACAACATCTATGCAGCTAATATCACAATACATACCAACAATCATAGCAGTGCTAAGAACTTTGTTCACTGGAGAGATGATAGTTGAATTGATTCCCCCAGTTTTGGCATTAATTCTAAATATTATTAAATTAATAATTGTAACCATGTGAATGAAGCAAATAAGACTATACTTCAATGCAACATTGTTGCAATATTGGTCATTGCCAGCCTCATACTTGCCAGTCCGCTAGATGCATATGAGCATAGTGAACAAGCACTATAATTTATAACCATACCACACACTGTGTTGGCACTCCATGCAACACATCACCCCAGTACTTGACTTGAGCTCGTATATCTGCTCCATCCTTTGGAAGCACTACAAGCAGAAAGGTAACTTTCTTTTCAGACTCTGCAATACCTGGTGGCCCCAAATTAAGTGCAGCTTCAGCTGCTTGATCAAGTGTCTACTCAGTAGTATTGATTAGCAAATATCAGTAAGAAAGAATGCACCATACTCTGTTCACATTCCTAGCATTCCCATACTCAATATGTGGCTGCTGTTACGGGGGGCCAGTCGTGCCACCGTACATCCAGTTCGTCATCGTCAGTGACTAGGCCTTCGCAAGGGCTCAAGTCAATCGTGAGGGGTCTGACCTCCAGTCATAGTGACGACCAGAGGTCGGCCCAGTGGAGTAGTCTTATGAACACTTGGCTGCTGTCTGCGGACCAAGGTCGATCTGTCGCACAGATGTAGATGGTAAAACTGGTTGATGTGTAACCAGGACAAGATGGGGACTCCAGCTTGTCCTGTTGGTCTTATATACAAGTACAGGCGTCTGTCTACCTGTAATACTAGAACTACAATTGGTCCATTGGTATTAATACAAGGGCACAGGGTTCGTATACCTGTCCCACAGTCGTGAGAATGCTGAGTCAGTCATGACTCTGCATGAGAGACAATCTGTCCATATGGAGATAAGGTCATGCTGCAAAGACAAGGCAGCAGCGAGGTCGTCGTGCATCTAGCGCATGCATCAGGGTCTTTGTCGTGTGTGTGATAGGAAGTGCGTCCTAGGTCTGGATCTCGCATATGAGGTAAACATGCCTTGAGCACAAGGTGCATATCATCAGATGATCTTGTAGATCTGGTACAGCCGAGGTCGGTCTAGGCAATGTGACGTCATTGTCACGTGATCGGTAAAGGTAGAGGCGGAAGTTGTCCGTGCATTCCTCAGAGAGGAGCTTTGTAACATCAGCTCCCATTCAGGTCTTCAATTCCCTGGATTGAAGTCTTCAAGAAAGTCGGTAGAGAAAATGGAATGGAGAAATTTCATGTGTCATCGTTCATCGTGTTATGTCATCGCATGATTCTGGGTAAATCAGAGGCGGAAAATGAAAAAATTGACCTAAGTGTTAATCCAGCTTCACAAACTTCATTTTGCTTGTCGCTCGCATCCCTTTAGGATTGCTCGCTCTAACTGCAAGTCTTCTGTTCGTCTTCTTCTCATAAGCTATTCAGCTATGTTCATTGTCTTCCATTAGTCTTGTTTCTTTTCATTGTGCTTTCGCACACTGAATGGTCAACTCGCGTTGCCCATTCTTCCCTACTACTACCCCAGCCTAAAAATCATCAGGGCTCAAGGCCACCAGGTGTAGCGTCATCTTCGAAAATTGCAGTATGGAAGGAGAATGCGGTGAAAGGGAGGAGGGGGGGAAAAAATTTGCCCTTGTGGGAGGGTTCCTCATCCTCGATTACTCTTGTCGTTCCTCGGCTTCGCTCGTCACTCCTCAATTCCACTCGTACCTTGTCACCCGGGCACTCGGGCTCATTCCTTCAGCTCGGATATGCATCCTCGCCTACTATCCCCTATTAGCTCCCATTCACCAAAATCAAATCCTCTGGATTAGAAACTGATAAAAACAGATAACAAATCGTGAAAAGAGGTGAAGCAGATAGGGTTGTCAGGTTCTTCTAGTTTTGAGTCATTGCGGACAAGTATCGTCTAGTTTTAAGTTGTTATGGACAAATGTTGTCTTCTAGTTTTAAGTCATTACGGACAAATGTTGTCTTCTAGTTTTAAGTCATTGCGGACAGGTATCGTCTTCTAGTTTTAAGTCATTGCAGACAAGTGTCGTCTTCTGCTTCAATGTTTCTAATCATCGGGATAATTGTGGCCTTATCTTGGGTTGATACCGCACTTTGTCGGTTATCTCCCTTCACATTCCGTGAATGCCATAATCCTGCCTTTCGGCTTTCATCAAGGTCGTTTGACCTTCTGATATCCTTTCTTCAGCAAAGGTTCAGATCAAATATCCAATGGTAAGCGATAGCTCCCATTCACGTTTCATGTCCAGTTTCATGTCTTCATCATTAAAGTACCCCGGCCTAGGTTTGAACTACCCCGGCCTAGTGTGATACTTCATTGAATATTTTATGTCAGGTCTTGTCGTGTGTTGATGTCGAATGGAATCGACTACCTCCATCCATATTCCATGGATGCCCTATTCGTCGCTGTGTCGTATATCGAATTTTGTCTGTTTGTCAAGTTTATTCTTCCAGATGATGAGACAACAGTCTTCATCAAATCCAAGGATCAGCTGTGATCCAGTATCCTTTCTATCCATGGGGAACTGCCCCGCGCATGTCATCAAAAGTGCCATATCGAAGGCTGTCATTCATAGTAGTTTCGCCCATCGAGATCTGTCTGATCGTCGAGGGTTGCTAGACCTATTTAGGCATTTAGCATCGGGTGTCATCATTGTGGTGGTCAACAAAGGACCGTCTGGGACTTCCAGACATCATTGAATGAGTCATGTCTGTCTGATCATGCTCGAGTCGTCATTGTGGTGGTCAACAAAGGACCATTAGGGATTTCCTAATATCGGCTGTCATTATCGGGGATTGGAGTGTCATGTACTGTTAACTCCAAGTCATTCTTCGGTGATGTAATCTTTTGTTAAGTTCAATCATCAGGCTAATCGTCGCCTCATCGAACCTTCGGCCTAGGTTCGGTATGGATCATTGGTTTATACGGAGAGCCAGGATCTGTCTTCCATCAGAACCTTTTGTTATGTCATTCAAGTTTCATCCAGGTTCAGTTTCTTTATCGTCAAGAGCTGTGATCGACGGGGAATGATTGAAGTGTCAGATCATGTTATCTTCAATCAATTCCATGGTCATCAACTCGTAATGGCATCGAGTTGTCAATCTTTCTGCACCCCAGGTAACTCGCCATGCAGGGTGTTCTCAGCCAAGATCTATCGTTTATTTATAGTGGAGAGCGAGTGTCCACTTGCTCAGTCCGAGCTCCCATTCAGGGATCACAATCATCAAATGGTCATCAGATCGGACTCGATAAGAGTCTATAGTTTATACGGGTTGCCATTCCTGGGATCAACAATCATCAAGTGTTCTTCAGATCGGACTCAATTAAGAGTCTACAGTTTATATGGGTTGCCATTCCCGGGATCAACAATCATCAAGTGTTCTTCAGATTGGACTCAATTAAGAGTCTACGGTTTATACAAGTTGCCGTTCCCGGGATCAATCTGCACCGTGGGTATCTCGCCGCACTCGGTGTTGTCAGCCATGATCCTCAAGTGTGCAACTTAAGTCCTTCGTCAAAGGCTGCACACCATCCTCAGTCTATCATGGTCCATAGAAATGGTACTAATTCTACGGTGGCCAAACCTTTCCGATTCGCAGTCACATGCAGCTCGTACATGTCTTTGATTATTACACATGTCGTAGCTTTCCTCACATGAGGGGACTCGACCCCTGAGAGTCACCCAATGAAGGGTAAACTCTTGAGAGTTCGTCTCGGACAAGGTGCCAATAAATTGTCTTTCGAAAATCTGGTCTCACCTAAGAATGACCAGACAAGGGTCTTCTTCGTCGTTGCAATGTTGGATATCGAGAGAATGGAGTGTCAATCGCGGTATCTCCATCTTTGTCATCACATCGTTGTTCCAATGTTGGATATCAAGAGAATGGAGTGTCAATTGCGGTATCTTCATCTCTGTCATCACAGGTGTCCTAATATCAATGGACAAGTCAGAGTCAAAGGACGCAGTCACTGTCTGTGAACTGGTCGAAGTCGTGACATGGTCACTGTCTGTGAACCAGTCGAGGTCGGGGTCATCGGGCTCTAAAGCATAGGAGCTTGAGCCAAGGAAAGATCATCTTGTCCTAATGTTACAGGACAAGATCGAAGTCAAAGGACACAGTCGCTGTCTGCGAACTGGTTGAAGTCATGACACGGTCACTGTCTGTGAACCGGTCGAGGTCGGGGTCATCAAGTTCTGCACTAAACCATAGGAGGTTGTGCCAGAAATAATCATCTTGTCCTAATGTTACGGGGGCCAGTCGTGCCACCGTACATCCGGTTCATCGTCGTCAGTGACTAGGCCTTCGCAAGGGCTCAAGTCAATCGTGAGGGGTCCGACCTCCAGTCATAGTGACGACCAGAGGTCGGCCCAGTGGAGTAGTCTTATGAACACTTGGCTGCTGTCTGCGGACCAAGGTCGATCTGTCGCACAGATGTAGATGGTAAAACTGGTTGATGTGTAACCAGGACAAGATGGGGACTCCAGCTTGTCCTGTTGGTCTTATATACAAGTACAGGCGTCTGTCTACCTGTAATACTAGAACTACAATTGGTTCATCGGTATCAATACAAGAGCACAGGGTTCATATACCTGTCCCATAGTTGTGAGAATGCTAAGTCAGTCATGACTCTGCATGAGAGACAATCTGTCCATATGGAGATAAGGTCATGCTGCAAAGACAAGGCAGCAGCAAGGTCGTCGTGCATCTAGTGCAAGCATCAGGGTCTTTGTCGTGTGTGTGATAGGAAGTGCGTCCTAGGTCTGGATCTCGCACATGAGGTAAACATGCCTTGAGCACAAGGCACATATCGTCAGATGATCTTGTAGATCTGGTACAGCCGAGGCCGATCTAGGCAATGTGACGTCATTATCACGTGATCGGTAAAGGTAGAGGCGGAAGTTGTCCGTGCGTTCCTCAGAGAGGAGCTTTGTAACAGCTGCCTTGAAAAGAAAACTACAGTCTGAATTAGTATGAGCATTGTTGAGCACTTTACTAATGTACTTACTTAACCCTGAAGTGGAAGGATTCAATTTAGCTGAACACTATTTAAACTCATAAAATGCCTTACCAAGTTTAACAAGATTATCACACAGCTTCTGCACAAACCTGGCCACATCTGAGGATGAACCTGCTTGAAAAACAGCAACTGCCCAAAAGGGAACCTTTCGAGGCCTATAGAATTGTTGTCGTACAAGATTCCATCCTCCCTTCATCTTGTTGACATGCTATTAACCACAATGTTAAAATGCAGTACAGTGCACAGACATAAGAAATAAAATCCACACATACCACTGTTACATTACCATACTGAATTGAGAGTGAATTCAAAATATGGCCATTAACTTGAATAGGTGTTAATTGGACTTTTACACCAGCTTCACGCAATGTCAATGAATGATCATACTGTAGAGCCTGAAATAATATAAGATAATTTGAATGAACTGCACAAGAAATCAAATACACTCACCTCTCCTGAAGTTGCTTCTGTGATAGCATTCATCTTATCTACAGGTCTCTGTGTGGAGAACTTAATGAACTGAGCCTGAACATCTGGAGAAAGCTTCTGACAATATATTTGTCCAGCAGGAACTATGCATACTTCTGCAGGAAAAACTGCAGTCTTCCCAATCTTGACACCAAAATGGCGAGAAAACTGTAGGCGATAATTATGCTGCTGAGCAAAGTGATCCTGCATCACCAAGGAAGTCAATGGACTGAACAACATAACAAATGAAAATTACCTTGACAGATGTTGATACACCATCTTTCTCAAACATAAACTCTCCTGCCCGATGTACTAGACCTTTGATAGGATGAGCTCTTCCTTGTGATGCATCTCTTGGGACTCGAGATGGGTTCTGTATATTAACCACAACCAATACATTCTTGAGAAAGTGCTTCAACTGCTTCAGTTGCTTGTGATCCAAATCTTCAAGATCACGCCGGTTGTGCACTCAAAGCTGACCCATTGCAAGGTCAAGAAGTGGACCAGAAGAATACCTGTGAGATAGACATGATAATAGTGTGAAATACCATTATTGTGAACTTACATTGCAGCCGTTGAGGTATCAACATTAATCAAAAGCCTATTGACAACAGGTTGAACACTTCTGCAAGAGTGAAAATGAGCATTTGTAGCAAAGTGATCAACAGTATATACACACTGGAAATAGCCCCTCCAAGCTTGCAGTCCTCCTGGTAAAGGGATTGCGCTCTTGGACAAGAAGAATGAGCGACCCTCAGGAGGGAAGCCATGGCGCCTATTGTAACTGTAAGTCAAGGGAACATGCAGAAAGCTGGAGACATACAAATTGGCATCCTGCCGGACAATCAGTTGAAGTAAATTGATAGCCATTGAGCTAGTGTGGGGAGTAGAGCCACCGGGGCGAGTCAAATTCTCAATGTCCCTAGCATAACACAAGTTGATCAATTGCTGATAGTCAAATGAAATCATGGGAACACATACCTTGGATTGATAACAGCACTCTTTTGCAGCCTAACAATAAAATGTCCTCGAGACGGATTGAGACCCATATGAACAGGATACTGAGAATGAAGTCAAGTATTATACATTGGCTGTAGAACTGAAATGTACTTACATCCGCTGAAGGTATGTCCTTTGCAACAAACAGGTTGGCTCTCCCATCGTACACTATTCGAGAGCTGAACAACGCGGCATGGTCTGTTTGCATCTTCTGTACAATCTCGTGTGCTCAACGAGGCTTAAAAGGTTCAGAGCGCTCTGGTTTGCCTCTATCAACGATTGCTGTAGTATATTGTGTAAATGTTGAAATCTGGATAACGGTGTGCTCTCCACTGGTACTTACACACTTCAAGGTGTGTTCATCACGGTATATGAGGACACAACAGACGCGAGAACAGATCTATTCTCACCATCGTAGTGGATGTATACGTTCTTCGGACTGCGGATGATCTCGAATGAGTTCGTGAAGACGGTTACTGACGCCATGCCGATAGATCGTATGTGATGTAAAGCTGAGAGAGACGTGGGTGGTCAAAGCGACGTGCTTCCGTTGAACTTGAACTTGAACGCGCACGCGGCGAGAATGATCACATGACGGCGATACCACGAAGTCCAGGGCAGCCAGACTGTAAGTTAGAGGCACCGTCAAGCACGCTCCAGCTAGGTGGTTGTGACATCACTCACGAACCTGTGTCCACAGACCGGATCCTAGTGTAAAATTGGGGTTCAGCGTTCGACCCCAGACTCAACTTGAGCCGCGCGATCATCAGGCGACAATGCCAGTGGCACCCATGCAATATTATCCTTCGCCGAACGCGTCCAGGGTCTGCGCGTCTCAGTAATGTGTGCGCCAAGCTGCTCGCCTCAATAAGTAGCGCTGTGGTTCATGGGAGGTATGTCTTTGTTTGAAAGTACTTGAGACCTAGAGTCCCCTCGACGCGCAGGATCGGATGGCTTGCAGACGAGCATCGCAACCACCTGCGCGCATTTCTAATTTTACGAATGTCCGTTTTCCCGTTTTGACAGAATTTTCTTGTCTGCAAATCCTGATGGTCGAACGTTACTTTGCCTCCTTGTTAAAGTTAGCACTGGCAGGTCCGATGAAGCATGCTAAGCTGGGATACCAGCAGTCGCCTCTACTGCAACTTCGTTGGCCAAACGTCTGGGGTCTTTTTCTTCCACCCCGAGTCACTCATTGTTTTATGTTGGCACCTCACCATATGTCTTTGTCCCGACTTGGCGACCCCTTTTGAGGTCGAAGACACATGATGCACCGACGACGTCATGTCGTGCCCACCGCTCGCCCTCTGACCCTCACAAGCATAAATACCCCTGTTCTCATTGCTTGGACACCGAGACCAAACAGAAGGTGTATCGTTCAGCCCCCTACATGGCTACCGGCAGCGCGATGATGAGTTTCGACCCCATTAACGCCATTCACCAACACATCTGTGCGTTCCACGTCTACTCGTATGCTGTCTTTCTTTGATCCTTGCGTAAGGCTGACGGGTTCCTGGTTATACAGACAAGACCGCACCCGTCACCTGGAGGCACACCATTACTGCACGCGTCTCAGCCGTGATCTTCACCAATGCATCATCTATGATTCAGACAAAGCAAACGCGAAGCTCATTGGCATCGAGTACATCGTCTCGGAGCAGGTTTGTTGTCGTCGCCGAGCGTTGCGCAGGATTGACCCTGAGTACGACATCCCTTCTCTCAGCTGTTCAAGTCTCTTCCGGAAGACGAGAAGAAATATTGGCATTCACACAAATACGAGGTGATTTCCAAGCTCCTATCTGCGAGACGCGATCTCAATATGCAATGGAGGTTGAAAGCGGATCCTTGCAATTGCAGCTGAAGAGTGCTGTACCGGGTGAGGCTCACATCTACGCTCCTGCCACTTCCGACTCATTTACTGCCACGTCAGAGGTCGTCGGCTCGGTAGCTGAGCAGCCTGCGATCCTGGAGATATACAAGACCTACGGCAAGACCATCCACACCTGGGCTGTCGATATTAGCCCGGACCTCCCGCTAGGCCCGCCTAACCTTATGGCCTCGTACACGGGGGACGGGCAGGGCCCTCCGGAGGAGATGCTGAAGGCGCGAGACAAGAAGTCCGGAATGAGCACGGCAGAGAGGCGGAAATTAAGGGCGGGTTATCTGCCGCCCTACACGAAGCTGGGGGGTGCGGATCAATGGGAGAAGACAGGACGAGGTCTCGTGTTCGTGGCAGAGGAAAGCGACATCAATGTGTAGCTGTCCAAACATATCATACTGTACAGTAGTTTTAGTGCAGATCATCCAAGCAGACTGAGACAAGTCTGCTACAACTTGACGGTGCCTGCGTACAACGGCCTTTGCATCTTCGGCCATAGCGGCCATGACCGCGATTACGGCAGAGCTCTCCCGCCAACTTCGCCTTCTGCTCGAGTCCCCTCCCGACGCTCTCTCTGTCTCAGATGTCCTCGCACTCGCCGACGCCTTCGTGCTCGAGTGTTCCTCCGCCTCCGAATCCCAATGGCCGTCGCTTTTAGCCCAACTTGAGGACGGGCTCCAAAGGATCTACGACGTCCTCGAGTATGCCCATTACGAAATCTTTATCGCCGTCCTCTACCGCCTGCGGCCCATCCTCCCGCCGCCCTCTATCATCTCCACCTGGTTCGACCTCGTCCTCCGTCCTGCCCTGCGCGATCCAAAACTCGGCACGGTCGCAGTAGACCATGCCAGGGAGCTCATCATCTCCGCGCTGGACTCGGACCCCGCAGATTTCCCTATCGTGGGCACCGCGGAAGAGCGCGGAAAGGAACTACAGAGGCGCAAAGAAAAGGTGGGCGAGTTCAGGAGGCGGCTGATGGACCTATATCTGCTAGATGCATTCAACGAAAGCTCCGGCGAGGATATCTTGGAGTGGGCCGAGCTCAGCGCTGAACAGCGCGAGCAGAAAAGTTGCTGGAAGATGAATCTCGAGGTCGTTCTTGTCAAGTTCGGTCTGGAGAGGCCCGAGGTATGCTTCCAAGCTGAAACGATCTTGGCTTGCCTGTCTGATATACGTCTCTTGTGCGAGACAGGATTTCCTGACGGTGCTGTACCACTGCTTCGGGGCACCCTCTTCGCGCCTGCAGCTCCTCATCCTCCTGAACTCATACATCTCGCAACCCGCGTTCCCGCTCAGCGCTGCTGTGTTCGCCGCGCATCCGCTCGCGACGAGCCTGCTGCACTGCATGCTCTTCGACAACTCCTCCTCTGAGTGCACCATTGGGCTGACCGTGTTCACGAAGCTCCTCCCGATCCTCGCGGTGAAGGCGTGCCAGCATATGAAGCGCCATCTTCCGCATCTCCTCGCGGTCCTTGCGCGCATCGTGTGCTGGAGGGTGCGCCGGCCCGCTCACGGCGAGGACGAGCAGGACGACAGCCATCTACATCCGTCCGTGCCTGCGCCCCCCATCCGGGAAGATATTGGGTGGGTGCGCCTCGAGCAGACGTTTGAAGGCTCTGCATCCTCAGCGCCGTCCCCTCACCGCTACTTCACGTTCCTTTATTACCTCTTCCCGTGTAATGTTATCCGCTTCCTCCGATATCCTGTCACGTACCTCAAACAGAATGGGCTGGACAGCCCGTATGCTGTGGACTGGGATGAGGCGCTGGACGAGGATCAAATCAGGAGCAGGAGCGAGGTGCGTCCGCAAGTGCCCGGAGTCGCTGCGATTCTGAGTCCGTTTCTTCCCAGCCACTGCTTCGCGGACATGTCCTTCATCCACTTCTCATTTGGCGAGAGGCGTCCGAAGAACTTGAGCAGCCAGATTTCTGGATGCAGTACGATATTACACGGATAGTAGGCGACTGCACAATGCTCGATGTGCGGAACACCGCACTGGGGATGCGTGAGCGCGAGCACAGTCCCGCCCAATTTCCGGCTGGATTGTTTGCGGAATCATCCGCCGAGCCCTCTCCCAGCGCCACCGCATCTCCTCCTGAAGCATACACATCGACCGATGCTTTATCACCACCATCTCAGATTCAAGAACCTCCGACGCCGATGTCCGCTGTGACCTCTCTGGCATATCAGGCTACAGAGCCCTCGACTCCGGTGTTTGCTACGTCATTGCCAGCGCCCCAATCCAGAGAACCACAGACGCCCATGTCCGCCGTATCCGCGATGACCACTGGTACGACCGCAACTTCGGCCAGCCGCGTCCGCGTGTCTCTGCAGGACATGATCACCACCTCCATCGCGCTTAAGTCCGGGCGCGACATCGAGATCGCGGACCCGTCGCCGGCATGGTCAGCGACGCTCTTCCCGCTGCCGCCCACGCGCTCGCCTTCACGCGAGGCGAGCGAGGGTTCGCGGACGCGCATCGACATCGATACTGATTCGCTGTCTATGCGTTATTCCGACCACGGACACGCGGGGGAGGATGTACCATCTCATGTGGCGCAGGCAATCGCGGGGTTGCAGCGGGAGGTGCTCCTCCTGCGGAATGAGCTCAACTTTGAGCTGTGGATGGCGCGCGAGAACGTGAAGCACATCGGTCGGCTGTATGAGGACCGTGTTTTGTCCAAGACGGCTGAGGCTGAGCGGCAGGGTCTGGTATGTGTAACATTCTGCGTCCTCTTGTGTAACTTTGGCTCAACTATGCGATGTTAGCACAACAAGTTACGCGAGTACAAGTCAGAGGTGTATCGCCTGCAGAGAGAGCTCAAAGAGCACAAAGAACAGGCGTCCTCAGTCAAAAACCAGTATGCGGACTGGAATAGGAAGTTACAGGATAAGGTGATGGAGTTTAGGAACGAGAAAAAGTCATGGATGTCCGAGGCGGCAGCAATGCGCGCTGCAGACAGGGAAGCCAAGGTGCGTCAATGCACAAGAAGGAAAGAAATTGTCGAGAAGTCTCAACGACACCTTCTGCAGGATGCATTCGCTGCTCAGGGAAAACAGCTTGCAGAGGCTGTACAGAAAATATTCCAGCTAGAAACAAAAATCAAAGAGACCGCCCCCAGGATCGACCGTTTGCATGACTACGAAAAACAGATCGAGCAGCTGATCAAGCTGCAACGTCTATGGTAAGTGTGTGTCGAGGGGTATCTTCACGTCCTGTCCGAACGCCGACGTTCTCGTCACTCTCAGGGAACTAGATGTGCAAAAGCTCAACGAGCAAGCAGACTCTCTACAAGTGTTCACTAGCCAATATCGCAAGATGGAGCTTAGAGTGGAGTGTTTCGAAAGAACACTCGCCGAATCCGAGCAGATTGCCCAGTATGCCTCTGTCCATAATATCCGCAGGCAGTCCGTTGATAAATATCTCTCGTCTGCAGGACGCAAAGGCATCAAATTAAAACCCTTGAGTCACGTCTGCTGCTATCACACAGACAGATGCAGGCCGCGCGCAAGGGCGCATCTCTGGGCCATATGTCGCAGTCTCAGGCGGAATTTGGCAGACTCTCGCAAACCAACCAGAAGCTCCGGGATGAAAACGCGGAGTTGCAAGATGAAGTGGAAGAGATGAAGGCGATGGTTGAGCTCCTCAAGGCGCAGGTGAGCGACACGCAGGGATTGATCTCGGACAGCCGGTCCATGAAGACCATTTTGCTCAGTGGCCTCGTTCGCGAGGAGCTAGAAGGTAATTTCTGAATGTAACAGTAGACTTGTTTGTATTGCTACTATACATGCAAAGCTTACCTACGATATGTATCCTCATTGCAATGCATTTTTTTGTACGATGTCCCTCAGGAAGACTTGTGGCAGAAGGGTTGGGGTTAGGGTTGATGCGCCCCGAAATGGGGGCGTCGCCATCGTTCACGACATTGAGCTCGTCGCGTAATCTAACATCCACCTTCCAAAATAACGGTGCGCATGCGTTCTTGTACATGATACCCCCTTGATTCTTGCTGTGGCGTCCCTGTTTGTCGAAGGCGATGGATGCCCTCCCGCCGTGTCGGATGCATCTCAGCGCGCTGACGACGCTTGATCACAGATGTCCGCCACCATCGAAGAGGTCTCCTCCGATCACTCGGAACACGAGCACGACCATGATCATGACCACGACCACGACGAGGATCCAACCTCCCAGGCGGCGCTTGACAAAATCCAGTCGCGCTCTGAGCGCAAGGCGAGGAAGGCGTTGCTCGGACTCGGCCTCAAGAAGGTGCCGGGCATCACCCGCGTCACACTCAGACGGCCAAAGAACGTGCGTATACTGCGATGGCGAAAGTGTCTCGTGGAAGACTGATCTGTATGCGGACGTAGGTGTTGTTCGTGATTGCGACCCCTGATGTGTACAAGTCGCCCAACAGCGACTGCTACATCGTGTTTGGTGAGGCGAAGGTACGTGCTGCGTCGGTTTTGCGATGGACGGTGTGGTAAATTAATGCATTGTACGAAGATCGAGGATATGAACTCGCAAGCACAACTCTCTGCACAGCAGCTCGCCAGCGGTGCTGCCGCCGGTAATATCCCCAACCTTGAGAGCGCCGGTGTAGGTAACGAGAACGAGGATGATGACGAGATCCCCGAACTCGAGGCTGTTGAGGAGGATGGGCCAATAGACGAGACTGGCGTGGAGCCCAAGGACATCGAGCTGGTCATGCAGCAAGTCGGCTGCTCGCGCGCAAAGGCGGTGCGCGTGTTGAAGGAGAGCGGGGGCGATCTGATCAATGCTAGTGCGTTCTTCCTTCCATATTATTTTCGTTGCGTGAGGTTCACTGCCGCCATGTTTCAGTCATGGCCGCGAGCGAGTGAAGCTCTCGTCCCAGAGTCTCTGTACTGTAGCATCACATTGTTCTGCTTGGCATTCAAAAGTCCTTTCCACTGCTTCAGTCCTTCCCTACGCGTGCCCTTGCGTCGTCCACCAAACATGCCGTCCTACAACCGTCGTCGAACGTGGAGGCTTCCAATAACTTCTGACGCGATCCGTTTGCATCATTACTTCCCTTGATTCCGGCTATCCCAACAGCGCAATTCCACGTAGTAATTGGACCGTTCCCACCCGTCCTGCACAATCTCTACACCTCTTCTGGACGAATTCTCTGTGACATCATCGGCTTCGGAATGGCCAACAGTGATTTCTAGATCATTAGCTGCTTCGCGGACCAGTTTGGAGAGTTCTCCCCCTGCGAACATGTGGTAGTACCGATTGAACAACTTCGATTCTTGCCTCGTTGGCTCTGTCGACCGCGATGCCTCCCGTGGACCTGGACTGACAGTGTCGGAGCTAAGTGCTTTCCCTTTGGTCTCCGGCTTTGTTTTTGGCGGTGACTGGGTTGAGAGCACCCATGGTACGAATACATCCCGACCTTTGACTTCTTCGTCACCTTGGACCGCGGCAGATGGAGGCCGCATGTCCGGCGGCATTGTCCGTTTGGAAAGTGCATCTTGCTCAATGGCCCATACATAGATGAGGGCGCGGCCATGAGATGAGTCTATGCACTGAAGCAAACGCTGTACGGGCATGCCAAGCTAAGTCGCGCAGCCGCAGCATGACAGTTGAGTTGAAAAGGACGTACCTGCACGGCTAGCTTACGCCTGGCATGTGTCGACAAGTGATGTATAGTCGCAATAGAAATCGCGTAGTCCTGTCTCAGACAGTTCTCTCAGTTTCAACCGCAACTTCAAAGTAGAGACGACGAACAAACGCTCCCTCTCTCCACGGTTTGCCGAGGACATCGCCCAAAACCACATCTCTCCGTGCACCGCCTGCTGTCTGCGCAATCTCTAGGAGATTCCTGCTCCTGTCAAGCCCAACAGTGCACACACTCCCCGGGCGGTCGAGTGGTAATGGTAGGTACTTTCCGTTGCCAGTACCGGAGTCTAGCCCGACCCACCCGGCAGGGATGGATGACAAGAATTGCGCGATGATAGGCCATGGCTGTTGTATCTCGCGCATCTATAGTCAGTTTGTGGGGAAGGGAGAGCGTACTGACCTTATAACGCGTAGATGAGAAGTGAGAAGCGATCTCGTCGTAAACAGTGTGGACATGCTCGTCCTCATAGCGTTGCGGATCGTCCGACACTTGGACGGCTGACACAGTGGTCATAGCAGGCATTTAACAGAGCAACACACAGCAATATTATAGGGTGGCAACGTCTATGATAGGTGGGGTATCAAAGGCAGTGGTGGTAGAAAGAAAACAAGCAAGCGACGCGTCGCTCAGTCCTCCTCGATGTAACCCATCTCCTCGTCGAGGAGCTCACGGAACCTGCTTCCGTTGAACGGCGGAAATGGTACTAGTCGTGAACAGTCTAGCTTCTCGATGGTGTCGGGCAGTTCGCTGCAGAGTTTCGTACAGGTTAAGAGGCACGCGGAGAATACGAAGGGACTCACGCGACCGTCGACGCCTTCAGATGACCTAACGCAGCCAGTGCACCGGCAAGTTCTTCCTGATGGTTGTCCATGAGCGTGGGATTTGGGATGGCTATCAGGGGTTTGCCCATGCGGAGGACGTCGAGGATGGTGCCAGAGCCTGAGTGGAGTGCACAAATATTTAGCTCCGGTCAGTAAGCGGATACGGACGTGCTTGCCTGCATGGCTGATGATCAGATCAGCCTTTTCATACTCTTCTTGGAGCGAAGGCCTGAACCTCCAGACGAGGGTGTCGATATGTGCGCTGCTGCCCCACTGTTCGCCGGACAGGGTGAAGCGGCTGGCGTCAAAATCGGAGTGGCCACACTGGACGACGAGGGAGGAGTAGCCGCGGGTGCGGAGGGCGTCGAGCACGTCGTCGGAGAGGATGTTCTGGACGAGCGCGTCGAAGCGCGTGGATCCGACTGTAACGAAGACTTGCATGCTTGCCGGGATTGACTCGGACGACTCTGACTCGGAGAGGAAGGGAGAGCTGCTGGCGATCCGTTCTCTGCGCCCTCTGCGACTGCTTCAGGCCACATCTGATTTCTGCTCTTCCCATCATGGGCTATACTCTCTGCGTTCTAGGTTCCTTTTTCTCCGTATCTCACCATACTCCGGCGCTGACTGTCCACCTGACCAGGATGCGGGACAATGGGCGTCGCTATAATTTCCGGCGTCCTCGCCAGCCTCCAGGCAAGGCCGCACTTTCACCCCCATCCCGTGCATGTCAAATGGGAATCCCACACCCCCGGAACGCTCACCCCCCGCGATCTCGAGGATGAGGCACTCCCATCTCGGTTCATCGCCTGCGTGAGCAGAGAAGAGTCCGTCAAAAAGCTGGCAGCCGTTTGGCCCGCTTCGGACGCGCTCGCCCTTGGCGTGGAAGTGCGCAAGGCGCAGAACGTAAGCGCTGTACAGGAGTCCAATGTCGTACTGCTCTGGTGAGTCGCCGGGTTGTGCGATCGGCGTATCCAAACCTGATGCGCGTCTCTGTCTATGCAGTTGCAAGCCCCAGCTGGCACATACCATCCTGAACGAGCCAGGGATGAAGGAGGCCCTGGACGGCAAGCTCCTCATAAGCATCCTGGCAGGTGTGACCATATCGCAGATTACGGCATGGGTCCTCCCTTCCACGAAGGTCATCCGTGCGATGCCCAATACCCCTTGCCGAGTGCGTCTCCTGGGCATGATGCTCAGCAATAGCCGCACCCTGACGCGCAGGCGTAATTACGCAGATCCGAGAGGGGATGACCGTGGTCAGCAACCTGCCCCCGTCGCCCTCCCTCGAGCTCGACCACACTATCATCACCAACATATTCTCGTCGATTGGCCGGTGCCGATTTCTAGATGAGAAGCACTTCGACGCGTGCACGGCATTGTCTGGCTCCGGGCCCGCGTTCGCGTGCATCTTCCTGGAAGCGATGGCGGACGGAGGGGTAATGATGGGTCTGCCCCGGGCGGAGGCTCTTGAATTGGCCGCGCAGAGTGAGTTCGCCGGTTCGGTGCAGAACGAAGATTGCTTATGCACGTGCAGCCCTGCAGGGCACAGCGCGCATGACTCTGCAAGGCAATACACATCCAGCCCAGCTGAAGGACGCGGTCACAAGTGAGTGCTCATGTGAACAGTTGAAGGAACGCGCTTATGATGCCCATCAGCCCCAGGTGGATGTACGATTGCTGGTTTGCTCGCAATGGAAGACGGGAGGGTACGATCAACCATTGCCCGAGCTATTCAAGTCGCAACGGAGAAGGCAAGAGAGCTTGGACAGCCGTCAAAATAAAACAGTATTGAGAAAAGACAGAAGTATTAAAAAATGTGCAGTATCACTGGAAAATTTTCATTGGTAGTGGTCATCTACATCTGATTTACAGAGTATATTGTCACCGCCGAATATATTCGATGTCCCCATAGTGAGGACGTCGCCAAGGTAGCGGATATACACCCCAAACGGGAATGCACGTATCCTTCTTGCTCCCATAAAATGAAGATGAACGTGTAGGAGATGAACGTCACCCAGAGTGTTGGAGGAGCGACGATTAAGCATACCAGATACGCAACTCCAGATGTAACAAGATATATTGTGAACTTGCATGCCAAAACCCATTAGCTCGAGTCTGCACCAAGACATACGTCTGACCACTTACCATGCTGTTGAAATACAAGATCAAAGCTGAGATACAGTTGTTGAGATGTATCCTGCGTGTGAACCACTCCATCCATGCAGACAGATCAGAGACCAGCCCGGAGACATGCAGTCAACGAAAGGAGAGGCAAAAATAGCACGGGAACAACAGAAACGTTTTGAATATTGCTCGTAAGAATGAGCGCCACTCCGTGAGGATATCGGTGGGACGCTAAAGTGAGGGAGCTTTCTGGTCTCGTGAACGCAGATATCTGGCACACATACGAAGAAGGTCGAGAGAATAAATTGTCCGCTAGGATACAGGCGACGTGCCTATAGCATCATGGTCAGCACGCGTTTTTGAGCGAGAAGGAAACATTACTGACCGAACAATAGAACCAACATAAAAGTATCACCGATCTGTAGCCAACAATGAGAAACCTAGAGTGGTGCATGACCATGAAACACGCACAGAAATCGAGCATATCGTCCGCCCGTTTGACGTTTTGCTGGATGATGGAAGAAAAGAAGAGAAAAGTGAGTATATATAGCCGACGGGTCGGTAACCAAACAGGACCAAACAACGTACTTTCCACGCCTCCTCGAAGTCCGCCGGTAGCACAATGTATCGGTTCTTGCGTACCGCTACAGGGGCATACAGTGTGAACGACAGCGGAGCTATATCAACTGGGACAATGAATTTACCTTGTAGACCGGCTGCTTGCACAATTGCTGCGATCTCTGCAGCTGATATTCGCTCTGGACGGGATACATCTGCGGAAGCGGTAAATACAGAAACAAGAGCTACGGATGGCGAAGGCGTACAATCTTCGAGGTCTACATCTGGACCCAGATTCATCTTGCTCGTGATCGTCTGGAAGATCAGTCGCTTCTCGCGACGAGAAGGGAGAGGGAACTCGATCTTCCGGTCGAGACGGCCGGGACGAAGTAATGCAGGATCCAGCGTGTCCGCACGGTTTGTAGCCATGATGACCTGTGCGACAGGTCAATGTCACCTCACTGCACGTATAACATAATGCTCCACGGACCTTCACATTGCTGCCCTGGTCGAACCCGTCCATTTGGTTCAGCAGCTCGAGTAGGATACGCTGAACTTCTCGGTCTGCACCCGTCTGCGCATCGAACCGCTTCGTGGCGATAGCGTCAATCTCGTCGATGAAAATTATTGAAGGCGCGTTCTCTCGTGCTAGCCGGAAGACGTCGCGAACCATACGAGGACCTTCACCGAGATACTTCTGAACGAACTCGCTGCCGACTACTCGGATGAAGGCTGCAGTGGTGTGGTGTGCGACGGCTTTGACGAGCATCGTCTTGCCAGTACCTGGTTGATGTTCCCGTAAGTATTATGACATAGTTGAACGTGAGGATAACCATACCTGGTGGTCCATATAGCAAAACGCCTCTTGGCGGGTCAATTCCGATCTTCTTGTACAAGTCAAAGTGTGTCAATGGCAGCTCCACGGCTTCCCTGATCTCCTGCTTCTGTGTGTCCATACCGCCGACGTCCTGGTACGTCACGTCTGGTTTCTCCTCCTTTCCAAGCATCGAGATTGACGAGTCGGCTTCTGGGGGTAGAATATCCACGAGGGCATTTGAATGTCGGTGCAGCGCAACGGACGAGGACGGCTTGAGGAGCTCGCGGTCGAGTGTGGAGAGAATCCGGACGACATAGTTTGAACCCGTTGTCGAGCCAACGATAGCGGTGTACTGGTCTATGGGCTCGAGGAACTGGCCAATAACGAGCGGGACGGACTGGATGCGCTTTACTTCTTCTTGCGCGCGGATGAGCTCGCGCTTCAGATTCGCCTGCTCGTCCTTGATGTAGCTCTCCTGTATTTCCAGCATTTCCAAATGTCTCGCCAATTTCTTGTATTTGATGTAGAGGTCCTCCTCCTCCTGGAGCCCTTGAAAGAGTGCCGCCTTTTCGGTCACGACGGAACCGAAGGTTGGCTCCTACGTGTGAACTGATGAACATATTCCGCGCGGTGTATAGTAGGAAGATATACCTCTTTCTGAATTTCTATGCCAATTTCATCCATGGTTGCGGTGAGAGCGCGGAGAGGATGGTGAACGCTGACGCGGCTCCAAGTTTGGGCGACGCGTCTTTGTTCGAGCCCTAGATTAGGGTTCACATGTCGGGTTAGGGTCATGTCATATGCAGTGCAACTTCGCTGCAACTTCACCGGAAGCTGACCGTATACTAAGGCAGGGGAATTGATAGTCGTTCTCCCACCATGGCCCACGTCGTAACCCCTCTCGACCAGCCTTCCAACTATAAAGATTCGCAAGCTCGTGTCGACCGGCAAAAGCAGAACGACCTCCTAGCGAAATCGACAACTCTTTATGTACGCTCTCTCCCTCTTAGCACTTTCCCGGGAGTCTCACCAGGCCGTTCGAGCAGATTGGTAACTTAAGTTTTTACACCACTGAAGAACAGATCTATGAGATTTTCTCAAAATGTACCAGCCCTGAGGAAGGCGGCGGAATAAAGCGTATCATCATGGGACTTGACAGGAATACAAGGCGAGTCTGACTTAAGTTGGCTCATATTCTTATCTCACATGAGGTGTAGAACGCCATGTGGCTTTTGCTTCGTCGAGTACTACAGCCATGCAGAGGCGTTGACATGCTTGCGGTACATCGGCGGAACGAAGCTGGACGAGCGTATCATTCGTTGCGATCTTGACCTCGGCTACCGGGAAGGCAGGCAATTTGGCAGAGGTAAGAGCGGTGGCCAGGTATGTCCTCAAGACCTTTGTAGGATGACACGAACGCTGATTGAGTTCCAGGTGCGAGACGAACACAGACAGGACTACGACCCAGGTCGCGGGGGCTGGGGCGCACAGGCTCAACGGCTGGAGATTGAGAGGAGAAGAGAGGTTGAAGAAAGATATGCAGATGCCCAGGAAGGTCCTGGCGCTGTGGCTGGCGGCGGTGGCGACTGGAAGGAGGCCGAGGGCACGGTTGAGCACACCCTCAAGAGGGGTCGGTCGCCCGATGACGAAGGGGACAGCGGAAGAGCGGTACGTACAAATTCATATGTTTTGTTGGCTATACGTTCTCATCGCTATGATAACAGGGTACTCGTGCACGTCTTGACGATGCTGACCATGATGCTGACAGGATGTAGTACCGCTCTGGGTTGTACTTATATGCAATGTATTTGAACAGGTTACTCCACGTTTGCAACTGTGTCGTCAAGATGCGCATTTTTTTCTGGTTCGGCTGGAAATAGTGGTAATGTTCTGATCGCAAGTTGCAAGTAGTCAAAATGGCCTCGGGACCTTCTTCCATCAGCTTACAGGTGAGACTGGCTTAAACCGCAAGCGAATCAGCTGAAGTGAATCTCTCACTGCTACAGTGCGCAAATTAGGCAGTAGATTTCGAAACATATTGTACCGGTTGGCCTAATGCTTGCTCTTACGACACGGTCGTCGGGGAGTTGGGATCAGTAACGCAAGCCACATCCAGAAAATTTTGTAACTGGGTTTCATACCACGTTCTCCAATGTGTTGAGTCTCGAATGTTGTATGCTAAAGTATCATACATATACCTCACTATCAGCGGCATCCTCTTCGAAACAGACAGGTGCTCCTTTGCTTACCACTGCAAACAAAAACTGTGAGTTTCCTACTCGCAATCATGTCATGCTCCATCCACCGGATCACCCTCGCAAATTTCTCTGTCAGCGGCGTTATCGTCGAAGCAGGCAGGGCGGTCCCGCTGTGTGGCGCTGTGAGGCGCCCCTTACTGATGTCTTTTCATTGTTGAAGACGATGGGTCCGGCCAACCTCCTGCCTCCATTCCATCGCCTACGCCTAGCGTCTGATAACGAAAACAGCGTATCCGGTAACCCTCACACCTTCTACTACGTTATTCTTCAGTCCAGATCTCTCCCACACAGAGCGAACACTTGTGCTCTTTCGCTCACGATAGACCTGCTGGGGTATATGCTCTGTGGGCTCACTTGAAGAAGAGCACGAAGGCCCGTACACTCCCGAACAGCTTGGGCAGCAAATCGATCAGCAACCCATGTACTCATGTCTGAATCACATTATCCTGCTGTCGAGTGGGTGTTTCGCATTAGCTTTTTTTGCCATTGTGTCCCAACCACAGCGATGGACGGTAACAGCGCACGCCACCATCATTACGTGCACACCATCCTGCGTTTGGTTTCGTCCCAATTTTGATCGCACTGTTATCACAGCTTTTCGACGGATCATGGCGAGCGCGAGCGTCATTCTCGTAAGTAGTCATGCTTCTCCGGAGTCTGAAGTACTGATCGCACGCTGACTCGGCGGGGCGGCAAAGCCACTTCTCTGTAATCAACCGCTGCCCACCGCGATGCCCGTTTCGTGAGATAGCTTTCGGCGTTCCGTGTTTGAGAAACTTGGCCAATGACTCGGTCAGACCTCCACGATAGCAATGGATCATCACAAGGCCTCTTCCTCGGTGGGGCTCCTGAGTCAGCGGTGTAGAGTGGGTTTGATGCCCAATATCTTGAGATGATATCCTTCCGTTGTGGATGTCGCGGTGTTTACGACGACGACCGGTGTACACTCTTTATTGAGACAGTATCCTCAGATTGAAGAGATCAGGGATATTGTCTTTCGCTCCAACTTGTCCAACGTGTCCGTAATCAATTGGACTGACTAGTACCATGAGGCGCAATTTTACAACCCTGAGATGAAGTGCAACTCATCTATCCGACGTGGTGCACGAGCAACATGCTCGTCCTGATCGTACGATGGATGGGATGTAGTAGAAAGTCGTGTAAGCATACCAAAGCGATCCGATAAATGCCACCAATGCATTACGCATCCGTAATGCCGGGGCAGCGACCATAGTATCCGAACAGCCTCAGAACTGAACAGATACGAACATTATACGAATGAATATGATGTCGGTGTGGTACAAGCGATAATATCCAAGTAGGGCATGTGCGAACGTCCGCCACACCTGCACATCGGTCAGAACAGACTCGTCAAGAAAGACGAAGGTAAGCGACGTACATTGTACATGTAAACCGACACCCGATCATCCGGAACGAACGCGACGGCCACCGTCCCGAATCCAGCAGCCAGACATACTACGCCAAGCTGAGGGGCCAGAGCAGCAGCCCAGAAGACCGTATGGCGCGCGATCGACGGTCAGTGGGACGCGTCCGTGGCGCGCTTACATGCCACCAGCGTCACGCCAACCTCGAACGACACGAATCCGAGCGCGTTGACGACGTTACGCGTGATGAATCGCCCACTGTGTGCGCCGAGACTCACTCGCGTAGAACGTGTGGAGACTGTACGCAGGGACAGCGCGAGGCAAGCTGGCACGAGGAGCCAGCGCAGGACGGGCGCATCGCGGGCAGGGCCTGTCCTTTTCGTTCTACTCGACCTCCCCGACGTCCGACGACGGAGCGATGGCAAGGCCGGTCTGGGGTGCGCTTACAGGTGAAACGTATCACATGTATGCAATATGATGACTCACATTAAGTTCAACGTCGTCTTAATATTTAGTAAAGAGGAAGAACGTGTAGGCATGGCGTGTAATGCGATGCGCCAAGGCAGAGTACAGTAGGGTGCGTCCGGGATCCACGGTCACGGCAAAAAAGGTTACCGGGTAAGGAGGGGGGGACATGGCTATATCCTCCGGCAGCAGCCAATTAGCGACACTCGCTAAGCCAGCCTACAGCAGAGAGACAACGATGGTGACTGTGTGATCCTCAGATTAGATCTCACTCAAGAACGATTCTGATCGCGATCGTGAACGTGGTGATCGTGAAAGAGTTCAGCAGCACGTTCGCCTCAGGCTGGTCGAGTCAGAACAATTGCCGGGGGTATCGAGGACTCAGCAATAACCTGCAAGTCGGTCATGATGTGGTTAAGGCCCTCCTTCGCGGTACTACCATAGAATTCTGAGAGACAAGAGCGAAAAAGTCGGAGCGTTTCGTCCGCGTTCGGACCGCGCCAGCAAAGTATGCAGCGACGCAATGTCCTTCAGAATCAGTTGAGGCTCGGCTTCATAGTTGAAACAGAGGGAATGGCAAGAAAAATCAGCAGCCGACAGAATGCTGCAGCAGGCAAGTTTGAAGGGACGCGGAATTAAAGTCTATCACGTCGAACGTTATGGCTATCGAAGAGTTGCAGGATGATGCTTATTGGATAAGTGCAGTGAGAACGGCGAATGGAACATCTCGCCCGGATCATGCATACTTATGAGATCTCATGAGATTCAGCACGAAGCCAATGCGATAGTGATGGATCACTAAAGTACACACATACCGGCATCCAGATGACTTCCACAATATGACGGCCCTGAGAAAGTTGGTCGCTCAGTATACAACACGAGCGCGGAGAGGATACAGGTGGTGATAGACTTCAGGTCGGAAAAACGTCATATGTAGTGTCCGAACGAGACGGTGAGCCTCCGATATGGATGCCGTGCGGACGAGATGCCGCGATGTGAAGGCCAACTTCTGATAGACTCCCCTGCAAGGTGCATGAAAAACTCCCGTTAGCACAGCCGCAGGGATTGCTCCAAATGCGCCAAGATGAACTAAAAATGAAGCACTCACACATCCATCTTAACGACTTCCTTCTTGCCGCCCTCAGAGCCTGCGAGCTTGTATCCCTTGAGGAACTCCCTCAGGGCCTCCGCAGTCATCCTGCCCGGAAGCCCCGACATTACTACGTTCTTCCCCTGGCTGGTGAGGCCCCCCGCTGGTCCGTTGCCAGTGATAATACCCCGCTCGGCTGCCTCTGCGCGGCCCTTGATGCCCCTTGTGCGGTCTGGGCGACCACCTGTGGGGTCTTGAGAGGGATATGAGTAGATTTGACTGCCGCCAACTACGGCATTTTTGAGGTTCTTCAGGCTTGACTGGAGGTAGAGGGGACTGTGCAGCTCGATGAAGGCCTTCTGTGTGGGGAGGAGCCGGAAATAATCTATTGAGACTAGAGGAGCGCATAAGATGAAGACCGACGAACGTGCAGCACACAGCGGAGGACGTACCGGACGCGACATCCACCTTAGCTTTTAGGCATGCCCGGCGAACATCAGCTGGTAAAGCGGAACGTGGAAGACCGTGGACTACGATGAACCGCCTGCTGTCGGGAGCGACTGCACGAGGGTGAAAAGTCAACACACGGTGAGTCCGAAAGGTATTCACCTTCTCTGGAAGCCCGACCAGCAGCTTCACGGGTGGACTGGAAGACCCTGGTGATCCCTGGGGTCGCCATGTCGAGACGATCTAGGGTCAGACTTTGCGACGAGTGCACAAGTCACGCCCGAGTCGGAAGATGCCGGATATTGTGGGAAAGCGCTAAGGTTGGGCTCTCCACCGTGACCGGCTGTGACATGTTGGATACGGTTAGCCTCAGGCTGGAGAGTGTACGTTACGTGTAAAACTAACTACAACTTCAATTCTATAGCTACCAAAAATTCAAAACAATTATGGTTGTTAAAATGGGCAATTGTGCCCTCCACAAATTGCCTTTAGATTTTGAATGGTTTATTCAAATTTGCATCACGCTGTGTAACGTTGTTCACGTGACATTGGAGTACGACGGCTGCGAACCCCAGCTACGCCGGGAGGTTGACCTCGCCTCTCCTGACTCTTCCTGGCTGCTCTGGGCTATCTTGTCGCCATCGCCGCACCTGGGCTGCGCCTTGATTGCGTGAAGAATGGCAGAAGAGGGTATCTTCTGTGAACACTCAGCACGAGTTCTCCGTGCGCCTGGAGCCCTGTTTACGAGCTGATCTGCCGTCACGCACGTTGAGGCTAAGCTCTGCGCGCCTCGGCTGGATCTTCCCTGCTCCTCGTGTTCTCTGGTAATGGCTGCTTACTGGAATATATTGCACTCGGATCTGTTGTGAGGTGATAGCGGAAGCGCGCGTATGGTGGAATGACATCGGCCGGCGTCATAGCATGGCTTGGAAGGATCGAGAAGAGGGTTAGCTTGCGTTGTATTCGGCGGGCGAGCGGACTCGGATGCATTCAGCGCTGCCGAGTGGTTACAACTTGGCCTGGATCTGGTCCCAGCCAATGGGGAGAGTGCCCGATACGATCGGCGCACGAATAGGACGCACGATCCTCGCTTCTTTCGTCTGCCTCCTTGTCGGCGCATTCGGGATTTCCCTTCTGGGACGCCCTTCTGACGTCACGACCCGCCTTACTCAGGAGGCCGGTCGTTGTCCAGTCCCAGCACACGCCTCTTCTCTATCTTCTCCAATGACTAAGGCGGCCTCTCCCCTCCTGTCTCATGATCCTCGAACGCTCATTCGGCATATATAAACTGGCTTTCCGACTCTCTCCCTCTCCCTCTCATCCATTCCGACTCTCACCATCGGGTCGCACGTTTTCTATTCACGACTTTTAACGACAACCCAATACACTTTCAACCGCAATGGGTAACAAGGCGCTCCAAATCAATCCCCCCAACGCCAACATCAACCTCTCCACTCATGGCTCCGACTGGTTGTGGGCCGTGTTTTCTATCATGGCCGTCTCCCTCCTCGTCGCAATCGTCGCCAACTTCCTCGTTAGCATCCCCTCCCTGACCCCTATCAAAGCATCTCTCTGATCTTTCGTCTACAGAGACCATGGGGCACTCGTCTCTTCCACCAGATCGCTATCATAATCCTCACCACCGCCAGCATTTCCTACTTCGCCATGGCTTCCGATCTCGGTGCGACCCCGGTCAGGGTAGAGTTCCGCAAACACGGTGACAGCCCTACTCGCCAAGTCTGGGTAAGCTAATCGTCCATCCGTATGTGCTCAGCGTCTCATTTCGTCTTTTCAGTTCGTGCGGTACATCCAGTGGTTCATCACCTTCCCTCTGGTTGTCCTTGAGCTCTTGCTCACCACCGGTCTTCCCCTTTCCGACGTTTTCACTGCCATCTTCATGTCCATAGTTGTCGTGGTCAGCGGTCTCGTCGGCTCTCTGGTGCCCAGCACCTACAAGTGGGGTTTCTACGTCTTTGGCGTGGTTGCCTTGTTCTACATCTGGTATGTATCACCGAGTACGTTCGCTAAGACCGATTGCTCATACTGCCGCCTTTCAGGTATGTGCTGCTACTGCACGGCCCACGTGCGAGCTTTGCCGCAGACCTCCGCGCTGGTTACTTCATGTGCGCGGGCTGGCTGTCCTTCATTACCCTGCTCTACCCCATTTCCTGGGCGCTCTCTGAGGGCGGGAATGTCATAAAACCCACGTCCGAGATGATATTCTACGGCATCCTCGACCTTCTAGCAGGCCCGCTATTCCTTTGCGTGTTCCTCTTCAGTCTGCGCTCTGTCGACTACGCGGCATTCAGCCTGCAATCGGGCAAGTACTCAGGCACGGGTGGCGAAGCAGGTGCGGGTCCTGTTCGGCAGACAAAGGCGGCTGAGGCTGGCGCTGCTGCCCAAGCTTAATTCCACTTACGCTTGCACCACCGACGTCTGCGAGAGAGTATCATGGCGAGGTGATGATTATCGACGAGAAGATATGATGACTCCCCCTTCCCGTTCCGACCATTTACTGTTTCATATTTTCACGCCCTTTAATGTCTTCGCGCGTTCGCCCTTCCCCCCTTTTGCTCCACGCACATCCTTGAATGGCTTTAATGATTTCTTTCTCGTGCGGCGTCGCCTGCTCCTATTCCAAAGGCTTAGCCTTTACTACCGTTGTTGTAATGTGATTGATTTGATTTCAATGCAATAGCTGTATTTGTATCCATTCGTCGCTGTTGTTAATGCTTCATCAAAACTTCGTAGAAATTGGAGATTATTTTTTGTTTTCGTGCGCGCCGCAGAGCAGGCGGTTTTGCGACGCTGTGTTGGTGTCCCATACTCAGTACGTCGCCCATGCCTCCTACGGTTTTGGTCATTCCGTGCGGCTTCAGATTTCGTAGGCGTCTTTTATGCAGTTTGCTCGAGCTTGCACGATGAACGGATGAGTATTGGCCGAGCCCCTTGTTTTTCTACATGTCGCGCTGGAGTCGAGCGCGATCAGCGTCCGGCGCCGTGTTGGCGTGGCACAGGCATGCGTCCAATTCCAAGGCATAGTATTCGTACCGGCCCCGCGACGCTCTCCGATAAAACCTACAAGGAAACTACCGTAACACAACAGCGCGAATATTCGTAAAAACGCATGTCGGTCCCAAGTCGTACCGCTGATAACAAATCCGAAGAGAAGGACCGAAGAACCTATCCGATAACGGGGTCTGTATGTAATGCGTGGCCACGGGAACGCTAACAGAGAAGCACAAGCATCAAGAAGGGCGCGAAACCAGGCGCGCATCGGCGGTTTGTCAATGCGGATTAGAAATGCAGCCACAGGAAAACAGAAGGTGGCAATGCGTGTGCATACACTGGGCCGCCATACAGATTGCAGGGTCGCAGGATCACGCGAGGTACTCCCCCACGATCGCCGGAACCTTCGGGGAGACGCCACCCAGGATCTCGAGCAGCTCGTTCTACGTAACCCGGAGCAACACAATATCAGCATCAAAGCACCACCTATCAGCGGCGCAAACTCACCCAGAGACGCTCCTGCAGCGCGGCGCCCTCGGGGCTGAGCACGTAGTCGCTGACTTCGGTGATCTGCTGGTGCCAGACGAACGCACCGCGCAGGTCGTCCTCGCGCTCCTGCCCGCCGACGCACGCCCAGACGAGCTCGCGGCTGCCCTCCTCTGCGGTGTGCGCGAACGTGCGGAAAATGACATAGCGCACGCACGAGGCAATGAATCCCTCCGGCTCCTTCTGCCCGAGTTCGGTCGCGCAGAGGCCGGGATTCACGGCAGTGACGAGCACGGGCGTGGAGGGCGGGAGGTGGGCGTTGAGCGCGCGGACGAAGAACACGTCAAAGACTGGGTAGGTTCTCAGCGCTGGGCTCTGAACGATGGAAGCACGGGAGACACGCACGCTTGGAGACAGCGTATCTGTTCATCACCGCATTCCTGTGACCTATCCATTAGCACCGGATTTAGCAGAGGGAGAACGACCGCGCGTACATGGAAGAGTAGGACTCGGGGGTGTTGAGGGTCTCGAAGACCTTCGGGCTGTCCAGCGCCGCCTTGTCCACACTGGCGAAGTAGTGGATATCGCTAGCGACAACCACCAGGCGAGGCGTCGTCGAGAATTCCCGGGCGGTGTGCACGAGCCGTGGAAGCAGGAGGATGCATAGAAGGAACGTCGCGAGGTCGTTCACCTGCAACCTGATGTAAACGCATCAGCTAGGATGCGATGTGGGAGTGCGCTAGAAGTGGGGACGCACGTCGACTCCCAGCCATCTGATGTCGTTTCGTATTTGCTTCCAGTGATACCTGCGTTGGCGAGCAGGATGTCCAGGCGCCCGCCGTCTTTCTCAAACTTGTCCACAAACTCAAGGACGGATGAAAACCTGCTGAGGTCAAGCAGCCATAACTCCGATTTCTTGTACCCTGTAGCTTCTTCGATCTCTACCAGCTCTTCAGTCAGGCGGACTGTCGTGAAACGACTGGAACGAGACCTTACTGGTAATAGCAGCGTTCCCCTTCGCTTCGTTCCTGCAAGCCAAGATGAGCCGCGCAGGGTTCATCTCTGCAAAATGTTTGGCGGCTTCGAAGCCGACGCCCACGTTCGCACCGATGACTATAACGGTCTTCCCGGAGAGGTCTGTTGTGACTACCGGAGCTTTGGGCTTGAGCTGGGCGCGCATGACGCCGAAGAATGACAACTTCATGGTGGTCCAAGCAGTGTGTAAGAAGTACCTGCAGTTAGAAAATAGCTGTGGGGAGCGGCCATAAGTATATATCCTCAGCAACGGCCTGCCTGCTACGCGTCTCGACGGCTGTAAGGACTTCAAGTTCTTGGCGCGACGCGCAGCTTGGCCGAGGCACGGTGACGTATCGCGTTCAGTCACCTGACCAAACTGTATACTTACGTGAGCGAACACGCTACATAGAGTCTGAGTACCCGGTACCCGGCAGCGACAAATAAATTTCTTTAGCCTACGGGCTATATACGAACAAGGATAATGCATTTCCTGTGGAGGAATCTGCACAAGAAACCGTCATGAAAGGAATCACTTCCTCTCACTGTCACGAGCCTATCCTGCAGCCTGGCATCGTGAAATGCCTGTAGTGCCATGTCTCCTACAATTTTGGCCATTCCGTTCAGCTAAAGACTTCGTAGGCATCTTTTGTGATAGATCTGCTCAAGCTTGGACGACCGTGAACGGATGAGTGTTGGCCGAGCCCCCCATTTTTCTCCATGTCACACTGAAGTCAATCACTTCTGCGCCGTGTTGGCGTGGCACAGACATGCGCCAAATTCTAAGGCATAGAATTCGTACCGGCCCCGCGACGCTCTCCGATAAAACGTACAAGGAAACTACCGTAACACCACAGCACGAATATTCGTCAAAACGCATGTCGATCCCAAGTCGTACCGCTGAGAACAAATCCGAAGAGAAGGACCGAAGAACCTATCCGATGACGGGGTCTGTGTGCAATGCGTGATTCATGGGTGGCCACAGGGAATGCTAGCAAAGAAGCACAATCATCAAGAAGAATGGCGCGAAACCAGGTGAGCATCGGCGGTTTGTCAACGCAGATTAGAAATGCGGTCACAGGAAAACATAAGGCTGCAATGCATGTGCGTTACACTGGGTCGCCATACGGATTACAGGTTGCAAGATCACGCGAGGTACTCCCCCACGATCGCAGGGACCTTTGGGGAAACGCCGCCCAGGATCTCGAGCAGCTCGTTCTACGTAACCCGGAGCAACACAATATCAGCATCGCACCACCACCAATCGGCGGCGCAAACTCACCCAGAGGCGCTCCTGCAGTGCGGCACCCTCGGGGCTGAGCACGTAGTCGCTGACTTCGGTGATCTGCTGGTGCCAGACGAACGCACCCCGCAAATCGTCCTCGCGCTCCTGCCCGCCGACGCACGCCCAGACGAGCTCGCGGCTGCCCTCCTCGGCAGTGTGCGCGAACGTGCGGAAAATGACATAGCGCACGCACGAGGCAATGAATCCCTCCGGCTCCTTCTGCCCGAGTTCGGTCGCGCAGAGGCCGGGATTCACGGCAGTGACGAGCACGGGCGTGGAGGGCGGGAGGTGGGCGTTGAGCGCGCGGACGAAGAACACGTCAAAGACTGGGTAGGTTCTCAGCGCTGGGCTCTGAACGATGGAAGCACGGGAGACACGCACGCTTGGAGACAGCGTATCTGTTCATCACCGCATTCCTGTGACCTATCCATTAGCACCGGATTTAGCAGAGGGAGAACGACCGCGCGTACATGGAAGAGTAGGACTCGGGGGTGTTGAGGGTCTCGAAGACCTTCGGGCTGTCCAGCGCCGCCTTGTCCACACTGGCGAAGTAGTGGATATCGCTAGCGACAACCACCAGGCGAGGCGTCGTCGAGAATTCCCGGGCGGTGTGCACGAGCCGTGGAAGCAGGAGGATGCATAGAAGGAACGTCGCGAGGTCGTTCACCTGCAACCTGATGTAAACGCATCAGCTAGGATGCGATGTGGGAGTGCGCTAGAAGTGGGGACGCACGTCGACTCCCAGCCATCTGATGTCGTTTCGTATTTGCTTCCAGTGATACCTGCGTTGGCGAGCAGGATGTCCAGGCGCCCGCCGTCTTTCTCAAACTTGTCCACAAACTCAAGGACGGATGAAAACCTGCTGAGGTCAAGCAGCCACAGCTCCGACTTCTTGTACCCTGTAGCTTCTTCGATCTCTGCGCAACTCTTCAGTCAAGCGAACTGTCATGAAGCGACTGAACGAGATCTTACTGGCAATGGCAGCGTTGCCCTTTACTTCGTTCCTGCAAACCAAGATGAGCCGCCCAGGATTCATCTCTGCGATGTGTTTGGTGGCTTCAAAGCCGATGCCAATGTTCGCGCCGGTTACCACAACGGTCTTCCCGGAGAGGTCTGTTGTGACTATTGGAGCTTTGGGCTTGAGCTGGGCGCGCATGACGCTGAAGAATGATAACTTCATGGTGGTCCACACAGTGTGGAAGTACTTGCAGTTAGACAAGGAAGAACAGTTGGGAGAGCGGCCATAAGTATAGAAGTACTAAGTTTACCCTCCTCCAGGAACTGGAGGAGTGTTTTGTCAAGTGCACTACGTCCGCAAGCTTCGATGAACCGGAGTATGTAATACATGTGAATTCGTAAATAAAACTGAGTCCACGAGTCCATGACAGAATGACTCATTACACCGCCATTTGGGCTAAAGCTCGGGTAGATTGTCTACTTCGTACTTCTCGACCGGCAATGCCTCGGACAATCTATCAATGCAAGTGGATTGCAGAGATGGAATCTTAATGAACATCAAATGTCCATCATGCTGCATAGGTGGACAATGGTTTAACTGCAATGAGTGAGACTGAAGAAGAGATGTTGTAAACTTGCTTTTTCACTCCTTAAGTGGCAGTGAAAGTTATGCTGAATTCTTGTTGACTCCTATATGATTCCGTCCCTTCCCTCACTCATAGGGATCATTTTGTAGTCTGCCTACGGGAGACTATGTTGACTCACTGCTTTGTGTTGTGTCCTTAGAATACTTGCAACACCCTAATATCAGAGGGAGTTCTGGACCAGCCAGCCGCTACCAGCGCTGGGTGTGCTTCGGAAGCAGCGCTTCCTTCGGAACCCGAGCCTGCTGATGCACATGAAGAGAGCCAGTCGCAATGATGACGTGTTAATATAGCTACTTTTACGACATCCTGTACTTTATACTATGACCCACAATTCACTCTAACTCACCTCTCATAGGACTGATTTTGTAGTCTGGCTTTGGGAGACCAAACCTGAGCCCAAAACCGGACATTTGGGGTTGGGGACCGGCGCTCGATCGTGCCGCTACGATTGAATTGAGGGACGGCGTTGAAATTATGATGTTGCTACGCGTCTCGATCGCGTTCGGTCACCTGACCAAGTCCTATGCTTACGTGAGCGAGATTGCCTTGCACGCTGTTGCCACACCACCACCACCACCACTATCACCACCATCACCATGTCGTCTCGCCATGACTACCGCCGACGCGACCGTAGTTGGGAGCGCGACGATCGAGACAGATACCGAGAAAGGGCCAGGGACAGGGACAGAGGTAGGTATCGCGATGCACCCGTACCTCGGAGAAGCAGGTCTAGAAGTCCGCCGCGCAGAGGAGACAGACCGAAAGACAGAGATGTGAGAGACAGAGACAGACGCGGTCCAGGTGCGTTTCGTACTACGTGTAGAAGTTCCGGAAGCACTGAACCGACCCTCGTCGTGTGGCGCAGACCGTAGAGATCATGGGCGCAACGACAGAAGTGAGCGAGACAGACGAGACGCCAAGGGAAGGGACGACAGAGACCAGCGAGATGTCAAAGATGTGCGCGAGGCTCGGCGAGAGTATATCCCAAAGGCTCGGGAAACAGAGCGGGAGGCTGCGCGGAATAGAGATAAGGACGCGAGACTCCCCCATGAACAGGACGGGCCATCCGAGGAGAAGCTTGCCGTAGGTGAACCTGACGCCAGAGACTCTCGGTCAGGTGGGTATACTGTTTCTCTCTGTTCTAAATGAACGCTCACATTTGAAAATCTCAGCCCCTCCGGGTTCAGAGGAATCGCCAAACTCACATTCACGAGAAGACTCAACGGTACCTCCAGAAGAGGGTGAAGAAGACGAAGTCATGGATGCAACGAATGATGACGACGTTGCCATGATGGCAATGCTGGGGATGAGTGGCTTTGGCTCTACCAAGGTCGGTGACGGTCCTTCATGACTCGTACGATACTTACTCCACGGCAAAATATTCACCAGGGTAAGCACGTAGAAGGCAACCAGGAAGGTAGTGTTCAAATCAAGAAGATGCGTACATGGCGCCAATACATGAATCGGTAAGTAACTATCAAACTTACTGCTGTGCTCGTGGCATGCTGACATTTTGTTCGACAGGCGCGGCGGCTTCAACAGGTTAGGTATCATTGCTAACAAGTGCATCTTTGTGCTTATCCTCTCTTGCAGGCCATTGGACAAGATCAAGTGATCTTCTGTCGACTCCCCAGACTCTCACCATTCATGTTACAGGTTGCTTCATGTTATTCTCCGCAGTTCGTGGCCGGCGAGTGTGTGTTATCAGTTAAGTCACACTTCCTTCGCGCTGCATACGTATAATCTATTCCCGATAAATGAGCAGAGCTCGTCCGTCCTCGGAAATGCGATACGCGTTGAGCATGCGTACTCGCTCGATCTACATAGTGAGCATCTGCCGTTCACCGGTACACTACCTCCCCGTTTGCGGTGTATCATATATCCCGGTGTGCGTGCAGATCATCGCCACCATTGTGCCTGGCCTGTTGTGCGTGTCGACGAGTGACCTATATTTACATCTCGGACGTTCCTCGCTTGCGTGTTTTGGGTGATCATCCAGGATCGTCCACGCATCAACAATGTATGTCATCCCGGAGGGTGTCCACGCCGTGAAAGTCCGATATTCATTCGACGAAAAGTAGTACAGATAGAAGAAGACTGGACCATGATACGGCGCATGCAATCGTAACATTACAGCGGTACGGGAAAGAGGGGAAAAGAGAGAACGAGGAAGTAGACCACAGTAAGTCGATGCTCTAGAGTCTCAATTCCCAACGCAAGACTACTCAGAACCCGTGCACCTTGATGGTGATCTTCGGGATACCCTCTTCGACGAGGAACGTGGATATCTTGAGTCGCTGATCACCTTGGAGCTGGATAACTTGTCCAGCCTCCTCATCATCTACGAGTGTTCCGTTGCAGGCAAATTCCTGGAGAAAAAGAAAACGATCGAGTTACGGTATGGAACAACACTAAGGCATCGCGATGTATGCGCACCTTCTTGAACGCCTTCAGAAGTTTCTTCGCATCATACTCTGTAAGCATGTGTCAGTAGGAAGGACGTCCAACAAACGAGCGAGAAGCGGACCCTTGGGCAAGCCCTGCAAAGTAGTCAGGGTCTTCCGGCCGTTCCGTTGCTGGATACGGATATGGATGTAGTTCTGCTGAGACCCAACGTCGGCACTGCTGCTGAGAGGATCTCCTTCGTCTGCGAAGGGGTCTGCACGGATTGCACAAGCAGTCAGCGGGTGGCCCGATCGATAAGAGCGCAAAAGCACACTCACCGAAAGTGTTGAGGTTCTGCACGCTCATGCGACGGTCGGAAGAACAGATAGAGGGTGGGGAGAATTAAAGCTGAGTGGAGGTTTGTTTGTGTGGAGTTTTCAACGATTGAGGTGAGAGTTGAAGTTTGAGTGACGAGCTGACTGAGTCGACTTGTTCGGGACGTCTTCTTATAAGCAGGGCAGTACATTTGTGTCAACACTCTGTTACGTAAGCCCTGCTCTTGAATACATCGAAACCCCGCTTTCGCTTCCTTAGATTCTGAAGTCCTTTTGTCTCGACAAGGCGGTACGACATTGCGTCGTGCTGGCTCTTAAGCACGATGTCGATGGCTGCTAAGGATGTAGAGAAGAGAAGGAGACCGCCCACTTTTCAACATCTGCCTGAGGATCGCGGTATGCGCATCCTTCGTTCAATTGTTGTTACGCTCACGCAGTGGACCATTATCACGTTGCCGCCTGCAGCTAAGAAGCTCAAACGTTCTTGGGTTGAGGTGCAGAAAGTCAAGAGCCGATGGAAGGCACAAAAGCGGAAGGAAGGCCTGATGACGGACAAGAAACGGAAACCATTGGAAGGGGAGACGGAGAACGGCGACGAAGTCTCTGAACACGAAGAGATGGAGGCATCTAGCTCAAAGGACAAAGATTGTTCAAGTGAAGACGAGGATGGGGATGAAGACAACGTCTCAGTCGTCCCATCTCCGCGACCATTGCCTCCCAAGATGAAGCAGGAATACCACGGAGACGAGGCGGAAAAGCCGTCGTTGCGGGAGATGAATAGACAGGCCTATTCCCGCACTTCTCTACATACGCACAAGTCTCACCCCTTGCATCATCAGCGGGGAGCAGCAGATAAGACGATTGTCTATTCAGAGGGACGAGGGCAGGAAAGGGGGAGGGGAGGGGCGTCCAGGCGACGAGGGCGAGGTCAGCCTGATATGCGCCTACGGATGAATCTGATGCTGGAAAAAATCAAACGTGATTTCAATTGACGAGAGCTTTGAAATCGGCATCTCCGTGCGCCCGAGTAACGACGTAGTAGCGATCAGCTACATAGCTTACCAACGAGGTATCCAACAACAGTGAACGTTGCGGGATACAAATCCTGTCGCATTTAAGCAGGCCAGGGTATTGCACTCCCAGTTGGGCGCGATCCTCCAGCACTAGTCTCTCCTCCGCCCGACTTCTGCGTCTTTCCACCACTCTCGTGCTCTTCTGTCTTCGCTCTGACGAAACGCTCCCCTAGACTGCTATGCAGTGGTTGTGGGCTAATAGTCGTCGTGGAGGACAGTGGGTGTGGGTGATCGCTCAAGTGCAAGGGTCCCGGGTCATCCATTTCATCGACGAGGCCCAACGCCCTTTGTTCCGGACCCTCCCCGCTGGACGCATCGCCGACCATTCCACTGGCAGGTAGGACGAGTGGGCTGGGTGGCGGACTGCGCGAGTGCGAGCGCCGAGCATCCTCGTGTAGGAAGGGAATGGGGGAGAAAATCGGAGTCGACGGTATAGAAAGGTCACCGTGATGTATGGAAACGTACCCGACGCCTCCTGCGCCGCTTCTGCCCTCCTTCGTTATCGGGAATGCGTCCCATGTCGAAGTGACAAGAAGAGACCTCTCTACCGCACGAAGGTAGGGCCCAACATATTTGTAGTGTTTCTGCGGACGGAGGCACAGCTCGCACAAACGCTGAATAGTGAACGGCGGGTTCCTTGCAACCAAACATGGGATCAGGATATAATTTCAGACATGGGAAGCCTGCTCGCCTGTCGAACTCATCGAGCTGAGAATCAATGTTCTCCCTGAAAGCAGCAGCTTCCTTCTCGGTCAGTATTTTCTTGGGAGCTTCGTTGGGGTTGGCTTCGTTTCGTGCACGAGGCGGGAATGGTGGGAGCTTGGCACTGCCAGGCCAATGGGGGGAAGTGGTTGTGTCATCGCTTTTCAACGTCCCGGACAAGAAGAGGGCAATATTCTGCGACGCAGGTCAGGTAGCGCGAAACGTGATATGGCAGAGTCATGACACCTTTTCAATCTTGTACTTGATTATGTCGCGGAGTCGTGCCCAATCCACGCTGAGATACGCGCTCAGAACGTGGTACAGGTGTGAAAACGTAGACGTACTCGACGAGATCTGTATTCGCAATCTGTTCCAGCAATTCGTCGTATTCTGCCAACTCGAGAACACTTCAGCGATGGCACAGAAGGAGAGCAAAGAGTCTACCTGGCATCCATTCAAACTGAGAGCTTGTCGTGTCCATAGCGCGAGTGGTCAAGACAGAGTGGCAGTGACGGCGCGGCTACGCGACGCCGCAAGCCGTGGAAAGATCGACCGGACCGACTCGAGAACAGCGCCACTTCGACAGATCCACTGGTGGCACTGCTTTTTCGTAGGCTCCACGGCGGCTATGCTGGAGGATAAGAGCCAGGTTGCATCCTCGTCTCGCTGATTCGGGCTGCCGTCCTTGGGCTCAGTGAAATAGGCCGCGGGATGCATTCCCACCCACAGGTCCAAAAATGTGCGTCTGACGCTTTCCCCTTCTTCGGCTAGCAGTTGATCCACTTTTCCCAGCACCGGAGACCTATCCTCTCCATTTTCTACCATCACCGCTCCCCCAACCCAACTCTAACCCCTCGTTCATGACTGGCACCCGTCGCCCAGGACCTATGATGGACAGTCGCCGACGACGCCAGCTGTTTTGGTCCTATGCCCCAGACTGGTAAGTCATTCAGCCGACTGTTAGCGCGAGGGAAGATCTCATTGTTCTGTAGGATTGTCACCATCGGTTTAGCGTATGCGAGAATCCTCGAAGCTAACATGTCATTAAACTTGCCACATCAGGGCCATCTTCATTGGACTCAGCAACGTGCCGGGCTTCAAGAGAGACTTCTCTCTACAGGATCAGACGTCAGTGCTTGTCACTTGCTTTGCCATTCATAAACTGAAATTCCTTCATCCACCTAGATTGTATCACCCGTAAGATACTGGAATGCTTCACTGTCAGATTTACTACTAACTTGCCGAATTCGAAGGTTTGCGGTCCACGAACGCGTACCGGTGAATAAGCCGTCTGCGTTCCACAGAGCGATTTAACAGCGCCAACGGCAGGACTGGGCATTATACATAATTTGCGGTGTTGCGCCGCTAACTTTGCAACCGATAATCAACCTTCTGAGCGTGCGCTCATGGTGGGACCTGCACAACAGCGTATTGGGGCGTGCGTGTCCTGTCCTCCGATGCATTCAATGTTGGCTATCGACTGATGATACTAGTGGCTCTCTCGCTTTCTATGACCGGTGTGATCACTCAGTTTGTCAAGATGACCGTAGGTCGCCCTCGACCCGGTGAGCGTTCCTCTCTTTCTGAGAGCATAGTATAGAGTTTATCTTCTATTTCATAGACTTGATAGCACGTTGCATACCTGCGGCAGGCGCTGTTGACCCGCCATATGGGCTTGCCACGGTAACCATCTGCACACAGACCAACAAAGCCATGTTGAAGGACGGGTGGATGAGTTTTCCTAGTGGTCACTCCAGCTGTGAGTTGTCAAGGCATGATAATGGGACAACGCCGACGGAAATTTCAGTGTCGTTTGCGGGACTCGGCTTCCTTGCATTCTACCTATCTGGCAAACTGCATCTTTTCGACCACAGGGGATGCGCAGTGGGTTGTCTCGGTGATTCTAGCAACACTTAACGGTGCTCACTTCCTCGTTAGCCCAAAGCTTGGCTGGCACTTACCCCGCTATCCGGCGCAGCGCTGGTAGCTATCTCGCGTACGATGGATTATCGACGTACGTCCGCCTGAAAAATACTCATATATTCTCACCAGTCACGACTTTCCAGACCATGCAACGGATGTCTTAGCGGGATCTTTGCTGGGCATAATTGTGGCGTACTTTTCGTACCGCCAGTACTATCCTTCGCTCGCGTCTGAGCACTGCCAGAAGCCATACTCCCCTCGCATAAAAAACCGCGGGGAGATCTTGCCAATGCATCGCCGCAGTCAATCGAATCTTCCGACCGATCCCCTGACAGCCGATGGCGATCGGTACACCGACGAACGTCTCAGCGAAGAATTCCAAGAGTTAGCGAATGAAACGGTGCCGAGGGACGAGGATGGTCACGAGATTGAAATGCCGAAAAATGACAGAGTCCCTTCACCTACGTCGAGGGATTTGATGGTTTGATTAGACGAAATGGACTGCAGCAGCCTAGTAATCTGACAGAGGTTGTATTGATTCTTACCGGTATCTAACAATTACGCGTGAGCGTCGCGTCTTGGAAGCGTGTTGATCACTTGGAGTTCGGTTGGACGAGGGACGCGGAGAAGGATTTACACAAGAAAATGCAATGATAAAAAGAAAATGCAGACGATACACCGAAGCTCCGCGGTAGGAGAGCTACAATCATTTTTGGTACGAAAATACATTCCGGAGCACTGAAGAAAAAATCAGCAGCTGTCACAAGACGTAAAATTGAGCACTCACGTCCGGCCTTCGTCGCCAACCGGTTTAGCGAGTCGTCGCTCTCGCCCATTGCACGGACCTGCCCGCAGATGGCGAAGCTGGTGGAGGTGGGCAAAGCCTTGCCATCGGCGTCAACATCGACGATGCTCAGCTGCACCGACGCGTGGTCCTTCGAGGTAATGAGTCGGTCTGTGTTGCACCTTCAGTACCGAACGACGAGTATGAAGGGGCATAAAACATACTGGTCGCCGCGCACTTGCGGGGGACGTAAAGGTCGACAAGGACACCCTAGAAATTGCTCAATTTTTTTTGGAACCATCTCGAGTACTGTATCAACATACCTGATCGTTCTCCATTGTGTGTTAGGGCTTTGGGGACGGCTGGGAGGGCGGCGGAAACGATGGCGAATACGGTAGGTGTAAAGTTTAGCAACTGTACAGTTGCAGCCTGTATATTTTGGCGTATTTGTCTCATCCCAAATCTGGGAGATGTGACAGATTGGATCTGGACACGTGGAATGACGCGCCCCCGGAAGTTAGCGCTCGATGTGGATGCGGGCGCTTGACGGCGCAGCTGCACAGTCGGTACCGTCGGGCGAGTTCTGTTCAAAACGTATAAGTCACCCATGTTCCACCTCCCCGCCTGATGTGCGACTCGCCCCAGTCTGCTCAGTTTGACTTATCATTATCGACGTTATCTGTTGGTGCCCTCGCGCTGCATCCTACAACGTGCTGACATACGCTTGCCTCGCACCTCTAGTTCGACTCCATGGTTGAGATCAGAAACGAATCGCCAGCATCCCAGTTCCCCGCCAGCGCGGCGGACAACAGCGAGGATGGTAAATACAGACTCGTATACACCAAGTCCAAGGTGTACGTCAATCCAACCGCTTTCGCGCGGGATAACATCCCCGGCTTCGTCGCGCTTGTGAAGCGGGTATGCTGCGTCAAGTTCGCATGTGATAATGAGATTGACTTGTGTGCAGGAGGCTGTATATCCCGGCTATTTATTGGCCTGGATTCCAGAAAGCCTACTGAACGAGAAGGGACAGAGTGAGTGGGACAAGTTCACCAGAATTGAAGAGCACACAGTAGTGGACGATGAGGAAGAGGGTGCGTATGTCGTAGTTCCTCATTGGCTATTACTGATTAGCGCACTGTAGATGCTGTTCTCATCGAACTCCCTACCCAGCGCCCAGAGTCATATGCGTTCTCCGTACCGCTCACGTCTATCTATTCGCTCATCGTTCTTCCGCCTTCCTTGTCTTCATGGTGTAAGTCTTCACACAGTCGCTTTTTGCGCTGGACGTGGCCTCATTGGCTGCTGGACTGACAGTATTCGACTAGATGGATCGATCACTATCAACCTGACCAACGAATCGACACTTCCAACGCTCCACTTTCATGACGACGAGTCACGGTCTTTCACAGCAGCAGCGAAGTCCCCTACTGAGAGCCGACCAACTGGGGTTACGTATCCTCCCCCTCCGTCCGATTCCACGCCTCCGCCGAGGAATAGTACTACATGGGGCGGGGAAGACTTGATTGCACGTCTCCGCTTCTATGCTCAAATCCTTCGCTCGAGTCTGCAGTCCACTTTGTTCCTGGTTGACCCTTCTCGTGAAGACATAGAGACGCATTCGACGCAAATATTCGCTGATTCAGCTGTCGATGACATCCTCGCGCAGTCATCATACACGAACTCGCATTCCCCTATCCCGGCCCACCGTAGGCCGCGACCACTATCCACCCCTCCAAATTCGTATTCTCCTCGCGCATCGATTCTTCACCGTTCGCTTTCCCCTATGTCAACTGGGAGCGCATCACCCTCGCAGGCACGCATGGCGCTTCTGCAGTCCTTCTCACACATTACTCGCCACGCCGCCCACGCCGCGCAACAGATTTTATCACATCCACTCGCGAAGCCGATTGTTCCACATCTACCTGATCCTGTGAAGAGTCTCGTCAATGCCAATGGTGAATGGGAGTGGGGCAGCTGGGTGGAGAAGGGCGGCGTGGGCGAATTTGAGAGCGCTAGGGTGTATCTTGCGCGATGGGCCCGCATCGTGGCGGAGGAAGGCGAGCGTGCCCGAAGGCGAGAAGTCGAGGTGCTACCTCCTTCCTCTGGCTTGGCGGAGGAAGATTCATCACTCGGTATATTTGAGCTACTCCAGTCGACGTCAAACCTGCCGACGCCGAAGTCGTCGAGGGATCCACGACATCCAGTAGATGAGAAAACGTGGAGTGGCTGGTTCAATGGCAACGGGACGCCTAAAGTTCGGAAGGAAGAAATGCGGCATGAAATATTCAGGAGAGGAATCTCATCCGATGCCCTCAGGAAGGAGATCTGGCCTTTCCTGCTCGACGTTGTCAGTTGGGATGGGAATGGCGAAGAGCGTAAGCAGCAGTGGGAGTCCAAGCGGTAAGGTTTGGACGTGCCGCGGCAATAAATACTCACGCGTTTACTCAGAAAAGAATACCGGTCATTGAGAGATCAATGGTGTGGTGTTCCTGAAGTATTTAACCGGGATGACATTGTCGATGTTCGTTCTCGCAGCCCTCTACGCCACACTCCCGGTCCTGATTACTCCACAGGAACGGCATCGGATAGACGTTGACTGCCGCCGTACCGACCGCACACAGCCTCTCTTTGCAGCGACTAGCGAGGACGCAGAAGATGAGAAAGGGATGCATATGCGTTTCTCCACTATGTCTCCGCAGATGTGCGACATCGGGGCACAGGCGCCGACCAACCAGCACATCGAGAGATTGGGAGGGATACTTCTCACATATCACATATATGAGAAGGAACTTGGTATGTTGCCTTTCTCTGCTCTTAAGTCAAATTATGGGCATTGAACCAGAACACGAAGGTTATGTTCAGGGCATGTCAGATCTTTGCGCTCCAATATACGTCGTGATGGGAGGCGATGAGGAACTGACATTCTGGTGCTTCGTTGATGTTATGAACCGCATGGTTTGAACTCTGTCTTGCCTCTCTTTCCGCACTCGACTGAGTTTGTCTTTCAGAAACATAACTTCCTTCGAGATCAAAGTGGTATGAAGAAGCAATTGTCAACCCTGCAGCAGTTAATCTCCGTGATGGATCCGGAGCTATATCGACATTTAGGTGCAGACCTTTTCAGCACCTTCTCTTTGCAAACTAACCGCAACTCGACGGCAGAGAAAACGGATGGATTGAACCTGTTCTTCTGCTTCCGGTGGGTTGTCAGGATAGCCGAGTAGGTCGAATATTGACGTTTCTCTAGATGGATCCTCATCGCTTTCAAGCGAGAATTCTCCTTTGAGGACGTCTTGCGTCTCTGGGAGGTGCTATGGACAGACTATTACAGCAACAATTTCTTGCTTTTCGTGGCCCTCGCCGTCTTGGAGTCCCATCGAGACGTGATCTTGAGATATTTGGTGGAGGTGCGAGTTTTATTATGGCATAGCTTACCTGGTTTAATTCGGTTTCGTTCGTTTTAAAAGTTTGACGAGATCCTCAAGGTAAAATGTTCTGCCTTTGCTCTGTAACATTGCTGTTAATGGCTTGAATTAGTACTGCAACGAGCTCAGCATGACGATCGAGCTCGACAGCACGCTCGCCCAAGCAGAAGTACTTTTCCTGTCTTTCACACAGCTTGTTGCCGACATGGACCGCCGGGAAGCGGAGGAACATAATGCGACCTTTGGCAACTTACGCCGCCGAGGTATTGGCAACGCTACTGATCGCACATCCCAGATGACTGGACAAGCGTTGGCTAGACGGGTGCTATTGAGCGATGATCTGAGAGAGCTTTTGAAGGCGGGGCGATAATGCGAGCGTGGCCTGCGCATTTCCTCTTGTATATTTTGTATCGTGTACCAACTCAAATCATAGTATATTGTCAGTCGTATGCCATCCCCAGTTGGGCCAAAAAACTTATTGAACGGCGAAGCGGTTGAAAACTTTGGAGGCTTGCAACCACTGGCACCGGCACCTTGCTCCCTGTCCTCATGCCCAACTAATCGATGTGGATGCCACTGACAAAAGTGAATTGAGGGTCGGAGTTGGCCAAACCATGCTGGTGGTGTCAATGTTACTATCATGAATTTTGCGCCGGATGGGTGAGTATTTCAGCGGCCCCTCTTCCGTCCCGCACTCGCACAAATATTAATGCCATGCTTGGCTAGGTCTCATGCTCGCATATGGTCGTGTCACTGTCTAACCGCGGCGCTCACAGCATCGGGCAGGATATTTATGGTATAGTAAAACAGTATCATTGGTGATGGCTCTTCCGGTTGCACTATACAACGCTTGGCGCAATAGTCTCCGGCATGCATATGATGTTTGTATGGCACGTAGAGCACAACAGCCGAGATTTCGAGATTTCTCCGATCTACATTGGACAACCTAGACGGATGCAGCGGTGAGGCACCAGCCAACTACACTCCACTTTTTTCTGGGATGCAAGCAGGCACACATCCTTCCAATTTTAACAGCTTCAAAGATACCTAAGGTGTACAAGCTTCTACATCTACAATTTCTAAGCAATCGGGTAAGAGAATCGAGCTGTGGAAATGGCTATGACACTTCTAGTCCGTATGGCATAGATATCTGTCACTGATAGTACACTTCATCTGGACGGAGCAATTCAGAGGTGAGCCTTGAGCTGCGGGATGGTCAACGGAACGATCAGCGTCTCTGCCACTTCCTCATTTCGCTCCCCAAAATACCGCTTTGACAGAAAATCCCACTCGATGACCCCACTGATCCATGCCTCGAGCCCGGAGATATAGAGTAGCAGGTTTGCATTGTTCGCCTTCCCATATGAACGGCCCACGAGCTCCGCCTTGTCGGTCATGAAATGCGCCATGCTAGCTGTATACTCTGCTGCGAGGTAATCGGCTGCAGCCTGAAGCGGGAGCTGCTTTGCATTCATAATCACGGTGAGGATGTTCGCAGCAGAAAGTCCCTTGGCCTGCTCCATGTCATAGGAGTGCGCATCCTGAGGAACATACGGAGGAAAGAATTAGTCACGACAGCAGCTGAGACATCAGAGAAGAGCTGACATTTGTCCAGCTGACTACGTCAACTGCGGTGTCGCACATACGGACAAATACGGGGTCGCGCACGATCTCGTCTGGGAGCTCGAATCCAAAGCAATATTCGTATAGGTCCCATTGAGTTCTGCTCGAGCTGGTTGCGCGTCGAAAGCGCTTGTACTCTTCCAGACCGAGAACTTCGCCACGCTCGCGTAGCCCAGCCTCCCTCACAACCTCGTTGACATATTGTTCGCTATGTTCGAGAAAACGGCGGAATGCATTTGGTCCGAATCGCGCCCGAAGTCGTTCGCCTATGCTGTCATTTTGTATAAGCCTCTAGAGAGAAAGTAAAGACAAACGATACTACAACTCACTCGCATGTCATCTGAGAGATGACTGAGCCGTCGCAAGCTTCACCCGCAAGGCCACCCAGATACGACGCCGCTGTGTGCTGTGCCTCGTCGAAAGTTTGCTCATCAGTTATTTCGTCGAACACAAAAATGCAGTTCGTAAGGTCGCAGATGGTGCGCAGCTCCGGGTGCGCTGCGGTGGGATAAGCGTATGCAGCGAGGCGTTCAAGCCACATTGTCGACTCAACGCGCATGAGGTTATACAGCGGGTTCAGGAGTAGGGGCAATTTCGATATAGCCTGGAAGTCTGGAAGTCTGAATTGATTTCTATTCGGCGTGGCCATGGCGCTGGATGTGGGTAACTACTCAGTCTGCGGCTGACCCTTCAGAGGGGGGTTGGTGAGATTTATACTCATACCAAACTTTGCTTCCGGGTGGTCCCACATTTCACCCAGCACGGTGTGGTACGGAAGCTTCTTCAATCATATAGCATATGACCTGTGAATGTGGTAACTTCGGCCCTCGGTGACACTGACCTTGATGAAAGTGGTTTAAAATACCAGTCGAGACAGAGCGAGGAACTTCATATTTGTTATCGGATAGAACCTTCAATGGAAGGAAGTAACGAATGCCAAAGTACTGGTCCTGCGCGGTACTGTCGGGCCTGAGGCGTGCGTCTCGAGTATGTGGTAGATCTCAGCCACGACAAACCGGGTTCAGGTCAGCTTCGTGTTAGGTTATGAGCCCCGGAGCGAGTAATTCAGAAACCACTCCGAGAAGATGTAAAGAACAAGCTATCCCGCTGACCGCTGAACGACAAGGGATGTACACAAATTTGACACAAATCCTGAATTTGGAATTTTAGATACACAAGAAGCATGGCCCAGTATTTTTTGCAGAAAAACCTCTAGAAATGGTTAAAGTAAAGCACCCAGAAAAACTCTGGAAAAAGAATAAAGTATTTCTCCAGGAAAAACTGTGATTCTCAGCTGTTGATTGGACAATCACGGTATTTCTCACGAAAATTCATTATGCTTTCTTCAAAATTTTTTCTCGTGCTTTACTTTTCTCAGGGTTTTTCCCTAAGAAATACTTGGCTATGCGTCTTGTGATAATGCTGGTGAGTCGCGTCACACGTGACGCGTCGAGGCGCGTTGAAGCGCCCGTACACATAGCCTTAGCGCGTGTGCAAGGAAGCCTTTGTCCTTAGTCTAACTACCATCATGTCCTTCCCCAACCTAACTCTCTTCCGCCATTACGCAGAATCAGTTCCGTCCGCTATCCCAAAGACGGTGCTGAAGACACACACCGATAATTCGGTCACTGTCGCTGATGCTTACCCGAAATCCCTCTTTCACTTCATCGTCCTGCCGCGCGCCCTTCCGCCGCTGGACATCTCCAACCTCAAAGACCTGCGTACCCTGCTCAAGTGCGACCGCGAGCAGGCACTACAGGTGCTTAAGCGGCTCGACGCGGACGCGGAGGCCGTGCGGGCGATCATCGAGGCAGAGATGGTCAGTAAATATGGCTTCAAGTGGGAGATCTGGACCGGGTTCCATCCCCTGCCCTCGATGGAGTACGCACATTACGCCCCTGCAGCGACAGGTAATAATGACTAATGTTCTCGTCGCAGACACCTCCATCTGCACGTTCTTTCGGCGGACCTTTGTACTCCCGCCATGAAGATTAAGAAGCACTACAACTCCTTCCACCCCAAGCTCGGCTTCTTCCTCCATCTCGAGGAAGTGCTGTCGTGGTTTGAGGCTACGCCGTCTTTCTATGATATGGTGCGTCCCGGAACCATCCTCCTTTGTGTGAACACGAAGGGGGGCGCTCCCGTCTGACAATGTTCCAGAAACGCGCCTTGACCCCCAGACAGTACGAGGACAGGCTCAAAGAGGACTTGATGTGTTTCAAGTGCGATGACGTGTTTAAGACCATGCCGAAGCTTAAAGAACATCTCCAACAGGAGTGGGACCGCATGGCTAAGCGCGAGAAGGCTAAGTTGGCAAAGAAGCGTAAGCGGGAAGAGGAAGCTGCTGCCAAGGCCGGTGATGGCGACGACGGTAACGTCAAGGCCAAGAAGTGCGAGACGGAGTCGCCTGCCGAGTGAACTCGGGCTCAGTGCATATTTGTTGACTATCATCTCTTCATACAGGAATTGTCGTTTGCATCTGGAATTCATTTGTAACATACCCTTGTACATCTCATTCATGTATGATACCTGCCATCCATCTAGCTACTCACTGCTGATCTGGATATCATGTACAATGTCTCCGCATTTGTTTTGGTATAATACAAGATATGACTACCGTTCCCCGACAAGTACAGCTGCAATGATCAACGTTCGGAATGCATCTAGGATCTGCCACGTTTTCTTTACTTCAGAAAATCTGGACGGGAGCAGCCGCCTTCGGCTTTCGGTTGCTTTCGCTCGACTCGCGGATGGCCCAGGTGAGCTGATAGGTCCTGCACGCGTCTATTGCAGAAGCGACGAGTGAGAAGCAGGCAGTCAATGCGGATCAGTGCAGACGTACCCTCGAAAGTGCTCAGGATCTGCGCGGTCTCCGGATCCTCTTCAATGTCCTCGATGTTGTCAATCAACACAGAGATCTGGCACGCAGGATAACCATCAGCATGCGGTGAGACAACACAGGCACAACAACGTTGAATACCTCGGAGAAAAAGGGATCATCATCGGGGAACCTGTGCGATTCTTCGTAGTCACTGCCAGGCTTGCGGATAAAGAGGATGGGTTGCACGTATGGGTTAACGAGCCTATCACCACGATACGCGTCAACTTCAGTCTCATGAGACAAAGGAATGCTGCGCACTTCAGCTGGTACCCATCCGCGTAGACTTCAAGCTCGCAGCTGTAGTCGTGTCCCTGGAGCGCGACCAGGTGGATGAAGCTGCCCACTGCGCCGTTCTCATATTTCCTGTTCGTCAAGAATTCCTTGGAGTCAGCTCAGGAACTCAGTGTACTGGCGTGAAGGCGTACCAGGTCGCCGCCGTGACACGCGGGACGCGGTTCTCAGGTGGGATGGCGGTCTCGTCGACGGCAATCTTGGAGAGGTGCCCCGCGTTCTCGTCCCACTCGAGCGAGTGCGCGTTGACGGTACTCATATCGACTTCGCCGCCAAAGTAGCGGGAGAGGTCGCAGAAGTGGGTGCCCTGCTCGATGATCGGGCCCGCGCTGTGCGCATATAACGATCTTCAGACGGAGCGGCGTCTCCCGGGGAGTGGGGGTACGCACCTCCTGGACTTGTCCCACCAGTCGGGCTTGGCGATGGCTTCGTACGCACATGCGTAGCGCGCGACCGTGGCCATGACAGTGAGGTCATTGTCGTGGAGGATCTGCTTCATCATTTGAACGGCCTTCAAGTACCGCAGCATATAACTACCACACAGGCGTCAGCGACGCGCACAGAGTATTTCGAAGAAGCGGACGCACCCGGTGGAGCAAATGGTCTGGCTGTCGCTGATGTGCTTGGCAACCTTGAACGCCTCCTCGATCTCGCTGCTGGGCCCTGTCGCAGCCGGCTTCTCGATGAACATGGCGACGCCGGGGAAGTGGCGGAGGATCTGGAGCTCGATGTCGCGCCCGGGCTGCGTGGTGCCACGGAACATGGGCGGGGAGCCCACGATGACCGCACGCGGCGTGTCCTTGCGCGACATGTTCTTCACGAAGTCGTCGAGCGTCTTGAACACGCGCGTGTTCTCGTACGCGGAGCGCACGAACGTCTCGCACTTCTTCTGCAGCACCGCTGTCGCGCGATCGATGGCAGGGTCGATCAGCGCGACCACCTTGAGGCGCGGTCCGAGCTTGCTGTGGGCCGGTGAGCAAGTAGGAAGAATACAAGGATGAAGACTCACTGTTCGAAACGGAAGGAGTGGTTCCAGGGACCCTCATCGGAACCTGCGTAGACACGATCAGGTCGCCAGACTGATCGGAGACGCGCTGTATGCGCACCGAACATGATGTTTCCCGCGCCGACGAAGACGACATTGAAGTCGGAGACACCGCCGACATGGGAGACCCTGGAAGGTACGATCACCGTTTGGGGTCAGCATGCGCGCCCAGCGCAATTAGGTCATAGTTGGTGACACTGAACTTGTCCATAGGAATCAACCTGGACGGGTCGATGGACGGGCGTCGGGAAGACATGCCCGACTGACGTCTGGAGTGGGGCGAGTCGAGGATGGACTGCCGTCGCCCGACACCATAATTCGGGGAGTCGATGGCGGACGGTCTGCGGCTGGCCATGGTGGGAGATTGTTACAGTGGAAGAGGATTGGAAGGCGAGGTAGGAGCTATATAGCAAGCTACAGCGGGTGTGGACTCGATGGGATGATGTAGATAAGATGGGGGGTGATGGGAAGGATGCTCCCTGTCTCAGTCTGTCCGAGCGACGCCGCGAGTGGAGCCCACTGCGCCCCCCACGCCGTCTATAACGACGGTGCGTCTTGTTCGCTGACATGCATAATGTGTGTAGTACAACGTGAATAAGTGATGATCATGCTAAATACGGAGGGGCAGATGCAAAGGCTGGAGAATAATGCGAAGAACAATGTGCGTATGGTAGGGTATACAGGGTATCCACTCTTTCCGAGTTATGTTGCGCTTCCTTCTCCCGGTCGACCAACTTTCTGCCTGAGCTCCCGCTGCCGCCGCTCTGCAGCCTCGAGCCTCTCCGTCATCGCGCGCAGCTCCGCCTTGAGCTTCTCGTTTTCCTGCGTGAGCTTCAAGACATTGCTCGCGCGCTTCTGCACAATCTCCACTCTGTGGTCGACCAGCATCAATCACCCGTCACCAGCACTGCAGGAGCGGTCCGTGGCAACGCGAAGTGACAACGACTTACTCAGGGTTACTGGCGCGCGAGGACTCGGCCAGGATGGACTCGAATGTCATGGTCAGGTCAAGCTCGGACTGCGGCAAGTCAACGTCTACAAGGGGTGGGGATGATGGCGTGCGTGAGAGGGCGGGAGCAAGCGAGTCCTCGTCCTCATCCTCGCCTTCGCCCTCGCCCTCGCTCTCATCGGGTAGTTGGGCATCGTCTGGACGCGCAAGGTCCTCGCTAAGTGCAGACGTCGCGCCGAGTCAGATGAGAGACTTCGGGAGCGGCTGCAGGACACCAACCGGAAAGGAGCGTCGCGGACACCGTGCGACGGGTCCTGGTGGCGGGGGCCAGAGGCGATGGACATTGGAGATGGAGACAAGCAGTGGCAGTAGCTAGGGTGTAGCCGAGGCACAGTACTAGTACTAGCCCGTGGGTGGGGTTAGGGTCAGTTTGTCTCCGCGACGGTCACATGACTGGGCGCAAAGAACGGATTGAGATGACCAGGAGCGACTCTGGAATGTCGAATATCTGGGACGAGAGGGGTTCCTTCCATACTCGCATCTTCCGCCCCCTGCTCCCACCTTTCAATGCCCGATTTTGGCTCTCAGCTCGACGTGCATGAGTCCCAGCTCCCCTTCTCGATACAATATCCCCTACCACCGCCTCTGGGCGCGGTGTTTGACGAATATCATTTTCCTCCTGCTGCCCGGCAGCAACATTTCACTCCAGCCTTGCCTGTGTACCCATATCTATCACATTACGACCATGTACCTACCGTTGCGCATTATCCCCGCGCGACGGCTAACCCGGGCACGGCATATTACACGCACGAACACCGCGTCTGGTCTCAGGCCGTTGAGCCAGAGCACGACCCCCCTCAACGAGACGTCATCGTATACGATGTTTCTCACAGTATCTCCCACAATTCTCCAATGATGTCTCGTCCAATTTCCCAGCAGGAAATTCCAGAATCTGCTTTCCTCCCCCAGCAGCAGTACGAGGACGCCACGGATATTCCAGACTCGGTCTCAAATATCCAACGCTCCAACATGCTTCCGCCTTCCGCTCCTTCTACCGCCGAGACAGAACATAGCTCGGGTTCTGACATTGCCGCGTCCAAGTCTCGTGCAGATGTACGATCCGGTCCCTGCTAATGTGTAGCATGGCTTACGACCAAGACTTCCGTAGCGTCCGAAACACTCGCCCAACCAGTCCAAGAAGGACCCGAAGGGAGACCCCTACGCGCCCGCCTTCATTCAGGCCACAATCGGCGAAAAGAAATGGGAAATGTTCACCGCACGCCTCGCAGAGAAACGCATCGGGAGGCACCGAGGGAAATATAAAGCTACACCTACCAATTCGTCCTCACTGCAAGGGCAAGATCAGCACGTCGACAGCGCTGCCGACGTCGACACAAGCAGTGGCAAAGACCGATCCGCGTCCGTCATCGACTTTCTCGTGAAAGTAGAGGTGGTGAAAGCCGTGCTCCGCGCCTACGTCCCGTAAGTCGCTCACTCCGCGCCTTCCCCGCGATATTGTACTCACCACAACCTCCGCCGTCCCGCCGGGTACGCGCGTCTCGCTGTCCACAGGCACCCTTACAACCCGCTCAAGTCGCTCACGCACCCCTATGAGCGCGCGCCGTCCGGGCACGTGACCTTGACGCGATCGACTGTTCTGGCGCTGTGCGGCTGGTCAAACACGCAGTTCTCGTACTGGGCGCGTCGCGCGGAAGCCGTGTCCGTGCTCGCGCCACTCGACGTACGTCTGCGTGCCGTTGCGCGGGCGCTCCAACACCAGCTCTATGTGGTGGGCGTTAGCAGCGCGCCCGCGGCGCAGCAGGACCATCCCCTTACTGAAGGCGGGCGGGCGCACGACGGCGTAGCCGCGATGACAGAGGAGTGGGTCGACACGTGCGTCACAGGCAAGGGGCTCGACAACATCATCGACGAGGTGAAGAAGCGTTCCGGCGCGAGCCCGTTCCTCCGCGGGCGGCACTCGAGCTTGGACCCCTTCGGTACGATCAACGGCGAGACGGATGGGGGCACGAACTCCAACGACCAGCCTGCGGTGGGCATGATGTGCATGCCGATATTCCAGGCAGAGAAGTACGTGCACGAGGTGCCTGCGGAAACTGGCCGTGACCACGACCACGACGGCAACAGCGTGGAGATGAGTCAGACACAGAGTAAGAGGCGGTCGTGGGACGACTGCAGCACCAGTGCGGGCGCGAGCTCCAGCCCCGTCTCAGCGTCTGATATGTCGAACCTACAGTACCCCCAGACCCCAGCGATGGTGTCGCATCCCGAAGACGTCCCCCAGCTCTCGTTCCAGTTGTCCGACTCGCGGGGAGACAGCCTCCTGCCCCGCGTCCTCGACGGAGGCAGCCAGCACGCGTACGCGCAGCTGCGCATGCCCCTCATGTCCAACGCTCCGCGCCCGCGGTCATCGGGCTATCTCCTTCCCTTCCCGAAAGCTCTGAGCGACCTGTCGTACGCGGAGATGCACGCGCATATGCAACTGCCAGACCAGCTGGAACGTCCGCGGAAGAAGAGTAAGTCTCTGTGATAGCTGTGGTTCACCGTGGACTCGTCACGAGCCCCGGGGCGCTCGTTGCTACCGGACTGCAGATAGGGAGGATCTTCCCCAGTCAAGTGAGGCTCTGTATTGCACTTCTATCTCAGCGGACGCACTACGGACTGTAGCTTTTACGTGTAGCGATAGGATGTATTTGTGTGCTGATCATTGTAAGCTCCGCAAGTCGAACGTAACGTCTCCCATTGTACTATATTACTCACACACACGCATTTGTACCCATGCAGATCTGCACAGAACAGCTGCTGTATTCGATGTTTGACTATTAACATGATTTTGAACGGCGAGAGGGAGAGTACTGATGGCTACACGGGTCACGATCGTGGCTACTACGACAGCAAGAGAGCAAGCTTGAACTGAATCCGGAACCTGTCCGAGAGACGTGGGAGGAGAAACGATAAGTAGACATGCCGCAGACAGAAGGAAGCAGGAGGACACACTACGGGAGCACACGCGCATACAGTACTAAGTGAAGAATAACACTACAGACTACTGAGACGAAAAAAAAGTGACGAAGACAGATCGGGACCTGGACCAAGAACTCGGGGCGATCTACGTGAACTCCAAGATGGAGGTCTCCAAGATCCTGAACTGCGTCGCGTCCTTGCAGTTCTCGGTCCAGTTCACGACTTCGCGCCAGTTGCACACGTTGGCCTCCTTTTCGCCCGCACCGGCAAAAATACCGAGCTCATCGTCCGTGATACCGCGCCACATGAGGAAGAGTCGAGTGAAGATACAGGTCTCCATCACCACGGATATGTCGATTGCGTTTGCGATCTTGCTCGGGGTCAGGAAACGGTATGCAATGTTCTTGTGCGCGGCAAAATTCGCCAAGTTGTTACTGCAACACGATCGTTTCAGTACTATGACGGCGAAATAGACTGTTCAAAACGGACTTGACGAAGTTCGTGCGAGCGTGAACGGACAAACCCAGCTGGTCGAGGACACGCATTAAGTGAGGGACGAAGTCTTGGAAGGGCATGGCAAAACTATTGCGAGGCGCAATGAACTCCTGTGGATCAACCATCCCAGGTTCAGGGCTACGGTCCCCTTATCATCTAATAACACAGAAAGTAGGTGAAGAGCGAGACTCACATTGCTTCGTAGTACAGTGATGTTTGTACCATTCCCGACTCGAAGTGTTCCAAGCCCCCTCCGGGATGAACTTGCAAAAAGTATTTGACTCTGTTTTCACCGAGGTATTCCGCGGTCGGCCAAGTCATCCCAAGCTTCCAAAATTGCGAAAATGTGAGTGTAATATCGCAATACTGACGGTTGGGTGCGAGGATGCTCAGATTGCATTTGGCCGTGGCAGGCTTGGCAACAGCGGCCAGCTTGTTAAACACACGGGAGTCGACAATGAGGTCTTGCGAAACGTCCTGGGCGTTGGCAATTCGTGCACCGCTGAAATCCATCTTGTGCGTGTCGCCATCGTGAACAATGTCCAGCTTGCCCCAGAACGAACCGTCGACGGTTGTTCCGTCCTCCATCCGCGACATGTCCAAGTCATCCGAACTGACCACGGTATCAAGCGATACATTCTGGCCCTGAGCCAGCTCAAGGTTGAACGTGGCAGGCATCTCCAGTACGGGCGGAGGACTGCGACGACGTCGGATGAGTAGTCAGTTGATAACAAATAAAGAGAGAACACACGGAGGTGGTCTAGATCAGAAGATTGACTTGTAAGCCTGCGTCACGGAAACTTCAGATCAGGGAAGGACTCACGGTGGTTCGTCTTCCGGGGGTGGAGGTGCGTCACCGACAATCTCTACCCTGAGACCTTGCACATCCATAATGGCAATCTGGTAGGAATCATCCCCGGTCAGCTATGAGGAGAAATTGTGCTATTAGTCGGGAAATGCGCAGACACAGCAAAAATCTCACATAGACATAGTCGCCGGTCATGAGACGCTACATATCTTTTAGTCCTCATATGGACAAAGAGAGCGTGAGGAAGCTTACTGCTGCCTGGAAAGAAAGATAATCCACTGGAACGCGTAGATGGTAAACGGCATCTGGCGGGGGCTTGATCCACTCCCTCACGACAGCGTCCAACTCCTGTTCGCGCAGTCAGACACTCTGCCACGGTCATTCAGTACTGCACGTACCAGGAAAGAGCTGGGGAGCTGCGGGTGTGGCGTCAGACAATAGAAATGTTAATGGTGCTCAAAACATACTATCCGAATCGTCTCCATGCCCGCGAAGGAGATGGTAAGTAAACGCTGCCGTGTCAGTGCCATAGGAGGAGCTTTGACTTCCACGTCCTTGTTGGATTTGGGCGTCTTGAACGTTCTCCCCCAAAATCCTTGGGAGGGAAGACTAGCATTGGAGTTCCTGGAGATGGGCAGTAATGAGCCTGGCAAACAGGTGGTAGACACGGAGTACGCACGCTGGAGAGAGAAGCATGATCTATGAAGGGGAAACGAAGTGAGTGATACGGATGAGCTGAAGGAAGAGAGTCCTGAAAAGGACGAGGGTAGAAAGGAACACGAGGCGAAGACCACGAGGCAGACCAAAGATCTGAGTGGTACTCACCGGAGTGACTCGAGCTGATATGTCAGGATATCAACGATGGTGATGCTGATACCGTAGACTCCACTGAGCCCTGGACCCTGCTCAACGCCGAGAACGACGATGGGCAGGACAATGCCCGAGAGTCCATGGCATGCCCTGCCATGGTACTATACTATAGCCGCTCAAGTATGCCATATCGCCTAGGCGCGCAGTCACGTGCCGACGCTCCGCGCCGTTTTCTTGCATGCGGCGCGAGTCCGAGTCCGAGTCCGCGCCTGCACATCATGTTGCGCACCGCTCTTCGCTCTCAACTTCGCTTCCGACCATCTGCCAGTGCATATGCACGGAACTTCGTCTCAACTGCGCTGTTGACCAAGACCTGGGAAACCGAGACCGCAAATGATTTGAGGCAGGAGGCGAAGAAGCGGGGCCTGTCGGCGTGAGTATCTCCTCAGTCCTCCCTCGAAAACACGTCCTGAAATAGGTCATAGCAAGGGAAACAAAGCGACTCTCATCACCCGATTGCAGCATGACGACGAGCAGAAGGCAATTGCCCCTGCCCCTTCTAGTCCTTCTCCTCAGCAGCAGCAGGTCCGTCACGCGTCGACTACAGAAGTACCCGGCATTCCTCCGACGGGGCCACCACCAGTGCACCCGAAGGAGTTCATGAACATTCATATTCCCGATGTCTCTCAACCAGAGCCTCTACCGGAGACACCGATCGTATGTTTCAATCCACGCTTTCTCCAAGGCATGTGAATTGCTCATCGTTGGACCGTTCTTTCTTTCTCGCCTAGCCCTTGTTGCCGGATCTCTGGGATTCCTCTCGTATCAGAGCCGAGTCTGAGCGTGCTGCACCCGCCGAACCCTCTCAACCCAAGGTTATTGCTGTCGCCGGAGCAGTCACGCATCCTGGCGGAGGTCCGTCACACAACCTATACACCGAAGACGTGATCGCAGAACCCGCACCGACAAATATGTCCACTGGATTCTGGAGTGACGTTGCGCACGATCTGAATATTCCTACATCCTTCAATTTGTCTCCCCCGCATGCAGGCTACGACGTGCACGAAACAACCTCCACGTCGGGCGCGCAAGAGCGGAGTCACTCACGCACCCTGGACAAGGACGAGGTGAGGGGTATCTGGCTCTTACTTGGTTTGCTAGCAGGATCCTGGCTTGCCGGAGGCTGGTTCCAGCTGCCTTCGGCCTTCGTGGAGAAAGCAGAGGAAGTAGCCGAGCAGGCGGAGGGAAAGGCTGCCGGTAAACACTGAGATACATCACTGTCATCGCTTGGCCGTTGACGACGTTTACGTTCGTTACATACTCGACGTGTATACACATGGTCTTCTCAGAACAGATCATATGCGCGCTTCGCACAGCGCTCATCATGTGATACGTTATGGCTTTACCTGCAACGACCATGCTCAGGCTGAGAGCAAAGGCCTCTCTCCGTATTCCTACTCACCAGCTCCATGTCTCTGCGCTTCGTCATAACCTGGTCGGTCCACCGGATCCTGTTTCTCATTTACGACCCATCATCTACGAGGATGCACCCAGTACGCCGCTCACAGGCGTACATCCGTATTCGTTGAAGGAATTTGCGGGTGACACCGGGGAGTACCAATGGAAGATGCAGCGGCAGGAGCTGGATGCATATAACAACGCTTTCTGGACAGATGTGAGCTCAAGCTTCGTAAAAGGAACACCCTACTGAACGCGTGCCAGAGTAACATCCGCTTCGAAGCGGCGAAGAGTGCCGTGCTCGAGAGTCTGCCCGAGACTGCCCCTACCGAGGATCGAGAATTTGCGCTGTCAGAGTTCTACAAACGCTGGCTCATGCAAGAGCAGTCACGCCAGAAAGAGTACAACTCACAATGGCGGAAGCGGAATTGGACCAGTATCGTGCTCGGTGCCCGAGTGCGCTACGAGAAGTTCAAGTCTCTAATATCGAGGCCCTTCACATCGCGTTCGGATGACAGTCAGAACGAATAATGGGTGATATGCCTATGTATATTCTGTTCGCTGGACCCTGCGTCTCATACCTCATTCGCCCAGCTCCTCCGCAACGAGCGTTCGCATGCCGTCGGACATACCGTCCAACTCCAACCTGATCAAGCAGTCGCTTTCCCATCTGTAGTCTCTCTCAACACCCTCCACCTCGTCAGGCGACATGCCAGGCCAGCGGAGACTGATTTCAGTTCGATCTGGAATTTCCACAACTTCGAGGGGCAGCAGTATGTACCCGTGAGGTGGATGTCGTTTCCGCAGAGTCGATCGAAGAGCCACGTATAGTGCAGTGTTCCTGAGTCGTTGGTTCAGTTCGGCATCTGTTACGTTTGAGGTTTGTCGAATCGCATCCCAGCTTTAAAGAAAGGAGTTAGTTGACGGTGTTTCCAAGTATCTTTGACTGACGCACTCGTCGTGAATATAGATCCTCCGCCAGACACTCTTGAACGCTGCAAACCTCCGAGCCTCGGGCATGCCCTGCACCCTGTTTTTAGGATGCACAAGCCACAGTGACATGCAACTGACCTTGGCGCGAGACAGCAACTGAAGTGCTGTAGCATAATCTTCTACACTATATAAGTTATCCTTCAAGCTCAGCAAATCTGCAATATCTTCTGGCGACAACGCTTTCCCCTGGAGTAGTTGTCGAACAAATTGCTTGAAGACCTGTGGAATTTTTGTCAGACCACCGAGCGTCGTCACGTGTGTCGCAAGGATGGACCCACATTCTGCAGTGATCTGCGCTCGTCAAGTTGTGACGCCTTCACGTTCGTGATTGTCTCCACTTGCATCTCGAGTGATTGCCTATTGCGGACGGTTGCAAGGGCCGACTTGAGATCATCAACCAGTGTTTCGTGTACATCGACGAAATCAAGTCCGACATGGAATGCTAGAAGAGCTCGACTAAGTGAGCATACAGAAACGACCATATGCCAGAAATTCTCACCATCTAAGAGGCTCTGATCAACAGGCGTAGCATCGGCTTGGGATTGAGCTAGATGCGACAGCTTCCCGATACTGAGCATGAGCTATGAATATAACAGTGACTGTCAATTATTTGTTCGCCCAAGACAGTCATCTACGCACATGTTTTGACATCAAGTCGCTAGAGTGTCCTGCTTCAGAAAGAAGAGACTCGGAAGCAGCATCATATCTTCCTTTGCCAATATCATGAATCCAGGAGATGCCAGGGTATTTGTGTTCCTCGAAGAAAGTGTCCAAGTATTCGTCATGGTCCTGTGCGAACATAGTTCTGAGCTCCCCTGTATAAAGTCGATTTACGAAAAATTCAAATAATTGATTTCACAGAATACTCACCATGTTCAATGTACCACTGGTACAGCTCATTTGTGAAGTCCTCCTTGAACTTGCCTATATATGACTGTATCCGGGCAACATTGGGGTTGTCCTGAGGAGGATATACTGTCTCTTTGTGGCATAAAGATGCCAGACTGCGGAAGTCACGATAGTCTTCGGCCAGTCTGAAGGCGTGGTCCGCGAAGCCATTTCTCCCTGCGGCGATATAAGCATGAGATCACTATGAGGAAAGAAGCATGCCTCACGGAGGGTCTCCAGAACTTCAGGGCGTAGCTGTCGGAACGTGCTATCGAGATTTGTCAACTCTCGCGCTGAGCCACCTTCCACTGCAAGAGGACTGAAACTCTTTGTGAGCGAAGGGACCGTGACCAAACAGTAACACAGACCTCTCAAGCCACTCCAATCTTTCTTGGATAGACGCGAACAGCGATGTCGCCAGTTGAGGGAGTTGCCCTCTCGGTCCACTCTTAGCTTGGGCTGCTGCTGAGTCTGGGGAAGGAGACTCAACCAGCCTTGCGGTGGTGTCGAACAGTTCGGATATGATATCGATCAAGGCCGGCTTGCTCGACCAGAGGTCGATCAGTGGACGCTCAACGCCATACACTCCCATGTTGAACTCTCGGTAGTTAATGGCGGACTGCAGCACCGTCTGCAACGTTCAGAGGTCAATGGAGGTGAATGACAATAGGGCAAGACAATACCAATATAATCCGATTAGCTTGTTCCAACTCCACCGCTAGCGAACGGCCCCCCTGGGCAGCATTCCGCACGATTTGGAGTAGATGAGGGAAGACACTCCCGATATCTTCGACCTTCAGCCTGAAAAATGCTCTCACACAGTCCTCGTGGTGACTTTCTCCTACCGCATTCATATACCGGTAGATTGCTTCGGACAGAACGTTGTTCCTACGAGCTACCCTGTAGTTCCATCAGTCAGGTACCAGAGATAGCAGGTCAGATTCGGCTCATACCCAAGAAATTCGCTGTGTTGTAGCCAGAGCTGATCAGCCGCATACAGTTTCTCAGCATCGGTCGCAAGGCGTTGCCGACTATGTTGAGACATCTGCATCATACGGAGCAAGTTAAGAGGGGAGAGCAGCAGCAAGAACCATCTCAGTCACCTTTGGTAAGGCTACATTATCGTTAATAAATTTAATGAGCCAACTGAGCCGCTCTTTCCGGCCTGCTATCTGGGCCTGCAAATCGTGGTTCGGCCGGACTACGTCGGAATCTGCAAATCAAACAAATACAGAAGTCCAGTATTGAGAACACTGGAGCATTGTAAGAGAGAAATTGCCTGACCAGACTGGATGATTGCCTGGCTGAGTTGCTCAGCGCCTGACATGAGGGCCTCTTCGTCGATCTCAGGAGGGAAACTGAATTCCAAGGGGTTCTGACAATTATGTGAATGGGTTGGCACTGTGTCACAGTGGCTAATTAACAAACCTCTGGATAAGAACCGTACAGGATGGCCTGTGTCATAGTCCACTTGATCAGATTAGCGCGGCCAGTTCTGCAGGTTAAGGGAACAAGGATATAAGAAGCAGTTCTCACGTAAGGAGAACGATCGACGTACTCCGCATCGAACCTGGCAACCTGGTCCATATCTATGTACGCCTTCATCGTCGTCCCGGCCGTCAGTATCAACAGCTCGGTGTTGCCTTCCACAACGCCGACGCCCAATGTTCTGTCTCGCTTAGACTTGAGTGCAAGACGGTCCATGTAGTCGTTGTCTGTAGAGACGATTAATTCTGGGACGTCAGTATGTTCAGATCCTACGCACCTCTCGCACAGATAGTGACAGCATCTCCAAATTGGATAGCAACCAATTGACCGCCCAGCATAAGTTGCAATCGAGGATGCATTGGGGCACCAGAGCGGGCGGTCTACACAGAGATAAGTAAATATCCGAGTATGATGGAGGAGAACTAACACTTTGATAAGGCACTGCCTGCGCTTTCTCTACTTGGAAGGACTTTCCACCGTACCGGACATGGATAATTGCGTATATACGACGAGGGTGAGTGAGGGTCTCCATCTCGTCGTCCTCTTGCGCAGCGTAAGACACAAGGATTACAAGGTTACTCGGGCTAAGTGCGCATCGGAAAAACTTCAGTCAATACAGCTCAACTCTAGCACGTATGTAACTCTCACAACTAACCTCTCAAGTTTCAGATCCAACAGTTCGAGATCGAGGTCCATGTCGGGTTGAGACGCAGATACGAAAGCTTCACGGATAGCCGTGCGAATGGCATCTCCCAGGTCATCGTCCAGTAGGAGTTCTTCCCAGCCTTCAATATGCATCCTCCATTTCTGAACCCGTGTTTCAATGACTGCCCATACGTCTCGGGCTGACTCTGTTTTGTTGCTGATTCCCAGTGCGATGGAGTTGATATTGCCTGCATCGGGGAATATGCTGGGTGGTGTCAAAAAGTTGGGCCAGAGACGGGAGAAGGAGAGGGCAGACTGCTGGCGACTGAAGACACGATTCGTAAGGTGGTACTTCCCACCAGTCTTCGTGAGCATGAGAAGATATAGTCGACCTGCGGATGTAGAGATAATATATGTCTGCGGCTGTCAAACATGATTGTGAGTGGCTTTGTAGATAGGTGAAGGACCGCATCGCATACGTCTGACCGCGTCAACGTGGTAACGCACTCGTCCTCTTGGAGATCAAGCGCGGACCATGAGTAAGTCTCTCCTCCGGTGAGTCCCATGCCTATGCTGTCCCAGAATCGGACCCCGCCAAAATACGAAACGAGAATAAGACCAGGCTCTCTCGACGCGCCATATGGCACAAGGGCATGGAATACAGTGGTCATGGGAGGGGAGTAATCATCCCGAGGACACACGAAGATATAGCACGTCGGCGTTCCACTGAGGGCCTGCTTAGTTGAGTCAGCTAAAGTACAGTCAAGACAAATCCACCATGATATTCACTTGGGCATATTTCCAGACGAAACATGTCTCTACTGACGCGACGAGGGCAAAGCCAGTCTCCGTATCGATGTCGCCAGAATATGCGTTCCGGTAGAAGTCTCGTAATTCGAACCATCGATGTCAATGTCAGTATCCTAGACGGCATATTGTCATTCCGCACCTGTGTTTTTCAATACATGCTTAACCTCCACGGGCAGACTGGCGTAAAAGGTGGCGGTCAACTCTTCCGACTTCGCGAACAAAGTCTCTGCTTTGAGAGGTCGCTCATATGTATCTAAAGTGTCGTCCACGTCCATTCCAGAGGTGAGAGAGCCGTCAACCGAAGACTGTCTTTCCTGTCGGGCTGGTGTGGCGAAACGCGATGCGGGCTTGCTCCCGCCCGTCCGCGTGCGTCTGACAGGTTGTCTGGGTGGAGACAGCGCATGAGAGATTGAAGTTCGCTGTGCGGCGGGGCGCGGAGCAGGGGATGGAGAAAACGTCGCCATGTGAAGGTTGAAGCAGAGACTGTAAAGCGCGTACTACGCGACGCGTCTTCGAGACTGACGGGAGCAAACACATGTAAATTTACCTCACCACCATCCTTCATCATCATGCTCGGCGTCGAAGGCTACGGCAGCGACAGCGACAGCGATGCAGAAGCTCGGCCTACGCCTTCCACATCCAATTCTACATCGCAACCTACTCCTCATCCGAAGCAGAAATCTGCATTCAGTCTTCCGCCTCCGAAATCCTCGACAAGTGCTGCTTCTACCTCCAAATCATCCGGTGGACCCTCTCTACCGCCTCCCAAGACAAAACGTATAAAGAAAATAACTATTGGACTTCCCGAGCTTCCACCGGAGGATGATGACGATGTAGCTGACGAACGTCCCGTAGCTAAAAAACCGCGGCTGGAGTCCGGTGCACGATCCTCGGCGCTGTTGTCCATGCTGCCTGCTCCCAAGAACAAAGCCCCCGTTCTTGCTGCTCCACAGAGAGTGCTAGGTGGCGGTCGTGGACCTGGGTTGGTGTTCAATGCTGCGCCAAGTCGACCATCACGGAAAGCGACAGTGGAGGATGCAGCGGACGAAGAACATGAGGTACAGGATGACACAACCAAGGCAGCAGTGGAAGTCGAGACAGAGAAGAAATCTCCACCTTTCCTTCCACCGTCGCTATTGAAGGGCAAGGCTAACGTCTCCGTCGAGGAGAAGAACGAGCTACCGAAGAGTGTGCGCACGCCAGCACCGGCAGTGGATTTCTTCTCGTTAGGTGCGTCGCAATCGTTTCTTCTTCGGTGTTCATGTACTTAAGTCGTGCAGGCTCCTCTACATCCCCTCCATCGCCCTCGCTCTCCACCAAGCGCAACGTGCCAAAACCTACACTAGCACCCTCTGCAGCGCCCTCGTCGTTAGCAGTCTCGTCATTCCCTCTACCGCTACTGCCAGGTATCTCCTCCGCCCCGAACGTGGACGACTTCGTACCGCCGAAGCCAACCCCGCAAGATCCATATCCGGGCTACTATCTCCTACCGAGCGGCGCGTGGGCAGCGTACGACGCTGAGTACTACCGCAAGTTCTACGACAAGTGGAAGCGGGAGTATGACGCGCACGTACGGGCGATGGAGAAAGGCACTGCCAAGGGCTTCGAGGCGCTCGAATCCGAGGGTGCGCAGGAGGTTAATGCGCAGCGCGAGATGGAGAAGGCGAAACGAGAGATACAGGAACTGGAGGAGCGCAAGGCGCTCACGAAGGGCGACGTGGATGCGGCTGGGGCGCCGAAGATGAATATCAAGGTGCGTTTACGCGGACATCCGTTGGTGGATGTGTGGCTGATTCATGTGGGCAGGGGGCAGCGCTTGGTGGAAGAGCGCGTACACGGCACCAGCTGTCTACATTACTCACAGAGGCATACCAGAACCGAGAGGCGTTGGAAGAGAGGATTGCGCAGGGCAGGCGGAACAGGAAGGAAGCGGGCAACAAATACGGTGAGTCTGCCCCTTTAGAGTTCTAAGAATCGCAGTTCATCTTCGTTTGTAGGATTCTGATTTCGTTGACCACAACTTCTTGTTTTGTATTTATATACTCATACACTCATGACCCAGGAATGCATACGAAGATTAGACCGAGGGTATATGTTACACTGTACATGCACTATATGAGCGTGTGATGGTACATCGATGGTCTACTGCGAGGACGAGAACTCTAACGCGAACACGTCAGCGAACGATCATCAAGTAATACGAGGGTACGAACTCGTGACAGACTTGGTGCCCTCCGAGATGGCGTGCTTGGCCAACTCGCCGGGAAGGACGAGACGCACGCTCGTTTGGATCTCCCTTGACGAGATAGTCGACTTCTTAGAGTACGTCGCGAGCTCTGGCAGAGAAGTCGAGTCATCAGCGCGGATCAGTACCAATGTGGCCAGCACACTCACTTGCCGCCTCAGTGGCGATGCGCTCGAAGATATCGTTGACGAACGAGTTCAAGATGGCCATGCCTTTGTTCGAGATACCCGTATCCGGGTGCACTTGTTTGAGGACTGCGGGGCGCCATACAACATATTCTCAGCGCCAGTCAGCCAAAGGAGACAAAAGAAGCACAAACCCTTGTAGATATACGTGCTGTAGGTCTCCTTGCGGGCCTTGCGGCGCTTCTTCTTTTCGCCGCCGTCCTCGCCTCTGGACTTAGACTTGCTCGCCGTCTTGCGAGCGGACTTGGCTGTCTCGCTTTTGGCGGGGGCCTTAGAAGCGGTAGAGACGGGAGCCTTGGAGGCGGTAGAGACGGGCTATGAGGCGCGTTAGTTCATGTTCAACTGTGAGGCGGCAAGTGGGCATGTTGAGGCATACCTTGGGGGCCATTGCTGCTGTTGTCTACGCATTGCATTGAGTATAATACATGCGTGATCGACATAAAGCACATACCTGTGGGGGTGAGAAGGCTGAGAGGAGGAGGAGGTTGTGGTAAGAGGAGAAGAGGAACACGGCTGAAAGTGGCTCGCGTCGGCGCTTTAAACACGGTTAACACATCACGTGCAGACGCGTCCCGCGCCACCGACGCGTGGTGTGTACAACGCGCTTTTGCACGTGCCCATGCATGCCTCCGCCACCTTCAGCAAAGCGTTCATCTACCGTACCTAGTGATTGTGCGGTACAGACGGGTATGTACAGGACCATTACAAAGCAATTTTTCCCGTCATCCCCACCACTTTAGTTTCCGCATCCTCTGCCCAGACCTGGATTGTGTCAGTTTGCCGTGCGCCGCAAAGCCGTATGGCGCGGTTGACCGGGATTGGATTCACAGCTCTGTAGTCGAACAGTTTGAAGGCCGCATCCTGGTTATGGAAGGCAGCGGACTCAAGTAACATCAAGGCAGTCAATGGTCCATGCACCAATCTCTCTAGGGTGGCCGGTCAGTTGCAGCAGGTTCGGGACCGCGACCAGGATTACTCACCGCGATAACCTTCCGATTTCTGTGCGTACTCTTTATCCAAGTGAATATAGTGGCCGTTGAACGTCAAGGCGGAGAAGCGGAACAAGGTAGTTGGACTGGGCGTGAATTCGAACGCAAAGTCCGGGCGTGGAAGATCCTTCACTGTTCAACGAGGCACCGCATTCACACCACAAGACACAGGCGGAGCATTCTGGCCACGAACCTTCACGAACCCTCCGTTTGTTCCCCGGGGCCACAAGGTACACGTGCGACCGCTCCTCTTCAACACAGATGTCTTCGCTCCCTTCGCGCTTATACTCGATCTTCTGTCTCACGAATACTAAGGGTGAGTCCTTCTCAAACCCTTTCTTGTCGATCTGTGAAATTGTTGAGACGGCATTGGCTTTCTCGCCGATACGGAGCGGACGCTTCCATTCCATTCTGCCCCCCGCCCACATCCGCCGTGTCCAAGGCTCTGGCGGGCAGAAGTCGGCATCTGACCCGTCAGCGCGCAAAGAGCGCTCGGGGTTTCGCGGATGGAAGAAGACCAGATGGTGACCATACCCTAGCGGCGCACCTTCTACCGGCATGTCGGGCGGACGGGCAGTGCCATCGCGCGTTGGTAGGGTAATGTAGAGATTGGACAGGTGCTCTGTGCGCAGCGTGTCAGAGATGGTGAGTGACTTCTCCGTGTTGATCCACCGGTCGAGCGCCGCGACGTTCAGCCCCGCCTGCGACGAATAAGAGCGGCGGGCAGGTGATGAGAGAAGGGTCCGTAGGACGGATGTCATCATGAAACCGGATTAGCGGACGGCTACCACGAAAGTGCTCTTACGCCAACAGAATTGAGTGCCGTCAGACCCGTTCGCTGATCGGGAGAATGTACGGCGAGTCAGGGCCAGGTGAGCAACAAGACAAACTGGGATATACTGACTGTGTCAGAGAGTGTGCAGGATGGTAGTGACGTGCGTTGCACAACTCGCGGCATTTTCGGACGAACGAATGTGTACGCGTGGGAATGACACCAGGCGAAATATTGTAGGCCATCTCAACACCGTCCGCAGTCGCGTACAGGTTGGCGATAGAACTACCTCCATTCTTGACATCAGCATTCTGAACTTATACGGTTGCATGTCGCGATCGAGACAGAGATTATTGGACGCGAAGCCTGCCACGAGCGACGGCTGGGCGAAGACAATTAAGTTTCGGACAATGGGGTGAGTCGGGATCTGCCAAACAATTGTGGAATGCGTTGACACGGTCCAGCACCATGAGACTTTATCATGATACGACCAGTTACGTGTGTATTGTCCAGGTGCGGAGTCAGTGGGCGGCACAAATGTCACGCTATGTGACGCGACGTGATGCGACGCGTTACTCGACGCGAAACCTTTTCGAGGAGATTTACAGGGGAGAAAAAATCTGGAGATGGCGACGAGACGAAGGGGGAAAGAAGATGAAAGGAAGATGAAATTTTAACAGGTAAGGAACAACGAGAGCGACCGAGACGGCGAGGGGCGGGAGGCAGAAAGGGCATTCTGGAGCCGCGGGAGGGGGTGGACGGATTTGGGTGGCTCTCGCCAAGCTCTCGCCGCGTCGGTGTCGTCGCCTCTTTTCTCCTCTTTTCCATTGTTCTTTAACCACGCTCTCCGCCACAATATGCCCCATTCTTTGCTTTGAATCCTCTCTCATAAAGTCCTTCCAACAATCGCTTTCTTTGTATCATTATTGTCCCCAACACCGTACCCGTCGACCAGCATCGCAAGGCCCACCAGCAATAGCTCAATGCCTGCCATCCACTCCCCCCAACCGCGCCGCGTCCCCTTCCTCTCCCATGCGTCCCTTCCAACGTGCCCCCCGTTGTCCCCCATATTCCCCCCGGACGAACCTGTGAGTTTTCCCTTGGTTTTCCTCAATGGCCGCTCATCGTGCCTCATCAGCAAATAATGGCTCCGCAGCAGAACGCACCATTGAGTCCCCCGCCCCTCATGCCCCCCATCGATCTCGTCGATTCCAGCACGCGTAAATCTTATGTGAGTTCAGTGCCCGCTGTTCCTCTCTTCCCAGCCGCTGATCCCTGCTGTAGCTATCAAAGTCGTCACCTTGTAGCACTACCAAGAGCGCTTCGAAGAGGCGCAGAGGCATGACATATCCCCTTTCATGCTCCTCCCGCCGACACTGTACCAACAAGGATTGCTTCATTAAACGCTTCGGCGGCCCCGCTTTATTTGACAGCCTGTCCTGGATCTCGGCTCTAGAATCCGCGCCCGAGCTCGTATCCGTATGGGACACTGCAGATCTTTCTGTTCTCGTTATGGACAATGTCCTGGACGCTAAACCTCCTCGTTCCGGTCCAATCCGCAACAGAAAGTCGCCAGTGCGGTCTAATCCCTTACCGAGCGGCATCCACTCTCCCGAACGCCAGCCCTCGTCTCCGAAACTCGATGAATTAAGACTACACACGCTATTCCCATTCAGTTACGCTTCTGCGGATCCGCGGACACCTCCCCCTCCGGAACCGTTCATACCGTCACAGATCCGATTCCGCGGCCTGTACCCCGTTTTGCCAGCAGACCGTGACGAGTCTCAGAGGTCATTCCAGCCGGACTCAGAGTAGCCGCTCCATCCATTATCCAAACTCCGATTTGCTCAATCCTCGCTTTGCCATCGCTGCATCAACCAACCCTCTACGATTATAACGATATTAACATCGCTCGCATCAATACTTGCACATCGCCCGACTCCATCAGCTCTTTATTACCGGCCCCGACGCGCCGTTTGTCAACTCTGTTACACGTCTCGACGACCACCGTCAACATCAACGACTCTATCGCACTGCCACTCCCCGTTCCCAGTCTGTTCCACATCTGCACGTTCTGCACGAAGCTCGTACGCTCTCATCTTAATCACGGACACGCAGATATATCGCTTCCTCATAATCCTTTGGCTCTTGTTTTTTTTCGCGTCGATTTACGCGCAGCCATGCATATTTATGTGCTGCTTTTGCCTTCGTCTTGTGCGGCAGCGCTTGTGTTATTGCCCCCACTTTTGCTTCACTTACTCCCTTGCCTTGAATCACCGCTGATATCTACCCACGTCCCATCTCCACTGCTGATATCGCCGATTTTTGGCTTTGCTTTGCTTTTGCGAAATTTCCGCTTCTTTGAGTTCTACATGTTATCGTTCGATCTGCCTGCTGTCTGCCTTTTGTTGTCGTCGTACGCTCAGCCGCTTTCTGTTGTACCCGTCAACCCCAAATAATTTGCGGTATATGATAGTGCACATTTTACTTAGACTCGCCTCGCTATTGACTGCTCCTCTGACGTACGCATGTATGCACGAACTGTTGTCTGAAATGTTACGAATGAAATAACGTTGTTCACCTCGACGAGATATGGATGTCGGTGGTTTGAGATCATTCTTCGCGCCTTTCATTCACTGCAGTATTCCACCATAATATTTTTCGAATGCTGCTGCATCCTGTAACTCGTCCCCACCAATAGACACGGTATCGAGGCTCTAGAGCGGTCAACGCCGTAGCGGCTATAAACCCCACCACCCTGGCCGGCCCCGAGTCAGAATCACCGTTCGTATCCTCCCCCTTGTCTGTTCCAAAGGCTTTTCGAAAAACAACATGGCTACGGACCACTCTCGAGTCATCAATTTTGGTGCGGGACCGTCTGCGCTGCCCGTTTCGGTGTTGGAGGAAGCAGCGAAGGGCCTCCTTAATTTCCAGGGCACAGGCATCGGCATCGCCGAGATTTCCCACCGCTCAAAGGAGTTCCAGGCTTTCCTCACCAACCTCGAGTCGCTCATCCGCACGCAGCTCAATGTGCCCTCGACGCACCGGATCCTCTTCACACAGGGCGGCGGGACGGGCCAGTTTTCTGCCGTCGTGTTGAACCTCCTCGCGCGCTACCGGCTGCTGCACCCCGAGCGCACTGTGGAGGACACCGTGATGGACTACGTCGTGACGGGCTCCTGGAGCAGGAGAGCCGCGGAGGAGGCGCGGCGCCTCGGCGGCGGGCGCGTTAACGTCGTCGTCGACGCGCGCACGCATTCCGACGACGGCAAGTCGTTCGACCGCATCCCGCCGCACGAGGCGTTCCACTTCTCCCCGGACCCTGCGCTTGTATACTACTGCGAGAACGAGACGGTTGACGGCACCGAGTTCTCGCACGACCTCGCGTCCCCCAGCGCGTTCCCATACCACCTGCTGCACCAGGATACTCTGGTCCCCCTCGTCGCGGACTATTCCTCCTCGTTCATGTGCCGCCCAATCCCCCGCCTTGCGGACCACGCCGTTATTTATGCGGGCGCACAGAAGAACATCGGCCCCGCCGGGCTCACGATTCTCATCGTCCGGCAGGATTGTATCGTCGATGTCGACGCTGCGGCGCTGCTGGGTGCTTCGCCCGTTCCCTTGACAATGGCATACAAGACACTTGCAGACTCCGGCAGCCTGTATAACACGCCGTCCGTGCTCCCGATATACATCGCAGGTCTTGTACTTCAGGCGATGCAGAAGAATGGTGGACTGCGGCACTATGAGGACATGAATAGGCGGAAAATGCAGAAGGTATATGCGGCACTGGAGGAGGGCGAGAAGGCGGGCGTGCTACGCAGGAAGGTGAAGGAGGGCTCGGGGAGTTGGATGAACGTTGTTTTCGAAGTCGTGGGCGCTGATGCGGAGAAGAAGTTCTTGGAGGGCGCGGAGCAACGAGGAATGAAGGGACTCAAAGGACACCGGTTAGCGCCTCCATTTCTTGTTATGCACATCGGTTGAACACTTCATTTTTCTCATAGATCGGTCGGAGGTGCGCAACCTGTCTCGCGGCGCTTCTTGAAATGCTACTGATACATTCTTGTCAGGAATACGGGTGTCACTGTACAACGCCATCACAGAAGAGGAAGTGGATCAAGTGGTCGACCACATGAAACAATTTGTCTCTCAACAGACAGAATCACTTTGAGGTATTAGTTGGCTGCGTTTGAAGCCCGTTTGTATTGTACTTGTGTAGCGCTAAGTGCACGGAGATTCCATCCGTCAGTTCTATTGATTCAGTCCTCACCGTGACTTAGGTCACTTTGCCGGAGTGGTTAACGGGATCGCCTGCTATCTTGCTCCAAGCGGTTGGGCTTTGCCCGCGAGTGTTCGAATCGCTCAGGTGACGCTTTTTTCCACATGTCGCATCTCAACCCTCCGGCACCGTGGCGTCATGGTCACGGTATCATCACCCACAATGCCGCGGCACTTACGATTCGCTTGCTCCTGATCATGTCGAATCCCTTCACCTGTTTTGCGTGCCGCAGGTCGTTCAAGAGCGAGGGTGGGGCATCAACGCGCGTGTGCCCCTTACGCAGAGTATGAGCGCGACATCTTACAGCGGGCAAGAGCGTCCAGGAATGCGCAAGGCCCGACTCCGAGACGACGCCGCCTACGTGGTGCACCTGGGACAGACGCGTCCGTAGGGCAGCCTTCAGCCGTTCACATCGGCGTCGCAGGTGATGCGAGTGTGCCCACCGTCCCCAGTGTGCCCCGACCAATTGTAAGTCAATCGCGATCCTGTTCATAGTGTTCGCATCAAGTGAACGTATTAATATTGTAGACATTCGAAACTCCCCACTGTGTGGAGTATGCTGGGCCCGAGCCTGCGCGCCCTCCGTCCACTTTCTGTACTACTGCTGTCCCCCTCATCCGTGCCAACCACGGCCTTCCCCCTGCCCAGGGTCGCGCCATTCCCCAATTGAGACCTTCCCCTCAGCCTGTCCCCGTGCCCGAGACCTCTGCCCTAAATCACTCATCGCCACAGACTCCCGAGCATGACTCGGCGTCTTCTGCAATCCCATTGGTCGATCCCGAGGACAATGTCTTCAAAGGAATTTCCACCTATTTTACTGAGCCTCAGGCGGACGCACGTCCAGTGCCGCAGCTCAAAGGGGATCCTTCGCAGGGTCGATCATTCATCACGGGAGAATGAAGCCCAAGGGAGGTGCAGGCCGCTGCTCTCCCAATCCACCAGCTCGCCCTTACTCAGTGAATGGCCCACCTATATTCGTGTGTGCTGGACAACGAAGGAGTACGTATATCAAACACACAGCCGATGACCACGCTCACCACTTGCCCTCGGATGCGGCGTGGGGCGACCGCAAATATGACAACGCGGATGGAACATTGTGAAGTTCTTCCCCTCTCGAGACATCGTGTACCCTTCCATCCGCCGCCCACACCGTAGTCAATAGTACAGCTTAGATTATATGCTAAAAATAGATTAAGTGTTACCTACCGAACACTAGTACTGGCACATAAATGTTCTTGGGGTTTAGAGGGCTAGTGAACAGGCCATTGACTTGACGGTTTGAGCAACTGGAGAAGTCTATGCTTAGGTTTGCCTTCTGACTGGGAGTCCGATCGGTCATGGTCACTTTCTCCTACTCCACCAAAATATGTCCTTTCGGGGTGTGTAATAAGACCTGCGCAGCATGGAGGATGCAGGAACAAAAAATACTGCCCCAGTGAGGCTCGAACTCACGACCTTCCGATGTCAGTAGAGTGTCTGAAATCTCACTCTTTAACAGTCGGACGCTGTGACCAACTCAGCCATGGGGCACATGCAAGCCCTTCAAGGGCTAAAATATATAAAGAAACATAACCAGTGGATATATAGACTCGTTCATCATGCTACAAAAACGCGTTTTGCGAGTACGCGATCTGAGATTTCTTGACTCTCCTTTCTGTCTTAATCATCCCAAATAACAACACCAGCCGCACTTTATGTTCACCCGCCCAATGCGTGCTGATTGAACGTCCTGCTTAAGGCTGGTTGCCAATAGGCAAATACGTAAGCTGGTATGGATCATAGTTACATTGTAGTGCCTGGAAATCATGCATACATCTCGTCCCATCCCTCCTCATTGGTGGCTTGCCTGCTATCCTGCAGTTGAGAAGGACTCGCATCCGAGGGTGTAGCGTTGCGCACAGGAGCTCCCGACCCTTGAGCGTGTTGCGCGGCCGCTTCAGCCTCCATTTCCCGGACAATATCCCACATCTCCTCATCATCGTCTGGAGCTTGCACAGGTGCGGGGCTAGAGGACTGGGGAGGTAGAGCAGGCTCGTCTGCGAACGCACCGAGCTCGTCCCACATTGCCTCGTCTTCGTCTGTGATATCGAGAGTCGCACCTCGCGCTGCGCTTGACTGAGAATTGAGAGCGAGCGAGGCAGCCGCGGCACGCTGTTCCTCGTCTTCCCGGATCATGGCGTCGATGTCGAAGTCGTCATCGGGTACGTCTATAGTAGAATTAAGACGAACACGTGGAGAATTGGTCGCAGCGGGAGCGGGCAGCCGTACGCTCTGCTCCTGCGCTTCGCCGCTTGGAGCATCGTTTGCCTTTGCTCGCTCAGCGTCACCCTCGCCCTCGCTGTCGTGTTCGGCATCCGACGTCAAATCGATAGTCTCATCGGCTGGACGGTCGGGGAAGATGCCCTTAGACTCGTCGCGCCATGTCCGCAGGGCGTACTGGAGATGACACGCGCTCAGCATGGCATGAGCATGATGCACAAACGTAATACAAGCACCTGCATCCGCTTCGAGTGGCAGAATTTCTCCACCCTCTGGGTGGTATCGCGGAACTGCGTGCGCGGGTACATCTTGTGCGTCCAGAACTGGTAGACCTGCAGGAGCCTGTTCAGATCCAACGCCTAAACGTGCTTCGTTAGCAAGATAAGAGTTTACGTTTAGGGGACATACCTCATGGCCCTTTCCCTTTGGCCTGAAATTCTTCGTCTGCTTGATGAGGGCCGGAAAACCGTCCGGGCCTAGCAAACGCGCCTCATCCAGTCGCGGAATCTTCTTCCGTTCCTTCCGTCCATTCTCCCCCTTCTTTCCCCCTTGTCCTACAGCATTACCATCGGCATCCTTGCTGGGAGAGCTACTTGGGAGGACCTCATGAGGGGCTAGGGGAAGTGATCTCGCATTCACGACATCGGCCTGGCGCCGCAGCGCGTCGAGGTCGAGCGAAGGAGCGAGGTCCTGAAACGCGTGCTCCGGATCATCGTCGAGGTCGTCAAAAAGCGCATCTATGTCGGGGTGCTCCTGAGTGGGCCCAGTGGCTTTCGGAGAGGGAGGCTTGGGTGCCTCGTCGTCAGATTCGAGGAAGAGAGTGGAGCGCGGGCGTTTGGTTGGGCGTGGCGAGTTGTCGCCACCGTCTTCGCCGTTGTCATGTCCGTGCACACTGCGTGTGGTGGTGCGGGGGGAAGTGTTGATGATGGGCTCGTCCCAGATGTCTGCCAGCGCAGTGGAAGCCATCGTCGTTGGGAAATACGCGTCGCACACGCGTCACGCGCAACTTGACGCGTTCTGTCACAGGGTGACCGTCACGTCGATCGGACAAACTCCGAGTCTTCGTAAACTTAGTAAATTCTGTCCTCTTGCCACTTCTAACGGATATGGTCCCGCCCACAGTCCCCGACCCCGATGTCGATGAGGGTATAGAATATTGGGCAACACAACCAGCCAACTACGACGGTGTTCTCGGTAAGCAGAGTTTGTCTTGAGTCATCCGCCATCGCACCGTGATTTTTATTCCAGGTGGTTTTGGATCTGGGGTAGACAAATACTTGACCTTTCCATGCGATATCTAACTTGGTCTCTTCAGTCATTACCTAGGGTCGATGCGCTTGGCTCGCGCCAATTCCTCATGTACCTGATGCCGGAGCTCTGCGCCGTTCCTTCCGCCGTGCGCCCCCTACACCCACTACATGATCCTACCCGGCGGATACGCGCATTGGACGTCGGCGCAGGGATCGGCCGCGTAACTGGTGACGTGCTTCTTCACCTGGTTCAGGATGTCGTCCTCGTCGAGCCCGTCGAGAGCCTCGTCAATGAGGCCTGGGCACGCGGGCGCGCGAGCGCCGCGGGCAAGGTGACAGAGGACAGCACCCACGTCCTGTGGAAGGGCATCAAGGACAGGACAAAGAGCGTCACTTTCGTCCAAGGGACGCTCCAAGACCTGGACCCATGTCGCCCGCTAATTTCCACAAAGCGGCTCGGCCGCGTGGGTTACGAACCGCCTGCGGACGACCTCGAGTCGCCGTACGATATCATCTGGTGTCAGTGGTGTCTCGGATGTCTGAGCGATCCAGACCTTGTTGCCTTCCTCAAGCGCAGCGGTGCCGCACTGCGGGATCCCGAACGGAGTCTGATTATTGTGAAGGAGAATTTGTGCTCGGAGCCGGAGGGCGGCGGGCCCAGGACGGTGTTCGATGAGACCGATTCCAGTCTTACAAGGTGAGAATTTCTGTTGCAGGGGTGATTGAGTCTGCTCAACGGAACGACTTGAAAAGATCCGACCTCGCCTGGAAGAAGTGTTTTAGTGAAGCTGGTTTGAGCCTGATACACGAGCAAGTGCAGCGTGGATTTCCCGAAGGTCTTTATGTTGTGAAAATGTCAGTGTTCAACTCTTGTGCCCTTCGCGAGATCCTCATGTGAGCATTCCACTGCAGGTATGCTTTGAGACGGCCATCTTGATGAGCAGTCCGCCAGATTTTATGACAAAAATCAGTTCGCATCATATTGCAAGACGACTAGAGGAAAATCCAGACAGCAAAGAAGGGAAAATTTTGTACACAGACGATAAACGCAAAAAAAGACTCCTGCAATGCAGATATGGTGGCACAAATGAGCGTCACGAGGCGATAATGAGGACGAAAGACGTGTGCCGCGCATAAAATCCGGAAACTAATAGCTCTGCATGGACCTGTTCCTCATTTTGCAGGCTTCCCTCTCTTCTCTCGCCAATACGGCCTCGCTGAGACTTGACCGCCGCTTCTGCTCCCTGCTCTCCGCTCTTTCCTTCAGGCCGGGGAAGTTGCTACGGACGACTTGGTCAAGATGCGGCCAGATCTCGTCGGACGAGGCACCCGTCAGCGTGATCAGATTGCTGCCAGAAACCAGGGTACTGAAGTACGACAGCAGCGGCGAAGTAGAGGCATAGAACTTCTCCAAGCGACGAGTGAATGTCTCCTGCAGGCAGAGATGACGTCGTGATACGAACACCTCTGTTTGTACAATGAAGAACATACCGGGATATCGTCTGGTCGCTTCGTTAGTGGCTCTCCAGTCTCGTCGTCGAGACCAGCGATCTTCGGAGGATTGTACGAGAGGTGGTACACCCGCCCCGAGGGAAGATGTACCCACCGGTCGGATATGCGGCTGAGGATCACCTCGTCCGCGACATCCAGATTGACAATTAAACTGAGGGGGCTTCCCTGATTCCTGTACGCCGACCGGACGCCATTATATCAGACCTTTGCATTCAACAATAGAAGGCATACCGTAGATGACTATCCAAAAGTTTTCCTTGACCTAATGTCCGTGGGAAACCGTCCAAGATCCAGTGCTGCATGACTGTGAGCGAACGCGTCGGAGCGGGCGAGACAGCAGCATGCGTACCTTATTATGCAGCAGATCCAATTTACTTGTAACAACCTTGAGCATGACGTCGTCGGGGAGCAGACTCCCGGCGGCGACGACCTTCTCAGCCATCCGCCCGACCTCCGTCCTGTTGCAGCACGCCAACAATATTCATTGATCAGCACGGGCATGATACACGGACGGTAGCGGGACGTACTGCTCCGCTATATGCTGGCGCAGTAGGTCGCCAGTAGAGAGCGACAAAATATCGTATTTCTTGACAAGGCGTGCGGACAGTGTGCCCTTCCCCGCACCCGGCTTCCCAAACATGAGCATGCGCAAAACCTTGTTTTCCCCATGGTCCGCATGGTCCCCCGGGTCGCTGGCGAGGGCCCCGGCGCGGCCATTATTCAGGGAAAAGGGTAGGGCTTTCTGTGCGGGGGCGGAATGTCCGAAGGCCCGACATTGCCGTGCGTGTTTCGGCCGAAGGGAAGAGGCAAGGGGTATGGAAGGAGGCATGCACGCGAGCTTCCTCCTATCGGGAGCAGGGTTTTGGTCGCTGGCGGCGCAGGATGGTGCTCTACGTCAAGCTCGAACGACTGCTGCAGTTTATCGACGTCCTTACACTTCCTGTTCTTTCCGAGACCTCATCCCCAAATCTCTGCGGCGGTCACGCGATACTGAACTCGACATCACCGGGCGCCCTGGGGCAGCCCAGACTCATATAGTCCTCCCTGACATCCCTCCTGACCTTGCCAAAGTGCTGAGATGTGGTTTTCACGTACGCTATTATGCGTCATCGCGCTCCAAGAGTGATAAAAACATGGACTTTAATACGTTTTCTCTTCCTCACGGATGCGGCTGAGCTCGAACGCTAGACTGCTGCTGGCCTTTCGAAGACCATCCAATCAAGTCCCTCATCTCCTTGACGCCAACCACGCCTTTCACATCGGGCCGTGCCTGGTCCACCGCGATGCATATTGCCTCGGCGACATGGTCGACATGGATGGGCGGAATGGTCAGCGCGTTGGCTATAGAATCCAGGGGGGAAGGCCCGACAAGTGGCGAAGGGTCGGAGGACGCCGCAGGAAATGCCGACGCCAACGACCGCAATACGCTTGATGGCGTCGGGAACCCCGACGGCGCTTTTGAATGGATCGTCGCAGACAGATCGAGCAGTGCTGCGATGGGCGAGGTGACGGGGCGAAAATGGGGATGGTACATCATACCTGCAGCCGCATGTCAGTATATGAAGCATCGAGTGGGGCGGGAGGCATACTCGGTCTGATGTATACCGCGCGGTAGTCAGGTCTGCCCTTCGTCATGTTCTCAATCCCAAGCTCTGCTTCTCTCTTAGTCTCGATGTAACGTGCTGAGATGAAGGGGCGAGTTGCATCCTCCGCTGAAACAAAGATAAACGGCCTCGGACCGTTCACAGGCACGCTGGGGGGGCTAGCGAGGAACGTCTCGCACACTCGCAATGCTGTGAAATAATTGATTCGGGACGGGCTCAGGTAACTTCCATATATTGTGAAACAAGCAATACGCACCAGCATCGCGGTTCAGCCGTTCATATTCTCCAGGTGCATCTCTCTTCTCCAGCGGGTTCGCCGACGACCCGCTAGCGGTGAGGTTAGAGACCAGCGTGCCCAGGAGCGCAGGCACATTTCCGTCCTTCAGTGCATTCTTATACCGCGTGTCGGCGAAGAGCGTGCCCGTCGTGTGCACTACGGCCGTCACACCGGGCAGCAAGTGCGCGTAGGACTCGGGCTGCAACGCGTCGCCCGTCCGCCACTCTATCTGGGAGATGAAAACGCATGAGTAAAGGCAGGCAGCTCGTAACTACGGAAGCGCAACACTTTGGATGTCCAGGCGGGCGAATGGCCCTTGGGCGTCGTGTATGGCCTGCCGGACGAACTGCAGAAAGCGTGAACGAGGATGATTGTGCCCTTACAACGAGGTCCTACCTGATGCTTGTTACCCGCATCCCGCGGGCAAGCGCCGCCCTGCAGACCGCGGAACCTACACAGTTGTGCTTCAGCTCGGGAGGTCCTCGCATCTCTGTACGGTGCACATACCTAGAAAACCGTTCCCACCGACCACAAGAATTTTCTGGATAACAGGTTCCATGTTGTGGAAATTTGGAATAACGAAGAGGAAAAGGGAAATTTCTGCTGTCGTGTCCCACAATACTCGAGAGCGCTCCAGTGTACACGAACCTGAACGTGACGTCACGCGTCAACAGCGCTTTCGGCGAATTACCGACTCGGACTCGGACAGTTGCTGCTCAGGTGCCCACATATCATAATGGTGTACAACAAATATTCGATACAGAACCTACGTATGGCACGCTATACACACGGATAAATGACGGGTCAACCAAAAGAATAGAGCGACAGCAAAATAACGCGGAAGGCGGCGTGAAAGTGTAAGGATGGACTGCAAGACCAAGGAAGGAATTCTAAGCCACCAGGGTCGTCACGTCGTGTTTCGGATATCTCTGCCGTCATCACACCAGAAGTTAAACAGCTTACGGGATCTGGTCCCGCACCGCACGGGGATTTCGCAGAAATGCCAGAAGGAAAGCGTCAACACAAGTAACCAGGAACAAGAGAAACCTAGTTCAGGTATTGCCAAGAAACTGTAAAGTGTGTCGCATTAGCAGGAGCGAATAAGAACGTACGCAGCGCAGAACTTACTCGGAACGATGCCTGTGCTCAGATCGGCAATGGCCTGGAAAGCAGCGACGGAAAGATCAATCGAGTTCGAGTTTCTGCACGTAGGGCAGTCGTCAGCAATGGTGACGGTTACGCTCTGGCCATTGTCTGTGTTGGTGATTAAAACTTGCTGACCACAGAGCGGCGAAGCGTTCCCAGAGTAGCCATAGAGAGCTTGGTCTGTCACGGTACATGGTCAGCTCACGTCGAGCAGATGAAAACAAGGATGCTGACCCATGGCGCATATGAAGTTGTAATCGCTATGTACAGTACCGCAAGCGCCTGCAACCCCATTCTGGTAGTAGTATGTCGCGCTAAGGAACACATGCGTGAATGAACCGCCCTTTGAGGAATATGGGATAACTTACAATCCGCCCCAGTTGACTGCATAGTCGGAAGAGAAAGCGTCCGAAGAAGCCGCAACTGCAGCAGGAGAAGATTTAGACAGCGATGGCGTCAAAGATAGAGATGTGGAGGGCGAAGGCGAAAGCGAAGATAAGGGCATAGGAAACGAAGTTGGCGTCGCGCACGATGAAGGAGGTACGGACGAGGTCGTAGCATGGGTGTGACGAGAGTGCGAGTGCGACGCCGGAGGGTCAGCGACCAATACCGGACTGGAAAGCGCACTGACAGGAGGCGGGACGACTGAGGTGGAAGCCGAAGGGATAGGCACAGGTGCGCTGGAGGGATCATCGTCGCAGTGACACTGATTGTACAGATCCTGTGTGCCACTAGGCCCTGCGGAGCTAACAGAGGAAGACTCGAGGAAGCACCCTGATGGGAGATCCTCGAGCGTTTCATTGGCCTACCATGGGAAGGGCTGAATATGAAGTTGCACTGCAGGGTGATATGACATACCGGCCAGCGACCACAGCACGCCGTGAAAAAAGAGGTGCGTTGCTTATTCCCGCAGTTGAGTGCCGAGTAACGCTCCTAGGATCATATGAGTGTTATGCGGAGATGAGAATGACGCCAAATGGGTAGCGAAGGAATGTAGTACCTCTATGTAATTCTTAGCAGAGGTTGAACGAACTGCGAAATCCCGCGCAGGGATGGCAACGCCGACCACGGAAAAAGCTGCGGCCAAGGCAATAAAAACGACAGAGAATAGGTGGAACATGGCGACTGGCGCTCGAGAGGTTAACGGGCGCAAAGGCAAGCTTGAAAAACAACCAGCAAGCGTGGCTTTAAGAGAGCGAGCACCGTGCCGAAGGATGAACGGATTTGGGGGAGGACATGCGGAAGATGCGCGTAAATAATTACCGTAAAAAACAGCACAGCTGAGGCGAGGAGAAGAGACGGAGAGAAAAGAAGGTCGGTGTACGTCTTGTTCAGGTAAAGCAAGGTCGAGGTGACGAGACATAAGGCCTTAAGCTTTAAGGGTGGGCGCCGGCATATGTGGTTTTATGTACGAGATTCCCAAAACCTTCGCTGACGGGGATGTCATGGACGTCCCAGCCTGGCCGATTTTTATCCTTGTTTATTCTAGGTCGAGTTCTTGCTACGACTAGGCCTCAGGTCCATTTTGCCTGCTCCCACCGCCCTCCTTGCGGCGTAAACATGACTGGATGAAAACTTCAGGTGCTGTCGGGACATGAGAGCGAGAGGACGAACCTAGAAATTTACATCTCATCACCTTGTCATCACCACCGGCAATGAGTACGGTTGACATGCAAGCAAAACGTTAACGTCAAACCTGCTAGCCGGTCAATATGCATGACGCGAGCGGTGATCTACCAGAATCTGAGCCAGCGCCGAGTCACCGCTCTATTTATGGCAATCGTCGCGGAGATACACCCGCAGCGCCAGGGTGGCTGTGAGAGCGCAGTGTCCTGAACTTCGACAGCAGATACCACCTCCTCACATTTCACGAACGACATGAGTATGTCACAAATATCCTCATCGTCTTCTTTTCAACTAACCACGCATGCAGACGACATACCAGAAAACCCATTTGCATCTACCCATTCATTGGATACAAATCCCTTCGAAGACCCTGTCTACCCCTCATCGGCATCTAGCATCCACAAGGACGACCATTCTGTACGGCTTGAAGAGCTCAACCAGCGAGAGCGGGATCTCGAGCGGAGAGAGCAAGAATTGACTCAGCAGTCCGAACACATCAGGAGGTTTGGACGTAGCAACTGGCCGCCATGTATGTGTCCTTTTGGTGTCTGGCAGGATACGACGCTCTGAACTTCAAATCTCATCTTCAGTTTACCCCCTAATCTTCCACTCAATTAAGGACGAAATTCCCGAAGCCTCACGGCTAGTGATCACCCGTCTCTACCAGCTATGGCTTCTACTTCTGGGGACACTACTTATCAACATGATTGCGTGCATATTCATTCTCACTGGAGGGTCAAGTGGTGGTGGCAGCGATTTGGGCTCGAGTATCGGGTAGGCATATAAGCGATGGTCTCCAGCCAAGCCTGACATTCTACCGGCAGGTATCTGATCGTCATTCCCCCGCTTTCGTTCCTATTATGGTACAGGTAAGTATCCAGTATACGCGGGGCCCACTGACTCTGATGTGATGTATGTCAGACCCATCTATAATGGCTATATGAAGGTGAGTCTCTACGCTAGGATGATACCCTCCTTCTGACAAGGTTGCAGGAGCAAGCCCTATATTACTGTGAGTTGCTTCCTCTACGCAGGTTGAGGATAATCTCAGATCTTCTCAGATATGTACTTCGTGTTCTGTGGTTTCCATCTTCTGTACTCTGTGTACATGTATGTATACTTCCTATTCTATCTTCACAAGGTTGACAATTGAGCTTTATCAGGATTATTGGAATTCCAAGGTATCGAGAACACGCTACCTAACAACGCCAGCGGTGCTCACGGTTGTTGCAGTACTGGTGCCGCCGGCATCATCCAGACCATCAAGATGTATGTGGATCATCGCTGGGTAGCGGCTATTCTAGGCACAATCGCAACTGTGGGTTGGGTGTTACAAGGCGTTGGTCAAGGTCTCTACTATCGTCAGGTGGGTCGTGCGATGTTGTTTACAGACACCGAAGGTCATCGTTTTTTTGTAGATATGGACTCACCACAAAGCGGCCGGCCATTCCATCGAAAAAGTAAATATTCCTTTACACGTGTTCCATGTAAGGATGCGGGCTGATTCTGCGTCAGGCGAAGACCGAGCTGGCTACGCACGGAGCGAAGGCGTACTTCACGCGGGGTTAGGACGCTGGCAGTTCATTCCTCGTTGGACGATGTTTTACTTATGTAGTGGGACCCGATATCTTGTGTATTGTGTGGTTCGAATGGTGACATCGTCGTGATGATCAAGTGCAGATACCAACGAGCGTCAGACTCAGAGCAACGCAGTGGCGGTGGCTGCACATCGGTCGGAGTTTGAACCGGGGAGCTCTTACAGGGCAGCCCGCGCGTTGATCCTTTTCTCTCAACCACCACCTAAGGTCTGTCCTCCCTCACGCGTCCAGATCATCGACTCACCCCTCCCTCTCTTCCAGGGAAAAAGCATTCAAAAAAATTCTATACGTAAAAAATCTCAAAAAGCAGTTGCCTTGTCGCCTCCTGTGTGCGTTTTCTTTACCGTCTCGTCTTCGACGCGTTCTGACCACCCAACGCGCAAACAGTCGCAGAAAAGTCCTCAAAGCAGTAACGACCCCCCATACACTAAAAAGAAAATGTCTGCGTCTCCTTCCGTCGCCACTCCTCAGGACGCCATCCCCCAGGGCCATATTCCTGAGGCCGCCGCTCCTCCCGCCCCTGCACCTGTGGCCGCCGCCTACAACCCGCCTCCCCCGCAGATGCCCTCCCCATCTGCGTCCCTGTACGTCGGTGAGCTCGATCCCACCGTGACGGAGGCGATGTTGTTCGAAATCTTCAATATGATTGGCCCCGTGGCGAGGTATGTGCCGTTGATTTTGCCTCGGTGGCGGGCGCTGAAGCTCGTATATGCGCAGCATTCGCGTCTGTCGTGACGCCGTTACCCGTCGCTCCCTTGGATATGCGTATGTTAACTACCTCAACGCGAGCGACGGTGAGTGACCTTTCCGTTCGCCACCGCGCCTTCTCTAAGAGCTAATTTGACCTAGGCGAGCGTGCCCTTGAGCAGTTGAACTACTCCTTGATCAAGGGCCGTGCCTGGTGAGTAATTCTCGTTCAGTTGTTCTTCGACATCCTTGATGGACGCGTCTTTCAGCCGTATCATGTGGTCTCAGCGAGACCCTGCCCTGCGCAAGACCGGCCAGGGCAACATCTTCATCAAGAATCTTGATGAACAGATCGATAATAAGGTGGGTTTTGTGCGATGTGCCCGTCCAACACCGCTGACGTTGTCGAGTCAGGCCCTCCACGATACGTTCGCAGCCTTCGGTAACGTTCTGTCGTGCAAGGTCGCTACTGACGAGCATGGCCGTTCCAAGGGTTATGGTTTCGTGCACTACGAGACCGCTGAAGCCGCTGAGACCGCCATTAAAGCCGTTAATGGCATGCTTCTCAATGACAAGAAGGTGTATGTCGGCCACCACATCTCTCGCAAGGTTAGTGGCGTGTGTGTGCATCACACCTTGTTGTTGCTTATTTTACCATTTACAGGAGCGCCAGTCGAAGATCGAGGAGATGAAGGCTCAGTTCACCAATATCTACGTCAAGAACATCGATCCGGAGGCGACTGAAGAGGAGTTCAATGAGCTCTTCAGCCAGTTCGGCCATGTCACCTCTGCAGTGGTTCAGGTCGATGACGAAGGGAAGAGCCGGGGCTTCGGCTTCGTCAACTTCGAAAACCACGAGGACGCCCAGAAGGCGGTCGAGACTCTTCACGACTCGGAGTTCAAGAGCAGGAAACTCTTTGTCACTCGCGCGCAGAAGAAGGCCGAGCGCGAGGAGGAACTTCGCAAGTCGTACGAAATGGCTAAGATGGAGAAGATGAGCAAGTACCAGGGTGTCAACCTCTATATCAAGAACCTCGAAGACGATATTGACGACGATCGTCTCCGTGCCGAGTTTGAGCCTTTCGGTAACATTACCAGCGCGAAAGTGATGCGCGACGAAAAGAACAGCTCCAAGGGGTTCGGCTTCGTCTGCTTCTCCTCGCCGGACGAAGCGACTAAGGCGGTCGCGGAGATGAACAACAAGATGATTGGCTCCAAGCCTCTTTATGTGTCTCTTGCGCAGCGTCGCGAGGTCAGAAGGCAGCAGTTGGAGAGCCAGATTGCCCAGCGCAATCAAATCAGGATGCAACAGGCTGCCGCTAGCGGACTCGCTGGAGGATACATGAACGGCCCTCCTATGTACTACCCTCCCGGTCCTGGCGGTTTCCCACCTCAGGGTGGCCGCGGCATGATGGGCTACGGTCAACCTGGTATGCTACCTCCTCGTCCCCGATATGCTCCTGGCGGCCAGGTCCCTGGCATGCCTCTTCCTGCTCCGTACGGCCAGGTTCCCCCTCCGGCATATGCGGGCATGCCTGGATACCCTCGTGGCGCGCCGCGACCTCCCCCCGGCGGTCGTGCCCCTCCGCCCGCTGATGCCAACCTCCCTGCTCCCAACGGCGGGGCTCCTCGCCCTGCTGGTCTGCAAGGTGTTGCTGCGACGCGGCCCCCGGCCGGTGCTGCTGTGGCTGCCGCCACTCGTGCCCAGCCGTATAAGCAGGTGCCCCCTGCTGCACCAGTACCTACGGGCGTCCCGGTCCCTGGTGCAGAATTTCCCGCAATCACTCTCACCTCGGAGGCGCTTGCCAATGCGACGCCGATGGAGGGTAAGCAGATGCTCGGTGAAATTATCTACATGCGGATTGCGCCGTAAGTCCTCTGGTCATTGCTTCTTCATGAGCGGGATGTCTGATCTATCCTCGCTGCAGGTCTCAGCCGAAGTTGGCCGGCAAGATCACCGGGATGTTGCTCGAGATGCCCAACCAAGAGCTCTTGACGCTTCTCAAGACCCCCGAGGCGATGGCTGCCAAGGTCAGCGAGGCTTTGAATGTGCTCCACGAGTTCTCGCAGAGGGAGATTGCTGAGAATAAGGAGGCAGCTGATGACAACGAGATTGCTGAGGGCCAGTAAGAAGATCGCCTTCATTTCCTGGCAGGGGTGGCATCAGGAAGTGCAGTGCAATGGTCATTCTTTCGACTGGCTTTTCGCGTTTTCTATCATTCCCATTTCTTTCTTCACCCCCTCTTTGCTACTTGCTCTGTTCGCTTTCATACTAGCTGACGGGGTTTGTGGTGGTCGTTCCTTTGCTGTGTATTTAGATCTGAGGAACAGGAGTTGTGGCTTGCTGCACTGGAATTGCGACTGTAAGAGCTGAATAAGTTGAACATGCAGTCAACATGAAATTGTAAGGTGAAGATTACAGTACAACATCGGCATGATATGCTACAGTCCCTAAAGATAAAGCGTACGACTTGAGGAGGCATCGTCCGGCGTTCAACGCCCACCTCCCATACCTCCCATACCCATCATCTTAAACATGTCGCTCATGTTGGGCATACCGCCGCCCAGGCCCCCCAGCCCGTTGCCCATTTGCGCCATCATCCCTGTCAATGACGAAATTAGAATCAAAACGTGCGCGAACAAATTCACAAGAGGATACGTACGCTGCATCTCCTCCATGTCCATCTGATCTCCACCCTGCCCTTGCATCATGGCCTTCATCATCTCCTGCATGCCACCGCCGCTGCGCATCTGGCGTTGGAGTTGTTGCAGCATGCCAGGCGGCATTGCTCGCTGAAGAAGGGAGACTGCGTCAGCATTTCGCCGGGTGGGTATATCGCAGACACCCACCTGCATAGCCTGTACTTGCGCCGGTGTCGGCATGCCATTCGCGCCCCGTCCGCGCCCCCCTGCAGCCGCTTGCATCTTCTGCATCGCCTGCAGCCATCCGTTCTTGCCTCCGGCTTGCTTCGCCATGTTTGCCATCATCCTGTATTGACATAGAAGCTCCTCCACCTCGCGCACGCTCGTCCCGCTGCCCCGCGCGACGCGCGTTACCCGCCAAGTCAGACCAACTGGCTTGCCGTCTTTGCCATGCTCCATGAAGAGAGCCCCGTCCGAGTCAAGCTCGGAAGAGGTCATGCTATCGGAAATATAGATCATACGCTTCATACGCAAAGACCCTTCCTCGTCCGATCCTTGCAGCAGGTCTTGGGGCAGTCCGGGAATCATGGAGGCGATTTTAGATAAAGGTCCCCTGTAACGTGCCTTGGTGAGGAATTCGCAGGGAGACAGACAAATTCGCACATGTTCATAACATTCTGTATCTGCTCCCTCCAATCACGGATGCTCAGCTTACCCTCTTCTAGCTTCTTCGCCATTTCTTTCTGCTTGTCTGGATTTTGCGTCGCTATGTCTTGCATGTGTTCCATAAGACCTTGGACGTCTCCCAGTCCAAGCAACTTGGAGATGAATGGTTGTGGGGAGAATTTGTCCAAGTCGTGCAGATGCTCGCCCACACCGAGGAAAATAATTGGCGTCTTCGTAGCAGCGACGCTGTGAAAAGATGTCAGCACAGAATATCCAGCCTACTACGGTCCTACGCACGCAGAGATAGCACCTCCACCTTTTGCGTGCCCATCCATCTTAGTGACGATGATCGCTCCGAAGTCTGCACTTTCTTTGAACGCGCGACTTTGCGCTTCAGCCGCCTGACCTAGCGTATGAGTGAGCTCGGCTCGCATATCTGTCGTGGAGATGCACTCACCGATGCTGGCGTCTAGAATCATGATGGTCATGTTAGGCTTGACCGCCTCGGAGATTTGTACCATCTCCTCGAACAGTTCAGATTCTTGCTTATGACGACCAGACGTGTCCACGATAATAACATCGAACCGCTCCTTCTTGAACTTCGCCACACCTTGCGCGGCAATACTTACAGGGTCGGTCTCAGTGTACGAGCCAAAGTATGCTACTTTCGCTTTGGTCGCAGACTGTCGGGTTTGATCAAAAGCACCAGCACGGAACGTGTCTGCGCATACTATGCATGACTTAAAACCACGCTTCTGGTAGTAGACCGCGAGCTTCGTGCAAGTAGTAGTCTTTCCGTTACCCTTTTCGCCAGCTGAGAGTTAAAGTGTGCGCAGATCGGGATGAGGGCGCACGTACCTGCAAACCCACGGCCATAATGACATTGGGCTGACCCTTCTTGGGCTTGTATGGCTCTACACCGGGGTCGACGAGCTGAACGAGCTCATCGAATATCGCCTGTCAAATTGTGAGCCGCATGCACTCGACAAGACATGCCTTGCATCTACTTTCTGAACAATGCTCTTCCTATTTGCTTCCTTGCCTTTATCCGCCCCACCCTCCAGAGACGCTTTCACCTTCGCTTTCACCTTTTGTCGGAGTGTCGCCACTAGTTTGACGTTAACATCGGATTCGAGTAAGGCAGCGCAGACTTCTTTCAGCAATGCATCGAGGACCTGAAATATATAGCTCAGTGTCCCATCTACATAACAACGGACTCGAGCGGACCTTGTCATCGACAACTGGTGCTCGGTTGAGAGATGACAGAGCAGCATTGAGCTTGCGCCCTAGGTCGGCCAACACCATCGCAATGGATTGAGGACAAGTGTCGATCAGAGCACGTTACACCGCGTCGCAGTAGGCGCCCATCACTTCACCGATGCTACATCGTTCTCGTATGGGATGGGACCTCTCTCCATACCATTACCATCATGGCTCACAGCGACTCCGAGGATGAGATCAATGACGACGCTGAGTACGACCGGACGACCGAGGCTGATGACGACGTGGAGGACGATATCCTAGATGCTCTCGAAGGCGACTTGGCTGCGGCTGCAGCTGCCGAAGAGGCCTCAGAAGATGTGCGCTCCATTATTTCTTGGAACTGCTCGTACTTATGTTGTGTCTTGCAAGGACTCTTATTCTGATGACTCCGACGGTGGTTCCGATGACGAAGACGCAGAGGACGAAGCACATCCGCCACAGAAACCAGTGCCAGACGTCCGGGAAGCACGATCCTCTGCATCGCCTGTGAAAGCTGCTACCCCGCCAAGGGAATCTCCAAAAGCTGAACGTAGGTCACTATTACCTGACCCGGTTGGTACTTGTTGACGGCCATTCATACTGTTCAGCTGTGCCATTACGGCGATCCCTCTCGCCCGCTCAGGCTCGGAGGGAAAAGTTAGTGAACGAGATCCAATGGCCGAGGTCATACACTGTCGAGGCCATTTGCGCCATTCCCCATCCCGTGCCCACTCACTGTCTTGCGTCGTCGGCCTGTATGACCCACTTGTTGACTGGTTCTGAAGATGGTTATATTCGAGACTATGACGTGTTTGCCGCTGTGAATAACAAGGTTGTCTTGACTGCACCACAGAGGCATCATTGTGGCGTCATGGAAGGCGACATGAAGGCTGGGCAGATCAAGTGCTGGTGGGAGAATCTGGCTGATGTGGGCTCAAGCATAGCCCCAGAGGAGCCGCCATTATCACCAGTATACAGTCTGGCGATGCACTCGGATGCCTTATGGGCCCTCGCTGGTTCGAAAGTAAGTTTGGTCCTACCCGTAACCCTCACACTCGATTTTAACAATGCGACGCAGCTCGGCCACATAAATTTATTTACAGTCCGCCATGATCCTGGTCAATTGTGCCATGTTATGAGAGGCCACCGCGGCCCTGTCTCGGCTCTCGCTATGCAACATGATGAGATGGGGTTCTTCAGCGCTGGATGGGATGGCGAGGCTGTAGTAAGTTTAATTTTGCCCTTCACGGCCTTAATAGCTCACAGAAAGATATGTCACCTGTAATGGCCACCTCACCAGCAATGGGACCTCAATACCGGTCAGAATGTGCGAACTTTTACGGCGCATGGGGCTCAGCTAGCCGCAATTGCAGTGCGGCCTCTTGTATCCGACTTCAGTGGATATCAGTGGAGCACGCCTCCATCAAGGGTGAATCAACTCCCATCAACGTACAGCGAAGACCCACCGGCAACTTACCAGAACGCAGCGACTAACGGGCGTTCCATGTCTACGGGAAACGGATCAGCAGGCTACCATGCTCCATATTTTATCAATGGTAACGGACGTGCTGACCAAGTTCAAAATGGTATGCCTCAACAGCGGGACGAGGATGCAAAGTCTGACACGTCGTTCGACCCACTGTTCGATGACGAGCCTGATGCCGATGGAGAATTGGACCAAGAAGATGGCCCACAGCAGCCACCGGCTTACGGTTCATCATATCCCCCAGCTGCACCGCAGATAGCTCCTCAGACTCCGCAATATTCAACGCCTTTCTCGAATGCCCAACCATCGCAGTTCCAGGCAAATGGTCGCACTGTCTCCGGGACCGTTGCTGCACCCAAAAACGGGCCTCCTATTCTAGATCCAACATCCTATACAGCATTCTCCCCGGACGTGCTTATGACTGCATCAGTTGATGGACAGGTCATCCTCTGGGATACACGGGTGCAATCTTCTGGTCACGGTGTCGGTAGGCTATGGATGAGCGAGAAGACACCTCCGTGGTGTGTTTCGGTATGTCGACGGGGTACACGAACGGCTCATATCGATACTGATACTGAAACTCCCAGGCGTGCTGGTCAGCCGATGGCGCACAGATCTACGCAGGCCGAAGGAATGGCACGATAGACATCTGGGATGTTCGGCAGACGGGACGCACTGCATCGGGTATCCCGAAGATCTTGAAGACCCTGCGTAATCCAGTCAGCTCGGGTGTCGTGTCGTGCGTTGTGGCTTTCCCGGACGGCCGACATCTCGCCTGGTAAGCTATCACAAGTACGCCGAGGTCGTGCGATACTGATCATGCCTTAGCGCTTCGAACGACAACATTCGGTTGTGGAATGTGGCGGAAGCTGGCGAGCCAGATGCGTGGGGCAAGATGAAGAGTGGTGTCCAGTTCAAGATCATTCCTGGGCATCACGGTGGCTATATCTCCCAGATGTGTAAGATATGCCTCTCCTGCGCTATTTTCGATAACTTACTTACTCTCTGTTTACAGTATTGGATCGAGCGGCGAGGTTCCTGGTTAGTGCAAGCAGCAACCGAGGGTGGCATGGTGAATCTACAAAGACTGTATTCGTACACGAAATCAAACATTTGAGGTGACCACACATGTCCCCCGCCTATCGGGAAGTGATCTGGCCGAATACGGAAGGTGAAGTCGGTCAGCCCTCAACCACACAACAACTCATCCCTCTCTTCCCCTCAAACATCAATAAAACCACTCTGGTTACTGGTGACGGTTTACTACCTTGAGGCTGAGCGCATGCTGGTTTCCTACGGCGACAGACTTGGCTCTGGTTCTTCGGCGGTCTGCTCTGGGTGTTTGTTATCAGGTAGGTCGAGTCAGACGAGGCGCGCGTATCTTACACGCGATCGCCGCGCCCTACGAAGCGTGAAGAACGTCCGAGATGTGCATGGGGAGCTGTGGGTGCGCATGTCTCAGGCTTTCGTCGCGCTTCTAGGGTGTAGCGACCGCGGAACCTTCGAGCTGACACCACTGGGTCGCAGGCTTGTTTTCTGCGCCATGCTGTTTCTGGCGACTGGCAACATATCTTTTCTCTGGCGACGGGCTTCTTTTATGGCCGTCTGACTGGTTCGCTCTCCGGCTAGTGCTCTGTTCCTGGGCTGCAGGTTCGTATTGGCTTCGTTTTCAGTTGTCGGTGCATCTTTTTTGTCGATGTCTGCACTGTTGTGGATATACTCGTGTATCTGTTGTTGTGGTGCTGTATGTAGAGTCTGACGTACATGTCCAGGTGGCGCTGATGTGGGTTGGTTGCAGCTTCTGTCGAGCCTGGGCACATTGTATTCTCGAGGGAGGGCGAGTGAACACTCGTCCTGGCGTGGACCTTTTCGTGGTCCTCGGGATAAGTACTCCTTGGGATCCTGTGATCTCAAGCGAGGAAACCAACCGCGCCTTATTACACTTGTATTACGAGCTCAAGACCTATTCCAATATGTAGGGCCCGTTGAACTCCATTTACTTTATTTCTCGATAATGGACAATGCTTTTTTCTACTGAGCCTTTGCCTTTGCCTGTCCCTTCTTCCATAGCTTCTTCTTGACTGAAGCCGCAGATTTGTTCCCGAAGATGAAGGCAGAAGTCCGTTTATCTGCGCCTGTCTTTTTCGAGATGTACGATGACCCTGCGAACATCTCCTGCGGCGAAGAACATTACTCATTGCTGCTCCATCATTCTCGTACGAGTGCTTACCGTCCACAAGCCCCAGACTCCAACGGTCGCAGAACCTGCAAATAGGAGGAGGCCCAGAGACCCTACGGATCTCGTATTATAGGATATAAACGCTATGAGAGCGCATGCGCCGGCGAGGGGCCTTAAGAGCGGATGTCCTGGAGCGCCTTGAGGTGCTGTGGTCTGCGGCAATACTGACGTAGGGATCTGATAATGGAAGGGGTCATGGTCAATTCAATCGGTCAGCGGGAGACTAGTGTGCTACGACTCACATTGAATACGAGCGCGAGAGATATAGCGACCAGCAGAATTCCGACGTGCAGGGAGAGGAAGGACTCCAGGGGAGTAAGTGCAACTCGCCGCTCGGGAGCGCTTGTCTCGGAGGCGAAAAGGACGAATTGAGGGAACAATATCAGAGGTACGGCAGCCGAAAGGAACCTGGTACGGTGTCACGCTTAGCTATGGCACAAAACACGACACTGCATGGAACATACAGTGCACTTGCTCCCCATGCCCAGTAAGCCACCGTCTGGTCGTCGTTCTGTGGGCTGTCGGGCTGCTCGTTGGGTGCGGTGTCCTCGCTTGTTCCTTCGGAATATGGGACACGTCTGGATAACTCCTCCAACTCAATATCAGCAGACATGATGGTTACATTGAAGAAGCACTCGACACGCCTGCCGGCAAACATGGCGCAGTCGCAGCACGAAATAGGCGTGCAGTGACGTCACGGCGCTTAATCCTGCGAGAAATAGGATTGCTATCAAGTCAAGAGCGAGGAGAACACTAAACTACACCTGGGTACGATACGAGGATTGCACAGAGAGAGCATATCATCAATACATAGTGAACAACAAAAGATACCGAAAGATCATACACTATCACCAACCCTGCTCGCCCCACCCGCCGGACTCCTGGATCATCTGCGCACGCGCGGGATTCATACCCGCAGGTACAGAAGGCGGCGGATGCTGCTGAGGGTATCCGGAAGGTCCTGGTGGTCGGGCAGGATATCCGGGTGTTTGATAACCATACGGCGTTTGAGGCGGAAGCCCAAATGACGATGCTGGAGGCGCTCCAAATCCAGCTACTGGTGTTGCACTTGGTTGTCCTCCATAGGGATTTGGTGTCCGACTATTCGCTTGTCTCACCGACAGGTGACCTGGAGTCGCGTGTCCCGGTGCTGGTGTTCGAGCAGGTGTACGACCACCGTAAGGTGTCTTGCCACCAAGACCACCTCCACCGAGATTTTGGGATTCATGGATGTGTCTGGACGGCGACATGAGTATCACGCTAAAATAAGGGAACAAACCGTTGTTACACTGACCTGACTTTAAATGCATCACATAGTTCAGACACTCCAGTAGCTGGTGTATCGAACAGGTAATACGCTTCTGGCGTTACTCTGACAGGCTGAGCGGACATGAAATGAGAAAACAGTCACTTCAAACGTGTAAGGCTTCACATACCCAAGTCTGCACCGTGGAGTTCTTACTGGCCAAGAAGCAGAGGTTGAAGTGCCCTGCTCGTTTCCGATTCAGAGTGAACCCGTATGCGCTCTTCGCCGGATTGGCAGCTACGAAATTCTTCAAAAAGAGATCTAGATGTCTGTGTCAGCTTACACATCACAAAATGAGATCCATGAAGTGCCTGCCACTCACGAAGATCATCCTCGGATCCTTGCTTGAATTTCTCGTGAGCCATCAATTCTTCTACCTTCCGAGCCATGGCTTGGACGTGATTCACGATCAACTCATCAAGATCCGAGAACTGATGTCCGCCTTCCACAATAAACTTGGTTCCCAAAGTTTGGCCAGTGGGGTCAGCGTTTGGCTCGACAACGTCTAAGACCGCATCAGCTGTGTTATTACCAGAACGACAAACTGAACATACCAATGTGCTGGAATAGTTTGTCGTCAACTTTCCATGTCACGGCAAGATGGTCTATGCCCTTGGATGACGGTCGGATCACAACATCACCGCGCTGCTGCTTGTCGAGATACTGCTCTGCCTGCTGGGCATTGAAGTTGTGGAAGTTCGGATGCTTGATGACCCTACGTGTCCGATCTACCTCAGCTCTCTTCTTCCTAGCCTGCATCTCCGTATCCCGATCGTGCTGGGCATGATTCCAAGCTTCGTCGTGCTTGACACGGCGGAACTGGCTGTCACCCGCGTTCACGTCTGTAGGTCGCGAAGACAGCTCGACCCAGAAGTAGTCGTTCTGCAGACTGAGCTTCACGTCGATGATGACACCGGGGATCGTTTGCCCCTTCTTTACAACCTTTTCAGGGTCCACTGCTTGGTCGGCAAGGTATGAATTGTTGATGATGCCATCTATGCCTGAATCCAAACGCACTGCCACGAAAGTGGGTTTGACACGCATGACGAGCACCGACACGATCAAGCCAACTCGCAGTGTACGTGGGGTCTCGCCCGTCAGCATCGTCAAGACGTCCCAGTCGGTCGGAAGAGGGAAGGGATCGCGTACTTCCCCGAAAGGCTTCAGTAGCTCAGAACGAATTACGTTCAATGTATGGCGCTTTTTGTCCTGGTTTGTCTCGTACATGTTCACTGCAAAGTCATCCAGATTCAGCTCGTCCAATTTCTTGTCATTGTCCTCGTCTTGCATGATGACTGACACGACGTGTGAAGGATGCTCCTCGTGGATATCCTCCTCGTCGAGCTCCAGTGCGTCTGTTGCCATTTTACGTGCCAACTCGTAATCCTCTGGGTGTATCCGAGTGTTGTCGAGGGGATCTGGAACATCGACATCTTCGTTGTGGCGGTTCTTCGGCGGCTTCGTCTCCGCATCCTGGATGATCCGCAGGAAACCAGCAGCGTTGAGGAAGATCTTCGTGGTCAGGAAGCCATTCTTGATAAATTGATCACGATTGATCAGATTGCCACCCTGCGGCGGAAGGATCAAAAGGAGTGTCACGCATAACAGAGCAAAGACTTACGATAGAAGCGATCTTCCTGACCAAGACTTGTGCTTTACGAGGACCCAAGCCACATACGAACGGCAGAAGATGTTGGTAATAGGAATCGGTAACCGCGCGATTGACGTCTACTCCGAGCTTATTGGTGACGTCGACCAGCACCCGCTCAAAGGCAGACAGTAGCTTCTCCTTAGGTACCTGCAACAACAAGTCAGAAAATGTCAATACCCTTGGGAAGGAGTGGCTCACCAACTGCTGGTTATCTTCGTCAAACATGATCGCTGTAATATCAGTCCCAAGGGCCGCAAACTCGTTGACGGGACTCTGTGTATACCTGGCCAGTCCCACGCAATACTTGGCAAGAGGCGATAGAGCACTGAACTCCTCCGCGGCACGTTTGCTGTGCTGATACATGCGAGCCACCTCGTCGAAGATATAAATGACCGGTATATTGATCGGCTCTTCCACATGAGCACTCTCATCTGTGGGTTCCCCTTTCAATAGCTCCTTCACGCGCTGCGAAAGTTTCGCGGTGGCAATGCTAAATCCGCCGAGGACGATGACGTCGGGCTTTCGCCTCTTGATCATATCCATGAACTCATCTTTCGAATCGGAGTCCGTAAGGTTGTCCAGCCGCGTGTGTTCACGAAGTCGCCCAGCTTCATCCATAAAGATCATCTGAATGACGTCCTTGTGTGGCTCACCCTTACCCCATGACATGGCCAGGACAGAAGGAGTGTCGCCAACTTGCATATCAGACGTGCCATAAGGAGCGACGTCAACTCTCTACACAATGATCAATCACTGGCAAGTCGATATGACAAAGGTGAACGGTGCTCACTTCACGCAGACCGTGGGCACAGCGTTCCGTCAAGAAGTCTTCCGCTTCTTCACGAATCCATTCTCGTGTCCACTTGACACCTATAGGCAGTAGATGCTGCTCAAGTGCCTCCTGAACAACGCGAGAACGTTCCTCGTTCCATGCGTGAGCCGTCTGGCTGAAGCCGTCAGAAGCAAAAGCCTCGTTCAACCTGCGTTCAAACGAGGCTTTCGCATCTGCTGGTAGGGTGATGGATACTGTCACCAAGTGCTCTGCCTCTGCCGCTAGGACGTGGAGAAATTGAGCCGACTGAAGCATATCGGAGGCTCTTTTGTTGTGGAGGTACTTGAAATTCTGCACATACAAAACAGCTAGTGAAGCTACAAACAAATCGGATAGACAGTACGTGAATAACGCACGAAGTAAGGATGGTGTTCGTCAACTTTGGACACACCACGCTCTGTCGGTAACACAGAGACCAATGCATCGGACTTGAAAACATTGCGCATCTCTTGTCGAAGAAGAGGGTCCTTTCCTAGTTCTGTTGCCAGAATCATACGTGCACGGGCAAGTAACTCCTCTGGAGGTTGCGCACGACTGGAGTGGGGATCAGCAAATTGTTCAGCGTACGCCAATGGGTTCAGATCAGGCTCGTCCAGGAAGTGTGAATTATTGACCGCAATGAAATTCAACACAACTTCGTGAACTTGGATGCCGAAACCCTGTATGATCATAAGTTTCCCGCTGAAACAAGAGGAAAGTTGCGACTTGCCTGGGCCAGCTTGGACACTATGCTCTTCTTCGCCATCTCGTAGGCAGAGACACGGCTGGGCAATTTTCGCTTCTTGACTTCCGGGTGCTCCTCGTCGTCATGAAAATGAAGCTCGAACTTGTCCTTCTTGGATTCCCGATATTTCATTCCCAACCATTCCGTAGCGTCAGTAACCATCTCAACATTTTCGATCCTCTTGCGGACCTCATTGTCGAAGTAGTCGTCCTTGGCACCTAGCCGCGAGTACAAAGCTTCTAGTGTTTGCCGGCGTTCCAACAGAGAACGGTATTTCTGACCGACAGCGTAGACACGCCAAAGCTCTTCCAAGCTGAGGAGCTCAACACGTGTCCGTAGGTCCTGAGGGTTGAAGTACGAGATGTAGTCTCGCTTGTGAGTCCATATATATGGTACCTCAAATTCCTGGACGAAGAGAAACCGAAGGGCATTAGAAATGGCCTCCACGAGATCTCGAAGGTAATGGTGGTATGGCCCGTCGCCTCGGAAGAAATCGCGCTCCTTTCGGGGCGATAACCGCGTGATGACCCATGATGCGGCGTCATCAATGTCATTGTCGCCGAGAGGCTTATATAGGGATAGGGTAGATGATTGGGACAATGACGATGTTGCGAGTTGCATGCGCTCGGGAATGTCTTGTGCACGGATTAAATCATCGTCTTCTGTTAGAAGGCGTGCCTGAATCTCGGAAGGTTCAAAGACCTGAAAACGCGCGTGAAAAATAGAAACAGGTATATCGTATGGGAACACATACGTCTTGGTACTTCATTTCCGGCTTAACTTGTTCCTCATCGTACGGCACTTCGTCGTCGTCGACCAGAGCCCAATCGTAGTCGTGACCGTCTCCAAAGACTTCGTGAATCTCGTCCCAAGCACTGCAGAGGTCATGTAAACGTATAGCCGGGTACTAAACAGTGAACACTGACTTGGCATCGATACCTGCAAGCTCCGGTCGAGAACCCATTGCTTTCCGACGTGCCTTCTCCAGCCTCCTCCGCTCCTTTCGTCGTTCCTCGCGTTCATCCTCATCCATAGCACCACTAGTCTCTTCCTCATCTTCGTACTCGATGAAGTTGTCCATGTCATCCATGTCCGCGTCTTCCTCATCTTCCCTGCCTGCGGCGGCCCTCTCGTCATCCCAGATGTTTTGAATATCCTGGACTTGGGGAAGATCAAGATCATCGTTGTCCAAATCATCTTCGGACGATTCTATGACGGACTTCCGCTTCGATGAGGATGGGACAGGTGGGGACTCAGAGTCCCGAGCACGACGAAGGCGAGTCAACCTGTTCTTGAACGAGGCCCCAGTATTTTCCTCGAGAAGTTCCAAGTCATCCTCTTCCAAGGCTTCCTCTTCCTCCTCCTCCTCCTCTCGCTCTGATAACATGTAGCGTGAGTATGTTTGTGGAGAAATGAGTAGCCCGCGTACCTCGTTGGTGACGCCTCTTTCGCCGCTTCCGTCGTCTCCGTCGCTCTTCCTCGTCATCTGCCTCTGCCTCTTCATCCTCATCCTCGTCCACAATGAAGTCTTCCCTTATACGTCTCGCTTCATCTTCGTCTTCCTCTGGCTCCTCTGAGCTATCGTCTGAGACGTCCGGGCTGGCAACAGCGTCGCCTTCGCCTTGAGCTGTTCCCTCCATGGGATCATCTTGGTCTGCGCGGTGAGTCTCCGATTCTGGATCGCCCATGGGAGAAGACATGGTAGAATGTTGAGTCAACCCGTGTACAAGCAGTATGCGGTACTTTGAGGCGCTTACATATTGCTTACATAAAGAACTCGCAGCTTTCCCTTAGCGCCCATCTTTCTAACTACCACTGCGTGTATGAAGGTCTCCTTCTCCCTTACCAAAAGCAAAGCAAACGCTTCCCACCCTGTTGGAGATGTTCCTTCTTTCAAGCGTCCGACAGCGTTTGCATCTCTGGATGACGAAGAACCTGTTGATGCCGCTCACACTGCGTCCACTAGCAGTAAGGCTGGTGTAAACAAGCGGCTAGTCCCACAGAACGTCGAGTTATCAAAACCTATGAAGAAGAAGCTGGAGGCAGAGATGAATGTTGACTCTACAGTATTCCAATACGACGAAGTTTGGGAGAAGATGCAGGAAGCTAAGTTGCGACAGAAGGAGGCTAAGGAAGTGGATGCCAAACGGCGAAAGGTGAGTTCATATTTCTATACCTTCAACCGTATGTCTTCCTTGAACACTGATTTACTGAAGTTATTTCCAGCCCAAGTACATTGGCGGTCTCCTAACATCTGCTGCGACTCGTAGACTGGACCATCTCCGAGCTGAAGAGAAGATGATCCAACTGGAGCGAGAGGCCGAGGGAGATGAATACAAGGACAAGGAAGCATTTGTCACGCAGGCATATAAAGATCAAATGGCCGAGTTACGGCGAGCAGAAGAGGAGGAGAAAATGCGTGATGGTAAGCCGTGTACTTGCTTCCCGGTGAATGTGGTATATTGAGAAATTTAACAGAGTTAGAGAGAAACAAAAACAAGGGGATTGGCGCGGGGATGGCCCATTTCTACCGCAAATTGCTTGAGGAGTCCGAGCAGCAGCATGAAGAAACTGTGGCCGCTACCTCGTCGCAGCGCGTAATCGGTCCGCAGGGTCCTGCTCCAAACCTGACGATTACGAAACCTCCGGACTTTGTGCCAAAGTCGGATCTGGAGCTCGCGCGGCATGCCCGTGAACAAGGCAAGGATGTAGAGCTCAACGATGACAACCAGATCGTCGACAAACGCGAGCTTCTTTCCGCTGGGCTCAATCTGTCCGCGCCGAATACAAGAAGATTAGGTCTGCAGCTGTCGAAATCGACAACAGCTTCCGAGCAGGATATTCAGGTGCATCGAGCAGTAGGGTCCGCTGCAAGTCGGAAGGAGATTAACGAGCGACGTGCTCGCGAGGTCGCAAAGCAGATGGAAGAGGAACGAGAGCGACTAATGGAGGAGAAAACAAAGGAGGAGCGAGAAAAGCTCAGTAGGACCGTAACAAAGCGAAATACCGAAGAATCGGTTCAAGGTGCGCGTGAGCGCTATTTGGCAAGAAAGAGACTGAAGTTAGAGGAGGCTACCGAGACACCTGGATCAGATTGACTGCCTCGCAAGCACCTCTATGCTTAGCGTTCATTATACCATTGCGTGCATGACCACTACAATAACTACAATTCTATGTGATGTACGGGTATCCATCCATCTGTGGATATTAATTTTGACAAGTGTGCATCATCATTCATTAAGTATCTCTACGTTTCTTGTCTCCTATTCGTGCAACCATAGCTTCAAGAAATCGAAGGATCTCCTTTGCAGTTGGTCGTTTCTCAAACCTGTGATGCAACATGGAATTGATGGTAACCAGTAACTCTGGTGGAGTATTTCCTGTCAACTGCAGAATGGGTTATTCATCGTCCAGAGCTGCAGATAGAATCGCACTCACTTCGCATGCCTTAAGCATGAGCACACCCAGCGCCCAAACATCAACTTTGAAAGGATCGCTGCACTCTCCACGCTCTATTTCTGGAGGAACTTCACTTGCTCGGCAATGTTGTATCCGCGGGACAGTCATGCCATCGAAACGACGACTGGTTTCATAATCAATCCACGCATAGTGCGATCGACCGTCTGTAAGGATATTGCGCATGGAAATATCAAGGTGGGCAATTTGATGAGCATGCATGAACACTATGTGCTGTTAAAGCGTTCAAGGGAATATCAGAATTGACGTAGAGGCACAGTAGGAGTGTCACTCACTTCAGCGCACTTTCGCAATGTGTCTAGGAGAACGTCTTTAGTACACGGTATCTCATCAACCCACAGTGGTGACCATTCCTCCATAACGATGAATACAACGTGATCCGTTGGATTTTCAATGAAATCCAATACCGCTGCAGCGTGTCAAAGGGGTGTAAAACACCAAGATCAGAAATCACTTACGAATACAATGGTTCATTGAATGACCTCGGATAGAAGCACTGGAAAGATATCTCGTAATTTCGTATTCGCGACCATATATATGGACTGCCTTAAGCACCACCTTCGTGCCGTCGGCGCAGCGCGTTCCGCGAAAGAGATGTTCTGGCTAAGGAGAACGTATCAAAGCAGGCGATTGGGAATTCATCGGCAGAAGACTGACCAGTCCGGCATCGTTGCATAATGCGTTGTCGTCGCCACCGTTACATGCACGAGTATATCCGGCCATGTCTTTGAGAGCACGCCCCTCGGAAACCGAGTCTGCCAGGTAGAGTTGGTAGAATTGCTTCACATCGTGGTATGTATCAAGCCTATATCCTCGGCTCTCGATGATGTGTCGGTAAGCATACCAGGAAGGAGATACGCGAACGTTCGCTTCTTCTTCGTCGAAAGATCCACTCGAGGAGGTAGAAGCCGACTCGATGTCCGAGTCATCGAAGTGCTTGAACATGTTCGAGCTTCGCGGGAGCCTGAAAACCGGAGACAAAGAGCAACGACAGGACCAACAAGCACTTTATGCTCGAGCGAACAGGAGAATATTCTGCTAGAAATAGAAAGACAAACAAGGAGACGGATCTCATCCAAGGCGCTGACGCGGCTGAACCGTGGTGCGTATACGGTATAGCGCACTTCAGTCTGGCGTGTAGACGGCTAGTGTACACCGGTAAGGCAGACGGCACCAGCAAAAACAAGCGTCATGTAAAGAGTCCGGATCCCACAGCATTCTCAGGAAGTCACTGAGGGCGCACAGGATGGTAAGAAAAGATTACCTGATAAGAAGTGAGATTTGTACACATACGGATTTTCTCATACCCGTAAAGTGACCGCGCCGCAAGGCGTCGAGGAGGGCAAGACTTGGACATGGCATCAGTGTCCTTTTGTTCATCCCAGCGCCTGGCAGTATTAGATATAAAAGCGCGAGCTCCAAAAGGATTGCATCTCTCACAAGAGACGGGAGAGAATGGGCCGAGCCGTCTACGGATGATAATGCGAGGGATAATCTTCCCAAAACTTACCAAGCGCGCCATCGCGGCGTGAACATCGACCTCGAGGCTGAAACCTGGACCTAGGAATGGTCGAAAGGCCGCGCGAACTGAAGTACTGACTAGCTTGATAGCAGTCGCAAGGCTTTCAACTCTGTATCACGGAAGTCGATGGCGAGGAAGATGGGTGTGAAGCTTCTCTGTGAACAGATGTGAATTTGCTGAGCGTCTCGTCGACCCGGATGTCGCGGACCGTGTCTATGATGCGACATCTGTGTAGACACGTGAGAACTGCCTCTTGTTCGCGAACGCTGCAGGAGCATCATGGAGGAGGGAACAAGAACGAAGAAAACCGTTTTCGTAGGTGGCATCGGAGATGAGGTCGATGAAAGTGTACTGCTCGAAAATTTCGCTACGTTCGGTAAGTCTCTCGCATTCGAACTTCCTCAACTTCATCCCGAGGTTCCCAAACGTAGGAGATATCATAGAGGTGCAGATCCCTCTTGCTCCGACAAATCCATCTCAGCAGATCGGTGAGCTGCCCTTCTACGTCCATCCGCACTTCTTGCAAGCTCAGTAGTTCGCAGAGACGAAGCACAGAGGATTTGCGTTCGTGACATATTCGTCTACTGCGGATGCTCAAGATGCGATCGACAACATGGATCTGAATGAGTTGAACGGTCGCGTTCTGAGAGTAAACCTTGCGCGACCCATGAGGGGACCCACTCAAGGCGCAGGAAACAGGGCCAGTAAGTGGAAGGCGTCTAAATCTCTCACAGAGCAGTTCACTCATACGTTTCGGTATTAGTTTGGGAATCAGAAGATTGGCTCAAGCAATATGCGAAGCCACTCTCACGTAGCGGAGGTACGTCCACTGTTTGATTCATTCACTGCCGCTATCGTTGACAGTATCTTTACCCAGGCGCTGCGCTTCGTGCGCGGACCAGAGAGGGTTCCAATGGAGTGGAACAAGGAGGCGAACAGTATGGCGAGGATCATGCCGATGCCGACAACGCCATGGAAGAGTGACTGTTTGGCTTGCGTATACTCAGTCTATTGCTGAGCCACTTTATGACAGGGGACCCATAGTGTGCGACGGCAAGCCCAAAGGATATGTTCATAGGTATATTTGAAGCATCTGCATTTCATTGTCAAACCCCACGTAAACAATCTAGCATATGCGAGTGGTATATAGTAGGCGCAGTGCGAGACATACTCCAGCAAGACAATGCATCCACGTCGCACGCTGAGATTGACATCACCATCCATACTTCCTGTTGAATGTCAACAATGACTCACCTCGTGCTCACTGACTTCTATTTAGTGTTCTTAAGAGTCTTTCTGATGCACAACGACAGGCTGAGACGGAATAGTGACAACTTGGGTTTCCGTGGCGCGTTTGATCCACACGAGTTCGCTTCGCATAACGTCTTACACAAATTAACATAGCCACACCATAAATCAAGAAAATACAAAACACACCTGCAGCAATTTCCCCGGGCTGGGTGGGCTCAGCATAGGAGGTGATTGCCATGTTATAAATGCATGAGCGGCTTTGAGGATTATTGGACTGATACTGTGTGAATTACCTCTGTTCCCTCTGACCAGCAGTGCTTGCGCCGAAACCGTCCCAACAGAGATAGCGACAAGGACAGCGACAATCGTCAAATGAAACATTTGTAACTACGAAGGAGCGTCGAAACCGTTTGGCAGTCATCGACCTTTATATATCAGATGTTGAAGTACATACATTGCGACACGGGCAGAGTAGTACGGTATTTACGCCACCACATTACTTACGTAATCACGTAGGTAGTACTGGCGGACGTTCGGACGATGCACCTCAGTCACTCGTTTGCTATCGCACGAGACTGAGGTGAATACTTTCTTTACCTACCTTTTATCTCCTTACTGACCTGTAGTAGCTGCGCTTGGTCCCGCTCTAGGTTAGTATTAATACAGTCACTCGTTTGCTATCGCACGAGACTGAGCTGCGCTTGGTCCCGCTCTAGATCCGTTAGACATCCCCTGGACGCCTTCCCCCCTCGCCGCGTACTCGCGATAGGTTATGAGCCCCGGCTCCAACTGAATCTGACAGCATCGGAAATATCGAGAACTCAATCGCTCGTCATCACCTTCCTTTCCCACAACCTGCTTCTCTCGTTCACACCCCTGTCGAACCATGTCTCTATACCCGCCGATATCTCAGGCCAGCTCCAAAGCTGAGTCGAAGCGCCTCTACGATGTCCCGTTCCTCGAAAGCAATGGCGGAAACTTCCAGACGTGGAAGTACCGCACGACTACCATCCTCCGGTTGCGTGGTCTCTATTCGCTCATCGACGGCACCGAAGCCGACCCCGGAACAGTGGATACTATGAAGAAGGCGGAGTGGGATGTCCGGAACAATGAGGCTCTCGCGCAGATCACATTGACGCTCAAGGACGAGCCGCTTAACGGTGTGATGTACTCGATGACGGCACAGGACGCTTGGGAGAAGTTGAACAGACGTTACGAGGGCAGAGGCAAGCAAACCTTAGCCTATCTCATCAGCGACCTTTTCCGCAGCACACTTAGTGACGAGTTGCCGCTAGAGCCGCAGCTCAACACGATGCAGCAGAAGGCCCACATCCTCGAGACACTCGGGCTAACGCTAGACGACACGCTCATCGCCATCGCTATGGCTATCTCCCTTCCTCCATCCTATTCAACCCTTCGCACTATCCTTATGGCCTCTGACTCGAAACTCACAGTCGAGAAGGTCGTCAATGAGGTCCTTAGCGAGGAGAAGCGACGTGGCGAGACGACCGCAGCATCTGCGCTCATTGCGAAGCATGCTGATACCAAGTCGAAGTCGAAGGGGAAGGACAAGGACAAGAAGAAGAAGGGCAAGTGCGCTTTCTGTGGCTACACTGGTCACACGAAGGACGAGTGTCGGAAGTTCAAGGTGAGCCAGGTGGAGGGCGCCACAGCGAAGGGCGACAAGAAAGCTGAGAAGGCTGCTGATGCAAAGGAATCTGCGAAGATCGCCAGTGTCGGTGAGGCTGACTCCGAGACGCTCCGCCTCTTCGTTGCTGAGGAGTTGGCACGTGGTGATGACCTCCACCGCTGGATTGTTGATTCAGGAGCTTCCTCCCACATGACATCTCACCGCGAGTGGTTCGTAAACTACCGTGCCCTCGCTACACCCAAGCGTGTTTACCTCGGAGATGAGCGCTTTATCCTCGCCGTTGGTATCGGTCAGGTCACACTCCGTGCAGCAGTCGACCATGGCTCAACGAACACTGGCATTGTGCAGGAAGTTCTCCATGTCCCAGATCTCAATGGCAACCTGCTCTCTGTCTCGAAGTTTGACCGCAACAGCTACGATGTTAGGTTCGCTGATGGTACGTGTCGCATCAGCAATGCCCAGGGCCGACTTAGCGCCACTGGGTACATGCGGAGAAATCTCTATGTTCTCGACGTGACCACGCAGCTCCCCGAGTGTACCTACATCCTGCAGGCAAAAGATCTCCCTCCCTCTTACGATGACTCCATGGATGATCCCCCACTCCACGCTTTTGTTGCTAAGGAGACAACATCCAGTGCGAGTGCTCAGGTCTGGCATCGCCGCCTTGGTCACATCTCCGTAGACTCCGTGCTGAAGATGGTGCGAAAGGGAATGGTCAAGGGCATGTCGATCGTCGGAGAAAAGGTGAGTAACGTCACCTGCAAGCCCTGTCTCCATGGCAAGCAGACACGCCAGCCAATCCCGAAGGAGTCGGATGTCGAGAATCCCCGCATTCTCCATCGCACCTACTCCGATGTCTGTGGTCCCATGCAGACTCAGACGCGGTCCGGCCACCGCTATTTCATCACGTTCATCGACGGACACACGCACCACCTTGTCGCCAACCTCATGAAGACGAAGGATGAAGCGCTTTCACACTTCAAAGCTTTTGTTGAACGAGCTGAGGTCGAGACCGGGCAGCGTGCCAATATCCTGCGGACTGATGGTGGCGGTGAGTACGAGTCGAAGGAATTCGAAGCGTACCTAAAGGAGAAGGGCATCCACCACGAAAAGATGAATGCCTACACTCCACAGGAGAACGGCGTTTCCGAGCGGATGAACCGCACTATCGAGGAGATGGCCAGGAGCATGCTCAATGATGCTGGACTGCCGAACACATACTGGGGTGATGCTGTGTTACATGCAGTACACATCCTTAACTCTGTTCCAACTCGCACTCTCCCTGACAACCTCACACCACACGAGGCCTACACCGGAAACAAGCCGAGCGTGGCGCACCTCCGCGTTTTCGGCTGCAAAGCCTATGTCCACGTTCCGAAGGAAAAACGTCAGAAACTCGACTCGAAAATGTTCGAGTGCACGCACCTGGGGTTTGCCGCAAATCGCAAGGCCTACCGTCTGGTTCACAGAGCGACCGGCCGCATCGTCGAATCCCGCGACGTGTATTTCGACGAAGGCACCGAAGTCGCACCCAGTCGCGTCACAATTGACGTCACACCTACGCAGGAGGCGCCCGACGCGCGGCCGCAGCTGCCGCCGTCTCCGCGCCCGCCAAGACCCACTGTTGAAGATGTCTCAGATGAAGATGAGGACACACCTGCACTCCTGGATGTGGACGACAGCGACGACGAGGATGACGATGACAACACGGATGAGGACAGCGACGACGACGTTCCACTGCCCGAAATTAGGTGCTGGCGTCACGCTGCGCGCACCGCGCAGCCACCACCACCTCCTCCCCCGGCTCCGGAACTGCGCCGTTCAGGTCGAACGCGCACGGCACCGGTGGCGGCCGATGATGACCGCTATTTCGTGTCCTCCTACACACGGAAACCGAAGGGCCAGGATGATGTGGGTGGAGTGGGCACTGATGCCGCAGCGGCAGACTCGGAGAACGCAGAGGAAGTGGGCGATGCAGAGAATGCTCACAAAGCCACAAGCTGGGATGAACCACAGACCTACGAGGAGGCGATGTCACGCCCCGATGATGCGTGCTGGAAGGCTGCGTGCGCAGAGGAGCTACACGCATTTGTCAAAGCGGAGCTCTACGACGAAGTGGAGCGCTCACGGAATTGCAAGGTCATAGACTGCAAGTGGGTCTTCAAGATTAAGCGTGGACCGGACGGTGAAATCGAGAAGTACAAGGCTCGACTTGTTGCCAAGGGCTTTACACAGGTTGAGGGCCTCGACTTCAACGAAACCTTTGCACCCGTCGCAAAGTTCGCTTCTGTCCGAACACTACTTGCTCTTGCTGCCAAGCTCAACCTCGAGATCCACCAGATGGACGTCAAATCGGCATTCCTGAATGGTGATCTTGATGAGGAGATCTACATGAAGGTTCCCCCTGGCTTCCGCAGGTCCAACAGCCTCGTCTGGAAGCTGAACAAGGCCCTCTATGGTCTTAAGCAGGCTGGACGTGAGTGGTACAAGAAGATCTGTGCTGAGTTCGAGGCGCTTGGGTTCACCCGCTGCCACTCGGACCACAGCGTGTTCTACAAGAATGATGACGGTATTCTCCTCATTATCGCCATTTATGTCGATGACATGCTCATTCTTTCTGACAACCTCACTGCTGTCACCACCCTCAAGGAAGATCTCAAGTCTCGCTTTGAGATGACTGACCTTGGCGAAGCACGGTGGCTCCTCGGCATGGAAATCACTCGTGATCGTCCTCGCCGTGTCCTCGAGCTCTCGCAACACCAGTATGTCGAGAAGTGTCTCGCACAACATGGTATGGCCGATTGCCGCCCGGTCAGCACACCTATGGCACAGAACCAGAAGCTTGTCAAGCTCTCGGAGGCGGAGATCGACCCGAAGCCTTACCAGAGCGCACTTGGCTCTCTCATGTATGCAATGATCGGGACTCGCCCCGACCTTGCGTTCACAGTGGGTGCGTTGAGCCAGCATGCTGCAACACCAGGCAAGGAGCACTGGATTGCTCTTATGCGAGTCTATCGCTACCTGCGTGGGACAGCAGACAAGAAGCTTGTCTATTGTGGCACTACCAAGGAGAAGGAACCCCTTCTCGGATACGTGGATGCAGATTGGGCAGCGAACGTCAATGACCGTCGATCGGTCACAGGTTTTGTTTTCCTCATATCGGAAGGCGCTGTCAGCTGGTCTTCAAAGAGGCAGCACTCGACGGCGCAGTCCAGCACTGAAGCTGAGTATATGGCTGGAGCTCATGGTACAAAGGAAGCAGTCTGGCTTCGCACTTTCCTCTCGGAGATTGGACAGGTTCAGAAGGGCCCTACTCCATTGCTCATCGACAATCAGTCCGCCATCGTGCTATCCAAAAATGCTGCTTTCCATGAACGCACCAAGCACATTGCCGTCCGCTACCACTTCATCCGCGAGAAGTATGACTCCGGCGAGATCGAACCTGAGTACGTTCCTACCGGAAATCAGGTTGCTGATGTCTTGACAAAGGGGCTTCCTCGTGAGAAGCATGAGAAGTTTTCAGCGGGGATGGGCTTGGCTTAAGTATTTTCATTTATATACTCTATTCCCTGTCACTCTGAGTGGGCGTGTTGAAGTACATACATTGCGACACGGGCAGAGTAGTACGGTATTTACGCCACCACATTACTTACGTAATCACATAGGTAGTACTGGCGGACGTTCGGACGATGCACCTCAGTCACTCGTTTGCTATCGCACGAGACTGAGGTGAATACTTTCTTTACCTACCTTTTATCTCCTTACTGACCTGTAGTAGCTGTGCTTGGTCCCGCTCTAGGTTAGTATTAATACAGTCACTCGTTTGCTATCGCACGAGACTGAGCTGCGCTTGGTCCCGCTCTAGATCCGTTAGACATCCCCTGGACGCCTTCCCCCCTCGCCGCGTACTCGCGATATCAGACACTGTTCAAATTGTATGGATGAGCTTGGTCATTCTCAGAATCATAGATGGAAACCCACACGTTAAAGAAGAGGGGTACTTCGAAATGATATGCTTCAACATTACAGCCGTTTGCGGAACTTGAACATAGGAGGACCCCCGCGAATCCACTGAGAGCTCCGATGCACCCATCAGCAAAAACGGGAAAATATTATATAAGGTTACACCGAATACATAGAGTATATTACGGGTCACCGCTCCACCCTGGTGACCACGGCGGTGACCCCCCCTAAAAGGAATCGAAGGGTCACCAGCCCTGTACACGCCGGTCGTCAGGCCCAGTCAAAAACCCGTATGTCTGGAACGGATACAAACGATGACAAGCGGAATAAGTCGGAGGAGATCTAAGCTTATAGAAGATGCGACAGACTCGGCGCTTATATGTGACTTGACATCGTCTTCTCGGCCTGTTTTTAGCAGCGCATTTTTGAATCACTAGTCATGTAAAGTTTCTCTGTCCTGGAACAAAGTGTCCCAGATGCTAGGACCATGACATAATCCCGGAGAGCACACCGACACATCCGAAAGTATTACTCTAGTCTCGCTAGCCCTCCTACTGTCAGTGCAGTCGATGCGCCATCGACGTGTCCCACCTCGTCTCTCGACTACTATAGTACCTTCAATATTACTTCAGTTTTCTGCTCTAACCGTGCTGAGTCTTCCACGCTAGATTCACCACTGCCAGAAACTCAGTCTAACGCCTCGTCTTCGTCCGCCGACATAGATGCCACGCTGGCAATTCAATCATCCATGCTAGATTCTCGGCTGCCCGAACATCAGCCTCACGCCTCGTCTTCCGAGTCCGCCAACGTGGACGTCTCAGGTGATGGTGCATACAACTAATTTTATTACCGATCTCATTATTCTATTCTATTCTATCATTTAGATCCTACTCAATTGCGACCAGATAGTACTGTCCCCAGCACATCCGTTGTAGCCCTGCACACGACGCACGTAGATGCACAAAGCATTCCACTAGTCGTGGTCTGTGGCTCACATCCTCATGCTCGCGTTTATCTTCTCATACTCACGTCTATTTGCGTAACCAGCCTTTCGATCCACTGTATGTACCTCCTCTCTTTGGGGAGCATCTCACTCACTGTCTGATGGTTCTACAGTGCTGATGAGTTCGATCCACCTACTCCTTACTCTCTCCCCACCCAGTCCAAAACTACGAGTGCAAGTGGTACGGCCGGTACGGGTGTAGCACCTGCCGATAGTGATCTCGGAGCGACCACTGCGGACGCACCTGCAAAGCTGAAGCGCAAATCACCCAAGATGAAAGCGAACAAGTCTAATGATGCATCGTACGTGACATCGGTTATGCCTGTTTGCCCACGCTCACTGCCAATCTCTCTCCCACAAGTAATTTGTTTGCCATCAACTGGCTCCCAACGAATCAAGGGAAATCACGCGACGAATTCAGCGCTGCTTGGGCAGCTGTAGACGCAGAAACCAGGAAGGTAATGCAATGTACTATGGTATTCTTCCTTACTCATTCTTGTCGCTGCATGCAGAAATACGAGGTTCTCAGTGCGACCAAGAAGACTGCTGCAAAGACGGAGGAGGCTGCAAAAAGAAAGGCTAGTAGAGCGACCAAGGCCACTAATAAATCGAACGCGAACATCGCAGGTGCCTCTTGAGTGACTTAGGTATTTTTCCATGTTTCTCTTTCGAACCGTACTGATGTCGATGCCCAGGGTTGTGGCTGGGTATCCGAATTCTGTTGCATGTGGAGGCGGGCAGCACGGGTGATGGTTGTGGGGCGTGGAGCACGTTGCAGAGGGGGAGCGAGGCGAGCGCGGTGCAGGGCGCAGGGTGCAGGGCATGGGGCGCAGGGGCGGGGGCGGGCGCTGGCTTACTCAGACAGCAACGAACGATATCGAAGGACAACGGACCTCATCTCAGTCTATCGAAGACTATCGATGTGTAGCTAAAGGGAACGGAATGTATTCTACGGGTCGAGGATGAATCTGGTTGACATCGGACAGTTATATACCTGGGCCTAACGGTTTCGAAACGCGCATACAGAGCATATTTCTGCTCCTTTTTTCTTTGAAGCTGTCCGCTCTCAAAATAAAATAGTCCAGTTTTCGAACCAAAATGGAGTATTTCTACGTCTTAATATTTATTCCTTTCTCGTCCTTTCTCGTCATACAGGTTTTTGACTGGGCGTCAGGACTCGGCTGGTGACCCCCCCCCCCCCCCAAAAGCAGCAAGCACGCTCAGCCCCAGGGCAACGAGGCTCGTGCGCACCTAACGCGACGTCGACCACCCCGCCTCCCCCGCACCGCACACCGCCAACTGCCGTCGCCGCCGCCGTGCAGCGGTCCCCGCCTCTTTCCCTAGCCTCTCCACAAGAGCCCGAGCCGAGGCATCAAGCACAACAAACGTGTCAAGAAGCGCGTTCGCCCGACCGACACCCGGCGCGTGCAAGCCCATCTCGCACGCGCGCATCTCACGCGCGGCCAGCTGGACCGTCCAAGACCGTCTCGCCACGAACGGCGGTCGCTCGATTTTCCCTGAACGCGACGACGAACGGCGTTGAACGCGCCGACACACTCTTTCCCGCTCACGCTCGCGGCCAGCGAGCTCGTCACGAGCATCGCGTTTGCTCTCGCACCGCGCATTCGCGCACTCAGCGGCGCCCGCCGTCTCTCAAAGCACACGAAGCTGGCACCGATGATGCCGCATTCTTAGGCGCGTGGAACCGCCCAGCAACCTCCCGGCCTTCACCTTCTCCGTATTTTACTCGCAAGTTAGTTACATCCGCTCTGTCCTAATTCCCCCATATTCTGCTGCAACCGAAGAGGACACGGTGCCCGCGCTCGATTCGCGGTCACCAGGTGGTGCGTTTTTCTACCGTACAACCAGATTCAATTCTCTCTTTTTTTTTTTCCTGCCGGTCATCCCACCCTTTGGGGCCTGCCTCGTGCCGCAACCCTTACATTTCCCCATGGCGATCGCACCCCGTCCCGTCGCCGTGTCCCTGACTGCGCGCCCTTCACGCCGTCGCCTTCGCGCCATCAAATAAAAGGCCCCCGGCTCGTTCTCCTTCAAAACGGTGGTGCACATCACGTCCGACCTGCACAGTCGGCACGTCGAAAGATCCTGTATCTTTCGTGTGTGTAAGCCCCTCCTCTTTCAGTCCTCGAGCACCGCTAATGGTTCTAACTATACTCAGGTGGCACTTCCAAGTCCCTTGCTCTCCCAGCCACGTCATCACGGCAGACAGAGACCCGCGCAAGCTCAATCGTGCTCACCCAGACTGCGGCACCCCGCGCCAGCTCGAGGGCTTGCCGCGAAGACGCCGCCGTCGGCCGGCACACCTCTGAACCACCGACCCATCCTCCCGTCCTCTTGACGGTCCTCGCCATCGGCGAAGTCACACGACGATGGGATCGTCGCGGCCGCAGCAATTTCGAGTGGTCTCATATGACCCGCCCTCTCCTGCAGTTCCGAGGAAGCGGCAGCGCGAGGTTGCCATCAGCGGCCTCGCGCAGCGACACTCCAATAACCACGCGACGATGGGCGATGGCGGGCCCGCCGTCGCATCCACTTTCGTGCACTACGAGATGCCGCGAAGGTCCCCGATCATGCTGCCCGAGGTCCCAGGCCTGCGGACAACAAACCGCGAAGGATCGCCGCACCCCGCTTCTGCGTGCGGTGCTGTCTCTCGCCCTGGTGCTCCTCGTGTCGTGGCGGGCGCTGCTGCACTCGCCACTGTTGCCGGTTCACTCCAGCAGTCGATCGCGCAACTGGAGCTCGAGTCGCATGACGCGCGTGTCAAGAAGGCCAAGTTGGATCAAGACGACAAGCAGACCGGTTCGAGTTACGATCACCACGTGCAAAACTACATCAAATACTGGACAGCCTTCCAGACTGAGCGCCGCCAGAAGGCACCCGATGAAGTGCCTGTCCCGGCATTTCCTATTACCGCTCTCAAAGCCTCCTTCTTCTTGGAGTATGAGATGTCGTGCGAAAAGGTGAGCCGCGCTTTTCTCATGCCTTGCAATGGCGACCACTGCAGCTGACATGTCTCGGATCGCAGCGTCGATATGGCAAGAACGACACCGTTGCAGGATCGAACGTGGGCAAGTCGCACGTCTCGCAGGTGATCAGCGCGCTTGAGAGCTGGCGCCGCAACAATGCCTATCTGTACAAGGAGGACCCCGATGCACAGGTATCATTGCGCTCAGACATCCACGTCCACACTGCGGAGTCTTCCACGAAGCATCAGGAGCCGAAGCGCATCGACAAGGCACAGGCTCTCAAAGCCATGGGAAGTTCTGGAGGTGAGAATCGCTGAAGCTCGCAACTGCTTGATTCACTGATGAACGACATCTGTTTCAAGACACGTACACACCAGAGGAGCTCAAACGCTGCTCGATCTGGTGCTTGACCGACGTTTCTGGCAGCAAGCAAATTTGGCTCGGCTTGCGCGATTGCGCAATGCTCCTCCTGTCATCGATGATGGCATTCCGTGGGGAGAGCTCGCGCATCCTCGAGTGGTCAGACCTGTTCATGTCGTCGATCCCCATGGATGATGTTCGTGCCGGGTACAGAGTTCCGGTGCGTCAAGGATTTGAGGTAGATGTCAATAGCACTCACGCTGCTATCAGGTGCTTGCCACACTGGCGGATAATGCCAAGCACAACCAACAGGGCCGTCTGGATGAGCACGGTGCCATCCGTCACCGGGAGGTCGAACTCTGCCCTGTCGGAGGGCTGGCCTTGCTTTTTTTTGGCTTTTTCCATGTCCTCCATCTGCCGCTGCCTGAGTTGCTTCCGGATTTCGACGACGCAGCCTGCGGTGAGTACGGGCGCCGTGACTGGTATGGCTACCACGTGTTCTGGGGCAAACAACCCGCATCCCCTATGTCATACGACAGTGAGTGTCCCCGCTGCCTGCTCATCATCGCAGTGCCGCCCGAGCTGACCCTCGTCCACAGACCACCGCGACAGGCTGAGAGGCATTCACAAGGAGAACGAGATATCAATCACCAAGGTCACCCACGCCGGCTGAAGTTATGTCGCGCAGACTGCGTGGGCGCATGGTGCCACGGTCAGCGGGACGAAAGCACTCGGCAGATGGAACGAGAACGGGTCCTTCCGCCAGTGCTACGAATGAACGTTTCCAGTGGATGCCCTCCTCGGTGCGGCCATGTTCAATGGTCGAAAGCCGGAGACATATTGCCTCCCGCGTGACGCTCTCGGTGAGTAGTTGGTTACATACGTGCACCCCCCTGTGTGACTGATCAAGCCACACTGCTGTCAGATCCGCCGCCCGAACTCCTTGCGCAGATTTTTCCCTGGGTTGAGCGAGAGCAGGTCACTCTCGAGGCTCGCGTCCGAGAGAACCCATTGGCTCAAGATTATGCCCTGCGCCACTTTCTCCGACTTTTGGTATGGCTGCGCCGCATTCTGCTTCAAGACGCAGCCCTCCTGTGCACGATGCATCCATCTGCCCCCATCTTCAGATTTGCACCGTTCAACACCCCCGCTTTTCACCGCTTTGTCAGCGAGGCGATGCCCGCCATCCGAGAAGCAGAAGAACAGGCCCACGTAGCATATCAGAACCTTCCCGAGCATCTGATAACCAGCCTGCGGGGTGCGACCACCGGCGTCCTTATGGAGCAGAAGAGGCAGTATGAGGAGAACAACCGGCAGATGGCCGACATGTCGGAGAGGATGGTCAAGATGGAAGGCATGATCGGCATGCTGGTGAACTCCAGAAACACTCACAAGTCGAGGCCAGGTACGGGTCTTCACACGCGGAGATGTTCTCATGATTCTGACCTCCACCGTGATCTCAGCTGCAGCCTTTGTGGGCCCCGATCCGAGCCCGACAACCTCTGCACCTGCTGCACCTGTAGCTGCACCTCCCACTGTCGCCCCGCCCATTATCATGATCAACTTCCATGGCAGCGACGGGCCCGGAGGCAGTGCGGTGACTCCCGCTGCGCCATTAATCACAGCATCTGTTACAGAGCTGCCGAGCAGTTCAGTGTCGCTCCTCGCAAATGCCACTTCACCCGGCTCCACGGGATCAGCCGCTCCCACATCATTGGTGGTCCCGGGGCTCGTTCCACCCATTGCGGTGCCGGCATACACGGGTTCACGGTCGGCGCGACGAGAAGAGCTTCAGCGCGCATATGGTGAAGACACCTTCAACAGGCATGAGCCATGAGTTTGGAAATCGGGGGAGCTCCTCCCATCGTATCGGTACCAACTGGTGAGCACAATCATGGAGGTCTGGATGGAGTGGACTGCGGGACTTGGAGGACACATTCCCGTGCGCGAGCTGATGGAGAAATGGGGCAACCGCTGGCGCCACAACAATGCGACGCTCAAAACGGAAGGTGGGCGTCGCAAGAAGATCGTCGAGCTCATCACGGAGCTGTCGCAGAAGCCGCGCTGGTCCGTCCAGCTCGCGTTGCGCTTCCTCGAAGAGAAGTATCACCCGAGGTATAGGGCACGAAAGTTCTGTGAATACCTCATGGAGTCCGGCAGTGCGGGACGTCTCGAGGTGCTGAAGGCTGCGATGAAGTATCCGTAGACGTGAACGGGCTGCAACAGGTTCATGATTAATGTTTTCCCCCCTTCTCCTTCGAAGTCTTTTCTGGCGGCTTCCCTCTGTCTAACTTACAACAACCTTATTTCTACTGTACAGAACCTTCTCTAGTGTACAATACTAACTTGTCTCTAGTGTACAATACTAACTTGTCGTGTGTTTTCAATGCAAAACTTCCGAGTGATCTACGTGCGCGGGGGCGAGGAGCACTGTGTCGTGCACCTGCTCGCACTCGAACACCTTCGCGTCCATACGCCCGGCGCGAATGTGTCCCGACTCATGCTGCCACTGCCCCACGCGAGCTTCTCCATGCAGGCGCGGCGGTGGTGCTCCATGCGCGTGACGTGCGGGCCCCCACTGGCCGCAATCACATTGTGCTCACTCACGTGTGTGGTGGAGAGTGCATCGGCACGCGGGGCATGCGGGGGCATGCGCAGTGGCAGGTGCAAGGCTGAGGGCATGTCTGGCTGGAATTGTGAAATTGGCCTGCAGCATAGAGGAATGTGGGATACAAAATTCTAAGGGAGATATATTTTTTCTCTGTACTCTATCGGCTATTGCACTATGCCACCGCAATCTGGCGTGGTGCGCACGCAGGAGTCGATGGTGCATTCCGGCGGCACGGTTCCACTGCTGGCCGAGATGATGAATGCATGCAGATGTGAAAAGATGTGACCTGTGACCCAGGGGGGAGGGCAGAGTGGGGTTGGTGAGCTACGGTCTGCCACGACGACGCGCACTGCTGCTCGCGCACGGAGTAAGGTCCTTCAAGGAAGTTTACATTCTGTATGGCAACTATTGCTGGAATTGTTAGCTACTGCCCAAATGGGCCGCGCGGCATACACGGCGCATTATGGTCACCGGCGGCATATACCGAGGGGCACCGGCCCGCGCGTGGGAAGGTACCACGGGTCGGTCACCGGCCAAGCGCGATGACCACCGCGGCCCAGGGACATCGGGTTAGTGGGTGTTGTGTAAGTTACAACGGACTAGTAACGTTTACGCCGATTAGTAGTCAAAATAAAGGTAGTAGAGGTCTATAAAGAGGATTACATAGTACAGAAATTGATACACAAGTTACAATTAAAATACACATTGTGGGAGAGTTGTCGTGCAATGTAACCCAAGGAAATGGTTGCTCACCGAGTTGTGAAGTCGGAAGAATTTCTAGACACCTACATAAGCCTACATAGGACATTGTAAGGGGCGCCTGTTGGGCGCCTACTCACGCTTTGCGAACTTTGCTCTTCCGTCGTTTCAGGCCCCCAAATACTGCACCAAATGCATGCATTAATGAAAAGCTTTTGTCCAGGCCCTCACAGCAAAAAGATCCGAAGCTGTTTCGAGACATGTCTGAGGCAAGTCTGAGGCTAATCTCGACACACCGTGACTACCGTCCGCCGACAATTCTCGCCACCCTCACTTGCATATAAATTTGCAGCCTCTGCCGGTGCTCCTCCCAGGTGAGTGCCTTTACATGCAGCTAACTTGGTATCTATATTGTACAGATCTACTGGGTTTGTCGGGCTTGGTTGGCCACTCGTCGCCGCTGGAGCGGAGTGGTGACATATAGTGCGTTTTATGTCAAGCTATATTATTATATGTCCACGGCTGAAGCATGTTGATTTTTAGTGTTGTTCATTATTGGTTTTGGTGCGGTGAGTCGGCCTAATTAGGTCTAATGTAGAGTACTCTGTATATCTTGTAAATATTGTAGCAGTAACAATAATATATTGTGACATAATTTAAAATACTCCCACTATTGAGAATTGTGAGACTGATCTGGATGAATTGGTTTCGGTCTGTTTAGGATGGTCTGCACCTACGTGGTACACTAAATTTTGTAGGAAGTTATATGAGCTTCATAACCTGGAAAATTCTTCGAGAGTTTATAACTAATTATACCAAGTTGGCAACTCTGCAATTTGGCTCAGGTTTATGATGCAATGTATTCCTTGGTGAAAAATTCCGCAAGTTACATGGAATTATGCCTTTATAATCTCTTTGGAGAAAATTCCCATTTTTGCTGATGCCCATCCCCGAAAAATGGACCGCCGGAGGCAAAATGTTCGATCTTCAACCCCCGAAAATGGCCAAAAAGTCGTCAAAAATTGGGTGCGAAACACCCCCAAAATGTGACCCTCCAACCTGAGGTTAGGTCCAGAACCCCCGTTGGCTGGCGGATCTCGCAGGTTTTGGAGGATTGGCCTAAAATTTAGACATATGTGGTGGTTTGGGAGGAAAGTTTTGGTAATTTGGTTCACAAAAGCTTGGGTTTTGCGCAGGAAGCGAAAAATTTGTTCCACAGGCCATTGAACGTACAGTCATTTACATATGAAACCGGAAACGCAGCGATGAAATCTTTTATTCACAAGACGCATAGCCAAGTATTTCTCTGAGAAAAAACCTGAGAAAATTTATAAAGTAAAGCTTGAGAAAAAAACTTTGAAGAAACTATAGTGAATTTTCGTGGGAAATAACCTGATTGTCCAATCAGCAGCTGAGAATCACGGTTTTTCCTAGAGAAATACTTTATTCTTTTTTCAGAGTTTTTCTGTGTACGTTACTTTAACCCTTTCTGGAGGTTTTTGTGCAAAAAATACTGGGCCATGCTTCTTGTGATTTGTTCAGGCCAAATATTACCTTATTTAGTATGACCGAGTCGGTGACACCAGTCACACTAGCTCTTGCTCCCCGGTGCAGTGGCACCGCATGCTGCGACATTCACTCCTCGGCCAAATACATTGCTGAATTTGTTTCAAGGAGAGTGAATACAACCTGCATCAAGTGCTTGGGGTGGTCTTGCAGTTGAGCAAGTGGATCGGAGACCTGGCAATAAGTCAGGCTCCTAAAACCATCCGTCATCACAGTGTTCTCGCTCCTACATCCCACATTTATGTTTTAGAAGATCATGTGATATATGTTTTATGAGACTTACCCTTTTTATCGAAAATTACTGGATTAGGACGAGGACTAAGAGGAGGTGAATGCTGTGAGACGGCTGGCCCAACTCGTCACCCGATTTCTTCCGAGCTTATGGAAGTGAGCTTTTCTCGAGCGTAATTGCGTGTAAACTCTAGCGCGGGTGTTATTTTCTGGAGCGCGAAGCAGGCCAAATTGGGTGCTTACTATGTGCACTCATGGCCTGACTGCACTGTGCTGGCATAGGGAAGGTGCTCGCTAGGGCAGAACATGATGATAGACAAATATTGCATGAGTTCCAGTCCATTTGCAGGGCAAATCAGCATCCTCAACCTCATCTAAAGACTTGGGATTTGTTGCACAGGTAGTAGATGGTTTGGGTGTGTGTGCAGATTCTAGACATTCTCTTGCAATCAGACTGGTTTCCAACAGCTGAATTTAGAGACAACTGTTAGATTAGATAATCCATCAGTCTCTCAAGTGTCTAGACTCAGAGCAATGCAAGATGCTGTACACCTAGATACTTATTGATCAGGCTGCGCTATGCACTGCCATGTAGAGGCTATGCATAGCTATGCCTGCCTATGTTCATAGCCACAATCCTATGTTACTCACAGGTTTGTATAGTCACACTCTAGGCAGATATAAGCCTCCTAGAGTCCACTCTGAGTCCCCAGTGACTCACTTCTGGACTCTAGCTGTGTTGCCCAGCTCTTCTGTCCTGTTATTTGAGTCCCCTACAAAGTCTGCATATTGCAACTTTATTAGGTTATGAGCCCCGCGCTCTAGCCCCTTTGCTGTTGCTTTGTCTTGGTCACTTTTCTGTGCCTTTCTTGTCCTTATAGTGTGCTGCATATCCTTTATTTACAAGGACACCAACTGTTGGGTCTGTGCACTTCAGTGGGCCAGCCTTTGACCTTCTTGGGAAAATCCTGGTAATCATCCCAGTGACCTGAGCGGTTGTACAACTGGGTGTTCAGTAAATACTTACTGGTTACAATTACTATACCTCCTTTCTTGCACACACTCCTGAGGACTATCCTGCACTTTTCCAAGCACCAGACATAAACACATCCCTTTACCCCCCTTTCCACATCATGTCTTCCACCTCTACCCACACTCCCAACTTTGCCAAGCTCAATGACTCCAATTACCCTACTTGGAGTGGTGAAATGGCTGCCTGGTTGCGCTCTGCAAACCTTTGGAGACTTGTCAATGGCAAGCTTCCACAGCCAAAGCTCTCTGGATCACCTACAGCAGCTGAGCAAACCAAACTAGATACTTGGGAGGCCAATGCAGAGAAAGCAGCTGGTCAAATCTATTTGATGGTGGAACCAGATCAGCGCACTCACTTTGCTGGTGTGGTGGATGACCCTATCAAAATGTGGGAACAGCTTGCAGCTGTTCATCTGCAGAAGAAACCTGGAGCGCGTTTCAATGCTTATGATGATGTCTTCTCCATCAGAAAGCAACCAGAGGAATCACTCCAAGGGCTTGTCAATAAGGTCAATGCTGCCATGCAGCATGTTAAAGACCTTCGCCCTAATGACTTTGATCTGACAAAGCTGGATGAAGAGTTAACCTCTATGACTATGATTCGTGCTCTTCCTGTGGAGGAATATGGTGCTTTTACCTCTACGCTGCTTCAGCGTGACATCCTGAGCAAGGATGTTGTCACCTAGGCTTTTGTCACAGAGAAAATCAATCGTCGTCATCGCACCACTTCCCCTCCCAAAGCAGATCAAGCACTCTCCACTGCTTCATCCTCACAGCTCACCTGCGATTTTTGCGAGGGCAAAGGACACACACAGTCCAATTGCTATGCTTTTCAGAATGCTTCAAAGAAAGCCAAGGAAAATTGCAAAGAGCGCCGCTCTAAGCGTGGAAACAAGGCAAATGCTACTGCTGCTGCTGCAGCCACCCAGAATACCACTCAGATTGACTCTGCCACTGTTACAGAGTCTGCTGGCAAAGCAAGTCTCTCTGACCCACTTCAGCTTGATGCTGACTTTGACTGGAATGCAGACACAGGCGCCACTTCTCATATGACACCTCATCGCCACTGGCTTAGAAATTACAAGCCTTTGGTCATTCTAATCAAACTTGCTGATAACACCATTGTCACATCTGCTGGGGTGGGAACAGTTGTATTTAATCCAGTGATTGCAGGAAAAGCAGTCAGGCCTGTGGAATTTACTAGGGTGCTACATGTCCCAAGGCTCAGGAACAATCTTCTCTCTTGTCTGTATTTAGTTCATCAAAAAGGCTTCAGAATCCACATAGAGTCCAAGTTTATGACCTTCCTTCACTCTCATCAGACTCTATTTGTTGCCTCTATCACAGAGAACTACACTGCCTTTCTTGATGGAACTGTACAGCCAGCTTCAGAGTCTGCCCAAGCTATAACCACAGTCCCTCTTGATTTAAATCTCTGGCATCGTCGCTTTGCTCATCACAACTATGCTGATGTCCAAAAGATGATTAGAGAAAAGCTAGTGACTGGTCTTATGCTGAATTCCAAGCAGCAGCCTGACCTCATTTGCGAACCATGTCTGGCTGGTAAAATGCATGCCAATCCCTTCCCTACATCGGACAGTCATGCCTCCAAACCCCTAGAATTAATTCACACAGATGTCCATGGACCTCTGCCTGTGCGTACACACTCAGGATATCGGTACTGGACCACCTTCATAGATGATTACAGCCAATTCAGGGTTGTGCTATTGCTAAAGGCCAAGAGTGAAGCCTTTGATGCTTTCAAGCAATATAAAGCTTATGCTGAAAATCTGCTTGAAGCAAAAATCAAGGCTGTCCAGGATGACAAGGGTGGAGAGTACATGTCCAATGCCTTTATACAGTTCACTCAGGAGGCAGGGATTGAACGCAGACATACCACCCGCAATAGGCCACAGCAGAATGGAGTTGCAGAGCGAGCCAATTGCACAATGGACAATGACATCACTGCTATGCTAGCAGAGTCTAAACTGCCTCCTTCCTTCTGGGGAGAATGTATTGCATCTATGGTGCATGTCTGGAACCGTCTGCCTACAGCAGTGGTGAAAGGTGCAACTCCCTATGAGCTGTGGCACAAGCGGAAGCCAGATGTTAGCCATCTTCGTGTTTGGGGCTGTACTGCCTATGTGCATGTACAGAAGGATCAGCATACAGGTCTGGGACCACACATGCAGAAATGTGTGTTTATTGGTTATCCAGCAGGATACAAGGGGTGGAAGTTCTATAATCCTGACACCAAAAAGACTATAATCTCAGAACGTGCTGATTTTGATGAGCGCTACTTCGCCGGCCTCAAATGCACTCCTGATATTCCTCCTCCATCCCCTATGTCATTTCCACCTGCAGACATTATTCCTCCACCTGTAGCACCTGTACCTGGACAGGATTTAGGGGGAGATGATGCACATGTGCCAAATCCTGTACCTTGTCCAGTCACCCCAGAAGCTGATCCACCTGCACCACCTCCTGCACCAGAGCACCCAGTAACTCCACCACCTCCAGATCCTCCAGTCCATCATAGAGTTCCAACTCCTCCTCCATTTGAACCTATAGATCATCGACCAATTGCTCAGCATCGGGTACCTTGCAATGTTAGGCCCACCTGGAAAATGCGAGCTTCACCACCACCTGTGCAGAATGCAGAGTCTGAGGATGAGTTAGATGTGATAGATGCAGATGCAGGCTTTGTTGAAGTCCAGTTTGCTGGTCTATCTGCTGGAGCAGACCCTTGGACCTATAAACAGGCCATGGGCAGTCCTGATGCTGATAAGTGGCAGCAAGCGGCCAATGAAGAGATTGTGTCTCTAATGGCCAATAACACATGGGAAATTGTTCCACTGCCACCAGGCAAAAAGGCAATAGGCTCAGGCTGGGTGTTTAAGGTGAAGCACAATGCAGATGGTTCTGTAGAGCGCTATAAAGGCAGATTAGTTGCCAAGGGTTACAGTCAACGCCCTGGCTTTGACTACACAGAAGTCTTTGCTCCCACATTCCGTCAATCTGCATTACGTCTTATTCTAGCTCTTGCTGCAGCAGAGGATCTAGAACTTCGCTCTGTGGATATCTCATCTGCCTTCCTAAATGGAGACTTGGAGGAAGAGATCTACATGTAGCAACCTGAGGGCTTTCACCAGGGTGGTCCAGAAATGGTCTGCAGGCTAAATAAGTCACTCTATGGCTTGAAGCAAGGTGCACGTCAGTGGAACAAGAAGCTCCATGAGGTACTCACCAAAATGGGCTTCACTCATCTTCAGTCTGACAGAAGCATTTATGTGTACATCAGGGGAGATGTGCGCATTATTGTCCCAGTCTTCATAGATGATATGACACTTGCTTCAAAGTCTAGGAAGGCACTTGATGACACTGTCAAGGAGTTAAAGTCATATTTTAAACTCCGAGACCTTGGATCTACCCAGTTTCTGCTGGGCATAGACATCAAAAGAGACCGCGCAAAGCACACCATTTCACTCTCACAGCGCCAGTATATAGTGGACATGCTGGAGTGTTATGGTCTCTCTGACTGCAAGTCTGTCAGCACTCCTATGGATCCTGGAGCAGAGCTTTCCAAGGCCCTTGCACCTCAGACACAAGAAGAGACAGAATATATGCGCAAAGTGCCTTATCTCAGTGCTGTAGGGGCACTGATGTATTTGGCCATCACCACTCGCCCAGACATCATGTTTGCCATTAGTTGTCTTGCACGTTTTAATGCCAATCCTGGTCCTACACATTGGATTGCTGTGAAGCATGTCTTCTGCTATCTGAAGGGCACAATGGACTTAAGGCTGCACTATGGTCCCAGTGATGTAAAGGAGTTCTTCCTAACCTACACAGACTCAGACTTTGGTGGTGAGAGGGATAACTGTCGCTCTACTGGTGGTTACCTTGAAAAAGTGGGCACAGGTGCTATCAGCTGGAGTAGCAAGCTTCAGTCCCTTATTGCCCAATCCACCACAGAAGCTGAGTACATTGCTGCAGTTGAAGCAGGAAAGGAAATCCTCTGGATGCGTAATCTTCTCACAGAACTGGGGTATACAGTTTCTAAAGCCTCTACACTTTACACGGACAATCAGTCTGCAATCAGTGTCTCTAAAAATCCAGAACATCATGGCAGAATGAAGCATTTGGATCTGTGCTTCTTCTGGCTTCGAGACACTGTGGAGGCAGGTCGAATTGCACCAGTATATATTCCTACTGCTGAGATGATAGCGGACATTTTAACAAAGCCCTTGCCCATGGCAAAGATTATCTACTGCCGTGAGATGATGGGCTTGAAGATCTAATCGTCAAAAACCCGGATCTTGCCGCTTGAAGCATACAACTCGGACATTGTCGGATCAGTGTTTCCTCGGATCATCTATCTGCCACGTATACCATTCTCACTGCTGCGGTTCAAATCATCTCTTTACCCCTTCCACCACTATGAAAACCTTCGCCATTGCCCTTCTTATTACTGCAGGGGCACTCTTCCCTGCCATTCTCCTTCTTTCTTTTTATTATGCCATTACTCGTATCTGGCCAGCACCACCCCCGCTCGACATCGAATTGGAACGCATTACCATTCCGGCATCCCCATCGCATGCTTGTTCACCCGGCTATGCCACCTCGGGCACACATTCGGCAACACTCGCTGCACTTCACCACTCAGCAGTTCGATGAGCTGGACAACCTTGCATCTATGATGCTGCATGAGAGCGAGATGGAAGCTGAACATCCATCCAAGTCTAAATCGCATGACGAGGAACATTGGGATGTAGTGGAATGAGTAGGTTTAGGGGGAGGTATATGGAGTTCTTGCATTCTGTTGAAGAGGGAAGACTGGTTGGATTAAGGGGGAGTGTTAGATTAGATAATCCATCAGTCTCTCAAGTGTCTAGACTCAGAGCAATGCAAGATGCTGTACATCTAGATACTTATTGATCAGGCTGCGCTATGCACTGCCATGTAGAGGCTATGCATAGCTATGCCTGCCTATGTTCATAGCCACAATCCTATGTTACTCACAGGTTTGTATAGCCACACTCTAGGCAGATATAAACCTCCTAGAGTCCACTCTGAGTCCCCAGTGACTCACTTCTGAACTCTAGCTGTGTTGCCCAGCTCTTCTGTCCTGTTATTTGAGTCCCCTACAAAGGTTGCATATTGCAACTTTATTAACAACTGCAGTGCTACAGTGATTTTTCTCTGCTGCAATGCAGTGAGCTAGCAGGTGCACATAGCAAGCACCCACTTTGGATTGTAAGAAAATAAGCCCCAGGCTAGGGTTTGCTGCGAATAAACCAGCGAGAAACGATGTTGCTCGGGATCGGCATAACCTCGGATGACGAGTTGGGCCAGCCATCTCACAGCGTTCACCTCCTCTTAGTCCTCGTCCTAATCCGGTAATTTTTGATATAAGGGGTAAGTCTTATAAAACATATATCACATGATCTTCTAAAACATAAATGTGGGATGTAGGAGCGAGAACGCTGTGACGATGGATGGTTTTAGGAGCCTGGCAATAAGTACCCCCCGGTAGAGTGGCAGAATTTTGTAGATGGTAGATTTGTGATATCCAGACACCTGCACCATGTCAGACACAGGGAACTTGTCATGATGGTACCAGTGAGCAATAAGCTTGTGCAATTGCTGGCTCATAATTAGGGACTCATAGTAAACAGCGTACGTGACAGTCAGTCACGGAGAGGACTCAATGATACTCGTTAAGGCAATATGTCCCGAACAAATAAAAGATTTCATCGCCGTGTTTCCGGTTTCATATGCAAACGACTGTAATTCTAGGTGGCCGAATGTTCAATCCCACATACCCCCGAAAATGGCCGACCTGCCGCCAGGTTGTGTGCAAACCCCCGAAGTGGTGACAGAAGTGCGCTTCCTTGAAGTAGAGTAATAAACTTCCTTCGCCAGATTGACAGTCCTGTCACGCTGGTCACGCGCAGAATTACAGTCCATTTACGGTCCCTCCTGCCTAATCCGTCCATGCGCGAGTCCCCGGCCAGCCTCGCTGAGTGGATGAAAAAATGCGAGAGAACATGCGCATGCCGCACACGAAGGTTGGTGAACCGTGATGCAGTAGATAAGGCTCCGGCAGGGCAGGGCACCGCCGGCAGGAGGTAGCGCTGGGGCTTGATGGGGACTCGGAGCTCGCCGAGGGGACGTAAATTTGAGGACTGTAAATCTGTCGGTCAGCCGCGCGTTCGTGGGGGGCCGCGGCGCGGTTCCCCGCGAGATTCAGCCCCCACTCCAGCTTGCTTCGGGTCGCCAGATTTACAGTCCTGACGGGCGCGTTTACAGTCCAGCGGGGCGCTTGTGGGGCCTCCCCCTTTGGGCGACCCCAGGGCGCCTGTCTTGTTCTCCCTGACCCTCCCTACTGGACGCGCCCCTCCTTCCTGGCCCTCCCTGGCCCGGAAAAAGGGCGGATATATTCGACGTGCGCACCGCGCGCCCTCCCGCCGCGGTTTCCGCCTGCTCCTCCCGCGCCGCTCCCTCTCGCGCACCCCTCGCGCCCCGTCGCGGCCTTCGGTTCACGGGGTCCTTCTCGGCGCCGTTCGGCAGGTTCGGCTCGCGCGTGACGCTTCCAGGCTTAGGCGCCGGTGTCAATTTGGCGGCGATCAGCCTTTCTTCGCCTTGCGTTGGTCACTCATTCCCTTTTCTTTGTCAAATTCTCAAGTTCGGTGCAGCATGTCGTATTATCCACCACATCACCCGGGAACAGGATCGTCCTATCCGTATAGCACCTATCATCCGCCGACTCCAGGAGCCTACTCAGCCACACCAGGGGCGTATCCTACTACTCCCTACCAGTCGACGTATCCACCTACGGCAGTAACTGGTTACGGTGGAACATGGCCTTATGCATATAGCTATTACCCACCACAACAATCTACACAAACGGCACTGAACGTGGCGAAACCTACCATAGGTCCAGCAACTCCGGTGACCACTGCTGCTATGCCCACCCCTGCGCCCCAAAGATCGGCTCCAACTCCAGCATCATACACATTCACGCCGACATACACACGGGAGTCAGTTTTTGCTGCATCTACCGGAGGTGCAGTTAGCCGAGGTGCGAGGAAGCAATCGACGATGAAAGGGTTGTTCACAAAAGAACGTATGTCTGTCTAATTCGGTCTTTTGACTTCCATGGTGCTGAAGCATTTTACGATGTTGCAAGTGAGAAATCTGATGTATGGTTTCGGAGACGACCGCAACCCTGCCAATGACACGGTGAATGTCATGGAGGAAATATTGATCGAGTACATCGTTGATGTGGTGCGTAGATTTATGCGTCCTCTGTGATGTGTGGGTGTCGTATTACTTTCGTTCATCACAATCTTGTCTTCACACAGTGCCAGACCGCTCTCACGCCTGGTAAGAAATCCCGGTTGTCCATTGAAGACCTCCGGCGTGCACTTTCAAGACCAGCGGATGCGAAGAAACTTGCACGGATGGAGGAGCTCCTATTTATGCAGGAAGATATCAAGCGTGCACGGGCACAATTTGAGGAATCGGACATGAATCAGGCTAGCTCATTCCAGTCATGATTTTCGGTTTTATTTTGTATTTTTTAGCCATCGTCATTTATAACCGATGTTTAATTAGTGGATAATCCGAGCTCTGGCGCCGACATTTGGCGGAACTTTTGAATCTCGAACCAAATGATAGGCTTGAGTCTGACCTGGGATTTATCAGTACGTCTTTCCTCGTTGTCTGTCATCGGCAAGACTGAAAAATAAGAACAGTGTTCCAGTTTAGTAAACTACTTAGCCCATTTCAACCAGGGTGGGCATTCTTGTCTGTTTCCTCGGTGTTCCTCAGTGTTCAACGTCTTGCGTTGTGTATCATATTACTTCATGGGCTTTGTGAGATTATGTTCTGAACTACTATGGGCCCGATCTCGAAAAGATGTTTTGTTTCAATCAAGGCCGATTCCAGATATCTTGGCAGCCTGTCAGCCACTTTGACAACGGTTATTCGAGATCTGTCACTGGCTCACGACTCTAATTCCTCTCTTTCGTCGCCATTCAGACCTTCTGCTCCACAGTACTTGACCGAATCGGGCCCTCATTATGGAGCGTTTCAGACCTAAGACCTATACTGCTCGCTATCCTCGTTGGATGGTTGGGAAACCACTTCTGATCGCTTCTTCTGCCCTTGCTTCACTTGGAGATGCACTGTTCGGCTATAGTCAGGGCGTCATCGCAGCTGTTCAGGTGCAGCCTCCCTTCATCAAGCGGTTTTTCGGAAGGTCGGTTACTATTGAGCAAATCCAAGCCGGGACTACAGGCGTTGATCCGTACGTTCAAGGTAACAGTACAGCTCGGGTGAAAAAAATGCAAATGGCTGATATCCTTCATCCCACATTAGCTATCACGGTGGCGTGCTTGAACATCACTGCTCTCTTCGCTGCGTTGGGATCAGCCTACGTCTGTGACATCCTTGGTCGTCGCATGTCCATCCGGATCGGCGCCTTCATTTACCTGGTAGCCGCCTTCATCCAACTCTTCGCCCCGGATCTCGGGACGTTAATTGTCGGCCGCTCTATCCAGGGTTTGGCGGTGGGGATGCTGTCCATGACCGTGCCCATCTTACAGTGCGAGATCGCTCCTGGACATGCTCGAGGACTGTTCATCTCCGTCGAATATCTTTGTCTCAACTCCGGGTATCTCCTGTCCTCCTGGGTTGGCTACGGATTCTTCTTCGCTCTGCCGTCGGAAATCTCTTGGAGAGGCCCATACATCATTCAGGCGGTACTGGCTGTCATGCTCCTAGTGTGGACCTTCGTGCTTCCAGAGACGCCTCGCTTCCTCATCAGTACTGGATTTGAGGAAGAAGGCCTTCGCACGCTTGCAGATCTCCATGCAGCAGGAGACATAGACGACCCCGGCGTTCAAAGAACGTACGCGGAGATTGTGGCCGCGATCACATACGAACGAACCCTGGGTGAAGCCAGCTGGGGTCAGCTCTTCAAGCAATACACAAGGCGTACCGTGATGGCTATAACCTGTCAAATGTTTGCTCAGTTCAATGGCATCAATGCCCTGCTGTACTTCCTACCTTCCAATCTCACTCGGGCCGGCTTCTCCATTGCATCAGCGCTGCTATATTCCGGAGTGTCTGCTATTGTGTACTGCTTAGGGACCATACCGACTATGTTCCTGATCGATAAGTGGGGAAGGCGCCCTTTCCTGCTCACCGGAAGTGCTGCTCTGGCTGCTTGTCTCGCAACTGTAGGTGGCCTGCAGTATCACGCGGATTCTCTACCGGTGGGCAATGCCCGCCTCCCGTCTGCAGATGGAATCTTTGCCGGTATGTTTCTGTTTCCCCTGTGTATTCGGTATCTGAATTCCTTCCGAACAGCCATTTGCATATATCTGTTCTTCTATGGTGCTACGTGAGTCTCCAGTCTCATGTGAGCTATTTGATCCGTAACCGATGTCATTTTGCAGCTGGGGTCCGGGGCCGTATCTGCTAGGTCAGTAGTTAAACATTGGTGAATGACCTCTCTTGACATTAGACCTCTCAGGCGCAGAGATCTTCCCTCTTCGTGCAAGAGCAAAAGGCATGGCACTCTCAATAACGTCAAACTGGCTCTGCAACTTCATCATCGCCTTTATCACACCCCCGCTGTTCTCATCCATCGGTGGTGGCTACTACTTCCTTCTACTCGGCTTTTGTGTGGTGTCTGGTGTATTCGTCTGGTTCGTCTATCCCGAGACTGCGCATCGAACGCTGGAGGAGATGGGGGCTGCCTTCGGAGACAAGATCAGCATTGACCAAGTAGTGGCAAATAGTCGTCTAGGGAGTGCGGCGGCGAAGGACGAAGACCTGCAGTCGGAAGCTACAACGTTACGGGCGAGCATAGGTGACAAGAGTGTTCTCTCCGGTAGGAAAGGTTCGGATGTTAGTGTATAACATTTAGTACTACAATTACGCGAGTCCACAGTATCGCGTCGAAGCGATCCATTTGTGATACAGAACACGCCCATGAGCCCTATAATTACACGATGGGCAGTTAGAGACGGTATCATGCAGAAGAGGATGAATCCATATTACTACTCAGCATCCTCTTCTCCTTTCTTCGCCCTCATGTCAAGCTGCCTGGCGCCTTCCATCATCTCCTTGATACGCTGCCACTCCATATTGATCACGCCCCTTTCGTCCAGCCAGTCCATGATGCCGTCCGCGTCGGACAAATCTTCGGGTGGCTTGACACCACCCGCATAGGCGACGCGGACGAAGCCGTCAGAACGGTCGTTGCCGCGTAATTCGTCTACTTCCTGCAACAGAGCCTTGAACGTAGCGTACTATCCATCCGACAAACAGGTGAGAACGAAGGACGACGGAGAAGTCAGTACGCGGTTTACGAACCTCCCAGTGAGTGAATTTATGGAACACGTGTGTCCTCGCGGCACAGAAGCGGCCAAGGTGGAATTCTTTCTTCGTGTTATCCTCTTCGTCTTCGCTGCTGTCAGAGTCAGATGAAATATTCACTGGAAGAGGCTTTTGTATACACTTATAATCAGTAAATCCATTTTCGACTCCGTTAGGGTCCACGTACCTCGAAACTGAGCTTGTCGTATGGCATACCGCTCAGTCTCCCAAGAAGTGTCGACATTCGGCCGCCCAGATGACATGCGTCACACGTAGGGATGGCGAAGTCCAGTCGTACTGTCGCGAACTCGGGGTATGCCTCTAGAGGCTTCTTGAATTCCAGACGCCAGACTGAAGAGGTGACAAGTGAATCCCTCATGCCAGTGATCTTCCGCCGGGCAATCTGTAGCGGAACAGAGAAGTATGCATCTACATGATTTCGTCGTCAGCCTGTGCAAACATCCAGGACAATCCTCATACTGCGCTTACTCTCGAGTAACTGCTTCATGGCGGCCCGTCGGTCGCGTGCTTTGTGAACCGCGACGTGCACGAAAAGCTGGCATATTATCTTGAATTGATGAGTGAGGTCTTGGTGAGTATCCATGCTGAATTCTGCGGGTAACTCGAGAGCGGTGGTGGTATCATCTTCTAATATGAAGTTATCGTCGTCAGAGGCATGCCCGCTGTCATCGTGGCTGGGATGCAACGTTTCTGGTTGAGCGAATGCAAATGGTGCAACATGTTCTTCTTCCTCTTCGTTGCCGCTAGCGGAGGAAGAACATTCGGAACGGTTGCTTTCTCCCCGTTTCTTTCCTGACGTGAGATATGAGTGGGTCGGAATATACACCACTACTGGGAAGAACTTACTCTTAAGTCTCTCGAGATTCCTTTGGAAAGTGGACTTCTTGTTGCGAGTACGAAAGCGCGACTCGAGAATTCCTTGGGATATTAACGAAACGATCAATCAGGGTGGAGCCTCTCAGCACCATGCAAAGAGAACCCACTCTCTTCATCCACTTCATCCAGGATGTCAGCTTCTTCTTCATCGGGTGAGGGCGGGCGGATGCCTCTCACCAGCTTGCGCATCTTCGGATGGACTTCCTCCTCCTCTGAGTCATCTAGCACCTGTTTTCTCTTCGTGCCCTTCCTCTTCCCTTTCCATGCAACGGGGGACTCCACCGTCTCCTCGTCTTGACTAGAGGCAACATCCTCCACTTCTTCCATCTCCTCACTGCCGGATCTAGCGTGCCGAACCTTCTTCTTCGTGCTCATGGAGGGACGAGGCTGTCGGTCCTCGTCCGAATCCTGGTCTTCTGGCTCAAAGTGTATAGCAGCGACATCAGTGCTCTCGCTCCCCGAAGCGCGTGCATCCGATATCGAAGAGTCGCGCGAGATTGTCACTCGCGCTTGCTTCTGCGCAGCTTTCCGAGGCTTGGATGGCGTAGTTGCTGCTCTCCGTGGTCCCAGGGGAGAGCTGGAACCTACGAAGCCGTCGAGAGTGTGCTGTGTCAATTTCTGTGGAGTGCGTGCCACCTTCCTCACTCTTCCGCGTGGCATTGGGGCCTTGAGGTACCTTGAGGGCTGAGTGAATGTGATGAGTTGTTCTGTATAAACCAGTCAAATCTGGAGGTGCATCGTCGTGGTGCAAAGCTGAGACGCGCGCGGGCGCGTCGTAACTAGTCTCCCGAAGGCAGATGGTAGACACTCTGCTTCAACCGATATCGGTGTCTAGTCTGCTTGAATTAGCGGGGGTCACACCGTAGTACACGCTTTCGGGAATTGCCGTTCGCTTCGACGCGTCCTGACGCGTCCCATTGGCTGGTCACAACTCCGACACTCAGCTGTGGCGCGCTCGTTATTGAGCTGGGGTGGGTCTTCCGTAGTGAATATCCTCTTGAACTTGCTCACAGCACTTTCTATGTGCATCTTGCAAATTTTGCATGGTAGTTAAAGTGAACGTGGGCGACGAACAAGCAAAATGCTTTCCGGGCTCGGCATCTTCCGGACGAAATCGTGTACTACGGCTCAGGGGGCGCGTATTCAAGCAGACCTTTATAACCCGTCCTCCACCCACTCAATGAGGATTATATTGTAGTCTGCCTACGGGAGACTAATCCGTGTCTGACGTCGTGACGTCGTGACCTCATACGCGTCCACCCCGGCGCCTAGTACTTCTGAATCCACTTGCCGGAGAGGTCTGCGTAGACGCGGAACACGCTGACCGCTTGAATTCATGGCTAATCCTGTCCTTCGCCTCGACACCACCTTTCTTGACACCAGCATAGTAGACAGCAGCACCTCGCAGAGCTTGACGACGCCTGCCGCTCGCAGCCGCGCTCGCAGTCTATCCCAAGCGGTCCTCCCGTCTTTCCGTATCTCAACCACCCCGAACACCGACAAACCATCCTCCGAGGCCTCCAATGCCTTCAACGTCTCTGTGTCTCATGCCGTTAACAAAGCTAGGAACGAGTCTCGCAAGCTGCTCGCACACTTGCTAGCACAGCTTCAGAGCAGGCCGGTGCCTCCGTCAGTCCTGGAAGTTCTGACCAATGGTGGCTGTCAAAAAAGCTTAGCTTCCAACGCACAGTCATTCAGAGGGGCCGCAAAGTATCATGGAGGTGCTAGGGACGTTCAGGTGCTCCCCCGCGTCTCCCACGATGATACAGACGGCGAGTGGGAGGACGATGCGCAGTTCAACACGGATGTTACACTTGATCTCATGAATCAACTCAAAGACGTCCTGCTTATTTCTGCGGCTCAGAAATGGGATATCTTCTACGACAGGCATGCACCATCTCATTCACGAATCTCGAGATGTTAATGACGGTCGTTGTCAGCCCCACAGATGTCAGCCGCGCTTCAGACAGGTTCTCCGAAGTGTATTTGCGCAGAAGGAGTCGCCAGGTTACGAAGCGACGGTCCCGATCCCGGTCTCGGTCTGTCTCGATGGCCACCGAGGCAGAGGGCGCCGTACAAGCACCACATTTACTATCCCAGTGCATCTCCGTAATAACCTCACTGATTACAGAGGATTGTCGCTTTAGGACGTCCAGCCCCCGGCCGTCAAGACCGCCGAATGCTTTGCAGTCGGTGACGTTGGACGTGGCACAATTCCTGATACACGAACATCGTCATGACCCTAAAATACTTTCTCAAATCGCATTCGCAGTTATCCCAGCATTTTACATGTTTAGGCCTTCTTTGCATACTCGGTTACTCTCTTTCTTCGACGATGGGGTGATTGGTCGCGTGCTACACGATCTGAGACGAATACAAGGAAGACAAACCAACGAACAAATGCTGCCTTCAACGGGTGAGGACGCACTCTTTCAATTTGATCTGACCGCCGTTGACCTCGCACTGAAAGATATGCTCGGGGGCGACTTCTTGTCTTCAGTCCAGTCTCCCGTGGTCGCTATCACAGTCGATGCGGCAGACGACGTGGTCATATCTCCATCGGAATCGGGCTGGAGACGCTGGCAAGTATCTGGAGACGTTGACTGTCAATCGACCAATGTGCCTCTCCAAGACATAGCGGTATACCAAATGTCCTCGGTGATCTCCCCATTACTCGCGGCCATCTTGGAGAACGTCGACATTGTCTCCGAATCATTACCGACGGTGCATCGTTTCCACCGACTGTTGACCAGAATCGCTGAGTACAAACCGGACGCATACGAAGACATCCTCTCAATCATCGCGTACCACTCTCCGCGTGCGCGCTATTTTGCCATAGGTCTTCTGATGTCGTACTGGTCGAGGGCTGTGGGCCACCTGGCTGTCAGTAGATCGTTCCCCAGCATCACATACTCGGCATCACTCGCCAAAGCACTGCAAGGTCCCAACTACACGCGGCATCTGTCCGATCACCCATATGCACACCAGTTTATCCCATGGCGCTTCAATTCAGAGTCGATGCGCAATCTTTTCGGAGGGCCCTCACATAACGAATGCCGCTCATGTTCAGACGCGATCACTGGGTTCGGACTGTTGTGTCCTTTCTGCATGTGCGCGGTGCACTTCGATTGCTATGACTATCCCGAAGGCAGCTTCTTCACCGAATACTTTCCTGCATTAGAGCCAGATGCACTAAAGGTCGCCTTCTTCCGCTTTTGCCATTTACATCCATCACGCCGCACGCTCCTTCCTGCGCCGATCCTGAGGGAGGAGCATACCTTCCGCCCTGTCAACCTCTTTGGTATGGCTCTCTGCTTCATCTGCCGCACCCCTCTCTGGGGATGTATGACGCAGGCGATGCAGTGTCAATCCTGCAAGCAATTTGTCCATGCACATTGTCTGGAAGCAACGTCGCTGCCCCGGTGTCGTTCTGTTTCTGTCGACGATACATATCTTACCATAGACTTTTCCGTTCTGCGCCGATCTTTCACGGAGTTCTACCGGGACATCTCGTTGGCCCTGACAGATCCCAGCCGAAGGACGTATGAAGAGGTCTCTCTTTTCTACGCTATGCTATGGATTCAGTTGGAGTTGTTGAAGAACGGAGTTGTTCTCGGCTCCATTCTGGTCGTCCCAGAGAACTCGGAAAAGCCGGTGTCTAATGACAGCCAGTTGGAAGAATTTGAGCTTCACCAGTTGATCAAGCGGTGTGAAGAGTACCTGTCTTCTGGCAACCTTTCTGTCTCCAGATCGTTGACTGATTTCTTTGTGGAGAATAACGTGCGAGCAGCGCAGGCGTTCATCTTCTTCGACTGGAACGCCCTCACGTTCATAGCGAGTACCATCAAGATGCCTCACCAGGTCCCGGGAATATCTACAAGTCTTTCCTCATCCGACTTACTCAGCGTCGGCCAGATGGATGTGTTCGAGAGCGAGCCCGAGGATGGCTCTCCATATCCCTTCGAGATCGCCTCGCTCTCCCATTTGCGGAACCAGCTAGGAGATCAGTTCCAGTTATACTCAGAGGCAGCTGCACGGTTCGCTCTCATGTATCTTTCGCACCTCGGCTTCTTCCAGCTCCCGGATGGGCTGGACGATTTGTCTCGCGACATCTCGCATCCGGAACGGCAACAGTGCGTGTTTCCGCTCCCATTCGGCTTGGAGGTGTCGGCGGAGGTGGAGACGTTGGCAGCGGCGATCGAAGCGTGCTTGTCGGACTTCGATTTGTCTGTGAATGAAGCGGGTTTCTTGCTCCTCGTGCGGCGGTTCTGTCCTGACGGGCTGATGACGGACTACGCGTTGCGTAGGCTCGCGAAGGCCGTTGTGCACTGGATATTGTCCGAGGTGATGCCCCCTGCCACCTACAGGCTTTTCTGATCTCATGTGGTTGGTTTGAATAGGACAACAACCTGGCCGTAATGCTTCGCGACTATGTTGCCGAGGGGCGCAGCCTTCCTGGGGTTCGTTCAGGTTTAGATCCACAGCCCTGGCCCTCGTCGTCTGAATCTCGACCAACGGCGGCGAACTCGGTGAACAATGGAGGTGATTATGTGGCTAGTCGACGCGCACTTTTGCACCGGTACGCTGCACGGTGGTTGCTTGCTCTCCACAATCAGGATGTCGACAAGTACACTACAACCATTTTCGATTTGCTTGAGGAGCACGCAAATGAGAGTGAGCCTAGCGATCTCATTTTAGCGGCAGATGACTTCCAGAAGGTGAAATTGTCCATGCGTAGGAGCGTCTTATGAGCTGACGTCATTCCAGAGGAGGCGACTAGCTGCCACGGACAATGTTCTGAGATTGATCATGAAGTTGCATCAAGCAGGCGTGGTTTTTACTTCTTACCATGATCTATTTGGTAGGTGGTTGGAGTTGGCTTCTGATGTGCGCCACGATGAAGAGGTACGACTCCACTCAACCCATTACGTCAAAATCCTCATCATTTTTTGATAGCCCATCTGGTCATTATCCCGCCTTTTCACTCGAGAGATCGAATCCAGCCAGCGATCTGGCTCCATAGTCGAAAACCGGATGACCATCGTGGACCCGTCGACAGTAGCCCCTCTCAACCCTGTGAACGTGCTCATTGACGTGGCGACCGGGAGTAAAGAAGGATACCTGCGTACTCTGCACTGGCTGTGTCTGCTTGTACGGGCGGGCGTCGACGTCTCGGTCTCGACATTCATGCAGTTAGTGTCGCTCGCGAAACGATTCGATGTCACGGTCAATGAGTGCCTTCTGTTGGTAAAAGCAATCATGTGGTCTACGTGGCTTAGGGTAATGGGGCGTCAAGATTTGCAGAACGTAGTTGCGGCGCTGCATGCTCACTTCGCCCCTCAAGTAGTAGCACGCCTTCAATCAAGGGATAGGTCGCCCGAAATGTGAGTTATCTCAGCCGACAGCAGTAATCGTCTAAAGTTGTAAATGCACCGTCTAGGTTTCTTTTCATCCGACAGTCGCTGGCTACGTGTCTTCTACTTTACGGATGTGACAGAAGCTATGTCACCTATCTCGGGATGATTCACAAGGAAGAAACTGATGGTTTGGCATCTAGGTAAGCACAATACCTCTATGCATTGCGATTGTCCATCTGATCATGGAAAGACTAGACGAAAATTACCTCGCGCCTCGATGTCTGCGGATCCTATCATAGTCAATGCTGACTTGATAAGCGCCTTGAAATTATACGTTCAGACGGAAATCCATGACGTATCTTGTTTGGTGGCGAAATTCCTCAACGCCTTTCTCAACGAGGCGGCCTTCGTAGAGTCATACGAGGTCGACAACTTCATTCTACGCAATGGACCTATGTTATGCACCTGGTAAGATCACTTTGTATTCATTGGAAGACTATTGCTCACGACTATAAATGCAGCATGTGGCAGTTTTACGCTATCCAACACCATGATATATCCACCATCAGGACATCTCTTCTCCTGCGCGTTCTCGTCGTCGATCCGCAGCCTTTTCAAGCCCTTCTTGAGGAGTGGTTCCAGGTAGACATTTCTTGGGAACTGCGGTAAGTATTGCGACCGTCTTGCAGTAGTCTGAACTGATGTGTCGTGGTCTTTTAGGTTGCAAGCGATTCTGCGTCTCTTTCGCATCATCCTTGACGTGACAAGTCCCGCGTTCAGCGTAGAAGATCGTCAATGGAGATCAACTGTAATCGACGTGTTCTATTACTTCTTCTCTTCTCTATGGAGGGACCCAAGGGTTGTTCTGCTTTCATATCAACGGCGTCTTGCGTCCCTTACATAGCATTTCAGGAAGAAGTTAGACTCGCCGTAGACACGTGGTCTCAAACGCTCCTTCCAGCTCATTTCGACGCCATAACTGCGTGTTGGAACGAGTCCCTGGCTAAATCTACGATTTCCGAACGGATCAAGCTGATATCCTTTCTAGATCAGCTTCGCCCTCATTTCCCAGACTGGCGAGGTGAGATCCATGGTGTCGTTGCTTTGCTAGTCGCTTTACTTGCTCATTCAAGGACAATAGTTCTATCTTGGGAATGCATCCTTGAGACTCTGTTGGAAAGTGACTTCATGCAGAGGAATGGAGACAACGAGGATGGGCCAGCCGCAGCTCATTTGGTCAGTCTGGACGTTACTTCCTGTCCACTTCTCTGACAAGAGATTTTTCAGTCTATGTATGGGTTGAGTTCGAGTTCGAAATCTCCTGCATCCTACGCTGTCGACTTGGATCCTGAATTAAGTCATCTGAGAGTGAGTTGGCCAATGATTGGTCTATGCAATGGTGCTGACAGGTGTCTATCAGGTATCACTGCTGTCTCTGTCCATGCGGATGGTATCGGATGGCGTTTTCATCGACCTCGTTTCACTACTCAAAATCAAAGATCACGTTGCTCGGGTAGTGGGTTTCCAAGATGTTACTATAGTGCCGACAGCAAGCGGGCACACTTTTCATGTCCGCTTCAGTGCCTTGGGCACCATTGCGGAATCTGCTGACCCTTGTCTGAACGACCTGATGATGATACTGGACTCGTCAAGGTCCTATGATCTACCTCCGTCAGCCATGGGCGGCCTTTACGCAGAGGATGATAGCCCGTGCCATTTGCTAGTGGGATCTGTTTTCGTTGACATACTGCTTGACCTATTTGTTCATGCTGAAGCCGTTGGTACACTGTCGCCAATCACTCTGAAGAACATGTTAAAGTCGCTCATTATCCTGGTACATAAACATGACTTCGATTCGAAACCCTTGATGCATCTGCAGGGGAATTTGCGCAGGGCGGTTCGACATACGCTGGACCTTTTGTTCATGAATCTCAGTTACGAGATACGACAGCTCGCTCTGTCGGCCTGTCTGGCATTCATCAAGAGATGGCCTACGATCGTTGGCAATTTTATTTGGTTGGTTCGTTATCTATGAAGTAGAGTCTCACTCACACTTGTCCTGTATAGCGAAGCTATAGAGGCCGCAGTCAGACTCATGGTGGTTCTTGATTACGAACGACATAGCGACGACGTTTTGGTGGAACAAACGAGAGGGTTCCTCGATACTACACTGACTCTGTGCGACGCGATCGTATCCTTCCAGATCTTTCTTCGCTCACGGTCTTCTTATCTAGGTACTCTCAGAGTGGCGTATTCAACGTCTTATGCAAAGTGAGTTACGTTTGAAAACTCGTGAAACTTAGGCAAGCAGTACTCACTCCGTGTCTTCTGTATCGCATGTTTCCAACTTAGCGGCAATTGTTGTCTGAGTTCTTCGATGTCATACACTACGTCGTTGTGGCGAACACGAAAGCGAACATCTCAACAATACGGGAGGGTCTTCAAGACGAGCTCTTACGCGATACGTTAACGAAGGCTATCGAGAACGAGCCAGATTCATTCCAACGTGTCATTGGAAATATTGTCTCTTACGTTGAAGTCGTGCACCACTCTGGGTACAGCTCTGACATGATGCAGTGTAAGTGCTCGCGTCAGCAAAACTAATCCTGGCACGATAACCGAACACATCCTGCGTTATTTCCAATGCTAGTTGTAGGACTTCGTCTAACGCATATCGTTCGACGTACCGCAGAATGGTCTGCAGATGCATTCGATCCAAACCCTCTGCTACGTCTCGCGTGCACGCTTGTGCAACACAACAAGGCGCAGAGTAGGGTGAGCTGTGTTCTCCATGCATGGGGATTCCCTAACGTCATCACACATCTCAGGATCTGCTGATGTACATGGAAACACTGCTTCGTGCTGCCCTCGTCCGCTTCCACGTGTCCGCGGAAAGTCTAGCGCGTATAGTTCTAGCCACCTCGATGATTTACCGCAAGGCTGGTTCTATCACTAACTCTGGAGATGCGTTGCAAACAAATCCAATTGTGTACTCCATGTCGGAGATCTTGTCCGATGGCCTACACGGAAAGGCCCGCATATCACCAACAACATTGACTGCATTGGTTCAGGTGCGTATAGACTACCCTGGTCAAGTCCCTTTCACAGTTAAAACTACACACAGACTATGTCGGCGGCTATGGATCACGGAGTAGTTAAAGTCGCAATCTTGTCCGAAGACGCATTCTTTCGTCTGGCGGATGATGGACTTTTCTTCCTGTACAATGACGGTGTCTCCGATGGTCTGTCAACTGCGGATTTCAATACGTCTCAGGCGGTGGCGAACCTGGTCTTACAAGCGGCGGACGTACGCCCAGCAATCCTAGGCAGGCTTTTGGTGAGTCGTTGCCAACGAAGACATCCTTCCTACTAACTACCGCCCACAGAGGATTCAAGCGACTATACACACGTGGAATATGTTGGTTCTGGCTGCACTTGCGAGCGAGAGCCCCTCCTCTGCCTTCCGCATTTTTGATTACTTCTCCACGTTCTCGCTTGCGTATGCACGGTCTCTTTGTTCATACCAGCATCCACAGTGGCCCTTAGATATAGATGCACAAGAGATAGCTCACAGGGACATCAGCAACGCCTACGCTGCGCTCAAAATGTGGTTACTCCTGGCTCGAAGGGCAGCTGCGCAGCGCATTGAGCTAGCTGTGAACTCACGTCGCAACGGTGCAGACGGGGATGGTATGCTTGATGAAGAGATCCTCGCAACCAGTATGGTGTGGAACGAACTATGGCCGCCATTTGAAAGTGTGATGAGCGCCTTTGAAGCAGATGCTCATGCGGGGAACCATTCGGTACGGGCGTGTGCTCCTATCCGTATATATGCGACACTAACTATTTGAAAAACAAGCCACTGGCATCCACTATATGGGCGTCTGTGGCTGACCTTCTCCTATTTCTGCGTCAATCCCGCTCGGTCGCGTTGGATACGTCGTTGGAGACACGAATCCTCAACCGTCTACGTACCATTGTCCGTGGTGAAGCAAAGGTAGGCCAAAATATTGTCCCAGATGGTTCCTTGTGTTCATGCTTGCTTGATATAGCTGTCGAGGATTCTGCGGAGTATGACTGAGCCTCCGCCCGATGTCGCATTTGATTTCCTCGTGAGACAGGTGACGACAGAAATCGAGGCGGAAGAGAAGCTGCAGGCAGCTAAACGCCAGAACGCGATCCCAGAGAGAGGACGAAGGGTTGTTAGCTGACCTGGATGCATGGATACCGTAATATATAAGTACAGCGCGGAGAATGAGATTGTATTCCAATGTGTGGGGCCCTTACCATAATTATCGTACGTACTTCTACTTCCAACAAGTGACGTGCATACCGCACAATGTGTCATCTCATCGTCCGCTAACAACCAGTGGGATCTGCGACGATTGCAGAGCCAACAAAGAGACCGATTGCAGACATGCCGATAATGAGCAGGAAGGCTGGAATGCGTACAGCCCATTCTCGGGAGGGGAACATGTCGTGGATAGGATTAGAAGATTCAAATAATGGCTGCTCGAGAAATCGTGGGTTAACAAGCAGAGGGTTCCGCATGCGAAGGAGAGACGAACTAAAAGAATAGCCCATATAGTGTAGTAGGAGAAAACCGACGTTGCAAGGAGGAGCATTGCTCCGCCTAGCGTCTTATCTGTCACAGCCTGGAATCGCAGTCAGCTCAATCTTTCGGTGATGGTCCCAACTGGTTTACCATCATCGTAATTTCCCTTACTGCATTACCTTGCTTGCAAGGTCTCTCCACCCTCTTAGTAATTGTCGTGCTTTTCGACTCCCTGGTTCCTTCCGTGCATCTGAATCTTGCACGACAAGTCCCAACTCGGCTTGCGACGTCTCAAGTTCGAATCTATGTGGTGGCAAATTTCACAAGCAAGGCGAGGAGGCAGCACTTCCCTCGTTTGAGTTGAACATTCGCGGAGGGGAAGACCCGTTTTCTTCCAGTTCCACGTGACATAGATCCTCCCCACAGGAGTTCGTAAGCGCCCGGTACTGTCAGTGCATGAACTCAGCTCGAGCATGGTGATCTTCCACTCTAGATATCTTGCTTGTTTCCGTTTCAAGCCAAACTTCAGACATTTTGCCTAGATTAACACTGTTCAGACTTCTAGCAGGGAGTTATTCTCAACAAGGGGTGGTCTAACCACTATGGAGCCATCAGCCTTTGCTTCGCTTGCCCACGTTCGAGTACTGCTGTTGCCTGTAGGAGACATTCGGAGAGATACTTTTGAAAAGTGGGTTGCGGAGATTAAGAGCTTCCAGAGCATACGTCTTGGAGATATCCCCTCTGATCCTCGGGATGATAGAGGTGTGTTTCTACACTACTCACTATTTCCAAGACTCATGTTACGTGCAGCTCGCTTTATGCCCAGTCCTCTAGCAACCGGCTATCTTCACTTGAGCTACCCATCGCACCCGCCTCCCTCGTCGCATCATTCACTAGCCCTCTTTCGTCCCTCTGCCTTTCCGCTTGGTGTCATCGGAATTGCGACATGCTCTCAGTCAGATTCCATGTCTTCGATATTGGCTCACTTCAATTCGTCATTGAGCCAAATTTTCCCTCATGGATCCATGTTCCCAGTCGCCAGTAATTGTTTCGTTTTTGAGGAGAGCGATGGTAATACCACTCTTGATGTCAAGGACCATTTTCCCGGTTTAGTCATCATTCCTGGCATGATGGGGAACAAGACCCTCTATATCGGCACACTTGTTGCTGACTTGTGCTCTCAAATATTGGGAGAATTCGCTATTCTGGTTCGTGATGTCACTCGCCGATGCAGTCACCTATCCCTGATGAAATGGAACAGATGCAATCGCTTGAAAGCCCGCTTGGGAATGAATATTTGAACGCTGCATTGTTCCCTGTTCTTCCGCCTCCATCTGAAATGCCACGGTCATTGGAGGCTGAATTTCATGCTCATGCTTCCTTACCTCCGCTTCCCTCCCAAAGCAGCCAGCCTGAGCTCGCTTCACCTAATGGACCTTTACGGGCCAAAACGCCTTTGGCGGTCAAACGCACATCAACTGCTCCTGGATTTTCTGGACATCGTCACGCTAGCCTACCCGTTCCAGCAGCCAAAAGGCGACCAACTGCAATTGGCGCAGTATCTTCTCATGGGAGACTTTTCAAAGTCCTAGGCGACCTGTTCCTACTTTCAGGTAGATTGGAGGACTCGTCTGTGTGGTAGGACACTGCATCCTTCACTCCGCGAGAATGTGCTGAGTTCGGACGTCTTCCCAGGTATGGAGAAGCGATCGCATTGTTCAAGGGTGCCCAGGATACCGCTTGGCACGCATCTGCTTTGGAAGGTCTAGCCACCATTCCGGTGATTGAAGCCTGGGCATCAAACCGAGCAGTAGTGCGTATACAATGCTGAAAGGATGTGTGAGATGCATTGACTCTTCATGTAAATCCAGACGGATACCGTCGAAGGGAAGGAACCATGGTCTGAGATCTCGGAAAAGCTCGCTCAAGCAACTGCATTGTATTTCAAGTCAACGCCACAAACTGACCCTGAGACGAGCCATTCCCTCCTTTCTTACTTATACAGCCAGTCGGTCTTTCGTCAATCCTGTCTCCTCTTTTCTGTGTGGTCTGCAAAAGGGTGGGGTTCTCTCGCTTTTGCGACTATGCTGCAGCCCAGTTCAAGTCCCAATGCTCAGAATATCGATTCAAGCACGGCGACGAAAGCACGCACCAGTTCATCTTTCGCTGAAGTCGAACGACGGTCATCTATAACTGGGATATCTCGCGCACAGATAGCAGGGACTCTTTCGCAGGTCCATGGGCCCTGGCTACTCCATCTCGGACCGCGTGACCGCATTAAGGTGTTGCAAACACTCGCAGGTTTGTACGGTGCCCTTGGCTACCACCGTAAGGAAGCATACATCTTGCGGGAAGTCCTTGGTTCCATCATGGACCTTGTCGTCTGTGGGCGAGAAGAAGGAGGTGGGGCTAACACAAGTCGGACTGGCTTGGGGTTGGGGATCGGAGTTGGGAAGGTGACCACCATCCAAGGAACGGTCGGCGTGAAGCTGAACGAAAGCGCTGTTGGCAATGAAAGTGTGCTCAAAATAGTCAGGCATATATGCAGGGTGCATGGAATTGATCTCGAAGCGGTCAAGTTGGTCAATCCCGCTAATCGTCTGCAAGCCAGATTCGGTGAAGATTCTGATGATGTGGACGCCGATGTAGTGGGGCCAGCAGACGATGCGGTTGATGCTATCGAGGAGCCCTTTGGTTGGCCCGAACTTCAGATTGGCATTGTTCGAGAAGCGATAGCGGTTGCGGAAGCTCTCCCTGGTGTGTCTTCTTTTCATGGTCACGCCGTTGGTTTCTGACCGCTTAACAATTTACAGACTATCCTTCCGTAGCCCAGTTCTCGTTGTCTTCGCTGAAGACTCTACATCCGGTCATGAGTCATAACGATCAGCATCATCTATACAGGACTGCTGCGCGAGCTCTGGCCACAGCGAAACGGAGAGGAGACGAGAGAACAGTAGAATACTGGTCTGGACAGCCCATCGTCAGCATAGAGGTCCTCCCGTGAGTACGTAGCATCGCATCCCAAGGGGTTTCACCTGATACAACGGTTCTGCAGCTTGCCATTCGTCAGATTGCCTATGGAGACGCCGGTCTCTGCGCTTGCTCAAGCACCGTCGGATGCAAATCCAATACTCGTTGGGCTTACGGACCCCTTCTTATACAATCCTCGCAAATTGACTTCAGGACAGGTTGCTATTTTCGCGACATCCAGTTGGATGACTTTGACTTATAGTCATGATTATTAGAGCCGATTAACACTGGTTCAGAACGAGATATTTGAACTCATGCTCACCCTACGAAATCCGTATGTATTCGACCTTGAGCTACAGACCTTAGCCCTCAGGTGCGTTTGGATCATATCTTATGACTCCGAGGATACTGATATTCTCGACGGGCTGCCTACCGCCAGTACGTCCGGTGTACCCTTCGAGTCGAACACAATCCCCATAGTTGTCCCTGCGAACACGTACCATCCTGTGAGAATGTCTGGGAAGGCCCTTGCAGCTGGCACTTTAGTCATTCGTGGTTGCATAGTACAAGCTCCGGGAGGTATCTCGCGTGAGTTTGTTTTGCCATTGTCCACTGAGGAAGAAGAGGACAGACGACTACGAAGACGTAGTGCCATTGAATGCGAGTCCGGGAGGTCAAAACACTCTGGTTTGAGATCGAGGCCTTGGGCAAAGGGGGTCGGGTCGATAAACAAACAAATTCGATCAGACAAGCCTTCAATGCGTTTCCTTGAGTGCAAGATTGTCCCAGAACAACCTCTACTGCGGATCAGGAGGACATCCCTCACTCACGGTGCTGTAATGTTGTACAATGGAGAAACGTTCGTATTTCTCCGGAGCTGATGCTGTTCCTGTATTTGACATACGTTCAGGTCGACAATTCGTATCACGCTGGAGAACGTGTCAATGTTACCGATCGATTTTATCCGGCTAACCTTTGACGATTCCACGATTGCGCCTGCTCAGCAAGCGCTAGCAGATGGAGAGCTGTCTGTTTTCGAGACATACGAGACCGAATACGACTTGATACACCGACCTGCACTTACTTGTGATAGTAGCCATCAGTCACAGGTAGTAGCTCCTGGAGAAAAGGCTATTGTTACTGTGGATTGCTTTGGAAAAGTGGGATGGTATGTTGCATTGCTATATATCTTTACCATGTTCCTTGACGCCTCTTCATAGCACGAGTGGTGCCGTCCACGTCTCATATGCATATGTCCGTAGACAACAGCCAACGTTGCGGAAGCCTACAGGCGTGTTTCATACTCGCCAACTGACGTATCCAGTGCTGGTCACAGTATACCACATGCTCGAGTGTCATGCCATGGATATCCTACCGTACTCCCGTGCCGCTGCATCAGCACCACCAGAGTTCGATGATCTGGACGAGCCTATCGTCGCCAAGGCTAGGAAGGGCCTGCTCAACGTTGAGGACGTGTCAGATTGGTGTCTGTTCTCAGTTGAGGTCCGAAATACTTACGGACTACCGTTCGAAGTCACGTTCGAGCGGACTCAGCCAGGTGCGTAGTGCGCAACACTGACAATGTCAGTCGCTGAACAGGAATTCTAGATGTAGAGCATGCATCAACATCCTGTCTGGTACCTCCAGGGTCCACTTCACGGTGCGTCCACACGGCTATTCTGTCTCTGGTTTATTTTTCAGACCTCTATACTGCATTCCAGCTTGCTGATACCCATCAAGAAATTCTTCTTACCGGCGGAGCATATTTCTAGAGCAATTCCGACCCTTTCAGATCGACAATTCGTGGTGACAAAGTCAGCTTTGACGTCTGTGGAGGAAAAGGCACAAAGGGAACTCTTCTGGTACCGAGAAGAACTGTTCAAGTTTGTCCATGGACGGTGGAGAGAGGTGAAATCTAACCTGCTTACTGTGTATACCTTGATCCGCTCACATCTTGACAGAACGGAGGCACTCGCTGTGGAGAACTCTCGTTACGGCAACAACGCATGGCTCTGCCGATGCTCGAAAACTTGCGGACGGAGACAGCTAAAGTGAAAATGTTATTATTCTCTCGCAGTAGGACAGAAGAGGACCCGACGGTAGTCTTCGCAGACCGATTCGGAGGTCACCCACAAGTTCCACCATTCACGATCCTCTACTTGCGAACCAGAGTAATTAACTTATCAGGTCGGAGTCATCTTAACACCTTGACGCGTTATCTGACATGCGACAATGGTTGCAGCCTCGGAACTCATTCTCACGTTGAATCTGTCTCTGGAACCCGCTGGACATATCATCTATCAAGGAGTCACCGGTAACATTCCCCTGGGTAAGCTAGAAAGTGGTGCATCTTGTGATGTGGAAACCCCCATCGCATTTGTCTCATGTGGGAAGTTCGAACTTCTCGCGGACGTTCATGCACTTGACTACCCCGGAGATTCAGACCATGTTGGCCAAGGACGATTGACAGCGTCGGTGGTATTGGATAATTCGTAGTGATCAGGAGTCGGACTGTAGATTACTGTCGTCTTGTCGCACTACCGCTTGATTGCGGTCACTAGGACTCCATCCGCGTAGGAGCAAGTCAACTACCTAGCCGGTCTGGCTGCGGAATAATAAGGGTGCGATCCAATACAAAAACTGTCCAGGGAGCATGTTCTCGAAGCATAGGCGACGTCGGCGCAACAACCAAGTGCATTCTTCAATCGAAGTCGGAGTCCTCCTCTTTAAACGCTGCAGAGTAAGCCAGTATCGTACCATACACAAGACTACAGACGTGTTAGCTGGAGTAAGCGTGACGATGACGGTAACACGTACGCTCCACCGACAATCGACATCGCGCATGCTCCTGGGCGAATAATCTCCGAATGCGCTAGGACAAGGGGGAAGGCAAATCCTGTGACGACTACGGTTGATGTCATAAATCGCCCAGTGTCTGCTCGACCATGGCCATCATATTCAGCGGAAAAGTCGTCACCACCACAGCTCGCAAACAATGCATTCGGCAGTGGCGCAAGGACGAAGGTCAAGGCTAGGGATAATGATATGGATGGCATCCACCTTTGAATCACGCCGGAGACGCACCGACAAGAAGAGGAAGCCAATTTGCCCAGAGAGCACAGGATAGAATGATCAGCAGGAAGCCCACCGCGAGTACGAAGGACAGAAGAATCACGGCTAAGTTGGAAGCGTCAGTCTCGTTCAGATTCATGTCGCTGAGACCAAGAAGAGACACGCACTCTTTATGCCTGCTACGGCCATGGCTGTCGTCGACGTCGAATGCGATGTGTACAGTACTATTAGTACCTCTGCTGTGCGCGGTGCAGCGCAGCTTGGAGTGACACATGACTAAGCAAGATCATATGAGGTAACAAATGCCCATTAATTATTTTGTCACGCGCGGCCAGTCTGACTGTCTCTCACTATAAATAATAACTGCCGATGTCTGTTTGACTGTCTCCAACACCTATGTACTATGTCATACCATTGGTGGTCCCAGGTTGCGGAGTGCTAGTCCGATGAACGTCCCGCTCATGAGATTGTAGTTCCCGCAGATTCATATGTCTTACTTATTGGGTTTGTCGAGGCTTGTCTACATGGCCATTGTGCACAAGGCAAATATCAAATGAAATCAGCCGGATCCCGGGGCATGCTCACATTTCGTGGAACAATACTGACCATGCATTACTTGAGCAGATTAAATTTCTGCACCAATTCGAAATTGAGGTTGCACATCGAACGTACCTCCTGGTGACGTCTGTGAAGCCTTCTGCCTCAGAAGCTGAGTGCAAAGCATTTGATGAACTCATTGGAGTGTTCATCAACAATGCTAGGGTGTGTCCAAGTTTGACAAACTTTGCCATAGAAGGAGAGCCAGGTTGGTGACTTTGTGGCAAACTAAGTCTCGCCATCACCAGAATATAAAGCCATGGCTCACCATATACCAGGAACTCATAAAATGGTGGCACTGCACTCGAACAACACCTATGGTGGTGGGCCCACTGCTCAGAAGCTCCAGGGTCCCCAGCGTTCACGGGTCCGCTTCCCAACAATTTCGCATACCAACCACCTATCGACTTCGACGATCCGGAGAACCCATTTGTTGACGCCCGTCTTCCGATTCCCTCTTCCTCGAGATCTAGTGAATCGTCTCCCCTTTCATCACTCCCAGAGGATGTCTCACTCATTCCGTCTCATCCCCCATCCCCAACTCTATCACCACAATGCCGAGAAGCAACAGCCATGGCAGACCAGGAACCTGCCCCCAGACCAGTCTCAATGCCGGCATGTGGTCACTTGATGGCGCCCACCTTTGATGGATCCCCGCGAGCCTTGATGTGATATTTCGCTGATCTTGAAGACTTGGCAATGCGAGCACAGTTGGACGATGATGCAAAAATCCGAGCAGCCTGCAAGTACGTCTCGTTGGACAAGGCAGATCTTTGGATGGGTGTGATGGAGCGGGAGACCTATGAGCAGTTCAAGAATGCGGTCATCGCATTGTACCCGGGGGCGGAGGATGACCGTTGCTACATGCAGTCCGACTTAACTCAGATTGTACGGACGGCACGGACGAGAGGAGTGTCCAGTCGCGCGGAGGAGGGACAGTACTATCGGGATTTTACTTACGTCATGTCGTTCTTATTGTCCAGGGGTTGACTATCGACCGATGAGCGGGATCAGCTGTATCTTGAGGGATTCAAAGCGTCCCCCTTACATGCTATTAAGAATCGACTGGCGATTAAGGTTCCCGATCAGAATCCGGATGATTCGTACGCAATATCGGAAGTCCATTCCACAGCACAGCACGTTCTCAGTGGGAGCGGGAGTGCATCGAGCGCTGTGGCAGTGTCGAAGCTGAGCACAGGGACGGTGAAGTTGGAGGGGAATGAGACGGATGCGATGCGGTTTCTAGCGAACGTGTTGCAGCAAGCGATGCGAACATCGGGAGGGGGACAGGCGCCGGTATCGCAGGCCAACATTCAAGCAGCGGTCGCACAAAACCCTCTTCCACAAGCTCTGCGTGCCTGTAACTTCTGTCTAGCCATCGACCATTTCATGCGGAACTGTCCGCGCATCGAGGATTACATCAGGGCGCGGAAGATTAATCGTGATGCGCTTAGTAGGATCATTCTCCCGAATGGGCGGTTCATTTCTCGTGACCTACCGGGATGTAGCATGGCAGAGCACGTTGATGCGTGGCATGATATGTATCCGGGGAACCTTTTCGGCGATGGTCCGGGGCCGTCTGCAGCGCCTCTGCCCAACGTTTCCAGGGATGGGCATGACCAGCCTCCACATATGGTCAGCCTATGGGAGATCGCAAAGGAGGCACTTAACCCCAAGGAACCGTCATTGGCGTACATTGAGGAATGTCTTGACGACTCCACGATGTCAGTGTTAGAAGCCAACGTGGCTCCGAAGAAAAAGACAGTTTGGTTCAATGACAGCGCCGCAGGGAAGTCTGCAAAGCGTCCTCCTGGTGTTCCGGCCTCTCAGGTCCCCACGTCAATTCTCAAGCCGGCATCGGATCCATCTGCGGCGCCCAGAGGAGGTGCGAAGGCATCTCTGCCATCTCCGGGAAATCGCGCTACGCAATACAGCTACAAGATGCCGGTGGAGGACAAGGTGAATGTGCGGGATATATTCGAGCACATCCAAAATGAAGTCCGCATCTCGCTAATGCATCGGGAACTGATGGCATTGTGCCCGGAGATCCGCAAGCTCGAGCAGGAGGAGATCACCGCGAAGCGAGTGGCAACAACGGGGAGCTTCGAGGCTGTGGATGGCGAGGAGGTTGCGGAGGCTCTCTTAGTGGATGTGAGCGATGGCGGCGGGCTGCTCGTGGTGGCCGATGATTCTCTTCCATTGCGAGCCATTGATGCCCTGGTTAAAGGCAAGGAATCAGTGGAATGTATCCTTGACCAAGGCTCGCAGATCATCGCAATGCGACGGGACATTTGGGAATGCATCGGGTCCACGCTGCAGTCCGAGAAAACGCTCAACATGGAATCGGCTAACATGGGTATCAACCAGATGCTCGGACGCCTCGCTAACATTCGATTCGGGTTTGGCGAGATAGATCTGTATCTTCAGGCCCACGTTCTAAATGATGCCCCATTCGAGGTACTCTTGGGCCGGCTGTTCTTTACCTTGATGGCATGCAAAACACCCGACTTTACCAATGGCGAGCAACACATTACTCTGCGCGACCCTAATACGCGTCAAGTAGTAATGCTTCCCACTCACGAGCGTCGCCCAAGGCCACGGCCGATGCCACCTCCAGGAATGGGTTTTCAAGACTCGAGGAGTCGGGCTTGATCTGAGGAGGGTCCACAATGAACAGGCACCAGCGTGCTAGCGATACCCTTAAAATGACAGGACACATCGGGGAGCGATCCCTTGTGGATGGTAGAGTTCCCCATGTTCCAGAATCAGTGTCTTTGGTTTCCTCTCTCTCTTCCTCTATGGCTGCGGTCTCCTCTCTCTCTTCCTCTATGGATTTGTTTCCCTCTCTCTCGTCCTCTGCGTCTTCGGTTTCCTCCCTCTCTTCCTCTGAAGAATTATTTCCTCAGATCGTTTCATTGCAAATCGAAAAGCCCCGCGTTCTTTATACCCTTTCCTCATCTTTTTGCAGTATCGGAGCAGCCAGCGGTGTGACCACACCTGCAGTGGCCCCTGGTGCATTCCAGATAGAGCACGAGGCCGTAGTCCACGGTTATGGATATAAAAAGGTTGACAAGCGTGTCAAGCCTGTTCCAGGAATACTGGCCGACGAGTTCTGGATCATGCGGCATGTTCCTCGCGACCCCATGCAGAACCTCCCATCACTCCCCTTTCACCCACCAGACTTCATCGGCAGATCACGTTATACGGAGGAACGATGGTGGGACCTTAACATTAACAGCGACGGGTTTCTCTGGGAGGAGGAGGTGAAGCTGTTCGATCACATCCTCTATCTCCATGAGCAAGTGTTTGCCTGGGATGAGTCCAAAAAAGGGAAATTTAGCAACGAATATTTCGAACCGATCCGAATTCCCTATCAGCAGCATGTCCCTTGGGCATTGCGCAACATTCCTATTCCACCAGAAATCTGCAAGCAAGTTATTCAAGTCATTCGCAATAAGATCGCATCAGGTGTATACGAGCCATCGAACTCATCCTACCGATCACACTGGTTCTGCATCCTGAAGAAGGATGGGAAGTCGCTACATTTGGTACATGATCTCCAGCCACTAAATGCCATTGTGATTCGAGATTCGGCAGCACCGCCGCAGATTGAGGATATAGCGGAGGCATTCGGCAGATGCTCTTGCTATGCGAGCTTCGACCTGTTCATCGCGTTCGACCAAAGGACTCTTCACCCGGACTCCCGTGACCTGACGACCTTCCAGAGCCCGCTCGGAGCACTCTGCCTGACCACCATTCCGATGGGATATACCAACTCAGTCCAAATCATGCATGGCGATGTGACCTTCATTTTACAAGATGAGATACCACATGTCATGATTCCCTACATCGACGATGTCCCTGTAAAGAATGGGACAATGCGATATGAGACGTCTGACAGAGGATACGAAGTCATCCCCCAGAACTCCGGAATATGTCGCTTCATCTGGGAGCATGCAGAGAATGTCAACCACGTGATTCATCGTCTGGAGATGGCCGGTGCAACCCTCTCGGGAAAGAAGTGCAACATCTGCGGACCGGAACTTGAATACCTTGGCAGGTTGTACAACTATGAAGGTCGGTGGCCTTTGCCATCTCGCATACAGAAGATCGTCGATTGGCCGGCATGCATGACTGTCACAGAGGTCACGTGGATTTCTTGGGACCTCCGGTCTCGTTCGGGTCTTCATCAAAGATTATGCGAAGATGGTGCGACCTCTGACTACCCTGACGTGTAAGGAGACAGAGTTCAGTTGGGGCGACGAGGAGGATGCAGCCATGGCGCAAATAAAACGGGCTGTACAGTCCTGTGGGGCATTGGTTCCCATTGATTATGCATCATTGCACATCGTTATCCTCACGGTCGACTCGTCAAACATTGCTGTCGGTTTTGTCCTTTTCCAACTTGGCGAAGATGGGAAGCGTCGCCCAAACTGTTTCGGATCCATCACTTGGAATGAGCGCGAGTCGCGATACTCATAAGCGAAGGTCGAATTGTATGGTCTCTTTCACGCTCTCCGCGCAGTTCGGATCTACATCATTGGGGTCGCAAACTTGGTCATAGAAGTCGACGTGAAATACATCAAAGGAATGCTAAACAATCCCGACATCCAACCTAATGCTACTATCAACCGTTGGATCGCTGGTATCCTACTATTCGACTTCCGCCTTGTACATGTACCAGGTTCATGCCACACGGGGGCCAATGGTTTGTCACGTCGGCCCCACACAAATGAAGACCCCGAGGAGGACGATGACTTTGAGCAATGGTTGGACGAAGCTAATGCTTTCACTATTGATACCGCGAATTCCGGGATTATGTGTGAAGGGTGGCGCGCCTGCACTCCGGGGACCGTCTTCACTGCCTTAAGTGCTAGGACACCAGATGTCGCGGTCTTCACCGCGGCCGCAGAAGATGTTGAGATACCGCAAACAGGAAAGGCCATAGCTAGGAATGAATACGTTCTCAAAGTCCGCAACTTCCTACGTGATCCCGAGGTTGCTATGAGCGTGCCAATAAAGGACCGCTGTCAATTTCTCAGATATGCATTGGATTTCTTCCTCAGGGATGGGAACCTCTGGCGAAAGGACCCTAGTGGCAGGCACAAACTATTTGTCGATGAGGGAAGATGCTACACACTTATCCGACAGGCGCATGATGACCTCGGCCACAAGGGAATTTTCACAGTATGGACTCGCTTGCTGGAACGCTTCTGGTGGCCACTCTTAGACCAGGATGTGCGATGGTATGTGGGCACATGCCACAAATGCCAGGTCCGGCAGATGATGAAGGTGCACATTCCACCAACGGTCGTGCTGCCTTCTGCACTCTTTCACAAGGCACACATGGACACGATGCTTATGCTGCGGGCAGGGGGGTACCGATATATTGTACAAGCACGCTGCTCGCTTACATCATATCCCGAATGGCGAATGCTCCAACAGGAAAATGGGCGGACCCTTGGCGCATTCATCTTTGAAGAGATCCTTTGTCGCTGGGGGGCAGTCGTGGAAATTGTCACCGATAACGGCTCTGCTTTTGTTCAGGCATTAGACTATTTGGCTCGGCAATACAAGATTCATCATATATCACCGTACAATTCCTAGGCAAACGGGCTTGTGGAACGCCGACATCTGGATGTGCGGGAGGCCGCAATGAAAACGTGTCTGGGAGATGAGTGGAAGTGGCTGACAGTTATGCCCGCAGTCTTCTGGGCAGAGCGCATCACGATACAGCGATCTACAGGATACTCCCCATATTACATGGCACATGGAACCGAACCATTGTTCCCCTTCGACATTGCAGAAGCGATGTACCTGGTTCCATACGAAGGCGTGCAGATGACCCGGATTGAACTTCTGGCACACCGGGCTTGTCAGTTACAAAAGCGGGAAGAGGACTTGGAGGAAGTACACGAGCGTGTCATCCGAGCAAGGTACAAGTCGATGGAGCAGTTTGCGCAAGAGTTTCATGCGACGATTAAGTCTTACGACTTCAAGCCAGGCGATATAGTCCTGGTTCGAAATTCCCGAATTAATATGGAGCTCAACCGTAAGACGAAGCCACCAGTCCAAGTAGTGGTATTATAATGTACCCCAGTATTGTACTGCAAGTCAATTTACAATGCCTCCCTACGTAGTCCAGTAAGTTACTGGCCACAAGCTGTCTGGAGCATTACAATGGCCTCCTCTAGGAGAAATAATAGGCTCCCTGCTTATTCCAGGCTTCGGCACATTTGGCAGAAATAAAACATATCCCAATTGGGAAGCTATCAAAAAATATATATTTCTTTCTGCCTCAAATGTCACGTAGGGTTTTCCGCACTCAAAAACTAGTGAATAAAATATACCAAATTTGGTAGGCATTGTTTTCCGCTCGTGTAATACCCTGTTTCTGCAGAAATCGGAATGGAAATCAAAACATACCTAAAATGGCTATTGGTGCTTGTGCGCAGTAGACCGTAGAAATTGGGGAAAAATATCATATTCACTCAATTATATATATCTTGCTCGGTGTTCATTGCATAGAAGTCCTCGTCCAGCTCGAGCTCAATGGCAGCAGCAAAGGAAGATGTGATGGGGCTAGCAGGAATGATGAGCTCCACGTGAGCAGGAATGATGACGTCGGTCTGATTGGAGGTGGTGGCATCCGCCTTAATGGACGTCGAGACAGATGTGGAGGGTTGGGCAGGCAGAAGGGCATCAACATCGGGAGAGTGGCCCATAATAGTAGCATCGGAGAGACCATTCTGTACTGCCTTCGTGGCCCTCTCGCGAACCGCGGACCACTTCATCCTCAGTTGCATGCCAAGGGCCCGTTCGAATACGATATGCTCATGTGCATATGCAATGAGTCCCTCTTCCAGCTCCTCCGAAATGTCAACGTGCAGCCCAATCCGTTCCTTCCACCAGCCGATCTTCCAGTCGCTGAATGTGAGGACATGCCTCATTTCCTCGTCCAACAATATTACTTCCTCCCACCATCTGTCAGCACTTGCCTTCGCCTTGGCCCATTCAATGCGCAATGCTAGAGGTATATTTGAGCGCGGATGTGTATGTATCAGAAAAAAAATCACATACCTTCCTCCATTCCCAGTGAATTCTCATCCTCCATGACGTTGACACGATTCCATATCCATGATAGCACTCGGCGCCCTTCACCCGTGTGTACAATGCCCTGCACTGCTGCTCCCGTGCTAGACCCCACGTAATTCTCGGCGAGCCATTCAATTTCCTCCCTCTCCTGGTTGCTGAGTGCACGCTCATTGGGAGAGCGAATATCTCCATCGTGGAGCTCCTGTAGGGTATTCTCCCAGACACCAGGGCCTCTGAGATTGACAAGGGCCTGCCTTGCATGGCGGTACTGAGCAGCTGCCGCATGGACACTCAGATCAACGTGGTGCTGCCATGCTCTTGCCCGAGTGTTGTGACGCTGTCCGGTGATGTTCTTGCGCTTCCACTTGTTGAGGAACTGTCGGTTGCACAATTCGCGGTGGAGATCCTCGAGCGAGTCGCAGGCCTGAGCATGGCGAAGGACGGCCTCCTGATCTGCGAGTCCGGAGATGCAGGCCACCTCGCGAATTGAACGAGATAGCGAAGAGGGCATTTGGAGGGGGACATTCTCAGCGGGTAGGTCATCATGGACTCTTGTCTGAGCATCGGCAAGTACCTGTGTGAGGGCGGGCATGTATATGGCCTGTAATTCCTGAAATCGTTCTAAGCGACGTCGAATGACCTCCCGGCGATCCTCCATGGAGGCATTGTGCAAAACGTCTGGGTTCTGAGCCTTGGATTTCACCAGCACACGCAGGGATCTTCTACATTTGCAGGCAGTCAGTACTATGGATTAAATGAGATGAGTGAGAAGACGTACTGCAGCTCCTCAAGCTCAATGCCTAAGAGCAGGAAGGCACTTGGGCTTGTGTCATGCGGCAGGCCCGGCCCATCACCTGCCTTCCGCTGCTCGTCCTCCGCCATGCGCTGATGGACAGCGGCCATCGAAAAATCTGGCAAAGAAAATTGGAACGGGGATATTTCTGAAGAAGAAAAAACTATACACTGGAGGTGGTGCTCGCAACATATGGGCACGGTTTGCTGTGGTCCAACTTCCATGCCGTGAGCATATCCTCCCACTGGCGTACTTGTTCGCTGCACTCGGAGTGAAGGCTGGCTTGAAACTCTTCGAAGGCCCCACTATGGGCCACCGACTGTGGAATGGCCTCGACGAGGCGACGCAATAAAGTGTTTCCTGATAGGGCCATCAGCAGGAGTGCAGCAAGACAGAGGAATAACATACCAAGCCGCTTCATCTTCGTCCAATTGAGAAAACCGCAGAAGTCGTCAATCGTGTCGTGATGCCCCCCCAGGCCCATCTCCTTGGTGCTAGCAGCACCACCATTGAGCATAGCCCAATTTCGTTCCACCCCCTCACCATTGGTTCGGCCAGCACCCAGAGTGAAGTTGAAGGAATATGGCGCATGGCATGCCTCCTGATGCATCTCAAGGTGGAGCTTGGGGACCTTCCCATCGAGTTTCACTCGTTCGTTGAGATGGAGGCGAGCCGGTAAATCGTCCATGCGCTTCCAGAAATTCTTCAGCCATTGACACATAATGTCGTAGCTGGCGATCAGTGACAGCAGCGTGACACCGATGATACTGGACAAGAAAATGTAGTCCATGTTGCAATACCTGGCTTAGAAGTCAATAATGGACCAAACTGAGCTTTCGTGAGACTTATCGCTCGCCCTGCTGAAGATCGCCCATACCGTTTGCACGAAACATTTCGTGGCGACTGCAACTGATGCCGCTGACCCCTGTTACATGCAGGCCTTTCGCCCTCTTCAAGTTGGCTAGCATAATGGCCTGGAAGCCAGTGCAGGTGCTGATCTGGAACCCTTCAATCGGTGGACGCACTTTAGAGGGAAACTGTCAAACACACCTCTTCGTCATTAACATGCTTCTTGATGTGCTCGTGGTATCCATCCTCTTTCACGAAATAAGCCCATCCGGGCCCTAGTGGGGGCTCTCGGTGTGCACTGCTGCGATCACGATTTTTGAGCTGAAAGTTGGCATCCATGCCAATAATCAAGCGATAGAGCCATCTATGCATCCAAAGGTGAGAAAATATGTACAAGGCTCTGTATAAATGCTTACGATTTCTCCGGAGGGGCCTGTTCCCGGCCATCTGGCAAATTTATCCCGGGATGGGGACAGGCACGGCAGGGAACTGTGAGTTCTCCATCCTTTGTTCCTTCGACTCCGCTCGGATCATGTCTGTGGCCTGCGCACTTCAATGCTTTGATGTGCCGCCATTCTCGCACAATATGCATGAACGATGGTAGGCGGTCCTATGTATGGGTAAGCAACAAATAATGGAGGAAAAAATGATGCACAAATGCTCACTGGAGGAGTTGTGAGACCCGTGTTGTCTGTCAGGGCCTCCAATGCTCGGTAGAAGTCGTATGCTGTCACCTTTCCTTGGAGATTGAGCAAGTGGAAGGGCCGAAGTAAGGAGAACGTGGCACAAGTTTGTGGCTCCTTCGGCATAGCTGGCCACCATCCTGCACGTAGAAGCTGAATGTGATGAGGAATGGATTGGCAATCGCAGAAATTAACTGCGATGCGATGGATGCCATTGACGTGGAGGACTAGGAAGTCCCTATGGCCGGCCGTCTTGATAGGACAATGCTGTGAGAAGGGATGTCCCAGCTGCACCCGTAGCCCAAGGTCGCAAAGTGAGGTCTTCGCGAAAAATTTCGAATCAGTCCACTGCTGCGAAAGTGGGTCAAGAGAAAACTGAAAATTGACATGGATAAAGCTCACCTCTATTGCATGCAGTGGATTTGCAGCATGCGAAAGAACAATGCAAGCCCTGCAGATGAGTAAATCGCCAAAGCAATCCTGACATTAGTATGATGGGACACCATCATCGCAGCGAGCACACACGGCTCTACCCCTCTGCTCTCCTCGCCCCTCCTGGCACAGACACTCATCAAGATATTCATCACGGTAAGGCATCCAATTCAGAAGCGGCTCATCCTGTATGGGTAAGTGTCAGCAAAGGATGCAAACCCGAGTGAGAAGGCTCTCACCGAATTTCGGTAACATTTCACACGAGTGGTGGCCACTATATCCACATCCTCAAGACCCTCTGTCCCTTCGACCTCAGGAGGAGGTACGGGTGCATCAGGAGACTCGTCTTGAGGTGATATGCTGGTTGACATTTCCGATGGCAGGTGGTGTTGGGAAGTCCGAGTTTTGACCTGACGGCCATCGTTGGAAATCGACATTGTGCGTGACATACTAGGTGGCTCGAGGACGTGAACATACAGCTGCGACACCTTGTGCTTGCCCTTGGTCTTGCCACTGTGTCCACTCATGTTGGAAGTCGGTAAGCCACAAGATAAAAATGTCACAGATGCCTCGATACACACGAGGCGTCTGATCACGTGCATTAGGAGCTCTAACTACTACAAAGTATTAGCGATGTCTAAACAACGTATCATAGAGGGCAGTACTGCACTCTGTCAGAGGCAAGAGAACCAATCTTGGAGTACAACTCCAATGCTTCAAGCCAACGCGCATCTCCAGCCCCATCTACAACGTCGCGCTGTTGCCGGCTGAGCCCCGTGACTGAGCGGAAGCCATACCTCACCCAGCGCATAAGTCCACCAGCACAGTATTGCGTGAACGAATAGCGGAATTCACCGGCCTGTATAGGGGTGTTTCCATGGCGCATTGTGGCCGAGGGGATGAGGATTGTTGAACCGGGAGGAAATTCTACGATCATCTTGACGTCCTATAAGATCAAGTGCCCCCCACATGTGTGATCAAAGGAGCCGAAGGCGTGAATATCACACCATCCATTCGCGATGTTATTGTAGTCTGTGTGGTCCAGTGTGACGGTCTTGGGGCCGAAGTTGAAAGTTGCAGCGGGGAAGATGCTGTTCTTGAAATTCCAACGCAAATTTTCATGCCTATTGAACAGCTGCCCCAGATGAACTGCATAGTTTTGGAAGAGCTTCGGCGCATAATATGTGAATGCAACTTCAACAAAATGATATGATCAGGCTGGCCGTAGCGTACAATTACGAAACAAAAACTTACTGCTGCCAAAACCAGCCACCCTTTGGATGGACTTGCTGTGTAAAAGGTGATGAAGTTGCACACCATTGGTCTTACTGTGCAAAAGGTTTCCGGGAGCCTGCCGGATGCTTCAGCCGTGCTCAACAGGAAGAAGTAATAAATAGCTACCGTCTGTCCCCCACCATACGAAATGCCCATGGCGAGAGCAGGGAATTTTCCTCGGCAGTGGTGCATTTGTTCGTCAGTGAAAATGCAAGCCTTTCCAACGTCAGCAATGAGGCGGGTTGCATCATCAATGACGCCGTCCCAGCCCGCGTCGTCCGGACGCCCAGCCAGTACAGCGACAATGTGTTCCTCTTGATCGAGGAGAACATGGGGAGTTCTGGTAAGCATTAGCACACAGCCGATGACAAGATACACTGCAAACTCACCAGCCATCCCACTTCTGCAGCCTGAATCTGTCCGCGAGCAAACTCTCCAAAGTTTTGACCTGCTTGAACAGGCCATTCTGGCGCCTAGCGGTGTATATGCCCTTAGCAACTGGCATGGTCTTGGATTGGAGGCCGGTGTGAACTGCAAACATACGGCGGTACTTCTCAGAGGTTGAGGAGCGCAGGCGATAGTGCGTCATGCTCTCGCCCTGCCTTTGCATCTCCCGCTTGCGGGCGATATGCTTCTTCTTCCCAGCCTTGGCGTGGCATCTTTCCGATGGTGTGCAATGTCTCAAGCACTGCGAAGGCGGTGGTCCTCTGGCAGTCGGCCCCGCATTTCGCTGGGAGGGTAGCTCGGCCAGGTACGTGTTGGGATGAGACAGTACGCAACCTTCTGAGGTGCATCGTGGCGTTGTGGAGGCAGTTTGCAATGTGGAGGGCGGTGGGCCTGGAGAAAGCGGCGGACAAGGAGATAACGGGAAGCAGGGAGACAATGGTGAGCGGGGAGACAACGGTGAGCAAGGAGACAACAGTGAGCAAGGAGACAACGGCAATGAGATGACGTTCAGAGCCAAGGGGAATGAGAGAGTCGAACTGGCCGCACCGCATGGCGAGGGGGGTATCGCGGACGGCCGCGTTGAAGGCTGAGCCAGCGAAAAAGGAGAAAACGGCGGCAAGAATGGGGATATGCACTGAGAGGCCCCTGAGGACATGACAATACTGAGAGAAGGACGGGCCGAGGAATCGCAATTGAGTGCAGACGAATTCAGTGCCGTACCTTCGGTGTCATCCTCATCTGCATTTGCACGTGCATCCTCAGCAGTGAAGGCCTTCTTGAGCAAGGAGTCCATTGGGACGCATACGGGAATGGAGACAGGGCCTTCGAATGGTGAAAAAATGCGTCCAAATCACGTCTACGTAAAGGCCACCATCAGAAAACATCCTTGCTCGCTGAGCAGCCCAATGCACCAAACGAGTGAGTGTAGGCGTTCCAGGCAACATACGCTGCAACAAAAAAGCATCAGAAATGAACAAAAAGAAGGGGGAAAAGTGATCGAGGGAGGCGACACGTTCAACATCTCTGCCTCGGTGCTCCCTGATCATAGAGCTTTGGAGAAGCCCAGCGTACAGTTCGCACCCGTAGGCATTAAGAGAAGGATATTTGCGGCGGTGGAATTAAAATTCAAGAGGATTACTCACTATTAGTGAAGCGGAAGGGCTTGAAGACAATAAACAAGCGTGGTGGTTTGGAGAATGAACGGAGTGGCAAGAGGCAAGCCTTTCCAGGCACCACTTTCGACGTGTCGCAAGTCCAACTTCCGAACTCGTTCGTACTCGCGCGGCACCTGGCCCCATCTCTTTAATTGAGTATTTAGCTGTAGCCCAGTACATGAACAGTAGTACATTAACATTCTGATGTATTCCATACATGTTATCTAGCGATTCTTCCTGCTGCACATTCTAAAACTTTCGTTGAGAAAGATCTTCAAAAGCTCTAGCAGCGCATCGTTCTGGTACCTACGGTCTCCGGATGTAACACTTTCCGTTGTGGTGTAACCCTTTCTGTTGTGGTTCTTGTGCACCTAAGCCTAATTCCCACACCGCAACGTCTCGCCAAATGCGACCTGCAACAAGCTCACACGTTGGTTTATAACGACTCCAAAAACAATGACATTGCAAACACTACGCACGACGAACATAGCGACAACCAAGCGTAATGACAACATAAGACAAGCACTACAGAGCGATATGCGCACGGCCCACACCAGGGGACAACATAACGGCGAACTCTACTCCTTCACCAGGACCTGCACCCATCCTGCAATGCGACCCTCCTCGAACTTCAAGAGCGCCGCCTGGCAGGTGGGAAGCCACTCAAACAGCGCATTGGAAACACCGTGAGTATTAATGTGGCATAAGAACCTGCACGCAATAAGCGTCGCATTGACGTATATGCAACAAATTTGCCCACCAATCATCATACACCCCAGGAACTAGGCCCTTGTAGACGACATAATAGCAGACATCAGGAGTTCCTTCTGGTGGCAGTGGGGTGGGCAGCGCAAACTGTGAAGCAGGGAACGACGCATCATCGCCACGGGCCGAAATTGCAGCAATGCCGCATCCAGTGTACCTGGCAACGTGTACAGGACCAGCGTGCGGATTCACCAAGCCGTTCCCTCGCCCAGGAAAGAACAGTCGGGGGCTCGTGACCAACGTCTCTACAATTCCCACTGCGCACGCAAACTGATACGCATGTTGTGCTGCCCTGACAGAGTCATAACCGCAATACAGCGACCCTGAGATGCGCAGCACACAGTCCTTACAGCGATCCCTATGCCGGGGTCAGCAGCACACGTGTAAACTGGCACGGTGCACTTACCAGTCGAAGTATATACCGGGGGTCGTCCCCTTGAAAACAACGTATGCAACTCTCCTTGGCCTGGAAGCCTTATAAATCTTCCGTGGGGAAGGAGAGACTGCCTTGACTGCCCCTCCAGGAACACCTTGCGAAGCATGACCCGCGCGACCCCTGCCGACACAAAACTATGAAACCGGACATATAAATATTGTACGTAAAACTTACCATCCTTTTATCAGGCCAGTCTCGCGACCGCACATCACCCGATACATATGCTGCTGAACCTCATGATTTGATGGCTCTGAAACAACTTCCCTCGCTTAACATTACATCATCATCGGTATACACAAGACTTACCGGGGCTGGGTGGCAGCGAGGGCTCCGACGGGGGACCAGATGGTACAGATGACAAGGGCGGCGAAGACACTACTGATGGTGTTGAAACAGAAGGGCGAGAAGGCTGGGATGAAGGATTAGACGGCGGATTAGGCTGAGATGAACGAGAGGACTGTGATGAAAGATCTGATGACAACACAGGAGAGGAGTCATTGGGCCTCGATGACACGTCTGATGACCCCACTGCGGAACACCTTGGGGCAGCGGCGGTGTCATCTAGTGAACATAACTAAGGTACATTTGCGAAGAAAATAATTAGTGCTTACCTTTGGCTACAGCCTGCTGATGACTGGTCACCATCACGGATTCGAACACAGTCACCAGGCCCCCGACGTCATGTGCATTGAGGCTGGAGGCATGGCGGCGATGAGTCTTCTGATAGTCTGGTTGTAAGTACGAAGGGTCAGTCCACTGAAGAATCAGCTTGCGGTTGCGGGAGACCAGCTCAATACCATCCACAAAGTCCCAGATAGCATCATACTCGCCGAGCTCACTGGGAGTGGGAGGAGCCATGGAGAGGGTGAGCGAAGAGGAGAGGCTATATATGCGCTTTGGTGCTTTGTTCATATTTGTTCCACAAGCATGCGACTTTGGCGCGATATTCTGGCGCGTGACGTGGCTCGCTGAGTTCACTTCTGCTCTTCGAAACCTTCCTTGACTGATTGGATCAGTCCCCTGTCTTACTCTGGCCATGCAGCACACACGTTCCGGTGATGGGTCACACGAAGAACAAGACAAAGAACATCAAGAAAACCCGCGGCCGCTCAACCTGGGCCAAAGGATCCAAGCTCAGGTTCTTGAACGCTCGGACTGACGATTGGCAGACTGCGACCGACCTCGATAAGGTTAGCAAGTTCTATTTGAATGTGACAAAGCTCTTCATCAAGAAGTACGGTTGGGATCTACTGTTCGACCAGGATGCTGAAGATGAAATCCCGGACCCACCTGATGACTTGATTATCGATTGGATAGGCGACGAGCCTTTTGATGACCCAAAGGAATGCACTTACCAGGAAATGTGCACTGTACGTCCCCTTTTTGTCTGTGCCACCACATCACTCACATCCTGCCAGAGGATCGGCAACTGGTTCCGCTACCACAATCAAAAAATCACCAAGGATTGTCAATGCTCGCGGAGCGTTCTGATCCTTTCGACATGCTCGAGCTCAGTCCCAAGCCGCCGCGTAAGCCTCGTCTCCTGCAGTACTACTCCCATCTGCACTATGCCAAGCACATCAAGCCCCATTTTGATGAAGAATGGGCCCGTGTCGAGTCGGCGCCTGTCCTTCCTGGCAAGAAGAAGCCGGCGCAGGTCAAAGTACGCAACAAATTCACGGAAACGGCTTTCTTGAATGAGTCAGAGGAATTTCGTACCACTCTCAAGGCCGATCTGGAGAACGAGCATGAGGAACAGCTTAAGGCCTTCAGGAATGGGCAGGCGGAGAAGAAGACTGCGCAGCATTATCACAAGTAAGTTTTCCTCAAGTCTGTCTACCTCAAATGCTGACGGTGCTCCATCCCAAGTGGGTTAGTTGACACGGCCATGTACTTGCAGCCGCTCGCCAATCTCATCGCGGACAAGTTTGGGATGTCGGTCTCCTTCCTGTTGGCTGGGCCCATTCCTGATCGCGGAGGCCAGATAGAAGTTCGTAGGTGAGTGATTGGTTTTTTTTTGATCTCACTTGGGTCCTCATTTTCGAGTTTAGCGTACACTCGGGGGAGATGGCGGAGGTCATTCCTCGGAATTGGCCGGAGTTCGATCGGCTCGGGTTTCACGAAGTCGAGAATATCATGTTGCACTTTGCACGACGTTGCTTCAGTAAGTATTTTTTCGAATTTATTCATCGCATGAAGTGTCTGACGTGGCAAGCTCAGCGGAAGCACAGCAACGGGAGTGGGCACTTCCGGGGACACTTGATGACCAGGAGGCCTCGGAAGCCAATTTCTTGGCTACCTCCGCCAAGCACACCCCCTCTGCAGTCCCATCTGCATCCTCCCCATCCACCTCCGATGCTGAACACGTGATCTCATCTCGCGTGGAGAGTTCCTCCACCTCTGATGATATGGCCGCACTCACCAACTCTACTAGCCCTCCTCCTGAGAATGCGACCTCGCTAGCTACCTCCACCTCGGCTCTCCCCGGACCCCGATGTAGCATCAGCATCTTCTAGTACAGCATCTGCCGTCATTTCCTCCGCATTGGGTACTCCTGCTCCACTGCCTGAGAAGACAATGTCTTCAACTTCAACAGGATCTTCTCTCCCCCATGGTCCATCTGCATCAACGTCATTGCTGTCAGTTCCTACTCCTTCAGATGAACCGCCCACGACGGCCTTGTCAACAGAGCAGCTGGCATCAACGGCTGCCTCAGTGTTGGATGAATGATCTCTTTCGCCTGATGCAACGGCTTCGGTACCACCGCCGATTGTTTCTACTGCACCTGTGCCTGCAGCTCGAGTATGCCCCCTTGCATATCATTCTACTCCTCCTGTGGTACAGGGCATTGGGCCTTTGGCCATTGCAGCTGCGGCGTTATCCAGTTATCCCCCTGCTTCAGAACCGCATACATCCTCCGTACAACCATCTTCGCCAGCAATCGAGCGTACAGATGACTCAAACATTATGTGGCCCGTGTCCTCCGTGTTGCCAGCTCGTGGAACCCCACCCCCTCCGTATTCGACTCAGCCACCTGTGAATGGCAATGTGTCCGTTCCTCCATCAATTTCTGTGGCATCCATGGCTGGTGTGGTGGAAGTTGATTTAGAGCGTCAGGCAGGTTGGCCTGTGGAGGTCACTAACGCTGTGCAGTATCTAGTGCAGAGAGATTGGGGATTGGCTTGGAAGAATTGTGTGAGGGCCTATGTACATTTCGAGCAGGTGTCTGGATTCCCTGTGATAAGTGTCGGACCTCTTACTTGCTTGCTGCACTCTAATAGCCCTCTAGGATGATGTCGCACATTTTTCCACCCGCTCACGACCTATGGAGGTAGGTCGCTGGATAAGTTACCACTGCAAGCTCGCCGATTGGCCAATCAAGTCAGCCTCCGATTTCGGTCAACAGTGGTGGGTATGGTGGACAGAAATACAGCCGGAAGCTCGACTCCTAGACGAACGGTCACGCCCCTTACGCACGGAGGGAGGAGTGGAGTGGTCAGGCATGAATAAACCTGGCAAGAATGGGCTACTGCTCATCATGCTCACGCTGGCATGGTGAAGGGCTGCGCTGACCGAGAAGAGTAGCACGGTAGCCATTGCCAATTGGGATGACGCCGTTGCAGATGTTGCATGGACCTTTGATGAAATCTCGAAGGCCCCTGGGTTGCAGCGAGAGTGGCCTAGCAGGGGAGAGCCTGCTGATAGGTATGCCCCATCTGTTGTTTCTCAACTGATACTGATGTCTCGGCAGTTCAAACAAGAAGCGCAAGAATATTTCGATGTCCACTGCCGCTGCGAAAAAGCGCTGACGTTAGCCATTGCAGGTCTCATTGCCGAGCTTGGTCCCGTTACGTCACACTATGAGGTCTCGTATGTGTCTTTCATTTGTGTCATTTTCGCTGCCATTAGTGCTCTCCGTTTATCATTTTGCCATATGCTATCGTTGCTCCCCCATTGCTGTGCATTCATTGACTAGTTTCTTACTATCTCATCCCTATGCAACTGCTGTCATTTTGATATGTCTGTGTCCCATAACATAATTGTCTTTTAAATCGAAGTGTTCCAATGTCGGACTGCGCACAAGCACCAATAGCCATTGTAGGTATGTTTTGATTTCCATTCCGATTTCCGCGGAAACAGGGTATTACGCAAGCGGAAAACAATGCCTACCAAATTTGGTATATTTTATTCACTAGTTTTTGAGTGCGGAAAACCCTACGTGACATTTGAGGCAGAAAGAAATATGTTTTTTTGATAGCTTCCCAATTGGGATATGTTTTATTTCTGCCAAATGTGCCGAAGCCCGGAATAAGCAGGGAGCCTATTATTTCTCCTAGGGGAGGCCATTGTAATGCTCCAGACAGCTTGTGGCCAGTAACTTACTGGACTACGTAGGGAGGCATTGTAAATTGACTTGCAGTACAATACTGGGGTACATTATAATACCACTACTTGGACTGGTGAGTATGAGTCACCTCAGGCAGAACGAATGAGCGCAGGAGGGTTCGAAGCCCATCGTCGACCAATGCGAAAGCTGGTTCTGACAGCGGTGTTGGCGCAGGTCTAGGAACTTCATGTTGTGCCGTAGCTGACTTCTCGTGCACTCGCTCCACATTTGTCTGATGAATGATTGTCCGTTCATGTGCAGGTAGATGCCATTCTTGATGGGCTTTATGATCTTCACAGACCTTACACTGCCAGAGGACATGCCCCTTTGAATCGGCCCCAGCTCGTTCCCAATCTGTGATAACATGTCTCAGATGGAGCTGATCGGTACATAGTAGTGCTTACATTCAGGGTTTGGAATGTCCGCCATTGGTCGTGAGCGATGGACGAGTGGATTGTGCACAAAAGTCCAGCAGCCAGGGAACTTAACTCGGACGTGTCACATCTCGCGCCTTATGTGCAGACGCATGTCACATGATCAGGGCAAATTGAGCCCGGGGGTAACTTTTGACCGGGTTCAATCCAGGTGAAGCCTCGGGCCAGCCCTGACTCATTCGCGGTATGTCGCACTCAGGGTATTCATGGTCTACACTCAGGTTCACTCGGGGGTTCAACTGAGTTTCATAATAGTTGGTTGAAACTGAGGTCATCTGAAGCTCTGGCTGTGTAGACATACAGGGTCCCTTGCACAGTAATACTGTGCCATTGTGACCAATCCAGCCAACATTTGCCTTTTTTAGACAGTTCGAAAAATCTCAGAAATTCCCAAAAATCCAGAAAACATTATTGGCGAGGTCTCTGAAATTAGCCGGGCACAAGACGCATAGCCAAGTATTTCTTAGGGAAAACCCCTGAGAAAATTCATAAAGTAAAGCACAAGAAAAAACTTTGAAGAAAGCGTAATGAATTTTCGTGGGAAATACCATGATTGTCCAATCAGCAGCTGAGAATCACGGTTTTTCCTGGAGAAATACTTTATTCTTTTTCCAGAGTTTTTCTGTGTGCTTTACTTTAACCATTTCTAGAGGGTTTTCTGCAAAAATACTGGGCCATGCTTCTTGTGCGGGACGCAGTAATATGCTGGCACTGCAGGCTGTCCGGTGGACCCCACAGGCCCGACCTTCATCCACTTTCAAGCCCGTGCGGCTCTTCCATGCTTCAAGTTGGGGCATGTATATTAGCTAAGTAGTCACCTATCTCCGTCTGTACTGGAGGGCCTTTAACATGGCTGATGCACGGAACGGGCGAGGTGAACACTGGCTCACGGGAAATACAGAGCGCAGACCCATCTTCACGAGGGGGACCGTTCAAGGCTGAAGTAGTCGGAAAGCTACTGAGTACGATGAAGAACTAGTACTAACAGGCCTTATCCCAAAGCACATCCTCCTCCGTTCCGGCCAGACACTAACATGATACAAATACACAGCATTCTAAGTTGAAAAGAATAATGTTACACATCAAACATCTGGAAGGGTGTCATCGATGTATTCTCCTGGACCCTCTCGCAGCAAGTACGTTGGTCGAACGTTCCGTTAAGGTGCCCATTGTCGACGGTAGCTTGGACTTTGGAACTCCATCTGCAATCTTTTTCATGCCAAGCGAGGGCGGCGACGGTGACAACGTCGAAGGGGCTGAGGAAGACAACAATTTCACATGTAGTGGTGAGTCGTCCGACAAGGGGGACATCCTCCGCCCGTTACTTGTCCCAGCAGGCTCATCGACGACCATGGCGTCGTCAGAACTCTGACCTTCACTGCTATCCTCTTCCGGTAGCGGTAGATGTTCTGCAATGAATGTCTCGCTGCCTGTGGAAGTAACGCCACGCTGTCGCCATTCCTTCAAGACAACGTCTCTGCCCTTCGTGGGTTGCCACTCGTCAACGTAGCTCCAGCTGCGTTTCCTAGGCGTTATTCCGGAGGGTCGATCTTCCTTCATCCCCTCCGCAGTCAGAGACTGCGTAGCCTGACGAAGGTCTGCTATGTGAGATGTTGCAGCCGTGCTGTATGTGTCGATAGCCACTGATAGACTGCTACTTTCTGACATAATACGACCTGATGCTGCTTCGATATTGCGCGACGTTGAAGCCATGCCACGCTGTACGTATCGGTACACAGAATGCACCTCGGTGGCCATAGTGTCTGTCGCCTCGATACGTGCTCGCTTTGCTCTTGATACTCGTTCAAACGCTGTAAAATAGAGGAAGTTGAGGATACTGCACCAAGATGTTCAGTAACATACTGACCCTCACCGCAAGAGGTGCCGAAGTTCTGAGTCTGCTGCTGCAGGTCGTTGGAGAACACGGCCGTGGAACTCATGGTCGAATTCTGCACATCTGAAAGGCCATCGCGAATGACCGTTCTGGTATCGGCGAGTGTCTATAAATGAATTGTCAACAAACAGCCATCGAAAGACCAGATGAGGAACATACCTTCAAGCCACCATCCCTGGTCCGCTTTCCCTCGCTACCCCGTTTCTCCAACTGAGCACTCCAGTCTTTTCCAAGCGCAAATACAGCCTCAAGTAGCCGGCCTTGCTCTTGACCTACCTGTACCATCTTCTTCTCTGCGATAGCATTGCTTTCTGGTATCTCCGACAAGGTCTCTCTCCAGCTGCGGCTGCGCTCTGCGATGAAATCGGTAAGTTGTTCGGAGATTCTCTTCTTCAGCTCATCTCCATCACGTTCCGCCTTAACCTCCTCCGACTCCAACATGCGCGTGAGCAGTGCGTTCTGCTGACGAAGATAAAGAATTTCCGCGTCCTTGGTACTATCTGCCAGGGCTTGGGCTTCTTGCAGCGATTTACACTTCGCGTTGATATAACTTTGAGCTTGCTGGACTATTGCCTCATTGATACTGCTCAGTTCCTTGAAGGCTACCTCGATCTAAATAACTTGATTAGACACTATCATCTCACTGAGCAATAAAAGACCTCACAAGTGCACAACTGCTGATAATGGAGGCCTCGACCGCTTTGCATGTTGATTCGCAGTGTTTCCGCAAATCTACTGACCATGCACTGAAGCTGGCTTTGATACCCTCAGTGGTATCTTCAATAGATGTACGCAGAATATCAAGCGCCTCGCTGGAGATTTCCTCCTTGCTATGAACAATATGTAAATAGCCGCGAAGCTTCTCCATTTGCTCGTCAAGTTGCGCAGAGATACGGGAGAGCGCCTCACACTCCTTCGTGTGCAATTGGTCAGTATCAGTCTTTAACTTCTGTAAATGCTGGCTGAAGACTTCGACGAAAGCCTCCAATTGCTGCGTCAGTGTCTGAGTTCCGGTGGTGAGGCTTTCGCTATGAGCGGAGACAGCCTTGATATTGGAGGCAAGAACCGTGGTCTTGCGCTCTGCGTCGGGTGTCAGGAGTAGCATCGTCCTCAGTGGTCAGAACCCACCTAATTTCGCGTGGAGCCCTCCAACATGACTGACGCTATCGTGGACAACCCCCTTCAAGCCACCCAACACACCGTGTAGCGTAGTCTCGTTGTCCTGATACGCCTGCCTGACGATAACCTCCTCTTCCAAGGCGCCCTTCACCATCTCTAGCTGTGTCTCTCTCACCGCCAACTCGCCCTCCGTGATCTTCAGCCTCTCGCGCGTTTCCTTCAACTCCTCGTCCCTCTTCATCAACAACATCATGCTCTGCTCAAACTCCTCCCTAACATTCTTAAGCTGGGCTTCATAGATCTCGATCTGCTTGCGCGCCTCCTGGATCTCTGTCTCCCGAAGCTCCTGCTCAGTGGCCATCTGATTCCAACTCTCTTCAGCAAAATAAATGCCATTCTTCTCCCGAGCGGCGTGCACATTAGCCCTCAGGGACCCAATCAGCGCGACGTATTCCTTGATCAGCGCATTCTGTGTCATGCGCTGGTTGACCTCCGGGCGGTTGCGAATGGACTTGGCGCGGATTGCGTAGTCAAGGGTGGAAAGCGTCTCCTCCATATTACAGCGTGCAGGAGAAATGGTGGCGATGATGCATGTCTTCGTGTGTCCACCAAGTGAATCTTGCAGTAGACGAGTGAGCTTAGATTCTCTGCCAAGTATTTAGCCATGGTTGTAGGACTAAACTGGTGACGACTCACCGGTATGGAACGTGAGCTGAGCGGTCTACGAGGGCATTGATGACCCTCCCAAGAGTGAGTAGGCTCTGGTTAATCATGCCTGCCTCCCTTGCTCGCTTGTTCTCAGCGCCAGACCGTCCGATATTCTCGGATCCGGCTAGATCAACGAGATTCAATTTGCCGACCTTCAGCAAGTCCTCTCCCATCGTTGACGTTTCCTTCGTGTGGACCGTCACGGAGAAGACGGAGTGCGAACGGCTGGAATGGTCATTGAACTTTGTCGCCGCAATCTGCCGACGCTGACTGCCCTTAGTGAGCAGCGCAAGCGCATCTGCGGCGTCCTTGACGCATGCCTCCTCAAGACCCTGAATGAAAACACCTTTCTTGGTGGCGTCGTCAAATATCTTCAGGTTGCCCAGGCTCGAAGATTCCTTGGACGCGCCTAGGCCCATTGGTTGGGTAGATCCAACAGGTGCGGCAAGTTCTGAGGCCAGAAGATCACGTAGCTCCTCGTTGTAGAGCTCGACAAAGGATATTTTGACACTGTAATCGGCGCGTGATGATTCAAGCTGATTGAAAAGACGGATTAGGACACGGGGAATCATGCCTGCGTGTGCAGACGGGTTTCCCATTGGTGTAGTTGTAAGATCACCTTGCATGGTGTATCTGGATAGATATTAGTAAATACAGATCTAAACAAAAGGAACACGGCGTACGTCTTTCCGGTCCCAGTTTGTCCATAAGCAAACAGCGTGCAGTTGTAACCCGCAAGAACCTCGTCCAGCATAGGGTTCACCACGTCGTTATACAGGAGGGCTTGGTCTGCCTCGGGACCAAAAACGGCGTCAAAAGGGTACGTACGCGTAGGTGGGAGTGTGACGACTCCAAGGCTGGATACGGGGACGGCCGCCTCGATGGTGACGTCGTCGCCTCGAGGGCCATTCGTAGTGACGATAATGGGGGAGTTTTCCTGGATCTCGCGTTCCGAGCGACGCCGGCAGCGAATCACGACACGTATGTTTGTCTCCGAGTGTTCTTGTGGCTGGCTTTGCGACTGGGTTCTCGATGGTTTTGGGATGGGTGGCACCTCTGCAGGTTGTTCTTCGATGGGTGTGGTCAAGCCCGAACGGTGTGAAGAGTTCGATTTTGCGAGAACGGAGCGGGGTCTACTGGTAGAGGGAGCGGGAGGTATAATCGAGTTCGCAGCGTTTGTCCGGCTGCGGGTAGCGGGAAGGCGCCTGGACGCCATGTCGGAGCGGTGAAAGAAACAAGTTGAACTCCACGACGCGAGAGAATCATCGCGCGCCGCGCTTAGTCACGTGCTCGAGTCCCATTGAGCGCTAAGGCCTTAGGCCGAGTGTATATGTCTCTTGCAGCTCGATCGGACTTCCACCTCGATGGGCAAACGCAAGAAATCGTCTCGTAAACCAACAGGCCCCCGAAAAAGGGAGCCTCTCGGTGTGTTTACTCATCGCTATTGGCGTGTTCCTCCTCACTGTGCCACATACTAGAGTCCACCTTCACATGTCTCTTCTGTCACCATGACAAATCGGTCACTGTGAGACTCGACAGAAAGGAGGGTATTGCAGAGCTCTTCTGCAAAGTTTGCAACCAACGTTACCAGAGCAAAGTTAACCGTACGTGCTACCATCGTTATATGTGGGCGCCACGCTTTGACCTTGCTGCAGACTTAACGGAACCCATCGACATCTACTCCGAGTGGATTGATGCTGCTGACGCCGCAGAAAAGGAAGCCGACGATGCTCGTCCCGCTCCGATTGCGAAGAAGAAGCGTGCACCAGTTGTGTCCAGCGATAACGAGTAGGCCTTAGATTTGGCCCTACGGTATGCTTACGTTGTACCTATTCACCGACTTGCGGTATGGACTTGTCTCGTCTTCAGTATTTTGCGTCTGTGATAGTTGTATTCAATACATATGTGTATACGTACCATCTCTAGTTGTCGGACTGGCTCGTAGAGAAGACAAGGCGCGTTGCAATTGACAACAGCCACAAACACAGAGATGGCCAAAGATTGAATGAACCCGCCGAGAAGTAGTAGGTTGTAGATACTCTGCTTCAACCTTCGTGCCTCAGGATACTGTATCCGTATCTGACTCGTGAAGACGCTGCACTCGATCACCCTGCTCCTTCACTCTCATTTTCGCCTCCGGACTAGAGGAAAGGCGCCTCCTAACCTCTGGCAGTCCTTGCCACGCGCCATAAACCATAGACTCTCCTTAACTTCATTGCTAGATCGTGGCGGAGATGGCTTCGTCTACGAACATCAAGGTCGTTTGTCGGTGCGATTCCTCCTCCACTGCCATTCTACACTTATTCGGAACATTCATATCCTCCTCTTGACGCGTTCCACAGATTCCGGCCGACAAACTCTATCGAACAACGTGAGGGTGGCGAAATTGTAGTGTCGTTCAGCGACAACCTACAGACTGTGCAGCTGCGGTCTGCTCAGCTCGGCTCGGGACCGGAGAAGGATGGGTTTACATTTGACAGAGTGTTTCCACCCGGAACGAAACAACATGAGGTGTTCGATTACGGTGTCAAAGAGTGAGTGCGGGTGTTTCGTGGCCACTTTCTTACGCCTACTAACTGTTCGTGCAGCATCGTCAAAGGTGAGTCACCACAAACATCTTCTGGAGTCCTACGGCTTTGCAATGCAGTCTTGTTCTGGCCGACAGCTTTGCCCTTAGAGCCGCTTAGTGCTTGTCGGTAGAACTTCTTTCACACTAACTACGCGAATGTAGATGTCCTCGATGGCTACAACGGTACCATATTTGCTTACGGTCAAACGGGCAGTGGAAAGACCTTCACGATGATGGTACGCGCCTAAGTACTGTTGTGAAGAGTCTTCCGTCATGAATCACGCGTGTTCCAGGGTGCAGATATAGATTCAGCTGAACTGAAGGGTTTGATACCCCGTATAACGGAACAAATATTCCAGTCTATCGTGGAGTCAGACGCACATATGGAATATGTCGTTAAAGTATCCTACATGGAAATTTATCTTGAACGCATTAGAGATTTGTTGGCGCGTGCGTATCTGTTTTGCGGAAGCTGGCATAGCCTGCTATGTTGACATGTCCACAGCCCAGAATGACAACCTTCAAGTACACGAAGAGAAGTCGAAAGGTGTCTATGTCAAGAACCTTTCCGATTACTATGTGAGCAGTGCTCGTGAGGTGTATGAGATCATGCGACAAGGTGGAGCCGCAAGAGTTGTATCATCAACAAGTGAGTATTCCTCTACTTCCTGTCCGCAGATTGGACGTACTCATTTGTTTCTAAGATATGAATGCCGAAAGTTCTCGGTCTCACTCAATCTTCCTCATCACGATTCAACAACGAAATACCGAAACTGGCGCACAGAAGACAGGCAATCTATACCTGGTCGATCTTGCGGGTTCGGAGAAAGTAGGGAAGACCGGTGCTTCTGGCCAGACGCTCGAGGAGGCCAAGAAGATCAACAAGTCTTTGTCGGCTCTCGGCATGGTCATCAATGCTCTTACTGACGGAAAGGTGAGATCCAGATTGATTTTCAACGAGTTCATGACGATGACGGCACTGCAGGCGAAGCACGTCCCATATCGTGACTCCAAGCTCACTCGAATCCTGCAAGAATCGCTTGGAGGTAACTCCAGAACAACTCTAATCATTAACTGTTCACCTTCCTCCTACAACGAAGCGGAGACGCTTTCCACTCTACGTTTTGGTATTCGCGCGAAGTCAATCAAGAACACTGCCCGTGTCAACGCAGAGCTTTCTCCTCTCGAACTCAAGGCCCTGCTCGTCAAGGCCCAGGCTGCCAATACGTCGCACCAGAAGTACATCACCGCTCTTGAAGCAGAGCTCGCCATCTGGCGTGCAGGCGGACAAGTGGATCAAGCAGAGTGGGCTACATCAGACAAGCCAGGTGCAACTGCCACTGCTCCTGCTCCGAAGAAGATTCCGGCGTCGCCAACGCCATCGAGCGTGCGCAGCATGACTCCCGTCAACCCTGCATTGGAGGGTCTGCGTTCGGACTTGGACAGCCGGCCGCAAACCCCCACTGTGGTGGGTCTTGACAAGGATGAGCGTGAGGAGTTCTTGAGGCGGGAGAACGAGCTCAGCGATCAGCTGGCGGAGAGGGAGTCCGCATTGGGCGCTGCGCAGAAGTTGGTTGGTGAGCTGAAGGAAGAGTTGTCGTTCCTCAAGGAGCAGGAAGCTACACTGTCAAACGTGCGTTACTTGTGCTTAGATACATAGTTTTGACGTTGCTGACGACATTATGACATGTCTGTAGGAGAACAAGGGCATGTCTGCTCAGCTGAACGAACTCCGCCTGCAAGTAGAACGCCTGGACTACGACAGCAAGGAAAGCGTCATAACCATTGACATCCTCAAGGAGCAGAACCAAGATGCTAAGGCTGAATTGGACGAGCTCAAGAAGACCATCACCGAGTTGAAGGCTGTGCAGAAGGATGCCTCTGCGGAGGATAAGGAGAAGCGCAAGCAGGAGAAGATGGCTTTGATGATGGCCAAGTTTGATGCCGTGCGCCTTTTTTGTCCTTCACAGTGTCCATATTCCTCATGTTCTTGGTTTATTTTACAGCAAGGCGCATTCTCGGAGAAGGATGACCAGCTCCGACAAATTCTGGCTAAACTAGATGCCATTGATTCAGACGCAGCTGTTTCTTCACTGTCCCACAACGACATTACCGTACTTAGGCGACAGCTAGCTGATGGGCAGGTACTCATCCGCGAGACTGTCGACCGCCTCAGGCAGAGCCAGGATGAGAGCGCAATGAATGCACGAAGACGTGACGAGCTTGAAGCTCGTATCTCTAGTCTGGAGACGGAGTATGAAGAGCTCTTGGGTATGTCACATGATACACTTTGGAAGAATGTCTGGTTGACCAGGGTCATTATCTCCACAGAGAAGACAATTCATGACGAGGAAGTCAGCAACGTAGATGTAGCCGAGTCCATCGCTGAGCTCAAGGTTTGTCTAGCGCAATGTTTTCAGTACATCGTATTTATCTTATTCTCCAGAATAAGTTGGAGGCTCAATATGCCTCCAAACGTGATGCACACATGGGTGAGGTTCAAGACCTGAAACAACAAGTCGAGATAAAGGCCAACGAAGTTCGAACCTTGAATGCTACAATTGACAGCTTGAAGAGTGTAAACGAAGAACTCAAGGTGCTGATCTTTCTACCATCTACAAAGCGAGACTTAGCCTGTCAATTTGCAGCGGGCTTTCGCGGTTACGTCGGCGGGTATCGAAGGCGGGAAGAACCTTGCGGAGAGCGCCCAGGATCTAGAGCGTACTCGTAAGGCAATCAGCGTCCAACTCGCCGAGTTTGATGGTGTAAAGAAGTCCTTGATGAGGGATCTGCAGAACCGTTGTGAGAAGGCAGGTCGCTTTCTTCTTTTGAGTGTCCCTCTACAGCTGAGCACGTGATGGAACCAGGTGGTTGAGCTCGAGATTCAATTGGATGAAATCAAGGAGCAATACAACAATGTCATCCGCAATAGTAACAGCAAGGCTCAGCAGAAGAAGATGGCGTTCCTGGAGCGCAATCTGGAGCAGCTCACCGTTGTGCAGAAACAAGTAGTTTCTTCCTGTGCCACTCTAAGCCTTCGTGTTTGACTTGTCTTATCACTACAGCTCGTAGATCAGAACTCCGCGTTGAAGAAGGAAGCTGGCATCGCGGAGCGCAAATTACTTGCGCGGAACGAGCGGATACAGAACCTCGAGGCGCTGCTCCAGGATGCTGATCGTAGGCTCGCAGTTCAGAACCAGAAGTTCGAGGCGCAATTGCAGGCAGTCAAGGAGAGACTCGATCAAGCACGCGGTATGATCGGGAACCTCATCTGGTTGTATCTTAACTGATATTTGTTTCCGTTCTCCTAGCTCAAAAAGCCGCTTCCTCACCGCTCAGCTTTGGTCGCATTGCCAAGCCTCTCCGAGGTGGAGGGGGCGCCGCTGCGAACAGCACTGCTGCCGCGACAAGTCCTTCGTTGACATCAAATTCTGCGAATCCTCTGACAAGACTTCAGAACGAAGAAACAGGGTGAGTGATTTGGCTCCGCCACGGCATCAACTAAAAGATGTCACATCTGTCAATTTTAGCAGCGGAGGTATGCTATTTGTCAGTGCTTTGTCAGACGGAAGCTAACATAACTTTACCACAGCGAAACGTGCATCTTGGTTTTTCAACTCACGGTAACGCAGTCTAGCTAGTCTCCGTCCTGTTCTTTCTGTATCTCTGCATACCCGTCGCACAGTAGCTGTACATTCTGCATTGCATTTCTCCTTCGTCGTTCTCGTCATGCCTCCCGCGTCGAATGCATCATTATCGGCCCGAAATTCTATCGCTAAAATTTTCAGGCATGAAATTGTATTGTCCGGTCAAAGTCCGCGACGACGGTTCGGATGCACTAAGCGTTCCTCCGCTGCACGGAACCAGAAATCGGTCGTGCATCGTGTTGCGGTTGTGAACGGGGGAAGGTCCTGTACAAACCTGTTTTCCATTTTGCCAGTCCGTTCTACCTTGAGAGAAAGCGGGGAGGTAAAACCTGAACTGATTTTTGAGTTTGCCGTCAGGGTCGCAGCGGTGATTTTATGGAAGCCGATCGGGCGGGACCATAGGTGGAAACTACGCAGATCCAGCGCTACCGCAGTCCGGGAGCGCACCACACGTGGCTCTTGTTGACGGCCAAGTTTACAAGCTAACAGTTTCAGCGGAATCGAAATTAGGTACATGCTACCCTCAACCTTTATTAATCTTCGTGGCGTATAGCTGTTCTCTCTTTCTCTCTTTCCGACTCTCATTGTCTGGGTATACCGGGTTTCGGCCTTGAGACTGAGCACAGGTGAGTAACACATCTTGTCTGGAAATTTTGTGGGCGCAGCGGTTTTACGCGATTTTCTATGCCCAATTTCTGTTCGAAGCACTCCGCGAATCCCTGGCTGCGAATCCTTTTTGCCCTTACCAGCGCGTGGCCTTTTCTGACTCTCTTTTCTTGCCTCGCTGCTCTGTTGCCTTTTCCAATCTCCGTTGAAGTCCCAGCTTTCTACCTTAACAGAGGCCAGACAACGAGTCGATCGTGGCCATAATCGTACACCTGTTCTGTGAGTCACTCTGCTTCTTTTTCTGTCTTGTTGCCTGATCTTTTCTGTGCCAGCTTGAATTTATACCAACCATGTCATCCACTAATCACGACGTGTCCACACGAAAGCCGTCGGGCTCATCCACATATTCTGGTGGTCATTCTCCTTCCGGTTCGCCCAACCATGTCCGTGAACGTTACATTTTTGTCGCCAGCTAAGGAAAGTCTAATCGTCTCAATTGTTTTACAGGCTCACACTCAGAAGAAAGTGACATCTGCGACTGGGAACGTGTTTGGCGTCGGTGTAGGGATGGGTCCGACCAGTGGTCTCAAGGGTCTGAATGCGGGGTGGCAAGTGAGTTGCGAACTTTCCATGATCCAACCAATGCTCTGATCGCGCCTGTGCAGGTATGGGGTAATGCAACACCTTCATCGGCGCGTAATGCTTCAACGTCTTCTGCAACAAGTGTTCCCGACCTGACAACATCTCATGTCGACGCGTCGTATCGTTCGAACTTAGGTGATACTACCTGGGGCTCTAGATCTACAAGTGGCACTTGGGATGAAATGACTGGTAGTCCTCAGCTTAAGGATTTGTCACAACTTGTGGGTTGTTTGCCTTTCATTAGTTCCAGTTAGTGACATATTCGGTAGGACCAGCATTCCACTTTACTGGTCCACCAGGGCCGACAGAGGCAGGTTACTGTTGGTCAAGGTGCTGTTCTTTCGGCACCTCCTTCAACGGTCCCCAAGCCCGGGCAACTGTCCCCTCAGCGACATGACACAGGACTAGGTATGAATTTCGCAACATCCGCTTCGCATGACTAAACTTTATTCCATCATTAAGGTCAACAGCCTCTTCTTCAGAGCAGCTCAGGTGTAACGTACTCCTCTTTACAAGGACCGTCGATCGTGGAGAATGAACTCTCAATGGCTTTGCGAGGGATGGCTGTCGAAGACGATTTCAGCCTCACGTCACAGACATACCGTCAGACATCAGCACATACAGCACAGAGTTCTGTGCCCCCGATGCGAGCACCTCACCAAATGCAACAACCTCGAGCACCGTATGGTGGATACCCTGCAACAGACTATGCCGCATATTACCCAGGCGCGTCAGCGCGGATGGATTACCAGTACGGTTATGATGCTTACCGTACAACACCTGATCCATCACTGTACGCGTCTTCTCCTGCACTCAGTGCTGCAACTGCCGCTCCCACCGTATACCCTGGGTTAGGACCACAGCCGCTACACCATCCACACCATCGTCATACAGTCAGTGAGATTCATAATCAGCAGTCCGGAATATTCTACGAATATGCTGGGTCACCACGCACTCTGGGCTCACAGTACTATTATCCCACGCAACCTATGGTATTTCACCATCCTGCTTCTCACAACCCTATGCTCCAGGTGCCTGGTGCAGCAACTCTCTCGGGAAGGAAGCGAGACATTCCGGTATGTGGCATTTGTGTTTCTCGATAATGAGCTCTGGTGTACCTGTTTCGACCGTTCATAGTATAATCTACAGCAACGCCAGCAGTTCCCTCCCCAGAATCTTATGTATCCTAACATACGGTCGACACCGTCACCACACCCACACGCATATCCTGCGGCTATTGACTACAATTCACAACACGCATTGATACTCCATGCCGGATCGATGTATGGGCATGCCGGTATGAATTCGCCCGCAATGCACCTCTATCACCACGGTGGGCGAGCTGGCCGTCGTGCTGACGCTGAGAGTGATATTCACGTTGTCCGCAGTCCTTTATTGGATGACTTTCGGGCGAACAAGACGCGTAAGTGGGAATTGAGGGTGAGTTGTTCTCAGAGACTGCGATCTATCAAGATTCGATCTCACTTGTCATGTAGGACATATTCGGATACGTCGTAGAATTCAGTTCGGACCAACATGGCTCTCGGTTCATCCAGCAGAAATTGGAAAATGGCACTCTCGAAGAGAGGCGGATTGTCTTCGAGGAAATTGTTCCTCAACATGCGCTACAACTGATCCAAGACGTGTTCGGCAACTACGTAAGTCCAGGTTGTTACCAGTCGTTACCAGTGATAGTCAAGTCATCGATGTCCGATTTTCAGGTCATCCAGAAGTTGTTCGAACACTGTACACAGGCGCAGAGAACGCTTTTGGCCAATACAATGGAGGGTCACATTCTTCCTCTGTCCCTGCAAATGTACGGATGTCGTGTGGTTCAGAAGGTTGTCAACAATGTCTTCTCAAACAAGATCGCTATTGATCCTTGTTTTCCCTAGGCGATTGAGTATGTTCTTCCGGAACAGCAGGGCACGTTTGTCAAGGAGCTTGAGACGAGCGTAATCGTATGCGTCAAAGATGCCAACGGCAATCATGTCGGTTTTCCATTTCTGAATTGGCTGTTATGTGACGTTGATCCACACATCCGCAGGTCATTCAGAAGCTCATAGAACGACTGGCGCCTGAGTATCTGGGCTTTGTCAGCGCTTTCCGAGGCAACGTCTACGACCTATCAACTCATCCTTACGGCTGCCGGGTGCTTCAGCGATGTTTCGAGCACCTTCCTGATGAGCAGACAAGGCCTTTGTTGGACGAACTGCATAAGTACATTCCTAATTTGATGCAGGACCAATTCGGGGTTTGTTTTGCCAAGCTTCCTTCCAGTCCTCGTTATTGATTTATTGTACGCAGAATTATGTCGTCCAATTTGTCCTCGAGCATGGAAGGCCGCAGGATAGGGCAGTAATCATCACGAAACTGCGTGGTCAAATGCTAGACATGGCGCGCCACAAGTTTGCTTCTAACGTGTGCGAGAAGGCACTCATCACTGCCGACGTGGAGAGTCGTCGACTGTTGATCGAGGAGATTTTGGGCCCCAAGCAGGATGGTGTCAGCCCAATCACCACTATGATGAAGGACCAGTTCGCTAGTCAGTTTTTTCTCCGTCTCGTCGTCAAAGCGCTGATTGAATACTTGCACCACAGACTACGTCCTCCAACGGGCGTTGTCTGTTGCTGAACCGGAACAGCGGGAGCTTCTCATCAGTAAAATCAAGCCTCACTTAATGAACATGCGCAGGTATTCGAGTGCCTATAGTAAGCACCTGGTCGCCAGTAAGTGCACTATTCTCTGTTCCTCGGTGGACGCTCATAGCTGACATGCTGCCACTTGCAGTCGAGCGCCTACTAGAGAAATGTACCTCTGCTAATTCTGCGGATGCACCGCACAAAGCCCTTGCGATTACTTCTCCATCTGACGCTCTAACTTCGAAGTAATAACTAATGGACTTCATCGTCTCTCTCATGCCTGTCCCATTTGCACACTAATCTGCCTCTCGCTTGCATCTTCACTATCGTAGGGATATCACACCAATCGCTTTCTCGTATCGCTCTTGCTGCATCAACCCATAATAGCATTCCACTCATTCCCAAGTTGCATATTGGATCGGACTTGTTGCGTTATCTCTGCATTGACATGTCTCTCGATTTGATACTATACGTTGTGCATTGTTTAATACCCAGAACAGATTCTTCGTTCTTTACCGCCATGAATACCTACCTGTACACGGGTGCTTTTGCAATACATACACACACCACTTAGTATCTATCACTCGAGTTGGCCGCTGGTGTGACAACTGGTGTGAGTGGGCATCAAGGAATTCAGCGTCGACGTCGTAGTTACGGAACTTGGATGACGTGTCAACTCGGCCAAATATACTCTGAACTCTTGGCGGCGTCACTGTCCTCCACTCCGCTGTTCCTCAGCCTGACCACCCTCCCTGCCAGCACCCCACTTTCATAACAACACGATGAGCACAGCTGGAGAGGCGGCATCACTTTTCAGTGCAGCAGATCCTGGGGTCGACCCCTTTGCAACTGTCTTGGGCGATGACAGAGCAGACGCGACCGCTCATTCCGCTAGCTCAGACGAGGCGTCAGGCACTCGACAGTCCTTTGGTGTGTTGGACGCGTCATTCATCCGCGAGTGGTTCTGATCTATTCAATTTGTGGAAGCAGTCTCGTACAATAAGCCCCAGGACATCAGCGGCTTGGATTCGTGGCACAACGCAGGCGCTGTTAGCCATGGCTATAGCTATGGAACTCCCCCCCTCGCTGATTCTAGCGTGGATTATACAAGTCTCGCGCACCAGCCACAAGCTGACAGTCGATATGCTCACTCGGGTCCACACCCTTCTTATGAGCAAGCTCCCTCGCAGAATTACACTGGTACGAGTGTCTGACAATGTGACGCATGTTCATCCTAAACTCCCTCCTCCCCTACAGCGTATTCCCCGTATGGCCAAAGTCACCAGTTCTACGATCCACGCGCTCAGAACGTTCAAACATTCTCATCCGCTACTCTCGCGCCAGAAACGACGCAACCCGTGACGCAAGTTACATACGAACCGACTGGGCAGTCATTGTCGAACGATTACCGATCCCTGTCCCCTGCTACACAATCTTCCTACAATCCCTACAAACCCGTTCGAACGACCACACCGAAACAAACAGTCACCCCCTCGACATCACCGTATGCTTTTGGGAATAGTGTAAGAGCTTGTCAATCGCCCGCTCTCGTACCTGCTCCAGCGCCTGCATCGTCTACCCCTGCTCCCCCCTATCGTCCGAAGACATTCACTGCATATGATCCTCCACTACCCCCACCAAAACATCCACACTATACGCCCTCTATTCATCCACATCATATACCTCCGTTGGAGCAACCGTTGCATTCAAGTCAAAGGCTCCTCTCTCCCCAGAGTCATCCTCCTTCAAGGGCCACCATCATGCCACCACAAAATGTGGGTGCATCCAATCCCTACGGTAACCCAATGCTTCGGTCAGGCGGATCTGTTTTGACCGAACCATTACATCATGATACTTGGGAGCATCTCGCTGTCCCAAGTGATCGTTACGCACCTGCCGAACATGACCAGATTCGGCAGTTGTATGGTCAGGATCACAACGCCCCATCTATAGCCGAAGGTGGCCGCGCAGAGTTGAATTATATATATAGCGACACTGCTCCACTCGCGGGTACAGTCGACGAAGCACCTTACTTAACGGAGAGGACCATGTCCGCCCCTTCGTATAGCGCAGCAGTGCAGGCTCCTCCCAACGGACATGTGTGGTCGAACGACCGGGAACAAGATACCTTGATTCCTCAGACTCATTACCTGGATAACGTCGGGGAGGCTGCTCCTCCCCCTTTCCCGCACAGGATTGGATCATCCGCAGCGAGCGTTTACAATCGTCACAACCCAGATAGTCACCACCGTTATGACCTTGTTAATACTTCCGTGCCGTCAACGAGTGCGTCACATCAGTGGAATGGTACTACTGTTTCCGCAGCTGCAGAGTGTCCTCCTGTTCACAATGGGGAGAGTGTCCGACAGACGTCCACAGCGGCTCATTCACCTGAAAGAGCCAAATCACCTGGGAGTGCATCCGTACGCTCTTGGAAGAGCACTGCATGCACAGATACGCTGGACAGGGTGCATCCGGTCCAACGACTGTTCTCGCCTCTCATTGGAACTACTTCTCGTAGTCCCCCACTAGTCACCGCCGCGAACAGAACGACATCCTCATCATCTGGATCTGTGAAATCACTCAAAGGTCCATCCACTACTTCTGCGGACCCGTACGCTCCATCAAGCCAGGAAACGACAACTCGTCGTGGCCGGTCGATTTCCAATGGCTCTGCGTATTCCTCAACGCCTAGTGACCCGTATGTATCTTCCAGGAATCACCGTCCGCAGCCGAGTGATAGCTCCAGTCAAGCGAGCATCACATTGCAGTATAACGGTTCTCTTCCTCTGGAACGCGGCACTACCTCTCGACGCCCCACACTTAGCCATGATCGTGCTTCAGGGCAAGTAGTAACCCTTTCTTCTCCCGCGCACACAGTGTACGCACCTTCTCCGTCATTGCTGGGAACCAATGATCCTCTTGGACGAACATCCGTTCGGGTACCAGTCATTAGTTTTGGATTTGGAGGAAGATTGGTTACATGCTTCCACGGCTCTTCGTCTTTGCATACCGGATTCGACGTCGCACTTTCATCTCGGCCAACAACCGATATTAAGTTTCGTGTGCTGCACAATGTGATTCCTCAGTCAGCTTTGGATACATCGGCTGCCGTCTACCCTGGCCCTCTGTATGCTGACCCGGGTGCACCTACAGCCGGTCTAGTACGTTCTGGCGCTGCCACGCAGACAAAGACGAAGAAAACTAGTGTAATGAAGTATCTGGACGAACGCGCAGATGAGATCTCACGAGGGATTGGGTACCTTCATCACGAAAGTCCTGAGGGGAGAAGAGCAGAAGCCAAGCATACGCTGATGAAGGTACTGAAAGTGATGGTAGAACATGATGGTCACCTCTGTGGCAGGTGGGCTATCAACACCTGTCTTTTGGTGTATATCACTGACACCTAGTGCTGTAGCTCACAAGTTGACGCAGCGGTTCGAGCCGCTTTGGTTCCCCGCATGGCCGCTCCCTGTTCGTCAGCAGATGTATTGAGTGATTCATCAAGTCTGGTCGATATGCGTGCACCATCGTCTGACATCTCCTCGATGCCATATCCTGTACTAGCGTCCTCTGTACAGGATGCTAATGACCCTACTCTTGCTGTGAACACACTGCGTTCGTCAAACTTAGACAAGATTCAGGAGCTACTCGTTCGTGGTGATCGTCGTGCCGCGTGTCACTATGCTTCTGACCAGAGACTATGGGCACATGCGATGGTCATAGCAAGCAGTATTGACAAGGACGCCTGGAAAGAAGTTGCCACTGAATTTGTGAGAACCGAGTTGTCGTCCCGAGATATAGGAAGATCCGGTGAATTCTCTCGTTCAGAACACAGCAAGTCTGTCCCTTCAAGTGGTAGGGAGGCACTCCGAGTGGCGTATAGTCTCTTCGCCGGGCAGGGGCCGGCATCAGGTTTGTTCATTCACCATTCACTGTTCGGGTTTGCAAGGCTTACGATCTCCTAGTTCAAGAGTTGTTACCCCCCAAGCCGCTCGTCCACAGTGCACCGACACTTCAGATACCTCGTTCAGCTTCCTCCGTCACTCCGATATCTCCCAATTTTCCAGGTAGTGCAGAGATTATGAATCTTCCCGTTGAAGTAATGTCCAAATGGGCTGACACTGCAGCAATGATTATTTCCAATCCTATGACTGCTGAATCGTCATCAACGCTGACGGCTCTCGGAGATCAGCTGGCTGCCAACCAGTGGTTCGAAGCAGCACACGTTTGGTGAGCCCTCAGCTGCCATTGGCTAGGACTCAACTGATCAAACAACTAGTTATCTACTCTCGCTGCAGACATCTCCTTTAGGTGGTATTGGCAGCTCCTGTCGGGTGATTTTACTCGGTTCTCCGGGACCACAGGCTTCTCCAATCTTTGCGAAGGATCCTGACCCTATCATCTTCACGGAGATCGCTGAATTTGCATTGTCACTGGCCACTCCTGCTAAAGGGCAGGATGTGTTTACTGGCTTGCCTCACTTACAGCCATACAGGTTGGTGCGAGCGATGTGTCTAGCGGAGATGGGCCATGTCCAACTAGCGACCAGGTATGCCATAGCTGTCTTTTTACCCTAACCTCTTCATTTAACCATTTTCTATCAGGTACTGTGAAGCTATCTCCAATTCTCTTTCCCGGAACTCGCCTTACATCAACTCAACATTCGTTGAGCAATTGAAGGGCCTTTCTGACAGACTGGTTGCGGCTCCCCAGACGGATAAGTCAGGTTCATGGATCGGTTCCAAAATGAGCAAACCAAGCCTTGATAGCATCGGTGTGTGGTTGGAAGGTCGCTTTACCAAGTTCATTGCCGGCGAAGTTGACACCTCTCCTCGAGCGGAACACACCGCTGAGACCGCCCATCAGCGTACTTTCAGCGGACCGTTCGCACACTACAGTACCATCTCGTCTACCACAAGCTCCACTATCCCGTCTCCTCAACAGTCGAAGATGGATCTCAGGGAGGCAGCTAATGCGCCTCCCTTCCGCACGGGTTCTGCCGCTGAGTGGTGCTCACCGCCATCAACCGTACAGATAAATCGCGCAGCATCTGCGATGGAGTATATTCGCCCGATCAACCGGACTGCATCACCTATACCCCGCGTCTCTTCAGCTAGTGCAGCGACAAACACCTTCACAGATCCTTCGCTCTATGGTCAAGCGCTGAAGAACGGACAATCTGTTGATAATGTTTTCAGGCATGATCCGAATCAGTCCAAGGTGGACCAGCCCAATGTTGTCAGTGATAACACAACAGTTGGACAACCTGAGTATGGTGCATGGTGGGGCTCTTCGGAGTCTAGTGTTCCAACACCGACTGCATCCTCTTTCGTGCGAGTTTCTGACAGTTCGTCGCAGTCGTCCCAATTTATCTCACTGATGGATGACTCTTCAAACTCGCTTACTCCTGTTACCGCGCAACAGCGTTCGAACTTAGGAAGACATGACACTTGGGAGTCCTTCGCAGAAGAAGATGAGGATGACCTTGGTTTAGGCAATAGTGGTACTGCTCGTGAGAAGCGTGCGTCGATCAGTGATGAGCAGGCTGGCGAACCTGCCCATGAGGCTGCAGGGAAATCAAAGTTTGAAGCTCCAGAGAAACCTGGTTAGTGCCATATGCCCTTACAGTCGATAACGTCCGCTGATAGGAATCTGGCAGAACTGAAAACATCTTCATCTGGGTCTTGGTTCAGTCGTATCTGGAGACGCGAGACAACACCTGCACCTATCAAGGCTAACCTTGGAGAGCAGACTTCCTTCTACTACGACCAGGAGCTCAAGCGTTGGGTGAACAAGAATGTGAGTACTTCGAAATGTAGTCAAGAGAAAGCGTCTGAGTCGAACAACAGGCGAATGCGGAAACAGCGAAGTCTGCGCCACCGCCACCTCCGTCTCGCGCACAGACCGCGTCACCAGGGAGGGCGAGCGGCACATTTCCTACGGGTTCAATGCCCCTTCCTCCGCCGGCGCGCCCTGCAACCGCTAATGCAATTGATCTGGGTGCCCAGCTTCCACCCCGAAGGCCTCCCCCACGAGCGCGGTCGAATCTTGTGCCGACGGACTCAGAAGGTGGCTCAGCACCATCTACTCCTACGTCTGCTACGATATCTAGTGCACATGGAGGTGGACCGCCACCACTCTCCTCTTCACGGGCGAGAATGCAGGCAAAACGGGCTGTGCGCAGTCGGTATGTGGACGTATTCCAGCAGCAGACTGAGAACACATAGATGGACCTTCAATCGGACTAGTACATCATTCGCACTCGCATTTCACGCATTTGTATCTATATCCTTGCATCGATCGACATATGCGGAGCATGTCGGGAAATTGACTATAGAGGATGTCGACGAAGTTTTGTGTCGTCACGCGCGCTTGTGTATCTGGGCGCTTGAGTGAGTGAGAGGACTCTGTCCTCACTTCGAGACACTCTCAGTTGGATGCGGTCTCAGTTACTTGCTCGTCGGACTCGGTCTTTGGTAAAGACCCAGCCTCCTTACCACCGCGCTCTCATTTCTTCCACCCACGCTCTTCGCTATCCTCGCAAGGAGCACCCTACTTGGTCTCCGCAAGCGACACCTCGTCTTTCCAAACGGGCGTCGTCGTCCGTCACACCTTCTGCTGTCGGAACTGACCCACCTGCGCCGCCTCTCCCTAATCCCTCTGAACCTCCTTCTGAACCTCCCTCCGACGATGTTGAAGAAAAATCGAAACGCCGAACGAGTGTATTGACGTCTAGTAAAGACGCTGACGCCTCTCCTCAGCTTCCTGATGGATTAGACATCCTGTGGACACCAGAATCTGATCCAGCACATCCTTCACCGTCAACGGGGTCAACAAAGGCGTTACCTCCGCCAGAGATTTTCGATGAGCTGCTGCATCACCTGCATATTACCTTCCATCCCCAGACCCAACACCGAGCTGTGTATTCTTCGCCTGTGGGACCTCTCGTAGAGCCTACCTTTGCTCTTTACTGCCCAATAGAAGGCGGAGACTACTATATAGACCAAACTGTTCGTGAATTGGCAGGCCAGACGGGCGCAGAGGTGCTGGTGTTAGATGCTGTCCAACTTGCCGCTGGCGAGTCAGGCCATTTCGGTAAAGGTGAGTCCCAAAGTCAGTCTGTTGGGTGTATTGCTTGACAACGTCACTATGCATTAGCTGCTTCCGTCCTTCAAATACCCAACAACCCTTTGCATTTCCCGTCTTCCTCGACGTCTAGCCCTGCAAGCAATGCTCGTGCGATGCCCATTCCTGAGGATGATGAATTTGACGACCCCACACAGTTCATACCGACACAGCATATGACTTTGCACGTATTGGCTCCGATCACCTCGCGAAGTCGCGCTCTATTGGCGTCTCCTGCGAGAAGTAATCCAATGTCAAAGCTGAAGGCCTTTTTTGACGACCTTGTCAACTTATCGTCGGAATCTAGGACCTTAGATGTGTCCCCAGATTTTTCTCCTCCCTCTCCGCCACCTCGGCGCCCGCGTATTGTTTATGTCCGAGATTTCCCAACTCTCGCTCCCTCTTCCTCTACGTGGTATCCAGCTCTCCTGAGTGCAGTTCGTCAACGGCGTCAGGGTCCGATATCGCGCCCGAACTCGCCTGTTGTGAATCCAATGACAATTATCTTCGGCATAACGCCTCCTTTTATTGCTCCATCGTCTCCTTCCACCTCGTCGGGACCGAATCAAGGCCTTGTGAACCTTCTTAATTCACGTAGTGCTGCGTCTTCGGGCAGACTTACCAACCAAAATGGCAAGTCAGATTATGGCGAAGACAGCTCTGGAGACAAGGGACGCGAGAAACGGATGCTCAAACGCTTGAAGAGATGGGCAAGGGGCGATGTGACCTCCCAGGATCTGCCTCAGCTTTCCGTCTCAAGTGAAGAAGCCGACGAATTGAGCGGATCTAAACCTCGATCCACTAACATTGTTGTTGTGGGTGGACCAGAGGGTCTATCTGGTTTCCCTAGCATGCTTGGATCTGCATTGCCGGGCTCTACCAGCTCTTCCTTCGGGCGCAGTAGCCACGCTTACTCAGAAACAGACGGTAAAACTCAGTTCTTCCGTACCTCAATCGTGATGCCTGCTTTGCGCTCACTTTCCCATGAGAAGACCGCGCGCATGGCTCGTCGGAGGGAGATCAACGAGTCGACAATGCGGATGGGAGTCGCCGCAATTGGCGGCGAGTTGACAAAATGGGAACGCGATACCGACGTCGCTCTTTCATCCGAACAAACATCTATGAGTGAGAACGAGCAGGCCATGTGGGAGGAGTGGGGCAAAACGATACAGGTTTGGTCGGTTGTACGGCAGATCGCAGACCGTGCGGTTGGCAGTGTGATCGCGCAAGGAGCCCGTGAATTACTGAAGTCTTCGCTAGAAGCGACTTCTATTCCATGGTCTGCTGTATGCGACGGATGGGCATCACAGAGATCGATGCAGGACATTTGGAAGTCGATGTTGCAGGATACGTCGGTCAAGATTCTCCATGAAAGCGAGGCAAACGCTGACAAGAAGGAAGTGGATGACGAGCCTAGCGTAGACGAAGTTGTCGAACGTGTCAAACAGGACCCTGATCTTGACCAGCATGAGCATCGATTGCTGAGTTGTATCGTCGATACGAGTGGGTGTTCAGTTGCACAAAACTCGGCTCATCTGACCGCTGTCCACAGCTTCCTTGTCTACCACTTTCAGTCAAGTCCATCTCCCTCCGCATACCATTGATTCGGTGCGGACGGTCGTGTCCCTCCCACTGCTGTATCCTGTTGCGTTCCAGCATGGCATTCTCAAAGAGCATAGTATGGCAGGGTGTCTGTTGTTCGGCCCGCCAGGAACAGGCAAGACGTTGGTCGTGCGAGCACTAGCGAAGGAAGCCGGATGCCGTATGCTGGCGATATCCCCTTCTGACGTGATGGACATGGTAAATAGGATCCTGCCGCATCTGTGAACGACCGCTGATCATGATCCCTGTAGTATGTCGGTGAAGGCGAGAAGCTCGTCAGATCTGTCTTTTCCCTTGCAAGGCGGCTGTCACCCTGCGTCGTCTTCATCGATGAACTGGATGCGCTCTTTGGCGCCCGAGTGTCTCGCGAAACGGGAGGCGGAATTGCTCACCGGGGCGTGATCACCGAGTTCATGCAGGAAATGGACGGCCTGAAGTCATCGAAAGAGGACAACGTCATCGTCATCGGTGCTACCAACCGTCCTTTCGATCTCGACGATGCCGTCCTCCGTCGCTTGCCTCGTCGTTTGCTCATCGACCTTCCAGGAGAAAAGGAGCGAGAAGGTCGCTTTTTCTTCTTTCATGAAGTTTGCTACTACTAATGGCAGTGTATACAGAGATCTTGAAGATACTCCTGCGCGACGAAACACTTTCCCCTGGCGTGAATTTGAAAGACTTGGCGAAGAAGACTCAGAGCTTCTCGGGCTCAGACTTGAAACGTAAGAAACAATGTTTCTATCTTGTCGCAGTAGCGGCTGACAAATATTGTAGATTTGTGTGTCTCAGCCGCCCTTGACGCCGTGAAGGAGCATGTCGACGTTCCTTGGCGCGCGCCTACGTCGGGATCGACGAATCCAGTAACCCTTACTGGTTCCGCCGCCTCTGTTGTCTCTGACGCTACGCCCTCACAAGCTTCACAAGCCGCATCGCTCGAACCAGCAGATGCCCTAGAGGCATCGGCAGACCAAACTAATGCTACGAGTGGTAGCGGGCCCGCTGCAGAAACTGCTCTGCCTTCCCACAGCCGGACACTCAGCTCTCGCAACTTCGACAAGGCGCTTCAGGAGATCACGCCGTCGGCGTCCGAGTCGCTGGGGAGCCTCGCGGAGCTGCGCAAGTGGAACGACGAGTTTGGCGAGGGACGCCGGGAGCGCGCGAAGCAGTTCTGGGGCAAGGGCAGGTTCGGGTTCGTGATTGAGACTAACGAGAACAACAAGGTTGGTTCGAGTGAGAATGAGCACGAGAAGATGGAAGCACAACCGTCAGTAAGCCATGACTCGCATCCGGTACAGTGATTCAAGCAGTGATGTGTGGAGAAGTTCAGTAGCAGTATAAAGTACTCTAGCTAGATCGATGTCTATTGCACGACGTGTACGTATACGTATACACCAGCGACTACCGACGGCCCTTCCGCTTCTGAGTCTTGGGTGGAGTTGGCCTGTCCTCGTCGACATCCATGCTTTCCTCTGGTACAGCTTTCTTTCCCCCCCTCTTCTTCGCCTGGCTCCGTGATAGCTGCGAAAGCTGTGAGGGTGAGGGCTCAACATCCATCTCCTCGTCCTCGTCTTCGTCGCCCTCTGCTGCGCTCTTCCTCGGCGCCCGCCGACTGCCTTTGTCCTGCCCATCCTTGAACGCGCCTTCACCGATGGACAGTAGCTTCCGCGCGTTGGCGTCCGCAGACCAGTTCTCATTGCACGTAGGGCAGTTTTGGTTGCGCCGCCGGTAGTTGTTGAAGCAGTGCGTGTGCAGACGCGTTTTGCAATGTGCCGTGTAGCAGGCGACTCCGCGTGTGATCATCTGTTGTGAGTCGCGTTCAGTAACGAGGCTCGCTGGAATGGCAGTCTCACGCACTTCCATACAGATCGTGCACTCTATTATCTCATCTGGGTAAGTCGACCTCAGATATGGCTGCAGCTCCAACAGGGTACGCGTAGAGAGGGAATAACGGCCCTCTCTGGTAATGAAATAGTTGTAGGTAAGCAGCGCAAGACGATTGGGGTATAATAGGCGGACATACCTGCTCTTGACGAGCCAGCCTTTGGCCACGAAACTGCTGAGCACCACTTCGGCCTGCGTCTTGGTCATGTTCGCTTTGAGGGTGCCCACCTCCCGCAGAGCGGCCAGGGACGAGACGGTGTAGGATTCGTTCGGCGCGAGCATAATTTGTTCGACCTGGCGGTGTTAGATAGGTTTTATGCCACCTTAGCGGCGAGATCATTGGCGCGCTTACCACCGCTTTAAAGTAGGCGATCTCGACCGCTGAGTAGTCAGTGGCCATTTGGGCAATCTCGTCGCCCCTCCTGTTAACCTGGAGGGAGCAGAAAGTGGTATTTAGTCGTGAGAGAAAGACGAAATGATAGCCTGCACTCACGAGGACACACATTTCTTTGCCAGTGTACTCATCGTGCATATGGGCAAACTCCAGGTCAAGTGGGTTGAGCGCGTTGTTAATATTCGAGACGAAGTTGTCCCATGAATTCCTGTCACTGCTGAAAGGGATTTCGAGGGAGTCGTCCGCGGCTGAAGAAGTTGCGAAGGGTGCGTTGAGCATGAAATTAAGGCATGACAAAAGACACAGTACCTCTAACCGCTTCCACGCACTTCTCCCATATTTTGAGTGCTAATTTTTGGGAGATGATTCTCCTCGAAAGCATGGATTGGAGGAAGAGACGCTGTACATCGTTGGAGGATACCATGGCGAATATAAATGAGGAGGAGGAGCGCGACGCGACGCGTCTCGGCTATCTTCGAGACGATCACACGGTCACGCACTGTGTTCCGAGTCTCCAGCTTGCATGCAGGACGGACTACATAGTACTACTACTAACCAATCGTAAGATACAGTCCAGGGTAATGTACCGTGCATACTCCCTTTCCTTCGTACCATTCCGTAAAGTCGTAACTGGCACCGCGCACGACGATCTACCATAGCCACTCAAGGCTTGGGCACCCGCAGCGTCTTGCTCACCATCGCCATAGCCCACAACGCGAACACAATGCTGACCAGATGCAGCTCCCCATCTCCACCCGGCGGGCCCCAGAGTGTTATTGTGCCGCCCGGGATGCCTTCCTTCCCTTCGATCCACCCCTTCTTTGTCCAATATGACAGCACCGCAACAAGGGCGAGTGATGAGGGAATGGGGAGGCCCTCGAAATACCGCGCCTTCCCCTTCACGTCTTTAGGGACCAGCGCCACCGTGGCGTTGAACCGCGCGAGACGCGCGAGGCCGCAACATATGAAACCAGTCAGAACCACCGTGTCAAGGTATGTCCGCAGGCCGATTACGAATGCAAGAAGAGCGGGCGCGACACCAAAGGATATCTGAGACGACATCAATATACACAAGTCAACGGGCATGAATTGCGGACGCGTGTACGTACCAGATCAGCGAGGCTGTCCAGCTCCTGTCCCAGCATGCTACTCTCATTTCTCCACCGCGCAACCTTCCCGTCAAAGAAGTCGAATGCAAGACCCAACACTGGGAAGACCAGGGCCGACCATAGATAGTCCTCATCGTTGGACACAAGATATTTTGCAGACATGAACACGGAGAACGACCCGCACACCCCGTTCATGATGGTGACTAAGTCCGCCAGGCGGAAGTTTCTGTTGAAGAATGCGAGACAGAGGACATTTCATCCACAGATACGCGCCCAGATGAGCATTCGGGGAGACGAAAGTGCGGGAAAGGCAGATCCCACCTGACAAGCGAGAAGTGCCCCTCTGTGTCCTGGTATTCATGCAATGCAGCAGCCTTGCTCGTCTTTGCCGTATCATGGTTATTAGAGATGAAATTTTGGGATTTCCGCTGGTTCATTGTAGATACACGGTGGTAGGAGAGAGGGACGCTGGCGGTGGGTTATAACGGCTGTGCCATTAGTAGTACTGCGGTACCGGCGCCACATGTCTGGCTAACGGGACACATGTTTCTGTTAAGGCACAGCCATATCGAATATGGATCTCCGTAGGCCTTCTTGAACAGCAGTACAGCACCACGGCCGGTATCCTCTGCAAGATACAGAAAACACAGCAACAGATATAGCAAAACGTCGACGAGAGGCGCATATCATCAGCCCATGATCACATCGCCATCCTTCGCCGCCTCCAGCTTCTCCCTCTCGAGCTCCCGGCTCTTCGACGCATACTGGTTTGGGTGCGTCACGCTCTCCCCTCCACCTACGCCCTCGCCCTTCTTCACTCCCTGGCTCGCGTGCGTGATCTCGAACACGCGCGTGCATGCCACATGATAATGCTGCGTCTTCACCGCGTTCATGATTTCCGGCAGGTCTGCTGCAGTGAGCCCCTGGCCTGAGTACATGGACAACAGCGCCGTCTGCAGATTGTCTGGCGAGAAGTGGCGGAAGGGGCACCCGTGCGAGTCGGATACCCCGGGCTGGTCCGCTGTGAGGATCTGCTGGCAGCTGTAGATATGACGTGCATGAGATCGGCTCAGTGGGGTCGCGTGCAGCGCACCTCTTCGCGGGGTAGTTCGCTCGCTTTCCTTCCAGTCCGTATGAATGTCGGATGTTGTACCTATATTCTTTGTTGAATTTATCATCTTGGATTTTGCTGAATGATCGTCGCCAGAAGGTGATCGCCTCGTCTATTGAGACACCAAGGACCTGTGAGCCACATTAGTGCTAGAAAAGATGTTATACTAGAGTAGAACGAATCGCCTTGAGGAAAAGACCATATTGCAATCTCCCGAAATGCTTGAGATGTCGGTCCCTCTGCAGGTTGTCGTGGAGGTTGCGCATGCACATCGGGAAGTGTCGCCGCGCAAGGTCATCCACCATGTCGGCGGTGATCTCATTCCCACTACTTGATGCCGCGCTGCTCCACTCTGACGAAACACCGGCGAGGAACCCTTGCGAGAGGTTGTTTAGGATGGGTACTATCCTCGTATCTTCATCCAGTCGGGGTAGAGCTTTCGCTGTCATCTGTGTTGGAAGTTAGGGTCAGGGTAGAAATTATTTCGAGGTGTTATACCTCGAGCGCATTCATGAGGTTTGTTTGGAACTCTTGGAACACGATGCTGGATTGTTCTCGTGCGGGAACATAAGCCAAGCCGCCCTTCAGGAAAACTCTTCTTTTCTCTATTAGATCTGGGACACGGGTCCATTTTACCTGTGCCCGAGGACGAGTTAACAAAGAGCAATGTAGACTGTTGAACACCGTGGCGCCCACTTTATAGTATTTCTCATTATCGCCTATAGGGTCTTTGAGCACAGACGCAGCGGCATCAAGTTCAAGCTTGTATTGCTCTTTCTCCTGGTCTGACACCTAAAACTTTGTCAGTGTTTTGCTCACCGTTAACGAACACAGAGCTCGTACCGCGATCCAATCAAAGTCCCTCGAGTTGAGGAAGGTCTCCCTCTCCGAACGGTCGTCACTGTCATACCGCACGCGGAATAACGCGACTTCGGCCTTCACAAACCGTCGTCGGAGCTCTTCGCTACTTCACTGTGAGGAACAGAAAAGAGCAAGGGGCAACGTGACTCACGAGCGGGAGAACGCGAGCCTTAGAACGAAGTGCCCGACATGGTCCTTCTTCCGCTCTGCATCTCGGTCAACGGATATTGCGGTCGAGCTGTTTAGGGGGAGGTACTTCTTGCACTGTTCGAGGGTGACGGTTGTGAGCTCGGCGTATGGCCTGTTCCGGACGAACGAGGACTCGATCTCTGCGAGAATGCGGAGGCGGTCAAGAGCGCAGGTCTCGAACTCTTCGATTGTGATGTCGCCGAGCGGCGGGCGGTCGTAGCTGAAGTGCCACAGTCAGAAATTTGCTCTTGCGTATCCGGGAGTGTAACGCACAAATTGAGTCGGTGGGGGTACTTGAGTGTTGAGTGCCATTGGACTTGCCCGATGTTCTTCTGGTTTTCGAGACTAACGTTCTTGCTGTTGTCCAGGCCGAGTATCTTCTTGTTTTCGACGCTTTGCTGCTCGCCCGCTTTGAACATCGTGCTTGCAGGTGGAGGTGGGCAGGATGCAGACGTTGACGCGGTATGTCACACCACCGACGCGAACTGTCACGCCGCATCTCAGGTAGTCCGATATAATACACTCTAAATATCGAGTAAACAAACACTAAGAAATAGCAATACAATCATAGCGCGATATCGACAAGCATAACATAGCAAACGACTATATCACGGAATAAACAGGACTTATGAGGTCTCTTCAATAATTTGTGGTCGCCGCGCGATCCTGCGAGCAGGACGCAAAGTCTCATTCAGATCTTCCTCAACATCAAACGTGACACCGGGTCGACGCCTACGCCATGTACCACGATCAAGCTGGTTGGCTTCTTCCTTGTTCCGCCATTCCTGGGCAGCAACCAAAGGGTCGCGTAACGGCGGCGACGGTCTCCCTACTGTTGAACTTCTCGTAGACTCACCCCCTGTCAAGACAGTATTGACCTGCATCATAAGTATTAAGCCGATGATACGTGAGCAGGTAACCCAAACTAGACTTACCACAGTCCCATCCACCGCTTCTACAGAAGCAGCCGACACAGTACGGTGCCGCTTCGACAGCAAGCGGAACGGCGTGAACGTCTTCGAGGGGCTTCTCCTGCCCGACGGATGCATAGGAGTTGGTGCAGCGATAGCAAATGGTACCATAAACGCATTCGTAGTTGAAATGGGAGGCGGTGCGCTCCCAATAGGTCTCGGAGCCGGAGAAGTAGTGGAAGTTGCAGTCGCAGCAGACGTTGCAGCCGTAGCCGGGATGGCCGTCGTAGCGGGAGTTGAAGGCGTAGTGAAAGCTGCAGGTGGAGCAACAGAGGACGCATTAGGTTGTGAGACCTGGCGCTGGCGCCGGTGCACCCGCTCGACCATCTGTCCTACCGGGACTGTCTGCACATCCTGCTTCGGAGGGGACGACAAAGACCGGAAAAGACCAAAAATACCGCCTCTCTTCTTTTCCTTATGACTGGGTAGCATTTCTTGCGAGGCTGCAGGCCCCATGGAAGGTGCGCCCGACGGCTGACGAGGTAACATGGACGGTACAGATGACGACGGCGGTCGTATTGACTCCGGTGCGGGAGCACCTGGAGTGCGTGAGGCTTTAGACTTCGAAGAAGACGACGCGGGTGCCTGACCCGATGTGGATGGGCGGGGGGTACGCGAACCATGTTGCGGGTCCGAAATTGTACGAGTATGAGAGGAGCCGGTGATCGGCGTACCATTCTGGCGGTTACTGAGGGGAGTTGGGAAGGTGTTATTACGCACGGGTTGAGAAGGTGCTGTGGGAAGTGGGGTGTACGTCTTCGGAGGGGGAGAGGACACATAGTGCTGGCGTGCGTGAGGGGTGGGAGACGGTGCCGACCGTGGCTGTACTCGCTGTGCTGAAGCAGCGGGTTGCACCGACGCTCCTGCATTGTCGAAGGCGCGAGGAGCAATTTCCGAAGACTGTACATCATAAGGACGAAACGTAGATGGGTGCGGATTACCCGAATGATTGGGCGTCCCGGAGGTCATGGGTGCGGCATGGACGCGATGAACACTGGATGAATGTTCGTGTGAATAGCGCGAGGAAACGGTTGGCAGCGTAGTCCTAGAAGAGGTATTCGGAGTATATGTGCTGTGGGACTCCGGTTGTTGTGAATTAAGTTCTGAAGATATAGGTACTTGCGACGGTAACGATACAGTCTGCGCGGGATATGCGGATGAAGTTGCCGAACGGTATCGAGAATCTGGGTATCCGGACATTACGTTAAGTCGTGACATTGGACTCATCTCTGGACGTGAAGCGGCGTTAAGTTGTAGACTCGTTAAACTAGAGCGATGCGGCAGTGCACGCTGAGCAGAATTTATCACAGGAGAGGGTTTCTGTGACGGCACATGCGATATGGTGTCTTCGGACCCATTGCGGTGAGTTTGCAGTCGTGCTGAGGGGGAATGTTTCGGCGTATTCGATGGAGGCGGTATCGTCTGCAGGCCGGGCGAGCCCTGCAGATTCGAATATATCCGTGAAGGGGAATGCGAGGCCGGATTGGAGATCCCAGGAACAGCTATGTGAACACCCATGGCAGGGGATTGCGCAATGCTCTCCATAGATCCATTGACAGTCGCATTAGGGTTGAGATATGATATGGATGTCTGCCTAGGCGACTCGCGTGGGTGCGGCGTCCCCTGCTGCCGCGACGGGTGCGACGTAGCTTGGACGAGCGGAGCTACATGGGAAATGGGGGCGTGCGAGGTCACGGGAACACTATTATGCGGATGGCGTGGAGATCCATGTACCGTCAGATTCGGAAGTTGTAACGGAGCACTGATAGCCTCTTCTGTGGCCCTGGCTGCATGGGAACGAATATTATTGACGACGTTGTGCACATATCCGGCTTGTTGCTGTGACTGGAACTGGGGTGCGGAATCGTATGGCGCATAACCTTTCCCCGTATGGCTGACAACAGTCGCTGCCTGCACGCCAGACGATCCTGCAGTAGCAGATACTACGGCCACGACACCTCGCTGAGCGGTTGGTGCTGTGGACGGAGGTCGCGCTATTCCTTCACCGGATGGGGGTGTGTGATGCACATGATTGACAGATCCAGTAGCAGGATCTCTTGCGATACCATGATGAGCGATCGGCGCTGTGGATGAAGGGCGCACGCTTCCATCACCGGATCGGACGGCATAGGGTGCATGGTTGATGGACGTGGACCCGAAAGTGGGATCTTGCACATGCATCCCTTGTGAGTGCTCACCATGGACGAACTGGAGTGTATCCGGAGCTACATGCTGCAGGGGCTGAACGGGTGACATATTATTTCCCTCACTGTAAGGCAGATGATGCGGAGGAGGGCGATAAGAGGAGGACGGGGCAGGAGTATATGCGCGTGACGGTAGAGTTTGTGACTGATTCGATGCATCGTATGGTGGTTGCCGCTCAGCTACAGCAAGATCAGGTTGATGCGTCGAAATAGTGAAATTTGTGGACTTGGGAAGTAGTCGGGGTGTTTGAGGATCAGCCGGACCCTGTCCAGCTCGAATGCTGACTACGTATTGTCTAACATGTTGAGAGGGGGGTGGACCTACGGGTAAGGTAGGCTGACTTGAAGAAGGGAAAGGAACAGACGGTGGAGTAGTTGAGGTTGGCATTTGGGAGTTACCAGATTTTTGAGGAGGGGAATCTCGCGATTGGAGCGACCAATGACCGAAAGAATCCTTCGATGCGTTTCTCTGGCTCGTCAATCAGTAATCGAAACTGAGCACAGAAAGGAGTACACACACCTGCTGATTACTGGCATATGCCATCTCCAGGTTGGTCGTGCCATGTTGTACAGCAGAGGTCAGTACGGAAGCCAACATCGCGCTCGGATCGGCCAGATTGGACCTTGAATGACCTGGAGACTCATCGTGCGCACGGCTGGCCTTCCGCTATACCATATCAGCTGCCAAGCAATGTTATTAGCGAAAGTCACATACCCGCTGTCTAGCTGCCAACCGCTCTGTCTCACTACCTGATGGGTGCCCGTCGGTATGGTAGTCTCGCACAGCAGTACGACGAGTAGCAATTCGCTGTTGAATTGTGTCATGCTTTTGCTCAGATGCATAATACTTGGGAAGCACTCACCCTCTCCTTGCCAGCCATCTCTTGCTCGCTGCTTGACAATCCTGACTCTTGAGCATTCTGCTGGGCGACGGTTCTGTCCCGATGTGAGCGAGGAGGTCTTGGAGGTCTTGGCCTCTCACGGTCCAGAGATGGAATATGCTGAGGGAGTTGAGCATCACCCCTGCGAGACTCACCTGGAGCACGCGGTTGGGCACCAGCCGGAGTGTCTATCTGACCGTTGACATTCTGTTGAATCACAGGTCCAGATGAGCCTGAGTACGGTACTTGACCTGTGGGAGGAATTGGAGCAATATGACCGCCGCTCCGAATCTTAACCAAGACATTAGAGAATGAATCGACGGATATGATGCGTACGCACCACGGCTACTGTCGCCCTCTCCTCTGCGTTCTGCTGTCTTCGAGTGGATGACATCGAATTTTGCATTGGTACTGCCGAGGCAACGACACGCTCAGCTCCCCTCCTGTCTTCTCTGTGCCGACCATCGCGATCCTTCCGTCTGTCCTTCTCCCTGTGACTATCCTTCTCCTCACCGGATCGAACCGTTTCTCTCTCCCTTTCTCTCCGATGCTCTCGTTCTCGTTCGCCCTCGCTCTCCCTCGCGCTTTCCTTGACTCTGTCTGTGTCTCTTCTTCTCTCCTTTCTGACTCTGCTCTCCTCTTTCTCCCTATCCCTCTCCCGTTCTCCGTGTTGCCTAGAGGAAGACATGGGGTCGGGAGTTGGGTGAGGGGGAGGTATCCAGTATGTCTGCGTCGAAGCCGGCGCTTGCGGAAGAGCGGTAGTATTCACATGGGCACCAGTATTGCGAGACTGTCGACTCGGACGTAAAACCCTGTCTTCTTCCATATATACCACCTTTTCATTCGATGAGTGTGGGCTCTGCTTATCTGCTCTCTTCTTGAGATAATTCCGTAGACCATATGTATCGCGGGGAGGGTCCTGAGCCCGGGAAGTAGAAGAGGTAGCAACTGGTACAGCGCTGGAAGTTGCTCTGTTCTGGGACTGTGCAGCAGAAACATATGAAGACGAGGGCAAGTTGTCAGAAGCAGAATGACCCCTCGAAAACTTGTAATCCGCATAGTCGGGTGCAGCAACCGGGACATCGGCCGGTTTCGCCTGCTTAGAAGATGAGCGATACTTCTTCTGACCTTCAGCCGCCCTCTGGTCGATGTTATGACGCTGGGTAGTAGCCATTGATTGACGAGGACGGTCCATATCCAGTGGATCGCTTGGTCTCCATATATCGTGAGCAAATTCTCTTCGAGAAGAGCTAGCCGCTCGTTGGCGACTGCTCATGTTCCGGCGTCAGTGGGAACAAGTTATATGTACAGCGGTGCTCGAAAACGGCGGGCCTCAGCTGCTTATAGGTCGGAAAGGATCGACGGTGGACAGAAGAACCCAAATCAAAAGAGTGTGGAAGAAAAGCCTTGTGAACATGAGGCAAAACGCCCGCCCGTCGACTTCCAGTCAAAGTGACACTTAGCGAGCCGCATCATGGTGTCCGTGGTTAAAGTTCCCGCGTCTCCCTCTTCCGGCAAATTCTCTGTCCGAGAGGCTGTACTTCGTGCGAGATTGGTACTTGATTGGTACCTGCAAGGCTTCCACAAGAAGTCGAGTCCGTTCACTGCAGGCGGGCTACATCATCGGTATCCTACCCGTGGGGCGTACGCAAGTGAGTCGAGGTGTTTGCGAGAGTCACACAAGATGGTCGTGATCCAAGGGGTCGTCTTGGGAATTCCGCTATACTCATCCCTGGGTTTGGCAGTTTTCTGCAGATCGCTAACGGAAGAGGGTCGCTATCAAAGGATGGATTTCGCGAGGCTGATACATCCATGGGGGGAGGGGGAGTTGAGCGTTCTAGCATTGAGCTCAAAGAACGATCTTCATCATCCAATGTCGAATCATGTACATAGCGGAGGTCATGGCCAATCACATAACACCACTGCAATTCAGCAACTGAATTTATTTGAGCAAAGGAACGTACAAAGGAAAACTGCAGATGTGAATGAAGGACATAATACTTAAGGTAATGAATGATATGTCCAGTAATTCAAACATACACGGAAGAAGATGTGAGCCAACAGTGTGATACGACAACACCACAGGGATATTGCCACCAGCACTCCAGCAACACCGCATTAGCAGACCCCACCACCTGATCCCAAGACGGGACCAAGAGACGATATCCAACTGAGCAGCTTGTTCTTACACGACTTTGACTCATTACCGACAGTAGACAGCGGAAAGGCTGGTGGAGGTAAGCATACCTCCCTGTCGAGACAATTTAAGGATCGTGTGGACATGTAGAGTAATACTTGGAACAGAGCTTTCTCGACAAAGTGACAGAAACACTTAGCTACTATCGGCCGGAAACCAGCCGGAAGATTCGAAGCTTCAGGCCAACTTTCAGCAGCAGGTGAAGGGCGAGCAGTGACAACGGCTACAGGCAAAAGGGAAATGCGAAGTCACGGTAAAAGGGAAACCTAGGTTGGCGCCTATTAAGGCATGCAGCTGACTAATAGGAGGATATTCCCACGACTTCTTTGGCCGTCGCCCGGATTCATCCTCGACTGCGAGTACCTTGTCGGACCTCTCTAGACAAACCATCTGTGTTCTGTTATCCCCGTCTTCACATTTTCTTCTCTCCGGCACTTAGGCTTGCCCTCGTTTCAGAGTTTGGAATCCGCCCTTTGATTGCTATGGTATGCTTCCAGCTTACGCACACTGCACGCTTGGAAGCTCAAGTGTGCGTCATAGAGCGAAACAATGGACGTGATAGACGAGAAAGTTAATGGCGGACCACCGATGGAGGTCGATGAGGTTGTCTCTGTCCGTGATCGTAAGTCGTCTCAGCTGTTTCCCCGCTGCTGGACTTTGAGCGTCTGAGCTTACCTTTATCTCTGTAGAAGGGGCATTTGCTGCCAAGCATATGCCAGACCTTGGACACGAAGTGAAGGAGTTTCAGGTACACACCTGGCACTTGACCAATTGGAAGAAATTGGAGAAGAAGATCACTAGTTCAGAGTTTGAGTGCGGTGGCCACAGATGGTTTGTTACTATTTTGCTTTGAACCAAGGAGGAAACTTGACAGCAAATGTGCAGGAGAATTCTGCTCTTCCCCTTCGGAAATTCCAACGCTCCGCCAAATGATACCGTTTCGGTGTATCTAGACTACGCCGATCCAAAGAGAGCGCCAGAAGGCTGGCATGCTTGTGCACAATTCGCATTGGTCATCTCCAACCCTCATGACCCCACAATATACACAGTCAGCCGTACGTCACAATTGCTTTATTCGTAGCGTCCACTTATTTCTTCTCTTTCAAGATGCTCATCATCGCTTCATCGCGGAGGAGTGTGACTGGGGTTTCACGCGATTCAGCGAGTTGCGGAAGCTTTTCAGTATACAGGACGGACATCATCGTCCGACAATTGAAGACGAGGCGGCCGATGTTAGCGTGTTTGTGCGGGTGTTGGAAGACCCCACCGGGGTGCTGTGGCACAATTTTGTCAAGTGAGTGCGTTGGGTCTTGTGCTATACGTCATTTTCACGGATATACTTCAGCTATGACTCGAAGAAGGAGACTGGGTATGTTGGGCTGAAAAACCAAGGTGCAACATGCTACATGAACTCCTTACTTCAATCGTTGTATTGCACGCGTTACTTCCGAAAGGTGAATCATGTGTGCTGGCCGTTCAGGATGATATGTCCTGAATTACTGCGATAGGCTGTATACCAGATTCCTACAGAAGACGATCTCCCAACGGAAAGCGTTCCTCTCGCATTGCAGCGAGTGTTCTACCACTTGCAAACATCAGACCAGCCCGTTGGTGAGTCAGCATATCACCCGATGACGCGCGTAGCTCATCATTGCTGCAATATGCCTAGGTACCACCGAGCTGACCAAATCTTTCGGCTGGAAGTCACTGGACTCCTTCTTGCAGCATGATGTGCAAGAGTTCAACCGGGTACTGCAGGACAAGCTTGAAATTAAAATGAAGGTATGGTCTTTGTTGCACTGAGTAAGCTACTGGTAAGACTGCTTGACAGGGAACCAAAGCGGAGGGTGCTATCGCAAAGCTGTTCGTCGGCAAGATGAAGAGTTTCATCAAGTGTGTGAACGTGGACTTCGAGTCGTCGAGAATTGAGGAGTTCAACGGTATATTACACTGATATCCGACGCAGTGGTCTTGCTGATCGCGCAATATAGATATCCAACTGAACGTCAAGGGTATGAAGAACCTCTACGAATCGTTCAAGGACTATGTAGCGGTGGAGATGCTAGATGGCGAGAATAAGTATCAAGCCGAGGGTTACGGTTTGCAGGACGCCAAAAAGGGCATAATCTTCGAAACTTTTCCCCCCGTTCTTCACCTCCAGCTAAAGCGGTTTGAGTATGACATCCAACGCGATGCCATGGTGAAGGTATGAATATAACTATTTTGCGTTCCGTTATCACTGAGATGTCCCATGTCTCAGATCAATGATCGCCACGAGTTTCCATTCGAGATTGATCTCGATGAGTTCTTGGACGAGACAGTGGACAGATCGCAACCATGGGTCTACAAACTGCATGGAGTCCTCGTACACTCTGGAGACCTCCACGGTGGCCATTACTTCGCCCTCATCAAACCCGATCGCGAAACACGATGGCTCAAATTCGACGACGATCGTGTAACTCCTGTCACTGATCGCGAAGTTCTGGAGGAGAATTATGGTGGTGAAGTGCTTAACGGTCTGGTTCCACCTATGCAGCGCAATCAAGTGCGGTCCATGAAGCGGTTCACGAACGCATATATGTTGGTGTACATTCGCGAGTCAGCCATAGACGAAGTTTTAGCTCCTTTCAAAGAAGAGGATACTCCTGCTCATCTGAGTGAGTGGGGTACACCTGTCATTGAATTTAACTGAGTGTCTTCTTGGCATCTAGAGAGGCGTTTGGATGAGGAACGACTTCAGATTGAGGCCAAGAAGAGGGAACGGGAGGAACAGCATCTCTACCTCACTGCGAAGGTAACAGGGAGACGAACATACCCTATCCCTGATGCTGATTGACAATGTGCTTACAGGTTATCACGGATGATACGTTCTCTGAATATGAAGGGTTCGACTTGGCGACATTCGACGAGAGGAATTGGCCCGCATCGGAATTGCCGACATTCCGTGTCCTCAAGAACGAGACTTACAGCACGTTTAAGTCTCGGGTGGCGCAGCACTTTAACTATCCGGAGAGTCAGATCCGTCTGTGGGTACTAGTCAACCGACAGAACAAGACCGTCAGGCCAGACACTCACATACCAGAGAATGAACCAGCTCTTAGTGCGCATTTTCAGCGTATATTGTTCGCCGGTACCGCTGACGCTTGCCATAAGCTGTGGAGGTGATCCGGAATAACATGGCAGTCAGGCAGCAAAACGACCTGAGGTTGTACCTAGACGTCCTTGCCGATCCGAACAAGGTATCGGCCTCCAATTACAATTTTTTACGATTCACCGCTGATCGGTATTTATCAAGCCGGAAGTGCCTCCAGGCTCCATCATGATCTTCCTGAAGCATTTTGACACATCCAAGCAGACCCTTTGTGGCGTTGGAAAAGTCCACGTACAACGAAGCAGCAAAGTCAGTGATCTGGTGCCCATTATCAACGAGCGCATGCGATGGACACCAGGAACACCACTGAAGCTGTACGAGGTGCTGCAAGGCTCCTTTTCACTAACTAGCTGGTTAACTTATTATCCCGCAGGAAATCAAACCCGGCATGATTGAGCTCATGAAGCCCAAGATGACCTTCACACAGAGCGAGATCCAGGATGGTGACATCATCTGCTTCCAAGTGGACATCAGCGACAAGGAGTAAGGTACTTCATCTTGAGTGCGATATTTGCTCATCGCTCAAGTAGGATTCATGATCTTGAGAGCCAAGGTCTACATTCGAATCCCACACAGTTCTATGACTTCCTCCAGAACCGGGTGATGATATCCTTCAGGGCAAAGTATGAGGAGAGCGATCAAGATCATTCTGAGTTCAACCTCGTTCTCAGCAAGAAGCAGAACTACGACACCGTAAGTGCTCAATGTGCCACTTTCTATCCCCGGGATTAATTTCATTTGGTACGTAGATGTCCCAGAAAGTTGGGGAGCGCCTACGACACGATCCGATCAAGCTGCGCTTCACCACGACTCATGCGACGAACGGCTCCCCGAAGTCTATCCTCAAGCGGTCCCTGAATCCAAGTGTCGCCGAGATCATTTCGCCGACCTACGTCAGCCCACAAACGACGGTCATACTGTACGAGAAGCTCGACGTCAGCATCGTGGAGTTAGAAACGAAGCGGAGTCTCAAGGTCATCTGGACCGGCATTCACAACAAGGAAGAGTCGACGCATCCGTTCCTGCTTCCGAAGACGAGTATGGTCCATGATCTTGCTGATCATCTGGCGAAGCAAGTTAAACTGACTCCGGGCGGAACGGGCAAGATTCGTGTGTTTGAGGTGTCGAAGGACGGCAAGACACAGAAAGAGTTCACCGGTTCAGAGATGATAGGTAACATTCCTGACCCAGTAGAACTGTACGCGGAGGTTTGTGATATCCATTACATCATTTTCACATCGCTGATGCATCATCCAGGAAATTCCGCGAGAAGAACTGGAAGCCGATGACGCCGACAAAGTGATCAGTGTCTTCCACTTCTCCAAGGAAGTTTCACGAACACATGGGGTGCCATTCCGCTTTGTGGTGAAACCTGTACGCCCGATGCATAGTTTGTGAAAAAATTCTGACACTCTCACAGGGAGAGAAATTCTCGGAAACGAAGAAGCGCCTACAAGCACGAATAGGCGTCTCAGACAAAGATTTTGCCAAGTATCGCTTCGCACTGATTCAAGTTGCGACGTTCAAGCAGCCGTCATACATAGAAGATGGTGAGGATATTCTGAATGTCCGTTTATAATGTGGTTGACGCTCGACGCATTCAGAGGACACCATTTACGACCACAAGTTCGCTCCAGAAGATGTCCTTGGTTTGGATCACCTGGATAAGTCAGGGAAGACGCGGACAGGCGCTGGGGAGAAAGCCATTGTCATCAGAGGATGATTGCGTTCTGCCGTCGTTAACCTGCTAGGACAGATGTATAGGATTTGCTCTTCGATTACCTTAGTTTCTCCGCTTCTACCTCACCCATGTATCTTCCGTTTCCCGCCTTTCGCTGTACGACCCGCATAGACGAGAGGGTACAACGCTCTCGATCCATTGCTCGCAATGTGGCTACTATTAACACCTGCAAAGAGGCATTAACGATTTGTATATCTACCTTCGCTTCTTCGCCTTTTTGGCCGACTGTGCAGTGAAATGATGAGTCCAGAGAAGTCCCAGGACTGAACTGCCTTACTGATTTCGACGGCGATCGAGGTGACGAGGGTAACGAAAAATGCCCCTCGCCATCACTCGAGACCACGCTGTCAGCGCTCGCGCTTGGGGGTGGTATAAGGCCATTGGTGGACTTGGAAGATGGTGGCGTTTCAGGCAGCGCCGTAGCAGCAGCTTGCAGCGTAGCAGAGGCAGGAATCTGAGTCGAAGAAGACATGGGCAAGAGCGAAGTTGAATTGGAATTAGAGGGCATGATCGCGTTCCTCGACACACGGCTTCTGCCATATTTCTTTTCTATTTTGACACTAAGGTCAGTTGATCACACTAGTAGCACGCGACTAACCTTTCTCAACCCGAGCCGCTGAATTCTGCTCCAGCATACCCCGCATCTTTTCGTTGTGCATCATTTCGGTCGCGGTCTGGAAGATCACCGTGCCCCATCCCTCGACGAAAGTGTTTGCTTCTGCGGCTACCTCCAGGATCTCGGCTTCCATTTCCTTCTCCGCTGCCAGTAAACTGTTCCACAAATCGTCGCCGATGGAACCTTTCTGCAGGAGGTTCTGGAGGGCGGGCTTGTCTTCGCGGATGCGGATGATGCGTGTGACGTCCGTCATAGCACGGCGGACGAGCGCTGCCTTGAGGAGAGTTTCCGAAGCCGGAGGGTCTGTCTTTCGTAGAAGAGAGACATAGATATTGCGTTCGCGATGAGGGGGAAAGTAGGGCTCAGAGACTTTGCCTGCAACCAAAATTCAGCAGGAAGAATGCAAGCGGGAAGATGACACCTACTTGCGTTGTGATGCCTGTAAAATGAACTGAAGACCAAGAGACTGCCAAAGACGACGACGACGTATAAGACCGGGACGAGCACGGAATCCATGGGGGACGAAGGAGGCTTGTGAGCGTTGCGGCGCACTTGGTCGATTCGCTGGCACTGGTGCGAAGATCCACGCGTTCAAGGCACGTGCCCCAAAGTAGATATATGCTTATGTAACAAGCAACGTTCAAGCCCGGGGAAGTTACGGCCGGAGCCGGGGACGTTTCCCCAGTTTTCCCCAGTCTCTCACCCCGGATGGCAGTTTTTCGAATATAAAGTCCTCTTGGCTCTCTTCGTTCTATCACCCGCTCCCTCTCCTCCAGTATGTTCTCTCGTACCTCCGCCGTCGCGAAGTCTGTCTCCAGGAATGCGCTCGCTACCCAGAGACGTTTTGCCTCGACTAAGGTTCCATGCTCTTCCTCCGGATCACCGTATGACGCCTTTCTAACTGCCATGTAACAGACGATCCGGGAAGCTCTCGAGGAGGTCATACCTGCAAAGCAGGCTCAGCTTAAGCAGTTAGTGAGTATCTTCGCGACACTCGAGTGTTGGCGTTCAGCTGAGGTTGTGCAACCTGAAGAAAGCCCACCATGGCCAGGCCGTCCTCGGAGATATCAAGGTAGGCGTCTTCCTGTCCCGGGACCAGTGTAGATCTCGCTTAGACATGGCTAATAGGTTGAAAATGTCATCGGAGGAATGAGAGGCCTCAAGACCATACTGTGGGAAGCGTCTGTGCTCGACCCGCTAGAGGTTGGTCTGTTCACGCACACGACCGAAACGTCTCTTCACCTGTCATGCATACAGGGTATCCATTTCCACGGCTTGAGCATCCCGGAATGTCAAAAATCACTCCCGGCAGCTCCTGGTGGTAAAGAGATTATTGCAGAGAGCATGCTTTGGCTTCTACTCACTGGCAAGGTGCCTACCGAAGCCGAAACGCGTCAGTTGTCGCGTGAGCTTGCCCAGAAGGGAGAGCTCCCGGAGTATATTAAGATTCTCATTGATTCGTACGACTATATCCTCTTGACTCTGTGTCTTTGGGTTGAACATTCGCATTGCACAGGCTTCCCCCTACGTTGCACCCTATGACGCAATTGGGAATGGGGGTCGCAGCCTTGAATCATGACAGCTCATTTGCTGCAGCGTATGAGCGAGGCATCAAGAAAAGCGAGTATTGGACGCACACGCTCGACGACAGCCTTAACCTGTTGGCGCGTCTGCCCGCTCTCGCCGCGCGCATCTACCGGAATGCCTACAATCCGGGGAAGCCTATCCCTGAAATCAATGCCGATTTGGATCTTGTTGGTCAGTATTTGTTGTTTGTTTCTGAAGATTGGCAGCGTTACATCTGTGTGTTGTCAGGTAATTACGTGAATATGCTCGGATACGGCGACAACCACGACCTAACTGAGTACTTGCGTCTCTACATTGCCATCCACGGTGATCATGAGGGTGGAAACGCATCTGCTCACACTTCTCGTGAGTTCAGCGTGCTGTGAGTTTAGTGCACCCATTCATCTTAATTGGTTTGTGCAGACCTAGTGGGCTCTACTCTGTCTGACCCGTATTTGTCTTATGCCGCTGCTTTGTATGCTCTCGCAGGGCCTCTCCATGGGTGCGTTGTCTCAACGGAGCACTTGGGCAATCACTACTGAGCTATTATATACGCAGTCTGGCCAACCAGGAAGTATTGCGATGGCAACATAACATGCAGAAGGAGATCGGTAGCAACATCACGCCCGAAAATATCAAGGACTATCTCTGGAAGACTTTGAAGAGCGGTCAAGTGGTGCCTGGGTGAGTCATTCATTGGACCAGAAGATCCTAGGAGACGAGATCGTTATTGTACCTGTCAAGCTACGGTCACGGTGTGCTAAGAAACCCTGACCCCCGATACATGGCGCTCCAGCAATTCTGCGACACCCGTCCCGACCTGCTTGCAGATCCCGTCATTCAGCTCGTCAAGCTGGTGTGTGTTGCTGCGTTATATAATTCAGACAGATCATTATTTTTCCCCGACAGACATATGAAGTCGCGCCCGCCGTGCTCAAGGAACACGGAAAGGTACTTTTCCACTAGACTCCGTCGTGGTGGCGTTTATCATCCTTTAACAGACGAAGAACCCTTATCCCAATGTCGACGCTGCCTCTGGTAAGGGACCGCATATATACTGTGTTTATGCCTTGTCTGATTAAGCTCCTAGGTTGCGTGCTGTATCATTATGGTCTGACGCAATTCAAGGTACGGACTGACTTCTCGTCGTCATTTCTCGCTGCACAAATATTGACTGTCGACCATTTGAAGTACTATACCGTGATCTTTGGTGTCTCCAGAGGTGCGGATCGTGGATTTTCATATTAAGATGTTTGTCTGACATCCTCCTTTTAGCGCTTGGCTGCTTGACCCAGCTTGTCTGGTCTCGAGGTGCGTTGATGGTCAATGCGTCCTTGCCACGATTTAATAGTCTCCGTTCTAGCTCTCGGTCTGCCGCTCGAGCGGCCGAAGTGTGAGTTTCCCGTTCCCTGCGCAGTCCACAGCTGTCCTGATATTTTGACTGCAGCCGTTTCGATGGACACCATCGAGAGCCTGATAAAGAACCCTTGAGGACACCGCGAGGTGCAATATATATTCGGGGCATGCGTCTCTGGCGGGTGGAAAACCGTGCGTGCATGTTAAGAATGGACCGGTGCTTAATTCCGGTGCTTGGGAGCGGCGTCTTCGTATATAGCGAGTGCTGCGAGACTATTCAACCGCCTTTTCTGATCTGGTGAGCATGCGCTGGAGCAAAGAAGCGTGGACTTCACAGGAATGATTGAGCTGTCAGATCTTCAGAACGCGACACTGAATGAATGCAATGATGAAACAATTCAGATGCTCAGTCTAAGACGCATGCTGCACGAAACGAATGCGCTCGACTACTGGCACTTCAAATTTTCCCCAGAGCACTACAACATCCCCCCCGCGCGATAGAGATGACAACGCTACCCGCGCACACCCAGAATGTCGAACGCCAGCGTTGCATGCCGTGGTACTCTCTCTCGTGTGAGGGCTGTAGATTCCTTGTATGCATACACTGCGACCAGTCATTGTGGCTGGTTACAACCCATGCATACAAGGAAGAGTAGAACGTGAATCCCATGACGACGGCGTAGCCAAGGATATCGTAGTTCCGGGTGTGGTTTGGGAGGCCCATATCATGAGGCTGGGACCAGCGGAGAACAGACACATCGCTGAACGATTAATCTGACACGTTGTTACGCCGGTGACTTGCGCTATGGCGTGAATCGGACCGTACCTTTACCAATGCTAGATGGAGGTCCGATTCTTGCGTTTAGCAGCATTTCTGATAATGCAAAAGGCAAAAGGACCTTCAGAGCCTCAATCACGTATCCGGAGTACTGCCCACGTAAACACTGCCGGGAAGAGTACGGTGGGACATACAAGGATATCCTGTCGATCCATCGTTCCTTCGGATGCGACCAGATGCTTTCAAGTGAATAGCAGGCAACTAGTGAGATTAGGTCCGTCAGAGGTCCGCTCACAGGACGGTCGTATTAGCGTCGAAGATCGGTTCGACTTGTCGCGAATTAGTACGGGACAGGTATAGAAGACCGAGGAAGGTGAGGGCACGATTAGGCCTATATTTGTGTAAATCAGTCAGGCTGCGCAATGTGGCCTCAGACACATTTCGCATGCAACACGTACCGTTGCTACGAGCAACGAACTCGCCGATACCAGGATTCAGAAAAGTGGATCCTTCACGAGACCGCCATTATCACATTCCCGGGCTCCAGGGAAGTTTCTAACTGAGGCGTATTTTTACGGGTAGAGGCAGCTGCCCCCCGTATAGAGGAAGAGTGTCGCAACTACTCGCTTCTACAATGTCGGCACTACAGCCTATGATGGACATGATGGGACACTGCCTTTCGGACCTGGTGAGATGCGCGCACCCAGTTAGTTCATAATACTGGTCTCGACCGCGAATAATACAAGAAACTTCATCATATCCAAAGAAAATCGCAATGACAAATAATACCATGGGTGAAAGACCAAAGAATGCGAGTCCTGCTTCGACACCATATTCAGGCAAGGCCCTGATCGAGGAAAATAGTACCGAAAAGCAACCAGTACAATTCCACGCGATCTAAAACCTGGAGATGCGCACGAGAATGTATATGTATACATACCAAGTCAAAGTTGAAGAGATGCCAGAATAACGATACAGAGGATGACCTGGGTGCCTGAAATTCACGATGCAAAGAGGTCGTGACCACTGGACAAGATCCCAGATTCAAGCAAAGTCGCAATTCAAGATCCATACTGATCCAGCGCTCCGTCGACTGCAGATATTACAAACCGTGCTTAGCTGCAGTTATGCGAACGTCATACACTCCGCCAAAGAATCAGGATTGGAAAGGTGGGAATCCCACTGCCAAGTATTTTATGGAAGCATCAGAGCGCAGACAAGCGTTCGTCGGCAGAAAGGCTCACGCAGTGATGAGAAAAATATGAGTGTCAAACAGACTCGACGGAGAGCTGGAGATGACTACCCTCAGACTGTTCTAGATCATGAAGCTCTGGAGTAACGCGGTCAGGACTCAACGATCACGGCTCGCAGGAGGAAGTTGGAGTAGAATCACCACTCGTATCCTCTGTTGGCCGGAAAATGCCAGTTCCTCGGTGTGAGGTGTGCTATAACCTGAATCCTGCAGTGACGAGCTTGCATATAACGGGTATATCTTGAGACACCATTCTGAAAAGAGGGATAACAAACATACCTCTATGAGGAGGTCAGAAATATTTTGACACATAGCAGTCCACAGGCGCCCATAAAGCAGGCGATGGTCCATCGACGTGAGTTGGAGTTTAGGTTTCATATTAAGTATATGGTGCTCGCAGTACTCGATGAGTCCTACTGAGCACAAGTAGCAGAGTTTGCGGATACGAGAGGATCAAAACTCAACTCACCTTGCATAGACTCGACTGATAATCTGCAGTCTCACGGCTGCTAACATGCCTCCGATAGCGAATGAATCGAGCAATGAAGAAGCCGTAATATACTTCACTACCAGGGATGCACGTATATCTATCTTACATCGGATCCTGTCAATATGAATCACTACGGACAGGTCAGCCAAAAGGCGCGCATACACCATGCATGAATCTAAGAAGGAGCAAGACCAGCCTTGCGGTGTCCCAGAAAAAGAGCTACACAGAACAGCAGTCAAACACAGAAAGGACGAGGGTATCTGCAACAAACCAAAGCCTAAACAGACGTCGTATAGATATAAGTATTAGCAGAAGAGAGTCCTTTGGCACCCCTTTCCCAACAGCCGATATACCAACAACTAGAAGCGCCGGGGCGGCTGACCTTGAGGGGGCGGCGCCTGTCGTGGAGGTCCATGAGGATATGCGCCGCCCGGAGGGTACTGTCCAGGAGGACCGGGGCGCGGCTGTCCTGGACCCGGCGGAAGGTATCCTTGACCAGGTCCAGGAGCGTACCCTTGTGGGGGCGGCACACCGCCATAACCAGGACCGCGTGGGAGGCCTTGCTGGGGTGGGAAGCCTTGTGAAGGGAAGGGCGGTCCTGGAGGGCCCGACGGGCGATTGCCCGTTGGCACGCCGCCGGGATGTGGGGCGGGTCCGCGCTGAGGAGGTGAGTTGGCCGTGGGAGGAACCGTTGCAGAGCGCGAGGGTTGGCCGGGCACTGGAGCGGGGGTAGGACCGGGATCCCGCAATGAAACAGGCGCTGGGCGGCCTCCCTGACCTCCATTCGCAGCAAGTGGAGCACCCGGAGGGGGGCCGTTCTTCTCAGCAGCCTTTATGATCTCGTCGCTAAACAACAGAACATCAATTTCGTGAAACAAGTTAGAAAATTGGACAAAATAACGGGTACACACTCAAGCAAGTTCAGAGCTGCACAGAGCACGACCCATTCGACACAATCCTCGTTGCCCTCTCCCAAAGTCTGCCAAACCGCTTTTTCTTCGGGCGTCTTGCCGGTAATGCTGATCCTTGTTCCACCGCCATTCGGGCCGGGTGGATTCTTCTGGATCTTCCCGAATTCAATTCTCTTAGGTGGTATGTTGTGCCCGGCGTATGCGAAATAAAACATACTCCAGAAGCCGGCGTTTGGGTTAGGCTTCGAGATCTGGAATAAAGGCAGATCGGCGGAGTCGGGAGAGGGAAGGGCCAGCTTGTAAATGGGGGACAGCACACCGGTATTGGTGATCGACCATTTGAGGTTGCGGGAGGCTTCACAGCGCACGACTCGGGAAGACGAGGAGGTAGTGTGACCAGGATCTGAAGCGGTAGCTTTTCCCGGCGCACCGGGGCGGGGAGGGAAGAGCTTGGCTACGCACAAATCACCTTGAGGAGAGGGAGTCAAGAGATAATTCTCTGTGTTCTAATGCAGGGCTGTCTCAGTATGGACTTTAGCAATCATGGGCATCAGGCGACGCACGAAGTTGGTGTGTAGATACGAATACAGAATGTTACTTGGTTGTCCTGATCACTGGCGACGTAAGAAATAGCGAGATCAGATGTATGCTGAACACACACCATGGGGAGTTACAATCAGGGTCGGGAGATGATTCGGAATTGGTGGATGGGTGGGGGATGTGTAGACCGTGTATATCGCTAAGTTCAGAGAACGATTGAGCGTTGCACAAGTAAAGAATTAAGGCAAAAATCAATACCGGCCATAGATGCGAGAGCGAAGGAGAGTGCGACGATAGGGAGCGATGGGAAGGGATGCAGATTGGGGGAGCAGAGTCGAGTGCTATATATCTCAGGTCTGAGCGGCTGTACTGCAGCAGCTGGCAACAGCGCGTGATCGGTCGCGTCACGACAGTCACGCGCGTGACCAGTCACGGCCGTTCATCCACCTTGCTGCTCATCGATTCTGCCCGTGGCAGCGACGTCCTCAACAGCGTCAACGCCGTTCTTTCGCCAGTCTGTCCCTAAACAACGGGACGCAACCAACGCTCTCGACTTTCGCCATACATTTCACTATGAAAGGTTTAAAGAAGACATTGGTCTGTATCTGGCACACCAATTTCTCGGCACGCGTCTCTGATCACCCTCCAGCTTAGTAGGAATAAATCTCAAGACTCGACATCCTCCAAGCACAAAGATTCGAAGCCTTCCGCCACTGCGGCAGCAAATGCTGCCCCGCCTCCGCCTCCGCCCAATTCAGCCAAGCCATTGCATTTGCCGGCTTCGGCCGTCGCCAGTCTCAATCATCTCGCACATAATAACAGCAATCACTCTCTTCCGTCTACGAACGGCACCTCTCGCGCCACTCCTGCTCCCACTCCTCCCGCTCCAAACGCTGATCGTAGATATGCTACCCCGCCCAACCCCGCCCCGCCCATCGTAGTGGTCAGCCCCGAAGTCTCCAGTGAGCAAGCTGATAGACAGATGCTAAGCATGGATTCCGCTGGCGGCCCTTTGACTCCTCCAAGAGCGAATACTTTCAATCGTCTGCGTCCCACAGGACCGAAGGATACTATCCCCATCGTGGGCAAGCCACCACGAAAGCAGAGAAGCAGTCGCTTCGTGGTGAAAGAGAAGGTTGAGATAGAAAGGTTACCGCCGTTCCTGGGTGAGGCGTCTGCTCACAGTCATGAGTGGTCACTTATCTTTTGTACGAAGAGACACCGCCCAGCGAGAGGTCGCAGCTCTTCATACAAAAGCTCCACCAATGCTCTGTGCTCTTCGATTTCAATGATACCAACGCAGAGCTCAAGGGAAAGCAAATCAAGACTCAAACCCTGCACGAAATGCTGGAATACATCACTACGCAGCGTGGTGTGATTACCGAGTCTATATACCCCGAGGTGGTCAAGATGGTGCGTATACTGATCTACTTGTCAGCCTAGGGAGCGCCCTAATCGCAGTACAGTTCGCTACCAACTTATTCCGTTCTATACCCCCTCCTGTCAACCCCACGGGCGACGCGTTCGATCCAGAGGAGGACGAACCGGTGCTCGAGCTTGCTTGGCCTCACCTCAAGATTGTTTATGAGTTCTTCCTCCGCTTCGTCGAGAGTCCTGACTTCAATACCAACCTCGCGAAGAGGTATATTGACCAGAATTTCGTGCTCAATCTTCTCGAGCTCTTTGACTCGGAAGATCCTCGGGAGCGGGACTTCCTGAAGACCACGTTGCACCGTATCTATGGGAAGTTTCTGAACCTGCGGGCACCCATCCGTCGGAGCATTAACAACGTGTTTTTCCACTTCATCTATGAGACCGAAAGGCACAATGGTATCGCGGAGCTTCTAGAGATCCTGGGCTCGATCATCAACGGGTTTGCGCTGCCCCTGAAGGAGGAGCACAAGACCTTCCTGATGCGCGTACTGATCCCGCTACATAAAGTGAAGAGCTTGTCGATGTACCATCCGCAGCTAGCGTACTGCGTGGTGCAGTTCCTAGAGAAGGATGCAACGCTGGCTGAAGATGTTGTACTGGGCCTGTTGAAGTACTGGCCAAAGGTCAACTCGCCAAAGGAGGTCATGTTTCTCAGCGAGATGGAGGAGGTTCTCGATGTTATCGACCCTACCGAGTTCCAGAAGATCCAGATCCCACTGTTCCAGCAGCTTGCGAGGTGTATCAACAGCCAGCACTTCCAGGTCGCCGAACGCGCTCTAATGTACTGGAATAACGAGTACATTGTCAACTTGATGAGTGACAACCTGGCCGTGATTCTGCCCATCGTATTTCCGGCCTTGTACACGAACTCACGATCGCATTGGAACCGGTCAGTTGACTTTACTGTATACTTGGGTGTCTCTCTGAACTTGTCTGCGCAGAACTATACATGCGATGGTGTACAATGCATTGAAGTTGTTCATGGAGATCAACCCCGATCTCTTCGACGATGCGATGCAACAGTACAAGCAACGCAAGCTCGAGTGCGTTCTACACATCCTGACAAATTATCAGCTCGCTTGCTGACCGTGTTTTGTTGTTCACCATCAGCGAACGCCAGCATGCTGTCGAGCGTTACGACGAGTGGCAAAAGCTGCGTGAGCAGGCACTCAATAATTGCGGTGGCAAGGTCCCCGAGGGCTTTGTAGACCAGGAGCCTACGCCACCCCCACCACCGGTCGAGGATGTGGATATCATGGACCTTGCAATGGACCTCAGTGCGGTCGCAATTGATGCGGAGGGACCACTTGGCGACCTCGACGAGTCGGGCATTGAGCGAGTACCAATGGCAGATCCTGGACTAGATGTGAGTGTGTCTAGTGGAATATTGTTCGGCGGCGTTCACTGAATGAAGTTCACGTCGTAGCGGCCGTTCCCGGAAGTGGGTGAGCATTCACCCGGCAATCTGCATTCACGACGAAAAAGTGCGCTACCGGGTGAGTTTTGCATCCCTGCTGCGGTGACTCTGCCTTACTTGGTACTTTTTCCAGTCGATCCTACGGTGTTGCGTGATCTGCAGGCGCATCGAAGTCTGGAAGACGCAGTGGCCATTGGCGGACCGCGCGCTGGAGACGGGTCGTAGAGCGGCGACTCGTGCTATTCATTGGAAGAGGCGGAAGGCCAATATACCGGATGCTCTTCCTTTTCCGTCATGCACACGATATACGTATAGCCATCCGCACCATATATCCTTTCTCATGTCCTGTTCGTTACGGATCGTCTCGACTCTCATAGTACTAGTGTATGGTGCATACATTCTCTCCTTACAGTATTTTACACACTTCGTCTAGCTATATATGTACGTGCTTAGGCACATATGATTTCTCCCTGAGAGCTCGCAGGTGGACTATGTATTATAAACGACGTAGACAAATAACTTACGAGGCGGCAGGCTCTTTTTGCAAATCAGGGACGAATGAATGACGAACATGAGTTGAAGAGCAGTCATAGGGTGCGGATGAGACGAGTTGTCCGAGCGGAAGTAAAAGCGTAGCGTCAGCCGCAGCGCCCCACTAAAGTTATGCCAGCCCACACAGACAGCCCTCGCTTCTTGGCTTTATACCGTCACTGCCCCTCTAAACATCACCAGATTCTGCATATTGTACTAGCCCTAGCAACGTACGCTTCTCCCTGGCCGTTGCAGGCATACTCAAGATGATGACGCCTATGCGTTATGTGATTCTGGTGTTGGCCATCATTGTATGCGGTCTTATGCCCATTTAGCTGTGCAGTATCTGACACTACGATATAGATTAGTCTTCACTTTATCCTCAGCTTCTCGCGCGAAGACTATGGTAATGCAACATCATTGTCACGGCTCACCGGAGGGTTCAAGTCGTCCCATCCTCCATATGAAGACTCTATCCCCGAGGACTACTACTTTAGCTCAAATAGCTCCATGGCGAGGGCCAACGCTACATTCGTTCTCCTGGCGCGCAACAGTGATTTGCCAGGAATTGTCACCAGCATGAAGCAGATGGGTAAGTCGGCGCGTGCGCCCACTACGCTGCTTACTCAAGGACGTCTGTGATGCAGAGGATCGGTTTAACAAGAAGTTCAAGTACCCGTATGTGTTCTTGAACGAAAAACCTTTCGACGATGAGTTCAAGGAGTGAGTGGTGTTGTTTGAGATCCTAACTAGAGCTATAACGTGAACATGGCTGTAGACGGGTACAAGTCTTGACTGATGCCAAAGTCGAGTTTGGGTTGATACCTTCAGATCATTGGGTTCAGCCAAGTTGGATAGACGAGGAAAGGGCTTCCGCTGCTCGTGATGAGATGGTCAAGAACCAAGTCATCTACGGAGGTGAGAGTGACATCATTTTCGGCGACGTTTGTCTCATGGGGGTGTCTACGCAGGGAGTGTTACGTATGTTCCGAGTCACTGATTGCGTGAATTCACCTCTGAAATACTTCATAGCTATCGTAATATGTGCCGCTTCAATTCTGGCGTAAGTTCACATCGCTTTACTTCTCAGGGCGATTCTCATATCCACCGGTTAAGTTCTTCTTCCGACATGAGCTACTGGACAAGTACCGCTACTATTGGCGCATCGAGTACGTGCCCATTTTCTAACTGTTCTGTTGTCGTCTCTAACCTTGTGTGAAGACCAGACGTCACTTACTTCTGCGATGTCGACTACGATGTGTGTTTGGTCTCAGCCTTCGTCGTTCGCGTTGTCCATCTGATATCTCCCATATGTTCATAGCCGTTCCTACTCATGCAAGACCAGAGGAAAGTTTATGGTGAGCCATGACCATTCTGCGCGATGCGTTGCTGACATTGTCGTGAATATGGCTAGGTTTCACAGTTTCGCTGTATGAATATCCCGCAACGATCCCCACGTTATGGAACGCTGTCAAGGGTTAGTATTTTATGGGTTCTGCTACATCCAATTTTCCTCACCCATCTCTTCAGAGTTCACCAACGGCAATCCGGACCTCGTGGCTCCCGATAATGCTATGAGCTTCCTCTCCGACGATGGTGGTGAAACCTACAACAATTGCCATTGTAAGCGTGTAATAAGATCGTCGCGCTAGAACAGACAACTAATTCAATCCTCAGTCTGGAGTAACTTCGAGATTGGTGATCTTGATTTCTGGCGCAGTGAAACGTACAAGAAGTTCTTCGACTTCTTGGACGAGAAGGGTGGTTTCTACTACGAGGTCCGTGATTTTTGGTCCAGTTGTCTCCACAATTGAACGTTGTGTTCCAAGCGCTGGGGAGATGCTCCAGTCCACAGTATCGCCGCTGCCCTGTTTGCACGCAAAGATCAGGTCCATTTCTTCAACGACATAGGTAATGCGAATATTTGCGATCGCGACTGCATTCTGCTCATAGTACATGGCAGGTTACCGCCACAATCCATTCCAGCACTGTCCTCAAGGTGAGCTGCACAAGAAAGGAAAATGCTGGTGCAACCCGAAGGAGAACTTCGGTGAGTGTACCAAACACACCACCGCTTGTGCAGAGCTGATGTACAACATCACAGATTATGAGTGGTATAGCTGCTTGAGGCGATACGATGCACTGTTCTGAATTACTTGCGTATCTATATCTTCTTCCTTTCGTTTGTCAGACCGGTTTGTAAACTCAGTGCAATGGGTCGCTCAAGGCTCGCATATATCCATCATGAGCTCGTGCCAAAGTGCATTATAGGATAGACTGCGAGTAGTATTGGTACTGTGCATCTTGTGTAAGAATAACTGTTATTAGAGACTATAATTGACATACCGAATCATACAGTCGTGTCCAACTGGAACCGAGGGAAGTATCGATGAGCCGTTGGACGTGCTCCTCCACAAATGCATGAGTAAGACCTTGTTGGAATCGCTCTCGTAACTGTGCCGCGGTCTGTTCTCCAAGTGCAACGAAACAGGGTAGTGTTGAATCTGTATGACGCACGCATGAGACGTCATACGTGACCGATAGCAGTCAGACAAACCTTTCTGCATCAACTCTACCAGGGCTGGTTTATTGATATCAGGATTAGGCTTCGAACTAATCCGGAGACGGGACTCACTTATGATTCGATCGCAATGTTTCCGCGCAGCCTCGAACCCTTCTTTGAAGAGCCTCGAGAACTCAGCGTATGGTTTGCTGTCAATGCCACCTAGGACCTCGATGTATTCAAGTGGTAGCTTAAAAGGAGCAGCCTCGAATCCAATGTTGCCCGGAGAATTTGACAACATGAACCCGAAATCGATATGTATCAGATGTCCATCCCGGTCGAGCAGGATATTGCCGTTGTGACGATCCTTGATCTGGAGGAAATATGTGACAAGGGAGTAACCTGAAACACAGCGAGCTCTGTAAGCAGGAACACGGCTGTTATGGAAGAGGTATTACCAGCCAGAGACTTGGCGAAATTGCGCTGTGCTCGTGCGAACTTTGCGGAAGAAGGGTCACCATATGTCTGGGAAAATGTGAAGAGACACCGAAGGGGAAGTAGCGGCATGCTTACTGTCTTGAAATGGTCGAACAAAGTGACATGCCCTAATTGACCTTCAGCCAGTCTCCGTGCATACTCCGACTTTTTGATGGAGTGTATTGACACGGCATCCGTGATGGTCTCTACCAACCCAGAAGAATTGCCTAGGATAAGTATACGGAAGCTAATTGCAACATTCAATGCGAGTGGTCACATTGGAAATGAGAGAACATACTATCGTACCCAACACGAGCAATTCTCCTCCTTCCAGATTTTCTCGAACTCCTGGATAAGTTGGACAGCCAGTTGCTCCTGTCGAAGATCACCGCCGGTCTTGACAATGACGGAGACACAGTCCCAATTGGCTACGGAATAATAGAGTCACAGAAGAACAAACGGCAGGGCTCAGAGACTGACCTAGATGACCGTAAGGCGAAGCTTGTCGTATTCGACTCTGTAGGATTTCTGTCGGTAAATAATCGGCTACCGAGCCGCTCTCGAGATGAAGTCCATACCTTCTTTGCGGCCCATGATTCGCTGAAGACAACAGCCGATGGGTCTACCTTGCTGAGTTCACGACGAATGATCCCCTCATCTTCCGCAGTTTTTATGCTCCCATCACCGAGACCAAATGTGAACACACCCTCTCCAGTGCTATTTTCACGCATACGTGCCATCCGCTCTTCTTCCAATGCAAGCATTTCGCCCATGATGCGCTCTCGGATTGCGGCGGCTTCTGACGGCTGTAATCGCATCCGCGTAGACACCGAAGCAGAAGGGAGTGGTAATGGGTGTTCTTGCGAGGAACCGGACGGTGCGGCTCCCGTTGCGGAAACGACCGGCGAGCTTATCCGCCAGTTTGTCCCAGGAAGCCATCGGAGCGGAGCTATGAATGTAGACTCCGACCCTGTAACAGGTGTTCCCGGAGGAAGAAGGGCAGTGGTGGGTTCGCGGACAAGGTTGGCATTGAGCTGTGCAAGCATGACAGCTGCAGTGCGCATACGATCGGAATATTCATCAAGAGAGAGTACACGGGGCGTCGGTTGCCCGTTACTATGCGGGTGAAGGTGGCTTGAGTCGGGCTCTAAGGGAGGACTCAGCCTCCGCCGAGTCATGGGGATGGAAAGACTGAGGCCGTTGAAAGATTTATGTGTCCTGAACGAATCACCCTGGTCGACTGACGGTGTCTGTGGTACCGAAGATGATCGAGACCAGGTAACCATATCAAGCTCCCTGTTCTTCGGTGGAGGCGGGAGGACAATGGAATCCGAGAGGTTCACGTCGTCCGCACGTAGAGAATTATCCGCGCCATAGATTTGTTCTACAAGGTCAACCTCTTCTTCTTCATCTACTGGCATCGCCGGTGACACCGGAACAGCGAGGAAGGAGGTAATCCCCAAACCAGACCGGCTATCGTTGACTTCGGCACTGTCAGTACCTATTGACACTTCCAGCGCACTGACAGACTCTGGATTTGTCACTGACTGATGAGCTGCAAAGGGCGAATCAGGGAATGCGAAATCTTCCTTCGACCCATCATGGCTGTTTTCCTTCAGTACTATCTTCTTCAAGATTTCCTTGTTACTGCGCTTGGCAGGGTCGAAATCAAGATCGCCATGAAGAATCTCAATGAGCAAGAGATACGGCGCACGCTCTGCTGAGTTGAGCACCACACTCTCGCCTGGTGGTATCCGTACAATTCGATGATGAGGTTGCCGGACATCGTGAGACGATCCAGGCGAATCTGAAGAAGAGCACCACATTGGCATGCACACCTAAACAACTCAATGTCAGTAAAATAAATGGTGTCGACAGAACAGACGCAAACTTCTGCGGGTAGCAAATGGTTCAACGCTGTGAGTTCGGCCCGCAGTGCGCTTACGCGAGCAAGTCTGGGAACCACCAAGAGTCTGTTCGAAATAGACTCCAATGCGATTAGGAACTTGATCTTTAAAAAAATGCAAGCTTGAGTTGAGAAGGACTGCAAGGCAAATGAGAATACCTCAGAACGACAATAATGACTCCGCAAAAGATGAACCTGAGCCGGGAGGTCATACTTCTGCATAAGTATATCCACCGCATTGGATCCTGTTGTCCTCTGAGGGCGCTTTGTTACCGAAAACGAGGGCGTTGACTGGAAAGGTGAAGAGGAAGTATTAGGTGAGGGAAGGTCTTGTTGACCAAAAGGATCCTCTGATAACCTGAATCTACGAATTCCTTTGAGATGAAGGGGGAGCGCAGGAGTCGTCTGGGCAGCCATTGTCCGTCGACGTCGACTTATTTTGACAGGGACAACAGCTTCAGTACCAGTTTTCGCAGTGTCCGGCGGATTTTTTGCGGAAGCTTTGTCCTCCTTATCGGAATCCTCCTGCTGGTTGTCCTCACCTGTAGCCACTATAGAGGTTGTTGAAGGTGCTGTCCGAACAGGACTGTCATCGGTATTTTCAAGACTCTTGATATCCTCGTTTTGATCGTCAATACGGCCCTGCTCAATGGCAACTCGGCCCATGATTTTGGTCAATTTCGGCATGCCTGGGGTACCTGCCCACACCATACCGATCCCCACCACGACCGGCTGAACGTGAGGCTTTACCCTCTTCTGTAGAGGTCCCAACTGCGAGGGTAGAGTAAGGATGGAGTATGGAGCAATAGGCTGTGCTGGTAGGTCGCCGAATATGATCTCATGACATTCGTGCAATACCCGCTGGCATATAACGAACGACTCGGGGTTATGGCGGGGGAGCGAGAAGTCTTTCAGGTATGCTTGCATGTACCAAAGGGTCTGGTTATGTCACTACAAATTTCCACACGTTGGAGTTGAACACCCACCAACATAGCAATGTGGGTCGATTTATGGCAAATCTCGACGACAAAGCATTCAAGAGCTCTTGACTTCGAGGGCCGGGTGACCAGAAGGTGGCTAAGAGACGCGTCAAACTACGGCGGTTGGCAAGAAGACCACCTGCGTTCACCATATAAAGCCCCACACTTCACGCAAGTCTTGAGTATCAAGCTGTCTGAGCCTGGACGTCAGGTAGTAGGTGATACCGATGTTGTCTGCATAGAGCCTCAGGTACTGCAGAGCGACGTGTACAGTGAAGAACGACGGCGAGAGAAAGAGACGGAGAAGGAGAGCATGAGACATCGCTGAGCGAATGCATTCGCTGCCGTCGTCGTCGTTCAGATGAGCGTATAACGGAATGTCAAGCGAGATGCACGCGCTTCGACGATCCAAACGGGGATCTACACGTCGCGTTCACGCAGGTTCACACCACTGGCAGCGGCTGCATTTGCCCTTACCTCAACACCGTCACAGCTATGATGCGGCCCCTGTTCGCTCTTTTATTACTTCCTCTATGCCTCGCTGCGTCTACGGAATCCATTCACGCAGAGCTTGTTGGTCTCGCCGCCGCGAACAATGGGGTCATCAGGCTTGACGAGAAGACGTACAGTATGCTGACCCATCCTAGCAGGGATTGGTCTGCATCGATCCAATTCACTGCTATGGACAAGAGACGCAGGTGTTCACCTTGTCGGTACGTACTGACTGAGTTTTCTGAGCCGTGGTGTCACCTGATTGTGAATACAGGGAGTTCGACCCAAACTTCAACTCGGTTGCGAAAGCTTGGACCAAGGTGCCCGCTGCGGAACGGAACGCACACTTCTTTGGTACCATAGACTTCGATAACGCTACACCTATCTTCCAAAAGGTGTGGTACATGCAAATTCATACTGTGTATGCGTCACTGAATTCTCAGTAGCTGGGTATATCATCCGCACCAGTGGTTCATGTGTATCCTGCTGCTGAGGGTCCTCGTCGCCCTGCTAGCGGTCGGACTGGGCCAATCTCATATGAGTTCACTCAGTGAGTGACCCAGAGAATTTATCTCACTATATCTCATGTACCATATAGTGGGTTTGATGCTGCACCTCTGGCCGAGCAACTCTCGCGATTTACCCCCGTGACTATCCCGTACAAGGCTCCGATTGACTTCTCACAATTGGGAACTTTTGCTGCTGTATCTCTAGTTGCTGCCGTTGGCATCCGCTTCATTTACCCTGTTCTTCTCAACCGCTGGACGTGGGCTGCTGTTACTGTTCTTGTCTCCTTGGTCATGACTTCTGGATATATGTTCACTCGTATTCGTGGAATGCCGAACAGTGGCGCGAACGGACAGTGGATTGCTCCTGGTTATCAAAACCAATTTGGCCAGGAAGTACAAGTCGTCGCGATGATCTGTGAGTACCTATAAATTTGCGACCAAAACCGCCTTTTGACCAACATCAATGTCTTAGATGGATCATTGTCAGCAGCTTTCCTAATGCTAATACTGGTCACACCAGCCCAACTGTCCCCGTCGCGACAGCGAGCGCAAGTGTATCTATGGACAGCTGTGATCTTCATCATGTTTTCCGTTCTCATCTCATTTTTCAAAGTGAAGAACAGAGGTAAGACCTGTTGGTTGACAATCTACCACATCAGTGTTGAATTGATCGGCTGCACAGGTTATCCATTCAAGCTTCTCTTTTAGTTCGAGCGATAGAGTACGTAGCTGCCTACTTGTGCAATGCGATGACGTGGTGGCACGATCTATTGACTATTGTGCTCGCTCGGAATGGTGGAAGCGAATCCGAACGTGAGCGATATAATGTACGAATAACAAAGTCCCCTTCCGAAGTTACACGGAAACATATACGATAAAGATCTGGTCGGGACAGAAGGGGGAGAATACGCCGTCAGCATTTCGGCAGAACCCTTCACGATCGTTTTGCATCCTCTCTGGCTTGTGCTCTCTCCGCAAGATCCACACCAACGAGGATCTTCGACGCTTTCCACAATTGAATGACGTTGATTACATTCTTGAGCGCGCACACGGGGAAGCATAACATAGCCATGACTTCCGCCCAAGTGTAAGGTTCCAGATAGCCCACGGACAAGCCAAGCGACGTTGATAGTGGTGTGTTGACCCACTTCATGAGGTAGAGAGCAACGTAGAATAGCTCGTTACCCGCGCATATTACGAATAGCACTCGCTGACGATGAGGTTAAATGTGACATACGGCACGATGAATTCGGCACTCACAGGATCATTGTAGTAAAACCACAATATGCGACTCACTTCGCTGGTTACTATCTTATGACTGCGCGAACCAGTGACAAGGGAGCTGCGGGATGTGTGAATGGCATGCACCATGGCTCTTCAAATCCTAACATTACCTGTACATATGCATATAATGACTGCTGAAGTCAAGCGAAATGAGAATTTGGAAGACAATAGCATAAGCAGGGTATGCAGATGCGAGATAGCACAGCAACGCCGACGTCGTGCACCTTTGATATCCCTGTCAGTTGAAAGCACCGGATATCCTTCAGAACACTGACCGATCAGTGACCATGTCTAGCACCGCCCCAAATTTTGATGTCTGTCCTAATGCTCTTGCAGCATGTCCATCGAAAGCGTCCAACAAGCACGATACCGTATAGGCAAGCGTGCAATACTTGGGATGATAATTCATGTAATGCAATGCCATCGCAGCAAGAACAACGCGCGAGTATCCTGCGTGTAGACGTAAACAAACTAACGACAAAGTATGGTGCGGAAAGAGCTACTTGCCAATGAGATTGGGCACGAACAGAAAGACATTTTCTGAGTATGTCTGCGCTGTCGCGAGATCCACCGCCACTTTCGCGTCCACCACATCAATTGGCCTCCTCCGCGAGTTGGCCGATGTCTTCTTCGCCATGATCAGGAATTAGTTGTGTTACGCGATTAAAGAGAAGAGTGTACGATGAGGAGGGGACACCAGTCTGGACGGGTCCGGCGAGAGGCTGTAGTAAGTTATCTGCAAGCTCAGGCTGGTGAGGCCGGCCGTCGGCAGTTGACAAACCGCCATTATGCGCGACATGATAAGCGCTCGCCGGTTGATGCTCGAATTCGAATTTCTACTATGGACTACGCAACATATTGAGTACCATTATACAAGAAGTTTTGCGAAAATAGCGACATAGCACCGCCACATGAAATCTCGATGAATGGGAAGGAATTCTTGACGCGGGAGGATGCTGGGGAACGAACGCCACACTGGAGTGTACTTCAGTCGTTGACAGTTCGCATTTGCAACACGTCTACATCGGATTATTCAAGGTGTATCAGGGTGTAAGGGAAACGGTCAGGAAAAGGATACGGCGATCTCTACTTGATCTCTGGTCGTAGTAGAGGCAGCCAAATTGGATGCTCCACCACCTTTAACCCAATTTCGAATCGTTGATTACCACGGGTTCTAGGGATAGATCTATCAGACAGATGATCCGTGATGTATGCGTACAATTGAGCCTTACACAAAAGACCACACACCGAGCCATTGGGCAGTGTCAATGAGGTCTCGATCTGTTCAACGGTGTGAGTTCAAATTTCCTCGGAGTGGTGTATGTCTCGTTTCCCGTAGTATTCATGGAGAGTAAGCTCGCTACTACTCAAGTACCCATGTTCTGGATAGTGAATACAGAGTAGGTGTAGGTGAGCGTTCACTTCAGGAAATGACAAATGGGGAGAACTGCACTTCATCAAATCCACAGTGCGTCAATTCAGGAGGCGCATGAAGTTACCAATCACCATGATAATCCAATGTTAGAGTGATGTGATGTCGCAACGCTGGATCGTTTACTGCATGTGCATCTACACTGGCAGTGATCATCAATAGGTATCTGTTGACTCTGTAGGCCACACCCTATTCACTCTGAGATATTCAGTTCTTTTGAAGGAGAAAAATTACTGATCAAAAAAATATAACAGACCATCAGAATTACTCAGCCCGGTGGTACGAAGTAGTTGGGGCAGAAATTGTCAGTAGATGCGGTTGAATTAAGGAAAATAAAGACCCGCGGAGCAGTGACAAGCAGTTCTGCACGCAACCAACGTCAGACAAACCCTGAATATAATCTATACTCGCCCGCACTTCTACGATGCCAGTGTCTTGAAGAATTGCAGGGTTTTTGAACGCAAACACAAGTTGAACATTGTCGAACAAGAACTTCCATGAAAGGTAGGAAGATCGAGATCTGCATATCTGATTACGTACGCGTGCAAGTTAGGTTGTTTGGCCAGCCTCAGATTTTGGTGGGATCGTATCAGATTCTTCCTCAAGCCCATTACACATCGCCAGCGGCGAAGCATATTCCAGATATTTTGAGGTTGGCACTCATCTGCGACCAGTGCTTCTGATTTTCGAGAAGTACGTTGCCGCTTGATTGGACCGTTCACCACCTTGAGGCCGCCAGTCCCAGGCGTTCACCTAGACACAGATATTTAGCTGTTAGGCCCATTCATTTCGATATGAATAGTAAGACATTCACGTTTCGTATCTTTCGTCCGTTTGACGTCTGATGTTTCATCAGCGCCGAACCCCAACATGGCCTCCGAGTCTACGACATCGGCGGCGCGAAAGGCCGTTGTGGTCGGCGCAGGTCCTGTAGGCTGTCTGTCTGCAATTGCGCTGGCTAAAATGGGTTGGAATGTCGAGATCTACGAAGGCAGGCCTGGTACGCTTTGAGACGTGTTTGTCACCTGCTGTGTCAATAACGCACGCCAGACATGCGCCTCCCGTCCTCGAAGGCTGAGGCCCAGCTACGTTCTATCAATCTGGCTATGTCCGCACGGGGAATTGCGGCAACAAAAGTGATTAGTCCTGCAGCCGCCGACCGCTTCCTCAAGGCCGTCGTTCCCATGCATGCTAGAATGATCCACTACGTAACTGGCCAACAAGAAAGCCAGCCATATGATAGGTACGGCGAGGTATGTGACACATCGTCTTTGAGAGGCACGACAAAGTTTGGTTCACACGCGATTTTATATCCCATGTTTGGGATCCAACTGCGACCGAATTAGTGTATCAATTCAATTGACCGCTCGTACATGAACGAGTGTCTCCTGGAAGATGCCATCGCTATTCCCAATGTCCGTGTGCTCTTCAACCACAAGGTCGTGTCCATAGATTTCGACAGCCGGAAAATGGTGGTGCAAGACGCAGCTTCAGGGCAGAATACCAGGGTTTCATTTAGCTTATGTGTAGGCGCAGACGGGAGCTACTCGATTGTTCGGCGTCAGCTGATGAGGGTGGTCCGGTGCGTCTATTCCTATTATCTCTGCATTATCAGTGGTATCCTGCAGCTTCTCCGTCAAGCTGCTTCGGACTGACACAGAGTATCTCACGTCTGTTCCGTAGCATGAATTATCAGCAGGAATATATTCCGCACGAATACCTGGAGCTCAGAATGCCTGCAGGGCCAGCGGACATCACCGGGGAGCCCACTTTCCTGCTTGACCCCAATCATTTACACATCTGGCCGCGCCATACCTTCATGCTCGTCGCTCTACCCAATCAGGTGAAGTGACTTACCGCGCTCTCTTCTCCATTTTCCCTGCGCTCAGATCTTCGGAATGTATAAATAGGATAAAACGTTCACCTGCACTGTATTTGCGCCAACCGCAGAATTCGATCGTCTGGATACGCCGGAAGTGATCATCAAGTGGTTCAAGACATACTTCTCCGATGCATTGCACCTGATAGGTGAAGATGCGCTGTTACACGATTTTCACAGAAACCCGCGGAGCCCGCTCATGGTAGTTAAGGTGCGGTTCTATTGTCTCTTGATTTTCTGTTGGCAGAAGCATATGACATGCTGTTGGGACCATCAACTGTTCTAGGCGACGCCATACCACTTCAAGGACCGTGCTATTATCCTCGGAGATGCGGCGCATGCCATGGTTCCGTTCTACGGTCAAGGCCTCAATTGTGGACTCGAGGATGTCCGCGTGTTGGATATTCTTCTCCGGAGCGAGAGAGTGGACCCTGATTACCAAGTACCGGAAGGAACAGAAGATGTCCAACTAGCTAATGCTCTGAGAAAATACACCGAAAGTCGGCACGAAGACCTCGTTGCCATCTGTGACCTCGCGATGGCCAATTAGTACGTAGCTCGCCTTCCGATTAATATCTGTACGCTTAATGTGGATGTTGCACTGCAAGCGTGGAGATGCGGCACGATGTCATAACCCCTGCGTACCTCTTCCGCAAAGCGCTCGACAATGTCCTTTACGCTATATCTTCAACGCACGTTACGCTCAATTCTCTTATTCCCGTTCTCTCTCGCGTACCGTTTTCTCCGAATCCTTCTACTGGCTGGCTACCGCAATACACCATGGTCACCTTCCGGCCTGACATCAGCTACTCCACCGTCAAACGTCTGGCTTCCAAGCAGAAGCGAATCCTGGAGTATACGGGTTGGGCGAGTGCTGCAGTGGGTGTAGGGTTGGCTAGTATCACGTGTGTGACGGGTTTGCGTCGGTTCTGGAATCGAGGGTAAAGTATGCGAAGCCGGCGCAAGAATGCCGTGCCGTAAACGTCGGTAATTCTTTGTGTTCGTTACTATGTACTCAATCATGACTAGATGATTATGTCCAGCTAGATGCCGGAATATTTGCACCAATGAATCCATTTTCAGAGTTACGACACTAAGGAGCGGTGAAATACGCCAGATTTATTGGATCATACCCTCGTTCTAGTGAACATGCGGCATTCCAGATCTTCCATGGGAGAGTAATGAATTGGAACCGGGACGGGGTTTGTGCGAGTGCTCGCGTCGGTGATGGAATCATGCAAGAGTGATGAAAAACAAAATGATTTGCCAATATAGAACGACCAACAGAAAGACAGCGACAGCGAGTAGGAAGTATTCGTATCATACTCAAAGCAAACGCGGGGAGGAAGTGGCAAGTCCGTAAAATATAACAGGTCGTAGCAAGTCATAGGAAAAGGCGAAGAGCTACAAGGAGGCAATACGAGATGTGGTGAGCAAGAACGGATAAGCAGGCAAAAAAGATGGTATACGATGAAGCCGTCAAGATGAAGCGACCTCCTTGCGAGGCCTCCCTCGCTTCCTCTTCGGAGCACTCGACTCAGCGGCCTCGCCATCGCCACCATCACCGTCGTCCTTGCGTTCAGGTTTCTTCTTCGGTGGACGTCCTCTCGGACGCTTCGGTTTGGTCTCGGTTTCCGTGTCCTCCGCTTTCCTCTGAACGTTGTAGTAGCAATATCAGCACACGATCGGGATAAAAAAACACGTTACGGACTTTGGGAGGTCGGCCTCGCGGACGTTTAGCAGGGGGGGCATCGCTCGATCCTTCCCCTGCAGCAGACGTAGAAGGACCCGCTGCACTAGCGGCAGCGGACTTCTTGTTCTTGCTACCCGGAGGACGGCCGCGCTTGCGCTTCGGTGGTGCTTCAGGTTCTGGTGCGGCAGCAGGCTCTGTGAGCAAGGAGCGATAGGCAAGGATTGTGAGGACGATGAACCACGGCGCTTGCTGTTGGGTAACCGGAGTTGGAAACGGAACTAACCTTGCTCAGGGTCAGCAGCAGACTCCTCCAGCTCATCTGCTTTCGCTTCCTCGCCGAGATCCTCGTGCGCAGGAGAGGCCGACATGGTAGGAAGGCCGGGGAGAGTAGCGGAGGGTGGGGGGACAGGTGGGGGAAGGGGGAAAAGCGCGACAAGGTATTGCGCCCTCGTTTTAACGAATTATTCCCCTATTAGAGTTCTCTCGCGTGCATTATCGACCAAAACAGGAGTTTATTATCTTGGAAGCAATCATCTTCGTCGAATTCTGCTCACAACAGAGAGTACGTAATTGTGTCCGTCGGCTGCCAGACTCAGTGCCTGCGCCTCCTGAATCCTGATCTCCCGATGGGCCTCTCGCGGCAACGAGTTTCCCCCCGAGCTAATATGGAAACGGCAGACACGCACCTTGCGACTGGCGTTATTGTGTCGGGCAGACTCGCGAAAATGCACGCGATGTGAATTAGAAGGTCTGCAATGAATAATCAGATAACAGCGAGGAGAGCGTTCACAGGAAATGAAATCAGGAGGAAAAGGCAGCTGTGAGCGATATCCTGCCGGTGATCGGCAGCAGTTGGCTTCCGACGTAGATGGCGCTTGGGGGGTCGCTCGGGGGGGCTTTCCAGGTTGGCCGACGAGCGACAGAGGGCGTCACCCAGCGGGCAAGCGGATTGCACCATATGGCAGCGAAAAGAAATTGTGGAAGGTCAAACTCACCGCGGGAATCCAATTACTCGCTCCGACAACTCTCCGACGCAATCCACGCCACCGATAATTAAGTGGCACGTGGCTCGCACTCCTGCTAGCTATTTCTGGCACGTTTCCTGCCGGTCCAGCTGAATATTCGAGCCTCACTTATTAGTCTCCAGCTGTCCTTCCGCCATGCTCCCAGCCCTCCCATCATTTCTTCTCCTCTCTATCTGCTCCCCTGTGATAGCCCGTCTGCATCACTCGCTTGTTCCAGAAGACCCATACGCCTTCCCCAAATTTCGCGTCGTCTTCCTCAACGGTCTCCCCGTCCTAAACGATACCGCCGAGCGGTGGCTGAACGACGGTCTTCGCGGCGGAGAACCCGAGTTTCTCGACCAGACATGGAGGGACCCGCAATGGCAGGCCTCCCAGTTCAAAAGCATTGAGGGTGCTGAAGATACGAAGTCCCCATCGGCTGTCTGTGCTCTCCCTTGTGACCTCTCACCCTAAGCCTGATAATGTCTGGACTTCCATGCAGCCAGCTCCTCCTCGTGCCTCAGATTTCACACTGCAGCATCTGAGATTGGGTGCACTCGCTTCTTACTTGTGCTTAATCCCCCCACCGCCAGAAGAGAATTTCTCAATCCCTGACGAGCCGCAGACGGACGTCACACCGGTGCACAGCTGGTCGCTGCTACAGCCTCTGGCTGGGACATGTCTATTCGTATGTCCCCCCCGCGTATGCGAAATGACCGCAGCTGACTGTATGCGCTGTCTGGCAGCATAAGCAAGGGTGGTTTACGTATTCCTACTGCCATAATCTACATGTCCGCCAGTTCCATGAATTGCCGCATCAAAATCGTGTAGGCGAGTCTTCCATAATCCCAGTCACATTGGCACGCTGACTTATGGCGTGAAGGTGGTGAATACCAGCCTGAAGAGGACAATGAGGCAAGCCCATGATCATATCACGCATCTACTTTTTTTATAACTGACATCTCGTGTACAGTGGGAATCATATACTCTGGGCAAGGCCCCTCCCAGCCTGGAAGGAGGAGCTGACCTAACAGTCGCTGAACAGGCTGCCGTAGCAGCGAATGTAGAGCTCGCCCGCGGCGCGGGTTCACGATACCTGGTGCAGCGCTGGGGAGACGGCAGCTACTGCGAGAAGACCGGCAGACGTCGGGAAATTGAAGTTCAGGCGAGCAGGCATTTATTTTTAGTTGCTGCTGCCAACGGTCCGCTGATAGCAGTTACCGCCAGTTCCACTGCTCGATGACCATGCCAGACACGATACTTTTCGTGAAGGAGACACAGACATGCCATTACGTCCTGCACATCGCCACGCCGCGCTTGTGCGGCGAGCCTGGGTTCAAGTCGCGCCACGATGCCCGCGAGGAGGCATATATCCGCTGCCGGGAGGTGGTCGACGCGGAGGAATACGCGAGTATCGACAAGACCGTGCCCCCCGCAGACCACCCGACCAAGAAGCCAAAGCACCGCAAGCAAATTGTGGCGCCCCCACCACCCCATGCGGGTGCGGGCGTGGGGCATGGTTCCATGGGTCACAACGATGTTTTCCGGCGCGCGCTGGAGCACATCCTGACGCGCGGCGATTTGAAGAGCGGGGACCCGCAGGTGGTCGTCGAGCAGCCGGACGACGGAGAGATGGAGCTGTTCATCGAGTTCATTGATAACGACTTGAACGGCAACGGCGATGGCCATGGCGACGGCGATACATTCACTCTCAGCGGAGATGCATTGGCGGACGTACTTCGCGCGGCGGGATATGATATTAAGGGTGAAAAAGACGGCGGTTCTGCGAAGAGGAAGACCGCAGCGAAGGTCGAGGACGCAGAGGAAGCCACGGAGAGTAGAACGACGCAGCGCCGAGACGAACTCTGACTGCGGCCGAGGTCGAATCACGGCTGCTTTATTCCCTCGAGCATCACCGCAATATATTTCGGATTGGATGGTATCGAGTCTCTGAGCGAATGTCCGAAGTTGGAAGTCCTCAGCGCGCACCTGAATGGTTGAAACGTCCTTTGACTTATATTCTTTGTGAGATGTACGCATACACATTACACGAGCTCTCTTCTACCATATAGGCTTGTATACAGGATTTAGTTTGGTTTTGGCCCATGTGATGAGCATAAAAATCTGCAAAATGCAAGAAAGGAGCGATGCGATGTGTGGTGGTGAGTGCGGGAGCGGCGCCGACCAGCGAGCCTCTGCGAGAGTCCAAGCCAGGGTCTGGTGGCGCCGCGCAAAGAAGTAAACTCTATGCGCGGAGATAAAATGAAAGCAAACCGAATTCAATAGATATTATACACCCCATACGAAGCCGGAGCGCCGAAGGACGCTCATGCAGTCCGCAAGGTGAGCGGAGGCGGAGAGTAAGAGAAGGCAGGCTAGAAAAATCGCCGGTTCTTCTGCTTATCGTCCATGGGGACTTTGATGTGGGTGTGGGTGGGCTTAACGCCCTCCACCGAGCACGCAACAATGCCCGTCAGCCACTCGTCCCCAGCGTCCTCATCCTGAGGCTCGTGGACGTGGTCTGCACAGCGCGGGCTGTCCTTGTCGTGCGAGTTGCAGCCACAAAGGAGATCATTCGAACGGCCGCGACCGTACAGGAGATCAGTGAGCGTGCAGCGCGCGCTAGGCTCGACAAACATCATACGGCGGATCGCAGAGCGCGATTCGCGAGGGAGAAGGCGGAAGATCGACTCTGCGCCACCAGTGTGGAACGTGGCGACAGATGCGCGGCTGTCTACACGCTGACGCTGGCGGCGAGAGCTGTCGCCGTTCATGGCTTTGCTGGTCGGGCTCGTCGACGGCTTCTTCTCCTCCTTCTTGTCCGCAGACCGAGATGTCTCCGGCTCAGAATGGTGTGCGACGGTGACGGCCTCCTGGACGTGCGCGGCCTTGGCGAGCGCCGTGCGCCTGATGTCATCCGTACCGTGTTCCTTCTCCTTAACACCGTCATGCTTTCCCCTCAGGCCGTCGTGCTTATCCCTCAAGCCGTCGTGCTTGTCCCGCATGCTGTCATACCTTCCCAGAGCGATGTTGTGCTTCTCCGGCACAATGACATGCTTCTCCGGGACAATGACATGCTTTTCCGGAACGGCCTCCCGCCCGACTGCTTGCGGTTCATCCGTCGCAGCGACAGTCGCAGGAAAGGGGTCCCTCAAGGGAGTCATGGCCAGGCCACTGAGGGTAGTCGCACGGACGCGCGGAGAACGGAGAGGCGACGCCTCAGGGAGACTCTCGTGGAGGGGACTGTGCGCGTGTCCGCGGAAGAACATGGGCGACGCCTGGTCGGGAAGTGACTCCGTCGACGTGCCGGGGCGCGCGAACGTGCGCACGGAAGGGTCCATGTCCTCGCCCTCGGGAGGGGCGTGCGGGGTCATCCCGAGACTGAGCATCGTCGGGAGCGTCGCGGTCGAGCGCGAGAGCACGCCCGAGCGCACATGGGGCTTGCCCAGCGCGGAGTCGTCGGGAGAGCTGCCGGCGGAGCTACAGGGAGAAAGGTCGGGCTCGATAAAGGACGGGGCGGCGGAGTTCGGCGCGGTCGAGCCACGGGAGGCTGGCCCTGGAGTGGGCGTAGGGAGAGCGAGCGTGTCCTTGTCCTGTGTGTCCTCGATGGCTTGAGTCTCTGGCTTCTTGGAAAGGTCAGGGTGGGCAGTAACGAACGAACGGAAGCTGGGGTCTGATTTGGAATCTGGGATCTTCCACGGGAACCGGCGCAGCACCATGCACATGAAGATGATGGCGAGACTCCACACATCGGTCTTGCGTGGGTCATACTCATCCTGACTCAGCACCTCAGGCGCAAGGTAGGGATCTGACCCAACGATACCTGATGCGAGCGTCGTCTTCTTGCCAGGGTAATGGAAGACTGTCGCTGTGCCGAAGTCGATTAACTTCACGACGTTCTGTGTAGTCATAACACAGTTGTCGAGCTTCAGGTCACGGTGCGCGAGCCCTAGCGAGTGCAGATACTCGACACCGTCGCAAATCTGGCGGAAAACGCAGTATATCTCCGGGCGCGTCATATGCCCAGACATCACCACGCTAAAGAGATCGTACGGCGCATACTCCATCACCTACAAGAGGCAAGGTGTGAACAACCTTAATAAGTACGAGAGAAAAGCGCGACGCACTTCATAATAATGCCCATGATCAGTGACGATATCGACCGTGTCAATGATGTTGGGGTGCTTTAACGTGCTGCCCACGCAGAACTCGGCTGTAACCTTCTTCTGGTACTCGCGCTCGGACTCCCCGTGGCGCTTTGGACGAAACTCCTTCACAGCATACGTCGTTCCGCCATTCTTGGTCGACGCCTTGATCAAACGCACAGTGCCACCCGCACCTGACCCAAGTACGCGGCCCCACTTCCCGTACTTCTTAGACAGATGCGCGTGTGTCGCAGATGACAGAGAGGGGATGCCATTCAGATGAACTGGTGTGTGAACAGCGGTGCTAAGGGCAGCGGTGCTGAGGCCAGCGGTGCTACGGGCAGCGGCACTATGAGCAGTGGTGCTAGGGGCCCCATTCGTATTGGTGGTGGCGGGATGCTTCGACGACGAACCAGACGCAGAGCCAGCTGAACCAGAGCCAGAACTAGAGCCCGAGGCCTGTGTGCTGGACTGCGAATTAATGGTGCGCGGCGGCGAGCGCGTCGACACCTTGATGCTGGTCGCAGCAACCGAGGACGCGCCGGTGGATGGTGTCTTTACAGCGTGCTTCTCACCCATATGCTTAGACTCTTTCTCATCTTTCACCCTCACCTTCTTCCTACTCTCGTCATTCTTGTCCTTCTTGTCCTTATGGCCGCGCAAAAAAGTCGAAAAGCGACGGTCGGTCCTGTGTTTCCCTTCAATATCAGAGGGAAGCAACGCGCTGGTAGGCGTGGGCTCCGTTGCAGACGTGCCGGATGTCGCGACCGCAGGAGGTACATGGAGTAATGCCGACTGATCAAAGTTGACGGCGCGTCGGTGATCGACGGGGAGCTGGTGCGGCTCGGCCGGAGTAGCGAGAGCAGACGAGTGGCCTGACGAGGCACTTGGTGGCTGGGAAAGCGAATGAGGTATATGGTTATTGAGGAATCGCCGCAGGTCGTGGAGGGGGCCCGGATGATGCTTTCCATTCTTGACGGTGCCCGAGCTAGACGGGGGAGTGTTGTGAGGGTGAATGGCAGTCTGTAGAGTAGATGGAGCCAATTCCGGGTCAGGAGAAAGGCGGTGTGGGGATGATGCTGCGGTGCTCGGAGTGCTCGGAGTCATTGGTTGTCGGAGCTGCTGACTACTCTTGCGCTGGAAGGATGGAAAGCGAGGTGCAGACGGCGAGATGGGTGGTAGTGGGTCGGTCGAAGGACAGTCCGACATGGCGGAAGGAGGAGAATGGGACTGCTTGGGAGGCAATTCTGTCGAGATCAGCGGAGCTGGGCGGCTCGATGGGGATGGAGTCTGTGAGTTGGAGGACATGTTAAACGCAGTCAGCAACGACGTTACGGAACGGACGACGGGGACGAAAACGGGTGAGCGATAGGGAAAAGCAAATACCAACCTGGACCTGCTTTAGGCTATCTGTGGAAAGCATATCCGGAGAACGTCGCGCGGGTGTATGCGGTGCTGGCGGACGCGGAGAGGGTGTGGCCGCCTGTACTGAAATGGCGGGTGGATCGACGGGCTGAGCGTTCCAGGGAGATGGAGAGGGTGGATGGTCGGTTTTGGGGGATGAGAGTCTGGAGTGTGTGGATGGGGAGTGACGGAGCCCGGGTGAGTTGGAGGCGTCGAGGGCGGGGGAAACTGGGAGGGCGACGGGGACGGGGTCGACGGGGCGGGCGGAGAGCATGGTCGACGTGGCCGACGACGAGGAAGGCGGGAGAGCCGACGAGGGACGGGGAGAGGGAAAGATGTGGATGTGTAAGAGGGAAAGAGTGGAGGACACTTATGGCGCGCATCGCTCGGCAGAGATCTGAGATGCTCGGACCGGCACAGAATCGTCACTGGTCTCCCGTCAGACAGCGCCGGTCTCCCCGACTCCGTCCAACTCCGCCCGTCGACTCCGACCAACTCGCCCCCGACTCCCTCCTGCTCCTCTTCGACGACAACGTGCCCTCGTCCCAGTCCGCCTGCCCCCGACGCCTCCTCCGCCCCTCTTGCTCGGCCGCTGCCGCCGAACGCTCTCGTCGCCCGTCCCCCACGGCGCCGCTCCACCGTTTCTACTAAGCCCCGCTCGCTAATCCTCGCCCAGCCTCTCCTTCGACTCTCTTACCCCCCCTATTCCATTCTCGTCTTCTCGGGGCCTCTTTCGACGCCGCACCTCGTTGTCATGCCAGATAGTCTCTGTCCTCATGCTTGCGCTGCATATGCTTCCATCCTCCCCAAAACTTTATTGCTCTGCCAAGATGCCGCGCCGTTCCGACCAATCGGCCACCGTCGGAGTTTCTGGAGCCGACGCCGGCTCGGGGCGCCTTGCCTGATATGGTCATATCCCGAATCCTCGCGCCCAACGCGCGCCTGTCTCCGTTGGCGCCTTTCCGACATCTGCCAAGCTGTTCTCAATCCATCCGCTGTGCTGCCTTTTAAGCCTCCAGCCCAAGCCCATTACTCCGTCTTGGCTGGGGCCCATCACTCCGGCCGTCGCACCACAGCCGTAGCCGTGCCTTCACACGCGCTGTAAACTTACACCGGGTTACTTACACCGACGCTGTGGACTTCGGCAGCTCCACCAAGCTGCTGCTGCTAATTTTTCTGCGCGCCGCTTTCTACATGTGATCCACCAAACTGCCGTCGCCTTGGCTAGTGCTCCAGCCTGCGCCGGCACCCACTTGGCTGCGCAACTGCGTATATGCGCAGAATTATCAATCGGACGATGGTGCTATCGCGAGCGCACAGTAATCCACCCTCTCAGGCTCTGGTCCGCTCAAAGACCGCGAAATTCACCTGCAGGCCTCGTTCCGCCACTGCTTCTCTATTGCTATTAGACTCTATCATCTCGCTTTTGCCTTGGCGCTGCTTCGCAGCGCGTTCAGCTGAGAAATTACCGTTCAAAATTCCTCTGCCACAACGCTGGGCGCTTGTTCTCAGCTTGCTTGCGTCATGGGCCGCACTCGGGTCCGTTCTCGGAGGTCTGCCGCCCGGACTGTGCCCCTGTGGTCATCGATAGCTGCTGCGCCCGTGCCGCCGGCCATTGTTCGATCCTCGTCAGGACAGTCAGCACGAACGCAGATCCGGTGTCATATCCCCATCGTCATCTCCGTCTTCTTCGCCCCAGGTCACGTGCCGGTAAAACGCCTATCGAAGCAGGAGGACCACCAAGTCACCGTTTCGGAGCTCGTGGCTTTCGATGGTGTATGCGTTGTGATGGGCCTGTGTCAGTGATCTGCTTCTCTTGACCGCGGTGCGGATGCGGAGACTATGCTCGGACGTGTGCTCTCCTGCCTGCTTCGAAGGCTTCGCGAACGCCTTACTCGTTTGCTACCTCTTGGCACTGTGCAATGGGGGCGCGCACGAGCATTCGATCGATTCCTGCAGTATCTGTAGCTGCGTGTCGACCAGCTCGTGTCCTCGGCTGCGATGCTCGCCAGTGCGCAGATCCCGGCAGCACCTTGGTCGTCTGCAGGTGCATTGCTGCCAGCCTGCTAGTCGCGAAACGCGCGCAACGACTACCTGCTGTATTCGGATAATCTGCGGGCGCGTCGTTGCAGTCGTGGCACGCCACTTGGTTCTTCTTCGCTCCACCACTCGCTGCACTAGTACTGCGGTTCTGTTCCCGCGCCGCCTTCTGGCCAAGAACATATCGCGTGTACCCGCTGGCCCTGAGCGTCAGGTATTCGCAGAAGTGTATCAATGTCTATCCTCGGTCCGCCGCTGTCGGCGCGGCTGCTTCTGCAATACACTCTCGGTCCTCGGAATGCTGAGGCAGAACCTCGTTCTGAATCGGACGTTCTCGGGCCATGAAGGCGTGCTTACGCTGGGGGCGCTTATGTTCGTATCCGATATGTGTTTCTGTGGAGGCCTTTGCATCTGGATCACCCGCGATACTCGTCCGTCAGCCACTACTCACTGCGATGGTCTTGTTCGTGCCAATTATATTCAATCTTCCGATCAGACATGTGCCGTGGGATGCACGGTACACGTGCGCACGATTGGAGGCTTTCCTGAATCGTACGGCCCGCGGGGACTTGATTGTCCGGAGCAAGAGGGCTTGACGCGACGATACTGCAAGCGCGGTGCATATTCGCACCTGTCTATGGATTGGACACCGGCTCGACGGTGGACAAATGCGTATTTTGTTTCTGCACGTTGATCCTCCCGAACAGCGCTTGGCGTGCATCTCAGGTGAGCCGCTCTGGTTGCGGCTGACTGCTACTTACCGGTGGGGAGGGATGGACTTAAAGTGATGATGCGCGCAGTGCAAGGATCACACAGCGGCGCGTCTGCATGAGAACATCGTGCCTGCTGGGGTGGTATAAGTATAGCTTCTTGTCCATGGGGCGCCTATTGGCGCCCAGTAGCCGCCGCGTCGAAAACGGATTTGATGCTGAGGATGCAATTGACTTCAATCCCTTCTCGGCAGCACACCCGTTTTCAACACGGCGTCCGAGGACCCCGGATTATAGGTGGGGAACCCTGAGTGCCATCCGGACAAATTTTGGGCGAAATCCACGCACAACCCTGATATAATCCAGACAGTTCGGGAGAAATTTTTTGAAAAGCCTGGTGCTGGTAGACATTTTGGCCCCATAGAGCCCTCGGCGAGCGCCAAAATGGCACTTTCAGGAGCCTGATGCCACCATCCAGACAAGATTTGGGGGGAAATTGGCACTTCACCCTGATTTCATCCAGACACAAAGGTCGATTTTCGGGTTTCGGCGCTTAGACATTTTTGGGCTCGCCGGATCAGGGTTGTATAATCCGGGGTCCTGGCGTCCGGGAATCCAGGTTGTGTCTTGAGATTCAGGTAGAAGAGATCGCTGGGCGTGATTGGCCGTTTACTCTTCCTGGTTACAGACTGGCTGAGAAGTCTGTCTATGTGGTCATATTTCTTGCTGTATAATGGGTATCAGGAATACAACAACGTTGATTTCCTCACACGCAGTACGTTACGTGTGCACATTTTTGATGCAATTTTGAGCCTGTGTTCTGACAAAGCTGCGCAATCGACTTTTCCCGTGCCTATTTCACCAGTAACAGATCGGATACCATGTACAACCAGGAGAAAACACCCACTCTTGGGCCGCCGGCATACAAGTACGAGTGGTGATGGGGACAACTACTCGCGAAGAGCGAAGGACACGTGGGTTGGCATGTCTCACAAAATCTCTGGTGACCGGGGTTTGAACCTGCTGAAGGACGGTGCTTGGAAGTAAGTATGGCTGGAGATGAGCGTGATTATTTACCTTTCGTGCTGTAGGATTTGGATTCAAACTTAGCACGAGACAGTCATGACACAATCTCTGAGCCATTTATTTGCTTACTCGCATGTTCGTTCCCTGCTTTACCGGGACAGAAGGAGCGTGTATTATCGAGTGCGGAATGGTTGCCTTGTCTACAAAGAGGACTACCATCTCTATGCCGGCGCCTTAGAGGAGCGGCCTGTCCACATCGCAGAAGCAATTTCGATCTGTCGCGCGCGCACGCCGTCGGAAAAATATTCAACGAAGGAGGACGAGTGCTTGCGAGTCACCAAACCACTGAACGAATGGTTGTTGTCTAGTCTGCCTAAGTCTGCCTATAGACTAGAGTGTTTGCCTTGTGAGCCTCTAATTCGCCATCACGGGCGCCGTGATCACAGCTGTGGCGGATAATATAGCAAGTGGACAAAAAGAGATTCGAATAACTCACAAAAATATGATATTCAAGATGGCATTTCCTCTGACGGTTGCCAGGCAGCTGTATATACCACGGAGAAAATGATACATTGAGAGATGCACTTATCGGGCGGGAGGTGCTAGTCTGAGATTTTGGCCTCCAGAGAAAGGACAGAATAATGATCATCAATGTCGCCGCCATTCTCTTACCATGGACTGTAACAGTGTGCCACACCTGACGCACCTCGTCTGAGATCAGGACGCGCGAACGCGTTGCAGTCTTCGACCGGAGTCGCAGTCCGGTATTTTGGCGGTTATCATATCCAGAGAGCCGGAGCACGCCGGCGCGTCATAGCTTCGGAAAAGGCAGGAAGTTACGCAGACACGGTCGCCGATATGACCACGGTAAACCCGACTGTGGCCGACAGCACGAAATATCGCGGGAAGGGGCGCTTATGGTTCGCAGTCCGAGGCTGGTAAACTCAAAAATTAGCGGAAGGATGGTATTGAAATTGAAGATAGCGCAGGTAATAGGTTGCATAGTTTGATGGAATATGCTCCACGAGAGGAACAAAATAAGAGGGAAAAGAGGTGAGCAAAAACATAGACCGTGGCTCTCACCGCAAAGCATGCCCCATAAAATCGGACACTGTATCGTCAATATACAGGGATATTATGAGGCTCGCAAATATGACACCCCTTGCATTTAGCATAGTAGAGGCGGCTAGCAGCTCAGTCCTGGTCATCCACATCCCTCTTCCTCTTCATTTCCTTGGACACCTTGTGCTGCGCTGCCTCGTGTTTTGCAAGTTCGATCGGCACCTTCGACACGGGACTCTTCGAAATTTCTGTGAAGAAAAGATGCGTTATCAGTGCATTGGTCAAATGGCGGAAGCACATGATAGATGTGCCGTACCTTGCTTGAGATCGTACCTGCCGAAAAAAAGATCAGCATGAGATGGTGAAAGAGATAACGACATTGACGGTGAAATAGATATGTGTTGATACCATTGCGAAGGTGACACGATAAAGTGCAAAAAAAAATCAAGAACGCACATCACTTCGTCGTCATCGTTCGTCAGGAATGTGATAGAGGTTCCCTGTTTGCCCGCACGACCAGTACGACCTAAAACACGAAGCTACATTCAATGGCGTGCCTGCAAACTGAGATTTAAATGACAAACCGATACGGTGGACATACGCCTCGATGGTATTGGCCATCTGGTAGTTAACTACTAGACTGACATCCTGCACATCGATACCACGTCCAGCAAGGTCGGTCGCAACCAGAATGTCCGAGTCGCCGGATCGCAAAGATTGGAGGGCCGCCTCTCGCTGTTCCTGGTTCTTGCCTGAGTGCAGTGTCGCTGCGCTCCACTGACAAGCAATTAGGGTCAATGAACCCGAACAAGTGGTCACAGAAAATGATACGTACACCAGCACGTTGGAGGTCTTTGGCGACCATATCCGCAGTTTTCTTCTGATTGACAAAGACGATGATGGGCGCAGCATACACGCCACTGTTGAGAATTTCCAGCATCTTGTGCCTAGGCGTCTTTCGTCAGCTTGAATGAGAAGTCAAATCTTCGCACTCACTTCTTCTTTTCGTCTCCATTGACGAACTCGACCCTCTGGTCGACGGTGTCGACGGCCCTTCCTGCTTCGCCAATGGTGATAATTGCAGGCTTTTTCAGATACCGCTTCGTCAGACGCTCGACGGGAGGAGGCATTGTTGCCGAGAAAAGTGTCGTCACTCTGTTCCGGCCCTTCTTGATCATTGTCTCTCCATCCACATCCATTTGCTCGCCTTGGTCCTCCCCTTCCATTGTGTCACTCGGCAACTTGTCTAGGATGAATGTGAGGTCGACCTCGAACCCCAGATTGACCATCCGGTCGGCTTCGTCCATGACGACATACCGACACTGCGACAAGACGATGACATGTCTCTCAATAACATCCTTGAGACGACCAGGGGTAGCGATGATAATCTCAGCACCGGATCGCAAGTTGAATTGTTGCTCTTCTACAGCGCGCTACGAAGTAACGTGTTAACGAGGTGGTACAATCACGATGTGCGAGAAACAAGACGCACCCCTCCAACGATGGACACACAAGTGAATCCCAAGGGACCTGCAAATCTCTTCGCTTCTGACTCAATTTGCTGGGCCAATTCACGGGTGGGTGCAAGAATGAGGGAATAAGGACCCAAATGTCGATTTTCGTCCGTAAACGGGGGTAGTTTTGAGATGAATGCCAACATGGGGATGACAAATGCAGCCGTCTTTCCGGAACCTGTTCGAATACTCATGCCAAAGTGAACTTTGAGAGCCTGTCGAAAACATACATACCAGTTTCAGCAATACCGATAATGTCGCGGTTCTGTAGACCAATGGGAATAGCTTGACGCTGAATAGGCGAAGGATCCTTGTACCCGATCTTCTCGACAATGACGAGAATCTGCTCTGGGATGTCTGACTCGGCCCATGAGCGGATTGGATGTGGTATCTGTCCACCTGGCGAAGTTTCATAAGCAAAGGACAACACCGATACCGCAGATAGAGCCTACCTCTTGCGGCGATGCTGAAGTCTTCTCGGAAGATACGCCAGTCCCGTTCCTTCATCTCATCCAAAGCTTTTTCAGTCCAGTGTCTCTCATCTAGACCGGCCTTCAGAGCCTTTCTTCGCTCAAGTGGATCTACAAGCTGCATCCCTTCACCGCCATTCTTCTGGCTGTTGTGCGGTACACCACCTCCATCGTCCATTCCAGCAATGTGTCCTCGTCCGAACATGATTTGCGCGCCCTGTCGTTGGCTCCCTACGGCTGAGGGTGTCTCCGCAGAGTATGTGTCATCTTGCTCGTCCCAGTCGAAGACGAACTTGCGATCGTTCATCTTACGAATCTTGCGCTTCTTCTTGTCGACACCAAGGTACCGTGAACGAATGGCAGTAAGATCGCTGTCGGTCATTGGAGGGGCATAAGTGTCGTCTGAGGAAGCCGTTGCTGAAGACCTTTGAGTTGTTTCGTTGGATGAAGGTCCTAATGGCACAGGCGGCGGAGGCATGGACGAAGAAGCAGATGAGCCGCCAGTCGCAGGGCCCGTTGGCGGTGCCTTTGCACGGTCAGCTCTGGGACCAGTAGGGACACCCTGGTAGGAGCCTCCTCGTCGGTCATCATACGGACGCCTGTCTCGATTGTCACGGTTATCGCGACGTCCATACCGTTCTCTATCCCTGTCCCGGTCGTGGTCTCTGTCGTATCTGTCATCATCTGTAAATAAGGAAGTCGTTACGATGGGTGCAACCGCGGGATGAGATACAACGGACTGACATCGACCGCCGCCCCCGTACCTAGAAGCGCGTTCTCGCTCTCTCTCCCGCTGCCGAATCTCCTCCGCCTCCATCTCTAGTATTGCCCTATCCTGTTTCGCTCTCTCCTCCTTTTCACGCTGATCTTTGATCTCTTGAGCACGCTTGTCAATTGCAAGCTGGGCACGCTGCTCTTTAGTGAGGAACTTGGGCTAGACGCGCTTACTGAGCAAATGCAGACCGAGGAGGTAAGTATCCACACACCTTTGAGGACGCCTCTTTCTCCGCCTTCTGTTTCTGCAGCAACGATTCAATAGACAGAGGCTGAGTCGCAGCCATGATAATGGAGGTGCACTGGCAGTGCAGGTCGAATTTGGGTCGAATTGCAGCTTGGATGATGCTGCAGGTGACAGCCACGTGCTTGCTGCCATGTTTTCCCGACAACTTGTCCTGGTCCAGTGCTCAATAATCGACGGCCCCGCGTTCAGGCTTCGTGTGCGGCCACTCAGCACTCAAGTCTTGTTCACGACGGCTTAGACTCATCTGCAAGACACATGCAATCCTTTACTTCAAAAATGGGGCATTTGGAAGATTTCCGTATGTTTTCTCCGCGCCCCGAGACTCCAGAACCGGAATCGCGGCAGGGACGCAGAAACGGCGCTTCAGGTGTGCAGCTTCTGGACGATGATGGAGGAATATCCCAGCAGGTCTGTCGCGTTCTTACATGCGCATAATCCTAGGCTGAGTTCATACTATCCTAGTTGGAGTTATGCTTGAAACATATTTTTGCAAAGTACTGCACTCCACCACCTCCACCCCCTACGCCCACAAACAAGCGAATAGAGCTACTCATTCCTCCTGAGGGCGCGTATCTCTCCCCTCAAGGTTTGGATGCTTGGGCCCGGGATACGAATGGTGCTCCGTTTGACGACGCAACAAAGGAAGAGTTGACGGAGTTTCTGGACGTCACGGATGAGGGTTGTCTAACGTGAGTTTTCGTTGCAGTATATTTACCGTTTGAGTTGCCAAGGCAATTGCATATGCGACTTCCGAGTGCTGATTGACGCTCAGGTTGAAGGGCTTCATGCAAGTATATCAGTTGCAGACGGAGGCCGACGAGGAGGAAACTTGGAGGGACTTGGTGAGTTCTTTGAACACACAAATAAACCTTAAAGCCTAAAGCTTGATGGCGTGCTGTCACAGTCGGCTCACGGTTTTGATCGAACATTGAGGCTTGTAGCCACCCGGCGAGAAGAGATGGACTGGGAGAGCACTATCTCATTGTAAGTGTGCAGCAATTGCAGTGAACGTGGCTAAATCGCGCTTGCAATAGCGAAACATTCTAGTGACAGAATGTGCACGCACACATTGGACTCTCATCGTGGGACCGCACATCATACCCTTTACCGTCACTGATAGTCATATACCTGAGCAGCAAAGGTCGATGGACTTTTTGATTTGACTCAGTCTGTCGTGCACCCTCTCTGCCTACCGGCCATCGATGTTACTGACCATGCCATGTCATGTACGAAGATTATAGTTATTTCATGTACAAGAACAGTTCGTGGAGACAGTCACTGTCGTCGGCCGGCGAATGGCAAGTACTAATATCCCACCTTGCTCGTTACACGACATCACAGATTTTTTACGCCGTGGTAATACGTCGCGCGTGTGGAGCTACCAGGTGCCAAGTGCAACACTAGCAGCTATTAGTGCTCCGATTGAGCGTCAATTTCCATATCTCTATACCCTCCCATTCTTCTTTACTCCATTTCACTCCGCCTTTCTCCATAGCCTTTACTAGTTTCCTGTGTGCAACACGTTCTATCGTGAAGTTCCAAACGTGTTTTGCGTCATACAGAGCTTGATCGATCACAGAAGAATCGCGGCGTTCAATACAGAGATAGACCGGGGGCGAACGATAGGGAGAGAAAGTGCACGAGAGCGCGCTGAGAGCGTGGAGAGCACGCAAAAGGGGTGACACAAGGTCTGGGGTATAGAGGGTATCGGAAGATATGATGAGATCGAAGGGCGGCCCAGGACGAACGCTATCCTCATTCTGTGCTCCACGAGGAAGGGATGGAGATGCAATGACGCGTTCATCGTCCCAGACCCATTGGTCCGGTGACACCGTCCAGTCCAGGACACGCACATGGATAGAGCCACTGTCTGGTGAAAAATTTCCAACGTTGCGTGCGACATTCGCCATGAGGACGGAGTCTACGACATCAGGCAAATCGGTAGACCATACATCCCAGCCGATGGCACTCAGAGCAAGCCTGCAACAACGAGAAAGGTTGTGGTCGAGAACAGTCGATGGAGGGTGGTTCTGATAAAAACATATTCCACGCTCATAAAAGCAGAGACGCACGCGGATAGTCCTACTCCGCTTCCAAGTTCTATAGCTCTCAAGCGCCGCTGTCCCGCAACTATAGGGCGAGAGGATTTGTTCTTGAGGGCATCATCCAGATACAAGGACAAGGCTTGCGCGCCTAGCCAGAGCGCGGTACCGTTTGTCGCGCCGTTGTCACTCTGGGCGAGATCAAAGAAAAGATGTCGAAAAGGATAACGTAGGAGAGGGAGATGTTTTGTGTGGTGGGCGGGCAGAACGTGCGGATGATTTGAGAGCATACGTACGGTAGATGGGTGTTCAGAAGCAAACCTGCCACGAGGCGGGCGCAGCGCTACAAAGCAGTTCATACACCCTTCGCGTTGCACCGTCGGCGTTGCTTCCACGTTTCTTCTTCTCCGCAGCTCTCCCAACCTGTATTAATTCGCCAGTCCTGGATCATCGCTAGACGTTGCAGCCGTCGTTCACCATCAGCCCATGAAGGCTTTTATCAACCGCTTCATCTCCAAAGAGAGGGACAGAGACAAGGATGGCTGCAAGGAGAAGATACCCCACCTCCCGCCGCTCATAGAATGGCCTCCGCAGCGCGCGACTTCCACCCCCAGCTCCGTAGGTTCCTCCAAACCCCTCCCAGATCTGTCCGTGCGTCCATTGCCTCCGATAGAGGAACCATCGTCGACCGACTCGTCCTCTACACCAACGCCGATCGCACCAAATACACCGTTACCTTCCGCAGGACCGTCGCAAGATGTAGCTCCTGATTCAAGCAAGGAGCCATCTGGTACCCCACTACCACGCTCAGAACACGACTCTGCAGGCCGTAGTTCACGCAAGACCACTAATGCAAGCATGAGCACGGCGACAGGCAACAGCACAGATATCCAGAAGAAAGTTGCATTCCTCTCTCCACCCCCCACTCCTGGTCCCACGTCTGACCGCTCCCTTCCTGACGTGGAGGCGTCCACGTCCTCTGCTTCAGCTACTGCTCCAATGAAGAGCACCGTGTCGCGTTTTCAAGCAAATCATGTCAAGGAGACACGAGGTTCAACATCTACGGCTGCGTCCTCCAGGACCGATGTTACTTCTACCCTAAAGGCGAACAAGCAAGCTTCGTTTGCACGTGCGACAACGTCTCCGTATCCTCAAAAGAACCTCGGAGATGGTGCGTCTATTCACCAGTCGTTGCGTTCTGGGACGCCATACTCTCAAATGTCCAACACGAGCAGTAGAATTCTTTCTGCATCATCGTGGAGCGAAGTCGCCGAGGAGGATCTCGTGTCTAATATTGGGCAACGGGAACGTACACGACAAGAAGTACTCTGGGAGATTGTAGCAAGCGAAGAGCGGTATGGCTAGCGCCGTCCCTACGTTCTGCATCGCGTTTAATCGTCTATGTCACAGATATGTTACGGAACTGCTCAAGATGAAAGAAACATTCATAGAACCGCTGCTTCATCCTTATTCTGCTCCCATGCCCGTACTGTCACCGACTCCACTGGATTACGAAGATTATTCCCATTCAGATACCCCCCGAGAATCCCTAGAAAACCTTCCAATCGCTTCGCGCTTTCTTTCACCTGTAGGATTCCTGTCAGATTCACCTGCGCCATCGACGCCGAAGGACGATGGTCACCCTAATATCGATGGAGAGTCGATGAACTCAGCAGAAGAGGACGAGGCCGATGATCGTATGGGTGCAGCGTATCACTCGTCTCGTCAAATGAGCACAGCAGCAAAGCATAGCCATCCCCGTTCGCCGTACGGTACTTCAGCTATGCGATCGGGGGCTGGTAAGTTCGGAACAGCGGTACCATTCCCTTCGCGTTCACATCAGTCCTTACCTCCGCCCGTTCGGCCTAATCCTCTGGCGTCATCCACGCAATCGCTGGGCAGACAGTCTTTCATGACCGAGCGTGGGGGTGACGCCTCAAAGTCGACCACCACAGGAGGGTCGAACGTCCTACGGAAATTCAAGAGGAGCAACGCAGCAGCTGCTGTAGTTAACCATGCAGTACCTTCAGCGCAGCTTCCGGAGGACTTGCGGATATGCCTAGAAGTTATTGAGGGTGGGATTCTAGACGGGAATTTGCGGCTTAGTGATGGTTTGCGGAAGAGGTATGACGAACAATATCCTCTTGTGCGCTCACTAGCGGACGTGTTTGTGTCTAATGTAAGTCAGATATCCGCCCTGAACGCTACCGTTCCGTTGATTGATATGGGTAGTCTCATATCCTGCATGGGTATGCCACGTACGTCCTCCACTTGGAGCGGGCACTGGAGCAGGTAGACAATGCCTTGTCTAACGCAAGCGCTAGTAAAAAGCCAAAAAAACAAGACGCTGACCAGTGGATGAAAATCTGTCAGGCGCTGCAGAGGCTAGAGGTGATTGCTTCAGAGAAGGGCGAGACTGGTCTCGCAATTTCGTTGTCGAAGCCCTTTCAGCGATTACTCAAGTACCCGCTTCTCTTCCAAAACCTGTTGTTCCACACCGACCCCAGCACTTTCGAGTACGAGAGCACTCTGCAGATGGTAGCGGAGGTAGAGACGATCGTGAGGAGTATCGAGGACGAGAAGATCCAGAAGGAGGAGCGAGATAAGACGAGAGATGTCTTTGCTCGGATTGAAGGATTGGACAAAGTCAAACAGCTCATGGTTCCGAAACCATCGAGAGTGCTGTTGGAAGAACGGCCTGTCGTTGGCATCAATCCTCTCACTGACCCCACAGCTAAGCCATCAGGTCCGCCCCCCGTTTCTCAGAACCCCAAGGCAGTTCGCGGTAAGACTTCGTTCAAACGGTTGAGCGACGTTCTGCAATCGGGAAACAATGGGATTGGCGGAAAAAAAGACCTTTGGCTGGTAGTATTCAACGACGTCGTGCTAAGATGTCAGCGCACAGGCACGACATCGTTGCCATTGGTTGCGGCGACAAATTCGCGCACCAACTCACTACCAGAGTTGCAGGGCAAGGCCAAATACGCGACAACTGGTCGGCGGAGCGCGCATACCAAACCTCGAAACATGTACAAGTTCATCAAGGTTTGTCTCTACCGTTTCAAGGTGTTAGGCGGGCTCACGATTCGAACATGTGTAGATCGAGACATGGGCTATCGGAGAGGTAGTGCAGCCTCGAGAGGGAGTTGTGTCGATGGAAGAGTGAATGCTTGCCTTTCACTCTGTTTCTGAAGGCGCTGACACGTTTGACAGTGTCGTTCGCTCACGACAACAGGTCCATTCTGGTGTGCCACAGCCCAGGATAGTCCCACTGCCAGACGATGACGAGGAAGGCGGTGAATCAGACGACTCGGACAGGAAGAGCAAGATGAGCTTTTCTTATTGGGGAGCAGACAAGGTTACTCTGCAGAAGCCTCTCGTCAAAGCAAGAGTACCGTCTGGGAATGGAACTCGGCGAGGAGCAGGTGTTACTGCGACTTCGTACGGCCGAGAATCGTCCGCGAATGCCAAGTTTGGTACTCGATTAGTCTCTGGAGAATCTCCTAACACCGCTCGTCCTGCTAGTCGTCGTACACAAGCTACTCCAGTGAACCGGCGACAACCCCATTCTGACGAAAACCATTCCGTTAAGGCCACCGTCACTCGGGAGAGACCAGCTTGGGATGGTAGCACGCGCTCGCCTATCTCCACCACTCCGGTCCCCAAGCGCGCTCGCAACACTTCACAAACAAGTGCAGCGACTCGTACGAATGTGCCTAACAAGCTGTCTTCCCCAGCACCATCTGAGGATTCCGGTGTTGGTTTCTACCGTCAAATTGTCGCCCAAAACCCTTCGCTCAATCGCCTGAATCCCTAGATGCTTATATGAACCCCACCCCTTCTTCCTCGTCACGTCTTCATGGATTTCATTCACGACCAACTTTACTCACTGTCCTTATGGTCCGCACGTGTCTCCTTAATGTGTGCTTATCATGCTTTTTCTCTTCTCTTACCACTGTCGTTGAGTACCCATAGCTATGATACCATATCGCTCCTTATTCTGTCGCGCATTTCTCTCTAATCTCATCACCCTCGTTATGCTTTCTACTAGCGTCATCTCTCCAGCACTGTTCAACGCACATTCTTCATCGGGGACCATCGAAGCACGTTTGGGCCATGATGAACACACTTCGCTTTACTGTCTATTAGCTATCTCTTGTTCTAGATTTAAGATGTATTATCATACCTACGGCATGCCGCTAGCTGGATATCCCATATGCTGCATTATGGATGCTCACACTCCGTCCGCTCGGGTCGGAAGAACAACCCCAATCTCCTCGAGGTATCCACCTGTAGAGAAGTCAGAGACAGGTGAGCTATGTTCTATCGCGCATGTTAGGATACTTACCGGACTGCAGTTTTTGCAGCAGCCTCCAATGGGAACAAGCCTATACAGTAACGCGAATCAGCATGACATGCTAGCTCTGGGGCAAAATATTCTACCGTCAAAAATCTCTCGGATGAAGTACCCTTCTTTTGTGTCAGGCGTATTTTCTGGCCAGCGCTCAGCGCGTTTCTCGAAGTCTTCGTCGGAAACAATCGTTGTGGCGTGGTCTTTGATGCTGCGAAAAATTATGACGCATCTACGCGGCAAACAAAGAAACGTGCAGCTCACCCATCTATCCATGAGTACCCTACACCGTCCGAGAATTGTTCCTTTTGGCGCCATAAGATCGAACTGGGGAGGTAAGGCTGGGCGTGAGGGCTAATTAATTTTTGCCACTGCAAAATCTGTTGTTACTTACCTTGCCATCGGGTGCACAGTCGAAAGCTTTCCGGAGGATGTACTGCAACGGGACGAGGTGAGATCACGGAGGTGGTTCGAAAAAGAATTACCTTTTCCATCTTCGGTCGGCCATCCTTGTCCACTTCCTGGGCAGAGCCTTTGCTGAACATCTTCTCCTTCGGGTCGACGTTTAATGCGACCTCGAGGAAGGCTTTGTCTAGGAACGGGACACGAGCTTCAAGTCCCCATGCCATTGTAGACCTAACAATCACCGGATGAGATTAAAACCAGGGATATGAGGGAAGCAGATTATACTTGTTAGCTCGCAGACAATCAGAGGTGTGGAGGTTTTTGACCCGTCGAATGCACTCTTGATGGAATGAGACAGGATCGGGTGCAGCATGGAAGTAGAGGTAGCCTGGCAACGACGTCAGCTGAAGTACTACGGCCTCGAACAAGCGATCCTGACCGCCAAATATCTCGTCGCTACCCTCACCGCTGAGGACCATTTTAACACCCATGGCCTTAATCTTCCGGCTCAGAAGATACATGGGCGTGCTGGCACGAACGGTCGTTACATCGTATGTCTCCAGATGATAGATAACATCAGGAATCGCGTCGAGACCTTCTTGGACTGTGAAGACATATTCATGATGCACCGTCCCAAGATAATGTGCCGCTTTCCGAGCAGCTAACAGGTCGGGGGAGTTTTCGAGACCAATCGAGAACGAGTGAAGCTGGGGCCAAGATGCAAGGGTATCTGCGAAGGCATCAGGATTTGGTACGCCAAACCCGTGCCAGAACCGCAAAATTTCGCACCGTATTCGGAAACACCATTGCCAATCGGAGACGGAGGACCACTCTGTGCCTCTGCCAATTTTCGCTTTCGCCTCTCTGCTTGTGCCTGGGCAACTTTCTCTGTCTCTCGGGAGGCAATGGCAGCAATCAAAGAACTGTCGAGCCCTCCGCTGAGCAATACGCCGTACGGCACCTCGGACATCAGCCTCTTGCGCACAGCTTCCTCAAGCGCTCCACGCAGAACGGTGAGGTCAACGGGCTGCTCGGGGATTGTCGCCCCAGGACCTTCCAAATCGCCATCCCACCATGACGGTTGATAGTAGCGGCAGGTAGACTTGTCCCGGCTATCGTATACGTGTCCTGGAGGGAACGAGATGATGCTGTCACATTCATCTACGAGGGCCTTCAACTCAGAAGCGAAATATGTTGCTCCAGGGTGTTTTGAACTCCAGCCCTGATAGAGGGTGGTGATACCGATCGGGTCGCGAGCGGCAATGATACGCGACGGAGTAACGGACTCATCGAGGAGTACAAATGAGAACATTCCGTCGAGGAGTGGGCACAAATCCTTGTCATGCTCCTTGTACTGCAAAGCAGAAATAGATTCAGCACTAGCATGGAAACATGACGTGATACATACATACCAAGGGTATAATTACTTCACAATCTGAATGGGTCTTGAACTTATACGAGTTCTTGAGCTCAGCACGAAGCTTGACGTGGTTGTAGATCTCTCCATTGACGGCGAGGATGATTTGTCCATCCGTGCTCACAAGAGGCTGAGCACCGGTATCTGCAGGTCGCGAGTTCAACATCGTCTTCGGTCGGGATGCGGTGAACGGTATATACCGACGCCAACGATGGCCAACCGCTCGTGAGCCAGGATGGTTTGTTTTCCACTGTAACAACCGGACCAGTCAGGACCTCTATGGCGGATCTTCTTGGCACACGCAATGATACGAGGCCTGTCAGAGGATGGCTTCTCTAGCCCGTGAGCGATAACAATCCCGCACATTTCTAGAAACTGTGGGAAGTGTACTGGAAGGCAATTGTTGCGGACTAAGTCAAGCGCAGATTTTTGAGCGAGTCCAGGGTGACTCGGATTCTCCAATGAGCGCCAGCCAGAGACGGATCAGATAAGATAGCACCTCTCGATCACTGTCATCTCACTTCAAATCTCGCGTTGATCTCCCTTTCTACCGAGCTTCCTACTTATGTTCGCTCAGGTTCGCTTCTTGCGGGAGATGGCGCATAAAGGCACTGACTCGTACCTATTTTACGCGATTACATCCACTACGCGAGAATTCTTCAACGCGGAGTTAGCTCAACTACCCCAAGGCTGACAAGATGAATCTTCGGATCTGGTCCCCTCGAAGCAATCATTAATTATTGTCTCAATCTCAGCCTTCTCCTCCATAGTAAGAATAACATCTCTTTGCCAGAGTCTGCATAATAGCTTTGAGTACCTTTCAGGTGTAGTGAACAAAATGAGATCAGCATATAAAGATCCAGGCAGAACACCCAGATTATGCAGTCATGCCAACTTGTATGTTATTATGGCCATCAGCTGTAGGCACAGATAAATTCCTGTGCTCACCACTGTCAAACACCATTGTAGTCACACCTGGAGGCAATGCATCAAAAGCTGCTTCAGGCTACTCATTGGAGACAATAGTTGTCAGTACTTGAACTAATTATTCCAATGGTAACATTTGAAGTATGTAGTGCTCCAAGCTTTGTGGTGTTTGTTGTTCACCATCCTTCATACCGAAACTGGTTTGTGACAAGCCAAGAGCCTAAATTTGAGTTAATGAAAAGCATGGATATGCAGGTGAGCTCCTGTTATACTGTCCCTGAGCACCCAATATCTCTGGTGATTGACCTTACAGAAAATGTTGACATCCAATAAGATAGACCCACTACTACTATCGTCACAGCGTGACACATCAGGTGCCTCAGCCAAAGTCTGTCACGGTGGCACAAGATTTTGGGAGCCTAAATTCTCCATCCCTCCCAGGCTCCTAAAACCAGCCGTCGCTACTCGCTCCTTTATCATATGTTTTAAGAGATCATGTGATATATATATTTTATGAGACTTACCCGATTGAGCGAGAAAATAGCCGAACAAGAGGAGGAGAACACTATAGGACGGCTGGCCTATAATGTCATAGGCCAGCCGTCCTATAGTGTTCTCCTCCTCTTGTTCGGCTATTTTCTCGCTCAATCGGGTAAGTCTCATAAAATATATATATCACATGATCTCTTAAAACATATGATAAAGGAGCGAGAACGCTATAGCGACGGCTGGTTTTAGGAGCCTGCATCCCTCCCCCAAAATAAAACAATCTGTTTCTGTAACTAAATCACAAAAATCATCTTCTACCAAGTTATTGCAGCAGATTTTTGACATTTGTCCTGTGCGTGAAGGATTTGGCCATTCAGTGTGTTTCTCCCGCCAAGCGTGACAAAAAAGTCACGTGATAGTAGTCGAACAGTACACCACAATGACACCAATGCAGCTGCGGTAGCTGCCCCAGCAGGATTCTCCTAATGTAGCATGTAGATCCTGAGAACTGCAAAAAGAACTTGGTGAACTCGACTCATGGATCAGCGCTCAGCCTCCACACAACGAGGACGGTCGATCCTAGTGGTGAACATGCCTAGATTGTGCTTAGATGCAGGACATGAGGCAGAGATCGACAGATTCTTCACCGACAATGATAGTAAAATCTGATGTTTACTTATCGGAAAAGACTCGCTGCGCAGAGCGATGAAGCTTTGAAACCAACTTCCCCCGTGCCAAGACAGTTGCGCGTGAAATCCCGCGCAGTCCAATTTGAGGCTGGGCGTCTAAAACGTACTCAACGTCGCACCGCGTCCTTCCCGACTGCGCAACCTATCTCCTCCTTTCTCTCTTTTCTCTTGCTTTGTATCCGACTGCTGTGACTCTCCTTTAAACTTTTCAATGGCTCGTGACAGACTTGCGGCCCTTAGGGTATGTTGACAAGCGATCATGCACGTCAATCTGGAGGCTGACCAGCTGGCTACGCAGGCCCAGAGACAACAAGAACAACAAGAACAACAAGAGCAAGGAGGCGCGCCCCAGGCACACGAAATGTCAGGCTTGCGTTCTCCTGATATTTTGATACCCGCGACCCCTCCAGCTGGGAACGGGGTCACTGACCCAATGGCCGCATTCTATGAGGAGGTGCGAGCCATTTTCTTACTCTCGCTCCTAAATCTCACCGCATAAATGTGTTATGCTTCAGGTGTCTTCCATTCAAGATTCAATTGCTACTTTCAGCGCAAACGTAGCTCGCATCGGTGACCTCCACTCGCGGACACTGAATTCCACCGATGACGGCGCGAGCCACCAGAATGCTGCACTCCTCGACGACCTGATCGCCCAGACGCGTGATTTGAGCAATATTTTAAAGCAGCGGATCCAAGCATTGGCAGCTGCACCCTCGGCGCGTCCACAGGACTCGCGCATTAGGAAGAACCAGGTCAGCTCTCGCGCATATGTTTTAGCTCACGTCATTACTATGAGATAGGTACTAACATCGGATATCACTGAATCTTAGACTGGACTCTTGCGATCCAAGTTCGTTGAGGTGCTACAGAATTACCAGCAGGTGGAGCGGGATTACCGTGCACGGTACAAGCAACGTGTCGAACGGCAGTTCAAAATTGGTATGTGTGCTCTGTGACATTCTGGCTTTCTCTCTGGTGACGGGTACTCAGTGAAACCTGATGCTACACCGGAGGAGGTCAACGAAGTGGTGAACGACACCGATGGGCGAGGTGAACAGGTTTTCGCGCAGGCGGTGCGTCCACTCCCCTGTCACCCTCGATTCACCTGATGCGACAGTCTTTCAGCTTTCGGTGTCGACGCGATATGGCGAATCGCGAGCCGCTTATCGGGAAGTGCAGGACCGCCACCAGGATATACGCAGGATTGAGCATACACTGGAGGAGCTGGCGCAGATGTTCAATGACGTGAGTGTCCAGGTATTTCCGTATCTACGGCCGTGAACCTATTCCTTCGTTCAGATGAGTGTACTTGTGGAGCAACAAGACGAAACCATCAACGCCGTCGACACTACTGCGGGCCAGGTCGAGGAGAACACTAAAGCCGGGTGCGTCCTGATAAATCTTCTTGTATTTAATACGACTCATGACTCCCGCCATGCAGCTTGGACCAAACGACAAAGGCGGTCAAGAGCGCGCGCGCCGCGAGGCGCAAGCGTTGGTACTGTTTCTTCCTCGTGCTCATCATTCTGATCATTGTGGGCATTGTCGTCGGTGTTGTCGTCGGCACAAACGTCAGTAACAGCCACAAGAATAATAGTAATAGTAGCAAGACTCGCTAATTATGTTCGCTCTCCAGCATCACTGAGACTCCGCGCGTATGGGATTACTTCACGACACGAATGATCAGGGGGACACTTTGTTTGACCTGGAATGGGAATATCTACTGGTTCATTGTAATGCTTTTTTTGATTAATCTCCGTATACCACTTCGCCCCTTGCCGATGTCTCACCTGCGTGATTGCCTAGGGTTTCACGTTTGCTTCGTTCAATGGCTCAGTGCTCAAGCATTTCGGTCGTCACGCACGAGCGGAACCCACCTAATCCTATACCTCCTTCAGCCTCAGGCAGTATCGTTATGATTATTTCATAGGGCAAGATGGGGGACGCCGCTGAGGCCGCTGAGGTGGACGGGTGGGAGCATGCAGGGCAACAACGTCGGGGGTTCATCACTGATTAGTGGTGATTACTTTTTTTTGTGCTGCGACCCAAGTAGTTTATTGCTGAACATTCTCCTTGACTTGCGAAAAATGCCAGTTCGATGACTTCTCCGAGCCCTTTTGCAACATTATGTTCTGAACATTCTCTATCATACAATGGATATTCTCGAAGAAGTGACACCATCCGACCGGTCAATCGCCATCACGATATGAATTGCAGGTAGTCTCCCGAAGGCAAACCAATAGTGTCCTTGCTGAGGTGGGGACGGTCACAATATAGGTCGGCAATCGAAACAGACGAATCTGCTGCGTACCACTACAGCGTAACAGGAGATAGAGGAGCCAGCGGAATGAAACATGGACGATGAATAACGATAATGGCGTAACGATATGACGTGCTATGAGTGTGCTGACCCTGCCCCCAAGTGAAGGATTATTTTGTATCTGCTTACAGGAGACAAGGATCCTGTGGCTTGTCAGAGATTGGGGATGGGCCTCTTCTACAAGGAACACTCTGGTACTTCCAGAATGTTCCTTGTGAAAGAGGCCCATCCGACGGATTCCCGAAACCGAGTTGTATCTGAATTCTCAGGGCACGGATAGATCAGGGTAGATGGGGCTGCACTGGCAATATTGGCTTGCTTCAATGTCGTCCATATGCTTGGGCAAACTCATATCCTGCGCACCCTGAGATTATCAAGTCGCAAGTAGGTTCCATAGTTTAACAGCAATCTGCTTGACTGCCATAACCTGAATCCTTTTCGGAAGAGGTAAGATCTGCATACCTGGAGCGTCCCCCAGACTGCGTGCAGCGTACGAGATATCAGCTGGGACCATGGAAGAGTAAATAGCGTCCACCGACGGTACCATTGATGCTTCAGCGGCACCCATTGCCGCCTCAGCGAGAGGCAACACGCCTGACTAGTCCGTAGATTCTACGGTTCAGAATCATCAGCATCTTCCATCACAGTCAACGCACCTCTGCGGAGAACACATCTCATCCGGTGCAACATACTGTCGAGAAGAGTGGATCCCGAGCGGCCTCCCAACAAATTGTGTCGGTCCGTTGTTAAGTTCCCTCTCGACGAACGCCTCAACACGCCTGACTGGTCCTTAAGTCCTCCACGAATCATCGGCATCTTCCATGGCCATCGTAGCTAACGCACCTCTGCGGGGAGCACATCTCATCCGGTGCAACATACCGTCGAGAAGAGTGAATCCCGAGCGGCCTCCCAACAATTGCGTCGGTCCCTTCTTGAGTTCCCTCTCGATGAACGCCGGGCGACATGCAGCCAGTGGACGACACGTATACTGTACCTTTCACTCTGGCCCCCAGCTGACCGCCATGACAGAGCAGGATTGCTGAGAGACCGGATCGTATGTCGTGGGTATAGGGGAAAGAAACAAAGAGGACGCCTACCACCGCGACTCATATAAGTCACCACCACCTTCGAATCGCTTCCGCATCCACACAAACGTTTCAGACTGTACTATCACCCGACCTGACCACGATGGCTTCCCCAGCGAGCACACCCGAGCGCGACCCGCTGGACGCGCTGCGCAGCGAGTTCGTGATCCCGACGAACCGCGCGATGAAGGCGACAGCGGTCGCCCCCGAGCTCGGCAAGTTGCAATCACTCCTCTCCGAGTCCTTCGCACTTCCGGCTGACACCCGCCCGCTTGGCCCTGGCGCGCAGCGGACGCGCCGTGCACGTACCTGTGCGGGAACTCGCTCGGCGTGCTCCCCCGCCGCGCCCGCGCGCTCGTCGACGAGGAGATGGAGGTGTGGGCGACGCGGTGCGTGCCCGCCTTCTCCCTGCGCGCCCTACCCTCCCCGCTGACCGGCCCCCCCCTCACCCGCCGCGCAGGGGCGTAGAGGGCCACTTTGACCACCCGCACGGGCGCGACTGGGTGCGCATCGCGGACCTCGCGCACCCGATGCTCGCCGAGCTCGTCGGCGCGCAGGAGGCGGAGGTCGCGTGCATGGGCACGCTCACCGCGAACCTGCACCTCATGCTCAGCACGTTCTACAAGCCTACGGCGGAGCGCTACAAGATCCTCTGCGAGGCGCGCGCGTTCCCCTCCGACCAGGTCCGTCCCCCCCCTCCTTCCCCGATCGCTCGTGATCGCTAATGCAGGAACGTCCGCGCGCAGTACGCGCTCGCCTCGCAGGTGCGCGCGCGCGGGCTGGACCCCGCGGACGCGATCATCGAGCTCGCGCCGGCGGCGGGGGAGCACACGCTGCGCGAGGACGCGATCCTGGGCGCGATCGCGCGCGCGGGGCCCGCGCTCGCGCTCGTGCTCTTCAGCGGCGTGCAGTACTACACCGGCCAGCTGTTCCCGATCGCGCGCATCACGCGGGCCGCGCGGGCGCAGGGCTGCGTGTGCGGGTGGGACCTCGCGCACGCGGTCGGGAACGTCCCGCTCGCGCTGCACGCGTGGGGCGTCGACTTTGCGGTGTGGTGCTCGTACAAGTACCTCAACGCGGGCCCGGGCGGGATCGGCGGGATATTCGTGCACGAGCGGTGGGCGGACGAGCCCGTGCGGTGCGTCTCACCCCCTTCCCCCTCTCTCCGCTCTGCATGTTGGCTGACTGGCGCACGCAGACACGCGGGGTGGTGGGGCCACGACGCGGCGACGCGGTTCGAGATGCCGCCGCGGTTCGCGGCGATGCGCGGCGCGCAGGGGTTCCAGCAGTCGAACCCGTCCGTGCTCGCGACGGCGGCGCTGCTCGGCTCGCTGGAGGTGTTTCGCGCGGCGGGCGGGATGGGCCCGCTGCGCGCGCGCTCGGTGGCGCTGACGGCGCGGCTGTTTGCGCTGCTGCGCGCGAGCCGGTTCTTTGTGCCGCTGGTGCCGCCCGGGCAGGAGACGGCGAGGGAAAGGGTGGGGGTGACAGTGATCACGCCGGAGGACCCGGAGGGGCGCGGGGCGCAGCTGTCGCTCGTGTTCCTGCCCGCGGGGCGCGGGGTGATGGGGCGGGTGATGGGCGGGCTCGCTGCGCGCGGGGTGGTGGGGGACTCGCGGAAGCCGGACGTGATACGGCTGGCGCCGTGCCCGCTGTACAATACGTTCGAGGACGTCGAGCGGGCCGTGCGGGTGCTGGACGAGGTGTTGGAGGAGGTCGAGAGGGAGGGCTCGACGGGGGGCGCGGACGAGGGGGAAAGAAAGCCCGAATGACGGGCGGCGAAGTATGTATAGAAGTAAGTTATTACAGCGCTGTATATCTATCTAGTTGGGTAGTGTCGTGTGCGAGTATTACTATGGAAGAACAAGATACGGAGGTCCTAATTTACAATTTCTGTAGTCCGTAGACGGCGTGTGGGTCACTTCTGCACGTCGTCGGCGATGAAATTGGCGACGATGGCGGGGTAGACCTCGCCGGCGAGCAGCTCGTTGTGCTCCTCCTGGAGGTCGTCCCAGTTGCGCTGCACGGCGCGGGCGGGGTCCTGGCCCTGGACCTGGTAGAGGTCGTGGAGGTGGGCGTAGATGGCCTCGCTCTGGGCGCGGTCGACGAGGGAGTCGTTGGGGGAGTGGAGGATGAGCCAGCGGATGTGGGCAGCGCCGGGGCGGAGGGCGTATGTGGCGGTGTTGAAGGGGGCGTACGAGTCGCGGTCGGTGAAGGTCTTTTTGATGAAGCTGTCCTTGTACGCGGGGAAGGTGTGGAGGAGCAGGTCGATGTCGTAGAGGCCCTCGGAGAGGACGACGGCGCGGGTGGCGGCGAGGAGGGCGGGGGAAGGGGCGAGGACGGGGTAGGCGGCGGAGGAGCGGGGCGGGGGGGCGAGGAGGATGGAGGAGAGCATGTGGGCGGAGCAGCTGTGGGCGAGGAGGTAGAGGCGGGCGGGGTCGTAGGGGGGCGCGCGGGCGGCGGGGCCGGGGCCGGGCCAGGTGAGGAGGAAGTCGAGGAAGCGGCGGAGGTCGGCGGCGTGGGAAGGGTGGAAGAGCGGGGTGATGGGCGTGGTGAGGCGGTAGTTGGGCACCGCGACGGGGCAGCGGGTGAGCGCGGCGAGGCGGCGTGCGAGCTGGGCGTGGTCGGCCTTGTCCTCGCTGGCCGTGCATCAGAGAGCACTCTAGAAAAGAGCGGGAGAGAGACTCACGAGCGCCATGCACCGCCGTGGACGAAGCAGATCAGCGGACGGGGCGCGGGGTCGTCCGAGTGAGGCACATAGAGGTCGAACGTCTGCAGCGGGTAGCGGACGCCGGCCGACACGTACGAGATGTTGGCGTGTTCGTGGAGCTGCATGACGAGGAAAAGAGAGTGGAGAGCTCGAGCGCGAGTGGAGGGCGAGTTTTGAGGCGAGGCTGGGATCCGATTGCAGCGCGGCGCTCGGGCGTACGTAACCTTTGACTCACATGCGTCTCTCAACGTCGAACGTACGTCCAACCTTGGTCGATGCTCTCTGCTGTCCCGCCGGCTGGAGGCTGTGACGCGGGCGCCAAGCTCGGTCCAAGACTCTGACGTCACCCGTCCCGACCTCTTATAAGCTTGGGGCCTCGCAGCGTCCCTTCCCAGCTTCTCCCTCATCCTCCTTTCACCATGCCGTTCACCGCTTCTGACATCTGCAAGGTCCGTCTCTCTTTTCTTTCCGACGCCCTTGACTCTTTCTCACTCCTCTCCAGATCATGTTCGTCTCCTCTTTCCTCCCACCATCACCGCGCGTCTTACCCTAATTCTCCGCAGCTTCGCCATTATCTTGCCGCCCGTCGGCGTGTTCCTCGAACGAGGCTGTGGCGCCGACTTCTTCATCAACATCCTGCTCGTGCGTTCCTTCCCTTCATCTCCATCTCCTCACCTCACATCTCTCTCACAGACCATTCTTGGATACATGTACGCCATCCCCGTCCCCTTTTTCCACCCACCTCACATTCTCTTCCCACAGCCCGGGAATTATCCATGCTCTCTACATCATTCTCAAATATTAATCCCCGTCCCTGTACTCTCCCTCTAACTCGCTCTCGGAGACGAGCAAGGACTATCGACCAGATGTATCCTATCCCGCACCTGCACCTCATAGCTTTATGTACTTTCCGTGAATGATACCCGTTCTTTCTCACTTGCCTTTTCCGCAATCGTCGATCTGAATCTCGCCACGCGCCCCCGTGCTCGCGTTGTCAGCATCTCCCTTCGGAGATCTCGCGCCAACACGGACGCATCTCGCCCACCGGGGATACACCACACCGTGCTGACTTGGTGCTGACCGTCTCTTTTCCTCCTCCTCCTCCTTCCTCCTCCTTCCTCTCTTCTCACCCCATCCTCACCAACAACTCGACCATGGCCCTCGACGCTTCCGACTTCTGCAAGGTACGTCCCAGCGCTCACCCCGTCTTCCCGCGCGTGCTCGGCGCTCACCGAGTCCTCGTCCCTCCTCGACGTAGATTATGTGAGTCCCCGCTATCCGCTTACTGAGCGCGTCGCTGACCTCGCGTCCCCGCTCCCAGCCTTGCCATCATCATTCCCCCGCTCGGTGTTTACCTCGAGCGCGGCTGGGGCTCCGACCTCGCCATCAACTGCGTGCTGGTACGTCTCCCTGCTCCTTCCTAAATCCCACATCTGTAGTTCTCACACTCGCTCAATTCGCTCTACTTAGACTCTGCTGGGATACCTGTGCGTGTACCTTGGCTCAGCGGCGACGCAGACATACTGACATACTGACTGACGTGCTCGTGTCGTGCTGCAGGCCGGGTATCATCCACGCGCTGTACATCATCCTGAAGGATTGAGCTGCATGACTCAGAGAGACGGGGCCGCGGCGCGCTTACGCTCGGCTCAGTACGCACGGACGATATGAGGTTGGGTGTTACACGACCGCTCTGGCTAAGCTATCATGAGTAATGCATTATCTATCCCCTGCCTGCACTGCATGTATCCTGCGCGCGATCTCGACGCTAACGTGCGCTCGCAAGTAATGACGTTGAAGAGATAACGTATATGTAGCGCTCCATTTCTAAGCCTGGGCTACAGGCACCACAGGCACCCACCGCACCGCGCGCCTTCGATCTGAACAAGTATATGATGGCATGTACTATCAGTGGTCCACTAACGCACCTACTCTTTCAGAGTTCGGCCTCCCGTTCTTCCACAACTCTCCACAACCTCTCGGACTGTTTGTAGATGGAAATTTTGGCATATAAGCTTGTTTTCCTAAAATTTTTCGAAGCGAAACGGCCACGGTTTGAGGGTGGCCGAGAGCAACAAGTGTCGAGACAGTAATGCAATTGCGACTCACAAGAAGCGGAATAGCCCAGTATTTTTCGCGGAAAATCCGCTGGAAAGGGTTGAAGTAAAGCACGCAGAAAAATTGTGGGAAAAAGAATAGAGTATTTCTCAGCTGCTGATTGGTTCATCACCGCGGGTATTTCCCATGAAATTTCTTCAAACCTTTTTTCTCATGCTTTATGTACTTTCTGCATTTTCTCGGGGTTTTTCCTGAGAGAATACTGGGCTATGCGTCTTGTGACTGCAGTTTCCCCGAGCGGTAACCGACTTACCATTTTTGGTGCATCTCAGGAACTTCTTGTCTCCCGAATTCCATCCTCGCAGAGTTTTGTACCGGAATTTTTGTATAGTGCACTTACATACCACAGAGAGTGCCACGGAATTTTTTGCCGGAGCAATTTGATGGAAGGGAACTAGGGTCTGCCGAAGCTGAAGCAGTATTGCAATCTGCTCTGATGAGTACTGATTCAACTATCATTTCATCCCCGTTGCCCACTGTCATTATCAAAAATCACAGCCACGTTCAACAAGTAGAAGAGTATTTATTTTGTGATTTTAGGGACGGAGGAGGTGACACAGTTAATGTAATTGCATTACTGTACCGATTGCATTGCAGGGCCACTGATAGTATGGTGGCATGTAATGAGGAAAAAGACAACGTACAGAGCGACGCACTTCTAAGTTAGCAGCAAACGCTACCGGGCTACCACACCTTCTAAGCTAGCAGCGGCAGACCGGGCTACCACACTTACCACACGCACCACGACCGCACCCAGCCGACGACCCGCCGCGCCGCGCGCCGCAGTACCCTCCACGCCCTCCGCATCCCCGCCCGCACCCTCCGCGCCGCCCTCCTCACCCTCCTCGCCATCGTCGCCCTGCCCCGCGCAACATCATGCGCGTCCGCTCCCCGCGGCCGCGCTACCAGACTCTTTGCGCACAGTGACTGCCTGCCGAGGGTGCACGGGCGGAGTGCTGCTCACCTCCTTCTCCGTCTCCTTCTCCTTGTCCTTTTGAGTCGCGCCGGGCAGACCATGAGCCGCTGGCGCCTTGTGTCCCTGGGCGCTCTCGTTGCCCCTGCTCTCTTCTTCGCCCGTGTCTTCGCTTCCCGCTGCGCTCCCCTCTTCTTCTTCGGTTTCGTCTGCTTCTTCTTCGCTCTCCTCTATTTCTGCGGGACCGGCCTCCGTGGTTGGCGGGACAGCTTGTTTGACCTGGCCAGCTGATACCGGCTGCATGCTTTCTGGCTGTGCGTGCTCCGGCTCCTCCTCCTCGCTCTCCTCCTCGCCGGTTTCTTCGTTCTCTTCCTCGCTAGCTTCTTCGCTCCCTTCGCTCTCCTCGGACTGCTTCGTGGGTGCGAGCTTCGACGAAGGCGCCTGCTTGGGATCCTCCGGGACGTCCTCACCAGCGTCTTCGCTCCCCTCGCTCTCTTCCTCGCTAGTCTCCTCCTCCGGCTGCTTACCCTCCTCCTCCTCCTCCCCCTCCTCGTCGCTCGACTCCTCCGGCTGCTTACCCCCCTTCGTCTCCGGCTGCACCTCCCCCTCCTCGCTCTCGCTCTCGCTTTCCTGCTCGTCGAACTGCTCGATCATCATCTTCCCCACCGCCCAGCACTTCTCCATCCCCTCGCGCGTCGCGCTGCCAGGCTTGAGTGCAGAACCCCGCGAGGCAGGCCGCGCGTGCCACGCGCGGATGTCGTCCTCCTCGACGATGTCCGCCTGGTACAGCGCCGCGAGCACCTGGCCAAACAGCGGGAGACGCCGCGCCTCGCGCGCGCAGTGGTGCTGCAGCACCTCCACGCTCTCCACCGCGTCCACGCCGCCAATCCTATCGATCAGCGCGCCCCAGCGCCCGACCACACGCGCGATCGCCGCGCGCTGCCCGGCGGGGTCGCCCTCGACGACCTCGACGCGGTCGACGATCGCGGCGACGACGGCCTCGCGCACGCGCCGCAGCGGCACGTTCGACGCCATGCGCAGCGTCTTGAGCTCGACCGCCGCGTTCTCGACCGAGTGCCCCTCCGCGAACGCGCGCTCGAGCGATTGCGCGACCTCGGAGCGGAACTCGGAGTCGGCCGCGGACTGGCGCAGCGCGTGCAGCGCGGACGCGGAGGGCCCGCCGGCCGAGGTGGCCGAGAAGGAGGTCGCAGAGGACGTGCGTGAGAGCGAGGGAAAGTTGAGCGAAGATTCCGCCTCTGACTCTGACTCGGACTCGGATTCGGAGCCCGGGTCGGAGAGCTCGAGGTCGGACGCGTTGTCACCTGCGAAGAGAGGATGAGCGAGGGGTAAAGGCCTGGCATGGGGATACACACCTATTCGCATTAGTCGTTGGTTGTCATACGACTCCACCCCGTCTTCTTCGTCCTCCTCTGAAGGAGGACCTCGCGGCCAGACGACGGCGTTCGAGCCCTCGCTGATTATAGAGATTACGTCTTCACTCTGATCTGTAGGACCGCGTTAGTTCGCGGGCGGAAGATCGACCAGCTCGGAATGGTCACTCACTCGCTTCCACCTCTTCGAGCTCGGAATCCTCCCCTTCGTCGTCCCCGTCCTCGTCTTCGTCCGCGTCTGCTCTTGCGATCTTCTCCCTCTTCCTCGACAGGCGCTCGAACCGCTCGAGCTTCGCGCCCCTGCCCAGGACGACGCCGTCCCCGACAAGACAGCCCGCACGCACGGTGCTGCCCTCGCCGATGGACACGCGCGCACCGACGATGCTCTGCTCGACGACGGTGCGCGCCCCGACCTGCGTGTCGTCGCCGATGTACGCATTGCGCAGCACTGCGTTCGGGCCAATCGTGCACCGCTGCCCGATCACGCTCGCGTGCACGGACGCGCCGTCTGCGATGTGTGTATGCGCGCCGATCAGCGTGTTCGGGCCGACCTTGCATGTACTAAGGGAAACGGAGGTAAGCGCTCCAGCTGCGGGTACGTAAGGTTGCTACACGGACCGCGACAGGACTACTGAGTTGTCTTTTGCAATGTATCTGTTTCCCCGGAGGTGCTCGTACGAGTGTCCTCCTGGGTGGTTATCGTCGGGAACCAACGGGAACGTCCATCTGGACAAGATATCTTTGCTGTGACCATCATCCGTCAGATTCTAAACGTTGCAGGAGAGAGTAGGCCTACCTGACTGCGTCGTAGCTGCGCGTGTCCGCGACACGCGCCGCGTAGCCCTCTCGCGCGACATAGCAATAGATATTCTTCATGAGGAGGTCCGAAGCGAGCACGCCGTAGACGAAGTCTCGCCGGATGTCCGCATAATCAAAATTATCTTGGAAGAGTGAGGGGACCTGGAGCGTGGTCGTCATGAGTCGTATGAATCCTGTCAGCGTGAGCAGGACGGACCTCAACAGAACACACGTCTATCGAGCAGTCAATGAGGTCGTTCCGGATCTCCACCTCCGGATGCTCCGCAAGAATTTCGCGGGGAATACGCGCAAGTGTCTTGGGCGGGTACCCAGTGACGGGCTCGTAATGCAGACACTCGGATGTCTGCGCGTCCAGCACAAACACGCCCGAGTCCCCTCTCGACCTAAATAAAAAACAGGCACCCTCAGCCTCCACGAACCCCACTTCGCAATCACGAAAAAGACGCACCTCGTACGGTGCGCCGCGCCGCTCTCCTTGACCACCATGGTCATGATGGCGTCCTTGTTCGTGCGGCGGCGCTCCTTGTGCACACGGACGACCTCGTCGATGTGCACGTTGCTCACGAGGTCGCCCGTGACGAGCACGAAGTCGGACGTGATGATCCCGTGCGTGTAGATGTCGCGCATCGCGTCCCCCGGCGAGAACGTCTCCTTCGCGGTCACGATCGGCCGTATCTTCAGGCCCGTGCTCGGCTTTGACCATTTCGAGTCCCTGGCGCGCGACACAGAGACCGAAGGGAGATAGGTGTCAGGGTTATTTTGCGCGAAGATATTGCGAGTAGGGTTACGCACCGGATGGCGGCCTTCACCTGCTCGGCGTACGACCTACATATGACAAAAATCTCCTGCACGCCCGCGAGCGCGAGGCTCTCAAACGTCCAGTCCAGTAAGGTTGCGTTGCATATCGGTAGCAGACACTTTGCACGACAGTATATTCAGCCGGTCGAGCGATGGTGTATGCACACTAGTGAACTCACCCGCGGCTTGCCGACGGTCAGCGGCCTAAAGCGCTTGTTGAAGCTGTCGGCGAGGATGACGGCCTGCAGGACGTCGTCCTCGTCCGCGAGGTCCTTTTCTTTGCCCGCAGATGATTTGGGGGGCATTGCGATGAAATGTTACGGTGTTACAGAGGAAATATTCGAGGTTACGCCTCAACCGCAGTGTACACCCTCTGCCCGCGCGGAATGACTCGATGCACCCATCCACATGGTGCACGATGACATGGTGGCGTCTGTCCTAGCTCCACGTATTAAAAACCATCACAAGGGAGATCTGGCAGGACGAATGAGCGTTCCCTCTTTGATCTCATGAAGTTTGGTCTCGCAGATTATGCTACCTCAGGCTGTAGACTCATGTCTCGCTACTGCAACAAACACCAACGATATTGAAAAAAACATCAATTACAGAAATGCGTAGACACGCCAGCACAATCCGATGGAATGAAAGTGGGGAGGGGTATTGGGATAAGAAGTTATCCAAATCGACATTAGACGAGACGACAGCGGATTAGCGGCGTGGGTATGAATCATGGGTCATAAAAACAAGTGAAGACTAGATCCGTGTCATACAGTAAAAGCAAGGAGAAATCAGAAGAATAATGCGCCTAAATCACGATGATCATCACGACAGATGATGCAAAGGCGTGCAGAGGGGGGCAGCGTAACGAGTCATGATCGAAGACAAAATCCATGCACACGTTCAAGCACCATTTATGCAGCAGCAGCAACGACGGGAGCAGCGGGTGGCGCCTCGACCTTGGGCTCCTCAGGGACAGCCGGTGCAGACTCAGCGGCGGGTTCCGCAGTAGCCTCAGCCGCAGGGTTCTCCAAGGGGGCGACGGGTTCTGGCTCCTCAATCTTGGGGGGAGCCTCCTCAACCTTGGCAGGTACGTGGGGCTCAACCCTCGCCTTTGGCTTGAAGAAGTCGCCAACACGGGAGGAGAGTCGTCGTCCAACCTTAGGGGATTTCGGCTTCTCTTCCTTCTTCTCCTCCTTCTGCGAACGCAAGCGATGAGATCGAAGCTGTAACGGAAAGTGAAACTACACACCTTTTCCTCCTTGGGTGCCTCGGCCTCCGCGGCAGCGGGCTCAGCAGGAGCGGCCTCTGCAGTAGGCTCTTCAGCCGGAGCAGCTTCAGCTGGGGCAGTCTCACTAGAACATCGTATGACAATACGAAGCGGGCAACGGTGACATCAAGCTTACGTCTCCTTCACAGGCTCAGCAGGGGTCTCCTCAGTCTTGGCAGAATCGGCAGCCTCATCAGGCTTGGGCGCTTCTTCTGCAGCAGGAGCGGCAGGAACCTGCAGAAGTCGCAGATAGCGATGTCAAAGGGGGAAAATACGACGAAAACTGTTTTCAACACACCTCCTCCTTCTTGACAGGGGCCTTCTCCTTTACCTTCTTCTCAATCTTGGCTTTCTCATGCTTGAAGGGAGCAAAGATCTTAGACAGGAAGCTAGGGCTCTTGGGGCGCTCCTCCTTCTTCGCCTCTGGAGCGGGCTCAGCCTGAATAACTATTAGTACCGGAAATTCTTTTACATAATAACGACACGCACGGGCTTAGCCTCCTCACTCGTCGGCTGCTCAGCAGCAGGTTCAGCAGCGGCAGCCTCTGTGGCAGGTGCCTCAGCGGCAGGCGCGGCCTCCTGAACAATGAGGTTAGACCAGGGCACAAACAAAAAATCATTCTGACGGACTTCGACCTTCGCGTCTTCCTTAGGGGCCTCCTGAGAGAATTACGCGACGATGAGATGGAGTATACAAGAGAAACCGCGATACATACAGCAGCGGGCGCTGGCTCGGCGACGGGCTCAGCGGGCGCCGCTTCGGTCGCGGGAACCTCAGCGGGCTTAACCTCTTCAACGGGGGCGGGGGCAGTAGCGTCAGACATTACGAATAAGTAGTCGTTGGACGTGAGCTGATGGGGGATGAAGGTCAGCAGATGGCTTTTAAGAGGGTAGGTCGACAAGGGCCGAGCCGAGTCACAGGAGGGGATGATATCAGCGAGGCAAGAGAGGGGAACGTACGGTACTGTTACGACGAGAAGAGAGAGGCGAGCTGGCCTGGCCTGGATTCCTGCAGGAAGGAAGGAGAGAGAACGAGAGAGAAAGAGATAGGGGCGGGAAATAAGCTCTGAACACCGCGCCTCTTATCCTTAAACGGGCGCGTACAAACAAGCCTAAACTCCTTCTGGATCCTTCCACTTTCAACGTATCCTTTTTTGGAAACATCTCTGCTCCCGCTGCATCTTCTGTGACAAGTCTTTTCTATCCCCTCAGCCGCACCCACGGCACCAGCTGTGCCTTCGGCGGGCTGCGAGTCGAGTTTCGGACCAGAAAGGTGCGACGATAGACCAAAAGACCTGTATCTGGCCTGGTCTGTGCGCACGAGGAGCGTGGGAAAAACGGAGACAAGCAAATAGATGAAGTAAAGAATCGTAACAGAAGCCTCGCTTCTTTGGTAGCGAAGATCTCGCATTGGCCGCTCTGTCGCAGCGCCCTTGATAGGCGCACCGTCTTCGTGAAAAATATGGCGAAGCAGTCTATTATGCTGTGGCCGTTCTACATGAATATCCCTGTCGCTGAACGGCGGCTGCGGCGCGGTCGAAAGACAGGGCGGGTCGGTCGAGGCGGACGGATAAACGATGAGCAACGGGCGGAAGCGCTTCTCGATCGCGTCTGGAAGCGATTGTGTTTCATTTTTTTGCCATTCTCACGCCCAGTATATATCCCGCGTCGCCGTCACGTTCTTCCACACGACATAAGAGCAGGGCGCGTTGGCCAGGCCCTTGTCACCTCGTCTCTCGCCTCCACACGCGACCGGTATTTGGTCTGCTGGGACTGCAACTATGCTTGTGGTGTTTTCACTCCCCAATTCCACAGAGACTTGAGTTGCACGTCGTAACCAGGCCCACAATGCGCTTAAGCTCGCTCAGCCTCTGCTCCTGGCCCCCTCTGCGACCCCCAGTGAAGCTACACCGTGCTTTGAGCCTCGACTGTCTCATTCTGACGCGATTCGAGATGCTGAGTGCGGTTGTACCACCCTTTCTGCTCTTCTCTGCATTTACGCTACTGCTTCTTGTATCTCTATCTCTTCCAATCATGACAAGCATCTACCTTTTCACTGTGAGCATTGACGCGTCTTCCTCGCTCCTCGTTCCAGCACGGCCGGTTTCGCGCGCCTTGGTGTATAGGGGTAATGTATCTCCGCCCTCAGCGTATCGCGAGTTCACCTGCCACATCTACATATAGAATTGACTTCACCGGACTGCTGCTATCATGTCTCATGACCCTAGTATCGCCGGCGTTCATGATGGCACGAGTGCACAGTGTTCTAAAGCGAAGCTCGGGTGTGACTTCGATGGTACTCCTTTCAGTACTCTGCGCGTCAGCGGCTTAGAGAACTCCATATCCCGCACACTCAGTGCAGTGCTCGTTCTGCATCCTATCGGTATGCTCTGCTCTGCTCTCTATCTAATCTCGATCCCGTGACGCCATCACAGCTTGCGGATTTGCCTTCCTTGCGTGAATTGCTTCTGTGTTCGTTCGCAGTAGTCCCGGCGGCAACCCCGGTCTCACGTCACTAGTCACTCCTTACTCTCGGGGCGGTGCTCCTTGCTGCACTGCTGACCACCGTGTCATCTTCCTACACTTGAAACCCTCCCGGATTTGTATCCCTGAGTGAATGTTAGGTTTGCTTCCCTTACAATGTCACCATTTGTCACCGGTACAGATTTATTGATAAAGTTTATATGTGTGATCAGGACTGAATAGGGACTCAATTGACCAATTGAATTTGTTACTTCAGCAAATAGAAACTGTGTTTCATCTACAAACGGTTACTTTGTAGTGAGCACGAAATTCATCATTTGTCGGGGTAGCAAATTTGAGTTGGTCTCAGGTGCTAGTGGATGTTATCTTTGTTACCATTGTGCGGAACCGGCTGGACCGAGATTCGCAGGACGTCTCTTTGACCTGGGGTAACGCTGTGCGTCCACCCTGTCTGTTTCATGTACGGACTTCGTTGATGGATTGTTCACATCATGTTTTCGCCTTCCTTGTGTGATTTCAGGCCTGGATGACCTTAGGTGCGACCATCGCTTTGAGGGCGGCTCTGCTCGGTACCTGCGTTGGTCGGTGGTGCACAGGCAGAAGCCCGAGCGAGTCCGGTCTGTGTTCCCATGCGGGCCCCGTCGCTGAACATGCTCGAATTCCACACGCAGCATATATGGCAGGTATTGAGTCCACTTCTCGCCACTGATGTCGTCGGGACTCCCCATGTACCCGACTGATGACTCCCACATGGGCAACTTCCCCTCTTTCCTCATGGAAGAGGGGGGAAGATGTGCCTATGCGTTCCGATCATCTTCAGCTCGAAGGACTGCCTCTAATCCCCTAGATAATCGTACCAGACCGCGTGTAATTCTATGCTATCGATGCCGATCTAAGTTATTGCCGTATACCCGTGTGGTTTTTTATGAGATTGAGCGCAATCGATCTCGAACGTTTGTTCAGGACATTCAGAAACGAGCCATTGGCTACACAGGTCTGACTTGATGTTCAGCCAATTCCAAGGACGCCCCGCTACCGCTCGTCAGCCATCTATTCGATCAATTAACGTAGCTATCGGATTACGTCCTCCGAAGGAAGGTCGGGATAGCAACACGCTCACGCAGCAGCAGCCTGGACGGCCGGTGTTGCAGCCAGCTTGGATCGAGGAGGAACGCGGAGTCCCTTCGCTTTCATCCTCTTCCTCTTGGTTTCTAGAGAGAAGAAAACATCAGCGATCTGAACGCGACATAGAGACGACCAGCGCTGACCCTCAATGTACGGGCGGTCCTCGTCGCTATCGAACGCAAACTCCGTTTCCACGGCCTCCACGCCCGCCTCGACCTCCTTCGCGCTCTGCGGTTCCTTACCCACGTTCTTCGCGCGCTTCTCCACCTTGAATTTCGCGACAAAGAAACCGTCCATGTTGTGCACGTGTGGGTAGAAGCGGCGCGTCAGGCTGACCTTCTCGTGGAACGTCTTCCCGCGGTACTTGGTGTACCCCGGCCGCCCGAACTCGAGCCCAGTGTCGACCAGCTTCACGTTTGGGCGCTTGCGCAGCGCATAGTCGACTACCGCCTCGTTCTCGTCGACCGTGACGGAGCATGTCGAGTAGACGACGTACCCACCCGTCTTCGAGTCTGGAGTAACGCTATCGATGGCGCAGAGAATGAGCTGTTTTTGTAGGTGAGACAATAGGACGAAGTCGCGCTCCGACTGTGGGGAGAAGTAATAGAGTAGCGTTTAGTAACTGCACGATAACAGATATCAAGCGCTATACCTTATTCGTCTTCACGCTAGCATCCTTACTGATAACACCCGTTCCGCTGCACGGGGCGTCCAACAAGACGCGGTCGAAGCCACCTATCACCTTCGGGAACTCCCTGCCGTCATACGAGCACACGACCACGTTCTTGCATCCGAGGCGGTGGACGTTCGCAGTGAGACTCTTCGTACGCGCCTTGTTCGCGTCATTCGCGAACACGATCCCCGTGTTCTCCATGAGCGCGGCCATGTGTGTTGTCTTCCCCCCGGGGGCGGATGCCATGTCCAGCACGCGCTCGTTCGGCTGCGGCGCGAGCGCGATTACGGGCAGGAAGGATGACGCAGCTTGCAGCATGTAGTGACCCGCGAGATACTCGGGGGTCGCGCCGATAGGGACGCTGCTCTCGAACACTTGCAATCCGACGTTCGTCCATTTGCCAATGGGCTCAAGGTTGACGCCTCTGTTAATGAGTGCCTGTGCGAGGTCCCTCCGTCGGCTGTGGAGTGTATTCGTTCGGATCGTCACGGGTCGCGGTACCTCGTTGGCTTCGAAGAACTCGATGGCCTACGGAAGTATTACATTAGTCAAGTATTGTGGTATTGTATCGACGAGCAGCATTGATAATACCTCAGCAACAGGGAACAGTTGGAAGAGCTTCTCGGCAAGGAACTCGTTGTAGCCGTAGTAACTTGCAATGTCGTAGACAAGCTGCTCCACGTATTCCGAGCGCGACCTAAGCAGAAAGGAATGTGTTCAGCTTGAATTCGGACATGTGAGCGTAGGCTACTTACCGCCCCTTTGCCGCTCGTCTTTTAAAGTTCCCCAGCACAAGCACACATTCTCGCATTCGCCGCTGTACGAGGTGCACGTCAGGACCACCGCTCTTCTTCTCCTCTTCCCGCTGCTCGGCAGTGGGTAACTCAAACGCCTCTCCACCCTCCTCTTCGTCTCCCTCCATATCCGCGTCATCTACATCTGCGAAGTCGTCATCTTCCGCGCCCGCCATCTCCGCTTTCCGCATTTCTTCGACGTCCAATTCTGCCTCCTTCGCAGCTTTGACATCCAATGCGCGAGAACGTGCCTCCATATTCGCCATCGTGACGGGGCCATCTTCATCCTCATCCTCATCCGAGTCAGAAGTAGAGGATGAATTGACTGATCCGGTAGGTATGATTTTTGACGGTCGTTCGTGTTGTTTTGACCTTTTGGTCTTCAATTTTGCGGGTATTGGCTCGTCATCGTCGTCGGAACCAAGGTCGAGCTCTTCTACAGGACCTCGTAAAATATCGTCACTTAGATACAGTGAGCTGACAGCATAAAGGAGAAAAAATGAAGCCGATGCTTACTCGCCCGCATCTTCACCACCCATATCGAAGTCTTCGAGATCTCCAGTGAAACCGACAAACTCTTCCTCGTCACTATCGTGGAAGAGCGACCTTCGACCGCTTATGAGCCTAAGCTTACGGTGAAAAGATACATAACATACTTCGCTTGTGCTTTCAGATCTACATCCTCCTCAACATCCTCCCATCCTTCCTTTTCGTCGGAGTTTTGGTGTTTGTTTTTATTCTCGGCCGCAGAAGACTTGGCCTTCTCCGTCTTGCCTGTCACCTTCCCCTTGCCTTTGCTGTGGACACGTTCCTTCTCCTCCCCTCGAGCCTTCTTCGCAGGTCTCTTGCTCACGCCCTCCTTTGCACCTCCATCTGCGTCGGCCTTCCGCTTGCCCGTTTTCTTTGATGACGGACGGCCCGCATTTTCCTGCAGTTCTGCCAGCGGTTCGGGGTTCCCTTGCTTGCTTTTTGCGCGACGACCCATGATAGATTGGCAGAAATTGAGCACAAGCCGGTAACGTTCCAAGAAAGGCAAGACGAAAATTGGCATACCGTGACCCATGTGACAACTGTGACAAATGTTAAATGTCACTCCAGCGCCAATTTCTGAATGATGTCACAGCCGGCCGAAGAGCACACAGTACTGTCATTGGACTCGACCGCAACCTTCATCACCACTCAAGATGTCCGCTATATTCTCCTCGATTTTCTCCCGTCAACTGCACTCTTTTTACCGTCCTGGACTTGCTCAAGTGACTCTGTCGCGGAACTTGTCAAAGTCCCCGTTTTCTAAGCCTGTGTTTCCACTGTCTAGCACTTCACGAAGTTTCTCCTCATCATCCAAGTTCTTTGGAGAGGCGCAACTGGGAAGTGTGAAAGCTAGGTCTACGCAGCGTACCGCATCTATCCCGTGGTTGTATAAAGCCGCTGGTGTCGCGGGCGTTGGTCTAGGTCTTTCCGTCTTTTCAATTCCCAAAGTCTTCTGCGAACGTACGTCCTGACGCAACTGCATTTTCTGTAAAACAAACCGTCGAAATTCATTTAGCGGTGCTTCCCAAGACACCGGTGGCTCATCCGCCTCCTGCACCCTCCCATGAACCTTCGTCTGCTTCATCTCCTCCGCCCCCTCCGCAGTCCAGTGTCAACTACTACGAACTCACTTTCGGCACCCTTTGTGGTGTCTGCGCAGGAGTCTTCGTAAAGAAGGGTGCTAAGGCGGCGGCATTCGTGCTTGGTGGGGTGTTCGTTCTCCTCCAGGTGAGCATCGCAGTGTGATGTGCATGGATGCGCAGCTAATTCCGTGCACCAGTACCTCGGTTCATTGTCCCTCGTTCGAGTCGATTGGGAACGCGCTGCTAGTCGCTTCGAGAACCTCTTCTACACCACAGACTCGGCTGGGGCGAAGAGAGCCCCAACCATCGGTTCTCTCTTCAGGTGGATCGTGGATTTCTTGACTGCCGACTTCCAGCAGCGGGCCTCTTTCGTGGCAGGGTTTGCTTTGGGGCTGCGGATTGGCTGAGCAGAGATGGAGGTAGGTGTCGAAATTGGACAGTGTAAGTTCTTGTTCCAAACTTGTACACTACAGCACTGCTGTGCAATGTCACGTGACCGTGTCGAAGTGGCGCTTACCCGCGGCAGAAGGCCGCCTTCTGCCGCGGCTCTTTTGGCAAGCGGCACCATCGATTGTTCCTTCCATCTCGCCGGAAGACACTATGGCTACCTTTAAGCAGCCTCCCAAAGCCATAAGACAGCAAGTCGAAGACTACTTTTCTGACTTGCAGCAGCAAATCGTCGCTGCGTTCGAGAAGCTCGATCCGCACGCACCTCCATTCAAACGTGATTCATGGACACGTCCGCAGGGAGGCCGTGGCCTTTCTTGCGTCTTCGCGACACCACCTAATTCCAGCGATATATCTGCGAAGGAAACGGTGCTCGAGAAGGCCGGCGTAAATATCTCGGTCATCCACAGCGTACTCTCCCCGGCTGCTGCTAAGCAGATGGGCGTCACCCACCCTGCCATCCGGCAGGATCCTCATTTGAGTCTTCCGCTCTATACCACGGGCATCAGCCTTATTGTACACCCGCGCAACCCACACGCGCCCAGCGTGCACTGCCATTACCGCTATGTCGAACTGACTGAACCTTTGCGGGAGGGACAAGACGCGGGGAGTGCGAAAGTTGTGGCGTGGTGGTTTGGGGGCGGGTCAGATCTCACTCCGAACTACCTATATGACACGGACGCGCAGGAGTTCCACCAGATCCTGAAGGCAGCGTGCGCCCTTCACGGACCTACGCTGTATCTCACGTTCAAGAAGTGGTGTGACGAATATTTCTACATTAAACATCGGAAGGAGGGAAGAGGAATTGGTGGAGTGTTCTTCCGCGAACTATCGGATGAAAACCACCCGCGCTTGGACGTCGAAGGAAGCCTCCCCGTGCGGCGTCCGCGAACACAGGACGAGATCTTCTCGTTTGTTCAGCGGCTGTGTGGCGCGTTTATCGAGGCATATTATCCCATTCTCGAGCGTCGCATGAACATGCCGAGCGATGCGCGTGCGCGCAGGTGGCAGCTTCTCCGTCGCGGGAGGTATGTGGAGTTCAACCTTGTCTGCGATGACGGAACGAGGTTCGGACTCGCGACCCCCCAGGCGAGGATCGAGAGCGTGCTCATGGCGCTACCAGAAACCGCAAGATGGGAGTATATGAGCGAGCTTGGGAACGAAGAGGGCACCGAGGAGGCAAAGCTGGTTGACGTCCTCAAGCACCCCAGAGAATGGGCTTGAAATGGAAGCTAGAATCAAAGTGGTGTGATGGTTGCAACTTGTAAGGTTCTGAACCCGATGATCCTATTGTGTCACTTGGCTCTGGGAGAGGGGTCTAATCTACTGTGCAGTAGCGGTACTCTGATGTATAAATATCAAGGATTCTTGAATGATGAACAAGTAATCGACTTGACGTTGATGGACAGTGAGAAAGCGGAGGGACTTAGCGCAAACCAACCGTCGACGAGCTGTCTATAAGTACAGTGTTACACCCGCCTCGCTCTCATGTCAATCACGCTCCAAGAGCAGCGCTCATCACCAGCTGCCTCCATTCCGGATCAGCAAGCGTCCTGGTGGCGGTGGTGGGTGTAGCACCGCGCGAGCTCTGCAAGGTGTGCTGGGATACGAGAGAACTGTATCTCCGGATGCCTCGAGCAACCATCGCCTCATGAGGGTTAGGCAACAGCAGATCGGCCATCGACTCATGGTCAAGCGAAGAGAGATTGGACCCATAGGGCGACGGCAGCGGGTCACTCGCCGCTCGGACGTGAGCAGAGCAAGGCGGCTTCGCGACCACGCACTGTTCTGCGTAATGCAGACTGGGTGTCAGAGAGTGGATGGAGTGAGAACCTGGTGTGGCAGTTTGCGAGCGGAGCGGCACGTCGAGCAAAATAGCGGCAGAGCCAGCGGGGGCGCTGTAGAGCCCGTCATAGTAAATTGACGGTGGTGCACTATGAGGGTACAGGGAGATAGTGCCAGTACGTGCGATAGGTGATATGCCGGGCTGCAACTGGAAAGGGACCGAATAATATGTCGGCAATGGTGAAGGCTCGGGCTCCGAGAGGCAGCGTGTATGTTTGCTCCTAGTCGAGGAGGAACTGAACGACAACCACTTTGTGTAAGGCGACTCCCCCTCGCTTTCCGCTGAGTTGCGGTAAGTAGACGACGTGAGCGCGGTGTCCGGTGTTCCATGCCGCGATGGTTCAACAAACGTGTTGAGGAGCAACGGACGTAGCGAAGCCCGGCGCCGTGTTTGAACGGGGTTCAGAATTACCGATTCTTGTCGAAAGAGCCTGCTGGGTGGACGATACGAATATTGTGACATGTATGAAGGGGCTGGGCTTAAGGTGCCAGTGCTTGATAGAGATGATACTCTGGGAGGGAATACGTGAGTGTCCGGCATCGGGCGTGGCCTACCCATTGCGCCGTACGAACCCACTGGTCGAGGCAACCGGCTTGTAGAAGGAGGATCCATAGCACGAGGCACAGTGCTCAAAGCTGATGCTCGGGGTGAGATCACCGATACTTGCGAATAGATAGAGTCAGGGCTCTTTGGACGCGCGTTTTGTTCAACATCATCCTGCAGTAGTTCAGTCGCTGACGCTGATGAAGGAGATTTGTCGGAGGTCCGGCTCATCCTCTTGGATGTTGACAATAGGTCAAGGCCAGTGTTGGGCACGGGACGAGGTACTCGGTACACCGCAAGCAAGAACGCTGTATAACACAGAACTGCCGGAGAGGGTTCATAAATTTTCATATGTAGCAATGAATATTGGCTCACAGAGGCCGATAATAATCCAGGCGTTTGCCAGGATGAACATATTCGCCTCATCGCAGAAACTACGCGAACCTGAAGAAAATACATCGGTGAATTTCCCTAAGACAATGGCAGAGAGACCTACTGAATATAGCACAAGAAAAACTGGACGTGGAGTGGGTGTAAGGAACAGTGCTACCTATGCAGATAATGGATACGCCATTGACAACTTTTTTGGCTGCTGACTTACCTAAGTGGATCGCGAGCAAGAATATCATCCGAGACAAGTCCGCCCAAAATCTGAACACCACCACGATCCTATTTGCAAATGAGAGACATAGTGAGAATAGTATCCAGAGAGACACAGCATCCCGCACATGAGGTAAAGCATGACGGAGGACAGTCCATTGACGCCTATCATCCCAAAGATGATACCACCTGCAGAGAATCCGCGTCAACTTCACAGTGCAGCTGAGGTAATACTAACTCACGTTGCAACGCGAAAAAATGATCCCATTCGCGGGCGAGATAAACCGAGAGTAATATTGTCCAGACTAAGCTAGAAATTGCAGCAACGGCTGTACAAGGTATGAACGGCTATTGCAACTCATAGGCAATTGAACAACTCACCAAAGACGACCTTCCGGACCCTACGAAAGAAAACCCACCATTCCATGGCGCAAGGAGTCTCAACGTACAAAAGAAGGTGGAAAACTGCTTAATTATACAAACGAACGAAAGTCGAACAGCAAAAAGCCCTCCAGGGAATCGAAAGAGTCGAACGAAGGAAAATGAATCTGACTCAGTCAGAGCCGACGAACAAGGGAGGAGGCCTGAAGAACGGCGAGGCATGGTATTTGAAGGTTATTCACAGCTCGCTGTCTTTGGGACGGCGCATCGGCGCCATTCAAACCATCACAACTTGACAGTCTCGCTACAGATCAGCATCAGTGACCTCCATGATGTGCGCAGCCTCAGTTAGACGTGAGTGCTGACGGCACCCATAGGCATCCTTACTGGAGGCCTGTCAACAGCGTTATATTGCATCGCCATAGCACTGATAGCAGTATGGCAAGAGACACAGGCTAGCGACAGGGAGAATTCACACGTGATGCGTGTTTTGACGCGGTAGTCACGGTGTGTCACATTGAGACACGCTCTGTCACGCGTACGCTGTGACGTCTTGTGGCGCCGTACGGTCAACGACAGTCGTCGACATGTCAGAACAACAGCCCCTCCTGTCCTCTCAGGACGACTCGTATGATGCGGAGACGAATCATGTCTCCGAGGAGTCCATGAAACGTAAGAGTTGGAGCGAGTCGACTGCAGAAACCCTCGAGTCTCCCACTTTGCACAAGACTATCATTGCTCTGGTGGGTGTTGTTCACGGCTCACGTCTGCTTTGACCGAAATTTCGCAGGCTGATAAACTAAATGACTAGGTTCTTATCGACTCCGGATGCGTTTTGGCAGATTTAGGATATGCATTCCTTAGCGAGACCTGTACTCCAAGCGAAGAGGGTCCGATTTGGCTCACAGTGCTTGCCCGCATCTCTCTCGTTATCACAACTTTCTTCCTGCTTGAAATTCCCATCACATTATGGGCATCTGGTTTGCGGTTTTTCGATCCGCTGGGGCGCGTCCCACATGCGACTCTGCATCTCTTCGATGCCATCGTGATTGTCACGACTTTACCCTTGAGGTCATCCTCCGCGGCCGTGAGAGAGAGCTAGCTTCCCTACTGATTATCCTTCGGCTGTGGCGACTCGTGAAGTTGGTTCAAGGTACGGTAACGTGTGCAATTACTCGCGCTGCATTCGTAATTTGCTCACGGTGCTTTTATGGCAGGTATCGCCGTAAGTGCTGGGGAGATAGAAGAAGGAGAGGCCAGAGAGCTTGAGAGTACTCGCCAACAGCTCGCAGACATGACAACGGCTCTCAAGGAAGCCCATGACGAGAATCAGGAGTTGCGCGCTCGAGTAGCATGGTTAGAGAACGGCACCTCAGGAGAGATGTAGTAAGTTGTATCTAGGGTCAGGACGTCCAGGTTAGATACCCCATTATCCTCTGGAAAGTCTATGTTTCTTGCGATAACACAGGATTATATTGATGTACTGTATGTTTAACAATGACCGAAGCCTCGATAGTATTACTCCGCCGATAATGTTAGTGATACACCTACGCTAGATGATACAAGGGGTCTGAGGGATAGCAAGAGCAATACAGTAAGCGAGCCAAAGCGCGAATTGTCGTCAATACAATGAAAAAACCGTCACTCATAAGTCATTGTTCACCAGAGCGAGGAAGGATCCGCCGTGGTCCACTCCGAGCGGTCACTGTGAGTATCGATGGGCAAATCCGGGTCGTCCACGTCTTCGGGGAACATCCCGTATGACTCCACGCGACTGGGCGAGGGCACAATGACCGGAAGATCTATGGCCTGGTGCAAAGATTCGTATTGCCCACTTCCACTTCTGCCATTCGGTTTACCCGCGACTCGCACGGGACCAGTGAGAGCCTTGGGCGGAAGCGCAGGAGTGGAAGCGGTGGTGGTGTCGCTCCAGGTGGATTTGAGCCTGACAGGTTCGCGCTCGGGCCCGGGTACGAGCTTCTCCTTCGTCGGTGATGGGAATGGCTTGTCCAATCCGCGTCGCGTCTCAATTGCCCTGGCCCAAGGGGGCCGGTCACTTCCCGAATTGTTGATAAGGACGGGAATGGGCGACGATATCTGACGCGGGGGTCCCACGAACACGTAAGAAAAGAAGGACGCAGTACGGGCCTCTTCGTCCGCGGCGCCTGTGTATTCACCAAAGACAGGATTATCGTAGACTGAAGACACCCTCTTCGCAGGCCGGAGTATGCGAGAGGGGGCCGCTTGGGGAGGGACATGTGCAGCGCCTGTGAGTCCCTTAAAGACAGGGCTCTCGTAGATGAAAGACTTTCTCTTTTCGTCACGAAAAGAATCCAAGGAGCTGCGCGAATCATTGACGGGAGTCGTCTCGGTCTCGGAGAACCACGGCACAGCTGCGACGCTTGTGGCCCATATTCCAGGGTAGATGCTCGAGTGGGTGACAGCAAGGCTGAACAGTCCGAGGAAGTAGATAGTGACTGCAAAGTAGTGAGCAGCCGCTTGAGGAAGAAACTTTGGAACCTACACAAGGAGCTTGAGATCCAAGTAATAGCCACCAATATGGTTGAAGACGCACACGCTGCCTTGTATGCTGGGATATTCCGAGTAAGCTTTGCGCAGAAACAATGCAGAAGGGAAACCAAAGCGCACCTCCTGACGGGCACGTGGATGGCGGCCCGCTAATAGTGATGTCAAGAGCAGAACCTGGCGGAGCACGTCAAACCTTTACATTCGCATTTCAAGGCAGTGTGACATACTGAGCTGTAAGATGCACAAGATACCCGTCCAGCCACACTCGAACATAATTCGTGGGGCCCACCTTGTCGGAACGAATGCACTTGCAGTAGTTCTGCACGGCCGTGAGTGGCCACCGAGTGGGGAAGAATAAGATAGAACGTACACAACCAAAAAGAAGAACAAGATGAGGGCATTCATGATCACAAAGATCGGTGGCCCGTACGCTGGACAGGGAGAAACGTATGATCAACTGCCACACGCTGAAATATAGACGGTGGCATACCATGGATACCATAACTTTTCAACGCTGCGATGTTCCAAGCTGCAATCCCAAGAGCGAGCGAATTCAAGTAGAACAAGGAGGCTTTATAGTAGGTGAGCTTAGCAACATGCCTAGGATACAGGAAAGAAGACTCACCAAAGAAAACAAGTCGTAATATGACGATTGGGCTTGGCATGTTCATCAACGTCGTTCTTCCGAGGCAAGCACCCGATATACGGAGAACGTTCCTAGGATTGCGATTAAACGAATGACTGATAATGATAGTCTATAGCAGCAGAAAGAGCGTCGCAGACGTCGAGGAAAGTAGGAAGCAGCTGCAGGAAACTGAGAAGGAAGTGAAGATTTAACGCAGTCAAAGACCGCTTGGGTCACAAAAGGGTGGGTTGTGGCCAAACATGGCTTCAACGGTGTAAACAATAACGGCGATTAGAGAACAATGAACATGTTCAGACCCGTGGGCGCTTCAAGTTGCCGAAGCGGGGTCGCAAGCGCCGAGAGGTGAGTTGCAGTAACAATCATTCTCCGATCTACCTCCGCGGAATAATGAGCAGCGCGAATATTACGGAATTAGTTCTCAGGTGCATTGCTTGTACGTTTACATTCAACAAAATTGCAGAGTGGATGGAGTGCAAGTGATAGTAGGTGTACAACATTGATGCCTGGCGAAGCTAGTACTTCAGTACCACGGCGCTCGCAATGCAGCGCGTCCCAGTTCTACTAGTAGTACCCATCGAGCAGGCTGCGCCCTACCAGGAGAAAGACGATGGCCTCAACCACGTCTAGCTAGGCACCGCAGTGCGAACTGGAGTGGGCGGTAAGCGTGTCACAACCGCCACTCCAAGCGACGACCTGATTCCCCATCATCCTGCAGATTGCTGCGGCTGCTGGAAAGTAGGCTGATACGATGTCGCGAGAGTGAGGTCCAAGGGCGGCGGTCTATGCAGGTGTAGACTGCGCTTCCCTTTGCGGAGAAGCCTGTTTCGAGAAGCGGACAAGGGAGTGGAGGGTTGAGGTGCAGCAGCGACAGTAGCGGCGCTCGCTGTAGGCACCTGGGAAGGTGACGGTGCTACTACCTGAATCGCAGGCACGGACGGTGAGGTAGGTGGGGGAGGAGCTGGCGGCTTGCCTCTGGCACTCAGAGGTACAAACGACAACATGGCAGCGGTGCGGGGAAGTTGCTGCTGCAGGCGCATTGGAGATGGACCTATCGGAGAAGGTGCAGACCGAGGTAGCTGTTTCTCCACGTCATACTGTGGTCTTGTTACCATCCGCTTCGAAAACTCCGTCTGAAGGATCGGATCTGGTCGAAGCTTGAAGGACTTTCTGTCGACCTTACCCTCGGCCTTACTGGGAGAAACTGGTGCACTTCCCAGTGACGCACGGACAATAAACCATGGATAATCCGGTATACTGGCCTGCCAGATGTCCGGATCGTCTTGGTGATGCCGAACGACAGCATTCGCGAAGACGCAGAAATAGGCGAGGACTAGATACCATTGAGTATAAATGATTATGACCATTAAACGCAGCGGCCTACAATTTACGGCACCAATCCATGTGAATGCGACCAGTACTCTCAAGGAGGTACAGAGATCCAATGAGGGAGTCAGCGCTACAGGAACGCATACATTGAGAGGAATGCATATCACAGCTGGACAAATCACCCACGTAGGGAGTGACAAACAACAGTTGACGTCGTAGCTGAAACAGCAACAGCACCAGCTGTCAGGAGAGGGATGTCAGGCCGAGCGTTTAAACATAATCAGCACGACCTTACCCAGTAAAAGCAGTGAGGAAATGGCAACCCAGATACACTCAAACCATATTCGACTGGTCAAAGCATTTCGACGGAATATGTCAAGGAACAGTCTGAATGGAGGTCGGTCAAATGACGGGCAATAATTTGGATCGTACACACATTGGAAATATGATCAAGACCCCTGGGGCATTCACACAAATAAGGTATATGTCCACCTGGACCACAGCTTATATGGAATTGCCATTCAGATAGATGCACGTCATTTGACTCATAGAATAACTCACCCGTTTGCAAGGCCGCTTGCGCAAGATTCAGACTCCATGCCGACACGCCGAGGATGATGACCGCGCAGACGATGTAAAGAACTGGTATTCGAGTTATAGAATGAGTCGCAAATGCGACATGCACTATGGCCTCACCGAATGTGAAATAACGATACGAAATAAGCAAACTGGCCATGTTGGGAACTAGCCGGGATGGACAGAAACCGCTCAACGGTGAAGAAGAGTATGAAGAAAACACAGATCAGAGAACCCAGCTCTGTGCCCCGGAATCCAGTCCAGCAGCGTTCCACAGACAGGCGTGGAGAAGGAGAAAGAAATTGTCAACGTGCAGTGCGCTCGCTATATGAGATCGGTGCTTAGTAGACATGACAACCAAACACTGATCCAGATCTGAAAGGCACAGCCGCCCACACGGCGCCTATCATAACGTTTTGCAGTGACGGCGACAGTGCCCACCGACAGCTGGCAGCGGAACGAAACTTCTTGGTTGACCTCTGGCGGGGTTCGTGGATTGACTCTATGGCATGCGCCGTACCTCGCCATTGCTGGATTTCCCCGAATTCTCCCTGTTAGAATGTCCAGGCTGGCGCGAATATAGGGTGGAGAACCCGCGGCTGGTTCACACTGGAGCGCACACCCTAAGGAGGATACTCCACTGGTATTGGACAGATGCCACTTTGCCGCTCCTAGCAGCCATTCTCTGGCCTTCGGTAGGTGTCTATAGTGGTCCGGCGCATAGAGAACTCACAACGTGCCATGATCCTATCTAGGTCTCTAAGAATCGTGTTGCTGTCGTGGGCCTTGTGTCTGCGGTGCTGATATACCTCTATACCCGATGCACGCAGGTTTTATGGGGTGCGAACATTTGCGAAAGTCCCGGTGCTGCATCTTTGATACCTTCTCCATAGAGTCCGTCGTCGTTCTCCCGTCTCTCGGGATCCAGTTGGAGACACATCAAGGGTTGCCGTCGCTCCCACTGTTCACCTCCCGTCGGTTCATCCCGCTGTCGTCTTTGCAAGATTTCGTCATAAACGAAGGCTTGCGGCGATGGGATATTCGTTACTATCTGGTGGCAATTCAGCGCTCTCAGAATGGGGTCATCAGCCTAGAAGTTGCGTATGAGGTCCGTTTACAATCCCGAGATTTTTATGACAGGGCGCTTATAGATCCCGTAGAATCTTCTGCCTCGGTTTGCTGTACTCTTTGAGGTATACCACGGCGTACATGAGACCTTGCTCGGCGATGGTTCGAAGCAGGATGAGCATGAGAATGAAACATAGATATCATGCGACATGTAAGGCCTATATAAGTGAAAAGTGCACCAATTACGACCGGGGTATGTACGCCTTGTCACCAGCGTGGATTAGACGTCCTCGCTCTCGTATGCGCTAAGAAGCTCATTATATCCCTCATCATCACCTTCCACGGCGGCGCTGTCGACGCGCTTGAGCTTCGCATCGTCCCGGTCTCCAGACACCTTGCGGACCCTAATGTTGCCATCGCCAGATGTTTTCCGTACACGAGCATCCCGTCCATCATTGGACACTTTCCGTGTCCGAGTTTCACTATTGGCTTCGCCTGAGTTCTTTCGCACACGCCTGTGTGGGCGGGGAGAGGCTGACGCAGGTGTGGGCTCGACCGTGGCATCTTCAAAGGTCGTAGCACGAGGTGTCGTCGCATTGTCATTCTCGTCCGGAAGCTCAGGAGCCAACGTCTTCTGGCCGAACTCGTTAGTGCTCGTCTTCGTATTCTCTCGGGCACGCAGACTGGCGAGGCGGGGAGGGTATCGCCTAGACTTTATGCGGGGCATTCTCGAGGGCGGTTCGGTTGTAGAGGAATCTGAGTTGTTCTCGTCTTCGGGCATGCGAGGGAACACGGAGGGTCTCCGAGAGAGCTTGAATTCTTGCACCTTGACTGGTAACTCTGCACTCGACTGGGTGAGCACGACTGATCCCCGCTGTGGCTCCGAGTCCTTGACCTGGACTCCGCTGTTGGTGTTCGTGACCGACGTGTCAGGAGTGTGTGGGAGTGGCGGAGAAGGGACTGTCGCAGGTGAATCCGGGACATCGACACGACCCCAGCCTTTCGCGCTCTGGCTGTCGTCACTACCATGTTGAGAGATTTCTCCGGACGTCCGCCGATGTTGTACTGGAGGACTGGCAGGCTTGACGTGTATCGTAGATATCCGTGACTCCCGCGCCGCAGGCGATGGTGAGCTTCGCAGAGGAACAATCCTGCTACCGAAGCCGTCGGATTCACGGTCGGATCGGGTTGCAGACCTCGGTTGCGAGCGCCGCGCGTCAGCAGGTGAGGCGGAAGATAGAGACGACTGTGAATCCCTGTGGACAGGAGAGTGTCGGTTTTTGGCACGAACCATCTCTGCCCATTGTTGGTCTGTGGAGAGCGAGAGTGAGCTGTTGGTTGGAGAACGCGAATGCCCAGTAGGGCGCCCAGCTGTTATCAGCGACGCTGAGTTCAACAACAAAGGGCGGGGACCCGACTTTCTCCCACTTGCACTGCCTATTGAGCCAGTGTCAGACACAGGAGATACTTCGTCACTCCTCGGGGAGATTGGGGAAAGCAGCGATTGTCCCTGAGGTAGGACGATGCTATCCCTTACGGGTCGGAAGAATGCAGGCCGTTCTGGAGGCGAATACAGACTGGACCGGTCAGCTGTGGGTACTGAGCTCCTTCGGTTATCCACCTTGGCTTTCTCCTCCTGTAGTGTAGCACGTCTTTTCATATCGAAGTCAACCGACGAGGGCTTGAATCGTGCAGGAGGAGGGGGAGGGGGAGTCGGTGGTGCGGATTCTGTGACGTGGCTGCCGCTCGCGCGTTTACTCCACACATCCATTGCCTTGACACGCCAATTCGTACTGACTTTGGCCAATGTCGCAGCTGCGTCGGACTCTTTGAACTTCTCAGCATAACCAAACAGCATAGAGCGGCCACGAGCAGGAAGGGACGTCGTAGGAACATCCTTCGGCGGGATCTCTGGCTCTGGTGGGGCAACAAGCTCCGCAGGGGACGCCGGGGGTTCAGGAGACGGCGGAGGCTCCATTGCGCTCTGATTGCTGATGCCACGCCAGACGGTATTGGCCAAGCGTGCCGTCAGCGTGGGCGCACCAGCATTGACAGACTGGTCCGTCTTGTGTTCATCCTCTTCATACTCATCAGATTCCGCATCGCTGTCCTCTTCGACGTGGGTTTCAAGGGTGGGTCCTTGGTTAGCGAAACCCCTCCACATGGTATCTCGAAGACGGGCTCCTATGCTCGTCTTGCTTGCGTTTACGGCGTTGGCTTCAGCTTCCCGTTGAAGAGTCAGATCGTATGCAGTTTGCAATACGTTCTCGATACCCCCAACTTTCTCCAAGGGATATTGCTGCAGGAAAGCCATGCCTTCCGCAAACGCATCCTCCAATTCGCGAGCTCCCGAAGAAGTTGACCGTATCGCAGCGTTCTCATCAGACCAAAGATCGGGCTTGATACGCCGTTTCCCCAATCTATGGTGAAAGATTAGTTACACGTGGAGGATCCAGCAAAAAAGACACGCACTGGAGAAGTGCACTTTTGGCGCATAGAAGCATACTGGTGCAAGTATCCGTGAGGTAGTCAAGTTTGGGGTTGGCGTCGCGTTCCCGCGTGGGCCGAGAAAACAGCGCATCCCAGACCATCAGGACACCAGGTAAGGGGAGGGTGTGTGTGAGTAGAGTGATAAGCCAACGACTGCAGTATATTGTTAATTGGACCATGTTCGTTATCAAATCGAACAAGAACGCACTAAGAGTAGTGAGGAAGTGCTGGATCCAGACCCTGGGTTTGCTAAACAAAACCAATCAGTTCCAGGGAAATCTCTTCTAAACGTAGCATCACTGACCAGATTCGCAGCAAGCTCCGGGTCGGCCCACTCCAACCGCTCACCCAATTTGCGTGTCCAAAGGTTGCCGTTCCCCTCGTCCTCCAGTTCCGCAAACTCGCCGATCATGGCTTCAAACACCCAAAAAGTGTCCGCCTCAACATGAGCCAGATCTTGTACTTCGACCTCCTCGTTCAGGGCGGAGTAAATGGGAACCAGGAGTGACGCTATCTGTGGTGACCGGTTCGCCGGATTCAAGCAGTAATGGATATACAGGAGCCGAAGCAAAGCAGACGCATGCTTCTGATGTGTGCCCATAGCAGAGTAAGTGCGCGATGCAAGCAAAGTGGTATGCGGCCCAGAATTACTTGAAGTCGGCGATCCAGGCGTAGACAATCCAGGAGTCACCGGAGTAGACGCACCATCCTTCTCACCAGGAGCTTCGGCAGTAGTTTTCACACCCGGATTATCCTCTGGGTTCTCCAGCCGAATTTCCGGGGTACCCTCCAGGCGGATTTCTGGAGTCACGTCATCTGAGGCATCCGCAGATTCAGCTTCCCGGAGGACACGTAGACGGGAAGTCAGATTTTCAGCGCAGCTGATCTTGATGTCCTCAGAAGCCGTACTATCCAATGGGCAGAGGGCTAAAGCCTCTGGGTCCTCTTGCAGCCCACCCAGAAGGTTTGACGGAACCTGCGACAATTCATTTGACACGTCCATCAACGATGCGTCCAGGGGGCCCAGCGGACTTGCGGGAGGGGCGAGTGAGGAGAAAGGCTCGAGTAAGCGTCGGACGAGATCCTACGACAATATTAGAGACAAGCGGATTGATGCGCAGGTCGAACACACATAGTAGCTTTCACGGTTCTTACGCGTTTCATCGCCCCAGGACGATTTTTCGACCGGAAGTGTGCCCAATAAGAGCCTTGTCGGATATATACATCAATGCGATAAGCTTACAGCGCACGGACTCACCTCCATATCCTAGGTCTCAGCCACGATGGATATTCCGGTAGACCTAGGGCATGTTCAGCTTCTGCGCGACTTCTGTAGAAAAGAAGCATTTACCGTGTGAACATAGCATTCGAAGACGTGTCATGTCAATTACAGGAGTCGTTGATGGATCCAGCATCTCTGACAACGCGTTGACTCTGCACAGTTCGAGGCCAGTCGTTAGTGGGCAGAGGGTGAACGAGAGCAGCGGGCCCGAACTTTTCGTGTGGTTGAATATCAGGCATCCAGTGCACGCTATGTGCTCTTGCAATGTTGAAGAGATACTGATCAAGTCTGGCTGCAGAAGGAGGAGGGGCAGAGAGAGCACGTAAAACCTGAGTCCAATGAGTACCGACAATGTAGATGCCTGGAAGACATGCTCACTCTTGACGACACATAATGGTCTCTATTCCCAGCAGCAGAACGAGCGAAGTCGGGACCAAGACGATGAATCAATAGGTCTCGGACTACCTGAAGGTCTGAGCGAGTGGGGATGAATCAGACGAAGACGCGCATAGTATCTCGCTATTGACCTCTGGACTGTGTTTGTGGAGTAGCGTAGATGATACTTGAGGCAGCTTCAACCAATACTGGACTCGGAGGTTCGCTGTGGCAGTCCACGACAAAATCTGTGACACGGTTATGACATCTTGTGCTGACGGTGCTCACCTTCGTTCAAACTCGTTCAAATGCCCTAGTACGACACCGACATGCATTTCCAGCGTCTGAAGGAGATCACCCGAGGCATCTTCATTGATTAACTTGTGGGCCTTGGCCCGTGCAAGGGCAACATTTCCCTGCTGAAGAAGCGTTGCAATATCTCTCCGCGTAATCTGGGCCTGTGCCTCTAACTTGTCTTGCAACTGGCCCAGACGTTGGGCAGTCAGACGAAGTTGAGACTGGCAAGAGACCAGTGTCAGAGTCCGGAAGGGAATAGGGCGGGCACAGTCGAACCTTGACTCTCGCGGGCTCCCAGCCGGCCATAGCGAACGCGTGAAATGTGCTAGTTTGTGCAGGGGTATCTAATGGCGATGGAATGGAGTTATATGGGTATCGTGTGGTGATTTCAAAGACAGTGAAGACGTTGGGACATCAACCGCAGAAGGATTACAGCAGACTGGGGAGTGTGTAGGGCATGAGATGCCGCATCTCAAAGGTGCATGTACTAGAACGGGTGCACGTGGCATTGGCGCTCCGCGGCAGTTCTCGCCAAGTCGGGAGAATAACGAGCTTTAACAAGTTCAACAGGCGCAGGCATAGCATAGACGGCGCCACGGACAGTGATTGCAGTCGTCGACACGTTCGGTTCAGCCCATTCGACCATCTAAATGGAGGGGTAGCACCCAAGTGTGTTCATGTTTAAGCGTTTATTTCACAAGCGTTCCACAGTTAATTCGAAGAGAATATCCGTGACGTATGTGGTACGTTTACAGTTGTGCGTTTCTAAGTCAGTAGAAGTATTTGGGCAACGGTTTGGATAGTCTTCCAGAAGACCGGGGGCTGGAGTCATCCGACTCAAGGTCCTGGTTGTCCCGCGAAGCAGGCTGCATCGCAGGTGCCAGCCAAGGTAGCTGCGACGAGCCATCAACACCGTTTGACTGATCATGATGGATTGACGTGAACGTGTTCGCGGAAACTCGCTGGGGCGGTAACATCATTGGCAGTTCGGACTGCCGTTTCTCAAACGATTCGAAGGCTTCAGGATCTTGCGAACGCCATATGAGGACGACGCCCAAGTATATCACATACGCGAGCACTATGAATGCACCCCGTATGATTAGCACCCGTCCACAAGTAAAGGAAGGAACCTCACGAAGTGCGGGATTCACCCAACTGCCACACAGTATGACAAGATTGATGTCTCTGCACGAGGCAGCTGTGTCTATGGTTGGCGGCGTTAGATATGTTACTCCAGAGTTTGGACCTGGCACAGCAATATACCCACTTTGAGGTGGACAGCTGAACTGCGAGAACGATAGCGTGTAAATAATGGCAGTCCCTGTCCAAGACGTTAGGATGATAAGAGGCCACTAGAGTTATGTCGACCCACCGACGTGCAAGAAGAGGAGAGCAAGCAATGGTGCGGCATCTACCCATGCTCTGAAGTCAACAGTGAGCCTACCTGAATACGTCAATATATATATGCGGCTCGAGATTCTTGCAACATCACCCACATGGTAGGTAAAATGACAGCTGACAACCAATTTGCAACGATAAAAACGACGACAATTTCTCCTGCAAGCACGTCAGATCAGTATGACCAGCCGAATACGGACGAAACCCACTTTGTGAGCTATCTGATATATCCCACTTGATGAATAGCCAGACACTCAACAGCGTGGTCCATACGAGGCTAGTAAGCATGATGATAGCTAGAACAAACTCAGTCGCTAAGTCGCAGCAAGATGAAGAGGAGCGCTCACCAAAAGCCATTGTCCTGAGCTTCAGAAATGCAGAAAAGTGCCACATAATGCGAGTAAAATAACCAATACAAAGATACTCCGAAGGTCGAACGCAAGATCGAATTTGCTGCCAGCAGAGAACGTGAACAAGACCAGCTTCAAGAGTTGCAGACAACGCTAGCCAGATCCTTCCAGGGGATCGAGAAAAGGAGCGAACGGAAGAGACTGGGTGTCTTCACCGACTAGGATGGCAGATCTGGGAAGAGTACTTGCAGGATCCACATTAATTATCTCTGTGTTGAATGAAAGAACAAAGGGCGTTCAGCAGAACAATTGTCAACAAGCGCCTCCTGCCGCTTTTGTACCTGCTTGTCCAGAACAGGCAACGCCATCACCCTGTATGGACTGACGATCTTGTGATCTCTGCAACAATGCATGCGTCCACAGTTAGTGAATAGTCGGCCGAGCTCGATGCATTTGCAACCAAGAAGACGCGTGGGACGACGGTTCAAACTATGTTACAATATACTAATCTTACTACGTAGGTTGGGATAGCACAAAACAGAGAGCACGAACAAGAAGTCAGGCTAATTAATCACAATATTTACTACTACTCTGCGGGGAGGGTGTTCTAACTAGGTAATAGCTGCTACAACGTGTGCAAGAAGTCGAACGGAATGGGGATGGTACAGCTAAGCTTAAATAGTGCAGAAGTCCGATATCTTCGATGGTGAACAGTCTTCTCAGATGTATGATCTAAGGAAGGGCGCATCCTAATTGAAGGAGGTGAAGGGGTTCGTGTGGGCGACGGGAACTGGGGGGACGAGTGCATCTGGTATAAGGTCATCGCGGTTTGCTTGTGGAGGTTTGCTGACATTATCTGAGTAGTTGAGGAGGGTATCTCTCCGTGGAGGAGAGAACAATCGCATGGCTGCGTTTGCGTCCTGCTTCGCAGTATCCAAGCTTCCTCCTCGGCAAGCTCCGGAGTGAGCCTCCGCATGTATCCCAGCGGATGATGCATGAGTGTGGCATGGCCCTGTGCGCAGTATGTAAAGGAGAAAGGATGTAACGGCATCAACTGGGCGACGGAGGCGGTGGACGGGAGAACATGAATGCACTCTTCGTCGCTTCCGGAGGTCCCGCCACAGGAAGTGCGACGGTGTGAGCAAGCACAGAATGTGCAAACGCGCGGACGTCATGCGAGGTGTCGTGCTCCAGGTGTTGCGCGTAAGCCGATATTCTCTCGAGAACGAGGGGGTTATCGTAGTAGCGTTCTGTTAAAAGTCTTATGAGACTTCACATGGCCCAGCCTCATCGACAACGTACCAGAAACGCTTCCAAGCAATCGAGCAACATGAATGCGGACGTCTACCACTGGATCATGCACGAGGGCGGAGAGCGCCTCCCAAAATGCATCATCGGTAATGACTACATCACCCTGGTTCGAGACAATGAGTACTTGCTGGCATCTGATATACGTTGTCCGTTTGCGGAACGATTCTGACAGGGCCAGTGCCCCGATATCGGAGCAGAGCTCTGCGAGTACCTCTGGGTGCGGCCTCCATGTTTTCATAAACGCGGGGATCTGGCAAAAAGGTTCAGCCGAGAAACTTAGCCCTCGAAAAGACGTAAACTCACTACATCGACTGCGGCTTCTCTTACCGCCGCAACATTGTCTTCCAGCGCGGCCATCAGCAACCTCCGCAGGGTAGCCTTCTCGAGGCCCTCAATAACCACAAACGCTTCCAGCTTCTTCGCCAGCTCCTCCCGTTCTCTCCAACCCTTCATTCGCCCAGCACGAAACTCCAGCTCGAGAGTCCTCACAACCTCCCTCCTCTCTGACTCTCCGATTGCGCACAAGAACACGTCCACATTCTCCACCGCCTTCAAACGCACTTCGCTCTCTGCGGCGCTCACGCTCGCTGCCCACACCTGCATCAGGTCATCGCGCGCGTGCTCCCAGCCAATGATGTTCGCGAGCTCGCCGAGCGACGCCGCCAGCGTGCGGCGCACCTTGAACGACGCATCGCGTGCAAGCGTGCGGTACAGCTCGCGTAGCTCCGGCCATCGGGCACGCCCGAGCGTTAGCGCGACTGCCGGGTAATTAAACGCGCACACAAGCGGGCGCGCGGGGTCATCGTAGATGTCCGTATCTGAGCCCACTCCCACACTGAACTCGCTCCAACTCGAGCCGGACTCTGATACGTCGGACGCTAACGGTCCCGGCGGGCGGCCAGAGGGCAGAGGTTGCTCAATGGCTAGGGTCTCGTCGCGGACACCGAGAAAGAGGTCAAGCAGTGCGCGTGGTGGGCCCTCCAAATCGTCGGTGAAGGTGTGCATCACCTCACCCAGCGCCTCGAGCACCGCAGAGCGAACTGTGGGAGACTCGTCGCGCGCGAGCGGAAGCATAACGTCGAGCGCGAGGGCGCGGCGTTCATCCAGCCCGAGGCGCGACAGGATTGCGGGTAGAGCAAAGAGCACAGAGTGCCGGACATGCCAGGTCGCGTCTTGGCAGAGCGACTCGAATAGGGGGAGCTATGGCAGCGCGATCAGTATCCAGATCAGCACGATCAATCGGTGATCACCTACCAAAGACGAGACAACAACTTCGTCAGGAACGACCTTTGCTAGCGCGCCCACCGCGAACGTTGCCTCCCTCCTCACCCAGTATACCGGATCGCGGCCCACACGTTCCACCTCCGCGACGAACGCGTCGCACATCTCGTGCCCCATCGCACCTGTTGGGTAGAAAGAGCGGGGATGGAAGTTAGAAAGAGTATTATCATCGGTGTCAACCGCTGCGCAGAAGCATTAACGCAATAAGCGGGAAGGGTCAGATACGCACCACTGGCAGTCACGGCAGCCACAAGGCTCATGCTCGACAGACGGCCTACGGCAGCTTCTTCACTGAGGCTGTCATGACCCTCTGCATCTTCATGCTCACCCGAAGCACCGTATTCTCCGGTGATATCCTGCATCTGGATATCATCCCCACCCTCCTGCTGAGCAGGGGTCTGCCACTCGTCCTCCATGTGCACATTATCCCGCAGCTCAATGTCGTCCGCGATATTAATACCCTCCGCAGGAATATGCGGCGCCGGTAATATCGCGGGAAATGCCAAGGCGGGTCTCGGGCTGGGCGGGCGCCGCTTTTCTACAGTCCGCGATTCGACGTTGATTTCCTCCACGCGCGGCCGAGGAGACATATATTGCTCAGACTCGTCCCACGAAGGTAAGTCAGCCCGCGGGTGTGAAGCGGGCGAGTCCAGTGAGGACGACGACACGGACGACGCTGAAGAAGACGACGTAAGAGACGGAGTAGACGTGGGCGATGATGCTGATAACGATGACGAATTGGAAGGTGCGGTGGATAGCGGTAGAGATGACAACGCACCGGACAGTGGTGTAGATGCAGACGTGGATGACAAGGGAGACAACGAGGGCACCTCGGACATCGGCGTGGGAGGCGTGAAATTGTCCTGATTTCGCACAGGGAACTCCCCAGGGGAAGATTCGGGGAAGAACGAGTTCGCCACAGGTATGGGCGAAGAGACAGTCTCAAACAACGGAAAATAAGAATCTTGCTGCTGCTGCGCGCCAGCGAGCGGGGTAGGCACAGCGGTCGTTGGGCTATAAGTCGCAGAAGGCGAATCCAAGTCCATCGCCGAACTCTCACTCTCACCTCCATCTATCGAGATCGAGGCGCTATCGTCGGGCATATCGAGGCGACCCATCCCGATCACCACCTGGTGCACGATCTCGCGCTCGAAGAGACGGCGTTCAGCATACCCAAGTAGGCCTACGTCGAGCGCATCAGGTATCTCCTGCTCGGCAGCTGCCCTGACATTGAGCAACAGGCCCGGACCGAGCTTTGCGTTGCGGAGTTTCGCGGTGGCCGCTGCAACATACGCGGACCCCTCGTACTCGCGCTCGTCGGCGTGCCGCACGCGCTTGAGCAGCTCGACGACAGCATAGCGCGCGGGCCCCCCGACGAAGCCGTTCTGGCTAAGCAGGAGCATGCCGAGGATGGGGGTGAATGCTTGCACGGAGATGAACGTCGGGTGGGTCGGAGGCACTGATTCGACTTCCGCAGCGGGTGGTGGATGGTCGACTGCGGGAAGAGGAATGGCAGGAGGAGTAATCGGTTCGACGGGGGACGCCAAGGGCGAGAAGGATACAGACGGCGGGATGAAGTCATCTTCGACGAGCCTGCAGTGAGTGATAAACCACCAAATGATAGGCACGAGCTCCGCAGCGAGCGCTTCCTTGACAGCTTCGTCTGTGGGGGCGGTTCATAGTCAGTAAGTTAATTAATAAAATTTACCATTGACAGGTGTGAGTGCGTCCATTGTGTTGTGAGCGGTGAACATGCGCGGAAGCAGGTACGTTAATGAAATCAAGTGACGTCACCGATATGTATGAACGGGTTGCCGATGGGAGGACAAACGAGGTGAGGCACAACGTAAATCACAAATTTGTTAGCACGTTGCAAGCACGCATCAACAGCCGGGGGGTAGGAGGACACGTACCATCGTCCATGGCGAGGCCGTTGAGGAGCGGCAGCACATACTCGACCGCCTCGCCGGGGCTGATCTGCTCCGCCTCCTCTCTACTTGGGTACTGGGCGTCAGACGCCGCGTCAGATCCAAGATAGCGGGGGAGTGCATGCGCAATGAACACGCGGTGGAAGCCCGACGGACTCCGTGAGAAAAGGTATATTTTCTCAAGCGCACTGAGGCCGTCGGCATCGAACTCGGTGAAATCAAGAACGGGATCCACAGACGGGGAGGTGATGTCGGCAGGGGAGAGCGCCAGATCAACGCCGACATGCAGGGGACGGACTAGATCGAGAGGTGCGCTTGGGCTGGTCGGGAGTGGGTCTATCGCGGGTGGTATGCGTAATGGAGGCGAAGGCGTGAACGTGGAGATGGTAGGATTGGGCGGGGGGATAGAGATGCGTAACCCAGACGCCCCGGCGCTCCCACTATATGTTAATACGCGGAAAAATGAGAAGACACAAATAAATATTAATAAGAGGTTCAGAGCGGACGAGACCAAAAATGCACCTGAAGGAAGCTGGAAAAGACTGGGTGGACTGGGGATCATCGGCCGGGGCGGTAGATAGGGCGGACGACGAGCAGTTGGCGGGGTGAGAAGTCTGCGAATCAAACGGGTTAGAGCACTGCTGGGACGGCGACGACTTGTGCTGCAGTGGCGAAAGGCTCGCGCGAGTGATAGGAGCGAGGGGCCCGATGATAAGTTGGGGCGAAAGGATGCCAATACCGATGGCGTGCGAACTGTAAGGGAGAGATTCCAGAGGTGGTGATGCCAACACTTGATGCTTTTCCGGGGGCACGGAACGGTCAGTGGGCGGAGAAGGTGCGCGCTCGGACAGCGGGGAAGGCGGGTAGTCGGGCTTGGGGGACGAGGAGCGGGAGGACGAGGAGGCTTGGCTCGAGACGGATAGTTGGGTGTCCATGGAGTGGCGGGGGAATAAAAACGAGACGATAATCCCCATGAAGCAAGCGAGCTTGCCCTTGGGAAGGATTAAGGAGAAAATTGAGGGAGGAGGAGGAAGGACGTACGACGGAGCGAAGAGGACGAGAGGAGGAGGAGCAGACGGTGAGAAAGAAGGACGGAACGGGAAGAGGGAGAGAAGCGCAGGCAAGAGATATATGACAAGTTGCACGAGGACGCGGGCGGCAGAGAAAGTTCAGGCTGCGACTATGACGCACGCGCACAGGCAGAACGGACGGACTGCAGGAGCTGGAAAAAGCGTATGCAGCAGAGCGGCGGAGACGGGGTATGTTTCGTCGGTGGAAGCTGCATATGCTGCTCTGTGATTGGCTGCGGAGAGCGAGGAGGAGCTTGAACGATGGACGAGAAAAGAGGCACCGGGGGGTGATGGGCCGTCGGGGAGACTAATCTGGAGCCGTCGGAGACGAATATCCAGAGGGAGAGCACGGCGGGATGGGGAACGGACAGAACTTGCCAGAAAAGGACGGAGGACGGGGGCGGGGAGACTGGCACAACAGGGAAGGAAGGCGGGGGCGGGTGGCAGGTGCTCGGGATGGTTCGTCGGTTGCTCTCAGCGTGCGGTGGCTCTCGTCTCGGGCGTCTCCCATTTTCAGCCGTCCCATGACGTCACTCTCTCAGGCACTCCACAACGTCATCCCTTCCCACGATCGGCTTTTTCCTTCCCTGTAAGGCAACTCTTCTATTATACATCCATGTCTGCCCAGTCCGCTTAGCAAATCCTACAACTGGCCCCGCACCACTTTGTCTAGGTTCTCCGCAAAGTACCGTATGTTGTGGCTGTTCAAACCCGCCATCGATATCCTCCCGTTCGTCGTCAGATAGATATGTGTCTTGTCCGTCAGCGCCTGGCTCTGTTCCGCGCTGATCCCAGTGAAACTGCCAACGGCTCATATCAGCTCCTTTGGTCCCAAACTGCCCTTCTTCCATCACCCCACCGATCCACATAATTCTGTCAATCACCGCACTTCGGCATGTCACCGGCATTCCGTCACAGCTGGTCCGTGCGGCAGACGCCGCCCGCGCACCATGTCTACGGCAGAACCATCGAGCAGACGTCCGCCGATTGGCTGGTACACTCTAAACTGTCTCGCGAGACGTTCTTCCGCTCCGAAGCGTAGCTACCCTTCCTTGCGAGGGCCTAGAAGTACTACGATAGCCCGTAACAGAGACTCGGAACGGAAGCATATCTTTGCGGACGGCGCCGTACCTGTTCTCGCGGCGAATGGAACAAAGCAGAGCGGCCTCGACGACATCGGCAACGAAACCTACGCCAGCGACCCTCAGCGACCCCGCCGTAGTCACTCACGAGACGCGATCGATACCAACAACACGGCGGCAATCATTCACCCGCCCTCAGAATGCAATCGACACCAAAGCGGAGCATCCATCCAACCTACATCCGAACACGTCGCAGAGCGGCGGCGTATGATTGCCGCCTCAGCGAAACACACATTCCAGCGACCATCGAGAACGAACGGAGGACGCGTCATGCGAAGAGGATACTCACCTGAACATCCCAATCTGGTTCACGATGTGGTCCCAATTTCCGGGCGTCTTCAGCTCCTCAGTCAACAGCCTACGCAGCTCCTTGCGCATAGCGATGATCCGCCCGGCCATCGTCCGGATGTCACGCTTCCACTCCTCAAACAGCGCAGAGTCGTTCAGAATCAGCGCGATCTGCATAAGCCAAATGCACGCGTCACGTTTGGGGCAGAGAAATTGTACCGCAGACGTTTAATGCTTTAGTCAGAAAACCGCGGACACGCGAGGAATGACGAACGCACCAGACGCGCACCGTGCGCAGGCGGGTTGCTAATCTCGCTGCGCGTGAGGACAGACAGTTGGCTCTTAATGCGGGTCGCGGCCTCCTCCGTCGGCGCGATGACGTGCAGCGCGCCGACGCGCTCACCATACAACCCCGCATTCTTCGCGAAACTCTACGCCGGTCTCTTTAGAAATTACAGCCAACTTAGGACACATGACGGCATGCGCACCTGACAGATCAACAACGGGACGTCCCTCCGCACGAACTCGCGCACCGCCCACGCGTCCGCGTCCAAGTCGCCGCTCGCGAAGCCCTGGTAGGCGCAGTCGAAAAACACAAAATGACCCTTCTCGAGCATCGCGTCCGCGATCTGGCCCCACTGCGCGCGCGTCGGGTCGACACCGGTCGGGTTATGTGCACATGCGTGGAGAAGGAACACGGAGCCGGCTGGCGCGTCGCGCAGGGTAGAAAGGAGCTGAGGGAACGCCAACCCGATCGTGCGCGCGTCGTAGTACGGGTACGTAAGTGGATTTACGCCCACGCCGCGGAATATCGCGAAGTGGTTTACTGGGAATGCAAAAAAAAAATCGTATCAGCGATCGTCAGCAGGAGACGACTTATGAACGCGCACCCCACGTAGGGTCACTTAAGAAGACCTGCTTCTCGCCGTTCCAGTTGTAGAACCTGCTCAGGAAGAGCGCGCCGAGGTGGTTCGCGCCCGTGCCAGAGATAGTCTGCACGCTCGTGACGCGTTTTTGCGCCAGTGCAGGCGAATCTGGTCCTAGAATGAGGCGCGCGGCCGAGTCGGTGAACTCGGGCAGTCCAGTGATCGGGAGGTACTCATGGTCGAGCGCGGGATCATTCAGCAGGATCTTAGTCGCCTACGACAGCACATAATACGTGCGTTAGTTGAGCGTTTCAACGTCACGAAGGAGTGGAAGGTAAGTGCGTGAAAAATGGGCGTAGGCGGAAGAGGGCTGAATGAGCACGATGCGAAAAAATGAGCAGCGCACCTTCTTAACGACGGGCAGCACCCACGGCTTGCTGTTGTCGTCTCTATACGCGCCCACCCCAAGGTTGATCTTGTGTGGGTGCAGGTCCGTTTTATATGCCGCAGTGAGCTTGAAGATACTGCCCAATTCAACCGCAGTCAGCTTTTCGCACAGACTAAAATCAGGACGTGCAGCAGCGAACAGCGCGTACCTGTCTGGCGGGGCAAGGGGAACGCCGTCCCATGTTTCTAGAGGCCATATAATGTCAGAAACACCCTTGACACACGCGCGTCGGTCTGCTCACCTGCAGCCATCCTGCTCGCCGTCGTACTTCGCGTTAAGTGCTCTGCGACTTGCCTAAGCCTGTTCGCCATCGTGTCTAGTCAGCGCCCCGAAATCGCGCGAGAGGTATAGGAAATACAGGGTATATCACGGAGGAGAGTAAAATCATGGACTCACCTCTAGAACAGGTACTCGAACTGTGTGAATGCGGGGGAATCTAGCAGAGGTATACACGTGATATCTGCATCGCGCCTACATCAATCAACTCGGCAGCACGGGCGGCGACGGGAATACTCACCAAATCGGTCGGTCGCAGGTGCTCAGCTTGGTGTTGGCAGAGCAGAGCGTGCAGATAGGTGGTGACTCGACTCGACGCGGCGCAGATATAGCCAGCGCGGCTTTACACACTTATCGACGCATCTCACGCGCACCTCGCGCGATCGCCGCGATAAAGTCATCCCACCTCCCCAGAATCGGCCAAGATTATCTGCGGGACGTGAGCTGCTGGCCTGCTGGACAGCACGCACGCGTCCCGGAGATCCAGATGCGCATGCTGCAACGTTCATGTAGCGAGGCTGAAGGGGGACCGCACAAAGCCCGCGTGCGCTGATAACTGCAGTCATTCGTGTCGTTTTGTAATTGAGTATTGACAGCTCGACGAGCATGAGCTAATTGCTCCTCTGAGCGGAGTAACCGCGGAATTGGACACATAGAAGTACACAAAATACTCATAAGACAGCTGGAGAAGGAGAATATATGTTCAAGTTCACAACACGTGTATCGCCAACGCCGAGCGCTTCTACCTTGCAACCCTCATAAAGCCACCGGCAACCCAGTTCGACACAAGCGGTGCTTGCGGAGCGCAGTCTGATACGCGTACTCAGTGTCTCACTCAAGCACAGGTCAGGGAAACTTCTATAACACATATCATTACCCAAATAGCAGAGAACACAGTGTGGAACAATGCGACACCCTTAGGGCATTAAATACGACGCCAACGTAATGTGGATCGTGGAGGGGAGGGTACCAAGGAGATAGATAGTGTAAGTATGTATGGTATAACATGTACAGGGGATGCGTCCGTGAAGATTCGTGACTGCGCGGCGGAGGAGCGATAAGGATGCCGACGGACCTGGGCACAGAAGGACTGGGGACGCTACGGAATAAGTGGAGAGCACCAGGCGAGATGGAAGATGAACGATGGTGGAGGAAATACAGGGTGCAGTGGGAAGACGCAGGGAGGGCCTTATGTCATTGCCATCTTGGAGGCAACGGTGCGTTCGCTTTCGAGCTTGGCCTTGTTCTTCTCGAACGCCTGTTGTCGACAGCTCTCAAGATTCTGGCAGTTGTGGTGTTCAGGCATCCGATGCTAGTATCGGAAGAACAAGAATAATTAGAGTTGGCATGGTGAAGAAAAATAAGTGAGACGCACCGCTCCACAGAATTCCGCGCGGCAGTGTGGACATTGACCGACGAGGCGGAGGACCGCAGAGTTGCAGCGGGGCTCAGCTTGGAGTTGGCAGCGCTTCTTGGCGGGCATACTGGTCGTGTGAGGTAGTCTGAGACGAGATGAGGTGAGTAACATGCGGCGGATAGCTGGTGGTAGACTTACGAGGACAAATGTAAGAGGGAGCGCAGGTGGGCGGAAGAAGGCGGGGGTGGGTGGTGGATGAGAGGGAGCGGGCAGGCGGCGTGGAGAGGTTTATAAGGGCGACAGCGAGGGACGCGTCAGCTATTGGCGAATCTGAGATGACACGTGGCCCAGATTAAGATAGATCTTGCACACCGGTCTTCTCCGGTCGAGCCTCATACTAGGTGAACGCCTTCTTGGTGCTTGTCGGTCCTTCTCCACCGCCCAGGCCTCGCGGTAGCCCAGATACGGCCCTCTTTACTCCTCAGAGTCCGCACAGGACCACCTGCGTGCTCAGCCTTCTTCGTCTCCTTGAATCCTTGCGTCGTATTTGCACTCCATCTTCATCCGTGCGTATGCACCTCGCACCGCCAAAAAAACAAGGGTCTCCGTCCTGCCCTCCCCGCGCTGTGCCGCGATCCTCGGCAGCCTTTTTTCTTGTCTCTCTAACAAATCGGCACTTATGGACTCCGCCGCCCCGTGCTCGTTACTAACCAACAAATGGACACTGACTCCTCTGCACGAAACTTCGATCTTTTTCCATATCTCTCTGGGAGCATCGAATCCTCATTCCCCCTAAAGCTGTGCAACTGCATTCCCCACTCCGTCTTCCGCCCCCATGTCTCGCCCCTTCTCGAGTACAAGCTGCTACTTATATATCCCCGGCCGCGGCGTCCGGGTCGCATCCGGTCGACACAACTGTACACATGTGATCCCGGCAGCTTTCTCGAGCTTGTTTACTGGCGTCCAACTCGGCCGCGCGGAAACCACGCTGCCTGCGTGACCCATTGCTTCTCCTTCGCTGCCGCCATTAGCCTGCACGTGCCCACCGTGCGCGAGAAGCAATTGCAATATTCTTGCAGCGGAATTCGCACCATCCGACGGCGATTCGATGCTTGGCGAGTCGTTCCGAACACGCACGGAGCCGACTGGCTTGGAAGAGCGGAGGGCGTAGGGCATCCATGCACCCCCCTGGTCGAGTTGCGAGCGACGTCATCCCTTTCATTCAAGCACCCCAGGCCCGGGATCTGCGTCAAAGTCCTCTGCGCGAGTGACGCAATGGTACCCGCCTGGGCTTCATTTCGGATAACAAAGGGAACGCGCATCCTTCCCTAGCGCGGCAGCACTCACCAGGACCGTCGATAATTCCTATAAAGTCAAACGGTGTCCGGACAGTTCTTGGTCCGGACGAAGCTCAATCCTCCTGATCTCGGTCAGGTTGGTACGGACAATGGTCATGCCTTCCGGGTCCTATACTCCTATTCAGAACGCTCCTAGAGCTTCGCAGCGCCGGTTTTATGCGTGTTTTGCGGGTATTTGGATGCGTTTTCGGTCTCCCGGCGGCACATTCGGAGACGTGCTTCGCGCTCACATCTTCACAGTTGCTGGCGCCCTACTGTACTTATCGGGTGGACCGGATGGGCTCAAGCCTCCAGCCGTTTCGAGCGAATTTGGGGTCCGGACGTGAGATAGCCTTGATGAGGATTATCTCGGGACCGTCACCCACCTTCCCAAACCGCACGCCTAAAACACACCTATCGCGACCATCGTCGCCATGTAGCGCATGCGTGCCGTAGGTCCGGCCAGCTGCTGGGCGAAGATGGCATCAATCACGGAGACCACTAGGCAGGCGCTGCATGGTGCTCTTCCGTTCTCGCTGGATCGAGACACGGATTTGTTGCGCCGAGCTCCTCGCACTGCTTAGCTACTGCTCTCTTGCGCTTGCTGCTTATTGACGTGGCTGTTGTGACTCCCGCCCTTATTTGATTATTTTCATTTGTGGTCGTGGTACTCGTCTCCGCACGTCCCCCGCACTTAATATCTTTTTACTGCGTACTTGTGTCGGGAGGCTTTGGCATTTATCAGGCGCAATCCTCCGGACACCCGAGACTCGGCGGACTAGTGTCCTCAATTGTCTATGTCTTGCGCACTGCTTCGCAGCCAAGAGACCTAACAGCTGCGTAACTGCGGTGTCAAGACATTCTGCTCACTGCGCATGAAAAACTATGCGCCCCTGACGAGTTTCAGCCTCACACCAGCCGAAGGGTGAAACGGTATCAGATTCGCGGTGAACTACCATCCGAAGCGGGAAGGAGCGGGAGGATATATGAAGGGGCGATTAGGTCGCGCGGGCAACGCGTACGGCTAGCTAAACACCCCTGCAAGTATACGTAGAATAGCGACCGCGCGGCGCGCAAGCAAGAAGTCCGTTGGCATTCGTGATGCGCATGCGAAGCTCATGTACACGAGAACGAGAGGGTCCAAACGAGAATACGTCCGAAGCAGAATACGATAGGGTACGAGACATTGGGGCCAGGGTTAAGAGGGTCAGCCGCGGCGCGCCGCCTACTTCTTTGAGTTGTTGTTGGTGACGACGACAGCGACGACGACGACGATGATGATGACGACGATGAGTGCGATGATGAAGCAGATCCATCGCTTCTTGCGTGCTGCGCGCGCGGAACTAACCGCCTTGTCTGTATATTGCAGACTGATAAGGTCGTTAATAAACGGCCACCAGCCACTTTGCATGCGTAGACGTACCCGACTTCGGTATCCTTCTCTACTGCTCCTGCTGTTGTCTCAATCACGTTGATCTGCTCGTCCTGTTGCTCGACCAGTACGCTCATCTACAAGAATGATAGAAGTGAGTAGACGGCTCCGTCCGGCATATAACGAAACTGACATCGTTGAAGAGTTGAGCCAGCTCTGTAATTGTCTTCTCGATACGTTTGATGTCTTCGTGCCGTTCTTGCACTTCACGGTATGCAGACCGCGCCTCACCATAACGATTGGAATTCATCAACTGCAGTCACATCAGCGCACATTCCGGGGCGCAGGAAACCCTGATAAAGGTAACTTACAGCCTGACTGAAAATCTGGCCGCTCTGGTCATCGTTCACAACCGCCTTGACCTCCTCAGGTGTAGCATCGGGTTTCACTTGGGAGGGTATTAGAAACATTCTGAGTACAAGAAGTAGACGACCTACCAATTTTGAACTGGCGCTCAAGACGTTGCTTGTACTTGGCCCGGTATTGCTGCTCGACACCCTGGTAATTTTGGATCGCCTCTACGAATTTCTGCTTCACCAAGCCAGTCTGTGCGCCAGACGTAAGCGATCAATCTTCTATGCCGACATAAGTGTCAAAACCAACTCACCTGCTGCTTGCGGATCTGCCCGTCACGCCCTGCGCCTGGCTGCCGCTCCAGCGCCTTGATTCTCCGCTTGAGCATGTTGCTCAGTGCACTTGTGTCCGCGACGAGATCGTCCAGCTGTTGCGCCACCCGCTGCGCAGCCGCGTCGTCGGTATTGTCCAGCGAGCGCGAGTGCAGCTCGCCGATGCGCGCTACGTTGTCGTTGAACGTCCTCAGGTCATCTTGGATGGAGGAGATCTGCGTGAACAGCAGTGTGAGCGCGGGCGCACTGGAGCTGCCGAATAGGGACGGACCTCGCTGTAGAACGCGGACATGCTGTCCGCGGGCGCCGCTGAGCTCTCCTTCGCCGTCGAGTCGAAGCTGTCCTGCGAGTATGGTGCTGGTCGGTCGGATTGGTATGGTGTTGTGGTGGCTTGCATGGGGTAGGAGTCACTGAAATGCTACGCATGAGTGGGAGACGACCTCAACGAAAGTGATTGACGTACTTGCTGGTGTTGTAGCTGCCCCCACTCTGCTGCGCCTATAATGATAATGATGGACGTTATACATGTGCGGGCTCACGCACGACATGGCTGCTCACCCTCAAAGCTGCGAGTCTGTCTCTGGCCATGCTTAGTTACGATGATTATGGGAGGATGCTAAGGATTAGGAAGGGGTGATGATGGGTTGAGAGAAATGGAAAGATGAAGCGCTGCAACAATCAATGCTGCTCGTGCGAAGGAAGAGGAGGAGTAGAGAGACGTGAGGTAGTCTGGAGAGAAAGCGTTGTGGGGCGGTGTCAAGAAGTTGCTGCACCGACGGGCGGCTATGACTGCACGGCCATCTTTACTGCCACAGTTGAGCCTCCGGCCGGCCTCCGGGCTTACTTCGGCGAGCGGCCTACAGCATCACCGAAGTAGGTATGCGCGCGCAATTAGAAGGGGATATCTCTGATACCGCCGCATCCGCCTGTTGTACAGCTATGCTAACCGCCCTAAGGCCCCTGCCCCGCCCGCGCAGCCCGACCTGCTGTCAGTTGTCCACAGCGGCGCGGAGCACGCGGACCTGCCTCGCCACCATCTTTCGGCTCGTCCCTCCAATCGACTCTCGCCTCTCGACGCTCGCTTCAAAGTCGAACACAGACAGCACATCGTCGCCGAACTTCTCGTTCAGGCTCTTGTAGTCCTGGAGCGTCAAGTCGCTTAGCTGGCATTTTCGGGACTCCGCCAGGGCGACGGCCCGCCCAGAGATGTGATGTGTCTCCCTGAAGGGGATCTGATGGCCGGCGCAGGTCTAAGAACGGCGCACGCGCTGGAACTGCAGATCACTTACCCCTTTGCGCACCAGGTAATCAGCTAGGTCGGTCGCGAGAACGTCCATGGTCAGCGCCTGTCTCATCTTGTCGGCGTGTATCTGTCAATAGCTGTCAGAAGCGCATACAATGTTACAAGCTGCATATACGCGCCTCCATCGTAGCAATAACACCTTCTGCAATCTTGAAAGATGCTGACACTGTATCCACGGCGTCGAAGAGGGGCTCCTTATCCTCTTGGAGATCTTTGTTGTATGTTGACGGAAGGCCTTTCAGTGTCATCAAGAAACCAGCCATCTGCAAATGAAGAATGTGTTTATATTTTCTGCAGGGGCACCCACAGGTACTAGACGCACGTTTCCAAACACACGGCCAGATTTCCCTCGCAAGAGCTCTAATGAATCAGGATTTTTCTTTTGCGGCATTATGCTCGAGCCAGTGCTACGAGAACTGAATCAGCGTCAAGATCACAGAAACACCTTCGTCGCTCACCTATAGGCATCACTGAGGGTGACAAAGCCAAATTCTGCGGTCGAATAAATGACCAGATCCTCCGCCATCCGGCTGATGTGGGTCATGGAAAGACTCGCCCACATCATGAATTCGACAATGAAGTCACGGTCGCCTACACCATATAAACTGTTTTCTGCTACAGACTGGAATCCGAGCTCTTTCGCGAGGAATTCACGGTCTACTACGAAGGGGTTGCCAGCCAGGGCACCACACCCTAGAGGAAGGACGGAAATGCGAGGAATCAACTGCTGAAGACGCTGCAGATCGGCATGGAATGAAAATGCATGGGAGAGAAGAAGATGGGACCATCGGATGGGTTGTCCACGCTGTATGCACACACCATCAGTCTATGTTGCGAGCGTGCATTGCCGTTTCATACCTGCAAGTGGGTGTACCCCGGCATGAGGACATCCTGCTCCTTGTCTGCACGCTCGACCATTACACGAATGAGTCCCTTCAGACCCTTTTCAATCTCATGAACTTCTTGAAGAAGCCACAACCGCATGTCCGTCGCCACCTGGTCATTCCGCGAACGTCCTGTGTGCAATTTGCCGCCTAGAGGGCCGATGAGTTCACTTAAGCGGCGCTCATTTGCTGTATGAATGTCTTCGTCGTCCGACTGCACCTTAAACTACAGAGTGTTCCTATGATCTTCACAAAACCTGCATACGAATGATACTAAAGAGCGTACCGTGCCCTTCCGCCATTCTTCGCCCACCATCTGCAAGCCGTCTACGATCTTACTTTCTTCTTCATTGGTCAAGATCCCGACAAGCGTCAAAGCTTTTGCATATGCGATGGATCCACGAATGTCTGCAGCGTGCATCCGCTGGTCATATCGCAGCGACTGGTTGAATTCATGCATGCTGTTCTATCATGTAGTGCACCCATGCGTGAAGCTGCAGGCAACTTACAGAGGATCGGTTTTACCAGTAAACCTCCCACCCCACAGTTTCTGTTTTGTAGGTAGATTTGCCATGAAGATGTGGTTTCCGAACGAACGGCACTATCTGACTCTGAGTGCAAGTTGACTAGTACTGGTTGCGCCAAAACTCCGAACGGTTGGCTGCAGGCAATCTTGAGATCGTAACTCAGATCGTGACTCGCGTCGTTCACACGCTCAGACGACTTACCGCAGACGCGTCTGGAGGCCTGCGCGCGGAAGAGAACCGAAGAGTTAACATTCATCTAACATGCAGGTTATTCATAGACTAGTAACGGCGAAGCATTATAACGTAGTACTGCGAGAACCATTGCGTCTACTAACGTTCTCTACGGATGAAGGGCATTCAGGATCCAGAACATCACGAGAGCTCCGCTGCTTGCACCTGCATAGATGAGTTGTCGAATGTGCGGAGGATTATCTGTCAAGAACGGGTATGGGACTGGAGCACGAAATGAGCACTGCTCACGACCTGCAATGAAGAAAATGCATACATGTACCGTTGAAGGTCGCGAGATATTCCACCCAGTATCCGTACGAAGTACCTGCGGCAGCGCACGCCAATAGACCACCAATGAAAGCCTGCTTCTTCGTATATTTGCGTTCAAACAAGGCGAAATCGAGCAGAAGGCTGATTGCAGGAACGGCGTGCAAGGCGAGATCCATGGACAAGGGAATTCGGTAGAGTTGTGGTACCGAGGTGGAAGAGCTCGGGACACCTTGTTCCGGAGTAAACGCTGAGGCCCCTCGCACTGGCATCAGAATTTTCTCCGGTACGAAGATCAACATAGACCAGTAGATGGATGAGATCACGAATGAGACCTGCGGCGTTTCTGAGCAGAACCTCTTAAGATGGTTTAGGATGACGCACAGGCATAGCAACCATCAGCAAAGTGCGCTTCAACCACCGGACAGCTGGAGATATAATATGTAGCGACTTCAACTGGTAGAGTATAGTAAGCATCACCTTTAATAGCCGGCACGAAATCCGACACAAGGCTTAATATCATGGTAAGCCAGGCGATACCAAGACTACAAGCAGTCGGTCAAGCTCTGAGATCACCGCATACGAGGGATGGACTTGCCCAAGGATGGTCAGAAACTGTGAGTGACCTCCCTTCTGTTGGCGTATCCAGGCGTCCGCAGGAGTGTACTTGATGTTGCCGTAGCCATAGGCCATGATAGCGGCAGCGGCAGCATGTAGGACGACTTTGAGGCCAAGGGATGACATGATAGCGATGGCTGCGTGCGCAAAAAAATTCTGTGGAAGGGAGTTTGAAGGAAGAGTACTAGAGCGCGAGCTAGAGGGCTTTATACGATGATGACGTTCAGTATGGATGTCAGCAAATGCACCACGATGCGGCGGTGATCATGATGCACCCGCAATGTGTCACGAATCGCTAGTGGCTGGGGCTGTTACATCGAGATTCGAAGAATATTTACATGCTCGCAGGTGATCACAAATATTTGCAAGGATAAGGGTAGAGACAGTCTCAGACGCTTGTGATGGACGCTCGGGACGAGCGACCATGATGGAAAGTCGATGTGCACGCGACCCAAATTGTCGTCGGGAACTCGCGGAAATGCTCCGCGGAATGGCCGAGGGATCCTGCGCTCCGAGTCTATCATGCCTTCTGCGTCGCAGAGGGTCTTAGTGACATACGCTGCGCCAGCTGTGTTTCTTTCGACAGACCACTGGAAACAACTCTATGCAGCTCTACTGTCGCAATTGCCTCTGCGCAACATACACTGGAAGTCTCCGTCCCGACCTACCATCCGCACCATCCAAGAATTGGATGTCAAGTTCGTCGCCTCGGAGAGCTTTCGGGACGAACCTTCGTCCCAGGTCCCACAGACTCTGCTGGAGAAACCTTTGCTCAATCTATACATTGTAGCGTGCGAGGTGAATAAATGAATATATCGTGCGGGGACGCGCCATCCTCACAGGGTATGCTAAGGATAACGAAACATACAAGAACTCCGTGAAGAGGCAGATCAGAGACTGGCACGCGTCTGTTTCTCAGCGCAAGAACCAAGAATGGCTGATCATCCATATTGTACGGCCTGAAGGCAAAGCCACGCAAGGAAGGATGTTCCAGATGAAGGCATCTGTACTCGATAGGATCAGAGCTGACTTCAATGCGGACAAGAGAGACAGGTAAGCTCGAACCCTTTATTCCACCAAATGTCTGCTTCACCATGTCTAGATGTGTGCAGCTGGTCTGGGCAACGGACTACGAGAGTCCTACTGCGTGGGCTGAGCTCATCAGCAAAGTCAAGGAAGGCATTCTGTCGGCCTTCGACTCCGCCCTTACACAGCGGGAAGAGGAGGTCAAGCGTTCCGAGGGTCAGCGACAAATGCCTGGATGGAATTTTTGTACTTTCTTCATATTGAAGGCGCGTCGTGACTCTGCATGTGAATTGTTTAGCCATGCTGATTAAAGAGCAGGAAAGTCTTGCAATGTCGTTTGAAGGCATGAATTTGTTCGAAGATGCCCTCCAACAATATAACGAACTCGAGGCTGCCTTCTTCCAGGTACTCCGAGAGAAGAACCTTTCGTGGTTCGGAGCCCTTATCTCGCCAAATCCTAAGGACGACTCCTTGCCTCTCCTGTCTGTTGCGAAGAAGCCATATCGCGATTTAATTCTTGCTAATTCAATATCAGTCTTCGACTTCCGAACGTACTTACTGGCTAGGCAATGCAACATTTTGAGTAAACTTGGAGATGTGGTCGAAATCGGGAGCAAGGCTGTCACATTTCTGAGCAATTTTGGCAGGCGTCTTCGAGAGATTGACGTGAGCATTTCCTGTTCCTGGTAGTATTATACTCATTTTGTTTGCAGGATACACTGCCTGCCTTTTTCGTGGAGTCATGGACGTACTCGTCTGCGCTCAGCGTGGTCGAGCAATGTGACACTTGGGCGAGCAAGCATCAGATGGATAAAGCAGGTTTGGCCCGTTTCAGTGCTGTAAAGGGAGAGCTACTTGACCTAGCGCGACAACAGGTAAGTCGGGATTTGCTCACGTCCTCGATTTTGCTCCTCATATCAGCAAGCTCGATGTCATTGGGATAAAAGTTGGATATTTACCCTGCCGCCCTCCCTTCACCATTCCCTTCCCACTAGAGCGGACTACTGGCTCAAACGCGCAAGAAAAACGCAATTCTCAAAGCATCTCGTGCGGGGACCTCCTCTCATCTTTGCATGACAAGGAGACATTCTACGACCTCTACGTTCAGATTACAAATCGTGCCATAGAGTTGTACGCCAGCGCAGGAAGACGTAAGTTTGCGCTGAAGCTGCACGGCAGTCTAGCTGCTCTAGATGTGTAGGGTGTTTCTCCGCGCCGTTACGGATCGAGAGCTAAGCTGTTTCTCTTAGCCACCGCAACCGGCTATCCAGCTCTTTCCAGACGTACAAATCTCTCCCGGCGCACTATGCTCCGCATGGATGGACTTCTCTGGAGGCGTTCATGCTCACACACGCGCTGAATGTGCATGCTTCCGCCAAGCAGACCAAAGACGTAGACTGGATACACCTCGTTCTAGAATTTCTGAAAGCATACGTCGAGGATATAGGGAAAGATCTATTGACAGACGAGGCTGACCGCAGGTCCTACGTCTCTGGTCTCTTCTCTGGTCTCGTAGAAGCTGCGGAAGGGCTGCAGTCAGGTGTGTATCTCTGCAAGGACACGCTTGATGTGGTCTCATCTCTCGAGTGCGATCTCTACCGTGTCCCAGACATGTTCCAATTGGACCATCCCGCGATATCAATCAGTGTCGCCGACAAAAATGCGCGATTGGCGGAAACACGGGACGGCGCGTTGGTAGATGTGCTGGTGCACAATCATTTACCCTGTGTAGGTATCTATACCTCGTCCTCCTTCCCTATTCTCATTGCCCTTCAGGACCTACCCATCGATGAAGTGACAATTATTGTAATTGGTCGTGAAGGCACTAAGCTATCGTTCTCCGAGAAACCGGGTGCTCTTGCATCGGGATCAACCAAACTGACTCTCTTCTGCCCAGTAAGGGTTACCACGGCTGATGAGATCCCACGACCATACTGACTTATGGTAGTCGTCAGCTTCGGGGACGTACGCCCTTCACAGCAGTCAGATCAAGATTGCCCGCCTCGTTCTTCAATGGAAGGATAATATGATTTCGACTTGGATCAAACAGCAGTCGGTATTCAAGAGGCTCCCATCCCTCGTGCGGATACCAAAGGATCTTCATGCTCTGGACGTGCGTCTACGCCAACCACCTCGCAGTATGTCTAGCAATTTCTGCAAGCGCCCATATTTAGTTAAGCGTCATTTCCAGTTGAACTCGGCACCCCTCCGTGTATCATGGTCATCATCCGCACCGGACGGAACGACATTTCTACTGTCACTTTAAAGCTTTCCGCTCCCTCTGGTATTCGGTTCCACTTTGCAGATACTAGCTTGGAAACTGAACGTGAGGAACCCACCTTTCATCCATCATCCATGCAAAGCTGACACGCATGGTCAGAGGATGCTACTGTCCACTCCACCGACGCTTCTGTCACTCTTACTGACGTTGGGAATGGGAAGGCCGTCGTTATGTCGATACCTCATTCTGATGCCTCCAGCCTCCAGTTCATGGTGAGTTCTCTGATTTTTTATGGTCCTATCGGAGAGCCGGGAGATATTATTTCTGCAGAGAGTCAATATCAGTGTCGAATATGTAACGTCTGCGGAGCCGACAATTACCAGAATACTCAAGTTGGGAAGGGTAGTTGCCACAGGGTTACCCGTCACCATCAATGTCGAAGATTTTTTTCGCGGTACAAGGTGTGTAGCATCGGGCTGGTACTAATCATCCTCTGACAACATTTACAGGCTATTCACCCGTTTCACTCTATCCACCACGTCTCACCAGCACATTCGCATCCGGTGCACTCGACTACAGCCTATTAAGTACGATGCTGATGGCGTCAAGATTACGAGCTGTCTCTCTCAGAAACCTGCCATCGTCGTTCGTCCTTTGTGCTGATCTTATTGGCTGGCTGCTTCACTCATGCAGTGCGATAGACAATCACGCCGAATCAACCGGGGAAGTTCTTGTTCCAGCTTGACTCTGCAAGAGGGCAAGGTGACTGATATTTGTGTGGGTTGTCTCTATCATCTATCTCTGATATTATGAGTCTAGGGCGGGAGTCATTGCAGCTGCAAATAGAATACCGGATGCTTCGTGAAGGTTGATTCTGCACTTTGGCTTACAGGCCTTAAACCTGACTATACATCTTTTCCTCCTACAGAAGTGGAATCTTTAGTTGATCTCTCAGTACAACAAGTCTTGTTGGAATCACCATCACTGGAGCCTCATTGCGATGAGCTCATTGACAAGGTGATACAAGCCCTTGAAGGTGATGCAAAGTGGATTGAACTGTATAGTATCACCGGAGAGCTCGTGGTCCCCGGGTTGCCCGACGAAGAAGGTGAGGTGGGTGCTGCACTACATCGACTCAAAGAGGTGTGTTTGGATGACGTGCCTTGGTGTCCTCACTCACGTTATGCGTTCAGATTCTCAGCATGGACAGATCAGGTCAATTTACATTCGGAGAATGGCGAGAAGTTATCATTCCGGTTGACGTGCCGCGGATGCATGTGAGTCTTAGCTACAGATACGATGGAGATATCATACCTATCTTTGTCGTGTACAGATACTCGCTGCTGCTCGTCTGCAAATCCTTCCCAATCCATTCTCCACGGTGTCAGTTGGCAAGGTACCTCGTTTATTTGCTGGTCAACCTATATCTGCTGTGGTTTCTGTCACGACTTCGTTCCACTGGGCACCAGCAGAAGACTCGAACAACGAGACATACCACTTGCGCTACGACATCGAGGAGATGACACAGGATTGGCTAGTCTGTGGGCGCAAAAGGGGAGATTTCATCGCGAAGGTAGGTGAGGGTCTTTATCTGTTGACTGCGCTGACAAATCCGTCAGGACGGACAAACGTTCACGATAGCCATAACTCTTATTGCACTACATCATGGGGAACTTGCCCTTCCGAAAGTTGGGATCACGGCGCTACCAATTCCAGGCGAGATGAGGATGAGGTCCATGGTCCTACCGAGCTGTGAGACGTACCAGTTGCACGGTGCGGAGAGAGTACTTGTATCGCCTAGGGGGGGTCGGAGTACGTTCGTAGTCAGTATGGGGCAGGAAGGCGTAGTTGCTTGATTTCAAGTATTTATTGCTATAAATTATTCCAGCTCAGTGTGTTTTTCGCTGAGAGTTGAACACTTCAAACTATCAGTCTGTCCCTTGCCCCTCTCATAGGACTGATTTTCTGCCTTTAGGATACTAGCTTCGAGTCGAGTAGGACGCCAATTGTCACACCATCACACTGTGTGACACGACGTGAATCGGGCCGCGCCTGGCACTCCAGACTTCCAGCTTTCCTCCGACTTATCCCATTCGCTTCTCTTCTCAACTTTCATAACTATGTCGGATTATTTGGATTTGTGAGTACACTGGTATTTCATGACAGCAATGATTGCTGGTCCGCTTTACTGGTTAACCCTGTACGTTTCAGTGAGGAGGAGCGTGAAGCCAACATCGCACGGAACCGAGAGATTCTCGCCAAATTAGAGCTGTCCGTCGATCTTCCGGTGAAACATAAGCCATCACCCAGGAACAGCGCGCAGCCTGTACAGCCCAAAAGACCGAAGCGCGCGAAGGCGGTGGCCGCGGTGCCTACACGACAGTCGTCAAGACTGAAAAGATCGGCTACCGATCCAAATGAAGGTCCTGCGAAGAGGAGAAAGCGAGAAGTGTGTTAACTCGATCGTATAACGCATTCGCACTGATGATGCTCCTATTAGCAAGAAGAGGAAGAGACGCGGAAGAAGGAGGAAGAAGAGCGTCTGGAAGCGGAGGAACGCGCGCGGGAAGCCAAGAAGCCGCGACACCAAGATTTAGAACTACAAACGATAACAGAAGAGTTGGGGGCCGATGAGCGAGCCGGTCTACAAGCAGTTTTCCAGGATGTCATCAGGGAGGTATATCCCAATCAAAATGATGACCAGGGTGCATTTGTGTTCGAAGATGATAAGAAGGAGAAGGCTGCCGTTACAGAACTCAGGAAGAAGCTGCGAGGCTTGAAGGTAGTCGCGCGGGCAAAAGTCACCCAAGATCGGATATACAGCGCGGCTTATCACCCCGAGCCTACGAAGGATCTTATCTTCTTCGGCGGTAAGATTTGAATGACTGCACTAACTTTTCCTGATCGACTTGTATTCTCTCGATTGTCTCCCTTCAGACAAGCATGGCCAGTTAGGTATATGGGATGCTCGGGCTCCACAGGAAGAGGTCGCCGATGACGCGGAGGATGTTACCTCCTCCGACAATAGTGAAGGTGGTAAATATTGGCGACTCCAACTCCACTGGCCAGCCACTGCGAAATCATCCATTTCTACGGTAAAGTTCGATCCCGTTGATTCACATAATGTGCGTTTAAAGTCCCTCTAATTGCTGATTCCAAAGACCGGCCCATCTGAAAGTCGTTTGACAGGTATATACAAGTTCGTACGACTGCACTATTCGACGTCTCTCTTTCACATCAGGCATCTCTCGCGAGATCTTCTCGACTGATGAAGTGCTGATTTCGTCGATCGACCTTCCCCCCACCGGCAATGAAATGTGGATATCAGACGCTCTCGGTGGTGTCACACACCTGGACTTACGGCAGGACAAGTCGAAGGCACGATGGTACCAATTGTCAGATCAGAAGATTGGTAGCATCAGTGTAAATCCCACGAATACCCATTTCCTTGTAACGGCTTCCAACAGCCGTTCGTTGAAGTGAGTACTTATCTCTACATTTCCTGTGCGCCGCCTGCAATGATTATATTGTCCCGCAGGATTTGGGACACCCGGAAACTTGAGCACATAACCACAAAGGGGAAAGGGGCTGCATCATCCTCTGCCTCGGTGTTACCGCAAGATTTCGACAGCGAAGTGGTGGAGCACTTCCTGGCATCCAAGCAAGGGCAAGGTTGTCTGCGTGGCGAATGGCGACACAACAAGTCAGTCAGCTCGGCGTACTGGGATCCCCGGGGAAGATCTATCGTTAGTACAAGTTACGATGACACCATCCGATGTAAGTGATTTTGTACTTCGTTCCCTCCATGTTGCCCTGACGAAGAAGTAGTATGGGATATCAGCGATAAATTTCTTCAACGTGACTCCCCCTTCCCGTCATCCAGACCATTTAGCCAGATCAAGCACAACTGTCAGACTGTACGTCCCTTTCACCGTTTTATCTGCTGGCACTGAAACTCAGGCTTTGCTGGCAGGGTAAATGGTTGACGATCCTCAGAGCGCAATGGTCGCAGAACTCCGATCACTATCCACATTTCACGGCGAGTTGGCTCCATTATAAGCATTGTAGGCGAACGATTACTGAATCCGGTTTAGATCGGCAATATGGAGCACTCGTTGGATATCTTCTCTTGCAAAGTGAGCTACTGTTGAGGAGCTGTTCACCCCAAATCTGACGTGTTTATTGTGATAACAGGGAGATTTAATTGCCAGACTGTCGGACCGTCAACGGTACGTACATCTGTTAGGACACCAAGATCGAGGGCATTAAAACTGATAGACATCTCAGGATAACAGCCGTGCAAGCGGTTACTTGCTCCCATCCCAGTGTCCTAGAGCGAGCAGCAAGTGGCAATGCCAGTGGCAGATGTGTGCTGTGGGCTCCGCCGGATGAGTAGAGATGATATCGATGTTCCTTGTCTTGCCCCCAGGGCGCGCGGGTTTGCGATGCACGGTTATTCGCTGGATTATATTTGATAGATTTCCGTTCTCTTGGATAAGCCCTGCACACGACTTATGGAATTACTAGTATAAATGAAGGCCAGTTTCCAGCTGGACGGAGTGTCACTGAAAGCAGCTACAAACAGTACGGACGGAGAGACGGTATATACTGCAAGGGTGCTCCATTGACCGGTGACCCTTTATATATGTTCCGCAATGCCCAAATTTATCCGCGGCCATAGGACTTCGAAAACGCCGCATCCCGTCCGATCTGCGCAGTTAACCGGAGTGCCGCCCAGTTAGTACCACGGTGGGGGACCACGCGGGAATCCTGGGTGCTGTGGTTTTCTTCACAGTTTTTCTCACAAACCTGTGAAATAATTGTCGTATCTCAATCTGCTTGTTTGACATTGGTTTGATGTGCTTTAATGATAGGTTTTCTGTGGTCTCGTACCCAGACGGGTATCTCATCGCACCCTACCACCGCAGATAACACGTCTGGGGCAGTTTGATAGAGCCCTCCTACCTTACAGTTAGCGCCCGTTAAGCGCCGGATAAGCGACAGACCATGGGCTAGGTCTGTGCCGAATCAGGCGAAGCTTGAACGTCCTCCTTCATAGGCATGCACATCTCAGAACTAGCATGAACACTGTATAGTAATGCTGTAAATACCTCTAGAAACATTTTAGCACCACAGGAAGAGCCCGAGCATATTTTCAGCCAGATTCCTTGACATTTTCACTCAAAGTAGCTGGCTTAATGCATTTCCGGTGCTCCTTTGTGTCAGCGCGAGCTCAGAGTATCCGGGCCATCTCAGAAAAGCTTCAGAGGTTCTCGGGAACTCACTCCCGTCAAATCTCCTCAAAATATACATGTAAACTGGGCATAGAGATCAAAAGTCGCGCTCGATGAGTGGGCAGGCACATAATTAAAGAAGCACGTAAGCGAGGCTTCTCGAGCGGCTAACGGGCGCTAACTGTAAGGTAGGGCTCTATCAAACTGCCCCAGACGTGTTATCTGCGGTGGTAGGGTGCGATGAGATAACCGTCTGGGTACGAGACCAGGTTTTCTGGTGCAGAGGTGGGAATCCGCTTGTGAAGCATCAGATTCGGATGAAAAAAGCGTCACCTGAGCGATTCGAACACTCGCGGGCAAAGCCCAACCGCTTCTCAGCTAAATAGCAGGCGATCCCGTTAACCACTCCGGCAAAGTGACCTAAATTCTAGGGCGCCTGGTTGTATTAGATTATTCTTGGCCTTCGGCGTGATCTGGCGGACGGATACACTCTGTAGAGGACGCCAAGGCGTCACTATCATGTCTCGTCGGAAGTCTCGCATTCGAACTCCAAGCACTCCAGGTAGTAAAATTGCGACAAATGCACTGGCACCGCTGTTCTCTCGGATCTCACCTAAAGGCCAGCTCCGCTGTCGCGTCCTTCTGGAAGACCAGATCTTGCTGTTCGAAGTTTGTGTACCTCCCCGACGCGCGGCTGTACTACCGCTAAACCTCACCTAGAACTTCCTGACTGCCAAAGAATGCAAGGATATGGTTAGCTTCATAGAGTCTCAGCCATTAGAGCTTACCCTGCTCAAAAAGAAGGGAGAGGCAGAGCGAGTGAATTGTGAGTATGCTGCGCCATCATCATACCTTGTCGTCGCGTGGTAAGGTAATCTCTGGCGATCCCCAGATAGAATGTCCATGGTCTCTGTTGAGATTGCGCAGAGACTCTTTGAATTGTTGGAACCGCATCTTCCTGAATTTCCATATCCCGTTTCTGCGAAGCGAGCGAACGATCCTGACAGACGCAGGGTTCATTCCCTGAATTCGAACATTCGTCTCTACAAATACACTCCCGGACAGCACTTCGGTCCTCACTATGACGACTCCGTGCGTGATGCTAGAACAGGCGCGAAGTCCGAGTGGACTCTATTAGTCTATCTCTCGGGTGTAGAGGATGGTGTCGAAGGCGGAGAAGTACGTCTTTCCTCATTTTGCAGAGACAATTCAATTATATCACTCTTTTTCGACAATTCTCTCAACTTTGTAGACTTTATTCTATCGAGAAGGGAAGAAGATGCCCGCGGAAATCATCACTGCACCGTTGACCCGTGGAACGGCACTACTGCATCGGTACAGCCATCTAATGCACTGTTCTGGGGAGATTTAATGACATCTCTGCCAGGCATGGGTGTGAATGCCTGCTTCATGAAGGGTCTCGAATTGTCAACGGTATCAAATACATTCTCCGCTCTGATTTGATGTTCAAAGACTGAGTAATCTGGGATTCATTTTCTCTCGTGATATTCTTGTATGTTTTTTTTTCAAGGACTGTATACCATGTTAGTAATGTGTTTGATTTGCAGCAATAAGTACCACAAAAGTTTGCGCCAGGTGACTACATTCACAGCATGCTTCGGCGTGACGCGACAGACAGCGGGTTACCTCCCACCCTTTGACTTCCTCTTCTTCAAGGGTATACCAGCTTCAACGACATCATCGTCCCTGTCTCTATCATCTTTTCCGCCACCCTCTACCCTCCTCCGTTTACGGCCATGTAACCCATTGGCCGCCTGCTCCTTCATTTCGTGAATGGCAATCCTCCCCGCCTCGTCCACTCGCTCTCTCAGCAACGCGATCTCTTCATTATCGGTCGGCCAAAGATCCATCTTCTTACCCGTCGCAGCCTCGATGCGCTGTATCAGCTCCACGTCGTACTGTGTGACGAGCGTGATTGACTTTCCCGACCGCCCAGCACGAGCTGTACGTCCGACGCGATGGATGTAGTCCTTGGAGTGTGTCGGGATGTCGTAGTTGATAACCGCGTCCACAGATGGGATGTCCAGTCCACTGAGTCGACTCGAGCAAATCAGGGGACTGTATCACCACGGGAATTCGTACGAGCTTACCGACTGGCGACGTCCGTGGCAACAAGCACCTTTCGACCACCACTCTTGAACTTTCCCAGCGCACCGAGACGTGCACTCTGACTGAGTTGACCATGCAGCGGTACCGCAGGAAACCCTAAAGTGCGCAGAATAATAGACAGCCTATGTTGATCAATGAGATGTGAAGATGACTGCTGCTTAAGCTGCACGAAACCGACCGTTGCGCGTCATGTACTGTTCTCGTAAAGATTATGATAGAATTTTGTGCCAGGGTATTCGCCAGATAGATGAGATGTACGTCTTTTTGGACCAAGGGAATGAAAAGATAGTATTGCAATAGCGTTGATACGGTGGAATACCTGAGGGTGGGAGAGGGTTAGCTCAACTGAGAAAGCCTTCATATATGCGAGTACTCACTTTTCCGATACCTCCACCCGAACCGGGTTGGACAAACTTGCTCGTTGCAATTTGGCGACTTTCGTGGTCATTGTGGCGGAAAAGAGGTACGTTGTGCGCTCCTTGGGGATGACTTTCAGAATTTTATCGATAACAGGCCCAAAGTCCATGTCTAATAGTCGGTCGGCCTCATCCAAAACCTGACAAGTCTGGTAAAACCACATGCACAAGCAAAGCGGTGAAGAAGTGTACCAAAAACTTGAGACCCCGAAGACTGAACCCCTTCGTGTTCTCTAAGTGGTCGTCGAGCCGACCTGGGGTGGCTACGATGATGTGCGGCCTCTTCGCGAGTGCGACAGCCTGCGACATCCTGTCCATTCCGCCCACAATCGTCGCACACCGCACCCCGATCGCAGAACCGAGACTCTCAAACTGCTGAGAGATCTGATATGCAAGCTCCCTCGTCGGCGCCATGACACATGCGAAGAGCCCCTTGGGCTCCTCCCAGAGCTTCTGAAGGATGGGCAAGGCAAAGGCCGCAGTCTTGCCTGATCCTGTCGACGCAACGCCGATGATATCTCGTCCTTGGAGAGCATGGGGCAAAGATTCGGCTTGGATTTCGGTGGGAATTGTGATGTTGAGCTGCTGGAGAGCTTCCAGCAGGGGGTCAATAAGCCCAAGTGATTTGAACGTCGGAACGGGCTCGGGCGACCGTGCAGCGGATGTATTGGCTTCCTCAGGAGAAGGCATGTTTACACCAGAAGGACCAGATAGGTGATACTGTAAGACGCCAGATGCAGAGCAGCAGAATTAAAATAATTGAACTTGTACTAGGTCTGCTTTTACTTAAGTGCAGACAGCAGAGGGTGACTGCGAGTGCAGACTCAAATTGCGATTGACTCTCACGGTACTCAATCTCGAAATCGATCGGGATCTCTTGGCCAGTGCATCTCACACAAATTCCTATACCTGTAGTACATTACTCCAAAGCCCCATCGTACACCAATGCGTCACGGATGCCAAGGATCAGCAGCAGCACCCCCTACTCCTGCAGTGAGGAAAACAGGAGTGCCATCCTGGTCTACAAAAAAGCAGTCTTCCAGACGCACACCGACCTACCGCAGAGAAGATCCAGTTAGTGCCGTGACCGACAGAAAGACCTTATAGACACTGACCTGTTCTTCTATGTAAATGCCTGGCTCGTCGGAGAAGGTATGCCCTGTCAAAATTATATCGCCCGAACCACCGCGTAAGTAAGGTGATTCGTGGACCTCCAGGCCGATGCCTGCGATATTATGTTTCATGTTGCAGATCATATCGTCATAACGAATGAGTATTCCAACGCACCATGTCCGAGCCTATGTGTAAAATATTGTCCATAGCCCTGCAAGGAGAGCGTTTCGCGTGCGGCTCGGTCCACTTCCGCGGTGATGGAGCCGTTGCGAGCGGCAGTAATCGCGTTTGCTTGAGCAGAGTGCACGAGACTCCAAAGTCTCAAGTGCGTTGTGTGAATTGTAGAACCAGCCAAAGCAAAAGTCTACAGAGCCATGGTTCAACTCACTCGAAGGACGCGAGATCGCTAACGACCATACCCTCGTGACATCGCTGTTATAACCATGCAGTGAACCGTCACAATCGATCAGGACAAAATCGTGTGGGCTGAGCACGCGATCTGTCCCACTTCCATGGGGTAGCGCCGCGTTCTCTGTTGCAGTGCTTCAACGAGAAGTCGCCAGCCTCACAGTTAATGATAGGGACCTACCCCCAAAGAGCGTAATTGCGCCCACGTTGTGTAAGCCTGCACTGGTAAGTGCACTGATTATTAGTTGGCGAGCTTGCGATTCGTGCATGCCGAAGTACATCTTGTCACGGACAGCTCGGATGGCTAGAAGAGTTACCTAAGGAAGCAGCGTTGAGATATATACAAACGTGGTGTGAAAGTGCCTCGATCCTAAGTAACCGTCTCACCTCATTGACACACTTCATGATCTCAAGCTCTTCCTTGCTCTTCCTCTCTCTCAGATGTCGAACCTCCACAGGTGCGGTGGATACTCTGAACTGCGGAGCTGCTTTCTGTAGGCCATCCGCAACGAATGATCTGACATTATCGTCAACGAAGATCGGGCCTCCGCTGAATAGCCGAATTGCGGAAATTGCAACCTCGAAGGGGTTTGCGTCTTCCGGCCAAGCAGGATAGGCGATGTCAGAGGCGCTTGGAATCGGCAGAAGTTTTGCACGAGTGGCTTCGAACGAGGGAGTGAGTATTGACATTCTCGGAAGAATCGTGCCTTCTGCATCAAGCTCGGGCGAAACTATCAGCAATAGCGGCCTCTCAGATAGCGACCAATGTGCTCCAGACAGGTTGGCAAAGAAACCAGCGCTTGCACCCGGCTCTGCAACGTATGCCGATGCGTTCAGCGAATAAAGTGTTCGAGCGAGAGATTGTTGGCGCGCGTAGAAGGAGCTGGCAGAGATGGGAGAGATGTGCGCACAATGGCTAGAAAGATGGGAGAACTCCGGATCGGCACCAGAAAGAGACGACGGGGAACCCAGTGGGCGGACATGACGATAGGTCATGGTTATAATGATTTGGACGAAGATGCAGAGTACGATGAGCTGGAATTCAGATCAGAGACAGGTATGTGGAGTGTGCCATTGCAAGTCGTGCGACTCACTGCCGTCGAGCGATGTGTCGGCTTGTTTTGGGCGACACCGTCGCCTGTCCTCTGCTTATGAGAACTCTTGTAGTCCATCACAACCGACCCCCTGTATGATAACAATCCACTGGTCAGGGAAGCTCAGCGGCCTCGTCGAGCTTGAGAGGCAACTGCAAGCGACGCTATCATCTCGCCAGCCGGCAACCCATTCCGATTCACGTGACCGCGAGCTGCTCTCGACGCGAGTTATCAAGGGGTATGCACCGGCAGATTCCGAGACACAGGGTAGGGGGGGGCTCCGAGGTCCTTAACTGAGAATTATTTTTACTTATGAAATGGGCGGCAGGAGGTAAGTAAGGGTCTCCTGCAGTAAAACCATACACTCAGTAGCTGAAAGGCACCTTTGATGATGGTCTACGGAGTGTTTGCGCAACTTGCAGGGGTGGGCTGCTCGGAGGTGGCGGCGGGCACGGGCGCTACCAGATGTGATGTCGGGTCACAACGATGACTAACAAGGTGACCTGCATCACGTAAGCCTAGGATTACCATCTCTATATGGCAGGTGCCTTCTATATATGGACCGTGGGAAGTTCCCACGGGGGGGGGGGGGGGAGGGGGTCCTGGGGGGGCTTAACCGGATTTTCTGACCCTGTGTCTAGAATCCGATTTATGCATGCCCCTTGCGAGTTATAGGAGCAAAGCAGTATAACCTGTTCTTCAACGATGGAAGACACAGACACACTCCTGGCGCTCTTGTCAAGTCTGCTAGATCATCCCATCTCTGATCACGCTGTACTGCTGGATGCGCTCGTGAAACATGACGGGAATGTCGAGAAAGCTGCCCGTTATCTGTCGCGGGAAAATATGCGAGGAAAGCGACAAGCGCAGAAGCGGAAGAGGACGGCCTCATTGGATGACTGGCTGAGCCCATGCACGTCAGAAGCGTCTCCGTCTGGCACGCGTAGCAAGAACACGTCTAAGCTGCCCTCGAAACGCGCTGCTGCCGCAAGCTCTGCTTCTGCCAAGAGCGTCCAAGATGATTTAATACCCTCGTCGTCCACCCGTAGAGCATCTTCTTCGTCTCACGGCAAAACTTCCCGTGAGACATCTATATCTCTCTCGGGATCTCCATGCAAGGTCAAACCTGTTACGAACAACGAGTTCATGAACATCCTTCGTCATCCTAATTCCAGTAATTCGTCCAAGCCAGTACCTCCCAAATTTCCGCCACTCACGTTAGGCACGCCCGTGCTTGTTTCTGATCACACGCCATGCACATTACATCCTTCTATCTTACCGTCGGAGCTTGCCTGCCGGTGCGTGTGCTCAATAATGCGCTCATGAAGGACTCGTGACCCTTCATTGGTGCAGGTTATTTTACACCATGATGAACGAGAGCCGGGACTGGAAGAGAAATAAATGGTGGCTGTTTGACCGCGTAGTTGAAAGCCCGCATCGGACGTCATTTTATGCTCGCGGTCCGGCTTCTGGAACAGAAAGTCCTGATCTTCAAGAGGCTGCGCAATATTGGTGCGCATCAAAATTCACTCTCTAGACTGGCATCTCTATCTGATTCCTCCATTCACAGGTATAATGGGCGTCCCACGGCCCCTCCTTCAGCATTTCCTCCTGCCATGGAAGAGGCATGCGAGATCATCGAGCGAGTGGTGAACGGAGAGATGGGCAGACGCAAGCGTTTTCCCTTGGAATGGGGCGGCGCTCCTCCAGACATAGATAATCCAGCAGAGGTTATCTTGTGGCGAGCAAATGTAGCTGCCGCGAATCGCTATGAAGGTACCAAAGAAAGCGTAGGATTTCACTCGGATCAATTGACCAACCTGGGGCCATATCCTACCATTGCGAGCTTGAGTCTTGGTACTGTCCAATTCACCAACTCGAGAGTGCCTTCTAATTATTGACTCTAGGTACCAGTAGAGTGTTTCGCTTGAGAGAGGTGATACCCAGTAATGAAAAAGATAAACGCAGTGCGAGGACGTACAACATTCCGTTGCAGCATAATTCTGTACGGCTTTCATCTGCCCCTATCCGTTCGCGTGCTGCAGTCAGATTTAACGCGTATTCCCTCCAGTTAGTCATCATGCATGCATCTTGCCAAGAAACATTCAAGCATGCTGTACCTCCCCAAAATACCATTGACCTCTTCCACCCTCCGTTCCCTCCCCCTCCATCGTTATTCTCACCCGAAGATGTTGAGGTGGCCTCTTCAAATTCACGGATCAATATCACGTTTCGATTCTATCGCCCGGATTATCGTGCAGAGCTGACTCCACGGTGTCGGTGTGGTGTGCCGTGCATCCTCCGTCCGGACATGAAGAACCGTTACACGGACAATAAAGCCACCAGCGGTACGAGTGGCGAGAGGAATGCGGAACCGCCAAGCACCAAGAAAGACATCGTCGCTAAGTATTGGTGGACATGTTATGCTGGAGCACAGAATGAGGGGAAGGGTTGTAACTTTTGGAAGGTCATGGATGTGACGGCGGAGGGGAGAGGTCCGTTTGTGGAGATTTGACCTGAGATCGTGGCCATCCAGGCTGGTTCACTGGATTGGATCCAGAGATCCTTTCCCAACTTTTTTTGGGCTTTATGCCAGCATATAACGTGGACCTCTCAAATTATTTCTTGACTTATGTAGTGCGGTCGGAAATATTATAACCGAGCGCCCGATGGCTGGCAGCCGACAAAGATGTCCCTTCCTTCGCCTTTGGCACGTCTAGTGAACACACTCAGTGCATCCTTGCACTCACTACTTACCGATCCTCATTACTTCTATGCCCTCGCTACTCTCGTGGTCCTTGGAGATGCCGTTCTCACCCAGCTTATTATCCGCTTCGTGCCATGTCAGAGACTGCCCACTTCCTTGAGCGGAAGACGTTCTAAAGCTGGATATCTGCAGATACTGAGATCGACTGGGAGACGTACATCTACCAGTTGGAGCTATACATGAAGGGCGAACGGGACTATGCCTTGATTTCGGGCCCGACAGGTCCCATCGTGTACGTCCCAGCACCGACAAGCCATATTTGCACCTCGTGAAGTTTCTTTAGGTATCCAGCGGGACACCTGTATGTCCACCGTCTCCTGTATGCGATCACAGATTCCGGGAAGAATTTGGTAGCGCCTCAGGAAGTCTACTCGTTGCTTTATATCGCACTCCTCGCAATAACGTGCATAATCTACCGCCAAGCTGGTGACGTGCCGAACTGGATCCTGTTATTACTACCTCTCAGCAAAAGACTGCACTCCATCTTTGTATTGAGACTCTTCAATGATTGTTGGAACGTTTTCTTTGCGCATGCTGCTATTCTAGCATTTGGATATGGCTGGGATATTCCCGGGATTTTGCTGCTGGGGTGCGTTCCTACCTTATGTTCCGATTACACACCGCTTATTTTTGCCCTGTTCAGTTGTGCAATGTCAATCAAGATGTCAGCACTTCTCTATCTACCGGGACTCGTAGTAGTCCTCTTCAAGAGACGCGGCTTCCTGTCCACTCTCGCTCACGTCTCTGCTCTCGCCTTGACTCAACTGGTCATCGGCTTACCCTTTCTGTGGCAATATCCATTGTCATACCTCAAGTATTCTTACCAGTTTTCTCGCACGTTCTTGTACAGATGGACGGTGAATTGGAGATTTATTTCGGAAGAGACATTTCTTAGTTCTGCGTGGGCAAAAGGCCTCCTAGCCGGCCATCTAACGACACTCGTCGCCTTCGGGTTATTCAAGTGGTGCAAAGGTGATGGTGGGGTATGGTATGTAGTGAGTCGAGGTTTGCGTACACCCCTCCAACGCCCTCCGGTTCCTCCGGTAACAGCAGACTGTAAGTCGCGTCCCTTTTCTGAACGTGCGATCCACTCATTTCTTTCTAGTCGTCACCACCGTTCTCTTCACGTCAAACTTGATTGGAATATTATTTTCACGGTCACTTCACTATCAATTCTACTCTTGGTATGCGTGGCAGCTGCCATTCCTAGCGTGGAGGACGAAATATCCTGTTGTCATCAAGTGAGTCCAGTAATTTAAGTCTTGAACTACGCCAGATACCCATATTTTGATGCGATAGACTTGCTATTCTTCTCGCGATCGAATATGCGTGGAACGTTTTCCCCTCCACTCCGTTATCCTCGAGCATTCTGTGCGGAGCGAATATGCTGTTGGTGGTCGGGTTGTGGTTCGGCTATCCTGAAGGGAAGAAGGACATCGTACATAAATCAGAGTAGTTACGCAGGCATGTCCTCTAATTAACATATTGTGGAGGTTTTGTAGTGGTGAACTCAACGACAGTTTCGTTTTCATCACTACACTGAACGCCTGAAAAGGAAATATCATCTGATCCGCACCGAACAAGATTCTCTTGTAGGTCACATCTACTGGACTTACCACATCGAACATGGAGCCTAGAATTGCTACGCTCGAGCGCAAGACGAATGAGACAGAGATTAAGGTTTCCATAAACCTAGATTGTCAGCCCGGGACAGGGAATGTGCAGGAGATATCTGTCTCTACGGGCATCGGTTTCCTAGACCATGTAAGCCTTCTCCAGGACGACTTAAGACCCCTGATATCCTGACTTCGGTCGCTTTCTCAGATGTACCATGCACTCGCTAAGCATTCCGGAATGTCATTGACGATGAAGTGCAAAGGCGATCTCTGGATAGATGACCATCACACTGCAGATAAGTGCTTCTCGAATTCTTACAGCATCGTCTAGAAAATATAGCCTGAGTTATCGCCTTATTTACAGGACAGCGCGATTGCACTGGGTACCGCCTTCAAGCAGGCACTTGGAGAGGTCCGAGGCATCCGTCGCTACGGCACAGGCTTCGCCCCACTAGACGAGGCGAGCCGCACAGCATCCGAAGCGTCGCGCACTGCTCACTTCTCTGGCAGGCCCTCTCGCGCGCGGTCATAGACATATGCTCCAGACCCTACTGCGTGACAGATCTCGGGCTCGAGCGGGAAAAAATCGGCGACCTCTCTACTGAGATGTTGCCCCATATATTTTACTCGTTCTCTATCGCCTCTGGGGTCACACTGCATGTCGATGTCTTGAAGGGAGAGAACGACCACCACCGGTATTTTTTGTGCTCCTTTCAGCAGCTCTCCTCGGATGGTGACCGTCGGTTACAGGGCGGAGTCGGCCTTCAAGGCAGTGGCACTCGCGATCCGCCAGGCGATCGAGAGGACGGGCGGGAACGATGTACCAAGTACGAAGGGTGTATTGTAGGAAACCAGGATACTCGAAACGCTTAGTGTGGTGCAGTATGTAGCAGTGTCAGATCTATCGTGTTATCTAGAGTATTTATTCTTCGTTCACACAGTCACTCCGTCATGATGACAGAGTCCGTGCCAGACCGACAGTCCAAGCCCCATAGTGAAGTCAATACATGTCTTGTGCGTCAACTACTTCTACAACGGACAATGCACGCGTCCTAAAGTACAAACACTATATCCGAGCATAATAAGATATTATAGGCCATCTATCTCAGTATCTCTCTCTGGGCCCTTCACAGAGAGTCTCGAGAAAGACCTTCAGATCATCCTTGTTGATCTCCAAGACACTCGTGTCAAATGACCCATGGCGGGTGCGCGCATTACAGCGATCTTTCGCGTCCAAGAACGCAAGGCCGAACTCGCTAGAGCGATCCACAGTCAGCTTGATACCACCGCTCCGTTCGGCAGTTACTCACTTCTTGCGGATCTCGCCAAAGTCCAACGCGCCCATAACGCCGACGACGATATACGTCCCCGACTTCTCGTTCAGGCACGCGAGTACGAGCGGCAGACCCTTGCGCTTGCTGCGCGAGTGCGCGAGGGTCGTGCCCGGCAGCTTGTCGCGGAGCGCCTCGACCAGCCACAGCGCCAGGCGCTGCAGGACGCCGGGGTGCGCGAAGAGCGCAAGGTCTGGGCCCTGTGTCAACACGACTACGCGGTGCCCGCGCAGAGAGCGAATGTCGTGCTTGTCGATGATTGACGAGCCCTGGCGGATGATGGCGCGGTGGAGGGACATGGAAAGCGGCAGTGCTTCGCGCAGACGAACGATGCTGACGCACAGGCCAGAACGTCAAGGTCCCTCAAGACACGTATAACGAGAGGAAATACTCACTCATTCAACGCATCGTACGCTGTCCAGAAATTCCTGACCAGCCACTGAGGCGCAGCGTCGTCCACGTCCTCGCCCGCGTCGTCTGCAGCATCGCCCGCGGCGCTCTTCGTCTTCGACATGCTCACCATCGCGCCGGGCGGCACGTTCTCCCGCTCATCGTTGCGTCTTCTCTCCTTGCCTCCCTCCCAGAGCCGCCCGCCGCCAAACCACTCTCCGCCATTACGCGCGCCCTCGACCTCGATCTCCATGCGCACCCCGCTGGCCACGTCCAGCAGCGCAGAGACAGCCTCGACGGCATCTGAGGCAGATAAGGGCTGGCAGCGGTACCCGAAGCACCGCGCGAACGATGGATAGGACAACTCGACGAGCCCATATTCCGGCGCGATCTGGTCGAGCTTGTTCCGTAGCGAGAGCTTCAGGTCCTTCGCCATGTGGGGATATGGCTGCTGTGTTTCTGGAATGGAGAACCTAAGGCATTGCACCGATCATTGGTCACGGCTGAGCAACAGCGGATGAGATGAGACTCTACGCACCCCATCTTCGCAAGCAGTCCGGTCAACCGCTTCCTGCCGCGGTCCCTCCAAATGCCGAGCTTCCCCGCGACATAGCTGGAATGGTACATCGCGTCGTAGAGGTTCCAGTGCCGGAAGAGCAGGAACCGCAGCTCGTCTGCGGCGTACACCGACGTGTCATCCGGGTGCTGGGATTTGAAATCGTGGTCTTTCAGTGCGGAGGCCGGCGGCGGGGGGTTAAGTCGCGCGACCTCGTCGTAGTATATTGAGTGGTACTTGTCATAGTCATCGCGTGAGATGCGAGAGGTAGTGTACTGGAAGGTGAGGCCCAATATCGCGAGCCTAGGATGAGATATTACATATCAGCTCGAGTGGATTCCCAGTGCGACAAGATGTACCAGAGCAGGTCGTTGTCTACACGCTCAAGGACGGTAGCGAGAATGTACATCGTCCCTGATGCGCTCTGGCCATGCCATGTACCAGATGCGTAGTGTTTTTCTATTCGCGCTTCGTGTTGGACGCGTTCCTCCGAGTGCATCTTCCGCCTCTAGTGAAGGCAGGTTCATTGAAATCCAGATTTTCGAGAGAGAAATGTCATGAAGAGATGTACCTTGGGGGCTCTGGGCGATGTCTGTTCTCCAAGTGATTTCCTCTTGCCGGAAGGGCTGCCATCTTCATACTCAAGCTCTTCCTCTGCCTCGTCTTCCGAATCTGAGCTATCCTCGTCTGAGTCTGGTTCGGGTTCATACTAGGCGCACAAGCCGTATGATCAGGGTGGGAAAGTAAAGGACGAAATTGGTGGGTTACCATGAGAGCTTCCCAGGCCTTCCGCTCTTCTTGTAGATTCTCTGCTCCGCCGTCGTCCCACACCACTATCCGCTCCCCATTCTCGCCACCTCCAAAGATACTGGACAAATTCTGCGGCCGGAAGGAGTCGATGACATGCACTGAGACTTGTTTATTGAACTCGCCGAACCACATATCCGAGGGCAGATCGAGGATGGCGCCCATGTTCAGGAGGATCAAGCTGTGCAGCTAGGCCACCACGATATCAGTTATTACGAGTGGTCGTACTGTACAGGTAGATACACACGTCTAGATACGCCTCCAGCTCCTTCTTTACGCGTTCGAGTTCAGCATGTCCAGAGACTGGTATGATGCGGTACATGACGTCGTCCTGCTTGAATAGGTCTGCCAGCATGTGGGCCGCACAGAGGGCGTCGACGTCGGGAGCGACAAGCATGATAACGGACGAGGCCGAGGTGGTGGGTGAGCGACGATGAGTCGCGAGGACCTTTGCGTATGCCTCGGCATAGGATGGTCGGGATGCTGAGGCGAGATGGGGAGGGGGAAGATAGACCATGGTGATCAGTGGCCGAGAGACGAGTACTGCGAGCGGATGTTGACCAGCAGAAGGGAGCAGTCACGGCCTCTAGAGTCACGTCTGGCCGAACCGTGACCGCGGCTTCAACAACGCGTCGACGCGTCTTTTCACACCACGCAACACGTGACCAATCGCGTCTGTGGCTGAACGTTGGGAGTGGGGATCATTATTCAACGGACCCATACCTCTACCATCTTGTAGAATATTGTAACCTAATTAGCTAGAACCAGCTAGTCTTCTCCCTCACATCCCTCCTCTTCCCTCGGATGCCCCACACTCCCCAATTCGTCTTCACCATCACCCGCGGGTCGAAGTCCGCGACCTCCCACTTCTCGCTCCCAAACGCGTTCTGCCCGGGAGTGATCACCCAGTCGAACTCCCCAGCCACTTCGGGTGCAGTCGAGAGTGACTTCACATCGCGCTCCACATCCGCAGGGGAGAACCCTGTCACGAAGATCGGGCACTTGCTCGCCAGCAGCAGCGGCATCACCGGGCCCCATTCAGTAGGGGACGCAATCTGCAGAAGCGGCTCCCCGGTCGCCTCTGACACCGAATTTGGCGACGGGAACCCGAATCCAGGGGAGAAGAAGAAGAAGCAGTCAGTGTATGGGTCGAACGTCTCCTGGAAATGGTTGTGGACGTCAATATAGTTCGCCTGCATGCCCGTAATAGTAAGCTGAGGGGTGTAAGGGACCGTGTACGAGGGAATGCCATATTCCTGGATGGATTCGCGCGTACGCTTGAGACGTGCTATCGGCGCAGGCGTGGGGGGCTCGTAGATATTGGGGACATAGACGGGTTTTTCGTCGGAGGCCTTTAACGCTCTTTCCTCCTCCACTTTAGGTGTTGCGGGCGCGGGCTCGGTTGATGCATCAGTAGCAGCGGATTGTGCCGAGTCTGCTTTGCTGTCCGTGGCAGATTGTGCCGAATCGCTCGCAGGCTGCTGTGTTGGCTTTTTTAAGTCCTCAGCTGGCCTGGGTAGAGACACCTGTGGTCCGATGAAATACAGGTGGAAATGTGCCGAGGGGAACAGTAAGCACAATTGTTCCCAGACATGCGGCGGTAACGAGGACTCTGCTCGAGCACCAAGCACGAATATCCTCATCTGAGGCTTGTCTGCGGACGCTTCTTCCGTCTCAGGAGCGCCCGGTGGGACATGCAGGGTTGTGCGCAGCGCTACACACCGTGTCAAGTCTCGCAGGAAAAATTGGTGGAATGTTCATCATACCTGCTAAAGATCGACTACCCTCCGGCGTTAGCCGTTGATTCCGCAATGTCAGTCCACTGAACTGATGAAGCACCGACCCAATCGTGAGTGGGTATGTCAGCAGCTTGCTGGCATGTCTCCGCGAACGCTCAGTGTCCATTGAAGGGAATTCACGGGTGTACCAGAAGACATCCCAGTTCGCAAAAGAAATGGCCGCCTCGGAGTCCTGCTCTCCTACGTAGGCCATCAGAAGACGATTTGTAAACTAATGTGGACACAAATCCTCACCAGGCAGCTCAAACTCCCGGAGCCTCCGCCCACTGCGCAGATCATGATCGTCCTCATTGACCTCCCGCAATCGGCTGCAGTACTTCTTGTGCTCCTCGTCCTCCCGCCAGTGCTCCTCGGAACAGTGCGTCGGCCACCCGCAGTCCGGACACTCAAACTTGACCGCGCGGGGAGCAGCCTTGCTGTGCGCGTGAGTTGCGCTGTGCTCAGAGGCGCACACCGGACACGGCGCAAGCTTTTGTATGGCCTCTCCTCGCGCGCGGATGGCGGGAAAGGGCGACTGCGAGAACGAGTGGAAGAGGTCGTCCTGGCTGAGGACGGGCGCCTTCTCCTTGGCAAACTTCCCAGCGGGCTTCGGTTTCTTGAACCAGCCAAAAAGAGTGCGGGTGTGGTGGCGCGGTGCGAGGCTAGCGGGTACGCATGGGCGGGCGCTGCTGTGGGTGAGGAGACGGAGGGACGCTCGCTGGGTCGTGGGTCGGAGCAGCATTTGGAGACTCGTCGATGGGCGCTTGTGACCGAAGCAGACGGTAGCGCCGGGCGCGTGAATCGTGCCGAGGGAGTTGCGCATCTCTCGTCCGCGTCCTTCTGGACGCTCGTCTTCATTCAAACTATTTGACTCTGCTAGTAAATGTTCGCACTGGGAAGGGGCTCCAGAACATTGCTGAGTGCTGCCCGGCCGGCCGATGCTGTCTCGTCCATCTTTTGCCGCACTTATGCGCTTTCGAGGTTTCCGGAACGCCGCCCTGGCACAGGCAGAATACGTTCTGAGGCATCCTTGAACGATATCAGGTCGCGGGAGAATTCTGGCCGGCGGGGACCTATCAACGACGAGCTTCCTACCTACGACCGGTCCCCCTTGTGGGAGGCCAGCAAGAGAGCTCCCGTCAGTGACCCTGAGGCTGGACTGAAGAGGCTGCTGCTAGACAACAATCAGCTCGTCATTACGAGGTATCTGTGTTCTGCTGCGCCTCCGTCGAGGATACTCTCATGTTCGCAGACAGTTCGAGATGCTCAATATCTTCATTGGGTTCGAGCAATCGAATCGATATGTGATTTGTCTGTAGCAAGCCTTTTCTGAACCTATCCCGTCTCTTTGACTGGAACTTTGAACAGCGAACGAAAGGGAAGACACTCTCGGCTTCATTGCTGAAGAACCCCGCGGTTTCCTCTCCACCTTCTCGCGCCAGATACTCCGCACGCATAGGCCGTTCCGTGCGTTGGTTATGGATGCGGACGGGAACCCCGTCCTATGGGTGTGTAGCCGCGTGGAAGGTGCTTCGATCTCTATCTCTCACCTCTCGCGCATCGCAGCTCCGACGGCCATTCCAGTTTATCAACTCACGCATGTACGTTCAGCGGCTGAAGGATCTTCACGAGTACACTTCCCAGGGCGAGCCGGTCCTCGACACCTTTGCGGAGGTCCAGCAGCGCTGGCATCTGTGGCGTAGGCGTTATGACTTATTTTTGAGGTTCGTGCCCCGGTCTCGTCAATACGTCGGAGCTCAAGCGGTACCACTGAGCTAGGGATGAGAAACGCCGTATCCTTTCAAAAGATGACCTGTTCAAACAGGTGGCGCGTGTCGACGAAGGATTCTGGGCTTGGGACTTCACCATTCAAGATTCCCGTGGAGAAGAAATGGCTACCGTGAATCGAAGGTTCCGCGGATTCGGGCGCGAGGTCGGTTATTATACTCGTCAAGTTGACTTACTCGATTTACTTGTTCTCTGTACAGCTATTCACGGACACAGGTACATTGCTATCTCTGTACTGTCAAGTGATGGATGAGCGCTCATGTGGATGCCATCTCGCAGGTCAATATTTCGTTCGCTTTGGTCCCATGCCCCAAGATCCCGACGATCCCACACCTCGTGCACCTTCGATTGTGCGTGATATAACGTTGGATGAACGTGCTGTGAGTCATCGCGCTCCCTCAGTTGTTCGAGGAATTAACTGATGATGTTGCATAGCTTGTGCTTGCGTTGGCTGGTCAGTACTCATGCGCGCGGATGACTGGTATTCTTCGTACTGAATAATATGCTTGGCAGTCAACATCGATTTCGACTACTTCTCCCGTCATTCTGGGTGAGTCGCATTGCACCAAGAAGTGTAGAGAGAGGGCTGACTTGTGACAGTCATGGCGGAACGTGGTTTCCTATGTTCGACTCGTTTGGCGGTGACGCCTAGACTGACCTACCAGACTGAGCTCGCTTTTACCCCACAACCGAGTCGATACTTTTCACAAGTTTTCCCACTCAGTCCAGTGTGAAACCGAGTTCCGCAAATCTGTGTCCAAACCTGACTCGAGATAATTTCGGGAGCTCAGCTTACGACCGTCGGATATTACATGTTCAGACACAACACATATGTGTAAATTAGCTCAATACATTTTCTCACCTCCAGTTTCTTTCCTCGGGCGCCACTTCGATGACGTCTGAGCGCTTCTACGGGCAGCGTGATCACGTGCTGAGCGCCGACCGAGGACGCGAGGTAGACTTGTCGCAGGCGACGAACACGAGTCGGAAGATTCACCTCTCTACGCCGTCGACATGGCGGACACCAGGGACGCAACGTCCCCTACGGATGAAGGTAACATGTCGTAGGTTTTTGTAGTCATGTCTGACATTCTCATGACTTCCTGACCAGAATCGGCCCCGCTCCTTCAAGACGCGCAGCAACCACTGCCGAAGCCAACACTCCTCGAACGCATTACCTCGATAGTCCAAGAACCCTTCACGCCGCTGACGCAGATCCTCCTCATTGTCGCGCTTATCTTCCTCTTACTCAGTTCTGTCTTCATCGGCCTCTTCGCCGGAGCGCAGCACAAACTGAACGGCAAGCATGGCGGGGATGGAGAAGCCCCTCCGGCCAAGACAGTTACTGTCACAGCTACGGCGACTGCTACAGCCACGGCTACCGCCACTTCCACTTCTGTATCAACGTCTACTGTTGGTGCGCCTCCCCTTCCCACGGCTCCTCCAGCAGAGGTGCGTTCGTCATGCATTATCCACCCTTCCGACACTGAAGGGATCAACGCGTGTAGCCCTTGTGCTTGACTTCGGACTGCATCCTCCTCGCTTCGTCTGTTCTGTCGTCACTTGACATGACACAGGACCCGTGCGAGAACTTCTACGAGTATGCGAGTGTGTAACTTGCTGCTTGTTCTGCTGGCATCTACTCACCTCTTTCCCCCAGACGGTGGTTGGTTAAAGGAACATCCTGTTCCCTCCGACAAGGGGGCTTTTGGCCAATTTGAAGCCCTGTCACTTCAGAACAAACGTCTGTTGCAGCGGATTCTGTCTTCGGACTCGCCGTCGCGCTTTACTGAATTGTCCGCGTCTTATGGCGCATCGTACGATGATCAAATTCTCAAGAAGCTGCGCGGCTTGTACTCTTCGTGCTTGAATGAGGACAAGCTTAACGAGATTGGGACGGAGCCTTTGGCGAAGGTGACTAGCAAGATCCGGAAACTGTTGCGAGGCGAGACAACGGTGGTCGAGCTTGCTTCGACCGACAACAAGCCAGGGAAGGAGGGTCTGACCGCTGCGGTTGCCTATCTGCATTCTCGGGGTATGCCTTTTCTCTCGTAGCTTGGGGCACCTGTTAACTGACACTGGACTCCAGGTATCGACGCACTATTTGATGTGACTATCGAGGGTGACGTAGGTCAGGATCCCAACTTCATGGCACTTTGGTTTGGTCAGCCCGGGCTTGGCCTGCCTTCGAAGGTTAGTAAAGACGCGTCCGAATTAAAGCCTTCATCAACATGTTTCTTCAGGAATATTATGAGGAAGACGATGTTGTGGAGTTCTACCAAAATGTGCTAGAGCATCTCCTTGTGACACTGGCAGAAGAAGAGAAGGCACTTGAGATACGGCAGAATGCCCCAACTACATCGACTGTTCACGAAGAGCGTCTAAGAGTCTGGCCTCCCTGGCCATGGCCACCATGGGGTGGCGATGATGATGACCAAAAAGAGCCGGAAGACCCGATTAACCAGACAGAGAGAGCGCACGAATTGGCGATGAAGATTGTCAAGCTGGAGAAAGCGATTGCGAATGCCAGCCTGGATCTGTGCGTCTCTTACTTGCAAGATCGCGTCCGGGACTGACACTCACTGCCTGCGTCCACAGAGATGTCATACAGCAGGATCCATTTGCGACGTACAATCCTGTCCCGCTGGAGAACCTCACTTCCACTGTTCCACAGATTGACTTTCCCGCTTATTTTACGTCTTTCGCTCCCCGGAATTTCCCATCAACTGTCATATTGACTTCACCGACCTACGCGGTATCGCTGTCTGCAATTTTGAATGAGACTAGCACCGACACCATTGAGGCCTACTTCGTGACTCGCGCTGGACTTGGTTTTGCACCGTATCTTGGTGTTGAGACCGAGGCGTGGAAGGCAGTGCGAAGCCTGGAAGAGCGGCTGCGCGGTCTGAAGAAAGGCGCGATTGGCGACCGTTCCGAGTTCTGTGTCACACAAGTAGAGGAAACTATGGGCTTCGCCGCGGGAAGGTACTTTGTCAATGAGACATTTGGAGGCGACTCCAGGGAGAAGGGGACGAAGATTATCACCGGTCAGCCGCTTGGTGAAGAAGTCACATCTTTTGTACTCACGTTTTATTCCATGCTATTTTGTCAGACATTGTGAAGACTTTCAAGGCTTCGCTACCTCATATTGCATGGATGGACGAGGAGAGCGCCTCCGCTGCTGCTGGAAAGGTTCGTATCCTTGTCGCTGATGATATATGGCGCTCAACGTAATGTCGCTACCCAGGCTGATGCAATTCGCGTGAAAGTTGGCTTCTCATTGTCTCCTGATACTCGTGATCCACGTTCGATCGCGAACTACTACTCGCTTGTCACGATCCACAAAGATACGTTCTTTGAGAATATTGAGAGCGCCAGGTTTGTTCACTCCATCAGCTGTCCAGTACTGTCACGAGTTTGTCGATAATAATGTTCTACTCAGCGTGGACGAACAGAGACGTGCTTGGCAAAAACTGGGCAAACAGCGCGATCTCGACGAGTGGGAGATGTATCCCTCCATGGTGAATGCATATTTCAATCCTCCCGCTAACGAGGTATGGGAACATCGCTTATTCAGAGGATTGACTCTGAATTTCAATGTCTCCGTTTAGATCGTCTTCCCTGCTGGCATCTTGCAGCCTCCGTTTTTTTCCAAGGACTGGTATGTATTAATCTGTTCGTGGAACCTTGAGTGCCAGATCCTCATGCGTCACTCAGGCCCGGATACATGTCCTACGGCTCGTTCGGGCAGGTCGCTGCCCATGAGTTGACAGTGAGCCTCCGTGACCCACTGGCTTATTGTCTACGAATTGACTGCTTCATCAGCACGCGTTTGATTCTGCTGGTAGAATGTACAATCAGCAGGGCAAACTGGAAGAGTGGTGGACGAACGCTACCAGTGAAGGCTTCAACGTGAGGCAAGAATGCATCGTTAAGCAGTTTTCTGGTTAGCCCATCCATCCACCTCCCTACCCATTCGATAAGTGACACGTTTATGCTTTCAGAATATACTGTGGACGATGGGAAGGGCGGCACGGTTCATGTCAATGTGAGCAATGATTTTGCACTCTGAAAATTAGCATATGCTGATCGCGTTCCAGGGCAATCTGTGCGTATCACAACAGGGCTTCTTGGCGAATACCTGACGCTGTTGAAGGACATCCGGAGAAAACATTGGCGATTCGGGTACCATTCAAGCATATCGTGCATGGAAGGCCCAGTACAACGGTGCGACCGAGTTCCTGCTGCCGGGATTGAACTTCACTCGGTGAGTTCAGTTGTGTAATACTTGCCACCATCGGTCACCATATGCTCGTGATGCAGTGATCAAATGTTCTTCATCGCGACATCCCAGCATTGGGCACGCAACATCAAACCTGAGTCAGCAGTGAGTGCTCTAAAATTCTTAAAGGATGTGTTCATGACTATGAATGATCCCAGGTGGCACGCGTCCGGACTGATCCGCATTCGCCCAACCAATATCGCGTGGATGGTACTCTTTACAACATTCCTGAGTTTGCGACTGCATTCCACTGCTCGGCGACAGCCAAGGTGAGCTCATCTTCCCATCCCATCTCGTTCACACTACTGACTGTCGTTTTCTACACTTAGTTGAACCCACCGCAGGAAAAACGGTGCATTTTCTGGTAGAGAGCTTTTTGTAGATTGTTAGTATTTAAGAATTTGAAGGAGGTCGTCTCATTCATGCTGTATACACCATTACACCAATACGAAGGACGGAGGCTGGATCACGATTCACCGACCCGCTCCGGGGAGGCAGATCTGACTGAAGATCTTCGCTCCAGCTTGTCCTGGGCGCCAATTTGACTCGTAACTTATGCGGCGTGTGTGCTGAATCTGCTTGCATGAACTAACGATACTCCTGCTTCACAACCTCATGTCTGTGCACACCGGCACGTTAACCCTATAGCTGATCACTACTGTTTCTTCTAGACAACCACTTCTGCATTGCTGTGCCATGCAGCAAGCTCGTCAGTCCCTACGGCTTACCCCCCGCGGTGTACGCGCATCATCGAGCGCAGTGAATGTGGCTGTTAGTGGTACTGCGGCCTCTTTTTCAAAATGCTAACGTGGTGCAGCCTAGATCGCTAGGTAAATGGGAACGTCCGCAACCGACCTCGTCGGTCGACTCTGTGCCCGCTGGACCATCCACTCCACTACCAAAAGGCAGGAGTTGGGCGCGTCCAGAGCAACCCAGTTCTCCGTTAACCCCAAGAACGCCTGCACTGGATAAGTGGGAGCGTCGCGAGGACAGACGCAGCAGGGATCCAACTCCTCAGGTGTCGAGCTCCTCTATTCTTGAGAGAGAGAGAGCTCCTCCTCCTCATCAAGCACCCGGTTCAAGTTCTTTTCAGAGAGGGCCTGCTCCTCATCAAGCTGGCCCTGGTCCTAGTTTACCTTCACGAGAAGCGGCTCCTCATCAATCCTTCAATTTCTCTGTGTTGCCGCGGCGCCAGCAACAACGCCAGCGACCTCCCCGTGACACCAAATGGCAGAAGAGTGGCAATGGTGTTCCCATCACTTCACTGGGAAATATTCTCCGGAAGGATCGAATCCAGACTGATTTGGCCGGTGTGGAGAAAGAGAATACCGACGAAACTCTCGAAGAAGAGGAAGGCAAAACTACCCCTTCCATCAATGCAGGCGATGTAGCCGAACCTTTAGATGCAGATTCTGATGTTGCGGAGTATTCTCGTGCAGGAATGCATGCACGCCATGGCTGGAAGGAGAACGGGTCTATCGTTGCCAGAGCTAATAACCCACATCTTTTGCGTATGCGACCTGGAGTTCACACACCTACGTACAAGGAAAATAAACGGAAAGGGCTGAAGAATGCAAAACCGGTCAATCTCGACATATTCATTCCCAGTGTGGTCACCGTAGGGAACTTGGCTAGACTTCTTAATGTCCGTTTAGGTGAGTTAACTCCTTCATCTTTATTTATAAACTCGTAATTACCTGTCTCTAGACAACCTACGGCGCAAGATGATGAAGGTGGGCATGGAGGCGGAAGCGTCATATGATCATAGTATGTGGATGCGTGAACTCGGTGCCTCGGTAACCTTACAACATCAACGTAGTGCTAACGGCCGAGTATGCATCATTACTGGCGATGGAATACGGTCGCAATCCCGTCGTCAATGACGAGGCAGCTTTCGATATATACCCTCCGTACGTGTCTAGTCCGTCTTCCCGTGTATTCATGTTGAACTTCCGAATACAGAGCTGCACCAGCAGATCCATCGAGTCTTCCCTACAGGCCTCCGGTCGTGACCATCATGGGACACGTCGATCATGGTAAGACGACACTGCTCGACACCCTGCGATCTACGTCTGTGGCAAAGGCCGAAGCGGGGGGTATCACGCAGCACATTGGCGCGTTCTCGGTCCCAGTTCCAGCCAGCAGCGGTGAGAAGGGTCAGGCAAAGACGATCACCTTCTTGGATACTCCCGGGCACGCTGCCTTCTCCGCAATGCGCGCGCGAGGCGCGCGTGTAACTGACATCGTTGTGCTGGTCGTAGCCGCAGATGATGGTATCATGCCCCAGACGCGCGAGGTCGTCGAGCTAATCAAGAAGGACGATACGACCGTAGTTGTCGCTATCAACAAGGTGGACAAACCCGGAGTTGACGTAGTGCGTAGTCCGTCATTTTGGTCTGTGCGTTTATTGATATAGCCCCTGTTGCAGAGCAAGGTCGAGAACGCGCTGTTGGCTGAAGGCCTCCAGCTGGAGACTTTTGGTGGCGACGTTCCTTCAGTACAAGTTTCCGGTTTGACGGGCCAAGGCCTTGACCAGCTTGTGGAAACCATCTCATTACTCTCAGAAATGAAAGACCTTCGAGCGGAACGCGAAGGCAATGTGCATGGCTACGTGATCGAGTCGAAGCTCCAGAAGGGCCTGGGGTAAGGACGTTTCTCAGATTACTGTCAACCGTATTGATGAGATATCCTAGACCTGTCGCAACAGTCCTGATAAGTCGCGGTTGCTTGACGTCAGGTGCCTATATCATCTGCGGAATGAGCAACGCGAAAGTCCGCCTACTGACTGACTCGAACGGCAAGAATGTGAAGGCCGCTTATCCTGGGACGGCCGTCACTGTTTCGGGGTGGAAGGAGTTGCCTCATGCTGGTGATGAAGTGCTGCAGGGGACCGAATCGGAAGTCAAGAAAGCGTTAGAAAACCGTATACGCAAAACCGAGATGGATGCTACGCTTGGCGATATGGAAGCTCTAAACGAGCAGCGTCGCTTAGAAAGAGAGCAGAAGGAAAAGGACGAGAATGGTGACGAGGACGTGAACAATGCGGAGGCTGGTCCTGCGAACAGCAATGACGGTCCGAAGGAGCTGAAGTTGGTGATCAAGGGTGATGTCAGCGGAAGTGTGGAGGCGGTTGCTGGTGCACTCGAGGGTATCGGGAACAAGGTCGCTCGTGTCAAGATCGTTGCTACCGGCGTAGGGGACGTCACCGAGTCGGACGTTCTGAGGGCGAAAGCTGTGAACGGTAAGGGTGCTAGTTCGGTGAGTTGCCTGAATCTGACAAGTCATCGTGACAGGTGCTGTCGTCGCTTTTTCTGTGAACACGCCTCGCAGTGTCCAAGCCGAGGCAAATTCTCAACAGGTCCCAGTGTTCTCCTCGGCCATCATCTATCGTCTGATGGACACCGTGAAAGAACGCGTCATCGCGTTGCTTCCTCCCATCATCGAGAGGCGCGTTACTGGCGAAGCGACCGTACAGCAGATCTTCGACATTCAAATGAAGGGGAGGCAAACGAAGAAAGTCGCCGGTTGTCGTATTACAAACGGTCTGGTGGAGAAAAACAAGCTAGCTCGAGTGGTCAGGAATGGAGACACCGTTCACGAAGGCAAGTTTATTAACCCACTTGCTCTGGCAACGCCTACTCATACTTATTCTCTCCTTAGGACGCCTTGAAACAATGAAGCAACACAAAAAAGACATTACAGAGGCGACGAAGGGGACGGAGTGTGGACTGGCTTTCGAAGGATGGGATGACCTTCGCGAGGGCGATATGATACAGATGTACCAGGAAATAGAGAAACCAGGTACTTTATAATGGGATTAATGCATTCAGGTACAACACTTTCTGTATTATGCAATCACGAGGATGCCTTTCCACTCATGATGCTCTAGATTTGTTGGATTCGTCCAGAATCAGATCCTTCCCGCCAATTGTGCCAGTCCTCCCACTGACACCAAAGGTCAAGCTAATGCCACCCAGGTTTCTGTCGGTCTTCTCGAGAAGGGTCCAGCTCCTGGTATCTTGCTTCTTGAGAATCAACTCCACCTAGCGAGATCGATATACCAGAGATCGAGGTGAAAAAAAAAGAGCCTTACCTTCGTCCCATAGTACTTGTAAGAAGATGCCTCTGGGTCAACTGGACCGAATAGCTCTATGGATTTTCGGAAACGCTTAGACGCGGGAAGGTAAAGATCAAGCTGGATCTGCATGACCGGGAGTCAACAATCCACGAATCATTCTGAGGTGAAGTAAACGCACTCTGCTCTGCTCTATCCGGACAGAACTGCGGTCTTTGTCAACTTGCTTCGCGAAGACGGATACATGCACCTCAGTAGGAGTCTGGTAATGGTCGATTCGGCAATCCGTGAATTGTTCAGTCTGTTCAGTTTTACACATAGATCGTGAAGCTTGTGCAACCGACATAAGAAAGTACTTACTGTATCTTTAACACTCGACTTGGGGACGAAGACATGTCGTCCCGTTTTGCAGCCCTGGATCTTGAGGAATTCGTCGAACTCAAGGACCCGCCTTTTGCAGCAGAGGTAGCCCTTACGACGATTGAATGAGGTTGATTGTCTATGCACTCAGAAGAATATCAACTACCTTACTACCTTCCCGGAAGATGGGCTAGAGACGAGGTCGTCGATTTGTTAGAGATCTGACCAACGAGATCAACGTCGAAAACTCACAGGCATCGGATGGTACGCACAGACCGTCCCCGGACCATTCCCTATTCGGTTGACTTCGTCGCTCTCGAAAATCGCCTGACATCCGTTGTGCCTGCACTTTGTACCTGAGGGAACCGTCGCAGCTAGATCCTCCTCCTCTTCTTCGGTTGGGGCAGGTTTTACGGCGGAGGGCGATGCTACGGTAGCCGTGAAAGCCTCAGATCCAGATGGTTTAGAGGTATAGATCTCCTTTCCAGCTTGCGAGTCGGCCATTTTCAGATTCACATTTGCGGACGGTTTTGGCGCCTCTGTCTTCACAGCCTCATCTGTATGGAATCCCGTAGTGCAGCCCTGGATAGCTAGTGAAACAGTGCACGCAGCACCAGGAGAGTACGCTCACTGGTATGTTCATGAATTCATCGAAATCTAGTACCGGCTTGTTCGAATCGGAACAGCACGACCAAGACTTCAACCCTTCATGGAAGACAGGTCCACCTGAGTGATATGTGCAACTCTCGGTCGTGTTGTTAGCAGCGTCATATTCCTGACCACAGCCCTTGTGAGTGCAGCGCGGCATGGATGAAATTATTGATAGGGTGCACAGGCAACGTGCAAGCCGCAAGTATACGGTAACGTGACGCGCACGATCGAATCATATCGAAAATCCCAGAAAATCCAAGACGCGTCTAATTATGACATGCACATATGGAGTGAAGGTAGCGAGGTTGCTGAATCGTTCGAGATATGGTAGTGGATCAGCTGCATACATATGCAACAGACAGGGAAAAGGTCGAACTAACGGCAGAAAACCTTGTGTAAGAGTAGTCGAATACTAAGTTTTGGACGTCAATGGTGAAATAGCGGGAACGAACGACGGTGCCGGGCACCATGACTGTCAGAGTTGACAGTACTTGCGATGTCAATGGATAATGTACAGGTGCGGCTCAGGAATATCACCCAATGCATGGAGAGCATAAGAAGGGGACAAGCAGACGTCTCAGTTCGAGTGAATACGCACGGGGGGCTGACACATTTTACAATTACCAGATGTTTGTTAGGAAGCCACTGGCAGTGACAGAGTCTGGCTGGGATATGGGACATGAGATAATATTTTTCTTGGCGAAATAGACGGAATATTCAGAACGCCCCCGCGGGAAAACAAACCCCCCTTCCCCCGGAACTGCTGAAGAGAAAAATGCGAAGACGGAAATACCGTATCAAAGAAATGTCAATGGCCGCCAACGATAGCGTCAACCACTGACACCGAGTACCGCGCGTCATTGCTCACCGTGCCGCACAGGGTGGACCGCGTCTCCGGTCATTAATATTGGAGACGACGAGCAATGGCCGGTCGATGCATTTAGGTGTGTACCATCTCTTTGGCAGTGTACGACGAGATGCCCACTTCATACAAAGCTTTTTCAGCTCACCTTAACGATGGGGCACCACTACTCGACGTGGTAGGCGATGAGCGACACCCGATGAACGACATCGAACACACCGACCAACGCTAGCACCCGGCCAATGCGTGCGCCCTCACTGAGCTCGACAGCGGACCCAGGGGACCGCTATTAAACATTGACAGGTGAGCGTCTTCGATTTTTTAATCACGAAATTACCATAAGCAGGGGGGGGGGGTTTCTAGGCGTAAACCGGGTTTCTGAATAGACTAATCCGAAATAGACAGCATACTATCTGCCACTTGAGGAAGTTGCTGTGGAAACCCCAGAAATTACAGCAGTGAAGGGAGAGAGAGGAGGCTCAGTGTTCAAATAAGGGCCAGGAAGACGCAAATGCCTTGAATCGCGAGCAGAGTTTTGCATGAGTCGTTTCTACAATGAAAGCCGCAGAAACGACAATGAATGGACAACAGGGTGACTCGAACGTCAGGACATATTGCGGCGCTTTGTATGTGAGAGCAGGGGGTGTCGGGAGTGCAAGCAGGCAAGATCGAGGCACCGAAGAGTAGGGGTAAGAGAGGCAGGAAGGTGGCAAGCATGCATACATCCTCCGTTCAACAGCTTGATCGCCTGATTACCGTCTCTGCAGGCACCGGCCATCGTCGCAACGCAGTTCGACATAGATCGCTACGACCAGAATGAAGATATGGTTCGTCCTTCCATGCATCTCGACATCAGGGTCGCGAGTTCGACAGATTTGATACCCTTGATGTCCTTGCGAGAGTTGTAGTGGAAGGGTGCGGTCCACCATCGGGACAATTTCAGGGAGTCAATGTGTGCAGTCACACTTCCTGGAACATCGATTGCCAGTTGCTGAGGTGATATCTCCGGGAGATACCACGTCAAAATGGGGGGAATGCGCAGGACGGTTAAGGATAGACAGACACTACACATGGAACCAGTGGGGGAGAAGACATTGACCTGAAATTGAAGCTTCGACTTCGAAAGATCGTGCCGCGCATTACCGCTCCAGTTCTGATGCGTGTGTCACCCTCCACTCAGCCAGTAAATTCATGCGAAAAACGTCAAGGCGCACGCGCTCCGTATCTCCGTCGTCTTCAGATGAGATTAAACGTGTCATCGAGCCTGGAGCGTGGGCTGCGGGATAGGCAGGAAACACCGAAATTGGTAGGAGCAGCTGGTATCTCCACCGGCTCCCATAGCAAGCTGCATGGAGAGGCATGTCGCGGAGATGATTGGATTCCAGGTATCTCTTCGGCTCGGAGTTTCTGGACATGATGGGCGTCGTGATTGATCCCGGTGCCAGCGTGCTGCTTGGGACTGCCGCCCGAGTCAAAGGGTGTCCGATCCTGAATATACAGCTGCTAGAGCCGAGAGGATGGTGATCAGTAGCAAACAGCCACTATGGGCAGTATGAGGACCCCGGAATATGGGAGGCCTGACGTTGGCCAGTTTGTCCGGACATTTTTCTGGTTCCCACGCTTTCTGAGCTCGGGTTCGTGCGTTTCGGCGAGAATGGAGTCGATGACCTGTTTTCAACCGACCAAAATGGTCCGAATGAGAGGGTTCAGGGTTCCTCTCCCAAATTCCTGGGTCCTGCAGTATGTTCGGATGAGCTAGCGCTGTGGATGTGGATAGACGTGTGAGGACACCTGTTGGAATAAACAGATTAGATACCGGATGAGTGCGGCGGAGCGCGGCGGAGTGCGGTTGTACAGTTGCGGACAATCAAACGCGGTAAATTTGATAGCGCCTGAACCAGATTTTTCTGAGACAAATGGACTTCAGATTCAGACTCAGGGAGGTCTAAAACCCCCAAAAATGCACTCAGATAGTTTTTCCCACGAGGTTTTTGGATGGCCAAATTTTTGGGCGATTTTTTCGACACTTATAGGCCACTTTGCGATCGTACTAAGCACTATTGGCCACCTGCTAGTCACCCGCAACCTCTGATTCATTCAAACGTTGCGAATCCACCCGAAATTCACCCAACCAGCTTCCGTAAGGGATCCTACCGCTACTTACACATTTGTTCTCACGCCACATGTTTGAGGCGTTCTCACATGTTCGCGCAGATTTCAGCTGAAACTGCCTCCGGCATGAAGCCGCTCGTCATAGCTAGATTGGCAATGGTCAGAATGCTATCTAAGAGTGTTTGAGACTAACTTTAAATGACAAATTCCATATTCTAGGTGCACTTTGTGCATTTTCTATGGCCATATTTTTGCATGTATATTTTTCATCTGTTTGTGGCATCATCCCCTACTCATCGAAAGGAGTCGATTGCATATTTTTTCGTATTTTTATCTAATTAATTACGGGGTTGGCCAAAATTTTGGGTCCAAAACAGGAAATAATAAGAATTAGTGAAATCGGCTCGTGCAAATCGAGTCTCTGAGTCATAAGCATCACATTTGTGCAGTTTCCGAAAGTTTCCGGCACTCTCCGGACTCTGCATAATTGGACTAAAATAGTTACCGTGTTTGATTGTCCGCAACTGTAGATCGCGCATGACCGAACTCCGCGATAACGACACCGGACCCTTCTTCCTCTTTCCAAATTCCTTGGGGTGACAAAAAACCCATTCGGAGACTTGCTTGGTCCAACATGGTGGTTCTCTTGGTCGATAATAAACAACTCACATAGTTCCTATCAGCGGCCGCTTCATATAAAATTCCAACACACGAACTCGGAAAATTGTGGAGAGATGATTATGAACCCGGAGGCAAAGGTACTGACGTACCCACTGGTTCCTTCTGTTCGTTTGAAGACGTTCTGTCTTCGGGTTTGTTCTCGACTCTGCGTGGTAGCGGCTACTAATCAGGCCAATCTAGCTCGAGTATTATGTATCAAGTGCTACTTACGTTGCGTGTTATACACGCTGGTCCTGCAGGCACATACGTGAGTTCGCGACATGCCGTCCAATGATAATATCTGGACTAAAATGCATGACCATGAGATTTAACGATGTTACCAAAAGAAATGCTTACGAAGGCTTTGATTTATGTGAAGTGAGTATTTGTGAGCGAGTCGCCAGTACCTACTATGCGTACTCTGGATTCTTCCAGGGAAAATACCTGCGGTGAAACAATGTCAGTCGTACGGACTGAACTTACCCTGTAACATCTCAAATCACACGCCTATTTGGGTTGGAACCCCAGAGGCGTATGAGGACAGTCAGGTTAGTGGCCCATGTAGCGCCATAGCCTGGTTTTTCAATTACCAGAGGATCACATCGATCCTTCTTCGGGAAGCTTGAGACCAACCGAGCTTTCCACTCAGCGAAGCTCAGGGCCGTAGCAGAAGAACATCGTTCGTTCTCGTCCATTCTTGCCGGCTGGAGCCGCGAAGATCAGTCAATGAGAAGAACAACGTGCGATTCTCTCCCTCGATCTGAATCTTTCATCGCGACTAGTCCTTCGTTTGACTCGATCATCAAGGGGACTGCTCAGGAGTGCCTCAGAAGGTAAGCATCGAGAGAAGCACCCTGACTACCCAACCATCCGTCTATATTGCTCGAAAGCCGATGTACCTCGTCGGGTGAAGAACGTGCAGCACTAAAGATGCTTCCACCCTTAATATCGGAAGAAGTGCTCTATAATAACTCACAATGCTCACCGGTTCCTACTTCTGCTACCGTGGTTATAGATGGACTTGTGCGCGTTCCCCGGGTTCAAGACCACGGTCCTAGTGATAACAAATTGTCATCCGAAGCTATCGTCACGCCTTGGGGTTACCATGATGGAGTCCCTCTAGTGTGCCCGAGCGCTCATTGACGACTCTACGCGTGAAGCATGGATTAAATGCAACCCATCTAGGATCTAAGCAATTCCAGGTCCGAATGCCTCCCATGCTAGAAATCCCACACCCCATGGACCTACTCGAGCCAATGTCCGCATGGCGGAGTACAATCTTCGGCGAAAGGGCGGAAGCGATGCATCATAGTGCGTTAGAGTAGGATTGCTAAAATATGATAGTAAGCCTTCGTCGCGCCATTTTTGCATCAGAATCTGTTGCACAGTTCGACTTTCGGCTGTCGCAGCTGTGCGGTGAACATGCACTGCTTTTCGTGCAGCGTCCCAGGGTCGACAGGTCACTTCATATGCCAAGCCCGCGACGACTCCGCCCGCGACGAGCGTCGTCCCGTGCACCGCTCGTGGTGCGTGTGTTCGAGTCGACCTCCTTGCAAGAAATTTGATCCGTGTAGTCTCCAGAAAGTCTTGGGAAACGATCTTCGAGCTGAGAGCAATGCGACGCGTTAGGTCGAACATAGCGAAGAACACAGCGAAACCTATGAAAGTGATCGGTAACGACTCCGGCAAAAATTCGCGTGCACCCTCACCACAAGTGTCCTTTGCACAGCCCCACCCCCACCCATCCCAACCACGGCCTGCCATCTCTCCCACTTCTTTCATCCAGATTCTGACTTCACGAGCTTCACGTGCCTCGCTGCGTACAGACATGGATGGGGAGGGTTGCGTCCCTCGAAACACCTCTTTCCAAGCATCTGACCAACCGGTAGCCGAACTACTACCTTCCAACGCGAATCGGAGATTTTCTGCCGGGGCTGCAACCAAGGCTTGCACGCCACCGGCAGAAGCACCGGAGATCGCGGCTAAGGTAGTTGGGTGGGATGTTAGATAAGGCTCCAGAATGTCAGATGTTTTGGAATAGGTGGACCATAGAACTGTGCCCAGGATGCCGTTGACGATAATGGGGGGGATGAAGTGTTTCAGGATGACGATGAACTGTGTGCGTAACTTAGACTCACGATCAAGGCCGTGAATAGACAGTGGCACATACCCCTTGCTTCTTGATCAGCCAAGACACATATTGCGGGGTCAATGGTTGACCATGATGCACTGCAAGACCCTTGAGTGACTGCCAGCCACTGACTGACGATATGGCGAAGTGAGCTACGGATATCGAATCTATCGATGACCTGCACCTTTCGCCGGTCTGAACAATCGGACCGGCCTGGAGAAATAGAGAGCCAGACTACGAGTGCCAGTACGAGCTAGAGCAGCGTAAAGTGATATTGGCTTCTCCTGGTCGGATTGACGACCATCTCGCGATGTGACCGACATAGGCCGACATACGTGGGCAAACGAATTCGAGCGCTGAGCCAAACTAGTGCAACCGACACGAGTCGGCCCCGCCGATGCCGCGGCTTCACGCTCGTCTCCAACTCGGCAGTTGTCCAATGGCAACTCAATAACTAGCAAGTTCGCAGAGCCTGCGGTCGAACCAACTTCATCAGGAGACACAATCGGCTACAGCTTAGGTCCATATCATGGAAGTCCAACTCCTTTCCTAACGACTTCGATTTTGGCCGGATTTCTCTTGTGTAATGGAGCCGCGCTGCAGAGACTGGAATTCGGCGCAAAGAGCTTCGCTCAGCTTGCAAACATTGACAGCACACCTGATCAGAATGACCCCGTACATTGTCATTTTTCTCCGATGAATTCTATGAATTTCATGAGGTACGCGTCTATACTTATCTCGTACCGCCTCACTGACGTTCGCGTAAAGGGGCATTGTGACTTTGTCATCGTACATTTCCGAGAGGCGCACATATCATCTCGGCCTCAGGGCTATCCCGAATTGCCTGCGATACTGAGCGACTCCAAGCGCTCCATCCTGAGCAAGAGACACAGACGCACATCCTGCCTTCGATGGAGAAACTTTTGTACACTGTGTTCTTTTCTCTGCCATTCCTCGGAGATTAATTTGCAAACTAATTAATTCAGAAGGCTCACATTGATAATGTCGAGGCTAGTAGTTCCATTAGGTATAAGTTTGGGGCCTCGCCGCATGTTGCACCTGGAAAGTACCGCCGGAGAACAGAAGTCGTTCAACATCTTTTTGCCGTCTGGTAGCGTCTACATCCTAAAGTGAGCCTTGTGATCAATGGCCTCTCACACACGGCTGCAGGTACTCTATCCGCTTCGGATATAAGCATTCCATCTTGAAAACGAGGGTAATAGATGGCTTGCGCCTGATGGCGGACAGCGCCTCGGTGAGCTGCTTCTCAACTCGTGTCGTTTGCCGCAAGTTACAATTTGCTATCATACGTAGGATCGGTTACCAATCAACAGACAACAGTATGAGTACATTGCAGTCGATACCCCAGACAAGGACAAAAGCAGCACAACGTATATGATCATTAATCTGACAACTCTGCTGGTAAGTACATCCAATCGTTCGGGTTGAAGCAAAGATACAGGTACAAAAGGGAAACGATGCAACTTAAATATAACGATATGTCACCGCAGGCCATCAATTAAGAGTTTTGCGAGATGCCGTAGTAACTCGGGAGTTGCTCTGGCGACTGCACAGAAGAAAGGGTGGACACCAATGCTGACGCTTCGCCTCGGATATCTGTGATGGTGGCGATCGGTATTTTTGTACACAGCACAAGTATGAGAGCGCACCTGGATTCAACAAGTTGCACAAGGAAGTCTGTTACTTCATGTTCCTGCGCAGCGGAAGAAGGTAACACGGCCGCCAAAATAGCGGCAACGATATTATCTATACCTTGAGAAAAGCGTCAACGACCACGAGGTATGGGTGACACCGTTTATCTACCTGTCAATCCCAACGGATTCGCAGAGATTCCCTTGCCGCCTAGCCTAGAAGAAAATCGATAATACGACTGATCCGTTCTCAATGGCCTTGAGACACTAACCTCTCACTAGCCAACAACGGCTGTTCTGACCCGTCGGAGCGCTGGGCCAATAGATCCACGAAGACTGAGGATACTCTGACGCCTAGAGGTTCTAGTTCGTGACCGAGGCAACCAGCAATTGACGAGTACGCCCAATCAATCGGCGACGGTGGAGTATTGGCTACAGGGACCATTCAATCGCAGATTTGGAAGACTCAAACTGCAGCTCACAAAGATAATCCTCGGGGCACCCAGATATCAGAATGAGTCTCCCGGAAGACGCGACCAGCATGTCGACATAATCTCGAATCACGAGAATTGGTTCCATAATTGAGTGCTTAACTCGGTCGGCCCAAAGCAAACTCTGTGTGAGATCACCCTGAGTGATCACTGTCCTCATGGGTTGAGAGTGGTCTGCTGCCGTGATTTGACTACTGTGGGACTGGGGTGATTCCCACCAGTGTAAAGGAGCATGTGGAGGCGCCAAGATTAGGGTGACAAGACGTAGGGAACGACCGACGCAATATGCATGTACTGTTTCGAAAGCGCTCTTTCGCTGTGCTGCTGACCCCAAGTCAGAAACAATAGGCGCAATGTCGCCCCAAGCAGAGGTTTCGGACTGTTTCTTTCTGAGCTGCCATTCATACAAGAGCTTCTTCACATACTTGTTAGCAAACATTGCAGGTAATAGCATGTAATATCCTTACGGAAGAGGCATGAGCTGGTTTCGTAGAATAGGAGATAGATGTCTGCAGGTTGTCCGCTTCGCCATTGCTTCGGCATAGCGCGAACACTGTATATCCCAGCTCAGCAAAACTGAGACAGATCCGTCTGCCCAAGTCTGTACCGTTCAATATCTGATGTGTAGGACAAAATGGACAAACTCACTGTTCTCGCCTCCTATCACCACTATCGCACTTTCTTCAGGTTTGTGAATGCCCGAGGGTGGTAAAGCTACATATTCCGAGTATATTTCGTAGAGTCTGGCAGCGAAACGCTGCGCAGTTGCGAGAAGCACCGCCAACAATTTAAGTACAATATACAAAGCGATCGTGAACAGGTGGAGTATAAAATCTCTTGCCATGTTCCCTGGTGACACGGCAGGAAACATGCTGAACTTGTCCTCAGACATTTGTCAAGACAATGCGCAGTAGTATGAAACGTAGAATGGAAAGAGGCGCACTACATTGCATGTGCCAAGTGCCTCAGTGACGGCAGTTGGTTGAACTTCGTTGCCACTGGGAATTACAAAACCCTTACTTCTATATCGGGCTAGATAAGTGGACGGATAGATTTCCGATCCAAATCTCTGCTTTCGAGTTGTATTTGAGCGAGTAGCGTACCTTCTCTTACTTCGTCCAATGTAGTGGTCCTCGGCATGAAAATATGCAGACCACGTACGGGATACCCTGCATTAGCGGCAAGGCCGTCAAATTCAGCAGATTTGTAGACAGGTACCCTTGATCTCAGTGATTACCGAGACTATCATCAAGGTGTATGATCCCACACCCTCTATTGTGTCAGACTCGAGTGACTACAAAACAAAATCGTGGTAGGTACGTATGCGCTGCAGTCTGGTGTCGTAGGTATGTAATCTCGGACGACGAACTGAAGGGAAAGTGTCTGTCCAATGCGAGTAGAGTAAACTGGTGCAAATTTTGGGGAGGTTGGCTAGCAAAGAGTCCAAGTGCTACATCTAAGCAAGTGCGTTACTCTATTCAGTACGAGGGCGAGAAAATGATCGATACAGTGGAGATGACATAGTCCCAAAACAAAAAATGCAATCCTGAGTGAAGTACGCACGAAGCAGTGGCGTGTCTTTTTCAGCCATTGTCAACTGCAAGGCTGTTTATTCTGTAGAGGGCGGTAAATGGGATGTGCAACAACACAGAGGACAGGTAAACGCACGGCATTCTGATAGGCGCGTCAGCACCTTCCACCTTGACAAGAGCAACATGCATGTTCTGTGTGGTGTATTGAATTCAGCGGTGCGCTCTCAAACCTAATGAGTGCCTTACTTCAACTGCTTCAACTGTCTCCACAATGCCATGCCGCGCCACCCCATTTTCAAAGAAGACGACACGTGTGCCAGGCTACAGGTGGGAGAGGGTACTGCTGTTCATTAAACATTCAACGAACATAATGGCACACTCGCCGGAAACGCGTCCATCAGCAGGGGTGTTTCATTCGACGACCAGAAAGTACAAACAGCATGGAGTCTATGTCCTCATCCTCTTATACTTGCTGCCATACGAGAAGGCAGGTCAGGGCCTGGGTCCACTGCTAAGCTTACCAGAATTCTTGGGGCGTGGGGAGTGGATCTCTGGATAGAAGGAGGTCGAGCAGGCAAATTCGATCGGTGTGAAGGGGCGTTTCAAGCAATACATGGCCACATTGATCTCGTCATCATGAAATTGGTCTAAGCGAGGGACATGCAACCCCGGGGCTTGTACCGGCGAAATCGAGGATGTTGATCGCCACCTATGTTTACGCAGTTAGACCTTCCAAACTCGAGAAGGTTTCGATTGTGCTAGGTCGAAGAAGACATTGACGATCCAGAAGCAAATTGTTATGCACTGCGGAGAGTGAATGTTGACAGTAAACGCTTCGCGGGAGAGACACAAAGGGTGGCTGCAAAAGCATCTGAGTGCATGAGGGGGACTAGGCACGAGTCGTGGTATACGTAATATCCGGGGACAGAGTCCTCAAAGCGCACCCACACCTGCGATACACCACCCGGTCGGCGTGCAGAATGTATATAAGATGACTGGTGGGCCTAGAGCAAGGTTCATATCATAGGGTTCCGCTGGTGAAATCAAAACGTATTCCTCTGAAGTCTATGTACAGAGAAACACCAGGCAGACAAGCGAGATGAGCAGCCGTGGAAATGGAAACGGGTGTACGCTCGCTGGCAACGCATAGACACCGGCGCAAGTCTGATGCAGAGTTGACGGTCGCCGAGCGGTGTACGCGGCTGGTTATGCGTACGTAAGCATCATGCGAATGTTACCCTTGCACGACCGTCATGCCTGCACAGGCTTTGCCCTCTAGATCCGCACCTCCGAGGCATGATATGTCTGTGATCTTGGTCACTGGATCGTACGATCATGATATTCGATTCTGGGAGGCCTGGAGTGGCATCTGTTCCAGGACAATTACCCGGACGAACGAACAAGGAGTGAGACCATCCGCCTGTGCGCACATTATCTCATTCACAAGCTCTGTCTTCCGCTACACGCATAGCAAGTCAACCGTCTAGCAATATCACCAGAGTAAGTACTATTGATATTCTAAAGAGATACTTTCTACTCAGAACACTTGTAGCAAACGATTACTGGCTGCTGCAATTCACAAGAAAGTGAACGTTTACGAGATTGCCAGCTCGTCCTCCACACCAGTGGGCATTTTCGCGTTCTCCCGCGTTACTAATAGCCGTAGCTGAACACGCGCAGCTGATCGTCTTCGACGGACATAACTCGAACATCACCTCGGTCTCTTTCCACAGCGAGGGCAAATGGCTTGTCACAGGAAGCGAAGACGGAACCATCAAGATCTGGGATCTGCGGTGCGTCACCATGCTTCTCTCCTCTTCATACTATTTTTTGAAGGACGCGCCACTGCAGAAGCACTCATCTTCATAGGAATTATGATAACGAGGCTCCTGGTATGCATAGTCTTCTGTCATCTAGACCATACTTTCCGAACTTCCGCGGACAGTCAATGATGTGGTCGTTCACCCGAACCAAGGAGAACTCATCTCGTGCGACCAGGCCGGAAGAATCAAGCAGTGGGACCTATCTGAAAATCTTTGCACACATGAACTGGTAATCAGTATTATTTGCATGCGGGCTTTCACCTGACATACTCTCGTCGATTTGAGACTCCTGCAGGAGATACCCCGATGCGTTCGATCAGTCTGGCTTCTGATGGGTCGTACCTAGTTGCCGGAAACATTAAGGTGTTGTTAACCCAGCACTACTTGTGCGCGAGTACCATTGCTTACTCTTTGATAGGGCAAATGTTACGTATGGAAGATCAACGAAGATCTGCCTAGATTTCAAGCCGTTACCAAGTTTCAGGCGCACAATAAATACCTCACAAGATGTCTTCTCAGTCCCGATGTCAAGTTAGATATCCCCAGCTCATCCTCATATGTATGGAAGCTCAACCACATTCTACAAACCCAGGTATTTGGCAACATGTTCTGCAGATACTACGGTGAAAATTTGGTCGCTATGTTCAAATCACGAATTCAAGCTGGAGAAGACATTGCAAGGCCACCAACGCTGGGTTTGGGACTGTGCTTTCAGTGCCGACTCGGCGTATCTTGTAACAGGTGAGGTACAAAGATGGAATATTGTCATTTGCTCTCTTAACACTTGGAGGGAAACAGCGTCTTCCGACCACACCGCCCGACTGTGGGAGATGGCTTCGGGAGAGACTGTCCGACAGTACAATGGACACCACAAAGGTCAGTGTGTTGTTGCTCGTCGCATAGCCCGCGGTAACACGTTTGCTTTCAGCGGCCGTATGTTGTGCGTTGCACGATGGAGCCGGGTAGGATGAGCCTCCGAATTCTCACCTCGTATTCGTTACGTGCGGCAGCTGTATCTGAGCCTGTCACCGCTCACAGAGGCTCGAAACACCTATCAATGTATTGAATCGGTTTAGTGACTTGGGAGAGACTACGCCGTGTCTGCCGAAGGCTTAGTTCCCACGTAGTAACCTCACAATGATCAGAGGTACGTCACTGTAGATGAGAAGTTTATGAAGTATTCCCGCGAATAGTTCTAGGTCTCCCCTTACGATCGGAATGTGGTGTGCCCCGAAGGGGGATGTACATGAGGCATGGTGCTCAAGTGTCAGGTAAGGACGCGATGCCATTGTATGGTCTGATAGAACTTGGACATTGATGGCGATTCGGGGTTGTGTTACCGCGTGCCAGAGTAAACAATGGGCCCGAGGCTTATGCGACGCACACCTTACTGCGGGAACGTGCTGGCACGTATATAGTGCTGAGGTACCATGGTAGTAGTACATCTTCACGGTTCTTCGTTCACGCAAAGCAGATGAACACCCAGGGCCGCCTTCAGTACCAGCACCATGGCGGATGTGATCAAATATGTGAGTTCTACATTTCTGTGAATGGAGAACCTCGTCCTGTGAATTGATCTGAATCGACGAGTCGCAAAAAGGGATGCTTACAACGACGACGATGTCAAATTGTGACCATATGGAGGTTCGCGAGTGCATACCTTTGTAATTCCCTGCGAAGAACCTTGCTACACAAATGTATGCAACTGGTGCACACACCATCATGAAGTCTGACCGAGTCTCGGCCTGCAGAACAACTTGACGCTCCATTGGCACGAGGGTGGGCTGTCCAGATCTAGCATATGAGTTGACTGAATAATGTTCGCAATCACAGTATCATGACAGATTGAGCTTGGATGACTGGCCTGGGGCGGTACGTACAGATCGAAATTTTTTTGACGAAAGACGCGAATGTGCAACGCCTTCAGCGCGAGGACGAGAGGAGTAAACATCGAGTTTTATTTTGAACGTCGGCAGTCCGAAGGGGACCGGGGTGTCGGAGTCGGAGTCAGGTGCGCCGGGTGGCGGATCCGGAGAGTTGCGGGACTCCGATCGACAGAATATGCCGGATTTTTGATTGGCTGGAGATGCGTTTGGCCAGGAAGTTATCAGATTGCGGGAGCTCCTTGGCGGAGGCGGCTACTCGGGACACCTCGGCCGGCCTCTAAACGATGTGACTCCATCCGCGACGTCCTCCTGCTCGAGCCCGAGTTCAAAAAAATTTCCAACCCTTGAGCTCTTACCACCTCCTCGTACGGTCTCAGTCGTTCTCTTCATATCACCCTCAGTACCGTCTATGGCCATAGCTGACTCTGCGACTATCTCACCCGCCACTTCAGCAGAAAACAATACTCAGAATGGCTTTCACGCCGTCCAGCGCGATCCCAACTCTTGGGACAGTACTCTCCCCGCCAGTCAGGGTTTGTACGACAACAGCTACGAGAAGGACTCCTGCGGTGTAGGCTTCATATGCCACATCAAGGGTGAACAGAGTCACAAGATAGTCTCCGATGCTCGCCAGCTCCTGTGTGCTATGACCCATCGTGGTGCTACTGGAGCCGACAGTCGTGACGGTGACGGTGCAGGCGTCATGACAGGCATTCCTCATCTTTTCTTCAAGCGCGAGGCTGAGAGAGACTTGGGCTGTGAACTGCCCGATGTGGGACGGTATGCCGTCGGTAATGTCTTTTTTAAAGCCAACGATCCGGTCGGTCTTCAAAAGCAACAATCTGTCTTTTCGAAGATCGCTGGGGAGTTAGGCTTGCGCGTTCTCGGATGGAGGGAAGTACCCACAGACGGAACGATTCTCGGTCCAGCAGCCGCTAGCAAGGAGCCAGCGATATTACAACCATTTGTGGTGCTCCGATCCCATTACGGTGACGGTGCCACTTGTCGGGGTGGTCCTTTTGATGCAACACATTTCGAGAGTCAGCTCTACGTGCTCCGCAAGCACGCAACTCACAGCATGTTTGTCATTTTGTCCTTCTCACGATATGACTCTTAGCTCAATCATTGGGACTTGCTCCGTCTAAAGTACGCTTTCCAAAGGATTCTATGTCTGCTCTCTCTCGTCGAAGAACATCGTGTACAAGGGCCAATTATCGCCCCCGCAAGTGTACAACTACTATCATGACCTGAACCATGTTCTATATTGTTCGCATTTCACCCTCGTGCATTCCCGTTTTTCCACCAACACGTTCCCAAGTTGGGATCGCGCGCAGCCCATGAGATGGGCCGCCCACAATGGTGAGGACTACTATCTAACCGAGTGGCTTTAATGAATCGAATCTGATAACGATAATCAGGCGAGATTAACACCATCCGCGGCAACAAAAACTGGATGCGCGCTCGAGAAGGTGTCCTTTCATCTACCCTCTTTGGCGAGCAGCTCGATCTCCTATACCCCATCATTGAATCTGGTGGATCTGACTCTGCTGCGTTTGATAATGTCCTCGAGCTCCTCGTCGTCAATGGCGTCTTGACGCTTCCCGAAGCCATCATGATGTTGATTCCCGAAGCTTGGCAAGGGAATGAGAACATGGAGCCGGGTAAGAGGGCGTTCTATAACTGGGCAGCTTGTCTGCAGGAACCCTGGGATGGTCCCGCGCTGTTCGCGTTCAGCGACGGACGCTACTGTGGTGCCAACCTTGATCGAAATGGGCTCAGGCCATGCCGGTACGTGGTCAGTAACGAGGACATCATCGTTTGCGCTTCCGAGGTCGGTGCCGTGTATATTCCTCCAGAGAAGGTTATCAGCAAAGGTCGCCTGAAGCCGGGGCGTATGCTTCTCGTAGACACAGAGGAGGGGCGCATAGTAGATGACAAGGAACTCAAGCGCAACACTGCCAACAAGCAGAACTTTGCATCCTGGATTGAGACACATGTTCTGCATGTGCCGAACATCGTCAAGCGCGTGAAGCGCGTACACCCCATTGAAATCGACGTCGATGACTACACACTGAGCACGGACCCCAAGCTCCTTGCCTTTGGTTACACTGTCGAGCAGCTCAACCTGCTGATACTTCCTATGGTTACCGAGGGCAAAGAGGCACTTGGATCTATGGGTAACGACGCGCCGCTCGCCTGCATATCCACACAGCCTCGCGTCATATACGACTATTTCCGTCAGCTCTTTGCGCAGGTCACGAACCCCCCGATCGATCCCATTCGAGAGGACATCGTCATGTCCTTGAACGCGTACGTCGGGCCCGAGGGCAACCTGCTCGAGATGAAGCCAGAGCAATGCCATCGCATTCTCCTTCATTCGCCGATCCTCACTGTCGAGGAAATGAATGCGATGAAGAATCTCAAGTATGCGTACTCTTCATGGCCTTCACAGACTATCGACATCACGTTCCCGAAGGAGCAAGGCCTTCCCGGCTACAGGCTCGCTCTCGAGCGCGTTTGCAGCGAAGCAACTCAAGCCATTGACGACGGCATGAAGGTGATCATTCTTTCAGATCGCCAGACTGGTCCGAACCGTGTTCCTCTTTCTGCGTTGGTTGCGTGCGGTGGTGTTCACCACCATCTCGTGAGCCAGAAGAAGCGTGCTAAAGTTGCGATGATGATCGAGACTGGGGAGGCGCGTGAGGTCCACCACCTATGCGTTCTGTTGGGTTACGGTGCGGATGCCATCTGCCCCTGGCTTGCGATCGAGGTCATTCACAAGGTTGAGCGTGAAGGATTGTAAGGATTTACATCTTCAGCCGTAGAGTAGCCATTGAATTTCTTTTTCAGGGTTAAGAACAACAAGACTTTCGAGGATCTGCTCCACAACTACCGTCACTCCGTCGACAACGGCATCCTCAAGGTCATGTCAAAGATGGGTATCTCGACTCTTCAGTCATACAAGGGCGCGCAGATCTTTGAAGCCCTCGGGTTGCACACGGAGATCATCGAGAGCTGTTTCACTGGTACTGCTAGCCGCGTGCAGGGCGCCACCTTCGACCTGCTGGCGATGGATGCTTTCGAGATGCACGAGCGGGGCTGGCCGTCGCGTGAGACTATCATCCCTCCTGGCATGCCCGAGTCGGGCGAATACCACTGGCGGTCTGGCGGCGAAGCTCATATCAACGATCCGACTGCAATCGCTCACCTTCAGGATGCCGTTAGAGAGAAGAACCAGCGGGCGTATGACGCGTATGCCAAGAACTCTAACGACCAGACAAGAGCCGTGCAACTCCGTGGTCTCCTCGACTTCCGTTACGAGAGCGCGACCCCGATCCCGATCGAACAGGTGGAGCCTTGGAACGAGATTGTTCGCCGCTTCGTTACCGGCGCAATGTCGTACGGCTCCATCTCGATGGAAGCTCACTCGACCTTGGCTATCGCGATGAACCGCCTCGGCGGAAAGTCGAACACTGGAGAGGGTGGTGAAGACGCCGAACGTTCTCAGCTCCTGCCGAACGGCGATTCCATGCGCTCAGCTATCAAGCAAGTTGCATCTGGCCGTTTCGGTGTAACGTCCAATTATCTTGCCGATGCCGACGAACTCCAGATCAAGATGGCTCAAGGCGCGAAGCCCGGTGAGGGAGGAGAGTTGCCCGGACACAAGGTATCCGGATCGATCGCTCGCACGCGGCATTCCACGGCTGGCGTTGGTCTTATCTCCCCCCCTCCTCACCACGATATCTACTCCATCGAGGATCTCAAGCAGTTAATCTACGATTTGAAGTGTTCCAACCCGAGAGCACGTGTCTCCGTCAAGTTGGTTTCGGAAGTCGGTGTAGGTATTGTCGCGAGCGGTGTTGCAAAAGCGAAGGCGGATCATATTCTCATTTCTGGTCACGATGGTGGTACTGGCGCTTCTCGCTGGACTGGTATCAAAAACGCGGGTCTGCCATGGGAACTCGGTTTGGCTGAGACTCACCAGACCTTGGTCTTGAACGACTTGCGTGGTCGTGTCACGGTGCAGACAGACGGGCAGGTCCGAACTGGACGAGATGTTGCGATCGCATGTCTCCTTGGTGCTGAGGAGTGGGGCTTCGCAACAACTCCTCTGATTGCGATGGGATGTATCATGATGAGGAAATGTCATTGTAAGCAGCTCTCCCCAATACGTCGTTAGTCGAGAGACTGACGAACCGAATTTAGTAAATACTTGCCCCGTCGGTATCGCGACTCAGGACCCTCAACTTCGTGCGAAATTCGCTGGGCAGCCCGAGCAAGTCATTAACTTCTTCTACTACATCGCCGAAGATCTTCGTTCCTACATGGCTAAACTTGGATTCCGGACGATCAACGAGATGGTTGGCCGAGCAGATATGCTCAAGGTGGACGAGAAGCTTCGCACGCGGAAGACCGCCCATCTCGATCTGTCCGCCATCTTGAAGCCGGCCTGGCAGATGCGCCCTGGTGCCGCCACCTACCGTGTTAGAGCTCAAGACCACAAACTGTACATTCGTTTGGACAATAAATTCATCGACGAGTCGGAGCCTGCTCTTACGAAAGGACTCCCGGTCCACATTGATTGCGACGTCACAAATACCGACCGTGCCCTCGGCACTTCTTTGTCTTACAAAGTATCCAAGCTTTACGGTGAGGAAGGACTTCCGAAGGATACGATTCACATCAGCATGCGCGGCTCTGCAGGCCAATCACTCGGGGCCTTCCTCGCGCCCGGTATCACCATAGAGCTGGAAGGCGACGCAAATGATTATGTTGGCAAAGGTCTCTCTGGTGGTCGATTGATTGTATACCCCCCCAAGGCATCGACCTTCAAGGCTGAGGAGAACATCATCGTTGGAAACGTCTGTCTTTACGGTGCGACATCTGGAGAAGCGTTCGTCCGTGGTGTCGCTGCTGAGCGTTTCGCTGTACGAAACTCCGGCGCATTTGCCGTTGTTGAGGGCACTGGCGATCACGGATGCGAGTACATGACTGGTGGGCGTGTTGTTGTGCTTGGTAGCACTGGCCGCAACTTCGCTGCCGGTATGAGCGGAGGCATTGCTTATGTGCTGGACACCGCCCACACCTTCGCATCAAAAGTTAACCTTGAAATGGTGGAACTCGGGAAGGTCACTGATCCTCGTGAAATCGCTGAACTACGTGGTCTCATCGAGGACCATCGTCATTACACCGGCTCCGAAGTCGCTGATCGTGTTCTTCACGACTTCCACCATCTCCTACCCTTGTTCGTTCGAGTCATGCCTGGCGATTACAAGCGCGTTTTGGAGGAGCAGGCGGCGAAACTGAAGGAGGAGAAATTGCGGCAGAACGTCATTGACCTCGTACCCTCGCGCACCGCTAGTCAAGTCGACCTCGCCTCTGAGGGTTTGGAAGACATCCTACTCCCCAAGGAACCTCCATCGTGGCATGGCAGTCGATCGACTTCGAGGGGCCGTTTAGAACCATCTGTTACTGATATGGAGGACTCCCTTGTTGACGATGCAACCACCAAGCAGCGCCTGAACAAGCTTGATAAGACCCGAGGCTTCATGAAGTACAAGCGTCTGACCGAGGCCTACCGCCCACCGCGGAAGCGTGTCAAAGATTGGAAGGAGATCTCCACACGTTTGACAGAAGGCGAACTGAAGTACCAGTCCGCACGTTGCATGGACTGTGGAGTGCCCTTCTGTCAGTCGGACACTGGATGTCCTGTCTCGAACATCATCCCCAAGTGGAACGACTTGGTGTTCAAGGACCAGTGGCAAGACGCTTTGAACCGCCTTTTGCTGACGAACAATTTCCCCGAGTTCACTGGTCGCGTGTGCCCCGCTCCATGTGAGGGTGCTTGCGTGCTCGGGATCAACGAGCAACCGGTGGGTATTAAGAGCATTGAGTGCGCTATTATCGACAAGGTGGGTTAATCTCCGCATGAAGGTCGACATTTGTTCGTTTACGATATATATCACCACCAGGGATTCGAGATGGGCTGGATGGCACCAAATCCTCCCAAGATCCGTACAGGACGGAAGATCGCCATCGTCGGCTCGGGTCCTTCAGGGCTTGCTTGTGCAGATCAGCTGAACAAGGCTGGTCACTCGGTGACTGTCTACGACCGCAATGACCGCATGGGTGGTCTCCTCATGTACGGTATCCCCAAGTAAGTGGCCGCAACCATCTCACTTCTAGCAGCTCAATTGACATCGATTTAGCATGAAGCTCGATAAGGCCGTCGTGCAGAGGCGGTTAGACCTGATGACTGCTGAGGGCGTGGTAAGTGGTTGTACTCATTTTGGTGATCGTCTGAATCCTCATGTAATTTTTGACGCAGACCTTCGTCCCGAACGTTCACGTCGGCAAGGACCTCGACGTGAACGATCTGCGTGCTGAGAACGATGCTGTTGTTATCTGTACTGGAGCTACGTGGCCTCGTGACCTCAAGATACCCAATCGCGAGGTCGACGGCATCCACTTCGCTATGGAGTACCTACAGGTACGTTCCTTACGATCCCAAAATAGAAACTTATATTCATACCTTCTATTCAGCTGAACACCAAGTCACTCCTCGACTCCGAGCTCCAGAACGGTAACTACATCAATGCGAAGGGCAAGGACGTCATCGTCATCGGTGGTGGTGACACCGGTAATGACTGTATCGGTACTTCTATGCGGCATGGTGCAAAGTCGGTGACGAACTTCGAGCTGCTGCCGAAGCCTCCAGCGGGTCGCGGACGCGACAACCCGTGGCCCCAGTGGCCAAGGTGAGTGGTCCTTTCTTGATCCAAGCCAAACCTGGATATTCACATGTTGGCAGGATCTTCCGCACGGATTACGGTCATACTGAGGTCGCTGCTCACTTCGGAAACGGTAGTTGCCCTTGTCGTTGCTTATCAGGGGACGAGCTAATGTCTACATGACAGATCCCCGCGAGTACTGCATCTCGACCAAAGACTTCGTCATCGATGAAGAGGGCAAGCTCATGGGCCTCAATACAGGTGAGTTCACGTAATGTTTTCTTTCAAACGGCTCTCTGACGCCTCGATCCCTTGTGTAGTTCGTGTCGAGTGGACGAAGGACAGTGGCGGACGGTGGAAGATGGAGGAAGTCCCGGGTTCCGAGAAGTTTTTCCCAGCGCAGCTCGTCTTCCTCGCACTTGGCTTCCTCGGTCCCGAGTCCGAGGCAATCAAGGCGCTCGGCGTCAAGCAGGATGCACGGTCGAATATCCAGACCCCAAACAAGGTGAGGCACACACACTTACGGATGAGCACGTGGCTGATCATCATGACCATTGTAGCAATACTCGACGAATGTCGAGGGCGTCTTCGCTGCGGGTGACTGCCGCCGCGGCCAGTCCTTGATCGTCTGGGGTATCAAGTACGTTTTTTCTCCTCGACATACTAGTCGGCGCGAAGCTGATGGTGGTTGCGTCGTTCTAGCGAGGGTCGCGGCGCTGCGGCTGAAGTCGATGCATGGCTCAGTGGCGGGAAGACGAGGTTACCGGCGGATGGTGGGATCAAGCAGAGGGTAAGTGCTCCTTGTAGCATCTACATCAGCAGAGTAACTTAACGAAACGCGTGCAGGTGTTCATTCCACCTGCAAGCACGCTCACGAGCGACACGCAGGTCGTGGAGGTCGAGGCGTGAGCGGGCACAGGACTGACGACAGAACATGATGAGGTCTTCAACTCCGGCATGTTTTTTTTGGGTTGAGTTTGATCCCGTAATGACGAGTGTACGATTTGATATGACACGCTATGGTACGATACAATGCAGATCTGTAACACATCTACGACATACAATAAAATGTATCGTTCTTTTTCCCTCCAAAAGATCGAGCAAATACAAATAAATGAAATCTGCGGACGAGAGCTGGTTCAGCGGCCGTGCATAGATCAACCCAGGCGTTGCTCCTCTTCGTAGATGCGCACGCCACCCTTACCCCAGACTTCCAGCACGGCCTTGCCCGCGCCTGTCGGCTGTGTGAACGCTACCTCGCCCTTGGCGGGGTCGAGCGGACACCCCAGGATGAAGGTGGACGCTGCGGCAGAGAGGAGGTGAGACGCGATGCCGAGGCGGCGGTGAGAGGACGAGACGAAGAGGCGCGGGATGCCGAGTGGGGTCGGAAGCGGGGCAGGGCGGACGTAGAGATTTGTGGAGGTGTCGACGGAGATGAGGCTCATGTGTGTGCGCGCGCCCGACGGGGAGAGGTCGGCGTCGGAGGCAACCGCCATGGCGGTAGAGATGCGCTGCGCGATGACGCAGCCCACGATCGTTTCGCGGGCGGAGGGTGCGGTGTTGGTAGAGTTGCTGGTGGAGGGGAGGAGGAAGAGGTAGAATTTGCTGTGCTTGAGGACGGCTCGTGAGAGAGGGGGTGAGGAGAGCGCGAGGCGGATCGTCTCGAGGAGTGTCGTGAGCTACGGCGGAAAATTTGAGCATCAGTTGGGATTCTGGGGCATGTGTGAGTGACACTAACCTTTGCGCCGATTTTTCCTCCAACGTCTGGTCTGAAGCATATGATACGTCCCTTGACTCCACTCTTGAGCTTCAAGCCAGTGGCGATCTCCTCTACACCAACCTTGCCCACCTCCCGCTCCTCGTCCTTACCCCACTCCAGGCCCCTCTGCACCCTTACGCAATGCTTCTTGTGCAGACTCTCGTCATCTGGAGCGCCCTTGGTATACGACAGGTCACACAAGGGGCAGGTCCTGAGTACGGTGGTGTCCAAGGAGAAGTGGAGCTGTGTGAACTTCTTCTGTTTCGGCGGCTCCTTGCCCTTGCGCGTCTTCAGCTGAGATTTCGCTGGGGGTTTTGCTGTGTGGTGCTGCTTTTTCGCTGGAGGGGCGTTGGAGACCGTGGCGCTGTCGGCGAGGGGCCGCTTGCGTTTGAGCGTGGGTGGGGAAGAGTATAGATCGGAAGGCGGGGATGACGGGATGGGAGGTCTCGCAGCACGAGAGCCGTATGTTCGCTTGACTCTGGGTGTCATATTGTTGTGCAGAAAGTCAGAGGGTGAAGTGTTGTTAACAGGACGAATGCGGCGGAGCACGAGGGCGCGTCGCGTTGGCTCTGTTTGGCGCTGACGCACTTCGCGCGTTCATCACGTGCGCGCGTCATATGTTTTCTCCGCAGAAATATGTTTTGTATCGATTGGCAGACACTAGGACTTACATTTGATTCTGTGATACTGATAAAGTAATATTACACCAGACAAATAGAAAGTTATACATGACACATGACTGCAAAACCGATAGTACAGATGACCTCGAATACTAAAAGAGTGAGTGAAGGATACATATCATCACGAAGTCGTCAAGGGTCATCACAACAACACCGAACCATCCTCTCTCACTGGGTCCACACAGTCACAGTCGACTGGAGCCCGTTCACGTTCTGGCTCTCGGGGATGACTCCCGCGCCGTTCACGCTCAGCTGGTATGTCACACCGACCGTCGCCAGGCTGTAGATGCTGATCGACGACGCGGAGTCGATGTTGACGAGCTGACTTTGGCATGTCGATCCAGTCAAGCAGCTCTGGCTGTAATTCTGGAAGAAGCTGTAGAATCCGGCTCCTAAAGTACACGAGAGATCAGAAATAGCTGTGCTCAGTTACATGAGACGCGTACCGAACAGGATGATGTCGCTTGATGATGACACGCTCAGCGCCCATGCTGAAGTCAGGCCAGAGGGAAATGACGGATCGTCATAGGCACTGTTGATTGAGAAGGGAGTGGGTACTGCTGGGACGGGTTGGTAGTACGGCTACAACGCATTTCCTGTCAGACCATATGATTTCGACAAGCAGTAAGTGTAACATTCACCGTCTCTGTTTGTGCCAGACCAATGTAATGATTCTGGGCACCCGCGAGGTTGTATTGGTAGAGCGTATGGTGCTCAGCTGGTGATATTACACTGAGAGACACTCAATTTTTTCTTGGTCTACAACTCACAAGCTGCGTTAAGGAAAAACAAGGCGTTTAGTCCTGATTTTTCCTTGCTAAAAGGTACTCACAAGTTCCAATCAACCACACCGGTCCAGCAGACTGGGAGAGAATGCCCCGTCCGCTGAAGATGGTGAGTTGCGAGGTACCATCACCGTCCAGGTCATGATCCGCTAGCCATACCCAAGTACCCTGGAAAACGGCACGGTAAGAATCACGACAGACAGCTCTATAATAGGACCACTAACTTCAAGATAGGCGTTAGAACTGGGCGTCAGATGCAGGGCGAGGAACGCCGCGAAGCATGAAGTTGAGTCTGATCCGGACGGGCAAGTCGCCGCCTCCAGGTTCGTGCCGGCAGCTGTGCACCGAAGAAGGTCAAATGTGGCCAAATACCGGTGCAAAGGAATATGAATGACCTCCTCCAAGCCTATGGCAGATAAAATCAATAAAAATCCGATGGCTGCAAATAAGAACGAACGTACCGGATGTGAGAGTCCCACATCGCAGCGCCGCCCTGGGTAGGAGAGTTCATATTCCATTCCACGACGATGGCCCCGGGAGCTGTCGCCGATCACGTGAGATCCGCGATACTTCTTCTCCCGCGAGAAAGACGTACCAGGGCCCTGGGTAGCGAACACGATATCCGAGATCTCCATGATGCCGGACGAGCCAGACTCACCGACGCGTACCATTACCGTCGGGCTGTTCTGGTTCTGGAATGCGGACCCGCCACCCATGATGACGCTCCACGCTTCGCCGACCATCTGAGTACCTGCGGGGATGGTCAGAGTGTTCGTGATCAGGTATGTGCCTGCATCAAAGAAGACAATGGCGCAGCCGGTATACTGTTGGCGGGGGAAGGCATAGACGCATCAGGACAAAGTATCCGCGGAAGGAAAAAGCCGACTAACCTCGTTCAGGATATTTTGCAGAGCCGTCGTGTCATCCGTGACACCGTCGCCCTTGGCACCGTTGCTCTTGACGCTGACAAACTGGCTGACCGCATAGTCCTCGTACCTGAATATTGGGCGCTCCATCAGTAGTCGTCCATCCACGGCTACGGAAAATAATATTTACTGCGGATGCACTCTCCCGAATATTCTCCCCGCGCTATTCAGCAGGGTCCCAGATTTGCTGGGCGCAGCAATATTGCCCTGCTCGAACGAGAAGCTGCTGCTCGTGCCCGAGTAGACGTTGCCCCGGCCCCAGCTGGTGATCGTCGTCGTGCCACCGGCGAGGACGACCGCGCCTCCAACGATGCCGACAGCCGTGGGCACATCGGTGAGCTGGCAGTTGTTCAACACGAGCGAGCCAGCGAGGGAGGTAGTCGCGACCGAGGACCGCACGAAGATAGGCGTATTGGTGACGACCGCGTCTATGATCGCCTCGCCGCCGACAGTCTGCACAGAGGCATGATCAGGGGAAGGAACTGAAAACACTGGAAGCGCGTGTCTGACCTGCGTAGATTGCGTGGTACCGCCTGTTTCGAGGTCAAATCCCACCTGGCAGTTGTTGACTAATTATCCATATTAGCAGAAGTTGAAAAGCCATAATTCACGCATGCTTACTATTAACGCCTTGGAAGGTCCAACCTGCATGGGAAATAGCGGTCAGTAGAGGCCTATCTTTAGACAAAGACGAGACATCCTGACCCCAATTCCAAATCCCGTAAACCGCTGAGTAGCAATACACGTCAATCTCGATGCCAAGCAATTTTCCAGGATGATCTCACAGGTGTTGACATTGTTGAAGGTCACGTTGCGGACTGTAAATCTGATGGAGCGCCGCGGAAGAACTTAAGATTCCTTCAAATGAGCACAGACAGAATACTCACTGTTGGTTCCCGACCCACATGCCATATTTGCCTGTTGATCTGAACTCAGTGGCTGCCTGAGTCTGTCGGAGCCGACGGGAGCTTACCTCCATTGAACACGAGATCTAGCAATGACGAAATCGTCAGAAGACTCGTTTAGATGAACTAGAGAAGAGCATACCGCCCATGAAGCCGCCACTACCGTTCTCCATCCAGATACCTAGCAAACACGATGAATGCCAACATCGAACCACTCACGATGTGATCACATACCTTGATGTGAGTTCCCTGAGGCGGTGCTCATCTCGAAGACGATGTTCATGAGCGAGGTGGCCTGAGCTACTTGCCAGTGGATACCGGTGGCAGATGTGGACGCGGGCATTTGAGTGAGGTTGATGACGAAGTTGCGCACGCTGCGGAAGAAGTTATTCTGGTTGGTGTACCATTGCGCGCCGCCGCCATTCGCGATGTACGGATCCGCATCTAATCAATAACATCGGGCATGATGACCACATGTCCATGAACATCTAGGAGAGAACTGACCTATGACAGCCATGCCGCTGAACCCGGACGAGGCCAAGAGAGTCGGAGGTACCCTCGCATCTCCGATGAGTACCGTGTAGTAGTATGCACTGCATCGAACAACGATCAGAAATACCGACCAGAGACCAGGATCCGGATGTACGTACATGATTGGGGTCGATATCAGATAAGTGCTGTAGAAATTCAAACGGACGGCGTAAGGTGCAGTCAATCACGTGGATGGTGCAGCATACCCTTGAGGGAAGAACACGATGGCTGGCGTAACGGTGGAAGAGGGACATGAACCTCCACCACATCTGCTTCCTGAAGAGATCGCATTACTGGCATAGAATGCGTGGTCAACGGTGTTTGATATGGAAGCACTAAATAGACAAACTTGATAGCGGCGGTGTCGTCCGTCACGCCATCGCCAACGGCCCCGAAGTCCTTGACGTTACGGAAAACCTGGTAGGAGCTAGGATCCGGGTTGAAAGGAGAGGTGCCCTGGTGCGTAATGTCCTGCAACCAGTATGGGGCTCCTGGTGCAGCGGTCCCACCGCCAAGCGGAGTGGAACATGCGGTCCCCAGTGCAGAGGCAAGCGGAAGCGATGCTAAGAAGCTGTAAGCAAGCAGCATGAAACTCGCCAACATGACGGGGTAACGAGGCGGGGGATTGCAGCAACCGTAGGATCGCAGACATAATTATATAGTAAACATGAGGGGGAGGCACGGTCCACCATTGGACCCGAAGAAATATTTGCTGCAAACTCAACTGAGGAAACAGGACGATTGGTCGCGTGTGTCTCGGAGGAAGGACATAGACGTGATGATGGCCTACCCGTATCCCGTTGCGTCTGTCCAATGTGCGGTAAGTTGACCCGCATGCTACTCTGGCCTCGACCAGGACTTGTGACAGGTTTGGTAGAATGCATGACAGCAAATGATAGGCGGTGTGAACGGAACGGAGAAGTAGCAGCTGATACGTTTGTCTGCGACAAAACGGAAGAGTACTAAGTATACTGATGCAATATCGGAGACGCGCCTTTCACTCCCTCGCAACAAGAAATACCCGTTCCTGATTGGGACCAAAGCCGGAATATACCTCCCTCCCGTGGCAATATTCAGCATCCCACGAGTTTGCAGTGAAATACCTCATTTGCAAATATCTTGCTTGCAAAACCGAAGCGGAGGTGAGGACACAGACTTGGTATATTCCATTCAAACGCCGGCAGGACTGGGTGAGTACAAAATTAAGCACCAGGTACGATATACGGAACGCCAAATTAGAGATTGATCTCAAACGCGAGCCACGTGGATTTCAGTCAGATGACTTGCGTACCTCCATTCCACCAATCCTGAGTAGCATCCTAGGTCAACCGTTCGAATGCGACTCTCAAGGTCATTTACAACTCATCGACTACAGGAGGACCACCGTACGAAATTTCCCAGATGAATGTTCTCCACTATCGAATTGTGGAGATGTCCTGACACTCGGAATGTTATGGCATTATGATTCACTTATCTGAGTCGAAGTTCTTTCCAAGCCAACAGGTGATCATCATAACGCGTACGCTGCTTGCGTCTTTCTCTCAACTCTGGCTGCAATATACAACCACATGGCCCCGTCTCACATGATAACGTCCCTGCGGGCGTTTCTCTGGCGACAGACTGGAATTGAGCCAGTATGCGGTCATCCTCAAGCGCTGCGTCTGAAATTCGCTTGGTAGATCCACCTCAACAGGCCGTCGACCCACATCGATGGAGCGATATCGGAGTAATGGGCCTTTGACGTTTGCCCTTGGAGCTATTACCGTTGGTAAAAAAAACCATGGTAACTGCGATATCCAATATACACCGCAATATTAGATTCGAGCGCGCGCTGGTCTTCGTGATGCTTCCAGATAGCGAGGGAAAGTCCTGCTGCGGTCGCCGACAGCCCCAACGCGCCAGTGGAGCTCCGTTCATACAAGCTGGGAAGAGCCAGCTTCGTTTGACCACGAGGACCAGAGGAAGGGGCAAGCACAAGGATGACCTGGGCTTTTGTCTCTTGACCGGTCCGTGCCTCAAAGGACGGCGCACGAGCCCACAAAACCTTCACTTGGAACGCAAGTCGAGCATTCTGCCGCATCTTCGTCCTATGGAGTACGCTTTGTCAGGCGCGTTCGTTTTTAATCGTGATCACCTTGTCTGTGGGCTCATGACGCTCGCTGTGCGCATGACAAGGTGCCATGCTCTACGCGCCAAGCGTACAGAATAGAGGTGCTCACCTGGTGCGCTCGTCGTTGTACTCATTAATGGCAGAACGCCAACATCTGACCGTGCTCTGTAATCACGATGGGCCCGACACAGCGCCCAAAGCCATATCGGCGCTGTGCACAGGAAACTTTCAGGATGCTCTCCAGGCTCGGCGGAGGAGGCAAGTCTTCAGTCGCAGTATCCTTCATCGGGAAACAGAAAGTGAGACAGACATGTGACTCGGAAGGAGCAAAAGACGAAACATGTAATGCTCACCGAGCGACGGCGGCCAGAACGTTCTGATGCACAGAGTATCTTGCGTTCCTCCCAAGATTTGCATGTCTTTCTTCTACAGGTACGTCTGATAGCTTCCACAAGGTCGTCGCCAAAAATTTCCACACCTAGGTATCCGCATGCCACAAAATCCATAACACGTTTATGCGCAACAAAGACGAGCTGAAGCGACCACAACGGACGCGAACGCCGAGTGCAGACCAACACGATCATGCAAGAAGAAATACCATTTCCCGAATCCCGATCGACGCAGGGCTTCCTCTCGCAGGAAGCCCAACCCCATCTTCACATCCCGCTCGAGCTAGCAACCAAGAATCCGAAGGACGAGAGCTGTGCTCACTGTCTAATAGGCTCAACGCAAAATTACCATCTTCCACCAGTACTAGTCTCCTTGCGCGCATGCCACTTTAGCTATATGGGCTCGGCCAGGGGCATTGAAGAATTTCAGAATTTCCTCGTACGCACGGGCTGATCTGTACAGGGGCACTGCTGCTGAGCTAGAGGCTTCTCCACGAATCCAGTACTGATGGCCTACCAGAAAGGCGCGCGGACGTGCACGCGCGGATCGCATCGATCCTCGTCATGAGGAATGCTCCCTCACGCTCGGAGACCACCTGGACGCGGCGCACATGGTCGGACGGTCAGCAGTGCTCGCGGGAGAGAGCGCATCGGAAGACGCGACGCCATTGTAAATGCCAAGTGACGCTCGGAGGACGCATCTGAGGCCCTCTAGTCCGGCAGCATCCCCCCAGCATTCATCCGGGCCCGCTGGCGGTACGGTCAAGGTCGGCCGGCGCGTATCGCAGTGCCATGGGATGCTGCTTCGACTTCCTGGAGGTTCTTCGGAGGTCCAGGCAGAGCTTATGTGGTACGGCAGCCAGGGAGAAGTGGAATGTGCCCGCGCGCGCCTCGAGGGCGATACATTGGCGCAAAGTGCAAAATCACGCAGGCACCGTATGACCAGTCGACCACATACATGTGTTTCCTACGAGAAGGATGAATGATGCAGTCAGGTCGTGATACTCGGTCCTTCGTTCAATGAGCAGAGAGAGCAAAATCGGGACGATCAGAAGCGAATCACGTGCATCTTCATGGGTGTAAGTAGGTGGACACTGTCACTAGTAATCTTCGTGCGTCAGGATATCCGTGTCTGACGCCTGCTTCCTACATTTGAGGGCTGCAGACTTCGGGTCGGGAGCCTAATAAGATCTGCAACATAGACCGTATGCCCTGAGGCTTCTAGCATTCGAATAAGCGCGAGAAGTGAGCCATCATGCTATGGGACAAAATTAGACGGGGTGTGCATATTTTACTCACCGATAGTCGTTTACTTATCGTGTCCTGATATCCGGGCCTCGCTGTAATTATTGAACAATTGCAGTCATCGATGGCGGACCCGAGATGCATCCTCGCACGGCCGACGGTGTAGTACTATAGTCAGTAATTTTAGACAGAGAATTAGCCTGGGCAAGGTGGACTCGCTAGGGTGAGGAAACGTTCGGTACGACGGATCCGAGGGTCGCACCCGACCTGCTGTGATACCAATTCTGTGTGAGCAATTCTGTGTGAGAAGCACATGGGTGACCGAATGATAGCCACGTACCAACTCGTTGTCTCGCCCTGACACTGTTAGTCAACTGCCGCCGTATATAGCGGATGAGATGCGTGGTAGATAGTATAGCAATTATTGTGTCAGTGATATAGAACGAAGGATTAGGGCAAAAATACAACAGGCCTAGAGAAAGCAGACAGTGCCGTGAGAGAACATTCGGTACGACAGACTCCGAAGATTAAACGTACTTGAAATATATGAATGGGAGAAGTTTATCAGCCGAAGATAATGAACGTCCTTCAAATATACGAATGCGAGAAGTTTAACACAAGACGATAACCGTCTCCTTCATACCGACAACCATGGTTGTCCGCATGGAAAGACTGCATCAACGCGGGGTAGCAATTCCATGGGTACAGCAGCAAAGACGTGGGAAAACTGTGCCAGCCTAGGAAAACGAGTGGATGAAGCTTGACGGCACCTACATATCCGACGTAGCGGCTTGGAAAGCGAGGCTGTCGAGAAATCGCCGTGCGGCATCAGTGAGCGTAAGTACTCAAGTACTCACCATTATTGAGGCGCATCATGAAAGGAAGCGAACGTTGAGCACACCAAGTCTAATCGTATGCAGAGAACTCCCAAATTTTCAGTATATAACTAGACTCGGTACGCTCTCATTTACATAGCTTGACTTTGGCTCCACTCTGACGACCGTGTACGTAAGACCGATGTTCCTATAGCGTTTTTTGACGGGCAGTGCAACCCACGATGACTAGTATGAAGTTGAAAGCATCAGCGTTTTTGAGACAGTTCGCTGTGGACTGACATGCTCTTATCATCCGTCCATTCTGCAGGAGTCCGCAGCGTCCAATCGATATGCAGTCACTAAGTTTGGGGTGGCCTGCGCAGAAATTCTGGGGCTCTTAGGCCCCTGCAATATTTGCTAACGTTTCGACTCGAGTGCACCAAAGTATTTTTGTCGTGACCTAAGTATGGATCCTGCGAATCCCGCGCGGCAGTTCCGGCGAGTCCGGATGTACGCCACAGCTCTGCAGTGAGCGCCGACAGACGGCTCACACAGAGCGTCGCACACGTTGCCACACGACGGCGACCAGGATTCAGACATGGACTGATGATCACTGGTCAGTGGCGGCGTGCGTGTTTGCAACACTGGGCAGGTGCACAGACGGTGCTGAAAGAGAAAAGACGAGGTCCTCGCCCGGAAAGAGGTCTTACAATGTTATGTACATGGCTGATCATGAGCGCTCCGCGACGAAGAGGGTGAGAAGGAAGGTGCCGAGGAGGGGATCCGAGAGATGCCGAGGAGCCGGCCGGTTGTACCAAAATTAGCGATGTTAGCCTTTTGCTAAAGATAAGTCTGTTTCGCGTGCTGCAGTCTTGGTTCTCCCGGTGCTCTCTCGCCTCGTCGGTCTCTCTCTCTCGCCCTCTGCTCACGCTCGTTCTCTCCGTCGCCCCTCCCCGTCCGCGACGTTATACCTCCTCATACCCAACGCCCGGCCGTTCCTGACTTGGCACCCATCGCGTGAGTCTTCCGATGTCATTCGACGGTGATTGGCGTCTCATGACCGTTTCTTATAAATACCGTCCTCAATTTGACTGTCGAAACTTTTCCGCCCCCTGGTCCCACCTGTATAACTTGCTAACTCCACGCTCCTTCTCTCCCCAGACTCGCGGCATGTCGCAACCATACGACCGCCTTCCTTTAGCCAACCGTGCCACATACAATGAGCCGCTTTCCACACGAGACCGGCCCCCTCGTTCGCGCGCTCCAGAAATGGAACCATTGCAGGCTGACCGTCCCTTCAGCCCTGCCCGTGCAACATTCATGGGGCCCGCTCTACATGAATACGGCTCGTCCTCCAGACAGTCTCTTGCTTCCGTAGAAACTGCACCCTCCATACCCACAGAAGATTACCCATCTGTATATGCTCTCGACCCAAATCAACGCAACAGCGACCAAGCATCCAGTTTCTACGCGTATAACTACCATGACGAACCACAATCCATCGACTATTTCGCCTCCGTTCCACCAACTCTGGAGAGCAAGCCTCCCGGGATGATCAGCACTCCTTACTTGAACGAGAAACGCGGAGTCTACGCGTCTCCCCGCTCTCTGACGAAGCGGAAAGCAATCATTATCGTCTCCCTCGTCGCGCTGGCGATTGTGATTATCGTGGTCGTCGTAGCCGTGTACTTTGGTGTCGTCAAGCACAATTCGTCCAAGTCAGACGCCGCTACGGGCATTTCGAGCGGGAGCTCCAAGACGTCATCCTCAGCAGCGCCTGTTTCCAGTAGCAGTGGCGCTGCATCCAAGGGCTCGTTGGTCGTGACCGGTGGTGATGGTAGCAAAGTTACTACATCCGATGGTTCGACCTTCACCTACCAGAACTCGTTCGGCGGATATTGGTATTATGACCCGACAAATCCTATGGCCAACTATGCGCGAGCACAGTCATGGACTCCCGCTCTGAATGAGTCATTCAACTATGGTGTTGATCAAATTCGAGGGTAGGTTGCATCATTCCTTTCTCTTGTTCTCACTCAACTCACCCTTCCTCAGAGTCAACCTCGGCGGTTGGCTGGTAACAGAACCCGTGAGTGATTTTTCTAACAGTTGTATCGTAGTTTTACCGACCTTTCCTCTTCTTTAGTTCATGTGAGTAGTCTCTAGGCGTGCTGTGAAGCTGCCATTTAATAGACTATGTAGTGTTCCCGCCCTGTACCAGAAGTATCTTAATGCTTCGACAGTTGCAGTCGACGAATGGACTCTTAGCGAAAACATGGCCAGCGACACTGCCAGCGGAGGTCTGCAACAACTAGAAGATCATTACGCCACCTTCGTTGTCAGTAGTTCTCCATTTATTTTAACTTTGGTACTGATTCGCTCTTTCCCTCAGACAGAGCAGGACTTCGCTGAGATTGCCGGTGCTGGTCTCAACTATATTCGTATACCTCTTCCCTACTGGGCTATCGAGACCCGCACGGGTGAACCGTTCCTGGCTAAGGTGTCCTGGACGTATGTATTCAATACTACCTTTGGTGGATTTTGAATTGATCTTCATGCCCTATCTTAGCTATTTCCTGAAGGCAATCGAGTGGGCGCGCAAGTATGGTCTGCGTATTAACCTGGACTTCCATTCGCTGCCAGGCAGCCAAAACGGCTGGAACCACTCTGGCAAACTCGGCAGTATCAACGTGCTCAACGGCCCCATGGGCCTCGCTAATGCGCAGCGGTCGCTGGATTACATCCGCATCATCGCCGAGTTCATCTCGCAGCCGGAATACAGCCCTGTGGTCGCCATGTTTGGCGTCACCAACGAGCCTGTCGGCAGCACCATCGGCTTCCAGAACTTGGCCAGCTAGTGGGTGTTCTAAAACGCGCTTCGTGGGGCGATGCTGACGAATTGCTACCCACAGCTATGTGCAAGCATATGCGCTCGTGCGTGAGGCGAGTGGCATCGGTGCAGGCAACGGCCCCTTCATTTCGTTCCATGAAGGCTTCTTCGGCCTCGAGCAATGGGTTGGCTTCCTGCCAAACTCGGACCGCACATCTCTCGACATCCACCCGTACATCTGCTTCGACGGGCAGTCTGCCGCAAACTACAGTCAGCAACTTACAGTGCCATGCTCGACGTGGGCCGCGAACCAGAATAACTCGATGAGCGCTTTCGGGCTGACGACCGCGGGCGAATTCAGCAACGCGATCAACGACTGCGGCCTGTGGGTTAACGGCGTCAACCTCGGCACGCGATACGAGGGTACGTACACGGGATCGTGGCCCGTGATCGGCAGCTGCACCCCGTGGACGGACTGGCAGAACTGGGATGAGCCGATGAAGGAATCTATCAAGCAGTGGGCGCTGGAGAGTATGGACGCTCTGCAGGTGCGCTTCGCTTCGTTGCTGCGCTCTCCACTCATGACGCTTGTGCTGACATGCGTGTGACCTAGAACTATTTCTTCTGGACGTGGAAGATCGGCAATTCGTCCACGACGGGCGTCGTCGAGTCACCGCAGTGGTCATACCAACTCGGCCTGCAGAACGGGTGGATGCCCACGGACCCCAGGCAGGCGGATGGACTGTGCTCGCCCACCACACCCTTCGACGGCACCCTGGAGTCCTGGCAGACCGGTGGCGCCAATGCGGGACAGGTGCCCGCGACCGCGACGGCCTCGTATCCCTGGCCGCCGAGCGCTATCAGCAACTCGGGCTACTCAACGCTCGTCAAGGCCTTCCCGTCGTACACACCGACGGGCACGATGGTTACGCTGCCGCCGCCCACGATGACCGCAAGCGGGACAAGCGTGAGCGTCGGGGATGGCTGGACGAACCCGTCAGACACCGCGATGATGAACGTCGCTATCGCGTCATGCAGCTACCTCAACCCTTGGGTGGGGCCGACCGCCCCGCCGTCGCCGCTGTGCTCATAGGACAGCAGGCGCTAACCGATGTGCACGACCACCCATCTCTGATGCTTCTGAAGTCTCATTATTCGAGTATTTTTGTGGCGCACTTGTTAGCGTCTCTGATCTTGCATGGACTCGTTCGGACATCTGCACTTGGACGTTGGCCTTGGCCGCCGCGTACGGTAGACCCTTTTATACTCGTATCATATAGTTTTGCATCGCATTTGTTAGGGTTATATCAAAGTTAGGGCAGAATGTAGACACGAATACCATGGTTCAAGTTGCGCTAGCTATTAGTATAATAAAAGTTGATTGGTATCATGAGCTACGCGCAGGATGAGACGGGAGGCGAAGGCGAGGAATCCACTGCCTCAAATTTTAGACGTGCCTCCCGAAGCTCAACGTTCAACGTCAATGCTCCCCGCTGGTGGTAGCGTATCTGTCCTCGAGGTCTTCCTGACCGCCGAACCCCCCTTCGAAGTCGTTGTCCCTCCTACCAGCGGCAGCCGTGCCCTTCGCTCCCATCTCAGCTTGGGCGGCTTGGTCGCGAATCGCAGCCAATTGTTCTTGCTCCTGTATAACGAATAAACTATCAATCAACGGCGCGGAAGACTCCACCAGATACGCGCTGGCCTTTTGATGAACGTATCGTGCTTCCTCTCCCTGCTCCTTCAACTTCCAGGTTTGATCCTTCATACTCAGCGTCTGAGCAAGCCGCTCTGCATTCACAGGGATGACTATATATATGTGCTTACTTCTGCTGTTTTGCCGGACGACATTGTGATGGTGTTATCAGTACAAAGTGCACTATGGCTGCGCATACACCGTAGGTTAGGCTACGTCATCCGAAATCACATGCGCCTCGGAATTCCTAAAAACATTCTGGGAGCAAAAAAAAACATGCATAACGGATGCGATGAGGTGCGAGCTACTGTACAAACAAACATGGCAGTATAGCGTACGGCGATAGGGTAGATCATGATTGGGCATAGGAACCGTTGATATGGTTAACATTGTTCTGGGTAGTTTGCGCCAGCTGCCCGGCATGCTGCTGGTGCTGCTGGGCCTGTTGCTGGAGAAGAAGAATTCAGACGAAGTTCCTCTGTTCACGAACTAGTATACATACCCGAATAATACTCTGCAGGCGTAACGCCTGCTCCACCTGCTCCGCCGTGAGTTGCGAAGGGAGACCGGTTGGGGTATAATAATTGTTTAAGTTACCTGTAGGTCGTGCTGGATTGACTGGAACATTATGTCCGGGATTGGCCATTTGTGCAGACGATGGGCGGGACAGATTAGGTGCAGCAGATGGAAGTGATGGAGATTGCTGAGGGATTGCCGGGGAAGAACTCATCGCCCGGGCACCGTACGCAGGCGACAAGTGGGTAGCGCTCAAAGCCGGTGCAGCAGCACTGAGGCTACTCGAACCTGCCGCTTGTAGTTGTGCCTGTGCTAACGCCCGGGCTTGTGCTGCTTGTGCTTGCATAACTTGCGTCGGCGACAGACGGGCATTTGCCAGGGTCATAGGGTTCGAAAGCCTTTGTTGTTGCGAAATACCGACCTGATGAGTGCGGATCTGTGGGACGGGCGGTGCCTGCGAGAGTGCGCTACTTTGGGTTCTAGGAACTCCGTTTAACGCCGCTTGCTGCTGCTGCTGCTGTTGCTGTTGCTGTTGCTGCTGCTGCTGCTGTTGTTGTTGTTGTTGCTGCTGCTGCTGCTGCTGCTGGAGCTGCTGCTGTTGCTGAAGAGAATGCTGCGGCAGTCCTGGCGCTTGTTGCTGTTGCTGGTTTATAGATGAGCTCCGGCAAGCCACTACAAACGTACGCAGGAACATACCGCATTCATTCTTTGTGTCAATATCTGTTGTCTAGTCATCTCCTCATTCCTCCTCTTCATTATGGCATCCTGAGTTTCTTTGGCTTCTTTCTCCGCTTTCATACGGCTAAGTTCTGCAGGAGTCAGCCTGGGCATCTTGTTGTATTGGCCATGAGTGTCATGAATTGCTGCTGGCTTTCTCTGAAGGGCTAGAGTAATGAGTCCAACCCAGTCAGTAAATCACGAGGAAGGCTTAAGTCAGCATGAGTTTACCCAGGTTTTTCTGTGCAGCCTCCCTCTTCTTATTCGACTTGCGAATGGCCTCCTGAATCAAAGCGTGTCTGCGACGTTTCTTGGAGTCTCCGCCCTGAACGACGGACGCAGCAGCGTTGTTGACAGCGGTGGCTGCCACACTGATACTGGTAGATCGTCCGTGTCCTCTCGTGGTCATCTGAGTAGGAGTTGGCTGAATGTGAGGCGGGACCTCTTCGTCGGCACCGAGTGCGCTTCCATCCATTGAACCACCAGGTTGGGGTCGAGCATCCCAGCGGTTCAAGCAATCCAGTGCACTCCTCCTGTCCGTTGATATTGTGACTTTGGACGAGTTAAACACATCCGCAATCAACGGCCAGTTATTAGGGTACTTCTCAACGACCTGTTTGAGTAGTGTATCGTCTTGAGGGGTCCAAGTCTGTTCAACCCGCTTTTTATCCTTTGTAGATCCCTGCATTTGGTGCGGAATTGAGGATGGAGAACCCGCCTTGCTCCCTTCAAAGAGACCTACACCAAAGTCAGGAATATAATACTTAAAAGAATACGGAACTTACTACACATAGCGTCTTCAATTATTCGAGGCATTGCAGATTCGGAATCGGCAGCCACCGGAGTCTCGTCAAGGTCGTGCCAGTGGCCATCCCTCCAATGTTTCCCGGGCTCCAAAGAGCTCAGCAGAGTGAGCTTGTTATACATGAAGTCATTGAGTGGCACGAGTTTCGTATATGTAGTATCTTCGGCTCGCTTGTTAGGATCGTCCTTGTCCGCCCTCTTCTCAGACTTCTTCCGGTTTTCCGGAGTCCCAGAGGACGAAGGATCAGGAACATCAAGAAGGCCATATGGCTGTAGGTCGGGGAAAATTGCAGCAAGATCGGACGGTGGAGGTGGTGCCGAAAGTGAATGATCCTCAGTGGTAAGCTCCGACATGGCTTTCACAAGGTCAATGTCGTCGAAGTAGATGAAAAGTTTATCAACGTCAGAATAGAGGATCTGCTCTCGGAGCGGGGCATAGAGATTCGACCTTGGCTTTCCCTTTTGCTGCCCATGAACAGTGATACCTTCCAACCTTCCCAGCAAGGGGTTTTGGGAAGTCGGCTTCAACCCCGAATGTTCTGCTTGCTGCTCCCGGCTAGGTTCTTCTATTTTCGGTTGGTCATGCTCTTTCGATCCAGATTCGCCATCGACTTCCATCGCATCGCGGATTCCATCTTCACCAGCACTCCGCAAAGCTGTCAGATCTTCAATGTCTTCCAACTTCGGCTTGAGTGGTTCAAGGTCCTGGGTTTCGAGCCCATTTTCGACAATCTGCCCGATCTCCTGGTCGTGTAGAGTCTCCGCAAGCGCCACAGAGGGTGCAAGGGCGTCAAGCACATCCTGTTGCTCCTTCTCTTGCTCCTCTTCACTCTCGTCGTCTGTAGCGTAGTCATTCGCGGGAGTGTTGGTTTCTCTTGAGTCTGCACCACGATCCTCGTCTACACCTTGAGATTCCATGAAGATGTCAGTATCTCGTAAACTCGCACCAGCATCCTGGTCCTCTAAATCTTCTGGGCGCGGGGGTTTCCACAATACGCAGATACCTCTCCGTAGCCTCTCTTCCAAGGTGCCTGCTTCATGCCAATCCATCACTGCTTGCGCCAAATTAAATGCCAAAGCGATTTTCCAACGGCGCTCCTCCCGAAAATCAATGCGCATCCATTTCTGTGAACGTGTGTCAGAGTGAACTGTTTTAACCGTTTGGCGAACTCATATAGATGTTACCATTTCGTCCATCAAGTAGTCCCAGTGAGTTTTCGTCAGTCCGCCTACACCTCTCTGCTTCTTAGGCTGCCTGAAGCTCCACTGCCCTGCGTCTTTGAGCATCTCGATACGCTCAAGAGTACGTATTAGCTTAAGTTCGGTCAGCGCGACCTATGTTCCGCAACACTGAGCTACCGTAATGATTAAAGAGTGCATTCACTCACATTCCAGTCCCGCGTGCTCAGATGCTTCGTAGCCTTAGACATCTTCTTCCAAACAGGGTTTGCACGTATTATCGCGCCCCATTTGTTCATGCCCATAGGGATCCACTCCTCTCTTTTACCTTCTCCACCGTTTTTCTCTCTCTCCTTCTCGCGTCTACGCTGTTGCCTCGTAGGTTTGCCTTTACGATTAAATTCTAAAGGCAGGCTGCTTAGCGGTGGCAAAGTATACTCCTGATGGCATGGGGAGTGAGAGATTATTGGGGTGTAAGAAGATTCGGCAGCCATCGGCTCTTCAGGCGGCCCAAAGTCCAGATTGAAGACTGGCTCAACCAGGGCTGAGGGAGGTGCCATTATCACGTATTCCGGTGGCCGTCTTGGCTCAGGAGATGGAGGAGGGGAATCGTCAAAGGGAGACATGAACCGCAAAAGACTGGCGACTGTCTGTTCACTCTCGAGAGTGACCGGCGAAGTGTCAGTTGGCCTTTCCTCCTGCATTTCATCTTGCTGAGATGTAGTCGGTATCTCTTCAGGTGTTTCCGCTGGCTCTTCCTCAGGGGCGTCCCCTAACGGCTCCTTAGGTGCTTCCAAAGGCTCTCCCTCGGGTGCTTTCGAAGTCACTTCCTCAGGCGCCTTCAATATCTCCGGGGATACCACCTCAGAAGCTTCCAGAGGCGCTTCCTCAGGGAGGTCCTCCACGAGTTTCAGAGGCGCTTCCTCAGGGAGGTCCTCCACGAGTTCCATAGACGATTCCTCCTCCATGGGCTGCATGGGTGACGACACAGGGGAAGATGCAACTTGCATCTCAGGAACACGAGAAGCATCTCGAGTGACAGTACGAGATCGTCGACTAGATGAAGCCCGAGACCGTAGTGGTGGAGAGGTTGAGCCAATGAGATCAAGCTCGTCATAGTCATCATCGCTAGGCTCAGAACGACGTCTGCAGCTAGGTCTTGCCTTCCGTCGCACGCTGCTCTTTTGCGGAAGGGATTCTAGGATCAGGATATCGTCTGACCCAATGTCCTGGTCTGGTAGAGTTTCAGAGTGAGGGCTGGCAGAGTGCTTGGATACGTGTTCGTCAAGTTCCATGGACACCGCCTGTGTTTGTTGAGCCTCTGGATATTGCAATTCTTCGACTTCCAAATCAACTGTCCCAGCTGGAGAAGGAGGCGCTTCAGACATTGGAGATTCTACAGCAGCACTCTCTGGACCAGCTGCGGTGGGTTCACCATTGTCGGAGCCCTCCAGCTCAGTTTCTGGCGACATGGGTAACATCATCTCGCTGTCCAGCAAATTGGATATTTGACCTGACTCGGGACTTGACAAAGGATTCAATATTAGCGCATTGACGGCAAACAATGACTCACTTTTTTTCCAAGTCAAATCTATCCAAGAATATCTGCATGTCCTCGCTTCCGTCTTGATCCACATAGAGAACGGAACCCAACTTCTCCCGTCTCTGCATTAGATGGTACATCTCACGGAGAAGGTCCTCCCTCCGTTTGGATATTTCCCTGAATTACGTCGTTCAACTTGCATACATAAGAGCAAAATCTTAATAGACACTCACCGTAACTGCTTCACACGATCTTCCACCATAACTTCAGCTGGTTCAGACATAGTTCCTTTGTTGAGATGTCAGAGCTCGCAACGACGCAGGAGGTAAACTGGTGTTGGGATGAGGGTTTCTTCTCCTACGACGATATAGAGTCTTCACAGGTATAATTACCGAAGTGGCTGGGGGTATTGAAGCACGAACAGCCACAAGCGCGTCGTGACCGTAGGAAGCTCGATAATTTAATCTCCGCCAAAGCAGTCGAGTTTCTCAAAACCTCCGCCTTAACGTCCGTGACCGTGACAGTGGACACCTCGTCGGCTTAGTCTCAGTGGGCGCAAGTGGCTCTGCGGTGGAGACATTTACTAGTAGGAAGGCACATTGGGCACCAGAATGAGGGAAATAAATTCTGCGCTAGTCGTACTATAAATTATCGGATGCGCTCGTGTGCCCAAGCACGTAAACCTCAAAACTCACTAGATTGTAACTACGGGTATCAGAAAACGATGCAGCTGTACACACGAATGTCAAGTGACCATGTAATGAAAGAGGGATGAGTGGTTGCAGAGCAATGGTATGAATGTATGAATGTCCAGGGTAGTGTGTTTCAGTTCAATCAACCACTTCCCTTCGACGACGAAACAGAGTCCTTCTTCCGCTTGCCTCCAAGCTGACCGATCTTCTTCAGACCGGAAGATATGCTCTTCTTTTTCTCGTGTTTACTGCTTGAGGCTGCCGTAGAGTCATTTGGATGGGAGGATGCAACTTCAGCCTCTGACTCATCTACGAGCACCACATCGCTCTGTGACAACTCGTCAATGACACCCGAGATGCCACCCCCGCCCACGAGTTTGATGGGCAGGTCAGGACTCTGCGCCCGGGCATCTTCTGCGTTCACAATTACGGGGGAATCCTCCTCAGACTTGGTAGAATGATCGGGAGATGTGTCGGTTGACGGGTTCAGTGGTTGATCAAAGGCACCTTGCAACGTCGGTGCGGAGTTAGCGAGTAAGTCGATGGCCGGTACAGCAGCAGTAGCAGGCTGACTGGGCACCATTGGCTCGGGGGAGTCGGTTAAAGATCTGCTCGCCGGTGTAAATGGCACAATCGTGGAAGCGGTGGACTGTCTTGAAGCTTCCGGTCGTGAAGCAGAGGTACTATGAAGGTCTTCAACAATCTCCGGCATGATCACGTCTCCGCCTGCTTCCAAGTCAGAAGTGCCCGGTATAGATGACATCGGGTCAATAAGAGTCGGAGTGGGGAGATCCACGGGTAATGGAGCTGGAGGCTTTGTGACCGAAATCGTAGGTATCGGTTGTCGAGGCGCGTAATGACTCTTGTTTGTCGCATTACCGAGCGGGGTTGCGAGCGCTGATGTTTCTTCCTCGGTCTCGGAGAGGACAGGAATAGGTACCTCTGCCGCAGAGCTCGCGGAAGCAGCGATCTGTAGACGGTCAAGCGAGAGTGTATCAGGCCCAACCTGTGGAACGATGTTATTGGCATCATCGGGGAAGGAGATAGACGGCCAGATATTCTCACCTTGCCCTTCCCCGATGGTAACAGTGGTGGATCCGATGCTATTAATCCAGCATCTTGCCACCTCCGTACACTGCGATCTGCCCAAGCTTCCAGAACGTTCCACCCTTTGTACTCTCCAGTCAAACGCAGACCTCCAGTGCCCGCATCGCCTCCCCCATCACCCTGACCGCCACCGATACCGTCGAAGAAGTAGCTTTCATAGCCAACAGAATCTTCGCTACCCTCACTTCCGTCGCTGCTGGAACCGAGCTCGTAACCCTCCCCGCTTTCCAGCTCGTCTACGAAGTGCGCCAGCCACTTCGCCCAGCCGCCCGCACCGTCACCTCTCCACATTACTACCTTGGTATCAAAGTCACGTCCGAAGACGATTACTTGACCTACCGTGCCGCCTTCTCCAGGATGCATGTCCACGCCAAGGTAATTACCCGCTTTGTCTGCGACAAGTGGGATCCATCCTCGCGACGAGTACTCCTTCCTAACCCAGCCTGAGGGTATCGACTGCATGACCTGCCGTAGTTGCTCGTTTGCGCCAGTAGCTGGGTCTTCGTCGACTTCTCTCCAGAACCTCCACTCCTCCAGAACATCCTCCAAAGGTAACAGAGTCAACCCAAAGAAGAGACCTTCTGAACATCCTGCGGCGGATTCGGCCTCTTGGCCGTCCACACAGAGATAAGATTCGCGAACTGTTGGCGGAAGCGCGAAACCAAATGACATCTCAATCTGCGCTAGGTCCTGGGGCAAGATACCGTAATTGAGGGTGTCACCTAGTTCGGGGTATTCTCTGGAAAGCCACGTGCGTAGCCGATTCCAGGTATCAGCCAAGGGAGGGTAAGGTGGTAGTGGTGGAAGGGACGCGCTATGAAGAGGAAGGATTGATGATGATTGCCTGGAACGTGAGCTGGAATCGTTGGAAGGCTATTCAGTGAGCAGTGCTACGAGCAGACGAGTGAGACGTACATATTAGGAACGATGTCATATATGCCGGGGGACGTCTGTGGTGGGTATGAATACGAGGAGTTAGCAGACGTCGGCGTGCTTAATGAGTCTCCGTTGAATGCGTCTGGATGGGGGTGAAAGCCGGGTGATGAGGTGGGAAGGCTGAACGCCTCGTGGGTGGAGGACATGGCTTTGCGAGAGTTGCGCGTATTGCTTGACGACGAGAAAAGACTTGCAAACCAGCTCATACTGCACTGGCTACCCACAGGTCGGTGAGCTCAAACGGCACAACGAACAAGTGCAAGTAATCGTGAATTGATGAGGTAGGGTGGAGCTCGCCCGACAACCGATGCCCCGCGTCCGGCTTGTTATGGAACTTTCTGAAACAACCGCCGGGTGTACTGGGTCCAACACGGCAACGACAGTATTTAAACGAGAATAGAGCCGTTAATGAGTGCAGAACGTCCAGACGGCGGAGGAGAGAAGACTAGTGCTGCAGACGGCCTGACAAAACCAATCCAGTCCGAATAGGCTCGGGTCTTCCGTGATGTCACACGCTGCACGCGGTATATACAGTACCGCTAGCGCTCAGCGACGACGACGGGGACGACGACTGGACAAATGTAAATCTTACTCCGTCAATACTTGGCTGAAACAGCAGATTCAGCTGCATCGGACACAGTCTCAGACGGTGCGTGCAGTTATCGTGTCCTTCCGATTGCTTCTGTCGGGCGTTTGGCCGTCCAGGGGATAACGATGATCTCGACGGTAGTTTACACGAAGATGAACGCTACGAGGAAGGGATACTGTAGCTTATATTCAAAGGACCGTTTTTCAATCCACTATTCGATGACTCCGGCCGTGGGTGTGGCATCACATCGGTGAGTTTTTGATGGTCAGGCATCAACGTCTGAGTAAATTTATGAATACAAGTGCTCATTGGTGGGTGATCTCCACGGTTAAGGCCTTGAGGCCCGGTGAATGAGTACCTCTCGTCATCCGGAGAGAGGAAATAATTCCGGCAGGTACGAGTCTAGTCACTTGAACTTTTCGTTAACTTCCCAAAATCCCTACTCCAGCGCTTTGAGACCACGGTGAATTAACGGGGTACGCGGTTATCAGCAGGGAAAACCTCTGGAAGGGTCAGACTTACAAGGGCGATCTGTGGCACGCTATTCACAGACAATCTGTATCAATTCACATTCTGCATTGACAGAATCGTGTTAGGTCCGCGCCGACGCCATCGCCTGGGAGCTCATTCGTGTACAAGATGACTTGTTGGTATGGACGAGTAAATCCGTGAGTTTCTTTGGCTCATCGACGCTTACAGATTCTGCTGCCGTGCATATTTTCAGAGAGGTTCACTGTCGGAGAAAACGATGGAGAGCCAATTGCCCCACCAAAGTTCTCTCTGAGTGCATTGTGGGTGCAGTCTGGATATCTCTGGCAAGCTTGTAGGCCGTGTGTGCAGACATCCACATACTAATCGCGATATGTTTCATTATTAATTTCAAAATCGGCTGCAAGATTGTCATGCATGTCAACGCCAGCGATCTTTGTTGGTAGAATTGAAGCCGTCACAATCGAATTTATTTGCAAACTGATACGCGCTCGGTGGTGCTTTACGTGGTTTAGTTCTTCATTTCTATGTTAGTTGTCAGGATGCTCATGTAGTGAAAAGAATATTCACCGCAAGCGGAGAAGCTTATGACTATGTTTCGACGTCATTGCCTTACCTCTACACCTCCGTGAATGTCGTCCTTGGTGCCGACCGAGCTGCCTGGCGTAATCCAACCTCCGGTCGCTGTTGCGTCGAGATTCCATTGGTGTGATGTCGGCAGTATTCTCACTCACCTCTTCTGGATCGCTCAGGGACGTCAAACAAGCTCATGAGTAGGGAAGCTACGTAGGTACAGGACACTAGCCACCTCGCCAAGAATTGGATAAGGTTATTTGTGTGAGTGGGGTTCGACTGCCACTTGTGGACACAGGAAGGCAATAACGCTCGTGAGACTTTGTCTCAGACGCGGACGACGTAGTGGATGAAGACGAAAGTGTGGACGGACGAGTAGCTTCAACGTTCGTGAGATGCTGTCACTGTTATAACTGTAGGATAAGAGGTACTGAAGAGAGTTGGTTGCGGGATCGCGAATCATATGTACGGAAGTCAGAGAACAAGCCCTACCAACCACCGGTCTGTGCTGCCGCCGAGGCTCATTTCTTCCGCCTACCCGACTTGGGACCTTGTGTCGCAGAGTCAGTCGTGTTGATCTTTGTCGGTCGGGGCCTCAAATGTTGGGGGCTGAGCTGGCTCTGTCCCGACTGATCTTGGAAACCTGCCCCAGATGCTTGTGCCTCAATCTGCCTCCGCTTCGCCATCAAGCGTGTGATAGGTCCTGTGTAAATTCCATGGGACGCCGAAGGTACTGAAGAATTCACCATTTGCTCTGAATTTGCACCAACGGGCTGGCCGATCACCTTTTTTTTCCGTGAAGGGGGTTTCACAGGCACGGAGAGTGTAGTCTCGGAAGCGGACAGCGTGGCGGATGAAGAGAGCCTACGGACACGAGATGGCGTTAACACTCGTGAGATGACTCTGTCGCGGGTAGTCTCGGACGCGGACGACGTAGTAGACGAAGTAGATGAAGTAGACGAAGGCGAAGGGCAGCGATGAACAGCTATTAATGTTCGTGAGACTGTCATTGTTCGATATCTCGTGAGTGTCGAGAAAGTCTTGCCAGAATGCATTGAGTTTCGCAGGATCCCACATCCGCGCATTGAAATCCATCGCCGCATCCAGCCATTGTTGCATCGTAGGGTTCGAAAAATGAATTTTGGATGTGTACCGCCGGTCGAGTTGGTTGAAGATTTTGCCCTCGCCAGCCATAACCTCGCCAAAACGAATCACAAGTTGGTCGAAAATGTCGGCCACCACTTTGGACAGAGCTTGCGGTGGCAGATCATGATCTAACCACAACAAGCTGCAATACAGTACAACCCAGAGCAGCGACTCCATGTCGTCCTGGATCGTCTGAGCTTCTTCCTTCCAACTCAGCGAGCGCTGTGACATAAATTGGAAGGTGCCCTAAGGGCGATAAGCCAGTGTTGAGAAACTTCTTCTGGATAAATTTGATACTCACCACGTTTGCGGGATCGCGAGCCCTCCCCTCAGCTGTTACTAAACATGAAAGGCTCCAATCAATAAGATATCCGCGCCGTATCATGCCTACTGCGTTGGGATCCCTGAATAGGATGATATTTTGTAGACTGACGTTGCGATGTACCCTGCGTTTTGCAGGGTCTTCGACATTCATGGCGCCCATGATCGCTTTAAAGGCCAAGAAGATAAAATGAGGAAGATGCAGCAGAAAATATAACTAGTTGCATGCCTTGATATGCGTCAAACGTTCCACAAAGAAGCTCCTGTGTCCCTTGGAAGTGTTGGAGTCCATATCCGACAGTGCCCGACACGAGTCGATAATGCACGAGAGGGCGCAAAGGAGCTTGGTCACATTCAAAAGGAGCTCGATTGCATTCATAAAGAGTTTGATCGCGTTCACGCTTGCACACCCAGTGAGCTTGCCGAAACCGATCAGACCGCGTACATTGCGTGGATTATCAGTGTACGCTGCAAAGGAGGAGTAGGCCAAGGTTTGAACACACACCTTGACCGCTTTCGACGCAGCCATTTTCCTTTACCTTGATTTTATTTATGTTCAACTGAGGCTGTCGTTCCAGGACGTCTCCGTGACAGATCAACTGCGGAATATTAGGTACTCCAGCACGATGTAAATCCGCCAAAATCTCTCCCTCCGTTTGACATTCGTTGTTGCATCGCCACGTGTCCTTTAGGAAGAATACTGCTCCTGTCGGGCTACCTGCGTCCACAGCCCAATAACCCCTTGTCCCTCGACCCATCATTGAGACAGGCGAGACCACTGGTCGAGATACCAGGAGTCTGCGCTCTTCAGAACTGTTGTTGACCATGGCAACAGCAACTACGGTTCCCGGCTTGTAGTGTTCTGCCATGGCGGCAATCAGACTTGTCTGGTCACTAAAACCCAGCTGGGACTCGACATGCCGTTTGATTGATTCGCTGAAAAGCTTCTCCTCCTCCTTGGTCACGGACTGAACGGTAGGATCATGTCCACGCTGCGACTGCGAGGCATGGGCGTACCGCCACAGGAATTCACAGATAGGCCGTGCATTGTTGTGCAGGTCGACCGATTCTGAGGCGATCGCTCCAGCGCGGTCCCAGCGGATAAGCCGGACGCGCGATCCAGACAGCGCGACAGAGAAGTAGCAGCTGCGATGTTGACGAGCACACGCCTCGGTCACGCATGCAACGTTCCTCCCCAGGCCCTGTTCAGCCCGTTCTCGAATTCCTTCATTGTCGGTGATGAGAAAAAAATGGTGTGAGGGACGACCATCACCAGGAGCTGGATCTGAGAAGGGGTCCAGACCAGGATGCTGCTGGACTTCGATGTACAGGTCGGCGTAAGCAAGCGAGCTCGTGACTGTTGACTTCAGGTTTGCCATGTCAATGACCTCTTCGGAGAAGCAGGAGACATGGGGGGTCATTGAGCCTATCTCCCCGCGATTCACGCCGAATGAGGTTGTGTCTACGAAGACAAATCCAGGACATCGTGGCCGAGACTTCACGGCACCTCGTCCGGCGCAATTGAGCGCAATTATCTGTAATATTTCAGCATGTGTGATCGATAGAAAAGCCTAAATACTGCACCAATGGTTCAATGATCTGCTGCCTGTGGTCAGCTTCTGCCGGCACATCTTTGAATGCCTTTGCAGCAGGCGGCATAGCAGACATATCAGTCCTTGGCAGGAATTCTAGAAACTGGTCAACAGGCATTGCACCAATCATAAAGGATTCGGAACAGTCTGCGAATTCGCGATACCGCCTGTCGACATCCTGGTCATTGTCCTCCTGTTGCCACACCTTGTTTTCACAATTATTCTTGGCTAGCGGCGTGGCTATTGCAGGATTTGTAGGACGAGAAGTGTGAGCGCCGTGAGTTGTAGAGTTTTCACGGTGATTGAAGGTTTTGCGAGAACGAGGCATGGTGAATAGATGGAAGTTCAACGTCCAATTAAGTGGTTGAAAGTGCGCTCGACTCGGAAGTCAATACGCGGTCACGTGTCAGTGGGCCATAGTCACGTTTCCCGTGCCGATTTCAACAAGCGACGGCTACTACTGTAGCATTTCGACCAACCCGGCCAGTCACAGGTCACAGGCACCTTGGCCGGCCGGTTTTTGACCTGGTGTCACGGGTCACAGCCATGCTGGCCGGGTGTGACCAATGTCCACAAAAACCAATTTCTGGCGGCCTGCGGCGCCAGGGTGTCTGCGGGGTAATATCTTGAGTTTTCTGGTTCTACCTGAGGTCCAATTGACTGCTTGGCCAGTGGTGGTGGGTCACGGCTGCGAGGTCACTTGGCCGGCTTGGCCGGTTTGTCCGTCCTGTCTGCTGTCACACCAAGGTTGGCCGATGTGGTCACAGGTCACACCCGTGGCCGGGTTGGTCGAAATGCTACAGTACTAACACGACGATAGAGCAGCACTTACGGAGGCCAAAACCATACACGGACAGCAAACTCGTCGCTTGTGGTCCCCGTAAGGTAATCCCCTAAAGATGCAATAGAATTAGTGTTCAAAATCTCGTCGCATCATGCTCTTTTTCGGGGAGGCAAGACCACGGCTATTGAGCAGACAGGAGCTCCGGTATCGCCACCCACAAGTTGAAAGTGAGGTGCCACTGCAGCATGACCCCCAGTCAAAATGTTGAAAATTTAGATCAAATGGCGTCAAATGAGCGTGTAATCTCACGAATAAGGTCAAATAGCATTGAATCATGCACAACGTCACCCAGTGACACCAACCATCAACAACATTATTACTCAAGCTTTCCGCGGGCTCTCTATTGTCTGTCCACTGGAGTCGAATGTTATTGACTCACTTACTGGCTCACATGTATCACAACATGTATTTCATCCGAATAGACTTCGTATTTGTGCTACCGTAGCTTGCGTCTGATATCAGTGCCATCACTCGTACAGTCTGCCAAGCTAAGTCTTATTCTGACATTGGTTGGCATCCGTGGTATGAGCACACAACAGGATGATGACAGTGCCTTGTACTACTGCAGATGCTTGAAGTGCCAGGAGGACGGAAAACTTTGGCGCTCGCGCTCGACTTGGTATCAGCACAAGCGCGAATGCGACGTGCAGATGAGGGAGGGCAAAATCCCACCAGCAGACCCTGCTCACTGTGTACCAAGCACCCGAGTACTCCGTCGAAAGTACAGCCAAGTTGAAGAATCTAAGTCTGAGACCACTGGCAGATGATCCCGTCCTCGTCAAGAATTTGTCGAGAATGGTGAGGAATCCCACACAGCATCTACTCCACCTGTTCCTAGCACATCGGATGATGGTCCTTTGCATGAAGAGGAACACATGGTCCTCGATGCTGCCATTGATTTCAGCGAACAAGTAAGACAAGTGTTTACTGAATAAGATCCTCGTACTAATTACAGCTTCCTGCTGCCGCTATTAGGATCCATCTGCTGAAGCATTCGGATCTCTCGGTGGACAGGAGTTACCACCGATGGCTGCAGATAATGTTCCCCCTGTCCCCACAGGTGGTCCTATCGGTACAGCGGTAGTGCTGCCAACTACTCATGAAGCTCCCACATTTTGTATCCCCGTAATCGACACAGCCCTTAAGTTCATTCATGAACTAAAGTCGAACCCACTAGTGATAGACGAGAAGCTTGACAAAGGCACACAATGGCGGCTCCATCATCCTCTCACTGAACCGATGGCGTTGACTCCAGATGAACAGCTTTCAATCAAGCTGTTCCTTGCAGATACAGACGGCTCTGAAAAGATATACAATGAGGTGCGAGAGGCAATTCTGGAGTGGCATCCAGAGGACAAGATCCTTACGCATCACTGTGTCAAGAGGAAGGTTGCAGAAATCAGCGGCATCACTCCAATCCTTGAGGATATGTGCCCGAACAGCTGTATCAGCTATACCGGCCCATTCAAAGACCTCGACATTTGTCCCTACTGTCACAAACACTGCTATGATCCTATTCTTCTCGCTTCATGTGGAGATAAAAAGCCACGCCAGCAATTCAATACCTTTCCTGTTGGACCCCAGATCCAGGCACGATTTCGCTCACCTGAGAGCGTCGCTGACATGCAGCATCAGAAGCAAATCATGGCAGATGTTCTTGCAGAGCTTCAGCTGTCCGGAAAGTTGGATATCATCGAGGATATTCCTCATGGGTCAGACTTCTGGGATGCCTATCAACATGGTCAGATTGCACCAGATGATGTCTGCCTGATTTTCTCCATGGATGGAGCACAGCTATACGAGCACAAGGCATCCAATTGCTGGATTTATATCTGGATTTTGGTTGATGTCTCTCCAGACAAGCACTATAAGAAGAAGTATATCATGCCAGGTGCCATCGTACCGGGTCCTAACAAGCCAAAAAATTCAGATTCATTATTGTTCCCAGGTTTGCATCATGTCACTGCACTTCAAAATGAAGGTTTGGCAATTTGGGATGCTTCTCAGGATGTCACATTTAAGTCACATCCGTGGATTTTCTTAGCTGAAGCTGATGCCATTGGTGCACCTGAATTAACTGGCTATGTCGGCCACCACGGCAAAAAGGGATGCCGGAATAGATGTGGGCGCAAGGGTCGCAGAAAGCCGGGAGGTTCACACTACTATGCCGTGTGTCTTAAGCCTGACAATTATAGTGAACATGGTTGTGACGACGATGACTATGAGCCATCCGATCTGCCGACTGCATCACCTGCACAGTACAAGCAAGATTTACTCTCCATTCAGGCTTCGACATCGACATCTAACTATGAAGCACGGCGGCTCGAGACTGGACTCTCCAAGTCTAGTATCTTTTGTGGCTTGGCACCGAGTTGTACCCTTCCCGTTCCCCTTCTATTCCCTGGAGACATCATGCATCTCTTCGGAATAAATATTCCAGATCTTCTCCAAAAGCTCTGGCGTGGTCTCATGGAATGTGACACAAAGAATGAGGATAGCTGTTACAAAGCTCCTCTCTGAGGAACGCGTGGACGACTTCCGCCTCTACCTTTACCGATCACGTGACAATGATGTCACAGAGCCTAGACTGACCATGTGACAATGACATCACCGACCACATGACCATGATGTCATCATGGTCATCGCCCTTATCTACCCGGCACGGATCTACCAGATCATCTGATGATATGCGCCTTGTGCTCAAGGCATGTTTACCTCATGTACAAGATCCAGACACAGGACGCACTTCCTATCACACATGCGACAAAGGCATGTTTGCCTCACCTTTGCCTTACCCTTACGATACAGATACCGAACCTCATGGGCATGGCCCTAGACCCTGATACATGCGCTAGATGCACGACGACCCCGCTGCTGCCTTGTCTTTGCAGCACGACCTTATCTCCATATGGACAGATTGTCTCTCACGCAGAGTCATGACTGACTCAGCATTCTCACGACCGTGGGACAGGTATACGAACCCTGTGCCCTTGTATTGATACCGATGGACCAATCGTAGTTCTAGTATTACAGGTAGACAGACGCCTGTACTCGTATATAAGACCGAGAGGACAAGCCGGAGTCCCCATCTTGTCCTGGTTACACATCAACCAGTTTTACCATCTACATCTGTGCGACAGATCGACCTTGGTCCGCAGACAGTGGCCAAGCGTTCATAAGACTACTCCACTGGGCCGACCTCTGGTCATCGCTATGACTGGAGGTCGGACCCCTCACGATTGACTTGAGCCCTTGCGAAGGCCTAGTCACTGACGACGACGAACCGGATGTACGGTGGCAGGACTGGCCCCCGTGACATTAGGACAAGATAATTTTTCCTTGCTCAAGCTTCTATGCTTTAGAGCCGACACACTCTTTGATGACGACCTTTGACCTCGACCGGTTCACAGACAGTGACCGTGTCATGACTTTGACCAGTTCGCAGACAGCGACTGTGTCCTTTGACCTCGATCTTGTCCCATGACATTAGGACAAGATCTCTTTCCTTGGCTCAAGCTCCTATGCTTTAGAGCCTGATGACCCTGACTTGACTGGTTCACAGACAGTGACCATGTCATGATACATTGGAACGACGATGATGACTTCGACCAGTTCGCAGACAGCGACTGTGTCATGAACAGACAGCTCTCTTGACCGAACAAGGCGACAGATACCTTGCACTTGATGACTTTGACCTTGTCCATTGACATTAGGACACCTGTGATGACAGAGATGGAGATACCGCGATTGACACTCTATTCTCTCGATATCCAACATTGGAACAACGAAGAAGACACTTGTCTGGTCATTCCTAGGTGAGACCAGATTTTCGAAAGACAATTTATTGGCACCTTGTCCGAGACGAACTCTCAAGAGTTTACCCTTCATTGGGTGACTCTCAGGGGTCGAATCCCCTCATGCGAGGAAAGCTACGACATGTGTAATAATCAAAGACATGTACGAGCTGCATGTGACTGCGAATCGGAAAGGTTTGGCCACCGTAGAATTAGTACCGATTCTATGGACCGTGATGAACTGAGGACGGTGCGCAGCCTTTGACGAAGGACTTAAGTCGCACACTTGATGATCATGGCTGACAACACCGAGTGCGGCGAGATACCCACGGTGCAGATTGATCCCGGGAACGGCAACCCGTATAAACCGTAGACTCTTAATTGAGTCCGATCTGATGACCATTTGATGATTGTGATCCCTGAATGGGAGCTCGGACTGAGCAAGTGGACACTCGCTCTCCACTATAAACAAACGATAGATCTTGGCTGAGAACACCCTGCATGGCGAGTTACCTGGGGTGCAGAAAGATTGACAACTCGATGCCATTACGAGTTGATGACCATGGAATGTTTGAAGATACCGCGAGTTGACACTTCAAAACCATTCCCTGTCGAAGAGGCTCTCGACATTAAAGAAACCGACAATCCGAAGAAGATCCTGATGTAACAAAAGAATCTGAACGATGACCGTCGATCACAGCTCTCGACGATAAAGAAACTGAACCTGGATGAACCTTGAATGACATAGTAAAAGGTTCTGACGGAAGACGGATCCTGGCTCTCCGTATAAACCAATGATCTATACCGAATCTAGGCCAAAGGTTCGATGAGGCGACGATTAGCCTGATGATTGAACTTAACAAGAGATTATATCACCGAAGAACGACTTGGAGTCAACGGTACATGACACTCCAATCCCCGATAACGACACCTGATATTAGGAAACCCCTAATGGTCCTTTGTTGACCACCACGATGACGACTCGAGCATGATCAGACAGACATGACTCATTCGATGATGTCTGGAAGTCCCAGACGGTCCTTTGTTGACCACCACGATGACGACACCCGATGCTAGATGCCTAAACAGGTCTAGCAACCCTCGACGATCAGACAGATCTCGATGGGCAAAACTACTATGAATGACAGCCTTCGATATGGCACTTTTGATGACATGTGTGGGGTAGTTCCCCATGAATAGAAAGGATACTGGGTCACGGCCGATCCTTGGATTTGATGTAGACTGTTGTCTCATCATCTGGAAGAATAAACTTGACAAACAGATGAAATTCGATATACGACACAGCGATGAATAGGGCATCCATGGAATATGGATGGAGGTAGTCGATTTCATTCGACACCAACACACGACAAGACCCGACATGAAATATTCGATGAAGTATCATGCTAGGCCGGGGTAGTTCAAACCTAGGCCGGGGTACTTTAATGATGAAGACATGAAACTGGACATGAAACCTGAATGGGAGCTATCACTCACCAGAAGACGATTAACCATGCTGGCATTGACGATGACCAGCCAACTAGACGATACTTGTCCGCAATGACTTGAAACTAGAAGACGATACTTGTCCGCAATGACTTAAAACTAGAAGACGATATTTGTCCGCAATGACTCGAAACTAGAAGACCCTTGCTGCCCACCCTCTTTTTCCCTTTACGATTTGTTACCTGTTTTTATCGGTTTCAGATCCAGGGTATCTGGTTTTTTTGAATGGGAGCTGATAGGGGATAGTAGGCGAGGATGCATATCCGAGCCAAAGGAATGAGCCCGAGTGCCCAGGTGACGAGGAACGAATGGAATCGAGGAGTGACGAGCAGAGTCGAGGAACGACAAGAGTAATTGAGGACGAGGAACCCTCCCACAAGGGCAAATTTTTTCCCCCCCTCCTCCCTTCCACCACACTCTCTTTCCATCTTGCGAATTTTTGAAGACATCACTACACTATGAGCCCTCCTGATTTTTAGGCCGGGGTAGTAGTAGGGAAGAATGGGCAACGCGAGTTGACCATTCACCGTGCGAAAGCACAAAGAAACAAGACTATGATAGGGGATAGTAGTAGGGAAGAATGGGCAACGCGAGTTGACCATTCACTGTGCGAAAGCACAAAAGAAACAAGACTAATGGAAGACGATGAACATAGCTGAATAGCTTATGAGAAGAAGACGAACAGAAGACTTGCAGTTGGAGCGAGCAGTCCTAAAGGGATGCGAGCGACAAGCAAAACGAAGTTTGCGAAGCTGGATTAACACCCAGGTTAATTTTTTCATTTTCCGCCTCTGATTTACCCAGAATCATGCGATGACATGACACGATGAACAACGATACATGGAATTTCTCCACTCCATTTCCCTACCGACTTTCTTGACGACTTCAATCCAGGGAATTGAAGACCTGAATGGGAGCTGATGTTACAAAGCTCCTCTCTGAGGAACGCGTGGACGACTTCCGCCTCTACCTTTACCGATCACGTGACAATGACGTCACAGAGCCTAGACTGACCATGTGACAATGACGTCACCGACCACATGACCATGATGTCATCATGGTCATCGCCCTTATCTACCCGGCACGGATCTACCAGATCATCTGATGATATGCGCCTTGTGCTCAAGGCATGTTTACCTCATGTACAAGATCCAGACACAGGACGCACTTCCTATCACACATGCGACAAAGGCATGTTTGCCTCACCTTTGCCTTACCCTTACGATACAGATACCGAACCTCATGGGCATGGCCCTAGACCCTGATACATGCGCTAGATGCACGACGACCCCGCTGCTGCCTTGTCTTTGCAGCACGACCTTATCTCCATATGGACAGATTGTCTCTCACGCAGAGTCATGACTGACTCAGCATTCTCACGACCGTGGGACAGGTATACGAACCCTGTGCCCTTGTATTGATACCGATGGACCAATCGTAGTTCTAGTATTACAGGTAGACAGACGCCTGTACTCGTATATAAGACCGAGAGGACAAGCCGGAGTCCCCATCTTGTCCTGGTTACACATCAACCAGTTTTACCATCTACATCTGTGCGACAGATCGACCTTGGTCCGCAGACAGCGGCCAAGTGTTCATAAGTCTACTCCACTGGGCCGACCTCTGGTCATCGCTATGACTGGAGGTCGGACCCCTCACGATTGACTTGAGCCCTTGCGAAGGCCTAGTCACTGACGATGACGAACCGGATGTACGGTGGCAGGACTGGCCCCCGTGACAATAGCAAGGATACATGGGATTGGATATGTCTGGTTGGGGATGTATGGAAACAGCATGGCGAGCAGGTCGCAGCGGCAAAACAATTTCTTCCCAGTTCATTTGATCGCCCTCCTCGTAATCCCGCTGAAAAGATCTCCAGTGGGTATAAGTGCTGGGAATTTCTTCACTGGTTGTACGGCCTCGCACCAGCTCTTCTTCATGGAAAACTTCCTGACAAATACTGGTGGAACTTCTGCAAACTCGTGGCTGGTGTATGAATTATTTTCCAGTGCCACAGTGATGCCATACAGCATGCAAAAGCCCATCAACTGCTGTCGGACTTTGACTATGAGTTCGAGGAGCTATATATTCAGCGCAAGGTCTCTCGAATGCATTTTTCGCCACAATGTATGCATGCAGGTACCCATGCTGCAACTGAGACTTGCTGAATTGGCCCTCTTATCTGCTCATCACAGTTCACAATGGAACGTACTATTGGGGACCTAGGTGCCGAGATTAGGCAGCCATCAAAACCTTTCGCAAACCTTGCACAGCGCACACTTCGTCAGGCTCAAGTCAATGGTCTTAAAGCTATGCTCCCTGACTTAGACCCTGGCAACAAAACAGGCACCTCCCGCAACACACATATTCGTGATCTTGGCAATGGGTACATCTTGCTTCATTCTCGTGAAGATCGACCCCGAGTGGTGCGAAATTGCGAAGAAATCGCTATCTTGGAATACTTGGAGAAAGTTGGTGGAGCTCAGGCATGCCAGGATTGGGTGTCGGAAGAGTCCTGCGTGCAACGTTGGGCACGATGTCACCTTCCAAATGGGCAAATCTGTCGCAGTGCATGGAAGGAGATCGAAAATGATCAATCACGTATCTCACGCAATGTCAAGGTGCGTCTATTATGGCTGTTTCTGCTGTACGAACGACGAAGACTAAATTAGCCATCATTAGTTCGAAGTAAATTCAAAGCTTAAGTTTGCCGAAGTCCTCTATTATTTTCAGTTCAAGGTTGACAACAAGGATCATACTCTTGCTCTTGTGTCTCTATACGGACCCCCGAATCCTTCGCTACTCCGAGCATCCTCCGGGACAGTTTGGGCAACTTGCGCGGGAAATGACAACGCTCTGGCTGTCATCAATGTAAAGGAGATCATTGCATGTATCACTATGACTTGTGCTTCACTCTCATGTGTGCATGGAATGCATGCGACATACTTTGCTATGGACAAACTCGGAGCAGATATCGGGTGTATGAGTGAAGCAGACGAGCCCCTCGTAGAAACTGATGGAGAAATACCTTACTTAGACTGATATCTAATAGTAGGCTACTACAGTTAGACTGTTTCACTTAGTTGTTCTGAAGTCCAATTTGCCTAACGAAATGCAGGACATTGTTGTGAAGTCTGCAAAGTGCACAGTGCATTTCCCGAAAGAGAAAGAAGTGCCGTTGCCACATAGTAGGACCATCACAGTCTTCTCGTCGAGTCTCTACCATCACACCAGGGCATGCACTAAATACAGCTGTGTGCACTGGTGTACTCAATCTCTGCTGGGTATTCTATCCCCCCTTACTAATGTCTTCACACCTCTTGTCAGTTCGGAGCTTCTCCAAAAGTCCTGTCCCAAACGACGTTCTTATTAGCAGTACTACCTCCCTTTTGGACTTCGAGTCATCGACTTCAGTGTCTTCTAGTCCAGCTCTAAGCACAATTGACAGTATTTTACCTGGCATCATTGGCTCACATCACAATTGAGGGCTCTATGCCTCACAACAGGAGCGTGCATTCTCACCCCAGATAAGCTACATCTGTTAAAATCCGCTCAGATTTCGAGATGCATTAATACACACTCAGCCCAACATATCCTTAGCCTACGACTCTAATAGTAATGAATACCAAGAATTGCAGATCCATTATGTTTCTCAGGCAGACCACGATACACTCATTCATTCTCGCAATAGCGCATATCTTGTGCGGTTACAACAGGTCAAGCGTCTTGCATTAGAGAAGGCTAGTTTACATACCCAGTTTGTTTTATACAAGTCAGTCTCTCTTCCAATCCCCATCTGTTGTTTACTGACACCGGCATGCAGGAAGCTATATGATGAGCTTATCGAACGAGTACCTCAACTTATCAGCACAAATCCCTACCCTCCTGACGTTCCCAGCACTTCTGCACCAACATCTAGATCAGTAACACCAGGTGTAGCTCCATGTTCTCACAGTCGTGTTGTGCTTGGCCTTAGTCTCGACTTTCCTGAGGTATCGCCTTTGCCTGCTTATATTCGCTACAAGGTCAGGTCGGATTGGACTTCACGTGAGAAGCCCAAAGTTCGCAAACAGGGTCCTCACTCTGAGGATATAAATACAGGTCAGCTTTACATCGAGGATGAAACTGGAGAATCGGTATGTGGTCACGTTGCCAAGGAGATTTGCACAACGGTAACCTCTCTGTTGCACTCACTTGTATGGAGTGGTCAAGCAGCACCAGTCTCGACAGCCCTCGGTCACGAAGCACGTGTCTACCTACATGCCACCCTCGCTCGTCGCTTCCCCATGCTTCTATACTGCCAAGGAGGCATGTGGAAGATCGACATGCTCATCTCCCAAGTATACCCTGGGTTCCAGACAAACCATGGATCCAAGGGCGACTCTATCAAGAATGAGCTGTTTGATCTAATGCTCAGTGCTAGTCATGACCAGACTTTGGTGCCCACCAAACACAGGCAGGAATCTGAGCCATCTACGCTGCCTGAAATTGAGCCGAAGCAGAAGAAGCCTAGAAATCGGAACAGCGGGGCATCCACATCAACAATGGTCGTTGTCTCGGGCTCGGATCAACCACCCGCAAATTATCTACTACAGTCAAACCCTGTCCTCATAATTTCCTCGCCTTCTCTGATCTGTGCATCTGTACGCCATTCGACACCAGCTATTCTCCAGGTCAAGGCTCCTCACTTCTCTCCCATCCCAGATTTTAGTGGTACCGCATCAAATAATACCCACGATGGCAGGACACCTGCGACAGGCGAGGATGAGGTGATGACTGTGGTCCCGATGCAGGTGCGGGATATTGACAACTTCTGGGGTGCAGAGCGGGAGATGCGAGCCACAGTGAGTGAGAAAGGCAAGGCAGTGCCAAGTAGAACAGGTGAGAAAGGCAAGAGGTTGGCATCAAGCATGCTGGCTGAGAAGAGCGAGGCGGCAGCATCAAGCCTGAGCACGATAGGTGAGATGCGTGAAGTGGTGTCAAGTGAGACAGTACCACAGAGCATGGCCGACCAGAGCAGTGAAGTGGCGACGGTAGGCAATACGGATGAGACGGTGTTGACAGCGGTGAACAAGTCGACTAGCGAACATAGCTCAATGAGCAGCATGACGGTCGGTGATGAGACCTCGACAGGGATCACAGTGTCGATGGATGCGAATATTGAGATGACAAGTTCCGAGCACGAGGGGGTCGCCTCAACATTGAATTCTCTTCCATCAAATCTTCCTCCAAACACGAAGGTGCGTGTATTCACACTCTCCGTTGAGAATCAGATCATAAATCTCACAGTCAGATTATTCTCATCATCAAACCATTGTGAGTTTCACACATTCAATTCTGTTGCCGCATAACCTGACTTTATTAACAAGTGGAATCACACTTCGTCAACCTCGACAAACACAAAACTCGGGAGACTCAACATCTGCTAGCGCCCCTCCCCCCCCCCCCCCCCCCCCCCCCCCGGTTTCTGTGAATACCATCGAGGCAACGACCACCAATGTGAACTTAAAGGCAAAGGGTTCATCAAAGGGTGCGGCGAAGGCTGCATCAAAGTACAAGCCTGATGTCATCAGTGAACAGTGAGTATATTTTTCTCTTTTGTTTGTATTGTACTGATGGTGGCCACACTCTCATTGACAGGAATCTTTTTATGGGTCGCATGATCAAAGAGAACCCCGACGGTCTCTTTACAGAGTACCAATCGGCATTCTCGACACTCTCCCCTGCTGACCGTGATGTGAGTCCAGTGTCTTCTCCTGTATATGTTCTCATTGTAGTCTAAGCTAATCTGATGTCTCATTTACCATAGGCACTTAAAGCAGAAGTAGCGGCCAAGTGAAAATTGGTATGTTTCATCTGAGCTTGACTTAGAAGAGCTAAAGTCTCACTGAAATCACAACAGCGTAAGGCGCACAGGGCGTAGAAGGATACCGCGTACACTGCCGGTCTGAGGATTTGAAAGTTGTGGCTGCGGAAGTCTTTTCTGATTCTCGATGCTACAGTTTACAGTACATCCATTTAATATATAGCATTTGGTGGTATTCGAGGGTGTTTGCTCGCGTAGCTTCAGAAGTGTGTCAATGAGATTCGACAGTATTCAACTGCATGCTGGTATGGTAATTGACAGCATTCAAAGTAATGTGCTCGCGTGAACTGACTCGTAGGTAAAATCATCGAATGACATCTATTCACATCGTATCCCCTGAAAATATTTGACTGCATCTGATGTAAGTTGATATCAATCATTCCAGTCTCATTTTTTCTATCGACATCAAATGTCATCACACGGCAGTAAATACTGTGCCACTATTCGATACCATTGGACCTAAATTTTCGACGTTTTGACTGGGCATGACCACTTGATGGATAGACCACCCGCATATGAAAGACGAGCGGGACACACATTGATTAATTAGTATGTCGTTAACATTGGCGTATGATATCGGGGACATGCGCGCCATATGTCGTGAGTCATGTTTGACGGCATCCAGGTAGACTGGGAGGTGACGCTACATCAGGAAGATTCCCACAAGCGCTGTAGTGCAACATAGGCTACATTGTCACGGTAGCGCTGTCGCAGGTCCCCCTATACATAGTGCTCTGTAGTCACCTGCTTGAGCTTTGTAGTGCAACATAGTAAGACTTGCAAACGATGCTGGACAATATAATTGAAGGTTGGGTGAAAGTGCCATGTCACTGTAGCCTGTGTAGCACTCTGTAGGGAGATAAAGCTGGAGAGCAAATTAAATATATTTGATAGCGACTGTAATTGAACAGTCCCCAGTGTCTACTACACAATGATAAACTCCCCCGATGCCACACTTGCATTTACAGCCTACCGGTCTCACTCAATAATGCTGTGATGGTGGTCCTCAGTCAGATAGCGATAACCAAAAGCACTGCTCACATCTGCCTGACCACTTCATTCAGCTCACTCTATACATCTATGCAAGAACAGAGAAGACGCACTATTAGCGCCATCAATGCGGCCATTTTTCCACACCGATCAGGTTGTGTGTACATGTGTGCAGTAAGAACACTGACCTGCACTCAGCATGCCGAGCAACACCAGGAAGGCAAGCCCGATCACGCACACATCAAAGTGCGGATAGTCCAACACCAACACTGCAGAAGATCACCTGGTGGTTCACCTCATGGCACATCTATTAGTGAGAAAATTTGAGAACAAGTACGGCATTGGTGCGATGAAAAGAGGGACACCGTGAGCTGTGCAATATCCTGCCAAGCGGACTCAAGGCCCATGCTATGGAACGAACGGGGTGGACGTGACATGCTGTTAAGGGACAGCACGCTGGATGATGAATGAGGGTCCAACCTCTGCCATCCACAGGGATCGCGACAATGTGGAAATCACAAGAAAAACTTACCTCGCGCAACCACGTCAACTCACAAGTAAGCCCTGCCTTCATATTAGTGACCTTCCACGTGCAGTATGCACCCGCCATGCCTCGAGCGCAGGACATTTCACGGGAACATGAAGACATGACACACATTGTGAGATTGAAGCTGTCGGGGATCGTCCTTCGACGTGGATCTTGCACGTTAATGTTACAGTCTTCAACCGCCAAAGGGAGCAGGCCATTCTAAATACATCATGCATGGTCAGTGTGAAATCAGTGTTACTATGCACCTTGTGCTGCAACATTCCAGCAACAAAACATCAATACCAGAGGTGGATCCGCACGGCCACGGTTCCCCTTCACGTCAACGGCTCACAGTGGGCAGCGTGCACCTAATGCCATCGTACCGCCGTGTTCATGAGGTCTCTGGGTCTCTGCATGGAGAGGTGGAGGGAAGGTGAGTTCAAGAGCCACACACCATTTGCCCGTGGCATTGCCCCATCTTTTGTTGATGCTGGCCTTGTGCTTGATTATTATCACCTGCAGAGGGCAGAAGTCAGAAAGCGAGTAGCACTGGCCAGACCAGGCTTGAACGGTTGAATGGTTGAACGTCGTATCTTGAACCTTGAACCTTGAACATTGAGGATGAATGAGGTAACTGAACATTGTGGCTTGTTTGGTTGCATTCAACAAGTCACGTGCTAATGCACTTAGCAGTTTCTGCGTTCCTAGGTTGTCTCTTCTGCACTTTCTAGTCTCTTCAATATGTGTCCACACTTGTGGATCAGGTTCCCATGTCTTACCATTTATTCAGTGATTCCGTGGAGCTTCGAATAGTGAGTTTCTGCTCGGGCTCCCCGGCCCTCATGCCTCAGATTGCACGGCTGTCCGAACCACTTTTGTGTGCCAAGTGCAGGCGCGGGTGTGAGCACGCTGTCGTTGAGCTGGGCTTGGTGTAGGCATACACAAGTTCCACAAGGAGTACATGGTGGATGACAATGGTGACAACACACATTCAGGGGCAGTATGAGTGGTTCTACAAGGTGTGTGTGTGTTGCAGGATGTCATTGGAAATGTGTGTATGAGAAGAGGAATATACATGGGACATGCATCTAGAGTCCGACGAGAAGGAGTGCACTGCTGCTCATGTTGTATTGCAGATTTGTAGGATACAGTCGACTACATATCCTTCTGATGTAGCTACTGTTGTCTCAGTTGCACTGACTGAAGTTACATGAACTACAGTAGACAATAGTAGCTACCACTGAAACAATATAGAACTCTGTTGTCTACAGTATGCTACAAAGCTGTAGCGAGTGCTACAGCCTGAGAAACATTTTACTGATGTAGCTTTTAGCATTGCTACAGCAATTTGCTAATCGTTACAGCCGTTTGCTAATCGATAGGCGGCTGCTGAAAATGATCACACAGTCGGCTAAGGGCGAAACCTGAAATCGGCATCGGCCCCGTCCAGGCACTTGAGCGGCAAGCAGCGCGCTTCACTCCGCACTATAGTGAAGCGCCGTGAGAGAAAGTACCCAGCCACCAGAGCCAAAGAAAGCCAAATACCATCAGTTCTTCTGAATATTAATTTCGGTGTCCGACCATGCATGATATTTTCGGCACCCGCCTAACGATTAGCAAATTGCTGTAACACCTCATTGTCAGACCAGCCAGCTGTCGGAGCAGCTGCAGACGATGCGGGCTTCTCCAGAAAGTGAAACTCGTCATGATCAGCAGGGATTAACTGACTCGGGACAATTGCAAGGCACCACACCAGATTCCAGACGACTGTAATCGTGATTAAAATATGTCTATTTCGTCCACTAAATATATGCGGAGACAACAAACAATCACAGCACGGCCCAACAACAGCACCAAACCAGCTTACATCTGGCCCAGCGAACTCGAGATCTTGAAGTCGCACGCGGTCTTCGCCTTGACCTCCTCGACAGTAACGCCCTCCGCGACATCTATTAACTCGAGCTCGCCCGCCAGGCGGTCGACATTGAACACGGCGAGTTCCGTGACGATCATGCTGACCGACCGCGCACCCGTGAGCGGCAGCGAGCACTCCTTCACGATCTTGGGCTTGCCGTCCTTCGAACAATGCTGCATCGTTACGATGACTTTTGTCAAGTCAGGGTTGGAGACGAGATCCATCGCGCCGCCAATACCTGGTCACAAATGCGTGAGAATTCACAATACATCAACAAGTATATGGGCACTTACCCTTGACAAGCTTTCCGGGAATCATGAAGTTCGCGATGTCACCGGCTTGTGAGACTTGCATGGCCTGATGGGTCGAATATTTAGTGCACCGCGCATTATTCGGAGAATCAGGACACTGACACCGAGTACTGTGACATCGATATGACCTCCACGGATCATGTTGAACGATTCAATGGAGTCTGTTAACCAATCAGAAAGCTGTGCGTATGCTCCAGCATATAGTCCGCTTACCGAAGCACGAGGCACCAGGGAGCAGAGTCGTAGTCTCCTTTCCAGCATTAATGATGTCGCTGCAAACACGGTCAGGACGAATCACAGACACTACACGTCACTCACGCGTCAGCCTGTGCTTGCGTGGGGTAAGGACCCATACCCAAAATGCCGTTTTCGCTCTCCATCCAGACCTTGACACCGGGATCCAAGTGCTATGCCCAGGATCAAATATTTGGATAGGAACATTTGCCAGCGATAAACCGACGTACCTCAGGAACAAGAACAGGGATACCAACACCGAGGTTGACGTAGTAGCCGTCCTTGATTTCCTTCGCACAGCGCTTCGCGATCCGGTGACGCCAGTCCTTCGCTGAGCTACCGGCTGATGCCTTTGCCTGCTCCTCCCCGCTGCGAGCGAGTGCTAACGTCTCGATGGATTTGGGCTCCGTAGCGTGCACAATTCTGTCGACGTAGATACCAGGGACATGGATGGCGTTTGGCGAAAGGCTGCCCACCGGACTAACATTGAAACTTCAGTTTTGCACCGCAGCGTCTGAAAAGGCATCCCTACTTACACGATGTGTTCCGCCTAGAATATCATTGTCAGTGACTGCCTGCATATGGATACGCTAAATTACGCGCCTCGACAATAGTCAGTTTAGCATTGCGAGCCATAACAGCATTGTAGTTGTTTGCTGTGTATCTGACAGCAAAGTTGTTTACGTACGTCACATTTTCAGGTAGGACGAAAAGCATACCTGAAAACCAAGTTGCCGACTTCGTCCGCTTTCCACGCGTGCACCAATGCGACGTCACCGACGATAGCAGGCTCCTCGATGTATTTGCGACCGTCGTACTCATGTGCATTCTTCTTGTTGCCCGGAATTAGTACACCATTTTGCATGCCCCCTGGGTTATACCGTATTGGAATGCCACCGTGTTCCACGGCAGTGTTTGCACCAGTCGGTGTGTAGATAACAGGGAAACCTGCCGCATGAGCGTTGAGGCGGGCAATGAGCGTGCCCTGGGGCACAAGCTCGAGTCCGATCTCTCCCTTGAGGTACATGGACTCGAGGACCTTGTTCCTGCGCGCATACACTCAGGTAAGCGAATGCATATCGCTTCAAAAATGGCGCAACACACCCTCCGAGATACGAGATCATCAGACGATCGCACTGTTTTGCCCGGATGATCCTAACTGGGACCGGCGTGAGTATATGCACACGTTCCGGGTGATGGAGACATACCGAGACCATGATCGCCCACACCAGCGTTATTCGAAACCGCCGTGAGATCCTTGATGTCCTTGCGCTTCGAGAGTGCCTTGAATAATGTCTCCGGGATCCCGCACAGACCGAACCCTGGCATGCCGTCAGACGTCAGACGCGCTCCGGAAGGGCGTCGGACTCACCTCCGCTGAGGACAATGTCGCCGGACTTGACGTCGGCGAGTGCCTCGTCGATGTTGTCCCAGACCTTGGTCTTCTTCGGCACGAGGTCGGCCGGGATGCTGTAGAAGCGGATCCGTTGGACCAAGATGGTAGCCCGAGGGCGTACACGGAGAGCAGATGCACGGGGCTTGAGTGCCGCGAACATGGCTGCGAGACGGGGGTCGGAGAGGCTAGGAGATGAGGGGTGAGCGGAAGAAGTGTGAGCGAGAGATGCTGGTGGTGGGTATATATATGAGACAGTCTCGGAATTGTCGAAGTCGAGCTCCGAACGGCTTGGGCCGGGCGGAGGAGAAAGTGGCGATGGAGGAGGATAAGTGCGAGGCTAGAACAGTGCCTTCGCCGGCTACTGGATCCTCCACACCTGTCCCGGTCTTCCTCCCCGACTTTCCCCTCGTCTTCTCTCGCGTCCCCACAATCCCCCCGGACGTCATGGGTGAGTTGAATAGAGCGTCGCCTGCGTCTATCTCCGCTTAGACGCCGCACATTTCCCGGAACTGCAAATCCCAGGCAAACAGTTTGACGGGTTTGAGTGTGTGAATTTGCGGGCGAATCACCCCACAGCGATTGTGGGCGCCAAGTCTACTCGGAGAGAACGGGAAGTCGACAGTACTCGACCTGCATTGACAAGACAAAAAGGCCGAGTAAGTACTATCGATGGTATAGTGTGTCTTCGTGTTGCTACTCATTCGACGCGATTCCACCTCATTCGTGGGATTATCCGTTGATTTGACCCCGTTAGATCTGAATTTTCGACGTTTTCACTCGGGTTCAAGGCTTCAAGTGACACATCATCTCCTAAGCTTGCAAAGACACAGCGAGATTGTAAGCTTCTTTGTTCAATTCATTTAAGCTGTTTATTGTCCAACCAACCGACCTAGCAGACGTGTCGTACGAAATCCCTCGACAACGTCATCCACAATCCATTTCCTGGAGTTTTCGGGGATATTGTTCCTTGTACTTATCACCGTCACTTAATGGCCGATCTTGCACCCCCGAAAGGTGGACTTCCTCCTCCACCTGCCAGCCTTCATTCCTCAAACCAGCCAGGCACACCTGACAGTCAGTTGGGGAAGATGACAGAGAGCATTGACAAGGGTGCAATATGGGTTGCACATATAAAGTGAGTTGTTCAATGGATATACTTGAATCAGTGCCACATAGATCTTTTTATAAGGACCCTCTCTGAGGCTATAATCGCTCACTCCGAATACTTGGATTCTTGGAGACACCATCGCAAATATACACACCTCACGATGTTATGGCGATTTTCAGACATCTCGGATGAGGACAAAACTTGTGTCACCATGCAGGTTAACCACTTTGCAAAACAGAGTGAAGAGAAGAAGACTCAGCTCAGTGCTGCCCTCTCCCATTTAACTGAATTGGATTATTGGCCATTATTCCCTAGTAAAATGAAGACTACTGCTACTGAGCTGAAGAGCAATATTACTGAATTGTATACTGCTCTTCAGAAGTTACAGGGTGAGTCAAGTAATTCCAGAACAACCAAAATTCATTCTAATATTGGTCATGAGTCTTTAGCCTCATCTCTGACAGTTCAGCAGGTGACCCAGAGCCAGCTGAAGAGTCCCGAAGTGTTGATTAAACAACTTCAGTCATTGGAGACCTCGTTAGCAGGGCTCAAGAATAGGATGGATGATCAGTTCTTGACTCTCAAGGTTCGGGAGTTGGAACAGAAGCTTGAAGTCACTGGCAAAAAAGTGGAAGAGATAAGAAGGGAAGTTGCTGAAGTTATCGCAGGATGGAGTGTAATGGCTGCTGAGAATGCAGAATTGCGACATGGGAATGTGCAACTAAAGAATGAGATTGCAGTTGTAAGTTCTAGTGCTTTCATCTTTGACAGTTTGGACTGTTTAATACTTGTTATATTCACTAGTTGGTCAGGCAACAACAAAAACACCAAGAAGCAATAACTGCTAGCAGGCAGGAGATCATTTCCTTGCATGAAGCCGTCAAAGCCGCTTTGATGCAGCCACATGGCCTGTCTTCAACCATTTTAGTGCCTCCCTTTGAATTGGATACAGCATCACTAGTGGAAGCTGTCAAACCAGTTATTCTACAGTCTCTTCATGAAGACATTTGGCTACTTCTGGAAGATGCAAAGAATAATATGCAGAATTTGTTACAAGAACAAAATTCCCAGATGTATGTGACGGTCCTGTCTAAGATGGCAACCACAGTCAAAATAGTTGAGTTTTTGGCCACTTGGATGGATCATCTTCCTAGACAGGTAAAATAGTTGTTACATTTAGACGATGTGATAAACCACTGTACAACTTCACTTCCATTGCTGGAAGTAATTATGTGCTTCGGGAGTAAGAGGTAGACACATGTACACAATTGAACATCAGAAAGCTTCATGAAAGCCATGTAAAAGTGGACCCTCCGAGAATCGAACTCGGGACCCTTGCATTTAGTAACCTCATAAGTACAAAGCTCTACCGATTGAGCTAAGGGTCCGCACATTGTTTTTCCTGCGTCGCTTACTCATACATTTGAACTCGATGTAGTCCCACAAATACGATTTAGAGAAACCAAGTCATACTCCCGGATCGACGTCTACTTCATATATTCCTCCGGCAGAAACACGCATAAACCTATTCCCAACACGTCGTCCTTGCTCCTCAGAGTGCGTGATCCACACGATCGCCTTCAAATTTGAACGAGGCTCCTTCACTTCGGAGAGCAGGGTTCTCTCGACGAGGGAGGAGGAGTCCGAGTCCAATGCAGAGGTTGGTTCTGCGATGAAGGCACACTAAGCATCATGGGAGAGAACGACGCAGCGGTGCTGACCATCTAGCAGGAGAATCTCCGCCGTCTCCACACCCATCGCGATCGCGAGCGCGATCCTCTGCATCTCGCCGCCGCTCAAGTTAGCCCACGTTCTGTCCCATAGGCCCTCATCGACGCCCCAAGACTTCGCGACTTCGATGGCGCGCTCTGGCGACACGGCATGGCTGCCCTTGGCCTTTCGCAGGATGGACTTGTCGTGGTATGACGAGAAGGAGCACATGGCTAGTACAAAGTCGCGGGGCGTCCCGGGGAGGAGGGACGCACGTTGTGGTACGTATAAAACATGGGTGCGGTACTTGGGTACGCCTGAGATAGATTGTTTACGTTTTAGTCCAGCAACTCTCGGCTACGCGACTCACCGTAGGATTTGGGACTTCTGTACGATTTCCGGGATGAACAACCTTGAATGAACGAAGTGCACCAGTCTCGTACCTTCCTTCATAGAGAATCTCGCCTTCGTAGAGATTGAGGTGGGCCAGGCATTTCAAGAGGGTCGACTTGCTGCGGAAAGGCGTTCAGCACGCGTTACTACCAGTTTTCAATGCGCTTACCCTGCTCCGCTCCTACCCTGAATGATTAAGACATCGCCTTGGTTGACGCTGAAACTGACGTCAGAGAAGATGGGTTCGCCCAGGTCTTTCGAACATCCAACGTTGCGAATCTCGAGTAAGGTCTCGCCCATGGTTGGCAGAGATGGCGGAGAGAAGGAAGAGGTTCAGAGTCGGATTGTGGTGGCGAAGGATAACTGAGGCACAGAGCACGAGGTACGTGACCGAAATGGTAGAGATTTCCCATGGACGTCACGTATACGGTACAGAGCACCTCAGAACATCAAGCAAGAAGAACGCGGGAACGCGGATATGTTAGGACGCGGCTACTATTCTAGCAAGTATGTATGATATTCGCATTATGGCTGAGGCGCTGGCATCGGCACCATGCCCATCTCCTCCGGTGTCAAAGTCGAGCTCTCAATCATCACACCGACGCCAACCTTTGCCGCGTTCTGCACACGGACGGAATGGTCAGCACCAAGTTGCATCACAAACTACACGCTTATTTTACCTTGAAGTGATCAATCTCCCCCGCCAGCAAGAAGGCAAACGTCGGCGCGAATCGCTGTTCTAGCAGGGCCGACACCTTGCCAGTAGAGTCCAACTGGGCCCTGAATGTCGCCATGCGCAGGTCGTACTTCGCGCCCAGCGTCGCAATCGCGTCTCTCCGCGTCGGGGCCGCGATCACCTGTAGGTCCGCGGCAACATCCACCTTCTCACTGAGCTTCTGCCAATACGTCGCCTGCACCATACCCGCAGGCTGTACCTGCGCGGTTGCGATCCAGCTCTTGTCTGAGCTCGTGTATTTTGCGAGGTATGAAGTGCTCGACTCCGACATGTCTGGCGTTGGCCGTTGGTAGATCGTCTCGAACCCCAGCGCCAGATTTTTCGTGACAGACTGAAGGTAGCTGCCGATGTAGATGCCAGTAAAATCCAACGGATAAGGGTTCATCGCCTTCGCATTAAGCGTGTAGTCCTGTCCTTGGTAGTCCTGCTCCAGTTGAATCATGCTGTGGCCCATCTGGGACGACACCTGAAATAGGACATGGACATCAGGCGGCTTGAGAGAACACAAACGAAGCACACACCTGAGCCTGTACTTTCGTCACGTTAGTGGGAGACCATCCTTGGTTCAACCGTGCGCTCAAGCTGCCTTCATGGTCGATGGTCCCTTGCAAGAAAACCTGGCAACATGTTAACGTGGCATTCAATCTGTACAGCAAGTATATGCACGTTATTGTTGGCAAACACCGCACCGAAATTATATGCTGGCGTGCTTGTTTGTGAGCCCATATGAAACGAATGCGTCACTTGGAAGATAGGGTTCGCCGACAAGCTCTTAGTGAGGTCAGCTCTGCCTCCGTCGAAGAAGTAATTCGTCAAATGAGTGCCTGTCACATAAAAGCATGAGAATCTCCGTAATAATGCTCTATTTAGGAACCTTACTTTTGACCTCCTTCTGGAGACCCTCTACTGTCCCCGGGCAGGGGAGCTCGAGCGCTGCGCGCCATGACGCGAACCGGTTATAGAGCCTGGCAAAGGGTGATGCGAAGGAGGAAGACGTGGACGGAGCCGACGATGATGAAGGCGACGGATGCTCATCGTTCGCGACCAGAGGGGGTGAGGCCATCGCAGTTGACAACGACGATGACCAGCGCGTCTTGCAAAGAGTGACGGAAAGAAATGAAGGAAAAATTCGTCACTGATAGGTCTCAAAAGGCAACTCGGCGCGTAATCCTTGGGTAATTAGTAAGTTGCCCTGTATGGAAACTCTCCGCGAAACATACGAATCTGGGCGAGGAACTCAACTTTGACACTTTTTCCTGCCACATGCCCAGTGGTTGAATAAGAGTCGTTCCCACAAGTATGTCAGAAACTACGCGCTCCGTGCGATTCACGAGATGAGCGAAATATATTCGCGCAATGAGTTCAGCACAATGCGAATGCGTACCATCTCTCGCAATACAAGACAACAGTGATAAAGCATGCCACGATAGCGAGAGCGCAGTGGGAGACATACAAGACAGTGACAGAATATGCACAACAGAATGGAAGGGGGTTGCAAATGTGGGATGAGCAAGCGCTGCGACAAACCTTCTGACTGGGCAAGTCGAATGGCTGCATGATGACCACTCGCATTGCACTCGGAATGTACAACATGAGACACATGACGAGTACTGAGCAGCGGCACAAACTGGCCTGCACGGGCGATCTGCGCATGCATGGAGAACGCATGTTGAATATCTTGCGACTACGCATTATATAGACATTTGGATACTCACAGGTCAACGTAGCCAAACACATATGCATGCGCCGAATTCAAAGTGGGCAGATTCTTCAGCCGTTGTCGACTGTGCCTCTTTTGATTAAGGTGGCGACATAGCTCTACGGAATATGCTGGCATGACATGGGCTACAGAGTGTTCTTGGATGATCATCGATGCATGTGAAGAAACTGCGCAATTGGCCCATCTGAGGAATCGACCGCACAAGGACGAAAGTGGGATGTCTTCTGAAAGATGAGTGCCATTCATCAAGATCAGCTCTCAAGTCTAGAACGGGCTTTACTAGCTTCAGATTGTAGATCAACGACGGCACAAACTGGCAAGACACTCACAAGATGCAAGCCTTGACGTCATTCTGGACAAGCACAACGAGGTTTCATCGAGGCGAGCTGCGATGCGCAGACATTCTGAAATACCCCGAAAAATCGGTGAGCTTCGATCAGCGGAAGGAGACAGTGAAATTAAACGACTACAATCAGAAGGCATCTTCGCGTGCGTTCCAGACAGATTTATGTGTGCTCCGTGCTGCCGCGGACGATACTGTGTGTCCGAGGTACAGTATGGAAACGCGAAGGAGGTCGACGCGCTTGGGTGCGCGAAAAGACGCGGCAGTCACGTGATCTATAGATGGCGTCACGAGCGGAAGAGAAAGTGCTGGAAAAGGCTTGGAAGACCAGAGAATGTCCTCGAACAGCGTAGAACGCAGGTCGTATATAAGATGTCTCGTCCCCCTGTCTCTTCTCCCAGTGGTCATTTTCTCTTTCTTTATCACGACACATCCTCTCACCCGTTCTACCGTAAACTTAAATGTCGAAAGCTATCGGTATCGATCTCGGCACAACCTACTCGTGAGTCTCCCTGTATTGGTCGTTGTTTCGTTGCTGTTCACTCAATTTTTACATTACAGATGTGTCGGTGTCTGGCAGAATGATCGCGTTGAGATCATCGCCAACGACCAGGGTAACCGAACAACTCCGTCGTATGTCTCCTTCTCCGACAACGAGAGGTTGATCGGCGATGCCGCGAAGAACCAGGTCGCGATGAACCCCCACAACACTGTCTTCGACGCGAAGCGACTCATCGGTCGCAAGTTCCACGACGCGGAGGTGCAGTCCGATATCAAGCACTTTCCCTTCACCGTCTTCGACAAGGGCGGTAAGCCTTACATTCGCGTACAGTACCGTGGTGAAGACAAGGAATTTGTAAGTTGTCACCTTCGTGATCGTGTAATGCAGTATTCTTACGCTTGGGTGTTAGTCTCCTGAGGAGATCTCCTCCATGGTCTTGCTCAAAATGAAGGAGACGGCCGAGTCCTACCTCGGAGGTACCCTCAACAACGCTGTCATCACTGTTCCCGCATACTTCAATGATTCTCAGCGTCAGGCAACCAAGGATGCGGGTACCATCTCTGGCATGAACGTCCTGCGTATCATCAACGAGCCTACCGCTGCTGCTATCGCTTACGGTCTGGACAAGAAGACTACTGGCGAGCGGAACGTCCTCATCTTCGATCTCGGTGGAGGAACATTCGATGTGTCGCTTTTGACCATTGAAGAAGGTATCTTCGAGGTAAAGGCTACCGCTGGTGACACGCACTTGGGTGGTGAGGACTTCGATAACCGCCTTGTGAACCACTTCGTTCAGGAGTTCAAGCGCAAGCACAAGAAGGGTAATTAAATCTTAGATCGTCTTGTCAACTATCGTAATGACTTACCTTTTACAGACTTGTCGTCGAACCCCCGTGCTCTTCGTCGCCTCCGTACTGCTTGCGAGCGTGCCAAGCGTACACTGTCTTCCGCTACTCAGACCTCGATCGAGATCGACTCCCTGTTCGAGGGTGTCGACTTCTACACGTCACTCACCCGTGCGCGTTTTGAAGAGCTTTGCAACGACCTCTTCCGCAGCACCCTCGAGCCCGTCGAGAAGGTCCTCCGTGACTCGAAGATCGACAAGGGCAACGTCCATGAGATCGTCTTGGTCGGTGGTTCGACTCGTATCCCCCGTATTGTTAAGCTCGTGTCGGACTTCTTTAACGGCAAGGAGCCCAACAAGAGCATCAACCCCGATGAGGCGGTCGCGTACGGTGCCGCCGTCCAGGCTGCCATCCTATCCGGTGACACTTCGGAGAAGACTCAGGATCTGCTCTTGCTGGACGTCGCTCCTCTCTCCCTGGGCATTGAGACGGCTGGTGGGGTTATGACTGCGCTGATCAAGCGTAACACGACTGTTCCGACGAAGAAGTCCGAGATCTTCTCAACGTACTCGGACAACCAGCCCGGTGTGCTCATCCAGGTGTACGAGGGCGAGCGTGCGCGGACGAAAGACAACAACCTGCTCGGCAAGTTTGAGCTCTCCGGGATCCCACCAGCGCCCCGTGGTGTCCCGCAGATCGAGGTCACCTTCGATATTGATGCCAACGGCATCCTCAACGTCTCAGCGTCCGACAAGACGACCGGCAAGTCGAATCGTATCACGATCACCAATGACAAGGGCCGTCTATCAAAGGAGGAGATCGAGCGCATGGTCGATGAGGCCGAGAAGTATAAAGGTGGGTCCACGATTGTTATCCAGCTTTTGCATTTGCATTATACTAACTAACTTTTGTCTCCTCCAGCCGAGGACGAGGCCGCTGCTGCTCGTATCACCGCGAAGAACGGCCTCGAGTCGTACGCGTACAACCTGCGCAACTCCCTCAACGACGAGAAGCTCGCGAGCAAGTTCGAGCCTGCAGACAAGACGAAGCTTGAGTCCGCAGTGAACGATGCCATCTCGTGGCTCGACGCCTCGCAGGAGGCCTCAAAGGAGGAGTACGAGGAGCATCAGAAGGAGCTCGAGGCTATTGCCAACCCGGTCATGCAGAAGCTCTATTCTGGTGGTGCGGGCGGTGCTCCAGGTGGCTTCCCCGGCGGTGCTCCAGGTAGTTTCCCCGGCGGTGCGCCTGGCGGCTTCCCGGGTGCTGCGGGTGGCGAGGAGGGCCCGAGCGTTGAGGAGGTCGACTAAGGGTGTGCAGGATCTCGCGTTGTCGTTTCTTGCTCTGTCACGATGCTCATGGTTGTTGCGGACTAGGCACACAAAAAGTAATTTTGGCATGTATATTATCATCGCATTTTTAGATCAATTACGCTTTCTTGTCTCGCTCGACATTCTCTGTTGTGTATGGTAGGGAGCATGCGAGACATTGGAAGTGATTCCCACATCCTCACGCGGTCCCACACCTGCTAGTTTCTGCGTCAAGGTTCCTTACAATACTCAAATCAGCCTCCGCGCCCTCGACATACTCGTCTTCGACTAGATAGGGCACACCACACCGGATACGAAGTGCCCGGAATGGTAGGACTGCGGAACGGCGTGTCTCTCGAGACGGCCGTTTCGACATTAGTGACACCAAGTGAAGCAGGAGTTGTGGTGACACAAATTCTAGCAAGTCTACACTATGTTCTTACGACGCTAGTATGCAGTCAGTACCACAGCAGCACAGGTGGTATAGGAGGACGTCGTGTATGTGTCTGCTCATTGACGAGGTCTGGGGGAATAGGTAGTTTCTGGCTGATTCGTAGTACAGTTTCCGTGGTGTGATGTGCATTCAATAGGGGGAGTCAAAGTTGGCGATTTTGGGGCGATTCAGAGTTTCTCCGAAGACGGATTCTAACGACGATTTTGCATCCCAGAATCGACTCAAAATCAGAATCGGACGTGAATCGCGTCGAATCGTCGAATCGCCTCTGGAGGCGCTTCAACCTCAGAATCGCCGATTCTCGCACCTCGATTCTCCTCCCTCTGTATCTGCCACTACAAAATATGTAATCATTAGAAACAATTAGTTATCCTTTATAGAATCCATGATAGATGCATGCCCTAGTGATAATATGTGGACTGTGATCTCATTTGCCATGCAATTCTCTATACTTTAAATTTCTGAGTTCTGCCCTTTGCTTGTTCAATACTCATACTAAAAACACCTAGGGAGATAAGCTGTGGCACACGTTAAAGAAACTATGTATGTCTTTTTCCAGTACAGTACAGTACAGCAAAATCCTCGCTGGAATCGGCACAAAATCGCATGAACCCTCCACAACGAAACGGGGTGGTCAAAATTGATGGGATTTTCACTCGATTCAGTTCACCGAAATCGACTCAGAATCGTTCCCAGAATCGCTCACAGAATCGTCCACTCTGACTACCCCTAATACATGTCATTCAATGGTATTCGAAGGCATTGCCAGTATAGCAGAAGTCTACTGCATTTGAAAGAACATGATCGCTTGCATAAAAGCAAGGGATACTCTACATGCTTCGCCTTTCATAACCCAGAGAACTCCTCGTCAAAGACATCCTGACTTAGATCGCCCCTTTTCACCTTCTTCGCCATCCTCTCTTCTCTTGCTAACTCATCCCAGGCATCCTCGTCATCATGATTCTGAATTGCCAGGCCTCCCTTTGCATATTTTTGGTCCACATCACTGTCATGGGCCTTCAGCCATTTCTTCTTGCGCTCCTTCTGGTCTTTCCTCTTCTGTCGCTCTTCTTTTCTCGCGGTTTGACTGCTCCACGGTGTATTCGCTTTACGCTTCTCAGCACGTACTTCCCTGCGTCTGTTGGACTCCACCAAAGTATCACCGCGCTTCTCAGCAACGCGCTTAGCTTCACGCCCTCTGTCACTGTATGCGTACGAGCTCCACTGTGGTCAAGACTGACAGGTGAACCACTGCACAACACTGAACCTCACAAAGATCACTCACATCAACATCCACATCCTCCCATCCATCTAGGGTGATTTGCTGGAGCTCTGGCATTCGAGGTAGTCGAAGCAATCCAAAACATTTGGCAACGCCCACCAGGTCAAGATCTTTGACTCTGAAGATGTAGGATGCCTCGTGCTTGGAATATGCACGGACGAACGACACGAAAGCCTTCGCAGCCTAGGCGGTAAATAATTGTTGAGATAGAGTGGATCATATCTGGTTAGTAGATTCTGCACCTTGTCATGTAGACTGCGATCAGTGAGCAGTTTCTTCCTGATCTCAGACATTGCGACGGGGAGTTGCTCGTCTTCTGATTCAATATCAGAACCACCAGAAGCAGGCGAATTACCACTGGCTGCGAAGGGCCTTCGTTGCTCCAAAGGAATCTTTCTAACGGCTAAAAAGTCTAACAAATGTGACGAACATAAGTGAGACACCAACCGAAGTACGGATGCAACTGCTTACCCACGTAATCCTGTTCGCGTCCCACGAGTATGACCCACGCTCTCCCCCTACGGCCTGCGCGCGCTGTGCGTCCGCAACGATGAGAAAATGCCTTTGTGTCTGACGGAGGATCAAACTGCACTACAACATCGACATTTGGAAGATCAAGACCGCGAGCTGCCACATCTGTAGCCAAAAGAATCTGAGGCGAAGAAGGCATAGCCGACGAAGTGGCAAAGCTCGTCAGTGTTCGTGTACGCGCTGCTGGAGGAAGGTGCCCGTGCAATGAATGCAGCGTCGTGTTCGGCGGTAAGAAAGGGAGTAAGATCTGGATAGAAGTACAACGTCCATAAGAACGAGCTCCACTGTATGATTATGCGTGCCACCAACATGATAGAAATATTCAACGCAAGCACAAGTTGCGAAGTAGACTATGAAACGGGATGACTGTTCTTGTCGAACCTCATGAGCAACGATGCGTGAAAGTTGTAGGAGCTTTTCTGACGCTCGGCAAGTCAGACAAAAGTTCTGCAAACTGTTGTGAAAACCCGTCAGAAAGCGCCTAGAGTACTCAGGCGCCAACGCACGTCGCAGGGATACGTCTCTCTTCAATTATCTCGCCCTTAATCTGTTGCTCTCCACTGTTCTCTGCACCTTTCACTTTCGATCTCTTTGTCTGTACTTTGACCACGATTCGTGCCGGATTCCTGAGACCGACACGAACCAACTCCGAAAGCGCATCAGCATCTGTCATGGTCGCACTAAAAAGTCCTGTGCGTCGCTGCTTGGGTAGATGTGTGAGAATTCTATTCAGAGTGTTTTGAAAGCCCAGATCGAGCAAGCTGCGAAAGTAGAGTAGGTCAAACGATATATAGGAGCATGTGAGACGTACCGATCGGCTTCGTCCAGGACCAGTACTTCCATATCTTTCACATTGACGATATCCTTTCCCTTCCCCAACAAGAATTCTTCTATGCGACCAGGTGTACCGATGACAATATCGGCCCCCGTAGACAGGAACTTCTCGATATCCTGTGCTGGTGCAGACTCCGAGGAAATCAGCAGGAGAGGCTGTGGGTACTCTGCTTCGGGAGGAGACTTGCGCTGGGACTCATCCATAGAGATATCTTCATCCGCGGTCGGCCGACGTAATGAAGGTTGCGAAGAGAGGAAGAGAGAAAACACTGAATGAATCTGTGTTGCTAGTTCTCTGCATGTTTCTGTTGTCTTAACTCGACCATGCAGGTAGCGAGGACAATCTCACCTCGTCGGGCTGATGACAAGTGCGCCGATCTGGTTTTTCTTGAATTTCCTCTCCCTCCGTATCAGTTTCTCCAAGATCGGGATAACAAATGCTATGGTCTTTCCCGAACCAGTGACGGCTTCTACCACGACGTCCTTGTGCCGCATAAAGAGAGGTATAGTGGAGGCCTGCACTGGTGTCATCTGGGTGAACCCCATGGCCTGAATAACATCCAAGCTAAAATACATGTATCAGCTATCGGATACATCACCGGTAATGATGGCCAAAAATATTCACATCCATGGGGTCAATGTCGTCGGCAACGACGACCATAGTCCTGCCTGCGCATTCGAGCTCGACATGGCGAAAGGGGGTGGCCCAAGGACAGATGTGCTAGTGCAGTTTGTTGCGTGGGCGAGTCTACTGAACGCCTTGATCAATATATTACGTAACAATCTAAATTTGGCTATTGTAGCATTTGTTTTCCCGTTTCATGCTCTCAGTATCCCCCTGCAGTTCGACCATATATGACTGACAGATTCACAGTGGGAATGGATGAGAACATAACGGGTGCGAGATTCCGCCACGATTTGAACTTCGAGCGAGCACAATTTCAGCCAGGCCACTACCATCTCCCATAGGTCACTGTCCAGTATCAAGAACCGCCCACGGACCAAGCAGTCCACATTGGGCAAAAATAGCAAAGCTCCGAGTTAGCCTAGTATACTCGATTCTGTGCAACGAAGCACCATGCAAACTGCACACGGTAGACAGAGTGATCGTGCATATTCCCTGGTGAAATATGCATCCTAAATGAACCACTCGGAAATGCCCATGTTCGCGGCACTTGGCTGTAATGTTTTCCGTATGACCATGCAACACAGTAAGCGACGATCTAATACTCCGTTAAGCAACAATCCCCTGGGTGAACTCATGATGGATGACTTGGATTGAGGCACTAGTAGCCGTTGAGATGCTCTGGTGGATCAATTGCACGTCAATTGATGCTCCTCCTGGTTGGACACAAACCATCATACTCTCTTGCTACTGTCTACCCAACCGCCGGTAGACTCTGCGGCGCGAGCCACAAGGCGGTCATCAAGTTCATGCAGCCAGTCTCTGACAGTTACACGAACATTTTCCTGGGACAGAAGCCGAAAACAGAACCGCAGACCGTGAGGGTGGTGGATGGTTCTCCTGCCGTACTGCCAATTGCATCACCGCGAATGAGTCAATCCATATGCAGAGATTGAGTTGTACCTTTTGATAGAGATGGACAGAGTCCAGGCAGAAGCGGTAGAGGGTGGTAATTTGGGGATAACGACGGTGGAGCGCATGATTGCGGACTCAAACTTGTGTGGGATATGACGGCCGTTACTTCAAGGCGGAACCACTGCGCAGGCACGAATTTCCCAAATATAGGCAATGTTCATGAAAGTTGAAACGCGTGACCCTAAGCGGTGCTTGTGTATGCAGCTTCTGTTCAGGACCTTGAAGGTCTTCGGAGTCCAGTTGGTCTTATTGTCATCTCCTGGTTTCCTCCTTTCCAACACTCCATTTTCTTAGTTAGCGGTTTCACGGTGCACCTTGACTCCGTGCACCTTGACTACCGCTTTTTTGTACGCGAATGTCCAGCTCCGATGTGGAAACTTCGTCTGGTCGGCCTTCTTTGCACACGCTGACAAATGGCGTCCCATCTCCCCTTCCTTCTATCTCTTTTGGTCGTGACCACATTAATGAGGCCCTTTCCAAGTCTCCAGACAAGGGCGCAACCTTAGACCTGGCGAACAAGGGACTCACAGACGTCGGGGAGTATGGTGCAGAAGAGCTCGCCACCATTGAGGCAGATAGCCCCGTTGTAAGGTGCACCGTCTGGCTCCGGACTATCTCGTGAATCTCTGACTGGTCCTTTGAAGAATTGCTCTTGCTTACAACCGTCTCACGACCTTGCCTATGGCATTCGCTCTGCTCTCACATCTTCGATACCTGGTCTTGAAGAACAACAACTTTGCTGTTTTTCCCGATGTAGTACGTCCCCGTTACATCTGTCTAAGATAACTGTGTCACAATGGATGGTTCAAGTTAACTGTCATGCCTTCGCTGGAGATCCTGGATATCAGCCGCAACAAGATCAAACGATTTCCTTCTCAGCCTGGTTCTCTGGTGAAATTACGGGTAAGTATCCTGCATACTCACTCCCTTCTCGTGATTCATTAGCCCTCGCATAGGTATTTTCGATCTTCCGTAACAAATTACATAGGCTGCCATCATACCTCTGCGACTTCAAGGAATTGACTTTATTCAAGGTTGAACGAAATCCTCTTGAATGGCCCCCAAAACATGTTCTGGAGTCCAACGAGAACTTGGATGACCCTCGAACTATGAGCAAGTGGATAAGGTCCGTACAAACTTGGATTGCGGAGAACGCCCCACCTAGTGAGCGCAAGATGAGTGAAGACTCTCTCCATCATGATCTCGAAGTTCAAGAAGTTTACGCTGATGCAACAATGTGTGTTTCTCGTTATGCTACCCGATGTCGGTCCTAGACTTACCCGTTTCTTGCAGGGACATGAGCTTCGATCTCTCGCCACTTCCAACAGACGCGATCTCGCCAAGAACGAACTCATATCATACTCGTTCCATTTCGCTCGAGTCAGAGCATTCAACCTACTTCCAATTGGATGGTCCACCGTCTGGCGCGGGGCCATCGAGTTTAACTCGGCCTGATATGCTGCCGCGCCTCCACCTTAGTCCGATCCCACCAGGCGTATCCAGTAGTACTTCCACTTCCCCTTCCCGATCACCTCAGGATTATCCGGCAACTCCGGATCAAACAGTCTCCACAAATGAAAATGCCGCTCGCAAGAGCAGTGCGCATACTCGAAATGTGTCGTTCGCTGACGGTGGTTACAAGTCTTCTCGTAGTGCCAAACTCGCCAAGAAAAGCTTGCCCGATTTACGACCAGCGGTCTCACCACAGGGTACTAGTAGGGACGGTGGAGGTACAGCGTCACAACATGTTATACCAGCAGAGGCGAATGGATTAAGCAGGTTTGCAGATGTTTTTCCGAGTGTTGTCTGTTTACTCAACCGTTACTCTAGCTCACGAAATGCCACCGTATTAATTCATGATCCCCTCTCTGCGTCGCCCTTGTCAATGGTAGATCGAACTGCACCTTCCATGGATGTGGAACGCAATTCTTATTTCCGCCGGCTGTCTGCTCTCACACCAGCGAGTCTGGCCAAGACAATCCCCAATGATTTGCTCGCGCTGGTTGATGCCATCCGCAGTATTCTCTTTGCTTTGTCTCAGGTATATCAAGCCCTCCAATACTACACCGTATATGCCATCGATGAGCGATTATCTGCGGTTCTATTGAAGGTCCTTGATCCAGCCAGCATGTATATGACTCAACTGATTCAAGCCCTTGACCGGTTTGACTCGATGAGCAGGATATCTCTACCACCACCATCTGTTTGCAGAGCAGTTGTTGAAGGCTGTCGCGACAACGTCGCCGTTTTCGGCAAAGTCGTCGGAGTCCTGGCTCTCCAACTGAAAGTTCTAGCAACACATGACGACGTCCGCTACACGAGGCAAATGCTGCTGGTTCTGTACGGTGCTATGGCGGAGATCTCCGGTGCGTGGCAGGCCATAGGTGGACGCATTGAAGCTGTCAAGCCCCTCCTCCGGGAGACCCGACCGTCACATTTCACCAAATCGCACACCGCACAACTGCAGACGTCTCGAGCGGCGACTGTCGCGCCCAGCATGGACATCTCCAGGCAGCCTTCATCTGCTCCTCCCATGTCGTCGTCATCATTCCTTCCCATCCAGGAGCAGCCACGGATTCATCTGAGATCCAATACGCAAGGCTCCGTAGATATGGGAACAACCCGGGCCCGCCGCCAAGCTGGGTCGTTCAGTTCCAAGGATGTGGAAATAGGGAAGATGCTCCCGTCGTATGTGGAACCTCCCCCTCTCACGGCGGGCATCTTGAATGGCACAGGTGGACAGACACCAGTGCTACGGACCATCAGACGGTTAGCCGTACCTCCCGATTCTACTCCATCGAGCATCCCTTCGTTGTCTCCAGATCAGGAAAATCCACCTGCAGCGGCAGTTCCTGCAGCCCCCCCAGGCTGGGATACGCATTCCCGTCAGGGCTCGCAGAGTTCTATTATTGTCTCATCTTCCTCTCCTGCCATTAGTTTCAGAGAGGCTCCTTCCAGTGCCAGTACTCTGGTAGACAAGGAAGTCATACAAGCTATGAAGATGGCTGTTGAGGCTGCTCCGGCGATCTGGGAAATGATGGATGAGATTTTGCATGATGCCCAAGAGGCTAGAGATGATCTGAAGGATACATTACAGAGTGCGAGAGAAGTGACCGAACGATTGAGAGAAAATATGGGCGCTATACGGGATGGTGCTCTAACTGTCGAAGGGCGACCTTTGCATGACGACGCACATATATTTATCAAGGTGGGTGGCGTTTAATACGCACCTCGTTGTGATTGCTGATATGTGCCACGTTAGAATGTCATCCAGTTGTCGAACGCTATCAAGACGCATGGCGCCGCCCATCCACTATCCTCGACGCTACGTACCAACATGGTTAAGCTCACGAACGCCACACAAGAGTTCGTGATCTTGCTACACGTGTCGTCCTTCTCTCCGGCAACGACTCCCAGGCCTTACTCGCCCATGGTAGGAGTGATGGCCCAGCCAAGCCCACTTGGTCTACCAGAAGACGGCAGGCTCGGCGCGAATCTATCTCGCAGTCGTAGCGCACTACGCGCCACCAACCTGAAGGTTGCGTCGACGCTGAAGAGACCACCGCACAGTGCGCTACCGCACCAGACGTTCACGATTCCCAATCCGCCACGCTTCGGATCCATGAGAGACGCTGTAGAGGACTCGCCAGCGGTCCAGGCGTGATGTTTTTCATACATAGGCACCCAGTTATCTCACTTCGCACTAAGTTATCACCAGTTATTAGCATGCTACTGTCAAGCTACTGTTCATGTCCATCATTGACACTCGTAATACTCTGCTCCTTGCATCTTACATTAGTTACAGCCATAGTCAACCTGCGGTTGACTCAGATTAGTCCATTGATTCATCGTCTGTATCATCATTGCTGGGAGTGAGAATGAGATACCGTGCAAACTAGATACAAAATCATGAGTCTCTCCCCCTTGTCTTCCGTGCTCTGGCATGGTCGTCGCCGCTTTCCGCGTTGACCAGGATCCTCTCGATCTCAGCCCGAATCTCCCTAAGGTTGGCTTTCAAGGTCTTGGCGTCCTCAAACTTTCTATGCGCCTTCGCTTCCTCAACGAAAGTCTCAAGCAACGCTTCCTGCTCAAGTAGCGGCTGCAAGACGTGGGCAACCTCTGAATCAGGATCTATAACTTGCTCCTCACGGTCTTGTGGGGTCGCTTGGGGGCTCGCGGCTTTCTGCGGTTTCGGCAAGGCCTGTACAATAAGAATTGGGATATGCTCGTTAAAACATCAAACATGGAGCAACGAGCAAGGTGTGTCTGACCTGAAGCGGGAACATATGTTTCTGCAGGAAGAGATTGGCTCGTGCTAGGATTGCCTGCTGTATGCGATCCTGCGAGCTACCGGGACCGCCAGGAGGAGGGAGCTGACGTATCCGCTTGGCAAGGACATCGTATTGGCCAAAGGCATCCAGTAGGCGCTTTCTAGCAGCAGTCGCCTCGGGTGTGGGACGCTCGTGTTTACTGGAGAAAAAAATATCGTGAGAGAGGAGGGGATGAAAAGCAGAAAGACTGATACCTGAGGCTAAGCATCAGCTCCTGAAACTGGGGTAATGAATCTTCTATCTCTTTCTCGAGGTTCATGAAGGCCTGGCATAACGATCAGCGCTCAAGGATCTTGTACACAACAAATATACATACAGAATAGAGCTTGGCGAAGAGAGGTACCTCCCGCACTTCGTGCTTGTACTGCTGATGTCTGAAAAGCGCATCAATCTGTCAGAATAAATTCAACGGTGAGGGCGAAGAAGTGAACTAACAGCAAGACTGGCCGACAATCCCGACAGATCCTCACACCCTTCAAGAACTTCTCGTCCTCGCTGAGCATGTCGTCTTTCCGCCTCCCCCTCTCAGGAGGAGTGGTGCTGTGCCTTCGCACGCCATAATCGACGCCCTCGCCTACCTCCTCGACTCGTCCGGTATTTGGGTCGGCGATGAATAACAGCGAGCATGTCTGAGGACGTTGAGGGTACTTCACCGGCAGTGAACAGATAATACGGCCACAGAGACGGCAATGGTGCTTGCGGTTGGTGAGCGGGTGAAATGAGGCACTGTAATGAACAATCGGTTGGACACAGATAATGAGACAGTTGCGCCAACTTACGAGCACAGCGGGCATTGCGACACGGACGCGTCATCCTCCCACGGTGTAATAGTCTTCTCCGCATCTAGAGATGTATGAGGAACGCGGCCAAGTAGCAAGCGAAGGAAGAGTCACCTCGTATATCTCCCTTGGCACCCGGCGGCGCCTGAGCCTGCATCATCTCCTTCCACAAGTCGCTCGCGTTCTTACCCTTCAGATTAGATATGTCGAACTCGAAGATCGAGGACAAGCGCCGGTTGCTCTTTGCCGGGCGCACGACCGCCTGCGTCATCTCCTCTTTCTGCTTCTGTGCCTCTGAGGGGAAGTGCAGGCTGATGAGCTTCTCGAGTCGCCGCTCGAGCCGCGTGCGCTCGATCCGGCCGACTTCGCGGGCGACCTTGCGGACTTCCAAGAAGTCATCCGTGCGCGGGCGGTACACGCCTTTCGGTTGAAAACCAGGTCGATAGGGCGCCGACGACCGCGCGGAGGCACGGGTCTTCGCGATGGTCACAGATGTGGGTGGAGCGGGGGAGGGCGTTTGGCCAGGAGAAGGGGTCGGTATTGGCGGAAGCGGTGCACCACGTGGTTTCGGAGACGGCATCAGCGAAGAGCTGCGTGGTGGGGGAATGACATGGTTAGGGGAAGGCGCGAAGATGGATGGATGCGGCTGATTGGAGTGCGACGAAGGAGGTTGGGACGAAGATGGCTGGTCGGGCTCGAGCGAGGGTATCGAGGGCAGCGCCCTTTCGTGCGGTCCGACTGTAGGTGAGGCGACGGTTGAGGAGATACGGCTGGAGGACTGGCTAGGGATCGGTTGGTCCAGTTGGCGAGAAACGGTGGAGGCCGTGGAGGCCGTGCGAGAGTGTGCATCCGTGGGACGCAAGGGCGAGGACGTGAGAGGCATGCGTGTGGTGGCAGCGCGCAGCGGGACGTGGCGGAACGTCGATGTCTTCCTCGCCGTAGACAGTGATTTATCCGACGATGCAGCTGAGGATGAAGAAGGCCCGGCGACAGGTGAAGATACGTGTGCAACTCTCTTTCCGTTCGTGGAGCGGGATATCGCCGGTGTAGATGGTGAAGGAATAACTCTTGGTGGAACAGAGTAATCAGACTGCTGTGGTGACGATGGAGCCTCAGATGGAGAAGTCTGGCCAGACGAAGTCGCTGAGCCATTCGCGGGGAAAGAGAGACGGCGGCCGTGCTGAGATGATACACCCGCTGACGAGGCGGGTCTCACAATCACCGACGGGTCAATAGGCATGCCATACCAGCGCTTCTCGAGCGGCGACGAGCCGTCCCCCTGCTGGGACACGACGGATCCACTCCTTGAATGACCATTGACAACGAGAGCCTGGGGTCGCAGCTGAGGGGCAGCGGATTGCGGGTTGGACGAGTTGTGCCTAGAATGTCTCTTTGACTGATCGCCGTAGTGGTAAGCTCGATATTACAAACAAGGGCAACAAAACGCACCTTGTATGCCTGGTAGGGAACATAGGGCGAAGAGTCCATGGTGCGTGGTATCTGGGGAAGCGCGTATGCTCACAAGTTCATGCTTCGACTGGCGGAGTCAGCGAAGATTCAAGCACAGCCCGTCGCTGTTGTGGAGAATCCGCTTCTCACGTTGCATAACATGAAAGACGGAAGACAGACAGATATGTGGGCGCTCACCGTCAAAGAAGTCGTGAAGGGAAAGCCGCGCCGGCGAAGGAGACTCACGCGCAGTCGGTGGCAGACGCGCTCATACCTCGGCCAGGCCCCGAGGACAAGTGCTTCTCCCTTCGCTCGCCATGTCCGCACCCACTGGCATCGTAGTATCCCAGGAGCTCTCTTCTGCATTCTCGGATGCTGTAGATTCGAATAACACAAGATTCCTCAAGATTTCAATCCGAAATGGTCTCTGATCGTCTCCGTTTTGTGCGCTTGTCTTTGCAGCTCATATCCTCGCCGTGCCACCAGAATCTCTCGTTCCGGAAGGCTCTTTCCCACCCTCTGGAACACTGGACGAAGATCTGGATAAGCTAGAGGCCATCTTGGAGGATGACGTTCCCGCGTATGTTCTCGTTAGGTTGGGCGACCAGCCCACCGAGTGGTTGGTAGTAAACTATGTCCCCGATTCTGCGAAGGTCCGAGACAAAGTATGTATTTAGTGTGTGCCTCATTTATACGCTACGACAGTCATTCCGAATATGTTTTCCAGATGTTGTATGCTGCGACGAGGATCACCTTGACCAAGTCTCTCGGGTCGGCCCACTTCACGGACAGTCTCTTCGCCACCAGCAAGGGCGACTTATCTGCAGATGCGTACGTGAAACATAGACTCCACTTAGCTGCTCCCAAACCTATGAGCGATCGTGAGAAGGAGATGGCTGAGGTCAAGGCCGCCGAGCGTCAAAGCGGCGGCGCTTACAACGGAAGTAGAGCAAGGCAGAATCACGTAGGGACCGGCGTCGGCCTGAAGTGGACAGAGGACGTCGAGAATGTTATCAAAGAACTGGGCTCAGGAGAGGGAGCAGCCCTGGCTCTTCTTGTGAGAGTTCATGTTAACGACTCAAGAAGCTAGGACTGATCGTATCTTGTAGAGCATTGACCCGCCTTCGGAGACGTTGGTTCTGTCTTCCCTGACAGAGTGCGCCGTCGACGGCCTGAGTGCTGCGCTGCCGACGTCCGGACCTTGTAGGTGTTTCTCGTCCTAGCCGTACCCGCACTTACAGATATGTGCTCAGCTTTTGCATTCTTCGCGTGGCCGCAAAGTATCACCTCACCTCCCCGCCGAGAGATCGGTGTGTGATCTGCGCGTTATGTTATGACCGAGTAACGCATATTCTAACCTTTGTGCGCTCAGTATTCATCTACTGCTGTCCTTCTTCCTCTCCTATCAAGCACCGGATGCTCTACTCCTCAGGCTCTTCTTCAGTCTTCCAATCTGCCAAGGACATTCTCTCATCCACAGGCACGTCTTCCGTACTGGCGTCTCGCAAGGTTGAGACGTCAGATCCGCACGAATTGACCGAGAATCACCTGGCGTCTGAGCTGGGGTTAACGAGCGCACCTGCCGGAGGGAGTTCGCTCACAGAAGAAGCGGAGAAGAAGCCATTTGCCAGGCCCCGAGGCCCTGCGCGGAAGCGATGACCGTCGGACCTTCGGCGGTGTACGTCTGACTCACAAATGTACTATAGAAGTTTGTAGGCGCGGACGATGTAAACGTTACACTTACATAAGTAGGCACTGGAAGAACGTGGGAGACGGAGTGCTAGATACAGAGAGGCGTGCGCCGCGTGTCTGCGTGTAGTACTTGAACTGATCGCCAAGTTTAAGCCGGCACCATCACATGAACGGCAGCGCTACCTACATAAACCTCAGCAGATTAGGATGCACTCCCTCCAACTTCTCTGTCAGCCCTCTCCGCGACTGAAACATGCTCGCGACGCGATGCGGATGTGCGGCGCAGTTCGCTCCGGCGCGATGCTCACTGCGTGTCACCGCCGGCGTCGTCGTCCAGCTGAGGGTCAGACACTACAGCACTCCTACTGACATCCCGGTGCCAAACAAAACAAAGGTATGGGACTCCGTCGATGACGCAGTCAAGGACGTCAAGTCCGGGGACGTGCTTCTCGCTGGGGGTGAGCCGCGCACTCCTTCCGTTGTTCTGACGGTGACTGACTGCGAGTTCTCTAGGTTTTGGATTGTGTGGGACACCAGGTCTGGCATGGTAGCATTGCCGTGCGGTGGTAATTCCACTGACTGTGCATGATGTATGTCAGATACCCTGATCGCGGCGTTGGCAAAACGGGGAGAGATCAGGGACCTCACTGCGGTGTCAAATAATGCTGGGTCAGGAGAACTTGGTCTTGGTATGCTAACATGCTCTGCGCTAACCCATATGCACTGATATTTACTGCAGGGAAACTTCTTCACAGTGGCCAAGTTGGCAAGATGATGGCGTCGTATATCGGAGGGTAAGCACTCGCATACACTCAACTCAATAATTCTCAGCGAAACACGACAGAAATAAGTACTTCGAGAACCTATACCTCACAGGACACATCTCCCTCGAGCTGATTCCTCAAGGTACGCTCGTAGGTCGCATGAATGCCCACGCTGCGGGTATCCCCGCGTTCTACACGCCCACCGGCGCGTCGACGGCCATCGAGCACGGGTCTATTCCCGTCCGATATAAAGAGGGTGGCATGTCAGCGGGCGTCGCGATCCCAGGCAACAAGAAGGAGGCGCGCGAGTTCAACGGCAAGCGATACGTGCTCGAGCCTGCGATTGCCGGGGACGTCGCTTTCATTCGGGCGTGGAAAGTGGACGAGATTGGCAACTGTGTCTTCAGGTATGTCCTGCCTGCCGTGGTGTGCGCGAGAGTTTCTGATTGCTCTGTCCTGCAGATATACTGCGAATAACTTCTCGGCAACGATGGCACGCAATGCGAAGCTAACCATTGTCGAGGCAAGCTGGCCTTGTATTTGCGGTTTCACAGGAACTGACGTTTGATAGCTAGGCTGAGAACATCGTGCCCGTAGGTTCACTTTCGCCGAACGCGATTCACGTGCCAGCAATCTACATCAACCGTATTGTCAAGTCCACCGAGCCGAAGGCGATCGAGATTACGACCTTGGCTTCAGACCACTCCTCGGAAGAAGACTTGTCGTCGCTGACGCCAGAAAAGAAGGCAGCGAAAGAGCAAAGGCACCGAATTGCGATGCGCGCGGCGCAAGAGATCAAGGATGGTTTTCACGTCAACCTAGGTATTGGCATGCCCACGCTCGTGCCGGAGGTGCGTCGCTCATGGCCGAACGACGGAATCTGTTTATAAAGTGGAGTTGCTAGTTCCTCCCGCCTGGCGTGCGCGTCTGGCTACAGAGCGAGAATGGTATCCTGGGCATGGGCCCATATCCGACGAAAACGCAGCTTGACGCGTACGTTCGCTGATGTGAAGTCAAAAGACAAGCTGACAATATCCGCAAAGCGACATTATAAACGCCGGCAAAGAAACTGTAACTCTTTTGCCCGGTGCATCCGTATTTGGTACGCCTGCGAGTTTCCGATGTACTGCATATACCGGGCGCTTGACAAACGCGATCTACAGATTCAAATGAATCGTTTTCAATGATTCGTGGCGGTCACATTGACGTCGCCATCCTCGGAGTGAGTCGGGCAGATCTCAGAGGAAGCGCACGATCTAATTGAATATCCCATTCAGGCAATGCAAGTGTCGCAAGCGGGGGACATTGCCAACTTCATGATCCCGGGGAAGATGGTGAAGGGAATCGGCGGCGCGATGGACCTGGTATCGAATCCGGACAAGACGAAGGTGATCGCGGTCATGGAGCACACCGCGAGGGATGGCAGCCCGAAGATTCTGGCGGAGTGTGCGCTGCCGCTAACGGGCGCGCGGACGGTGAGCCAGATCATCACGGAGCTGGCGGTGTTCGATGTGGATAGGCATGCGGGAGAGCTGCATCTGACCGAGCTGGCGGAGGGCGTGTCACTGCAGGAGGTGAAGGCGAAGACAGGCTGTGAGTTCAAGGTCGCACCCCATCTACTGTAGGCGCGGCGGCTGTGTATATCGCTGCAATACATTACATTTATTCTCGCCGTTGCTGCCGCGGAGCGTTGGAATAACGATAAGAAAGTACAGGTGACCTGGTGGATGGTGGTTGCTGTCGATCGCTGTGTCGGAGTAGTCAACGTGCTCTGCAGGTCTTACTTGTTCATGCAGAATCCTCAAACACTTCCAGCAATTGAATGTGCGATGAAACACACCAATGGTACTATGTCCTGAAAACGGGCGAAACTGATACGTTGAGTTATACACTAAATGTACGGAAACTGTAGGCGGGTCGAAGACACCAGTCCCACGGACGACGCAGAAACCCACGGTGGGAGAGACGCGATCACGCGTGTCAGCCCACCGTGCGATTGAGATAGCTGCGTCTGCGATGCCAAGAAGGCGGGAAGGCGCGCAGCAGATGCGCGTGCCCCCCGAACTCGGCGGGCGAGAATACGGTACTGGGAACGCGAGCGATGTGGGGACGGGAGGGACTAGAGAATCGCGGCGAGCGACGGTGTTAGTGGGAGTGACATGTAAAGATGTCGAGCTTGATCCATGAACACCGGCTACAGCTGCAGCGGTGGTTGCGATGTGACCGGTCTCATCTGCACTGCCGCCGATCGCAGTCGGTGTGGAGGGCGAGGTGCTTTTGTGCGCGACGTACACGCCGAGGCAGATGGCGCCGATGATGACCTAGGGCAGGGTTTACCATGCACGGAGACGAGGAGCGGGAGACATACCACAAGCAGGATCATACCCATAATGAAGACCCACCGAGACATGCGAGAAGAACCAGTCACGGTCTTCTTTAACCACGCACTGATGCGAGACATTGAGCGGGAGGTGGAAGAGTAAGGTGAGCGGAAACGGGGGGGGGCATACCTTTGCTTCTGGGCCTACGGTTTCCGGTTGTCCTCCTTGGCAATCATGCTGAACCGTCTCCAGAATTCTTCGCCCTGGCGAGCGCCGCGCCTGGGGAGGAGAGTCTCTTCCCCATTGCCACGGAGGATGGCCCGGGGCTGGACTTCGGCGAACTTGACGTCGCGGGTAGCGGGAGCGTTGGAAGGATGGATGAAGGCGGGTTTGACGGGCGTCATGGGTGGCTGAAGCGGATGGGGAGTGCTGGGTATGCTGGGGGTGCCCTGACGGGCGACGAGGCGAGGGGCTTGGGGAACTGGAGCTGGGACATCTCCGGGGAGGATGTCTGGCGACCGTCTGGGACGGCAACGCGACTGGGCTGAGCGAGGCCGAGGGCGGCTATGGGCGCAGCATATCCGGCTTGGGTGAGGCGAGCGGGATGGGCTGCTGCTGGGGCTGCATCTGCATTCTGGGGCCTTTATACTCCATGCTGTCGTCAAACAGGTTCTGTCCGCTTACTCCGGGGCACGTTTAGCGGTTGAAAGAAACTGTTTTGTCCATTAAGTGACCACAGTCGAATGTCAAAATTCAGGCCACCGTTTGACAATTCCACAAAGGCGAGGCCAATACGGTCTCTAGAGCGAGGAAGACGAGCGATAGAATCTAGAGAGCTTGGGAAGCTGCATACAATGCGATGAGTTCGATATGATTGGCAGTAAGAAGTAGCGTAGTATACGCATAGAGCGTCCCAACAAAACGCAGTAACACGATAGCGACTTTCGACGAAAATGATTAGGGAAGCATAAAGTAGGGGACCCACAATTATTAGCGAGCGATTATTGTACCTGCAATCTACACCAGACATTCTAAGGCTCAATCTGCCCCTGCTTCATGGCCGCGATCTTCGCCGTCTCGACGTACTCCTGTATCGACTGGACAAGCGATAACGTCGGCTGGAGTGTGACGGATACCTTGCCGTACATAGTCTCTTGCTGGACACGTACCGCTTCCCGAATGCTCTGCGTGAAATCATCCAAGGTATTCTTGACATCGTTGCGGATCGGTTGAACCATATCTTCGGACACCCGCTCCACTAGTTCCTCGAAAACGAACTGAGGGAACATGGTTGGAGTAGGGGAGGAGCGCGCCTCCTCCAGCCTGGCAAAGCTCTTACGGAGCCTGGCTAACTCTGCATCCAGCGCGTCCTGGTCTTTTTGCAACCTTGCGCCGTTCTGCTGTACCTGTATGCAACAACCACCTTCACCGACGTGAAACAGCAGGGCTGGGTGCAACATACCTCAGCAAGCTCCATTTTTAGAAATTCCCTCTCCGCCCTGAGACCGAAATGTTCGTGCCAACCCTGCGCATCGCGTACCTTGAGCTCATGAATATCGTCCCGAGCGCTTTTCATCTGGCTCTCGAAGACTTCGAGTTTGTCAGAGAGCTCTTTAACGCATTGTTCGGGACCGGTTGTAGGTGGGGTGGGCCGGACTTCTCCATCCTCAATGGGCGAAGGGGCAGCTGGTCGACCACGTTCTATGCTCCCCTCAGCGTCTACCTGAAGACCAGAGTTTTCCTTGTTGAACTGCTCGTGCAGCTTGGGCAGACAGCTTGCATGCAGTTCTTGCAGGTCGCTCTCCAGCTCCTCCAACCTCACCTCTACCGCCGCCATTCGCTCCGCAGATGCAGCAAAGGTCTCAGAGACTGCTGGCTGGTCGCGGACATCAGCTACAGGTGACAGGTTGCACTTGTGTTTGTTGCCCGCAGATGATTCAGCTTCGGCCTGAAGCTGCTGAACGACTGGTCGGATGAAATCCAGCCAGACCCGAACTTCCTCAGCGTACGTCTTGAAGTCCTCGGCCCCCACTGAGATGTCATCGGCCGAAGATGGGGGAACGAGTGGATATGCTGCCAGGATGTTCTGTTTCTTTAGGAGCTGCTTCTCCACCTCCCGGAGCTGTTGATCATTGTGCTTGCGCATCCCCTCGAGCCGCTGAATCGCCCTCTCACCTGCACTCACAAACTGCCGCGATCTCTGTAATTTCCGGATACGGTTGCGCTCTTCCTCCAAGCTGCACTGCTTCTGCATGTAGTGCACTGTTTGGGCAACAGTTCTGTATAATGCCTAATGAATGCTGAGCTTGTGGACGAAGTATGAGATACCTACTCCAGGAATTTCTCCCGTGAAGTGCGACCACTGGCAGACGAATCAGTAGTCGACGGAGTTGGCGACGGTGGACGCGCACTGCCACCTCCGATATCCTCAGAAGGATGTTCGGTCCCAGAGGCGCAAGTAGGCGAGATCAATGCAGCGAATGGAGACACCAACGTATCTGACGCAGAGGCAGGTGCCGCCGTCTTGCTGTACCCTCGGCTAGCGCCCCAAATATCCGACGCAGAAACGGGTGTTGGTTCGCTGTACCCTGTGCTAGTACCCCAAGAATCTACTGCAGCAGGCTTGCTGTGCCCCTCGCCAGCGCCGCCCCAGGATTCAGCGTCGCGTGGAGAGTCAGTACTGAGCGAGCCCGCACCAGATGGAACGTTATTACTCTTCCCTTTTGCAGAGGGATTGGCGTGCGCGACAGTTGACCCGTTCGTGTCAGGGCCTGTGTCACCCCTGCTTCCTCCACCTTCATTCACGTTTGGATCTACCCAGCCGGTACTTTTAGCTCCCCAGTCAGCGTTGGGACTTCCCCAGCCTGCATTAGGGGCACCCCAGTCTGCATTAGAGGCACCCCAGTCTGCATTAGAGGCACCCCAGTCTGCATTAGAGGCGCCCCAGTCTGCATTGGCGTTACCCTGACCAGTATTAGAGCTACCCCAATCGGGCTCAGGCTCCTTGCGGCTGCTGGAAAATGAAGAGGTGTTGTTGTTGTCCGGGGTAAGGAAGCTCTTGGGCGTGATGGAGGAGCTGTTCGCGCCAGTGGTGAAGCTCGACGCGGAGCCAAAGCTCGGGCCCCATTCACTGCCCGTGTTGGCTCTGCTCAAACCGCGCCCGCGCCCGCGTGCTCCGCCACGTTCACCTCTGTGCTGGTCCTGTGTCAGAGACGGGAGTAAGATAACGAGGAGAATGGCAGCAGTGAGTGATAAGATAGGTGGCTCGAGTATACGGACGAAACAAACCAGTTGGTGTCGCGAAGGTGTAGCCGAGGCCCACTGGGGATCGCTAGGGTGCACAAAATTGCACCCTCGGCCCTGTCTGCGGCAACCGTCCTGATGGGGGTTCCCATTTTCGTCGTACCACTAAGTGACGGATGAGCGGATCCCAGACGTTGGAGGATGAGTGGGCTTACCATGCAACGGATATGCATGGCAGTTGAATTTGTCGCGCAAAGGGCAAGGCGAAAAAGTGGCTCGAGGAGGTTCGCGAGACTTTGTGTATGGCAGTGGAGTCGCTGAAAGTGCAGGAAGCTTCTCGCGAGTCGATCGCGGACGGAGAGATCAGTTTGTGCACCGTCAGGGTCGCCGGGGTGCCGCGGGAGTCAGAGCTGGAGAGCTGAGACACGAGGGGATCGTCGTGGAGGATGGTGGAGTAGGCGAGGAGCAACACGTTCTGTCCAAGAGACGGTCAGGATCTGCAATTGCGTTTCTGCGCATGCAGTCGCCGATTATAGGATTTGATTTCGACTTCGGCGATCACATGCACACTACAAATTCTGAAAAGTCCGGTGTATTGCAGCACTAGATATTCTACACTACCAATCCTCGAAGTATCGTAAGCAGATCAGAGAGCGTAACCGTAAAGCCGTGCTGGGTCCTTGTCCCAGGGAGTCGTGTCGTCAGTAAGGCGGATACAAGGTGTGGGGTGTCGCGTGGGTAAGCAAGAGGGCAAGGACGAGCACCAAAGGAAACAGCGGGAGCAGTAGGCGTAGATAGATGGCCGCATGCCGAAACGAACGGAAGTTACATAGAGCAAAATAGAATGAAGGTAATAAAAGCGAGAGGATAGCTTCCCGAAACGATCAAGGCATCATTGGCGTCGCACACTCGTCAAATCGTCGAAGAAAAACTCAACATCGGGGACGCATCACCATCCACCCCACCATGCATTTGGCTGTCGCCGTCCAGGGCGCACAACCGTCACCGTCTGGTGCTCTTCCACTTCTGGCTCAAGCTCGGGTTCCTCCTCAATGACAACCTCAACAGCGGTGGTTCGTGGACTGTGGGTAGTGGAAGACGAGGACGAGACCAGGACAGGAGTGGGTGAAGCCGCGCGGCGGGTATTCGCAGGTGGGGGAACAGTGACCGTTTCAGCAGGGGGCTGGTGTGTGTGGTGATGAGTATGTGTGATGGTCTTCGTTTCGGTTGCTATCTCGAGGGCCGTCTCGGTGAGAATCAGAGGGGGAGGAAGGGCTTGAAAGGGAAGGGGGGCCTGTCACAAAGAAATAATTCATGGTCAGCACACGCATTGGAAACGAGGATGGGAGTGTAAACTGAAAACCGGTCTGCACGCGAGCCTATCCACGATCGGGTAGTCGTCACGCTCAGTGACTATATGCACAACGTATGTCACGTGTACGCGTTTGTTTCCGCCACGCGTCGAACGCGCCGATCGATGGTTGGAAGGCAAGACACACAGACTGGGCATCAGTGTACGACAGAGGACAAGGGGGACAAAGATAGAAACACCGTGGTCCCCCAAGCCCAGCGACGAAGGGAGGGGAGGGGCTGACGGAGGAAACGAACTGTACATAATAACGAAGTGAGAATGAATAAACGACGGCATGGGGTCCCCCTTCGTCTCAGAGCTCGGAGCGGCGCTGGATAGGCGGGGGTGGCGGTACCTTGGATTTCCATCTCGCGCCTGCCGGTTCGTATATGACCTCTTCTTCGACAGTAGGATCCTCGTTGTTCAAGGCGCTAGAAACGCGACAGATCAGTGAACGTATTCGCGACGCAGTCCCGGTGTAACACTTACACAAGCTGCTCCATAATCCACCCTTCGCGCCGCGACGCGTCGTGCTCGCGTCGGTTGACTGCCTCTTCACGCCTGCTGATCTCGCGCTCGCGCTCGGCAATTTTGAGCTCGCGATCAAGGATATCCTCCGCACGAACGCGGGCCTGGTCCCACCACCCGGGCGGGGTAAGCGACTCCTCCTTCACGACTTCCTTAATGACAGTCTGAGCGGGAGGAGGAGCCTCGGTGATCTTTTCAACGACGGTAGGGCAAGGCGGGCAAACCGCCTGGGACGGCAGAACACCTCCGGGAGCACCAGCGAGAAGCTCAGCTTCACGACGAGCAACCTCAGCTTCGCGCATGGCGACATTGCTTTCACGAGCAATGAGCGCTTGCGAGCGTTTTGGTGTGAGGAGACCTAGGATGCCTTGGCTCTGGGGATCACCCGGGTTGCCGGTGGGCACTGCACCCTCCCTACTGGAGGGTAATGAGAGCATGATGGCGAGTACGGCGAGGACGAGTGAGAGGACGAGAAGGAGGGTGGTCGAAGAAATTGTACGGTGGTGGTGGTGTCGAGAGGAACGCTCACTGCGCTCTCTCTCGCGCTCCCTGTGCGACGACGAGGGCTGTGCCATCCTGACGCTAACGGAGTTCGAGGGCGACAAGGAGGAAGTAGCGGCTCTGAATGTGGACGTTATGGCGAACGACGGAACGGCAGAACGAGGGGGTAACGCGATTTCGTGAAGGAGGAGACAAAGCGGGAGTCGTTAGATGGTACACGGGAGACAATGGGGAAGGAGGAGGGGAAAGGCGGAAGTTGATGCTGCTCGCTCAATGTTCATTTTTCAACATCTGCTTGTCCAGATTAGGCAGTCATCATGCACAAATAACCATAAATTAACCCCGACACGTGTCCGGATCACCCTGATAGTGTCACGTTGTCCCTGTCACCCCCGAATAAAACAATTGAGCCTCCTCATATGCAGCCTCTTCATTGGTCAGAAGCCCCACTCTTCCATGCGGTCTTTCTGTCGGACCACGACTCCAGGCAATTTTTTGCCCAGAAGAGCTCAGAGTTTGGATCTCACTCTCGGTGACCGGTGACACGTCACACACTGAAACTGTCACTCCACGTGGTCACACGTGTCACCAACGCGCTTGATACAGGTCACGTTCGCGATTGGCAGTCAAAGCCGCACGCCGCTCAGGTTTGCGCGTCGCCTCTGTCCATTTCGCCATCATGTCTCTCCGCCGACTCGCCCAGCATAACGTTACTGGGGTTCCAGTCACGCCGCGTACATCCAGCTCGGCCTCGTCGTCTGGTGCGGCGTCCCCGGTGCCTTCTACTCCCGTCCGCCCGCCGTCCACACCTCGCACACGCCTCGTGTACCCCATCTCTCCAGTCTCCTCCCCGTCTTTGTCTGCGTCAGTTGCCTTTGACTGGGATGCGGTACGTTTGCGTCGAACTCCGCCGTACGCTACTCCTCAGCGTGTAAAGGCGCTCCGTAAAAGCGATGTGGGCACGCCTGGGTCGACAAAAGCCACGCCGAGTAAACGAGTAGTGCGGAAAAAAGGATTTGTCGAGCGGTATGCTATTTTCATTCACCCAAGTTGCGTATTGTTCCAAATTGATTCAGGTAACGTCTACTTTACAGAATCACCTCCCTTCCATCGAGGATCGCGTTTGAAATCGCCCTCTTCCCGCACAATGTCCCACTGCCCGCTCCCAAGACCTCAGCATATCTGCTTGGTGGTTTTGCCCACTTCATGCATCTTTGCATATGCGTCTCCCAGATTCGCCGCGTCCCTGATTCGGACCTCGGCTGGGAGGATATGTACCGCGAGGGCGAGGGGGATTCATGGTTTGACTGGGTGCGCACTTCCCATTGATTCGATCCCCGAGCTTCGCTGATTTAATCCACGCTTTTACCTGTCTCTATTGCAGACCGTGCCCACAACCGCTCTTCTCTTCGCTGTCGCGATCCTCAATACAATGTACCTTTTCACACGTACGCGGCTGTATCAGCTCAACCTCGCGACCGAGCCTGTCTCTTCCCCGCATGCTACATTCGTAGAACGGCCTCGCGTTGTGCGGGCACACGACGATGACGACGATGACTTCGGCCCTGCGAAACCAACTTCCGCGCGCTTCATGTCTTTCTTCTCCTCGGCATTCTGGAGTCTCTGGCGTGCCTTCGTTATATCCGTCCGTTTCTTGCTAAATTTCAGTCCATCGACGGACCGCACGCCTGCTAGGAGACGAAGGGCGGAACGCCTGCAGCAGCTGGAGGTCTGGGCGCCCGGTGAGCTCGAGAACGTCCTTTTTGCGATATATTCTCCAGTGCATGCGCTACTGTGGACGGCGGTGTCCAGTGCAAATTGGATGCGAATGCTTATCGTAATGGCCGTGGTCAGCGCACAGGTACGCTGGTCTACGTTATTTCTTGAATACGGGATTGACGTGTTGTATTCAGCTGCGTGCGGTGACATATTCGTACGAAGCACTCCTCAAGGACCGCACAATTATCGCTGCGGAAGTACTCCATGAGTATGACGAAAAGGTGTGTCAAATTGTCCTATCTGGCGAACATTTTGCTGATGATGTTAAATTGCTAGTTTGTGTTCCCTCGTGTGAACCCCGTTCGTAAAGATGCAGCGGTGATGACACACCAGGCAGAGATGGTTGATTTTGAGTAGATGGTTCGATGTGCCGTCGGTTTGGACTTTCGTTCCTGCATTTCGTTGGCTATGTCGCTATGATCAGACAATCCGTCATCTCACTGCATGCTTTGGAAGTCTCATTTGTACAATTACCACGTGGAACTATATCATATCGTCTAACCCGGAACTTGACGAGAGTTTGTGTCGTCTGCAGGCATCTGAACTTGGGAAAGTGATAACCGGCAGATCCTGGGACGTATGCAGAAACGCGACTCGCGTCGGGACACGTGCTGACTGACTTGGGCGCTAATCCATTAGTTCCCTCTTCTGCTGTTCACAATCCACTTCGCCCTTCTGGCGGCACCTCCTTCCCCTCACACGCCCTGCTTCCCAGTGGCGATCAGGTCACGCTGGACTCCTGTATTTTCCGAGTTCTTCCCCTGCAGCGTCAGCATAGTCCACGTTCCAACTTGCCTTGGATGGACCACGACGATCACGAAGCAGTACTGGACCTTTCCGATGTCGTACACGACGAACCTCTGGGTGAGGAAGACGAGACTCACCTCGCTGATACACAGCTACACCCCTTCTCCGCCCATCCCATTCTGGATCCTGGTTTCAACGTGCTGCACGGCGCCGCGTCGGACGCACCGGATTCGCACTTTTCTGTCCCCGGAATGGGCATGCCGTCGTTCTCGGTCGAACAGCTCGAGCGCGAGATCGCAACCTTGCTTCACCAAAACGCGTCCGCGGCGTCGGTGGCTCTGCTCAATGCGGCCCAGCAGAAGCAGGCGGAGGAGCACACACACGACGTGGCGGGTGATGTAGGCCTCGCAGAGGGCCTTGGTGGGGTCCTAAGCCTGAACCTGAACGGTCTCGCAGCGGTGCTGCAGGCGGCGCAAGCCCAGGCAGCGGAGAACGAGCGCGTGGCGGAAGCGCTCGCCGCGGAGCACCCCGAGCTCGCACGTCGAAGAGAGGAGGAAGAGCAGGAGAAGAAGACCACCCGCAGTGCGCCCGCGTTTCACTCGCTTACTGCTGACCACAGTACACCACTGCTCTCGGGGAGCGGGAACGTCAGCGGGGCCGAGGGCTCGGAGTTTCTGTATGATGACGAAGGCGAGAGTGAGGGCGATGACCTGCAGATGCAAGGCTCGTCCATGTCCCGCGTGAGGTCGCCATCCGTACCAACTGGAGAACCCTCTCCCGGCCCAGCGGACTTCTCTGATATCACGGACATACTCAATCATTTCACGCAATTTGGTGGCGAACCAGAAGACACGCAACCGTTGCCCTCGGAAACACCGCCTCCACTATTTCGCTACGATACTCTCCCATCTGAGGACAATTGTGAGCCTGACGTCCCTTACGATCAGCTAGAGCCCGACACTCCAGTAGCCTCCACATCGTCCCGACCCCGTTCGGCAAGCGAGACCAATGGGTCCCATGGGACGAGTGTTATAAAACGGGGCGAGCGAGGCGAACAGGTCTGACGGGCCCAACGCCTCGAAGGGGAGAAGGGGAAGAAGAGCCCAGAGAAGAATGACAAGGGCGACAAATCCGCGCAGGATCACTATTGCGAGCAGTGCGACAAGACGTTCACCCGCAGAAGCGACTTGGGTCGGCACATGCGCATTCATACAGGCGAGCGCCCATTTACCTGCGAGGTTGAAGGATGCGGGAAGACCTTCATTCAGGTGAGGCTGCGCGTTTCTACGCTGTCAGTAAGTTTAAATATGCAACTGATCATTCATCCGGTTCGTGTGTGTACAGCGTTCTGCGCTACATGTTCACATGCGGGTTCATACGGGAGAGAAACCTCATACCTGCGAATACCCTGGTTGTGGGAAGACTTTCGGCGACTCGAGTAGTCTCGCGAGACATCGCCGGACGCATACTGGGAAGCGGCCATACAAGTGCGAAGATCCAGTGTGCGATAAGACGTTTACCCGACGCACTACGTTAACCGCACACATGAGAACACACGATCCAACATGGGAGCCAGATCCAAATATGTGCGTGTGTTACCTTTTTCTGTGCCGCCCAATAAATAGACGCTGATTGGTTTACAGAAAATACAACTTCAAGGCGAAGAAGCCCAAGCTGGACAGCGGTGACGACGAGCAGGAGCTGGAAGAGTCGGTGCGGACAATCTCTGCGTTGTTTGGCCAAAGCGATATGAACGGGATCACGCCTCATTCGCTACAGTTACGGCCAAGGGACAACGGCGTAGACCCTCAGGTGGCGGCGAGCATCAGCGCCGAGCTTGCTGCTGCATTGGCCAAGGCGCAAAGCCGAATATATATTCGAGGACGAGGAAGACGACGGAGAGGAATCCAGAGAGGAGACAGCTGTCGGCCTAAAATATCAGTGGGATTAGGGAGGATGATACGTCGCCTACGGATGGTCCCGATGAAGGAACTTCTGTATCCAGACGATCATGGGCAGGTAGGGGGTTCAAACGCACATTCATCGCTGGTGGAATAGGCCGGGACAAGATGAATGCGCCGAGGAGTTCTCCGTTCCGCTGCGGGCGCGGAGAGGCAAGGAAGCCGGTGAAAGGTGCGACTGGGCTAAAGAGGAAGCGATGACTGATTGCGGGCTGGTACTGTATGACGCTTGTAATGTCAATGCACATCATTGTTAATTTCTTCTGGAACTAGATGGGTCTCTGTCGGATGCTTGGGTGATGCTGCTCACCAAGACGTACGTGATATTGTCTATCTCACTGGTCCTTGTTCGCGTAGTACCAGCTCATTTTGCGCAATTAATCTCAGCTGCAGCGGAAACGGAGACGGAGGTGACACGGTCACGCATATGGTCACATGATCTTCCATCAAGATTACGAAGTCCCAGATGGGACAAGTTCTCCTCACCATATTCCAGGCGTTCAGTCCGAAAAGCTCCGGATACAGTCGCTCTCCCGACTTATAAGCTGGTGCAGGACTTCCCAGCCATCTTCGTTTCCTCGTCTTCCTTTTATCTGCTCAGCAATGTTCGGAGAAGCACCGCCAAGCGCTGATATCATCACCCTTACGCGGTATGTCCAACAGACTTTTATGTTTCAGTCAAAAAATTGACGTGCGTATTCAGCCATGTCTTGAACGACCAGTTCAGCTTGGGTGCGACAGCAACCGGTGATTTAACCCTCCTTCTCAACGCTATCCAAACCACCTCCAAATTTATCGCCACGAACGTCCGTAAAGCGCGTCTCATAAACCTGTATGTATTTCGACTCCTATGTCCTTCGCGACCGGAATATGGATGCTCACGCGCCCAGTATCGGTCTGGCTGCGAGACGAACGTGCAGGGGGAGGAGCAGAAGAAGCTTGATGTGCTCTCAAACGACATCATGGTCAACGCTCTCCGTGCTTCTGGCAAGACGGCGGTACTCGTGTCTGAGGAGCTTGACGAGGCGGTGCTCATAGACGACAGGCACAAGGGTAAGTACTGTGTCGTCTTTGACCCGCTGGACGGTAGCAGCAACATCGATGCTGGTGTGAACATCGGTACCATCTTCGGGATATATCATATTGTGAGTCCGGTCGGTTCCCGGCTGGGCCTCAGGGGGCCCCGCATCCGCTATGTGAGGGCGTGATACTGACGATTTGTGAAGGCGCCGGGATCGACGGGAACGGTACAGGATGTACTCAGACCTGGAAGCGACATGGTTGCGGCGGGTTACACGATGTGAGTGCGTCGCGTCTGTCTTCCGAGAGTGTTGCTGAGACCATGTGCTGTAGGTACGGATCATCGGCAAACCTGGTCCTCACTACTGGTCATGGCGTTAATGGATACACGCTCGACGCAGCCCTTGGGGAGTTCATTCTCACCCACCCCGACGTACGTTTCTTTTATCTTCTTGTTACTCCCCGTGATCCTCAATATTCTACAGATTAAGATCCCGCCGCGCGGAAGATCTATTCCTTCAACGAAGGAAATTCGATGTACTTCCACACACCCGTTATTAACTACTTGAACAGCATCAAGTTTCCCCCTGTGGGCAAGTTACCCTACAGCGCCCGGTACATTGGGTCGATGGTCGCCGATGTGCACCGTACGCTGCTGTACGGTGGGATCTTCGGGTACCCCGACGATAAGAAGTCGAAGAGCGGAAAGTTACGGCTCCTTTATGAGGCATTCCCCATGGCGTTCCTGATTGAGCAGGTATTTGCGATTCCCATCATCGTCGTGGTGTGTAGATTGCTAACGTCATGCAGGCTGGTGGGCTCGCGACTACCGGGAGGCAACGTATCCTTGACATTGTGCCCAAGAGTATCCATGAACGCTGCCCGGTGTTCCTTGGAAGCAAGGATGACGTGCAGGATGTGATAAAGTTCTTCCAGGAGGACGGGAAGGCACAGGCATAAGCGACGAAATTCGTGTAGGATACCTCGGGGATCAGCCTAACATGTATTAGTATATTGTATGGTCTGCGTACATCACCTATCAGATCGACAATGTATTCCTCTATACACCGGAGCGTCTAGTTTCGAGAGGAACCAGATAGCAGACGGATGCCGAGACGTTGGAGACGCGCTAATAAAGGACGCGTTGAGCCATGTGACTCAAAGAAATATGGGCGCTCAAGCTTCAAGTTGCGCTCAAGTTGAATAGTTCCTGCCAGTGCTGAATCCTGCACTTCAAAGCTGTGGTCGCCGACGGTGAGCGGGTGGTGGTCGACTTTGAACATGGTGTTCCCACTATGGCGAGTGCGCCCCTCGCATCTATACCTGCGTTGTAGCGGCATCCACGCTCGCCGATGCCTGTCTACACCCAGATCCACGCTCAGTCCTCCGACCGTAAATCTCTTGGGCGCGGAATATCCTACAGATACCACCACTAATGTCACGTCCTCCATCTCGTCAAAACTCGGCCGTAATCTGCACCTCCAGTCTGCGCACCCGCTTGGCATCCTCCGACACCTCGTCGAGTCCCATTTCCACGACTTCACAGCTTTCTCGCAGTTCTCTCCGCTCGTCACCCCGGCAAAGAACTTCGACGACCTCGGCTTCCCGCTCGACCACCCTGGGCGCTCTCTGACGGATAGCTACTATGTCAACCGTGACCTGATGCTTCGCACGCACACGTCCGCGCACGAGGTGGAGGTCTTCGCGCAGGGCGTGCGCGCGTGGTTACTCTCCGCCGACGTGTATCGCCGTGATGAGATCGACGCGTCGCACTACCCCGTTTTCCACCAGATGGAGGGCGCGCGCGTTTTCTCAGGAAACGCGAACAGCATGCGGGACCTGGAGGAGGAGAACGAGAACCTCTCCGCGCACCTCGCGCAGAAGAACATTGTCATCGAGGACGTCCCCCATGTCTCGGAGACGAACCCTCCACAAGCCGGGCACGACCCACGACATTCGGAGCTCGTCGCGCGCAACCTGAAGCTGTCTCTGAACAGTCTTATACTCGCGCTCTTCGGCGGACGCGTCGGTGCGAGCGAGGCGAACCCGCTGCGCGTGCGCTGGATCGAGGCTTACTTCCCGTTCACGTCTCCGAGCTTCGAGGTTGAGGTGTTCTTCCATGGCAAGTGGCTCGAGATCCTTGGTTGTGGTGTGGTCCAGCAGAGGACCCTTATCTCTGCAAGTGTGTGTGCCCGTCGTGACACTCCAAAGTCTGTTTCTGACGTACCACTCACAGGCGTGCAGGACAGCATTTCTTGGGCATTCGGGCTTGGACTCGAACGCATCGCTATGATTCTCTATTCAATACCTGATATCAGGCTATTCTGGTCGCAGGACCCGCGGTTCCTCACTCAGTTTACTCCGGGCCAAATTCATCCTTTCAAGCCTTACTCGAAGTACCCGCCATGTCATAAAGACGTTGCCTTCTGGTTGCCCGACAGCGGCTTACACGAGAACGACTTCTGTGACCTCGTCCGGGATGCTGCTGGTGATCTTGTAGAGGACGTAAAATTAGTACGGCGATTCTGCTGATATTTACAGGGAAGATCTCCCGCTGACTACGAACGCTATCTCAGATCGACAAGTTCACGCATCCCAAGACCAACCGGACAAGTCAGTGCTATCGCATCAATTATAGATCTATGGATAGGTGCGCCGTGACATTCCACAGCTACCGAAAGAACCACTTACAATAAGGTGTCCGGAATCAGATCTTTGACAAACGAAGAAGCGAACGCGATACACGCTAGTGTAGAATCGCGCCTGAAAAGTAATTTTGGAGTGGAGATTCGTTAATTAGGTGTCGTTATAGGTGTATATTGTGCTCTACGGAAGCCCCCTTCACCCACTCTCGCGTCCCGGGCCAGGAAGAGGCGATCTACTCAGTCCTCCATAACAGACAGCCATACAAGCCAACAAGATTCATCATGACTGCTGCTCCTGCACCACCCCGACCTGTGCCGCGCGCAATACGCGGTCTTTGATCATGTATCCCGTCTTCTGGCAGTTAAACACGGTGCCAGGCTCTTTGTCTGGTACAGGTGTCTGGAACAGTGCTTCGTGCCGATTGGGGTCGAACTTGTCGCCTGTGGGGTCAAAAGGCTTCACACCGTACTTGAAGAGTGTCTGCATCAGTAGTCGATGTGTCATCTCCACGCCGGTGTGGAGTTCATTGAGGTATACCTCCGCCGATTTCTCCGACGGCTCGGATGAATTCGACGAGTTGGATGGTGGTGGAGACGGCGATGACGAGGAAGATGCGGATGATATGACAGATGGGGGAACGGACTTGAGAGCAATGGCGAGAACATCGACGGTCTCGAGGAGGTCGGACGCGAAGCGACTGATTGCGAAATCACGGGTCTGCTCCTTTTCTTTCGCAGCGTTGCGCTGCAGGTTGAGGAAGTCCGCTTGCAGGTAGCGTAGCCGACCCTGGCGTATTGAACTTAGCAACGGCAGCGAGAGGAGCATTCGTGCACTCTGTGAGTGGAAGAAAAGGCACTTACAGTCAGGTCCGTTACCTCTCTCTCTTTCTGCGCTAGTTTCTCTGTGAGCGCAGCCTCTGGTGATGGTGGAGCTGGCTTTTCCTCAGTCTCCTTACTCTCGCCCTCTAACCGCTTTGTTTCCTCGCCCTCCGACGCTTGAGCTTTGTCGTCTGAATAATATCGTGTGCCCATAGCCGCTCTACGACCGACGGGGACTGAGGCACGCGCAATGCTGCGTGCAGACAAAGAGCTGGAGCACGAGCGGAAAAGTTGGAAGGCCTGCATGTTTGGAAGAAATTAAAGGGGACGAGAAAGGATGAAGGGGGCGGCGAGACGACTGGAGCCGTCCGATTGCTCTGCCAGCGTAACGCGCCCAAAATTTGGGAGGTGAGCGTGGGAGACAACACGTGACTGTAGTGCACGTGCGGAGACGCTCCCCGAGAATGGCGAGTGGGAAGACAAGAACGGGAGGAAGAACAACAAAACGTCTCTCTCATGCAACGTCGGCGACCTTCGCACGCAGCCTCATATTTCACAGCGTCTGTCCTAGAGACAGGGCCAGCAAGCCCTGCTCTCTCATCCTCCGGAAAACAGCTCTGCAGCCCGCCAAACGCGGGTAAACAGCGCGTGTAACGCGGGTCCGCAATAGGCAGTCGATGGCGTTTATAATCTCCAGAGCTATCAGCCCTCGCTCTAACCTCTATTTGCGCCTTCGCTGCCGCACCATGTCGTCTGCAGCTACGGGGAACGCGAAGATCATTGACGGCACCGCCATCGCAAAGTGAGTCTATCGTTCGAGTCTTGTCTTGAAGAGTCGGCCCAATTTCTCCTCAACGGTTGTGTAGATCCATTCGCGATGATGTCTCTCAACGGATTAAATCACTGCAGTCCCAGCATCCCCGTTTCCATCCCCAGCTGGCAATCGTTCAGGCGGGAGCCCGTCCGGACTCCTCTGTGTACGTCCGCATGAAGGCGAAGGCTGCAGAGGAAGTCGGTATCAAGTTCAAGCATATCCCGCTCTCCGCCGAAGCAGACGTCGATGATGTTGTCGATGTCGTGAAGCAGCTGAACGATGACATTACAGTCAGCGGAATTCTCGTGCAGTTACCTCTCGGTGGTCATGTGGGCCCGGAGGGCGAACGGACCGTTACCGAAGCCGTTAGTCCTGAGAAAGATGTCGACGGGTGAGTTTTCGGCAGAAAGTGTTTCCACTCTCCCTACTGATAGCTTGGTGTCAGCTTTCATGCGTACAACATTGGTCACCTGTCTTCTCGTGCATCTGAGCCACTCTTTACTCCCTGTACCCCGGCAGGCGTCGTTCGTCTTCTGGAATCTACTGGCGTACCCATTGCTGGATCGCGAGCTGTAGTACTCGGTCGTAGTGACATTGTCGGCAGCCCTGTCGCTGCAATATTGAGGAACCGTGATGCAACCGTGACCCAGTGCCATAGCCGTACCAAGAATCTCCCAGAAATCGTACGGTCCCTTCCAGAAATGTTTGTCGCTGTATTCACCGCTATTTTGCAGGTCAAGGAGGGTGATATCGTGATATCGGCTATTGGCCAGCCTGAGTTCGTGCAAGGGTCATGGCTCAAGCCCGGCGCGGTGGTCATTGATGTCGGTACCAACTATATTCCTGGTAGGTCTTTTTTGCGGACGAATAGCAGTCTCGCGTTAACAATATTTTGACCAGATGCTACCAAGAAGTCCGGCCGGCGCCTCGTGGGTGACGTTCACTTCAGCTCAGCCTCTTCCGTCGCGTCCTACATCACTCCAGTGCCAGGCGGCGTAGGGCCGATGACCGTCGCAATGCTGATGTCGAACACGCTCAAGTCCGCGGAGCGCATGTGGGAGCGGATGCACGGCGTCCACCTGAAGCCGCTCAAGCTCGACATCAAGGAGAAGGTGCCCAGCGATATCGAAATCGCGATGGCACAGACGCCCAAGCCCGTCGTGCATCTCGCGCGCGAGATCGGGCTCGTGCCAGATGAGCTGGAAAGCTATGGTAAATACAAGGCGAAGGTCGAGTTGAGTGTTTTGGAGCGCCTCGCGCATCGCAAGGACGGCAAATATATTGTCATCTCGGGGTAAGGGTTTATTCGAGTGCGGACGTGAAACTGGTTTATTGACTCGCAGAGTTCAGTATCACACCTACGCCTCTGGGTGAGGGCAAGTCCACTACTACCATCGGTCTTGCGCAGGCCCTGGGTGCGCACCTCGGCCGTCCTGCATTTGCTTGTGTTAGGCAACCGAGCCAAGGACCGACGTTCGGTATCAAAGGTGGTGCTGCTGGCGGAGGTTACAGCCAGGTCATCCCCATGGACGAGGTGTGCGGCGGAGTCACATAATGTCGTTGCTTTGTCTTATCCACTTCTTCTAGTTCAACTTGCATTTGACCGGTGATATCCATGCTGTTACGGCTGCCAACAACTTGCTAGGTACTATCATCATAGTGATTATTGCGGGCACCATTGTTGATATTTCGCACAGCCGCTGCTCTTGATGCCCGTATGTTCCACGAATCCACCCAGTCCGATAAGGCATGTCACAACGAGGAAACTCTATTTGATCTTCTGACACCCCATCGTAGGCTCTCTACAGTCGTCTTGTACCCAGCAAGAAGGGCAAGCGCGAGTTCGCGCCGCTCATGCTCAAGCGCTTGAAGAAGCTGGGTATCGACAAGACCAACCCGAACGACCTCACGCCCGAGGAGATCACCCGCTTTTCGCGCCTCGACGTCGACCCTGATACGATCACGTGGAACCGCGTTATCGACGTGAACGACCGCTTCCTGCGCAAGATCACCATCGGCCAGGGGGAGAGCGAGCGGGGCCACGAGCGCGTCACGGGCTTCGATATTTCGGTGGCGAGCGAGTGCATGGCCGTGCTTGCGCTGACGACCGGGCTCTCGGACATGCGCGAGCGGCTCGGCGAGATGGTCGTCGCGACCAGCAAGCAGGGCGATCCGATCACTGCTGACGACATTGGCGTCGGAGGGGCTCTTGCCGTTCTCATGAAGGACGCAATCAAGCCGAACTTGATGCAGACGCTGGAGGTGCGTGATAGTATATCTCCCGCCATTTGCGTGCACCTCTTGACGCCTGTCCAGGGCACACCGGTCTTCGTGCACGCCGGCCCCTTCGCTAACATCGCCCACGGAAACTCCTCCATCCTGGCTGACCGTGTTGCTCTCAAGCTCGCCGGCACCGAGGAAGGCGACTCCCCAGATCGCGTCGGATATGTGCTCACAGAGGGTGGCTTCGGCGCGGACATGGGCATGGAGAAATTCTGCAACATCAAGTGCCGTGTTAGCGGGCTCACCCCCAACGCCGTTGTCATCGTCGCTACCACGCGTGCCCTCAAGATGCATGGTGGCGGCCCAGATGTCACCCCCGGTAAGCCGCTGCACGAGACGTACACGAAGGAGGACCTCGTCACGCTCAAGGAGGGCTGCAAGAACTTGGTGAAGCACATCGAGAACTCGCGGAAGTTCGGCCTGAAGGTCATCGTTGCCATTAATCAGTTCTCGTAAGCATCTCAATTTAATTTGTGTTAAATGTGACATTGACGCTTTGCAGGTCTGATACGCCTGCCGAACTCGAGCTTGTGCGCCTGGAATCGCTGGCAGGCGGTGCCGATGCTGCTGTCGTGAGCAACCACTGGGCTGAGGGTGGTGCCGGAGCCAAAGCCCTCGCTGAAGCTGTAATTGCTGCGTGCGAAGGACCCTCAAACTTCAAGTTCTTGTACGACCTCAACCTCCCGATCGAGGAGAAAATCACCATCATTTGCCGAGATATTTATGGCGCGGACGGTATCGAACTCAGCGAGCAGGCCCGTAAGCAGATCGAGACGTACACTCGTCAAGGCTATAGTCACCTTCCGAGTGAGTATCATTTTTTTACTCGTATATAGATATCACTGAATATTTTGCAGTCTGCATGGCTAAGACGCAGTACTCGTTCTCTCACGACCCGAAGCTCAAGGGAGTACCTACAGGTTTGTCTCCCGAGTGCTATGTTCATTCGACAGTTCTGACCAGTCGCTGCAGGCTTTACCGTACCCATCCGTGCGATCCGCCTCTCCGCGGGCGCCGGATTCCTATACCCTATCCTCGGTGACATGCAGACGATGCCTGGCCTGGGAACTCGTCCAGGTTCGTCCGACAGTATATGTCGGTTATGTGGCTCACAGGCTGGCTCGTTTTCTCAGGATTCTGGGAGGTCGGACTCGATCCGGTGACGGGCAGAGTCGTCGGCCTGTTCTAGAGACCGTTCGCTTTCGCTAGACTCAATCTTCACCAGATAGACTCTAGACGCACACAAGAGCCGCCGTCTCAACACGGAGCTGCGTACCGTTCAACACGGGAAAAGACGTGGGCTTCATCGTCCCGCTGAGATGCAGTAGATTCGCATGAGCGGAGGGCGCGACGAGGGCCGGGAGGGTCTCAGCGATGCGGCGTGCGGGGTAGCATTGATCTTGTCTACGTCAAGATACATAACACTAATGACAACACTAACCACGGATGCTAGACACCGATGCTTCTTCCACCCGGTAACCTTGGTGCCGCAACCATTGGAGCTGGCAGGCTGAACAACGGGAAACTGAACACATTTCCAGCATAAAGTGAACCTCCTTGATGGTCGTAGGTGATGTTGTCATACGCAGCGTTGACTTCTCTGTCGTATGTGTTGCCCCTTGTGTCCAAATAGCTGAAGGTATTGTTGCTGGTCCCGTTGCCGTAATTTCCGTTGGCTGTCTCCACGAAGATACCCGCTGTAGGTACATGTACTCATTACCAACGACAACATCGGGTGGTAAGGTGCACTCACCCGCTAGCTGGCGTTCATTGATCGTAGACCCCAGGAGGAAGGGGCTTGGATGGGAGGTGCGCTCGTAAGAATGGTCGAATGACGCTGTGACTGTATGATGTGAGCAATAATCGTACGGGAAAAACAGCTATACGCACACTCGGTGCCCTCGGGGTTCAGGGAGGTGATGTTAATGTACAGCGGGTATGAGAAATCGTCCACCAGCGTTGGGACACCGTTGTGAGTGGAGAGGAACGATCCAGAAGCGGATTGTGCGACATTCTAACGGAACGATGCAAAATCTAGCCACACTGAGAGATATGATGGTTCCACCCACTTGAATGTTGTAGTCGTCCATGTAATACTGCGTATTGGAGTACTCCAGGCTCTGCGACCATGCGACATAAGTCGTCACGCCGCTCCCACTAACAATCTCCGCTTCGATAGCAATTTTACGGGTCGCGCTAACGGTGATGTTGATATTCCCGTTGGCCATGCTCGCGGAAGTCGTCGTCACCGCGTACGGCTCCGCGCTATACGACGTAATCCTGCCCGTCGTGGGCCTTGCGGACGGGTCGGTCACAACTTGCAGGTTCCCGGAGACGTACCAGTTGTCGTTGATCGTATGGTCCGTTTCAGCGGACGCGACGTCGATGGTAATGTTGTGTGGGCTACCGTCCGCTAAAATGGGCACGAAGGGCGTCAAATCGATGTAGTACGTCGGGAGGTCCAGCGCCCCGTAGGATGTGATCGGTCTGCAGAGTGCGCAGGTTGTGAGAAGATCCTGATCGCGAGACGTTTCTCTGACTAACGCACTGACCGCCAGGCCGAGGGGAGAATCCCTCCAGTGAAAATCACAGCATAACTGATTCGACAATGTCAGCTTTGGCTTTACAGAGTGAACCCCAGGAGCGTACGGGAACGCGACGCCGGCAAGCTGGCCGTCTACAAGCATGCGCACTTCCCGGAAAGGCCCATTCCCGTAGGTGAAATCAGCGGGCAGGTCGTCCAGGTACTCGCTAGGAACGTTATAATACTGTGGTCCAATGTCTAGTTCAGAATAGAGAATGAATGATAAGACGATGGCATACCCAGAACTCTTCTTCCGCATTCCCCGACGCGTACAACTCGGCATAAATTTGAACCGCATTTTGTGGTACAGTGACGTTCAGCTGCACAGATCTCAGTGGATCAGTTAATAGCTAAGAAATATTCGGGCGTACAGAAAAGGCGGGAGGAACTGACGCGTCATCGCCAGTATTGTTAGCAAGGTTAGTTACAGGAATAATCATATTGGCCTGGGCTGCGGGAGGGTACTGGACGGAGGACGCGTAGAACGTCGCATACAGCGTAGCTAGTCGCACATATTCAATCTCCTTGCTCATCAAGAAGCAAAGCCGAGACACTCACTGGCATACTGCCCATTGAGGCCTGTCTCGAGCAGGTTGTCGAGCTCGAGGATGAACGTGCCTGGCTTCGCGAAGAGCGGGGTATACCGCGTAACATCTTTCACGTACGTCCAGATGATGCCATCGGTGGTCGGCTCCGGAGTGGATGTACGCCAGACTGGTCCATCACGTTAAGTGTAGTCACTGGTACGGTACAGATGCGTGTAAGACATACTCTCTACGTTCTGGAAAGTAAAGATGCCTGCAATTAATGTGATCAGGCCATAAAATCAAGCATATAGTTTGAAGAGACTCACCCAAACGATCGTACTGTGTCCCGTTCGACGTGACGGTGAAGTTCAGCGTGATACCAGCCCATGAGCCAACAGCCCCACAGTCCGCAGGAGGCCTACAATGACATGGTCAGACAAAACGCGATTCAGGCATGCTGGAACACCTACGTATATTCCACTATCTCGGGGCTACAATCAAGCACTGCGCTCAGTCTCGAACGTGACGTGAAACACACTGCTCAGCACTCACTCCCCGTACGAGTTACCAAACGTCCGCCTCCAAGATTTCGACAGCTTTAGTGTCCGCTCTACGCAGGATCCCAGCGTGATAGCTCACTGTAGAATTTCTATGGTACATTCCTGAGCATCCTGGGGCACTGGCGGCGGCTGCGCGACCTGGAAGTCAACGAGTACTTGTGCACGCACGATTGCTGCGAGGAACAGAGCGGCGACGAGCTGCTGAAAGATATGTAGCATGCGGAGTACAGTCAGTAATTGACTTGAAAGTCTGGGGGACCACTGGTCCGAGCAAGCAGGCTACAAATACTCACCAGTGAACGAACAAGATCTTATAAGCGGTGTTATGAGAACATCGAGAAGCCCTCCGGGTGGGAAGAGATCGCGGTGCTCCATGTGGTGGTCAGGCGAGTGCATCTGGATTGGTGAGTCGTTCCCGGGGTCTTAAATAGCTCGCATAATTAGCAGTACACATCATGCAAATGAATAGACGCATGGTGGTGGTCAGACTTCAGGAGCGTGGGCGGTTCAGCCGGTCACATCCACCTCCAAGGTTCGTCCAGCTCTGTCAGATCGTCGACTTGAAACGAGACGCTATGAAGAAATGTTAAGGATATAGTACAATATCTCGGTGGTAATACATGCACAAGGTGTGTCCTGATTGACCAGATTTACGCTGATAATAAAAACGAAGGTGGACCGCAATCGAGCAAGCCTTGGACACTGGCTCTAGCTGCCAGACCGACCTGCTCGACCAACCCCAGGCGGCGTCAGCCAACAAGTAGACGCATCAGCCTATAACTCGTGCGAGAAAATATCGTCAGCGTCGCCGTCCGCACGCCCGTTCGAGGTCTCCCCAGCCGGCTCTCTGCTGCCATACAGCCCGCCCTCAGCGTCCTCAGGGAACTCCGTCGACGAGCCGCGCGAGTATGTCTCGGACTCGGCGTCGCCCACCGTCGAATGATTCTTCTTCTTCGTCCTTCTTCGCTTTGGCGGCTCGCTCTCCTGGAGCGAGTACGCATCCTCCGTGCGTGCCCATCGATCCTTCTTCACCTTCTTCTTCTTCTTGCTCGCGCTCTTCTTCGGCCGCTCTACGATGGTATCGTCGAAGTTGGCGGGGTACCGCCAGCGCCCGCCGGAGCCGCCCGTGCGTACGCTGGCCCGATCGCTGTTGCCGTTCTGGCCGTAATACCGCTCCTCGTTCCGACTCCAGAAGTCACCGCCGCCGTTGTGATGCGCCCGGGTGTCGTTCTCCTCTGCGGCAAGATCAATGCTCGAGCCGCCTTCCTGGCCATCCTCCAACGGCTGTTCTGCAAGCGTGGAGTTGGGCAGCAGCTCATTGTAGCGGTTTGCCCACTGTGAGCGGCGTTCCTTGCGTTTAATCTCCGAGGTATTGACGAGCCCGTATTTCTGGACCCACTTGGGCGTTCGCTGGTGATTCTTGTTGTTACGTATGTTCTGCAGGCAGACAAATGAACGAAGCGAACGCGGCAAGATCGGATTATGGCCCTACCTGGATGTAGAAATTGTGTATATGCCCTGATCAGAAAGTTCAGCCTGGTGGCGGGATGGAAACAGGGTGAAGACATACCAGGGATGTAGCCACATATTGTCAGTACGATATTGATGAAAAAGTCTCTGCCAATCCCAAATCTCGCTGCGACGGCTGCAAGGAGGATAAGATGGATATGGGCGAAGTCTGGATAAGCGATGAGACTGACCGAGGGGAGGAAGGAGAGTGCCGAGGATGAAAAGGATGACAGCGTAGCCGTGGTATCGTCTCGGGGTGAGATCGACCTTTGTGAAGGACCTTGTCCTCTCTGTAGCCATGAGTGCGCGGAATGAGTGGTCGACGGCACTGTCGCAGAGAGTCTCGGGTCCGAGACACTCTGCCATCTTGTTGTCCCCGCTTTGTCTCGGTGGCTGTCAGCGGCTCTGCCCTCCCTTCCACTCTCATCTTTCACGCTCATCTCGACATACAAAACACCTCACTCATTCTCGCAGCTGCGCGATATGTCTCTCCGCATCAGAATATCGAAACCAGGCCACTCGACCGCGCAGGTGAGGGCCGCCACAGTTTCATCCCATTCCCGTCAAACCCATCTCCAGGCTGCTGCGGAGCCCTCCCGTCACCACAAACACGCGAAACGGCGCATAGACTCGGACGAAGATGTCGAGGGGCCCGAGAGGGTTCCCTCAGAGGAACCCGAGGCCAAGAAGCCACGTCTCAATCGAGCAAAGACGGCTGAGAGCCAGCCGTCCGCAGATGAAGGCGAGTCCGAGGTCGACATTGAAGGCACGCCCGATGACGCCGACGCCGATGTCGATGTCGATGTTGAGAGCCAAATTAAGGATGCCCGCCTCTTGCCCCGGCCCTCACCGTTGCCAGTACGCGGATCCTCAACTAAGCGCGGCGCTTCGTCCAAGTCGCGCGCGAAAGGCGAGAAGCCGGCGCATCGGCGGTCCAAGCGTGTCCCGGTGTGGTCGGACGACGAGGATGAGGACGAGGAGTACGCTGAGCTCCCGCAGGCCGTGGACGATGTCGACGACGACTTCGCGCCAGAGCCGGTGCATCGCACTTCCAAGCGGGGCGCGGTCACTGGGAAGTCGAGAGAAGGGAAGGCAGGTGCGGGCTTGAAAGGTGGGCGCGGTAGGTCGAAGAAGAGTAAGGAGGGGAAGGGAGTCGTTATTATGAAAGATGAGCGAAAACTCCCTCCGACTGCATCCTCGGGAACTCCGGGCGCTGGCGCCAGCACGAAACGTGCGCTCATCAAAGACAACGAAGCACAATCTCTTGTCCTAGGTGCTGTTGATGCGCAGGTGGACGAGCACCTTAAGGTGAAGGAACCCACACCACCGCCTCCCAAGAAGCGCAAGCTGCCCACCATCAAAAAGAACAAGCCTGCCACTGGCACCACACCATCTACGCCTGCTACAACAAAACCACCTGCTCCACTACCTGCTCCATCCCCGGCGGCGGATCCGACGGGAGGGCAAGCTACTGACAATAATCTGAACGTAGGCGTCGGTGCCGGTGGCAGAAGGCCGCCTATGATCAATACGGCGGACGTCGATCTCCGAGATTCAAGTGTCTATGCACAGCTGTTTGCTAAGGTGTGTCAACTGACGCAATCATGGGGCAACCAATTGACTACTTTGCAGACCGGAGGGTCTACTCCCAACTCGGGACTCAACAGGAAAGAAAAGGAAGAGGAGCGCAGGAAAGAGCTCAACAGAATGCGGGATGCGGCGCGAGCGAAGCGCGCCGAGGAAGCGGTGAGTGATGATCTTATAAGTTACATCTTTCGTTGTTGAACTTTCTGCGCGCAGAAACACTGTTTCGACCTACAGGCAGCACATGAGAAGATCCAGCGGTTTGAGGAGAAACTTCGCGCGCGCAGGTCCACGGCGGTGTTTCCCAATATCCTCGGGGCTGCATTCATGACCCCGCAGGAGAGGGCACGAAAGGGCACTAACGAGGAGCGCAAAGAGCGCTAGTGCCGAGCCCCCCAATTGTACTATCTGTAACCTATTGGACCTCTCGCTTTCGTTACTTGCTGTGTTATATCAATTGCATTATACTTGCTGTGAGTGATCATGTCTACCAGGTGCGGACGCTTGCCTCATTCCGGTCTGACAGATTGCTGGATATGCAGGGGAAACATACAATTCCGAGCCTCGGAATAATTCATGTTTCATTGGAACGCTCGAGCGCGATTGCATCGATGATGTTCGTGGAGAGTTTCTCGATCTGCGCGAAACATGTGTCAAACCACTTCCTTACATCCTTCTTCCCCTTGATGGCGCTACGGGTGACGCTCATCACGCCCACTCCTTCAGCCAGTGCCTCCACCTCGTCGGCGGGCGCGGGCAATAGCGCCTTGTCAACAAGGACCGCACGCAACTGGCGCACGACGTCTCCATGTGCAGATATCGCAGAAGTGACGGCGAATATGTCCTGAGGTGCATATAGCACTGCGACGAGCTCCTCGGACGCAAGAACGAGCGCGTGCGAGTGCGATGGTAGGCTGTCGAGGTCCGCATTGTACGAAGTTGGGTCTGTTCTTGGCGGAGGAGCTGTAGGGAGGATATCCAGTAGCACGCGTTTGTGTAGAAGAGTGGAGAATCTGAGAAGCGGCTGGATCTATCGAGGTGGTAGGTTTCAACGTACGTATGCATACACAGATACTGCACGTACCTTCTTTGTACGATCCAACTCCACCTCAGACATCTTCTTGCTCGAGCCCAACCCCAGTTCATCCCACTCACCGTCATCAAACTCATCGTCCTCTCCATCGCCTTCAACAGCAGCAGTCTCCACCATCTCGGCGACCTCACAGAGCGTATCGTCGAGGATGGCCCTATCCTGAACCCACCGTTTCCGTACGGCCGCGAGATTGTTAGCAGAGAGCTCACGGCGCGCACGGTCGACCAGGTCGTGCACCTCGCCCGTGCGCACGAGGTTATCCTCCCCGGCGTCCGCGTCCCCGCCCAGCGTCCGCGCCAGCCAGCGCACGGATTCGCACACCTCCCGTGCGGCGAGCCGCACCTCCGCACTCAGCGTCGCGCCGTGCGCGTCGAAGAGCGACGTACACGTCGTGAGCGCGGCGATGTATGCTGCAAGGTCGCGGATGGGCGCGACCGCGGCGGAATATGCGGGCTCGGGCTGGCGGAAGGCGAGTGTGAGCTTCGTGGTGGAGGTATAGACCAGGGAGAGCAGCGAAACAAAGTCTTTCCGGAGGACGTCGCTGGAGGGCGCTGATGCTTGCGACGGGGAGACAGTCGGCGACGGTTGAAGCCCATCGATGGCGGCAGTACAAGTGTCTGAAAGTAGACGGAGGGCGGTGAGAGCTGTTCACTGGAGGTTATCAGTACGGTACGCAGCGAAGACAATATTTGCAGGCATTGTGCTCGCCTCTATCGACGTCGCTCATGGCGAGAAGTGATCGCTACGCCCAGACACCGATATCCTGAGGAACGAGCGTTGAACGTTGAAGCTTTGAACAGAGTGTCTGCCTTTGGGAGACTAAGTAAATAATCGCTACGGAGCTAGCGCCCGCTCGAACTTTCCACTGCAACTTACGAACCGAACACACAATACACCTAGCAGATCTACAATACAAAGAATACTATTCATCTGCACATCACGAAGTAGCGACCACGGGAGTTGTTGTGGCAAGCCTAGTTTTGGTCCCATTGGCACCCTTACTCCGACCCCACTTAACGCCCAGAATTTCACCTTCCATCTCCAGGCCGTTAGCCCAAGCCTGAGCTGCCAGTTCTGCCGATGCTCGATCTTTGAAGTTGACAAATGCACATCTTCGAATATGTTGTCAATATACCACGATCAGGGATGGGACGTCCGACAGGATATGTACCTTGACTTCGCGACATGTACGACTGACTTGAGCTGAGAGGGTTGGACGCCAGGCAGTGATTGAACCACCCTTGTGCGAATACTCTGCTCGGTGGCAGTGGCAGGTAATGACGTGAGGAAGATAGACATCTGTAATTGGTGAGCGATGCGACACCACCGTCAAGTGTGGGGTACGTACAATTGACTGGTCCTCGGGAGGCTGCAAACCCATAGCTTCTGCATGGCTGGTCATGATCTTGCGTGCCACAGGATCATTGTGCCCATGGTATCGGTCTTGTATATTTTGCTTGGACAGTTCGTTGTCCACAGGCATCTCATGCCTTGCAGGTAATGAATTTGCACGACCGAACTAATATCAAAAAAAATGCGTGACTTACCGGTATGGACATTCTGCTCCTCGCACGCACTCGCCCTTGGCATAAAAGGAGCACAGGTGGGGTCGGTTCCGTTTGTAATATGGATCGGTGCGAGCAAGTTGCTTCAGCATCTCCTTGCCCGCAGATGAAGCTCTGCCAGAGTCAAGTAATGACCTGCTCCCTTCCATCTAATGTACCCGTCAGTACCTGCCTGAACAATCGCAGACGTGTATGGCTCACCTTCCCATCCATATTCTGCGCATAATACTCCCGATTGATCTCACTCGTTGGTGCCTCGTTCTGCAACGCGAGCGCTGTGTCGCGAACCTGGGTGGGGAGGCCGTACTCGAGATCCAGGAGACATGTCTGGCACACATTTTTGATCTTTGCGCATGTCTGGCAGATCACAGTCGTCTTGAAGCGCATGGCGGTACCTGGGTTCCACCGGAACACGGTGAACGGTCGCGCGCACGTTCCGCATGAACGGCCATACTCCTGCTTCGACTGAGCATCCTATGAGCACCTATCGAAGGAGGACACAGGAAATTCTTACCATGCGCACAAACGCATTGTCACCGAGACCTGTAACGCGGTGCTTAACAACATTTCACCAGAACAAGGAACAAGAGGCCCACAAGTTTCGCAAAGAATTGGGAACTCGCTTTGTTCCCAGCCAGCTTTATTGATGTCCGCCTTCGGCATTTTAGAGCGTGGTTGATATTAAAGAGCTATAGAAGATAGAGGTACGATGGACGTCCTGGTGAAGCTTCTCTGTCCTCCGAGTAGTAACAACTGTGGCTGTTTGTCAATCCGTTAGTCAGCAGCCTAATTATGGCAAGTCTCCTGGTTCGCCTCCAGATGGTTGGGGCTTGCGCATCAGAGACAAGTGAAGACATAAAGCTAGGTGATTAATGAATACTACAGTCCAGATCTCTATTAATTACAGGAGGTGCTTCGAGAACATGTATTCAAGCTGACTATGCGCATGACAACAAAACAAGTGCAAGAGGCTACAATCATACTACTGATACTTCACCCGCAGCGTCAGGTTGAAAGGAAGAGTGGAGGATGTGACAATGATATCTCCGCCGTCTTCCACTAGCTCTGACACTTTCTTCTCCAGGTTTGGTCGGGTTGCTTCTTCGAGCTGTGGAGGCGCCTGAAAATAAATCTGTCTTGCAACGGTGGACAAAGATGGTTTCTTGATTTGACTGCCAGACAACTGTCCAGTTCCAAATCAGAAGAAATAGAGTATACACGTACATATCTTGTTTCTCGACCAACATCTCTATTAGACGATCAACTGTCCATTCCTTGCCGACTGAAATGTCTAATGCTTCTCCGCCACAGACTGGACAGTCATCGCGCTTCCAATGCTCGAAAGTATAGGAATAGATTCCATCTGTTCCAATGAGCATGAAGTAGTTGTTCAGGTATGCAGCCGAACTGGTCGCAATCTTGAATGCTTCATTACAGCAGGATGCTGAAGAGGAGAAGATGCAGACGACATGTTAACTGCTACATATCTTATTACTCACCTGCGATGATGGCATTCGTCGAAGCAATGGCAGGAATAATGTTCTTCACAACGCCTTGTGTCAAAGACCACGTAACACCTTCTATCTTGAACTCCTTTGCGCGCGCCGAAGCAACTGAGTATAGCCAACCAATGTGTTCTGGATCGTCGGTGTCGAGCTTCTTATCTACAAAATTATTCAATAGGAAATATGTTCAAGATCGCAGTATCATTCATACCTGCGTGTACACGCGGCCATTCTAGTACAGATGCCCATTCTATACAATGTTCTGGGAGACGAGGTGTATTGGCGATGGTGCAAATCGGAAATGCAGTAGGCTTGTTTAGCATGTCGAGTGAACATTCATAACACGACGTCACTGTTGGGAGAATGACACGGGCTTGGCCCTTGAAACCTAGACACTCGGTCAGTAACTACTCTGTAAGTACCGCATATATACTTGCCCTCAGTGCCTCCATCGATGAGAGGTTTCAGACTCTCTGGATTCTCCGGATCCACGAGGTTGACCAGAGTGGCATTGATCCATCTTCGGGCCTCAACCGAGTCGAGTCCGCAAATTACGAGGTTGAATTGCATGTAATAGTCGTCGTCCTTGTCCTGAATCTTTCCGTAATATCTGAGGCAACGATGAGAACGTCTCAGATCGTTCGCAATCCTACTTACGGAGTAACTTTCACACCTGGTACCCGTTGCATAATGAATTCAGCAGCCACAATAGCCTTAGGCTTGCCTACATCTTTCGGTCTGTGTGGGAGTTCAGCTTCAAGTTGAGACAAAGACAGCAGAGCACGTCACCTGAACAAAAACTGACGGTTCAGATTACTGATGTCGATGGTGTCCATGTCGATGACGTGAATATCCTTGAATCCAGACAAGGCAAGGTTGGCAAGGATCTCACACCCTAAGCCGCCTGCACCGATCACGAGGATCTTACATTGATTCCGCAAGAAATCCTTCACCTACGCAAGGGTTTTATCAGCATACAAAATCAACACGTCCATAAACACACGAACCCCATCGCCGGCCAGAAATGAAGGATCTGTACGAGGACCTGGTCTATCCAGGATTTGGTCCACATGAAAGTAACGATCGTGCCAATCGCCCGACGACGCGTTCCCATTGGTCATAACAGCGGTAGCCATGTTTCGAAGTCTTCTCAAAAGTAACAAACAGTAAGGAGGACTGAGATGACTCCGTAATGGGTCGTCCGAGATCTATAACGGTGAACGCGTGTAACAACGAGAACGCTTACACAGGAGTACGTTTCCCAAAGCAGGCTGAGTTACATAGTAGACCGTGACGCGCTGCACGTGGTGATATCAAACATTTGAAGTCGTGTTTTGCTTTTTTGTGACTACCATCTGGACCTTGTGATTCATTACATCCAAAAAGACCAGCAGCGTGCAAGAGGCGAGATGGCACAGGAAAGCGACGTGCTGCGATTTAGCGGACATCAATACATGCGCCATCGCCTGGTCTTGTCTGTCCTGAGTGGAAAACCCGTTCGAATAGACAAAATTCGCTCCAGTGACAAGAATCCTGGTCTCAGAGGTGCGTGCTGCCGTTTGGTGGTACCGATGTTACTTCTAAGCTCTGGGGGAATTCGCAGATTATGAAGTCAGTCTGTTGAGGCTTCTCGAGAGAATCACGAATGGCACTGTGATCGAGATCTCTGTTACTGGTATGTCAGGCCGCCTTGCTACTGAGGTAGAGGCTTGACCTTCAGCCAGGTACCGCTATCCTGCTCAAACCAGGAGTCATAGCAGGGGGACAAGCCACGCATGACTGTCCGTTGTCGCGGTCGATAGGCTACTTCTTAGAACCAGTAGTTATGCTTGCACCATTTGCCAAGAAGCCATTGCAGCTAACACTGCGAGGGATAACATCGGATGACCATGATTTGTCTGTGAGTGAATCTTTCGACTGATGCCTTTGAGTATATGATGAAGCTTCGCAGGTTGACCTCATCCGCACGGTGACGCTCCCTCACCTGCAGCTGTTCGGTGTATCAGAAGGATTGGAACTCCGTGTATGTCATATCGTTCTCAAACAGCGTGTTTATTGAATGGTGCGTACAGATCAAGAAAAGGGGCAGCCCTCCGTTGGGAGGCGGAGAGATTCAGTTCCTATGCCCAATAGTAAGGCAGGTCAAGACACTAAATTTCGTCGACCCTGGAAAAATCAGACGAATACGAGGGATTTCGTGAGTTACTGGGCTTCATGCTCATTGTGAGCTTCGCTGATCCTCTGACACAGGCATGCTGTTCGCGTCAGCCCGCAATTTTCTAACCGCATGATTGAGGCATCGCGATCCGTTCTCAACCGCTACATTCCCGACATATATTTGTACTCCGATGTCTATAAGGGAGAAGACAGTGGGAAGTGGGTAGTCGTGCAACGCTCCACCATCAAATGACTGAGAATGGTCGTTGTTTCAGATCGCCAGGGTACGGGTTAAGCCTTCTTGCGGAGTCCACAACGGGCGCCATGCATTGTTCTGAAGCGACCTCTCAGCCTGGCGTGGCGCCTGAGGACATCGCATTGCTTGCATCCCGCGCTCTTCTCTCGGAGATTCGTAGAGGAGGCTGTGTTGATAGGCGCCATCAGACCTTGGTCTTACTCATGATGGTCCTCGGGAGCGAGGATGTAGGTCGATGTGTCATGGGAGAGCCCACTCCGCGGACGTGAGCATTGTGGAACTCACCCGTGTTTTCGTTGTTGATCGCTGACCTGCCTCTCTGCTTTAGCACTCAGTTCCTCAGAGATCTTAGGGATTGCTTTGGAACTTCGTTCATGATCGCTCCAGCTGATCCAAAGGACGAGTCCTCGTCACAGTTACTTTTCTCGTGTTACGGTGTTGGCTTCGTCAACGTAAATAGGACGTTGGCATGACGGGCTACTCGACTTCGTGCATTGTCCATATCATCTTGTGCGCGTCATGCTGTGCTCGTTTTAATTATTCTGATACCAACGTCCAGAATACATGCTGCTCACATTTGATGCAAGCAATGTCAACTTGGAGACAAGCTACGTCCCTGGATGTTATCAACGTCAAATATTCAGGAAGATATTTGTCGCGGAACGGTTTGCAATTGGCTAAGACTGGCGTGTCTCACGCCGGTCCAGAAGTTGGCTGCACAGGCGCATCTGTCATACAACCAACAGTCAGAGCAACGGTGACAGACATGAGCCGTCAATCGAAGTGTTAGGAACGAAAATTCACAACGCAACGAGTGCTGTGTCACTACAAGAGCTAATACAGGACTCTTGGCTCATCGTGTAGATCTCCTGGGCATACATGATACACTAGCGATATATGATGGAGACCCGTCCAAGATCGCCATTGCCCTTCCCCCCGCCCGCAAGGATGAGCCATTGTTTTAGAATGGGCCAACCAACTTCGAAGAGGGTGCACAGCTCGTCGGTGTGGTGTTCACCATCAAGCAAAGGGATTAGATTAGGAGGAAACGGCGGCCCTGCTTGATGCACGACAGGTCTTGAAGGAGAATGCGAAACGCGGCGAGGCCGCGTGTACCCGTCACCAAGGTCGCGACCGCCAAGAGAGTCGATAGACGCATTGACAGCTGATGCAGACGACACGAGAGGAGGCGCCAACGAGTGGACACTGGAGCTATGTGCGCGCATCCGAAAGAGTGGAGTTTGATCAGGGTGCTTATGACTGTCCGGATTGTCTCGGTCTCGTAGATGCTCCAAAGACGACTCTGCTGCACTAGCTCGTCGGGTTGGCTGGATACCGGCTCTCTCCCACCGTGCAGCCATCGCTTCCGCGCCAACTGCAGCGACTGTAGGGAAGACATCTTGAAGACGCCCCCTGATGCCCCTCGGGGTAGGTTCCGGAAGAGCTACCGGTGCCCTTGGTTGAAACATCGGCGCATAACTCTTGCTTCGCTTCCTGCCAATGGAAGTCACACGTTTCTCTCCCTGCTGAGCGTCTGCCTCGGCCGAAAGGAGGATAGGCCAACGATGGACTCTCCGCAAAAAGCCCTTAAGAAATAAACAACATATGAGATGATGGTTGAACACAATTAGGACAGTTAATACCTTGATCACGCCAAAACTGGTGAACCTACGGACGTCGATGCCAAGAGACTGTACGTCGTGGTCCTCCATCCACTCTCGGATCGTCTTGCCGGGCTTCAGGCGAGAATACAGATGCAGAAGTTTCGGCCAATCGGCAATGACTTGTCCTGCGTATGATGATCAGAAACCACGTCGCAGCACATGCAGCTCGAGGGCCATGGCCACTCACCAGGTCTAGTCGCGTATGGACCGCATTCTTCTTTTACATGAGACTCATCTACGAGCCACTGGATGCTCTTGCGAAGCGTGTACATGTTCGAGTACTGAAAAATATCAATCATCATGACTACCTGGTAGTACCTGACAGATAAAGTCTCAAAATCCGTGCACATGTACCGAAAAAACCGCTCCTACAGTAAGTGTGAGATTGCTTGTCGAGTTAGGCCAACGTCGCACTCAGCTAGACGCGCAATGCGGCTGACATGGTTAGTGCCGTCAATAAATTGGCAAACCTGAACGACCCTATCAGGTCGCTAAGAGCCAACGAGAGTTGAACGAGGCTACCTTGACCATTGTCAGATCCCAATTGGGCTCGATCCTTCGAGTAAGATTTATCAGGGCAAGGGGCACCATCCAATCCTTGACCACGGGAGGGTTTGGATAGAAAGGAAAAATCTTCAGCTCGATAGAGTTGAACATGTCGATGGCGATAGAGGTCTCCGAATATGAGTTAAGGTCCTCGTACAATTGCTCTAGAATGGCATGAATGGCCGGCGAACTTTCAGGTGACGAAAGAAAGGCAGACTCTTCCTGGATCAGTTGAGGATTTATTCACAGATAAATAAGACATCAATGTAGCCTACCTCGCACGTGGTGAGGACCCGGCTAACCTTGCGGACAACGGGTTCATAACAACTCAGATCCGCATTGCGGTCGAAGACAAAACACAGGTTATACCGAAAGTAGTTGCGCTCATAATTTCCTCGCAGCTCCATTGGAAAACCAATGATGCGGTACTTTCTGGTCGCACAAATGACCAATCTACCACAGAGTGCGCTGGGGGGCATGACATATTTTGAGATATCGTCGAAGTTGAACAGACATCGATTAGCTGAGACAGGACGAAGCCGTGGACTGAGAATTTGACGTGAGTCTAACCGCTGTAAGGATGGACTATCCGGGAGTGAAAGAGTGGATGAGGCTGAGGTCGGGGTGTGGAGGGCGGTGTTTGCGAAGGAGGATGATATCGGACCCGACAAAATGAGACCTTCCGGGACCTGGTAGACAACTTTGGGACCTTGATGAACGTCAAAGACGGTGTAGAACACAGATTCTATGCGCGGAAAGAAAGAACCGCCTGCAGAAGACATTCAGACGCACTAGTAGGAGCATTAGTGTCGTGGGAAAAACTCCCGGAGGGGCTCGCCAAGCGCCGGCGCGGCGAAACTGCACTCGCATGGTCGTGGCGCGGGAGCTGGCGAGCTGGCGCAACTGGCGCAGCTAAAATTCGCCCTTTTGCGCGGGGAAACGAAAATCCCCCCCGCCCCTTCCCCCCAATCGCCCCGAGGCCGAGATAGAGGTGCGCAAAATTAATTCAGACCCTATATTAGGGGTTGGAGACCTCTAGCCGCCCCACAAGGGTCGGTTATCCGTGAAACTGGCCAAAATACTGCCTTTTGGGAAGGTACTCTCGTCGTTGCGCCAGGTATTGCCATCCAGGGTCGGTGCGCCAACCTGGCGCTCGCCATTTGCGCCAGGCACGGCGAGGTGGTGAGGTTTTGCCAACAACACTAACACTTGAGACCCTCCCGGATTTGTATCCCTGAGTGAATGTAAAGTTTGCCTGCCTTACAATGTCACCGTTTGTCGCCAGTACAAATTTATTGATAAAGTTTACATGTGTGATCGGGGCTGAATAGGGACTCAATTGACCAATTAAATTTGTTACTTGGGCAAACAGAAACTGCGTTTCATCTACAAACAGTTACTTTGTAGTGAGCACGAAATTCATCATTTGTCGAGCAAATTTGAGTTGGTCTCGGGTGTCGAGCATGCAGTGCTCGCCGGGGATCTCCGCTGTTGCTATCCGTTGAATTGGAGAATCTACGATCCTCATCCCACAGCCACCGAACATATGGTCCAGTCCATGCATGATGGCAGACTGTCATTCCGATTCATCACTGCATCCTATAATCATGATTCCGATATGTCGGACGTCTTCTCTGTAACACAGGTTTTGTTTCCCTTAGCGACCAAATTCTCGCATACGTATATAACATGAGATGGCTGCATTCCGGATCCCCAGCTCCTCAGTTCTTTCGTTCGGGCTCAGCTTATCCGGGTTCAAGCACTGGCTGGTAGGCATCATCTCCGCGTTCAAAATACATCCACTGATGATCCCCATCGCAGCTTAACTTGGTTTTTCGTTCCTATTCTGCTGTTGTCTTCTCATCTTGTCCTCGGTCTACATTCATTGCATATCTCGTTGATTGACGATTTTTGTTTCCCACTTTCTCGACACCTACTCAATCAAGATGCACGTTTCTACCGTTGCTGCTCTTGCTATCGCCGCGGCGGCGGCGCCTTCTTTGACATCGTAAGTATGTCCGTTATAGATCAGCATCTCGGTGCTCAAGACTAAACCAGTGCCGTGCCCGTCGAGGCGAGAGGTAGCATTGATGCTCACACCATCGACCAGAGCATCCAACTTGCTACCCATGCTGCGAATGCCGTCCCTTATGTCAGGAACACCTGGGACAAGGTCTTCCACAAACGACGGTATGTACATGATCCTCCACTCCCACCTGTCCTTGAAGATTTACGTTCAAGTATGCATAGCGACTTTCATCACGAACCTGTGACTCGGAGCGTCTCTTCCGGTGCTATCAAGGATGGTATCGAAATCGTGAATGGCGCGGCAAACGCAGTTCCCGCAGTTCAAAATGCCTGGAACTCCGTGTTCCACAAGCACCGGGACCTTGACGATCTTGTAGCACGAAGAGTCACTGCCGGTCGCATCAAGGATGGCCTCGACATCGTCAATGGCGCGGCAAACGCAGTTCCAGCGGTTCAAAACGCCTGGAACTCCGTAGCCCACAGGCACCGGGACGTTGACGATCTCATAGCACGAAGAGTCGCTGCCGGTCACATCAAGGATGGCCTCGACATCGTCAATGGCGCGGCAAACGCAGTTCCAGCGGTTCAAAATGCCTGGAATTCCGTATCCCACAAGCACCGGTGCGTTGTCAATTTTCCTAAATTCCCATATGGTACTTATGCGGGCATAGTGAGTATTACGAGCCTTTGGCTCGCAGAGTCTCTGCCGGCGCCATTAAGGATGGCATCGAAATCGTCAATGACGCTGCCAACGCTGTTCCTGCTGTTAAAAATGCCTGGGATTCTGTTTTCCACCACAAGCAGAGGGATTTAGATGAGCTCATGGCTCGCACAATCACTGCTGGTGGGATCAAGGACGGCATCGAGATTGTCAACGATGCGGCGAACGCAGTTCCTGCTATCAAGAATGCTTGGGATTCTGTGTTCCACAAGCAACGGTGCGTGGCTTGCGAGTGTTCTCAATTCGATGTTGAAGTTGGTCGCGTAGTGAATTCGACGAACTCATGGCGCGCACGATTACTGCTGGTGATATCAAAGACGGCATCGAGATTGTCAACGATGCTGCGAACGCTGTGCCGGCGATCAAGAACGCTTGGGATTCCGTCGTCCACCGCCACCGCTCGCTCAATGAGCTCGACTGAGGTGTTTTTACGGAGAATTTTTTGGGAGGATGTCTGCACCATGTATATCACTACTTGATGAGATTACGACGACGACTGAGGAGCTATCTCTCGCTGTGGAGCTATCTCTCGCTGTGGAGCTATCTCTCGCTGTGGAGCTGCAGTGAGTAAACCTTGACGCGTCAAGTATGGAAGCCACGGTCACGATACCGTGTTTCAAGTTGATCACATGCTTTTGGTTTCTCAATCATCGATAAGTAGACATGTCTGCGGCATGTTCGCTGATACTGCTGCTTTGACATGGCGGCGACTACTCCTCCTGGTTTTCGTACTCTCCCGCTACCTGTGAGGCAGCTATCGTTGGCGGTGGTTTTGCGGTGTGGACAGTCTTTCCGATGGAGGATTTTCCCCCTCATGTCTGGCAACAGCCTCACTACTGACGCATCATCTCCCACACATGAATATCGTCTATGTCTACGTGACCGCGTGGTATGTCTCAGACAGTCGCCTGACATGCTCTTTTACCGCTCAGTATTCCCCGGACTTCCGCCTTCTGCTGTCATGGCAGGTGCCAGAGAAACAGAAACTCTAGCTTGGATTTACGATTACTTCCAACTCCACGTTGATCTTACGCATCTCTATGAGCAGTGGAGTGACCGCGATTCAGTGCTCCACAATTTCAAGGACAGATTTGCGGGCATCAGGATGCTGAGACAGGACCCGTTTGAAAACCTCATCTCGTGCGTCTGTCGTTCATGTAGTCATCTTGTACCACCATAGCTTGGAAGATAGGTTCATATGCTCTTCAAATAACAACATATCTCGCATCACGAAGATGGTCAAGTCCCTCTGTCAACATTACTCTCCACCGCTTTTGACGTTGGCACCGCCAGCCACATCGTCTGGTGAACCCACGTCTGAAGAGCACAGTGCAACAGATTCATATCACCCCTTTCCACCGCCATCCGTCTTGGCCTCTTCCGAAGTGTCTGCCAAGCTGCGCTCCTTAGGGTTTGGCTACCGTGCCGACTTCATTCAGAAGACGGCGAAAATGCTCGTAGAGGCGCATGGCACTACGAAGGCTGTAGAGGATTCATTGGAGCCGTCAGAGAGGTGGCTTCTCACGTTGCGACGAATGAGTACCTGCGATGCAAGGGAGGAGCTGCTCAAGTTCATGGGTGTAGGCCGTAAGGTGGCCGATTGCATCCTGCTTATGAGTCTCGACAAGGTGAGTACATCCGTCTGTATAGATTGTCGTAAACGAAGCTGAGTTATCGGTGCATGCTCAGAACGAGGTCATCCCGGTCGATACTCACGTCCACCAGATTGCAGTCAAGCACTACGGTTTACGGGTGTTGGCAAAGGGGAAGGCCAACATGACACCAAAATTGTACGAGGAAGTTAGCACCAAGTTGGCGGCAGTGTGGGGAGACTACGCAGGTTGGGCGCACTCTGTATGTTTGCTCGGATGTCCTGTGCACCGTAGCGGCTAATTTGTCTCTAAAGGTCCTCTTCACCTCGGATCTCAGATCATTCTCTTCCCATGGACTACCATCACCCTCACCTACACCCTCAGTTGCTGGGTCACCCCAGAAAACGGCAGGTGCTGGGAGCGTATCCGACACTGCACGTCCGAGTCCGACCAAACGAAAAAGGGTCAAGGTGGTTCAGCTGGTTAACAAGGGAAGTGGAACGATCATAGACCATCAACTAAACCTTCCGACCGCTGTTGGCTCAGAGATGGACGACGACCACATTTTGAGCCTGGCCGATAGAGTGAAGCGGCGGCGACGGACGAAGATGGTGGAGGTGACATTAATGCAGTAGTTCGGCTAGACGATATCCTATCATATTCCCATGTATTTCTTGGAGGGTATGAGACATTCAGTTATTCTAGCAGTATTACATTTCGATGCAGCCTGCAGCAGCTGTCGCCTGGATGCCGGTAGGTGAACCTGATCAAGAGATAGCAACTCGTCTCGCAGGAACGCGTCATACAGATCTGTCTCCCGCTCCACCATCAGTAGAATTGCTACCTGCATCTTCCAGGATACCCCTGCCCTGCATTGTACATAACTCATGTCGTCTCAAAAAGCCAAGCAGAAGGAGGTAGCCGAGCCCGAGGCGGACCAGCCTGAGAACGACGCACAGGACGACTCAGGCTCCGATCTCTCCGAGGAAGACCACGATCAGGCCAGTTCCACGCTACCAGAGGCTAGCGTTTCGTCCGCCTCGATCAAGAAGAAAAAGAAGAAACGGTCCAAGGCGTTGAAGGCTCTCCGGGGAAGCAAAGATGGAATCCCGCAGAAAGTTGTAGATGCGGTACTTGAGAAGGTCCGCGCGGAGGGCGGCGAGGCAGCGAGCGCGGACGAGGCCACGGTAAGGATGGCGCTGGAGCATTTAAAGATCAAGGATGTTATTCAAGGCAAGGCGGGGATTGGAGGAAGGAACAGGAAAGATACCGGCGACCACAAGGTAGGTTGCATACATGCTCACTGCGCAAGTGCTCTTCAGATATAACATCGCAGTTCTGGGCAACACAACCTGTCCCTCAACTTGGTGAGAAAAGATGTTGATGCGAGGTGTGGCGGTTTCTAACCGTAGATGACAGGCGAGGGCCCCCCGCTCGCGGATGGTTACATTGAACCCTCTATACCACCAGAAGAGGTTCGCCAGGAAGCGTATCCATTACCCAAAGACTTCGAGTGGTCAACTCTGGACATCAATGATCCCTCGCAGGTGAGTAATCTTTATTTCCGCTTTCATTCACGGCTAACATTACGTTCAGCTGCGAGAGCTGTACGAGCTTTTGTCAGGACACTATGTGGAAGATGACGATGCGTCCTTCCGTTTCCAGTATTCTGCAGAATTCTTGCAATGGTATGTTCACGTTTGACCGTCGGACGCGTGCGACTTCTTATACTCATCACACAGGGCTCTCATGCCTCCCGGATACAACAAAGAATGGCACCTCGGTGTGCGCGTGGCGTCAAACAAGAAGCTGGTGGCTTTTGTTTCTGGCATACCGCTCACACTACGTGTTCGAGAAAAGTGCGTCTCTGTGCTCCACGCTTCGCCTATGCATCCACGACCAACATGCATCCAGTGTTTTCAATGCCAGCGAAGTTAATTTCCTCTGTGTCCACAAAAAGCTGCGATCGAAACGTCTGGCTCCTGTCTTGATCAAAGAGATTACCCGTCTATGTCACAGGAAAGGAGTATTTCAGGCTTTGTACACAGCGGGTGTGCTTCTCCCGACGCCCATCTCGACATGTCGGTACGTACAGGCAAGAGGTCGTAACCACCATCCCGTAATCAGGTTTTTTTGACAGATACCACCACCGATGCCTAAACATCCACAAGTTGGTCGACGTACGCTTCACGCACGTTCCCTCAAACATGACCTTAGCACGGATGATCCGTCTGAACAAGGTTCCTGACCGTCCACATCTCCTCGACCCTCAGTTCGGACTGCGGGAGATGGAAGAGAAGGATGTTCCCAAAGTCGCAGAGCTCTTCGCGAAGTTCATGCGACGCTTTGGCATGGTGCAAGTCATGACGCTGGATGAAGTACGGCACTATCTGCTGAGTGGAACGGGCGAAGGGCCGAGGACGAAAGATAGTTGGTCCACGAGGCGAGAAGGGCAGGTTGTGTGGACATATGTTGTCGAGGTCAGCCCATTGACAGTACATGTGTATAGCGGTCCTGACATTATCGTGCAGAATCCGGAGACGCACAAAATCACCGATTTTTTCTCGTTCTACTCTCTGCCCTCGACTATCATAAATTCGGAGAAGCACAATGTTCTCCAAGCCGCGTACCTGTTTTACTATGCGACAGATGTTGCTCTCCACGACGCCGCAGAGCTGGACGGCCGGCTGAAGAAGCGGCTGGAAGAGCTTATCGGCGACTGTCTTGTCACTGCGAATGCAGCAGGGTTTGATGTTCTCAATGCGCTGTCGCTCATGGACAATTGCCAATTCATGCAAGACTTGAAGGTACGATATTCATCTTGAATTTACATGCGGTTTCTTGCCTAAAAAGTCGTCGTCAGTTCGGTCTGGGCGACGGCATGTTGAACTACTACCTGTACAACTGGCGGACAGCACCGCTGGCAGGTGTGAACGCCATTGGGGATGTGCCTGCGGGCAAAGGTATTGGGGTCGTAATGCTCTGAAGTTTCAAATGTAAGTTGCACCGATACCATCGCTAACAACTACATGACATTCTACTGCGAAATTTACAATTATCTGTCCGTCGACGCTCTGTCGTTATCCTAGTCAAGATACCACCTAATACAACAGTTTGCGTACAACACGCCTGCTCATGCCATGAGGGACTAGTCACTGTCACTGTCAATGATAATGACATCGTCGTCATCCACGCCCCAGTCTGGCGATGGGCTTCGCTCTTTCTGCCTTTGCTCCTGTCTCCCAGACCTCTGCGGCAGCACCGGCACTATAGCTCCGCCCGCTCCACGTGGTCCCGAACTTGCTGCGGGTCGGGGTGCGGTGCGTGAACCGAGTCTCTGGCCTCCCACCCCCCAGGACGAGGGAACATCGCTTCCCTCTTCTTCCATACTCTTTCCTTTCGGCGAGGGTGACGATGCGCTTTGACCTTGCGAGGAAGATGGCCCAGCGAGGGTGTTACCAGCGCCTGAGAATGCCTGCGCCTAAATGATCATTAGCAATGTCAAATCGTTGCAAACTTGAATGCGTACCTGCACTTGTGTAGCACTGGGGTTGGATGCCGGGGGTGTGAAGGGTGGGACGTTGAAACCAAAGAATAATTGCCCAAAGGGGAGGTTCAGGGGAGCAGGAACCGGCACGTCTGAGTCGAGGGTGTCGTTCGTAACAATGCGAGCTTTACTAGATGGTGAGTCAACATCGGTGGGATCAACACGTAAGAGTAGTACTCACTCCGTCCGGACAATTTTAGCATTATCAGCCACCTCCTGCACCCTTCTGTGGCTGATGCCTTTCCCCTTCGTCTTGCGCCCAAGCAGCGTCTCGCCTTTGCCCTTGAAGCTCTCCCACTGTTCGCCACCCTTGCTCACTGTAGTACCACGCGTACCCGGAGCGAAGGTGCCAGCGAGAGATGACGAGGGACGTGATGAACCGGGCGACGAATCGTTCAGATTGATATTGAGCTTGGTCGCCATTGTGGCAGGAGGAGCTGGCTTGGGACGCTCAGGCTCAACATATCCAAGAGGTGCCGCGAAGTCAACCTCAAGGTCTGTATCGAGTACACTGATACCTTCACCACCGGGATAGGTCTCCATGACTAGGAAACCGAATACCATCCCGTTATACAGAATTTCAATTATATCGCCTTGTGTGAGGACGGAGAAATGGCGTAGAGCTTGTTCAAGTCTGTGGAAGCGACTGAATGAGATGGTAAGGCAAAAATGTCACAGTAAGACGTACACGGCCTTGGGGTCCGATACTTCGAGGAAATGGACGCTCTGTGCCTGCAACTTGACCTTGTTGCCTTTAGGGAGTTCTGCACCAGTGATGCGGATCGGGTCACCCTCATTTAATCGGAGAGTACTCATCATCCATTGCGGCAGATGCACACATCCTTCTTCCGCGATAAATTCTAATACACCCGCGTGTGTAGACGCCGCAGGGTTTGCTGGGTTGCGCAACTTGAACATCCATGGAGATTCGAGATCCATCGAAGTGAGTCTGGCGAGGGTCGAAGGGGGCATAATGACTGCACGCCGATAGCTATAACGTTGTGTGACGAAGTAAGGAGAGAAGTACGCACTCTTTCCACCGTAACTGACATTGTCGCGTTCCTTGCCAGGAAGCATTGCGGCACTGTAGGCTCTCAGATATTCATCATAGGCTCGAGCTGGTGGTCGACCCATGCGATGACCAAGACCACCACCAAGGCCTCTGCAACCGAGGACTTGTGAGATCACCCTACAGCGCGAGACGCACACCCAAAACGTACTGTGCCAACTGAGCGAAGAGACCTGCTGGTCCACCGCCAAACGGATCTTGCTCGCCAAACTGTTGAATATTCAGCGAAAGACGTTAGCCATAACGCAAGATGACTTACCATGTTCATGGTCTCTGTGGAGGTCGCACAGGTGGAGGTCAAGTAGGATTCTAGGAACCGTAGCACTGGCTTTCGAGTGTGCGCGTCCTCCAGCACGTGATCTGAGCGAGTCTCACTTCTCCGCGGGCACTTCGACACTGACCCTCTGCATATCGACCATGGCTATCACTACTCCTTCGTTGCAGATACCAGCAGCCCGCTCAGGCTCGAACAGTGCATTCCAAGACAAGGTGAATTGTGCGGCGATTCAGCATGGACGCAATTCTAACTTTTTCGAAGGGCAAACCCATGGAAGTCCGCCTGTCTAACATGGTCGCTGCAAAAGGTGCGTCCGTATAGATCTCCTTCACATTTCTCTTCATAACTATTGCCCTGCAGCAATAAGTGACGCTGTCAGAACCTCATTAGGTCCGAGGGGTATGGATAAGATGGTGGGTAGTGCTCCTGGTATTTTGTCATAGAAGCTTAAAGCCTTGTGAACTAGATTCAAACACCCAAGGGAGAGCTTATCATCACGAATGACGGTGCAACAATCTTGAAGAGTATCCAGGCTCTTCACCCTGCAGCTAAGATGGTGATCCGCATGATCTTTCGTGTTGGCTAAGATCTGACTTGCGTCAAGCTTGTAGATCTCTCCGCTGCGCAGGATGTTGAAGCGGGAGATGGAACAACATCTGTTGTAGTGCTTGCTGGAAGTTTCCTTGGTGCTGCGGAAAAAATGCTGCAGAAGGGCATGCATCCAACAATCATCGCTGAGTCGTTCCTCAAGGCATCGGCGAAGGCGGTTGAATACTTGACGGAAATTTCCACTCCGATTGACCTATCAGACAAGTCTTCGCTCCTCCACGCTGCTACGACGTCTCTCAATTCAAAAGTGAAGCTGTATTCCTGTTTCTCAACAACGAAACGTACTCACACGCGGTGCTGCCGCAGATCGTGTCGCAGTACTCCTCCACACTCGCGCCAATTGCTGTGGCCGCAGTGACACGCCTTGTAACCCCTACCTCTTCGAACGTGGATTTGCGCGATGTCCGCATCGTGAAGAAAGTGGGTGGAACGATAGAAGACACGGAACTCGTCGATGGCGTCGTGCTAAATCAGAATGTCATCGTCGCTGCGGGAGGGCCGACGCGAGTTGAGAAGGCCAAGATTGGTATCATCCAATTCCAACTTAGCGCGCCAAAACCTGACGTGAGTGCCTGTGGTTGGTCTGTCTCTTCCTGTGCTAAATAGCTCGACAGATGGACAACACGGTGGTGATCAATGACTACCGGCAAATGGACAAGGTGATCAAGGAAGGCCGACAATATCTCCTCAATATCTGCAAGAAGATCAAGAAAGCGAACTGCAACGTTCTGCTGATCCAAAAGTCGATTCTGCGCGATGCAGTTGATGACACGTCGCTCACCTTCCTCAAGCGCTTGAATATCCTTGTTGTTAAGGACGTAGAGCGCGACGAGATTGAGTTCCTCTCAAAGAGCATAGGATGCAAACCTGTTGCTGATGTGGAGGCCTTTACGGAAGACAAGCTTGGTTATGCGGATCTTGTTGAGGAGAGAAGTGAGTCTGGTGCCAAGGTGGTACGAATTACAGGTATTAGGAACCGCGGGCGCACGGTCAGCATCCTTGCTATGGGTAGTAACAATCTTGTATTGGAGGAATGCGAGCGAAGTCTGCACGATGCACTTTGCGTCGTACGCTGCCTTGTCAAGAAGCGGTGCGTGCTCTTTTTTTGCGCAAGTAGGATCTTACTTGACATTTGCGTGTCACCAGGGCTTTAATCGCCGGCGGCGGTGCCCCCGAAATTCATGTGTCGCGACTTCTGTCGCAATACGCTCATACCCTCAAGGGCATGGAGGCCTACTGCTTCCAGGCATATGCAGATGCTTTGGAAGTCATCCCCACAACACTTGCGGAAAATGCGGGACTCAACCCCATCGCAATTGTGACCGAGCTGCGTAACCGACATGCCCTCGGAGAGCGCAACGCAGGCATCAACGTGCGGAAGGTGCGTGTATTCTTTGTTTTAAGTGCGTGAGCGCATGTCTGATCCCAGTGTCCACAGGGATTGGTTTCAAACATCTTGGAGGAAGATGTAGTGCAACCTCTGCTGGTATCTACAAGCGCCGTAGAGCTGGCAACGGAGACCGTCTGCCTACTGTTGAAAATCGATGACTACGTTCAGGCTCGATAGTTCGGGGTCTGGCGGATGTGTATCATACAGTAATGAGAAGTACACTTTCACAGTTGTAGCTTGGGATCATCCGCTGATGGCTATTGAAGACGCCAAGATGGCGGTGTCGTGAAGTTAGTTTCTCAGCGCTCACTTACAGGAGTGGTTTTCGCTTGCGTCTCGAGTCACCGTGACTTATGTTAAATCGGTCAACGCGAGGCCCGGCCGATGCTATGACTATAACGCTGTCCTGCGAACATGCCCTTGCTGGCCGTAATCATCGAGCGCGGATCGCTTCATGACTGGGGGTTTCGGCGGAAGCAGTCTACGGGCCCCACGTACTTGTGATAGACCGGGTATGTGGAATTCCTCATGCGCCAAGCAAATACCCCACACGGGTTACCGCTGTTCATTGTATCGTCTGCGCGTGATCCTTGACAACTAGCTCGCCGCCGAATTAGCATTCAGCTATTTTGCGCTCTAAGCGCAGGACAAATTGAGGGGTCAAATGCAATCAGCGCAAAAGATAGATGCGCAGGGACGTACTGAACATGGAACCGTCGCACATGAGATACAATTGATGCTACAGCAAACGACGAGTCTCATGTTCGAAATAGTAGCATATGTAGACTATTAGAGTGATATTGACTAGACTTCGGCTGAAAACCGACTAACGATGGGGAAAGGCGACCCCAGTGCGATGGCGACTCCTCAAAGGGAGCGCTTCCGCTCGGCGACGTCCTCGTATGGCTCCTCGTAGTCCATCACGCCCTCCCTGGCGACTAGTGCAAGACGTCGAAATTAGATTGTGCTGATGAGGGTGGGATATCAATAATTACAATGCACAGAGCGCTTGCGGTCATCCTCATGAGATTCCTCGTAGTCCATAACACCTTCCCTGGCGGCCAAGGTAACGGCTAACACCTGCAGTAAGCGTTTGTTGACGACTCTCAGATGCACGACTAAGGTTGACCCCGTGAAGTGGCCGGCTGCGCCTTCAACATGCAAAGCAGCAACGCCGCAAACAAGGAGCAACTTGGAAACGCATGCCGTCGACCAGGGCTCTGAAGAGACGGCGAGGGAACGGCTTGACAGGGAGAACGGAATGTTCTTCAGTGGAATGGAACCGCGTTCTTTAAACTCACAAGATAAATGCCACTCCACCCTCGTTCTGCTGGGCATGGAGGAATGGAACACTTCGGTCATAACAGCAAATGGCCGGGGATTGTTTGCAATCGTAACATCGACGGCCAAAGGGCACAGCAGGTTCACATACTTACTAAAAGGGACCACCGTTCAACCGATCGCCTGTAACCGTTTACTTAGTTATGTGCTCGCCGTAAGTAAGGGGGGAAAAACACTTAGTGATATGTCCTCGGCGTTGCCACGCCGGATGAGCATCCATGCGTCTTACTATAGATCTGTCAACCACTGGCACTATGATCCTGTCTGTGCCAGGCGTTATTGCGCGCACGGCGATGGTACTAGTTTGAAACAGGCCGCCGGCGAATAGAAGGGAAATTATTTCCTCGAAAATTCGATCACGCTATGTCAAGAAGCATTGAGGCGAGCGGGGCTGGGATTCGACGTGGCACCGTACGGTGACCCCTCCGACTCGGAGGTCATAAGCCCGAGCTGAGGCTCATAAAGAAGCATTCCACTCGTGTCCTACTGGATGACTTTCCGTAAGGAAATTAAGGATTTAGAGCATACTCTAAATTCCCAGAATGCTAGAAAATATATTAATTTTGATGCATTCCCATGCCCGCCGTCCAATGAGCAGCCCACGGCAAAGGCTAACCTTCCAAATACGACTGCGGCCTTCGCCGGGACCTGGCGCTTCTCCACACTCAATAAGCGCCGGGGACATGCCTTTGGCGCCCATCGCCGATGGCATGTCGAGCGTGCAACCTCCAGGGGAAGTGTACAATTCTTCACCTGGAATTGTTTGCTGGAGTTCCACAAAGACAAATCCTGCAGCCTTGAGAGTTTTTGTGAAGGGAGGAAGAAGTTGTCACATCCCTTCTTCGAGGTTTTAGCTCAGGGGGTCCCCTCCACGTTGTTAACCACGCAAATTTAGGATTGATGGCATGCCATAACAGGAAATCCGCCGAGGTCGTCTTTGACGCCCACAGTGTGGTCACACCCTCACGACACCAATTCTTGGTGAACACTGTGTCTCCCCCCATCCTACATGATTTGTATATCGTTCGGATGCTTGAAATGAGCAGTTACAGGTTGTCCAAACCAATTTTGAAGGAGGGACTTCCTCGACATGCAAATCCCAGATCTTGCAAAAATGAACTAACCTATATTGGGAATGCCTTCCAAAATTAAGGAAATCGCTAAATCCTTACGGAAAGTCATCCACTTTCCTTCTTATTTGACGAGCTTTCCTCTGGAAGACTGGATCCCTTTTTGATTAGCTATGCCAATGAAATGCTAGCATGAGCAAAGACAGAAGTACGGATCAACTTGAAGATCCATGATCTATGATCTGAACAGTGACCGGCATCCAGATGCGGCAAGTGTAGAAGTACACCAACACAGCATTCTGAATGTTACTGTATCTATAATACGGATTCCCGCTTGAAGCATTGGCTCATCGGAGTTCATAGTCCAACAATAGTATCCATTCATCCCATTCACGCTCGTGCGTAGAGCGAACGCCTCAGCTTGGTCGATCATAAGCGGTGCTTGTAGGAAGTCAGCACAACAACGATGACGAATCAGCGTAGGCCCATAAGGAGATGTCTGGTAGGAACGACATTCAGAACTAATCAAGAAAAGATACGTACAAGCCTTTGCAGCTAAATTCAGAACGTTAGACGTTTCTCGTTGAAACTCACCTCCCGATTCTTGTTTGTGGCGCAACGTTCGGGACAAATAAACCTAACCCAGTAGATGCTTGAGCGCTCGCGGGAGATCCATCCAGCGACACCGGCTACCTACATTCTCTCAGAGCCTCAGGTCAAGTCAGTACAGACAGCTTGCCATATTCGGCCTAGGACTGTTTGTTCGCACTAAAACACGAACAGAAATCGGGAGGTGAGTTTCAACTAGAAGTTCTGAATTTAGCTGTGATGAAAGTAAACAATGCTTCCCGTCGTGAATACGGTCCGTGACCGCGACGGCTAATGATGATGGAAACCTGTGTATTTATACTGCAAGCAGGAGATCAAGTGCACCAAGGAACAGTCTCTAACGTAGGTAAATACGCGCTGGTAAGGGGTTGCCACGAAAGCAGCGGTGTCTCATGAGTACTGTATTGTTCGGGTGCGGGGAAGTGATGTCAACAGTGGGAGTCTGTGATGTGAATAGCAGGGAGCATATGGTGGTGACATAAACGGAGAGCATAGGAGCAGGGGAAAACCGTAACCTCATCAATGTTCATTCAAGTCTGCCTGTCCCGAATCCTTCCACCTGAGTTCGCGCGGTGTTCTTCGTATGGCCCTGCGGCTTGCTCGCCTTTTGAGGCAGCTCGTACTCTAGCGGACTGGCGCGTAGCTCAGCCGTTTTCCTCGCGGCGGGTTGAGGGTACTATTACTGTTGTTCGTTGTCGTTTCATACAAGAGTACGCGTGATGGGGGCGCCATTGCCAGCAGGAGTAAAGAAACGAAAGGCGGATCAAGAGAGTAGTGCTGCGCTGACGTATGGGAGCGCAGCCCACCCGAAAGGGTAAGCGTCCAGGATGCAACGCTGATCGGCGACATCAACGAGGATCATGCCCTTACGAGTGCTATCACCCGGGCCGAACTGTATCACACAACACATGTAGAGAATTCTGGGATACTTCATACTACTACTGACCGATACACATAATCCGACGTCTATAGCATACGTGGGTTACCCTCCAGGCCAGTCACCGAAACAAGACGTGTGGTGCATCATGCCAACTCGAGTACCTCAAACCCTACGCATGTTACAGTCTTAGTCAAGCAGCACAAATTTTAAAACGCCATGGGAGACCTACCAAGAGCGGGCGACGAGAAAATCTGTTCAAATTCCAAGCGACACGACGCACACGAGATTTCAATGTTCACGTCCGTCTCGTCTGAGCAGTCGAAACGAGGTGTCGGATCCCTCAACTCTTGGCCGTCAAGGAACCTGTACCGGTTCTGGACGTCACGCGCCGTGAAGTTGACCGTGCCCATGAGCGATAATCGCTGTGGGCGGGTATTCCAACTCAACGACTTCGTGACTGGAGAAGACACGTTCCAGATCTCAATAGCGGTTACGTCGCCATCCACCCGATAACTCTTGCCGGCCTTCCCAAGCTTGTCAGCAGGGGAGACCCAGCCAGAAATGTAGCATGTCGGCCAAGAGCCTTTGACTCTCCAATGGTAGAACATTGAATCCTTCGGAATAACAAAGGGGCGTCACATGCGTATATCACTACCATAGACTCTGAAGCACTTACCGAAGAACTCAGCACAATAGATGATCCCGAGTGATACACCTTGTTAGGATCCGCCGCGTTCGCCCGCACCATAGAGGCAGGGAACGTCATTTTCGGGACTGCAGGGATTCAATTAGAACGATAGAGGCGTCCTGTAAACATAACTTACTCTTCTTCTTGTTGTTCTTGTGAATGTTCTTGCGGCCCTCCTCGAGATATGGCGAAGGTTGCACCATCCGCAAGCTCGAGACAAGCTCGTCCGGTCTGTACAACGGAACAGTTCCCGGGTTCGTCGATAGAACGCTGATGTGGAACGTGGCAGCAGCAGCGATAGCTATGGCCCCAATTACGATGGTCAGCCATAGAAGCGTCCTCTGGTTCTCTGTAGGGAATTTGGGGAATCGGCGACTATACTGGCCATTATTCTTCGTGGTCCTGAAATCCTCCTCGTCGGGGGAGAGGGATGTGAGAGGGGTGTATTCGGCCATGAAGACGAGAACTGTGGGGGTGTAAACGTTGAAAGCCTGAAAGGTATGCAGGTGGAAGGTGGCAGTCAACGGACTCACAAATGGGGTTAGCAACTGGCCACACCTCTTGCCAAATTTAAGACTGAGTGATTGAGTCACTCAGCCTGCCGCCGCCGCCGGCGAGCAGGGATTAGCGCCAAGGCGGCAATATCAGATCCTGATGATCTCGGGGAGTGCGGAGGAGGAATGCCAATGAGGGTGCATGACCGTCTGTGCCACAGCCCCTCTTTAGAAAACACTACCAGGACAACCTAGCCATACAATCGACATGGCCAAGTTCCCTACCCTCAGCCCACTAGTCATCGCGTACTTCGCGCTGGTGCTGAGTATCAGTCTTAATTTGTCGGCCATCTATATTTTCCGGCATCGTCCAGATCCTTGCGAACGCGTCCTGGTAGACGACAGCAGGTTCAGTAAGTATTCCACACCAGGTACGGGGGTGCTTGAACTGATACCTTTGCGCAGGCTACGTTGGAGACGATCACCCACACGAGCTCCCCATACACATACCGAATATAGCGCTTACTGTCGAGAACAGCGAGACATACGGACTTTCGGACTTTCAGGCATGGGTTGACTGGCGTACACTCGACGCTTTCCCGCACAGCAATGGCTTCGTCAAGCTAGGACCTGAGGGTGAGATTTGTCTGGGCTGCAATGAAGACACACGTAGACTCACGTCCTTACAGGCCAAACCTTTGGTGATTATGCGCGGCGGTGACGTCGGCAAACTGTTACTCACCACTCTCGCAGGTATCGCCATGTTCCACCAGATGCATTGTCTGCAGAAGATCCGCGAGGCTATCACCCAGGGTGACGCAGGAATGCACGTCCGCCACTGCCTGAATCTTCTGCGTCAAGCCATCCTGTGCGCTAGCGACACCACTCTTGATCCCATGAACAAGCCTAACGGGACCGACGGGCTTGGTGTGGTGCACATCTGCCGGGACTGGGAGAAAGTGTACGACTTCGTGGATGAGAATCAGCGACAGCACGCGAGCTCGTATAACAGGCCTGAGGGCCATGACGAGCAGTGAGGGTGGGGCCCGAGTCTATTAAATAGCATTAGCCACTGTCTGCAGAAGAATGTAATTCCGTATTCGCAGGTTGTGCATCGGCGGCGGTGAATAGTTCAAGTTCAGCTGACGCGAATTGACAATGCTTTCGTCCTATCAGACAAACCTGTTCTCCAGTGCATTGGAGTGAGGCGGTCAAAATATCGTACATGATAGATGCATTCCCGTCCGCCTAACCTGACAGGATATTCCTGATAGATGATCGTAGCTGTTCGTCTCCACAGCGCAAACGCCACAGACAACTCCCATCTTCGCTTCCCTTCAAGCGAAGCACCGCAACGCCACGAGTACTAGAGGTATCTGCAATCTCTGGTGAAATGATAATTTTCACATCGCCTGAAATTCACGATTAGGAATCACCGAGCAACACTATGCTTATAACTTGCCTTCGAATGGCGCTACATCCGCAGCAATCATCTTCAGCCGACGCTGCAGACCTTGCAAACGCCCTACGACGACATTGATGGGTACTTCGCTCCATCCCCGCGAATTAGCGCTGTCGAGAAGATTCCAAGTGGCTTCAAAGTCGAATTCACTGACACTGGACGCAGTTGAGATTGACACCAGAGGCTCAGACACGAAAGGCGAATCGAGCGCAATGAGGTCGACACGCGACGTCTGACACAGTGTTACAACCAACGAGACTGTATACAATGTGGTTTCGCACCGTATCGTCTTCGTCCATAATCTGCACTACAGGTAACACCGTGTTTGGTGCTGGGGGAGACGCCTATTATCCTCCATTAGGACTAGGTGAGATTATGGATTAAGAAGCTTTCCTTACCATGGAAGTAAGTTCAGCTTGACCAGCAACAAGAGCCAGATCACCTGGAGTTATAGTCCTTGCCAATGCCTCCTGAGAAGCTCGTACTTGTCCGATAAACCGAGAGCTACCATCCTCCGACTGCCTCGAGCTACTACTATTACTTAGACGTCGCAGGCGAGATGTGAGTTTTGGAGGCTCATATGCGTCATAGCGTAGTTCATGCGGGTAAGGCGAATTGCGAGAAACCGATTCAGATGACCGTGCTGAAACCAGTGATGGCGACGACGGTAGGTGTGCTTCCCGATTATCTTTCTCTACTTCGTACGTTTCGAGAGCAACCATGAAGTCAGGTAGCTTCGTTCAAATTAGAGGCGAGTTGGAGACAATATCAAATTCTGACGCACCGCAGTAGATTTGGCCATTGATATGATGTGCTTGATTTGCGCTTTCGAGCGGGACAGACTGATGAATTGATCGCAGCGCTGAAATACGTCAATCAGCGAAAATCACCGCGGTTCCCACAGAACTCACACGTCTAACGTATCTGCTACTTCGATCCCGCACAGTACTGACGTTCTCAACCACATCAGAAGGTGCTTCGTCAGATTCAGCAGCGATGCGAGTCATGGATAGCAAACAAGCGTCCTGGATGGAACCTTGAAAGTGGAATCAGCCAACCACCGTGCGTGCGATGTGAACAGTGGACGAACCAGAATACAGAGAAAGTCGTTTGCTCAATCCACGCAGTAGATTGACCGGCGATATTGGAGACATATACAGGTACTCGCTGATCAATGCCGTAAGGATTACCATGAGAGTTGGACCAATCTCCAAGTCAGGTTCAGTGATATTCGCGAACAATACACCAATACAACTGCTTTGGAAGTTCGCATTTGCTACATGCCTTCGTCATTGCAGAGCAAGGAAAAAAAGATGGAACCACTAACCGCTTCGCACATGGACAAGAACGTCCTCCACTGCTTCTTGTAGAACGCGCCGCTTGTTTAATGGAGTGCTCCCCTCGAGAACCGGAAGCAGACTCTTGATGTGTTGGATGTACAGTTCGCCATCCTCTCCACAGATAACTTGGATAATTTCTAGCAGTCGCCGCGAGTGTTCTTCGGGGTCTTGCATGATCCTAGTTTGAGAGTCGCCCCGAAGCAACTGCGTATAGTATGCCTCCACTATACCACGATCGACGCGTTGTAGTATGCACAGGGTCTTTCGAGTAACGCTCAGTAGACGACAAACGTAAACCGTACTCTACTCACTTTGGTTCTGATGCACTTATCAGCTGACTCGAGCAACCTCATCACCCGTTCGACCTCCCACTCTTCCAAGACTGCGGGGATATCTGAGCTTGTGCCAGCCCAGAGTGCAGGATCGATGTGACTCAAACAGACAACGAAGAGATAGACGTCATTGACATCTTCAGAAGTCAGGAGATGTTGTATTTCCTGCACAAAAGAAGTGCCCGCTTGAGCTTGTGTTGCAAGCAGTGATTCCAAGGGTGCATTTGCCGCAACCAGGAAACATTGATAAATTGCGGCTAATTGAAGTAAATTCTGTAGGTATGAACGTTGTACTGCAAATTATGAAGGAGCCTCACCGCGTGCAGAGAATCCCCTCGGACGTGCCGCACGGAGGATTTCTATTGTGAGAGCCAAGTCTCGTTCAGATGGTCTGTAATCCATTAGATGGATATCAGGGACAGAAGAATAGAGACGCACGTAAAAAAACGCAGCGCGTTCATGACCTTAAGGAGGATGTTGTTTTTACCAGGATCTGGGCGAGAACTCCAGGTAGACGAGTAGAGTTTCGATAGCATCGAGTGAAACATGTCGTCAGAGATATGTCCAGTCTTAACATTCATTACTACGCAGTAATTGTTCAAGTCCATACGACGACTCACCTTTACTGAGTCGACGCATACGATCAGAGCAGCGCTAGCGACGATGGGTTCAGAATCTGTTATGCGTTTATGCACTTTGCTCAAGATTTGCTCGAGTAGTCCAGGACGATGCTCGGACAGCTTATGAAAGGTCAGAAGTGCTCTCCGACGAACATGCAACCTGTAGCACGTTAACATCAATATGCCAGAGTACCAAAGAAAACACACATACTGACGAGCTGTGAGATAATAGATCTATTAAACGAGACTGGATAGCAGGGATGAAATCTTCCGTGGAGAAGTGGATGAGGGTATCCAGGGCGAGACAAATTCGGGGGACAAGATGGCTTTCAAGATCCTGGCATAATATAAGAGACGGTATTGACACAGCCCCACTCAACGCACCTTACGCAAGGTGTTCACAAGCATGAGCTGAAGTTCGTGCTCTGGCGGCATCAATTCTGCACAAAACAAATAGCCTGCCGTTCCTAGGTCTTCTGTCACCATGCCCTATAGCATATATGCATAAACCCACCTATTCTCTTGTCCTGTATAGTCTGTCCGGCCTCTGCCAAGTTAATGGCGTGGTGGAAGGCAAAGTCCACATTCGCGACAACACCGGGATTCACGGTCATCGCACAATACAGTAACAGGACCAAGCACTCCTTCAATTGTTTCTGCCAGATTGCTTCAGTTCGTAGGTTAGAAGACTGAAAAGTAGCTTAGCACACCATAGATAATCTCGAACGTGGAAGCTGATTGCGTATGGACTCAACCTCTGCCAGTAGGACCTGGTCGGCCTGACTAGACGACGACGCAGTCTCAATCTTGCGAACCAAAGTATAATGAGCTCTGCTGAGGGCTCCAGAGGAGACAAATGGCACGTCCATGGGTGAAGAGCACACGCAAGCAATTGCAGTTGTTGAGGTGTACTTGGTCTTGAAGGTACCCGGATTTGGCAATCGCACTGTTCTTCCTAACCGCCGCCATGTCCTCATCCTCATCGCCTGCTACGGGGACGGCCCATTCATTCAACAAGATTCTCAATCAGCACAAGTTATCCGCAAAGGCGCGCAGCACCGCTGAGATTGAGGAGTCAACCAAGAAGCTGAGGCGGTTAATCCTGGTTGACGGTATTCCATCGACTGTGGTGTGTCCAAGGACTGCCTTACAGTGGCTCGGTCCACACAATTGATGCGTACGTTCTTGAGGATCCTACACTACGTCCACGAATCTGGAAGATTCTCTTGCGCGTACAGGACGTATCGTCGGACACGTTTCTCGCGTACGTTGCGCGAGGTCCCTGCGAAGTCCGAGAGAAGATCAGGAATGACACCTTCAGGTGAGTGTTTCTTTCCCCCACTTACACCGGTATTGGTCTCTCAGTCTTTTATTAGAACGTTAGCTACGGATCGCGGTTTTAAGGAGCGCGTGCGCGAGGACATGCTTGTACGACTACTTGACGCGTTTGTTTGGCGAAATCATGGTGCGGCATAGTTCAGAGGCTCATACATTTATCGACTGATCGATATCTTGTATAGACAGGCAGGAAACGCATCATTTGGGTTTCACATACGTGCAAGGAATGAATGTTCTTGCAGCACCATTCTTGTACACCATGCCGTCGGAGTTGGAAGCCTTCTTCTGTTTTGCCAAGTTCATTGAAGAATCGTGCCCACTATACGTCCAACCTACTCTGGAGGGTGTGCACCGGGGACTTAAGGTGCTTATTCGCTTAGTCTACGTGGTTTGGAAGCGTATGTTCATTGTGTTGGCGAGCAGCTACTGGACCGTTGTTTGAAGATCGTTGATCCCGACCTTTATGCACATTTGCGTTCAAAGAACCTGTCGGCAGAGATCTACGCCTTCCCTTGTGCGTGTCCTTTATTGACATCGCATGTCATTCTGACGCATATGCACAAAGCGATCTTGACTCTGTGCGCGTGTACGCCTCCGCTGGACCAAGTGTTGCAGTTGTGGGATTTCCTACTGGCATTCGGGGTGCACCTTAACGTCCTATGCGTAATCGCGCAACTGCTATTGATGCGAGACGAAGTTATGAGTTCGTCCAGGTGCGTCAGTTGTGATACCTTCTGTTCCCTGTATTCACAGGTGACTTTCCTAGCCCTATGCGCCTGCTGCGCACATTCCCCCCACTTGAAGCACTTCCCGTGATCGGGATCGCAGTCACCCTTGTACGAGACCTGCCCACAGACCTCTATGACGAACTTGTGCGGCATCCCTACGCTGTGCAGGATTAACGACGACTTGCGTGCTCTCATTCTACGGCTGTGCTGACACTGGCTCGCTGTGTTACTAGCTGCTCGAACATATTGGCTGCCCTCTATCATGTGGACGGAGCTATCAAGTTGTAAAGTTTTCCGACCTGAATGGCAAAATACGTGAATTGTGGCCGAAAGTACTGAACTGTAACCTGAACAGAGCTTATCTCAAAGTGGCGGAGTCAAAGTTTCTCCGTGATATCCTTCGCACGTTGTACGACCATTTCTCAGAATGTGTACAGGCATTTAATGGATGAAAACAGCCAAACCCCATGCGGGTTCTTGCACAAAATAATATACCACAAAGCTGGAGCAGTGAAAAACCATCTTAATGATGACAAAAACTTGCCTTACCAGGAGCGTGGAACACGCCACCGCCGGCTTGAGTTCCCCGGTGCCAAAACATGACCGCACTCTATGTGCAGATTTTTTGCCAGGAGCGTGGATTGAACACGCGACCTCCAGAAGTCCCAAAGTCCACGATAGAAACCTTCAGTCTGTTGCTCTCCCAGCTGAGCTATCCCGGCACATCTGCCTAAGCGATTGATCACATGAAATCATCACCGTATATTTGGGGGAAGTCAGGTGCCTTAATGAACCTGCATGTCACGTGGTGAAACAGGCTTCGAGAAGACGGATGCGTGTGGAAGAAGTGCATGTAACCTTCCGAACACTACCATCAGTCTCGATTACGCCCCCTCTCGAGCGGTGAGCTGTTGGCGAACTTACGCGCTCGTGCGGTCGCACGAAACTGGACATTGCAGGGCCAGTAACAGCATCCTATGAGTGGAAACGGGTCCGTGCGCGCCTCTGGCGTCTTCCACTCCGAATAACTTACACCCCATACAGTCTGTCGAGCTATCTGTCGGACTCGGTCGCGCTCAATGATAGTCTTCGAAGTATGTCCGATGGTTCCACCCCTTGTGGAGATCCTGACAGGCTTCTGCAGGTAACAAGGCGGTCGTGTGTGCCATCTCTGCAAGCTACATCTCGACGTTCGTGGGGTATCCTGTGGGTTTCCTTTTTTCCAGCATGGATGCGTAATGTGTGTTCTTAAAGAACTCTCAACAGCTAGATTCTATCAAGTCCAGGCTTCAGACCATACGGACTCACATATCGATCCCTACGCTTGCACTTCAAGTGTACCGTGAAGAAGGCGTCATCGGATTCTATCGCGGGCTATGGATACCTCTGATCACCATTTCCTTCGTTCGTACGTGTCGTCTTCACATATACCCACAGTACCGCCTCTCTGACCGCATGTATTCTAGGTGCTGCGTCTTTCACGATATACACTTCTACCAAAGAGTATTTCCGTGAGCATCATTTACTGAACAGCAACAACATCTTCAATGTGGCGTCTGCGGGCGGCGTAGGGTCAGTCTTCCCGTGGCTACTCGGTGAAGTTGACTCACTTTGGTGCGTAGGGGTGCATTGTCTGGCTCCCTGATATCATTCGGTAGTGCGCGTGAGTTGTACGATTGACTGCTAGATTGAATGGCATCTTATTTTTTGCCTTCCTGGTAGCATTTGAGCTTGTGAAGGTCCATCGGTCTACTTCGGCTGCACCCGAATCAAGGGACTGACGCCGCGCATTTCAGGTTCGGCGTCAGCTGGAATACTCTATCGCTGCCAGCAAGGGAACCCGGATTCTGAAGGCTCCAAGTACCGTAGATGCCGTCCGCGATATTTTAAGGAACAACGGCGTGAGGGGCTTGTACCTAGGATTCCGCCTTCATTTCAGTGAGTCCTATCGAGCTCCTCGTTAGCAGGCCATTTGATAACATTTGCAGTACGCGACACAACCGGTACGGCGCTGTATTTCTTCGAGTACGATGGCTTTCGCCACTTGATGGGCCGCGACGCTCTCTCGGGCGAACAAGGACCAACACCAGCTTGGATGCCGATACCCTCTTCGTTAGTTCCCTTCATGTGTGGCTCCCTCGCTGGTGTGACGTCGTGGGCTATGATCTACCCTCTTGATGTGTACGCACCCCACATAGCTTGCCTGGCTTGCACTAACACTTCTCTAGTGTCAAGACAAAGGTTCAGCAACGCGCGTTGGCCGGTGAGCGTAAGAGGGGCGCATTCGAGACATTGTATCGTCTAATTCGGGGTAGGTTGTCCTCCGCTGTTGCGTTGCTGTCTCTCTGACTCCCGCCTGGCGACAGGCCCGGACCCGACCGCCCCGAGACCTTTCCTCTTGGGAGTAGCGCGACTATACCGTGGACTAGGGGTCAGTGCGTTGCGCAGTGTTACCACTCATGGCTTGCTCTGGACGATCTTTGATCTCACGGCTGGGTATATTGACCGGCTCCCTGCGACATCAGAAAGTACAGTATAGATACAATGCTAGTCAAACATAGAGGAGACACCAAGCATAATGATGATTCATGAACTTGTACTTATTAGCATCTGGCGCATGACCCAATATACCGCCAACAAAATTTGGCATCTCTCCGTCCCGTGTTTTTTATACCCCAGACTCCGTTAGGCTCGTGGCTTCTAGTAGGGGCACTCAAAGAGGGTAGACGCTACTGGTGACTTCTGTTACCGCTTTTATTCCGACATACGTCCTCGGATAAATCTCAGGCGTTCGAGCCTGCTGTCAGATTTCGCGATGCCTCTTGCGCTAGAAACGCGCACCATGCATATGCATGACATTCGTCAATCCGTTAACCCTTGACGCTCATCAGGATCATCTCCAGCGCGCCACGCTAAAGACAAACAGCTGCTCCTTGTCCAGATGTCCTGTTCACAATCTGTTACTGGCGTTGCAAGTCAAGGGGTAACCCTTACCTTCGTGTCCTACAGTGTACAACCGCACTCGAGGGGTCATCGGTAAATATTCCGGTCAAAATCCGCCTATCCGCTTCTTGGCGAGTTTTTTCTTCGCTGGAAGCGGTCGTCCACCGTGAGGACCGGGAAGCACCTGAGTGCTCGTCATGAAGTTCTGAGACGAGGGAGGTGCATTCCAGCCACCCTCCTCGGGTTGACTGCCACCGAGTATGACTTCTTGTGAGCGGGCACCAGTGAGTGGTTTCCGCGTAACAAGGGATTGGTGACTTGTGGCGATGGCGAAAGGTGCCATTGCAGAGGATGCAAGGACTGGAGGCGGCCGCTGGGACTGTATACCCAAATCTTCCATGAGAGGTTGAGCGACCTCCGGCTTATATCTCGTTCGGCGCTGCTGCACCTTGGGAACACCATTGGAGATCTCGTAGAGATCATGGTAGCTGAATGTGTCAGGATCTGCGCCGATATCCCAATCCTTCAGCAGCAGCCGCACACCGAGTGACAACGGAAGATCCCGAGACGATTCTGCCGGAGTCCGTTCTGTCTTCCCCCTGGTATAATATTCGACAGATCGCTTGTCGACAGGGCGCAGGAATCCAAATGTTACTGGAGGTGGCTCTGCATCTTGAAGTGACATGGCCTCCGTAGCACGGGACATCGTTTCCAGAACGTTGTCCAAGTTGGGATCTATTCCATCCTTCGGCTCACCCGCTCGCATAAAGGGATGGGGGGCGAATACGTTTGACGACAGGGACAAGTCAAGCAAGAGCTGCTCCCGAGATTCAGACTCTCTTCGATAGGATACGGCAGGCCGATCTGTGTCAGAATCAAGATTATACTGCTTGAGACGATCGACTGTCTTTTCCAGGTGCTCTTCCATGTCGGGAATGAAATGATGCAAAAACGGTGCGATGTTCATATGCCAACGTGAAGACTTGGCGAGCTGTTTGACCGGAATGCGATCTTGCACCAATGCACGGTAACCACGAACAGAGTTCATAGCACTTTCTGTCAAGATGTCACTTCTGGTGGCCTGAAGTGGATGGGCACCCGAACGTAACGAAATGTCATATCTTTTTTTGTAATTAGTGAGAGAACCACCACAGAAAAGAAGACGGAGATTACGTAGTCAGGATGTGTTCAACGGGCACATCAGAATCTTGCAAGAAGGAGGGCATCTTGTCTAAAATTTGATACACGGCTTCACCATCCCCTGCTGGCAAATCTGCCTCGCTGAAATGGAAAATCCCTGAGCAGCTAAGTTAGAGGAGAAACATGCGGCACAGATGGACTTTACTTTTGTAAGCAGGTCGAAGGTCGACTTTGCTGAAAGTTTGCGCTCCCAAGGGGCCATTGTTGGGTCGTGAAGTCTTCACCTGTGCTTCCAAATTCAGGACATCTACAGGCCACTCTACCCTCTGGTTGTCAATACGAGTGACGTCGCCGGCTTCACCGGTGGGAGATAATTCGAGGTTGAGGAGACTAATACTACCACTTTCACTGAGCTGCATGACGCTGATGTCTCCGTCATTGGTGTCCGCTGGATGCTGAACGAAGGCATGTCCGAGATAGCGGCCATCGGGAGTGCGGACTGGAGGCAGGCAGTATGGTGGAACGTTCACATATACCAGATTGTGGTCTGTGCCCGAGACATCGTAGACCGTCACTAATCCATTACAACGTGAGGTAAGGAAGGTCAGAGGAGCTACGCCAATGTCAGCAATCTTGTCCTTGTGAGGTGGAGAGATGTTCACATTGCATTAGCAGTCGGGTATATGTAGTGAGCGTTCTGTCAGAACCTCTCCCGTGCTTCATCCCAAGCAATGGCGTGCCGGGACGCCGCTCATCTATCCAGACGACTTCATCACTTGTTACAAGGCGTACCACATGGTCTTCTGATCGACCTTCGATGGAAATAAGGAAGTCTTCTGCATTTGAGGCATGATAAAGTACAGAGGAGCTATCGTGCGCCTGTTGAAGCTGTTAATGCATTGTGGTTCAATATGGACACAGCCGCTGTACTTACCCTGAGATCCAGGTGTTCAGCATATTTCCTACCCATGAGCAAACAACTATAATTATCCTTCCAAGTTCCTATTCTCCAGTATTGTTCCTGAGGATCAGCTTGAGACGACGTCGGTTGAGTATATAATCGTTCGCTAGCATATTTTCATGAGTCAAAACAAAATATTCATCCAATGAGACTAACATGAATTTTTGACCCCGCGGAACACTGCATTGATAGACGGTGCCCTCCTGGTTGACAAGTAGTAGTGAACCGTGTCTGGTGGACGTAGTTGGAAGTGTCATGTCCATAAGTAACTTGTCGCCAACATCCGATCTAGCGACTACCGCTAGCTCGTGCATCTGTACAGCAGCCGATCGGCTGTCCCCCATGGGCTTCACCTGGAGTAAACTTGTTGCAGCATAGGTTCTGACACCCAGAACAGTCTCTATAACATCAGCCTTCAACGCTACTATGCAAACTTCATTGCTGACAGCTAATACGTACCGGATCTTTCGCCCTCGGTTGACGGTGCAGGGGACAAGATTTGCTGTATGGGAGTTTGAAAGGACTTTATAGGCTTCGCAGAGCTTCTCAGCGAAATATGATCTCTCTGAGTAAATATAAGCGGAGATACGTCTGCAGAGTCTGTGCTGAGCAAACAACTCGACGCAAGATGCTAACTGGACTTACTTAAATCGCAGTATGACTCACCCATGGGGAACGCTAAATATGTACCCTCTTCGCGATTCCCAGTGTAGAGAGAAAACACTTCTAGCATACTTCCCGCAAGAGGGTCAAATTTACGCAGTTCGTGAAAAGCTCCGGCATCTGCAGCTATCTCGTCTCTGATAAGTTCAGAGGGAATGTCAACATCTGGGTAATATGTCCGCAAAAAATGTGCCTAAAACAGCTAATTAACATGCTTCCTCTTCACAATAATTGATAGCATACTCCTTGTTCTGCTCGTTGAGCGACAGATAGGTCTGATACATTCGAGAGGTGCTGCTGCGTCTGGGGGAAAACTTCGATCGGGTCCTGCTTTGAGAAGAGCCTGCGCCCTAAGCAAAGTCAGAGTAAACCAGATACTTGATCAGTAGGCTCACCGGAATTTTTCTCACATAGAAATGACCAGTGAAGGCGATCCGCATAGCGCCGCAAGGTTGCCGACGTTAAAGATCCAGGCTCAACGGAAGGGTATCTCCATGGACTCTCCTTTACTGTCTTCTTTCCCTTCTGACGGACAATAGTTACGCTCGTCTTCGTTTCATCAGATGGCCAACGATCTACGACACTTTCTGAGGACATAGCCTTGGAGGAAGGTGACTTCGCATAATTTGGGGAGGAACGTGTCTGGAGTCCTTTACGGACGCGTCGTGTGCACGTGAGCTGAAAGTGGTGTCAGAAGTCCGATCCGCGTCTCTAAATTTCGGCAAGTGGCACTCAAGCCATCATTTCTGCAAAGTACTATGCTCAGGCTGTGGGCTGTGGGCCAACGTCCTCATTCTCTTCAGTGCAGATGGCTTCACTCCACGTTTGTGGCCAATGCTGCGGCAACCACTTCGGATGCTCCGGCAGCACCAAAATGGACACCTCAGTCCATACGCACTGGCTTGATTGCTCGGAAACGGGGTATGACCGCAATGTGGGATGACCACGGTGCAAGATATCCGGTGACGGTCCTTCAGGTATTTTTTGTTATTATGTGCTTGCGAAGGGTATGCTCAATGCATTGCCGTGTCATAGTTGGAGAACTGCCAAGTCACCGCGAACATCAAGACGGCGCGTAAGGACCACTCGGAATATCACGCGGTTCAAGTCGCTGCGACAGATAGACCAGCGAAGACTGCTACTGCGCAGATGCTTGGTCACTACAGGAAAGCTGGAGTTCATCCTAAACGAGTTGTGAAGGAATTTTCAGTGACTCCTGACGCACATGTACCTGTCGGTACGTGTCCGAGATATGGCTTATCGTTTACGGCTAATTCCTACGGATTCCCACAGGTACAACTCTTTCTGCGATACATTTTGTTCCAGGGCAGTATGTCGATGTCATTGCAAACTCGTTCGTCTCGTATCCCTGTGAATCGGCTATTACGCTGAACTTCTTTCGCTAGTATTGGTAAGGGGTTCCAAGGAACGATGAAGAGGTGGAACTTCAAGGGTCTCCGGGCAAGTCATGGTGTGTCTATATCACACCGTTCAGCCGGAGCTATTGGCGCACATCAAGTTCCGTTCGCTCTTTCTCGTATTTTGATACAGCCACTCACAGCACTACTCTCAGGACCCTGGTCGTGTATGGCCAGGGAAGAAGATGGCCGGTCGACTTGGAGGTGAACGTACAACGACTCAGAATCTCGCCGTCGTGCGTGTCGACAGCACTCTGGACCTCATTTTCGTACGTGGTTGCGTACCAGGATTTGACAACGCACATGTCATGATACGAGATGCGAAGAAGAAGATGACCCGCGATGCGCACGTCAACTATATGAAGGCTATAACTGACAAGGTGCTCCCCAAAGGAGTGAACGACTTGCCGTTCCCAGCAGGGACACAAGAGATGGCAAGGGTACTGCCTCCCGTCATTGCTGCTCCGACGCATCGTAGGAGTCCTTTCCTTCCTAGAACATAAACCATTTTTTTGTTTCCGCCAAGCGTTCATCGTGAATCTAATTTCTCGTATGGAAACACAGCCCGGTGTGACGATAGTCAAACGTTCATCGGAATTTCTCGCACGCTCGAATCAGTTTTCCCGCTATATTTCTCCTGTAAGTGGTCTGATCAAAGATTGCTCGTGCAGCGCCGTCGACATGCAAGAGCGGTGCATAGTGTGAGCGCTACCAGGCTCCTAAAACCATCCGTCGTTACAGCGTTCTCGCTCCTTTATCCTAGCACGCATGTTTTAGGAGATCATGTGATATATGTTTTATGAGACTTACCCTTTTTATCGAAAATTACCGGATTAGGACGAGCACTAAGAGGAGGAGAACGCTGTAAGACGGCTGGCCAAACTCGTCATCCGGATTGTTCCGAGCTTATGCAAGCCTACGTTTCTCGCAGGAACTTTGAGGTAAACCCTACCGTAGGTCTTATTTTGTGGGGCACGAGCAGCCCCAAACTGGTTGCTTGTCGCGCGCCGCAGCGCACCCACTGCCTCACAACATCATGCAAAGATATCAGAGAATGGAAGAATATTTACTCTTAGGTGCTCAAATTTACTCCAGTTAAATGAGGAGGCCCCAATCATGCATCACTGTCAGTCTGCCAGTGCAACAATTTTGGTAGTTGACTGCCTGAGGGAGGTGAAGTTGAAGGTGCAGCTTAGTACCTACTGATGCTTGCAGAATGAGGAAACACCCATCTGACATTAGCTCCGGCCTTTGCGAGTCTCTTTCCCATGCCCGCGCGATGTTGTGAGGCAGCGGGCGCGCTGCGGCGCGCGACAAGCAACCAGTTTGGGGCTGCTCGTGCCCCACAAAATAAGACCTACGGTAGGGTTTACCTCAAAGTTCCTGCGAGAAACGTAGGCTTGCATAAGCTCGGAACAATCCGGATGACGAGTTTGGCCAGCCGTCTTACAGCGTTCTCCTCCTCTTAGTGCTCGTCCTAATCCGGTAATTTTCGATAAAAAGGGTAAGTCTCATAAAACATATATCACATGATCTCCTGAAACATGCGTGCTAGGATAAAGGAGCGAGAACGCTGTAACGACGGATGGTTTTAGGAGCCTGGAGCGCTACACGTACTTGTCTTGATCAACGATGTAAGTATACTTGTGACGAACTTTGCGTACAATCATCACAGCCAAGAGTTCTCCGGAATAGGAGGTCTCTCAAGATAAACCTTGCACCTGGAAGAGGCGTGGAGTTGCCTGCGTGTCCTTGACTGTCATCCTTGGTCTGCGGACGCAACCAATATACGGCAATGCCTGGCAAACGTCTTCTAGTCGAGATAGCTTCGTACAACACGAATTTACAAGGCGATGAAGGTGTATCCCAAGATTTAGTCGACTGGCTCTGTCCGACGCTGGATGTCTCCCGCGTACGAGAGCGCAAAGCACCGGACATCATCGCAGTAGGCTTCCAAGAGCTTCTACCGTTGCATCTTGGGTGTGAGTGCATCTCCGCTGTCACTTCTAGAGCAGATACTAGAAGGGATCCTGTTGTCCCCAGTTGCTGGTCTTTCAAATGCGGTCATCAACAACAGGAACACTCAGATCCTCTCTCAGATAGAAGCACATTCTCCGAGCAAGGAGCGGTACTCGTTGATAGCCAAGGTGGTTAACGTAGGCGTTGCTCTACTTGTCTACGGCCGCGACGACAGCGTGGCGCGTACAGTGTGCGATGTACAGACGCAGTGGACGGGGTGCGGGCCGGCCTACATGGGCAACAAGGGCGCCGTAGGCGTGAGGTTCAGAGTACCAGGAGAGGACGGTGGGATCGGAGAGGTCTATACGTGCGTTGGCTACGTGCCCTGCCTTGTAATGTTGTTGTTCAATTCACATTATTCCACCAGTTTTGTGTGCGCACATCTTACTGCGCATTCACATGAGCTGCAGCGACGCATTCACGATTTTCACCATGTTGTTCGCACCCTTATCTTCCCGGCACTGCCTTTCTCGGAGTCAAGATCGCCGACAACTATCTATTCTACCTCACATTTATTCTTCTTTGGCGACCTGAACTTCAGGCTTGCGATACCCGCCTCCCGCGGACTCGCAGATCCATCCCAACGCTCCAGCCTTGTCGAAACATTGACAGATGAAGAAGGCCGTCGGAGCTTGAGAGAATGCGATGAGCTGCTCGTGGAGCGCGACATTAAAGGCAGCATCTTCATGGGCCTCCGAGAAGGCGAATTCTGGAGATTCAACTGTAGCTACAAGTACAAACTGGGAGAGGTTGATAACTTCGAGTGCGTCCTCCATATATCCTGATTATCACACCTCATTCTGACTTACCTACGATGTCGCAGTCCGAAAAGAATACCCGCTTGGACGGATAGGATTATGTATACTACGTTCGCAGATACCCCCGATGCATCAGCAGAGTCTAGCATCGCAAACCTTCTCTATACTACGATACCCTCATACACGAGATCCGACCACGTATGTTTCCATCATGCTGTTTTCGAGTGCCTAGTCTCACGTATCATGACCCTTCAGAAACCAGTTGTAGCTCTTCTCCTCTTACCGCCTTCCGAGCCAACGGCTCCGACACTCCCCGTGCTCCAGTTAGCTCCTGACTACCATCCTGCACCCGACCCGCTGGCCGCTATCAAGAGATATACCGGCCGGTTGCTCGACCGTGTGTTGGGATATGTATGGTGGGCCATCGTGCTTCTTGGTGCAGGTTCCACCATCGTTGGTATCTGCAACTTCGTTCTGGGCCTAGGCATCTGGGGCTGGTGGAACTCGAGCTGGTGGAATTCGAGAGGACAGTCCGCGGAACAGAGTTGACGTCCGTCATTGCATACAGCTTTGAGGAGGTCGTCATCATATTTATTCGTAGTATCTGTCACACATCTAGCGAGGTTTCACCAGGAAATATAGTATACAGGCTCTACGAAGGTGCACAACAAAACGTACAAGGTCATGCACAAAAAGAATAAGCGAGATGAAGTACAGGCAAGCGCAGGGATAGAGTGATAGTTAGGGCTAGTGAAGATCGTACATTACCGGAACACACATGGATACATCGAGGGATGGGAATTTATGGCGTCACCTTCTTGCCTCTGTCTTCGTCGTCGACCACAATTAGCACTTCTTCTACGTCAGTGAGAGTCTCCTCGCGACGAAGAGTAGGATGGTTAGCAAGCGGGTCTTCTACGTCCACGTCGGAAGCCTCCTGGGGCATTTTGGGTAGACGGATAAAAAGGAACAGGATGAACGCCACGGAGAGCACCCCCGCAGACACGAAGAATATTGCCGGCGGAAAGATGGCGACAGTCGCCATATATGTGAATGCAAAAATGGTAGGGCCCAATACTTGAGAGCTGATAATAGTCGGAGTTCCCGTTACTTCTGACAAACCCATAACATGGGGGAAAAACGCACCTTAGTGTTTGTATCACACTCATAGCACCGAACAACTTCCCCATCTCTTTTCCCCCTCGCGTAGCGTACAGTGTTGAAGCGACGCTGCTTATCGCGGGGCCATAACCTGCACCAAGGGAGGACATGATGCCGAAAAAGGTGAACAAGCCACCAGTCCTCGTGAACGCCATCAGAATATATGAGCTAATTTCGAGGAGAAGAGAGCAGCGTGCGATGACCAAATCAAAATGAGGCGAATGTGGCTGGTGAGGCGGAGGCGCCGTCTCCTGTGGTGCAAGTGACTCTGATGAAGCTGTCTCTGGACGAAGAGGCTCCAAGGGTTCGATAGGTAGCATTATCGCTGAAGGCTTGGGTTGGAATAATTTAGTGAGGACTGCGGCATTGGTGTAAGCTTTTAACCAAACATGAACGACGTAAACACCTACGGGGAAGCACCAGAGTCAGGTGGATTGCTCGTGAAGCACCCACACTGCTACTCCAGTAACCAATCTGTATCAAGTGGATATTAAGCGTAAATAACGACTAATAGCCGAGGAACACCTTACCTCTGCCGCTGTCCATCCGAATACAGAAGACATGTATTGCATTTTGTAAGTGAGACCGCCCTATGCGCCAAAATAAAACACCACCAAATAAGTTTTATGTGTCAGGGCTTACTATGAGAGAGCCAGTACATCCACATCCTGCGACTAGGAGCAAAAGGCTCCAATCTCTTCTTTTCTTCGAGGCACTATCATCGATGACCATGGGATAGAAAAGGGCCAGAGGCCTCAGGAAATCAAACGGTCTTCCCAGCCAAGTAAGAAGACCGCCCTTGGATCTTGCGATGGCGAGCCGCGCACTGTCCTCCGCATGAAGGCGACGAGCTTCTGCTCTTTGAGCCTTTGTCAAAGACTCGGGGATGACAACCCAGAGAAATAGACATAGAATCAGATAAGTGCAGAATGAAATGTAGAAGACGGAGATGATGTTGCCCGTGAGATTGATAGTCAAACTGCCGAGGGTAGGGCCGATACTTATGCCAGCGAACAAGAGTCCCATGAAAAGGGAGAAAATGCGAGAGCTACATCAAACTCATTGGCTCCAGTACACGAGAGTAAAGAATGGAGGAACTCTACCGTGAACTGGGTTCAGTGCAATCGGTGAGATAGGCATGGATTGCGGATGATACTGCGCCAATACCTGAAGGATTAATGTGAGAATCTGGCACGGCTTCGAACAGAGTACCAGAATACGAATATTCACCGCCAAGAAGCCCGTCAATTATGGGACCAAGGACGAGGAACCAGATTCCTCCCGGAACAGAATTCGGGAAATTGTACACAAGTAGAAAGCCCAGCTCTGTCACAAGGATACCGATTGTAGAGATTCCCGCAATTCTGACACGCCCATATCGATCAGACAGCTGCAGAGAAAGCTCAGGACGGGGTATTAAATAGTACCATGATAGTTGGCTGGGCGTACCGAAGCCCACATTGTGGTCGTTATACACCCCAGGATGCCTGTGGAAGCTGCTATAACAAGGGATAGCTTGGCAACTGCAGCCTGGACCACTGGATCGGACGCGCAGAGTGCCCAGTCTCTGTCTGAGGGGGGTGTAGATGCCATACCGCCTGATGGAACGACAGAGGACATATTGTTTGCATGGGGAGATAGCAGGGTGAGGTTATCAGGATTCCGACCAACTCTTGAGTACTCCGGCTTATAGGTATCGCAAGCGAGACGTGTATATACAGAGACGCGTGGGGCCATTGTCGCACCAGCCGCAACAGAACTGATGATGATCAGAACAAGAAACCTAAAGAAAAAAGAACGAATTAACCTAGAATTATGTAGCTTGTACCGGCGGTTGTCAAACGACTCACCACCATGGCGAAGGTCTCTTCCACCAAGGCAAGTCCAACGGTTGCTTCGCAGTATCGATTTCGTCGTCCGCACATACCTCATCGGCAGCCTCCTGAACCAGTGTCTGTTCAGATTCATGCCTGTGGGGATGCACAAACTCTTGCAGCAGCTCTGCTACCTCCTCACTAACAGGGGCGTCAGGATTGATTAACTCCTCGGGACCAAACGGGATATACGAGAGCGACGAGAGAGAGGGATTTCGAGATGTGCGAAGCCGTGAACCAGGGCGCGAAGACGACTTCGAGGCCCCTGGTACACGCAACCTCGAGTTGTCCTTCGAGCGCGACATGGCTTCCTCTAGACTATCTACTGAGAGGGGCAGAAGGTGGGGGAGCTAAGGAAGCTCTGGAGCCGCAGCCTCATGAGAGGACCGAACTTGTATATGTATGCATTACACGCGGACATCGTCACTTCCGTCGCAATCGCCTCGGCGAAGAGATAGGCACTAGAGTTTGTATATCTTCCGCTATGTAAGCTCCAAGAAAGGAAAATTTTGGCCAACGTTGCCTCTGATTGGCCCAGGACATTTTAGCGCCCAGCTGCAAATACACTCTACTGTGAGAGTTTCAATATGTATCATCAACATGCTAGCTTGACCGGCCGCAGCAGAGCTTATAAGGCGCCGAATATTATGATCCTCCTATGATTTCTCATCCACCACCCAGCTCCTGACTCGGAGTCCTAAGGAAGGTTGATTATCATGTTAAGTAATTGAATTTACCAGTAAGACATTCGAATACGTGAATAGTGTTCATTATTCTCCTTCAAGGCAATTCCCAGGTGCTAAGTACATCGTGGGCACCTGAAGGCGTCGGCTTGTGGTCGGTCACCTACGAATCAGTTGTCCACGGCGTGAGATCATCAATGCTGCGCACGTCGGTCACCCCGTTTCAGCCTGAGTACGGCGAGGTTTGCGACCCCCGACAGTCAGCGCTCATCAGTTCATGCTACGGTGGAACAGTAAGACTGACAACGTACTGATGCAAGACGGTGAACAGGCTGGGATCTCACATCTCGAGAATACACAGAGGTGAGCGGTCTGCGGTCTTACGATACAAATGGAAAAAAGTGCGTATCGTGCGTGTCGCACCAGCAGTTCTCAACGGAACAGGAAGAAGCGAAAGACCCTTCTCAAGAACAGAGACTGCCCAACTGCGTGATCCATCCGCACCATAGGTACACGGCCATCCCTTGGAGGGCTGGTAATCAGCTAAAACCGATAAGATGATGGGTGGTGCCGGAGGATGCTCCGGAAATGTTCGGATGACCTTAGCCAGAGAGTGAATACGCATATCCCGGGACCCTCTCGAGACCCACCTCTGATGGGCAGATGATCGAAGGGGTCTAGCTGAGCTGACCGTTCAGCGCCACGCCAGCCAGCTTACGGATCTTGAATTTCGTGCAGCCGAACAACTGTTAGGCGCCAAGCGGGCCGTCTGTTCGGGTCGACTGGTTTTGTGCTTGCCGAATTTGCCCGGCTTGAGCCCGACGGGGATTTCAGAAAAATAATTTGCACCAAAATATATTTGTTGCCTCGACTACACAATACATGTCTAACTATGTAACAATAAAATACTCTGGCAACCGTCCATGCGCGTCGTGCAAATGTCAACAAGAATCCTGCCAGGACGATGGGGCGTAAGTAACCACTCATGCCGGCTGTGACGGCGGGGCATACCTTTCACAACCTTGTGCAGAGTGCAAACCGCGCGCTGAAAATTTCTGTTTGTCGAAGGCCAAGTCAGTGTGGTGCCGCTGTGACCCGAAAGAGGACCGCAGTGCTGGCCCCAAAGCTGAAAACTCCCACATCACCTCCAGCAGCACGATCTCCACCGCCTCCGCCACTGCCACCTTTGTGTTCATCAAAGCATCGAGCAAATGAATGATGTACTTACTAACTCCATCGCCACTGTCTTAGGGTGAGAAGTCGACACACTTGAGTTCGAGAGGTTGTGGGCTCAAAGGAAGAGGTGGTCAGAACGTGAGCTGGCGCCTTCGAGAAGATATATTTATGACTTTCCAACTCCGCTCGGTTCTCGCTCCAGGCGAGCACGGCATGCTCGGCTGTGGACGCAGTCAAAGGAAGCCTGAAGTCAAACCTTCCCTTGGGTGGCCCGTCAAATAAATCAGCTCAGCTTTTTTTGAGACCATAGCTGCCAATGTCTACTTATTTGAAACAAGTGCACAACATAATTTTTCTATCTAAAGTGAGGAGCATACCCCGATGATCCATAGATCACCTCCCGATTCCGAGAGGTGACGGAGACCTGGCTCGCGTCGCTTTTCGTAAGAGGCGACAGGATGTCCCCATAAGCTGAATGCCAATCAGGCCATCCTCAGGTGCGGGATAAGCCGCCGGCCAGGCTTTCCATCAGCCCAGATCGTGCTGGCGCTCCAGGTGGGTTGATCAGCCCAAACAGGGTTGGGCGTGTAGTAAGTAGGACCACCACGCTGACCGACTTCCAGGAACTCCGCAGTCGAAAATGGCGCCTTACATTGTGCAGGGTGGGCATTCGACGACGTCCTGAGATATGGAAAAGAGGGAAAAAGTCATGGACGAATTCCAGTGATATACAATGTGTCTGGAGTAAAAAGTCTGCAACGGTGTGAGTCGTGGTCATTGGCATTGAAGAACAACCCCGGGAAAAACGGAAGGATGAATCTAATCAGATCTCCCGATGTAGATTAGATCTCGTTCTCTCAGCCTGCGACCAGCCTGAGGCCCGGGGTCGCGTTCGCGTCTGTAATCTCTCAATCGCACTCAACACCACTAGGATCTACCGTCTGACATGGTCAGTAGTTCATGTTCTATGACGAAGATTTAGATATCTATCTGTTTCCGTGTCGTCAAAACCTGATCTCTTGTGTCGGTTCGCACAGTCTCACACCGTTGACATCCCGCAAGAGCTGAAGGCCTCCCTCCGGAAATTCCGGTTTGCTCGCCGCAATGCGGGACATGCGGCTCTCGTCGTGAAGATCAACAAGAAAAAGCTGATTATGGAGGAGGTAGAGCAGTTCGACGATATAGGCATCGAGGATCTTGGGGAAGGTGCGTTACCTCTCGGAGTCTCCGGGAGAGTGGATCGCTACAGCCCGTAATCAGAGCTTCCGGAGAACGCTCCACGTTATGTTCTGCTTTCGTATGAGCTGAACCATTCGGACGGCCGGAAATCGTTTCCGCTTGTCCTCGTCAACTGGGCTCCTACGTCGAGCGAGATGAGTCTGCTCACGTTACACGCCAGTGCATTCTTGGACTTCCAAACTACGGTGCGCATGATCATACCACAGAGCCTGTGTCAACTCTAACACAACAGCATAGGCGGATGTCAGCAAGGTGATAGAAGTCCGAGATGGCGCGGAAGGTTTCACGAAGGAAATTATAGACTCGAACTTGCTGCATGGATGATACCGCTGTTCTGTAGAGTGCAGCAGTCTTATACCCGTGTGCGCTGCTCCGTGTACGATCATGTTATATTGGTGGAAATTCAAGGGTTGTAACAAGTATGGTCTTACTTTATCGCCTCGTGTACCCATCCATGATACCCGCAAGGACGCCACAGTTTCCAGCGACGTAAATCAGACTTCGCACCCACAATCCGAAGAAAACGTTCTTCCCCAAGAACTCAAGTTTGTAAGCCTCACTCAACCACAGCGCCTGAGTGGCAACCCATACGAAGAGGTAAAGCGCCACGCGTCGGGTTGAGATAGATAGACGGGGAATGAGCACTGGTAAGAAGATAATATACCACAAAAAGTACTGCCGAAAAAGATAAAATATCAGAACACGTCCCAAGATCTGCTGGGACACCAACCTGAGAGGTGCAAACTTTGTTGAACACTACAAAGGCAACGGTCTGAACAAACCAGGCGAACGCCAAATCATCCTTCCGACGTCCAAACGTCAGGCCGGTTCCCAAAGATAGGATCATCTGAGGAATAAAGCTCGTGAGAGGAGATCCAAGGAGCTTCCTCCAGAGTGGCATCCTCATGAGGCTGGACGCTGAGGATGGTGATGGGTATGTGAGGTACATGAGGTAGAAGTAGGGGGAGAAATTGTGCCGGTGGTCCAATCGGTATAGATGATAGAGGTATGACTCGTACAAGAAGGGGTATCCCCATCTAACCCGAAGGTCAATAACAGAGAGAGAGGCGATTCACTGCGCACTCACATCATATACATTACTGCACCCAAAGCCAAGAAGGTCGCCGCACTCAACAGCCCAAATTTTACCGTCCGCCAGTTGACGAGGGTCTTGAGGTAACCCTTCCAGCCCCTCCCTACTCCACTCTCGCTCCCAATGACGCCAAGGCAAGCAACTCCGTAGATGAACGGGTAGATCTTCCAGTGGGTGCTAATCCCCAGAAGGACTGCGGCTGAGTTCCATCTTTCCTTCAAGGCACAGTACAGGGTGAGAAGCACAAAGAGTGAAAGCACCGCTTCAGACGAGCCTCGTGTCGAGATGGTAAAGACGAGGGGGTTGAAGAGGTGAACACATGTGAGGAGGATTGCCTGAGCGGTTTGTGGCTTCAGAGACTTGTCATCCTTGTTTTCCGCTTTCGACACCGACGGAAGTATCACAGACACTAAGATCTCGTAAATCAGAGCACCGGCTAAAAGGTCACATCCTGCGAAGATGTATTTCCCGAAGGAGGGGTGCAGCCATTCGTTTGGCGTGACCAATAGAGCAAGCAGCGGCGTGTAGCGGTAAGTCGCTCTAGCGTATGGACTACGCCGTAACATTCAGTACAGCTGAAGCATTACACAGGTATCCCATCGAAAATTACGTACTCGCCGAGGTTCAGCCACGCCCCCAAGGGACCTTGCGCCCGATTGTCAGAAGATGGATGGAGCACGAAGCGGGCAGCGTCGCTGAAGACACGGTAGTCGACATCGGTGTATTTGACGACGGATTGAGCGTCGTGCCATTCGCTGTACAGGATCAGCGCTATTCGCAAGAGACTGGACACAATCAGAACAGACGCGAATGAAGGAGTAAATCGAAGAGTTCTCTGTGAGCGCGACGTCATGCTCGTTGCTTTTGTGAGCGTGACCGTGTCAGAAGTTTCAGATCGTTCGACGTGCATACATCTCTCGCGTACGACCAAGGGTGGTTCTCAGCTTATATGCTGACAAGATGTCATTAGATGCACACAGCTCAGGCGTACATCGAGCTAATATATACTCTTGGAAAAGGAGAGAAACCAACGACAACATAATTCACAACACGGGAAGTACGCAGCAACAGGCAGGGTAGTAGCTCTAGTCCAGTCAAATATTGTCCGGCAATTGCAGTACTCTCGAGAGCAGAGCCTCGGAGGGACGGAGGGCTTGCTCAGATCTGAGACGTATACGGACGCGTATAAGCACCGATGAAGGAGACGTTCGACATTGACTTACATATTGCGAGAACCAACGGAAACCCTCGCCGTAACCCTGCCTTTGCACGACTGAACACATGAAGATCTCAATGGGACGGATGTCGTTCAGAGGGACTTTACCCTAGACCCTGAGATATGAGATCACACCAAACCGAAAGTACAGCGTACACACCTTGCCAGTGGTCTGATATAGGCCCAGATGGTGTCGGAGCTCCTCCTCGCTTACAGCACCAGGGGCGTCAATCTTGTTTCCGAGAATTAGGAAGGGAACTTTGGACAGCTCTTCGATGGACAGGAGGGAGTCTAGTTCCGCCTTAGACTCTGCGAATCGTTCGAAGTCGGCGCTATCAACGAGGAACACAATGCCATCAACCTCAGGAAAATAGTCACGCCAGAGACGGCGAGCTGGCATAGGCTGAGTTGAGAATAACGAGCCGAGTGGTAAAAGCTACGCACCCTGCTGGTGACCACCCAAATCGTATGTTGTGAACTTCACATTGCCAATGGCAAGCTCCTCAGATGCTAAGAGGTCGTGTTAAGGTAACACTTGTGGGGTGTGCACAATACGCACTAGGGTGAAGGGTTGGCTGCAGAGTCGCTAGCCGGTCATTCTTGAGCATGTGAAGGAGAGTCTGAAAGACATATTAACGAGACATCAAACAGCGGGCAGGATGAGTTCACCGTCTTTCCCGCATTATCGAGACCAAGGAAGAGGATTTTGGCATTCTTGTGCAACAGACCTGTGTGATGTTAATGTCATTTCAAGGGTTGGAACCTGCAGAGGCTCACCAAGCTGGGCGAGGATGTCCCAGAACCAGTTTAGAATGAACATGGCTGGGGTGAGAGCGCAGCGCTAGATGTACGTCAAGCAAACGGGACCAGACGCGCTTATGAGATGTGACATTGTTGTGTGACGGCCCGTGACCGACACGTCTCCCGACCTCGAGCTCTCCAACCTTCTGGACCTTACATTCTCGACGTCGATACGGGCCTACTCGTCTCGGATGCTCGTATAACTGTTGCCATACGTATAAATCGAACAGCCAACAGCTCAGCATCCTCGCGTCTTCACCAGAACACACCGAATAATTCAGGACAGCTAAGGACAGAGCTTTCCCAAGGACATCTCAAGTCAAGTCACGTCCACAGTGCCACCATGGGGACTGATGTTCGCTTAAAACGATGCACTTACCAGTGCATCATGCAGTGACCTTGCCAAGTCTTCGAGCGTCATCTCATGCATGTCATTGTCAAGCTCGTGGAAGAAGTGATTACTGGACAGCAAGATCATTGCTACTAGTCTGTGCCGCAATTTGTTTTCTCGCAGGTTTGAAGGTTCGTGTCCCTGCTGAGCGCCCCATATGTCGAGGACAGCACAAATCGAAATGTATATGATCGATCTTAGCGTATGCAAGGTTCGTAGAGCCAATTATAACATCGTAGAACAAAGACACTTGTACGTGACAAAAATGTGTGGAAGCTCTGACACTCACAACACCATTGACCTCCGCAGAGGGGGTGCGAAAGCTCTTGTGCTTCCCCTACAAAGAATGCTCTCTGCAATACCGAATCGCCGTATCCTATGTGAATTAAGCTGAAAGGGATAGGCACTGTCTAAGAGGCTGCATGAAGGGAAACACAATGCAGCCCGCCGTGCTTATAAGCGGCTTTTGTTTGTCCATGTTGTGCAATGCGCGCACGGACCACTCATCTTCAAAGACTGGCAAGCCGACAATTGAGCAGATCAGTGAAAGCGGACCATGTAGTACGTTCTGTGTACACGATGAATTCACAACTCTTCCAGCCACTGTCTCAGCTGTAACATATGCTCATCTTCTGCGATCTTCTCGTCGGTCGCAGATGCGACTTTACTCACAGGCACAGCAGTGCCCACAAATGCGACTTCCCCGCCTTCCCATTCGGCGAATCTGAATTCTCCCGACTCGCTGCACTCCAGTCCGCCCATCTCAGATTCCGTGTCATCCGCCCCGAGACTCTCTACGCCGACACCGCTAGCGTGCGAAGCCCTACGTTTCTCCAGCTCTCGCTCGAGAACAGTGCGGACGCGGTTAATAGCAAGCTGCTCCGGGCTCGTTTGATGAGTGGCTTTGAGAAGGTCGCACTTGTGTGCAACGATAAGGAGGGCAGGCGGGGTCTGAGAAGGTGGAAGAGATGTGAGTGCACGTAAAACTTGATGGAGGTGCCTATAAGTGTGTCAAGCATTGTTCGGATAACTCGAGGATACTTAAGACGAACTCCGCCACTGCAGGACCTGTTCGAGAGATGGTGCTTGCATCGACGACAAACGCAACCGCCTTCGCTTCAGGAAGATATTCTTGGAATTGATCCCGGAGTCGAGGGTGACCCGGGACATCAATAACTCGCAACGCTTTGTGAGAAACTGGTAAGGTCGTTACAGCAGAATTGGTCTGCATGGATGTATGTGTATGCAGAGTCTGCTTGTAGACTAACTGTGGACAATTGTGTCAGATAGAAAATGTTGAGTGCAACGAACATACAGTGGACAAGATGGCGGTCTTCCCTGCATCAGAAGAGCCAACTAGAAGCAAAGAGTCGCCCTTAGATCCTGCCTTCCTCTTCGTAGAGACGATAAATACTAGGTAATAATTAGAACCAGACCGGGGACAGGGCAGCGTCACTAACCAGCTAGAAGAAACAAAGCAAGGCATAGCGACGCGACTGTGACAGTTTGAGCGGTAAATACGGAGGCAGGAGACAAGACTTCAGGTGCGACAGACACAAATTCATGAGGAGTAGAATCATCCATGTTTTGCAGTATTTCGGTAAGTGGATGCTTCCTTAAGGGTTGTTTGGTTGTATTAGGATGCAAAGCCCTTGCACAACAGACCACAACAACCGCTTCCACTAGTGATCACGTGCGTCAGCCTGCTTTTTACAAAAAGACGGACCTCACGGGTGCCATCTCAACGTCGTCATAGATGGTTGCAGCTATTCCATTAGCAATGTCAGAGGATATCTCCGACGTACCGCCTCGCAAACGTCTTCGTACTGAACCCACACTCGATCAGAAGTCTCTGAAACAGCCGTGCCTATTTGCTCCGTTTCGTGCCCTCGGCTTCATCACCAATCATGTACCATTCCTCCTACAAACACGTTCTCACAAAGGATCCACCGAAGGTCCGCGTATACATCTGGTGACATGCTTAGGAAAGGCGTGGGCGATGTGGGAGGGTGGAAAGATGGGCCTACTCTTTGTAGGTAAACGATCGAATACTTTCAGAGATTGCATTCTGGAGTATAACTCTGAAGATTTATTACAGGCCCTGACTTTCCTGATCAAATAAGCTATATGGCTATGGAGGGAGATGCCGTCTGGGCTGCGTGCGGGTCTCAACTCGTCAAGTACACGAGAGGGAGGGAGGTGTGTAACCGTGTTCTCCGTCCATGCCTACTTCCACTTGTATGAAAATTTGCATGTAGATTGGAAGAGTCGTCAATCCGTTAGGCACGAACATATCGTTTATTACGATATTTGGACACCAACTATTGGCCCTCACTGAAGACGGCGAGAAAATGTTGGTGTGGGACACAGAAAACGAAGGTTACTTGCAGTGGCATCCGCGTTTCTCGCGTGCTTATATACACTGTGAATCCCCAGACTTGTTGGCCTCCATGTCGTTTGATCCAGGATTTACAGCCACAATGGTCCTCCATCCTGCCACTTACCTCAACAAAGTGGTTGTTGGAAGTAGTCAAGGTAGCTTGCAGCTCTGGAATATTCGCACTCAGTCTGTACCTTTGATATACTGGTGTCGTTTCTTTGTCTGATTGTTTCATGGCTTAATCTCGCAAGAACCAAAATCCACACATTCCCAGTGACATCTCTTCTGACCTTAGCGACCCAGCCAAATCCTGCTTTCACAACCGCCGTGACCGCGCTTGTACAGTCTCCGGCCATGGACGTGGTCGGCATTGGATTCTCTTGCGGAGACATTTCGGTGTATGACATCAGAACTGATGAGAGGCTAATGAAGATGGCCATGCAGGACGGTGTGAGGGCATTGTCCTTCCGCAACGGTGTGTCTCTGTTAGCCTATTTATAAGACACATAGCTGACATCGTCTCTCAGATGGACAGCCGATTCTTGCGTCCGGTTCTTCTGCAGGTCACCTAGCACTGTGGGATCTCAATACTGGTGGACGTCTACTTCATCTTGTACGTGGTGCGCATGACGGTGCTGTCACCGCGGCAGAGTGGGTACCAGGCCAGCCTGTATTGATTACCTCCGGGGAGGATAACAGCGTCAAGGTATGCTCATCTCTTCATGATGTTTTTCTACGGCTCATGCGTTCGGTGTCAAAAGCAATGGCTCTTCGACTCACCCACGGCTGCCCCTCGCCTCCTCAAGTACCGGTCTGGGCACCATGCACCACCACATTTGATTAGGTATTATGGAGAAGACGGGAAGCAATTGCTAACCGCGTCCAGGGACCGTAGTTTACGATGCACCAGTGTGGTCCGAGACTCGAGAAGTTTTGAGCTCAGTCAGGGATCCTTAGCGAAGAAGGCCACTAGCCTATCCATTCCTATCGAGTCGTTAAAATTCTCTCCCATCATTGCTCTCTCACATTCTACCACACGAACCAAAGACTGGGACGACATCCTCACGGCGCATACGGACGAGACCTTCGCACGCACATGGAGCATGAAGGACAAGAAAGTAGGGAAACACACGTTCGGATTCGCGACAGACAAGAAAGGGGCCGCCGTAGGTTCTGTTAAGGTAAGCCATAGCTACCGTCTTTCCATACGCAATGACCAAGAACATTTTCAGGCAGTCTGTGTATCGGCTTGTGGTAATTTTGGCCTCGCGTCGACATCAACAGGCGCTATCCATATGTACAATATGCAGTCTGGCATTCTACGCAAATCATTTAGTGTCGGTCCATGTCCTTCAACAGTTTCGAGCAGATTCCGCCCGCCAGGAACGACGAAGAAAAAACAAGCCGAACGACCTGTCGCAGGCTTGGCAAGTGATGCTCTCAACACCGTAATCATCGCCAGTACACTGGATGGAACAATCAATGTGCGTTGTTGCTCCTCCATGATTTCGATATTGATTGACGCCTTGGTCTGCAGTTTTTCGACTTCCATACCGCCAAGCTAGAGGACACCTTGGTTCTTTCCTCAGCAGTTGTTTCCATTACATTGCAACGCGATAATGGCCTCCTGGCTGTCATATGCGATGACCTTGTGGTACGCGTTATCGACATTGAGACACGAAAGATTGTCAGGGAGTTGGGCGGCTTCCGTGGTCGAGTGCTTGACCTTGTACGTGTTCCATTTCGTGACAACGGTCCTATTTGATTTCTTTGTATTCCTCTGTGTACAGACGTTCTCCCCAGATTCACGATGGCTAGTGACAACCTCGCTGGACTCGATAATTCGGACCTTCGACATACCTACAGGTCGTCTGATTGATGCTTTCCGGACGCCAAGTGTTGCGACCAGTGTAACATTCTCTCCGACGAACGATTTCTTGGCTACTGCACATGTTGACAGCGTTGGAGTGTTCCTATGGTAGGTTAGATTTGCGATCACAGCGAATGATTTTTTAATTAGCAATAGGGCAAACCGGGCGCAGTATTCAGAAGTCTCATTCCGGAGCATGACAGATGTCGATGACACCGTGGATGTATCTCTTCCATCAATGCAGGGTGTTGCCGAGGATGAAGGTACAGGTTTTATATATCCTACTACCGAGTTAGTTGTTGATGGATATTCAGCGCTCGAAGCAATGTCGTCGTTGACTCTTAACGCCGATGATGACACCGCCGATGTCTTCATCTCACCTCCGCAACTTGATGGAGATCTAGTAACCTTGACTTTACTACCTCGCTCACGGTGGCAAACTTTGCTGAATCTTGAAGTTATCCAGGTGTGTATGGTGGATCTAAATATAACTATCTCTTACTCATGCTGGGTTCACTTCGTAGCAACGCAACAAACCAAAAGAACCTCCAAAAGAACCGGAGAAAGCACCGTTCTTCCTCCCTACATTACCTGGAGTAGAACCGAGATTTGCCGTGGAGACGAAACAGAACGAATCGAAGAAGCCAACGAAACGCCTGCAGAAGGCTGCTGCCTCATCTGAGAGCGTGTTCTACCAGAAACTAGCTGCAGAAGATAGCAATGGTGACTGTAAGTACGACTATTCTGACATTGCGCGATCTATTACCTGACATCTGCTTTCACGCAGACGGCGAGTTCTTTAACTATGCGAAAACACTGTCGCCAGCCGCCATGGATCTGGAGCTACGCTCTCTTGTCACCCTGGATGCTTTGCGAACGTTCTTGAATTGTCTGACGCGCCGCCTCCGTTCACATCGTGACTTTGAAGCAGTGCAGACCTATCAGAACGTGTTCCTCCGGATGCACGGTGATGTCTTCGCGGCAAATCCTGAATTGCAAGAGGAACTAAAGACCTTACAAGAGGTTCAGCGTAAGGAAAGCGAGAAGTTGTTGGAACTCCTTGCGTCGTCTCTGGGGACACTGAGCTTTATTAGGGATACACTCTGATCTATAGAGATATATAGATTTTTGATTTGGTTGTACATAGTCGGGGTGCTCTTTTGTAGTGAGGTCACGCACAACGCGTCTTCATTCTCGAACCACCGCGGTAGTCACTACGTTCACCATTCGTCTACAGCCATCGACGAATCACACATAACCTAATAGCATCCCTGCTAAGTCTCTTCATCCGGCAGACTTGCTGTATCACGCAACTCTTCTGAGAGAGAATCTAACGCAGTCTGAACTATCTAGATACACTCGTACTTCCGTGTTCTAACGTTCAACATTGACACTAGCTGGCAGGCAATTGGCGGCCACTCTTGTATCCGGCCTCCCTCTCCCACCCTCGAAGCCACAAGCAGCATGCGGCTCCCGCCCGAACTTTGGCTGAAGATCTTCTCGGATGTGGCCTACATTCCTGGAGCCTTGACTCACGAAGATGACCACGCTATCGCGTCCTTCGCAAAAGACAACTTCGGAATCTGTCTGCACCGTCGCTTTCGCGAGACGATGGACGCCAAGCTCGCTATCAGTTCTGTCTGCAGGGCATGGAACTCTCTAGTGACCAAGTTCCTTTTCCAGTACCTCCTGGTGAAGAGCGGAGCTCAGGCCGTGTTGACGGCTTCTGCCTTGGAACGTCGCCAAGGATGTTCTCAGTACAGCTGCGATGGACCTGGGCGCTGGACAATTCGTCTGGAACTAGCACTGGAAGGTGTCCACATATGGAGGAAGGAACACACGCATGCTCTGATTCGCATCTTCTGCCACTGCCCCAACCTGACTGTCTTCTCCAACGCCTTCTGTACCACCGACGCCTATTTCCTATTTATGTCCGGTATCATGGATACCTTATCCGCAGTAGTGTCACGCTCTACTTTGCGAAGACTTGAGCTCAAAGGCACTTTCCCGATGCTGGAGACCGTGGTCGCTAATGTAGCCCCGTCGCTTGAGGTGCTCTGGCTTATCCCTCCACCCAAGGCTATGCTACCCTCCCAGCAAGATGTGCAGAAACTCCATTTCCCCAAGTTGCGTGTTCTAGTCTTCTCCTTCCCCTTCCGTATGGATACTCTTGTCATGCCATGGGAAACCCCGTCTTTGAATACCTTGATTGCGGAAGACTTGTACCAAGACATGCCCTGCTCTTTGCGTTATTTCCTTCACGCGAATGGCAAGAAGCTACAATATCTTGCGATGAATTGGTTCGACTCGCTTGTACAGCTCTGCCCCGAGCTTCAGGAATGGGTGATACCTTACAATGCGCTCTCGAGACTATCCCCCGATGACCTCCACCCATCCATTCGTTGTCTTACTCTCGCGGGCAACTTTGTTGACGCTGGAAGCCATCTCCCGGCAATTGGCTTCCACCTTGCCACCGGTTCGTTCGCGTCACTAGAGGTTATGCGGTTTCTCTTACCACCTAGGAACAGCCATGCGATCTGCACGGAGTCACAGGCGCGATCGTGGCGCGAAACATGCGAACAAGTGCTGGCAGTGTGCCAACGTCGCGGCATTCGGGTGGATGTCTCTATGGGAGTGGACAATCAAAGTGCGGATATCTGGGAACCCTTGACCATCGAACTGCTCTCTGCGGACTGACGGACGTGCATCTTGTCGCATCGCCTTGCTGGTCGACGATTATCCTTGCCTGCCCCAGCCGATTCGCGACCGGAGGTTCCCATGCGCGTACGTTCTTAGGGTTTCTTGTTCTTGGGAATTAGTGGCGATATTCTTGCATTCTGTTGTATCGATATGTGACCGTGTAACCACGCCTCGGTACCTTCAGTCGATTTGTAGCACTACATGATTCAATGGCATGTCCGAAGAGGAAGTTTGCTAAGCGCCCATCTTGGGCTGAACGTGACAGGGCGCGACCCTCATCGTGGTCAGTGGTCACTGCTTCCTCTCATTCTACGCGTCCGACAGCAGCTAGACCAGCGGCCAAGCTCTTGGTTAGAGCTCAGCATATTCCGGATCGAGACCCGACATGGATCCATCGACTCCGCTAACTGTCGCCCGTGGCACGCTCATTACATGCGAGTCCGTCTTCCGTATGTGCTGCCGGTGGATATGACTGCTAATACGTTTACGGATCCTAGCCGCAATGACTGGAAGTCTTGCAGGCATATACGGCGTGTTTACACGCCATACCCATGTAGGGCCTCTCGTCGTGTCCGCTGCTATCAATGGGGGGATCGCTGGCGCGACATTCTTTAGTGAGTATGCTCACTCTCATTGCACTGGCGTATGTGTAACTTGATTGGGTGCAGGTTTCCGCGAATATGTTGTCAGCAATCTCCTGCTTTCTGCTTTGCCAACGACATCATACTACAGGCGGATTCGCGAGGCCCATACAAGGCTACAGACACAGGGTAATTCAGGAGAGAAGCTCACCTTCTGGGATATGAGGGCTTACAAGGTACCTGAAACGGCGATCAGTAGTGCATTCACAGGCGGTCTGCTGAACGCGTGGAAACGTACGCCATCTTATTACCGAATCTCACTGGCCGATCCTTACCCATGTCACTGCTGTGCAGGCGGTCCATCAGGTATTGCGCCCGGGATTACAACGGCAGCCATTGTTTGCACCGCTCTGCAACTGGCATACAACGAGCTCGGCATTGCAAGAATCAAGTATGTATCCAAGACTCTGCAAGCGTCACAAAAACCACATTTGTCGGAAACCTCTCCTTCTCAGGAGTTGTCTAGCTCTAAACCACACAAGCCAGTGGCAGAGCGTGTTCTTTCCATGCTTGGATTCCACAGAATGTCGGACACCGAGTACCTGGACAGTTTGAAACAAAAGCGAGACAGATACTTGCGCAGGATCGCCGAGTTGGAGGAGGAAAGGGACAGTGAAAAGGGCCAAGACCCACCAAATCCACCGAGTACGTAGTAGTTTCCGCAGTGTAATCGGATTGTCATTGCGCAGGGAATATCTGTACATAGTGTGACAGAAGCTGAAGTCAGTCAAGTTACAGTCTGCTCTTAATTCATGCACCATATCTCGATTATTCCCTTCCCATCTGTCACCAACCCACCTACCGCCAACCATTGCCCACTAATACTCAAGCTGTTGACTTTAGCGATGCCTTTTGAACCCGCACTCCAAAACTTTCCTGCTTTCAATTTGCTATCGGAATCACGAGAAATGTGATACCCTGAGATAGTTCCAAGCAATGAACATGTAATGAGGGTTTCGACGCCAGAGAACATGCTATAATTGCGGGTCAGAACACCAGTCTGGATATTGAAATACTGAGCACACATCGCCACGACGGGGCCTTCAGCCACCTGAAGCCACAATCCTTCGTCGTCTTTGAGGCCTTCCCATTTTCGACTTCGTTTCTTATTCCCACTTTGACTTGCGCGTTTTTCACCGCCTCCTCCAAGCCAAACGCGACCATCCGCCGTACTTGCGGCGAACAATCCCGCAGAGGTTATTGCGGTTGAGAGAACAAAAGGAAGCGATAAAGACACGCCAGATGACGGTAGAGGAGCGGCTGAAAAAAAGCTATTACACAGGCGGCCGTTCAGCAAGAAAACACTCACTGATATCGTAGCGAGAAAGAAGAGTTCCCTGACTGAAGTCGAAGTGGAGCACCGCAGAATCATAGCCACCACTGACCAGTTCGCTCGGTCGATTAGGGACGAACTTGACTGCGCCACAAATCTGCGAGACATTCGGACGAGGTCGAAGGGGCGGCAGCGGACATACTCACACTGTCGTGGCGCGACTTCATTCTCGAGATTCTCTTCGTGGACAGCTCAACAACCCCAACCGATCCAGCATCTGAGGCAAATGCCATGTACTTTCCGTTGTCACTCAGACAGAGCTGTCTGATGCTGTTCACGTCCATGTTGCAGTCCGAGCCGATCTGGAGAAAACAAGCCCACCTCGTTTAACACGTCTTCGTCGTCTTCCCCCAATTCGAGGATAGACATTGCATCTTCTTCCGATAGTATCAATTGGGGCGACTTAACCGCGAACAAGAGAGCCTAAAGCGAAATGAGCAGCACTAAATTTATGGAAGCGAGCAAGCATACTCGACGACCACTAGCGAACCATACAAGAGAATCTTCTTCAGCAGTGTTTTGAACGGTGACCGCGGTCGATATCTCGGAACCCAGGGATTTGATTGCCCGGACGACCTTGGGCGAAGGTAGATCGTAGACGCGTGCAGTGCCATTATCTGCGAGGATCAGTCTGCGACACGCACCTCCAAAAACATCGACTCCCACCTGAACCGGCGCAGAGGGAATCCGGAGTTAAAAAACCGAGTGAAGAAACGGCGGAAGGAACGCTAATAGCGAACTGGAATGTAGGTGACATGACGGAACGAACGAAGATTAGCCTGTTATGGTAAGAATGATTGACCTGGAAGTACTAGTCGGATTGAGATTGTAGATGGGCGTCTCCAATTTCTCCCTCTCTCTACTGCTATCACCATGTCCAAGCACGACCAGACTGACCATGCCACCAGCACTGATTATGCACCCAAGTCCATAGGTGAACTGAAAGAATTATTGAAACATGACATCAAAGTCAAGGTTGCTGGTGAGATTTAGACACTTTCATACTAAACTCCACGATATTTACTACCGCAATAACTCGCTGGCAGGCATTGATGGTAAGAGGATGGCGATTCACACAATATGAAACAGCTCAATCTTGATTCTGTAGTTGATGGCGTTTTAAGAGGGAAGTTTATGGTACGTTCCCTTGCTTCCTGCGCATACGACTTGAATGGTTCTCAGTCTGTTGTAGTCTAAGGAGAAATTTATAAGCGCAGCATCCTCGGACGGTTTTGGCTTTTGCAGTGTGATATTGTAAGTATTCTATCCCGACATTGTGTTGCAATAGTTGAGCGGTCCTGCTTACAGTGGTTGGGACATGCATGATGCTGTCTATTCACGCGAGCTCCTTATTTCAAATCGAGCGAACGGATATCGCGACATTCTGGCATCAATAGATCTCTCAACGTACCGTCGTATTCCTTGGGAAAACGATGTACCCTTCTTCCTCGTGTCGTTCTTGGACCCAGAGACCAAGGAGCCCATCTGCGCCGATCCCCGCGGCGCGTTGAAGAAGGTCGTAGATCGAGCTGAACAGAAAGGATGGCAGTGCTTCGCCGGCTGCGAATACGAGGTAGAGGCGTTTTTCCGTGTCCGAGCATCTTCTAAGTTTCCACTATATATCAGTACTTCCAATTTAAAGGTAAATTCTCGTCATCCGTCGTCGTTATGACTAGAACATTGTTGACTGCTCACATCACAGAGACGCCTGAAAGCCTTGCCAAGAAGAATTATGTGAACTTGCAGCCACTCACCTCTGGAAGTAAGTTGAATTCGTACTTCATATCCTGCGCGCATTCATTGAGATTACACCAGTGCATGGGTATTCCCTCCTGCGTACTCAAATCAACAATGATTATTTTCATGACCTCTTCGACGAGAGCTGGAAGTTCCAAGTACCGTTAGAAGGCCATCGTCTGTGTCTTCCTGTCCCGTTATTCGTCTTCGCAATAATTTTGTGTGAACCATGATAGACACGGAGACGGGACCAGGAGTCTATGAAACTGCTTTAGCCTACACTACTGCCCTTCGGATGGCCGACAACGCCATCTTGTTCAAGTTCCTTGCCAAGAGTATTGGCATCAAGCGGGGCGTGGTTCCGAGTTTCATGGCTAAGCCTTGGGGAAATGTGAATGAACCCATTTCTCGTTCAACGATTTAAAAAAGCTAACAGTATTAACAGCTCCCAGGTTGTAGCGGGTAAGCCCAAGTAACCGCTGTTAGACTCTGGATTCTCAATCCCTACTTCTGCAGGCACATACACGTGTCTCTGCGAGATCAGAATGGCAAGAGTTTATTTGCAGTTTCAGAATCTGAGCTGCAGGCCGGCAGAGCGGACGCTGCAAACGACGACACTAAATTCCTCAGCCAGGAGGGCGAATGGTTCTTGGCTGGTGTCTTGGACGGCCTTCCGGATAGTGCGTGCTCCTTCATATTCATCATACAACATCAGTCTGACCAAAAATATTTCCCGCTAGTCATGCCCATGGTCAGCCCAATTTGTTGTTGACGCTCATGGCGAACGAGACTCACATGTGCATGGGAAAAGCTTGTGCCCACCATCAACGGCTATAAACGCCTTGTGGGCGGGGAAGCCTTCTGGGCACCTAACGCAGTTACCTACGGTTACGACTCCCGAGCAGCGTCAGTGCGGATCATCTCGCCTCCCTCTGTGCCCCCCGCGGCAACTAGGTTGGAGGTACGCGTACCCGGAGCGGACATGAACCCCTACTTCGCGATAAGTGCGATATTTGCGCTGGGTCTACGCGGTATCGAGAAGAAGATCAAGCTCACCGGGCCTCCGGTCAGTCAACTGACAGTCGAGGATAAACGAAGCGGCAAGGTATGTCTGTCGTGCACCGCGACTATGTAATATCCTACAATATATTGTATACGCTCTGACACTTGCTCCGCACAGGTGAAGATGCTCCCGCAGTCCCTCGAGGCTGCGACGGAGTACATGATGCGCCCAGAGAGTATTGCCCGAGAGGAGGCGGTGTTCGGCCAGGATTTCGTCGACCATTTTGGAGGAACGCGCCAACACGAAGTGAAATTGTGGAACGAGGCCGTCACCAACTGGGAGGGTAAGCCTGTCCTTCGTTACTCGTTGATAGATGTTTCTCATGTATATGGTACACCACAGTGGAAAGATACCTAGAATTGGCGTAGGTAGCATGCCACCACAAGCTTACAATTACTAAACCCATTTGCTTGTTGCATGGTTTGCTAAAAGCTGATCGAAAAATGTGTAGAAAATGTATCTCAAGGATGTGTAGTCGCAATGTCTTGTCCTCTGATATCATACATGCAATGTCGCTAGAATGGATGCCTGCATCTCTCCGATGGTTTAGCTGTGCTCCCTAGATCCCGTAGCTTGAACTTCAACGAAGGGGTATACGCAGACGTGTCGGCTGCATATCAAACAAATCACTTGCCATCACGCGGACTCTGCTGCTGATTCCAATTTCGGTCGGAGAGAGTGAAACCAATGAAGGAAATGCGTCACGTCCTGTATGTGAAGTCAGGTATGCCTGCGCTACATGTCCTAGAGTTAGGCTCACGTGAGAAATCGTGCTGTCCATCGTTGATTCGGCGACGAAGGAGGGGATGTTACCGCCTGGAGTGCTAGATGTAGCCATCTTCCACTCGACCTTGCCGTTCCCAAGTTCCTTGAGACGCTCGACGCTCACATAGCGACCTTTCACGCCCTTCTCTTCGATTTTGGAAAGATCCTTGTCGTCTGAGAGGTCCACAGGTATAGAAACGACAATCCTGATAACAACAATTTAGAGTAAAATCAAGACGTGTGGGATAGAGATGATGCATACCCAGTCTTCGGCGAGGTCTCGATCAGATGTGTGGTCTGCAACACCGTGAACACTCGGGGAGATACTGGGGGTGCAAAGGTGTAATACAAGGTCCAGATGGCCTGCGTTGAAGATATTTGCTTCACGAGCGCAACCTTCTTGATATCAGGTATGAACCTTCGCACAGACGCGACTGAGACCACCACTGTTCAGTGGCAACGAGAGAGATACGCACTGCATTTCGTTCTCTGCCTTGTTCACTCCCAGCTTGCTCCAGAACTCGTCGAACGTGGCATCTTCAGCCGTATGTTCGCTTGTTCTGCAATGCCAAGAGGCGCCATCTCCCGGACCCTTGTGACGGGAGCACGTCCTCACGGTACCCTTCTGGTATGTCTTTCCCAGCTTCCACGATGTGGTGGAATCCAGAAGGGCCTGTCCGAGTACGATGATGGTTTCCTCTGAGGATATCTCTGCCCACCACCGTTAGGCCTGCGGTAAATGCGCAGCACATGAATTCATGCTATGTACCTGATACCTTCAGAGGGGTTATCGACAAGTGGTACTCCGAGGACATTAGTGTTCAGTGCCGCACTGCGCCACTCAGTTGACCTTTGGAGCTTGGGGATTGAAACGTTGAGGAAGAGAGTTCACAGCAGGATTCCGTGAGTATTTTGTGCTTCAGTTTCCATGACATGGGAGTTCTTCTGGGCTATTATTGGTTCGCTCTACAAAGAGTAAAGTAGGTACACCCTAAGACAACTCCACGCGGCTCTGAACGGACATCGGACACGAGTACCGCCATGCATTGGTAGCACAGCAAAACTATGATCATCGCAGCCACTCAGCCACTTGCATGGACGAAGCACATCACAGCATTGATCATGGGGGCCAGTCGTTGAGTCGCGAACCCAGCGTATGGGTAGCCGTTGAAGGTTGACGGGGATGGAGGGATTGATATGCAATGAGATTATGGGAGCGTGTCAAGCTGACTCTGGTGTCGAGGGCTCCTTGTTCCACGTATTGAGGTCGACAAAGCCGAAATAACGACTGCGGCCGAGGGCAGCTTCATCTCTTGGCAATCTTTCGTCCCTGGTCAAAGCAATTCCAACGTATTTCCGCTCGTCGCGCAAGCCGTGTGGCTTCCTGTAGAAGCGCACGTATCCTGGCACCAAAGCAAACAGTGTATGGTCACGGCCAATCCCAACCTATGTAAAACAAATCAATCAAAATTCAGAACATCAGTGTGGTTGCATGCGCAGGTAGGCACTCACATGCTGGCCAGGATGGAATACTCTGCCGCGCTGACGGACAATAATGTTGCCTGGAATGACGTACTCGTCTGCAGCCAAATCAGACACAAGTGCAGGAGTTCACACCAAAAACAACGCGTACCCGAGAACTTCTTGACGCCTAACCGCTTTCCTGGAGAACCTCCATGGTTTGCGACGGTACCTCCGGCGCGTTTTGTGGCGGTACGCACAGAACCAAACCCTGTGCAGACGCTGTGACAAACAGTCCATCTCGCGGAGTGTTGAAAGCGCACCTGAAGGGTCGAAGGCTGTGCGTGTGTGGGGCAACGCACGCAACAGAGACCACAAAGACATGGCACAAGATATCTAGCAGCAACGCCGCACTGCAGTTTGATTTGGCGCAAGCGTTGTGCCACTTGCTTACGTAAGGGCGCTCTCAAAAAGATGTATATATCTGTTTAGCACGTCGTCCACCGTCTAAACCAAACCACGGCCATCTGTTTCCATCGTACATCGTACACTCGGCAAAAATGGTCCTTCTTGTTACTTCTGACAATGAGCAGTACGTCGTCGACAAGGAGGTTGCCGAGCGCAGCGTTCTCATCAAGAACATGCTTGAAGGTGATGTTGGCCCCATTCAGGGTGTCCTACTCCCATTTTGACAACCGCCACACTGCAGATGTCGGCGAGAGCGACCAGGCCATTCCTCTCCCGAACGTTTCTTCCAGTGTGCTGAAGAAGGTGCGGGTCGCCGATCTGCCTATAGCGTTGTGGCGCGCGAAATCTCAATGAGAGACTTATTCAGGTTCTCGAGTACTGCGAACACCATCGAGGCGAGCCTCTGCCAACTGCAGAGTCGGAGCAAAACCAAGACGAGACTCGCAAGCGGACGACCGATATCAGCGAGTGGGATCAGAAGTTTATCACAGTCGACCAGGAGATGCTCTTCGAGATCATCCTCGCGGCGAACTACCTCGATATTAAGCCCTTACTGTTGGTTTCCGTTGTTCCTTCTATTCAACTGGAATATTCACGCTTACGCTATAGCGACGTCGGGTGCAAGACCGTGGCCAACATGATCAAGGGCAAGACCCCTGAAGAGATCCGGAAACTGTTCAACATCGTCAACGATTTCACCCCAGAGGAAGAAGTACGATTACATTCGTCTTCCAAATAAATTTGATTTCTAACAACGCGTCTGCCTTACTTCTGCAGGCTCAGATCAAAAAGGAGAACGTAAGTGTCCAGTGGCAAATCGGATTTACACAGCCTAATTTTTATCGTTTTCACAGGAATGGGCAGAAGATCGTTAGATGTCTGTAGCAACTCGGAATGTTTTTCTATCCCTTCTTCACTATGTGTCCACGAGCTGCTGTCCTATGATAACATCCTTCGCTACTAGCTGTATTGGTACCCCAGAAAATGAGATGAACTACATGTTCTGAGATATCCGTCCGTTTGGAGAAATCTACTTGTCCTGCTTACGTCTGAATGCTGCACCACCGCAGGAGTCACCCGTCCGTGCTGTGACTCGCTCGTATGATCAACGCGTTCCGCTAGTACAAATTGAGAATTTACACCTCTTCCATGTGTCACGCAATACATTGGACGCGGCTCGCCACACAGTCATCGTAACTGTTTCTCTTTGACTCTGAATGCCTCGTATTCCCGACCTACCTGGTGTCCCCGTCCCCAACAGGTCAGAGCAGGAACTATGGCTCAAGCAGCTCGTCGCCCGACTCTGCCAACTCGACAACGAACGGTAATGCCTTCGCGCGTGTGGCGCACTGCACTTTCCATTAAACAATTGTCACCCCAGCTTCCCTGGTAGCCAGCCGATCAGCTTTGGAACAAAGGATCTCGCGAAATTGGATTCTTTAGAGTAAGCAATGGTTGTTGGGTATGTCTCGGCGGATCAACGGAAAGTGAATCATTGTCTTTCAACAGTTACTGGGTGTGCGAGAAGTCTGATGGCGTTCGTGTTCTGCTCTTCGTGCAGACAGACATCCATACGACAGACCAGGCCATCTATCTCGTGGGCTCCCATATTTTGCATATTCTGCGTGGATTCTGAGTGCTGGTCGTGTGCTTTTTGTCCCTGACAGATTGATCGCCACAACAGCTACCGCCAGCTGAATGGCTTGTTCTTCCCACATTACGAGGATCCCAGAATGCCCCTGCGCAATACCATCGTGGATGGTGAGCTTGTGGTGGACCTGGACCCACTCACCAAGCAGGTGCGCTACTTCAGTCAGGGCAGTGCCGCTCCAGGAAGATGATGATCGTTTTCCCTTGCGCGCAGGAGACTCTACGATACCTTGCTTTTGACTGTCTAGTGATTGATGACATGAACGTCATGTCGAAGTCTCTGGACAAGAGATTTGGAGTATGTCACTGTCTAGTGTCTGCAAGGAAATTCCTGACCATGAGTGGTGTAGAGACTACAGCAATGCTTTTACAAGCCGTATTCCCAGATGCTGAAAGAATATCCTCACGTGGCGGGAGGGCGGCCGTTCGAGTAAGTCCCGCGTATATCTCGGCGGCATCTCGATGTTCATGCTCACCATAACCGGTAGTATCAAGGTGAAAGAGGTCCAGCTGTCGTACCACGTCGACGACGTCTTCAATGTCGATATCCCTGCATTGCAGCATGGCAATGATGGCCTGATATATACCTGCGTTAATACTCCCTACGTTCCTGGCACAGACCATAACATGTCGGTCTAGGTTCCTCTCACGTCGTGGTTGCTTCCATTGACACCGTCTTTTGTGCAGATTGAAATGGAAGCCGCCTTCGGAAAATTCCATCGATTTCAGGCTAGTCTTACGCTTCCCGCCTGCACCAAAGCGCCCTACCGAGCCCGACTTCTTTGCGAAGCCCATCTTCGAGCTGCATGTCTATTGTGGCGATGAAAGAGGTAGCCGGCGGTACGAGATGTTCGATGTCATGCACGTCGAAGATGAAGAGTGGGAGCAGTAAGTTCTACACAGACATGCTTGTTCTGCGACCGACGGCGCATCTTTGCAGAATGAAGGCGTCGGGCGAGCAGCTCGACGATCGCATCGTGGAGGTCCACTGGGATCCTGAGGGTGAGCACTGGCGCATGATGCGGTTCAGAGACGACAAGCCCGATGGCAACTACAAGTCCGTGGTGGAGAACATCATCAAGAGCATCGCGGACGGCGTCGGCAAAGACACGGTCGGTGCTTCCGCGAAACACGTCCCACGATAACGCCCTTGCTTACTGACTATGCTACAGCTCCTAGCACACTCCACCTCCATACGGAACGCCTGGAAGGCGCGTCAAGCAGGAACGCAGGCGCGCCCGCCGCAGAAGCCCCCTCCTGGACCGATCGCACAGCACCCGCTCCCTCCAAAACCGCACCCCGCCCCGCCATCGCGCGCGGACTCAGAACCCGCGCCGCACGCTGAGGCGCTTTACGGCCCCCTTACACCCTCGCGCTACAGTAAAGTCAGTGGGCCCGACATGATCGCAGGGATGTACCGTTGACTTCGCGTCCTGAGGTTGGCCGTTTCGCATTATCGCCGCCTCGTGTCGTGTCGTCCCGTCTCTTCCAGCCATCCTTCTCCCCGGTCGCAGAGTCGAAGCGCAGCGCCGGGCGGACAGGCTGCGGATGACGGGGGGCTGGACTCACATGCTGCGCGGGTTTGGACGATCTGGGGGTGCGCACACGCATGTTCGCGAATTGGAAGCTTGGCGGTTATGTCGAACTTCGACGTGTTGGCCGCGTCGTCGACATATACGTCTGCGGGGTAGAGTCGGCTTCACCGTGCAGCTGCCCAGTCTGTGCGATAGTATATCCTTCTATGCTGCCCTTGCTAAGGCATGCACGCCGTGCTGCACACTGGGGTGCTCCTTGTACTATTGGCGGTGGGGCGGGGGAGAGGTGTTCTGACAACGCTTGCTTGGTTCGGCTTTGGCTCGACTTCGCTTGCACTATACGTTACTGTCTGACTGTCTAGTATCTGGCTATGGTTTAGGCACCCGATCACTCTTGTGTTCTGCCCCGGCGGACTCGGACTCGTACAATACGACGGACTTATATATCGTACTCACACGCAACCACAACCAGTCCGGGTGGGAGGCGTAACCGTATCGTAGCACCGGGGGAGTAAGTAAGCGCAAGCGCAACGAAGCCTGGAAATGTAGAAAAACGGGGCCGGAAACAAGCCCGTAAGATCGTGAAAAGGTCGTCAAACTCGATCGTGCGGCCGGAAGGAGGAGCAATATCGACAAGAGCAGCCAGAGATCGACGGGAGAGCAACGATGGAAAGCAGGAGCGAGGACAGAGGACAACATAGATCGGGGGAAGGAGGGCGATGCATGTCTAGTCGTTACAGAGGGGTGGAGCGGAAACGGAACACAAATGAGATACAACTGACGGACGAACACCGTCTCTTTTGAAGTTAAATCTCGGAGGGGCTCGACGAGGAACAACGGAACGGTGAGGAAGCATCGTAAAGGCGTGGCACCGTCGTAAAGGTAACAAGACTATCCAGGCGGGACAACGCCTGGTATGAGGTGTCCGAAATGTGTCATCCAAGAGGAGTGAGATCGTGAGATGAACGGATGATGTGCAATTGCGACGGACGGTGGATTGAAGTCAAGGCAAGGAAAAATGAAGATGGAACTTTCGAAGGCAAGATGCAAGAGTACAGTGTTTGATCGGTCGGGAATGACGTTCACGACCTGCGCGCTACTCGCGACAAGAATGAGCGATGACTCCCCATGTGATACAATGTCATGGGAGTCGCGGAAGATACGCATGGAGGCGCACGGCCGGATACGGCGAGAGGAATAAGCAATAGATATGGACGAGCGTGGTCGTCGGGGGTAAATGTGAACAGTGAACCAAAAGTAAATGGCGTGTTTCGTATCTCCGCTCGCGGGTCCGATAAAATTCGTGAGCGGTGCGGCGGCGCGCCGTGTCTGCTCAGTCAAACAGGTCGTCGACATCCTCCCGGGTGAGCGAGAAGAAGGGGGGCGGGACGATATCGTCGAAGCGCCGTTCCTGGCGCCGGCGTCGGTTGGAGGACAGCTGGGGCTCGACGGACGAGTAACTGACGGAGCGCGTTCCGAACGGCACAGCCCTGGGCATCGCGAAGGCACCGGAGAGGGAGTCGAGAGAGTACGTGTCGTTAAAGGAGAACATGTCCGTGAGGCTTCTTTCGAGCGTGGGCGCGGGAAAGAGGGCGTTGTACAGGACCTCGGGCGTGCTCGCAAGCGAAGACTCGGAGGACTGCGAGGAGTGCGTGTAGCGTGGGCGCGAGGGAGTGCGTGGAGAGATGCTGAGGTCTGCAAACTGAGGAATGGGGGAGAGTGCCTGGATAGGGGAGCACGACGATCAGCATACCACCAACATCATGAGGGTAGACTTCGTATGAGTGCAGATCCTCGACCAGGCCCGCGACGACGCAACAGAAACTCGTAGAAGCGACATGGCTCACCTCGGACAAGTCTGGAACATGCATCATCATGTCCATGAAGAGAGGCTCTGCGTTCAAGGTCGCCCCCAGAGCGCCTATGCCCGCGCCCGCGACTGGTTGCCACGCAGGCGGAACGGTCCCATCATTCAGCGCAGACACGCCCGCATTGGTATTCTCGACGCGTGGGCCGGCGAGATCGTCGGCCTGGTTGTCCGCTGGCGCGTCCTGCTCCTCCTCACTTGATGACTGGTCGCGCTGACCATCCTGGACTCGCCACCAGTCGATGTCGGCGAGGACTCTCCTGCGGCTTGTGTCCGACCCCGAGGACCTGCGGGGAGTGTTTCCGCCCGCCCTTGTCACGTTCCCGTTGGAATGCGAGCTGTGGTGGTGATAAGGAGAGGTGCGGGCGGAGGGGGAAGAGAGGGTGCGTCGGAGCGACGGCATAGCTGGCGACGTCGTCGGGGGAGGTAAAGGGGGACGAGGTGGCCGTGGACAACGACGACGAGACGACCTTTTTGGAGGCCGTGTGGGTATAAGTCGACGGTCAGGTCGGGACTGCAGCTGGCAGAGTGGTCGGGAGGAGGGTGGGACCGGGAAGAGGAGACATATATAAGAGAAATTTACTCGTGGGCAATCCGATGTGAAGGATGTGAAGGGTCCACAGGCGCCCGTGCTCATCAAGGCACTCCCGGCCATCTCTCTTCTCCTCCACTCTTTCCTCGCACCAAGTATATTTCCAGCCGACCAGCTCTGGCAGAGAATCTCTCTTCACATCGACGTCGATGTGCATGTCCAGCGACGAGCACAGGGTGCTCATTCATGTATCATCCATCGCTCGGCACTTGTTATCCCAGCCTCTCGAAGGTGACCTCGTGTACCGATCAGAGTGTTGCGCGGGCGGCGAACCCGAGTGTACATGCATGTTGCTAAACTACCTTTAGGACACGAACAAGAATTCCTTGTACAGTCTGACGTCTGCCAATCGGAGCGCTGCATCAGGAAATTCTTACAGGTGTACCATCGCGTGCTCTTCTGTCATCTGCGCTCGTAGAAGTTGCCGTCTATCTTTTGCTTATTCCACAAGAACTATCCCCGGCCAAGTATGCAGCTAAGCCTTGGACTTGATGAACTTGACTTGGCCCCTGGAGCTCTTTATCAAACACTGGAAGTATGGCATCGTTCTAGTCGGGCTCGGCGCGATGGCTCTACTCTCCAACTCCGATCACTCGTGCTAGGTACACGTCGTTTGTTTTTACCGGAGTCCGCGCGATATGGGCTGCAGGTGACAGGCTGCTGATGCGCTCGTCGTCGTCGCCGTCATTCGCTTGCGATGGATGTGCCATCAATCGCGCGACTCATTAATATTGACTTATTACCAGCCACAGACGCGTCGCGCGTGTGTCTCCGACGCGCCGACGCGTCTTCTCTTCCGTTTCTTCGACACAGAGGAGCGTTTTATTATACGTCTCGGATCGCGAAGTTTTCGTGGAGCCCCGCTTGCTACTTCGGCGGCTTCCTGGCTCTGTTCCCCGCCTCTCTGAAGAATCCCACGTCAACGTGCCTCCCTTCCTGATGCGAATCAACGCGGTTTCGAGCGCGACGCGTTACGCATACCTCGCGTCGACAGAGCCTGCACCTCAAGTCACATCACTCGTGAACCAGACAGCCTGGAAGGACGATGTCCCGAGCTCTCTTGTTATACACCGGATGCCCTTGGGCATCAGTTTGATCTATGGACGCATAATTACCCCTCCATTCTCAAGCTCGTCTTGTCGCCGTCATCTGTTCGGAACTTCTAGGCTCGCACAGACCTCACGACCACCTCCCTCACGCCATTGCACACTCCGCTATTAATTGGCAATCCTAGTTATGGCACTGTCAATGGTTCATAGTGTCGCATCCAGGCGCCCGGCGACGTCAAGGGCGTAGTTTATCTGACGGCCGGAAACAGCTCTGCAACTTCCAAACTGCCTTCTGCATTGACTACTCTATCGGGATCAACGTAGATGGTCGCTGATTCTCCTATTCGAAGACCTGTGACGCGGCTGGAGCAACGGAGTAGAACTCCCGCCAGTACTTCTCAGTCAAATTGATTATCATGGGATCATGCCGTATCCCCGCCCCGGTGGGCTGAAGCGTCTTAGTGGTCTTCAGCAACATTGTGAACTCAGTGTATGCCCGCTGACCCACGTTTGCCCATCATTCCATACAGCATCGCTTGAAGTAAGCTACTTATGCCGACGTCCGGAGATTCGATTAGGATGCTGCGCCCCCTTGCCCTGATACTATCGCTTCTAGAACATTTACCATCTCCCGCATCTCGCTGAGCACGTCAGTGGTCGTAGTGTAGGATTCGTATCTGAGATCGTTCCTAAACGATGCCCCGTCCATTCTTCTGCACTCTGGATGTTGGGCGCTGCGGACCTACGGAGCTCCCGCCGCGACCTCTTTAGCTACGATTGATCAGGTGGCGCGATATGTATCAGATACATCGCAACTTGTCCGGGCGCGGCTCTCTCTTCACCGGACCGCGCATTCGACTTTGCAGATAGATGATGAGCGGAATATTAATGCGGATTGGTCTCAGGGCCTGGGCGTTCAGGTCCTCTGTGAGTCGAAGCACACGGATCGTTGATATCGGCCAAGAGCCAAGAGCCAAGAGCCAACATCCATACCTGGGGAACTAGTCCTGCTCTCAAGCATTTCTGTGTTGCACTACGAAAGACTGCTGACGCGCTGATGAGGAACGCCGACGTCGACGCATGAGAACGTGCAGGTCAATTCGGGTTGCATTCATGCATGTACCACATGCTTCGTACAGCCTGAGCATCTATCCCGAGTGGCCATATATCGCTCATGGTGATTTGGCTGCAGAGATCAAGAATAGATAGCAGCTCATCGCGCGCACCGGCTACGAGGGGATCATCAGCCAGGATCATCGTTGTGAGGAACGTCACGGTCGCTGCGACGCGCCCAGCGCGAGCGATCCTACACGCTTACCATATCTGGCACTCTGGATCGCCTCCTCCAGATCTAAGCGCCTACGCCACATTCTTAATCGTTGACCGCCACGGTGCCATGGTCTGTGGAGCTCACGCTTATCTCGGTCATTGATACTACTCAGTGCACTAGAGCAACACTCCGACTTTCTAGAAGCGATATGTCGAGATTGTACTACGGCGCGTTAGTATCACCGATCTCGCTGACAGAGTACACTGCGCTGCCGCACGCGCTGCTCGCCGTCTCGCACGCTACGGGCGAGATTGAGCGGGTCGAGGAGGACGTCGCGGCGGGCGTGCTGCAGGATGTGCTGGCGGAGCATGGATATGTGGATGATGTGGATTTGGTGGAGCTCAAAGTGGGCGAGTTCTTGATTCCCGGGTTTATCGACACGCACACGGTATGTACGCTCGGCTTCAGGTGGATATATGCGCTGACGTTCTATTCTGTGCTTTGAAGCATGCTCCGCAGGTGCCGAATCTTGGGAGGTAAGATAACTCGTGTCGTAGCTGGTTCTGCTGCTGAGCTCCCCGATAGCGGCCAGCAGCACGAACTTCTGGATTGGCTTGCTCAAGTGACGTTCCCGATGGAATGTAGGTTCTCGGACGTAGACTTTGCAAGGCGAACATATAATTCTGTTGTGAAGCGAATTATTGACTACGGAGTGCGTTCTCCCATTATCTGCATGGCCTATACCTTCAAGGCTCATGTGGGTTTTTTGCACTTGCGTAGACCACGACGTGCTGTTATTTTGGCTCATTACACTTAGAATCCACGAAAATACTCGCAGAGATCGTGCACGCACACGGTGCGTACTTCATTCTCATGCACTACACAAGTTTGTCACATTGGTCATACCGCCAGGGCAGCGTGCTCTCGTCGGGGTAGGTAAGGCCTTATTCCTCCGCTGCAGTGTCGACAGGCTGACCTTCGTCCGCCCAGAAATGCAATATGGACTATAATTGCCCCGACTACTACATTGAGCCTTCGCCTGAAGCCTCCATTGCCGCCACGGAAGAGCTGATCGCGCACATCCGTGCGCTGCCCTCCCTGAGTACCAGTGCACATCCACACTCGGGCGAAACGCTCGTGCACCCGGTCCTAACGCCGCGCTTCGCGCTCTCCTGCACGCGCGCTCTGCTCTCCTCCCTCGGCGCGCTCGCTGCGGCCGACCGCTCGCTCGCGATCCAGACGCACGTCTCGGAGAACGAGTCTGAAGTGGTGCTCACCAAGTCGCTGTTCCCGCCAGAGACACTGCCTTCCCCTCCCATGCCTGCGACGGTGAGCGCGGCGGGGACGTATACGGGCGTGTACGACGCGTTCGGCCTGCTGAGGGACAATACCATCCTTGCGCATGCTGTGCATCTCGAGCCTATGGAGGTGGCACTTATTAAGGCGCGGAACGCGGGCATCTCGCATTGTCCGACCAGCAATCTCAATTTACGGAGCGGTTGCGCGAAGGTAGGAATGCTTTTGGACGAAGGCATCAAGGTCATTTTTGTTTGGCACTCGTTGTAGCTCCTTCACTTAAAGAGACGATCTCGCAGGTCGGACTGGGTACGGACGTCTCGGGCGGGTTCTCGCCCTCGATCCTCACCGCGATCCAGCACGCCAGCATGTGCTCGAAGGTGGTCGCGCTGCAATCGCCGCTGCCCGAGGTCGACCACCACCGGTTCGCGGGCCGCCAGCTCTCGGTGCCGACGCTCCTGCATCTCGCGACGTTGGGTGGCGCACAGGTCTGCAATCTTGCAACACGCGTCGGCTCGCTCGTTCCTGGGAAGGCGTTCGACGCGCTCGTGGTGAGCATCCGCTCCGATGCGGGGAACCCTGCCGTGTGGGGCGCGGACCTCGATATGGAGCTCGGTGTCCGCGGAAGCGGCGGTGAGCATGGAGACGAGGGCGGGCGCGGGAAGACAGAGAAAGAGGAGCTAGAGGGAATGCTGGAGCGGTTCTTGTTCTGCGGAGACGACAGGAACATCCGTCGTGTGTACGTCCAGGGACGCCTTATTGGCGGGAAGGAGTTTAGTGGCGCACGGCCCTGAGTTCCAGGATTTACACTGTAGTTTGCAGACGACGGATAGATGCTCTCATCTGGGATACAAATAGAATCTTACACTTACACGGGTTACATTACGATGCGTTACAGTGCAGACCATGACACTTGTAGTCACCAAATTCCCACTTATAGCAGTCCTAGAGTTGTCCACGATCCCGTCAGCAGAGCGAGGATGATTGCTAGCAGGCTATACTTACCACGCAGTCGACCTCCTCTCTGGCAATAGGCACCTCCCTCTCTATTCCATCTTCCCCCACCCAACCGCTGTCCAAGTCCGCCTCAATCACCTTCGTGATGACTTGCGCGATTCGGTGCGTAGCAACGTCGACGCGCCATCCGAGCTTCCCCACCGTATCGTAGACGATCGACCGCCCAAGATGGCACCGCGTCTCCAGCGCGTACCCCGCCTGCGTGCAGAGCGAGTACGGGCCTGTGCACGCGCCCTGTGGGATGGGGTCGGCGTTGTGGTACACGTGCGTCACGGGTGCGGAGCCGTAGGCGGTCACCGAGTCGGAGGACGGCGGAAGCGGGAGGTGGAGGCGCTGCGCAGCCAGGCGCTCGCCTGGCGACTCGAATGCGACAGACGGGAGACCGAAGGTGGTGCCCAGGAGGGAGGCGAGCGAGCCTCCGAGGGAATGCCCCACCAGCCAGATGTTGGCGGTGGGATACAGGTCGGTCAGGTTGTTCACCAGCCCCTGCAAAATCGTTTCGCACTGGCATCAAATGACGTGGGTAGAACATGCACGATGAGAGACGCACCACCCCGATGTTGTAGAAGAGGCTGTCCTGCACGAGTGCGTCGCGCAGACAGGTGTTGTCGCATCTCCACTTGTACGCGTAGCACCTGCACACGGTGCTGAAGATCCATGAGAGGTCCACCCGCGCACAGCAGCACGAGAACAGGAGATTGTCGTTGAACTTGTCCTTCTTCGATGTCGGGCCCTGGAGCGTGGTGCCCTTGATCGCAAGGACGACGGTGTTGCTCATGGACGAGACGAAGACGTGCCCACGGAAGCCGTCTGCGCTGTCCTCCCAGCCAAACGGAAAGCTCTTCAACCCGCCAATAAGCAATGAAAATCTGAGGGAAGATAGAGGACATACTGTATTCCAAGCGGGATCCATGTCGTACCAGTTCTTCTGCTCGGGCAAAGCATAGGCGTTGCCGGTCATGCGGGCGAGCTGGGAGATGGTGTGCTTGTCCTCGACGTCCGGCCCCAGTACCTCTACTTGCTCCCACTCTACCTCCTCATCCTCCGCATCATACAGAGACCTCAGTCGAGCGCGTAGAAGGGCAGCGGTCGACCGAGGCCGCCAAATAGTGGTCGGTCGTGCTTGCAGGGTTATGGTGGGCGTGCTCGGTAATACGCCGATTGCAGATACATCGAACACAGGTTGCGCGTCGTAATTGTCAGATACATGAGATAGAGAGAGATCACGTTGCGATACAAATGAGATTGGTGTCTGATTTGGAGCACAGACAGATGTGCCGAGGAGGAACGAGATCGCGAAGAGTTGCAGGACACGCATTCCGCTCGAGGCGGGTCAGCTCATGTGAACAGCGATGGAAGGCAGCAGGTCCGCGAGACGCAGAGTTAAGATGGGGAGCAACGAGAGACATGCTCTCGGTCGGAGAGCTGCTTGGTGCTCAGCGCTCAGCGCTCATCCTCGATGACAGATCTGGTCACACGTTGAGCGGCATTCTGCGGGTACAACCGCCTCGAGCCCCACGTCGTCCGAGAAAGACACTAAACTGAGATGTATTGAAATCACAACAGTACCAGATAGCAATAAGTCAATCATAAGGTGCAGACCGCTCATGTCCGATATTAATTGGCAGGTGCGACGAAACAAGCGACGTGGTGTAATCACGTCCGCGTCCTCGGCGAAACCTTGCTGGCATACAGGTCCTTGATGTCGAAGAATATGCTGAAGCCGAATGCAACGCAGAGCAAACACGACGCGGCTGTCGACAGGTTGTAGGATTCGCACCTGTTGAGATGCGAACTATGAGCTGGGCATTTTGGCAGACCTCGCGATGAACGTACCAGCCATCGTAGCCTGAGCTTGGGCACCGCGGACCTAGGAGGATAAGGACGAACTCCGTCCCCCACAGGACTATTGAGACAATATCGAACAGCATGCCCCACTTCAGCGTCTTCCTCGCCCTCTTCCACTGCGCCTCCATCGCTAGCCCGGCAAAGATGCCGTGCCTCTTTGCGGCCAGGCGTCCTCGTCCTCGCGCGGACCCAGGGCCCGCGTGAGAGCCAGAAGGAGTAAAATCCGAGGCTTCGTCGTCCACCTCCTCATTCCACTCTCCCTCGCGCTCACGATCACCGCCAAACACCGTAGGATCCACGATCAGATTTACTTGCACAGCGTCACCACTGCCCCCACCTTTCTTCTTCTTTCCTCTCTTGTTCTTCTTCCCGCCTGGCAAGCTTTGTATGGGCAATACCATGAGACCGCCTGGTCCTTGTAAAGCTGTGTCCTTCTCTTTACTGCGTCGGCCACAACAGCAGGGGTAAACGAAAAAGACATATGTTGTCGCGAGGAATGAGACAATAGAGAGGACGTAAAGCACGTATAAAGGTAGCCTTCCGGAGGGAGGTGGGGTGGAACTTGGTTTGATGACCTGCGGGAGGTGTCAACCAACGAGAAATCCAACAAATATATAGGGATAAGAATGGTATGGAGAGTCGGAAACACAGCTTCAGAGCATACACACAAGAATCGTCATAACTTACCCCAGCTGCATATATGGAAGCCACGGTAGCTGTCAACGAGAACAGCAACTGTGCCAACCTCACGGCCAATCTCTTCTTGGGGCCATCTGTGATCAGCTTACCCTTATTATCTACGCTTCCAATGGCTGTCTCCCCCTCGCGGTCTTTCTTTACTGCTTTGCCAAACTCGCCCTCCAGCATGCGCATGCGCTCCTCTTTGACATTGGGGTCAACAGGCCCACTGACATCAGGAGTATCAGCGCTCCAGGGAAGAATATTAGGATCGCGCGAGGATCGGGAGTTCAAGTCGTATGGGTAAGACGGAGGTGGAGTGAGATTGTACGGGTTAGTGTCGTATACATGTGTGGGGAACGCGGGATCAAACGGTGACATACTGGCTCCGGGGGCAGGGAGAGGGTCTGAAAAATTCGGAGACTTGTTGTTGCCATACCACGCATGCGAGAATGGAGGGAATCTAGCGATGTCGATCTCGGAGTCGTTGCCTCGCAGTTCAGTCTGGGGTTCCCGCAAGGGCTGTGCAGCATTGGATAAGGAGGTAGCGCTATGGAAGTGTGCTGAGGGAAAGAAGTTGAAGGAGGCAGAGAGAAAGGTCGCCTAACGGGTGCCCTAGAATTTGGGCTGGAAGGCGAGTATGAACTGGACGCTGAGGGAGAGACGAGGGACGGCGTATATGCGGATTCAGGACTAGCGAGAAGACGAGTTACAGGGGAAGGAGGATACGGGTCGTGCGCACGGAATTCCAAAGCTGGGTGATCATACAAATCGCGGTTCAAAGTCATCGCGTAGTCTGCGAGATCCAATGCCTCTACGGATACATCGAATGGCTCTCTGTGCCGCCTCAGAGATTGTACAGACTGATGATAGTCGTCGTAAGCATGTCGTGAAGCTAAAGGAAGGGGATCGTTAGGCTCTGGAGACCAAGGTCGATAACGAGAACGCGGAGGCGGAGTGTCGAGCCGGTTAAAGGAATACATTATGTCGTGAAGTTGTCGTGAGAGTCGTTAATAGGTATGGCAATGGGTATATTTGCATGCGGTGGAGGACACTATGGCCGACAGCGGCGGTGATGAGGGGACGCCTTGCCAGTGGACGCACGATGAGCCACACCCAGGATCGCATCCGGCCCTGTCCGGCCCGTCCAGATACTGGGTAGCCTGTATAAGATTCTGCACTTAATGTATGCTTTCTCCGGGACAAGTTTCTCTCGCATAATTACACCACTTGTAAATATTGTGATCTTATATCCTTTGAGTGACTCCCTGGGCGAAGTTGGAGCGTGAAGCTGACGGTTATATTACGGCCCCACGGTGGCGTAATCTGGACCGAGTATGTTGAGATTGCTGTATGACATGGAACACTCATCAACGTCTGTCTCCGTGTCTTCATTTTCAGGCAGGTCCGAAACTTTACAATGGACCATATTGATCCAACCAGCCTTGAGCCTGTCGCCAGCTCTGTGCTCTTTGCTTACATCCAGGACTTGTACCAACCGCCGAATTTTCTAGCTTCGTCTGTCTTACACGCTGCCAAAACTACTACAAAACGCTTGAGAATCTATCTCATATCTCCATTCTTCGATGTGCCTCGAAGGAATGCGGGTGCTGACGCTGCAAGTGAGGCAGCAGGGATATCGCACACGAAGCATTGGTATGGGGTGCAGAGGCTGCTGACGTTCGTCTATGTCCAAGCGACGAAAGTCGCACAGGATTCCGACAGGGTGTTGATGGACATTGATGTTCTGCTGAAGGGATCGAAGGATGTCCTATCAGAGAAAGTGATCCAGGATGCGCAGCGTATCTTCTGCGGTTCGTCCAGCTTATATGCACTGAAATGTTCCACTCCATCTCACTGTGCTTCAGTTTTGCTACAAAGTGGCGGCACACCCGACCTCCCGCTGTTCCTACGACAGCGGACAGACATCATTTCGTTACCGCCCGATGACCATCCGTTACACTCACTTCACCCAATCCCTCCAGCCCCAGACCCGAGCGTACCACCTATGCTGCACGTCGTCGCTCTGGGCGGCACATTTGATCACCTCCACGCAGGTCACAAGATTCTGCTCAGCATGGGTGCCTGGATCGCCAGCGAGAAGCTCATCGTCGGAATTACTGGTGACTCACTTCCTGCCTGCACACATCACCCATCTTGACATGCTACCTGGGCCCGCAGACGATGCGCTGTTGAAGAAAAAAATATACAAGGAGGTCCTCGAGTCGCTGTCAGTGCGCACCGAGAGGACCCGCACGTTCCTCGAGCTGTTCAAGCCTGGTCTCGTCTATGATATTGTGCCCATCAGCGATGTGTACGGCCCAACGGGTTGGGATCCGAACATCCAAGGGCTGGTGGTCAGCAAGGAAACTTTACCTGGCGCCTCATCCAGTGCGTCTCGCTGCTACGTATCCCGACCTCAGTATTCTAGTAGCTGACCTTCGTCGTTCATGATATTCGCTGCCGTCGTCGATATTCAGTCCACAAGTGGCGCGAGGAGAAGAGACTTCCTCCACTTCACACCTTCGTCATCGACGTAATTTCCTCCACTGAAGCGAGTGTCGACGACGACGATGCGGAGGTGCTCAAGAAGACCAAGATGAGCAGCACCTACATCCGGGAATGGATCGTGAACAACGAAGCACGGACCGTGCAGCCGTAGAAAGCTGTAGATGAGAAGGAGTACCTGCAGGCAGCCGGCGCATATTTGCGAGCTTGTCGCAATTGCACACTGTCAGATGTATTAGATGGGTATGTATAGTGGTGGCTGTTATTTGTCGGGCGGTTATCACCAATAAGTACAGAATAAATGAAGCCGCTAGTCCAAGTCCTGAATGTCCGTGTACGAAACCAGAGGAAGGAAGTGTGCATGATGGAGATACAAATGCAGTACGTTCGTAGTCCGAAGTCGAAGCCGAAAGAGGGGATATAATAACACGGGTGCGCGTCCCCACACGCACCGACCTACCATCCATCCAGCCAGTCCTATGAAATAATTTCGCGAGGACGGGCAGGGCAGGACTACCGCAGCTCGCTCTCACCCAAACTCGCGAGGTCGATGAAACGTGTAACGCGCTTCATCGCCCGCGCAGTGCTGTCTCTCGCCTCCACGCCGAGATCTTCGTCGCCCTCGCCCTCGCCCTCATCCCCCTCCTTCATAACCCTCTGCGCATGCCGCTCACATAGCATACGCCCGTCCACCTCATAGTACTCCACGAGCCGCTCGGTGCACCGTGCGTACTCACACAAAAGGTGCTCGGGGTGATACCGCTGGCCCGCGTGCGAGACCGCACACGGGCCCTCGATGGGCTGCCCGCATGTAGGGGCAGCACACAGCGACTTGTTGGCCTCGTGGTAGTGATATGCACAAAAAGGCTTGCCGTCGAAGACGTAGAAGCTCTTATCAGGGAAAGTTTTCTGCGCGATGTGTGAGAAGGTGTGTGACCGGCGACGGAAGACAGAAGCATACATGGCATGTGTGGCAATTAAAGCATTCTCTGTGGTATTTGCCTTTTAACTGGCCGTCGGAGGACGACACCGCCTGCTTTTCGATGGTTAAATTACAACGGCGGCACTACCACCCGAGCGATTCTCAGTAACCGCACTGCGAACGAAGACGTCGGAGAAGACTCACCTTGGGTAAATACATATTCTTCCAGCATCGATCGCACAACACGCTCCCCCCATCCATCTGGATCCACCGCTCGTCGTCGATCGTCTTCTCGCACCGCACACAAACCTTGACCTGCGGCCGCTTCTTTCCCCGCGCGGAATCGCGATTCGCACCGAGCGTCGGGCTCGTATGCGAACGCACGGGGAGCTTCGGCGGCTTGCTGTCGCGCTGGCTGTCGGGGACGAGCTGTGTAGGGAACGTGAAAGGACTCGCGGCGGAGCTCGCGGTGGGCGACGTCGGGTCCTCGAAGAGCGTCTCCAGCGCCCTGTCCAGCGCCCCGGTTGATTTGGCCGCGGAACGCGCCGAGTACGCAGACGCTCCCGTCGACGCGGAGAGGCTGCGCATCGGGGGACGCGGCGAAACTGGGGAGTAGTGCGACTCGGAATGGTCCATGGACGGGAAGCGCACCTTGTCCTTGCCCGTGGACGAGCCGCGCGGTCGTGCGGTCCCAGAGGGGACCTGCGGCTTCGGGCTCCGAACGTCCTCTTCTGTGTCCTCCGCGTTAGAGTCGGCATATGCCAACCCGCTAAACTCAGACCCCGAGCTCGGCGAGAACAGCGGGTTGTCTTTTGCCTCCTCTTTCGCAGGCTCAGGATCGGGCTTGGTCGTGTCAATGTCCGGTAGCTTATTCTTAAACTTCTCGAAGAAGGGTAAACGAATGGAAGTCGGCGTTGTCGGGGTTGCGGGAAGAGCGGGCAGGGGAGCCTTAGGAGGCTCTGTAGCTGGTGGCACAATGCGATCGCGCTGATAGATCGAACCACCTGGACTGACGGGTGATGCGATCGTTGGGCCTGATGCGGGAATAGTGGGAGTGGTAGGGTGATGGGCAGCGTGTGGGGAAGGGATACCGGCAGATACCGGCGACTTCTGGGAAAAGGGCGTATGTGGAGAAGGTGAGGATGTTGCTGAGTGGGGGGAAAGAGGCGGCGTATGCGCAGCCACACGTACAGATGCTACGGCCGCGCGAAGTTCAGCCTCTGAGAGCGACACGAAATTATTTAGCCGAACTCACAATAATTTGCAGCCGACATCATGTCGAGCAATTTGGGCGCATTCGCCCGCCGGCGGTCCATGCTTTGTCTGTGCGGCAAAGGAAGGCAGTCATCGCCATGGCTATTTGGCGCAGTAAACATCGCTGCTCGAGCAGCAGCCGCAAACCCTCTGCGGCCAACGCCAGCCATCCCCGCAGCGCCGCCAATTTTCGTGTCGATTTCAGGGACACGAGGAACGGGAGGGGACTCGAGTGGTGGGCTCGCAGGGTTATGATGTAGATGTTGCTCCGGACGCCGAAGGCTTACATTTGAAGCCGCGCGTGGGCGCTGTGGCGGGAGCTGAGGTGAGTAGTTCGGCGGTGGATATCGCATGCTGGCGCTCGAAGGGGCGCGTGCGCGCGTAGGCGGGTCATTCAGAATTGGAGAACGATGTTCGGGACGCCGCATGCTCGCATTGGATGGCGCTCGCGCGCGCGGCGGGGGTGGTTGAGCGGGCGTGAAGGCCACCCTGGGTCCCGTGGAGTAGAATACCTCGGGTTCTTCTTCCATAGAAGGACGGCCGCTGGCATTGCTCGCAGTCCGTGGACGCGTATGCGACGGGGACAATGCGCTTGCAGAGCTTCGTCCAGCATACGTGGGAGAAGCGAAAGGCGCAGGACTCGACTGCACGGGATGTCGAATGGCATTTGCAGACAAGGGAAACGAGCGCACGCTGGTGGTCGAAGGCGCACGTGGACGCGGCGCAGGGCTACTCGGCAGGGGTGGATAGTTCGCAGGCGTTCCCGTCCTCGAAACCACTTCAGGCACTCCTGGTGAGCTGCGAGCGCTGAGCGGCGATGGCATCCTTGGTGGACCAGCGGGCTCTGGTCGAGTGGGAAATAGCACGCCCGGTACGTCCGACATACCACCCCGAGCTAGCGGGCTGGGCACGCGCTCTGGGCGGTCATCGCTGCGAACGCTCAGCGAGGACGCTGTGGATGGCGCGCGTGCGCGCGAGGGCCTGTCTGTCCCACGAACATTCAAGGAGGCAGTCGAAGGTGCGCGCACACGCGATGTGTCTGCTCCGACGCGCGCACCGAGGGACACTGATGACGGCGCACGCTCTCGCGGTGGAGGCGTCGCCGGACCAGGGCGTTCAGGCTGTGGGTGGAGCGGGCTTACCTGGCGCTGTGCTGGGTGCTGATGTGGGTGCTGGTGTTGCTGTGGTGCCTGGAGACGCGGAAAGGCGACTACATTCTGAAACTTCTGGGGAAGCAGGCTGGCTGTAGTTTTAGGTGACATAGGTTGTCTAAGGGCGGGAAGGGGAGGAGGAGGGGCACAGACATGGTCGCCGAGGTCGGCTATTGGGACTGGCTGGTTGCAACTCGAACACTTGACCGTCGGGAGGATTTGGGAGATGCGCGCTGGGCCTTGAGCGACGGGAGCGAGTTGGGCCATAAGGAATGTGGTGCACGGTGGTGCTCGCTATTGCTAGGGATGGGAAGAGTAGTGTGTACGGCCAGCGCAAGGGCTTTAATGGGGCTAATTAGTGGGAGGTAGGATAGTGGGAGACGAAAACATATCGAGATGGTTCATCAGCAGGACGCACCACCTGCTCCATTTTTATCTTATACGCGCTGCCACCACGTTGCTACCCACCATGTCCCCAACATTCTTGGCATTTATTTCCTACTACTCGCTACGAACATACAGGAATATTGCAAGGATGCGCCTATTCGAGGCAGAACGTGTCCGACGAGCACACGCAGCTCACAACTGAAGATATATTCTGCGGGGTACAAGGCATCTCCAAAAGCGTGCGACCAAGATCGCACGCGTCTTCTCACTCAGAATGGTTTAGCTTCACTCTAAATCTCAGGCAGCATTGATCATCACGACAGAATCAGCTTTCCATCGAGATCGCCTCTCATCTCTTCAGGAGCGCCACCCTCGACGCCAATCCTGCAGGCGCACCACCGGTTAGGCAGGCTCAACGAGAACGGACTATGACTGACCATCTCAGTGAACAACCTGCACAACAGGATCCTCATTGCCCATCATAGAACCTCTTAGGATGCCGCTGCCATGCCATGGGAAGCCCCGCAGATTGGTTGTCGTCGATAACGCCATTACCCGGGGAATTCAGAAGTCTTCCTCGCGGGAATAACCCGTCCGAGCCAACCGGTACGGACACCGCAGAAACCGTGCTTGACGCTGCCCAGAAGACGACAAGCAGAGAGCACAAATGCAGATCTACTAGGGAGACGGGTGAGTTATATGGCATCAGGGAGAGCGGTACGCTTCCCTACATGTGTTCGCCGCCTGCATCGCTGAGACCTCAGGCAATTTGAAGCCTTCGTCAAGGACTTTCTAGCGCATATCCGGCCATAAAAACCCGACGAAAATCCAGAAATCAACGTGTTGGTGCAAAATGAAGTGGAAACATGTAAAATTGACTGACTACGCTAACAAGTGGTGGGCGTGCGAGGAACACGACACACGTGCTCATATCCAAAGAAGGATAATCTCTTCAAAACATAAGGAACCAAAAATCCTGCGAGACATCTTCGCCGAAATGTTCACAATATTTGCGCAGCACCACTAGTGCGCAATACGAGGCTTCTAGTGTGGGAGTCGTGGTCCTCCCAGCTTCTTCTCCTTCTATTGTCGTGCACTCGCTCTGGACTCACTGGAGTTGCGCTGAGGCATCTATTCCGGGATAAGCCTAACACATTGAGTCGAACGTTTCGTCCGAGTCGTTGGTACTCAACTCGAGGAACCGTGAAATGTTTTTCAGAATGTATGCTGGTCGACTGAACTCTCACACGAGTGACAGGCTAGCAAGATCAGTATCCTGCCAGAAACCGGAGAAATGACGGTGAAAGCAACCACAGAACAAAAGGTGAGTCGCATCTTTGTCCCTAGCATTCATCCATCTGTCTATCATACTGCACGGTATCTCCTGACCTCCCTTGTACATTTATGTCGAGCAGCGTTCCAAAGCTGAAACCACTCGGAACAACAGAACAAGCACTGTCACCCTCCAATGTTGCGTTGCTGCAGTGTAGGCGCTCACACCCGTCCACATGGGCTGCACCGCTGGATGCTCAGAAAGAACCGCCGTGCGACCAGCGCTGTAGCTGCAGCTTCTCTTCTTCGCTCTTCTCTCGGTCATATGCATACGGATTTCGCCGTCGTTGCTTCGGGACGTTGTCCCGCACTACGTCATGCACGAGACGAATCTTTTCGGGCGGCCTGCCGTGATCATCCACTGCTGCGACGTACGGGAACAAGCGTTGCAGGAGCTGTTGTGGCTCCATTACCCCTGGGATGTATTTGATTATCGCACAATGCGTTTGCATCTCCCAGCGCCATCGAGGTGAATCCGGAGCATCAATGTGAGTGTTTGATTTCTAGCCTGATAATGTGACAAACCGTCCCAGAATATACTATAACAACAGAAATGAGGGTGCACAACTCTGCACAACTCCGACCTCAACGTGTCATCTGGGGCACACCCAAAATTCCCTCCCAAATTGCAAAAAAGCCAGCGAAGCAAGCCTCGACTCGCCTGTCCTCATTGCAGACGCAAGGCATACAAGACACCGAGCCCCCCCGCCACGATCGTCTCACACCTATGCAGGAGCATATGGATGTCGCCTTGTTTTCACTTTGTCCTCTTTTGTTCCCAAACCGTCCCTCACGACGGTGAAATGTCGCCAAGAATGGTGGCACGCTGCTGGTCCCATCGTGCATCGTTCTTCCTGCACTCACACACATCTTGCCCGATAAGCACCGATGCTGCAACAATCAAGGATGTCATAGGGCACGTCTTTCGCTCGCTGGCCTTCCGCCCGAAGGTCGGACTCGGAGATTCTCCTGAATTCTTTCTGCGCCCTAATGCCCATGGCTTATCCACAAAGCTCATCACACCCGTTCATGTGTGTGTTCGATCTTCTGGTTCTGCTGACACTGCCACGGCAGGCTCGCGTGACAGGCAAAATCGCGCGCGAAGCTTCAACATTCCGCCACTGCGGGTACCGTATGCCTGGTCGTACAGCAAGCGAGTGAAACGAAGCTGTAGGCTTGTCCCACTCCGTCAGATATCGCACTCCGCAGAATGTGCGTGCGTCCTCATAGCTTGTGGAATCCAATTCGCTCTTGGGAATTCCTACACCGTCCAACCGGCCATTCTACAAGGATGAATCAGATCCAGAGATCGACGACCCTGAGCTCACTCGCCGCTGGCATCTCCATGCATTTGGAATCTCATGGAAGGCACGCGAGAGTGTGAGCCTCAGAGTGAGCTGAGCCCATTAATATTTACAAGCAAATAATGTATTTTTGACTATATGCAACCGAAGAGCGTATGCATACCAGCGCGCGCCGAACGGTAAAAAGACAACAACATATCGCGATGCAACATTCATATTAACGCCAGCAAATAGGAAAAAGAAATTCCATGCAAGCTCCAGAACGATTATGATAACGGTAGTAATAGACAGAACGGAGTACAACGAGCCAAAGAGTCCCATGCACGCGCTCGTGCCCGACAGAGCTTCGCGCGAAAAGTGCGCCCGATATCAGCGCCACGGATGGCCGATGCTCTCTCTACACTCCAAAACACACGTCTGCGCCGGATAGGCATCTCCGCTAGCCCGCTCTCACCGCAGCCCGTGCCCTACATGCCGCCGCTCGGGGAGTAGTACTGCGTGTTGGACGGCCCTTCTTGAGGTGAGGAAGCGGCAGCGGCGGGCGCCATAGGTGCGGTACCGCCGGGTCGTTGCTGGAACCCCGAGGCCTGAGGTGCAATGCGCGAGAAGAACGACTCCCACTGCCCTGCACCGGGAGTGAGCACGACTGCATCGAAATGAACAAGCAGTGAACGCACCCCAATCGTAATAGCTTTTCGGGAGGCCCTCCAGCAAACCGTTGTCGGCCATGGCGAGCTGCTCCAGCGTGCCGGACGCCTGCGGGAAGTCCAGCACGTTCATCACTTGCACGTTCCCGGGGTACAATAACGCAGCATTGTTCAGCGCGGGGTTCATGTTGGACATGTTCCCTCCAAGCGGTGTGAAGTTGACCATCGACGAGGGCCCCTGATCCGCCCCATGCTGCTGCTGTAGCTGGTGTTGAAGCTGCTGGCGCGACTGCTGCTGCTGCTCGGTGCCCGCAACTGCACGCACGGCAGTCCATGGAGCCGGTGCGGATGCGGATGACGGCGTCCAAGTAGCAGCAGACCCCGAGCCAGGAGGAGGGAGAGACGATAGCGCGTGGTCATTGCGTGTTCCAACGTGAGACACCGCGGCCGCAGGGGCCTCACCTTCAGATTCCGACTCGGATCCGGCGATGATCGTGCCCTCGGGCACGTCGCTGTCCACCCGCCGGTCCTTGCCGTGCGCGACGAACACGCCGCCGCCCGGACGCGACGGGTCCTTCTGGAAGACGAGCCCGCCCAATGGCGGCTTCGCACGCACGCCACCCGTCGGGTTCAGCGCGGGAACCTCGGGCGGCTGAGGCGGACCCAGCGTCGCCTCATAGAGGAGCGCGATGATCTCCGCAGTCTGTAAAGGGTGTCAGTAAGCGGACTCAACGGGGCGCTGTACGTGTGTCGACCGGCCTTTCGTCTTGCCGACATATGGTCAGGCGAGAGGGACGCTTCCCACTTCCGCACGCAGTCGCGCAGCTTCTTCAGCTTGCCTTGGGCATCTGGGTCTCGCCGCCGTGCCCAAGTGTGATACTGGGAAGAGGAAATCCGATTTAGTGTACACGTACTAGGGGGGCTCAATATTGCACACCTGAACGAGCGCACAAGAGGTGGCGCAGTACGCGACCAACAGCCAGACGTCGTACATACGGTCATTGGCATCGAGCCAATCGATAGCCTGGCCCGTGAGCGAGACGAGCGCAGACCACTTCTCGACGGTCAGCGCAAACTTGAGGTGCGACGGGCAAGTGTAGGATATGCGCATGAACACGCGCCAGAAAATCATGTTCACGCACGCGTAGAACAAGAACAGTAAGCCTAAGTCATTTGATTCCGGTGAGCCAGAGTTCTTGCGTGCCGACGGCACAGTGATGGCAGAGGAAATGGCACGCACCGGCAGCCATAGGTGTTTCGGGACCGCGAAACTGCAGCTCTTCTGGCAGGTTGTTCCGCCACGTTTCGAGATCGGAAAGCAGCGAATGCAGGGCATCGTCGGTTGTGACCGTCAAGCCGGCAGGACTGCAAGAGAATAGGTCAGCTCAGGCAGACGGCAGACGGCATACGACGGCAGGACATACGTATAAATAGCCTTCTGCACACGACCTAAAAGCACACTCAGCCTCACGAGCTCGTCCATGTAGAGATCATTAGGGTCCCCAGACGATGGTAGTCGCGCATCACAGTCTTGAACATCAATCATATACGGATGGCCATAGGTGAGGCTGATCCTGTTGCGAAATCGTCAATACTGACAACACCGAATAGGACAACACCGAGCGACAAGGAGAGAAAAAAATACCATCGGTCACTAATGACGCAAATGCCCCACAATCGTCGGCGCAACTCGATGTCTTGCTTGACGGACTCGGCACGGTGTAAACCAAGATCCTGTGCCTGTGAATACGACGTACACAATCAGCTTTGCGATCGACCCGACGATGCGATTACGGACCATACGAATCGCACTACCGAGGCGGATCCAGAGCGCCGACAGCGCGTTCGGCACAAATTGTGAGTGGCAGTCCCCCACCATAGTCAATATCAACAATGACTGCATATTAACGATGGACGCGGTCGACAACACGTCCTCCATCTTTATCAGGCTATTCACCGCATAGCGGATCGAGTCGAACACGGTCTGGGGCACCTCGCGGCGCGCCGCGGCAACCAGGCAGATCGCGTACAGGAGCACGGGCGGGGGCGGGCTGCTCGCGACAAACTCCTCGCGCGTAACGACGGGGAGCATCGGCGCGATTTCAGTAAAATACGCGTTGACGAGCTTCTCGACGACGTCGCGCTCTATGTGCATGTCGATCGGCTTCGGGAGCGCGAGTTGCAGTTCGCCCTGCTGCGGCTCGTGCACGCGGATGAGGCCGTCCCCGCCCGTGCTAAGGTCCCACGAGTGGTGATACCGCATGTCGTAGGACTCGTACGCTCGCGAGGAGATCGTCGCTTGCGAGTGCAGCATATGCGCCGCAGATGTTGGCCCTGCGTGCGCAATCAGTGCCTGGAATATAGCACAGCAATGGCCGATATTTCCTCACCGTATATTTTGACCTCGCCGCCTTTGGGGTCGGTCTGGGGCGAAGATGTGCTCTGTTCCGCCTCCTTTTCCTTCTCCGCGGAAGCCCTTAACGCCGCTTCCTCCTCCATTTTCTTTTTCTTAAACCGCGTTTCTGTAATGGGAAGGAAGAAGGTGCATTCGAAGCCGTACTGCTTGCAGTGCTGGCACACGGGCGGCTCGGCTTCGGTGAGCACGTCGCATCTAAACGGGAGCGAGCGTCAGCGTGCCCAGAAGAAAGCGGAGAAGTTAGGCAAAAATACAACACGGGGGGATCGACGGGGTGTGTTGCATGTTGGGCGCGACACGAACCTGATCTTCCGACTCCGGCAGCTGTCACACGCGCGCTGGGTCTTGGTGCGCTTCTTCGAGTCGACGGCTATGCCCACGGTCGCGTTCTGAGCGGCGGCGCGGGCGAGGTCGGCGGAGGAATCTGGACCGTCCTCATTAGATGCCCTGCTACGCTCGTCATCAACGGCAGACTTCCTTTTACGTTTACCTGAGCTGGAGGCGGGTGCCGGAGACGCGGGGGCGACGCTGCGTGCGGGGTCGGGGTGAGCGGCAGGGGACGGGCTGTACATGATGACATTCGAGGGCGGGTAGTGGGGGTAGGAGGGGTAGGGGTGGGGATATGGAGGATGGTGAACGGGGTAAGAGTAGTGCCCAGGGATGCCAGGGCCAATGTGGGGGTTCTGACCGTTCGCAGGGGACGCGGGGGGCTGTGGCTGGTGGAAGGGGGACGGAGAGGAGGGGTACGGGTTTCCGTTCATCGAGTAGGGCGGATTCATGAGGTATGGACCTGCGGGCCCCGGGTAGGGCTGGAGGTGCGCAGTGAAGCGGTTGTAGGACGAAGAGGGCGGGGGTGCTGGTGGTGGTGGTGGCGGGTGAGGGTGGTCTCGGACGTCGGAGACGGGGGCTGGAGAACGTGGTGGACGGTGAGGACGAGTGTGGGGACGGTGAGGACGAGCTCGGGGACGGCGAGGAGCGGACTCACTGGAGGCTTCAGAGTGCAAGGCGGGGTCGGGGCGAGACGCGGTGACGGCAGGCTTGTTCCTTGATTTGGGACGAGTGTGGGAGGAGCGACTCGGCTGAGGGATGTGGTCTGGGGCAAGTTGCGCCGGCTTGGACGGATTGGCGTCCATTGCGAAAGGTGGTTATCCCTCGATTATAAACTGTTCTAATCCCCGTGCGCCGACAAAACATTAGCCCTCCGCATGCACAGCCATACAGCCCACGCACGCACCGTGTCCGTCGCGAGCTCTCGCGACTCCTGCAGAGCAGCTGTCCTCGTCGGCGATGGCAGCGTCCTCAACAATGTTGACCACAGCCGCCGGGCCCGCGACGACTTCAATCTCTGCCGAGCACTAAGCCCGACGCTCCGCTTCGCTCCCCGCCACATTTCACACTCAGTTCACCTCCGCGGCCCACGTGATGTCTGCCTGAAACGTCACCCCGTTCCTCAAATAAACGCACCCTGCTAATTTTAGAGCGCGAGCGCACTCTGCGCCGTCTTCAGTCGGACTTGTTCTCAGTCCGTGCGCCGCTGTCCGCGCACACATCGTGGTCTCAACGGGCTGTGCAGCGGTGGAATAAAACGGCCGACTTGGGAGGGGCAGCTGCTCGCAGGGATGACGCACACGCACATCGCGTCAGCACCCCGTGTCAGCGATACGCGCGAGATCCTGCCACGTGCCATCAGCCACGATCAACGTCGCCCTTTTCTGGCGCCACTGACCACCGACCCTCGCTCGACGCTGCGCACGGACCGCCTCGTCTTCCTCTTCCTTGTCTCCATTCCGGTCAAGCCCAGAAGCTGACTGTGCATTTCTCCCCGCGGAGGGTTGCCCGGAGCGACACGCCGCTGACTCACACTCAATCGACCGTACAGGCGCATCAGCTTATGTACGCGCGATGGATCGATCGACCTGCTCGTGAAGCCGGCGGAAGAGAATGACTGCCTGCAGAAGAGCAGCAGCTCGTCCAAGTCGTCGCTGCTCCTAGTCTCTTCGACTATTTGAATATTATCTCGGGGCTCTCGCGAAGCAGACATCTGCGCAGTGCGCAGAGGACGGGGGGCGGTGTGGTGTGGCTTGTCGGGCACATAGCACATACGCGAACATTCACCCCCCTATTTCCGTCAGCATCTTGACCAGCGGGCGCCCGGGCCGTCTATCGTCGTCATCCCCGCCTATGCGCTCTCCAACAGAACATTGACGGCCAGAATTTTGCTGACAGCCCTGCTCACGTACAACATCGTTCCTATATCCACGCGCCACTCGCCCGCTCCGCCATATCTACTTCCCCTCCACTCGCCCTCGTAAGCCCCATCCCCAGCTTAGTCCGCGCGGACACACCATCTGATCCCCGGCCAATCGCGCCAACCCCCCGCTGATCAATCCGAACACTCGCGAAGGAGCGCGAACCGCAGAAGCACCGTGTCGAAACTGCTCGAACTTCGACGCACGCATTCGAGCAGAGTGCGATGGAGACTTCGACTGACCAGCTGAGGATTCCCGGACGGGTCGGGACCGAGAACGACAACCTCTGTGTGTGCGTTTCGCGTCGAGTGATGCCACCACGGCGTTTCAATGTCATTATCAGATCAGCTTATCGCGCCTTGTTCCCGATAACCACCGTCCGTTCGCCGGTACGGACACACGGAGCGATGCCGCCGATTACAGCACCGGGAATATTATGGCGTCACAGGGACGAAGAACGGGAACCGGGAGCGAGGACGTCGCGTCGACCGACGTTGATCAGCGCTCAGCACCGCACACTCATCGACATCCCCTGTTACTCCAGTCGCCATAAAACTATGCCATAAAACTAATAAAATACTAAGAACACCGCGCATACAGCGGCATACGGCATCCAAAATCCAGAAAAAAAATCCATGGGTATGCAAGGTCCCCCAATCGCACAGCCGCGAAAATAACGAACCGTCTACTCGCCCTTCGCGCGCCCCTCCTCTGCCTCGGCCATCCACGCCTCCTGCACCAGCCCCGGGTTGATCTCGCGCTTGTCCTCCGTCGCGACCGCAGAAAAATCGAGCCACGACATCCCCGCCGGCCGGCAGAGCACATACAGCAGGTTCCGCCGCCACGTCCCGTGCGAGAACGGGTTCGGGGGCGCAGGCCCGGGCACGAGCGACTTGTGCGCCTGTGCGCGAATCTGCCAGCAGAAACGTCGGTATACTCAGCGTCCGTCTCTCATGGTAATAATCGTAGTCCCGTAAAAACTCGCTATGGAGACCCACCTGCTCGATCGTCGTCACGTTCAACAACAGCAACTGCACGGCCAAGTAAGAGAGGGATCAGCAACGCGATGCGAGAGCGACGCACCCGAAGATGATACACGAGCAACGCCATCACAGGCCACAGGACGAGAATGGCCATCGAAAACCCGACTGCGCTCCCTACGCCGTCCGCAGTCGCCAGCGCCCTGCGGAAGCTCGTACGGCTGTCGCGCGTCAGAAAATACAGGTGCAGCGCGGACGTGCATATCACCAGGATAATCGTGACAACCTGCCCCGCAGCAATTTCAAGTACGAAGCGCACCACACAGCATGGGGCATCACATTACGGAACGCCAGAACGCGCAAGGGCGGCCGAATTTGAGTCCGAGCGTGGAAGATATGACAGATGCCAGCCAACATGTGAGAACGAGATTGCAAATAGGGCAGAAGGAATTAAATGGTACCCACGGAGGAGAGGAGGAACGTGAAGAACGAGGTGTAGTTGCGCCTGCCGATGCAGTTGTTCACCCATTGACAGTGATGGTCACACCCATCCACGCAGTTGTCGCACTGCAAGCCAAACACCGCGAAAAGCCGCATTTCAGCGCGTCGTGTCGTGTCTTTTGTACACGTAAATAAAGCTAGGACTTACCATCTTGCAATGGCATGATCGTGGTGGTCGGTATGTTCTGCATGTTGGACAATACTTTGTGCGAACGCTAGCAGAATCAGGAATATCAATAGCAGACCTGCAAATCAAAGTGGCGAACAGCCTTACAATCCTGCTCGGACTTTGAGGTCGCGTGGTAATGGCGCACGGAGGCTCTCAGACGAACTATTCGGAGCAAACGGTGGCTCTGGGTCCAAATCCCGAGGCAAGATGCCCGGATCGCGAAACGCCTACGCACAGCACTCTGCATGTCAGATCCATCTCAGCGCACGAACCGCACCCAGCCCACTCACCGTCGCAAGCATGCTCGAGATGGTCAGCAGACACATGTACACCCCCACCGCCGCGACCGCCGGGCTCTTATGGTGCCACCACCACACGCACGTCGTGCTAAACCACACGCCTGCGATGCCTAGCACGACGATCAGCGAAGCGACGAACGCCCGGGGGGAGTCGCCGCCAGTAAGCAGCCTGCCGCCGAGGAAGAACCGGTTGCGTGACTGGTGCAGCTGGTAGTTCCGCACGGGCTTGCCGGTCTCACGGTTGACCACGGGCACCATGGACAGCGAAACCTTCATGTCGGGTGGCGGGTGAGAAACGAAGGACATGTTCAGCGACGAAGTCGACGCTTGCGTCGGAGAGAGACTGTGCTTGTGCTGGACCCGCGGCGATATCGTCGAGCGAGCAACATTCAGCTCAAAGGTCATCCGCGCTACGGCGGTGGGAGATATAGGCGATGGCTCGATGGAGCGCGACGTCAGGCGCGTGTGCGCAAGTCCATTGCTCGCAATGGCCGATGTCGGGCTCGTCGCTGGAGACTTGTGGCTCCCATCGAAGCTGAAGCCCCGCTTAAACAGCTTCTCGAAACTGTCGCGCATCCGGCCGCCCGCACTCACGTTCGTCTCGCTCAGCCCATACGGCCCGCTCTGCGTCACCACGGTCGGTCGGCGTGCTCTCGAGGTGCGCGACGGCCCAATCGGAAGTAGCGCTTCGCGGCTGGGCTTCACACTCGCGGACCTGGCGGAAGCGTCCAGTGTATGCTCCTGATCCTTAAACTCCTCCGTCGAATGCCCAATGCTATCCGTAGCGTCCGATTCGCGAATCTGGTGCTCGGAGAGTGGCGCGAGCCGTAATACATCGAATGTGGGTGCTTCGGTGGACATGACGGACCCAGCACTTGATGGGCGCGAGGGGCGGGCCGGGGGTGGCGATGGGGGAGGATAACTAGGGCGTGAGGGGTGGAAGAAGGATGCAGAGGGGAGAATGCCACCTGCGTGGGTCGTACTAGAGCTATGTACGGGTCGGGGGTGGAAAAGTGGGATAGACGCGGAGACAGGCATGGGGAGGGGATCTGCAGCGGTGATAGGATTTTGAGACGGATGGGAGCGCGATGAGACCACGGACTTGGGCCGTGTAGGACTCTTCGGGCTTGGGGGCACATTGCCGGAGGTGCTTCCGCTGTGGGGTCTGGACTGGATGGGAATACGGAGCGGAGGATTGCTTGTCGGGTTTGGAGAAAATGGGAGGTGAGTTACAGTGCGATGTGACGCGGAAGGTAAAGAGTGTGGTGTCGCCATAAGAGAACGATTCGGGGATGTAGTACAGGCTGCGGTGTGCAATAACGTTGGGTGTGCAGATTCAGACGTAGCTGACTAGTGTGTGAAAGCAATGGCGTCAACGTCGTCTGGAGTGCACTGCTCGCATGCACGGTAGCTGTATTAGAATTAGATATGAACAACGCCTTCAGCACGACCTGCGGGGCTGAGCAAAGGTTGAGCTGAGCTTATAATTTTAAACAACCTGCTTCCCCTTGCAGGGCTACGTACTTTCCCGGGTTGTAGATACTCGGATTCAACCTTCGTGCCTCAGCACAATCGTGTGCTTCGCGTCTTGTTTCCTCGAGAGGGTCTTTGGAAAGAAGTACAGAGACAGGCCTTTGCAAGTGCGCCAGATCCTGAGGTTGCAAGCAGATGAAGGTCGAATCAGCATAGCAAGCGCCCGTCGACAATCGAAGTTTTCGTAATCGATTTCAACTACTATCGGGCAATCTGGTCTAGTTGTGCAATTTCGTCCTTTCGCCGCATTCCGCTGCACTAAAAATCAGCAATAAATATGCCGTAGATGTGTATGATCCCAAATACGTTGGCCGCGCAACTTGGGGGTCCAACTCAGAGGGAAAGGGTGCAAAGTCTGTGAATTGCAAGTCGGGTGTGAATTCAGGCGTAACAGTGGAGCGCACTATTTTAAACTCCGACTGTAGGGAGATTAAGGGAACGGCACCTCGGCAAGCGTGACGATCTGTGACAGCTTTGGGTGCAAACGAGTCTCTTCACTGCGTTCAGTCTCGGGGTCGCACAACATCAGAAAAAAAATTGGGAGTCACACAGAAGGTAGTTCATATGTTGTATATTTGATCCAAAAGGTTTGAAGGAAAACGGGCTGGATTTGAGGAAACGGTGACAGAGATGCAATCGTGATTGCATTACTGGGGTAACGATAGTACCGGAGGATTAATCAATATTGAGTCCATAGTAAACTTTGAGCGCCGTCTTAATTATCGACCTCTGGACCAATATTAACCCTGCTGAGTATTAATATTTCCGCCCATTTGTTGGGGCGCACAATTGCCAACATGATCTGGATAATAGGCTAAAACTCGTACGAAAATACATCCTGCGGCACCAGCTGTCAACCACCCAGCCACAACAGCCTCTTCACGCCATACTCCATTTTCGCATACACGCTCGTCATCCGCTGCGCCTCATTCAGGCTGCACCATTCCACGTCAGCAAAACGTACAACTCGAATGTTAACGCACTTAGAACTCACCTCACAATATCCGCCTCCGCGACAAACCTGCCCTGTCCCCCACCGGCATCCTCGCATGCACGCTGGATAGTCCCCACAATCAACTCCACGGCCTCTTTGCAGTTCGCCGCGCTCGCCAGCTCGTCCGCAGGCTCTATGAAGCTGCCGGACGCGCGCCGCGTGCGTGCGGCGTCCACAGGCAGGGCCTTGAACGCTGCGAACGTCGTCTCATGCCCGATCACTGGCGCAGCTGCATTCGACAGTATGCGCGACAACGGCGTGTTGCCTCTCAGCATAAACGGCGTTGGCCGGAAAGGTGTCAGTGAAGATGGGTCAGGCGGTGAAATATCGAGGCTGTTCCGCAGAGAGTAACTTGTGACACGGGTATCCTGTCCAATATTGCGCCACGTAACTATGAAGCCGGCGTTCTGGATGGGGTCGCGGCTGCCATCTTCCAGAGGCGATAAGATGTAGGCGCCTGGAACTGATTAAGACCTACGCAGTCAAGAGGAGATCAATCATCACCTTTTGTTATTCCTACAATGTCTCGGAGTGGTACACGGGTATACATCTTCACTTTCTCTAGGGTATAATCATAACTCTAGTCAAATGTTAGCCGAAGAATAGCGGTTGTAGTTTGGTAAAAACTTACTATGATGTATAGTGCCTTCACACTCTGAAAATGTTCCGTCAGTTTTGCATGACACTCACCACCACCATACCAACGTCATGATAAACACCACTCACAATCAGCAACACTTTCTCCTCCCACTTATCGCCAATCTTCGTGTTCATCTCCACAGGAGCGAACAGCGTCCACCCGGAGAGCAGCCGCTCTCCGTCTGACAGCAAACGGCTCACGCACGTCGCGACGGCATCAGCCCTGATCCTTGAGATGCGGATGAGATCCCGTGGGTCCGTCGACTGTAGCTTGACGAGAAACTCCGAAAACACGGAGATCGTGCGATTGCCGAGCATGAAGTCGATGACCGCCTGGCTGAACCAGTCCGCGAACGTCGAGGTATACATCCTGCACGCGCCGAGTGTGAGCACACACACCCATGCGTGCGGGGACCTCGAGTGACGTACCTTGCCAGGGAGTTTACACCATCATTGAGCAGGCCTGTCAGGTCGCGCTTGCCTGTCCTGCAGCAGATCTGGTGAGAGTCAAAGAAGCTCGCAAAGAAGAGATGCAGACCTCGTGAAGTCACCCTGTAACAAGCGACATGAGCGTGTGGTGGTGTCTTACATGAAATGGAACGAACCTTCAGCGCAGACGTTCCGGTGCTGCACAACCATGAGGCACGAGCAATAACGCGGGGATTTATGGTACTTACTATGCACGACTAATGGCGTCCCCATTATTCGCCCAGACTATTGACGTTTATAAGTCACGTGTGGGTAGAGACAGCTGGATGACGAACCGTCGTTGAATACGATGTCTGTCTCCGTCCGCTTGTCCTCCGCGTTGAGGAGAGCTACAGCCCCAAGCTGTCTGTTCAACACATGGCGCGCAAAGGCCGACTGCGACGGAAAGACGTCAGGTGTCGAAGGTCTGCGTGCAATAATGTGCACTTTCCTCCACGACGTTCGTTCGATCTAGGCCGTCGATGCAGTTCACACGGAAGATGCCTTTCTGCTGCGACATGATAGAGCCGTCGGAGATCCAGAAGTATCTAAACGCAGCTGTCAGGCGCTTGCGACATGAATCTGACACACCATGCGCACCCTTGGTTCTCGAATGTGCGTTCTAGCGTACTGATGAGATTGGTGATCTTCTCGTACCTAGTACGCGTCCGTGCTATGAGCAAACATCCACAGCTTTGATAGAGTCAACTCACTTCATACCCTTCGTCTCTGAATGGAAGTCGTATGCATGGTATCTGGGAAGCAAACTCAACAAATGACCGCACAATCAGCGACGCGTAAACTCGCACTGGACATCTTTGGAATTCAGCTCCTGGACATAATTCCGATACGAGTTCGTAACCGCCGCTTCCTTTCCATGCTGTTCTGCTAGATTGACGACCGTCTGGGTCGACGTCAGTTTCTGAAAACGCATTGGTGCAAGAACACACACATGAGGACCGTAGCGTGGGATGGTCTTCAGAAAGTGACGCTTCAGCGCTTCTAGGTTCTGTGCATGGCTCCTGTCGGGAGACAACTGGGGTGCAGGCTTGAGACTGTAGCCCTGTTGGTTCCAATACAGGGGAACTATCGGGAGAAGGACACTTGAGATTAGCTCAAGAATTTCAAGGCACACTTACTAGATCCGCGAATCTGGACATGACTGAAGACGTTCGAGAAACCTTCGCGCTTCGCTTGCATTAGCGAGGGTCTCGTGCCGTCATAAGGAACACGACACACCTCGACGCGTATTACAGCCTCCGTCTCGACGAAGTTCGCGACGTTCGCCTGATCGTCGATACCTCGACGCTGGTACCGCAATCCAGCACGATCTCGAGACCGTCTCGAAACTAGGATATAGTCGACAGGTGCGGAGTCGCCCTCTTCGCCTTCCACCGGCTCTCGAGGAACATGGAAGGACGCGATTTGGTAGAAACCCTGCATGATGGGGAGGACGTACGGATGCAGCTACAGGACCGAATTGTAGTTCAATTTGAATGATATCAGATGCATGCAACTGACCCCAGCATCAACGAAAGGTTTAGACAACCACTCGTTCCACCAAAAGTGGCGGTCTACTCTGCGCCATAGTGGAAGAGTCGGAAATGGCTCCGCTAAAACGTCAACTTTGTCGCCGACTGGGCTTATTTGTTTCGACTCATCCAGCGCGTTCAGCTCAGCAAGGAGACTGGTATGCTTCTTCGCTCTTGCCATCAATTCGTGTTTGTGCTGGAGCGATCGCGTGATATCTGAGACGATAAAACATACCGACCCATTAATACGCACATGCAACATAGTGTGTATACATGCCTTGGGCAAGACGCACCAAAGTTGTAGGCAAAGTACATGCCTCCACGTGTGAATTCCCGGATGCATTCGCGGACAATCTTGATCTCAAGTTCAGAGTGTCTCTGCTCTGTGGTCCTTGGTGGAGGTGCGGTCGATGCCAGGATGGAGTTCAAGACTTGCTCGGGCTCCTCAGTGCTTTCCTTTATGATCGCGTCCAAAGACAAGCGTTCCTCTTCTCGTGCATCCACGTCTTCCTCTTCCACTTCTCCGCGAGTACTCAACGGCTTTTTAGCCAGTTTTGACCAGAATGATAGTCGTTCTGTCAGCACTTTGACGACCGTGTCAGATTTTAGCGAAAAGTCCGACGATGGAGTGGATACGATGGACGAAGAGAGTGACGCAACGGATGATGACGGTGAAGGGGGAGAAGGATCATCATCCTGTGGAGGAAACTCATGAGTGTGAAGAGGCGTCATTAACTTCACCTCGTCCTCGCTCGCGAATTTGACCTGTGTAGTGCGAGGCTCTGAGGAAACCTCCTCTATGACCGGACCTTCTGGGGCGGATTCAACAGACTCAACTGGGAGCAAAGACAGGCGGGGATTAGCATTATTGCGCGAGGCAAGCGCACTTATGACCGCGCGAGCACGATCTTCCGTGAGCGGGATCGCCGTGACGCCCTTCACGCTGTACACGGCGTGGCTGACGTCGAATACTAACCAAGATCAACTTGGAATAATATGTCAATCGCCAAAAACTCACAATGTCCAACCTCAGATCGTTGAGACACTACAAGCAAGTACGGCGCTATGAAAGAGGTGTTCAACCTCGGCTACGACTGACCGTACCAGGGCTCAAGTACCAGAAAACAAGTTCAGGATCCCCACGATCCCATAGACCACAACACTCTCCGCCCAGTTGGTATCCTTGACACCTTGATCGGTCGGTACTTCAAGGACCTGGCCTGTCTTGCCCCACTCTATGCGTACATTTGTTCCGTGTTCTGTTTGGCCATGGTAATGCGGCCTCAGCAGAAGGCCTTGTGGGGTCGCCAGGATTGCAATGTGCTCATGAGGACAAGGATGCGGCATCGGCGGTACCACGAATTTTGGATGCAATCCGGTCGTGTGCACGGTCGGGTTGGTGGGCGGAGGCGCCGGTGCAGGCACATTCTTGGGAGGAGATTTGAAAGACTTGGAGAGAAATCGTTTCATGGCAGGCGACGCACGTGTGGTAGTACATGCAGCATATGTACGCTGCAGAGAGAAAGTCGCAAAACGATCCTCAGGGCTCGCGGTAAAGAAACATTCAAAGGTCACGACTCAATGCAAGTAGCACGCGGTCACGACATCTTGTTCATTTATGTACATATTTATGTACATAGTATGTACCTGACTCTCCGCGCGTGCTGGTCGATCCCATCTCGACACATATATGCTACACAATCACAATAAGCACACATGACTAACCTTCAGCGACAGGCTCTGGAGGCGGGTTCGCTGAACTACGCCCTTCCATACGAACATCATATCCATAGCCACCAACGCCTCCGGGCCCGTTGTAGTGCATCTCTGAAACGTCGTAGTTGCCTGCAGAAGTGATGAGAAAACCAGCAGTTGATCTCCACATTCTACTGCAAAATACGCACCAATGAACCTCCACCCATCTTCCTTGACATGGTAGAGGTTGATAGTGTTTCCGGAGAAGGCATCACGATGACCGGCGGCATAGATACTTCTCCTTCCAAGCTCTTGTGCTTCCTCATCCGTCAGATCCCAATGGTACCCTTGATCCAGAACACCATACGCAAATGTGCTTCCAGAACCAACAGAGAATATGTCACCCTTGAGGCGTGTGCCATCAGAGTCGACATAGAAGATCGCTGGTCCCTAGAACATGCGCAACAGAGTTCAGTGATGTGATCCGACATGATAGGAAGAAGCATAGCGGGACGTACGGTCTTATCCCAGCCACAGATCATGGTACCCTGACATGCACAGTCCTAGGTCAGTTGCTGGTCGCATAATTTACAGAACAGTAATACCATGCTGAGGCCCATGCCTTTGTAACTGTATACCAAATTACTGAGGTACTTGCTGGCAGCCGCTACGGAGATGCGTTCGCGGTTGCGGAGCTCATGCAGCCGGCACTGTATGCCGAGGTACGTCTCCCAGTACTGGCAGTCAGCTAAGTCGCCAATTCAGCATCCAAAACACCAGTTATCAAAACCAACAGACATACCAGCACCACCAGCCATCGTACCAAGTAAATACGGGTTGATCTCAATGACCTTCTTGACGGTTCCAGATGCTGTGTATCCTCCATGATGCCTACTTTGCTGTTACGCGTGAGCAGATCACGTACCGACATAACTTCCTGCAGTGGCCCTAGAATCCACAGCGACGATCACTCCCCCCTTGAACCTGAAGGCTAAAGTCGTTGTTCCGTGCTTGATTTTGATTCTGCAAGAGGGATCCGCATGGTCATCTGTGTGCGATCTAAGGAAAGCAGAGGGCTGGTGCGCATTGTTAGCTTGCTCTAATGTGGCCCTTCTATTTGATAGACTCACGTCTGGTACGGCGGGGATAGAGAATGTCGGTACGCCATTAGCGACATTACCAAAACCTGCTGCAGAGCCCCACATGCTCTCTGAGACGTCTTCATCTTCCCCAAGGATCTCCTTAGCCCTCCGCAACTCTGCGACTGCACCGGTCGAGGAGAATCGGTTTGCAAAAGTGTTCATGGTGGGCGCGAGCGTAGGTAAAGCCTGAAGGAGGTGACGCGGCCGGACGCGTCGCACAAAGTACCAACCACGTGCCACCGGTCAAGCGCCCGAATCGGGACATCTATTCTAGAAACTGCACGGTCCAGTTACAGAGAAGTATCGGTAGCTACAAAAACGACGCCAAATCAAATGAATGGAAAAAAATGCAACAGAGTATAACTGATAGTAAGACGAAAACCTGCATGAAGAAATTGTCATGTTCGTTCTGGCCCGAAGAGCAAGATCGAAACCTGCTTCAAGTTTGGCGGACGAAGTTTTCCTTAAGACAGCTTGAGAAGTTAATGCCAGTGGAATGGGTGAGCATGCGAATGTCACCGTGATTTTATATCACAGGCTCCCATAGCTTTCCATCTGCTAGGCTTTTATGCAAGACAACTTGCTTTTCCAAAACGTTGCAGCCTCCCTAGCCGGACAGAATTTTCACGCCGCCTTCACTGCCCAGGCGAACGACCAGCGGCTGTATAGGTGAGCTCGCAATTCGCGTAGTTCGGCAGAGGCTTCGCGCAGCATAGTTTCCACCCGCTCCGGTAAGTAGCCTTCACTATGAGGTGGAAGAACAAATTGAGCTATTATATATAAAGTCCTGCGTAGACTTACCTCATAAGTAAAGGCTCCATACCCGCAATGTAACCAAGGCAATCCGTGCGCAACATCTCTGATATACTCTTCTCTCGTTCGTCTCCTGTGCCCAAATGAGGAACTGCCTGACGGTCGAGCTGAAGCGAGGCTTACGGTAACGCCACGGGCCGATAGGGATAAACTTTTTGTCCCACCCGACTTGGGTGAGAGAGTCTATCGACCTAAGCCACGTTGGGTTCATGGAAGAGGAATCAATGTCACCGCCTTTGGTTTTCATTGCACTATAAGCAGCAAAGAAGACCTTATTGGTCCAAGAGAAGCCTGGAGTGCCGGGCTCACTCAAGGAAATCGGCCTCTGGTCTTCGTCGTAGAGCTGCATGTCGCCGTCCCCCAGGAGCAGGACACCCTCGGGTCGGAGAACCTGTTCAAGTTCACGTAGTAGCGCAGGGAAATCACGAATCTTATGTCAGTCGTTAGAGGGCGGAGTGGAAACGAACGAGAATGGTACTGACACCTGCAGAAACCGACCGGACATGTACAACATCAAAACTATTTCTGTAGTGAGAAAACCCCAGATTGGCCTGCGCCAATTTCAATGTGCACATTCTACAAGAGTTGAACGACTCACATCGTCAATCTCGAACCTATCACAGCAAAACATTAGGGTAGTTGTTCAAGGTGAGGGACCCGTTTACATACCGACAATTACGGGGTATTTCCCTGCGCAGATGTAGTAAAGGAGGATAAGCCGCGCGAAGCTTAGGAAGAGAAGATGTAGTTACCCGCTGTTGAGTCTAGGCGGGACGAGGTCGATCCCAACGACGTCGCAATAGGGAAATTCAATTGCCATCTCAATCGCCCTGATTCGACATCAGCGGAGATAACATCCGTTTGTATCGAGAATTTACCAGCTTGCGCTTCCTGTGCCGACGTCTAAGATCGCAGGTCTACGATCCGTGCGCGGACGGAGTGCTCTCCATACGTGTTCCGCTGCCGGATACAACCTGCCAAGAGTGAGCGTAATGATGCGGTGCTGCAAATCAAGTCGCCTGTGTTCCTCGTTGTCCTTTTAATTCAGGAAAGTCAGTCGTAGAGGGGCATTAACTAGCGATGAGATCGTCCGTACTGCTGGAAGAAAATATGTCTGAAATCTTCCATATTAGTAGTGGTCTCACGATATGCACGCTGCCTCTCACTTCATTCTGATTATTCAACATGCGCCCATACACATTGCGGAACTACAAACAATAAAAATATTACCAGTGATTTTGTCCAAGCAAGTGCCAAGCCTCGAACCTACCATTACTTTGCCGTCGACTGACGAAGTGAACGAATACAACGAAGGAGCGGGACTGCCTGACCGCGAGTTAGAGTCATCCTCATTCGTGTTCTGGTTTTGTGGCATATTAGTGAGATGAAGCGCTGGATAGAATAGAAATCTGGGGGTACACCAACGGGCTGTTGAGACAACTGCAGGGGCACAGTTGCGTATATATGTGTGACACTTTGTGTGTACCCTGACATCCACTGTGAAGGGTTCCGTGTGATGGCGATACCTTGATAGAAGGGTGGATTGTGGATATTACGAGACGTCATAGAGCCCTGCCGCAGCACACTACTGCAGGCTTGTGTTTGTCGGTTGAATTCGGACTGGCGCAGGGTAAATGGGGTCGAGACTGTCTGTATGCAACGCAGAAAAATGTAAGGACAGCAACCTCGGGGAGATAAGCAAACTCTCATGTCTTCTGGCTTGATTTGTCACCATAAAATCTGTCATACTTCCGATGATACCTCTGCCTTCAGCGCTTCAGCAAGACCACGATGCAGATGTGATGAACGAGATGCGATCGTCCATGCTCGGGCTGGGCACCAAGATAGTATACGATAGAAACATCGCTTTCGAATCAGATGGCGTCCGAAACAGTCATAGTGTAGAATAATAGAAGTTGAAAAGTGTACAAGAGGATTGCTTTCCTCGTCCCAGCACTACCCAAGACCCCAGAATATTTTCCCAAAGCGAGCGCGTGGTGGCTTTCTCGATCTCTCAATTGGTTCGGCAAGGGGGCTGTGGCTGTCTTTGGCATGCTGGACTTGAGCTATGGGAAGCACGATCAAGATGAAGTTTACCGTGTCGACGAGATCGAAGGAGATCCCGAGAACGGGTAACCAACTGGGGTCCTATACCCGAAGGGGAGAACATTGCTGACTCATCCTACCGCACGATCGAGGAAAGATCGGTGTACTTGTCTGCTTGCCCTTTGCTAACTTCCGCGACGATTACTACTGAGTTCGCAACAAATCATCGGATCGACGGTGAACAATAATGTCTGGCATTTGTAGAGCTCGTCTTGCTGAAGAGCGGAAGCAGTGGCGGAAAGATCACCCCTTCGTACGCCACTTTGCACACCTGTGGCCCTCACTTGACGCGAACTCTGTTAGGGATTCTACGCGAAACCCACGAAAGCGCCAGATGGGTCTATGAATCTGTTGGAGTGGGAGGTCGGTATACCCGGGAAGACTGGGGTAAGCCCGTTCACAGCGGTAATCTATTCTTGGTGTGCAGTGTGTTGAACGCATGGACGAAGACCGCTTGGGAAGGAGGCGTTTACAAACTTATGATGGTATTCCCTGAAGGTAAGGCATGTCTTCGATAGCTTGCATGGAGAGATGACAGTAGACCTGTTCTAGACTATCCGTCGAAACCACCCAAATGTGAGCAAGTCCCTCCTTCTCTGGTACCCGTGCGTGCTGACTATCCCTAGGCAAGTTCTCTCCACCACTGTTCCACCCCAATGTGTATCCATCTGGAACCGTCTGTCTGTCTATCCTTGACGAAGAGAAGTCGTGGAAGCCTGCAATTACTATTAAACAGGTACGGCCGGCTGATCTTCTGGCCTTCCACGTCTATTCCTCATGCTGCGCAGGTGCTGCTTGGCATCCAGGAACTATTAAATGATCCCAACGTGAATGATCCTGCCCAAAGCGATGCGTATACGATGTTCAAGTGAGTGTACTTCGTGTTGTTATCTGTATGTCAACATGGATATTGACTACGCCGTTGCCATTGTACTAGGAACGACAAGATAGCTTATGAGTAAGTGGCCGTACCCCACTCGCCCTATCAGACCTTTGACTCGTCACTTCAGGCGCAAGGTTCGACAACAAGCGCGCGACAATATACCGAAATGAACATGGTCCAACTCGCTGTCTCCCTCACTTCTTGTTAGTTGTTGATTCATTTTAATGTCTCCCCAGATGGGATATGCCTGTTACCTTCTCGTTCACCCAGATATATCAGCGCAGCAAGTCTGGAATCATACGGATGACAGAGTATGTTCTGGTAATCATGTACTTTCGATATATACATAAGTACTTCATGGAGCAATCACTAGGACATCGTAAAATACAGGTTCAGCAATGATGATCAGATCATGAGCTTGTCTATCGCCCTCTTGATCGTCAGGATTTGGCTAGACAGCTCCTTGTTCTCATTGGTTGTGACACTCGCAGCGATGACAGGTCTCGATACGCCGCAAGCACGGCCTAAAGCTGCCTTGGAAGCAACAAAGACATACTGCACGTTCTGCAAAGGAGGATGAGAGGGATGTGCGGAAGATTCATTATGTCATTAACCTTTTCTTCACACAACAGAGGGAGGTGCAGTAGGATTTCCAAGGGTTCCGTGTCGGCTGTCAAGATGATAATCTCCGCGATACCACGGTTCAGAGTTTTTGTTGCTGCACCGAGTATTGAAGTCTCTAAGTCGGACGCTACAAACGTAAAACCAGTACTCACCTTCATTGGCTCCCTTCTTCAGCTGTTTGAACTGTGAAGCTCGCTCAACGAGATCCAAGATCTATAAGATGATGCCACCCTAAGAATGAGATATGTAGAGGTGAAAGTGTGTCGACAGTGTCATACCTGATCATTCAAATCCGATTCAGCCAACGGCCAAGCCTTCGCGCGCTGGCTAGGATCCGTCATAGTGATTTGACAAGGATAGAAATTTGTACGACCTCACGTCTTGATCCTTGGTCGATGTTTTTAACAACTTGTTGGGCTTGCAAAGAGAAGTGAAGAAACGCGGAAAGACTACAAGCGTGCACGTGCTCAAGTAGGCCCATCCCGAAAAGGGTTTTGCATGTTCACCCGAGCCGCCTTCCGAGGCCGAGACATCCCGCGCAACTTCCACGGTATAAAGCTCCTCTCACACAGAACGTACACAAGGTATTATATTGAACTCCATACTCTCCTTCAATTCTGCGCTGCAACCCACTGATGGCTTCTGAACTCCCCGTCGTTGACGTCCACACGCCCTCATCATCATTCTCAATAGTGCATTCCAGTCAGTTCCTTCTGTCTCCAAGACTACCCCTGACAATTCACCCATTAATTTGGCATTGGATGGCTCAATAGATGACGACTCTCTGGAGACACTATTTGACAGACTCAGCAGGAAGACGGTGGCGGAGTTCCACGGTCAGCGTGTTCGCCCAGGTTGGGTGAAATATTCTTGGAATAACACCGTATGGAACCTTGATGACGGTTGGGATATGCTTTTTTGAAAATCTTCTCTACCGACTGATGAACAATTTAGATTCAGACTACGCTATCTTCGCATGGAGGCAAAAGTCCACCTCGCCAGGCAGTGATATGTGGCCGGTTCTCTACATGCTCGACCCAGATGAACCATTGCCTGAACCACCCGCGTACCGCAACATGTCCTTCTATATGTTCAAGCCCAAATCAAAGCCTACGTCGCCCAAACCTCCTTCTCACGTGGATGGGGCGTCATTAACGAGCAAGAAGCACAAAAATGCGCAAGCTAGGCCGCACCACGAAGTTCCGAAGTACAAGCAACAGTTCGAGAAGTTCCAGAGTGAGAATGGTGTCCGCACCATCATAGGGACCATAGGGCCGGTCAAGAATGGTGATATTTACTCATCCAACATGTGCTCGTGTATTGACATCGCTGTCAAAGTCCGCATGCTGCTGAGGGCTGGGTACCGACATGTGTACATTTCCCGCAAATTTGCAATCCAGAACGGCTTTATACCTGAAGACGCTGCACCAGGACATTACGGCTACAGCGGTTTAGTCAAGTACGTCTCCTGCGGTTCTTTGTAAGGCTTCATGCTCATTCTCTATCACTCCGACAGTATCGGCAAATGGCCAATCACAGTCGGCCACACGAAGAGCACCCACACCGTGTACTTGTCGGAAGAATCTCACTTCGACGTTGTTCTTGGTCGCTCGTTCATGGAAAGTCGTCAGGTGAAGTTGGATCCAGTGGATCCCACGGACGTCGTGTGTATGGATACCGGAGAGAAGATCGATTGCGAGTTGGTCATCTTGAAGGATGGCAAGGGACAGATTGTAACTGTCACATGAACATGACTTGTATTAACGCGTGAAGTTATGTCCTTCTCCGGAACGCGCGTGCCGGATGTATCTGTGTAATCTGTCAGTGTGTGATTGTTTTTCATGTAGATCAGTTGGCGTTGGACTCTTGTACAGCACGCTTGAGCTGTTGTGGAGTTATTGTAATCTTTGGCTCTAATGTACTTATTAGTTCACAGCAATCTGGTGAATTGACTGTACGAAGGGTCGATGCTATAGGGCCGAGCAAGTTTGAATTCTGTTCCTACGTCAGGCCGCGCTCGTGCCAACTGAGCGACGACTTTGTTGGATGTCCCCTCGGCCGAGCACCGAAAGTGTGACGAAAGAATTCAACAGTGTCGATTTCATCCCAGCAAACGCAGGGAACCCACAGGAAGACATCTGGAGTAGAGACACTGAAAGCCAGGATGGATTGACGCCGATGACGTTCAAAGCAAGCTCAGGTTTCGGTGACACAGATCGCAAGTATTTCCTACCGTAGATGATCTCATTGAATCCGCAAGACCGTTGACACGACAAGTTACACAGTTACGGGTGCAGAACGAACCGATGCTACAACTCACGAGCGCCCAATATTCAAGAGCTTGCGATCAACGTCCTCTCCCTCCCAGCCAGCCAGCATTTTCAACAGAGGGGAGTCATCCGCATGAGAAATAAGGCGATACCAATCCATGAGAACATCGGGCGCAGAGGAGACTGCGAGGGCGACAAACGATGCTTTGGGAGTGCCAGCAGCGACCATCGCTGCGAGATCGACAGCGCCAGTTTCATCTGACTCGACAACCACATCGCCCGCAATGCATCGAAGAGAGAATCCGATCAGAGGCAGTGTGCAAAGGGCTACCCTGTTCCGCATCTGCAACCTCACGACATGAGTATGTTAGTGAACCGGCCTGATAGCGAGGCTGCTCACCACCTAATCTTCAAAGGTCTCAAACGGGGATACTTCTCCATTTGAGACGGGAAAATCATAAAGGGTCAGGTCCAGGTATCTCAACTTCGAGACCGCGCGGACAAGATGTCAAAAAAATATTCCGAACATAAGATGGGAATGAAGCAGCACGTTAATACAACCGGCGAAGCATGTTGCGGGAAAGCGATAGAATCGGAGATGCCGATCATCAGTAGGTATGAGAGGTTGAGCCGGCGGATGGGACATGGAAAGGGAACCTCGCCGGAAATGCACATTGAAGGTCGTTGATGTCCATATCCCCGCATATGCTCAGCGTATGCAGAAACGGCCATACGGTGTGTTTCATGTCCAAAATTTTGGATAGAGAGCCGATTCCTACGCGGAGAACTCTGAGTGAGTCCACAAGGTGACCCAGTGGGCGACGTCCACTGGCAGTAACCACAAGGGTGTCCAACTTCGATACTCCCACAGTGAGGTAGGCTCCTCATATTCGACAACATTGCACATGACGTCGCGCTTCCACCTTGTATACCGATGGAGTGTAAACGACTGAGAGCACTCACGGCGCTCGAAAACATTGGGTGCAACTAAACGAGCTTCTCTGCTGCATGAACTTCGAGTGTGGTCAGCCGCGTCGCTTGCGATATCACACCAGACAAACAACATGCGGTGTAGGTATCAAGGGTTGCATATATGGTCAACGAACGGATGCACGGTATGCGGTGGGAGGCATCAGCGGTCATGTCGCAGAACTTGTTGACATGTGAGAGATAAATCGATGAATGCTGGAAATGGGGTGATCTAGGCGGATGTCCGAAAGAGCTCGTGGCAGAGCGGCCGTGTAGATATTACGAGAGACCATGGAGAGTTGGACACCGTCATCGGGAGAGAGCAGTTGACAATGAGCTGAAGAATATCGCTATTCATCATCGTTAGCAGCGCCATCCAGTTACCTTTTATGCCATCGACTAAAATCGGACCATATCAGCGAGTTACAACACAGGAATGCTAAGATACAGACTTTGACACTGCTGTCGTCAGTTGAAGACCCTCTTAAGACGAGATGATGAGCTGTCGTGAAGATCAAGTCCCTTGTCAAATACAATTACTAGACCTTCCTCATTCACCCAGAACGAGCGTGAGACAGATCTTCCTTATGCACTCGCTTAGTCAGCACCAGACCAGAATCATGCCGCATCGCACGTCCTTTCCCAACGACGTGACGGTCTCTGGGAGCACCGTCTCGATGTCTACCCTCGCGCATTTCCTGAGACCTACTTTCTCAGCTCGTAGAGCATATTCGGTTTTCTCCAAACCAGGTGGCGGTCGATACTTTAACTCAGCCAAACCACCGAAGGTTACACCATCAACGACCAAGGGCAAAGTTGACTCGTCCTCTCCGAGTGGCGAGGCGTCTGTGTCTAGTGCTTCCAAGGACCAGTCTTCACCTCAGTCAAATACGTCTTTGACGTCCGAGGGAACCCCTTTGGTTGAGGATGCCGTGTCGAGTCCAACGCCCTCATCCCTCAACCACCCATCCATCAATCCACATGATCTCAAACTTCACCAGTTCTTCTCTTTGCACCGACCTCTTCTCCTGATCTCCCAGCCACCATCTTCAATTTTTGAATCATCTCCGATGCCCTTCGCCATTCCATGCAAGCGCCCGCAGGAGGTGTCAAGCCTGGATATTTTCACCGAACCGCCTGAGGCATCCCCGGAAGAGGATGCGGACGCTGCGCGCCAGTTGTCGAGGGCACTTGTGATGAACAGAGTGACGCCATCGGTGTCTTGGGAGGACGCGCTGCAGCGACTCGGGCTGAATGTGAGGGAGGGTAGAGCGGAGGAGGTCAAGATGGCACAGGCCGAGTTCGATGTATGGATGGATAGTACGAAGAGGAAGCGCCGAAAGAAGATGAAGAAGCATAAGTGAGTTACCGTCGTCATCTCGTTTTCAGCTTTATTGCTGACTATCGTCCCCAGGCTGAAAAAGCGCAGACGAGTATGCATAACCTATACGTCTGGTCGAGAGGTATACTAACCTATTATCATCCTCAGCTCAATCGCTCACAGATTCGGAAGATGGCGCGGTGAAGGATTTGTGTTCCGCTGATTGCATTTCCATTCATTAACTTCATTTGAGTTTTTTCAATGCATCTCTTTACTTATGATAGCAGATAGTCTTGACCTGCATTGGTCCTGCTGAAACACCACAATCCGTGGTTGAGATATTTCAACAATGCGTGCTTCTTCATGACGAGCTTCCTGTGTTGTAGGTGCTTCATGTGTCTCAGTCTCCGTGAAACGATCTTGACAAGCTGATTTCTCTTATGCCTATCACTAGCAGGATATGTGAACGTCTGTTATTTTTCTGCTTCGACAAGTCCTTTCTTTTGAGTCCTGGACTGGACTGCTACGGTCCATTGTCCACAGTTATCTGCATTTCTTGCAGAGTCATCATGATGACCTGGGGAGTCCACTCCCATGGATTTAGGTCAACTCATAATTATGGCCGTGCCGCACAAAATCTGAGGTACCATAATCCCTATCCATTGTTCGAACCAACATGGCCGAGCGCACGGGATCTGCATTTAGATTGATTAAACGCAAAGTGAAGAATCCTCCCTTCATCTGCCCTTGCTCCTTTTTCCACTGCTTGTAGGAGAAATTTGACCAAGAAATCAATAAATCAGGCCGTCGTATAGGACAGCGGTGAGTACGCTGTACATGGTCCGTCTGGTCAATAAATTTTTTTATTTACCTCCAACAGGCAAGCCTCGTGGCCGTAAGACAACGCCTTCCTTTTTGCCTAACCCACGCCCATGATCATGTTGACGTCGCTTAATCGACCTTGCAGTCCTCTCCATTGTACATAGCCCTTGTCACCGACGCCCGTCCTTCCTGTGCAGCCATGACACACGTCGCAGTGCGGCAGCGCGTCTGAACTTTGGTTTTCTATCCATTGTCTTTTCTCTCTGCATTGCGGCAGCAAAGTAGGATGCGGACATCCGTCTTCTCTGCAGTAGTAAGTCCAAGCTTCAAGTTGGATCTATAGCTTACAGATTTTAATTGCAGAATTTTCGTAATATCGTGCTGCATTCGGCTCATCAGGCGAAAATAATTCGGAGCGCTCCATCTCAGACTGAAGCCCTTCAGTCCTTGTGGAGGAACTGGGCCATACCTCTCGGTATGTGCGGTGGCAGCAGCGGCTTGACTGGGTTGCCTGTCGTCCGCCGGCCAACCCGTGTATAAGCCAAGGGGCATTGGGCGCTACGTTATTCCGTGTGAGAATCCTTAACCGAGTTGCCTTAATCAGTGAGTGCATCATCTCGATCCCGAGCAGTTCTGCCCTTGACCATATTGTAATATGCCGAAAGACAGCAGGTTCTCTCATTCCGTGATGCGTCGCCTATGGTAGATGCTACAGCTGTGGCCGACGGCTGCTGCGCGGGCCAGTGTGCCTCTCGTTCAGCTATTCAGTACTTATACGGGGGCCGGTCGTCCTAGTTGGGCAAGTCTCAGTCAGTGTCGGTGCCTGTGCTACTCGGATATGAGTCTATAAAGGCGGAATTCTACTGGCTCTTCTGCCCGCAGCTTTTTTTTCACAACCCCCCCTCCTCTTCTCTTGCGCCGCAGATATGTCGTTCAACGGCAACTTGAGCCCAAGCTCAAGAGCGTCGTCAGGCCGCGCCCGCGGCGAATCACGGGGAAGACGGCGGCAGTTCTACGAGTCGAGCGGAAGTTCTACGGCCAGTGAGGAGTCGTTGATTTTCCCGATGGACCGGGAAAGACCATTACCCCATAACTCCCCGGCCGCATCACTACACTCCCGTTCTCGCTCTCCCTCAGTAGAGGGTTTTTCGGCGTGTGTGTTATATCACGGAGCATTGTCTGCCCGTCAAGTGCAGCAGCGAGAGAGGGCATGTCAAACATGCCGTTCCCATTATCCTTCGTCGAACTCAAACACCGACCGCGACCATCGCACGAACGACGCAGGTGACGGCGGACTAGCTCGCGAGCCATCCGATGCGTTCGGAGAAGGAGAGGAGGAGGGGTATATCAGTGCGCCATTCTTTTCCTCTAGTTTTAGGTTACCGTTGAGCGAATCTCCAGGCGCCTCAGCGGGCGCTACCACTGCCCTTGGGAGCAGTATGGGGCGTTTATTTCCTAGAGCCCGTGAGGACGATCTTCCGGCAGGGCTAGTGGAGTCAACGTTGCCTGACCCTCACTTTTACGTCGGCAGCCCTCCCCGTCCGCGCACACCCTGGGTGTATCTTTCGAACTCAGGCTGGGAATCTCCTGAGACCCACGAGGAGAGTACCGCTGCGTATCAGCGCCCTGACGAATCGCACGACGCGTCGTCCCGCTCGTCCTCGGCGCACCAGCGATACTCTCCTCGCGGAATGTGAATGCATGACTCCACCAGTCGGTATTTCTTCATGTTTGCAGAATGAACTGAACGCGTATGACTGCACGTAAAATATAATATTAATGAACCGTACGCTCCTCAGAGTCTAGGCGTCTACGACGCTCTATTACTGCCTCCGTCTACGATCTACGACATACGTCTCTGTGATTCTATGTTGTGATACCCTTAAATACCCGTTCGTCTATAGTACCTCTCGCAAGCGCTGTGATAAGCTGCCCAGTCGTTTGAGGTTTGCCGATGATTATATACAGGAATGGACTCGATAAGTGCCTTCGTGGCTCGGTGGATGAGAGGGTTTGAGGCTGTACAGTGTAACGGATGTGGTGAGCATTCATCACTCTGACAGCGGACCGGAAGGATTTAACTCACATTAATAATAAAGAGAACGACATACGAATTCTATGGCAGTGGCACGCGTATTACTCAATCCATCGACGTTTCCAGTATGCAGCCACGCTCGCGCAGAGGCTGAACCAGACGAACGAATTGAGCATCTTCGACAACTCCACTCCAGTCACCGTGCAGCACCACCTTTCGAAGTGCGGGGAACGACTCTGCGTCCAGTACAGAGATATGCTGCTCCAGATGCTCCCAGAACGCCTCGGTGCCAACAGGCATGACTCCGTTCTCCAGCGCGTGCAGGGCGACCGTGGTCAGCGCGCGGTGAGGCTCGCGCAACGGGCGCGGTTTGGCAGTGAAGTTGACGTAGTAATAGAGCTCCTCAACGTTGGGGCAGCTCGGGAGGACGAACGAGATAATGTCGTATATGTAGTACTTGAGGTCCGCGCCGAGCTCGATGGATCGCAGCTGCGCGCCGTACGTCTCCCAGAACGCAGACAGCGTCCCGACGTTAACGAACTTGTCCACGACGACGTGCTCCAGCGCCGGAAGCGACCAGCGGCAGATCTGCTGGACGAACAGCACGTTCATGCGCATGATGCGAAGCGTCGACAGGTAGGGCAGCGAGACGAGGGGTGAATGCATGAAGTTGAGCCAGACATCGCCCCCGAGCGAGAGATACTGCACGTTGGGCGCAGCGTGGAGGACGTCGGCAAGGGAGTTGATCCCGCCCGTCGCAGCGGCCTCGTTGTGGTGCCACCAGTCGAGGCGTTTGAGAGACGGCATGGCGGGGCAGTCCGCCTCGAACTCGAAACGCATGCGCATCTGGTCCTCGGAAGAGAGGGGGCTGAGGCGGACGAGTGTCTCCAGCTGCGGGCACTCGTTCAGGATCTCGACGGCCCTCAGCCGCTTTGCGCTGATCGTCGCTGACCCGGAGAAGGGCAGGTATGCACGGCGCACCCACCGTCGATATTCTGCGTACTTCCCCCCGTTCTCTGCGACCAAGGCGTCGGGCAAGTTCTCTGGTCGCTTCATCCGCACATCTTCGTACAGAAGGTCGAGGGATAGACTCCTCCACTGTCTGCAGACGCGGACAAGCACTACCTTCGTCCGCAGCGCCTCGTCCTGCGCGTCGATGAACGCCGTCCCGAACGGGCTGTACGTCGTCGCGCGTAGCGAGGCAGTCAAAGGCGATATCGTCGCGCACCGGAAAATGTGTAACCACAGCTCGGGAGGAAGCGAGGACGCGGACATGGTGGAACAGGTGCTTAGAATACACCACCAGACATGACTCTGTACTTATAGCAAAGCTGAAACTCACAGCTCGCAGATAAACGAGGGACGTTTCGGAACGCTGTGCAGAAAAAAAAGAAACATGTTTCGCGCGAAATAGGGTCCAGCATTGACTCCACCTTCCACTGACCATCCAGCCCCCAACCAGCCCGAAGACGCCCGAGCTCGACGCCGCCCAGCCAAGCCTGTGTCATAGACGATCTGCAGAAACAACGCCATCCGAAGCGTCATGGTAACTATACCGCCATATCCTCACACCTCCCCGTCTCCGAACATCAGCTTCCCAGCCGCCCATGCGCCAGCTTTCCGCGTATCCGAAGCCTTCCAACAGGCCTCGCACCTCCGGCATATCCAATAAGGCCCCAAATATCACAACATGTTGCGGCCATTCGTGGGACCACCGTTCGGACTCGGAGATATCGCTTGCCGGAGTGGTGCACGGAAAACTAGAAGGCGGAAACGTTGGGTCGACTGCGCTCGGAAAGTACGTCCGGAAGTACGTAGCGGGAGAATCGTAGAAGATATCAGTTTGATCCTCGTAGACGGAAACATCCTCACCCCTAGAGATAACAAAAAAAGCAACGTGTTGTCAAAACAAATGCGGCTCAATATTGCTGCACACTCACAGAAGGGGCGGCTCGCAACCTAGAGCCCACAGCATCCCTGGAATCGCCAATTCCGGTCGGTGAAGGTACGCTTGCCATGGTGTCGAGTGGCAAGGCATCAAGAAGCCAACGGAAAGCACGTCTTGCGTCGGAAGGCTCCGGAGATGATCCATCACGCCAATCTGGGCCCGGGAATGAAAGAGCGAGACGTAGGCTATGGCGGGAAGTGCAAGGAGTAACAAGGAAAGGTGTCGTCCGCGGATAGGCAGGGTGACAGAATGGGCGTTGTCCGCACCGCTTCTTGGTTTTGCGGCGTCAAACGAATCTACGAGGGACTTTGACGCCATTATGTGCATCACTGGCAGCAGCGGATGGATGAATCGCCATTCCTTGTGACCCGCCAGAGAGTAGACGCCGATTGTCCAAGCAAGGAGCCCCAGCAGAGTCTGTGATGCCGAACCAGAAAAACCGCTGATAAGCCACGCACCATGCGCTACAAATGGAAGAGCTGTTGTGCACAGTATCGGAATCGCTTGAGTAAAGTAGTAGTGCCATGGACTCGAGCCGTAGAAAAGAGACACCGAAGAGAGATTCGTGCGGAGGAAATTGAGCGGCGTAAACGTAGGTGTACCGTAGTAAGCAGAATCTAAGACAAAGAGGACAGAGAGAGCGATCCCACTGTTGGGCGGGTAAGCATTGACCGTACTGTAAATAAACAACTTGTCCTACCCAATGGCCAGCACGTCGACCAATAAAGAGTATACATAGCGCGGTTGCAGGCGCACCCGTAAAATCAGCGTGGCGAACATGTACGCCCAGATAACAGCGCTCGTCGGTCTAACGGCGCACGCCAAAGCAGCGAACATAAACACCTTCCGTACATCCCTTCTGTAATTTTCTGAATCTGTCAAGCCGTAATATAATATTACTTTCGCACCTCCGAAACGACGCAGCTGCATCCCATGGAAAATAGCTCAGAGCGACCACGGTCAAGGAAGTCTCGAGAGAGTTTGATATCGAGCGCGACAGCGAAAGGCCGTGGAAGAAAGACGTCAAGGAGAGAAATAGCTGAACGAGTGGTCAATACCTCGAAAGAAACCTCGGATAGATGAACTTACGGCCGCAGAAACATACCTCTCCCCAAGCACTTTCCTGGTCAGTTCACAAAGCCAAATGTCGGTCACGGCGGCGAACACGCCATGCAGCACTTTTGGTGCCCAGATCTGTTGTCCGTCCACACCAATATCAGCTCCCGAACACCCTTCTGCATAGGAATGCCACGCACCCACCAAAAGCTTTGTGCTGTCTAAGTTCAATACTTTCAGCAACCAATACACCGGCACGTTCAGCGCCGGATAGAAGATGCTTCGGATGGGATTGGGCGACAGCCACTCCCACGTCAGGTGCCCATATCCAAAGACGAGGTGGTGTGCAACCTCTAGCGACTGAAAGTACTCGTCTGGCTGGAAGAATGTTCGTGTCGCGAGAGCGATGGATATGCGGACGACAAGTGCAAGGAGTGTCGATGGTTGCATGCAGACAGACTGCGTCGGTCACGCTGATGGCGGCGAAGCGAACAATGGAGATGATGGACAAAGGAATAAATTATGGTGTGCGCGGTACTACTGTGTACAGTGAATATAAAACGACGACTTCAGCTTCTTTCTGCTAAGAACCTAGATATCTTTCTTTCCTTCCTAAGCTCGTCGCCTGGCAGTGGGGTACTGGTTGACTCCCGAACCTCGGCAGCCATCATACTTGCAGGATGCTCAGAAATGACAGAAGTACCAGGAGGGGATCGATTTGCAGCAGGTCCCTTGGGCGACAACACCTGGTGCGAGGAGGATGTCTGGAAAGATGGCGAGTCGATCACCACTTGCGATGTCGGCAAGGAAGGTGATTCGACAATCATGCTCGGCATCTGGCCCTGCTGCACGGCGGAGAGAACGGTGTTGTGTTCTCGGGCCCCTGAAGGGATTGACATGCGTCCTGGAGATGACGGAATTGGGGGTGTCGCGATGGGTGTAAGAAGAGGAGGTGATACGAGCTTCGGAGAAGAGCGCTCGACTATCGTGCTCGGCGTGCTCGGCGAAACGGTAGGAGACACTGCTCCCGGAGAACGCCACTGGGTCTGGGAGAGTGCCAGCTTGAATTTGGATACCTTAGACGGTTTGGACTTCGGTGGAGCGCTAGCACCATCCGCGTCTGCCGTTGTCTCGAGCGCCGGTGAAACAGGAGCACGATGCTGAGTGTTGGAAGGACCGGCGAAAACGCTGTTTCCCACTTGTGGGAGCGTTGAGTTCGCCTCCGGGCCGACATTTTTAACCTGCCCTCTGCTCAGAAGTTCCAATATTTCCCTCGCCTCCATCTCCCCATCGTCTCCGCTATCTCCCGGCTCACCACCCGTAAGCTGTCCGTTAACAAGCTTGCCCATACGAACAGCACGGTTGAGAGACGAGGACTGCGACGAAGGTAGAACTGAAGGTCCAAGGGAGTGGGAAGCCAGGGAGGACGATGAAGTACCAGAGGAATGCTCTGCTTTGAATCGTGAGATGGAAGATTTCGGCGGAGCAGACGCTAATGTTGCGTCTAATGGCACTTCCTACAGTGAACATTTAAAAGTGTTCTCTAGTAGGAGAAAGTCCAGCCACTTACCGGTTGATCCCAGTCGTTCTCGGCTTCATCGTGGGTATGTGCCCGCATCGCGCTTGCCACATCGGAGGTAATAGTAGCACGTTTCTCGTAGTACGCCAGTGCAATCTCGCGTTGGTGACGAGCATAATCGAGTTCTTCCTCATCCCAAACCACAGGCTCGTCCTCGGCATTTGGCTCCGCCTCGATGTCTTCGGAATCAGAATGCGCGGATGGGTGATCCTCATGGTCCTCGGAGTGGTCAGAGTTTATAACATCCCCTTCATCCGAATCTGCAAGGACGGGTGAGCCAGGTACAGACTCATCGTCCGAGTCCTGGTTGTCGGAGAGGGCCTGCGACTGTGAAGCTCCCATTGCACCAGGATGGCGCTCCACGACATGCATTCGCATCGGCTGCTTGTCCATCTCAGCCTTCGTCATCAACGGACTCTTACCCTTCCGCTCCAGTCGTCCCAGCGCGACGCTTCCCCAGCCAGATCTCGTCTCGCTCTTCCCCACCTCATCCTCCTCGCTCACGGGCGGTTCCGCAAATGAGACACTCTTCTTCGGCTTCACCTTCAGCCTCTTCTCTCTCTCTTCGCGTTCCTCCTTCTCCCTCTCCGCCCTCTCCTTCTCTTCCCGCTCCCTCGTTTCCGTCACATTCCGCAAAAGCGCCCTGCCCATTTTCTTCTGCAGATCCCGCGCCTTCTTCAGACTGTCCATTTCTGCCTTCGCCGCCTCCTTCCTCCTCTCCAGTTCCGCTAACCACCGTTCGCGGTTTGCCGCCTCGTCGCGCTCCTGCTCGGGGTGCTCCTCCTCCTCCAATAAATCGAGGATGCGTTCGCGCTCGGCACGTCTACGTGCCTTCTCAGCCGGGGAAAGGGCCCAGGGAGGAAGAAGATCTGGGTCATCGAATATGTGCTCTGGGCTAATGGCAGAGGCGATAGGCGATGATGCATCTGCCATGGGCTCTCTTATATCAATTATAGGTAGTCCCTCCTCATTCACCAGCTACGTATGTGCATGTCAGCGCATTACGCGTGTCGCATCAGTGGTAGACGTACCTCACCCTTCTCGTTTCTGCGTTGTCCCCCGTCCGCTCCGAGCTCCTCGTCTCCCAAAATTTCGCCTAGTTTGTCTGATATCTTTCTGACTTGTTCCGTGGTAAGGTTCTTCCCATTGCCGGAGGACGAGGAGCCCTCCGGTGACATAGAATGCAGGAGAGCCTGCAGTGCTAGTGTCTTATTAGAACTTCAAGGGGAAAATGCACGGTAAGATAGACACCTTGAGCTCTGCTTTTATTCATATCCTGCTTTGAGCCCTCTGAAGCCATAACGAGTAGCCTGAAAGGAGGGGGTATGCGGCACGATAGAGAGTCGAGCGCAGAGCGGAAGGAGCGTGGAAGTCAAATTCGGCGCCGGGGTCTGCCGAGAATATTTCTGCATCCACCGTGACACCGTGTCCTGGTTTATCTGCTACTCAGCTCATCCTTGCTCGCCGCTGTTGAGTGGAAACCATCACAATGGTCGTTGTACACGCACAGCCAAGCACGTCGCTTGCACCTCACAAGAAGAACCGCCGAAAACTTTCGAAGAAATCATCATCACAACTTCCTGCGACCACTTCAGTGCACGATGTCTATCTACACAAGGGTGACATAGGCGATGTTGCAATGGACGCTTCCCAGGGTACATCGCAGCCATCGGGACCAGTACAAGAATCTGCAGACGAGGACGAGGTCATGATTGATACCAACCCCGACCCCCTGCCCACCCAGTCTGCCGCCCCCGCCTTCCCCCCGCTTCCTGCGTCTGCGCAACGGACGATCCTCAAGTCGGAGATGAGGCGGATACCGATACCCCCACACCGCATGACTCCGCTCAAGAAGGATTGGGTGAACATATTCTCGCCCTTGACTGAGATGTTGCAATTACAAGTTCGGATGAATGTGCGCAGGAAGTGCGTGGAAATCAGGGTGAGTAGAGCTTTCGTGTGATGGAATATCCGCCATAATGATCTGGTATGGACGATAGACATCAAAACATACAAAGGATATCGGTGCCATTCAGAAAGGTGCCGACTTTGTCAAGTCGTATGCGCTAGGATTTGACGTTAATGTGAGTTGGAACCATTTGCGTCAACTGCATCCCCTTATCCACATCCTTCACAATTTGCAGGATGCAATTGCTCTCCTTCGTCTGGACGATCTCTATCTCGACTCGTTCGAGATTAAAGATGTAAAAACTCTGCATGGCGATCACCTTTCTCGTGCTATCGGTGAGCCCATTATCCCATAGAAATCCTAGATGTCCCATATTGACTGTTATTCCCAGGACGCATAGCCGGCCAAGATGGCAAGACGAAGTTCACCATCGAGAACACCAGCCGGACGCGGATAGTACTCGCTGACACGTATGTAGTCTATACATCATTCGTATTCTAAATCTTATTCCAACTTCCGTCCGCAGAAAAATCCACATTCTAGGCTCCTTCCAGAACATCAAAATTGCGCGCGATGCGATTGTTTCTCTTATTCTCGGTTCGCCTCCAGGGAAGGTGTACGCTGGGTTGAGGACAGTCAGCAGTCGTATGCGGCAGAGAGCTTTGTAGAAGTGTAGACCAGGTTTCAGGTCGTTGTAGCTCACTCTTGCTGTCGTCCTCTACTGTGCTGCTACCCATTGTGTTTACAGGAAACTTGCACGGTTTCGACGGACTCTGACACCGCGACAGCGAAACATGAGAGTTAACTATCGTGTTCAACTGAGCTTGCGGCCGTTTTATAGTGGTAGGGTCGGCGGGAAATTAACTTAAATTTAAATTAAAAGTCAGCCTTGTCACGGTGTTGTATACACCCTCACGTGGTGTGTGACTTGCGTCACACCTACCTAGTAACCGTTAGCGTTCTTGGTCGACGTTAAGTTGAACCGCTTCGCTTTCATAAACCTTGGTTCTATTGACGAGGCCTTTTTTCTAAACAACAAAGCCACTCTTCACATACAACTACTGCTTTGGTTTCTATGGCACCGTCCGCGCTCTCAGGAGCAGTCCGACGCTCGACTCGTCTCAGTGCAAAGGCTCAGGTCGCTGCAAAGCGACCTGACGAGGATGATGCGGGTGCTGACGCTAGTGATGCAGAGCCCCTTGAACGACCTGCGAAGCGCAGAAGAATTACGACTTTCAACACATCTGCTGACCGCAAGCAGAGGGCAGGGAAGAAGAATGTGGGCAGCAAGCGCAGTCTTAGTAAACTCCTTGACATGCCGCTGGATGTACTGTTTGAGGTTCGTCGTCATCACATTCCTCCACGTTGACTGCAACTAACGTTTCCATGGTAGATTTTTGGTCACCTTGATCCATTGGATGTCCTTCACTTGGCACGATCTAACAAGGCCATCCGTAACGTTCTCATGCGTCGTTCTTCCATCACGATTTGGAAAGAAGCTCGTAGCCACATAGAGGGACTACCGGACTGTCCTGCGGACTTAAGTGAGCCTCAATATGCTGATTTGGTATTCGATCCACACTGTCATGTAAGTATCCCTGGTTCTTTTCCGCCGCCCTCTGTGTCTCACAGTGTCTTTTCTAGTTTTGCTTGACAGCAAGAGTCCTGAATGTGCTTTGGCGCAATCGAGTGAGATGTTGCAAACAATGCTTGAAAGCAAAGTATGTGGAGCTATCTGCGATTTTTTGTTACCCTAGCTCATTCTCCCAAGTTTCATGGACATGGCTGCAATGTACCGGTGTTTCTACGGGTTTGTTTCGGAATACAAGATGCCGCAGCCTTGGGCCATGATATCTTGTGATCCATACAGAAACAGTGAGTAAGCATCGTAAGCATCCGAAAGGACCATGGCTCATCGTTAGTTTAGAACACTACTATCTCAACTCACGAGTCATGGAACTACAGGAGAGATATGAGGAGATTGTTCCAGACCTGGAGAAATTCAAGGAATTTGAACAAGAAAGGGTTAAGGCTGTAAAGAAGCTTGAGAAAGTTGGTTGGACACATGCATGTCTCAGTGCCAGATACTCACCAAAGGCATCCAGGATGCAGATATCCTTTCATCCTGGCATACCGAACAGAGCTATCTGCGCTCGCAGGAGTTGGACGACTTGCGCTATAAGCGTCGTCAAGGGTAAGGGTGTCTATCTTCAGATACTTCCGAAGCTCATCCCGATGCATGTAATCATAGGATCATCATGAAACTCATTCAAATGAATCTCGGTGCAGAAATTGAAGTAATGGACGATGATATGATCGAGGTCTTCTTAAATCACCCAGCAGTGAAGCAGCCCAAGGAACTTACTGACCGCAGTATGTGCCTAGTCGTGTCGCATTTACTTGCCAGTAACCTAATTGTTCTGCTAGTTTGGAATAATATCAAGGGCCCCATCCTCGAGATTGTGTACCATGCGCAGGCTATACGTATCGCAAAGACACGATGCATTCGTGTCATCCCGCATATCCCATTTCTAGATACTCGTTACGCGGATTTTGCAAAATCTCGTCCGCATACCGAGTATCTGCCAAGGATTGCCGATTTCTGCATGATGCCGGAAATCCGCGCCATCTTGGGCGACGCTACAGTTGTGATCCAGACGGCGAGAAAGCTTGACGACCTGCGCCCGCGATTCCCCGAGCTATCTGAGCGATGGCGGCAAGAGTGCTCCCGTCAACTGTTGCCGCTCCTGCCGGATGCTGCCAAGCAGAACCAGGTCAACGACGAAGATATGTCACCACTGCAGTTGGCTACGACATTCTTCAAATGCTCGTCCTGCTTTGATACCGTTGGCTATCCGAGGATTCTGGCGCATGAGTGTATGAGGTACTGTACGATGAACGGTGATGGCGGTCTGGATCTCAGCCATACGATTCACGCGGACTTGAAAAATACCGTTCAATTGGTGTACGATGAACAGCCGTGGCACCTCAGCGCCGGGTCGATCGAATACAACCAAGGTGCATGCGACACAGTCGCAGCTGTCGTGCGGGCTTGTGGTGAGGATCCGGCGACGATCACCGCTAGCGAGATGGACGAAATGGATCACCGGTTTGTCTGCGCGAATCGCAAATGTTTGCGCAATGGAGTTGTCCACGTCGTGACATGGAGAACAGCGGTACGCTAGGGATTGTGTCTCCTGCTAGGAACTCACTCAATGTTGACATCGAGCAGGAGCAACATGACAAAATATATCACCCCGTTGACCACACAGGATGGCAGCTCCTCGATCCTGGGGACACAGCAGACATGAAACTGAACGAGCTGATGGACGATGAGAGGTACATGGTTGAGATATGGTCATGCACGCACTGTAGGAGTAACGCTGTGCGCCTGAATGTTGTGAAGGCGCATCTAAATGACAAGTAAGTGGCATCAATGCAGTCGTCTGAACAAAGATGCGCTTACTTAGGCGTGCCTATAATGTAGACACGACGTTCTTCATCCGGTGCAAGGAGTTGACTATGACGTGCACCACGATGTAGATCCTGGACCTCCCCTTCCCTTCATCGTGATGTCCGATGAGCTTAGCTCGCCTGCCTTAGTTGCTGCTGTTGAGGATGCTTTGGTTGATGAGTGAACCAAGAGTTGTTATATATTGATGCCTACTGATCGGAGCACCTACTGTAGTAATTGAAACAGAATTTGTTTTACTCGAACACGTCGAACCAGACTGTGCCCTGTTAAGAATACGCAGCGATGGTTGTGGCCAGATCGCGTTGTATACAATGATCTCACGGGTTCGACAAGACCTCCCACATATAACTCCCCGAGAGCTCCGATGCCATAACCCCCGAAAAAGCGCCTACCACAGGTGCAAGCTTCAATACTCAATCCCCGAAAAAGGTCGAAATCCCGGAAAAGCTTGCGTGCAAACCATCCCCGTATTCGGCCCCTTTTGCAAAGGTCCAGCACCCCTGAAAAATAGGTCTTCGGGAGCTCGGAAGCCGACGGAAAAATGCTTGATATACTGATACTTTAGGGAAAATTCGCACTTTTGGGAGGAAAACCCGAGTTCTGAGCGGATGTTGGACCAGAATGGCTCCGTGAGCCGGAAAATGAGGTCCATGGCTGGGCACATTTTCTGCCTACGGGGTTAGATGGCATCTAGCGAAAACCGCCGGTATGCCGCGAGGTTAGGTGTAAACCCCCGAAAAAGGTGTCCGGCGGGATCGGAGGGCGACGCGTTGTTGACGCGTTATTTGGTCACAAAGATCCTAATCCGAGATATCTTCCTGCTTCGTTTTTTTGAACATATCTCGCTGAATATCCTCGCAAGTCTTTTCGCCTGTGCCGTGCACTTTCATTGCATCGTCAAAAAAAGTTTGACGTCTCCCCGCGAATCGGCGATGGCTCATCTGCCATTTTTCATTTTCTGGACATTTGTTCTTCTCTGTGCAACTCAGGCTAAGAGTGAGCCTGAGGGTGCGTGGAACGGCTTCGTAGCTCCAGGTTCGGAAATCCCTTCACGCTTTACCCCTTATTATGCTCCTCCTGGTACCAAGAGCTACGACTCTTCTTCACCCCTTCTCCACTACTCCGGCACGTGGTCAGACTCGTTCTCTTCGGCGTATGTCCACCATAGCATCCGCGTTACGTCTGAACCGGGCGCGTCTATGGCTTTTACATTCACGGGCACCGGTGTGGAATGGTTCGGAAACCAAGACGCGCGCCACGGTATTTCTGAAGTCTACATCGACGGAAAGCTCGCTCAGCGTATTGATTCCTGGAATGCGGTCTCTAGGAAGCAGCAGCGTCTCTTCTGGATCTCTGATTTACTGCCCTGTCGGCACACCGTCAAGATTCTCAACACTGGTGAAAGGAGGGCTGAATCCAAGGGCTTGTACATGGACATCGATGCTATCGTTGTCACTCTGATATCTCAAGCTCAACCCGACCAGTACTATGCTCCTCTCGATCAGGACTTCGCACCAGCTGCTGATGAGGATCTCCTTGGTTATTCACCACTGTTCGACTTTAGCATCTATAACTCAAGTCCTCGCTGGCAGCTGATACAACGAGGCCACACCGGGGTCAATGCAATGCAGCTTGCTATAGTCTCAGAGTCTCATGCGATCATCGTTGACAAAGTGGAACACAACCCTCTCACGATTGACGGTCACCCGGCTTGGGCGGCTCTCTACAACTTGAAGACGCATGAGGTGAAGCCACTGGCGATGCAATCGAACTCGTTCTGCGCGGGCGGGGCGTTCCTCAGCAACGGCACCCTGATCAATGTCGGAGGGAATCCTGTCGTGGAGGACCATACGTCTGCCGCGGACTTTGGCGACCTCGATGGGCTGCAGGCGATCCGTATCTTCGAGCCCTGTGATACCGGGAGTGTGGAAGACTGCAAGATGTACGAGAACCACGTGCGGGTGCGCATGGCAAGCCCGCGGTGGTACAGTACGGTCGTGCGCATCTCCGACGGGAGCGCGATGATTATCGGCGGGTCGCGCAAGGGCGGGTGGATCAACAACGCTACAGTCAATAATCCGACTATCGAATATTGGCCCCCAAAGAATATTCACGGATCAAACGGCCTGCCAATACATCTGCCTTTCCTCGTCGACACGCTCAATGCGAACCTATTCCCGATCGTGTTCCTTTTACCGGACGGGCGCGTCTTCGTGGCCGCAAACCAGGACTCAATGATCTACGACTGGCAAACCAACACCGAGCAACGCCTCCCGCCCATTCCAAACGGAGTCCGCGTCACGTACCCGATGGCAGGCACGGCAGTCCTGCTCCCACTGTCCCCGCAGAACGACTACGCCGCGGAGATCCTGCTCTGCGGCGGCTCCACTGTGGACGACGCGCAACCCGGTTACTCCATCTCCTCACAGGCCCTCGCCTCGGCGCAGTGCGCGCGCCTCCTGCTCACCAACGACGGTATCGCGGAGGGGTGGCACGTTGAGCACATGCCGCAGCCGCGCACGATGCTCGATGCAGTACTCCTACCTACTGGAGCCGTCGTCCTCATTAACGGCGCGGGCACAGGCATATCAGGGTACGGGAACGTCCGCGACCAAGTCGGCGCGTCCAATGCGGACAACCCAGTGCTCGTGCCCGTGTATTATGATCCACGCGCACCGAAAGGGCAGCGATTTTCGACGCGTAGGATGCCTGCGAGTGATATCCCACGGGTGTACCACTCCGTTGCGTCGCTGACACCGGATGGGGACGTGATGATTGCGGGGAGTAACCCGAATTTGGACCGCAGCGAGGTGCGATTTGGGACAGAGTATCGCGTCGAGTGGCTCAGCCCGCCGTACATGTTTGCGGAGAGGCCGAGCATCATAGCCGCACAAAGGTCACTCGGGTTTGGTGAAGCTGTTGAGGTGGAGGTGCAGATGCCTTCATCGTATGCGCAGGGTGCAGATGTGCAAGGCAGGTTTTTTCGATGAATTGGAAGGGGACACTCTGAGAAGTTATCTTTGCATTCTAATTTTCCAGTCACATTGATGGACCTCGGCTATGTCACCCACGCTGTACATGCCAACTCTCGCCTGGTCTATCTAGAATTTTCGCTCTCTAGCGATGGGCAGGTGCTCACTATTGTCGGTCCGCCTCACGGCGCGGTGTACCCCCCTGGGCCTGGTTGGCTGTACATCGTGGTTGACGGCATTCCAAGTACCGGGCTGAAGGTAATGGTAGGCGACGGAGATGACCCACCTCTAGACGAGTCAGCGCTGCAGAAGTGAGTCTATTTCGGCTTTTGTTCACTACCTCTGGACCCGAACTTGAATGTGCCCGATAGCCTGCTCGCGACCACCGAAGTGGATCAGTATAAACTGTCAAAGAAGAAAGGGGGGAAGCCTCATGGCTCCGGCTGAGCAAGCCCGCGTTGGAGGACAGCACATTTTCTCGTATTTGCAATCACTCATTCGCAATGTTGAACGTCTCTCTACAGTTCTGTTATACATACCAGTTTTCTGTCCCGCCGCGTGTCGCTCCAGCGTGTGACATTGCTCTACGGTCGAAGGCGAAGATCAGGCTCGTCTCCGGTGTCGTCGGCGTCATGCGATCCTGCCTGGGCCGACAGGCAGAGGCAGCACAGAAGCTTGCAGATGTCCGGATGTTTACGAATTGCTTCCTCGATACAGATGTCGTTCCTGCAGACTGCATTAGTGGCCACACGGATCTGCTGGGCCGGTGGTGATACAGTGCATGGATTATTCAGTCCTTCGCGTCTCGACAAGCCTACGACCTATGGGCGTCAACTGGGCGGCGCCAACTGCGAAACTCTACAAACTCTAGTGTAGATTGTGGTGCGCTCTAATGCTCTACCTATTCCTGTACATCCGCATTGCTCTCGACGAAGTCCACATTCAAGTGCGTGGTATCTGAATAGCTCACCATCTCCCCCCCGCCGTGCGCCTGCAGCTCCAAGACCGAGATCGACGCATTGAAGCATTTGGTGGTAAGCACACTGCCCGTAGCCCACTCCACCCTGCCGCTCTCCAGCAGGCCCACGATGAGCCGCCCGATCAGACCGCCGTGTGAGACCACAAGTATGTGTGCCGGCTCCCCGTGCCCGTCCCAGGCGGTCGTGCACGGGATGATCCTCTCTTTCCACCACCTCACCGCCCGCCCCGTGAACTCGCCCACTGGTTCCGCATTGGCGGGCGCTCTGAAACCACGCTCGGTACTCTTCCGCCCTTGCCAGTCACCGAGATTCTACAAACGTCGATCAGGATCCGCTACCGGACGCTCCACTCACTGAGCACGAAACGACGTACGCGCTCTCTCAGCTCTGGATCCTGCTCTAATTCTACGTGTGGGTGTCTTTTGAGGATCATCTCCGCCGTCTATACATGATGTCGACGTGCGATCGATCGACAGTCAGTCAATGTCCCTCTCATCGTTTGCCATATGCGATGCATCCCTACCTTCACCGCTCTCTTCAGATCGCTGCTGAAGGCTTTTGTAAAGGGGACCATCTCGAGCGCGTCCGCGGTCAGCTGCGCCTGCTCAATCCCGATGGCATTAAGGTTGGTGTCGAGTTGGCCCTGCATGATCCCGAGCCGGTTCTCGTCCGTCTCTCCATGGCGGACGATGTACACCCTAGCGGCGAGCATCGATGGGCAGTGGGAAGACAAGACTTCGTAACCCTAACCTCACATCTGCCTCGGAAATCCTCCGGAAGAATTCAAGCGCCGGGCGCCGATAATGCATTATATTGGAACTTGCCACCACTTCTACAAGTGACTGAGAAGAGAAAAGCAGCAATACATCAAATACTCGATATTAAAGTGTCCCTCGCACGACGGGCATTATACGTCCACTCACGTCTCGTAAGCCAATCACCGCCGCCAGCTCCTTGTCCGAGACTCTAATGGCTATACACAGATATTGTCATAGTACTTGCATGTCGCCCAATTCCACATACATGAGAGGATGAACTATCGTACCAGATATGAACACATTGAATTCGTCGTCAACGGGGCCGCTACAGCAATGGTGTGATCTCGCTCGTCACGTCTTTGATACGGTCCTCCGGGAACGTGGTAGATAGCGCGCTAAGGCATTGCCTTATTGCGTCTGTTCGTGAGGAACCAAGAGGCCGCTCTTGATCCTTAGCAGCATACACCTATCATCAAGCACAGGTAAACATGAGAACGATATAAGAGAGGGAAATGAAACTGCCTACAGTGTTGCCTAGTGCAACCAACGCGCGATATGCAGCCTCGGAATCGGTCTGTTCAGCCTGGAGTATCTAATATCGGCGTTAATTAGTCTGAATCACATCTTTCACAAGGGGAAAATTCCACCTGAAGCACCAGATTGAATTGCTTAGTCCATATCTCGTCTTTCAAACGTTCTCGAAGACCTATGCACGACAAGCTGGGAACAACAACGCTCAGTGACAATGTTGACAAAACTGCAAGCCAAAAAATCACTTGAATAGTATCGTGGCCAATGCCACCCGCAACGTCTTCGTCAAGACACTGTATGGTACTTCCCCCAACTCGTTGAGCACCTGTCAGCCAAAGGAAATGAGCACTACATGGAGAGCCCCCCAACGTTGACGAGCGCGCACCCCCTTCACCCAAGTTTCATCGCGCTCTACCGAATCTTGCAACATATTCGCCAGCGCGCGGAACAAGAATAGCACGTTCGTCTCCTTCTGTTTGGGCAGCGGCGACGTCCACGCCTCTCCCCATTCTGCGCTATGGAACAGCGCCTCGGATAGCCGTATCTTCAGCGCATGGTCCGCGTTGCAGTCCGGGCAGAACCCGACCAGTAGCCGGCACAAGTCCATCACTGTGGGTGCGCCAAGTAGTAAGTATAGCACGAGGGGGAAGGAGTCCCGATAGAATTTACCGGGAAAGACAGGGCCCGGGGGCCATCGTTCCAGTAGCTGAATTATCGCATCGATGTGGTTCGCGCCCAGCGCGGTTGACGGGGCTTCCAGGGGACGTGCCACCACCTGCGACAAAATTGCAAACGATTCATCAATGTACTTCAGCTCCTGCGAGTACATCGAGAGGGAGGACGTCGACTGCACACCAGTCAGAGCACCACCGTTCGTCAATGCGATAACATCCACCGATACAGCAAAATACGCACAATCTCATTGCGCAAGGCTTGATCAAGCTGATATAACTTGCTCTGCATGGCGGAAACATTGGCTTGCCGGAATAACAAAGGCGACCGCTGGTGAGTGTCAGCCTTTCGCAGTCCCAAAAAATTGCCGAGAAGTGCCTTACAAGAGGAAGCGTAATCTTCTGCCGCGGCGGTACAGACTTTCGGGGCGTAGAAGGTGTTGGCGTGCCTGCGTAGCGAGAAGCGCCGGTCCAGGGATCACCGTATGCCGGTGCTGGGGCGGCAGGAGGTGGAGAAGCCTCGGGAGCACGGTATCTTGAAGCACCTTATAACGGATGAGTGAAATATACATAGCCAGAACGGAAGATTTTACCTGTGAATGGATCCATGTATTCTGCACCACCGCTTGCTATCGTACTCCTTCCAGGCTGATATCTTGAAGCACCTACAAAAGACACTCAGTATTTAAAATGGGACGGGAAGACAGTGAGTGAATACCGGTGTATGGATCCACAAATTGATTGGGGCCGCCGCCAATGCTGACACCAGTCGTATTCTTCTCGATAAATCTAACAACCTCATCTAAGTATGACATTGGCAAATCGTTCCGCTCGAGGAAGCGTTGTGCCGCAGAGTACGAATTTTCTGGCGCACAACAGTATCACTAAATCACACCAGTCCCAAAAATGAAAAAGTAACTCACCGTTCGCATTGTACGGTAACTTGAGAGGGGGCACACCCTCTTGCACGTCGACATCGAAAACATAATCGTACTCTCTGCCTTCGTAGAGCTGTTTCCGACCGGAACCAACGGCATCTACAACGTCGCCAATTTTCTGCCAGCGTTGGGTCGCGCTGTCCCACTACAGAAGCAGCAGTAAGGCCTCCAGCCCGAGTCACTGATAATCGGGCTGTACAGACCTGATGAGCCTCCACGGTCCCGTCGTTCTGTACCATCTTCACCTCCCCGGATTTCTTACCTACACATAGATTAGCGTCGCACCCACCTTAGGTCTTCCGCGAGCGCACCTGGCTGCGTCAGCGCGTCGACCCCGGGCAGGTCCGACTTGTTCACGTCGCCGAGCTGCTGTGCCGGCAGCGCCTGGCTCGCAACCTGCTCTTCGTATGCTGCGACCTGTTCTGCAGGGGCCCATCGTGCTTCCGCATCGCTGAACACGCGCACGGCACCGTCGCTGCACGCGGTCACGATGTCGCCGTTAGGCATCGTCGAGACGCACCACACAGACAAGGCGGGGTGAACGATCGTTTGTGCGCATTCGCCATCTGGAACGCGCCGGTCGGTCGGTCGGTTGGTTAGTCAGTCAGTCAGTCAGTCAGTAGGTCAGTCGGTTGAAACTGGGGGAAGGGGGGACGCTTACCCCGCCAGATGCGCACCGTGCGATCTTCACCACCTGATACGATATCCCCACTGGGCAGGACAGAGAGGCTGTAGACAAACGACGTATGACCTGACAGCGTGTACACGACGTCCCCCTCCATGGTCCAAATCCGGATTTCACTGGTGAGGAATGCTGCATGACGTTATCGGTTTTCTATTGGTCACGGTCAGCACTCACCTGTCATTCGAACAGGAAGCAAAGCCAATATCAGTAATCAACGTGAGACCGCGGACGGCTTGCGTGTGCCCAGGGTATGTGCGGACGTTTTTGTGCTGGTTCCACAATTTAATAGTATTGTCGGCGGAACCTCCACGAATGCTTCACTAAGATTGCCGTCCACGCCCAATAAATTCCGACATACCGGTCAAAAACTGCCGCCCGTCTACGGCTAGCACGGCCCATACCGATTGTTGATGCCCCTTCAAGTCAAAGGCCAATTGAAAATCCCTCCATACTTTCGCGGTACTGCAGCAGCGCACTGAAAATTCGCGGACAACCCCCCAGAAGAAGATAAACGCACCGATCCCAGGAACCAGAAATAATCTCCCCATCGGGCCCGGTGTGCAACGCGCAAACGTTCTCAGTATGCCCCAGAAGAGAAAAGTTGGGCTCGCCGGTGGTGTTCGCGAGCGAATATATGTTGATAATCGAGTCCTGCCCGCCCGTCACCGCGTACCCTAACAACAACTCGCTTGGTTAATGCTTCGGATGGTACGCCAGGCGGCTCAGATGGTAACGGACCTAGTGGTGCGTCAGGCGAAGGGGGTAGGTAGGTTACGGCGTTGATATAGCGGGAGCTGCCCTTGAGGACGGCTGCCTGGGCGAAAGACGAGGTGGGAGACGATCTCATCCATGATATCGCGGTGCAATCGCGCGAAGCAGAGAGAATGAGGTCGTCTGAGGGAGAGACGACTGCCCGAACCTAGGAAGGGTGAGCAGAGGACCAAGGAAGAGAATGAGGGAGAACGAACATCCGAGGAGTGAGCAGCGAGGGTGGCGGAGAGTTTGTAAGGCATGACTTTGGCGTATCGGGGGTCGTCGTGGATAATCGTGCAGGAGAAGAGGAGAGGATTCCCAGGTCGAGAAAGCACAGACGGCTCGAAGAAAAGAGAATTCGGCCACAGCGAACTCAGACCTGGAACTTTCCACCGCCGACTCGAAGCGTGTCGCACTTCTTGAAGCATCTTCTTATTCATTCCTCAGTTATTCGGTAATTCGAACACCATATGCTCTCCACATCACTCTCATGCACCAACGTCTCCATCCAGGCAACGCGACCCAGCGAAACTCGGAGACAATTCGATACCGATCGCAGTAATAAATAATGTACACCACTCTAACGAGCCCCAACACCGTGTATCGCGGAGTCAGGGAGATACGGAGGTGCAGTCTATGCCGTGCACCATGCTTCATCTCCTGCGAGGGCCTCGCGAAGCATCTCCTCGACCGTGGCTGCGAGGTGCGAAGACTTGCCAAATCGCGAGGGGTTGACAAGCCCCGCAGTCACAAATAATTCTTTATGGCATCCTATTTAGGGCAGGTCATACCCAAGAAGATCGACCGTCGCCGATCTCGGTGGCGCGACTCATGTATTCCAACGAAGCCTTGAGCCTCTTCGGAGAAAGGTGGACATACCAACTTGTATACCACTCCCCGCTCCGCCTCTTAGCATTTCTTTGGAGCGCCCCAATCTGTCCGTAGGGCCACAATTTCTACCCTCTCAGTACGTACCCCATCCCGCTTACTCCAAGGCGCCCAACATGCAGTGTTCCCTACTAACACTGGGGCACTCATCGTACCCAGTTGACAGGTTAAAATTCGCGAATCGAGGGCTCACACTCTATTCGTCTCTCCAAGTTCCCGTGCATACGGCCGCTTAATTTCGGCCGCTAGCGTCCCAGATATGATTTTACTCCCCATGCGATCGAATTCGAAGAACCACAGCGCCCGCAGGACACACGCCATTTCATCAGTACCTGCTTCCAAGTGTCCTTGGCATACACGACTTCCAGTCGACTGATCTACTGGCCTCTGGGAGCCGCGTCGACCCATGGGCCGCGCCCGAGCGCGAATAAGTAGTAGCCGCTCTCAGGCATCGCTCCACTCGTAGTTACTCACCCCACAAGTGACTGCACGCGGAGTGGCGCCTGGGTGTTGCTGAGGGATCTCTGACCTGCAAGCGAGGGACTCAGCTCGCACACGGCCCGCACACGAGCGGCTGAGATGTGTGGGCCGAACCTTGGGCAAAACTTCCTTCCCCACCTATCTGCATTCAATCTCAGACCGGTTGATACCTTTCAACTGCTGGCGGCTCGAAAGCGGCAGACACACAGATTGGCCGAAGCGGCTCTCGAGGCCACATTGCTAGCAAATCACGTCCCTGCAGGATTCAAATTCTAGTCCGCAGTCCGTATCAGCAGGGCAGCGGAAGCCTCCAGGGGTTCTCTTACCTGTAGTATACGTACGGTGCACCGTGCGTACAACACCCATGCCCCGCGGAGCGGTGTTTCCAGGCCACGAAGTACTTTAGCAGGCGTCAACGGGCCTCGGGCCCCAAGGCTCACGCAGCACGTCTTCGACGACAATCCAGGTACGCCGTTGTGACACTCAGCAATCTGCCACCGCGTTGCCATGAAGCCTTGTCCACGCTCTCAGCCCGAACTAACGGAGCACGGCGCCCACATGTTTATGGTTTCCCCTGTGAAGCTTTAGATCCCCACAACCACCGCATCTCGTAAACACCCATGGCGATAGCGAGTTTGCGCCCCTCAGTCCCGCAAGGATACCCGCTGCGGGCTCTCTCTTCGTGAATCGGACTCATTGTGCTATGACTTTTAAGGTAGGTACAGTGCTCGCTTTTGGCGGGGTCTAGACGTCGCATGCATTCTGCTAATGAACATCTACCATCAAGAGCCTGGACCGTCCGGTCTCGCCCTCACGGTAATATGACTATGTATTTCTCGACACATGAGAGGCCAATCAGACTGGCATTACAAAGCAGACATGTACCATACATTGATGCACAGTACAGAAAGAAGCATGGACAATTTCTGGAAGGACGAATGACAGCGCAAGATAACAGTCATCATATCGGAGAAACAGCAGGAAGCGCAGAGCCGAGCAACGAGAACAGACCGCAAGCCAAACCGTGAGCAGCTGTCGAATGAATGCGGACCAGAGTATACGCGCAGACCGTATACTTCGAATTCGCCAAGGAGCAAATAGCCTGTCAGTCCCCAAGGTCCACCGCTGGTCCGACGGACATCTTGATTTTTTTGCTCGTCCGGGGCACCTCTTGACTGAACGTCCTCGTCGTCTTGCGCCTGATTTGGCCACCTTCGCCCTCGCCATGCGCATCGATCTGCTGAGTTTCTGCTTGGGTCTGAGACTCTGCGAGAATTGTAGGCAAGCCATCTGTGTTCGAATCCACCGCCATGTTGATATCAACGTCCACCAGCCGTGGCTGGGAGAGCGGTACGTCCCTGAGCAAGCCACCGTAATCAGTGAGTAATTGGCGGAAGAAACAGCTGTATACATTTCGACATCCATGTCCTCCACTACTCTCTTCTTGTGCGATCTGCGCGCTGGTTTCTGACGGGAGGTCCGTTCAGTGCACGGTTTCAAGGAAATTAAATCACGACGGACCAGGTTAGATAACCCAAGCAGTCTCTTCTCGACCTCAGGATCCGGATTGAAATAGTCGTCGTACGCCTGACCCTTCGTGGTAGCCCGCACAAACACGTACTTTGGCTTCTGCATGGTCTTCCGGCGCTGCGACTGTCTCGTCTTCGCCCCAGCCTTCCCCTTTTGCTTTCCCTTGGCGGTACGGGTGCTCGTCTCCATCAGACCGAGGTCGTCCACCTCTATGGTCTCCTTCGCGATGAAGCCTAAAGATAGTCACAAATGTCGTTCAGATACAGATACCGAAATTTGTTCTGCCCCACCTTCTGTCTCGAGACGCTTGAACAGCTGCCCTGCGACGACAGAATCGCAATCTGCCTTGCGTTCAGCGTCACGCAGCACACGCCCTACCAGGAGACCTACCCATCAACTTCGTGAACGAAGACAAGTTCTCCGGGTTATACATCTCGAAGATCTTGATCGCTCTCCTGAAATGGGGCAGAACCATCGGTCAACGTCCTTTAGCGACGACACCACCGACGTACCTGAATATGGCCAGGTCCCTGAACCGCGCGAGCATCCTCGGGTACAGATCATGCACCATGATGAGGTCCCAGTTCTTGTCCGCCCTCACACGGCAGTCAAAGCAGACAAAGACTGCTGGTATGCGTTCGTCCTGAGCCGAGTGGAAGCCCATACACCTGGCAAAAAAATTCATGCAGACAACCGACAGCCCAAACGGAACTGAAGGAGATACCATATATGGAACCACCTCTTGCATCCACCCTCGCACATGCAGCAGTCGTTATCTTCGTTCTGTGGTCCCGCCGATGGATGAATGGGCTGTTGGTACGAAAACTGAGCCGTGTGCTCACCGTTACGCCGCATTCACAATCCAGCGAAGAATCGTCTTCGGCGTCGCTGCGTTCTTTATCTGCTGTACTCCTTGGAGGTCGAATATGAGGTGATCGCTGGGTGCCGGCGATGTTGGAGAACGACTGAATAGAATCATTCTCAGCTGAGGCTTGAGGAACAACCTGAGTTTCCATGTCTATGGTGTAACCGGGTTAGCCTTGCATACAGGATGACGGGCGACTTCTGGATACCGACCTAACATCTCGGTATCTTCAATTTCCGTAGCCGCAGCATTCGCAATGAGATCTTTCACCATCTGCGTATCGATGGACTGGATACCGTCCGCGAGGCTGGACAGCGAAGAGAACGACTGTGCATCTAGGTCTGAAGGAGGAAGAGAAGGCCCTGCTGACGGTATACGCCCGGAAGTCCCTCGCTTGCTCTGCTTAGGAGTAGGGGATGGCGAGCGAGAAGGAGACGGGGACGGACGGCGGGAGAGCGCGCTGAGGGGTGTCTCGATCACCTGGGTATGGTCCAGTTGTTGCGTTCGCATTATCGCTTCCGCGGGGTGGCGTTCAGCTTGCGCCTGATATCAGCGAAAAGAAGCGTTAGTACGGCGTCTCAGATTCCACCATAGCGCAAAGCCATTACCAGTTGAGCTACGTGACTTGGGACGCTGTCCTGCTTTCCAGTATATTGCGCTTCTTCGGCTCGGCTAACTGCACGCTCCTGTCTTTCTTCCTTAGAGAAAGGCTTGATATTCCCTTCGTCGTCCCTTATACCAATGGGCATGACGAACTCGACACCAGAATCATGCACTCGCCAACTTCCAAGGTAGAAGCTCGCATTTTCACCTGGTTAAAGTACACTGGTTGTCAAGGATTGTGGATCAATGTGCCTTCGAAGTCTTACCTGACGTAACATCTGGGTCATCCTCACCGTCAGCGTCCGCATCGCCAAGACCATCGTCTGCATCCCAAACGACCCGCCTGTCTATAACATCTTGGCGCTGTATCTGCGTTTGCTGGTTCCGCAAGGCGGCTTCTTCCGCTGGCGAAAGGATCGGCGCTGCATGGGCGTGTCCGCTGGTCGTGCCCAAGAACGGCGCATTGTTATCCTCGGCTGAGGGCAAGTACGCAGAGACCGAAGTCACGCGTACGTTGACGCCGTGATAGCCGGTCTCGAGAGAACCCACACTGCACCTCTCTGGGACTTCTCCTTTGTCATGTGTGGTGAAGAACCACTTATCTTTCTTCACATCACCCGAACGAAAGTGCTTCGGCTCGTAATCGTCCGGAGTGTGATCTTGATAGAAGAGCTTGAACGTGGCAAATCGGCGCTCTGGGGTGATGCCAATATCAGCGCTGGAGTTCTAGCAAAAAGCTTAGGTCGAACATACTAGGCAGAGCATCCATTTGCGTTGTGGCTTGGATGAGATTCTTGATTAATGCCTGATGCCGGGAAGATGCGTCTTAACATCTTCCTCGACCTTTAAGGTAAGATCCACAAACCTTGAGGCTTCTCTTCACTTCTCCCAAGGTAGGCACCCTTCCATTCTTCATTGCGTCTGCCACTGGATCGGCAACTTTCTTAGTTTTGGTGAGGGATAGTTTCTCAAGGTCTGCGTCAAGAGACATCACAGGCACTACAGTGTCAGTCCCAGGAAGAGTATAGTACTGAGGGCGGATCATCTCAGTGTTCCGAAGATAGCAGCTAGCGCAGGAGCATACCTTGAAGTTGAAGGTATATGCTTCCACGATACTGAGAACAGAGAACATCAAAAACACTTTCAAGCTGCGCAAAGGCGCATATATGCGCTCTTACTTGTTGGGGTCTTGATTATCCTGAATATACATGAATATATGCGCGATATTCTGGGACCAGAGATATTACTCACGAGGTAGATTGCGAATATGAAACTGCGGAGGTATTGCTTCTGCAAAGCATCAAAAATTCCGTGTTCCTGATAAAATATGAGATAACGGCCAGTGTTCCCAACAAACTAAACACCGAATGAGGTGCTGCACGCACGAGGTAGTCTAGAAGTTTGTCCGCTTCCTCCGTGAACCCGCGAGTGACGGTCATGATTTTGAAGCCGCTAACATTGGATTTCCGACTGTTGTTCTCAAACGAATCACTAGTATCGGATGGTTGCGAAGAAAGTGAACCTGGTCCTGATGAGGTGAGGTAACCTAGAATCGGCGGCGGCGGCGGAATCAGTTACCACCGACGAGGGGAGAATGTGAACTGACGAACTCTCAGAGAAATTTTCGGCTGGTAAGAGGTTTCTGAAACAAAGGTATTGAATTTTCACATCACGGTTGGATATATGCACTCGAATATACCTGAGGTAGGTGATACAACCCAGACCTGCCTTGAGGAGCGTCTGAATGGACTGCAGGCTTTGTTGGGATGTCAAGGCCTCCTATACCGTGTCAGAACACCACATAGTAAAAGCGCCTTCCACCCATTACAGTACCTGAGTCTGGTCCGCTCTAACTGTCTGTGCTTGCATGGCGGAACAAGAGATGCAACAAGAGGTAGCAACGACGCAGCCGCCGCGGCGACCTGGTGATGATCGAGAGCGGAGTTTGAAACGCGTGGTGACGCGACGCGTCTTGCTCACATGTTCAGCAGTCACCGATGGCAATCTTCGGCCTCTGGGTATCCTTCTCCCTTTGAATTCTGCCAAATCTCAGAATATTAAGCACGTTTATGTCCAGGTTATTAACAAAGCTGGAGGTCTCATCTATCAGCGGAATATTGGAGGTAATATTCGTTGCAGTCGGCTCATTCGTCGCTGACGTGCTCCCAGATGGTCTCCCTAATCTAACCTCCAATGAATACCTCGTCCTCGCCGGTACTCTACACGGTATTCACGCCATCACAAGTCGTCTGTCTCCTACCGGGTCTAGCTCCGGCGCGCATGTCATCTCTGGTGAGACCTTCAAGATGACGATCCTACTAACTGCGACGGGTGAGCAGTCTGTGCCTCGCATGTTGACCGTCTAGTTGCATACACCGCATTGCGTGCCCAGGCACCAAGTTCGTTATCCTCACTTCGCCGGTAGAGCCCACTGCAGAGTCGATGCTTCAGAAAGTGTACGAGCTGTACGCAGATGCAGTGATGAAGAACCCTTTCCACACCCCAGAGATGCCCATCCGGAGCGAAGGATTCGATACAAAAATTACTGCTCTGTTGGGGACTTCATGATGGATGTATAGATAGACAGCTCGAGATGTAATGTTTTACCACAAATCCTTGGCGATTCCTGTACATTACCGTCACACAAACCATACGCCACGTGTAGTTATGTAGAAGCGACGTCACTTCGAGCGCAGGAGTCTGCACCTTACCACCCCCACCATCTTGTCCCTGCCACTAGTCCACCATCATGCCTAGAAAGACCACTAGTACGTCCCACAATTAGCCTATATTCCCAAGTAAGTTGAGACACTGCAGCATCGGGCCAAGCAAAGGCACCTCGAGCACACGCCGTGTCCCGCCCAATCTCGCGCCCTTCCGTCACCTTCCAGAGCATCACTCCTGACGACGACAACATCGACGAGATACAAAACGATGACAATGCCGGAGATGACGGTAATGTAGCAGACGAAGAGTGAGCGCTGGCATCTGGCTGCTTTCGTTGCCCAGACTCTAGAGCCTCTTATGCACACTTGCCCTAGCATGATCGAAATGTTCACTATGCTGAAGGAATTCCAGCGTACGTTCGTCCAACGTCGTCAGCTCTATGCAGCTGATTCACTGTATGTACCCCGACAGGCCGCAAGTCTCTCAAGTCATCCACACGCTCCACCGCCTTCCAGAGTAAGAAGACCGCAATGTTCAACGAAGCACGCAAGAATGCAGAGGCAATCGTGCGCGACGGTATCACATACCTGTGAGCGCACAACAACTCCGAATCACTCACCGCCCAGAATCTCATTGAGCTCTCATCGCAGCGACGAGTGCAGGGCGAAGTTCGCGGAGTTACAGGCGCAGCAGACCTCGCAGGACGGCCGGCTCAGGGACCTCTCGTTGTTGTGGAAAACCAACGACGTATATTCGCGCGCATATAATTGTGTGCACGCTTGCCTCACTAACGCTGCTACTGACAGGAAGCCATCCGCGCTCTTCTTGGGGCTTATCCCCCTCTGATCGAGGACCTGTCGCACCGCAGAGCCGCGCACGTCAATGACACCAGCGCCATGCGTGAGTTCCTCTAGTCTAGCTACAACATTATTCCTGATGATTATTGCTACTCTCAGTGGAAGCGCATTCGGCTGAGCGCCAGGCCTCCCGCCGCAGATTGCTCAAGAACGCGACGGCGCGGATGGAGGAGAATCTGGAGAACCAGAAGGTGCGTACGCAGACTTTCTGTTGCCCTTCGCTGATACGCGCCCATGCATTAGATTGCAACCGATGCTAATGCTCTGATCAAACAATACACTGGTTTGCTGTTGTCTTGACGCTCTCCCACCAGCTTCACGTCGTCACTATTCTCAGTCACCTCTCTTGACCCGATTACTGCTGCTTCGCCGGATCTTGATGATTCTAACTGTGTCGATTACGCTGCCCGACCTTAGACTGCTTCTGCCTTTCCCTCCTCGGAAACTCGTATATGGTGTGTCGCAGACCCTGATGTATCGCTCGTAATGAATCCCGCCGCTGTATCAATACACTGTATCTCTCATGTACTCAAGTTGCCGATGACAAGGCACAGATGTCAAACGAGCATCGTGGAGTTGTCCCAAAGCTCTACGTCCAAGAACTACTAGGTCACGAATCAATCATTACTCGCGCGTGAAAAGTATGGAATTGCTCACGAGATCGTCCTCTGCGCGGCCTACACTTCGAGCACTCGATCTTTTCGCGTCATCTGGGCGGAGCCCTAGATATTCGCTCATGAAGACACGCAGGATGAGGTTCCAGCGACGCATGGTGGGTATATCGAGCGCTGACGCGTCATCCTACACGGCCGTCAGGTCAATGGCGGGTCAAGGCGTAAGGACTCGAGAAATACACACCTGTAGTGTGTGCCATACTCGAGGAAATGGGCTGGCAATCACATGAAGAATGCTGACGCCCAAGCGTAGGAAGGGTATATGGTCGTCTTCGATACCACCGTAGCCCCAGTGAGATGCTGTCCGGGGCGCGAAGAAACTCGACCACTCTCCCGTAGCACCATTCGCTCCATACGTGAACGCGCCGCTGTCCCCCAGCCTGCGCTCAGCGGAGACCATCGCGTCGAACAGCCATGCAGTCTCGATGAAGGACGACCGAATTTGGGGGTTCGCCGCGCCCAGCAGGTCGAGCAGGATGAGGTGCTCGATGGTTTCCAGCTCGGTCGTAGCCGCTGGAAGGAGCCTTCGCTTGGCGTGGGGCGCGATGTAGGTATTTGCCCATTTGTGTGCTAGATGCCTGAGCCTGTGAATACTGTATGTCATTCGGGCATGAGACATGGATACCTTGCACCGTAAATGGAGTCGGTCGCAGTCCAGTCTTTGAAAGCCTCCTCGCCGTCAAAGAAGATCAGCTGCAACGTAGTCTCGGCTACGTCCTCGTCGTTTTCCTCGCCGTCCTCTAACCTCCGCGAACGTTCGTTGAGCAAGGGGTCCAGCGTTTCAGCAAGATCCAGCATGAAAGCGCACGGAGCTGCGGAGTCCGTCGCACCTACAAACTACTGCCCTCTCGTCATCAAACGCCTCCGCGTATTGCAAAGGTACGAAACTTTGACGTACTTGGCTTTGCGGGTAGGTGGGCAAGAACTTGCTGTCGAAGTGGGCTGACAGTACCACCCTTCTGGGAGCGGAAGGGTCCTTTGTCGCAATGACATTCGTGAAGTGTTTCACACCGTATGGAGTCGTGTCATTGAATGTGTCCTCCTCGACATGCCAGTTCAGCTTCCTCAGGGTGGACATAATATAGTCTTTGACGATAACGTTGTTCTCAGTGTCCGGAGGACGTGGAATCAATATTCTCGAGAGATGGGAATTCGGGTCTGAAGGGTTGATGTTTCGGACTGGGTCTGGGGAGGAGACCAGGGAAGAAATAGCATCCTCGGACAACTGAGCAAAATCGCGCTGGCCAAGTCTATACGCTTGTCCATATGGAAGAATGGTCTCAAGATCAAGGACAAACACACAGAACAAGAGACAAGTAAGACTCGACCACCGAGCAATGGTGGTGAGCATTGCTGCGCCAAGAGTCATCGGACAGAAACAAAAATTACGGGGTTTACAAAAATGTAACAACGGTGTACAAAGCTTACGTTCTTATTCAAGTACAAGGTTACAAACGCTATAAGTCCATTGACAAGCTGGCTTAGCAATACCTAGTACTCGGCGTAGTAGTCAGTGTCAAACGCGACGTTGCGCAGGCCGCCAAGTGCATCGTTACCACCGGCAGGCCCTTGAGCGGGCAGACCATCCGGCAGCTGCTCGAGGATGTTGCAAATCACACTGAGTGCGATTAACCCAAAACTATTTGCCGCAAAGAGCGACTTGTTCCGCACGCTGAAGTCCCAAGCTAGCCAGGCCTGCGAAAGGCCATAGACCAGCTCTCCAGTGGTTGGCACCTCAGTTGATGTCTGCTTGAAAAGCTTCGCACGGACGTCACGGGCGAGCATGCTTGAATGCAAGCGCATGCGATACGTCCGGTCCTGCCTCCAACGATGCTGCGAACACTTCGCCAAAATCGTGCCCACCACAATTTCCTCCTCCGTGAGCCGCACTTCAGGAGCATCCGAGAGCGCATGGGTCATGCAGATGTAGCGTAGTTCGTCCCTGTATTTGTGGAATAGATCAAATATATCGGCTACGTCCTTGTCTTCGTTGTGGAAGCGATGGAGCTGGCGCTCAATATAGGGTTTCAAAGCTTTGGAAATTGAATCTGACAATGGTCGGGGGCGATGACCATCACTCGCTGCATTCTCCCCAGTTGGTGCGACCGAGGGCGGCGTGATTGTAATGCGCCGGTACATCTCGCCAAGAGCGCGAGTTGATTCGTAGTAGTCAGTTGAGCGAGGATCAGCCACTTCGGCCTGGCAAGGAAAGAAATGAGAGATGAACGTAGACGAACGCAGTGAGTAGCTAAACCTGGTGCCAGTCGGGTTTATATGGAATGAGGAATCTTGGGGAATCATGTATGTCTACGGCCTTGCCGTTCTTGGGATAATCCACTGCTTGGCTACATAACTGGGCAAGTTCAAGACAGCTCTTGTCCATCGTGCCGTTCTATACAGCATCGCATCAGCTTTGATGTTTGCTGTAAGAGGAGTAGTCTACCTTCGATTGGTCTTATGTCGGGATGAAGAGCTGATATCATCATGTTGTTCAGTTGAGTCAAGCCAGAAGAGAACTTACCTGCAATAATGAGGTGGCGGGTCGATAACAGACCCTGTACGAATATGAGTAAATGGAGAAAAACAGGAACGCGATTTCCTCACTAAGACATCGGAATTGATATACTCGACGATAAAGTCACAGATGTCCTCAATCGTACTGTCTCGGTCCAATTCACTGGTGCCTGCAGATTGGTATGAAGCGGGCTCGATTTGCTCGGTGACCAGGAGGGGTCCATATTTGATAAGGGTATACTCATCCCTAGGCATGGCAAGCGTCACTTGGCGGCTGAGGTTGCAATGAAAAGTCTTACCCGTCCAAGTCACCTCCACCAAGACATGAAGCTAAAGAGCGAACCCCTATGGGATGTCCTCAACAAGCATTATTACATATAGCATCCGCAGGTACCCACCGACAGAGGGCAACACTACAACGTTCCTTAAGTTTCGGAAGGAACATAGTTGATCCGGTGGTGGAGCGCCGATGGCTCGAACTCTCTGTACTGAAGCGTTGAAGGCATGTTAAGGCAGGATGATCAACAATGATGTATCGCTTACTATCGCCTGGATGGACTACCGGACTCCTCGTGATCATCACAGGACCTTTCAGATAGTTGGGCTCTGGGTCATCCGGCCCTTGAATGCAGGCTGCAGAACATGATTCATATAGTCTCTAACTGACCCAAATATGAGCTTGGACGTACCGAAAATCTCCCCTTCTCCCAACATGAAAACGTTCTCGCGTCCGTCCGCCTCGTACGCTGGACCTTCATCTGCCACTCCCACCAACAAGTAACTTTCTGGCAAGGGAACTCGGGCGGCGTGCTTCATGCCTCGCAGCACATGGTTCTTGGCATAATGAATCAGTCTCTCAATGAAGGGATCATCTAGGACCTGGACGTCCTTCTCATGTTCTAAACCCATGCCAATAGCCTTCAAGCATTGCAGAATAAAGGAGAGCCTGTAGCCCGGTCCTAACGACTGTGCTTTCAAGAGAGCGATACACCGTGTTAGGGAATCGCTCGCAGTGTACACCTCCGCTTTTGCTTTCTCTAGCAGGTCTACGAATGCAGATTTCTCAACGCCGCGATCTTCCATGATCATTACGAGCGGACTGAGTGGAATGCAGTAATGTCAAAAGGTGCACAGTTTATATCACACAGAAATCTCACCGGTTCAGAAACGAAGGTCGTGGACGGTCAAAGGCTTGTGCAATCTCGATCATAGCAGATTTTTCGTCCGATTCGAACTTTTTCATGGATGGTCTGAGGCACATCTTGACACCTTCTAAGAGCTCGTCGATGACTACCATGCCTTTAAATCCTGTTGAAGAGCGTGAACTACATGTCTGCTACTGATAGAAAGAAATTCTAACCTAAGAATCGAATTTGATACTAGAGGATACTACGGTTAATTGACACGTGAATGATGAAGTGTGGACATACAGCTGACGGCTTGATGGTTCGCCTCTGAGATTCCGATCTGTCAGCACAAAGTGCATCCCAAATCATATCACCGAGCTGTGGAGATATGGTGCCGACACCATCGGTGAATTCATATGATTTTGGGCCTATATCCGGCATTACTTTCCATTGGTCTCTGGAAATCTTGACGGACGGATCGGTGGCAGTGAATGCCTGAGCAATTCGAGCTGCATACTTTGACGGAGCTTTTATGATCTCCTTGAAATCACCGAGACCGTCTCTTATCTTCTGCGAGGTAACCCAGCCTTCAGTTGGATGCTGAAAGGGGTTCATGAACCACACTGCATGTTCGCGTAAAGCGGATTGTGAATACGCTAGGAATTCGAAGTGCCGTCCGCCTAGCTCGAATCCATTCTTGAGAACGCCACCGACACGATCTCTGAGCAAGGATGTTCCATCGACCTGAAGAAGGCCATCAGCCAAGTGGCTTTACTGAGATGCAGTGAGAACTGCTTACTTCACGCGCCCAACGATACTGGAGGCGATCTTCATCTCTGAAGTCCACCCTCACAAAATGTTCTTGGTGATCTGCATAGAGGCGAATTACACGATTAGATTGGATCACGTACGGACCCTCGAGAACAATTCTTGTAGGCGTGAAGGTTATATGGTGGCAAGAGAACATTCCCTTAGGCAAAGGAATCGGCGACAGATCCGTGCTAGAAGCAAGGATACGCTCGAAGCATTCTACAGGACTCTCCCGGGGATCCCGAGAGCGCAATGCCTCTGTGAAATTCCGAAGGACGTCGGGAGCAACATCGCAACGCTGTCTATAAAGCTTGTTGATCGGTTCATACAGACGGCTGAGAATATCTTCGGTATTCAACAATCCGTTTCGTAGCAAAGCTTCGATCTGAAATGCGAGGGGCCAGTCAAACCCCTGCAGCCACATACGAACACTGTAAAGCTTCTTCGGCGTATAGAAACCCTCCTTGCTTGAGTCAATTTTGGCGAATATAGGCCGCTGAAGACCCGCGATGGTGCAGAGAGTGGCGAACTCTTTCATGTCTCGCTCATCGTGCAGAATGACCCGCATTTGATGACAGTAAGGAGCGACGCCTGCATGAGTTGCGTTGATGCTGTCGAGCCTTTGACGAAATTTCCGCCCGTCCACCCAATCTTTTCCCGTCAACTCCCTATTGAATCGTTGCTTCTCGAGCATCGGAGGAACGATTATGTCAAAGCAGACAACTGTAAAGTCGTTAACACGTGCAACTGGCGAGGCCATCTTTGAGCTAGCTTACACGGGTGACCAAAGTCAAAGCCAATTGCCATTCTTCGTATATTCGAGAAGTTGATCGCAATGTTATGAGCGATTTCCTCCGTCATGGTGTTCCCCAGCTAATTTAGGCACTCCGTTGACAGTGTGTGCTTAGTGCGAGAGAGGAAGATGCTTACTGTTATTCGGATTAGCTTGTGGTCATATTCGAACGAGAGTGAACCCGCTGATTTGTTCTCGTGACTTAACTCGAACTCCTCGGAGAATGCACGAGAGGCATTATCCGGACTGCCCTTTCGACGGTAGAAAACTCCAAATTGGACTTTACTGACATAGATTCCCACATTTAACTTGCGCAAAATGTCCTCTCGCTCCTCCTCTATCTCTGGAGGGAGGTATGGTGTCTTGTCAAGCACGTGCGCTATGCCATAGGCTGGTTTGTTCCTGCTCTTGAAGAAGCGCAACTTGTGGTCTTTGATATGTACAGTGTTCCCCTGGCCGTGCAGCCACCTCAGAAATTTATCACCTATCTTACGAGAAGGTAGGACGAGTAAACCCGAGCCGTTGTTATTGATGCCATGACGCCCGGGGTTCAGGGTAACTTTGAAGTTCCTGACGCCACATATCACATAGATGCGAAAGATGACTAGTTCTGAAGCACTCACACTGGACGATCCTTTGGATCAGAAGGATTGAAGAACTCCTCCCCATGGAGAACTTCTCCGATTGCTCGTTTAACGTCCCAGACATTGGCGTCGAATGCGACGTCGGCCAGCTCCAACTCCATTACACTCGAGAAGGCTAGTAGACAAAATAGTCAAGGTAATGGTGGTCGGAGGGGAGTAGGAGAGAGTTGCCGTGAGGATATGGTGAGAAGACTAGTGAGGGAGTGGCTAAGAAGAGCGCCTCATGTTTGCCAAGTTGGGGCACAGGACAATCGCGACACGATCACGTGGTCAAAATGACGCTCACGGCCAACACATTTTGTACACTTTCTTACGCGCATTAGATGAGGACGATAATATAGAAAGCCTCGGAAATAAAGAAATAGCAAATAGTTTATCGGGAATATTCACTTGTACGGGATACCTGTGCAGTCTTCAGTCGAGCAGTTCATTCATTCATCTTACAAATATGACGTACCGTTCTGGAGCTGAAGCCGAGCGATATCTATCAGCACGAGAAAGCCGTGGATATTAGACAATGCTCACTCTCTGGAATTCATCGTAGGCTGTGCTCCTGATATTCTCATGGGCATTCCGCACTACGGAGACCATCCATTCGGCGGCCTGACGCTCGCTAAGGCCAAGGGCAAACCGATCCTTGAGTCTCTTGATCGTTGGCTCGCCTTTGAATGATGGCAAGCTAGTATCGAGCATCAGTTGCACAGTGCCAACCAACTGCTCCGCGTGTGGCCGGATCGCAAGGAATGCTTTAACAGTTAGCTGCTGGAAGAGCTGATAGCCTTGTGAGTAGCGACCACCCATCAAAACTACCATCTCATGGGTCAGCTTAAAAGAATTGGGCTCAAATTTGACACCCTGTCACTACGGTGAGGTTCAGTTACAGATGGGAAACGAGACAAGACTCACTCCTGGACGTAATTACAACGGAAAGGGAATTCAGCTTTACGATCACGGGAGGAGAACAGAATGCTTATCTATGTCGAACAGGAACCCAAAGTCTAGGAGCCAGTATAGGTTAGTCACAAGAAAGTAGATGAAAATTTGTATCCATACCAATGTGGATAATGTGACCCTCTCCATCAATCATGATGTTGCCGTTATGGCGATCCTTCACCTGTAGAATATAACACACAACGGAATATGCGGCCATCGATTGAATGAAGTTCAAGCGAGCTTTCTGGAACTCGACTGTGTCTTCTCCGCCGTATTTGGCGATGAAGAAATCTAGAAGGTCGTTTACTTTTGCTCGCCCCATCTCATCTCGAGACGTTGCGTTAGGCACCACATCGATGACACCGCACTGGATCTAAACATTAGCTCAGAGCTTGGACACGCATCCTATCAGCACATACCCCAGGTGCTGTCGCAGTGACCCGGTACGGATAGAGATACAACGTTAAGCCGACACTGTGGAAGACGTTCTTGAACATCGCAATAACCTGAAGGGCCAGAACATCCTGACGACAATCGTCGCCGACCTTGAAGATCGCCTGTTGCCAAACTTCGTATTCCCTTAAGTTCTCAGTTTCTTGCTCTTCCAGTAAATTATCGGGATCAGCGTCAATAACCGCCTTTGTCTTCCGCACTTTGAACGTGGCCATAAAAGGTGCCTACGAGGAGCGGAGAAGTTCAGCACGAAGTATTCGAGATAGACAACAGGCAAACCTTGGCATGACTCTGCAATGGACGCCCTGACTTCTTGTCGATATCGACGACTACACCGTCAGGATTACTAGGCAAATACACTCCAACTTCGACGCGGATCTTGGCCATTTCTTCATCAATTTTAGCCTTGTGACATGATAGATTGAAACCATGATATGCGAGACAAAATGAACGACCGACCTTCTTCTCTGGCTTTGTTCTCTTGATGAACGGCTTGAGTTTGCCTGAAATCGATGTCACTTCACGGAAGAACCCGAATTCACGATCGTAGAATTCTCTTGCTTCGCCAGACAGGGAAGCCACGACTGAATCTGTCATCTGATCTAGGATGGGTTTCACCGGATCTTCCTGCGATATCAATGAGGCTACAGACATGCTTGGATTCTTTTCTGGAAGCGTACGATTTCCCCAGCATCATCCTTGTAACAATTGGCCTTCATGTTCCAAATAATCTGATGACAGAAGAGCTGGGATATCTTGGCAGTCTCGAAAATAAAGCGTGCAACATAACCTGCTCATACTTAATTTGGCCATCGTCTACTGTAGCCTGAATATACGCACCGAGAGTATCGTAACGAAGAGCTTGAACAATTTGAGGGACGAAGAAGAATGTCACTTCAACCGGATGTTGTTCAAGGACTCGGTGAGCATATTGCAAGAGCAGAGGCTCGTTGCTATAGCGTCGTTCGAAGTAACTGATGGCCAAGACGGAAGGAACAGCAGCCCATAGTAGGATATACTGTAGATGATCAGACACGACGCTGTACTGAAATACTACGGGGGACATACTTTCAGATCCCGCCGAACGCTTCTATCCAATCTCTCTCCGACGAGGAAACTTAGCGCCTCCGGAACATCGAGCACATCAAGAGTGCTTGAGCGGACCAGCTTAGCGACTTCACTGTGAATTGTGGAGTTGTTGAAACGTTCCGTCAAGAACACTGCTATGGCGGGATCAATCTCCCATGTTCTACGAACAGTGCTAATCCAGGAGCTCTGGAAACCAGTGAGCATCAGACCCAATGGGTCAGCAACTGTAACATACGTCAAGCATCGTTTTCTCGATGGCCGTAAGATAATCCGACCCTCTGTTCGGATCATTGATTGGATTCGCCCACACAGTCAATCTAGAGATCTCATTCTCAATCAATAACCGAAGAGGAAGGTTGAGATTTTTGAGAGATGCCATGTAGGCTGCAGCATGTTATGGTTGAGTATACCATTGTTCTGTGAGGCATGTCACCACGCACCAGCGTTCTGTGATGGAGACTGAGCAGGAGATAAGCTCGAAATGGTTTGGTAACCTCGAATGGAATCAGCCTGCAGGTACGAGAGAAATTCCGATAGCAGCTTAATATCGGCATCAATCTGTACGCGATTTGCGCCGTACGACCACCTGTGATGTGTGACCAGGCCGAACCCTGGACTGAATTAGCCAACTCACTGTGGACGCACGCTGAACCACGAATATGCGGCGCGGTAAAGGTTCAACCTCAATGCGTGTTCACAATATATATCCAAGTGGGAACTCTTCAGAGTCTCAAAGCCGAACAGTAAGAACGAGAAGATGGCTTCCCGTGCAAGAGGGTGGGTACTATACAATGTGTTAGGACGTGTTGATGCAGACAGAGTGCATACTCAACCTGAAACAACGGTGAGCGCGAGCGGATGCTAAGGCCATGCGCTGAATGAGCAGCATCAGGCCCGGTCGGCGATACCTTGCAGCTTGCATTCGACTAAAGAGAAGCTGTAAGATCAACACATGAGGCGTGAGCAATCGACGGGCAGCAACCGCGCCATGATCGATGACGTCCTTGTCCGTTGGACTGTATTCGATGGCGTGAAGGAAGGGATCTCCATGGCTGAACCAAACAAAATCAATGCAACTTTCAAAACAAGCAAAACCACTCACTTCATACTCCGAGAGAACATGCCCTTTTCATGTTTTATCGAACCAGCCCATGCAGAGCATATTTCAGACATCAACGCAATCTCATCGTCGGGCTTTTCTGCGATCACCCACGACCAAGCCTCAATCCCGACAGTTATTGAGGAAGGTGTAAAGGCTTCAAATGGCAGGGCTACAAGGTAATGCAACAGATCATATTCGCGCTATGATTGACTGTCAGAGCGCATACAGGACTGCGAAAAACGAACAGAGCACCTTGTCCGCGAATATGAGAGCTGCAGCACACCGGAACAACAGACGTTTCAGATCTTGAACGGTGAGTGTTTTCTTCTTTTCTCTGATATCCTGCATCGCTTCTGTCATCCTGGATTTGAGCGCCTCGATCTCTTGGGCAGGTACATATTCGGACGAGAAATCATCCTTCTGAGAAGCTAAAACAGTGTCAGTCAGGAACACTGCAAACGGATCCTAAGACACCTACCGACAAAAGTACCAAAGCGGAATCCAGTTACTTCGCCTTTGAAATAACTCTTGGATGCCACTTGACTCGCCATGACTTTCGCACGGTCAGGCTTCCAAGCAGATAGTGTTGACAATGATGCTGTCCACGAGACAAATAAACAGAAAAAAGGCCACGTATAGCATTATGTACATACTAAGTTTGCGGTCTATAGGTCCAATTGCCTTGCCGAAATGAACAGCCATAGAAGCTCCGAGCTCTGAGGAGTCCGTCACAGACAACACTTGATTAACGGCAAGATATTTCTGGCATAAAACTATTACGTCAAACTTCAGCCCTCGTGACAATACAAAAGCACGTACCTGCAGTGTGGAATATAGCTCCATCGGGGCCCTACTCAGAGCTAATTCAAACCAAGTATTTGCATCCCGTTGCAAATGAGACAACATGTGGTCGCGCGCAGCGTAATTATCAGGCAACTGTAAAGTCAAGTCTGCTTTATCAGATCGGTAGAGGTAAACCGGGTTATCCTACATGCAAATAACATCAGTTTCAGCGCCGAGTCGAGATAACACAGAATTCACTTCATCAACAAACTGATTTTCAGAAGCTCGTCGTAGAAGCGTGAGGACCTCCAGCACAGCAATCACAAGGGCTGGATCACACATCAAGGAAGGGAATGAAGTGATCAACCGGTTAAGATACTTTGATGAGATATCCCGGGCCTCCTCGACACGATGCGTGCTACATACGAGCAATCCACGCAACTCTTGCGAAAGGGTTGGTGGCAAAGCTTGCTTTGCGGCTTGACCATTGAGATCAATTATACAACCTCGAATAACCTGAATCCTATTTCAATTCCGCGACTCGTGCAGTACATGAGACAACTCAACCTTTTCTGCTATCGCTTCCATGCAAGTATGAAGTCCGACGTTCTTGTTGAGACCGTTGTTGACGAAATACGCTATCAAGGACGAAGGAAATCCAGCAGCCGAACGCATGCTCTCCATGTCGTGCATACAAAGCAGGAATATGATCTGCCCTGGCAAGAGATAGCGAACCTCCCCGATGCGCTGAGGTATGTGTTTCGTAAGCAGCGCACGATGTTTCGCAACGACCTGATAGTATTACAGTGAACTTGCAGTACGTAATCAAGACGGTTGCACTCACAGTCTCTACGTATTCCTGGCGGATCACAGTGTTATACTCCAGATCACTGACAATGGTATCATGGGCCTCCTCCAGCACGATGGCAGGAGTCTTGACAGCGATGCGGGCCAACGCCGGCTGTTGCCAGTCCATAGCTATCTGCTCCTTGTTCCCAGGAGCTGTAAATTGGAAGAGGACACACAGGAACCACATGTTGCGGAACAACGTCACGATGTTGGAGCGGGTGTCGGGGTCCAGCTTCATATCGCTATGGCTGAGAAGTGCATCTATGGGCAGAAGAAGGGACCCAAGTTGTTCAATCATGTCTTCCATCTGTGACTGAGTCAGATCGAAGATGCCTATACCAGTCGTAGAACGTTCACCTTGGCTTGATGGTTGGATATTGCGACGTTCTGGATGGCAACAGCCTTATCCGCAAAGAGCGTCAACAATTCTACAAGATACACTTCGTACAGCTCTGGCCGGTGATGCAGCTCTTGTGCAAGTCTTGTCTGGGCGGCTAGAACCTGCGGCGCCACTTCAGAGCTGCCCGAAATATATCCACGCAGTAACCATAAAGCGTACCATGTTGTTAGAGAATCTCGGATCATCCAGATTGGCAGAACGATTGATGGAAGAGAAAGCGCGTATGATATCGACGAAGGAACTCTCTGGCGCTATCAAAGCGAGATCCACGAGATTGTAGGCAATGGCAGCTTCGACAGTAGGCTCCGCTGTTCGCAATCGTTGCAGTAACATCGAAGTAGTCAAACGCGTGACCTACAACAAAACCGTTAGCAACAACATGCAAAGCACAGGACACGGCCCACCTCTTCAGACCGAAACTCGAGTGCCAATCTGGTTGCGACCGAGATGGTACTGATTCCGACGGTCCTCTTCTCATCCTCTGTCAAACCACGCAGCCCTGTCTCAACCGAATGCAAGGTAGCCAAGTCCGCAACCTCGCCCAGTGAACTGGTAATCGTGAGTGAGCTCTCATAGCTATCCTTGCTGGTTGCGGCGACGTAGTTCAAAAGGGAATACATGTGAGACATGACGAGGTCATCTCCAACAGCCAGCTGCATGAAAGCATATGAGTAATCGAAGATCACAGCCATCAGATTTACCAACGTCAATGCATAGAGCAAGACACTTCGCGGCTGCCACAAGGGGAGGAGGTGTACGCGTTCCCGTTACAAATTCGAATTCGAATATAGATAATGGGGACGTTACGAAACGACGAAGGTGGCTGGCCATGTCAAGAGCAACCTCTGGGAAGCTGAGCAAGACTGTATGAGATAGAGAACCTAAGCTGTGTGTGAATTAATCTAACTTGCGAACAAGGATTGCGGTTGACTTGAGCGCAGCTTCCTGCACCATGTTGTCGCAAACCTGAGACTCCGGACTGAGTAACAATTTCAGACGAGAGTAGAGACCCTTGTCCAGTTCTCCCAATGCGGATGAGCATACGGCAGCCAATTTCTGACATGTAGCTGTTAGTGAAGGCAAGATGGGCATCCGCGATCATTCATACCAAGCTTTCGGACATGGTCTCCCAAGCGTAACTGTCTTCCGAAGGATCAGACTCCATTTCTTCTATCTGCAAGATAAGATAAGTGAAGCATTGCGTCGCGTGTCCGAACGTGGTCTGCAGCATAATTCGGTACGTTCCCTCAGCCATCTTGGACTCCGTTATGGCACGTCGCGACAGAGTTTGCCAGGCTTTGTTCGCGGCAGCGGCTTCGACAGTGGCTGGATATACTGCGGCGTATGCAGCATCGTGGCAGACCAACGCCTGCGCGAGGATAGTCCACTGTGCCTCTATTACGCAGCACTGGATGAAGTAACCGCTCAGTGGTCTACCACGGGAGACATAACGAGAAACGAGGGTCTGGATGTAATGAATCTCCTCTGGGTCGTAGCCTTTTGCAGGTATTACGTCGACTAGCAGTCGGTTAAGACGGTCAACAACGTCCGTAGTAAAGAGGGAGTTCAGATGGCCAGACAAGATTGACCATTCGTCAGTTGTCCAGTCAAACGACATGGATATGATGGCTCTGTACAAGCCATGAAATGACGGTGCGTATTGTGTAAGCACATCCACAGCTTGTGACGTGATGTCAGCAATGTTGGCGTATGATTGCTCTTTAGGACTCACAGTCTCCTGTATTCAGCTTTGAGACAATGTTCATAACGAAGTTCTGCAGAGCCTGCATGACTACTTCGCGACGTGCAGGGTGGGAACTGGCGATGCGGAGAAGCGCAGAGACAACCGCAAACACCAATTGGTCAGGCAACGCCCATTCTGTGAAGAAGGGTGAGGACATGCTCCGAGCTATGCTAGATTTTCTTACCTTCCCAGGCGAGGCATTGGTCAAAGTCGACATATGGAACGTCTCGCAGAATATCGACCAACACAGGGATTGTTTCATTAACATGCGAGTTTGGTAGATTAACGGCGAGCTCAGCGAAGCCAACGTTGCACTGAATCCTCGAATTTGGCTGGTATTTCTCGAAGATCAGCGGAGGCGTATAACAGATACATGTAACGCACCATGAAGACCCTCTCTTCCCGGAGATTCTCAGGCACAGGTACCTCCTCCGATATAAGTCGAGTTTCAACCTTCGCGGCTACCAATGCTACGGTCGACTGGATATCTGAATTCTGGCTGTCATCCTTGGACTCTCCGATGTTTGCAGCCAGGTCAGAGAGGATGAGTTGCTGGATGTTGAGCTCCAAGCTAATATGACATCAGAGATGTATTTGTATATGTTCAATGACACTTGCCAATCCATATCAGCTGCGAAATGAGCTAGGTGGTGCCTGCTGGTGGTGCTGGTGGTGGTGAACAGATGCACTGACGCGGAACGCTCTACCGACGCGTTGGTAACGTGACGAGGGACATGCCATGCCTGCAATTTAACTGCAAATTCGCATGAAGGTCCAGCCTATATATTTCCCACCGGGGAGAGGCATGTAGCAGAGAAGCTCGAAGGAGAATCACCAGCCGGCAAACGCGTGTCAGATCTTAGAAACCGAGCAGCGCAACAATAACGAAGGAACTACTTATCATAGACATGTCCATCGCCGGGACAATGAACAGACAATGGATCCAACGTCAAATGCGGCTTCATTACGGTGCACATGATATCAAAACTATGGTACGGTGTATATAGCGAGCGTGTGTAGTAGCGAATTGATCGCAAGTACAATGTCCATCACAATCCCTGTATCTGCTGCCAGTGTGCAAGTGAAATATAATATAAGAACAGTCCGTACGCAGATACCAAATCTAAAAACTCATCGTTGTGAGCAAGTCGTGATCATGGGCGCGCTGTAACGAACGAACGACCGTCAGAATCGACTCAATCGGCTGAATGAGGAAACTCACCAAGTTGTTCCTTGCGATAGAACCAGAAGTAACCAATTACGATGACAATCTGGCAAATGAGAGCTATCCAGAAAGGAGCAGATGCCATCGGACTCCCTGGATAAAGGATTAGCGATGTGAACACACTAGAGAGTTTAGCTTTTTTTGTCCCTTACCTTTGAGTCCGCTGGAGATATCCCAGGAAGCAAGATCAGGGAAAACGCTCGAGGGACCTATCTTGTCTGGGGCTGTTGCTCGTGCGACCATCACACTGATAGATCCAATGATTTGTGCGAATGCTAGTGTCGCGCAAACGTGCAACCTAGAAAGTGTCTGCATTAAATAGTAAGCGGTGATTTCCATCTCATTCAACGGGAAAGGAGCCCACCTGAAGGAGGATCATGCCAAGGCCAACACCCTGGACGGCATCCAAAACACCCAACCATAGCCAGAGGGAGATACCAAGGTATGGGCCTGCGTGTCCAGCCCATGGAATGTACAGAGCGAGCGATGACGTGCCCCACAACATCTGAGAATAACGTCAACAGGCGACGGAAACAAACAGACCGACACGAACCTGACACCATCTTGGCGCCCCCAGTCCCACTGCGAAGACAGGCAGAAGCCACGTATGAGTCATGCTCATGCGCGTGAGACCGAACATCATCAGCGCCCAGACACCGATGAAGAACCCGATAATGAGAAGCAGAATCTGCCACTTCGGAATAGGAACACTCCAGAGGAAAGTCCAGTTACGACCATAGGGCTAGAATGCTGTTAGATTGTAAATAAAACGACAAGCGACCAGTAGACTCACTCCACTCAACCAATAGTCGCGCAAAATCTCTGAGCCAAGGAACCTGCGGCAACATTCACTTCCAGAACCGAAGGACTGTAATAATATAGTTACGCACCATAGAACAAGTTTTCGGCGGAAAAGGGTTTTGAGGAAGTTGGGTACCTTTGGGGGAGTCTGGCGGTAATAATCTATGTGATGGTCAGAGACTGAACACGAGAACGTCAACAGAGTTATTTCACCTGGCAAGCCGTAAAGCATAAGGTACGAGAACACGAGACTCATCACTGAGAGTGGCCAAACGATAAGAACAATCCACCATGGCATGATACTGCCTGCTGTTGCGTTGTCCAACTCATAACCCCAATACCACAGAGCAGCCACCCAGATCTGCTGCGATCCTTGTACAATACACGCTCTCATGGTCCAGACCTCGGTCGCCGCACCCTGGAGTAAAACACAGTCAGTAGACGATATTGAAGCGAGAAAACAATAACACATACAGCTTCCTCTCCGAAGTTAAGACCAAAGAAGATAAAGGAAGCCGCAGATGCTATAGCGTAACACCACGTAGCTGCACTCGCCATGGCATAGTGGGTCCTGTGAAGTGCGGGAGCAACTGCTGGCAGGCCGATGAAGAAGAAGGCTAGACCAAAAAAGAGCCAAGGAAATGAAAGGACATAGACCGAAGGCTTCAGGCGGAACAATGGGTACCAGACCGCAGATGCAGCCAGGAAGACACCACCAAGCACATACAGTTGTAGATTAGACTGATAGTTCTGTCCAGAGAGTAGGGTGATTTGGAAACTCGTTGCGCTCAACATCTAATGCCGTGAGATCAGCTACCGCAAGCCAACAGTCGCAGAGAAGACCTACCTGTCCGAGGCCAATAACAATAGCGTACAATGGCCAGCCGAAGAGTTCCCTTGACATTGCAATTTGCAATCTCGTCATGATCACGACGTCGTTGCCGTTTGGTAAGGGGCCGCTGTAGTCGCCGAATTCTTGAGAACCGCCGTCTGGAGCGAAAGAGTGCATGCTAGGAGCTGATGAACAAGTTAACAGACCTAGAGACAGAACCAGCCAACTGCACTCACACGAGGGTCGAGATTGGTCAAATGTAGACGGAGCAGGTGTCCCCCACACTGAATCTCTTTTCGATGATCGGATACTCGCCGCCATAGAAAGTCGATCGCGCTTAACTTTGTCGAAGAACGCCTCCTCACTCTTTGTCAAGAACTTCTCGATAGACAGCTCCCCCTTGGAGTTGTGTGAGTTGAGCATCTGTAATTTCTGGACAAATTCTTGTGCAACTCCTCCATCCGCATCAGTGAACTAAAATGAAATAACGGTATAAGCTGCACATCCACCGTAGGAGTCGTTACTACAAACCGATGCAATGGCCTTATTCAAAGGCGAGTTCTGCTTCTCATCCACGATCGAAGCAATGGACTCAACGGAAGAGACTCGGGAGTGAGCACCGAATGGCCGCGAGGGTGCAGTAGCATCTAAGAATGGATCCGGGACGTGCTTTTGGTCGCGCGCAATTGTCTTGTTGGCTCTCTCGAGGAAGTTGCCGAAGTCTTGTGGAGTGTTGTCTGCGCTAGTGCCCGAATGAGAGAAGTAGTCACTGTCGTTGTCCGAGATGTCGGTGCTGAACGATCCTCTACGCCCATCAGGAAGGAGCCGCGGCGGTGCAGCAAGATGGCTATCTGGGCCTGGCGTTAATGTCTCCTGACTCCAAGCACCCGGTGATCCTGGAGGGCCGCCATTCCTAGGACTTTCGTTGAGACTGCGACTTTCCCAATCTGGCTGAGACGGGTACGCCTGGTCCACGGGATTCCAGTCATCCATTTCGGGAATGGGACGATTTTGACCCCCGTCGCAGTCTGAAGCACGGAAGGCGTTCTCACCGGCCAGACCACGACTAAGATTGATACTACGCTTGTGGAAGTCCTCCATGCGCTGGCGCCACTCCACGACAGGGAAACGTTGAACGGCAGAGCGAGCGCGGAGCATTGCTCGCTCTTCCTCTGACGACTTCAATGCCATCTTGATCGTCTTCGTAAGCTGGGACATCATATGTTCCGTCGACGTCGACTCGACGGGGAACCACTGAGTAGTACAGTTTAGAAGGGAGGGCCCACTGAACAACGGAGAACACACGTACCCAACCGGGCATCAATCCAAGACCTCCGAGACGACTACCAACACCGAGAGCACCCTTTCTACCGAATTCAACAGCTACAAGACCAAATGGTTCATCACGAGACGGAATCAACGCGAAGTCTGCGCCGCTGAAAAGGTACGGTGGAAGAGCTGTGAATTCCGGCTTCGAGAAGACGCGATCAGGGTAGAGCTCCATCAATCGCGCCAACTTCTCAGCAGCAAAACGACCATACAAATCGATGACAGGACCGACAGTGATGAGCTGAATCGAAGGACGTTTCTCGAGCCTGAATGTTACAAAGTCAATGAGAAGACATTAGGAGTGAACGGTTCGACGTACAGCGACGGCATAACATCTGCAATCAGATCTACACCCTTTTGTTTCGACCAACGACCGACGAACACGAATAGGTCGGCATTGGGATCCTGCTTGATACCAGCCCATTCTTGCGCTTGGCGCTTGTGTTCAGGTCTCTCTGCTTCCGCAGCTTGATCAATCTTGATGTCGCGAACTTCAATCGGGTTCTCATCGAGAGCTGCGATATCAGTAGGATCAGGGTTGGGCAAGGAGTCGACGTGTTTGAGAGTCCACAACGCGGGATAACGCGCCCAACTACGTTTACCGTACTTGTCGGAGACACCAGCAACACCAATACTCTTCTGGTGAACGCTAATAAAGGAAGCGGCAGCGTGAAGCAAATTGAACGTATTTCCGAACTGAACGTATTTGGTGCAGTGCTCTTTGCTGATATTGAACGCGGAACACACTTCCTTCATTTCTTCCTTCGTGCGGAGTGGCCACAGACCCTGAAATTCAGCATTGTGCAGAGACAGACAAATTGGCAGGACCTTCGGCAAGAGGTAGATAGGGGCAAGGGCACCATGATAGTCGTTAATGTGGTATATGTCGATGAGCGGGTTTCGGCGGACTGTCGCAGCGATCGCCTGGTTCCAGGTAGAGTAGAAGATGGCAGAGCTGAGATCATCCATGCGAGCTGGGTATGGATCGGCCTTCGTCTGGGCACGGAAAACTGGGCTGTCGAGGATGACATAGGTGATGTTGTCCAACACGTGGGTCTCGACTTCAATCAAATACGGTTCGCCGAAGATGATGACTTCTATGGGATCTGCAGGTTCACCAGGAGGGTACTCGAGATCCTTGACCTTCGGGACCACCCAGACGAGATCGACGTCGGTCATGGCCTTGCCCATAAGACTTGACATGACACCAAGACCGCCAATCTTCACCTTCAGCTTCCAGTCGATGATTTCGTACTCAAGGGTGGCAATCAAGACTTTACGGCGCTTATTCTTGTCTTCCGGCCATCCAATAATGTCTGCGTTGTGTTTGTGCCCGAACATCTTCTCCGAGAGTGGCGTGGAATCCTGTAAATTCGACTTCGACTTGTTCCCGAGGCTGCCTAGGATGGGGAAGTAGCTGCTATGATCCTTCTGAGGCTTCACACCCCACTGGTTGTACCGAATGCCGTAGAAAGACCACATAAAGATAACGACCGCGAGCGAACCGGTGATGAATGGGATCGACAAGAGGAGGGCGAACATGATAGCACCAATGGCAGACTCGCCGACCGGTACCAACCACCACTGCAAAGAGGAATCATCGATAACCAGATTCCATGCAAGATGGGGATGCGGTGGAGCAGACAAGTTCAAGTAGTTCGGCGCGAGCGTGTTGGGGGGTAGGCGATCCATCACACCGTCACCGTCGACATCTCCATAGTAGTAGTTATCAAAGCTGAAGACGTTGAGTTGAACATACGATGGCCAAGTGTCCATGATTTCGAGCTCCCACTGGCCTTGAGAATTCTGGGTCATCTCGAAGGGGAGACCTTTATCCAAGCCCCACTGGTTGAATGGTCCGCGAACCAGGAACTGAGGGTACCGACGAGGAGTGTTGAAATTGTAGTCGGAGTGAACGACACTGCTTGATGACATCGCCGCTTGGCTCCAATCTTCCGCAACCGTCAGTTTATACTATCAGAAAAAGCCGTACGATACTCACATTGCACCATGATATGCTTTCCACTCCAGAACATATTGGTGCCGTCGAAGAACGAGGTGTTGACCAGGGTAGAGTCTTCCCATGGTTGCCAGTCCGTCCAGTTCTGACCGAAGTTCCAAGAGTAACGGAAGGTGTCTGCGCCATAGGCCTTGTGGGTGAAGTTGTACTGACCGCCTGAGTACGTCAATGCGCCGCTGTCATAGTCGGAATCCGGGAAGACAACAGCGTTGTTTGCCTGACCCTTACGAAGTAATAGATGGTCTATAGACTGATAAAAGTCTTCCCGTCAGTCAACAAAGGGTGACCATAAGACACGAAACGCACTCCAGTGGATGCGGTACCATCTTGCGACGTCGGGTTGTTGACAGTAATGGTGAGAATACCGTCAGGGAAATTCACCAACGTAGCAGACCACGCCCATGCAGACGTGGAGACTCCAGAAACCTGAGCTGGTACGGGCTCAGATACCGCAGCACAGGTGATCGAAGACTGTTGAATCGTCGGTGCTGATCCATGTCCCGAAGACGACATTGCAAAGGAAAGCGAATTGGTGACACTGTCACAATTCATTTGAACGCTAAATTCCAGCGAGATATTAACCGCGTTTGCATTGCTGTCACCGCTCACTGAAGTAATACGTGCGTCGTGGCCTGGCAAGAACCGTGTGAGAGCAGGCAGAGGGGCGACCCAGTTCTCGAGCGGAACGAGAGCTTTGAAACCGAAGGGCTCCATGGTCACATTTCCCAAGCAACCGAACCAAGGGGCTTGACTGTTGTTGTAGTACGCTGATTCAGACTGTTCGAGAGCATACTCCTCGTATGGGGCAAACAGGTTTCTGACGGTCACAGTCGACACGTAGGGAGCAGAGATCCACAGTTTAGAAGAACAAGGGTACTCCCAAGTCTGCGTCGTGTTCTCGTTCGAGTACAGCATCCAAACCTCAATGCTGTTGTTACCGGACAAAGTTTGAGCACCGGTCATTTCTGAGCGAGAGACCGACCAGAGACCCATCTCCGTGGCAGTATCGTTAGAACCCGGACGCTGAATGTAAGAAGTCCAATTGCCTTGCTGCACGAGATTCCAACCGTCTTGGAGAGCGGGGTAGACCGATCGCAGATACATGAATTGCGCGAAAAGACGACGAGAATCCGATGTGGGATCGAAATGGTCCAACGAGTTCCAATCATCCTCACAACCAAGGAGCGATCTGCCCCACGGAGCATTGAAATACTGCTGAGAACCGAGCGTGTAGCATCCGTGGCGCTGCCATGCCTTGTTGCTCATCATGGCCTGACGACTGCAAAAACAATTTCAGAAACTCGTCGAGAGAACAGAAAAAGGGCCTACCCATAGAGGTAATTGTTAGCCGTGGTATCGAAGACGTAGAAATTCTGCTCCTCTCCGTAGTAAAACTAGAATATCAATGTCAAAGTCCGCTTCACGGAATCGTATCGGTTTTACACGCACTAGTGGAATACCCGGCATCACAAGCGAAGTGATGAATGTAGCTATGACGCTCCGAGCTGTTCCGTTCTCCAAACTCGGCCAACGGAACACATCAAAGTTGCTGGTGCCAAACATATGTCTCGGATCCGTCTTCCCCGTATTTGCGTTGATCATGTCATTGTCGACGAACATCTCGTGCCACGCCGTGATGAAATTGCTACTGATATCGTACGCGACTTCCAAGTTACCGTCCATGCCGAGGAAGCGAGTCAGCGCTCGGTATGTTGAGTAGTGGAAGGCGACACCGTCCAGACCGATGTCAGTGGTACGGAGGAAGTACTGATTGTCTGCGTAGGTCACGTTTGGCACTGCCGAATAACCGGGTGGAAGTTGACCAGGCGTACGACCACGACCACTGAATAATGTCAGACGGGGTAAAACCTCGATACCAGTGAGTCACGTACTAATAGAGAGATCCAAACGTATCACCACCAGTAACTTCGCCAGTAATCAAGAAATTTTTCTTTCCAAGATTGGTAGCACATTTCCGAGTGGCGGCAGTCCACTCTGCCAACGCAGCAACCGTGATCTGCGTGGATTTGTCGATACGAATACCGTCGAAGTCAAGTGCGGTAATCGCGAGACAGGCGAAGGTTTCCAACTTCGCCAATACATCCGGCTTCCACTCCCTGAGACGATCCTGGACTGAAGAGAACTTCGACAACTGACGCTGCCAGTCAGGGTGGACACCGAAAGCCTCCATGTCACCATACTGATCGAACTCGGACTCGTAACAACCTCCATCCCAGTTGATGTCTTGTATTTGACCGTCGTCATTCCAGAAGACGGGCATTACACAGGAGTAGTTGTACGTGTTGTTGATCTATGGCAGATATCTTAAGTAGAGGTCCAATGGACCAAACCGAGTAAACGCACCGCGAAGTCCTTGTACTCATTGAAACCCCACGGTATGTACATGGGTTTCTTCCACTCCGATTGATACTCGTTGAGACTGAACGGAGCAGACGCGTTGATGAACCTGCAGGGAAGAAGGTCAGCACTAAAGTGACTAGAGGTATAGAGTAACATACCCTTCGAAACCGACCAGATCGCTCATGGTTCCGACGGTGAAGTCCATCATGACGTACATCCCACGATTGTGAACAGCGTCGATAGCCGACTGCCATTCAGTGATGTTGCCAAAGTGAGGATCCAGCACAGTGAAGTCGAGAGGTGAATAGCCTGATTAATATACGTCAGTGTGCAGAAATTAGTGAGGGCTTCGCTCCTACTCACTGTCCGCTTCCCATATCATGTTAATCCATGGTGTACCAGAAATATAGACGCCTCTGACACCCATTCCGTAGAGGTAGTCCAATTTTGACGTAAATCCCGCCAAGTCACCGCCAAATCGAAGCTGCGTCTCCCGCCAGTCCCACTCGTACATAGTACCAAAGTAATCATTGTTAGAAGGATCACCGTCCGCGAACTTGTCGAGCAGGACGGTATAGAATGGAACGGCGCGCCAGTTTTCTGGCGAAAGAGTGTAATTGGAACGGGTTGGATAGGAATAGTCGAGGACGGACTGGGCGTTTTGGTTGGTGTTGAGGTTGTAGGCCACAAGGTCAGACCTGTAAGGAGAAGCCCAAGCTAAATGGGCTAGGGATAAGAGAGACAGTGATGCTGCCCGCATCCACATGACGAGAGATCAGGAGGTGTCAGTCCGAGCCAGGTAAAGGGGATATAGAAATGCGGGTAAATGGTCCTAGTAAGCGTCTTTTGAGAGAAGGGGAGGGGGAAGGAGCGAAGGGAATGTATCTATATCCAGGGATTATGGGGGGGTGATGAGGACGAAGCCCGGTAGACGAGGAGGAGGAGGAGAAGGAGGAGGGATGTTGACAGGGAGCGTGCAGGTGCTGCAACCCAGGGGCAACCCAGGGCACATTTTGTTATCCCTTTTCCCGCACCGGAGAAGACGCCCCGATCACAATTATTTACTTCTTTTAGCTTTCAGGGATAAGTACCCTCCTAGTGCTGGCTATCGGAGCTTACATCCACGCCGCCCAACGTCTAACTACGAACCAGATATGATAGATGGACAATCTTCCTGCACACAACACACACGCACGTCTGAATCCAGAACGCAGAACAGGCAGCGCAGACAGTGATATAACCTAATTTGTAAAGCGTCAAAAAGGACGCCTCGGCAGGGACATGCATAAATGGTCGACCCTCCCACTCGGAGTCCTAGACAGAATTATTAGATCTGCGCATCAGTACTCAGTAGTCGTGCGAGTTGTTTCGGCGGCACGGCGAAGCTTGTCAAGCTAACTTAGGTTTCATCCAAGAGCTGTGAAAATTCCGAGGTGCAACAACCGATGCACAACGTTGATGCAAATGATTCAATAATGCCTGAACATAGACGAGGAATCTGCAGCTGACGGCTGTTCGTGGCTACGACAACACGCGTCTCACTCGCCATAGGTGTTGCGGTCGTGTCTTAAAGTGCGATTGTCATTCCTTTGAAGCAGTATTCTTGCTCTCCCGAGTATGGAAGAATGACAGGTGCGCGGAAGCGCGTCGAACCGCGAAAATATATAAAATGGCGACGTATCCAAACCTGATAATCAGAGCTCTCGAGGTGCTGCTGCACCTGCTGAGAAAAAAGTTGCTTTATCGAAGATTGATTGTCAGCAGAGTGACCAGCAGTCGCTATAGATACGACGAAAGGTGTACTGCAGATGCGACACTCACCCCGGTCCTCCTTGTATGTGAGCGCTCGTAGAGAACGCGTGTAATGGCCATGCACAATGAGACACACGCAACGTCGCACAGCACACAAATTGCTGGTGCACGACTGCCATAATGTACATGACAGTAGGAGATACGCTCGCCATCATTGCCCAATCGCAATTGCCTAGTGGGCGCAGGTGTTGACTGCTTGGAAATAGACAGAACGCTTATACCTGGCGAACAGCGAGCAGATATACTGGGTGCAAAGAGGCGGCCCATCCGAGAAACCACTGAAATCTCGAGTCCCGAAGCCTGAACGAGGATGCAACTTCAAGCCTGCATCAGTTACGGAGGAGAACGACTTCGAAGTCCCACGCATGCGCGCTGGACGCTGGATTGGCTCTCATTGTTGTTATCTCTTCTTTTCACTCCTTGTGCTGTCTTCAGCCCGTCTTCAACGATTTCCGGACGCGAGATTATTCCATTTTTCTTCTCTTGTGTTGCCGCAATTGTTTTCCCCTGCGAAATGACCGCATAGACTTTCGCCGACATCTCGAATTCTTACCACAAACCGCTCGCCCGCGACCGCATCTTCTTGCCTGAGAGCTGCCCCACTATTGGTAGACCGTTTGAAAAATCGCTTTCTGTTGATTTACGACATCCAGGATGACAGCCGTAATAGCGGCCAGTACCGCCCTTCAAGTACTTGACGACCCGTCTCAACCTACTTCTCAAACTCCTTCTCCTACATCACCCACACCGTCGTTGCAAAATGTATACCGCTCGACTGGCAATCCGAACGGCATCGCCTCATCTGCATACGCCTCATCGTCCCTATATCAAAATGTAACCCTAGACCTACCACCAGGCATGTCATATCCTGACTTCCTCCGTACCTGGACGGACGCACGTGTTGCTCGGTGGTTGACCGATATCAAGTGCGGACATCATGCTGCGACGTTCAAGGCAAACGATATCCGAGGTGATGTCCTTCTTGAGCTTGACCAGGTCACCCTGAAGGAAATGGGCATGACGAGTGTTGGGGACAGGCTGAGGATAGTCAACGCAGTCAAATTCCTCAGACAGAGGTGTTCTTCCACCAGTTCTCCCTTATCAGTATTCGTGAACCGCCCACGGTTTTCTGTTCCTGAGCATTCTCGCAGCCCGAGCGGAGATCTTCACAATTCTGCGGCGCGAGGCGTCAATCGGCGACTGGAGGGCAGTCGTCCGGCTCCATTGCACTTGACTCCTGCTGGTTCTCTGGACTTACCACGCGTAGTCCGTGACGGTCAAGATTCTGCCAAGTATATTCCCTCTATACGACCGTTGCCACAGCCCAGCTCAGGTTCGAGTCACGGCACACCGACCACCGCGCACAGTACCCGCTCCAATCTCCCGCCTCTTCCACCCCCTCCCCGTGGTCAACCGCCCTTGCCACCCACTAACGGCCGATTAACTCCCCGCTCGCTTCAGGCTCCTGCCAATCCGCTGTCTGGACGGCGCACCCCCGAATCGTCACCTTTATCATCTCACCCCGCTCCCCACGGACAGAACCTACTATCTCCTGCATCACAATCCTCAGGATCGAGTAGGCTGGGATTCAACTTATCTCCGGATACTCGTCAGGGGAACAGAACGCCTATCCGCACAACTTCTCCGCTTCCATTGCCTCCAATATCGTCCAATTCCCGCAATCTTGTCCGCCCCCCCAACGAGAGTGGTAGTCACAACAGGAATACTTCGTTGTCAAATCCTGCATCCAACCCTCCCGGCAAATCGCCCTCTCGTCCTCCTCAAGGCAATAGCCCTCATCCGTATGCATCCTCAAACCCACAGCACGGTCTATCGCCTATCGCAGAATCTTTCGCCACGCAGCGCTCCGGTTCGAATGCTCCTTCATACAAGGCTGGCATGAGTCCTTTGTTGCGCCCTGGCACACCTTCCTACAACACGCCTTCCTTGGATGACCTGAAGAGAAAGCTGGCCAAGTTCATCTTACCAGACGAAGGTCAATCCACCAGGATTAATACTGCAGATTGCACGGACGGTGTTGAGGTCCTTATGAGGGCCCTCAAGAAGCTCGGCAAGTTGAGCTCGAGACTAAGCCCAGATAGTGTGGAACATGTTGAGTTGGAACATGGGGCGTTGTGTGTGGATGGATGGGGGGCTTATCTTGATTATGGACAAGATGGTACCACGAGTAGGTTATTTCACCGGGATAAATGCATCCTACAACTCATTGACTTGTTGTGTCGTGCAGATGGTCCCTTGACGGCGGCACAGCTTCTCTCTATTTGCCAAGCTCCGGCAGATGACCCTGCTCGTGATTACGGACTTACTCTTCGTGTGATTGAAAGGCTACCGCGAAGAGGAGAAAGCCCGACGAGTCTGGTGTTCGCCAATCCTGATTTCGACCCAGATGAAGAGCTAATGGCGCCAGACATACCTGGAGCGCATACGCCCAGCACGAAGAACATGAAGCGCGCGAGTTCTGTTAGTATTCTGAGTGGGCTCGGTGTGCGGATACCGGAGAAGGCGTCGGACACTTCAGCATCCAATTCCCCTAGCCAGAGTCCTGTGAAAAGCGCGTCCGGGGGCAAGAAGGTGCCATCAAAGCTCCGCAACTTCTTTGGGCAGCGTCCTCCCAGCGAGCTCATCACAACACATTTGGCGGAGTACTTCCCGTTCACGGAGAAGAAAGTACTGGAACGTACAAGGAGACAGAGTATGATGCGCACCAGTGGTGCTCGCGCCCCTGATAGACGAGACAGCATCATTTCTTGGAACCCGCCGCCGTCTCGCTTCAGCGTCAGCACACTGGGCTCACAGCAGAATGCGTCCCCGAGGGTCTCCGTGTCCTCTGCATCTGTGCCGCTTCCTGACAAGCCGCCGCCTCCTGTACCCACAGTCGAACGACTGGGTCCTCCTCTTCGATTATCATTGTCCACAGATGAGGGTCATTCTCTCGAAATCACTGAGACAGACCAATCGGAGGCTTCGAAGCGAGTTTCAAGTCCCCATATCCTACCGCCTGTAGCATTCCCGTCTGAATCGCTGTCGGAATCTCTGAACCTTGGACCTAGTCTGCAAGGGACAGTGACCTTCCCGCGAACGCTATCGAACGCTTCAAAACGCATGAGCTACATCACTGAGCTGCGGAGCAAGCGGGATCGTTCTGATGCTGCGAGTCTTCTCACCGTGGACGAGATCACGGCGGAAGTAGAGAATCGAGAAATCAGCGAGAGCAAGAAGGACGTAGAGAGCTCGGAGGAGTGGACCAAAGTTGACGTGGAGGACGAGTACGACAAGCAGAGCATCAAGGAAGAGGATGAAGAGGATGACGATGTAGCTGGGGAAGAGGAGGAGAGCGAACTAGACGAAGACGATGCGGATGATGTAACTGTTGAAGTTGACGACGAGGGTGAGCCTGGCAAGGCGATTACATCACGTGGGAGTGAGTTCCTGTACTTTCAAGGCTTCGGTTACGACTCTAACTATGCTACAGGCGAGAGAACGATTAAATGGATCAAAGGCGCCCTCATTGGTGCGGGCTCGTTCGGAAAAGTTTACCTTGGAATGGATGCTGCCACAGGCCTCCTCATGGCGGTGAAGCAAGTTGAGTTGCCGACGGGATCCGCACCTAACGAAGAACGCAAGAAGAGTATGCTCAGTGCTCTAGAGCACGAGATTGAACTCTTGAAAGAATTTCACCACGAAAACATTGTCCAGTATCACTGTGAGTCTTTCCCTCTCCATATTTTCTAATTCTTAATTATGGCCTGTAGCTTCATGCATTGACGATGACCACCTCAATATCTTCTTGGAGTATGTGCCTGGCGGTTCCGTAACATCATTGTTACGCAATTACGGAGCCTTCGAGGAGCCTCTTGTGCGCAACTGGGTTAGGCAGATTCTCCTGGGACTCAACTATCTTCACGAACGGGATATCATTCATCGTGATATCAAGGGCGCCAATATGTTAGTTGACAACAAGGGCGGCGTCAAGATCTCAGACTTTGGCATCTCAAAGAAAGTTGAAGATAGTGAGTGTCATTACGACCTTATTCCCAGACTCTCACTGACTATTTTTTGTTCTTGTCAGATCTACTTCCTGGACATCGCGCCCATCGCCCTTCTCTCCAAGGATCAGTGTTTTGGATGGCTCCGGAAGTGGTGAAGCAGACCGCTTACACACAAAAGGCTGATATCTGGAGTGTGGGTTGCCTGGTCGTGGAGATGTTGACCGGAGAACATCCTTGGGCGCAGCTGACACAAATGCAAGCTATTTTCAAGGCGAGTTACCGTATCACCTGCGCACAAAGTATTCCCTCACTTATTTAACCTGAACAGATTGGTTCATCAGCAAAGCCTACTATTCCAGCCGATATTTCCGCCGAAGCTGAGAATTTCCTCCAACTCACGTTTGAGCTTAATCACAAGGCGAGACCAACCGCCGCAGAACTGCTCAAACACCCCTGGATTGTGAACCAGCCACTTCCGTTAGGTCACTAGCTCTGTCCTTGACTCTTGCTATGCATTTTGCGCTTTGCCATGAAATATACCAGGGAATTCATTTCGGGTTTTAATACTTCGCGCACGGACTTCATGCATCTCACTTCGTCGATTCGCAAGTAGCACAGATACAATATAGTTATTCATCACGTTGTGCCCGCTACGTGTCCCGACTAGTCATCCGCTTGATCCCGTTTCCTCTTTGTGCCCGAGCCAGCTTTTTTGCCAGGGCCCCAGTTTGGCAGAGGATTTTCTTGGTAACGCACAAGCTTCACGTGGGAAGCTTTAGATGTCATCCACTGTGGATGTTTCTTGAAGTTGGCTTCCGTTCTGCAGGAAGTCCAATGAGCATCGGCAAAGCTAATACTGGGTGTTACTCACTTTAATTCCCGGCTCAACAGGTGATGCGTCGGCGACGTCTGGGATATTTTCTCCATCTTTACCGGATGCGTTTTTATCCAGGAGCGGTACATATCATACAACTCGGCGCGTGTGGCTGTTGTTTTCAATGAGCCAGCAGCTGCATGCGAACGGGATATTTGGTGACCAGCATTCAGTAGGGCCGACCTGCGACAGTGTGAGCTTGAAGGCCGTCATCAGAGGTGAAGAGACACTCACGCCACGTCATCCAAAGAGGGGCATACACAGTGGAAAAATCCTGCAATCTTAGGCGGGGTGAAATAGAAAGGAATATCTAACTCCTACGAGCAAAAAATCAGACAAAGATAAGCATGCAAGACAAGGGAGTGCTCACTTCTTTCGCGACCGACAGCATACCCTTCATGCGAGTGGCAGTTCCATATTTGCCCTCAGACGCTTCCACATGCTGCAATACTCGTCCAACGAAGGCGGTGTCGTGTAAGGAACCTGACCACATTGGACCAGCGATCTGCAACAAAATTATCAGATAACACTGTATGTACCATCTCAGGCCACAATCTCACATGGAGGATAGAGTTACATTCGGGGCACTTATCGGCCGCTGTTGGTCCAGTATGGGCTTTGTACTGCAAGTTGATATTCCCACTGGCTTCATGGACTTGCTCAACTATCCGACCTAGGGGTTGGTTGTAGAAGGCCTGACAGCCACTACAAATGTAGTACATTGATGTCTTACTGTCAAGTATCGTGGTCAATGAAGTACTGATGAGCTAAGAGTGAAACCTGCCTGAACGCTTTTTTGACCTCGGTGGGGGAAGAGTTGATACGGACAAAAATGCGAACATAGAAATCGATCGAGAGCGACAACAGCGGTTGGATATAGCGTCCATATCTCGCTGCACTTGTCGATATCGTATTCAGGACCAGACGGAGGGCCTGACATAGGTCGTCAACAGATATCCAGTAGCTAACGCTCTCGCGCACTAACCGCTTCATGACAGTACTCCGCCCTGACAGATGTGCCACCATAGTTAGAGAAGCTATCCGAGGCTATGAGTAGCGTCCCTAGTAAGAGAGGGCGTAGGAATGCACCATTTCTCAGGATAGTTCAGCGTCGCCAATACGGCGAGATCTGTGCAAGTCACACAGAGTAACCCTAATGGGAGAGAACGTTATCGCAGAACCAATGCAAACACAGAAGTAAGTTACCTCCGTCGGTGACGCATTGAACAGCTGCGTCAATAAATGGTGCTGCTGTACCGTAGGGATCCAGGTCTACCACATCGACGCGTTCCTTCTCCGCATGATGATTGTACATCAAAACGCTTGAGATCGTAGTTCAGATTAACATCCCATCGAACGACGTTAAAGCGCACCATGCATCACCTTCATTGACTCTGACTTTTGGTGATTTTGCTGGACCTTGGCTACTTCCAGCTTCAGCGGATCCGGAGGACCCTTGGCCCGACCCTTCCTCTCCTCCGAGTCCATTGATCTCGATATTCCTCCTCATTGCTGCAACCGCAGTCGGGGAAAGGTCATTTGCTATGACATATCTGTCTCGACGGCTGTTAAGGCGAAGATGTCGAATAACGACGATGCGCACGAACTTTACCAAGGGGATCTCCTTAGCATACCGGATGGAACGCAACCCAGTCGCAGACAGTGCTTCGAGGATGACAGATTTATACGGTCGATACTAGTTTTGAACTGTCCTGTCAAAGAGCGGTACAAAGTGTAACTGGAATCTACTTACCTCCTTCTGCTTGTAAGAATCGGACGCGATTTTGGTCGGGCTCTCTGCAGATCCGGATTCCTCAGAAGGTGGTGGCACATCATCGGTCTTTACTTCAGGTTTAGCTTCTCCGGGATCAGCCTCTTCCACAGCATCAGACGCAGAGGTCTCAACTGATACGCATGTCCTGACGCGTTCATAAGCACTCCATGCCCTCAACAATTTAAACTCACTTTTTGCACGCTTCGCCTTCGGCCCCTTCTCGAGCTTGCGTGCCCGCTTCTCCTGGCCTTGCCTCCATTTATTCTCCTTCTCCTCGTTCAGCAGCTCGCTCCACGTACGGATGCACGCGACGCTGAGATCGCGATTGAATTCTTGGACAGGATTGAGGAACGCCTCGTTGTCTGCCGATCGCAGGATGTAGGAGTTGTTCTCCGTGTGCAGAGTGAACCCCTCGGGAACCGCAATTGGGGCCTCAGCAGTCATATTTCCTAGCCGACGGAGTCTAGTGTGCAATGCGTTTTGGAGGCGCAGAGGCCTGACGGCGTACCGGAGAATGAACAGCGTGTTGATGTCCGAAGATATTCTTGCAACTGCGAGATTTCACGGAGCACTTGGTGTCGATTGCGTCAATTGTGATACTGTAGTTGCCGGACCGGGGCAGCCGAACAATCGCACTCTGTGACTCTATGATTGTAGTACTGGCACAGTTGGCCGGACACATCCAGTCTGACCCAAAGCTTCACCAATTGTAACAGTAGACTGAGGAGGGGAAACGCGGAATAGAGATGCAGTAGAAATACAAATGATGTCCATGCTTCCTGCAAATGTCCGGACAGAATGTACGAATTAGAAGCAGCCCAATTATCATGCAGTATTACCCAATAGACGTGTTCAATCCAACCGTCAGTTTTACCCAAAAAATCAGTACTCAAAATCCTCCGAAATCATGGAAATCAACCCGCGCATGTCGCCCCGCGCAATCCGCGCCGGGTCGATCTGTGCGGCGATGGCCTTGCGCATCATGGCATTGAGAGAGGTAGGACCACAGCCTAGAGCAACAAATGTATTGATTAGTACCCATTCCGCCTAGCACTATAGACCACGTACATCCAACGATGATAGATCCCTTTGCCCGCTCAACCTCGTCTGCTAGGATGCGATCCAGTCGCGGCTTCCCAGGGCGGGCGTGTTCCGCAACGACACCGACATCCTCCATCTCCTGCGCGTCGAGGTCGTGCTGCAGCTGCTCGCTCTCCTTCGTCACGAGCGCCGCAAGACTGCGCGTGTCGGACATCTGCGAGACGGCCGAATCGCGGCGCGGCCGGTGCGAGCTAGATTCGTGCGGCGGAGACACCGGCGAACGTAGCCCCGACATAGGGTGCTCATGGTTCAGCAATGGTGCAGCGCTGTTGGGGGAACGGAGAGCAGACGACGGGCTGCCGTCACTGCCATACTCCAGCGGCGAGAGATGCGTTCTACTGTCCGCCATATTCACCATCGACTGGTTCCAGCCGGTGTCGACGCGCATCCCCAGCTGCCGCTGCTTGGCACCCTGCGTGCCCTGAATCATGGACTGCCGCCGCGTATTCGCGCGTCGCAGCCGCCCCTCTCTCTTTATCGAGAGGCTGAACACATGCTCCCCAGGAATCGCCGTGTCGTTGTCGCCCTCGAAGTTCGTGAGGTCGAGCACGTGCTCCTCGTGCCCGAGCTCGTCGTTGTCCCGAACGTAGTCCCCCGAGTAGTAGCTGAGGTCCATATTGTCCACCCACGTGTCGCTCTCCATGCCGTCGTCGTCATCAGGCGACGCGGATCGCGACTGCTGCTTGCCTAGCGCACGCGCGAAATCAGGTATTGGCATTGTCAGGTTGTCGTCCTTCATCGGCAGTGCCTGGCTCGTGAACGAAGCGATCGCTGCTGGCCCCGATTGGGGCGCCGGCGCAACGTTCGTTACAAATATTTCGACTTGCAGCTCAGCAGAGGGTACCATCGCCATGCACCGACGCAGTATCGAAGCGCCCCACTGGATATGGCCTGTGCACTCGTGAGGCCAAAGGAAACTACACATATGTCAAAAGGCAAACATACCAAACTCGCGGACAAGCCATACAAAGCGGACGCGAGTGGTCCTAAATCCGGGTTTACCCCAGCCTCCCTTGTGTCCACCAAGGTGACTCCCATCCCTCCCAGCAAGGCATAGGCACAGATACTGCAGAACCGACAAGCCGAAACATACGCCAGAACCTCCAGTGACAAGGAGCACCGTCGAATGCGCGCCCCACCGCGCGCGCTCAGCAGAGCCAAATGGCCCGTCGACATAAGCACGCATCAGCACACCGCGTCGAGGCAACGGATAGCTGCCGGGTAGATTCTCGCCCGATATGCTGCTCTGTCCTCGGGATACAGCGAGCGCGAGGGCATCCCACAAGTCTTTTGACCACCCGTTCTTGGCGCGGACGATGAAATCAAGCTCGCGGCCCTCATCTGTGGGCGACTGCTCGTCGCACACAGAGGCGACGGTGAAGGGATGCGTAGTGAACCGGCAGATGGACGGGATACCCAGGAGAAAGTGTTGCCCAGGTGCCCACGGTAAATAGCCAGGTGTGATAAGACGGAGACGAACCGTGCGGCCTGGGAGTAACTCCGCCAAAGCGAATCCAGGTGGTGGAATATACCTCTCTGGGACGAGGAGGTGTGGAACGGATAACGGCGGAGGATACTGGCTTGATTCTTCAGCACCCGCCCCAGACTTGGCGGGGGGACCGAGGGAAACAGTCGGCACGGGTGGCTGCACGCTACCGAAAAAGCCGTTGGTGTGCAACCACCACGCCCCGCGCCAGATACGTTCACCGAACCACAGATAGAGGGCAGCGCCGCACCACCACCACACCTGCGGATGGTGCAGGGCAGACATGACGATAGTCATGGGGATCAGGATGACGTGCATGAAGTAGAACGCTTCATAATGCGCCTGCCGGATAGGTTTTATGGAAAGGATGACCAGTAGCGTCATGAGACCATACGCCTAGACAGAAATTCCACCATTAGACGGAGTACGAACAGCACAAATGTTATCGAAAGGTACATACTGTCCAAGCGAATATGAATCTCTGAAAGTCCCAGGCATACGTGTATGCGATTTTCCCAGTCCCATCACGACGGTCCTCAAATAACTGCACACTCCAGAACACGACATGAAGTGTCGTGACGAACCAGATCAAACGGCCAGACCACCGGTGGAGCCAAGCGAGCTTGTCAAAATGAATTTGAAGAACGAACGGCAGTGCAAAAATCGCAAAGGGGGGCGCTTTGAGAGCGAATAACACGCAGAGCGGAAAGAGAGCAAAGGCAACGATGCCTGTCCTGTTGCTAGAAGTCCACCATGCCTTCTGGATGGTGTACTGAGGCGCAAGGTTGTCAGCGGGAGGGATTTCGCGCTTAGTCGCCGGGGTAGTAGTCGTTGGAGTGCCGAGACCAAATATCGTGGAATTCGGTGCTATATAATCAGGCCCGACGAAGGACAGAAGCATAGTTGCTATAATGAGGACACTGAGGGCGAGGAGTTGGGCGTTGGAGGGAAAAGGTAGCGGTGGTTTGTAGGGCAGGCCCTTGCGCTTGGCTTCGGCGAGACTGTGTTTCTTCCGCCATGTTCTGCGACGAAGAGACCATTTGGTGAAGTATGCTCCGAGGACGCGTGCTCTGAGGCCGGCCAAATGAAAGAGGGCGTAGATGACGAGGACAACGGCGATAGCGACCCAAAGAATGTAAGCATAGACAGTGCTAGGATTGCTGGAGCAATGTATTGTGAGATACGCAGTGATCCAGTCGAGATCGTTGGAGTAAGAAGGAGTGGTTGGGTTCGGAGTCAGGGGAGACTGAACGGATGTGGTGGTCGAGGACATGCAGTTGAGAGAGAACCAGCTCGCGGAGAGAATAGACTCGGTGAAGGTGAAGGAGCGTCTGCAAAAATGTGCAGATGCCTTGCACGAATTGGATGTTCTTGAAGGCTGAGATCGGAACAAACGTAGATGAGCAGACAGTGTCCAGGCGCAGGCTGGACGTCCGAGGCGGCGGCGTAGCTATGGACAAGATATAACGGTCAATTGTCAGATTTCTCTACGTTCCTCTGGAGGACGGAAGGCGAAGGGACACGCAGATGCGCGAAGAGAAGGAGAAGTCGAACATGGAGTGCTGCGCGAAGGAACGGCTCGCTGCACGGCAAGTCGAGTTCTCCTCGCAGCAGACGCCCAAATATAGTGACGTTCTTCTGCTGGGCGCCACGCAGATGGATCTCACCAGATCTGCCAAAAATACATATTACATAATTACACCCGGGCCCATCCGGTCAAAATTAATCACATCATACGATAATCCTCCTCTGAAATTTAAACCGCCTGGCGTTCAGACGTCAGCTGGATGGATCACTGTATAGCAGTCCTAAACGTTAAACAGCCACCCTCCATGCTGGATGCCGGCCTCACTCGACAACTTGACATCTTCTGTCTGCTGCCAACGCATGTCGCGTTCAATTTCCATCACGCGTCTGCTGATCCCACCAATGTGGTCTTCAACGTCCCAAAATACATCACTCGTATTCACAGCGTCTCACCGGTGGCCCCATTAACCTGTATCATACATATACCAGTATCATGTGCAAGACAAGCGTCCGTCTCTCATGACACAGTTTCTCCAGAGCGAACCTGCGCGCAAGCGGTGCGGGATCAGTGTCGGTCGACAATCCATATCAACAGCACAGACGCACCTCCTTGCCCGTCTTCTTGATCTTCTCGAGCAGGGTATCATACGGGATCGTCCCAGTCACCAGCACCTCCTGCTTCTCCAGGCTGACGGTGAACGAGTTCACACCTGACGAACAAGGGGCGTCAGCATTCGTCGTCTACGAGCAGTCCAAATCGGAGACCATCGGACTCCGCTTTCTTGAGCGCGCGCTCGACAGCACCGGAGCAGCCGGAGCAGGTCATCTAACGCCCTCGCGTTGAGCCATCTTTGTCCTGGTTATTAAGACGATGGTCATGCGCACCTTGACATCGAATTTGTAACTATGCGTCGACTGTTGCAGTTACTGTTAGTCTGGGATTCAGTGCGAGATCGCATTGCCGAAGACGTACCATTGTGAGAACAGAGCACAGCGGAAGATCAGCTTGCAGGACAGGTCTCGCAACGTACTGTGCTTATACGAAAAGTAGAGCAATAGGGAAGTAGGGAAGTTACGGACGTGGCGTATTCAGCCACTTCCGCATGCTGGCTCCTTTATATCTGCATGACAGCAGCAACTCTCCAAGAAATCGCGCAATAGGATCAGTCATAGGGATGAGTCAGCCCGTAACTCTATTGCACTATCATGGCAAGTGGACACAGATTGCACGCAGCATCGATAACCCGAGAATGATCATCCAACGACTATGTATGTATACGTGGGTTACAAAGTTTGAACCTATACGTCTAGCTACTAGCATAACGCGCTTGAAACACGTTAGAGCGTTCCACTGCGGCTTCGTCAAACGGGTCGCAGTCACCGTACTCAAACACTATACGCAAAACATCACGACGTCCGTGTTTGCTGCGCCATCTCAACCTGTTCGTCTCCCTCAGTCGCCACCGCCTCCCAGCCCGAACTCGGGGAGGGCCTGCCGCGTATTCGCGCGAAGCAGTTCGAGAAGAAAGCTGACAAACAGGTCATCATTAGCGGCATGTGGAAAACGAGTTGCGCACCTGAAATCGCCGTTGGCGCGCCGTGGTTTCTCCGTGTGATGTAATAGATTGGTATACCCACCAGCACGAAGCCTACACCACCGTAAGATTCTGCAGATACAAACGAGAATCTGGGTACTTACCTACCACGGCCATCGCTTCTAGTGGTGCTGCAATGACCGGCATGCATAGCAGGAACAAGCATACCTATCGGGGAACGAGGATGTGACTAAAAGGCTGCGGGATGTGTAGGTGAACGTACAGCACAGAAAATAAGTGGTGTCGTGATCCACGTCTTATAAGGTCTGTTCACGCTCGTTGAGTCGCACGACGACACAGGGTGCAATGAGAATGGAAATACACACCGTTCTAACATAGGTTCTTTGATCCGTAAGATAACCAATCCAAGTACCTGTCAACGAGTTGAGCTTGCTGCAGTCGATACCCAGGCCACGATACCAACAGTAAGGAAATAAAACGCCCAAGACGCGACCACAGCAAAGTTGATGAGAGTCCGGAAACCGCCACCAAAGACAATAAACGTAATTGTGAGCGCAGCTTGCAAACACATCGCATTGAGCGGGGTCTTGAGCTTCTTGTTGTTCCGACCGAACAACGCGGGCAGATATCCTTCCCGTCCAGCCACATATATAAGTCGCGCGGAGGTGAAAAACGACCCTAGCCGGTAGCATTGGAGGTGAGACCCATAGGCACGTCCCATAGGATCTCTACTTCACGCACCGTTTAATGCCCCAAAGCATGAGGTCGCCACCATACAAGCAAAGACGATCCCGCCTATAGGTCCAAATAGCGCGCGCCCGAAATCAAGAGCAACGGTGTTGCTCAGTCCAACAGTCACCTGCGAAGTCGGGTCATAGGCCGCCCAACAGACACATGAGTATCTCCGCACCTTGTCCAGGACCGCGAAGTAGGCCAGATTGGCCAGTAAGAACAGTGCCTGGGAGCACAATCAGGAGAGACGAAATATCTCGTGATGGAGTGCTGACGCACTGCCACGATAGCCATACTGATATGGATCGCTCGGGGGATGTTCTTCTCCGGGTTCTTCATCTCCCCGCCAACGTAGTTGGCTTGGTCCCAGCCGTCGAATGCCCAGAGCCCAGAATAGAGTGCTAGCGCGTATGCCGACGGGCTAGTACTCGATCCGTCGAATAGAGGGTCCGTCAACGAAGACGAAGCATGTCCTCTACCTAGTTGGATGAGTCCAAGGACGGTAATGGATACCTGCGTGGGAGTTCAATACCACGGACCGGTCGAAAGACACGATGTGATGTCTACGCACCAACGAAACGATCTACTGACCCGACTTGAGGTCAGACGATCTACAATACGACGAGGCTGCCTCACCTTAATCGTGGTGAAAACGACAGCAGTGCGCGTAGCGAGAGTGGGTGTGGCTACACAGATGATGGAGACCACGAGGACCGCCGCAACCGCGGTGAGTTTGATCGCCCACTGTGGAATGTCATCCGGAGATACCTCAGCGCTTGTACTGTGCCAGAAGAGCCGGTTAAGGTATTCAGCGAAGATTAAACTAATGACAGCATTGCCACCTAAGCGGCAGCTATAAGTGAACCTGGAGAGAAGTCTCTGCCGCAGGAAGCATACCGGGTTTAAGTGCTGATATGGCTGTCCAAGCGAACAGGTACGAGACCAGCGGGCCATACGAATACTGGAGATACGCCTGCGCACCTCCATTTACAGGTATTGAAGACCCTAACTCCGCAAAGCTACTGGCACCTGTCCATGCGAGCAATCCTGACGCGAGCCATACCGCTAAGCTCGCGCCTACACTCTGGGTATTAGCAACCACCACTCCCGGGGAGGAACTTTGAAAAAGATAAACATAGAAAGCAGTGTAGGTTCTGGCAGTACAACGCACAAGATGCCAGAGCCAATCTGCAATCCGACGACAAGCGCGACGCCTTGCCTGCACTGTCAATGGAGCTTCACTCTCTGGACACTGAGTTAACGCACCATTCACAAGCCCTATGTGCTTCTCGTGCGCTTCTCCGTGAAGAGATTCGGGTTCACTTAGACTTGCAGCCAGCGGCAGAAGATCTCGCTGGAAGTCGAAGCCAGAGATTGAGTATGCTCTGCCACGCGTCGGTCTTGGTGCATCAGCCAGAAGAGGTCCATCCGAAATTTCTAGAGCTCTCAAGGAATCGTCAGAGTCGTGTGAGGAGCGAGATGTACGCGGAGACAACGAGTAGGTTTGTGAACGTGGTGACTTCAGAGCGTCGAATAGCGGGACCTTGGGTGATGGAGAAGTCATATAGTTACGAAAGCCGACCGAGAGTGGTGAAGAAATCGACCTGTCTACACGATTTCGGATTTCGTCTACAGCACGATGGGCGATTTATCTCCCTGCTAAGTAAGAGGCAAGCCAAAGCTTGGACCCAGCAGTTTGGATGGAAGAAACGTAAGCGCCCAAAATCAGATCGGCTTCACGTGGCAAGAGTCAACGGTAGCGTCTGTTCACCAATACTATCAATGACCCGGATGTGCCATAATATGGCACTTCTGGTCCCGCTACACACTACCTTGCCCGATTGTCTTCGGCACTTCAGAGACTGTTTCTGTAGCATGTAGAACACTAAAGACTATTTTTTCGGATTTTTTTGACTAGCGTTGAACATTTTGGAGACATGCCGAGGTGTGGCACCAGCCAAATACATTCCGGCAATCCCGGATTTCATGGGACCCAAGTGGGCCACATTTAATTCTGAAACTTTTACAGTACTAAAGTACAATGTATGAGAGCATCCCTGAATAATTTCGAGGCAATCAGTGTAGAGGATCAAACTGTAGAAAAAAGTATGGCACTTCTGGGCCATATGGCATATCCGGGTCACTGATAGTATTGAGGTACCGCTTCAGCATCTCATATCATATTTGAGCAAACTCGATGCTAACATGGACCCCAACAACAGCGAGGTAGCAGTATGCTGCACCACACCACGAAACAGGCTTGTATCCCGGAGAACTCGATTTATTCGATTTATTAGTGGGTTGCAGGCAGAGCTTTATGCTCAGAATCCAGGAGCAGAGAAGCCAGCACCGAAATCGACCATCAATTCTGTGCATTCAGAAGAAGTCCTTGAGCGACTACAGCATGTATATCCTCACATCTTTCTTGGCAGGCCTCCATGCACTGTGGTAAATACAGTAAATTAGTAGGCAGCATTCAACCATACGAGCATTATCTCACCTTGACGATTTCAGCTGACGTCAAACGACCTGACTGCCAGATACTTGTGATAGTATCTAAAGCCGGCATACCAGCCAAAATTAAGCTGCCCGATGCAGCCTCTGCTTCAACCTCTGTTGGGTCTAACCAGATCTCCTTCCCTATGGCAGACTGTGAACGCAGTAAGAACTTATACCAGCACATGGATCACATCTCACTTACTGCAGCGCACGACACGACCAACCCTAGCATTTCAATCCCTGCGTCCGCAAGAGCAGCACTAGCAGCTACGGAACCCGCTGCTATACAGCCTTCAATACCGTCATTCTCTATGATGGTAATGTAGACGTCGATTGTAGACTTCGGCAGTAATTCCAACCTCACGGCAGGGAGCAGCGCTTGATATATTTGCACGGCTACTGACCTATCTTCGGCATCCTAGTGCACAGATAACGTCTGAATACAAAACGAGGACGGGGACTGAACACTTACGTGAATAGGCACCCTTCTGCGTGTGCAAGAGAAAGGTGTAAACTTGACTTCCACGTTCAAACGCCCCTGCTCGCTATATACTGTAGTTTTTGACTGGCGAGGGCCATAACTGTTCGATCAGGGTTCGCTCTGCACCTCAGGCGAAGAGAAAATAACAAACTGACACACCGCACGCAATTTTTGTTCGCTCCGTCTCAATATACGCTGAACCGTTCGCCTGATTGATCAGGCCAGCTTCAAGAACTGTGAACAGCGGAATGGTGGTCAAGGGAGCCTCAAACAGACGGGTAACCTCGTACAAACAGGCCGAATGTCTCCTGCGGACCGTCCTTGACGGGATTTTCCTGGCGTCACTAGCAGAGACTCGTCCTCTTCGTCCGACGCGAACACAGGAGAGAAGCTCTCTTCCGGGCCGTTTATTCGTCTGCGATCGAAGTTGCTCAAAGCCATGAAAGTCACGACAGAGTCGGTGATGACCACCGTGACATAGAAATCTTGAAGTGGGTGTGACTCCACCTAGTAAGTGCTGTAACCCCGGTTACACTACTGTACAGTAGCGTTGGTTAGTGAGCACAGTAATGACTGTTGTCGGGGTTTCAACTACACTATGTTGTTACAAAGGTCCATGATGTCCCAGTCCAGAGACTCGAGCACTCATCATCTTCACCTCCTGGGTCTTGCCCTCGACGAAGCACGAAAATGCGAGCCGACACCTACCGCTTTTTGTGTTGGGTGCATCCTTACCGTCGCTTCATCCACCGAGCCTAATAAACCCATTATACTCGCACGCGGTTACTCTCGAGAACTTCCGGGTAACACTCATGCCGAAGCAAATGCTTTGGCGAAAGCGCATCAGTTATCCCAGACGGAACTGAGCCATATTGTTCCCTTCACATCTACATACACCATCGGCGATTTGCTCACCTGCGCGGATATCTATACCACCATGGAACCTTGTTCGATACGCACATCGGGACTAGCTCCTTGTGCCGATGCCATCATAGCTGCCAGAATACGCAGGTGCTTCATAGGTGTGGGAGAGCCTGATGACTTTGTCAAGTGTGAAGGCGCACGGAAGTTGGCAGATGCAGGAGTGGAGGTGATCTGGTTAAAGGGATTTGAAGATGAGTGTCTGGAGGTAGCAAGGCGGGGCCAAGAACGACTGTGACCAATTAACGTTGAACATCGCGTACAGTATCTACACACCTTGCAAGAAAATCTGTCGTGGTCTGCTCACGACGATATCGGACGGCATATACATAGTGCAGATGCCCCATCTCCCGGCCCAGTGCGCCACTTGACGCGGAACCGTAGAAAGATGCACCACGAGCACATTCAATTCCATCTGGAGTGTTATCTGCGTTGTTTCTGTCAGTACAGATATCTATTCATCACATTTTGAGTTGCGAGTTTCACGCCAAAATCGCCTCGGAAATGAAGCAGCTTGAAGGTGTTTGCGATTGTTTGCGAGATCCATGAGAGATACTGAGATACTTGTTCCTGCACTCCATCTTTTTTGAAAGCGGCTGAACGATGCGTATCGAAAAGTGCTACTTCTGCTCGAAGAGCGTGTATCCCGGGCACGGTATGTGGACTTGCAGACGTCTTGGCTGTGTAGTTTGACTGTCGAAACATAGGGAGTGCTTTTGTAAGAAACGATGCAAAGGTCTTCCGGTTCTGTACTTCAAAGTGAGTCACACTACAGTGCAAGTGTCCTCTCTTCTGACGGAGGGATCATTCAGATGTCATAAGAACTTCAAGTATACTGCCTCTCTATTCTGTGCGGTACGAGCTATTGAACCCTTGCCACTAGAATGAAGCGCAACCCAAGAAAAGTAAAGTGGACTAAGGCATTCCGGAAAGCTGCTGGGAAGGAGATGACCATCGTGAGTCAATTCTGGTGTGCTGGAGTCTTCGGAGGCTCAGAACGATTGTGCAGGACTCAACTATCGAGTTCGAGAAGCGGAGAAATATCCCCGTGCGCTACAACCGTGAGCTGGTGCAGACGACTGTGCAGGCCATGAAACGGATAGCGGATATCAAGAAACGGAGAGAACGTGCCTTCTGGAAAAGCAGGTGCGTCTCGACCTTTCTCGCAGAGTGTTGGATGTACTCACACGATCCCTTACAGGATGGCCGCCAGCAGGGAGAAGCTGCGGAAGTATAGGAAGAAGAGGCTGGAAGCAAAATTACCTGTCAAGCTAGTGGAACCTATGTCGATAGAGTCACTAGAGACAGTGAAAGTCCGGGAGAAGATCAAGGTCTCCATAAAAGCGAGGAGTGCCCTGATCCCGGGCGAAGGCCGTTCAATGGGCATGGAGATCGACTGATGCTGCGCAGATCTCGGATTCGTTTACTGGCATATGTATTCACGCAGATTCCGGACTATGCAAGTGTATGATGAATCGGTGTACATGCTACTAGTACAATGTGCGATGCGTGCTACAGTATACATACTTATTCTACTACGATGCTAGAGCTACAATGTAATCCGGGATAAATCATCGTTGCTTGTATTTCGCCTCGTTCTCAAGGTGAACCTTTGGATCCAGTGAATTGTGTAGTCCAAGAAGGGTCTTGCTGACAGCCTCGCTTGCGCCAATCATGGGCTTCAGCACAGCGATTGGCACAGCTCGAACTACAGCACGGACAGGCCCCTATACAGCTCTGAGCAATTTGTGCCTGAAGAACGGAGCCTAGTGCTCACCTCGTTGCCCGACCGTTCATATACTTCCATCGGAACGGCGAGAATAGTTTGTGCAGCGGAACCGAAGTTTCTCTTGAGGCTCCTGAACGCCGTATGAATGCCCTCCTTCACGTTTATGGGCTGATCAGCATATCTACTGATCAGATCTCCCTCAGTGAACTGTTCTCCAAGTTCACCAGGGAGGGGAGACGTCTGAACTGCTTCTGCTGTAATAGTGTCCAGATGTTGTCCTCCAAGGACGTTCTCCGCCTGCTCCAGGATAACTTGTGTTCCGGTGGCCAAGCGAGCACCCAGCTTAATGGCCTCCGTCGCGGTTGACTTTACAAACGCAGTCGCCCCCTTCTGCAAACCTCGAACGACTCGGCCATCTTTCTTGTACTGCGCAATCGGTAAGAGCACGAGATCTGCAAATCCGGAACCAACGTTCACCACTGAACGAATGGGAGCAACTCCGGAGATGACATCCACTAGTTGCGTGGCTTTCACATCAGGAGTCCAGAGATCGTTCAGCAGATCGAATAACCTTGACCATCCAGTCACCTGTATACTGGTCAGCATCCATGCTGTGCAATCCCATAGGAACTCACCCCAGTCAGGGTTATGTGACGCAGTGTCATCTCTGCACCGTCGAAGTGGAAGAAATTCATGAGCTCAATAGTCCTGCCATCTCGCAAAGCTCTGTAATCTACGCGTCGGGGCTTGTAATCCAACTTGATTCCTATAGGGAACATCTCCGCTTGTTCTGGTAGAAGAATGTTAGCCTTTGAATCAGGATTAATGAGCAAAAACCGACGGAAGTATATCTCTTCGGATTGAGGGGCAGGGAGACTATCGGGATCCTTGAAACTGAAAAATTTCTTCAGAAAGTCCAGCGCGTCTTGATCAACATGCAACCGTAGCGGCAAGATTTTTGCCTGTCGCGTGAAGATCAGTGCGCTTCCTAGCATCACTCAATGGATATGCAACTCACACGTAGTCTGGCCTCCACAGAAGGATGATCCGGGATTGGATGAATGCTTCGGAGTTCTACCTTCACCATGTTGGAATCAGTCTCCCGGACATTACCACGAGAGTCCTCCCGCAGAGCCGTCAAAAACCTGCTCCACGTCGATGTCTTGATGTGATCAAGGATCTCGATATGAGTGATCGTAATGAGAATCCTCGAGACAAGAGCTGCGCCAGGTTCATAATGGTCGACTTCGGCGTTCAAACCCAAAAATTGGAGTTCGATACTGGCGCCTCTTGATCTGACCATTCCCTTGCGACGAGGTCGCACCTGAGGTGCCCTGATACTCACAGGAGAGGTTGATGTTTGTTGCTTCAGAGATTGCCAAGAGCTTTGACTGGCAGTTTCAAAGTCCTCGTTCAACTCTTCGTCGATCGCTGCTATCAAAGCCCCCGGTTCCAATTCGTCGATGTTATGTTCCAGGCCAATATAAACCGAATTGAACAGGAGAGTGTTCGTCTCTTCAACACTTGGATCAGGTGTTTGACCGCTTGCCACAAGCTGCCTGATCTTTGCTAGTTTGCGTCTCATTTCTTTCCTTTCTTCTTCTATTATCCTGCGTGTTCGCGCCCAGTCATAGCCGTCATAGAGAAACAAAGTGGCATTGCAGTCGTGTACCCGTACTGCGATAGTCGTTTCCTCAGAGCTAGAGATGTGAATATGTAATTCGACGGATCAAGTACCTAACACGAGAGACTGACCTGAACGTTCCCTCAGCACCATCTGGCTTCATGGTGTCGAAATAGTTTTGCACTATGTGCATTCCTTCGGGATGGAGCATCTTGATAGTTTCTCCGCCATATCGTGTGATCAGCCCGTGTTCATCAGCACTGGCTACTGCGGAGGGTTCATGAGCATCGGCGTCGAAATCGTCCAGATCATCGTCTGTAAGTTCTCGAAGACCGGCTGCGGCGCCAAATGATTCGTCGAGATAATCCATATTGCTAGGAAGGTCATCGCTAATCATATCCGGTGCCGCACCGACCTCTGGTAGCTGTCGGAATGCGTGCTCATCTAGAGAAGCTAGAATGAACATGAGTGCCATTCTTTGTCAGTGTCACAAGATGTACGCACCTAGTAGACTGCGAGATGCTGAGTCTTTCGAGAGAATACTTGGCTCTTGCCTCTTCTTCGGTACTGTGGACCTGGGGGTGCATGAGCAGGCATTCTGACGTTTACGTGGAACAACGTACGTCACTTCCGAAGGGCTGCTAAACATTGAAGTGAAATCATTAATGAAGCCAGTTAAAGCCGTCAATGTATCAGCACACAGATGAAGATGAAGATCTCCATGGCCGATAGTGACCTAACATCAAAATCTAAGCCGATCGAAATGATGATAACAAATACCTCACTTACTCGTGTATGTGGAGGTTCTTTACGTCGCACCAACCTGACGTCAACGTCTGTAAGTTCCGCAAGCACAGAATAGCCTGCTCCCTGTCACCGTCCGTCAGTTAAGAAGAACTTGAGTAAGCATAGGACGAACCTCCCAAAATAGAGCACCGGGAGAATGCGATGCTACCTGTACTGTTCCATCAGCCGATCCGTGGGAGACAGCAGCGAGATCGTCGACGAGAAATAATGACAGCGCCGGTACATGAAGTTGGAATGAAGTCTCTGGCGAGCTGCCAACGATTAAAACGGAGAAATTGAGTTCTCCGACATATGGTATGAGAGTACCGGGGAAAGTGGGAGCTAGCAAACGAAAAGAGGTGTCCACAAGCTTGATGGACACACTGGTCCTTTCACTAGGGACAACCGATTCAAATGCCTGCGACATCCGGTAAACACAGATGATACATATACACGACGCAGGCTACTTACTCCTGGCGGAGCCTGCGCAAATCGTCCCAGGTCCGCGGCCCAGTCAAAATATGGATGAAAGTTGTACGTGAGACCACTCAGCGTAAGCCTTATTCGGGATTCCTTGGAGGTGGTTTCAGGTACAGTTAGAGAAGTCAACCGCAGTTTGAGTGCTGAGCGGGTTGCAGCCTGTTCCGCGTGACATCAATGCCCGATTACTATATAATGTGGATAACCACATACCAAACTATGAGGCGAGGTCAGCGATAGAAAAGTCGTACTCGATCCAGACTTTGCAGTCTCCTTGACAGAAATATCCATGATGCCTAGCGTTAAAACAGTCTCGTCCTGTATGAGGTTTGTCAAGAGGAACGAAGGACAAGCACCGACTACAAAGATCACACACCTTTCCTTCCGGCTGCAGCTCTACGAGAATATCAACGTCGGAAGCTGCGATGTCAAAAGGTCGAATAGTCCCTTCGGCGTCTCTAGGTAGCAACAGTCTGACCACGGCTACGTATATCACTCTCAACCAGTGCACTCACACGATTAAGGATAGGAACTTACCATTTGACACAGTAAGCTTTATTGCTGTCTCACTCCTGGCGTTCTGAGGATTGGCGCTAGCAATTGTCCCGCCTTCGCTTCCGCTGGCCTGACTGCCCGCCCTCGTCATAGCGAAGAAGCGACTTCCGATGAGACTAGGATCCCTACTGTCTCCCCTCTCGGTATCAGACTCCCACCGGGATGATCCACTGGAGACGGCTTCCATTAATTGCGCCAGATCATCCGCCCACAGCTGAATCACATCGAGATTCGGCTTCGAAAGCTCTACGTGAACAGAAGGTATATCCACAGCAACTGCGGTCGTAATGAGACCAGCAGGTCCCGAACGATCGGATGCAGGGGAGCGGATGAGACTAATGGATGGCCATGTTTGTGGTCCCACTGGAGAAGTTCCAAACTGTCCACCAAGCCTGTCAATTGCGTCTGTAGAGATCGAACCTAGCGACAGAATAGAGCTGGCTTTATCCTCTCCAACCAACGAACAACCAACTACGAGACGCCGCCAACTCGCAGCCAAAAGGGGTTTCCCTGTCATGTCGTCCGTGTGGGTGAAAGGTTCGCCATCAGCGAATCGCGTGGACGTTGGTCTGTTGTCGTGCGATAGACCACCAAGGGATAGCCTGAGGTCATGGACATCGAAAACGATGACTCCAGAACGAGGAGTGCATGATGGAGGAGGGGGAACTCTCACTTGCACACGAATCATGGGAAATCTCAATGTGATGAGCGAACTATTATCCTTCATCCCTTTAGCCCCCCTCTGGTGGACACGAATAAGTAAGAGAAAACGTCTATACAAGGATGTTGATTCACCTTGCGCCTAGAGTGAACAGGTGATGTAGTAGTTCCTAGCTTGCTTCCAGTACCCTCGTTCCGATAATCAAATCCAAGATTCAAATCGTCCAGGACAAGACGTTCCAATCGGCGCCTCTCTCTCTCCTGTTCCCTCTCCTGCTCGCGTAAAAAGAAAATGTTGCTCGCCCGTGGAGTACTTGGAGGTGTTTCCACATCTTCAGCGTTTTCCTCCAGCTCGTCGCCAGCGTCTGATCGGTTATTCACAGGAAGTTTACTTTCTCCCCCAAAAGAACGCGCGTTCTCTTCGGGAAAAACAATTTCCTCAAGGAACACCAATGTCTCACTGATCCCGTATCGGTCGCCCGAAGTTAGGACCAGACCCAGATCTACGAACACATGGAGAGGGGCAAAGTCTACCTCGACCTGTACCCTGTTGTTCTCTCTGGATAAAATTCGTGACGATAGAGGTCTTGGTAATGATACCTTCACAGCCATGGCTGGAGAATGTGAGCGCTGCATTATCTCAGTGGATCTACTCGGCCAACCCGATGCGTTCGCGAGTCCAGCCATTCCTGGTGAAGATGGAGAACCGAAGGAAAATGGCCGCGCAGAACTCGGACTTACACTAGGAGAAAGAGGTGATATGGTTCCTTGAGGGCTCGTATGGACAGACGCAGAGGTAGGGGAGCGACCTGTTGTGTGCTGTGCATGCGAACGAGGCAGGGAATGAGGGTGTAGGTGGGGAGGGGGTTTGCTGCGCCATAACGAGAGCTTTGCAGTGGTACTGCGACGTGCAGGATCTGTCCAATTTATTACCTCGAACACAGGTAACGAGAAGGTGATATCTGCCACGTTGAGATCGGGAGAGATATGTTGAGGGTGATATTGCACGGGAAGATGGGGATCTGTGATCATGAGAGGAATCGCATAAGTAGGAGTTGAGACCCGCTGAGAGCCAGTGGCAGGTTGGTCTGGGGCCATGAAAGCAAATGCAGACATTTCAGAAAGTGAGAAGGATAGTTCTGTGGTCATGGCCTGGAAGGTTTCCACACCCGGTATTCTTTGCGCCGACGCGCCATGGAGGCCATGGGAAAGCGGTGAAGACATGCTGATACATGTAGACAGATTATCTAGATGCAGCCGCACGAATCCATGGCAAAGGCGCGGAGGTACGAGGGGGCGGGCGTAAAACTCCGTAAGCCCATCATCATAGCCGAATGGTGGCACTTTCAACCCTGGTAGTAGAAGAATAACCACACCACGAACGTGCAGGTTCGCCTCGAGTTCGTCCAACCAAGCAGGGCGTAGATTTGATCCTGAGGTCTGGCGGGAAACCGAGGGATGCGGTGCAGAGTAGTCGGGAGAATGAGAGTTCCACGAATGTACAACGTCTAGGATACTCCGAATATGGCGAGCGCGGAGAGAGCAAGCGATGATTCCAACACTTGCGTCTAGTCTGATCTTCTCGTTGGTGATATTACTTTGTTCTGCATTTGGGTTAGAGGCCTTCGGCGGAGAATGCTGCGAAAACCGAGGCGATTGTGACAATGCTGGGCTTTGATTTGAAGCATGTAGCAACACCGGAGTAGTAAGACGAATGGTGATGGGTTCTGCTCTCGACGAAATCAAGGTATCATCTCGAATTTCGTTCGTTCTGATGGCAAGCTGAGGCTGATGCTGGAATCCATCGTCTGAAGGCACTTTGGAAGGGCTCGCTTTGCTCGGGTGGTCGCGACTTCGTGAAGTCGGGTCCCGGTTTGCAGGCTCAGGCCACGGGGAACAATCTTTGGTGCTTGCAATTGTCGATGCAGTCGACACTGCACTTTGATACATACTGCTTGCTATCGTGCTTGCAGGGGATGCCACACGAGGGGGGAGAGCAATGATGGATTGCGACATTAGCAATTGTGTTTCTTCATCCAAGTCAGAAGAGTCTGAATATGGGGAAGATGGCATCGGAGAGTGATTAGACGGAGACGTGGGGACAGGAGACGATGGACTATAGTGAGAAGGCGACGGCGCATAGGACGATGGTGCCGGCGATGAGGGTGATTGCGGCCTAGGTGGTCGGAGGCAACGCGTGGTGAGGTTAACACCGGAGATGGTAATAGTTCGTACTTCTCCAGATGTCCGTTCTGCCTTCATAGAAGAGGTCGGAACAGAAGACGTCACGCTCGGTCCTTCGGCTCCATAATGAATTTCTAGTACTGCAAGAGTGAAACTGGCGTGCTGTGGATGAACGAGGGTGATCTTGATATCAGAAGCGTCAAATTCGAAACGGGCGAGTAACCGCTCGATTAGCGTAGCAAATATTGAAACACCCGCCGGCTCGCTTTCTGGATGCGCCATCTCCTCATCTGTTATAAATGGATCCAGTCCACCAGGAAGATTATCATCCAGAGAGTGAGTTGAGGCAGTCAAATCGGGATAGAGAGATTCGCGAAGTGCTGCTTCTTCACGAGGAGTGAGTTCTTCGTGCATGAAAGTCTCAGCTACTGATGCAACAGACTCTGCAAGATCAATGGGGTTTAGTGGGGTGTTAGAGAGGGTTGGGTTGAGGTAAAATGTCAGGTGGAGAGACTCCAGCGAGAGACCAACAGTGGAAGTCAGAGGATTGGGCCAAGGGATACGGACTGTCACTTTCCCAAGAGAGCCATCATGTAGCTGAATGGGCAGCCCAGAGAATACGTGATTGACCGCCTGAGGGACGAGTTGTTAGTCAGTGAGCAGTTTGGAGATGGAATGGAACACACATCATTATCCAGCTCGAGATCTCTGACTTGGACATAGCCTGAGCCAATCTGCGAGTCAATCTGCTGTATATTAAGTTGTCCTGGCTTTAGAAAATGTCCTAGCGATCGTCGCAACGCAAACGAGATGAACCGTCTTTGAATACTTGACGGCAACACGAAGTCAAGGGAAGGGAGAGTCGGGAACCATGAAGAAGGCCACCAAGACATGATTGTAGAGATACACACTGCCAGGCCGTAGATGATTGCAACAAGTCTTCCCAGTCTGTCGCAAAGCAGAAGAATGCTAGCAGCTCCGAGGTGAGAGAGCTCAGGCTGGTGAGAGGCTCAGGGTGACGAACACGTGACCCTAGAGCACCCACAAGCGCCCATAATGAACGTACGGATCCGAGTCCACAGAGGCACGGCTACAACCAACGTCTGCTGCACAACAGCGCATCCACCTGCTTCTCCCTAGTAAACCCCTCTCTGGATGTCATCCACTGTCATCCGGCCGTCTTGGCAAGGATTTGCAAACCTGCAATATCTTGTAATATTGTAAGTACATCCCCGATGCCGGCGGACCTGGCAGCTGATTTGGTCCGATCTGTCCCTCAGTGGAGACTCTTATTCAGATGTGGGATATAACGCATTGCTCTCCAACCATCCGACTGTCGAGGACCCCCTTGGCGTTGATTTTCCCGGTTACGGGTTTGTGGAGCCCGGGGCAGCGAATTGGGTTGGCCATCTAATCACAAACTATGCAAATCATAAGCCTTTACTGGTGTATGATTATGCTGTGGGTGGCGATGATGTTTCTGGCGTTCGAAAGCAGGTGCAGGTGCGATTTTTACCTCGGGTGGGTGAGAAACCTGACTGGGCCCCTTGGCTCGGATCGAATACCCTTTTCAGTATGTGTCAACTTTTCTCAACATACTACAGCATCATGGACTGAAATCCATCAAGTAACGTGGATTGGAATCAATGATTGTGGGTAAGTTCAGCATTGCTTATAGGTAGTCCACAACAAGCGGCTAATTTAAAACAGGTATGCGGACGATCGAACCGTCAGTGCTAGTATCAAACAGCTTTTCAACGAGCAAGAAGATCTGTACAAAGTTGGTGCACGGAATTTTCTGTTCATAGACGTTCCGCCAATTCATCGAACCCCAATTGGTATGGTTTCTATTCTCACAACACATGTTCAACCTAATTTAGGGCAAGCTATTAGGTTTAACATTGGCAAGAACTGAGCAAAGGAGTAGTGATATATACGAATTATGGAACACTGAACTCCGCGAAGCTATCATACACTTCTCGACTGCTCACTCGGACGTGACTACCCTCCTTTTCTCATCCTGGGCGACCTTTATGCGGGTGCTAGACGACCCAATGTCGCATGGCTTTGAAGTAGAAGACGTTGTCAGAAATGCGGGCAGGATATGGGTGGATCATTTGCATCCAACGAGCAGGATGCATGACTGGATTGCCCGTGATTTGGCTGAATTCTTGTCAGCTCAGCCTGCATATCTCGAGAATGTAGACTGAGAGAGTGGAACAAGATTGTAGAGTTACTGTAGGTTCTACCTAGCATGCCCGCCTACAACTGTACATGTACGATTATCTTGGAAGTTTCAACACTTCTACGCATTGACGCTGCTTGCACATATGTATGTGGTATGCGACTATAACTTGTAGTAGCTTCGTGGCAATAAGTATGTGAGGACGAATCTTCTACTTCTCCGAAGTCAGCCATTCGTCTGGTCGTTGAGCTTAAACATGCACAGGCCCACAGGGGAAGATGTAATCCCGCAAGTAATGGAACGCTTGTCCAGCCTGCAATATTATCAATTGCATACTGCGGGTGTCAAAAATTTTCTGCTTGTAGATCCCCCACCGATCAACCGAGCTCCATGTGTGTGGTACTTCCTTACCTCGTCGAATTTACTCTCTGACAGAAATTGCCTATTATTGCAGCCCAGAATTTAGGGCCATTGGCCAGTGCCACGTCACAATATTAATATAGCATTTGGAATGTCATAGTCTCCTTGAGGCACTTCGCTGCACGATTCGTCTTGTCCCATGCGTCATCTACGTTTTGATGTATCCGTCCTGGGACACGTTCACTCGTGTACTGGACAAACCTGCTGCGTAAAACTTTAACGAAGGGGATGGATGCAGTGAAGGCGGTACCATCTGGGTCGATCGATCGATTACATCCCACCAGCAAGATGCACGAGTCACTCGGACCAGATTGCCTGCCACTGACATGTTGAGGATCATTAGAATCTCCGACTCACCCCCAGACACGGATATCCTGAGGAACGAAGGTTGAAGCAGAGTGTCAGTCTGCCTTTGGGAGACTAACTCACCCTGCCAACTGGCAAGATGAAGATCACTGGCGAGCTTCGTGAATATATGGCGCTACATCTGTCTTACTTACTCCTGTCCTAAACAGGCTTAGGACACTGGAGTCTTGCTTTATTTGCTTCAGAGTTGGTTACAGCACCCGGCCTGTCTTCCTTTCACCCTTTTCTGATGGACCCTTGTGGTAGAGAAAATTGACGTGCCCACAGAACGAACGCGACGAGCTGACTAATATTTATTTGCATGAGAGATAGCAGGAAGCCGGTGCTCGTATGACGCCCAAGACTTTCGAGACGCGCGAAGGATGGTTAGGTCCAGTCGCAATTTCTCTGTTCCCCTTTTCTCGATAACTCTTTTATGATTGTATCCATCCGAGTCTACCTCGTGCAGACGCAAGACCGAAGGATCGATCCGACGCGGTAGACAGTCATGGCGCATCGGTAGGTTGAGCTCCCCGCTTCTGTTGGGGGGCCGGAACGCGTCTCGCAAATAGGGACGACTCCCACCCTTGTTGCCTGACTGTTCCTGCTGATGAGAAGTGTCCCGAAGTCGCGCTGAAGCATGAGTACACCGCGGACAAGGCTCCCAGAATTTTATTTCCTTTCTTAGTATATTGATTTCCCGATTCGGTTCCCACTTAGAACATTGCGTCATCGACGTCATCGCCTCTTACTCGCTTCTACCTACCTTCTCGAACGAACGAATCACAGCCCGAGGAAGGTCCCGAGCTGAGAAAGTGTCGGGACAGGCAGAAATGTATATAAGGAGCTCGGTTCTCCTATGAATAGCCAGGTTTTTCTCCCCGGTTCTCTTTTCTCTCTCTCTCATTTACCGGAAGTCGGAATCAGTCGCGTCAAGTCTAAGAGCACGCGAAGTAAAGATAGCAATGTGACAAGTATATTCTAGAGATTCAAACAGAATTTTAACCCACAGCGGCCAGCCTTATCCTCTTTCCCACAGGTGTCATACCAGTCCAAAAGACGCCAATAGTCGACCTCCGTCTCCGTCGTTTTTAACACCCCGCAAGTTTCCCCTCCACACCACACTCCCAGTACTTGCGCTTCGCATCCTGTACTAGCCGACCACCATGTTGCACCGGCTACGCTAACGCATGACGATTTAAGTACCCGACTTAGTGTGCTCGTCTTTGGAACCAGTGCATGACAAATGGGGAATGCACTTCAAAGATGGAGACTACGGAGTCCTGATATGTACGTGAGATGTACTGATATACAATTCGGTCGAGACCGCGTCGCGGATGCTCGCAGATGGTCATGGGTCAGTGGAAGCTGCGCTTTTCTTCGTGAGCTTGTAATGTGAAAGATCAATGGTGGTGACAATGTATGCTTTGTCAGTGAGTAAATCAAATGCTTGTCTGAAGAATGCAACATTCAGCATGTCTATACTGCACTTGAATAGGTCACGAAGAACACTCACTCGACTTCTTGAGCAGTGACATTGAGATGTCTAACACCTCTAGCAATGGCTCTGACACCGGCTCCGTCTGGCGATTGTTCATATTTCCGTATCTGTTCAATGATGCCACGCTGCAAAGCAGTGAGATGCACCAAGTCGTCATTCCCTGTTTCCATAGCAAATCAGTCGACGTGTAACAGAAAGAGTGGTACACGCAAGGAATCACTTATGCTCGGATTACTGCAATCACCGGCACGCTCTCCGTCGTCATGATCAGAGTCATCTATATCCATGTCATTCACCCCTTGTGCCAGATCAACATCCTGGGTCAGTGGGGCTACAGAGGGCGGTGAGGATGATTCCGTTATTAACTCTTGTTCTAGGACAGAAGCGCCATCGCCCAAATGTCGTACTTCTATTGGAGGCTGTAGAAAAAAAGAGAAAACGATGAGATAAACCGATGATGGAGTACAATAAATCATACAGGTGGGCCAATTTCCAAATACCGCGTGGCGACCAGTGCTTCGAGAAAGTGGAAGTATACTTCATGCGGGTCAATTACTTTGCGTATATGCTTGACCTTGACGCAATTGTTTTCAAATCTCGACTCCAGTTGACCAATAATTCGTGCATATGGCAAGCCTTCATCGGCGTCGATCGGAACTTGGTTCTCCTCGTGGAAGTGACGAGCAGTAATTTGGCCTGGAGAGGTCCCGCCGTCCTCAAGATGGTAGTCAACGTACGAATCGTGTATTTCAACTTCCAGGACATGAGCAACTGTAGTAATCTGGAACAGTAAATAGACCTGAGAAGGGTGTACTGTCAATCGTTACTCACTGTGTCGATTTCGTACCCATCAATCGTGAAATGAGCCAGGGAATGAAGCTGTTTCGCGTCCAGCATCTGGCGTATAGTTACTGGTCTAAGAGCCCTTAAGATAGCTTCGCTCTGCGCATAGTGAAGTCAGTTGAGAAGAGAAGAGTGTGATCACAAAGCTCACATTGAACACCATTGCAATATTCACAGCACTGAAGTGAGGAGTTATGGAGATGAAGAGAAGGCAAGGGGATCTTCGTATGGCTCTCAGGCTAGTGGGGCAGCACACGTAGATGGATCGTATCCCTTGAAGACATTCCACGACAATCAGTTATGAGAGCATCAGATCGCAATCCATCAGACAGAGAAGGTCAATAGGAGGGGATTTGCCAAGTTCAAGTCATCGGGCATATGATGACCTTGGCCCATTATGCATTAACTTTCGCGGGTAGATCGGCGAATCGAAGTACCACTCTCGGATATTGTGCTATATTGTGTCGACGACGCACACGGATTGATCGTACTTCAGACTGGTACATTACTGCAAAGGTTCACAGTCATAGTTTCCGACGATCTCTATCTTTGTAGGCAGCCAAGATTGCTATGTGAACCTTATCTCCACCTGACTTCTACTAATCTCCTCGCCCGCGAGTGTTCAGCTTCTGGATGCTGATCATGGATGCTCCGAGCCCGACTTGGGATCGGGATATAACTATGCACGCATAAAAAGCTAAGATCGTTGCGTCTTGTTTCCTGAGTATGTTAACCTCACCTTGCCCGGATTGAAAAGGTTGTACGGATCAATTGCTGTTTTGACCGTCTTCATCAGATTGACTGTGCCTTCGCCCAGCTCGTGATTGAGATACTCGCGCTTGCCAATACCGACACCGTGCTCTCCAGTACCTGCAGATATAAGATATCAAGACGCGAGTACAGCAGGAGCCTGATGATCCACACTCACACGTTCCGTCTAGAGCGATAGCACGTTCTACCATTCTGTGAACAACTTCACGAGCAACTTCTAGATCCTTGTCTTCTTTGAGCATAAGAAGAGCATGGAAATTGCCTGCAAAGAGATTATGTTAAACCAACGTAAGAGGGGATAAGCATGTACCATCGCCGACATGTCCAACGATAGTAGACACCAATCCGGACTCGTCCACATCTTTCTTCGTCTCGTAGACCAGCTCAGGAAGGCGAGACACCGGAACACTGGAACCGCGATAAGTGTCAAGATACCTCGCGTAACCACCTAGTGGCTCAAGACATACCATACATCCGTACTCCATCCTCGAGACCCTTCAAGCAATGCCAATCCCGAAAACAGAGCATTTTTCCTGTCTGCCCACAGAAGCGCCGCCTCCTTGTCGTCCTTCGCCAGGGCAAAACCTGTTCCACCATGTCTTTCCGTAATCTTGCGGGTGATCTCGGAGCTCTCTTGCAGTGAACGGGAAGTGGGACCTTGGAACTTGAAGAACAAGCTATCCTTCTCGGGCCATTTCCGTGTAGACATGCCATATATGTTAGTCGCGTGCATGAAGCGGTCATCGCAAAGCTCGACGCATTCTAAGAACGCAGAGCATGTCAGTAAGGCTAACATGCAACGAGAGCAAATTTCAGACACCCACGAATTCCGACACCCTGGTTAAGTACATCAATCACCGCCTCTGTAGCATGGCGCACATCAGGAAACTGCACAACGGCTACGGTTGTCGGGAGGACCGGAGTAAGACGGATCGTCGCTGCACGGAACCAGTGTTTATTAGACGGTGAGGCTCAGACGAAGTCTCGTTCGAGCGTGGGCACCTTCGGTGATGATCCCAAGAGTACCCTCTGCACCAATGAACAACTTAGTCACGTCAAATCCAGCAGAAGATTTACGTGAGCGCCGCCGAGTTTTGATCACCTCGCCTGAAGGCAGTACGACCGTCTATGGACGAGATTAGGTTACAGTGAGAGTAGAACGTTCGTTCAGATGAACAATACCGACCACGTTTAAGATCCATTCGCTCTTTGCTGTACCATACCGCACCGCATTGGCTTTGAGGATAAGAAGACAAGCGTCGGCAGTAGCTCTTCGAGAGTTCTAGCTACTTACTGCCTGAACAACCAGTGCTTATCATCCCACCAATAGTGGCTCCTGGAGCAGGATCAAGCTGGAACAGCCAGTAAGTGAATGACAACCGTCAGTTGGGCACGAACTCACGGGAAAAAATAGAGGGATTCCTGAAGTCAATGTTTGAGTAACTCAAGTAGGAAAGTCGGCATCATCATGCACGAACCCTTCTTCTTCAGAGTTTCGTTGATGTCCATCCAGCGTGCACCCGATTGGCATACCAAGTCGGAGTCGGCCTCTGCAAGAAACGCGTATGAAAACAAATGCATCCTAATATTTTATTGATACATACCGTGAATTTCCAGAATCTGGTCCATGCCAGAAAGATCCACACAAATGCCTCCCACAGTAGGCTTGTGACCGACGAACGACGCTCAATTCGGGTCCTCGTGAAACAAAGTATGGGCCAACGCACAGCTCTAAAGTTTCCCTCGAGGCTCGTAGCACCCGAATATGGGGTGACAGGCATCTTGTACTTATTGGCTACCCTCACGATCTTAACCACATCCTCGGTGGAATTCGGAAACACCACAACAGTGGGTGATGATCCTGTATCAAGATCAGCAGCCGCTCTCGAAGCCAGGAGATGCATCATAAGGGAGCTCACCACCATGATAATCGTACTCTGAATAGCCATGGACATGTAGGTCTTCAGGGTCTGTGGTAACGCTATCCTCTGAAGGAAACAACCGTCGCAACTCGGCTATCGCTTTTTTGAAGTCCTCAGGGGTACCATACAGAGTGTTCAGCTCATGGCCAGAGGCAGCGGCCGCACGAGGAGACTGGGTCGTCGCGAGATAATATCCAAAAAAAGCGCTGCTAATCGCACCGAAGGCATAGGCCAGCGCACGGCGACCACTGCCCTCGCTGGCAGATGATAGCTGGCTATTGCGTCGAGTCCCAGGCACCTGCAGTCTACTAGGCAGGGGTCGTCGGCCTGGTAGTAAGCCACACTGGAGTTTACTACCACCGGGAAGCAGAGGACGTAAACGCGTGCCAGTGTATGTCAACATGTCTTCAGCACAGCACAGTCAGACAATGAAGATAGAAGGAAACCGCGAGGCGGAGGATGCGCTTTCGCAATATCTCGCCATTGAATTCCCCAGATGGGGTTCACATGACTGTGCTCATGGTAGCGTAATTTTAGGTTACTGTACCCGCTGGAACGACGATGAAGCTTGAAGCTCGATGAAGAAGTGCGAAGACGTGCAATAATATGTATGCATGTGCATGATCATGAACATCCACTAGCAAAAACTGTTTCACCATTGATCACAACCACGCCGGCACGTCGGATCCTGGGCATAGTCGCGCCGAGTTAGCTTACGCGCACCGTGACTACACCATACCGCCTGCAGCTCCTCAAACGGCGGCGAAGGGATGTAATCGGGCGTCGGGGAGCAGTGGAATAGAATCCACCCTTTTATCACACCGACTTGAACGATCCAGAACTCACAACTCGCCTGATCGCAAGAGGTGGTGAGCTTCAAATTGTTTCATGCGGGGTTTCATAGGTGTGTTTCTGTGAGACACACACGTTGCTTTAATGTAAAATGTGCTTTTCAGAGGTGACGATTGATCCCGAGCCCGTGCGTGGAAGACGAGTGATAGAAATATCGAGAGCAAAACAGACAGCATGAATGGTACTTCAGACAGAGAGATTGAAATGTGAGTCATCGATGGTACTGAAGACATGTCCTTCGTCCATCAGTTTATCCAGAGCTTCGCTACAGCAATGCACTAGTAAGCGTCGACAATGTTTTCGGAGCCAGACAACTTGCCTGATGGAGTGTGCGTCTCCGCCTACAGCCCTGGCAATGGCAGCAACATGCACGCCTTCGTCGTTGCGCGTTTGAGAGAGTATGAAGGTCACAATCTTGCGTTGAATGGGTGGCAAGTTCGAGTACTGATCATTGACCGCTGACGCGTCGTTTGATTGCCCCGAGTAAGCCGAATGCCCCCCAGCACTCGTGGTGCTTACATTCTGACCAGCTTCACTTGGCCGAGGAGGCTGAAGACGAGATTAACAATTGCGTTCGAGCGCGCGAGATAAATCATACCGGTCCTCGCTCATATACCAGCTGGTCGAAAGCGGCTTCAAGTATGTGGAAGTAAAGTTCATGCGGATCTGCACAAGGTCGCAGATGTGTAGCATTGATGTAACGCTTGTTGCCGAATGACTTCAGGCTGCCCGTGACACGGACATAAGTGTTCTCTCTGTGGGGGTATCAGAGACAACCAAAAAAGCTAGGGGAACCCATACTCAATGTTGCCCCATCGTTCGGCCTCTTCTTCGTTGGAGGAATCAACCCAATGACGAGCTTCGAATCGACCAGTCCCATCATCAAGCCAATATATACAATTTGTCGTCTGCACTTGAACTGTGACGACAACCGCTACAACGGTGATCTGAGACGATGGTGAACATGCACAATATACAGAGACGAGGAAATACACGACAAACCTGTCCAACATCCACATCATCAATCGTCCATTCGGCGTCCGCATGGGGTTGGGACGCGTTTAGGAGTTGTTTGACAGTGACAGGTCGTAGAGAGGATTGACCGCCACGCTAGTTGGAGATATCAGTATGCAGTACCAAAAGATGGAAAAAGCACATACGCGACCGGTACCGCCGGGACTCCCACTCCCACTACCAAAAGGCGAACCACCGCTGAGATAACCTCCACCTCCACCGCCCGCACTGGGGTAATAAGGATTCTCGCCGTCTGTCATAGCCATTCAGCGTAAAATAGGAATGAGGGACTCGAGGACATACATGTTTGGCTCATCACAGTTGATTTTCGTATGCTGGTTGTACGTGGAAAGACGAAAGACGCGTCGCGACGCGAACGTAACGTCTTATATGCCTGTCGGTCACGCGGCTGTGACATTCGCACACTATCGAGAAGTTGTACGCCATTACTTCTAGGTATGTAGGATTATAGATCTGAGCTGAGATGTAGCTACGCCGGATATTTAAGAGGTATGAGGGCTCAATACCCAATATTAATACCTCTCAAACATGATTTTTGCAGACCCGGATGATGCCTTTGCCAACGCCCTCCAGTATCTGCTTGCGAGCATCCCCTACTTTTTTCGATACTCCGGACACAAAGTCGTGATCAAGCTGTACACAATTCGGTAAGTGCTGCAAGAAGGCACCTTAAATGAAAGAAATTTTACCTCAGAGGGACCCCAGACAGGCTTGCATGCATCTACAAAGGCCTTTCTACCCTCGACTGTGGCATCCGTGTCGCCTAGCTTGATGAGCGACGCAGACATCTCACTCAGCACTGCGGCAGCTTTTATGCGGATATCCTTGAAACTTTGCACCATCTGGTACAAGGCCCGGTCGATCATAAGCCCAATACCATAACATATACCAGAACGTACCGCCCCTAGTTTGTTCATCTTCACGACGGAAGCCGGTTTAAATCGTTGCGTTTCAATGGTAAGAAGGATCAATGCCTGGCCAACGGTTAAAAATCGCATTCAACCTTGCCATTGCTCAGACACACCTCTTGTGTCAGGGTGGCTACATGAAGGACCTCGTAAGGTAGACGCTTGCCTTCTATAACCTCCCTGAAGCGAGCAGCCATGTCTATCAGGAAGTCAGTATGAGATGAGTAAGCATAACACCGAAGGTGCGCACCATCGAAGAACTTTGTTACAAGCTCTGGAGGTTCTGTGGCAGCAGGAGGATCCTCTTCCTTCTTCGTGTGTCCATTTGCAGCGTCGCCTTTGGGAGGAAGCTCGACACCCTTGAGAGGATGACCTGTCTTCAGCTCGGTCTGCTTGGCCGCTTCCGCAAGGACCGCAGAAGGCGGTGGCCGGATGTAATCATGGTAAGGGGCAAGCCAATCTCCCAAAACAGCAGCAAATTCAAGGAACGTCAGCTCGTCAGGGGTCAACTGTGAAAAGAGATGACAATCAGGTGAAGGTTTTCAGCCATAGATCGCCTGTTGCACCTCATCCAGTTCCTCCTGCTTCCTCCTGACTAGCCTCTCTTTCAGCGGGAGCTTGTTTTCGGGATCAATACTTGGTTTCGGACGATCACCGATCAACAGTTTGTCCTCGACCGAGTCATCGAGATCGCTGGCGAGTTGCAGCGCTCTGATGTAGATTTTCAAGAAAACCCACAACCAACCCAGCTAAACGTCATGCGGAGTGAGTAGTAGGACGATGAACGGGTTCGTGGACATACTCCTGGTAACCTGTCAAACAGCAGGGTTTGTTGGTCAAAGGATGGGTGGCAACGCGGTTGGTAGTTGGGGAGAATGCTGAGATCCCGGTTGTCGTGGTGGACTATGAGACAAATTCACTTTAGGAGAAACGTCGTATCTCGGAAGATATATCACGCACAGCGGTCGAAGATGAATTTCAGCTCGATGAGCTCCATGTCAATAAGGTCGGAATTTACTTGCTCATGAGCTAGTCGCATCCGGACATGTTCGACCTTGATGAGGTCTCGCTGCAGAGAGTTGTCGAGTCGATCCTCGAAGAGGATGAACTCTGGGATCTGCACATCCTGAGTCAACCAGAGCAACACATCAGACTATGTAGAGGCGTACTTGCGTGTATTTCTCTGCGTTGAATGCTCGCACGATAAATTCCGCAGTCTGTAAGCGAATGTGTCAATCACATACGTGGAAACAATGTAGAGCCCAAACCTCTTGAGAGTTGTTTAGATAGATCTGACTCGATTCAAGACACTCAGACGAGTACGTCAGATCCCCAATAGACGACAATGAGAATATAGAGGCTCGCGACAAGATGAAGTGCGAGAGTGTATCGCATTGAACTTGCTTCACATTCACCGCCCTGTATTGCTCCAGAGCCAAGGACGGCGCACCTATCCGGGGAGACATAAATGACACTCCCAAAGTTCTGGATTAGGCTGCCCTGCTCACCCAACAGTCTGTATATGCGGACGAGTGATAATCGCAGTGGGTACGAGTCTTTGCTCCGACCAATCGCGTATTCCAATACTGCAGCTGCCTGATACAAAAACGCCACCTGACTGGTGGATTTCCACAAGTCAACATAGACGTGGCTAGCAAGAACAGCAATATCGTCTGCTGGTTGCCTCTCAGTATCTGGGAAATCTTTCCCAAATTTGAGAGCATCAAGGTACACATGAAGGTACTGCTGCGCACGAGCAGCTTCCAACTCCGGGGTCAATTGAGCTCCACAGAGGTTGTAGCGTGCCAATTTTTGGGCATTGATATAGCGGGATAGATCCGAGAGCGTGTCCTGTTGGGAGTCATTAACATAGCGAGAGCTGTAGAGTAAAATATGACGAACCATGGAAGTTTGAGACTCTAAGAACGATGTCCACGCCGAAAGATCGTCACCTTCCAATTCGACATATGTCCTCAGATCTTCATAGCAGCAACCTTTGTCACCGAATTGCTGAAAGTACTGCTTCAGGAGGTTTAATAGTTCAGAGGGTTCTTTAGACGGATGTGAGATCGTGAGTGGCCAATATTTGTAAATGGAGGGATAACCTTGTGATAGACCGTGCATTCTCGCCCGCCTCTCCAATTCCAGCAACGCCAAGGGACCGGAGCGATCATGCAGACCATCTTGCTCCGCCACCTGAGTGAAAAATTTTCGAGTCTTGGAGATTTCTTCCGCACATGCAGCCCTAGTAGTATCGGTATCTGAAAGTTCGGAGGTCACGTCCCAGAATGTAGCATCTAACACAGCCAGGAATTCGAGCCAGTTGCGGACCCTCGTGACACAGACAACACTCAGAGTCAGCAAATTGTTCGATCAAGCCATGACCATACTCACTTCGCGTCTGTAATTCGCTCCTTCGCCCGAGCTCCCTCCTCCTTGCATAGACCTTTCGCCTTCCAGACTTCTCGCCGCAAATCGTCACATGCTAGACTGACTGAGCAGACGGCCTTGCCGGCCTCGTGTTCAAGCATTGTATACGCATCATCATACAGCTTCAGCTCCCGTAGAACAACTAGGTGAAGATAGAACCGGTCTGAGCTGTAGTAAGAGGGAGTGGTTGATGATGTGAGCAACCTGTGGGCGAGCTTGTAGAGAACGTCGCGGAAGTTCGGTGGGGTGGCAGGATCATTTGCCTGCAACGCAGCAAAAGTCAATGCCATCCAAAGATCAAGTTTAAAAAGGGGGATTCACCTGGAGCACAGCGCTCATCACACTCCAATACAGGTAGTGGTCATCGTGAAACTGCTTGTGCATTTTGGTTGCAATCTGCGCGGACGAGTGCATCGTTCAAGATCACCGAAGAAGGAACATCGCGAAGTCACAACATTGGTGAGATACTGTACCTGTTGTGCTGCTTTCCAGTTCCCGATCCGCACGTTCGCAAAGAACGTCTGAGAGCCCAGTTCTTCATTATTGGGTTGCTGCTTGTACGCCTCCTCGTACATTGTTACCATGTCCGTGTCTGATCTACCAAGTAGGCATTCAGTAATACGGCGGAGATTCCATGCGCTTACGTCGACCTAGTCCACGTAACACGTGCATCATGGCAGTTAATGTTGCCACATCTGCTGGCCTTGCCGCTAGGATCTCATCGCAGAGCAAGAGCGACTCTTCTACTTTCTGTGACCGAACCAGAGCGAGAGCCTTGAGAGCCTGTGCGGTCTAGTGAGCTACCGCGTTGTTGGACAAGAGGGTGATCGTACCTTGACGAGTTCAATCTTGGGCTGCTTTTTCAAAACCTTGTTACATGCTAGGATAGCAAACTTATTTGAACCAGTGTCAAGGGCCTCTGACGGAGATGCTGAGTGACAATATGTATCCTTGCAGCAGGAGACTCACCATAAATGGCACGAATCTGGCGATCTAGGTCGGCCGACATCAAGAAGGGACGCTGGCCAGGACTGATAACGAGAGACTACGAAGTAGAGGCCTGTTCAAGCCAAGCGACTGAGCCTTATACTCGCGTGTCGGAAATTTTTGGCAGACTGCGAGTCGGCGGCGGGAAGGCAAGTACACGGTCGAGCGTCACGGGACGGAATGGCACGTAGAATGCCGAGTCCGACCTTCCTGAGTTCTCCGGTCGCATCCTTCAGCGTTTCCCACTCTCGGAACACGCTGTTTGCGACGGTGGGCGTGAAGGCTTGGTGAGGTCGCAGTGGTTTTAGCGCACTGCTGGGAGACTAGTACTGACAGAAGCGGGACTACTTGCAGGTCAATTTCACCTCTGACGCGCGTGGCGATCCACAAGTTGTGTATGGCGCCCGCGCTCCTTTCGCGGTGAGGATGCTTTCCTTCGAAGCATTGACCCAACAGCTGATGCAGGCCATAGCACCCTTGACCCTTTCCTTGGAGTCTTCACTGGAGTGTTCGCTTACTATCTGCACGAGACAAATCCCCGTTCTGCCGTTCCTCGGGATGATAGACTGGTGGAACTTATGAAGTGGAAGTGGTCAAAACGGAAGCGGGAGCGGGAGATGCACTTGGCGAATGATGACGATACTGTCTTGACTGCAGTCAGTGCAAATCTCGAGAAGGAATGAGGTACGCTTGTCCTATAATGCCCTATCAATTTCAGCCTCAAACGCGTGCTTTACAAGTCCAGCTGCTCAATTTCCGGGAACCGACGCTGCTCACTGGCGTCGTAAAAGATCTCTGACCATATCCATTACCCCATGGAACACTTCCCTCTCGTGTTCAGTAAGCCCATCATCCTCTGTCTCAGCCGTTTTGTGCAGAGCGATCCCGACCACAACTCCCCGCCGATCACCTTGTAGCAAGTTGCCGGCTTCTTCCGCCCATAAGACTGTTGCGATCTGAGAGGCATACAGAGAGTACAGCGTGTGAAGGCGGTCAGAAGGAGCATTTCCGAGGAGTGGGGTTAGTTGGATGGAAGTCGGCGGTACTGGAAGAGGTGTGACATTCGGCTGCAATGGGTTTGGAGGAGGAGCTGGGAGCAACGGCGCCGTCGGAGGGATCGTCGCTTGTATCTTGTGATGTCAGCAAATTCGGTCTCAAGTCTCTTTGATCCAATGCACTGGCAACATACCAGATTCCCCACTTTACCTAGTTGCGTTACCAGAACGAGGGTACGGTCTGCGTAGGTCTGCAAGAGAACCTCTGTTGGTATCCCATCAAGAACTCTGAACGCTTGACCTGATGGTGGCATGTTCTACAACAAGTGGGCGGTCTGATATTCTGGAGAAATAAATCCCGATTTGAGGCCCTACCACGGAAGGAGGTGGTGGGAGATGACCGTGCTTGTCACAACAGGCGCCCACTCTGGCACCCATCACAAGCCTTTCAATGGTGGTATTCAATCTCTCTAAGTCGTCTTTGTTGTATATCGTTCCAGCCAACTGCCACTAAGTGAGTCGTTTGCGTCTGGAGAAGGTTGACAATATTTCGACGTAGTTCAGTGAGTTAATGCCCTACAATAGTTCATGTGGGCCGTGTGACTCAACTGGCAATCTACAGCAATCGAGACTGCAGAGCGGGGATACTTACTTCGTACGAGACACCATTGACTGTGGCATCGTATTCCAGCTGACTCGATGCGCAGTGTTGTCCCACTTCTTGAAGATTAAAATGGTTGGGATGCACGAAACGAAATTGTCCAAGGGCAAAGCAAGGGAGGATATCCACTGGCAGTTGGGTTGGTGGGACCTTTGTCGCTCATCAGAAAGACCACGAAGGTTAGTGGCCCTGACAGTCGTCTGGAACATATTTCCTGAATCGTGAAAGATGTGTGTAGCCCTCTTGTATGGTCAAAGTCTTCGCTGATCTTCACCGCCCATCCTTCTCAGCCTTTGGTCCTTGCGAGTCATTTCCCATCATCTAAACAGTTCATCGTGCCCTCTCCGTCGCCTGTAGCATCTTCACCCGCGTCCTACGAGCCCCCCACTATTATCTCGGTCTCGCCTACCGACGATTGGTTGTTTGCCTACTTCCCTGGCCGGGGCGGTGATGGAGCGGGATGTCTTTGGAAAAGGGGTCCTCAGCTAGACAGCTGGGTGGTCCGAGAGTGGTGGAGCTTTGCAGTGGGCGCCGGGGTCGTCGCCGCCGATTGGACAAGTGGCCATCGAGAGGTAAGTATTTCTCATTACACTTGTTGACAACTTCAATAATTCCCCTAGTGGGTGGTGACGGATTCAGGGTCTTCCGTTCGGCTACCTCCACGCGGGCCAGTCACTTCAGTGTCCAACCCGACCTTGCTGCTGATCACCCAAAGTCATCAAATCAATATTTGCTGCCTACCTCCCTCAGTACCATCCATGAAAATTCTGAGGGGTTCTCTATTGCAGTACAGTGCTTTCACGGAGTCTCAATCTTCCGTGGCAGAAACTTCTTATACTGGGCCAGGGCCAGGGGGCGTGAGCCTATGTACGGATTCTGCTATTGGCTTGAGCTATGACAGTACGTGCATATGAGATTCCCTAAGACGCGTTAATGAACAGCGTTCCACTGCCAGAGCCTTTTATCATAGTTGCTATGCGCTCTCGTCTGCTCCCGTCATACAGTCCCACTCAAGCGCCATACAGCTCTATGGATATTGACCTCTCACTGGATATCACTGATAGTGGCATACTATTAGAGGCAATTCTTCCTCCTGAAGGGGAGCTATGGGGAGAGGAGTCCGTGATCCGCCTGTGCAAAGTTTCGCTGGATTTAAGGGCGATGGGTCTGAGTATGTAGACAAGTGATCTCGCCGACTCTACGCTAACAATGATGGCTGCAGCTGTGATGATAGAACCGCTCCCACCCATCACTGGTGCTGGCTCGCATCTTACAGATCTCGCTTTTCTGAGCGTGCCATCCACACAACCTGATATCGTCCCCGTGGAAGTAACCCCAGGTGCACGTCAGGATCTGTACCTTACGGCAAGTTTTATCGACCCGGGAGACTGTAGGTATTATCTCTCGACCATCTTGCATTTCTGGTGTATCTCCATTATAATGCTCGCTAATTACGCGCCGCAGATAGTTCGATGCCAAAGACGGAGCTTGTCTTGTACACCTTCACTGCGACAGATCAACCTACCGGCAGCGGTGGCTCGAGTCAAGTAAGTTCACATCTGCTGACTCCACAAGAGGAGTATTCTCATAGCGAGTAGGCGGCACACGCCGAAGCGAAACGCGTATTTGATGATGGATTCCTCAGTTTCATTCTACCTTGCACCCCAAGGGGTACACTGTTGGCAGGCTTCATGGATCCTGTAGGTGCAATATCGCACAAGAGGTCCCAGGCGAAGGAGGTTTGCGTGGGGAGGATCACGGCTTTGAAGTTGTAAGTCTTCCATAACATTTTGAGCCACCCGTCTCATTTAATTGCTTCTTTAGGCCTGATCTTTCCGACTTAGCAAATCGTCCAATGATGTCAGCTATAGCGGATGTCGGCCGCGATGGTGGGTAGTCTCACCGCACTGTCAATTGCAGCAGCAATGAGAATTCTTCGTCTATGCCAGTACCTGTCAACGCTGCTATTTCACCCAATTCGGTGCTCTTATGCACCCTTCCCTCATCCTCGTTCCTAGGCACTCCGGTGTCTATTCACTCTTTACCACCGTATCTTCCTCCGACAGCCTCTCAGAGCAAGACTGCTCCAAGCATTCTTGGGTTGACATCCGATCTAGAACTTCCAAGTTGCATTGTTGCATCGATCCGCTCGAGAAAGTCACCGTCCGATATTATTCACAGCCTGTCGACATCATTGGCTTCTGTCGATATGTTGTCGAGTACGTTGCATGGTGCCGCATCGATTCTTGACTCCGATTCGTTTGGATTGTCTGAGATGTGGCTGAAGGACACGTTTGGCATTGCTACTGAAGTCTATCTGTACGAATTTCTCTGCTGTGAAACATGGTTGTCGTCTGATTAATTACTGTGTTCACTTGCAGTACGAAGTCGCGTCGCACCAACGTAGATGCAGAGAAGATAGACCTGATTGCTCGCTGGAAGGCTGCGCACGACGCATGCTCATTGACAGCTTGTTGCAGTGCGTTCGAAGAATGTCAGGAGCTTGTAGGTTATGACCTTGGTAACCATCCCTCGTCAGAATTTGTATGGAATGTCGCTAACTGTTTTTACAGATGCTGTGTGGCATCTGGTTGGCCTCTCCAGCTGGCTCATCGAATTCACGGAGAGCTTACTGAAGGAGTGTGTACTGGCTGGCGATGACTTGTTGTCGTCCGGCGCAGTGAAAGATGAGCCAGGGAATGGAACTTGTGAGTCTCTCTATACGTGCGAAAACCCACGCCCAGTAATTGACGAGAAACATCCAGCATATTCGAAGTCAACATTTGGTCCGCCAATGTTTCTACATCTCGTTCACCCGTACTGCCTCAACAAGTTGCATGCCGCTCTCGCTCATGTAAAGCGATTTCGGGACCATGTAGCAAGTCTGCCCGCCGGCGGGGAAAATGCACAGATTGCAAAAGAAGTCCTCATGGATGTTGTGGACGATGCTGGGCTTGATTTGGCAGCGTTTGTTCGAGTACTCTCCGAGGTCATCCAGGAAGCTAACCATATGGACGGTGAGAGTGAATGATAGTTCAGCTTGGGACATATAAGCTAATTTTGACATTTGAGCCGACGCCCTTCGGAGAAGCCTGGCAGATTGCCGTCCCGCATCGTCGCTGATTCCTCACCTACGCAAGATTGTGCGAAGGATCCTGGACTCCAATGTAATTGACCGGCCTCGTCTTTTCCTGAAGCCCACAGACCTCGTGGATGGGGTCGCGCGTGCCTCCGTTTCTGAGCGGCAATACAAGGGTAAGGACAGAGATGTGGTCACGAAGGGCGTGCTGCCCCACAATCGAGTTGGCGCAGTCTGTCTGCGTTGCGGAGGAAAGTCTGAAGTTCCAAGTGCAGAGCCTTTTGTAGACGCCTCTGTGCCGTGGAGAGTTTGGGAACAAGGTTGGACTGTCTGCATATGTGGTGGGTCGTGGTTGAGGACAACATTGGGACATGCGTAGGGTTTTTGCATGTATGCGAACATATTTTTAGAGCACTAAGGTGTTTTCGCCGTCTCCGTCAAGTGAGTTGCGTTGTATGTTGCTAAATAGGTAATAGTAGGCGTGGGAAATCGGAGTAGAACTGCATAGCAGCTCAAGCCACCGAGAGCTTGCGCTCGTGCACGAACGTTCCATGCACGCCCCGCCTCAACATCCGCCAATGGCCCCCTCAACTACGTGTGTACTCCTGGTCTCTCTCATATGTTAGTGCGCTGATCAGTTTCCTCTCATGTGTGTAGTGTACCGACAGTCTCGGTCTGTCTTTCTGGTGTAGCCTCGGCGTACTAGTGAACTTCTGACTTTTGTTGTACTTTGGATCATATAGGACATCGAAGTCCCAGAGACTCTCCTCAAGAAACGCAAGCAAAACGAAAAAGCTCGTGAGGAGCGCTTGGTGGCCGCAACTGCAGCGCGTAAGGTAGGTATTGCTTACCCCAAGCGTTTCCGTCTGGACTTCACATTTCATGATGCATACTACTTCTTTCGGCTAGTGGGGACGATGTTTTCGCCATGTTGCCTGAAACAACCATCTTTCGGGACTGATCTTTCGAACCAAATTCACTCAATATTTCAGTTTATCTGGCCGCGTTTGCTGATACAATGATTCGGATCTTCAGGCTGCCAAGGCGAAGCGTAAGGTCATCTTCAAGCGCGCTGAGGCCTATGTGAAGGAGTATCTTACTCAGGAGAAGGAGGAGATCCGCTTCAAGCGGGCTGCGCGCGCCGTGGGTGACTTCTACGTACCTGCACAGGCGAAGGTATACTTCGTCATCCGTATCCGGGGGTCAGTGGCTATCTGCGTGTTTTGTGTGAGAAGTTCATCCTCAATTTTGTGTTTTAGTATCAACGAAATTGCGCCAAAGCCTCGCAAAATCATGCAGCTCCTCCGTCTCCTCCAGATTAACAACGGTGTGTTTGTCAAAGTCACGAAGGCGACCGAACAGATGCTCCGTCTGATTGAGCCGTACGTTGCATATGGGTAGGTGTGATTTTCTATGCTTTGGTTCGAGTGCTCGCTCATGCGATGCGGTTGACAGGGAGCCAAATTTGAAGTCCGTGCGTGAGCTGATCTACAAGCGCGGATACGGCAAGGTCAATAAGCAGCGCATTCCCCTCGCCAACAACGGTGTCATCGAGGAGTCGCTCGGCAAATATGACATCCTGTCAGTAGAAGATCTCGTCCATGAGATCTTCACTGCTGGCCCAAACTTTAAGCAGGTGCGTTGAGCCGTTCCGTCTAGTGTGGTTTTCATGGCCGATGGTGCTTTATGACGCAGGCGTCGAACTTCCTGTGGCCCTTCAAGCTCTCTAACCCCACCGGTGGTTGGAGGACACGCAAGTTCAAGCATTACGTCCAGGGTGGTGACTTTGGTAACCGGGAGGAGAACATCAACAAGCTCATCCGACAGATGAACTAAGGTGCTGCTTGTGTTGATGCGGTTTGGCGCGCTTCGGGCAGTGGTGGTTCTATGCGGGAGCAAGTCCAGCATGCGATATGTCACTAATCGTTATCACTCATCTGTATGCCGTTTATGATTATCCCGTAGCAAGACAGTGATTTGAGGAGCATGTATTTCTTGCATGAATTCCGTGTGCAGTCGAAGCGTCACTTTGCCGTCGTCGCCGAATCACACTGCCCGGGGGCACTAGGTGACCACATAGTCGTTTTGCGCGTGAGGAAAAGGTGTGGGCAGGCGGCTTCGACAGACTACTTCTTCTGGTCCACGGTGATCTTGCTTCACGCTCCCGCCATACTCAACTTAGCATATGTGATTTAGATTTGACACTTATTACAAGCAGCCTCTCAAGATCTCATGTCTTACCATAAACATCTAGAAGATAATTGTTTCTTAGAGCGTTAGCGCCATAGAAATGCCGGACTCCCAAAATTCGAAGAACTTGAAGGGCGAGTCGAAGCCTCAGCCACGACAGGTTAATACCCTACTGCACACCCTTAGGTGAGCTCAGTTTCCCGCGAACTCAAGTAGAGCACGCTGACAGACATCCAGGGGCGAGCAGTTCCGTCACGAGCAGAACCTTCAGCGATCCAATGCCCACCTTGTTCGCCTGTCCTCGTTTCACTCACACAACATCCCTACCCTACCTTTCTCCGAGATCTACGACAATGCAGAGCGCACTGTGGACGTGGAGCAGGGTGCCCAAGCCCGAGGCGTGCCCACGATACCCCCCGTGCGGATTAATCCTGGAGGGATGCTGGAGTACGCGTATCCACGAGGCGAAGTCCCTGGTCCACCGATCCCGAAGAGCTGGAGCGGGGTGTCCGGCAGGGACAGGGATAGCGAGGTCGACAAGGAGGCGCGCAGAGCCGATGCGCTCTCGCTCATCTTCTCTCACCTGCCCCCGAGTGCGGGTTCTGGATGGGTACACGCCGAGGATCGGCGGGAGCCCACTGTGCCCCCACTCACCCTGCTTTGTCTGCGCGTCCTGCTGTCTGCGTGCTCCGCGGAAGAGTTCGCCGAGGACGTCGTCCCGTGCTTGCCTCCCCACCTGCGACGCGACCTTCTCCGCTGGACAGCCGTGCACTCTCCGCTGTCCAACGCGAAGCTGTACGCGCTGTGTAACACCGACGGGCATGCCGATGGTGAACTCATCGTCGTCGGACCCCAGGCGTCGCTACCCCGTGATTATCTGAGAGCAGAGCCTGACAGACTAGGATCCAGCAGACAAGATGTGGATGCGGCAGTGCACGAGGGCGAGGATGAGGATGAAGACTGGTCCTGGGACTCACCGGCATCTCACGCAGACACACCGTCTCCCCTCACTGCGCTCATCCTGCTCAACACTCCTCTCTCAGTCAGCACCTTGTTCACCTTCCCGCCGACGCTTACGCATCTCGCGTTGCTTGCGCTGCCGTCTCCTGCGCCTGTGCACCGCCTTCCGCGCATATGCCCCCTTCTGGAGGTGCTCGATCTATCGTTCAATCCGTGGGTTGGCCAGTCGGACTCTGCAGCGAGAGGTGCATGGATTCTTGCGCGCGGGGAGATGATCCTGGACAGGCTGGAGTGGAATCAGTGGGGGCGATTGAAGGTGCTTGGCTTGCGAGACTGCGGCGTGGGCACCGAAATCGCGAGGCGGGTGAACATGGGGAGATGGGTGGATGTGGAGATCGTCGGGGCAGCATCACGGACTGCCATCTCTTCGTGTCGATCACCGTACGCTGGCCAACTGTAGAGGCATCAGTGAGGAGCCTGACTTTTGATTGAGCACCTGCTGTATTCGGTAAGAGCGAAGAGGACACAATCCAATTGCTGAGTGGAGCGTAAGATACAATGCGTGTTTGATGAGAGCTAGAGTAAGTACAGAAGTACGCCATTCCTGTGAGATACAGTTCCGAATAATAAAACGATGTCCCTCCGATTGTAGCGTGCGTGAGCATCTGTATACCTTACGGCCCCCCGTCCAGGAAAGCGTGCAGGTCAAACCGGGGCACAGACTGAGGGTGACAGAACCCCGTGAAATGATGTACTCTCGACCGCGTGAAGGGGGTAAACCTACCTCTCGTGTGTCGGCATCGACGCCTGCTTTCTTCCGTGCAGCAGTGATGTCGCTGCCGGCAGTCTTTCCGGTGGGGCCAGTAGGGGCTAGCGCTGGCAGACTGCGGGGCAGGGAGAGACCCACGGGCCAAGCGGAAGGTGGAGGAGACTTGACATTCATGTCATGGAGGGCCGACCACAGCACGGACGTATACCGCGTGGACAGCTCGATCTTCGATGTCGTAGGCTGTCCCAGCCGATCTATGAGTATATTCATCGGTCAGTACGAGTGAAAAGACGGCACAAGACTCAGCATACACAGTATCGCGCTCTCGATCTGGTTAGCAACCGCTTCGCGCCGCTCGGGGGTCATGTACTCCGCTGTTGGACCAGACTCGGGCACCCTGTATGCGAGCAACGCGCTCACGCGCCCGAGCTCGTGCAGGTACAGAGCGCGGTCGCTCGCGCTCGGCAGGCGGTTCGCTTCGGCGTAGAGGTTCTGTGCGCGGTGCAGCTGGCGTTCCTCGGCGCTGTCGCCTTCCGGCGCCGCCGGATCGTTCTCTTCACCAGGTCTGTCTGCGATGATGGGCGGCGTGGACGGCTTGGTGCCCGGAAGGTAGTACGGGAGCGGCACGGTTCGGGAGGCTTCGATGAAGGCGAGGATGCGGAGGTTGAGTGCGAGGTGAGTAGGGTCGACGGAGGTTGATGGGATCCACTCGAGGTGGTCGATAGTCTTGGATGCGGGCAGGATTTCGGCGTCCTCGGAGAGCACTGAGGGGAAGTGCTTGTTCAGGAGCACGGTGGCTTCGTCCACCTGGCCCGAAAGGATGAGGATGCGGATATCTACAGACCAGCGACATCAAATGGACGACAGCGACGCTGAGAAGCAGGGATGATGAGTGGTCTGCATACCCTTACGGAGCTCGCCCAAGGAGAGTCTCTCCTCGAATGTTTCGGTATCGAGCAGCTCATCACCTTTCTCGACCGGAGACATGATCTCATCACCGTCGGCATCGAGGTGTTTCACGGCGCTGTCCCTCAGGAAGGAACGAGCAGCATTGGAATAGGAATTGTGACATAGATAATCGAGCACTAGGAGACGCTGTAAATCCGGAATTGAGGTAAGTTGGATGCAGAACGGCCTGGACAAAACCGTACAAGATCGTTCGGAGGGGGCTCAAATGGACGGTTGCTCGGAAAAGACTTGTCGTGAGCAGTAGATAGCTGCATGTCGCCTGGCGTCGGGATGGTCGTCGCAGAGAAAGAGTGTTTTCGTAGGGGTGAGTGCTTGAGTGGCGGCGTGCACATGGATGACTTCTCCGTATCATTTCACTCGCCTGCATGCCTCTCGCATGCATTTCTCCATGCAACTTACTCGTCCTGCAAGTATTCCTCCTTCTCCGTACGTCTCTACAGCATACGAAATGGATTTACGAACGCCTGGCAAAGCACGCGCGGCGACGAGCCAGATAAGCAGAGACTGTCCAGGAATGGAAAGAAGAATCTCGGAAGACGCCGTACCCTAGTCTGCTTTCTGACGCGGGGGGTTAATCGAGAGGTCGGACAATTTAGACGGAGCCTGAAATTTACTAAGGATTCGATACACCGGCAGTTCAAATCAATAAGCCTGCGGTTACAACCCGTTCCATTGCCGACGGGCGCTTACGACCTCTGCCAGTGGGCCCGCTCAGCGCTCAGCGGCCGCTCACCCTTGGAACTTCATTAATGCACCTGCTGGCTCGTCGACTCATGCATTCATCTTTGTACTGCGGGAAACAGACATTGCGGCAGCATAATCTGACCATGTTCTGAAGTTTGGTGAGTATAACTTGAATGCTGCTGCCGAGGAGTGGGAGGTCAGCAGATGATATTCATCAGCTTCGACACCTCAGTTCTTCTCGTTTGACTGCCGTAACATTAATTACAATGCAACCTACACAAGATTATAAGGTTCATCCACCTTGGCATACATGCCCTGTCAATCATATGGCTTTACCCTTGCAGTAGTGCATGAGGATGAATGTACCCCACTGATTGATTCTTATTTCTATGTACAGTATCACAGTATTCCCAATAAATATAGCTGGTCAAAATTTTTCTGAGGCAAACCAGAATGTATGGCACACACATACCACAACTAAGCATGTTTTCCATTCCGTGAGACGCAGTGCGACGCGTCTGTAGGAGGGACGCGTTTTTTCGTTTGTCATTGCACGTGATATGCCGATCGGCAGTGACCGACCTCTTAGAAAGACCCCCATTAAGGAAAGCAGACGTCAGATACGGATATCCTGAGGTACGAAGGTTGAAGCAGAGTAGCTACACTGCCTTTGGGAGACTACCGTACCCCACACTCACTGCCTTCTGGGTCTTTGTGGACGAGAGATCCGTCGGTCTCATCGTCAGAGACAGCGACGATGGCCTCGCCCGCGGCCCTCAGTGATCTCCTCGGTTACGCCTCTATAGGCTGCTGGCTCGGTGCCCAGTTCCCGTGAGTCCTATTCCTTCATTTTTCCGTCCAATTCTCCCATCATCGCGCCATCTGACGAACCATCCCAGCCAGGTCCTCGAGAATATCCGCAGGCAGTCATGCGACGGCCTCGCCCTTCCATTCCTCTTCAGCTGGCTTCTTGGTCAGTCCTTTCTGCGTGCTTGACCGAGTCGTCGTCTGACCGGCTCCAGGTGATGCGACCAATCTTCTGGGCTGTATCCTAACCCATCAGCTCCCATTCCAAGTAAGCGACCGGCTCTCGTGCGCATGCCGACCACTGACATCTACACAGACCTATCTCGCGACGTATTTTTGTTTCGTCGACTTCACCCTCCTAGCCCAGTTCTTCTATTACCGCTCTATCTCGAAGCCGATCTTACCGCCCTTCCTCCATGGCCGCCAACGCACCGGTTCGATCGCCACTCGCCGCATATCCATCGAACGCGCGCCCATACACTACCGTACACTCTCCAACGTCGCAGCGAACGTAGCAGCGGCAGCAGCGCTCGCGGCGGAACAAGAAGAGCAGTCGCGCTGGCACAGACACTCTCTCGAGCGCCCGCCGTATTCGACGATCGACGCGCTCGAAGAAGAGGACGATGACGACGAGGTCTCCGAGGAGGCCCTCGCTCGCCTGGCGGACAGCTTCCACTCCGAGGGCGGGCGCTCGCGGCGGGGGAAGAAGGTCTCGTGGAGCCAGGAGCGCCGCGGCGCGAGCTTGGGCAGGAGCCAGCGGCCGCCTTTATCTCCTCCAACACACATCCATTCGTCTCTTCTGATGACGGCGCAGGCCGATCTTGGCGACGCGCCAGATATTCTTCCCAGGGGTAGGCCGCTGTCCAGGGGAGGACAGGCGGCGGACGAGGAGGAGGACGAGCTTGACTGGTCGGGTGCGCAGAGGCGCAGCTCGCGGGCCAGTCGGAAAGGTGCGAGTATGGTGTTCATGGGCGTGTGGGCGCTGTTTGGGATTGGGACGCTGGCGGGAGGGCAGCGAGTGGTGAGCGATAGTCTGAGTACAGGCCGGGTTTTACACCGCGCGGAAGTCCCAGTGCCATATATCGCGAACTCCGTACCGACGGTGCACTCGAATTCTCTATTTCATGTTCCTGAGCCCACGTCCGTGGTGCTCGATTTCGTCGGAGTACAAGAGGACGAAACATTCAGCGCCTTCCGTCAACCACCGCCATCCACTGAATTTATCATCGGGCGGATCTCAGCATGGGTGTGCACGACGCTGTATCTGACTTCGCGACTGCCCCAGATATGGAAGAATGTGAGCAGCATAATTTGGCCACATGTTACTTTTGTCTCTAACGTTTTGCTCAGTTTGTCAGGAAATCCGTCGAGGTCGAGCGTTTCTTTTCCATACATGCCGGAGTTAAAATGCTGAAACTCGTTGCAGGGACTCTCGATATATCTGTTCATCTTCGCCTTCCTCGGCAATTTGTTTTACGTCGCTTCCATCCTCGCTTCTCCAAAGCTGGGCCTCCCAGCACCCGAAGCCTCGGCGTTCATTCGCGAGAGCACACCGTGCGTGTATACCCGCTCTGCTCGTCTTCACACTCTGACGCGTGCGCCTTTAGGTATTTGCTGGGCAGCGGGGGCACGCTCATGTTCGATGTGATTATCGTCATGCAGGCGCACATTTACCGAGCAAAGCCCCACGGCCACGGGCGGCGGAACTCGCGGACGGTGAACGAGGAGGAGGCCGGGCTGCTGAGTGCAGGCGCGACGGGCGCGGAGGATTCCACTACGCCGTCACGGCGACGGATGGGTAGCTCGACTGAGCCCGACGGTATCTAGATGTTTTTGCCGCTTCGGCAGGACTCTGTCTGGTGAGTGTGTCGGTGGTCATGCGAAACGGATGCTGACGGTTTGCAGGTGTATATCTTTGATGATACAGTTATTGTATGTCCTCAATAATTCGACGATTGTATTCTCTAGAAGGACATCTACTGTTGACGACATATATACGATTGGAGCTCGATACCTGACGACTCTACATGTTACTCTGTTTCCCCTGCGAGCTGAAGTCGCCCAACTTGAGTAAAGTGGAGATCGATCGGGATCATGATCGGGACGGAATTTAGCCACAATCCAAATGCACACAAACATCTGATTTGTCACTAGACAACATCCCTCTGAATTGCCCAGTGTAACTCTCTCACCCTTTGCCACTATGTCGTTCCGTCCAGCTCGCAAGCGAGCAGGCTCGTCGGGTGAGGGTTCGTCGGCACCAAAAATATCCAAAAAAACCAGATTCGTGGAGCCCTCCGAGGACCCGGTCAACTTCGCTGAAGAGGTCGATGCGCAGCTCGAGAACCCATCCGCGCAGCGCAAAGGGCGCGTCAAAACTGAAGGGTATGAATCAGACTCTAGCGATGATGGAGAGGGCGTCGTGCGCAGCCGGAGGGCGGGTGTCGACACGGCCGCAGAGGGCGAGGATGAGGACATGTTCGCCGTGGGTGAGAAGGAGGAGAAGAAGGTAGAGGAGAGCGGGAAAAAGAAGGAAGAATACTTGCGACTGGGAGACATTGAAGGACAGGAGTTTGGCGGTGAAATGTCTGGATCAGAGAAGTCGGAGAGTGTGGATGAGCCAGAGGACGAGGATGACGCGGAGCGCCGGAAGAAGGCAGAGATGGGCTTCGAGCTCTCGTCGTTCAACATGCGCGAAGAGATGGAGGAGGGCAAGTTTGCGGCGGATGGGACTTATGTGAAGTCGTTCGACCCGCACGCAGTCCACGATCGCTGGATGGAGGGGCTGGACGAGAAGGAGATCAAACAGGCGCGCCGGAATCGCCGGCATCGGGAGAAAGAGCAGCGGGAGAAGATGAAGGCGGAAGAGGAGGAGCTCAGGCAATTGGGCGGCAAGGATGTTATCGAGAAGGATTTGGTGGGAATGCTCAAGAAGGGGGAGACTGTGCTGGAAGCACTGCAGCGACTCGGCGCTCAGGCAAAGAAGAGTGGAAGGTCCAAGCAAAGGTGCGCCATATCTTACTATCTCCTCTGAAACCGACTCATACATCCGTTAGCATGAAGCCGAATAACAGACGCAAAGCCGAGCTTAACGGCGACGCAATGCAGGTGGATAAAGATGTCCCCAAAGAAACTTCGCAAATTGACTTTATAACACATCTTGCGTCGACACTTATGTCTCTCGGCGAGACAGACATCTATTCGAAGACATACGAGGAGCTAGTACGCTCAGTCCGATCCTCTGGTAAAGTGGACCAGTCCTGGACACCCCCATCAGCTGATGTCAAATACGAGTACAAGTGGGATGTTCCGGGAGTATCTGGTCAGAGAGGCCAGGTGTTTGGGCCATTCAGCGAAGAAGAGATGCAAGCGTGGTACAAGGCCTTGTACTTTGGTGCGGCTGGTGAAAAGGTCCAAGTACGGAGCGTTGGCGGTGACTGGGGCAGTTGGCGGGAAGTTGTGTCGTAGTGCATCAGGTAACCTCTCGGATGATCTGTCATGTGTACTAGTCCGGCGTGTAACCTTATCTGTATCTGTAGTCGGGGTATACAAATTTCTATGTGGACTCAAACACATGGGTGCCGTCTGTCCTACAATTACGGTATCACAAACAGCACAACGGAGGGTGTCGCACCGGAAACCCAAGGAAGAGGAGCGCTGCTGGGGTGTTAAACAAGCATAGTGGTTAGTGGCTAATGTACTGGAAGACAAATGAGACCTCTGGGAGCCCAACTTCTGCTCGCAGAAGATCATCGTGGTTGCTCTTCAGCTCTTCGTTGGTGAAGTGATTCCACCTAATTCAACCGTGAGCCAGATACTCTGCGAAACTTCGTCGACACTTACGTGCTAGCATCGCCATACAACAGCGCGTGAGATTTCATTGTCTGCTTGCCATTTTTGCACCGCTTGCACTTGAATGTCTCGTGCGTCTCGCAAAGCGTGTTCTCGTTGAAGAGAAAAAGTTTCCTCAGTGCATCGAGAGAGAAGTGACGCTCCGTGTCTTCCTTCTCGTCCACGACGGCCGATGAAAGGGCCTGCTTTGAAGCTTGCCGCTGGAAGATCTTCTCCTCAATTGTACCGGTAGAGATGAAGCGATATACAAAACCTGGGATGGTCAGCCAAAAATAATGATCCTAAGGACTTCTTATCGCACGTACACTCTTTCTTCTGGCCATCACGCCAGACGCGAGCCAAGGCTTGTTGGTCGGCAGCTGGATTCCAATCTGTGGCAAGGGTCAGCGGGTCAGCGATAGCTCGTACAGCACAGATCCTCGGAGCTATCCACCAGGATCAAAGAGAATGAGCCGATTTGCGCCAATTAAGTTGATACCGCATCCACCAGCTTTGCTGCTCAGCAAGAACACGAATTCTTTGCCGTTGGGATCGTTGAATGAGTCAACGAGCTTTTGACGTTTATTGATTGTCATGGTTCCGTCGAGCCGGAAGTAGCCATACCTTCAATATGATACACATCAAATGGCAACTGATTAAAAAAATTCTGGGGAGGCTCACTTTTTGCTCCTTAGCAGCTTCTCGAATAGGTCCAGAGTCTGCGTATAGTTGCTGATCAGGACGATTTTGTCATTGGTCTCTGATCGGATCCTGTGCAGGAAGCTAGATAGGCAGAGGAACATGAGCATATGATAGGTGCTTGTAAGGACAACACCGACCGCTCCAAAACCAAGAATTTGCCACCCCACTCGCAGTGCACATCATGGTTCCTGCTCTTGTCCCTGGTACTACTCCCAGCCCCAGTGAAGCCTTCTGGAAGCAGGTTCTCTGAACCCCTTAGGTCATCAGGCAAATTGAGAAGCTCGGGATGATTGCATAGCTTCTTTAGAATATTGATGGCCTTCAATGGCTGGGAGTCTGTACCACGCAATAGGGCCTGGATTTCAGGCGAGGAGATGAACAGGCGGTACAAGGAGAGCTGGAAGTCGGAAAGACGGCAAAACACCACCTGCTCGTACTTTACGGGCACTGCAAGGAACGTCAGCATACACCCAGTCGCTAAAGCATAAAAACGCACGATACTTGGACAGCAAATCGTTTGTCCGTCGTATGATGAACTTTGCCACCAGTCCTCCAAGTTCCTTCAGCTTCTTCTCACTTGCAGCTTTCATGGCGTCACTGGCATCGGCGTCACGACCACGAATGATAGCGTTCTCGAAGTTTTTCCGGAAGTCGTTCTTTGAGCCAAGAAAATTCGGATTTGCGAAGTTCAACAACGAGAAATACTCGGATAAGTCGTTCTGTGAAGTGTTGTGCAGGACTATTCAAATACTGCACAGGATAAATGCCTGACCTGGATAGGCGTCCCAGATAATATGACTCGACGTCTGACGTTGAGCCCATTCAGAGCTTGGAACGTCATCGACTCTATATAATTGGACATTATGATCGGTCGGACGGGATTGCTAGAGAACATTAACTCGCCTGAATTCTTGAGCCGATGACCCTCATCGCAGAGCAACAGTCCAATCGAGCAATTAGCAAGATGTGCAGTGAGTGTTCGCAATGTTTCGTAGGACACGATCATCACTAAGCAACGGAAGTGTTGGGTATTTCGATGACACATAAGAGGGTAAGTTACCCACCAGGTTGTGAGACATTTCGCCCACCCGCCGCAACCCATCTCGCAACCTTTTCGAGCATTTCTGTCTTTCCACCCTTCCCATCTATAGCGAGCGCTGTGATGGTGTCTTTGCCAAGCCATTTGACTATCCAAAAGGTGAGTCGCGTACTACATAGTGACGAGCAAAAAAATCACCTAGTTCGTTCGCCCAGTTCCTCACCAGACTCGATGGACATGCTATGATGCATTTCTCGATCGTTGGCTTACCGGCATGAGGAGATTGCTTGATGAGCGTCCACAGCAACGCGATACATTGCAGCGTCTTGCCGAGACCCATCTCGTCAGCCATGATGCATCCGTACTGGTTCTCGACAATCATCCCTGTCGTGCATTTGTAGAGGAACTAACAGACAATTCTAGTCAGGCTGTGAGTGAGTGGACGGAATCCAATGCACCTTCACTCCCTCGACTTGGTGAGGCCTGAGTACCTTGCTGAGACGTGGGTCGATAACGACAGCAACTTTGTCGTTCTTCTTCTTCTCCTTTCCACCTCCGAGCAACTCCCTTAGGCTCTTGTGAGGATTGTATAGACCGGACGTCTTCTCTTGTGCTTCTTTCACCGCTTTTTCCTTGGCTTCCTCCTTCTCTCTTTCTTTCCTTTCCTCGTCAGTCTCCCTGTCATCCACTGTAGGATCGTAAAGAACAATAGCGTGGTCTTCCATAGGATCGTGGAGTGGTCTGGGGTTGATATTCGCCAATGGGCGGATCCCGAGGGCGACATTGGTCTGAACGGTCAGAACAATCTCCCCATCCTTGTTTCTCATAGCTGGTATAGAGAACCTCCGCGCGACCTGGTTAAACGGCTTCACCTTGTAGATGGGGTATTCCTTGACATTGTTATCGCGCGGTTGGTCGTCTTTGTCACCCCGTCGCTCTTTCTTCTTTGAACCATCCGAGTCGGAACCATCAGAGTTCTCTTGTGCGCCTTCATACGACACGCGTTTCCTCTTTCGTTGAGGCTGATTGCGTTGCACCAACCTCGACGGTGGCTTGAATGGTTTATTGACCCTAGTACTGTCTTGCAGCCTATCTAGAACCTTGCCATCGGTGGTAGTAGGCGCGTGTCTAAGCATTATGAAGCGGTGAAGCGGTTTAACAAAGGTCGTCGGCGAAAGAGGTTAACAATATAAGGGCGATTGTTGGCCACGCGAGTCACGGGCGTAACGCGCGGCGCTCACATGATAATCATGTGACCGCGAAGTTCGAAGCTGCGCTGGACAGCCCGCCGCTGTCGCACACGGTGGCGGTGGCAGCAGGGTCGATGCGATGTGATGGAGGACGCTTGAACGCGGCGCCTTTGCGACATTGACAAATACACTGGTGGTGAGTTACCAGTCCTCTATCACAAACATGTCAGATACGCGTATCAGATTCGTGCATATCTGTGCCGTGTTTCGCTGAATCTCAGCCTTCAGGGGCCAATACCAGTGTATTACCTCTATGAGAGCTGGATCAATGTGGTCGCGGTTGCTAAAATCCTGAACGCAGCATGCTGAGTTACAACACAGACACTGTGAAGTGAAAGCATGTATGTAAGTACATGGTACCGTCTATGATCTTATCTATGGGAATTCCGTCTGTGATTTTACGCCTGGGACCCCCTTGTGTGGGACTGCAATGATCCGAGTAAATGAAGCCTATATATTGCGGTGTCTCTCAACCTTGCCCCTTCTCACGTTCATAGCATACCACAACCACCATCCGCCACTATCGTCCAAACCATTCCTGATCGTGATCGTAAGTGACGATAGCGCATTTTTTACTTGAATCAACATTAACATTGTTTACAGAGCGCACTTCTGTGGCCTCATGCCCTCCATGTCCTCTGTGCCCCTCTCGGAGCCTAACGATCACCAGAGGGCCATCATCAAAGATTTTGAGGACCAGATACAGACCATCCGCGCCAACATGATGAAGACTGAGGCCCTGATCATGAACGTGGAGGAGGCCATGAGGTTGGTTCTTAAGGCCTTTCCTCCTCAGGCCTCCCTCCGTAACAGCGGCTCCGATGGCGCATCGCACTCCGCCGCGTCAGGCCTCTGATGCTATTGTGGCGGTCTAATGTAAGTCTTGACTAGTTATTTCTATCGGTACATTACTTGACTGATCAGTCATGCACATAGGTGCCATAGGGCGGTTGGGAGGCAGGAGGCTGTGCATGGGCTGTTTCGCTGGGGCTCCGCATCGAGATTGTCACCTGTATTTCTTTCATTTTTGTGGAACCAGCAAAGTGCATGATGCAGATGCACAATAAATGCGTATGAATGACTCAATGCGAAGGGGCCGAACGTCGTGTTTGATTTTTGTCCAGTAATGGCCACCACACGCGAAGGACAAACTTTAAGGTACAGCTCGGCTGTGGATTCACAGATTACAGACTCTTGGATAATGTACGGGATATGCTCATAGTAAGAAGCTTTGGCGGGCTCCCTCTACCAACGTCCATCATCTGCATGTTCAGCAGCTTGAGCATAAGCTGAGAAGTCTTCAATACGAACATGCGTCACGACAACAGTGTCCCCCAGACCCACAAGAGTCGGAGATATATCGAACTTTTGTCCAAAATATTTGTTCTCGGATGCGAACATCACTAAGAGGTTGATGCCTATCATCTCGACAAACTATATGGGTTGCAGCCAAGTTACTAATGCGCCCTGCAATGATATACAGAAAACTTACCAGTTCCCCTGCTAGCAAGCGCGTTCTAAAGCGTTTAAGGTGTTGTTTGTGCACTTCCTCCGCATTCGGATCAATTGCAAGCCTCGCACATGACCCTTCCATCCGCAACGAATCAACGAGATTGGATGCATACTCTCCCTTGTAGAACTTTCCTGGGGGGCCTTTCAGATTCTTGCCCACATTGTCCAACGTTGACCCCTTGGGAGTGACATCTCGGAGAATCACTGGTACAGATACTGCAGAATCGAGGCTGAGGAACAGCGTTGGACGGAGAGGCTCCGAATCACTAAACAAGTACATTAGTCATTTAGTGTCCCTGGGTGACGCGATTGTTGACTCCGCATACCAGCTCGTTGATGAATCTGGTGCGCGATGGCTCTCGGGACCAATGGTTCTGAGACAAATATTAGTCAATACCCGATAGTCACGGAGAGCCCATGCATTGCTACGCACAGTGGCCCAAAAATGGTGGATTGCTTCCACGCAGCAACGCCCTCATTCTTGAGTACATCCGGCTCTGGGGGTTCATCCTCCTGTTCAGCAGCGGCGATGATGCTGCAGATACAATGTTATTTCAGCCGGACTACGGAGCGGTTGAGACGAATACGCACAAATTGGGAGGCGCTTTGGACTGGATTACATCGGGATCGTCTTCGCCCTGAGCGTCTTCATCGTAGTCCGAGAGAGCTTCGCCCTCTGATTTAACGTATCCTGATAACTGAAGCAATTCTTCTCCCTTAGGAGCTTCATGAGGTTGTGCAGGATCTGCAGGCCGTAAGCGATCTAAGCCAGGAATCTCGGCGTCCACATCCAAGCCACCTGTCCCGAATCTGTCACCATTTTGTAAAGTTCCTGCTACACATGGCTCCGCAACAGCGATACCGGCGATACTAGTTGATCCTAACGAAGACACTACAGCCTGGGATGTGAGTTGGAATCCGCTAGAAGACCGTCCTGGTCCAGGTTTAGAGCGAGCACCTTGAGATTTAGATGTTATGGGGTTATGGCTATTCCCCGAGATGGTGGGTCGAGAGGGACCGGAGTGCGCAGCGCCATTGTCAGAGGCACCTCGCATGAATTTGCGCTTGGCGGAAATGGCACCCTCATAACCAATATCCACGTACGGTGCATTGATAAGCTTCACTTTTGGATTGGCTTCGCGATCGCGATGGGCAGGCAAACGGTTTTGTTGCGGCGGTGGAAAAGGCTCGGGATTTAGCAATGCGGAAGCGCCGAAGGGACTGGGGGGACAATCGTCTGCTTCCATCGGATCATCTGCATTGTCGTCATCACCGAATAGAGGCTCGTCCGACGGAAGGGTGAGAGCAGCATCTACCAAGTCCTCCGTGCGCGTCTCAATTTGAGGAGCCTTAGCGCGGGGACCATTTTCATAAGACTTGGACGATGTTTCGTCTGGTACAAGTTCGTCGTTGGGAGGGTTTGGGCGCCGTCCGGATCCAGATCTACCGCGAGACGACGACGAATTCGCGCTCCCATTCGCAACACTTGGCGGATCGGGGACAGAGTGCCGAAGAGACTTGCGTTCCGGAGAGTCTTCTGTCGCACTTTTGTGAGAATGGCCACGGGATCGCTTCTTCCGCTTCAAGGCAGGCGCCTCTATATCGTTTAGCGCGTCCATATCACGTCGTCGTTTTCCTGCAGCTTCCTCTTGGTCAATCAGAGACTTCACCTCATTTTCCGAATCATCCGGTGGGGGTTGAGATGCGGGACCTGGCCTCGACATCGTGTCCATCTTGGCGTGATTCTTTTTGGCTCCGCCTGCTCAGGCATAAATATAAGGAGTTCGGGAAAGAAAGGAGGATCGTACGCGGAGGTCCAGAAGGGAAGAACTCCTCATCCACTTTGAATAGATTGATTTGCTCGAAGTCCCTGCCATCCGTGCTGATGCGCCCCCAGAATTTCCGGATGAAATGTTCTGAGCCCCCTTCAAACGATACAGCTGGTTCCCACCTGTTAGCGTTCCCGCCGCCAGTACAGCGATTCAAATTTGAAATAACAATAGGTCACTTCAACAATCAGACGTGCAGGGGAAATTGTGACGCATACGTGTTATGTTTGTGTGAGTAGTTCTTCCACTGGTAAGCGTAAGTCGGTACCACCGACAGATGCGCGCGTTATTCACTGACCTTTACGCAATATCGCTGTAGGGATGAAGTCAAAGACATTATTATTCGTGCTCAACTTCGTCTTGCATAACGTAAGCTTACCCAAATTTTTCTTCCCTTCTCCTTCACGACTTTCGCCCGTAAGATGGCTTCTGCAGAGCGGTGGATTAGACTACACGAGTTCGCTGGCATACCACGATGAGGACTAACCAACTTCGTATTCATCTGCTGACGCAGGCATGGCCGCTTGATGAGAGTGGTATTAGCAGCCTGGAATCGATGCTGTCATGCGGGGCGGGGGAATAGTCGTCGTTGTCAAACCAAAGCAGAACGCTCGAAGTTCAAACGCCTGTACCGCGCGTGACACGCGGCTCCCCACTGGGTGGGCGCTCCTTGCCGAACGCGTCGCGCACTGACTCGGATCATTTATCCGCAGATATACAGACGATCCATATGTAGTGAACATGCTCTGCGTTGAGTGCAAATCGACGGTAATACATTGACATGTACATTGCATATTATAACCTAGATGGGAGAGTGTGTGATCGGATGGAGGTAGGGACATACAACGCGGTGAATCAAGAAAGCAATGTAGATTAACGAGCGCTAAGCAGTGTAAGTGATTCATAGCATAGCAGATAAAAGTAGTCTTGGTGGATTCGTACCGGCTCATAGTATTAGTATTCAGGGCGACGAAGGAGTCGCCCCGCGATGAGGCAGTCCTTCACCCACGGCAAATGCACGCAGTTAACATCGCCAGCGGTGGTCAGAAGATTCGCGGCATCGCCTGCGTCTTTCACGACAACATAATTGTACACTTTGAGGTCCTTGGACGATGCATATAGGACGTCGGGCACTGCCTCAACATAAGACGCGCCCATACACAGCAGAATTCGAGGCACCATGCGGCTCGCCTCCTTTGCCCTGGCCGCATCCGTAGCATTCTGGTTGCTCGTTAGCAGCGACTCATTAAAGGACGTCGATGGACTCACTCGCTTGGCCGCCCGGGGATGGAGGGGCACAAATTCCGAGTGAACGCAAAGTATGGATAGATCTTCGAATAGCTTCGATGCAACTGGATTCCTCATTATATCTTCGAGGTATTCGATGCTATTTCCCCAATCGAGATCAACCATCTGAGAAACGCGGGCTTCGAGGGAGTCAGAGTACCCTGCGGGCAGCAAATACGGCTGCCAGTCATGGTCGGTCTAGAAAGTCAACTGCTTGAGAATGTATTACATATTCGCAAAGAGCAAAGTAACTCACTTGATGTGCTAGGTTTTTAAGCCAACCGACGGATATGCACGGAACCCCGAGGGCAAGGGCCATGAGGAATTTGGGTTTCTGGTTCGCGTCATCAGACAAGAGGAATACTCTCTCTACGGTATCGCTCTTGATCCAGCGAACGTCCTCCTTCCGCAGGATCCAACACTTGTTGTTTTGACTGTGAGATCCTTCCATAGTGAAGATGGTTGTCCAGTCTTCAATAACCACACCTCCCAGGTTCCTGATACTAGCCATGACGCCATCCTTCACAGCTTCCCAGTTGTCGTTACCTGCACTCAGGGTGACAACAAATCCAGTCTTCGCAAGAGGCTTGCGCGAGATCCTAACAGAGCCAGCACTGACGACGGTCAACTTCGAGGGAGACGGACTAACTTTGAGACTGGGTCGGAGTGCGGTCACCACCGATTCGGTAGTCAGCATTCGATCTTTCCATTCAGTCACCAGGGTACGCGAAGCGATCCGTACTTCTTGTAGCTCCACGACGGAGGTCTCGAAGTCATCACCATTATCGACCTTCACGGTGACCTCGTCGTCCGCACTGCATCCTGTCCACACGGCAATTGTCCCTCTTTGATTGTCCCCTAGCAAAACGTGGTCCCCTATATTGAATTTGCAAAGCCGCATCTTCGACAGATCAACAACGCTTTCGGTACGATCGTCAAAGTGAATGAGATATCGTGGTGGAGAAGTCGTGGAAATTGAGTAAACGGTGCCGGCATAGTAGTGCCCATCCTGTTTCCAGAGGGCAAATACGCGCGTAGCGGCCGAAAAATCTTCTTTCACACCAGAGGAGGAAGCCTTGAGCTTTTTGGTCGGTCGAGGAGTATCCGCTAGAGCTTTGGCGGCCTTTGCGGCGGCCCTGGGAGGGAGTTTCTTCCTCACGGAGGCCGCCCGTCCCCTCTTGCGACCTCGCCTGAGTGGTGCAGGCGCAGCATCCTCTTCATCGTCGTCCATGTAATCGTCGTCAGCAGGCTCTGTAGTATCTTCCTCACCACAGTCCGGCATTTCTGTGTCCAGATCCTCAACAGTTCGCGTCGCTGGTGTTCTGCGTCCCTTCTGGACAACAGGTGTGACGGACTTTCTGCACCCTTTAGTTGCGTCTTCTTCAGGTTGTACCGCACTCTTACATTCCCAAGAGCCAGCGAGAGCGTTAGCTGCGACAGGTCCGTAATCTGTCAAAGGGTCGGAGGATGGTATTATCCTCGTTTCCCGAGATGGTGGGTCTTCGAATCCGCTGTAACGACCGATCTCCTCCATGTCTGCCTCGAAAGGCTCCGTGGCTTTCTTAGCAATCTTGACACCTGCCACCCGAGTCAGTCGACCAGCAGGGGCCTTCCCCTTGCCCTTCTGCTGCTGCACCACTGGAGTTGGAACTACCGCAGCCAACGGAACCTCATCCTGGTCATCTTCGTCGCCTGAAGCTTCGTCCTCATCGTACAAGGCGGAATCTTGGATCACTTCTTCGTCCGAATTCTCTTCGGTCTGGCTCGTCATTCGCTGAACGACATGTCCACGTGACCGTGCCTCAGGAACTGGTGCAGGTAGACGAGCGAGAGGCACAGGCGGAGAACTGTTCTGTCGCGCCATCTCAACATCTGTGGCTTCTGAATCCGGCACTACCTCCATATCGTCGGAGTAACGCGTTCTCGATGTCACCACGTTGTGATGCGATGGTATCGGGATTGGAGTTATAGGAGTAGTTAAACTGCCTTGGACAGCAGATGCATTCGACGGCGGCATGTCCCGCATGGATTCGCGAGGTCCAGCGAAAGTGGACGCCCTCTCTTCCGAAGACATGCCTGTCTGCTCGGTCGATATGCGTGCGCCAGGGAAGAGCGCCTGCATCCGCCATAATTTCTTTGGCCCTAGCAGACCGGCAACGTTCTTGGGCACGGTGACGGTAGTACTGGTTGATGGTGCACCCGGAGGGACAGAAGGGAACTCCACCTGACTCATACCGGGTAAACGGTCAAGGTCGGTTGGACGAGATTCCGCGTCATGTACGTCAGTAGGAGGGGAGGCTAACTGCCTATCCTCTATTTCGTTAGGTTGCGTCGCAGGCTGCGTGGCGAGCTGCGTTGCTTGTTGTGTTACAGGCTGTGTAACGAGCTGTGTTGTCTGTTGCATCGCATGCCGTGTGACAGGCTGCGTTGCTGGTTGCGTCGCAGCCGAAGTATCCGGATTATCCTCGAAAGGATCCAAGTTCAACAGGCGCTCATACGACGATGAAAGCTCAGTAGACACAGACCGAGGAGACGAGGGCGTAGGATCTCCCTGCCCTTGGCCTGCCGGATGTGAACCGTCTAATTCCAAGCCTCTCGGCTGGCCTTGACCCTGTGGAAAGTCATCAGACACCTGCGTATCTCCATCCTGTTGAGACCCGTGAACTGGGGGACCAAGACCATAGTCATGATCGGGCTGCGAATGTTCGCCCCGAGAATTGCTCGACTGCGAGTTCGACGGTGTCGATGCGACAAAGACCCGACCGGCGGAGAGTGGCTGGAAGGGAGTATAAGGATCTAGGCGTCGATCTCGGTAAGGGCGGACGAACATGGGGGCGGTCCGAGAGGAAGACGCACGTCGTGAGTTTTTTAAGCTGGGCTCACCCAGCTCTGTCAATGGGATATGGAAGGCTTTTGTACTCTCAACAATGGCTTTATCTGGATCTTGGTAAGAGTGGATACTGGGAAAGGAACTTTGAGAGGCTGGTGATGGAGATCTCTGGCGTTCAGATGTAAACAATGGGGTATGCGTGCATGCGGCATTAGGTTGTGGCGCAGCCTGCGGAGACGCGATAGGAGACCGGAAGGAGACCACCTTGAGAGGTTTTGTGCTCAAGTTGGGATTATTGAAGGGGCCCCGCGATACAACAGGCGGAACTGCTGGACGAGCAGTGGCATTCGTATTATTTGCTGTGACGAACGTGGATCGAAAAAGGTCGGAGCTTCCAGAGGCCGAAGTAGGCTTACTGGATGTTGTCGTTGGCGCACACGCAGCTGATGGAGAAGTCGGGGAACCTGGAGTAACCAGGAGCCTGTCCCTGTCCCACGATGCAAGAGAATTTTCTTTTTGAGAATCTGCGCCTTCGGGTTGAGCTTCGCCCTGAGAATCGGTCTGCGTCGCAGCGAGACCATGAAAATGATACTGTGGAACAGTGTTGCGAGTGCTGGCATCTGATGAATGGGAGTCATGGATTAATGTCTCGTCCTCTGTGCGGCGGGAAGCGCCAGGATCATCCCTGCTCGGGCCAGTCGTAACATCGCGACGCAATATATTTTCCAGCAACTGCGTTGCTTGGGATTCGCCACTTCCGATCATGGGTGAGCGAACACAGAAGAGTGAACGTGATATAAATGATCACACAGAGGACGTAGGCGGTACAAAGAACTCACCTAGGTTCATCAATTCCGTTCACTAAAGTCATTATATACTTGAACAGTCTGGGTATCTGCAGGAAATGCAAAGGGACGATTACCGGTCAAAAACCTGCGCGAGAATGAACTTCTGCTCACCGGTGGTATTGGATTGAATAGGTCGGATTCCAGAAATTACCCAAGAAGTACAGTGTCGGCAATTGTCTTCGACTTAAAGAAGAGAAAAAATCAGGGAAAAATAGGACATGCGTCAGGATGCCACACTGCGCGTCGGCGGCCAAGCGAGAAGGACACAGCACAGTGGTGGGGGACGAGGTGGTCGGTACGCGTCGAGTTTCGCCCTCTTTGGGCGCTTAAATCACGTGCCAACTTTCGACCTCGAATTGAACCTTGGCGCCGAGTTCGACGCCCACTCGTCCTCACAGATATCGGTGCTGGTCGCTGGCTCGGGATTACCTCTTACTGCACTCGCTCGTTAACCCTTCACGATCTTTACCTTCCATGGCGCGCAAGGATCCACGGCCAAAGCGCGCTGGCCGCAAGTTGAACCATACTGGCCCTAAGCCGAAGTCGAACCGCACGAACCAGAAAGAAGAACAGGCCCCGGGCTTGCAGTCAATCAACTTGGAAGAGAAGCAACCGCCCGATTTTCAGAGCATATCCAGCTACAGGCATTACAAGACCACCACGAGCAAGGCAAAGGGACCCTCGCCTACTGCCAGGCCTCAGATCAAACCTGCCTCCGACGTGAACGTCAAGGTCATACCCGTTGGTTCCACTTTGACTGTATTGCCCACTGGAACGTTTACTGCGCATACTGGCGCTCTACCTCTCATTCCTTCATCTACTCCTCATGTCAGCACGCCTGGTACGACTCCTGGCTTCTCTCCCCTCCCGCCTCTTGCCTCGTTTGCCGCGACGTCTTCAGTGTCTTCGCTGCTACACGAAACGGTACCAACCGAGTCTCTGGAGGCGAAACAGCGCCAGGTCCAATCGCAACCTACGAAGCACGTTTCTACTGTCGCGATCGCCCTTGTCGCTGTCGGCGTGGCTTTCTTGCTCCTCGGCATCTTCATCGTCTTCAGAATCTGCAGGCGTCCTCGCCGAAGGACTTGTCCCACCCCTTCTCTGCCTATCCTTCAAGATCCCTTTACTGATGAGGACGTTGTCGGTGACGAAGAATCACTCTTCGGCGGCAAGGAGCGGGCTTCCGGCAGACCCGAGAGCAACGTCCTGTGGACTTGGACCCAGTACTCCCAACCTTCTCTTAGAAAACCCGAATTTACAACTGCTGGCCTTCCGGAGAGGACCGGCGATGCGCAGATGAATGTGGCTCCGGCAAAGCGAAATTCCACTGGATTCAGTGAGAAACGTACATCTCTTACAGTAGAAGAAAGGTCGGCGGCCCCGTCCCAGCTTCCTATGCAACAAGCACATACCGCATTATCACGTGCAGCAAATCGAGTCTCTGCTATGTCGATGTCTGTCTACCCTGGTTCTCCTCTATCTACAGCCGGCCCAGGAATCGGTGTCGCTCTCGGGGGCGCGTCTCCTCTGACGGCCGATGGGATGCCCGTCCTTCAGCGTAGCATATCGAAGCCGTCCACTCAGCGGCTCTTGAAGAACAGGAGAAGCGTGCGATACAGCATGTACGATCCGTCGCAGATTGGCGAAGACTTGTCTCAGTCCAATCCTGACGTCTACGATGGTGCGCAAGTCACATCTCCAGTGCCGTCGCCCAATGCTCTGCCGAAGTCGAAATCTGTTCAGGGTCGCGCCCGTGTTAAAACACCATACGCTCCTGGCGTCTTGCGCACGTCTTCTAGTGTGTCGGCGTTCCTGGGTCGCGATCCGAATCCATTCGAAGATTCTCAGTATATTCTTCCGCCTCTCTCACCCGCCCTGAAGACAGATGCGCTCAGGGAACGTGACACGAGGGCTTTAGCGTCTGCACTTGGTTTGGCGAGTCCGCCCCCGCCCTCCCCGCAACCGACGTTGTATCCAGACGATTCCATCACACGACGTCAGTCGAGGGTCATTGGGCACGGGAGGGGCCAGAGCGAGGCTATGAGCCCGAGTATGGAGGCAAGTGCACGGTTGGGAAACCTCATGTTGGCCGATTTCACGAGCATGGCATCACTTCCTTCCACACGCGCCATCAGCGGTTCAGATCAGCCTCCGGTCAGGACAAAGAGCACAAGGAAGCGAGCTGATGACAAGCCTCCCCGTGTACCTTCTCCCCCGCCAATGCCTTCCCTTGCGCAGATGGCACTCGCCCACACTAATCCGCAGGATTACGCAGACTACCGGAGCCCGACATACAGCATATATGGATTGTATGAGGCCGACAGGAAGAGTCGAGCACCTGGTGAAGGCGGGTATTGAACAATTTTTTGGATAGGACTCATTATCATTAGATTTGTACGGTTATATTACAACCAAACTTGTAGCATAGCCTCAAGTGTATCCATCTCATAACGTAGACTGTAATCAAGCCTGACTTGCAACATGTAATGGGAATGTCATAGATCAGTATGTAGTGCGTGAAGAGTTTGCAGGTGTCCATCCGTGCAGCAACAAATGAATCAGGAACCATAAAACCAGTAAAAAATAACTCGACGCTACGCAACAGGTGCATGAAGCTCCCCCCCACGAGATGGTGAGGTATCTGCCTCAGGCTCGTCGGGGGTATGGGAAGGTGCAACCAGCGGCGAAGATACAAGCCTGGCCTCCAATGCTCGCCTGTTTTCCTCTTCTTGGCGTGCCCTCTCGGCTGCTGCTGTCGCCAACTTCTGCCCCTCGGCCTCCTTCACCAACGCCTTCAATTCGTCCTCTAGCTCGGCCTCATCTATGTCGGCATCGGGTTGAACCATGTCCACACCCATCCGGATCGCATCGTCCAGTTCTCTTGCATCGATATTGGCGGAAGTCATGGCATCCAAGGTTTCGTCGATCTTGTCCCGCTGAAGTGAAGGATGTGCGAGAATAGCACGAAGAGTAGCCGTTGAAGATTCATAGGATTTCATGATCTATGAGACGCCGATTCAGTGCATGGCCGTGGGATCCGCAAGGTAAGGGAGAGGAACATACTTCGATATCTCCTGCTGATGTTTCCACGCGAATCAGGGTAGACTGCAATGTTTCGAGGGACCCGAGGCGTTTTCGCAATAAATCTTCCCATTGCTTTCGGGCACGAAGATGGCTCATAGCCACCTCTTTACGCTTCTGACGAAGTGCAGATGAGATCTGTTGCGAACGCCTGGACAGTGTCGTCAATGTCAGCTAAATCCATGGGGTAAGAGAAGTCACTGGACTCGTCTATTCTGGCTTGGATGTTGTCAATCTGAGCCTTCAGCTTGTCTACTCCGATCTTTAACTCCAGAACTCCAGAATCTATTGCCGTGATTTCTGGCTGCTGCTCCCCGTCTGCGTTGGAGAACTTGATGACCTGGATCATAGATGGTAAATAAGGGATGAAAAGCCATTATACGGAGCTCATACCTCCTTCTGAACAGCTAGCACTCTCTTATCTCGTTCCAAATACTTGGCCAGTACTTTTAGATCAAGATCGGATAATACGCATCCGTCCAAAGCATGACCTGCGAACTCCTCTCTGAAGCTGTCCGTATTGTACAACGAATCGGCCAGTGATACACCGCTCTTGTTCCGTTGTCTTTGTATCACGTTCACCGCGGCGCGCTCAAGGAGGCTGAGGATTACGTAGTCGCCTTTTACCTTCTTCCACCGTTCAGCGTCGCTCGCATGTCCACCAACCGCATCCTCAGAGCCAACCACGTTCAGTTGCTGCAGTGCCCACCACAACGGCTTGCCGACCATATAAGATGCTATGCGGAACGGAAGCGAGCCTGCATCATAGATGGACTGCGGAGCAGTCAGAAACTCAGGCAGAGAGTAATACACTTTCGTGCTGCACAGCTCAGCCTTACTAGTGTCACGAATGGTCAACGGGCAATGACCAGGAACCGTGGAGGGTTACGCTCACTATGACTGTCGGTAAGCTGAGCGGCTTGCCTACTCCTTCCACCCTAAATTCCTCAGCAATCGAGGGACCAACGGCATGAAGGATCAATCTGTCGGGATTGGCAGGGTGCGCATGCTGCCTAGACATCCAACCTTTGGCCACGAGTGCTTCGAGCGTCCTCCGCCACCACTCTACATTGGATGTGTAGGCGGTGGGATTGGAGTTCTTCTGTCGCGTGAAGTCAGAGTAAAGAGATTTTAGACGAGGTACAGAAGCAGAGGCATATGTCTCAAGAGATGACAATCGATCAGCGGATGGTGCTGGCATGGTGAAAGAAATGGATAGCGTGGAGGCCCCAACTTAAACGCCAGTGAGCGCGTCAGTATCAGGCACGTGCACGTGTGCATGGTAATTGTGAACCAGCGAAGTCAACGATCGTTCACCATGTAGCTTTCTAGCGCACATAAACTATATAGCATTGAAAGCAGTAGCATCGTCACCTGGACTCAGTACATACATAGAAAAAGCAACAGCGAGCAAGTTCGGAGATACCACAACATCAGCAAATTCAGACAAAGCAAAAAAAAACAGGTGTGGTCGACAGCAAATGAAAATGAAAGCAGGGCATGAAAGCACATAATTTCTGAACAGGCGAAGCTCACGTCCACCCGTTTGGGTTGTGCTGGAGAGAGTTCATCCAGGGGACTGTTTCGGTGTCTTCGATCGAGAGCTGATACATCCTGGGACTCATGTTGCTCGGGCTGGAATTGTTGCTACTCACGGTGCCGAAGGAGTGGCTATTGCCCAGCGAAATACTCTGCGGACGCTGCTCAGCATTATTCCGAAGCGCTTCATGTAGGTACACTCACTCGACCCTCCATTGACATCCTGGGTCTTGAAGGGCTAGGCGTGGAGCTGGGTGTGGCCGCTGTGGGCGACATGCTGACTGGCGTTGGAGGAGAGGACGCCAGCAGAGGCGTGGGGGGAGTCCGAAACTCAGAGTCGTCAGGGGACATGATGTCCTGAGAAACCAGAAACCCTGCACAGATCGTGAGTCAAGTGTACGATAGTCGAAGGTGAGGAACGCGCACCTCGGGAGCGATATCGGAAGGCGAACACAACATATGCTCCAGGATTTCTCTTGTCAAACGGCTCTATCTTCCATGTAGTTTCAAATCGCTGGCGTGCAGCTCTCTCTTCACCATACCTAATAGGGAACCGTGATAATTTGAGCGAAGTTGGACCAATCATACAACGGGACACACCCTATACAGGGTTCACCAATCCCACGCCTTCCCTGTGTCATCGCAGGAGGAGTTTGAGGCGCATTGGATGGACGTAATTCTTTCCGTTTAATGCGTTTGATTCTAACGAGAATTGTACCAATGTCCTTTCCTCTGGGTACTCCTGGGTCATGAAGTTGTAGGGTTTCAGGTTCTGTGCGGAATCACTTGAGCATGCTAACACGGGCGATATCAATTAACGCACCTTCAATTCTCTGAAACACGAAAGGCCTCTCCATGTCCTCTCCTACTCTAACTGCTGACCTCATCGCATCACCCTCACCGAACAGAAACTGTCCTGGAACTACAAAACCATCGAGATTGATATATGTGGCGGTCTCGACTTGGCTACCGTGATCGCGCCAGTTCACAACAAAATTCTACCACGTGTCAGAGAAAGTCAGTATGATAATGTTACCGATTTATGCCACAGTCGCGAATCTCACCTTGCCTTCCTGGCTAGGAATCCAACAGGTAACCCTGTTCGACTTTGCGTCGATTGTAGCCTCATATTCGATTACTTCTCTGTCTTCACAGGTAATCCAAGCAGAGAAACCACGATAGGTAAGCATTTTGACCAAATGAGTGTCGTTAACGGCGCACGAAAGCGTGCCCTACGGGCTGATACACGGGCCAGTCAATTTCTTGGGTAGTCGACAACGTGTGTTCAACCCTTCTCACCCTTTACCAAGTATTCAGCAAAGTTGTGTGTCCCGGTGTGAAGAGATGGCTCGTGAGGTTGTGAGTGTTGTTCATGAAGAGTGTGTCCTTCGCATTGTGGCGTTATATTTGAACCACCACGTGTCCGCAACAAGGGGATCGACCAAATTGTGAACGCGACGCGACGGTCACGTGATTGTGACAAGGCAGAACTCGAGATCGTCTTCTTGTCCTTTTTGCGCTGCCACTGAGGCTGTTCTGACGGTGACAGACTATAATATCGTGGAAGTAGGTCGTTCCTTTGGTTACTGCTGCAAAATCTATTCTAGTCCCACTGTCATACAAAAATTTAACTTGTGAGTGACTGTCCTAAAGCATTAATACATCTCGCGTACAAAATTGATACAATCAGAGTGTATCCCCCTTACCCACAAGTTGTACCATCCTTACGAACTCCCTTAGGCCCTGAGGAGACCCCTTCTAATACCCAGATCTAGGCACAAGACTGATATCTTGTGTCCAGAGGGTCTTGTGCCGAGAACTATACATCTCGTAGGAGTTTCTTGGCATGTACACTGCAATGACGGCGGTGATGATTGGTGACTAGCTGTCGACGTGGATGTGTGGTGACCTGTGAGCTGCCCTTGAAGATGTTCGGCGATGCGGCGAAGGAGCGGCGAGTACTGAATATTGTGGACTAGTGACGGATGTTTTTTCCCGGAAGGGAACAGCCCTACCTTGCAAAGGCGGAAGCACAGGATGCATAACCCCTTTTTTCCCGAGGAAATAACTTGGAAAAATGTGTGGAAATCAATAAAGTTATACTGCGGGAAAAACATGAGGAAAAAATGTGTAAAAGAACAAAGCATTTCCGCAGTTTTTCCACTGGAAATAAGTTGGTCGCCAAATATGGTAATTTTGTCCGGGTTTTGGCATGTCCTGGCATGTCCAGTTGCCTGATATGGTAGGCAACTTATTTCCAAGGGAAAAACCGTGAGAATGTTTTGTTCTTTTCTCACTTTTTTCTTGAGGTTTTTCCTCTGAAAATATATTATTGATTTCCATGCTTTATTATTTCCAATGGATAAAAGTGGTAATGCTTCCTGTGAAGGTGAGTTAAGTCATTGAATTTGGAGGCGACTAGACGCCTGCATGATAGCAATTCGTGAACCCAGTTTACCTCGAGATGCGTTCCTGGGGCTATGCGCTCATTGAATGTACGCATCTTCTTCAAGTAGGCACCTGTAGGACCCTGGATAATCCCCACAAAGGTCATCGCCAAATCCGGACAGATTTTTGCGAAAATTGACCTCATGCTGTCGTCATGTCCAGACAAATGGACTCCCTAAGGACCATGTAGCCGTCGTACTATCCGGACATGGAACTGTTCTGGGGCAAAAATCACCGGAAAATCGCCGGAAAAAGCCGAAAAAGGCTAAAAATAGCCACAAATTGCCTAAAATGGACGTTCCCAGAGTGAGGATGTCGCTATTTCCGGACAAAAAACTCCCTAAACCGGCCAAAAATGGGCCGGACAGATTTTTGTAAATTGGGGGGGTTTTGGTGACGACCTTTGGGGGGATTATCCAGGGTCCTGCACCTGTTCCTCCTTCCCCACCTCGAGATGAGACTCATTTGGTTCGTCGGTTATTTTTTTGCTTGCCGGTGCTCGGGCTCAGGCAACGAATGCGCCGTGTGGACTCTCCTTTAATTGGGTGAGATCCCTGAGGTATGGTGGCATTTAGGTGACGGTTCAATTTCTGACACTAGCGCCAGCTCACTGGTTTGGCTGTCATTGCCTGTCAATACAATGAGTCATCACATCAAACCCCCAGTCACTCGGTATTACTGCAAGCTTGCAAGCTATTCACCAAGCTATTCATGCTAGCACGCGTACGAGGAGTCGTGTTCGTAGAGTATCTGTGGCTGGACAGATGGCGTAGATACATATTAATGCCCTTCGGATGCGGTGAACATCTATGCAGATGCAAATGAGGCTAGCTGGAACTCTGGCAGATACTGCAGTCCCCTCCACCTTCTGCCACTTCATGTTGTCCACATAACCAGGTAAAGAAAAGGTGTCTGATCTACCTTGCATATACCTGTCCTCGCATGCACCTAGGTCAATATTTGTATGCACTACACAACTCGCAGCACAAGCTGCAACTAGCGAGCCTAAATCACCCATGCGGATCCGCGAAGCACGGGCACGCTGTCCTCGCCGTGCAATGGTGGCGCGATGTGATGCCCGTAGCACGAGGTCGATGTCGCCGCTGCCCGGGAAGCATTGACTCGCAGAGTCCCTGATGCTGACAATGATTGCAAGCGCTTGCGCGAAAGGGTGAATATCAGGCACGTATCGAGTAGCCACATCGATGCGCGTCCGATGGGGCAGATATCGAGAACGTGCTGGATGCGGAAGACGATGATGGACGTCCGAAGCTGTGAGTGAGCACTGAAGCCCTGTCGACCAGAGCGAAGTCGCACCAGGGGCGAGGATGAGGTGAGTGAGGATGAAGAGCAAAAGGCTAGACGCTCTGCCAATGCAACAACGTGCCGGCGGTGCGCACGCCAATGCTCAGATGGTACTGCCTTCTGTGCTCTGCGTGCATTGCGGTTGGTCATGCGCGGATGTACGTCACACAGGATGGGGAGGGCTGGATAAGCCAGAGCACAGTGGGCAGATAAGCACTGTGAAATTGAGAAGCATCGCACTCACGCCAGGGCCGATGGCATCTAGCGCCATCGAGATGGCATGCAGTGGCTGTGGGTGGGGAGGATAAGTAAGTTAGGTGGATAGGCCGTGACCCACCCGACGAGGCAAGTGCCACCAGTGGTCACGCGAAATGAGTGAAAGTGCGTGCGGGAAGAGTGGTGGGGAGAGTGGTGGGCAAGGCCTGCCTATGCCTGCGGTACTTGTGAGCAGATCACTGTGCGGTGGGCGACGGTGAATATAACGGGCACGGCCACAGCGCAGACCGAGGTATATACGTGGGAGTTGTTACAACGCTCCCCACTTGTGGCGCGTCTTTTCTTTTTCTTTTCCTTGTTCCCTTTACGTTACCAGACCACGTGATCCAACACGTGACTCATCGGAGCGCAACCTCCGATTCTTTACCCAGATGTCCAGAACCCCTAGTCTAGGGTTACACCGGATCCAACTCCGGACCTTCTTCTTATCGCGCATGCAAGACGTGCATGTACGCCTCATCTTTACCTCGTTCTGATACACGACTCGTTATCCCCATTAGTACTGATTATCTCTCACGACCTTACTCAGCTTTCTCATACATATTACTTCCTCGCTGTTACCTTGCCCAGATATCGTTTCACCTTATCTAGCCAATGAACGATCCCGCATTACTGCGTAGTACTGCGGATACCTTTTGTATAAGTAAACGACCTTGTCGAGCTGGATCCCCATCTCGACCTGGTTACCATTAAACCAGCTTTTCACTTGCCTTTGACTGAGATCGACCGTCAGTAGCAGACAGCTACTACGAGTCATAAGAACAAACTCTGATCGACCTTCAGTGCGAGGACATCGCCAGAAGTGTCACTTGAACGGACTTGTGTCTTAGACTAAGACCTTGTCTCGTGACGACTAGACTAGACGCTCGTGTTTCGCTGCCGCGTAACATTAGGTCGAGATCTTATTACTCTCTGTGACTTCTTAGAGTCTAACAACGAACTACCGACCGGACCGAACCTTGAAGACTGAACGATACACCCGATTCGATTGCTAAAGCGCCGTTTGAGATTACTCTGTAATCGAGGTAGCTGAAGGGATAGACTGATCACTCATCTTCGGAGAGGGGTCTGTCCGAGAGACCAATAGGCCGAGGAGGCTGAGGTAATCACTCGAGCAATCAGCAAATAGGTGTATCAGTTTGAAGACAGAAGACACTCTACGGGCTTGTTAGCCGACGACGAACGAACCCACTTAGTTAAGGACGGTGTGCAGTCTACGTGTAGACATAGGCCACACAGAAGAATTTATCCACGCTGGATTTTAACTACATCAACCCGACCGCTCTTCCAGAGCAGTACCGTGAGCACCTCCCATCCCAAGCGGAGTGGAGCACAGAACGAAACGCACATTTCATAGGAGGGAGGCTTGTATTCATCAGGCCAGACAATCACAACTTCGACTACTCCCCAGAGGAATTTGAAAGAACACTTCCCCATAATCTTGGTGGAATAGTGCTCCAGCACATCGCAGACAGCGGTATAACGACCTCCTATCCAGGAGAAAGACCAGACGCCCCTTGGAACCCCCCTGCCCAGAATCCTGTACCCCAACCGACTCTTGCACCAATCATACCCGATTACATACCACCGATGGCTACAGTTACCATGGATGAAGGACGTCACCATGATAGCCGGAAGGAACTTGGTTTTAGAAAACCCGAGATCTTCAACGGTTCAGACCGTTCGAAGCTTAGGGAATTTGTAAACCAATGCAAGAACTACATGGCCGGAAATAGCCATGTCTACCAGGAGGACAATCAGAAGATCGCATTCGTGCTATCGCACATGCAAGGAGGAACAGCAGGATCATGGGCACAGAGCTTCATAGAAACGGAACTCACCAATGACGACTTCCTTTCTTATGGGAGTTGGAGAGACTTCATTGCAAGTGTGAACAAAGCATTTGGCGATGAAAATATTGAAGAAACCGCTCGTACCTTGCTGCGTAACATCAAGCAAGGAACTCGTACTGCGGACGACTACATTGCCGAATTCCGATCGCTTGAATCCAAGGCGAAACTAGAAGATGCCGGAAATATCGAGTATTTCAAGTGGGGACTTAACGACCCACTCCGACAAAGGATATATGGGATGGAAAGCATGCCCAAGACACTTGACAAGTGGTACGAATACGCCTCACAGTTTGATAACCAATGGAGATCTGCTCAGATCTTCAAGCGAGGAGCCACTATGACGACGCGAGGAAAGGGCCGATCTGTCCATCGTCCCTACTACTCGGCTTCTGCAAAGGATCCAAACGCGATGGATGTTGATCGTGTCAATATCTCGCGCTTATCCCTGGATGAGCGACAGAAGAGAATGAAAGAAGGATTATGTTTCCTATGCGGAAAGAAGGGCCATATAGCCAACGACAGACAATTTCACCTCCAGTCTGGAAGTTTCACCCGTGCTAGAACGATACAGCCCGAGTTGGACACAGACACGATCACATGGATCAAGAAGATGCGAGAAGACCTCGCACAGAAGAAGGAGACATCGAAGGAAGAAACCAGAGAGGAACAGATCGCCTATGTGCGAAACATCTTCAACGACATGACTGATGAAGAACGAACCCAATTGGGTTTTTGAGACGACGGCCACTAGTAATGCATGGACCGTTGCATCTTACCGTATCTCCCCTCGTTATTTGTAACACTAGCGGAAATTCAATCACTGTGAATATTTCGTTGGGA